CCTTAGTTTAATAGCTTAAAATTATAAAGTTATATATATAATAGCTTAGCAGACTAAATTAGTATGCTTTTTAGTTTAATGTTTTTATAGCTAATATTATATATATATAAATAGTTAAAAGCCCTTATATATTAGCTAATAATAGCTTAAGCTTATAGAAATAAAAGTTTTACTCTCTATTATAACTAATTTACTAGGCTATTAGTAGATATAAACTTTATATAGAAATTTGTTTCTAAATCTAAAAGTAGCTAGCCTAATAGCTAAACAATATAAGGCTTAAAGAAGAAGAATTAGTATACACTTTAGCTAGTTAAATAAAGATTTATATAGTTTAGCTAATATAGCAGATAGGCTTCTATATAGCTACTATATTTACTTATTCTAATATATAGCTTATCTAGCCCTTTTAAAGCTTTAATAATAAGAAGCTTACTATTTAAAAGTCGAAGACAAATATTAATACTTTCGAATCTAGTAAGCACTATCTTATAGAGCTTTAAGTAAAGTCTTTTAAAGAGGATTAAAAGGTCTTATAATAAGATAATTAGTTAAATATAAAGAAGTATAAACACTTCTAGAAATAAAGTATATTATTAGAAAAGCTTTAAAAAAGACTACATTTCTTTTAAGTCTTTAGCTAGCTTAAATTAGAATTAGACTTTTTAACTATAGCTAAAGGAAATTGTTATATCTTTTAGAATTAGCTATATATAGCAATATAAAAGTTTTAAACCTAAAAAGGAAGTAGCTTCTACCTAAGTATTTGCTTTAAATATATTAGTTAAAAATAGCAGCAATATTTATATTTTAAAGTAAAGGTATAGGTAAATACTATTAATACTAAGCTATTTAAGTATAATAAATTAATTATATTAAAAGGAGCTAATTAAGAATATTTAATATATATAAAAGTTATAAAAATTAAGCAGTAGTATAGGTTTTTAGTAGGTAGACTTAAAGGTTTTATAATCTAGGGAATACTATATAAGCTAATCTAATATAATTAAATAGTTAAAATAAGCTTTAAAAGCTGTTTTAGCATCTTTTAACTAAGGGATAAAAAGTATAACTATATTAAGTAATTATATTTTTAAATAGTATATAGTCTATAAAATAGATAGGAATTTTAAAATATATAAAATAGTATAGAATATATATCTAGTATACTTATATATATTTTTTTACTTATTTTTTACTTAAATAAGTCTTTTTACTTAGATAATAAAGAATATATTAGGATCTAAAATATATAAATAGTATAAGTCCTTAATTACCTAACTAAAATATTTAAGTCTATTAAAGCTAGCTTAGAAAATAGAAATATAAACCTAGATATAACAGTTTATTTATAGTCTAAATATAATAAATAGCTATTAAAAAATTATTCTTTTTTCTTATTAGAGTAGCTTCTTTATAGGGAAGATATATTTATTTTATACTATATTTCTTAAGTAATTTTAAATACAATTATATAAGCGAAGTATTATCTAGCTTCTTATACTTACTATTACTAAATAGCTATATTCTTAGCCTTTAATAGTATTATTTTTATATTAGCTTAAAAGAATAAATAAAGTGCAGCGCAACCCTTATACTTTACTTAAGTATTAGAAAAAGCTAGTAATATATATTAATAATTCGCAAATTAAAAGCTAAAATAAGAATAAAATTTATTAAATATTTAAAAAGCTACTTAGATAGCTATTTAATAGGACTAAAGCTAATATATATAGTATTTATATATATATACTTATTAGTATTAAATACTATCTTAGCTAAGTAATTATATATTTATAAAAATTATATTGCTATATATAGTATTAGCTTCCCTAGAGTATAAAGGACAAAATACTGCAATAGCTATATAGGTCCTATAGAGGGGGAGTAAATACTATAGTAGACTTACTATTTTATATAAACCTTTATTTAATTTAAAGGCTATTATATCTTTATTAAAAGTTGTTAACCTCTAAGCAAATTACTTAAATATTATTAGGTTATAAATTAGTAGATAGTTAAAGATTCTAATACTAAAAATATTAAACTATATTATTAAAACCTATATATTACTTAATATAACTATCCTAATAGTCTTACTATAGATTTGCCTACATCTAGCTATAAGAAAAATAGAATTAAACTTTATATAAAATAATATCTCGATTTTTAATAGCAACAATATCTATATATTATTTAGTATATAGTTTTAGAAGCTAGTATAGTATACCTTCTAAGGCATAGCTATTTAAATATATAGATATACTACTATATAATTAAGAGGCTATCTATAAAGTAGCTTTCTTCTGCTTTCTATAAAGCTATTTATTTATATTTAAGTCTATAAAGTTTGCGCTTACAGATAGAGCGCTAGTTTTTAATTAATACTTCCCCTTTATATTATTATATTTCTATTATCTATACTAGATAAAAAAAAACTTTTTTAATATTTTATTAATTTTATTTAATATTAAAAGTAGTATCTCCTAAAATATTAAGGATTAGATATATATTACTATAATCTACTAATATTTATAAGTAATATTTTATCTTATATTATATATTACTAATCTGCGCTTTATTAAACTTATTCCTAACTATTATTAACTTTAAATAAAGAGAATATTATTGAAAATACTTCCTATAAAGTAGCTATTAATTGCTCTAAAATTTTAAGATTTTTATTTTCTATTTATAGTTTAAGCTCTTCTAGTGCGCTATATAGGATATTATTGTTTATACTGTTTTGAGTACTCTAATAAATATAATCTTATATAAAGGAAAGTAAAACTTTTATTAATCCTTAAATAAAAATATTATATAATAAATAATGTTTTATAGCTATTTTTTTTACTAACGCTCTAGTATTAGCGTCTAATAGCAATTAGTTCTCTATATTTAAAGTAGTTATAGCTTTCTACTATTAAATCTCAAAATTATAAAAACTATTTATATTAAATTTCCTATAGTTATAATTTTAGCTAACTAATTTTAAGCTTATCCTTAGTAGTAAATATATTTCTAATATAATTAAAAGCTTATACTAGTACTTTATTTAGTATAAATTTAATAGTAGATAAAGAGCGAAAAATATACTACTAAATAAAGTCTTTATCTATTATAGTAATAGGCTTAAAAGGGGCTAGTTTTTCTCTTATATAAACTAGTAGGATATAAACCTTTATTAGGTATTAAATACTAATAAAAGATAGTATAGCTTTAATTTCCTAATATATTAATTCAACTATATAGTAAATAAGGTATATAATACTTTAATTAAAGTTTTCTTCCTCTTAGATTATAAACTACTTAATATCTTCTTTATTACTTAAATCAACTAAAAAGCTAATTTTTAAAAAAAAAGATTTTTGCTTATTCTAAATTAAGATTAATTATTAAAGCTAATAGATTAATTAGCTAGTTAATATTATATAATAATTTCTATAGCTATATAAAATTAGCTTATAGCTAATATAGCTAAATATTATTACTAAGGTCTACTAGTTTATAAGTTATATTAAAGGCAAGTACCTAAGCTAATATACTTTAAATACTATATTAAATATAGGATAGTAATAAAATAAAACTAATTTAAAAATAAATAGCTTAGGATATAATATATATTAATATTTTATATATTTTATAGTCTAAAAGTATTATAGCTTTAATATAATTATATATTAGTTTACTTTGACTAGATAGTAAAGGCTATTATTAATATTAAAAAAAGACTATATATTTAAAGATTTCTTATTTTATAATTTTTATTAAATAAAATAAAAAGTAATAAAACTCTTAAAGTATTAAAAGCCTTTATAGTTATTAAATATAGTTCCTACTAATATACTTATAATTATATTATACTTCTTTATATAAGAAGTATAATTCTTATCTAAAAGCTTATTATTTACTGCTTTGCAATTCCGCTACTTAAATAGTTATAATAGTAATTAACTTACTATTTAGGATTTCTAGATATTTAATAAGATAGATCTTACCTACCCCTTTATTATAATTTTATTAAAGGATTTAAGCCTAATAGTAGCTTAAAGCGCGCTTTATTATAATAACTTTAAATATAATAAAATAGTAATAAAACTAAATAATTTACTTTAACTCCTATAGCTGCTTCGCTATAAATATATTACCTCTAATTATATTGTTAGAAATAGTAGCCTTAATATATATAAGTAAGACTTTTAAGCTTATTTTTAGCGTTTCTTTTAGTAATTTTTATAGCTAATAAATTTAAAATATCCTATTAAAAGCCTTTATAACCTTATTCTATATTATTATCCTTTTTAGCAAGTTTACTAATATCTAGTTTATAAATAAATAAAGTTAGAGCTTCTTCTAAAGCCTTTAGTATTAGTTTAATTTTAAGGAACTACTATTATTATTAGATATAGGTGTTGTTAAGCGTCTATTTAAGACTATATTACATTTTACTTAGGATACAACTAAGACAGAAGGAATTTATATATTAGGTAAAACTTCCGCCTTATAATCTAAAGAAATATACTTTAAATTAATATAGATGTTCTATAATCCCTACTTTCGGAAATTTATTATAATTCTAGCTAAAGATATATAATATAACTATTAAAAAAGGTATTTATTTCTTTCCTCTTTCTTAGGGCTAAGGTGACTGAGGTTCTACACAGGCCGAAGGATGGCATATACAATTCCCTCGTGAGAAGCGGAGGGTTTAGTCTTCGCCTCTATGAAGCCAACAGTGAAGATCTGAATCTCGCATAGCGACGGCGCCATGTCAAGGATTTTGCAAGTAGATATTCCATTCAATGCTGATCATTTGAATGTCCTAGGAATTCGACGTACGATACAATGAATGCCACATCGCTTGTAGGTCGAAGAAATGAATGCCGCAATGCTGAGGCTCGCTAAATGCCAATGATCTCTCCTCAAGGTGCTGGAGGACGACTTTTAACACGAGGTCATTCAGTTATGCGACGCTGTTAATCTTACCCTTAGACCACGCATCACCTTGACTCCTCAGCATGCCCAGTCGGACCCTCGCTCGTGTCTGTCCGTGTCGTCAGCTGCTTACATTCCTAAACTACCAATAGAGAAACGCAGGTCTCGGACCCTGGGATGGTAAAGGAAACAGCACTTACAGTCCACGCTAACGAACGCCCTGTCAACCTCAGTCAAGCCCTCAAGACAATATTGCAAGGTCTCCGCCACATCATGCGCCTTCCCGAGTCTCGTCTCCTCCGGCATCAGCACGTCCATCTCCACCCACACGCCATCGCCCGCATGGTACGCTGTGACAGCCTTGAAAGCCTCCACTACTGGCGCAAACCTCCACGCCATAAACATTAGCTTCTTCAGCACGCGATCGTCTACCGCTGCCCCCGTCAGGCGTGCCACGTTTTCGAATAGCGTTTCTGCCCAATCATAGATAATGAAGAGAGACAGCAGGGCTGCGCCAACGGGGTCAAGCCACCAGAGGTGGAAGGAATGCCCGATCAGCGGAAAGAGGAGGGAGAAGGTGTTGAAAACTACGTCGGTTTTGCAGTCCTGCGCTAGGGCTTGGACCTGTGTTGTCTTTATAGGTACGCAGCCAATCCAGATGATACCCTTGACTACTACCGTCGCGACGAGAGCACCAATGGCCGTAGGCGGAAGTTGAGCTGCGACTTTCGGGCCAGGACCGGGCAGCAGTTTGGAGACAGACTCTTGGAGAATTTGAAGAAATGAGACGATCATGATGATACTGAAGACGACAATCCCGAGAGGCTCGAGTCGCCGCCGGCCAACGGGGAATTTGTGCCGTAGACGCTTGATTTTCCACGCGACGAGCTTGTTTGTCGTGAAAATTATGAGGGTACATAACAGATCGAGGGCAGAGTCGACGAGGGAGGCGATGAGAGAAAGGGAGTCAGATTTGAGAGCGGCGACGCCCTTGGCGGCAAGGAGGAGGATGTTGGCTATAATGTTGATCTAGAGGCCGTATGAGCGAAAAGAGCGTTGCATACATAGATTTGTTGCCAGAGCGACAGGCAAATTGGCCCTTTGCATAGGCTCAAACATACGTTGATTGCCCACTTCGCCCTTTTTTCCCCAGTCCTCCTCCTTTCTCTTTCATCGTGTGGTAGCAAGGGGTCTATGTCACCTCTTGTATCCATCAATTTACCCCCTTGCTCGGCAACGCCGTCCCCATCCGTGTCTTGAGGTCGCATTGAGTCCAGAACATCATCCGCCATGCTAGCAACCACTGCATCGACCTCTAGCCAATCGCTAAGTCTATCATTCTGTGCTTCGTAGAACACTCTCACTTTCTTATTCTTCAGCTTCTTGATTTCGGACACACTTTTTCTGTACTTCTCTAGACCGTCGTGATCTACACCCTCTTTGAGCTTTCGTTTGAGCTCCGCGTGGAAATGATTTTGCACCGCAAGATTCGCAATGTCTTGAAATTGCGGACGTCGTCGTGTGGAACTAATGGCTGACTCAAGGTCGTCTGGTTTGTGGACTGAATCGCCATTTATCCGACCGCGAGAAGATGGTTTGTGAACCATGGTGGGATGAGATCAATACAACACAACCGAGAATGAATTCAGGTCCTGGGTCAAGAAATATTCGAATGGAGGTTCGTGGATTGGGTGCTGAAAGGAAACAAGGCATGGCAAAGATTTAGCTACGAACGCGAAACACACGTCACTCACGTGCAATTTAGCGACGGGACCTCCAAGCGACGGCTTGAACGGGCCGGACGGCTCCCCGATCCCTGGAACTCAGAAGCCTCGATCTCGTCTTGTATTATTCAGCTGGCATGATTGTTGACGATTACTTTACCGTGGTGTCTAGCGAAAGAAACGATGCAGCGTCCGATTTCTGATGCCTCCACTAGTCATGGTATTGATGCGAGAAGTCTATCAACCTAAACTGTCCATTTTCTATGTTCTGAAAGCACTGGCCTGGGGGTATCTAGCATTTGCTGCTGCTATATAATCGTCAATGTACTTTTGGTCAGCCTTCCACCCTCGCAAGATGTCTAACCCTCGTGTTGCATCCTCGAGAGTACTCGTCTCCAGTGCCAAAGTTCGGATCATGTCTTGAGAGCACTTCTCCTTTCTTGTAGGCTCATTGATCTCGACTTTCACCTGCAGGCCGACCTGCACATGAGGAGCGCTGTCATGGTTTTCCTGGATGAACTTATCGTTCATTTCAAAGAGGTCGGCATTCTTCGAAATCAAGGTCGACAATTCGTCTTCAAGAACGTCAAAAGCCTTCCGTGAGAGGTTTGGCTTGTCTTGCCTTTGGTTGACCGCGTAGCGGAGCGAGATCTTATGGTGGTGATTCAGGGGGTGAGACGGCGCAATGTTGTAGGCGGCCTGTAACGAGCGGAGAGCCGGCGTCAAGCGGTCTGCAAAGCATTAGTTGATTCCACCCTTCACCCTGCTTGTGTTACTTACGACGGCGCAAGAACACTTGGAAAGCGGTCTGCTGAACCTCCAGATTTTCTGAACTATACTCTAGTAGAGGATTAATGAACTTCATCGCGTCACCTAAAGAGTCAGAAGTTTGCAGAAGTTGATCACCATTCGGGTCTTTGTCCTCTTTCTTTAGGTCGCCATTCTGATCCAAAGCAGGTTTCTTCTGCCCATCTTTCTTGTTGGCTTCAGCGGCTTTTTCCTGCTCCTTCTTTGCCTTCTTCCTCGCCTTCTTCCGCTCTGCAGCATCCATGTGTTCTCCGTTAATGCCGTTGGTGAGAGTGTTCAAAGCTAGTTTCGGCTGGTCATGAAGCCTAATGTATACATTCGCAGCAGCGAGAGCCGCACGGGCAAAGAAGGGATGAGCTCGCAGATGGTCCTCCCATCTTATCATGTCAACGTATGCCCGTATTTGGCCTTTTCGTAAAGAGAAGCTGTGAAAATCGAACTGATCATCCTGCCATATGTCGAAAATATTATAGATAGCTTGAAATCGCTTCAGCGCAAGACCCAGTTTTCCTTGTCTCAAGTGAGACATTGCGTCTTCGTATATGAACCACTGACACTGCATGTCATGAAGGTCGCCTACAGGACCACCTACCGCCTCATTGCGGGTAAATTTACTCATGTTTTGGACAGCGGCATCAGTCTCGTTATTCCGCAGCTGATACTTGGCCGCTTTAGTGTTAATATATCGATCTCGGGTATCAAGTGACCTGGCGTATTCCATAGTCTCCGAAGCTTTCGAAAAATTACCATAGTGCTTCCATATCCTCGCCTTAGTTTGGTGATAGTCGACTGACTCCGCAGCAGTCTTGATTGCTTCTTCAATATGCTGCATCGCCTTATCGAGATTCCGGCTTAGATGATAATTATAGTGTTTAGCGAGGAAATAGTGGGCCGAAGGAATCATACGATCTGTCTCATCATTCACCTGATTCTCAGCAGTACCGTTTGTTTGAGGTAAACCCTCTCCAGAAATGTACCCCTCAACGAGAGCTTGTATGGTAGAGCACTTGTCGGGAGAGGTGTACAGAGCTTTGATGTTCGCAAAAGTAGATGGAACGCCTCTGTGGAGCATGCGTTGCAAGTATTGATCTGCTGCCTCTCGGAAGTCATCTCCATCGAGGAAGTCCAGAGGAATTCGTCTAGCAGCGTCGCCTCTCGGATTTTCAGAAGCATAGCCATCATACAACGCCTTCAACTCTTGAGTATCAGCCTTACTTAGTCCCTTCGCCGCGGCTAGGCCATCATAATACGCTCGATACTCTGAATTACGATCTAGCAGGTCTTGATAGGTCTTCCCTGCTTCTTCTTTCCTGCCGAGCTGAAGGAGATATTGTGCTCGTCTCTCCATCACCCACCCTCTGTCTGGATTGTCTTTTGCTGCTTGATCCAGATGATTCAGAGCTCGTTCAAGATCCCCCATCTCCGCAATGATCGTATTCTTGTACAAGACTGCCTCTGCATGCTCTAGGTCAGATCTAGGAGGTGAAGAGCGCAGCGTCTCCTCATATGTGGACAGCGTCCTTTCAGCACCCCAAAGATCCCCATCAAGGTGCTGAGCCACGGCTAAAGCTGTCCAATTCTGCCGCCACATTGTCTTATTTTGCAATATAGCTCTTCGACTTTGTACATATCCCATGTGGTCCCGCATTTGCATTTGGAGCAAAGCCAGATCCTTCTGGATTTGATGGGAGTCTGGTTCGAGCTTTAAAGCGAATTTATATGCTTTGATAGCTTCTTCAAAATTCTTATTTGACCGATAAAGCAAACCATACACATGCCAGCAGATGTGAGATTTCATGGAAGACTTCTGTAAAGCGGTCTTTGCAAGACCAAATGCTTCCTCGGAGTTGCCCTGCCCGTTGATGATAAGAGCCTTCATGGCAATGGTATCCCCATGATCTGGCTTCTTGCGAAGGATCTGCTCCGCTGCTTTGAGACCTTCAAAAACCCGTCAGCAGGATTACGGAAATAGTTGGTAATTGACGGAGTACCCTTCTTGTATTGCTTATTCTCATAGTTCTTCACCACTTGAGCGAAAAGCGAGCGCTCCTTGGAGGCCAACTCTTGAGTTGCCATATTTTTGCCCTCTGGTACTTGTACGCCCTCTGGGTGGTGTAATATTTGGATGAGGGGGCTACTAATCTTAGACTGTGGGAATCGGAGAACGAGAACCTGCAGGATTGGTCATAGTTGAGGACAACGAACATATACAGTGATACAATGTCAATGAGTCCATGCAGACGGTGTACAGGATCTGAACAAACAACGCCCAAAAATAGTGGATGAAGCGATCCTTGAGCTAGAGGTGGCTCCACCGTATATAATAATATATTTTCGCGCCCGGAGGCGGGCCGCCACGTCGAAGTCACCCGGGATCACAGGGCTCGATTTCATCTGGTCAAGGCTTCCTGACTACCATCCAATCAACACGCAACATCGATCACATTGAAAGGCACAAGGTTAGAAGCTTGATGAATGATGCAACCCTCCAGTGATGCCTGCGCCAACGCTATGGTGATCTATCTATACAGAACATTAGGTCTGTTCATTCTCAAAAGCCCACCCGCTCTTATTACGTCTTCTTTTGTGCACGCCATCGGTTCAATGCTTCTTCCCAGTCTTCTCCTGTACTTCCGCATCTCTCTGCCACCAAGCCCCATGTACGAGCTCGTATGATGCTCTCCACGGCTCTCTCGTTTCGTAACGTGCTTGCCAGTGTTTCGGTCCTTGCCTCTCGAGGGAAAAATCTACCAGAGTAAGGATCGAGCCTCTCGTCTACGATCCGCTCTCTTTCTTTAGCCGATTCTGCCTCCTTCAGAACCAGATCTGGGTCTTCTGGATTCAAGGCAACCCCGGCGCAGTAGTTCAGAACGTTCGATCTCGTCTGCCACGACTGGAACAGAACCTGTTCTTTGAAGCCTTGGCATACTCTAGGATCGCTGGGCTGCCTTTCGACGGGCCGTATCTGTCGCTCAGCAGTGGAAAGAGGATCCCATTTCTTGTTGGCAGGAGTTATGAGAGCATTCAGATTCTGTATAATCGAGTCATCGATCATGGCTCGTGAAATGCGGAGAAAATCTAGATGAATCAGCTCCAGGTCTGAAAGTCTTTCGGCAGGGGGCGTCAGACCTCTCAATGCGGTCTGGTTGAAACAGAGGTCTGGGGTCAATGTCGGCGGGGATGGTGCTTCCATCCTCCTCCTGGGGCGGGTGGAGTGGGTAGACTGTGGATCGTAAACCTGTCTGTCCTGCGCAAAGACCGCCCAAAAGAATGAAGCCACTTTGAATACAAGCTTGAGCGAGCACACTCAAATGCACATTTTGATATATGGAAAAGGAATTGCCAGCATCTATAAATCTTTCCAAGTCTTCTACAATCAGGCGTGTACACTTACAAGCAGTGAGGGCGGGTTCATTCACAAGGCGAGATAGTTCCTACCATCTCCCCTCGGGCCCCTCGAGCGTAGGCGATGACGCATGACACGACGCACGTGACCAATCCTTAGCGCGACTCGGACGCGGTGGTCTGCCTTTGGCCGCAATGACGCGCAAATTCAGATGGATGCTAGATCTCTTTACGTTGCGAATACACAATATCTAATCCACACGGCTGGGTCTTTATATAATCAGCGCTCCAAACAGTCCGACGACGCGGGCAGTTGGTTATCTACAGAGTCATCGGCTCAGTCGCTAGGAAATTGTCCCTGGATAGACTTTTCTCTTGTGCATTATGCCCGAGATTGGGGAAGGTATAGAACACCAAGCGCCTCACGTTTGTCGGCTGATGCGTCATGATATAGTTGCTCGTATTGTACATTTCCTTCGAAAACATCTTGCGGGTAAAACGTTGGCAAAGGTTGCCACGCAAACAGACGAAAATGTGTACGGCAAAGTGGGCTGCTCTGCTGAAGCTTTCGAGACATCTTTGACAGGCAAGAAAGTCCTCGATGCAAAGCAACAAGGCAAATACTTTTGGTAGGTCGGTGGTGCTTCAAATTTGCAAATTTCTTTCTGTCTAAAATTGTTGTCGCTGCTAAAGTGTTTGTTACCCTTCAATCGCAGCTTTTTCATCGTCATATATTGCAGCAGTATCTTTCACTTCACCGTGTTCTACAGTAAAGCCCGCGAAAACTCAATTTATCTATACGTGAAGCATATTTATCGGACCAGTGCCTCCAGAACTTTCCCCTTCCGTGAATAAGCTATCCGATTGATCATTTTGTAGGCTCGAGATGTCTTCGCCACCCCACCCCTTGATGCATTTCGGGATGGCCGGATGGCTGAAAATCAAGGGCGATGATACCGCATACTACAAGCCACAAAAATCCGAGGGGCCTGAGGAATGGCCACCTAAGTACTGGAAGTTCATCCTTCAGGCAAAAGAAGAGCCCCGGAGCGAATGCGCCTATGTCGACTTCAGAAGGTTCGGAAGGATACGATTGATTGATTGTGATGCGTCAGATATTCGTCGCGTAGAACCTCTAGTGAAGAATGGGCCTGATCCTGTTCAAGATGCCACTATAGTGACCGTGAAGTGGCTGAAAGACAAAGTCCAGAGCAAAAGGATACCTATCAAAGCACTACTCTTAGACCAGGCTAATATAAGTGGCATTGGCAATTGGGTGGGGTGAGATGCATTGTATCCTCTTCCTCTACTCGATTGCTGACGACTTCCTTCCATCAAGGGATGAACTCCTCTACGATGCAAAGATTCATCCAGAGCAATACAGCAATACACTTTCTGAACCTCAGATTGCCCAATTGCATAAGTCTATGCATTACGTCTGCAAACTCTCCGTTGATACTTTGGCCGATTCCAGTAAGTTTCCAGAGGAATGGCTATTCAAGCATCGTTGGGGCAAAGGCAAGAAAGACAGCATGACTACACTTCCGAACGGAAAAAGGTTTGTATACGTGACTGTCGGTGGAAGAACTTCATGTGTTGTTCCTTCCGTGCAGAAGAAGACAGGCCCGTAAGTTCATTATATTTCTTTTAGCAGCTGACAGATGCATGAAGACATTCATGCAAGTTGTGTCTTGTGCCCTACATATCCTCAAACTACTCGTCTAGAGCTTACTTTCGCTTCAAATGTCCGCTATGCTGACGATATCATACAGAGTAGAGGGTGACGTGAAAGCAGAAGCCGTAGATGATGCTAATGGTGCTACTGACAATAAAACAACTAAGAAGCCAAAAGCCGCATCTAGAGCCACTCCCATCCAGCAGAATGGTGAAAAAGGCTCGCCGACAGCCAAGAAGACCAAAAGATCAAAGCGAGCTGCAGAGTCGCAAGAAGACCTCACGACTTCTAACGGCTTTGCTGACAGTAAAGATGTAGAAGAGCCAGCATCAAAGAAGAAGAAAATATCTGAGAAATCCAACAAGAACGAGGCTCCCAATTCGAACGGTGCCAAGTCAGACGGAAAAGGGGAGGACACTGGGCGAAGGCGATCTACTAGAGTCAGCGGCAGAGGACTCTGAAAGCACTTGATCGATTTACTATTTCACTTCACGCCACATAAACTCTTCCAATGGCGAGAATTGGGATCTCTAGGCTGACGAAAACAAGCTACGGGATGTGCGTTGCGTTATCGTTCAAGCACGATCTCGCTATTTCTTCTGAGTTCTATTCCAGGATTCCTGAATATTTCAAAACGAATATCTTCAGTGCCGTCGTTGGGTAGGGCGGTACTTCATAGCAGGTCTATACACGTTGAACATTGTAGCGACGTCTCACATAATCTGTAAATTACACAAAAGCTATTGCTGAGACTGGTAGGTCCGAGACCCTGCTATTCGTGTCGAGCTTAGACAAGAATATAAGGCAAGACAATATCGACAATACGTTCCATCCAAGCCAAATCCTCCACTAACAGTCTGCTGTATCCTTATCTTGTGATTCATGTACAGATACTCTGCTATGAGGCCCCATTTCAATTTGTCGGGGGATGGTCTTTCCGCTGGGAGAGATATGTTTTGATCTTTGCTTGATAATGCACCATCAAAGCTGCAAAGTGCGGACTTAGAAAGATCAGATGATTTCATATTGGTCTATTTGTAGTCTGTGTACAACCCCCTTTCTCGCTATCTTGATGTGAACATCAATCGTTCCACGTCATTTTCCTATGCCTGCTGTTCTGGGACGGGCGTTACCAACTTCCCCATTTCCAATGCACTCCTCACATTATCAATGACATGCAACTCCATCTTCTCTTGCGTCTCATACGTTGCCGTTCCCATGTGTGGAAGCAACAGAACATGCTCGTTTTCCAATAGTCCTGGATGGACTTTGGGCTCTTCCTCGAAAACATCTAAGCCCACACTGAAGACCTTACCAGATTTCAATGCATCGACAAGTGCCGCCTCATCCATCACGGGTCCACGAGCAGTGTTGATGATGACTACGCCGTCTTTCATCTGAGCAAATTGTGGAGTGGAAATAATATGGCGAGTGTTTTTCTGGAGTCTCTCAGCCTTCACGTACACGACTAGAGATCTAGGGTAATCTTCGAGGAAGAAAAGATAGCACAGAGAAGAACTTACGTTCAGAGGAAGATTCAGACTCAACACATCACTTCCCTTGAGCAGCTCCTCAAAGCTCACGTACTTCGCCCCGCCCTCTTCTTCGGGTGGCAGCCTCTCTGGGAAATACAAAAAGAGTCAGCGGTACTTTCTCCACACGATGAAACACCAGCCCTTTTCGACCTTCAAGTAGAAGCTCCCTCGTACGATCTCGAAAACTGTCTAAAGGCTCATTCGCTGATTGGAGCCAGCATTATGCGGCCCCCACCAAGCAGCACTTACTCCTATTGTGGTACACAACACTCATACCAAATCCCTCAGCCTTCCTCCCTATATCCCTGCCAATGCCACCCATTCCCAAAATGCCCAATTTTTTCCCTTCTGGATCATGCCCAAGCGGCGGTGAGGTCTTCCCCCTCCACTCTCCTTTACGAAGAGTCAGGAGCGGCAGATTGAAGCCGCGCAAAGCGCCTAGCATTAGGAAGATGGCTGTGTCGGCGGTAGCGGCATCGACTACTTGAGGGGTATTGGAGACAAAGATTCCGTGGGACGTGCAAGCGGAGACGGAAATTTGATCGTATCCAGCGCCTGTGTCATTGCAGCCATCAGTCTACTTAGTGCTTACCAGTGTCCACTTCATCGGTAGGGACTGTAAAGCTTTCAATGCCTACCATTATGGCAAAGATATTTGCAACCGATTTTCGCGAGAGCTTCTGCTACATCACCTTCTATCCTGCCGGTAATGCTGACGCTCTGGAAGGTGCGATAGACCGCTTTCACGCCATCGAGAGAGCCGGAGCGGCACTCTTGGAGAAAATCGGTGGGGTTGGTCGCTTTAGGGGTTAGAAGGGTGCCGAGTGAGGAGAGGGCGGACCATGCATCTTTGGCTTTGGTGCTGTGAGGGAGAGGTCAAACAGCATTCAATAGGCATTACCATCAATCATTTCAAGTGCCTGGAGGAAGGATCTTTTCTCTTTGGAAATGCAGGAAAAGGAAAGTAGAAATGCAGCAGATTACAAACGGGAAAGTGCTAGCAGGAAGCTACGTACTGATCGATTCCACCCAAAAGAAGGATCTTGGGCTTCTCGTCTGTGGACATGTTTGCTAGGAAGCGATTGTCAAATGTAGAGAGAATCTTTGAAATGACGCGGGAAACCCGTTTTGGTCGCGTAGATAACGAGCATGCACTATGATGTCTTGCCCTCAGTAACCTGATGTGAATCAACGAATTGGTGAATGCATACCTTTGCATTCAGCTGTTCAGATATTGGCCAGCAAGGTCCTTGCTTTACGCTTTGAATCACTCTTGCCACTATTGCTTCACAAATAAGCAGAAGATTATTTTCGCAGGCCCCGCAGATTCTAGACAGCCCGATCTTAGGGCCGGGGTCCCTGAGCTACAAAGTTATGGTCAGGTGTGTATTGTCAAGATTGTAGATTCGCATCTGCTTCCAAGATTGCATTGAGCTCGTCTCCAGCAAAATCAGAGAAGGATCGTTGAATATGACGACTTCTGGCCCTTCAATGAGCGCTAAAATGCAACAATGCTTCGGACAAAACATGGTCATTCCTGACCCTTTGCCCCAATTGGGGCTCCTTTTCTCAGACTCCGCGCTCAAAAAGACCAACCAATGCATCGCTGGACATCTCCAGTCTAGATTAAATGCTCATCGTCACCGTTTCACGGACCAACTCCTGCAAGCAGCTCCGCAGAGACGCAGCACAACCTGATTCGTTCCCTTACCAGCCGACTCTTCTTCCAGCAGCCGTCGGGCTACGGCCAGCTTAGCATGCACATCCTTTTCGTCATTCGTCTCAGGGGCCTGCATGGAGTCTGGGAAGCCCGGCACTTGTCCGCCCAAATGCCGTGCTATCATCATAGAGTAAATAACGTCTCGGTTTTCGCGGTTCTCCAGGAGGCTTCGCGTCGTTGCCAGCGTGCTCTCAATTGCCTCTGCCGAGTTCTCATTCTCTCGCTTGATGGTGAGGAAAGCGTGAATCGATCGCCAGAATTCGTACTCCTTAGACTTCAACTGCCCGAGCAACGCAGAACCATTAGGTTTACTGCCGTCGGGCCCTTGTGGCGCTGAATCATCAGATCTGTAGTCTCCAGTGATGAGCGCTTCGAATATTTCCAGCCGCTTCGCCGCATCCACCACACCATCTTTGACTTCATCTTCGTTGACTTCACCAGATTCCGTCGTGGTTTGCGCAACTTTCCTGCACAAACATAACATCGACCAAACCACCATGGCCTCGAGGCTTTTAGTGATGGCCAGCTGGGCAGAAAAGACAGGATCTTGAGAATTCATAGCATAGCGGTGAATGAGCATGGTAAATTGATCACACAGTACGGAGTTTGCCATCAGATGATCGCAGCCTCTTTCCGAAAACCAATGCGTGTCTAGAAACTTATCCATACCCGGAGCGTATGCTGTATTGTAGATAGTTTTCAGTTCTTGCCTATTTTCATCGGAGAGTATTGATGGGGCGGCAGGTGGGGGCGGCGGAACTCCATCAATGCATAGAAGCTCTTCAATCTTTATCCGTCTCGCTTTAGAGAGTCAGTCATATAGCTTGGGCATTGTTCCTTCCATGAGTACATACTACTTTGAGGTCGTTGACCGTAGCGACCATCAGTCGCACCGCCGTCGCTATCACCGCCTTGCTTCTCTCCTCCAAGCGCCGGGTCGATTGATGGTGCAGATTCGAGTTTCTCGCGATCGTCGTCTATGATCGGAGCGCCGTATGATGTAGCAGAAAGGCTGTGAGGTGGAAGTGGTGGAAAGGAGGCTGGCGGGGTAGTTGACATGGCAGGGAATTGATTAGCAGCCGGTTGTAGAGGTGGTGGTCCAGGTTGTGGTTTGAAGATAGGGTCGTAGCCCAAACACTCTCGCTTGCTTTTCTGACAATTCCGGCAAGCCGGGTGACCTTCGTCGCACTACAGCAACCATGAACTCCAAGTCAGCGGATGTTTGATCATGGCAATTGGATATGTAGCGTATCTTTAAAAGTGAATGTAGCAGGCAGGAGCAAAGGCGCGCAGGTAGCAGCTCGCTTGACACGGTCGCTTCTACCCGGCAGCAACCAAATTGAGAAATTCAGTGAACTTCCTGGTGCTTCAACGTCGAAACAAACATTTGTAGTGTGAAACATCCGAGTCGTTGTATATCTTGTTTCAAAGCCTCACATGGTGTGGAGAGATCGACTGACCTTTATTCGTCTCTTGCGACACGTCAAACATCCAGTCTTCGTTCTTCGCTTGATCTCTTTCTTGTGTCTCCCTCCTGACATTACTCTACCCTCTGGGTGAGGTGGAAGAGGATAGCGCATGGGGACGTTTGGATCTGTCGGTGGGGGCATATTATATGGCTGGTAGAATTGCATGTGTTGCGGCGGAGGGGGGCCTGGGCCTGGTGGTTGCTGCTGGGGATGTGGGGGTGGTGGTCGTCCATTTCCACTGTGAACGGGAGGGAGATTGAGCGCAGAGTAGCTGCCGGCAGGCGCAGGCGGTGGAGGAGAGGCTTGCCCTTCAGGATAGGCAGAGTAATGGATGCTGTTCACTTGCGCCCCGGCCATTGAGGCAGACGTGAATGAAGGTGGATAGGAATTACGCTGCTGCGATTGCAGTTCCGCCTCAGATGCCATAGCGCGCAAGCAGGAGCGTATGTATGCGGGCTAAATGTGGGGGCGGGTCAAGGGCCAACATTGGAATTCAATCGTCTCGAAATGGCGAGAGATCTGAGCTGGGAAAAATGGCTTTGAAGACGTGGGCAAGGGGAGAATGCGGCTTAGTGGCAATTTTAGAAATATGTTCCGCAGCAGCGGTCGAGGGTGTTACGGAAGTCGTGACATGATACGTCTGTTTTATATCACCTACTCCGACCGACTACTCTCCCAGGCCAAGCGAGAAGCAGGGCAGGATGAGCTGCATGAAGGCTCCCTCATTTCATTGGTCTTATACGTCTGCAAAAATGATCTCTCCCTCCGCCAAACGCCCAGGGCGTGAGACCGAGGTATCTAACGGCTATGAACGTTACGAGGGCCGACAGGATCAGCAGAAGATAGCTGCATTTCGTGTCCTCCCAGGTCGTCGTATTACTCCTTCAGACCAACGGCCGTTGCGCTATTGTCCTCAATCGGTAATGTGACTTCAGATGGCTGGCCTCTGAAAAATCTTCCCGGTTTCAGGCTTAGACGGCCCAACCCAGACGTTGAACCCCAGCTGCTAGTGGCATGGTACGGGGGGTGGGTTCACCAAGGCTGCCGAATAGTGTGTCGAGTCGCTATAGGGTCGGATCTGATCAAGGGACGGACAGTAGAACACCCGAAGAACTCGTCGTGCTTAAGCGACCGTTGGGCCTAGCTGCTTTGGCCAGAGCCTGGCTGACTTATCTTCACCTTATGCTGGCCTGCATATGCACGCTGGTTTGTGCAGAAAAGAGAGATACGTAAAGTGACTAGCCGAGGATGTGACCTGTCGCTTGACTATCTCACCCATCTTGTAATACCCGAGTCCAGTCAAATGCTTTCCACCGCCGTCTGAAGCCCTCGACCCTAGCGTCTTGCCCCCGATGCCATTTTCCTTGTCGCCTGATGACGTCCGCCCCCTTGTCGAGCATGCCGCCAATGACTTCTCGTGCGAAAAGATCGCCTTTCGGCCAACGATTCGAGTCCTCGACCACATGGCCTATCCCACCGTTCATTTCAAACCAAACATGAAAGTAGGGCATTTCTTTCGCCAACGTTCGACGGAAAGCTGCCTTACCCAAGCCGTCTTTCGCTTTCAGAAGGGTGTCAATAATCTTTTTGTGCTGAGTCCATTCTTCATCGGCCGTCAACATGGCTTCTTTGAAAAACGCCGGTGCAGTGTCTCCTAAGCTATAAGGCAATGGAACGACCTCCATACTAGCATGCCTCTTGCGGTGCGGAGCTGCGGCGTTTTCGTAAAAAATAACATCTCGTCCTTGGTCATGATACATACGAATCAGGCTTTTCATGAAGTTCCGGATCTCCTCCCACTCATCGTCGTCACAGTGAAGAAGGTTGTCACGGTGCTGGATGGGGACGATGCAAGCACCGCCGTCACTCAATTCTGGTTCCGTTGGCAAAGTCAAATATGTCCTTGTAGCCAAAGAGACGACGGGTGCCACTGGAGGCCTGTCTTGGTCTTCGTGATAACAGAGGGGACAACTGTCTAGAATCTTATTGATCTTCTGGAAGTCCGAAATTGCAATGTTTCTCAGATTGATGTCAGATTTTTGCACCCGTTTGGCTAGCTTTGCGGCGTTTTCGTCCATGTACTCGAGATCGTTATCGAACTTCCCATCTTTGGCTATCCTTTCAGCGAATCGCCGGCCATCGCCACCGGCCTGAGCTTTCGTGCGGCGCTCTTCACGTACCATGTCTTCGATCGTCATATCCTCATTCTCTGCGACTAAGCCTCTTTCTCGTCCACGTTTGTTCTCCATTGGCTTTACCTCCCCCTTGCGACCTCCAGCAAGCATGCGGTTTTCCATTGCACCAAGTACGACTACAGCCGGCTGCTTTTGATTGGTAAAGCCGGCTAATGCGATATCATACTCCTCTTCTAGTTTAGCAGCCTCTGAGCCACCTTTAAATTTAGCTTTCATCATTTGGGCTTTGAGCCTATTCAGAACGGACTGGTCTGTATGGACCATCGATTGAGCTGGCCTCGCCGCAGTTACCTGCTTGATACCTTCTGCTGTATCACTCTGCTGGGTATCATCAGGCCGTTTCCAGGGCGGTAATCCAGACTCGACTTTTCGCTCCGCAAATAAATCTCCACTAGGCTTTGCCTTGCCCACGTAGCCTTCACCGTATGTTTCCCTTCTCTCTAACTCAGTCTGCTCTTCACGAGCGTTGTCAAAGAGTCTGAGATTCCCATACTGCTTCTTAGCGACATCGTCAAGCGCCCGTTGCTCTTCCTGAGCCCGCCTGTAAACTCCCCTCAGCCGTGTCATCCGCCAGGAGGCCCCTGAGTCACCAAACTCGTAGTCGACGTCGTACTGAGCAGGCTCATGCAATATTTCGTCAGGTATATCCTTGCCCTCACTCACGTTTTTCAGGTGATGCTTGTTCAATTCCTTTTCATGTATTTTGAGCTCAAAATCCGCCCTGGATGACTTCGACTTATGTATTTCGGATGATTCCCTTGCATTGCTCTGAATATAATCGACATCTAGCGAAGATGGTCCCTGCATCCATGAATCCCGCTTGGGCTGTTCATCAGAAATGACACCTTTGGGAATCGAATCTGATTGGGCAGTTGCGAGCTCTTCTTCGTGGACTTTGATGTCCTCATCAGGGCCTGCTAGGCGGCCTTCGTCAGAATTATGACGTCTTCGAGGCCCAGAACCTGCGTCATCTCCTGACTGCTTCCTTTTCTTATGTCGGTGCCGATCTTGGTCTTCATCGTGATGTCTGCGCCTGTGATGGCGATGCTTGTGTTCTTTATGTCCTCTGTGCTCTTCATGCTTCCTACTATCTGCTAATGTCTTTTCAAAGTCCTCCAGGATCATGCTACGTTTGTGAAGAGCCTGTACAGACCGCTGGGTGCGGGAAGATGTCAAAGAACTCAGTCCTCTCCGAACACCCCCACTTCTATTTCGTAGGGCCTGGAACTCCCCTTGAATGGCTGCCGTGCGGGCCCTAGAGGGGCTCTAGGTGTTGGCGGCCGTTAGGGCAAGCGCTAATCAGTCACCGAGCCCTCGCTCTAAGCGGAGTCACCATTCGATATGTAATCAGCACTCAAGATAGAATCAATGTTCCTGTAATTATCTAACTTGCGTCGAAGAAAATGGCGACAGAAAAGCCTGTCGCTGTAGTGTGTGTGGGCATGGCTGGTAATTCACGACCTCGTCAAGCGCAACAGTCTTCGAGCTGACTGGGTATGTCAAGGCTCTGGCAAAACGACTTTTATGCAACGAATCAACGCCCATCTACATTCAAAACGTGAGGTACCGTACGTTATAAATTTGGATCCAGCTGTTCGCAATGTTCCATTCGACAGTAATATCGACATACGAGACTCTCTAGACTACAAAGAAGTCATGAAAGAGTACAACCTCGGACCAAACGGGGGATTTTGACCTCTCTCAATATATTTGCAACCAAAATAGACCAAATCATCAACATACTTGAGAAACGCACTGCTCCGAACACTGAAAACCCTCGAGCAAAGCCTATCCGAAACATCATTGTTGACACACCAGGTCAGATCGAGGTCTTCGTCTGGAGTGCCTCTGGTAGTATTTTGCTGGAATCGCTCGCGTCCTCATTTCCTACTGTCATCGCTTACATTATTGATACTCCTCGGACAAGCTCTACCAGCACGTTCATGAGCAATATGCTCTACGCTTGTAGTATTCTGTATAAAACAAAATTGCCGATGATACTTGTTTTCAACAAGACTGACGTCAAGGATGCAGAATTTGCGAAGGAATGGATGACTGATTTTGAAGCCTTTCAGGCTGCGCTGAGGAACGAGGAAGCCAGCCAAAGTGGTGGCGGCAGCGGTTACATGAGCTCATTGCTCAATAGTATGAGCTTGATGCTTGAAGAATTCTATCGTCATCTTGATGTCGTAGGCGTTAGTTCCATGACGGGCGATGGAGTGACGGAGTTCTTCGAAGCTGTGCAGAAGAAGGCCAAAGAATTCCAAAGAGACTATCAACCTGAACTCGAAAAACGGCGAGCACAGAACAAGGAAGAAAAGGATGGAAAAAGGGAGAAGGAGTTGGGCAAACTCATGAAAGATATGAATGTTGTGGATTCGGTCTCACAAAAGGGGCCTGCAATACCTGTTCAGCGACATCACGCTGACACACTAAGTGACTTAGAAAGCTCGTCGGATTCAAAGAGTGAAATGGCGGAGCCAGAAGGTGACGGGGATGGTCATGGTGGCTTGGTCAACAGATATAAGCAAGCTCTCTCTGAAGACAAGGCGGACGGTGGAGAAGACAGTGAACATAGTTTCTCACGGTATCTGAAAAGGAGCCAGATCGGCTGAGCAAACGGTGTGCAATGTCTTGTAAAATATGATGTAACGAGGACTTTAGAAAGGACGACAGGTAGTCCTTGACACCAGTCAATGCTCAGAATTAATCTACATTTCTCAGCACCTTGTATTCATGCGAACTCCTAAGAGAAACCCCAAGATGCAAAAATAGTCATGGTGGTGGTGGTGGCCTCGGCTATCCGGTCCGCTGAAGTGCCTTCGTCACGGTCGAGAGGTCCACTAGTCAGGCCAATTTTTTTGGGATCTTAATATTCAACTACAGTACCTCCTAACCGACCACTCCCGACCCTCGAACACTCTCCTTTCTCGCCTCAAGCTCCCGTCACCGTTCTTTGGTATCTGCTCTACGGACTTAGGGTACTGGCAAACATTCTACTCTAGGCTAGCCGCACAAGTGCGCCATTTACCTTCTGGTCGCGTTGGAAGCCGAAGGAGCACACAAGAGCGCCACAGCAGACCTCGCTGGGCGCTTCTCTGCCATCGACGGTCGTGCGTCTTGAGGTTAGTCGCCGAGACTCTCATCGGCTTCATCGTTGGGACGAGCTATACATACCGAGGCCTGGCTAAGGCCTAAAAGTAATTGAATTGCCTGTCCTACAATTACCGCCTACGCCTGCTCTCTCAACTTTAAGCAGGACATCTCTTGATCCTCTTGATTTCGTCGTACAATAGCTTCTGGATAACTAAGAGCGAGATTCAGTGTCGCTTTCTTCGGTACGATCAGTGATTTCACTCACCGACACACAGCTACAGAAGAGCTTGAGTCCGAAAACCGTTGGGTCTGCACAAGAATTCCCGGGCGTTGTAAAACAGGGCTAGAAATTCGGAATTGCATCCCACCCACAATTGAAGTTGCAATCCTATTCTAGAGGCTCATAACTGTGCGATTGATTCACGCGGTTGGGAGAAAGCCGCATGAGCAGTTGGAGGCCGTCGAGCAAATATCCCGTTTATTTGACAAGCTACTCCAAGTCTCAATTCGACTCAGTATTACACTAGGGCGGTCACATTGAAGTAAAGTTCAGGTCGTTGAGGAAGGACTGGTGGTCGCAGCCTGCCGACACTGCCACACGGTGTACGTCAACTCTTGCATAAAGTCATGGAATCCGCTGATTTGTTCTAGAAGCGCGATAAAGAAGGCCGAACCACCAGAGAAATGTCCGCATCAGCAGACAAACCTGAATTAGATCCTGCTTCTACAACATCCGCATTCTCTTATGCACAAGCGGCAAAGGCGAAACAGTTCACAGCATTGTCAGCGCCCTCAGATGCTTCTCCAACAGACATAACAGGCTCTAGGCCAAAGAGACCAGTATCGTCGGACCGAGGTGCAGCGTCCATCAGCCTTGATAAAAACTCGGTCAAAAGGACAGCGAGCGAAGGGAGGGTTCCGGGAAATACGGATGCATTTCAGAAGACAGAGTCTCAGCAGACAGAGCCAAAAGAAGGCACGGAAGATGTGAAGGCTCGTACATCCAGCGTCGCTACCAAGGATGGAGAGCCAAAGCCAATATCTCTTCCACCATCCCCAGAATATGATACCAACTCAACACCTACCTTGCCTCAAGAAGAATACATGTCCTCCTTGGGCAATGCTTCCTCTGAGTCGACTTGGGACAAACAATCCCAATCAAGTCAGAATGGAGTGAAGCCTCAAGAGAAGACTGAGCGTGACGTTGAAGATCCTCCGGCGGATGCACCGTGGGACGAGGAGACTCCTTCTCCTCCAACGTTAAAAGAAGCGCCCGCTCCCATAAGCAATGTATGGCAGCAAAGGATAGAGGCGCAAAACGCTAAAGCAAAATCCTTGCAACCAGTCACCCAACAAGTCACTTCTCCGAGGCCTGCTACCCGCCAGGAATCTCTAAATGGAACTGGGCGATATATAGAGACAGCTTCAGACTCCAAAAAAGGAGAAGGCAAAAAGAGAGGCAAACCATTCCCCGATGAAACACCCGGCCTAGAAGGAAACAAAGTAGTCAGCAGAGAGAGGAAACAGAGGGTAAACGGCGAGGGATTCAGCGCAGACATGCCCAGTAAGAATGCAATGGCTCCTCCGCCCCCCCAGGGGACGCAACGTTCTGGCCAACCCCAGACACTGTCAATGAGGAGCGAAAGAGATCGCAGACGTCTCAAAAGGTAGAAGAAGGAGAGAAAGAAAAGGATGTCGCCCAAAACCCGAAACCGAGCGGTAAGAAAGCTTGGACGCATGTGCCTTTCGTCCCAACTGCTGTGTTTAATACACCACTTCCTCAAGCCCGTCGTGGTGGTCGTGCACCTCCTGGCGGTAATCGTGACAACCAATCGCGTGGCCGAAACCATGCCCCTAATCGAGTCGAGAAGCCTGGTACTGCGACGATCGACGCCAGAGGAGCTCCAGACGAGAGTTCGAGAACTTTTCCGAGCTCCGCCACATCAACCAGCAATAATGCTAGGTCGAAGCGGGCTTCGAGCGCTGGCCCCGTGACTTCGAAAGACTCTACCAGTCCAGTCGAGGCTCCAGGAAGGGAAAGCAGCAAAGCAAATGGCTCTAGTGACATTCGATTTGGCCAAACTAGAAAAGCAAGCCTGAACGAATCTCGAAAACTATCCATGGTCCCAATTCCTGCAACGCCTCAAATCAATATGTCCACTCGACGCACATCTCAACTAGAGAACGGCATGTCTCCTTCACAAGCAGCGAATCTCCACCAAGATGGTGAGAGAAGGCATAAGCGTTCCGCTCCAGACGCTAATTCGCAACCTAAAGGCAACGCTGTTGAGAGACGAAACGAAGGGCCTAGCCGCCCGCTTGAAGCGGTGAAACATGCCCAAGCAAATAATTCCACACGTGAGCGCGGAGAAGAACGGCCAGGACGAACTCGTGGCGCCAATCGAGGCCGTGGAGGGGCGACGTATGCTCCGTACGACAGAAATACACCAAATGGGAATGATCACTTTGGTGGACAGCCCAGCTCTTATCAAACCCCGTTGACAGCGCCTTCAAGATCCTTTTCGAACCACGAGCGGATACCATCACAGTCTCAAGGGGGTTTCTTTGGACCGTCGACGCCGCATCGAAGCCTTCGGTCCTCTTCAAGGTCCCACTATGGCTCAAGTTTTATGTCCACAGGCGGAAGATTCTCGCATGGTCAAAATCCTGGGCCCTCTCACTTGCCAAACATTCAAACGGATATGGCTAACATGTCCTACTTTCCTCAGGGAATCATGAGTGCAGTGCCTTACGACCCATTTCAGGCTCAAGTGACCCTCTACGATCTTGTACAGATGCAAATGGAGTACTACCTATCCGTAGACAACCTGTGCAAGGACATGTACCTGCGAAAACATATGGATTCCCAGGGCTTCGTATTCCTTGATGTGTTATCCCAATTCAATCGCATTGTTACCTTGACCACAGATGTCGAGCTAATTCGCTACGTTTGTCTCAACTCTCAGAGAATAGAGTTCAAACCAGGGCAGATATGGCAGGATGGCAAAGATCGACTTCGCGCCAGGGACGGCTGGGTCAATTTTGTACTGCCCGCAGAGCAACGCTACCCATCAGCACAAACCGATGGGCCAACGCCAGCGCCAAATAACGTGCAAAAGGATCCCGTGAACTCGCTTGACGGTGGCCTTAGGTTATCACCAGGAGCAAGTCCGAGTAAAGACTCAGCAGACTTGCATTTTCACTCGCTTAATGCCATGGCACCTTCGGCTGTTGAACCTGCGCCGCAGGCTTCGGTGCCAACCAATCATTATGAAGACAGCAGCCAGCCACCGCTTTCCGCAGCTGTGTCCGAATTCACGCCGTCTGTCCACTCTCACGGCGGGCGCCCGTTTGCTTCTCCGGATCTGCGTTCTCCGGAAACAAAGACTTTCACCGACGACGAGGTTCAGCACCTTCAGATTGTGGTTCGACAGCCTATCAATTCTGCGTATCCTCCTTTTCAATCGGCTTCCTCACGAACGTTCTCCAACGGGTCTATAGACGGTCGAGGTATTAGCGATGAATTGTCGAAAGTCGCTGAGCGCCAATCGAGACCTGTAAACGGAGAAGTCTTCGAAAGGTGGGTGAATACTAGACTAATGCTTTCTGACTGTATTGACTGACAACATACAGTGACCAATCCGCCAGGTCACGAAGTCCATTCGTCGCAGGCTCACCAAATAAACGTACGGATTCTGGGCGCTCGCCGCCTGTCCTCTGGACAAAGCATAGCGAGATCAGTGCGCTCGATTCCCAGCCCAATGAACTTGCACTTGAGAATTACACCGATTTCAGGCGTGATGCTTTGAAACAGCGTGAAGATAGCTCGAGTGGAAAGCCCTCGTCAAATATGCAGAATCTGTATCATTTCTGGTCGCATTTCCTCATACGAAACTTCAATAACCCAATGTACGAAGAATTCAGAAAGCTCGCCGTAGAAGACAAGCTTGGGCATGATTCGGCTGCCGGCATGCAAAGCCTTATGATGTATTATGGGGAAGCGTTATTAGGACATCGAACAGTTCTTGACGACCGTATAGTCCGTCACTACGTCGACATGGTCCAAGCAGAGGACAAGGCTCAGGATCGGCCGGCGTTCAAAAAACTCAGAAACGCATGGAGGAACGGCGCTTTCAGTCATATGAATCGTCATAAAATTTTGAAGATAATTAATGAAGACTTGAGGTCCGAGCTTGATCGATAGCTTGAATTGCCTGGAGGAATTGGGCAGAACAATCTCTAAGATGCCGGAGTGGATGGCGAAGGTGTGCAGCATGCAGCGTGCAGCCTGTTTTCAATCACAAATCGAGGATTCATACCATCGGCCGAAGATTATTCTAGCTTTTTATTGCTTGCATAGCACGGAAGACCGGAGTCATTGCGGCGGATCTTATGCACAAAAGTATGCATTTTATTGTTTTCACGGATATACCCTGATTTTTAATTCAACGACTGAAGACTGAGCCCGAGAGAAGCGTCACCATTACCTATATCGCATCCAAGTGGTGCCTCATCTAACCGACTGTCTCCAACATATCAGTCCGTCGGATTGCATTATTCCCACTCAGCAACCCCTGGCTCACGGCAGTCCTAGCTGGACCCATCTCACTGAGATCACTCTTTCCGACTCTACTGACATATGATGTATTCATGAGCATGGCTTAGTTTGGCTACTTATAACTTAACGATTCACTTTGTGGCGAGGGGCCTCACACTGGCAAGGCTTTCTCGTATGGACTTGGTATGCTCGGCTGAGGATCACCTCAATAGTAAGAGAAACACGAAGCAGGGTTACATAAAGAATCAATGTTCCGCAATATTTTGATTCCCTTCAGCTTGTTTCTTGATTTGATTCGCGGCTCTCAAGCTCAGCATCAGTTGCTGATTTCGTAGCATACAAAATAGCAAGACGACTTAGCGCACTATTTGTGACATTTCTGCCACTGCCACTGTCAATTGAATCAAGCGGTAACACATAAGGAGCGTCACCTCCTCGCCGAAACATATCGCGTTACTCATTCAAAGGGAAAACCCGACTTCTAATAGCCTACAGTTTTTCAAAATGAAAAGAAAGTATGTACGCCTGAAATGGCTTTTGACTACTAAGGGATATGCACTTGTTGAAATGGTAGCCAGATGACAGCTGCACCCTTTATCTCATTGTTTGGTGTGGTATCTATGTTGTCAAGCTCTAGACAGCCCGCTCGGTGTCCTCGAACGGCAGACCAATCCCCCTAAAAAAAAATAGACACAGACTATGGGAGCAAAATGTGACTTTAACCCACTCACCTATCAGGGCCTTGAATTCTCCACCAATCACAGCCAAGAGAAATGGCCTTTTTCTTGGTCGTGTTTGAAAATACCCAAGATTTGACTCGTCGCATGTGACATGTCTTGATATTTTCCAGTCAGCGAAGCGGATTTATATGGCGTAGGCAGGTTCTTAAACGAATGCCATTTCCATTCAATCTCACTTGAGAGCGACGCATGCAAATGACTTGCGATCGACTCTGTTCTGGTGTGAGAAATGGTCTATTGCAATTCAGGATTCATAGGATCACGCAGTATCACCGCAGTGGCTAAGACTTTTTCAGAAAGACGCTTGAAGACGTTGAGTAGATCCAAAAGACCGCGTTGGAATGCAATGAGCTTCAATAATTACACATCAAGTTGTTCTTGCTGTGCTGAAGTTAAACCACTTAAGTCTCGTTTCAACGATACTGAGTGGTGATATCGCTGTCACAACAGAAACTAGAAGCACGACAGACTTGGCCAGGTTTTTCCTGGATTGCCCCCAACGCCAAAGTTACTTGAAAGACATTTACATCCTTCAGTTTCACGTGCATCAATGTGGGGATGTCGGGTGTTGGAGAAATTGTCATATATTATATACACAATCTAACGGCTACAGGTCCAACCAAGGCTCACTTACGGTTCCATTTCTCGCGCAAGCGTCAAGACCTCTTCGCCGAAGTCGGGATGCTTGCCTTTTTGGCTGGCGTAGCTCATTTCTGTCTTGGGAGGGAAAAGGGTCAGCTCGAAATCGGGTGTAGTTACGATGATCCTTGATACATCGGAAGGGTAATGGAGAAGCAGTCTGTTCAAGGGGATTTTGCCCCCCAACTTATTTGAGCATGAGAAAGTTATGCAAATCTGAACAAAGCTGAATAAACTACTTCTTCACCGCACTTGAAATGTTGGGATGACGTTTGCTGAGTTGACATCAATTGTGAGAATAGACTACACATTATAAATGTCGGTAAATTCATCCCTCGGGCCTGCCTCGTAAACAACAGCACTCGCTCGCTTTTTTTTCTCCGTCAGGAACGAGCACTGCGCAATGTAGTTCAATGACCAAAAGGAGGGAAGAAAGAAATATCATCTGCCGAAAAAGGTAGGAAAGGCACGCACCATCTCGTTCAACATGCCAGGCTTCGTATCCAGAATCAGCTGGGCAGCCATGCGGCCTCTTCCAATACAATCGATCCATACTTCCTTTTGCATTGGATTCATATTCCCCGGCAAATTTGGGGAAACCTGTAAAAAAAGAAGGCCCTAATTCTCATTGTCAATACTGTCCTTGCTGCAATTCCCTCAAGCCGGTCAAAAGACTACAAAGACGCACGAGGGTCCGCCCGACGAAATCCCACATAAAGTAGACCTTGTTCTTGCTATTGGCGGGCGTCATGAAGGTCTGCTGAAGGTTTGTTTTCATTGCGTCGTGGAAAGCTAGCTTTTCGTACATCCTCTGGTGCTTTCTTGCCAGGTCGACGTATTCGGGGTTGGCGCTGGCGGGGATGATAGCGTCAAGAATGTTGCGCGTGTATTGTGTTGGGGTTGACTTGGGTATAGGAGTCCATTTTGCTGAATATATTCTAAGGATAATTCAAAAGCTGTGCAGTGAGATAGATACCTGATGCCGACTCTGTTTACCAAGCACTCAAGCAAACACAGCCAAATGCCGAGGATTGTGGGCAATTAACAGCCTCGCGTATGCATCGGCGCGTGACGTCATGCTTCACTGTAGGTAGTTCTATCATTGATTGAATCTTCCACTGATCATAGTCCTCGAAATGGTCATTACATTCCACATAGATCAGAGTATATCCGACTGACGATCCTGGTCAACTTTTGATCAGAAATTGCAAAGTCGATCCATCGCCATGCATGGCCGGCCTTGTTAGGCCATGGCTACTAGCAATTTGGAGGCCTTTCAATGTGCCTACCAAAGCAATGTCCGCTGTTCGATGTGACTTCGGCCGGGTAATGCTGAGGACAACCTTGCAGTCGCATCTGATTTCCATGCTAAAAGAATGCAAATTACTATTTTTCAAGGCTTTATCATCAGTAAGTCAAGTACTTGCACGCTCGCCCGCTAAGAGTGGGTAGAAGGAAGAACAGCGTCGTGAATAAGCACAGATGCAGTCAGCAACATGCTTGTCTGAGATTATGGCACGCCGCCAAATTGATTTCAATTTTCACATACTGGAAACAGTTACGGCTTTTTGTCTTGCATGCTCAACTTGGAAGTAGAAGCATTCTTGCCATGACTCCAACACTCACTCAGCATGCAATCAATGCGATGACCCCAGATCTAGTAAAACACGTTATTGTACCCCTGGCAGGCGCTTCACCTGCTACTATTGGCAATGCACCTTCAAACCCCGTTATTCTACGTCCTTCCCCCAATGCTACGCGTCCCAAAGCTGGGGGGCCCTGATAAAACGACCTTTCGGCTCATCTACGGATCCCAACGCAATGGACGTCGACCAAAGCACCTTCCACGCCATTCAGATCCAACCCAACTCTCGCAACCCATACGGTCTTGATGAGAATTGCGTGTTTGTCTCCATGGCGTACCTTGTCAGCACACGCAGCGATAATGTCACACCTCACGATATTGTCAACATGAGCGAGATGATGCAGCCAGCTGACGGGCGCGGAGGGTTAGAGCCGTATGACATAGAGCGATTGCTCGCAGCAGTTGCTGAGAAGAAGCGATTGAAGTACGTGTAAGTGCCCTGTTCGTGTTGTCGCTAAGTGAAAGCGATGTCATGACGGCGGCTTCCAGGTTCCAGCAATGGTCGGATCATCGGGCACTTGATGAAGTCTTGGAGTCACACGGTACCAAAAAGGTAGCCGTGTTATATCGACGAAACAATAAGTATAGGACCGGCCACTGCGTCGTGTGGGACATGGATTTGCAGGGAAATGGGCAAAAAGGTTATTTGGATTTCCAGCAAGCCCAGCATCCAGTGCCCTGTGAGAAGGACGGTGATGAATATATCGACGATATGCTTGAGTACTATTTCTTGTTCGAGGGGAGGGCATAGGGCTGCAAAGCCTTTCGACCGCTCGAAGGGGGCTTCCTGCGACATAGGGAGGGATTAAATTTTCTTTCTTTATATACGTTACCAAAAATGCAAATTGAAAGGTGAGGATTCGTTCCAATCAGAATGCTGTATGGTAAGAGAGTGATTGCTGTGTGCTGGAATGCAAAAGAAAAACCGATGATGAGGCCACGAAGTGTAATAGACTGCCTCCACCGTGGACGGCGTAGTTCCTATATTATACCTTCTTTACGTCCCCTTACCGTTGGGTATCAATCTTTGCAAAATCTCACCAAGAATAGATGTTCGGATAGAAAAATCCTTAATGTTGTGCATACAACTCAGTGTCTGCAGACTCAAGTCTTTCCCTCAAATCACAACCACTGCTGAGCCCAGATTCATGGTCACAAGACAGCAGCCATACCCAGGATCCCCGCAGCACCCACAAAACCCGCAGCCATGCATGCAGTCGGCTTAGCACCCGCACCTTGGGAACTATTTGAGCTTCCACCACCAACATTACTATTCGTAGCCTGCCCCGCTTGACTAGAAACCGCATTATCCGCTCCAGAAGCCTCAGAAGAGCTCGCCGACGCTGTTATACTGGAAGCCTCAATCCTGCTCGTAGCACTCGTCGTCGCGCTCCCACTCGTGCTTCCACTTCCGCTGACATCGGTGGCCCTGCTCTCCGCGCTACCCGTCGTGCTGCCGCCACTGCTCACCCCACTGACCACACTCCCCGTCAGACTACTCTCTGCACTAGCCGCGCCACCAGTCGCACTCTGTATCGCCCCCGCCGCGCCAGCCAATTGCCCAAAGCCCCCACCGGAGTAGGTGTGCAAGTACGATTTCACATCTGTTGGTAGGGCTGTGAACCAGCTCGGAGAGCTGCCATCAGAGAAAGCAGACTGAAAACTAGCAGCGTAGGAGGGGTCGTTGACGATGCTGGAGACGAATCCCGAGGGGGCGGCGGAGACAAGGACGCTGAGGACGGAGGGGGTGGGAAGGGCGGCGGCGAGGGACGAGGCGAGAGGACCCAGGGAAAGCAGAAGGGCGGGATCTGTGGGGATGGCGTTGATGCCTGCTAGGGATGCTCTGAGGGAAAAGGTTAGTCATGTCTAGATAAGGTTGACGTATCGGGAGGAAGGGAGAGGAAGGGGCGTGCATGGGGAATGGGAAAAGCGTCGTACAGCTGGAGCAGTTGGTTGACGTCCGCTTGACGCTTTTCGACCGTGAGGACATGGCGCTTTTCAATAACGTGAATGGGTTCTGGGGCGGCGAGGGAGAGTGGGAGAAGGGTGAACAGAAGGGTTGCTGGTATTATGTACATCATGCTAATGGCTTTACGAAATTGGAGATGTGAGCGGGTGAGAGCAGCTGAAGAGGTAATTGAAGGTGACAAGTCAAGTATGTACAGAGGAGGGAAGACGAGGAAAGCGCTCCAGCGCGTAGTAGCCTGCAACTTGAATTGCGTCCCTTTCCAAGCCTGTCCAAGTTTTGGTGTTTGCTTGGCTCTTGCTTGGCATTCCAGATCCAGGGATAAGATCGGGCGATTGATTGGCCGAGCCTGTCAGGGGCGGCTGCGAGGCCGTTGTTCCTTACAGTCGTTCCGTAAGCCATATCAATCTCTCTTACTCCATGCAAGTAAACAACATTAAGGATCTTTGAGTGCAGGTTATTCATCTCGCAGCTTCCTGCATAGCAAACTTTTCTCCGTCGTCTAAGCTTAGTGTACAGCGTGCCTCGTCATGTGCTTGTAGCACTTCCCACGGCCCTCCTTCCGTCCCCTGGCGGGAGCAGATAAATCGTGCCTATTGCTTTCCATCTAGATCCTCATAGAAGTTCATGCCAAAATTTTCAGAGGGGTCGTTGAAGCGAAGTTTTTGGTCAAGAGTACCAACTTTTTCCACATCTGCCTTTTCAAGTTTGAAATCCCCTTCAATGTTGTCCTGAATTCGCTTTGGTGTCTTACTCTTTGGCAAAACGCTGTTTCCACTTTGAATTCCCCATGCTAATGCTACCTGAGCTCCCGATTTGCCGTACTTCTTTCCAATTTCCGCTAGGATGGGGTCGTTGATCAGTTTTTCCATGTGCTGACCCTTGCTATAGATCTCGTTTTGGTTGCCAAATGGTGAGTAGTGCTGTACATGGATTCTATTGTCATGATGCCACTTGACAAAAGCTGGTTGCTGGAGGTATGGGTGTAACTCAATCTGATGGGCAGCAGGGGGGATCGATGCTTCTTTGACAAGACGATTCATCTGTTTCTGTGAAAAATTCGACACACCGATTGCTCGTGCCTTGCCAGACTTCTGCAGCTTCTCCATGGCCTTGTAGGTCTGCGTGTGGATACCCTGTTAATTTTATCAAGATCTACAAAAGGCGGAAAGACACAACTTACGTCGACATAATCAACATCCGCTGTTTGAATTTTCCCATTAGCATCTTTCGGCATCAAGCTATCGCCACTTTTAAAAGCGGAGGGCCAATGCATCAAATACAAATCGAGATAGTCAGTATCCAGATCTTTCAACGAAGCATCAATTGCAGGCTCAACATCCTCTGGAGCGTGACTATTGTTCCACAACTTGGTCGTTATGAAAATCTCCGATCGTGGAATTCCACTTTTCTTTATGGCTCTACCAACAGCAGGCTCGGTTCCATATACACGAGCGGTATCGATGTGGCGATAGCCTGCCTTGAGAGCACTGATGACTGCATCTTCTTGCTCATCTTTGTCTTGCCATGTACCAAATCCGATGGCGGCTGGAGGTCCATATTAGCATTCGCAAAGACACATAACAGACGAGGCAATCTTTTCGTGCGAAAATGCTGAGACTTACGGATGTTGGCACCAGTATTTAACGGAAGTTTTGTGTTTAGGGTAGCCATTGATCTTGCTTGGGGAAATATATGACCAGTAAGTTGATTTAACCTCGTTGTTGCTATTCTTGATGCTCGGCTCAGCATTGCATTCCTGATAGTACGGCGGGGAGAGGAAGGTCTACTTAGAGTAATTTCACAAGTGGAAATACAAACATCTACGTCATACTCGTGGCGCATGTCTTCGCATCATCCGGCAGATGCGAGCCGACATAATTGCCGGAGCCACAAGGGTCCCACCCACTAGCTACAGGCAGTTGACGAGGAAAGACGGCCAGTCTTGAGAATTGATTCAAAACCCTAAAGCTACTTCAACAGCAAAAGCGACCCCAGTTCCTCTGAGTGCCTACGCGAAGTATCAAGCGAATGAAAGCTATGCCATTGACAAGCTGGAAAATAACGCTCGCAGAGCCAAAACTGACGAAAGCCACGCCCCAAGGTATCTCATCTTCAGTCAAGCAGTAGATACCCAAGCAAACGTACGCCCATGCTATATGCTGCGACAAACGATGGTAGGAGCTGAAGGACTGAGATGCCCATTAGCTGCTAAGATCGCCAACTCCCTCGAAGATAGCGCCCACACTTCCTCGCGTATGCGTACTGTCCCAATGCTGATCGAAAATAAACGAATCGCAACGCTTCTATAGAGATATTCCAATCAACTCCTAGGTGGGCGCTGTATGCCAAAGACACCCTGTTCACGGTAGATGCGCGTTGCTCAAAGTAAGAAGGTTTCGTGAGTATCAATTCATCTGCATGATATACTCGTCCTCTTCCTTGAGAGATTGACCCCAGAGTTGTGCTTGTGGGTTGCCACTGATGCCTTCAGCATCGTGCATATTTTGAACAGGATGGTCACCGGGGCTGAGACTTTGAGGGCTGATTGTACCCATCTGTGATGGATCAAGCGGCTCGCCAGCGGCATCTGTATGGTTTGGCACCCTAAGCCCACTCCCTGGTCCTCTCGAGTAAAAGAACGAACTTGGGTTATTTGATTCCATAGCAGCCATCAATTCGGTACGTAGGCGCTTTTCATCTTCCGATTGTTGGAACGGCCATGGGTTTCCCATGTTTGCCATGCGTTCTGCCAAATCATCCTCTTGCTGATATTTCTGGAACAATGCCAACATGAGGTCGCGCGTCCAGCTGACTGATCCGTTCAGGATATCACCTTTATTGGGGCCTTTGTCTTTCTCTTCGGGCGGTATTCCGATGCTAATACTGCCGGAGGTTGCACGCCGACCACCTCCTGCAAGCAGAGATGTTGCTTGCGGGGGGCTCATGCCGGTAGCAGTAAGGCTAGGGGAGAGAGGAGTATTATTCATCATGTGTTTGCGCACTTTTTCGTCTTCCAGCCGATGTTGAGGAACAAGATGCGAGAGCTCTTGGATCTTTTCATTGATGTTATCTCTCCGACGACGCTCAACAAGATTGTGTGATTCGCGACGCCTCCGTTTCTTTGCTTCTTGCGATTGTGGATTGCCGTAGGTAGCGGCACCTCCATCAACTTTGGCGGGAAGCGAAGCGTGCTTGCCAGACTTTATCATTTCGCTTATCTGTGCGTGGCTGTGCGCATAATTGGGTGACGAGATTGGTGTATCAGCGTGTGATGGCAAGCTATCAGGATTGCTATCCCATTGTCCTGAGGTCCTCTTATGGTGCTGGCTATTGTAGTTGATTGGTTGGGAGGGGAGACTGCCTGCCTGTGAGGTTTCGAGATGCAATGCTGATACGCCTGGAGTTCGTGGAGTCATAGGACTCCTGGAGTCAGACGGCTGGCGATTCATATTTGGTGCCACGTGTGACGGACGTGAGCTCGAGAACGTGCTGGCGCCTGTGGGTCGCATTTGGGGCGACGCCACGGAATGTTGCATATTTGCCATACCGTAGTTGAAGTTGCCATGGGTGAAAGGGCTTTGGATCGGAGCTCCGTCAGGCGTGCTCGAGTATTGCTGGTTCATCTGTCGACCATTCCCAGGATTCTGGTTCTGGAAAAATTGTATGTTGTTGTTCTGAGCAATCAATCCTGGATGCTGCGACGGTCCAAGTTCTAGGTCAGCTAACTCGTCGTCTCCAATGCCTGAGTTGCCTAAGTTATAACTGTTGGACATATTCTGCTGTTGCGGCATGCCGTACTGCCCATACGCTCCATTTTGCATAGCCAAGGCCGTAGGACTCATGCTACTCTGTTGAGTATGGCTCTGACCGTACTGCTGATTCAGCGGAACGTTATAGTTAGGTTGTGCAGACGGAAAATTCTGCATGAAGCCGAAATCGTCTGGTTCGTCTTTGACGAAGGGGCTCGAGGCGCCAGTCCCATCCATCCCACTCGTGAAAAAGTCCAACTCGTCGTCTATCTGAGGTTCACGGTGGAGCTCAATATCAGGCTTCTGCTTGATGGTCATAGGCAAGCAATACTGCAAATCAAGTGGCTTATCGACTAGAAATACTCTCGTTAGCTAGCTTCACGCACGGCAGGGTCCGCGGTAAAACGGTATGGGTCTAAGATGCAACAGTAGCAATACTCACATGATCTGGGCATGACAGTTTGACAAGCAACTGTAGAGAAGTTGTTCGGAGATTGTTATAAATAGCAATTGCTCTAGGCTTGAACGAGACAATCGGCTAGAGAAGGTTGGTGGCGGTGTATCTGTAGTAATGAAGCACCGGTTAGTGAATAAATCTCCTATTCGGGCAATAGCAATAGTAGCGAGCGTGTTGTACGACTGGTCAATCTGTGTTATGACACCATTCTCAGGTTTGAAATGTGTGTGGTAGACTTTCTTGTCGGGTAGACTTGTCTCATGGGCTCCATATGATCTTTTGAATGTGTCTTTGACAGAATGATCTCGAACGGTGCGATTCAATGGCGGGGAGGATGCGAGGGTGGGTTGCGCTTCCGTCCCACCAAACAAGATTCCAATATTGTGGAAAGATCTGACGTACCTTGGCACCAAGATGCAGGGGATGGTGTTTAATGTATTGCGGATGTTTCAAAGGCCGGATCGTCGCTTGCGAGGCTGTATGCAGATATAATATATGTGGATATGGCAAGGAAGGTTGTTGCTGAGGGCGGATCGACTGGCCTGCCAGACGAGACCAAGGCGGTGTAAGCCGCAAGGATTGACAATGTGCTGACGGCTCACGACCTGACTGTAGTCTCGAGCGGACGAGAGAAGTGGGAAGGATGATACGAAGGTCAGAATTGCCCCTTTGCGTCTTGTGGCCAAAGGGGAAGTTCTGCGTTAGCGGTGATGTCCCTAATGGGAGGTGGAAACGCAGAAGGTGGGATTAATTGTTGAAAAGGATTGATTGGCGGACCTTGGCGCGGACTTCCCGCAGTGCGTCGTCCAACTCTGCCCTCCGCGCTCGTCCCGGGTCTTTATTCGGTGCTGATATCAGCCAGGCTACTCGTACCCCTTTCCCACAGCGAACAACGGCCGGCTCGACAGTGGCGGTGGAGCGGGCTGGTCAAGGCCGGTGGATGTCGACCGGATCTGAACGCGCTTCTGTACGGCTTGTGTGATTGAAGGTGGTGACAGCTGTCGAGGGTCGCGCCCGCAGGGAGGAAGCACTGGTCTGTGCTGTGCTGTGCTGTGCTGTGCGGTGATGATTAGAATTATGATTATAGCGATTATCTCCTGAAGATCCGAAATATTTATGGAAGTAAGCTGTGTTGGGCGAAACGAATAGAGAACGAAGCAGGAGGGAGCTGCACGGGAAGCTGCATGAAGGGCTACATTTTATCTTGTCGAGAGGCTCTCACACCTTCGCTCCCACTTGATTGCCTAATGGAGGGACATCTGCCATTCGAGATCATGCACCAGTCTTCTCCCAGCTTCCCAAGCACCAGGATGGGCAGAATTACGTGGGCACGCCACCCTGGAATCCGTCCTAGATTTCAGCACTTGACCACTTTCTGCCTGGGACTCCTGCACGGTGAGTCATTGGTCGCTGGGAGAGCGACAACTTGCTCTGCCAAAAGGATGCACACCAGTTCGTATTGGCGTGAGATAGTGCTCGGGTGTCCTCAGTCGATTGCGATATGCCATGGACAAGCGTGTCTGCGACTTGGGCCAAAGTCGTTTAGCGCAAACGTCCGGGGAGCACAGACCAAGTCGGAGGATTGTCTGTTGATCCTTCACCAAGCTGTAAGCCTGTTCTTGCTCAGACTCGTTCGTAGACCGCTACTCTCTAGCTCGCACTGCCTCTTCCAACGCTCACTACTACCTGACCCTGCTCGAACCGGGTGCATGACAACGATAAGCGCATGGAAAGAGTAGGGAGGGAGAGGTGGACTTGAATCTGATCTTGTGCTTCACCCAATCATTCTCGAGCGGTCGTCCATACCCTCCCTCTCTTCCCTCTTTCGCCATCGACGTTCCTAGACCCTCTCGGCTGCTTTCCACCATCGCTCGACCCCTCATTTACCACGATTCAAGCACGCCCGAACCCGCGCCATGCCAGTACTGATATGATAAGTCTGCATAACGCGCTAGGAGAACGCTATAGACCCCGTTTGACAGCCTCCTGCCACACCTGACCGGACCAGAGCCGTCCATCTACCCCACAATCCGTTGGTCGATCAGAGGTCGATCATCTGAACATCCCTGACCTCCTGCACGGCGGACCGCTAGCCAGACGGACAATCGGGGGATTACTCGCATTTACAGCGGTTGCCTTGCCGCATTGCTAGACCTCCTAACGTTCCCTCGACCTTCATCCACAACGAGACACCCTCTTTGCAAGCATCGCCGATCTTCCGGCTTCTAGGACTCCGCCGCATGTATCTACCACACTACTATCTTTCAAGAACCATATTGTCGCCTTAGTCTTAGCTCATTTGCCTGTTGCCGCAACCTACGAGCACGCAGGAAAGCTCGGTAGACTGGAGGAACTTGCCGACGATAATACGCTATCATCAAGGAGATCGGCCAGGATGGCGTCCTCTTCTTTTCGAGACTCGCTGAATTCGATGGGCTGGTCTCGACGCGACCCCGACATCCCCGCAAATACGTCCTCGACGCCCATCCTGTCTAGGCTACAGTCGCTGAACCCGTTCAATAATGAGGGCTACGTGAGGCTGCCCACAGCCAGCAATGAAGCGCCTGGCGCCCCGTTACCAGCTCCTAGTCGAAGGGAGGAGGAAGAAGGTTTCTTTGCCCGTATGTCTCAATAGCTTTCTGCAGACCAAGAGACAAGCGCTTGTGACAAGACTCAAGTTCCTGCGCAGCCGTTGTCGTCACACGCTTTAGATCATGCATACCCCCGCTACAACTACAGACAACCTAATGCTTGAACGCTTGATGCTGACTCGCTTTCTCCGACTTAGTGAGTCGATGGGACCGAATGCTAGTTTTTGGGGCTTGCAATCTTGCAGCTCTGGCTTGCTTTATCCTGTGTTTCGCCCTGTTTCCTATCCTATGGCCGGTGCCTCGAAAGTTTGCAATATTGTGAGTGTACCCACCATCTCGTTTTACCAAAGGTTGTGTGCGTCAGCTGCGCCACAGACTGCTCTTCCAAGACCTTCAATATCATGTAAGGTATCCTCATGATGAGGCTTAGGTTTGAGCAAGTGGCAAATGGGAGATCATCCGTTTCAATTCCGATGCCTGTTTCAGTCATGCTTCTTTAGCATGCGGATACGAACCCTGAAGCTAACAGTCTTATCCTTGTCAAGATGGTCCTTCGGCTCCGTACTATTCCTGGCTTCTTGGGCAGTCTTGATGGGTCCAATCACCTACAGCAAACACCTTATCTCTGGGCCTCGACTGCCCTTTACGGCGGTATACTTGGCTTCAATCGTCCTGACAATGTACTCAGCAATGAAGGTATGTCGATCTAATATTGCAGTTGGAATTGTCCCTCGCACCCCCGAATGACTTCTTCTCAATCCATTCCACAGCGGCATGTCTCAAGACTGTTCCCCCACACCTTACGCTTTTTTCCCCTACGGTCTTGAAGGGATGTGATCTGCTGACCACGCGCTCACATGATTAGCTTCGCAATGCCCTCCTAACCCTAATGTTTACGATCGTTCAATTAGTGGCGCTTGTATGGTATCTAGTCAGCTACTTTCCCCTTGGTTCTACTGGTCTGCGGTTTGCTGGGAGATTTGGTGTGAGTCGCGTCAGCGCATGGATGTCAAATTGATATCCAAGCATTTTGCTGTATTATCATCCTGTCCACACTCGGCCTGTAAATTGGTCGGAATCAACACTTCGGTATTTGACGAGCCGCACTGGCCTCTCACTCAAGCGTGCATCTTGCTTTGACCTTCTATTGGTGTCTACGCGTGCATGCATGTCCGCGAACTGTGCAGCGGTAAAGAAAGTTCACGGACTACTCAGCTGCGCTCTTATCTGATCGTTGCTCGGAATCTAATGATGCAGATGGTCCGACAACACATTACGAGGTTCCAAATTCGATGATTAATAGATCATCCTGGATTGCTGCGACGCCATCGATCGAACGCGTATGGCGGTCCTCTCTGTCGCCTGACCTTGCGGAAGCAGCCAATGAAACCTTGCAGCCAAGTTGATCTTTACAGCTCATTCCCATTGCTCAAGGGAGCTGACAATTCGAATCGCTTCTTTGCATGGCCTTCATGAGTCTGCATCGTCTTGCAGACCATAGGAGCAGATTCAAGTAACAGCGTGCTCTCGTCAGAAGCTCTGCGTACGAATATCGCTACTACTCTTACCAAGCTAGCTCCCAAAGGTCCGAACCATTTGGCATCGAACTATGTCTGCCCTCAGCAGATTTAATTCCAAAGACGCATCTTCCACCCTCTCAAAACCAAAATCTCAATCTCGAGTGAGACTTGGTGTTCACAGCAATTCATAGTGATGCTTCGATGTCTCATTCTCTTTGAGCTCCATTTGCCAACTTTCATGCTATCTTACCCCTCATTGTCTCCCGTTCTTACGCCTCAACAACAATTTAATAACTTTCAGCAAGTTATCCCATCTCATGCGTCATGAATCTCAAGATGCAGGAAAACATATTAATGATACACGAGGCTTGTTGGAGTTTGCAATTCTTCAGCGTGCCCTTCATTCAGACCCCTGGTTGCGTCTCCTGAGTCTTATACGACTTCTTTCCCCTAAACCATTTCATCTCTCAACACGAAAAACAGGCACTTACATTCATTGTGCACTTGAATAGAAACTTTCCCACCCATTGTACTTTTCCTACTCCTATACATTAGAATCAGAATATTGTTTGACTAGTCGCTTCAAATTTAACGTATGATTCTCTAACTAATATCCATACAAAACAACGATAAGTATGACATACTTGCAAAAATCTGAAGACCACACAATAGGTGTCTTGTAGCGATTACTTTCTCCTCATTGTTAATTCGTCCGCTTTCCAGCTTTCCATGACAAATTTCAACAGCTGCACTATTGAAGATGGAACAACTTTCACAGTGTGTGAGATAATTAGTCCAACTATCTTATTCTTGAAGCAATCACAAACTTTCTATTGATCCGCGTCAGTGTCGGATTCTTTTAGATTTTCCTACAAAAGTTTCAGAGGGAAGACAAAGTCTACAGTATGCCTTTTCCTATCCCCTACGCATGACTTTCTATACAGAATGCTAGCCACTTAAACTCAACTAGTGAGGTTCTAAGATAACTGCGCTCCTGACCGTTGATCTGCAGGCTCCATCCCTATGAGTGTGTATCAACGTATCACACATCAGTTACAGCGCCCAACCCGTCGGGCTCGCTCTCGGCACTCACCAAGCTAAGAATTCCTTTCATCAAGCCGAGGAGGGCCTTAGTCGGCGTCACTGATTCGTATTGTCATGACTTGCGCAAGACTGCTACCTATGCTAGTCATGTTCTACTTGGGCCAGTCAGGTGGTGACGGGGGCTCAAAGTTGTGTGGAAGAGGTGGGAGTGGATGTAAATCTGGAAGGTTTATCTCATTTACTTGATCTGGTCTACATTGGGGAAAAGAGGTAAAAGCTATCACGAGGAATCCAAGCTAATTCGTCACGTACTCAAACACTACCGAGCGTTTCCGTAGACCCCTTAAGTCGATTGCTAGGCTTCGCTACCTCTTTGACTCAGCGCACACTTGTAAGAACTTGTAGATCCCTTCCACACCCTCAAAATCTTGACTCTCGGTTGGCGCTATGTTGTCTGACTTAGCTCCTAGAGATGGCGCCCAATCATCAGGATCCTCAAGGCTCTCATATCCTGAGGGAGAGACAGAATGCAGCATGAATGAGCGTAGTGTCATTTCATCTAAGTAGTCATCTCCCTTGTTGTTGAGATCAACCGTGCGAACCGAAGGAGAAAGTAAATCGCGCCAGTTTTGTTGCTCCTCTACGGCTTCCTCTTCTACTCGATCGTCATGGTAGAAATACCCTTCGGCATCTTTCTTCATTTCTGGTGCGAAAGGGAAGAGCAGGGCCATTTGTACCTCCTTGTCGTGATCCCATGCGACATCCTCCTTTACGTAACCTCGTTCTACGCCCACTTCTTCGCATAATCTTGTCACCAGATCTGCGTCACAGCCCGGGAAGCAGACCATGATTACTGTGCCGTCTTGGCTGAGACTGACTGGTAAGTCTCCAAACCTCGAAAGGCGGTTAAGATCATTGAGAATCGATGAAAGAGAACGGAGACACCGAGCAAAATCACCGGAAAGCGACGTGAGCAGGTCGGGCGATTGGAGGGTGTTTAAAGACTGTTCGCCATGAGCAGAGAGGCCTGAAGGCAGCGCCGTGAGAGTAGGTGAGATCTTGAACTCCAATGTTGTACCTTTGATCGAAGCGAGTGGGCGCGCAAACTGCTTCCACGCCTTTTCCTCTGCTGCTGAAATGCTGCGAAACCGTTTATCACCTGTAGTGGGATTTACCCCATCATATTTTACTTTGCCGCCACCAACTACAAAAGCACGAACACCTGCGCCGACGTTGTTTACGACTTGAGCTTGGCAGCCTGCTGTGTGGCCGAAGAACCTGGCCTTCCCGGCGCCACCTAAAGAATAGCCTCCTGCTGAGCGGGGTAAAGCACCTCCAGTCAAGTTGGGCCGTAGCGTCGACGCGAATGGCGAGATGCCTCCTTGCTGTACTGTCTTACTGATCCTTGAGATAGGAAAGTCTGATCTTTTGAATCGTGGACCATTCTGTACTTTAGTGGCGGGTGAAACAAAGTTGCGTGCTTGAGTGCTGAACCAGCGGCTCTTCTGACTACGCGCTTGCTTGAGGTATGCGAGGGGATGAACTGGATGATTTCGGGCATAGACAGGTATGGGATGGACAGCTGCGTTTGTGGTCGCTTTTTCTGGGAGTTTCGAACGGACGAACGCTGTTGTTCTGGAGACAGCGACCCTGAGCTTATCATCAGCAAGTGCTCACTCGACGCTTTGAGGCGAGCTTTTGACATACCGAAATAATTTCAGTGCCTTTGGCACCAGAAGATGCCCACTTGAGGGTGACATCTTCAATAGTGTCTGTAGGATAGATGGCAGATAGGGAGTAAGAACGTAGGACCGCCACATTACTTGGCAGCGGCATTTGAAGCTAGCAACGCCGGGTAACCTTTAAGACATCAACTTGGCGAAATGAAAAGGCAAAGAAGAAAACAAGAAGAAAATACAAATGCTGAGACGACGAAATTCCTATCTAGCACTTCTCTTTGAATGGCATCGGTTGACTCAGAGAGGCAAATATGTCGTTAACGCAACTGGATATAGGGTCCGCTCTGTCGGTCGAGGAACATGGGTTTTTACAGCCGCCCGAAGACCTTGTAGAGTGCTTCTGAATTTTTGGGAATACAAGGCTAATACCTAGCTGAGATCGCGCCTGCTCAAAGCTTCATATCATCCTCCCCCACCCTTGTTGTCTGGCTTATGCCTCAGCCTGAGCAAAATTTAACCATGAGGAGTTTATGACTATAGATTCTCTTTCGTGTTGGCCAGAACACTGCGCATTCATGCTTTCACAGCATACTTCCTCTGTGGAAAATGCGTCTGCCTCTTCTTCTGCTTCTCTGTCACTCTTGTTGCTTCATGCTTGGTCAGCCTCCTTCGAATAGCACGAGTCTGCTTCGGCCGCAAATCCAACGGCAAGTATTTCTTCTTCGCATAGAATAGGCGGAGTTGTGAGCGCTGGTTGTGGTTGATGATTGTGAGGACACGAGCGATTGATTTGCGGATGTCGTGGCTGTTACAGACGCTTCAGCATATACTACTCCAGATAATGTGATTTGTGCAAATCTTTACATTTTATTGAGCTTTGATTGCGCGCCACCAGTGATCTTTTGTGTGCGAAGTTGACCAAGCTCGGTCTTCAAATCGACGAGCTGTTTCTTCAGATCATCCTTGCTCTTGCCCCAAAGGCCTCCTGCCTTTACCTTGGATGAAGACTAGGAGTATCTTCAGCGAAAAGCTGTAAAAGCCATGACACAACACTTACCATTGTGAATGTGGGAATTGGTCGTCGTCTAAGGTCGCTTCAACGTTTCCCATTGCAGTCTCGATATTGTGCGGCGGACAGGAGTGCCAAGACCGTCAAGCGTAAACCTTAAGTTTTGCGGAGCGGAAGTTGCCTCCAGAAAGAGACGCATATGCAGCCTCATCCTACTCAATAGGTACGGAAAGGATGATTTTTCGGAGTCTCAGCCCTCAGGAAAGTTGTCAGCTGCCAAGGAAACTGTTCACGTCCTGCCAATACTCTGTAGCATGTCCTCAACAGGCAATGGCTGGGCTCAACTCCGCCAACAGGCACGAGCTTTAGAGTCCCAAGTACCACACCCTCAATGTATGCTAGCTTACGACGCTGACCACTGTAGACCGAGAACCTGTTCCATACGTACTCTCAATTCTCTTCCACCTCAAAGATCCCGCCGAGACCCAGCGAAGAAGAACAGAAGACAGAATCGCAGATCGAGGAACTCCTAGAAAAGGTACGGCTAAACTGGAGGTTATGACCTCTGATCACAACATTCTAATGGATCGTTCTTCAGCGTGAGAATCTTGTAGCTCAAATTTCACGCCTTCTCGACTCCGAGTCTACCCTCACCTCCTCTGCCCTGAAACAGAACAATCTCTCCCGCCACCGAGAAATCCTTCGAGAGCACGAGGGCGAGCTCGCCCGCATACGCTCCCAGATATCTACCGCGCGCGATCGCGCCAACCTCCTTTCAAATGTCCGCTCTGACATAGATGCTTACCGGTCCTCAAACCCCGCCGATTCAGAAGCCGACTACATGCTAGATGAAAGAGATCGAATAGACAGGAGCCACAACACGGTGGATGGAGTGCTGAGCCAGGCTTACGCTATCAATGAGAACTTTGGAGTCCAGAGAGACACGCTGTCGAATGTGAACCGGAGGATAGTCGGGGCCGCAAGTCAGATTCCGGGGGTCAACAGCCTGATAGGGAAGATTGGGGCGAAAAAGAGGAGAGACGGCATCATTCTTGGGAGTTTCATAGCGCTGTGCTGCCTGGCGTTGCTTTACTTTCTGTGATACCATTGTTTGTCATTTCATAGATACTGGCGCAACTTTGTATGCAAGGGCTGGGACAACCGACCAACTTGTTCTCTGGGAGAGAACGTTGCGGCTAGAGCTAACTCATGGGCTGCTTCAGCCGCTGCACGCTGCTCGTCCTCGATTTTCCTTTCTCTATTGTCTTGCTCCCAGGTCTTTCCATTAATCGCTTGACACAAGATACTAGGCTCTCCTTCTCTTCATCCGAAGCGTCGCCACAGCCTGTCCATCGAATCTTGCACTGCCAATCAACCAGGAAGACATGCCCAACCTTTGGATTCGACATGCCGATATCAGCTCGCGTGTAATCCGTAATGCCTCTCCGGATCATAAAGGAGCGCGGCCAGTCCTCTTTTGGTGTCTGTTTTTTTTGCCAATCAATGCTCCGACGCACGAAGAAGGCTTTCAGTCGATCTTCCGTCACACTGATCGTTACCACTTGCAACCCCCTATCCTTGTAATGATCCAGCGCTACTGCAAGTTCAGGGTTTGTCTCAGCACTCGTGTAGCTGTCACATTGCATCCCCCCCAAATTTCGCTCTGTAGTTTCACTATTGACACCCTGCCGGCAAGCATATTAGTTGTGTCGTATATGTTGCTTGGATCGGCAAGCGTGTATCCTTGCATATTTGGGAAGTATAACGCTGCTTCAGTCCTGTATAGGCTTGGAGTTGCGAGAAAGGTTTTGCCTTTGTGGTGTCGCAATGCTGCTACAGGTAAGAAGGCTGGTTTCATCCACTGTCGCTTACTATGTAATGGAGTTAGCGATGCTAATCAAAGGCAGAAATGAAACATGCGCCTCATGAGACTCAAAGTAGTCTAGAAACCTCTGATTCCACGTTCGGCCGTCATAGTGATTATTGTCGCCAGGCCGAGGTAATTCAGGTTGCCCAACCGGTTTCAAACGGTGTTTGAGTGTCGGAGGCTTGTCTTTAGGAGGCAGTTCTGGCGGCGTCAGAGGCATCGGTCTACGATTGTCTGGTGTTCTGGTGCTGAGGGAGTGGCCAGTCAGAGCCCGCGATTGTAGGACCACCTTGAGTTGGCAAGATGGGCAAAGCCATTGTCTGGCAAACTTTCGATTGAGAAAGCCAGCGATCAATGGCATGTTCTTTCGGTCGAAAGAGCGCTCTGGAAATTAAAAGAATTTTCTTGTTTCGTCCAGTCCAAAAGCAAAGGACAATCCGATTGCGGAAATTACCATGAGTACATATACCGTTGTAAGACTGATCTTGAAGATGAATCACCACAGTCCTGCAAAAGAAAACCTGAGCAACATCTTCAAAAAAGTGGCTCGACTTGGTAAATAAATATATATGTCAGATGGCCTAGGACTAAGCCCTATAAATGCACGATTTAAGGGACTCTCCCGCAGGCCGGAAGTGGCCGAAGATGCCCGCCCCGCCTACAAGACCCGCCCACCAGCGCCTGGCCTGGACTTCCAACACCTTGGTACTACCAATCCTTTGTCTCTGGTTCCAACGTGTTCATCCATTCATCTAGGTAGTTCACACAATAACATCATGTTTTCCAAAATTCCTACTTCATGTGATTCATCACAATCAACATGGATGAAAAGGAGAAGAAAACGATGTTTGAGGGTTTGTACGCCCTCGGTGAATCCAGCGAAGAGGAGTGTGAAGTTGAACCGCTAGACACCGTAGTCCGCCACCAGTCCTCAAAGGAAGTGCATGAAGCCCAGGAAGAGTCATTCGCAGAGGAGAGCTCGGCTGGAAGAACCGCCCTAACAGTCACAAAGGCCCCAACGCCATCTAATCCGTCTGTTCCATCTACTCTATCGAAGTACCCAGGCAAGATGGGTGGTCAGCCAGGTTCCAAGGTGGGAGGTAAGCGGAAACGAGGTGAAAGCCTCATATCAGTCCCTGAGGCCAAGCAATTCTTCAGAGGGCTTGCATTCTTCTTCTTCCCAAACAGTGACATTAATGGCGTGCGGAGATTTCGAATGCGAAAGGCTTTGGAATATGGTGCGGTTAGGGTCATCGATTCCAAAGATGACACTATTACTCACATTATCGTTGACGACTGGCTCGACTATCAAGAGCTAGCAAAGTTTGTCGATCTCGACGCTCATGCAGAAAAGGTTGTCCTTGTCAACTCAAATTACATACCAGACTGCCTCGGGTTTTCGGCCCTACTGAATCCTAACCAGCGTCAGTATCGTGTGAAAGGCCATCAGGAGGCTTTAAATGCCAGGATACCAGCAGTCGACAATCACTCCATAAATCTGACAGATGCAAAGCATTCCATAGAACAACAAGAGCAAGCTCTGTCTCAATCGAACAGACCCGACAAGGTTTCTACCCTACAGAACAGACACCCACTCGATGCATTAAGTCTGGTCATTGAGGAAGCTCGCGCTACCAAAGATCTCGTGAGTCATGATTTTCCCCCGGCCGTACTTACCTTGCAAATGATCTGTAATTTGTCTCTACCCATCTTTCAAGTTCAAGTTTGAATAGTCTACTTGTGCTTCGTTGAGTCTATCATGTTGGCTTACAAAAGACTCAAGGATGATTTACTGATACGTGATACAGCCGCTTGATTCAGAAGGTGAAGCGGATGCTGGAAAAGGGACGTTTCTAGATAGCAGCGACGACGAAAGCCAGGATGAACGAAGGTCGAAGTCAAGGTCAAGTGAACCTTCCGATAAGAAGTGGCAGGACAAGTTCAGCTGCATGTCCAAGAATGACGGAAACCCAGACGGTGCCAATCCCAATGCTAGGACAATAGAGGTTTTGCAACAAATGGCCACCTATTATGATCAAACCAAGGATCACTGGCGCACAACTGCCTATCGAAAGGCTATTGCGCAATTGAGGAAGCAGGATGAGAGAATCGTCACCGCAGCGCAAGCTGCGAGGCTTCCGTGGATAGGTTCTCGTCTAGCAGCCAAGATTGAAGAAATTGTTTGCACCAACAAGCTACGGAGGCTAGAAAGCACCAAGCTCGAGCCAAATGACGAGTCTTTACGAATGTTCCTTAAAATATACGGTGTTGGATACGCCCAGGCGCAAAGGTGGGTAGAGGAAGGTCTTCGCTTACTGTCAGACCTTCAGCAAAAGGCCTCCCTATCAAGGAACCAGCAGATAGGGGTAGCTCATTTTGATGATTTCAACGCTCGTATTTCGCGAGAAGAGATGGGCCAACACGAGTCCTTTGTTCGCAAATTCCTCTCTAAAGCAGAGCCCACTCTTCAAGTCACAATCGGTGGGTCTTACCGTCGAGGTGCTGCAGACTCTGGTGATGTTGATTTCATCGTAACCAAACCTGACGCTTCTATCTCAACCATACACAACATCATGGCTACTAGAATTATTCCCGCTTTGACCAAAGCCGGTTACATCAAGACACCACTTGCCACATCTAGTAGAGAAGAGGGCAGCAAATGGCATGGTGCCTGTACTCTGCCTCGAAGAAAAGATGACAGCAGCACAGACTCCCGGCCGTGGCGTCGGATCGACTTTCTGTTTGTCCCATGGAACGAACTTGGGGCAGCTCTAATCTATTTTACTGGTAACGATATTTTCAATCGGTCTATCAGGCTGCTGGCAAGCAAGAAGGGAATGAGGCTGAACCAAAGAGGACTTTGGAAGGATGTTTTGAGGGGTCCGAAACGGCAACGATTGACACAAGGTACTCTCGTTGAGGGAAGAGATGAGAAGAAGATCTTTGAGCATTTAGGCGTACCATGGCGCGAGCCATGGGAAAGAGTCTGCTGAACCGTGTGATTGGATATGGTTGCGACGACCATAGAATTGGATATATGGTAATTAGGAAGAGCTTGAGACAGCTAACTCTTAATTCTTGATTTCCTCATTTTCAGTTGGAGGTTTGCGCTGATGACTTTCATTTGACTGAAGCATAGAAGCAGAAAGCATGTAATCCCATGCCTCTTATGTGATTGGTCTTCATCTTATTTTGGGAAGAAAAAAATGTAAAACTGTCCCGGATAGAGGCTCTTTTCATAAGAAGGAATTCATTTTATGAATATTCTATACGCTAATTTGCAAATCGCTATAAACGCTCCATGAAGACCCACAAACAAAGAATCATCAAGTCATATATCACAGACTGCCTTTACACCACAGCCAGATATCGAATGTCAAGTCTCTCGTCATTCAAGCATTCACGCATTTGAAAGCTCCGATAGGGACATCAGCGCCATTCTGACCGAAGACAGTTTCCGCACCATTGCCTTTCACCGCTCCAAGACTCAGCGTCCCAGCCTCATCACTGAAAGCTTGGCAGGTGACACCGTCAGGCTGCTGACCATTGTTACCGGACTGAATTGCAGCCTTGTTGGCCACGCGAGTGGCGAAGGTGCCCCTGACTGGGACCAATTGACCGTTGACAGGGACCGTGCCAACGGAGGCGCCCTCCTCCGCGAGATCGAAATCAAGCTTGATGTTGACGGCCGAAACACCCTTGCCATTACCGTAACCGGTGCCTTTACCATTACCATTTCCGCTGCCGCTGGAGAAGGCAGCCACACCGGCCGCGTCCGAGCAGAAGACACTCCCGATCGTCGCCAGATTGTTGCCCTTCGACACTGTGATGCCCGGTATCGAGTCGTCAAACGTACCACCGAGCTTGATCTTGCCGGCCGCGTCGGTAAAGGCTTGACAGACACTAGAGAAGGGATCGATGGGGACGTTGCTGACGGAGCTAACGGACAGACTGCTGGCGGGCGGGAGCGCGCCGGCGGTGTTGGCGAAGAGAGTGCCGAATGGGATAGTGCGCGTGGTTGAATCGTCGCCGCTGGTGGAGATGCCGATTTGGAGGGTGACGGTGCCGGAGGCTGAGGCTTGGGCCTGGGCTTGGGCGAGGGGAGCGGCGGCTGTGAAGCCGGTGAGGAGAAGGCTTGCGAGAGCGACGGTATACATTTTGGTGGTTGGGGGCTTTTAGACTCTTTTATGAAAGGGAATGAAATGGGTATGACAGCTGGATAGAATAGAATGGAAATGAATCAGAAGATGCACGCTTGTGCCGACGATATGCTTGACAAGTGAGATTGGAAGTTGAAGAATGATGTTGTTGTGTTTTGCTGGTGAGTCGATGATGGACATTATGGGTTGACATTGCAGTATATATATACGCTCTACTAGGAGGGCGACCCTTCTTGGTGAAGTCTTCTGCAGTGTTCTCTTACCGTCAAGAATAGCGATGTTGTACTTGCAAATAGGAAGTCAGCTGACCAGGATCGGGGCTTGTACGCCAAGGCCATTCACCTCAGGGCCTGCTGTAACTAATCTTTGGCCACGGTGGCCCCTAAGCAGCCAGAAAGATGTGCATCCTTTGTTCCATAGCCACCACATCTCAATTATAGCTGATAAGCGTGGTACTGTTATGTCGATTTACATTTATATATCCATGACAATGATAGCCAAATGCACATACCCAGTCATCCAGATCATTCCATTTCCTTCAGCCCCTCATTTCTGCCATTATCGTCCAACTCCAACAAAAAACGAGCTTCTCCACGCCTCGTCTCAACAGATGTGACAATGGAGTTCCAATTCCAGTGTCTGTAGGTCATGTTATTGGATGCCCCTTCGAAGTCCATTCCCCCATATTCCTTTTTTCTTCCGTTGGGGTGAAGACCTCTTGCACCCTGTCCTCGTCTTTCAGCCCATTCACCGGTCCTTTAACACTCGCTTCGTCAACTTGATCATCCATGTTTTCGTCGTGCTGCTTCCTCTCGCTATCCATCGAAGTCGTAGCACTATGCCGCATATAGTCTGCATACATATCCTCTCCACCACCGGCCCCCTTTCGTCTACTATCCTTGCCTCCATTTCCATTTGGTATTCCATTTGGTAGTCCATTTTCGATCGGCCTGTCTGGTGTTCGTGGCGGCCGTCGAAGATTTCCCGAAAGAGCAGGCTCGTTTTCAACCATCACGACCATCCAAACCCCCACTTTATCATCCGAACCTAGAAGCGGGGTACAAGAAATATATCGCGTTCGTGCATCAGGTGAAGGCTTATCAGAACTGTCGTCCCGACCCTGGTCATGTGCTTTGGGACACCAATTGACCTTCGCTGTGACTGCTGCCCCTTGCTCGAAGGCCTCCGTAACGCCGGATATCACTTGCTGCGATCCGTCTATGTGGGCTAAGAATGGGGATTGAAGGATACCAGGGACGCGCAGGGATGCGGAGACGAAGAGAATGCGCAGAGATGGGTGTGGACGAACGAGAAGGTAATTCTGATAGACCCCTGGCAACCGACCAGATGTCAGAGAGGCAGAAAGGGGCATGGGGTTTTTGTTGTCGACCTCGCCTTCCTCTTCATTTCCCAGAATTTTTCTAGCCCGTCGGGCGCTGTCCTGCTGCTTTCTGGGGGTCACACGCGTAGAGTAGCTGTAGTTGGATGCATCCCCATTCGTGCTACCCTCACGACTCTGCCCCTGGAAGAGAGACGACTCATCAACACTTAGCATTTGGGAAAGCTCTTCAAGGGGTTTGAGATGTTTCTGGCCATCGCGATCATCATTTTGGTTACTGTATGAAGTTGCAGACGGGCGGGAGTCGTTCAAGAGACGTTCGAAAGAGTCCAGGCCCCGACCGTTCTCTATCAGACCAGAGATGTCTACCTGTGCGCCAATAAAGTACTTAACGGCACCTCGATTATCGTACAGAGGAGCAATAAGAAGTAAGTTCATGAAAGGAGAGCCGTCCCTTCTGTAGTTGAGTATACATTCGCATGACTCCTGGCCTGATCGTATGTTTTTGCGAAGCCTCTCTACGGTCGCCTCGTCAGACCGACTTCCCTGCAGGAATCTACAATTCCGACCCAAGGAATCGTCTCGGGAATATCGGGTGGTTCTATAGAACTCTTCACTGGCGTATATGATTGGACAATCTTCCTGATTAGGGTCCGACAAGCAGAACGTCTCCGCAAGCCCACTCACGAGCTCCCTATGCACGGGCATACCTGCGCCAGTGATTTCCTTGATCATATACTCTGTCACGACCTTTGTAAGGCAAGTTGTTACGTAGGCTGGTAAAGCATCCGTAACGAGAGAGTTGAAGATCTTATCGCCCCAGGCTTTGAATTCTGGTTCTAAAGACGCGACGCGAACAGGATCGGGCGAGTTTGGGTCTTCTGTTGTGGCCTGTAGACTTTCAGATAGAGCGTTTGCATATTCCACTGCCTTGATAGCCTTTTTCATCTCAAGATACTGGACCAATGTTGGTGCTATATTGGGCTTGTAGCGGTTAAGGAAAGCGGTGAAGCGGAGAAAGAAAGAAGGGTCATTGAGTATAATGTCGAGGTGATTGCCTGACAACAGCTTCTCGGCCAAAGTATCGATATGTTTGACTTTGATATTCGGCGGAGGAGGTTTCAAGTCAAAATTTGGACTCTCATTTTGGCTGCGCAGGTCTTCTGGGTGGCCCATATCCATTGGTCTTTCGGGTGAGCCGCCCAGCGCTGCGGCCTCGTTCAGAGATTTGCTTCGTGTGCGCTTCAGTTGAGGTACCATAGCTAATTGTTGTGACCCAAGGATATCGTCAGGCGGCGTGCTAGATTTGGTGTGGTTCTGTTTTCCTGTGTTTGAGCTCCTGCTCCGTCGGGGGTGCCTGTGTGACTTCAAGCTCTCGCGCATCCGACTCATATCAAGACCCACATCGAACACTCGGCGGGACATGGCTGGGAGACGCTCGATAGCGAAGGGGCAGATCTGGTCAAAGATAACAAGGGACTCGAGAAAATCAAGGGCGTCATCTGAAGCCGGCATGCAAGCGTTGAAAAGCTAGCACCACACTCATATCCACAATAGGCTTGGGTCAGGAAGTTGCCGGCGCATGCTAGGGATATTAAAGATAAATTGAGTCAAATGAGTCAAGCAAAGCTGGCGATGGAGGGGCAGTCCAATGACGAGGGGCAGAAGATGCAAAGGAGCGCAAGGGCAAAGTCGAGCAACGTCATGGATGGTTCGAGGCCCTTTGCACGAAGTTCGGGCTTTGCACTAGCCAGAGATAGGATGCTCAGACATAGAAGCAACCAAACAGGGTGCAACAACGTATAACCAAAGAGTTGCTGGTCGATGACAACATGACCCGCAGGAATTAGGGCTCAGATCAGAGATCTGGCAGGGGCCTTACTTCTAGTGCCCGCTGCAAGTAAAGCCCCCCGGAAGGATCTCAGGATGGGGTGGACAATGGTGAGAACTTGCTAGCACTCAATGAGATAAATCGATCCACCTGTTCAGGCACAAGTCTGCGTGCTACTCATCGCCCCTTGCATAAACGTCCGATGTTTGAATTAAATTTAGTTGCCTATATTGTACGGAACGGGTAGGCAACAGTGCAGCCTTGCAATCTCATGGTACCCACGCCTGACAGAGAGGTACGCTGCCTACATAATGACCACCTCCAGCAACAAGGAGGCATTCCCATGCTTCATCAAAATCATGAGTGCCGAACCTCCATTTGTCCTTGGGCGTTCCAATGTGCAGAAGACCTCGAAATTGAGCTCTCATTACCACCACCATGAGACAGAGTGATGAATGCCTTCAAAGGCATCTGATCATTGGGTATAGAAGTCCATCGCATTGGGAAATATTCGGAGCGTGCTGATCAGGACCGGTCCAGCGAATCAAGCCTGTGGACAAAATGCAAAGACGTGCTTGCCCCTTACGGTAGAATTCTCAGTTTCGTGAGTTGATCGCGACAGCCCGTTGTGACGAAATGATTGATTTGCAGGTGTAGGATCAGGCTTCTACCCGAGACGGAAAAATTCTGCCCTATTGGATGGTCACATTTGCAAATCGTAGCGATGCGGAACATGCAGCGAAGGCGGTACACAAGAAAACAAAGTAAGCTTCCTCTCGTCCCTCGTCGAAAATAGGCGTAATCCGAAACTGAAGAATTGGCCAGGAGTAGAGGCGGGCGCTGGTCGGTAAGCATATTCTCGATTGAACATCACCATTTCCTGGCTGTTCATGATTGTCTGGTGACTCAAGGGGATAATTCTTTCCTAGGTGTGGCTGGTTCCTAGTGACAAGTACGCTACCGTGGCAGTGAATGAAAAGGGTGAGCTCTTTCTGTGATGCATCTGGTATTAGGTCCTAACGACTTCCTCAGGGAACCTTCGATGGGACTTTTGGTATCGGTCGGAATAAAGGGCGCATTCGGGAGGGTATCTACAGCACGCTCGTGTTGAAACTGTTGAGTTGGATAATTCGCCATTGTGCTCCCTCATCCGACCCTCATCCGACCCCGATCCCGTGTCTGGACGTTCATGGGCACGACAGCTCACGAGTGCCGAAGAAATACTGCATTTGGTGTTAGCAACAAGCTGTTGTGTCTGACGTCTGCGAAGCAGATGTTCGGTGGAGAAGCGAGAAAGGATTATTGTGGATGCCGGAGCAGCTCACGTAATAGTGGGATCGACGGAGCATCCGCTGTTCGAAAAATCTGCGAAGTGCGGAGTGCATATGGCCCACACAATTTCCTTAGCAAGCGAGTCCTTTAACTGCAATCAGCATGGTGTAGCACTGATACGTCCCTGCCATTCTCCACGTGAACATCGATCTTCACAGGCCCGTGGCCAGAACACGCAGAGCCTGAAACGTAGCCTGTCAAATTGCATGAATCGCTTTACGCTCCGAGGTATGCAGCTGCACACCGCTACACAGAAGTATACCTTATTAGTAGCCCTATAATCATCGCCCACCGTTATTTTACCGATGTTTGATCCCGAGTATTCATCGTCTGTGAGAAGGAGAATTCGATTCGAGTAAAACAAAGCCATCTGTTCTTTTGAAGACGAACCTACCCCCACGTCTGTATTCACCTTAGTCCTGACCCTGTCTCGAATTCTCCGAGCACGCGCCTGCATGGACCTTATTTCCCCTTAACTTTTCTTATGGGAGTTTTTTTGGCGCTGCTGTGGAGATTTCCAAGATCCCAACGTATTATCTTCGGCCGACGCTCAGTGACCGCCGCGTTGTAATGCTGGAATGTTGGGCCGTAGCCTTCAGCAACGATGAAAATAGTAATAGGTCCGATGAAAAGAGAGCGAGATTCGATTATGTCAAAGGCTCTAAGGATACCCGAGCTTTACGCTTTACTAGCAGTGTAGTATTTGATCATCGAAATCCCAGGATTTTGGTCGTGCGGCCCGGAGCTAGAGCAGTCCCTGCGTTTCCAGTCATTCGTCCTGGCTCCTGATGAGGTTTGAGATGATGGGTTAGGCACTCATGTTGGCAGCTAGATCGGTGAGCTAACTGCATTCAGCCCCGTTTGGAGCCAAGAGGCAGGAATATGTATTCGGCGAGGGACGCTCGGACCTCTGGCTTCAACAAGAAGAAACAAGGGGAAATAATAGTTGATGGCAATAAACCACGAGCTCTGATGATCATGAGCCATCTCGATCCAATAATGCCCGTCAATAATAATTGCACCCTTCCGCCGCCGTGCTCGCTGGACTGCCGCTGTTGTTTGCCAAGCACGCGAGTTCACACATTGAACCAAGCTTTTCTCTTCGTGAAGTTGCCCTAGTGTGGGGTTACGCTCTCTTGCTTTAAGCTGACAGTGATGCTTGACTTGCTGTTGGCTTTTGCTCAATTCGTCCCGCCCTATCCCTCCCCGATCCCTTCTCCGGGCCACATCGATTGATTCGCCAATCTGCAAAGAATCACCTGCGACTTATTATTATGCCCCTAAAATCTTCTCTCATCTTCATACATATTCGACTCACTCCCTACTCCCTTCTCGCATTTACTCAGCCTGACATGGACAAAGCCAGTCTGCTATCCTCACAATCGAAAGCCCATTCCCATAGAAAATTCCACATCCGCCAACGGCGCCTTCCACCCTCCCCCAACCCATCCAAGTATCCTTGCCAATAAGTCATACAACTCTACAATGACTACGCTCACGCTCAACGGAAGGCACAATCTGCCAACACCCCCATCCATGGATTTCGCGTCACAAGACTCCATCAAACAGATTCATGGCGCTCTGGCCTTGCATCACCACCGCCATATGTGGATAATTACCGGACCGGCCGGCTGCGGCAAGAGCACAGTCGCCCAATACTTAGCGCAAGAGCTTTCCATACCCTATCTCGAAGGTGACGATGTAAGTGGTTCTAGAAGGGGCCTCATCTTTTTGACAAGAAGCCTGCGTCTGACTCTCCGTGAACCTGTAGTATCATTCTGAATCCAACAAGCAGAAAATGTCACAAGGTCAGGCATTGACCGACCAAGATCGGTGGGACTGGCTCATCCAGCTACGCGAGGCAGCTACCAACCGCCTTTCACCCTCGAAATCCTCCCGAACCAAAGTTCATGACGGCGTGGTAGTCACGTGCTCAGCACTCAAGAGACGATATAGAGACGTCATCAGAGTCGCTGCTTACCATGACAATGATGTGATGGTTCACTTTATTTTCTTGAAGGCTGACGAAAACATCTTGCTCGCTCGGGTCTTGGGCAGGAAGGGTCATTTCATGAAGAGCACTATGGTGAGGTCACAAATGGAGCTTCTTGAGGAACCCGATATGCAAGAGCATAGAAAAGATGTCCTCGAAGTTGATTGTGGGGGAAGCTTAACCGAGGTTCGAAAGGAGGTCGTCAAGACCGTCAGAGTGGCCTTAGCTGACGACCAGTGATCACTTCATCCTACAGATGCGCGCCCCTCCGGCCGGATCAAGGACAATGATGATCAGGAGACTAGTCATGTGCTTTTAGCGATCATTTACAGGTGTTGGAAAATATTGTGCATTCGGGATGGTGATCTGGCCAAAAGTAATCGGGGTACATACAGGTTTAGAAAGGCTTCGACGGAATTCTGTTCATTTATGCATTCGTCATGTGGTGGTGTTTACAGTACGTACCTCGACGCATTCAATTTGGGAGAAGGGTGTCCCAAGGGTCGTTGTGGGTGGATGATCCTGCTTTCTCATGGTGCGCATGTACTTAGGACCACGCTACGGCTTGGGAGTTGCATAAAAGCCGCACTCGCGATATGATCGATAAACGCTACTGCATGAAATGTGCGGGGCACATAAAACGCATTATGGAAGATGACGAGCATCGAATTGGCTGCACATAAGCACAATCGGTCGGACGTCCTCGGCATACATATTGTACACCCTTCCCAGACACCCACTCGCTTTCGTTCCTCATTAATGCCCTCCTCAGCGCCATTAACCTCTCAAAAAGCGTCCATATACGTCAGCCCTTCTACCTGAGCGGTAATCTGTGCCCTCGTCCCTAACCGACGTATCACTTGTCATTCTCCCTCTCGTCCAAACAGACGCAGATTGCGGCCATGAGGACTAAGTCCACTCCTGGGGCGCAGTTGACATAATACGTCTGCTTGTCGCTAACGAGCTGTCCGAAATTCAAGAAGCTGCGGGATATGGTGGCAACAGGACGACCTTGTAGGGTCACCTCCGCAGACCGATCAAGCCAGTCCCCTTTGAGGTCGAGGGTCATGCTCTGGTTGGTCGAAGCATTGATGAATGAGATTGTTGACTTGGAAGAAAGCACTGCGAGAAGCTTGTCAATTGCGAGTCCTTTGCGTTCAAGCAACAGCAAGGAATTGAAAACTATTACATACGTGAGAATTTCCCTTTTACCTCGAAAAGCTGCTTCCCATCCGGGCTTTCTCCAATGAAAGACTTTGCCAGTGCAAGCAATTTGTTCTTCAGATGAAAGAGTTCGCGGCCCGAAGGGTCGGTGAAGATCTTGCGAGCGGAGATGCTCATGACTTTGCCCTTGCATTTGCAGACTTCTCGTCCATTCACGTCCGTAATGCTGAAGTCGTCGCCTGTGATGCTACCGCTGAACATGCCCTTTTCTTTCATCTTGAGGGTGACAGGATGTGGTTGGCAGAAGTTCGAGAGGATCCCCACGGGCGGGTTGAAGGGTTGGAGTGGGGCAGTCATTGTGCTGTGGTCAATAGTCGGTTTCTTTCAGAGGAATTGATGAATGAACGGTAGCAATATGATAGAAGACAATACCGTCACGGTGATACACAATGCAGGTCAACCTTAGGAACACGTGAGGGTGAGCTGATACATAGTACTTGTACCCTGGATCCAGGCCAGCTTGGCACAACAGCTAAACACAGCCTCCTGCACCATAAATGATGCGCCACCCAAAAGCTCAACTTTCGCTGGCGTGGTACAAGCTGAGTGGAGGCTCGAACAGGGATTTGGCAATTGAATCAATATGCAATGGTTTCACCACAGCTCAGCTGTTGCACGATAGCGTAGGATGCTTCAACGCAGGACTCGGTTGTAGCTGCTAATTCTAATTTTAGCTTGGAGGGTCGTTGGAAGGCTTGGCGCTTCCCAACCAATCAGATATCGCACACGAAAAATGTCAAAGAAATCTGGATGTGCTCAAGAAGCTCCAGATCGTGCCACGATGGCGGCAATCAAGCGCAAGTCAACAACCCCTACAACCCGCGAAGTGCATAAGAAGTTCAGGAAAGAAAATGAGGCAGTTCCACGGGTGAAGCAAGAAGAAAGTAGCACTGACTCTTCCTCGAGGAGTAACAATGTCTGGGGCGGTGCATCAGACGAGGGCCCTCTGGATGATTCTAAGATTGCAGAGACAGCATGGGATTCTGATCCACTAGTTGAATCCGATACAGCGTCATCCAGTGGTGCAGGTGACGGTGCAAGCTGGCCGTCAGACGATGAAGAGGACAGTGAAGGTCAATTCGAAGGCCTGCCAGATCGTGACAACGATCCGAACGGTGGAGTCGCTTTAGTCGCGGAGGAACGTGAAGTGACCAATGAATCAAAGCCAAAAGTGCAGAATGGGGCTTCAAGTAAGCGACGCTCAGACTTGCATAACACATATGATTGACAATCCTCCAGGCTCGTCTCGGGAATCTCACGCGAAGCAAAGAGAGACAGCCAAAGAACGGAAAGCTGCAAAACCTAACGCGGATTCGATAGCTAGGACGAAGAAGCTATGGGAGAAACTGCGCAGGAAGTCCCACGTCCCTCAAGAGGAGCGCAAAGCTTTAGTCGCTGAGCTTTTTGACATTATAACCGGCCACATCCACGATTTTGTGTTCAAGCATGACTCGGTCAGAGTCGTCCAGACTGCGGTGAAGTATGGAAGGCCTGAGCAGAAGAGGATGATCGCACGTGAGCTCAAAGGTGACTTTAAGAGTTTGACCGAGAGCAAGTACGCCAAGTTCTTAGTAGGAAAATTACTCTCATATGGTGATGAGCAGATCAGAGACATGGTCATTCCCGAATTCTACGGGCACGTAAGGCAAATGATAAAGCATCCTGAAGCAGCTTGGATTCTCGACGATGTTTATCGGGCAGCGGCCACACCTGACCAGAAAGCCGCCCTTCTTAGAGAGTGGTACGGGCCCGAGTTCTCCTTGTTCAGAAAAACTGGGGACAAGAGCATTACGGCAGACTTGAAAGCAATCCTTGAAGGCAGCCCAGAGAAAAGAAAACCAATCATGCGATATCTCCATGAGCTCATTAATCTACTCCTTCAGAAAAAGACTGCTGGCTTCACCATTCTACATGATGCTATGCTGCAATACTATGTTAACCTTCAGCAAGGGAGCGAGGATTCTAATGAGTTCATCGAATTATTGAAAGGGGACGAGGAAGGCGATCTGCTAAAGAATCTTGCTTTTACAAAGCCGGGCGCTGATCTAGTTTGTCTTGCGCTGGCATACACGAATGCCAAAGATCGTAAACTCATCCTCAGGAGCTACCGAAAAACCATCCAAATGATGGCATATGATAATTACGCACACAAGGTCCTACTCACAGCATTTGATGTTATCGATGACACAGTTCTCACGTCTAAAGTCATTCTGCCGGAACTGTTAGGCGCCGACGAAAAGATCGAATTACATGCGGATACTGTATTTGACGCGATGAAGCACGGCAATGCTCGTATTCCGTTATTATATGTCTTCGCAGGCCGATCTAGAAATCTCATCCCTCCCACTAGTCATACCTCCACTCTCGACGTAGTTGATAAAATACAGGATATTCGGAAAACGACTTCCAGAAAAGATCCAGAGGCCCGACGGTCTGAGCTTGTGAAGTTCTTCTCGCCTCCTTTGCTGCGTTTGATCGCCGATCAGGCTCCAGAAGCAGTGACCAGTACGTATGGCTGCCAATTTATCTCAGAAATATTGCTCGCAAATCCGCAGTGCAATCCTACCGACCGAGAGAGGGCGCTCGGGGCTTTGGTTAATCTCACGAATTCCGCCGAAACACGCGAATTGCTCAAACAGCCGTCCGCTCGACGAATGCTTCGAAACCTGGTTCAAGGAGGCCATTACAATCCGCAAAGTTGCACAGTGGATTATCTAGACCCGCCACTAGGGTTTGATGAACAGCTCTACCAGGCGATACGTAATGAGATTACAGAGTGGGCTGTGAGCGAAAACTCCTTTGTTGTAGTCGCAATGCTTGAGTCAGCGAGTTTCAAGCACAGAAAAGAATTGAAGGAATTGCTAAGCGCAGACAAGGAGAGAATTGAAGATGCAGCGAGAGCGCAAGTGGTCTCCAAGACAAACGGGAAGGTTCAGAGTACAAAAAAGAAGAAACCTGGGGAGAAAGGTAATGGTGGTGCCAAAATCCTACTGCAGTTGCTCAATGAGTGAAATCTAAAAACTTTCGATGGCTCTCGTCTACTTTTAGTTTTCTTAAACTCTTCTAGTTGCTATTGAAGGCTCTGGGAGAGGAGAGTACGCCACACCAGGACCCCTACGCTCTTCGGGCACGGCTTCAATTGCAATTAGGATAGATCTTCTTGCATGTCTGAACCCTTATCACGGGGAACACTGTCTCAAGCTGTGAGTGGCAATGAAATTACTGTCTCTTCGTAGAATTTCATCAAAGCTAAGATGGTACAACAGAATAGCTCAAAAAGTGTGACATTTATATGAGTCTTTAAGTCCTATGGCTAATAGGTCGCCCGTCAGCCCCCATCAGCGGAAAGGGTGAGAATAGGAAGAAGACAAAAAGTGATTTCACCAGGTAATTTGAAAGAACAACTACATCGCAATTCCCTCGGATTACCCTCCATGCGAATTTATGGTCTTGATGTGTTCCCACTACACCATCTAGGCTGTATATTCCAAGTTCGAACCCTTCTATCGTATATGTCGACCCACCATGAGCAGACCAATAGCCACTATGCGAGTAGAATTATATATGGTCGGTCTAAGTGCTGAAAAGGCAATTGAATGATCTCAATTCCTGCATTCAGATCTGTCGAAGCACCTGTTCAAAAGCAAATGGGGACCTCCAGAAATCTAGTCATTGAATCTTGGTGATCAAATCAAATTTCACTTGACAGGGCTTTACGTCCTATCTTTAGTGGATCTGGTAAGGACGATTTTGGTACTTGAACATCAAACCATCACGCGAAGTGCGAACTTGAATTTTAGAAATATTTTCCTTTGCCTGAGGTGATGATTTCCCACAGTATGGGGTCGCAGTCTTCATTAGCTTGCATGATGTTGATCCGTCTCCATCACGCTGAAAATTTAAGGGACAAGTCTGCCATGATTCAAGCGTGTTGTCCATGGAAGCAGAGAAGAAGGACGTCCACCACGTTTTCAGACGTCTAGGCGCGTAACTAACAGCAATAATGACTGGGAAATACGCTTTGGCTCCACAAGTAAATGCTATCGAATTCTGTCATACGTGAGTTCTAGGATGTAAGTAGAAGCAAGGAGATTTCCTTTCAGGCCTAATTAGCGATTACGGTTCTCCTTCTCCCCAAAGCATGTCCGAGATAATTAAGTCAATTAAATAGCACAACCTATGCTTATGCATACGAACTCTGTTCCCCAAGGCCCTGAGCCCCGTTGATGCTGGCAGTACCTAGGCTATGGCGCTTGGACTTTTTCTGCAATTTCCGTGGTGGGCGACCCTCACTAATATTAGCGCCTGCTTGTACTATTGAAGGGCTTGCACTTTGTCCTTTCGGAGCATCCAAAGTTCCAGGCTTCAAGATCTCAAACCCTGAGTTGATCTTCCTGATAACTTGAGATCGACGTTCAGCTTGGAAAGAACGAAAGGGCTGTGCGTGTCCTTCATCGTACACAATTTCAGCGCCGTCAAGAAGCTGTTGCTGGTAAGTTGTGTGATCACCGTGATTTTCTGGTGGAATTAGTCCGCTGAGATGATCTAAGGGGACGTCTTCATCAACGGAATCACGAGCTGTTGCTGGGGTTAGGAAAGGATTGCTTTCGTAGCATGTCCGGGAATCTGTCGGCGATGGCTTGAAGGAAGCAGATTGTAGCTGGTTGTTGTCCGGCGGCGGAAATTCGATTTCGGACGAGTATCGAAAAGCAACACGTCCGTCAGTGCTCGAGCCGGAAGACCCTGACTGAGAGCTATGAGAGAGGTCTTCTTGATTTGACTGTGTTTTGGACCGAGCGGCGAGATGGGCCAGGGCATCCACACAACCTACAGCTTCGTGAGAATTGCTGAAGCGAAGACCTGACGAGCGGTGTGGCTTGTAAGTAGGTCTCCCACGGGAAAGAACTTCAATACCAGAAAGCGGAGGGTGATGCTCGGTAGCCTTCCTAATTTCGACGCGGGGAGCAATCGATGTGAGGGACGCCGTACTTGCTGCTGTATCGGAGGAATCGAAAGGGTTTTTGGGCTTTGTCGTCGTCGCAGACAAAGTTGGACTGGCAGGTGCACTAGGAGCAGGCGTGTTGACTTTCGAATTCCACACGCCTTCAACCTCGACACCTTTCTCTAACGCTCGCACACCAAAGGGTACTTCTTTCGCTCGTCCTCGTCTAACGCTGGCCGAGTGCTGCGTCTCTAGCCGTCTAGCAAGCCTGTCGGCTCTAATTTTGGTGTATTTGCGTAGACGCCAATGGTTGTATGTTAGTTTCAAACAGCCCAAAGCGATGACAACGATCTAGATTTCTGTGAGAAAGATCCTACGAGGCTCGCGACAAGACATACGATGCCAGAGGCAAGGACCTAGCAGTTGAGTCAGCGTGGGTGCATTTATATAACCATGAGCTGAACTCCTACAAAACACATCCGCTCCCATAGCTGCCATGAATTCCAGAAGGCTGTCGGCATTTTGTGCTTCAATGTTAGAGCATAATTCTCCTCCTGGGCGGATATGAGGCGTGGAAAGAGAGAAAGTCTGGAAGTCACGAGATCTTCAGTAATGAAGTGTTACAGAGCCAACACGAGGCACTAGCCAATGAAGTCGACCCACCGAAGGAGCAAAACCCTAAAGCGAACTTGAAAACTCATGAAACATCGGCATCAGAGATCATCAGAAGAGCAGTCCAATGAGAAAGCTTGCGCACATAAGAATAAGAGAGAATTTGGAGCATTGGAAAGAGCTGCAGATATGCAAGTCAAGGCAAGGCATTGCATTTGCCTCCACCGGACTGAAGTAGGGCTGAGCCGACCGAAGACAGACGGTGGAAAACATTCGCACTCAGCCAGCATCAGATCCTTCAGAGCCTGCACCAGTATAGGCAATATCAGAGAAGACGTCGCTCTGAGATGCTTCCTAGCTGTACTACTCGAGGCAATTAATCTCCCGGCTACCGTAGACGACCCTCCAATTGAACTACCCGGCGGTCTCCCCTTTCTTCAGCCAACGGTCCAAGTTAAGAGAGAGGAAGTGAACTTCACCTTTGGAAAGGCCGTCTACTGAGGGACGATTACTACGTTGGATTGACTTTGCACTATTTTTCTGTTCTGGGGTAGTACGGGTACCTTGCAACTTTCGCTTGCACTAGAACACGCTTGTGATAGCTTGACCATTAGAATGTAGAGACACTGACTCCTAAGGGATGATTGATCTATTGACGTATATTCTGCTAGGCACATTGATACCACTAGCACTACGCCCCCTCATGCGCTCGAAATCTGCACAACTAAGAAAAGACTTGAGTGCCCTGGTCGAACGTGACTTCCTCACGGCAAGGTAGTTCCCGAGCGGCTCGGCGATATCACAGCCCACTGGGACGTCATCATTGCGACCGTCAACGCAGATGGTCTTCTAAGCATGGCTTGAGATAATCCTCTATATTGCTTGTATTCAACCTTTCCATTCTGCATTGATTGCTACGAGTATCGCAATTTGTCCACACCAGATATTAAGATGAACCGCCTCCGCAATCCATTCAACAAGAGACCGCCGGCTTCCAACGGCTATCCAGCAAAACAAGATGAGAACTTGAAGCCTGTCACATCAGACAGAGCCTCGGAGCATTCAAGTTATGCTGGATCACGCACTTCATCCTCATTGAGTATCAAAAGGAGAGAGGAGCCTCCCGAGTACAAGCTCAGCGGTAATGCTTCCAACCACTCCTGGATGCCACATTTGTGCTGACCTACAGAATCGCAGTGATCAATGGCGATGTCTACCTACCTGTAACAACATCAAGCCATATGTTTTCATCCGCCATCTGACTATCTCTAGCCATCTCCGCCGGAAAAGAAGAGCTTCTGGCCAACATCGCCTCGAACGAATAGCCACCGAAGCATGCTGAACGAAAATGAGCCATTTTCAATTTCCAGAGAATCTTTCGAGTCGTATCGACGATCTTTTGTATGTTCTTGTCCTGGAAATTCCCTACTCGTTGATCTAATTTTCCAAGGACATCTCCGCGCGATCACCGGTCAATCACAATGGAAATTCGAGTCCTCGCAGAAGCCTTGACACAAGAGCCATTGCGTCACAAAATTCGAGAGTCAATTCACCCAGGTTTGAGAAACCAGATCCTATGGAGGAGGAGGGATTTGAGGACGTTGGCCTGGACGGAGATACAAAGCCACACGAAGATTCCAAGCAGCTTCCGGCTAAGAAGCGAGGCATTTTTGCTCGGTTTGGAGACCACAATAGCGAGCAACCATCACCGACAGATACCTCACGACCGAGTTCGAGCCACCGTGGCTTCCATCTGCCAGGCCGAAAGCGGGCTCAGAGTGGGCAGAGCGCTGCCGAGCTTGGAAGCATTGACGACTTCAACAGTACCAAGGAGAGTGGTGAAGTCGCTATCAAGTCGTAGGAGATGAATGGATGGACTAAGAGGAAAATTTCGTGAAAGCTACTCATCCGTATACGGCACGAGACGGACGTGAGCGGCATGACAACTTTCGATTTCTTCAGGCGTCCGGGCAAGGCGGCGTTATTGGGGTGTATGTGTACAGGCGCATGTTTGTGTTCGCTACAAGTACTAATGCTGCAAAGCATAACGTAATCATAATGAGGACTTCTACGCCGCCATAGCATGCGCAGAGAAATATGTTTACGTAGACAGGCGATAGCGGCATCCCCTGCCAATATCGACGGGGGTGTTGAAGGTGTGGAAGGCTGAGCCTGCATTTAGAGTTTATTGCCACACGGACAGACGCAGATCGACCATGATACCACCTCATTGACCTTAGCGATACATTGACATCCCAATTGCTCATACCTTGAAACCCTTCTCCTAAAGTTATCAATAGCGAAGAATACAGTCATCGCCATGTCCTACTTCTTCTCGACGCCGCTCGATATCGATATTGTCCTCGATGACACGGACGACAGGCAAGTCATTGACCTCAAGCTCGAGAAGAACAGGAGAGAAAAGGCCCCACTGTACATGGACGGCGAGTCTGTGAAGGGAGGAGTGACGATACGTCCAAAGGATGGCAAAAGGTTGGAGCACACGGGAATCAAAGTGCAATTCATTGGCACAATTGGTAATTCTATACACTATGGCTCAGCCTGCGCTTTCCCTACGACGGTAGCCTGACCTTATGATAGAAATGTTCTTCGACCGAGGTACCCACCACGAATTTCTCACGCTCAATCAAGAGCTCGCAGCACCGGGCGATCTGCAACATCCCCAAACTTACCCGTTCAACTTCAAGAACGTCGAGAAGCAGTACGAATCCTATATCGGCATCAACTGCAGGCTTCGCTACTTCATCCGCTGCACCGTCTCCCGACGGATGGCGGACGTGATACGTGAGAAAGACATATGGGTGTACAGCTATCGCATTCCTCCGGAGACCAACTCTAGTATCAAGATGGATGTAGGTATTGAGGACTGCCTTCATATAGAGTTCGAATATTCGAAGAGCAAGTATCATTTGAAAGATGTGATCGTTGGAAGAATTTACTTCCTGCTCGTGAGATTGAAGATCAAGCACATGGAACTCAGTATCATCAGGAGAGAGACGACTGGTGTGAGCCCCAATCAGTACAACGAGAGTGAGACGCTCGTGCGATTTGAGATTATGGATGGGAGCCCGAGTCGAGGTGAGATCTTGCTTCCAGCTTTCTTTAATATACATGGTAGGAGCATTCGTATTGACGATGATATTGCAGGCGAAACCATACCCATAAGGCTCTTCTTGGGCGGATTCGACCTGACGCCTACATTCAGAGAAGTGAACAAAAAGTTCTCAACACGCTATTACCTATCGCTAGTTCTAATAGATGAAGGTATGCTTTCCCCTTCTATGCATCAGCCCAGCCCAACCCTCACTTTCCCTCTTGCTCATTGTGATCCGCAGATGCACGTCGTTACTTTAAGCAGTCAGAGATCGTCCTCTATCGGCAAGCTCCTGAAATCCTCGCCGAGCAAGCTGAACTTGCGAAACAGCAACCGAGCGTGCAGATTGCAGCGCAGGCGCCGCCCCCGCAGCAAACCCAGCAGCAAAGGGAGCAACAACGCGAACAAAGAGCAGTGATTGCAGCGGCTTAGTAGCTCAGACATCAGCTCCCGCCGCCACGGCTCTCACCTGCTGCAAGCGACTGATGTGCTTCGAGGACTGCGCAGGCTCCGCTCTGTACGTGGCAGATTGAAGGAACACAGGAGAGAACGAAGATTCGCCGCTCTAGGGCGACCTCGCAACTAAGGAGGACGGACAAGGTCAAGGAGATGTGTAGCGTCACAGTTAGGGTATGGAATCTGTAGCGAACAAAAAGCGAACAGGAATGGTCTTGGGAATATGAAAGCAATGATGTAAGTCATTCGTCAAGGTGACTATTCATCATTCTTGCCATCATAAGTCCGAGCTAATTGGTACCTCCGCAGATGACCACATGAAAAGTGCATGGCAGCAAACATCCAATATGGACAGTCTTCGTTACAATCTGAGTCGCCGAGGTGAAATATGCCTCTCTACTCCCCTTTCTTATTGTTGTCCATGAACGCCTGTTCTCCGCCCAGCGCCTCGAATTTCTCCGCGGCATTCTGTTTGGTTTTCTCGGGGTATTTGTCGCTGTTCATGACGCCCTGGCGACCCCACTGGCATAAGCAGCTGATTGCCAAGGGGTAGAGGAGGGTGAAGGAGGGGCAGGGAGAGGGAGATACTGACCTTGTACCCGCTCGCTTTGTTCGAAATATCCTCCGTGTTGCCGTGGATGTTGTCCATTGGATTGCTCTGGGTAGGGATGTTTTCTTCCGCTGTGCCCGCGGCGGTAGTGTCGTGGATCTCTTGGGAAGACATGATGAATAATTTTACAGTGTTCTAACAGCGTGGGTCTTTTGCTTGACGGACAATATAATGATCAAACGTGAAATCTTTGGTTTGGTGGGAACAATAGCAGGAAAGAGGGACTAATATAGTGAGGCTACTCTACAACACCTCATTACTTTGTGTTGCAACACTTCTGATAGCAACGTCACAGCCACGTGCTTGATCGTTTGTGGCTTAGCAAAACCGGTTTCTGATATTTACGTAGGGGTCGCTAGTGCAGGAGTACCTAGATCGCGGGGAAGAAGCTAAAGCGTGTCATGAGACTGATTCCAACAAACGAAGTTTGGGAAGGCTAACAAATGATACAGATCTCTAAGATCGACGATAGCTTTGCTCAGGGTCTTCACGATATTAGACCTAAGGCAAGGCTTGAGCCTCGTCACCGAAGTCTCGCAACCATCATTTCCGGTGCTTCGATGAATCCTTTCACCCTCTCCGCCATCCTCGCCATAGTAGCCCCGTCGACAACACGATGATCCGCGCTCCAGCTAAAATTCATGACTTGTTTCCTCACTACGCTGCCATCCTCGTTAAAGGCTGGTGTCGTCCTTGCCTTCCCCAAGCCTAGGATTGCGACCTCGCTCTGCACAATGACGGGCGCCACGTATGTTCCCCCAACGCTTCCGACATTACTCACGGTGATGGTCCCGCCAGCCAGGTCCTTGGCCGAAAGTTTGCTTTCCTTTGCGAGAACTTGCAAGCTGGTACATTCTGCAGCGATCTCCTTGATTGAGCGTGAGGCGACATTCTTGATGTTGGGGACGAGCAGACCTTGCGCGGTATCCATTGCAATCCCAATATTGTGTTTCCCGCGCATGATGAGCTGCGGTTTATGGTTATCATGGCTTTCATCGACGCGGGCGTTCAAGAGTGGGAATTCTTCGAGAGCTAGAGAGACAGCTTTGACGATGAAGTGCAGGTATGAAAGTTTCTGCATTTGTTCGGGAGCGTTGTTTAATTTGCTGCGCAAGGCCTTGAGTGCCGTGATATCAATCTCGTCGGCAAAGACAAAGTGTGGGATGTTGAGGGAGCGGGTCATTGTCTTGAACATCTGGCTTTGAATGGGAGTGAGTGTCATAGGCCTCTCTATTTGTCCTTCGTCGACAGCCATGGCAGGACGGGAAGAAGCTTCTGGCTTTGCAGCGTCCCTCTGCGCAGCATACTTGTGCACATCGTCCTTCAGAACCCGTCCATCTCGTCCGGTACCTTTGATAGCTGAAATGTCTATCTCGAGCTCTTTCAATATGCCTCGGACTGCTGGAGTTGCGAGACTTGCATGCTGCGCACTCACGTTCGATTCTACATCATCTGCCTGACTTCGCTTCACGTTTTGCGCTTCGTGTACTGATGCGAGAGCTTTCTGAGGCTGCTGGGGAGACGCTGGTTCTCCCGCTTCCTTGGGCTCCGGGGCAAGCACGGCCTCGTCATCGGGCGAGATGTCGCTTTGGACATCTATATCGAACAATGCCTGCATTGATAAGCTCTTTCTGTCTCCAATCTTTCACGATGATGTCCATACCCGTCCGACTTGCACCACATCGTCCTGGTCATAATGTAGTTTTTTAATCACTCCGTCAAATCGGGATGTAATCTGTGAAGCTCGTTTTAATATCTTCTCGGACCATGTTCAGGGTTTGACTAAGGCCCTACCTCGACGATCGCCTTGTCACTGGCTACCTCACAGACTTTATCGAACTGCTCGACCCGAGCCCCAGGTTGAACGAACCATTGGATGATCTGTACCTCTTTAATCCCTGCGTACCGTCAATGGCACGCCGCAGTACAACACTTCAATTGTCCTTAGAGGAACGACTTACCCTCTCCAGGATCGGATAGAAGGAAAGGGCGAATGGCAGTATGAGGTGACGAAGTATGAAAGTTGCGGAAGGAGGAGGACCGCAAGTGAAATGGGTTACGGGACAGTCGAGAGCGATTCTTGATAGCGGGAAGCTGGATGAGCCATCGAATGCTCATTGCTACGTATCAGACATCTTCGAACATGCATGCTTGCGATGGGAAGTTCGGTATGTATGTTCTGGCGGGAAGGCCTCAGCAAATTCCACATTCGGCTATTCGCGGCCTCCGGTGTCCACACCTCTATACAAACCCTCCAATAATGAAACAGTATGACCTTGTTGAAGTTGCTGGTAGAAAACTATCTACAAACCAAGTTCTACCGCCCATAGATACATATTTTCTGCAGAATCAGACCCTGGGTATATACACAATTCCACTCATCCCCCGTCCCATGTGTTTCCAAGACGTGTTCTCCTATCTATCTTCGCCAAAATGATGTTCGTCTCTTGGAAAATATCCAGTTAGATGTCAGTTGTCGTCTCCAAAGCTTCGACCCTTAGAACGCCTCCCCATTAACCTCCCCATCAAGATGCCGTCGAGCAGTATCCAGTTTTCTCCTGCATACTCGCGCCTCGTACTTCGCACGGTCTGGCCCAAATTCGTGGAGATCTCGACAGACTTTCGCAAGGCTCTTAATCACTCTTTCGGCGAGCTCCCTGTCGCTCTCGTTTAATGTGAGCTCTGTAATGGACCCACCCGTGTCCCGCGATACCACGGCATTGAGGTATTTGAACAGTTCGGGTGCATCCTCTGAAGGGGCTGCGACACCATTCTCGGTGACAGAGTGCTCTCTCCTGTGCTTCTTCTTAGACCTCTCTTTCTTGAGGTCCGCCTCTTTTTTGCTCTGGTCTTAAGATGTCGCTGCATGTGGACATCGTTCTCTTTCTCCTTTGGAGAATCCACGAGCCAGGTCCCGGCCATCGTTTGTCTGGGCGTCCACTCTTCCTCCTCTTCCTCCTCCTCCTCCTCCCCCCCTCTTCTTCATCAATAGTAGCACCTTCCGTGGCCGTGGCAAATGTTGCTGCAGTTGACACTGAATCACTACTATTTTGTCTCATATGTTTGCCAGGAGATTCGTCTCTTTCCGCTATGGAATCATCGAGCACCATAGTCGGTGGTCTCTCGGTCTCAGTCGAGTAATTGGAGCTGTGGGTGCTACTGCGTTTGCGACCATAATGACCCATCGAACTATGAAGAAAGAAGTGCTCGTAGTCAAATGCATCGGCTCTGTCTTCATGGCGCTCCCCAACAGCTTCTTGAAAATCATCTGGTTCGGGAGGGCTATTTGCAAGGTCAATCGGCTCATCAACAAGTTTTGGAGCTTCAACGATCTCTTGCTTTGGTATCGCTGAACCTGGTGGGATATGGCGGTCGTTTTGGGTATAATCAGGCAAATATCGTGTGTGCCGGTCTTCCTGTGACTGTTCAATGTCTCTCTTTGCTTCAGAAACCATTTGCTCCCCCGGCTGTGATCTCTCAAGGTGACTTGGCTGATCTGCAATACCCACGCCAGAATCAACCTCCATGCGATCCTCCATCCCCTTAGCATCGACAGCCACTGTTGCTTCCGGCGCAGTCGAGGGCCGATCGACTCTGTCATCAACTTCAGGGACCCGCGATCCAGCTTCAGGTTGAGGCACTCCCACTATGCCTAGGCCTGTGCCACGGGTTTGCTCTTCTGCTCTTTGCACCCCGGAGTAATCTACGTCGGCATTGGTCAAAGGACTTGGTGTGCGCAAAGTTTGAAGACTTCGCCGTCGGAGGCTATCTTCCCTGGCTCTCTGCTTCAAAGTAGATATCTTGCCTTTTAAGTCCGACATTTGCTCCCGTAAGTCGCGCATTTGCGTGATTGAGCGCGAACGATTGAGACCACTTGTAGGGGAGATTTGAGGAGGAGAATCAGGAGTTCCAAATGTTTGGCGGTTCAGAGGCGATCGAGCCTTCTCCGAATCCTCTTCCTCCTCTTCTTGTATTACTTGTCCATCGAATGAATCTGGCGCCGGGCCATTTTCGTTGAGTGGCTGTAAACCACGCTTATGCCTCTCCGCAAGACTCATCGAGCGCCCCACTCCGCCGTTCCAGAATCTAGCAGGCTCAGCATTGCGTTCCGTGCCGGTTGCATCTCCTGCTCGGCCCTTGGCTGCTGTTGTATGGAGGGACGATGGTACTGAAGTCTCACTGGATATTCGCAGGTGGCCTTGCGCATCGTCTTTGAGGGAAGGATTTGCTTGCCGGTGCTTCAAGGGGGAATAGCCTCCATGCGCTCTCCGTTCTCTCTGCATATGGTGCTGAGAGGGTGTTTCTCTGTCCGCGAACGATGACATTGATGAGGACGGCCTGGAGCCCAAAGTGCTGCGTGCTCGGTTTAGATTGCCTTCCATGTTCTGCCTTGTGTCAGCTCTCTTGTAGCAGCCATATCAACGGGAGAAACCTACAGTCAACCTCTTCTTAGCATTAGCCAGAATTTCTTCTGCCCTTCTCGTCATTGCTGCATGCGACTCCGGATCTTCTTCATCTTCATCCAGTATCGAGGGGGTTTTGTAAGTGTTGTGCAGTGGATGATCATCCTCTTCCGGGCTCTCTGAGAAGCGGTCCATCCTCAAGTCATTAACATTTGCCTGAGCCGTAGGAGACGAGGTCGTCGGGCTTCCACCATTAGGCCGGTATGAGAGCCGGCTATTTTCCACCTTGATTCTCCCATGCCCTCTCTCGGAGTTGCTCCTCATTACTTGAGCATCATTTTGCGCTAGTATGCCATTACGAAAAGGACTGAGGCTTTGGTTGGCAGGTTTCAAGCGCGGCTTGTGATCTATTGAGCCTGACCTAGAGTATCTTTCATCGTCCGCAATTGGGGAAGGGAGCTGCGGGTCTTTCATTTTGACACGAGATGTCTCTTCGGAAGAAAGATGTTCGAAAGGCAAAATCAGATCGGGGTTTGTGAGGGTAGGAGATGGCATGCGCGCTGGCATGTGGGTCGCAGGAAGAACCTGCATCTTGGTTTGAGGATTCTCGTGATTGGGGGAAAAGTTGCATGACCTCAGACCCGAGGGGAGACAGTAGCGTCATTCATCGTTTTCGAGAAGTTGAATTTACCGAGTTGGAAGGACGTTACTAATGAGTCTCAGCGAGAGCGGAGAAGAAAAGACCATGAAGGGGATTGACGACAGATGAAACCGATGCAAAATGAAGAAACAGACCTAAAGAGCGCCAGAGGAGCGGTGCGGGAAGAAGAATGGTGAAGTAAGGTCGAGGTGCTCCCCACCATCCAAAAAGGGCTCATCGACCCTGCCAGCAGCAGCAGGCAGTACGACCTAGGCAGGCCCTGGCATGCCAGTTCACTTTTTGCCCCAGCACTAGCAGTCGACCGGTAATTCTGGGAGGAACTTGGCCAGGACCAAGCTCGTGCCGACATGCGCCCGCCGTTCGGCCTCATTATTAGTAACATCAATCGGCCAGTCGAACCACTCAGCGTCCGCTATCAAGAAGTGAGCCACCGCGCGGGAGGAAAGTCAATTGTCAGTCGCTGCTCTTGACTCTTGACTCTTGAGTCTTGACTCTCGAGGAACTGATTCTGAAACCTGGCCGGTGCCTGTGGCGTGCTCTTGTAATTGATGTTGTTTCCCATTATTATTCTCTCTCGATTCTTCCTGATTATGTCATCCAATATCTTGGGCATGTGTGTCGATGAGAGGCTCTATCTCATCCGGCGTTGGCAGATCTATACAGATGTAATGCCGTAGCGTCGGCGGCTGGCAGGTGGAGGCCCGCACTCTCCCCTTGCGTTAGGCTGGCCTCGTGCTCCCACGTGGCCCCTGCGTTGCTGTTGTCTTTCTATATCCGTCAGAATCATCCAAGTGGACTGGCCTCTACCCTTGGCCCTCACCGACACTCTATGCAATTGCAACTTCGTCAAGAAGCTGTTTAATAACTTGATTAATGCTTTAGATCTACCTCTTGCGAGGGATCCCAAAGCTACCTTGTATACCGAAATCTACATCTTCAAAGCAAAATACCAGGCTTATCTCAAAGCACGCCGGATTTTCACTTCAACATCCTTTCAATATCAGCGATTCTGCTTTCTTTGTGTTTTCCTCTCTTCGCCTCCTTCTCCCTAAAAGCCAATCCAATGAGCTTCCTCTTTTCACCTTGAATTTCTAGTACGCTCTCCTCAATCGTTCCCTCTACCACCAACCTCCACACCGTCGTCTCCCGCTTCTGACCAAGCCGATGCACTCGATCAACAGCTTGATCCTCAATGGCAGGGGCCCACCAGCTATCTGCTAGCACAACCTGGTTAGCTGCTACAAGATTGAGTCCGACAGAGCAGACAGCAAGGGAGGCTAGCATCACAGAGCATTTTGGATCCTTTTCAAGCGCATCGAGTGCTGCGTCGCGCTGCCGTGGGTTTAACGTGCCGTCAATACGCGCGATCTTGATATCCGGGAAGACGTTGACAAGGCGGGACTGCAGAATGTTCAGAAAGGAGGTCCACTGACTGAAGATGACAGTCTTGCTGCTATTATCTCTCTTCCTTGCCGCTTGCAGAATGGAAACCAAGGCTTCGATCTTGCTCGAGCTACTTTCTGAATCGATGTCGGACTCGGAAATGGCGGCCGATTCGCCCAAATCAATGGCAGGTTGAACAAGGCAATTGGGTTCGAGCGGTTCAGCACGACACATGGGGCATCGGTGCTGGGTTTCGATCACCTTTTCAATGCATTCAGAGCCGAAGACGTGAGCACAATTCGTTATTACGGGGTTGTGAAGCGATTCGAGGCAGATGGGGCAGTCCTCGTGAGTCTCAATGCTCAGTTGCAGCATTGATTGAAGTGCGGCTTTGTTTTCAGGCGTAAGGTCTACCTGCTTCTGGTGCTCGAGGATTGATAGGATCTCGTTGACGCGCTCGCCACAGAGCTTTCAGTGATTGCAGACCTGACGAAGGCGAAGGAGAACTTCGAGAAGGTGGCGATAGCTATCCTGGGGCTGCTTTTTAGCGCCTTGACCGTGCCGGACTGTGTTGAGAAGGCCTTTAGCTTCCTGCTGTAAGGCTTCATATGTCTCCTTTTCCTTCTTGGTAAACTCGATCCGGTGTATATATTCGGATAATTCTGGAAGCCGTAGATCGACAAATTTCATCTCCTTCTTACGGCGAAGGCAGAGTGTTGTCATTAAAGCCTGCAGGAGAAGGCTGGCATTCTCATCCCCCGCCTTCAGCGGCCGGATCAGGATGCTGTTGAATATGTCTAAACGTTCTAATCCGCCAGTCATACGAATGAATCGCACAAGAGAGTACAAGTCCCGGAGGCTGTTGATGATAGGGGTACCCGTAAGAACCCACCTTGACTGTGCAATGAGGTTGGTTGCCGCCAATGATGACTTCGTCTGCGGATTTCGAATTGTGTGACCTTCGTCAAGTATCACGCGTCGCCAGTCTTTGGAGAATAAACCATGGCTTCGAGGCACCGAAGGAGGGTTCTTCGTACCCTTCGGAAAATACTCTGTGCTTAGAGTGCCATAGGAAGTAATTACGACGTCGTATGTATCAAAGTCAGCCGCAATCATCTTCTTCTTGCTCGATCCATGGTAGATGAGAACATTCAGCGCTTTGTCTTTTGTCACATGATGGGCTATCTGACCACTCCAATTAGTCATGACGCCCACAGGGGCGATGATCAGAGTCGTCTTTCGCGTCTTGGTCTTCTTAGGATCTGCGATAATCAATGAAATCATTTCCAACGTTTTGCCGAGACCCATATCATCAGAAAGGATTCCACCACTCGCCAGGGCTGGTTGCTGGCCTTTGATGGAGAAATTTGTTGCAATATTGGTGAAGATGTCTTTATCTCGTGTCGACCGCTTCCACAACTGGACTGCTTCGGTCGAACCTTCAGTTGGAAGTTGAGGATTTTCCTTTTCAAATAACCATTTCAACGCCTGTCTTTGGTAAGGAAGCAAAGTCGTTGATAACTCTTTTGGAGTATCGGCCATCTCCATTGCCGCCAGGACGTCTTCAGCGGCGCCAAACTTTTCTGTGACCTCACCAATTTCCCTTGGATTGAAGCGCTGACTAGATTCGATGAGGTCATCGAGATTTTGGTCCGGCATACCATCCCCTTGAGAGGAGTGAACACCGACATCTAAAGACGAGGGCAGACCTTTGCCACTAGCTTTCTTTCCACGCTTCGCCGCAGCTTGTTTCAATTCCTGTCCTTTTCGTTTCTTAGCTTCCCTCTCTTTGCCATCAATGACTTCAGTCGGCAAACGATCTACCTTGAGTTGACTGCGTAGATTGGCGCGCTCGACAGGTTCGCTTGTGCCGAAGAGCTTGATTATCATTGGACAATCATAATGTCCCATTTGACCGGCTAAGGAGCCTTCCAGGAGCAAAGCACCATTATCTATATATTTCGCAAGTTTCGCTGAATTTGTACGAGGTACATGACCGATCTGTTGGCGTTGGACGTTTTGCACCTGGATCGCGTTCGAATCGTACTGCAAAACTTATGAGCAAAACTCCTGGGTTATTGCGCGCATACTCACTTGATTGTGAGGTTCTCGCGCAAGCACAACGTATTCTCCGTTATTTGCAATACCTTGATAGTACTGCACGCCAACGATCTTGGTAGTCAACACTCCATATAACTGATAAGTTGCTATCGCCTCGTCATTATCCCCTTGAGAGGAAACAACGATGTCTTCGGCCTCGTGCTCTTCATTTGCAACCCAGACTTGGCTTGCGGGCGCAGCACCGTCATTTCTTGTAGTCAAGTCGATCGCATCCTGCCGGCGCGGAGCCATGCTGTCAGTGGGTATGGTACGATGGAGCTTCAGGGACAGCTGTAGAGAAAAGTCAAAAGAATGGGGTCGCTCGGCCTTAAAGCGCGCTAAGCACACGCCACCACGTGCTCTCATCTTGGCACTGACCGACCAATCTGCGTCAGCTTCCCATGTTACAAACGAGCAACACACTTCCTATGAAGAAGCAATGAGTCAACCACGGAGGCAGATAATGGGTATTGAGACTATTTCATACCACTGGACCAGCTAAGGAAACAAATGTGACTAGATCAACTGTTCTCGTGGGTATGCATCAGTAGCCTGTGATATAGGCCGCCGACTTTGCATATGAATTAACAAAGAGATCAACACAATACGCGGAGGACGTCTTCTCGTTGTAAGCTTGCGGAGAGGTTGCCTGTCATTGACTTACTTCTCTGCGGGCTTCACTTTCGACGTACTCAATCTTGATTGTGCGTCAATTCGATTCTCGCAGGCTATCTGAACCACTTGCTTGGTCTGTATATCCAGTGTCCCTAGGTCGGCATTTTAATGTATACGAATAGTCTTGTGGACGCATGGAAGGTTTGATGAAGGATTTCGCTTGTCGAGTCTACAACATATGTACACATGATTGGACATATTTGACGTGCCACAGACTTCCACTGACATCTCAGGCTACTGCAACGACCGCCAAACTCGAGATGGCCGCAATCAGCGCCGCTGTCAGGGCGGCAATAATGACGAGATATGCAATGGTATCCGCATTCCTTAGTAATTCGTCCACAAAATCCTTGATGGCGCCGACAGCCTCACCGATCGCATCCATGATATCATCGTCGAAACAGTTGTCATAAACGACAGTATCCGTGACGCTATCCCATGCGTACAAGCAGAGCTCACCGTCCCTCTTCGCAAGCTGCTCACGTTTCCAGGAACCGCCCCCACCGCCAAGCCCAGATCTAGAGTACTTGACGATATGCATGTTGACTACTGCAGTATACGTTCCCCTTGGACCCGGATCCTGCCTATCAACGTGGAAATTTACGTGGTTCGCATTGGGAAACTTTGGGCCCGCATATCCCTCATGCGGATTCGTTAGACTGAGCTTCAGGTTGCCCACGTTTACAGGTCCCCACAGCAATCCGGCTGAACGGGCGACGAGGTTGCGAGTAAATATCTTCGGCGACAAGGCGTTTCTCAAATAGGAGTCATCGTTTCGTGTCTCGATGATTGACGGGTCAAGCGCTCGATTTTCTTTCTCGGCAGGTGAAGAGATGGCTCTAATGTTAAGTTGTGGGGCAGCCAGCGTAGAAAATCTGGAGGTGAGGCAAAGGAGGACTGCGAGAGGTTTGATACATGCAAACATGTTTGCTAGATATTGCGAAATTGCAGTGAAATTTCTCTTATTAAAGAAACGAAAACAGATCTTGGACGAAGTCTGTGTGAATCTTTATATACATGCATTCGCATGACAGCCGTGCAAAGTGCCTTATGCTTCCTTTACCTCCGGTGCTGCTGCAAGGCACGAGCGTTGGTGACGATCTCGCTAATTCTTCGCAATGACCCAGGCAAGCTTGTCTCCGTTTCGAGACACCCTTGCTAGATCTAAAGCCATGGTGCAAGCTTGCGGCACGCAACGGTCATCTATTGCTACGGCTAAGTGCGCGTTTCCGCCCTACCTTCAGCTCCGCAGCCTCCGCCATGCCGATCTACAGATCTTACCAAAAAGGGACTAAGACACCCTCCTTAGGCTGTCTTTAGGCGAGGCTTCAGCGTCAATTAATTCTTGGCATGCAACGTAGAGGCCATCCAGCCTACGTCATACGTTGCTTCAGGAAGCACATTGCCGTCAAACACTTCGATATACAAGAGCACGGAGCAACCGACCGTCCGGTCTAGCGTTTTCGCCTTTCCTCTGAGAATTGCCCAACGAGATGGGGTTGTCTCCTTTGGTCAAGTGTGTCAAATCCCCCGGGATATTGCCCGCGGATGGATGGTGACTCTCCAATTTGGGAGTCCGCTTTTCGAAGGCAAAATTCATGGATGTGGGGATAAAAGAGACCATGAGCAAGGTGTCTCCCTTGGCGGCTGACCTTCTGTAGACAAAGGAGATTTGTGAAAGTCTGGTCTTGAATCTTTCGCTGGAAATGCTCTGTCGTGATAAATTTAGAAAGTACTCAAGCACGAATGAGATAGACATGACAAGAGTCTTGTAAAGAGATCGATATCTCTCAAAACATCCTCTCTCGTACCATGGTATCACAGAATTCCTTTAAGAGTGATCTAAGTTCATTGCAAATCCATTAGATCTCCATCCTCACTGGTACGAGCAAAAGCATAGGTCCCCCGCTCTATGATGCTTCTTCTGTCTAGCTCAGCCTGATACTGAGCCCTTAGATCATCCAAGGTCACTAGGCGACGCTTCTCTCTTGCTGTCTTCTTCTCCTTTTGGAAATCGGGCTTACCCTTCTGCTGATCCTCGGTCTTCTTTTTCACCGAATCCTCGTCACCACCAACAAGTGCCCACTCTTTACCACTACCCGCACATGCGAGTAGATTGATAACAGTAAGATAGTCATTCTCCAGCTTCTTCTCCTCGGCTTCGCTGCGCCTAGCTTGCGCTTGAAGCTCATACAAAGGTGGAAGCAGCGCCCTCGCCGCGCCTTGGAAGTCACCACTGTGTAGACGCCACGCTGCTAGTATTTTCCGTATGTCCTTGGGCTTGTCTTTGGGAACCCTTTCGCAGAGTAAGGCGTCTATTTGCCGCTGAAATTTCGGCGACCAGTTGAATTCTAGCAGATGCGACGTGTTTTTTGTGTCCAGGATTTTATCGAGCAGTGTGGGTAGAAGATTTTCTGACAATGGATGCCGTGTCAAAGCTGAATGGGCGGTGGTGAAATTTCTGGTCTCAATAGAGGCGTAAAAGAGACTCGATAGCAACTTAGCGTGCAGCTCCTTCGACTTAGCGAATGGGGGCGCATGTTCAAGAGCAAGCTCGGCGAAGTATGTAGCTTGGCTAGGATTTGGAGGATCAGCACCGTTAAAAAGGTTTGTTATGTGTAGGTAAAATCTTGTCAACCCTTGACCAAAGTGGGCTGCCTCAGCCTCGGAAAGGAGATGATTAGATGATTCGTGATTGAGCTCTCTTGAATTTGCTTATCTCCAATTAGATTGTGCGAATCGTAGAGCAGAGCAAATACAGGTAGGTCACTTACAAGATCCCTCAGCTGAACTTTCAAATTCTCGTGATGCTTCATCAATATGCCCTTGAAGAAGTGCAAGCCTGCCCCGAAGATATTTTGCAGCTGGGGTTGAGGGTTGAAAGTAAGAGAAACTCGACGCAAGATCAATGTTTCGATGGAACAGGAGGAAAGATTGTATATGGACGAGTACATTCTCCCATGATACCTCATTGTTGCCCCCAATCACCCACTGAAGCAAGTCCTGGATGGAGTGTGTCAGTGCCTGGCGGCTGTCGTGTGGATCGCTCGCTTGGGGTTGAAGATGGACGGCAAATAGACTCTCGAGCACCGTCGGATTCCAATCTATTTGGGATGTCGAAGAAAGCGTCTTGCTATCGCCTTTCCTACAAGAGGTAAAGCTTTCATGTATGTTATGGCTGACAAGCCAGTGCATAACTTGATATTGTTTCAAAAAAGGCAGAAGACGTTCAAATATTTGTGGTCCGTCAAAATGTTCCATAGGCGTATCATTTCGGTCAACTTCAACTTCCGTGAAGACGGTCAGGGCAAGCAAATTACCAAGCAGTCGCTCGCGCTGGGCTACCATTTCGCGAGCTCCATTGATGATTGTGCCAAGTCCAAACTTGGTGAAGGCTAAATCAGAGCGTGCATCTGGCATCTGATGAGAGAATGATCTCATAATGGCAAAGAAAGCCTCTTTGTCAAGATTCTCTAAGCCTCCAATAGGTTCAAATTTCTCGTTCGTTAGGTCATCGAAGACCCCGTCTTCCACCTCCCCGGAAAAATCGCATTCGTCATGGAATTGCTCTAATTGGTCTCGCGAATTGAGAGAGGTCTCAGACCAAAGCTGCTTGGCAAGTGCCCTTCTAAATTTACCCTCCAAACGGCTACTAAACCTCGACCTGAAAGATGAGGCAGCCTCAGTGACGACAGCAAGTTCACTGGGAAGCTTGTGCTCGTCGTCAGTGTCAGTCTCAACCGAGCGCATGACCATGTCTGGATGTGGCAGAGACAGGGCAGTGGTTGTGTTGCTGGTCGTGCTTTCAAGCTCCGTACAAGTTCGAATAGCCGAGCAGCTGTCAGCAAAAACAATCCACGGCATATGTCTGTAATCATCAAAGGCTAGTGACGCTAGTGCGTATCTTGAGTAGTTCAGGTCACAGATGTCCTGCCATAAAAGGTTCCACTCTTGGTGGGTCACAGTGCCAGTATTTTGGGTATCAAGCGCATCGACTCGAGACTTGACCCTGCTTTCGACAGCTGAAGAAAGTCTTCTTGATATGACGTCCTTCGGGTGATGCTGAGTTAGATCGTGACGTGCGCAGTATATAATGAGTGCATTTTCGATTAAAATTTCAGGGTACATGCCGGGTCTAAGTATAAGCTCCAGCCATTTATGCTGGGATTGCACGTCGTCTGGAGGGGCGGTTTGCGGCAACCAAGTGTCGTTCCCCTCATACAGGGAGGTCGATGTCCATTGACTAGTCCATTCTGTTACGATGTTTTCAAGGATACATCGGAGATTGTACAAGCGATGCTGCCGGCCGGAACGCAGGAGAACCCACAGGCTGACCTGTCGATCATTTTCCTCAACAGAGATCCTGAAATCCGCCACATTCCAAATAGCCTTACTGGCAGGGTTTGGATCAGGATCTGGCGCTTTCAGCACTGCTTCAGGAAACAGATCCTGGACTCCGCGATCACCTGCATCTGGATCACGGATGCCCCAAAATTTGAATTGACCATAATCGTAGGGGGAGAATGTAAGCAAGTAGTATCCGTGACCTTTTAACGATCCGATCATTGTGAAAATTTGGAGCAGATTAGTATTGGCAGGATCAAGCATCATTCTGGGTACATCATGCTGCTCCCTTCGCTGGCACAGTAGATCTTTGTCAAACACCAGACCTTTGTTAAGGTTCCATATGCGTAAAGTATGGTTGAGACATACAGCGAATAGATTCTTCCCATCAGGAGATACTTCCATCGCCAGAGGTGCATTCTGTTCTAACGTGATTCCGTCGAACTGTTGCGTATTGCTCCCTTGCCAGCGTACAAGGCTCCGGAAAGATGCGGCCCAGTGGCTGTCTCCAAAAATTTTCTCATTCCATCTAGAGCCGTCCGCGCCTTTCTCTCTTGACAATACCAGTAATCTACCATCACCAAGAGAGCATATCAAATGAAGAGAGCTTGTCGCGACTAGACGATGAGCAGGGCTGACGCTCAATGTCGCCGGTCTCGATATCTTGCACCAGCCAGATGTGTCATCCTCTGACGCCCTGAGGCTGCAAAACACATCTTTAGGAATACTGAAAGTGTAAAGCTCGTGTCCTCTTGTCAACACGAAGACATGTATCAGGGCTGAATCGTCTGAAGCAACCAGTGCTACCCCCCATGTTTAATCTCTACATTAAAGCAGAGCTGAATCGTATAACACGCATCTCTGGCCTCAGCAGTACTCCTGTTTAAGTCTGCAGACCGAATTTCTAAGACCTTTTGATTTTGCACCACCCGCCAAAGGAAGCTGTGCGGATAATCCGAGGTCTTTGTATGATAGATCGAGCTTGATGTGGCCAGAAAGTATTTTTGAAACGCGTCTCGCTGATCAAAGAGGTGTTGAGAGCGGAGGATGTGGCGTGTAGGGCGTTGACGGACGCTGAAAGTGCTGTGTGGTGATGCTTGAATTTGGACTATCGATCCCGAGGGAGGCGCGTAGCCTGCGCGTGTCTCTTTCCAGAGATATAGGTTCAATGATTGGGAGGTATCCATGGCAAATTAAGTCCCCATGCAGGGTTTGTTGCCGCTAATGTGACCCTGGATTCAATATAAAAGCAACATGGAAAGGAAGCCTATAAACATATAATACCTTATAAGCGCTGTATACTTTAGGTCCGCCTGCTTCCTTGCCCTGACAGCTAATCTGACAGCTAACCTCAAGCCTTGCATTAGCGCCTCGAGGGAGCTAGCCGAACCTTAAAAGCGCGACGCAGGCATCATTAGTGCCCCCCTCAACCCGATCACACTTTTCTGACCTTACACAGATGTGAGATACTGGCATCATTATTTTTCTCCTTAAGGGAAGCTTCTTTCAAATGCAAACCTATGTTCGCGTGTATCACGCCCCCTCAAGAGTCTCATTTGAAGGTGAGAAGTTGAGTGGAGGGTTTCAATGCTATCTGGTGCTATCGAGTTCTAGCCACACAATCTGGTAAAGTTGTTACGTCTACGAAGTCGTCTGATTCTGCATCCGTTATTCTCACCGCCTCCATCTGCAAATAGCCTTCTGACAATGCTAAAAACTCCATTTGCGTATTGTAACAGGATCCAGATTCAAGCACACTATTGCTTAGTAAGCGCTGGTCAACTCAATTGGGCGCTTCACATACCCGATATCGATTGTCGGATTAAGGCTCACTAAACCGGGCGTATTGCCCATCGCTACGCGCTGGTCTCCAAAAACAGCAGACTCGTCAACTACAGACTCTGCAACATCTTTTACCTGTAGTTTCGACACGAACGAGGGTGGCGCTTTGACAAGATCTTTTCTCGTCCCACCCTTGTCACTCTTTGTCACAGCAGTCATTAAGAAATGCCGAGCTCTAGCTGATCTATTGAGAACAAGTACGTCCCACACAAACGACTCCTGTACATAGATTTCTGGCGGTGCAGTGAAAGTGATTGTAATACCGAGCTCGCTCAATGACGACAGGGATGGCTCGCTAATCAGAGGCGAGTCAGTGCTGCTACCGGTCGTCGAGGATTGTATTGTAAGACTTGAGGGTCTGTTTTTCCGTTGCAGCGATTGACCAGGGGCGCCAAAAGCAGGGTTCAGAGCGGACGAAAAGTCAACGCTTGTCTTCCAGTGCATCTGGATCAATGGTTTGCTTTGCTCGGAAGCGAGAACAACACCGTTGACTGTAATGTCTATAAGCCTCAAAGCGCTCGTGCTCGCGTCTGTCATGACATCTTCACAAGCTAGCCGATACAGAAATACCAGATTGTCCTTTGGTCGGCATTTCACCGGCAGCTTTGGTGTATGACCTTGGCCCATATCAAGTGCTGCACCGCCTACAATGTGCATCTCCACGCTGGCAATTTCAATGTCATCTTTAGAGAATGGTGCAATCTCCATATCCAATGAAGCTACGAGAGCTGCCTGACCAGGCTGAATATTTGCCTTGTGATAGCGAATACGGCTTGAGATAGCCGGGAGTGCAGGGAAGGGCTCGGGATTGTTGACCCTCATTGGCTTTGGCTGAGTCAAAGAATCTTCGCCTCTTTGCTGTACTCGATGCAACCGTGATGCTGACAAGCTAGGGGCCATGCCCTTAGTTACCTCCTTCATTCTCAGCGGCTCGAATAGGTTCTGCGATGTAGGAACGCCACTCGACAGATAAGGATCTCGTAGGGCATCTTTGACCTGTTGCTTATGGGGATGAAGAACGGCAGACGCATTAAACAATATCATGGGTGTTTTCAGTCGGAGTCTTGGCCTGCCTTTGCTCGTTTAGTTTCATGCTGGTCCTAGGATAAGCATAGACATACTGAGCATAGCCTTTACCACCCAAATGGCAACCATCGAACTAGGCTCCCTTTCGGTACTCTTATGCCAGATCATCACAGGGTCTTCTGCCGCGACAAGAGTGCCTTTCCAGATCAGATCCTGCTGTACCGAGGGTGGGGCCTCATATGATCCATCTTGGATGCGGCTTGGAACAACACCACTAGCTATGATTTCCAATGAGATATTGAGTCGCTTCGTAAACGTCTTGAGAATATCTTTGCTAGAGCTAGGGCAGCTTAGGGCAACGTAGACTGAAAGCAATTCATCTAGGGCACGCCTATGGATGAGTAAGAGAGCAGTCTCGAAATCTTATTGCAAGAGGCTTACCAAAATATAACAATGACCGCGGCGCGATTACGCGCAGCGGATGCCCATTCAAGACCTTCTTATCTTGGCTACAGATGAGCTCCTTGATGTCGACCTCTGTGGCCTGTGGTATGAGGACGGCAATTTCAGAGGCTTCGATGAACGATTCATCTTCCATCGTTGACCAAAATCCACAGTCAACAGCATGTCAGATTCTGGCGAGGACGTGATTTGATGAGCTGTGAAGGACATGAAGTACTTGAGCACAGACTGCCATACTGAAAACTTGTCATGTTGCTGGGCTTGGGCTCTCACTAGAACTAGAACTAGAACTAGAATTAGCGCACCTGCGGCAGCGGAATGCGGAATGCGGAGTGCACAGCAGGGTTTCATCTGACTGTCCTCAATACAAATCTACGTCTAAATCTAACAACTTTACTGACAACACTTGCTCCTGAACGTGTTGTCCATGACGACTCCTTACTGCCTACAGCGACCTGATTGAGAGCCATACGTTTGGCTGCCGCTTCGTTACCGCCTCTGACTGAACTCATTTCGTCATCTTCTCGAAGGCTTGAAAGAGCATACGATCAATATGATAGAAACCTCACGCCTGAGGGTGCTTCAAACCCTCAACGGTCGCTACTTATATGACCGAGTCGTACGTTCCTTCCTCCATCCGTCACACCTGGTTGCGCCCTTGAATTCAAGACCACGCTCCGTAACCCCGCTACCTTTTCTACCTTCACTGAACACAACCGGTATTCTTAGCCTGTCCTACATGCCTTGCTTCTGTTCGCGGAAATGGCCATCATGTCACGACTGGTAGCAAAATTTAACAGCTATTACGCTGACAAGCCAGGTACGTTACCCTTGATGGGACAGGTTAGATATCTACGCTGACACTATTCTTCAGTCCTTACCATTATGATCACAAACGCTGTATGCTTGCTTGCTTGTAGCCTGTATGGCGATGCTAGATCTTAAATCAGAGACTTATGTTCTTGGCAGATGCTGGGTGGCGTTGCCGACACGGTAGCTCAGACTCTCACAACCATTCGCATTCGATCGCGGCGACTTCATCACCCTTCAAAGGAGATATCAGACGGTATAGAAATGCCGTCCTATCCTGAATACGACGAAAAATCTCCCTACGCGACAGAATACATGATTCCTCTCCGGCCTGCTCCACCCCCAGCCTTCGACTTCGAACGATTGACACGATTCATGGCGTACGGCTTCATTATGAGTCCGCTTCAGTTTCAATGGTTCGCTTTCTTGAGTAGATCATTTCCAATAACGAAAACGAGCAAAAGTTTGCCAGCAATGCAAAGAGTGGCTTTCGACCAATTAATATTTGCGCCTATTGGTAAGCAGGATCACCTTCAAACAGAACGCGAAGGCTCATGACGAGAACATCACAGGCATCGCTTGCTTCTTCACTTTCATGACCGTTACCGAAGGCGGTGGCCGAAGAGCTGTCGCTAGGAAATTTCAGGAAGTATATTTGCCGGCTCTGAAAGCGAATTTCATGCTTTGGCCGGCAGTACAGATTCTAAACTTTAGAGTCATACCATTGCAATTCCAGATTGTGAGCCACCTTCCTCCCATATTCTTTGCTCCAGCGCTGATAGCATGACAGCCTTTTGTCTCGACTGTTGGAATCGCCTGGACAGCCTATCTGTCTCTCACAAATTCGAATGATGAGCCTCTTTAACGTCCATTCAGTAGAAGCCGGTGTAATGGATGCATGAAGCGGAGTCCGGAGCCGGGTATATCACATGACGGTGTTTGATTAGATCAAAAACCGTTGTGGATAGCATTGGGAGGAAATTATGGTTGATGAGCTATTGGAAGGCGTCCTCATGATCATGTCTTTTAGGGTCCATATCATAGTGAGCAAAGTATTCATTGAAAGCATTATTGATCAATTCGGTGAAGGTCCGAAATCAAAACATCAGATTATTTATACGATAATGTGCTAAAGCATTTGCTTTGATTATGCTTGGAGTTCTCGGACCTGAGCTGTCCCAGCAAACTGCTTACGTAGTCAGCAGCTATAATTGCACTCTCGGTACTCAGAGATATGCTGCTGGTGAACAATATTTTCACGCTAGAAGAGGATTGTCTGATCGCTGTATGTGATAACGTCACATTACTGACACCGATCAATTAAGATTCCTAGAAACTCAATAGAAAACAACTTTCTCTTGCAAAGTTCCTCTTCCTCTTGCAGACATCACTGCTGAAAACATAATCACTTGGGACGTGTAGGAGACTCATCATGAGATATGATTGCTCGACTCGAAGACGATATTTCATGCATACTCCGAATATGAGCCGTATATGATGGCCGTGAGGATCACCAAATGCGAAGGAATTGTGTACTATTAGGAACAAAGCCGCTGAATATTTTGGTGCAAGTGAAAATTCTTACATTAGTATGCTAAGCATGAAGCCGAGCGAGACGCTATTCCGATCCGATGCAACCTTGTTATGTCTTACAAGAAATACCCAGTACTTGCTCAACATATCGCCCAAATCGCTTGCGGCTGAGACCTTCTACAGTCTCAGATCAATGGCGTCTCTTGGAAGCACTTCCAACAGTCAATTTCTGGCTATCTTCGAGGCGCTGGATAATCCATTCAACCTGCGGATATTTGATGTTGTGTTCAATCTCTTTTCGCATATCATTAGCTGGCCAGAGCTTCAGAATTACGTGAACGGATGCTTCTGAATTACATATAGTCTTTGTCAACCTTACGCGTCAGTGTACTGCAGAATCAGCAACAATATCACAGCAAGGGCTTGCCCTGAGCTGAAACAAATTTCTTATGCCTATCAAAGGGCGAAAACACTCACGCTTTCGTTTACAGGCCAACACCGTCTTCCATGATGTCACTTTGAAGCCGGCACTGCACTGAACAGATAGACTAGCCCTTCCGACAAGGTCGGATGCGTCAGGACCAATTCGGCAATGCTCGTGTACGGCAATCCCTGCTTCATCGCTAGCTGCACGACTGGCAGCAGCTCACCAGTGCCTTGACCGAGTGCCGCAAAGCCCAAGATTTGATCATCTTCGCCTATCAAAGCCTTTGCAAAGCCGTCGGTTCTATTAATAGTCCTAGTCTTCAAGAAATTCTGCATTGGTAACTTCGCAAGCCTATATGCAATATTTTTGTTCGCCGCTTCCGCTTCGGTAAGACCCACTCGTGCAAGTTCTGGGGAGGTGAAAAGGGTGTAGGGAACCTGCCTGCCGAGTGTCTCACGTTTGCCAGCCCCTATTAAACTATCACGAACGATTCGGAAGTCGTCGTAGGCTACGTGAGTGAAGTGAGGACTGCCTGCGGAATCGCCAACCGCGAAGACGCTCGGGGTTGATGTTGAATGGAGATGCGAATCAACGTCAATATATCCGTCTGAAGTCGTTGATATTCCGGCCTCCTGAAGGCCTAGGTCGTCGGTGTTTGGAATACGGCCAGTGGCTACCAGTAAATGAGTGGCCTCTATCTTGATGGTAGCTCCATGAGATGATCCAGTGAGAATAACGGCCTCGCCTGAACATCCTTCGACAGAGACAATTTTAAAGGCGTTTTGCAATTGGACACCTTCTTTTTCAAGGATAGAGGCGATAGCTGAAGACACATCTTCGTCCTCGCGAGGCAAGATTTGAGCTGAATTCGAGAAGATAGTGACCTGAGATCCCAATCGACGCATACACTGTGCGAACTCGACAGCGATGTAGCCGCCGCCAAGGATAGCCAGATGCGGCGGTACAACGTCAAGATCAAGAACTTCAATATGTGTCAGTGGCTTAGCAGAGGCAAGACCAGGTATGGAGGGGATGCGTGTGCGTGACCCGGTACTGATAACAATTGTGTCTGCGGTCAGTGTCCGGGTTGAGCCATTGGAAGCCTCGACAATGATCTCTTTGGGAGCACCGAAGCGCCCATGTCCCGAGATCAATTCGCATCCGCTCCTCTCGAACCGCCCCCTGTGCATCTCTACCAGGCTATCAACCATATCTCGCTTCCTTTGCCTCACTACACTCATATTGACAGTTGATGTGTCGGCCTTGAACAAGCCTTCTTGCATGGCTTTCGAGGCCTCGTATACTATGTCTGCGGAGTGGATAAAATTTTTGCTTGGCAAGCAAGCAATATTGGGACAAGAGCCTCCAATGTATTGTTGCTCGACGCATGCCGTGCGTTTCCCAGTGGATGCAAGTGTCCAGCCAAGATACTTACCAGCTTCGCCGCTACCAAGGATGAGAAGGTCAAAATGAGACATGTTTCCAAAGGGGATTAACAGAGGACGAGTATCATCTCATCAGCAAGACAACTAGGGAAATTATATGTCCAGAATAAAATGCATTGAAGTAGCTTTCTGACAAAATTGGCTGACTCAACCACCTGCATGCCCTACTAGTAGTTGGATCCTCGGAATATTCCCATTCCAGGCAGTTTGCGAAAGCGACTAACGCACTGTTTGCAGCAAACCGGAGTCATAGTAATTGTGAATACGATTCTGCTTTGTGATGAAATAAATCTACGTGAAAGGAAAAACCCCTGGCGGCACCGTAGGCGAAATAAGCATCGTGAACATGAAAGCGAACAGGAAAGCAACGGCATTACACCAAAGGCCGGGATAGAGAAAGTGGCAATAACATTCTTTAGGGAACAGCTCAGGAGAGAGTTAATTAAATAGACAAGACAATAATAAGGGGGCCCAACAAATGAGTGGTCTCACGTGACTAGGTGTCATCTTGGCGTCTGGCTTGCTTTGCTCTCATCAGACCTCATCAAAATTCACTCATTCCCGAGCTACCATATCGGCTTGACTACGCCACAGGGCATTGGCAACACCTCACTGACTCGAACGACACTCTTTGAAAATCGCTTCACGCCTTTACACTCTAGCTATTCGCCATAATGAGTGCACCCGACGGTGACGACGCGCAATCTGCTTATGGCGACAACGCAGGAGGTCCCGGTGCACCCACCCCGCTGACGGCTCTAGAGGTCTGTCAAGTGATTGAATCCTGATCTTCCAGGATGCTAACAAGATTCATAGGGCGTAGCCGGTCTGACGGCACGCGACGTCAAGCTTGTCATTGATGGCGGCTTCAATACAGTGGAATCCGTTGCTTACACGCAAGTATACGACGGTCGATGAGGATCTTGTGCAAATTCTGACCTGACGACAGACCTAGAAGAGTGCTGGAGCAAATCAAAGGTATATCGGAACAGAAGGCAACGAAAATCCTGGCCGAAGGTAAGCTTTCAATGTCCATGTCCTCCTAGGTATGCTCCTCTCGACTGATCCTCCGTGCAGCATCCAAGCTCGTGCCCATGGGCTTCACCACTGCAACAGAGATGCATCAGAGACGGTCAGAACTCATCTCAATAACAACAGGGTCAAAGCAGCTTGATACACTATTAGCGGGAGGTATAGAAACCGGCTCTGTCACAGAAATTTTTGGAGAGTTTCGGACCGGAAAATCTCAGATATGTCACACGCTTGCTGTAACATGTCAATTGCCATTCGACATGGGTGGTGGCGAAGGAAAGTGCCTGTACATTGATACAGAAGGTACTTTCCGGCCAGTACGACTACTGTCTGTTGCCAATCGCTACGGACTGTCAGGGAGGAAGTGCTGGACAACATTGCCTATGCTCGTGCTTATAATTCGGATCACCAACTTCAATTACTCAACCAGGCGTCCAGTATGATGTGCGAAACACGATTCTCACTACTAGTCGTAGACTCGGCGACATCACTCTACCGTACTGACTTCTCCGGCCGTGGCGAGCTTTCTACAAGACAAACACATCTTGCAAAATTCATGCGGACATTGCAACGCCTAGCTGACGAGTTTGGCATCGCGGTCGTCATCACTAACCAAGTAGTGGCCCAGGTCGACGGAGGACCCAGTGCTATGTTCAATCCTGATCCAAAGAAACCCATTGGAGGCAACATCATTGCTCACGCTAGTACAACACGTCTAAGCTTGAAGAAAGGACGAGGTGAGACAAGAATATGCAGGATTTACGACAGTCCTTGCCTGCCTGAAAGTGATTGCATGTTTGCAATAACAGAGGAAGGCATTGCAGATCCTGCACCGAAGGATCTTGAGAAGGACTGAGAGCTCAGCAACGAGATATTTGTATGTATATCGCTTCATGCTCAGTGGAACAGCACGCAGTAATGATGATGCTTCATATGCAACGCGTTGGGATTTGCGACCTCATGGAACGAATGTAATAATTCAACAAGGAATTTCAAGCTGCGCTTTCTGAATGTAAACTCTTGAAGAACCGTTCAAGATTGGGAAGAAGTATGTGGAAACGGGCTTTCAATCCTGTCGGTGTTCAAACTGCCCCACCACAAGCCTCTGTGCCCCACCAGATTGACTTTCACATCAATTTTTGGGGCGTCCTTGCATTTGATTCTTGACTTTCCTTTGGCCACTTTCTCGCTGTGAAAGACCATTGTTGTTTTGTTCCTAGAACCTTCACTCCGAACCATGTCTCTTTCTTCGAAACTCGCGATCACAGATGTCGACCTGTCCGGCAAACGGGTGCTCATTCGGGTAAGCAGAAGCCTCAATTTTCCCGAGAGCTCCATGGCTTACAACAAGCGCTGCAGGTGGACTTCAATGTTCCCTTGGATAAAGAAGGCAATGTGACCAACAACCAGCGTATCGTCGGTGCTCTGCCTACGATCAAATATGCCGTCGAACACGGAGCGAAAGCCGTCATTCTCATGTCACATTTGGGCCGTCCTGATGGAAAGGCCCAGGCTAAATACAGCTTAAAGCCCGTGATACCTGAGCTGGAACGAGCGCTGGGCAAGGACGTCAAATTTACGAATGATTGTGTTGGCAAGGACGTAGAAGAAACAGTCAACAGCGTTTCTGGCGGAGGTGTCGTTTTGCTAGAGAATCTTCGATTTCACGCCGAGGAAGAAGGTAGTAGCAAAGACGAGCAGGGTAATAAAGTCAATGCGGACAAAGGGAAGGTAGAGGAATTCAGAAAAGGCTTGACGGCATTGGGCGATGTATACATTAGTATGTCTCGCAAAGTTTCCCATCAAATCTAAATATCCATGCTAATCTGAACAGACGACGCGTTTGGCACAGCTCACCGTGCCCACAGTAGCATGGTTGGTGTGCAGCTCCCACAAAAAGCTTCTGGTTTCCTCATGAAGAAAGAGCTCGATTACTTCGCTCAGGCTCTCGAGTCTCCAAAACGACCCTTCCTCGCTATCCTCGGTGGCGCCAAGGTTTCAGACAAGATCCAGCTCATCGATAATTTGCTCTCCAAAGTCGATAGTCTGATCATTTGCGGTGGCATGGCTTTCACCTTCAAGAAAACCCTCGAAAACGTCAAGATCGGCAATTCTCTATTCGACGAGGCGGGCTCTAAGACCGTGGGCGAGCTCACTGAGAAAGCGAAGAAGAACGGAGTAAAGATAGTGCTTCCTGTTGATTATGTCACCGCAGACAAATTCGACAAGGATGCCAAGACGGGAACTGCCACAGACGCAGAAGGTGTGCCCGACGGATGGATGGGATTGGATTGCGGTGAGAAGAGTATTGCCCTTTTCAAAGATACGATTGCGGCAGCTAAGACCACGCTTTGGAATGGACCGCCTGGCGTTTTCGAGCTAGAGCCTTTTGCCAATGGGACGAAAAAGGTCATGGAGGCTGCGGTCGACGCTTGTGGAAAGGGGAACACAGTCATCATTGGAGGTGGAGACACGGCTACTGTAGCTGCGAAGTATGGGGTCGAGGACAAGCTGAGCCATGTCTCGACAGGTGGCGGTGCGAGTCTAGAGTTGCTGGAGGGCAAAGATCTGCCAGGGGTGAGTGCGCTGTCAAGTAAGTGAGACCTTCCTCAGGACCGGCGCGTGTTGAACGCGAAGAAGCGAAGAAAGCAAAGCTGTGAAGCTGCACAAGGTATAGTCATGGTGTTTTCAGCTGTCTTTCAGGAATATTCCCTGTGCTTTTATAGTCTAGATTAGATGTCAAACGCCAGAAATTGCCATACGCTTCGCGATCGTTCATTTCTGGCCCTTCACCTTCTCTAATTCCGCTCTGGTACAGCGTGCCTGGTCAGCCAAATTCGTCAAGAGTCTACTTGAGTCTGAGGGCACCAAGGACTTACTTCAGCTGTTTGCTGAAGTCTTCGTTTGTATCGTCATCATCCCAACTCTCTTCCCAAAGATGCTGTCCCGCTGCCCCCTCCTGCTCCCTGCCAGGTGGTACCTCCTGCTCTGAAGCTGGCCAGTCTATTCCACAATATCAAAACCCGACATGGTCAGGAGGTCGTAAGCTCCATACCTTCTACGGGAAAATCCTCAAATTCGTCATCTTCTTCTAGCGTAGGCGGCGCCTCTTTCTGCTGATCCTTCATAGTTGGACCGGAGGGTGCATCAGTAGTGGTTGCTTTCGTGGTCGCGAAGGCACCTTCGCCTGCTGACATGTCGTTCGGTATGAAGTCAACACTTTTGACGAATGAGGTAGTACTGCAGCATCAATATTTGCAAAGTATCATGGACAAGATGTCGTTCTCACCAGATTGAAACCTTGTAATTTTTGCTAGCGGGGTATTTTTTGGTCCGATCAAGACGTCAAGTCTACTACTTGATCAAGCTCCATTTTTGAAGCGACTCTTTTCATGTAGTTACATACCTTTGCCTAGGGTTTTCTTTGTACCAGATGATGATCCACAAGAGACTGCTTGCAAAATGTGAATGCGGCCTTGCAATGAGGAGTGGTGGGATTCATTCACCGTACTCGGCGTTTGCGGGCATCTGGAGATGACGGCGTCACTTCCCCCGAGTTTTACGTCTATGTCTTATCACCTCAGATCTGTGACACTAGAGTACTTTTTTTCTGTCCCACGCGATCAATGATTGCAGTGTTCAAGAAACCCTCTCTAGCCCTTTAACCCATTGCATTCTCAATAAAATGCTGCGAGGATTGTTAAGAAAAGATGGAAATAATTCCACACACTCTCTCAGCTCCCTCACAGAGCTTCAGAACAGTCGGTCACTCTGACTTGCTGATTTACGTATCTAATGAAGATGCAGTGGAGGAGGCGACGCGGGCGGCAGCACATATAATGGATGATGATCTAGAGGCCTCAGAGGCCGGACTGGGTACCGGTACTTCGGCCTTTCACAAGGTACTTGGGTCGCGCATTTTAGATCTATGCCCAACGCTGATCGCCTGGAAGATTGAATTTGGCTGATGTAAGGCAGCTCGGCAAAGGCATGGTTGCTTTCCTGAGAGCTACCCTTGGATTTGAACAGGATGTCATGAGAGAAGGTAGGGACTACACCACTCCTCATACTCTAGACGTTACTGATACATCCTCGCAAACAGCATCTGAACGCCTTGCGGACGCCGAAGCTGTTGCGACTGCAGATAATCGCAGAGCACAGCACGATCCTCAAGCATTCCACTCCTCGATCTATCCGTCCGGATCGGAATACGCACTTTGCCACGCTCAGACTCAGCTCATGGCTGCCGTCGTTGGTGTACTGAATGAAAGCTTGACCGAAAGCATAAAGGGGTTTTATAAGCTGAGGAGAGCGTATATAACACTCGACGGAATTTTGTCAGCTGAAGCAAAGTACATGAAAAGGCGGCAAGGCTTGGGATTGGATACGCCAGCACAGGGGTCAGTAGATTCTCTCAAATGGAATCACTCAGCGACGCCATCGAGGCAAATGCCTGGAGGCTTTGCCAGTGGACATGCTTCTCGGGAGCCTTCGAGGCCTCCATCTGCACACTCGACGGACGAAGCATTTGCTCAGTCTCGAGATCTTCACCCCTCTAGGCTAGAAAGGATTGATACCGGAGTTACTGTGGGTGGAGGGGAAGATCATAATCAGGATAATGGTGATAGCGATGTATTTTACGACGCGGACGAAAATTTTGTCGAGGACATTACGGCCACATACACAGGCAAAGTGGAAATGAATGGAGTGACAAGCAGCATCAACAAAGCCTCGATTCGAGATGACAACGTCGAAGCTCAAGCTCTAGATCTTCCAACACCCAAGCTACCCATCAATCAACACGACCTGCTTGACCACGACCCTGATTCCGATATTTTCTCAAATCCCTTGGACGTTTTCATTCACTCCGGCGCTAATCTATGTTTTGGTCTTCTCAATATCATGCTCTCTATGATCCCGCCGTCTTTTGGCAGGCTTTTATTCATCATAGGCTTTCATGGTGACAAGGAACGTGGGGTGCGGATGCTCTGGCAAGCTTCTAAATTTCATAACCTCAATGGTGCTTTTGCAGGACTGATCGTCTTGGGCTTCTACAACACTCTCATCGGCTTCTCGGACATTATACCAGAGTCAGACGCAAATGCTCTGGCGGAAAATCCGATTGACGGCTACCCCAAGGAGCGCTGCGAAGCCTTGCTTGCAGAAATGCGCCGTAGACATCCTAAATCTCACCTCTGGCTACTTGAAGAAGCACGTATGAATGCCTTCAACCGGAACCTCTCGCGCTCCATCCATATCCTTGAAAACGCGTCTAAGTCGCGGCTGAAACAAGTTGAAGCCCTCGAAATGTTTGAGAAATCTCTCAATGCAATGTATAGCCACCGGTACGAGCTCTGCTCGATGTCCTTCATCTCTTGTCTTACACTCAACAACTGGTCTCCTGCTCTCTATAATTACATCGCTGGATCCGCACACGTAGAATTGTACCGTCTCCTCAAAGCATCAAATCCTGCAGAAGCGAAGAAGCATGCCACGAAAGCTACCGAACTCCTCAAAGCCACACCTCAGCATGCCGGCAAAAAAAAGTTCATGGCTCGACAGCTTCCTTTCGACGTCTTTGTGACGCGCAAAATCAAGAAATGGGAATCACGCGCTGCTCAGGACTTGAAATGTTCTTTTATCGACGCAGTAGGCATTTCACCCATCGAAGAGATGATATTCTTTTGGAATGGGTACAAGCGTATGGATTCTTCGCAACTCGAAGACAGCTTGAATCGTCTGAAGTGGACTGAAAGCTCGGCGAACCCGCAGTGGCAGCATGACGTTGCCGCATATGACGAGAAGGCGATCCTTGCCGTGCTCAGAGCTGCTACTTTACGTAATCTCGACCGCCTGGATGAAGCAGAAGCGATCTTGAAGAAGGAAGTTTTGGCGGTCGATAAAACAGAGCTTAAAGGTGGATTGAAGGATGATTGGTAAGTGATGTTTTCGGAGTCATGACTCGAGAGACATGTCCCGTGACTCCTTCTCACAGTCTAAAGAAGCATTGCTGACTCCGATTTGCTGAAGGACGGCTCCCGCGGCGCATTATGAAATGGGGGTACTTTGTTGGGCGAGGAGGAAAATAGCTGCAGAGGATGGTTCCGGGCCGAAAGAGGAAGAGAGGTGGGTTAAGGAGTGCGAGGGATGGGTTGGAAAGGCGGCGAAGTGGGAGGGATATGATCTCGATGCCAGACTTGGTCTCAAGATTGCAACGGCGCAGGACACGCTGAAGCGGTGGAAGGAGAAGAGGGAAATTGGGAAGAGTTGAAGAGTTGAAGAGTTGAAGAGTAAGGCACATGTCCCACAGACTAAATTCATCATCTCCGGCGCATGCATGAAATCTAAATCATCTCGAATGGAACGTCCGGTAAGATTTGATTTCAGTGTTCTTGCCACCACGGCACATCCTCTTCGAGAGAGCTCCATCATCATCATAACTCATCTCGCTCTAGCTCATAGACATCTACACCAGCGAGCGTTAGATTAATCTTTTCGAAGACTATTGTCACGCTCGCTTTTTTTCGTCATTATCTCAATAAATCTCTTGCCTTGACTTTCAATGCGTACGACCTATCAAACAAGAAATAACTACTTCAAGAGTGTCGCACCGCCTTTTATGTTCGCTTAAATCTTGTAGGTAGAATTCCAGTTCCTGAAACATTCTCTTCATCGGTGGAAGAGACGTGAATCGTGAAGTTCTGATTGACGGCCCTTTTGAATCCTTAAAGGACTTAGGGTTTATACGACAGCACAGTCGAATAAAGCAAACCTCTGAACGTTTTGCTCTGACCAAGCGATGAGGTTCGTGATACACGCCGGCTTTATCGCCAGCGCTGGCGAATATTCAAAGGCTTTGAATACTCTGCTAGTAAAAATGATCATTCACAGTAATTATAAGTATGAATGGCAAAAATGTAAGTCTAGTTGCACACCAATTATGACAGGAAGATTTGACCAGCACCTAAAATCTCGAAAAATAATTGTTACAACGGGTACGCTCTGAGGGACGAAATTTGTCTAGTCAATATCACATATATTCGTACTGAAGCCTAACAAGCAACGAGGCATCACATCGCCACATAAGAGCACGAAGCTAGCCGTTTATCGAGGAAAGCCTCTTGTAGCCTACCTGTTACCAGTGGACTTCTACCAGTGGGAATAGAGTATCAATTCTCAGCAATTGGTGCAGTGTGATAGCGTTACCTTCGTCCGCCAATAAGTTTATCAGAAGCGAGATAGTATGTCAACTAGCTGGAGGACCTGATATCACCTTGATGTCGGCGGGTATGACTGCCTCATGGCATGATAGTTATCGTGACGTGGTATTGCAAGACAGCTTTGTGAGGACGTAACAGGACTAGCTGTACGGAGACTGGATTGGAGACATATCATTGAACCGCTCGGGAAATGTACTTTCAGATAAACAGAAATGCAGGAGACTGTTGAGTCAGGGAAATGTTGGTTTTAACACAAGTCAAGAAAGACACGGTTGCTGCAAAAGGTTCTTATAGATGGAAGAACGAATTTCATGAGAAGACATTCAGACTAGAGAAAGGCTATACTAGAAGACTATTCAAACTGTAGTAATCAATGCCGGTAGAACACACCTGAGATACCGAATGATTCTTTCAATCTTTCAACTCGCGATCTGCTGTTATCGCCTGGGGGTATAGAAATAGACTAGCTGGTAACTAACACACAGACTGAATGATAGCTGAAAAGTAACGAACGTGCTGTCCTTTGTCCCGCTCGCTGGCTCGCACACGATGCTGGAATCTGTTGATACCCAACCCTTCAATTGAAAGACAAAAGCGGCCGATCCAGCCCCCAAATCACCATTTCCTTCGTGTCAACCCAACGATAGCCTAGAACATCTTCGGGAACCAACTACTCCTTTTGCCTGCTCCAGTCTTGGCTTCCCACGTCTTCTCTCCATTACCCAATCTTACACCCCCGAGTGCATCAGGTGGACTCACACTCTCTTTTCTCCCCAGACCACCAGACATAGTGTCCCTCTTCCTCCCACCACCCCCGCCACGTCGGTCTTGGTCCTCGCTCAATACATCAGGATAAATCTTGGTCCGCCCATCTCTCCGTGAGCTCTTCCGTCGATTCTTCTTCCTCACATCCTCATCCGCAAGGAAGTCCTCCGTCATATCCTTCCTGTCACCTGCACCTAGATCTGGCTCGGCTTCCAAGATCGTGCCCTCTACTGTCGGCGGGTCAGGAGGGTCTGAATGCTGCGACGCAACCCAAGAGGACGTGTGATCCCTTCCACCACCCGCCACGTAGGGGTCGTTGTTTTTGGAAACACCCGGCGTCCCTGGCTGCGTGGATTTTCTTCGCGAAGACTTTGGTCGTCTGGACTCGGCAGATGGTGGCTCCTGCCCTCCCGATAGAGGATCGAGATACGACTTGTGTCTCTCAGACCGATGTTTCGACCTCGAATGCGACGACTGATGCGTCTCGTCTGTCTCCCTCCTTTTCGTCCGTGGTTTGAGAAGTACCTCATCGGCGAGGTCTTTGTTGGCTTTATCTTCCGCATCTTTCGCTCTACGAGCCTCAGAATTGTCATCCTTGGCACGATGAGCGGCTCGGCGGGCTTCGCGTTCCTCCTGTTTCTTTGCTTCTGCGTCTCGTTCTGCTTTGCGACGTTTACCGCGCCGCTCTTCGATCGCTTGCTGTTCTGCCTCGCGAGCTAATTTCGTGGATTGTTTCTCTTCTGAGCGTTTCGCGCGTCGCTCTTCCCGCCGAACGGCCTCTGCGTCTTCAGCACCGGCGGTGGCTTCTGGTTCGGTGTTATAGACGTAGCCCTCCGCTGCGCGGTCAACTTTAGTGGATTTACGGCGTTCGTGGCGCGGCCGTTTCGTACTGTCATCCCCACCGGCAGCGGAGCGTTTGCGCGGGGTCACATCGTCTTCCACCACCGGTTTGCGGTCTAAGGTTTCTGATGCCCTTCGACTCTTTCGAAAAGCACCGAATAGACCACCAATCTTACTCTCCGGTTTTTTGGAAGTGTTGGAACGTTGCAGGCCTTTAGGTTTGGTGATGAAGGCCATGTCGTCTGGACCGTCGGCCACATCCACATCATCTGACGGACCTGCGTCTACCATTACAACATCATCATCGCCCCCAGGAGCTTTCGATTGTCGCTTTGAATCCCTCTTCGAGCGAGTTCGATCAGGCAAATCCTTCTTGAGAGGCGACGTCTCCCGTTCGTCCTTGGTCTTTCGCTTTGAAGACTTATCCTTGCCAGACTGCGGAATAGGCGCATTGATCATGGGATTCTCAGGCGCATTGATCATGACCATGTCATCGTCGTCTATAGGGTACGGATCAGGAACTGCTGAATTGATCACGTCAGCGCCCTTGCTAGATGGCTTGGTAGCTTCCACATGCTTCTTACCTGGAGGCTTAGATTTGTTCTTGGTGGATGAACTTCGACCTAATTTCTTAGAGTCCGTTCCAAGCAATTTCGCAGCCTTACTTGACGTCTTGGGCGTATCCTCAGCAGGCGGGGATGGTAGACCTGTGACGTCGGCATCGTCATCCTGAGCTCGCTTTGCACCAGAGGTGGCGGTGCTGTTACGACGGGAAGATTTCGGCCTGGAGGGCGGTGGAGCAGCCCCAAATAAAGCACCAAAACTTGATCCTCTGGATTTTGAGGGACGTGTTTCGGCTTTCTTTTTCGGTTTCTCTGACTCCGAAGATTTCGATTCTTCCTTCTCGACCTCCTTGGTGGTTTTGGTCGATTTTGACCTACTTAGACCAGCAGACGATGGCTTCTCCTTTTTCGGCGGCGAAACGTCAGCGTCATCTTTGGATTTGGTAGTTTTCTTCACGTCCTTCTTCGGGGTCGCAGCTGCCGCCCCCAGAGCCCAGCGGATTTGGAAATACGCGGCCGTTCCTTCTTGGCCGGTTTCTCTTCCTTTTCCTCTGGAGGCGGTGTCGGCGGTGCCTTTACTGGGGGTTTCTCTTTCGCGCTCTTCTTATCTACTGCCGCTGACTTGGCGGATTTAGTTACTTTACTGGATTTGTCTTTACTCGATTTTTTTTCCAGGGCAGGTGACTCGCCCTCGAAGTCGATCAAATCATTGAAGTCGTCATCCATTCCGTCGCCGGGGAAACTACCGGGGACAACGTCGTCCTTGGGATCTACGAATGCAAAGGATTTGGTCTTGCTCTTAGTCGCGGCCGCCGCAGCAGCAGCAGACTTGGATTTACTGGCAGGAGCCTTTCTATCCTTATCAGATTTTGATTTGGGCTCGGGATCATCCGTCGGCGACGAAATTGGCTCCTCCTGCTCTGCCTCCTCCAACTTGGCCTTGGCGCGTTCCTTTTCGAGTTCCTTCACTCGATCTTTCACCGAGAGCTTGTTCGATGGTTTGGTCGTGGACATGGTCGACTTGGACGCTTTTGAGTCCCTGAGGATGGAAGGTTTCTCGGGTTTGTCAGCGTCGTCAGAGACTTCCACCTCCTTCGAGATGGCTCCTTTCTTACCCGAGCCCTTCTGATTGGCCCACATCGAATTGGCAATTTCTTTAGGCTCTTCCATTCTTTTGCCAGATGTCTTCTTCCCCGCCTTGATTTCTTCTTCTTCTTCTTCATACAGATCGTCAAGAAGGTCCACCTGCTTATTAGCATCTTTATCCTTATCAGCCTTGATGTCACTCTTTTTCGACTTGCTGTCCTTTCCCCATTTGCCCCCTGCTGATGCTGCTGCTGCCTGTTCCGCATCGTCATCTTCGTCGCCTTTCGTTTTCGTATCCTTGGACTTGTCCTTGTCTTTGCTCGTCGTCTTCGTCAGCTTGGATGTCTTGTCTTTCGACGACTTCTTCGTGGCCTGTTCCTCTGCCACTTCCTCAAGGTCCTCGTCCTTGCCCTTCGATTTTGCAGTAGTGGTCGCGTCCATACCACCCCAAAAGCTTCTTGCTGCTTTGGCTGCCGACGATTCTGCCTTCTTCGACTTCTTGTCGTCCTCTTTGGATTTCGTTTTGGTCGCGCTCAAGATATCTCCCCACTCATCTTCAGGTTCCGGGGTCAGGCCTTGCGCAGGCGGAGTTGGCGCAGGGGGGGTGGGTCTTCACTGGCCATACCTTTCTTGCCCTTCTTGTTCTTTTTCGAAGAAGTATCCCAGCTCCCCCACGGATCAACCGAGACTGGGTCATCGGGAACAGAGTCCTCCAGCAAGTCTTTCATCCTCGTAGCCTTGGAGGTGTCAGGCGTCGTAGTTTTGCCTTTCTTGCCAGACTTTCCAGCTTTTTTGTCTTCCTTCTCTTGAGCTTTTTGCTCTTCCTCCTGCCTTTTCAGCTCTTCCTCCAGTTTCATTTGTTCCTCGGCCTCTAACTTCACTCGCTCTTCCTCTTCTCTTTCCGCCCTCTCCGTCTTTTCTCTTTCCTCCCTTTCTTTCTCACGTTGTCTCTCCTTCTTTCTCCTCTCGCGAAGAGGCAATTTAGCCCAAGCCTCGTCCTCGGCTCGTCTTTTCTCTTCCTCTTCTTGTCGCAATCGCTCTTCCTCTTCTTGCTTTTCTCTCTCGGCCCTTTCCTTTTCCTTCTTCTCGGCCTCACGTTCCTTTAGCTTCTTCTTCTTCTCCCTGGGGTTCAAGCCGACCGCCCAGCTGTCGTCTTCGACTTCTTCCTTCTTCACGATTTCCGGTTCGAGTTCGGGTTCCGGCTCCAGATCAATGAGTTTGTTTTTCTTTCCCTTCTTATCTTTTTCTTTCTTCGGCGGGCCATACGCGTCATCAATATCAGGCACGGCTGGGACGGGTGGCGGTGGCGGTGGCGGATCCTCTCCTTTAGAGCTGGCCATAGAGTTGCGCTTACTCTTCTTACCCTTCTTCTTGGTATCGTCACCCCAAGTTGAGCCCCAGTCGTCGTCCGCAGCCACACTGGCAGAATCCTTGACAGATTTCGTTTCGGATTTGCTTTCAGCATCCTCTTTCACCTCCGATATGAGGCCAGTCTTTTTTTTCTTTTCTTTCTTCGATCCAGATCCCCAGATACTCGTGTTATCATCTACAATCGGATCCGGTTCGATGGCTTTGCTTTCCTCAACATCCTTCTTGCTTTTCTTTTTGTCGTTTTTTCCGGCCCCAAATGCGGCCCAGCGATCGTCACCACCAGTCTCGGCATCGTTCTTCGTTTGGTCCACAGCGCTCTCTACTTTGTCAGGCTCATCCCAGATTGACTTGTTTTTGTTCTTCTTGCTATCCTTCTTAGCCCCAAAACTTCCCCAACCTGTGTTTGCTTCGGCCTCAGCATCAGGCAAAGCCGTAAAATCAGCTTCTTCGGTCTCCCGGGTGCCCTTTTTCTTCTCTTTGTCGCTCTTACTGAAAGAGCCCCAGCCAAAATCCAAGTTTGCATCGGGTGTGTCCTTGATGGCCGAAGTTTCTTCGTCCTTTTCTGCGTCTTTCTTGCCCTTCTTATCCTTTTTCTTGCCAAAGCCCAAATCAAACTCATCGAGGGCAGGTTCTTCTTTGGCTTTTGTTTTCGAGGGGACAGCAGCAGTTTCCTCCGTTTTCCCTACATCCTTTCTCTTGATCTTCTTCTCAGTCTTGCCGAAGGATCCCCAGCCGAAACCCTCAGCCTCAGGTTCTTCAGGTGAAGCAACTGCAGGATCGGCAAGCGCATTGGCATCCTTTTTGCCTTTCTTTTTCTCCCTTTTTGCCCCGAAACCCCAGGCATCGTCGGCTTCTGCTTCTGGCTCCTCTTTCAAAACTAAGGGCTCATCTGCCTCGTTGATCTTTTTGCCCTTCTTCTTTTCCTTCTTCGAGCCAAATCCTCCCCAGTCATCTGCTGTATCAACAGCGGCCGCCATAGGAGGCACCGGAACAGGAGGGGTTTCTTCTGTCTTCTTACTTTTATTCTTCTTACTATTCTTGTTTGTGCCCCACCCTCCCCACGAATCATCACCATTTGTGTCAGGTGGGTCAGTAGTCGCCATTCCGATTGTAGAAAAATCAACTACATCATTGGCAGTATCGCCAGCCACATTCGTCTTCTTCTTGCTCTTTTCCTTCTTGGTTGCAAAACTGCCCCATTCGTCGCCATTTTGATGCTCCTCTTTGTTTGTTTCAGCTTCGTTGTCCTCATCTACAGCACCCAGATCTCCAAAATCGAAGGCTGTTGTCGTCGTCTTCTTCTTGCTATTCTTTTTATTACCGCCAAAAGACCAAGCATTGCTGTCATTGGTAGCATCCGAAGAAGCGCCTTTCTTGGACAGTGAATCTGCAACATCTGTTGACCCGGGGATAGCGTTGTTAAAACCCCAAGTGTTACCTGAGCTCCATCCACCACCGCCAACACTGTCCCACCCCCCAAAGCCAAAATCCTTCTTTTCACCTCCGTCTCCAAAGCTGAGATCAATTTTGGGGGCATCATCGTTGAGATCAATATTATCGAACGCAGTGGTGGCTTTCTCTTCGCCTGCATCGGTCTAAGATCTATAAGCAAGTTTTGATTTAGGTCCGAGGCAACTAACCTTGCCCTTTTTCTTTTTCTTCTCCTTCTTAGCAGCGGCGGGCGTGAAGCTGCCCCAGTTGTCCCCTTCTTCATTAGCCCAGTCCAAGGGGTCATTTGGGGCTTCCCCATCCTTCTTCTCTTCCTCTTCTTCCTCCTTCTTTTTTTCATCGTCTTTTGCTTTCTTTCCCTTCTTCTTCTTATTTCCCGCGCCAGTGTCATTCCATTCATCATTACCCCAGCCATCATTCCCACCACCATCGCCACCCGTGCCCCCAGCATCGCCTCCACCAGAACCTCCTCCTTCGCCATTTTCTTCTCCTTCAGCGCCCCCTCCCTTATCGCCACCCTCATCCCCCGATCCGGCCCATTTTGCTTGATCAGCTGCCTTTTGCGCCTTCTTATTCTTTTTGTTGGGTGCTTGACGTACATTGGAAGCGTCTTTGAGGTTAATCCGAATCTTGCATGGGAAAGTCGGGGATGTTATCGGGTCGAGCTCATGATATGGGGGGGGCAACGGGATGATCTTGAGATCTACAGGGCGACCCAGCGCATCATTGTGGTAGTATTGTGGTGGTAGATCATTTATAGAGGCTTCGTAGGATGGTGGACTTGCTGGGCCACCTTTAATGCAAGGTAGAGGCTCACTGCACAGCCTAGAATTTGTAGCAGCCCGTAGAGAGATACGAGGCGTCACTGCTTGATCCTATATGCCAACTCGTTCAGTATCATAGCTTGAAGTACGCGCGCAACATAAACATCCCTAGCACCTGGTTCGGAGGCGCAAAAGGGCGGCTGAGGCTAAATGCTTACACATTGGATCTGTGCTGCAGGCTTCCTCAGCTGACAATTGTATGTATTCCTGCATCTTGAAGTCCACTGGTTACATATCCATCGTCTTGTCGCACTATCCAAACCAGTCTTCAGTAACGGGCTCTTTGGCTCGGCAAATCCATTGTCGCAATGCGATCTGACAGCTACTGCTGCCATTGTGCTTGATTTGTGCAAGAACAAGCTCGGCGATGGAGAATGAGCTCATGGAAGGCGATAGGACTGATGAAGAAGTCGACGAAGATTAGATGAAATGGTGAACGTTTGGACGAAAGGCGTTGGCGTGATAGCAAACTTCCACCCAAGGATCGCTGCAGTGCAAGGAGAGAGCAAACAACACACTGTATTTGTTATCCGAGATTGAGATAGATGACCAGAAGGTGTGGTGGAGGTAGTGGTGGCAGCAGGTCACACGACGAGCTGAGTTGAGGTGATCCTCCTGTCAAAGGAGGGCGATCTTTGGACCCCAATCTACCCTGCTCGTTCTAATTGTGTATCACGGCCAGCTATCGATGAAGCCGAGCCCACACCCACCCAAAGTCTCTACGCAACTACCGAGGATACGCAGTGATCAGAGATGCAAGGAGCCTTGTAAAGGTGACCGAGAGGAGGACTTGCCTCCATTCCAATAACCTTGCTAATATCGACCAGTTCTTGTCAGCGATCGCCATTGGCTTATCATCCCGCCACGCTACAACCTTTCAAGGCCCATCATCTACGAGTATTGCGTCTGGTGCGTTAGTTGGGGCCACTGAGACCCCTCAATGCCTGATCCATATGCTAATTGGCCTGGTTACTTCCGGGTCTTGCCTCAAAGCGCAGTTACAACCACAGAAACGTGAAAGCGTGCAGCTGCTTGGTCTACTCCGTATATTTTCGTTAATAAATGCTGGCCACAAGCCAAGCAAATTCCCCCGGGGAACATTTTAATTTCCCAAGCGCAGATCTTATTATACAAAACGCCTTGCCTATACCCACATCTAGCCATGCGTTCATACGAATCATCCGCTGCAATACAGAAACGCCTTCGACTCTTTTCTAGCCACTCCGGGCGGTCTCTTTGCAAACCAAGTGTATCCTCACAGCGCCTTGCACATGCCGCTAATTGGATGTTCGAGCTCTAATATCCTATCCTCCAGCGCTGATCGCTCTCTCACCTTGACTCATGCCGATTCAGATACCTCCTGCTTCACCTCTGGCTTGACTTCAGATGGAGCTGCAGGGGTTGTGGCTCCATTGGATTGTCCGTTGGGGTGTTCGGAGGTCTTGCCATTGACTCCAGCGCTGTCATTCTTTGTATTTTCCTCCTTCATAAGTCTGGTAAACAAACTGTTAATTACGTGGGCCTCGGTGCCAGGGTTCGGCCAGTACGTAGCCACAAATTCCCTAGAATGCGTGAGTTGATAGTAGCAAAACACACACGTCAGGTTCTGCTTACCAAAATGAATTGCCCAGATCGCCTCCTTCGTCAGATGCCAGGCTTTCAACATGTTTCCCTACTTCTAAAAGCTCCCTACGGAGCGTGGTCGCGCGCTCCGCCCTATTCTGCATATTGTGTTTTGTAGCATTTTGAATGTTTTTTAGGTTTTCGCGTACCGGCTTAAAGATCTTCCACATGAGACTGTCCATTGTGGAATCACGGCCGCTAGGTTCATTGCTACGGCGATGATTTTGCTGCCCGGCGGGCGAATGATGGTTTTCTGTATGTGATCGTGGTCGATCCTGCCGTGGGGTATACCCGTTTGCCTCAGCAAGGGAGATTCGCCCTTCCGCGTTGCTTCGGTGTCGATGTTTATCTATATCTCGGTGAACTTTTCGGGCAGATGACGGGACAGGCGAAGCGGATACACTCCCGTGGCCATCCCCGAGGCGAGCTTGTACGCTGCTCTTCTTGTTGTTGCGATGGTGATTCTCAACGGCACGTTTGGCGGCTAGATTAGTCCCTCGACTTGTTTTCTCTTTCAGTACAGAGAGGAGATAATCTTTCCTTCGCACAAGATGAACGGCTCCAGGCGATTTGAGGCCCTTCTCTCCGCCTGTGATGCGTTGTTGCTGCTTCTCAACCCGATGTTCTTCCAAGAAGAGTTTGTCCTGCATTCCCAGCTCGGGGTCATCGCGGATAGCCGCCCAACTACCATCACCGTGTCTTACAATACCCAAACAAAGCATACCATCTTCGCGGGCTCCCCACTCACAGCTATAAGTAGCAGGTTTGGAGGCTTCGGGTATTCTGAAACTTTTGGGATCTGCAAATTTGGCAACCTCATCCATCAGCATATGCATCTCACCGGGTCTTTCAGCAATATGTTCGGCGTTATTTCGCTGAGCGTCTCTGAAGTCAAAGAGAACAGCCTTGCGATCCTTTTTGGTAATCGTTTTTCCAGATCTTTCCAAAGCGGCAAGGCGATCATGTTCCTCCTTGACAAGCCTTGTTGCGGTAGCGAAGACTTCATCAATGGTCGCCTTGACGACTGAATAATCTCTATTGGTAAGTCGAGCTTTTTGTAGGATCTCGTCCTTCCGTTCGTCCATTAGACCAAAACGTAAGAAGGCGGTGATTAGGTTTCGACATTCTTTCGTATTCAATGGCCGACTTGGGTCAAGACCAGGCTGTTGGTCTGATTCATCGTCGGAGTCAACAGTAGCAAGATCTCTTGCTCTCTTCTTAGCGGCTCGCTCCGCACGTTCTTCATCGGCTTTTCTTTTCCTAGGGGCGTTTTGCGCGATGACGTTGTTCAGGTATTGCTCATCTGCTTTATGCTTCTCCTCGGCTTTGATGGCGTCTAGCTGTTCCTTGGGGATAATGCTATCCCACTCGAGTTCCTTCATATCGACATCAGTGTATTCGAATGATTTCAAGAACTCTTCACCACCATCCGCATCGATGGCTTCAGCTTGTTCCGTTTTGTGCTCCTCGGCATTTTCTAGCACAGAGTCAATATCTAGCTCCTCAAGTTTCTTCTGATTACCAGACTGGAGGAACATCTTCTGGCCTCGACGCTTGAGGATCCGGGATATATCTTCTGCAGAATTTGGCTCAGCGTACTCCACCTTCTTATGGTCACGTGCCATTTTCTCGGACAGACGTTTTTCGACGTCCTTGTCAGTAACTCCGCGCTGTATGGTGATGAATTCAAGCATGAGCTTGTTGCGCGCACGCTCGAGAACTTCTTCTTCCACGGTCTCCTTAGCAACAAGTCTGTAAATGCTGACTGGCTTGGTCTGTCCAATACGGTGAGCTCGAGCCATTGCTTGAAGGTCAGCTTGAGGATTCCAATCCGAGTCAAATAAAATGACTGTATCTGCGGTCATTAAATTAATGCCTAAGCCTCCAGCACGCGTAGACAGTAAGAAGCAAAAATCGTTGCTTTCTGGGGCGTTGAAATGATCAATTGCCATGCGACGCTGGGCTGCAGAAATGGTGCCATCCAGACGCTGATACTGGTAGTTGCGAAGATGTAAATAGTCGCCGAGAATATTGAGCATCATCACCATCTGACTGAAAATCAATACACGATGATTATCTTTTCTGAGCTTCTTGAGCAGTTGATCAAGAAGCATCATTTTGCCACTGCTAGTGATGAGGCTCCGCAGCGTATCCTCCCGACTGGTGCTGCCATTGAGAATCTTATCCTCGGCAGAGGGAAAAATGAACGGATGATTGCTAGCTTTTTTCAACTCCATCATGATATTGAGAAGTGTGTGCTTGTGCCCACTCGCTCCCTCGTTCAGAGCAGTGTAGTTCCTAGTAAGAATATTCTTATAATATTCGAGCTGAACATCAGATAATTCAACACGGATTATTTTTTCAGTCTTTGGAGGTAGATCGTTTTCGACTTTATTCTTCGTACGGCGAAGCATATACGGCTGAACAGCCTTGGTCATCTCGTCAATTTTAGCGCCGGCGGCTTCGGATGTCAAATCCATCTTCTCGTCGATCTGGACAGCCCCAGGCATGAGAAAATCCATCAACGAAGACAGTTCGCCAAGCGTATTCTGCATCGGAGTGCCTGTGATTAAAAGCCGGTTAGGTGCCTTGAAAGCAAGGAGCTTTGAGTACAGTTGTGATTCTCTATTTTTCAAACGATGAGCTTCATCGATGGCCATGAATTGCCATTTGATCTGCGAGAGAAAGGAAGCATCTTTGAGAGCCTCTTCGTATGTTGTGAGCATCACGTGAAACTTGGGTCGGTTTGATGTATCAAGCAACTCATGGTCGATGATGATGGATCGTGCAGTCTCATTGCCGTAATATACGACGTAATTGATGTCCGGAGTCCAATAATCAAGGGTCTCTGCCCATGAAGGTACAGTTGAGAGTGGGACAATTACGATGAACGGTCCTTGTTGCCCTCGCTCGTTCCGCAACCAGTTCATGAAGGCAACTGTCTGGACAGTCTTGCCTAACCCCATTTCATCCGCCAATATTACATTCTTTGATTTGCACCAGTTGTAGGCTAAGAAATTCAGACCATGCAATTGGAACTCGCGTAGCGTGCCGTTTTTGATGTAAGACGGTTGTTCTGCAATGCGTTTGAAACTGCTTCTTGTATTTGGGTTCGATTCCGTCTTGTTGGACTGGGGTAAAGATGATGTTCGGTTTAGATAGCGATCGATCTCGAGTTGGGCGATCTCGCTGACCAGCCCGCCTTTCTCCCAGGTGCACATGTTATAAGGCAACCCCTTCCCTAGAAAGAATTAACATCTGATGGACATGGTATCTCCCAGGATACTGACATTTGATGAAATACTCGGTAGTGTCATCGTCACCATCTCTGACACCGATGACTCTTTCAATCTTGACGTAGTCAATCAATGCATCGGTGTCACGCTCACGATCTAGATTCCATTTCTCGCGCTCTTCCAGCGGTATATTTTCATCTCTGGACATAAAGAAGTCCTCCTGGGCGACCTTTTTGAAGTAATTATCTAGCTTTTTGTATCCGAGACGATCACGGAGTTGAGCATGCGTCTCCCAAGTGGCATGATAGTGGGCTTTGTTTTCCCACTTTATATAATATTCAAAATCGTCTTTTCCAGGTTCTGTGATCTCCTTATCGATACCTTCATGCATCCTGTGGTTAAGGACACAATCGATCTTGGGTGCTGTATTTTCATCAATGTATGTCCAAGATTGCGGTTCTTCGTCATCCAGCATGTCATCATCGTCCTCGTTGTAGTTCGATATCTTGGCGGCTTTGCGAGTCGAGAAGCGGACTTCTCCGTAATTTGGCGTATTGTCCCGCGTCGAAGGTTGTGGTCGGCGGTGTTGCTTCTTGGTAAGGTGCCGGCGGGGTGCTCCATAGTCATCGACATCGGAGTCTTGGTCGGACATAGACTGACCAGACGGTGTTTGACCATTCACTTCGTGATCACATTCGAAGTCAGTACTCAACTAGAAAGGCCGTGAGGGTTTATCTCACCTGAGATGGAGGGTACTGGTTTCCGTCGTTTCCGAGGGGGACCGCGCTGGATGTCAGAATCAGAATCTTCTGCACTTGTATCAATCTGGATGCGACGGTCAGAATCCTCTACAGAACAAGCTCATCTCGATACTCACAAATTGACGATTAGGTCGAGGGCGAGCCTTTCGCAACACATTAGCATGGCCGAAAGTTGTTTGCCAGCGACTACGTACACTCCGGCGTAAGCCATAAAGCTCTGGATCATTCATCACGAAGTCATCCTTTTCAATGCCGGCTTTTCGTTTCCGCTGTCTAGGAGACTCCTCGGAGGTGGAGCGAGTATTTTGGGACGGGGAACGAGTCCCAGCGGGCGGTGACTCATCACCAAAATTTGGATCTTCAGAGCCTAAAGCATCGTCTCCAGGTGATGAAAGGCTTTCAAGTGGGCTTCGACTTTGATTTTCTGCAATTGAGCGGACTCTTGCACCTGGGGATGGGGCAAGGATGGCAGAGTCGTCCAGGACATCGGAGAGGGCGCTCTCGCTATCTGAATCAGGCGCTGAGCTGAGCGCAGCATTCGCACGCGGTGGAGAGAGATGGCCGTTTACAAGCGACGAATTGGTTGTATTCGGAGCGGGTTGGGCATACATGACGCTGCTCGCTGTCGGACAGGCGGTTAGCATTAGAGCGGCGCTGTATACTTCTGAGGCATCTTGCAATATGACGCAACGAGCATGACTCAGGCGACCCAGATTCTGATTTCAATGAGCCCTCAGAGCTAGCTGAAGACAAAATATAATCAAATATTGATGGAACCGGGCTCTTTTTGATGAGATCAGATGACAGCATCAGATGTCGTAGGCAGTCGAACAGCAGGGCTGTGAGCATGAGCTGGAGACTGAAACCTCGGAGAACACATTTGGGATGGAGCCCTGCCGTGTGCGAAAGGAGAGCAGCGCCAGATGGTATCGAATGTCCTCATGCTATCTTGGTAGGAAGGACGTAAGGCGCTCAAAGTCGAGGCGGGATCAGGAGGGCGGACAACACTGGAACAGGATCAAAAAATTGCAGACTTACATGCCATGGCTTCATAGAATATCGAGCAGGATCGGAAAGGGTGACGGTATCAGAGATAGTCATGGGTGAGGGTCGAAGGGTTGCAAGTGTGGACGACACCACAGAAAGATGGAATTCAAACGCAACGACCGAAACGCAGGCTAAAGGCGGAAATCTACTAGCGCCGGCTGCTTCCTTTAGCTCGGATACGCTCCACAACTGAAGACGTTCAGTTGATTTCAGGCTCGGAATGAGTGGTCCCACATCAAGCGGTTGCCTTACTTCCCTCCCTCTGTGAGACATTGATACGTCAACTGCAGCTAGCAGACATTGCTTCCTGAACCCAAACACCAAACAGCCCTGGTACGCTTCGGCTGACAACCATGAGCGACAAACTCACCCGGTATGAGCCTGTTCTTGTCCCTGCTGCAGGTTGAATGCTAAGCTGATGCATCGGTCCTCAGTATCGCTATTGTGAACAATGACAAGGTGGGGTATGTGCTACATGGCTCGGTACATCATGGCTGACAATACACCTCTCAGTGCAAGCCCAAGGTACTTCACCACTATCCCAGAGTGTAAAGTCATTCAATATACTAAGAAAGAAAGAAATGCCGGCAAGAATGCAAGAAATCGTGCCCTGTCGTCCGGACTGGCAAGCTCTGCATTGAGGTCACTCCTGAATCAAAGATCGCCTTTATCTCGGAGCGCCTTTGCATAGGATGCGGCATCTGTGTGAAGAAGTGTCCGTTTGGGGCAATCAATATCATCAATCTGCCTACAAACTTGGAGTCTCAAGTCACTCATCGCTACTCCGCCAACAGCTTCAAGCTTCATAGACTGCCTATGCCACGTCCTGGCCAAGTTCTTGGTCTTGTGGGGACTAATGGTATTGGCAAAAGTACGGCGTTGAAGATTCTAAGTGGCAAGCTTAAGCCTAATTTGGGAAGATACAATGAGCCTCCCGATTGGGAAGAAATTCTGAAATATTTCCGTGGATCTGAGCTGCAAAACTATTTCACAAAAGTTCTTGAGGATGACCTGAAGGCTGTTGTCAAGCCTCAATATGTCGACCAAATTCCTAAAGCGGTCAAAGGGGCAGACCGATCTGTTGAAACTCTACTGAAGGCTCGTTGCCAGATGGATAATCTTAAAGAAATCATGGATGTGTTGGATCTGAACCAAGTAAAAGATCGTGACATCAATCTACTCTCTGGAGGAGAACTTCAGCGTTTTGCCATTGGTATCGTTTGTGTTCAAGATGCAGATGTCTACATGTTCGATGAACCATCTTCTTACTTAGACGTGAAGCAACGTCTCAGCGCTGCACGTACGATCCGCAATCTGCTCCGTCCAGACGACTATGTCATCGTAGTTGAGCACGATTTATCAGTCCTAGACTATCTCTCTGATTTCATTTGTGTGCTTTACGGCAAACCAGCTGTCTATGGTGTCGTCACGATGCCTGCCTCAGTACGAGAAGGTATCAATATTTTCCTCGACGGTAACATTCCAACCGAAAATCTCCGTTTCCGAGAAGAATCGTTGACTTTCCGAGTTGCGGAAGCCGGCGACGACTTTCAAGCCGACAAAGCCATGGGCTATAGCTACCCAGCCATGGAAAAAACCCTCGGCAGCTTCAAGCTCAAGATCGACCCTGGCAAATTCACCGACAGCGAGATCATAGTCATGATGGGTGAGAACGGCACAGGCAAAACCACATTTTGCCGCTTGCTCGCCGGCGCTGAGAAACCAGACGGCACCAAATCTGTCCCCTCTATGAACATTTCCATGAAGCCCCAAAAAATAACTCCAAAATATCAAGGTACCGTCCGCCAGCTTTTCTTCAAAAAAATCAAAGCCTCTTTCCTGAACCCCCAATTTCAAACCGATGTCTACAAGCCTCTGAAACTCGACGATTTCATTGATCAGGAAGTCCAAAACCTCTCAGGTGGAGAATTGCAACGCGTTGCCATTGTGCTAGCCCTCGGCTTGCCTGCTGACATCTACCTAATCGATGAACCTTCTGCCTACCTCGACTCAGAGCAACGTATCATCGCTGCACGTGTGATCAAGCGCTTCATTATGCACGCCAAAAAGACGGCCTTCGTGGTAGAACACGATTTCATCATGGCAACTTACCTCGCCGATCGTGTGATCGTATTCGACGGCCAGCCATCGATGAAAGCCCACGCCAACGCCCCCGAGAGCCTTCTGACGGGATGCAACACCTTCTTGAAGAATCTTGACGTCACCTTCCGTCGAGACCCCAACAGTTTCAGGCCAAGGATTAACAAATACAATTCTCAGCTTGACCACGAGCAGAAACTTGGCGGGAATTACTTCTTTTTGGAGAATGAGAGTTGAAACTGTTGTCGCTCCGGTTTATGATCTCGACAACGGCCCAAAGGAGGCTATTGTGAGTAAGACTTCTACTGCCGGTGAAGGCGGGAGGAAGCACTCCGCGGGCTTTCTAGAGGAACAGGAGGCCGCGGAAGACGAAGAGGACAAGGACGTCTAACATTAGGACGGGTGGTTGACCTCCTGCTGATGATTTAAGCACTTATGATTTCATGATCTATGATACGTGTATGAGGTGATACGAATAGCTAAATAATCAGTGGGTCAAGCTAGGTGACCGCCCGTCATAGACGAGCTTGGAGGGAACAGGGGCATGCAAAAGGGGTCGAAGTGTGCATCATGTGAGTGATTGTGGCTTAAATCACAAAGGTCACGGCAAGATGCAGAATTGGGAAATTAGAGCAGATGCTAATGTTTGCTGTTAATGAGTACCGAATGAATCGTCTCGCTTGCAAACTTACCTCCTAGATAAAGACTGCCTCAAGGCTCAATTTTCTAGGATAGGGCCCTCTCAAGCCATTAATCTCTCACTCATCTTCGACCATCTCTCCTTCCTCACTCCCTGAATGTACCGCGGGCTCTTCCTTCTTCTGTGCCACCTCCACTGGCGGAGGGGTTCGTCTTCGTTCCCGCCTCGCCCTCTTCCTCACACTACCTAAACTGTCCTCGCTGCCTCTCCGTCTACGTCCCCCACTTGCAACACTACCACCGTAGTCCAAATCTTCTCCAGCCCTTGATCTCCTATGCGCCCTTCCATCCTCATCAACCCTTGCTCCCCGATCTCTCTCGCGGTCGTATTCTCTAAGCCGCGGCGGAGGATCTCGCTCTCTTGACCTCGCATGGCCGTTAGCAGGCGGACTCAGACCGGTGGAACCACCCTTATGATACTGCCGCTCACGATCTGCCATCGCCTTTCGACGCTCTGCCTCATAGACATCGAGTTCCGGCGTCCTGCTGCTTCGGCCACCTCGGCGATGATCATGCCGGTGGCCCGCACCCTCAACACCTCTATAATCACTGTTGCGAGGGTCGCGGTGGTGACGGCTGGAGGAGTGACGGTCGCTGACGTGCTCCATGTCGTCTTCCTTCTCCTTGAGGCGACGGAGGACTTTATCAAAAGCTTGCTTGCGTAGATCATCAGTCTCAAGGGCTTCAAATTCATCGAGGTGAGAGACATGAGGACGAAGGGAGTCCCAGGTTGTAGCGGTCGTGACCTGTGGGTGGGAAAGGTGTTTGATCTTCGAGCGCAGAGAGTCGATGAGCTTGCGTTGGTGCCGTTCGGTGGCATGTTTGTCTTCCTCGTTACGTTTGTGCACTTTTTCGAGGAGACGATTGAAAACTAGGGTAAGGGTATCGGTAGAGAGCTGGGCAGTGCGTCGGTCCGTGGACATGAGATCCTTGTATTGGTCAAACGTGGTGCGGGTAGTAATTTCGTACCGTTTGTCTTCGAGAACGTCGTACACGTCGTTGCGGATGAGGCGAAAACTTCGCTCTTCTTCTTCCACCATATCCCAAAATAGGTCAAGGGGCGTGGATCCTGGTTGACCGAGAATTGCTACGTACCTAGGATCTTCATGAATGGATGGAAGCACGTCCATCCATTTTGTGCCTGCTGCAATCTTACCTTGATCCTTCAGCTCTCGCAATAAGTCGACGTATCGATCTCGTTGCTGGCGTTCTCGCCTCTGCTTGAAATTCTTTTCACGTTGACGCTCGTCATTGAAGGTGCGTTCGAGAGACTTGATGTGGTTCTCAAAGGCAGTCAAAATATCTGACTTGCTAAGCGTCTTGAATTTTTCATCAGCTTTGAAGTTCTCATGTGCATGGATAGTCTCTTGAGCTTCAGACCACCTAGTATACGGTTCCAAATCCAAAGACTTAAGAATGCTCACGAGCTCATCCATTGCAGCTTTCCTGATAATTGCTTCTCGCTCGATATTGGTCTTCTTCAATTCGATTATGTATTCCTCAAACAGCTGTCGGCGCTCAGTATCATTATTGGTGGACCTGAAGATTGTCTCACCCTCAATGATTGGACGTGCGGTCTTCCATCGAGTGTAGTGCTTTATCTCTGGATGACTCCTCAGCATCGTGTTGAAATCGGATCGCAGCTTGGCGAGCCTCTCTTTCGCACGATCTTTCTCCTGTATACGTACGTCTACTGCGTATTTCTCAAAAGCTGCTCTTCGATCCTTTGGATCTTTAAGGGCGCGATACTGAGGGTCCTTGATGGTAGCCTTCATAGTCTGCTCCCAAGTCCAGTCTGGCTGCACGTTAGACCTCCGGAGTAACTTGATGAATGCTGCCTCAGCCTCCTCGAACGTCGAGTATTCAGGGTCGGCATTTTGCTGCGCGGATACTGGAGGACCGCGCTTATCATTCCCTTCGTTCCAACCAGTCCGCTCCGATCGCTCGTGATAGTCATCCTTCTGAAAATTGGTCATCGTCGTTGTACCACCAGCCACAAATTGAGGGGCGCTATGAGATGGTCAGCCTTGTAGCGTCGGAAAGATGAAGATGACCCACGACATAGCCGACTTAGCTACAGGGGTAGCTTGACCGAGAGCGTCTTTGTAGGCATCTGGCATCTCCCATGAGCTTTGCTTGGTCTCCTTGTTGTACCAATATTTTCGCCCCTCTTTTGTCGTATACTCTTGCCATACATTCGCCAGAGCGCGCTGGACAAGGGTCAGCTTCGGTCATAAAAGACAAGGTGATGCTCACTTCTGAGAGGCTCAGCAGCTCGGTGGGTTTGGTCCATTGTGTCACTTTAGTGGCTTTGTTGTAGTAGTAGACTCGTCCTTCCGCATTCTGGGCCTCTCCCCACGCGGCTGCGGGGCCTGGAGCACCATTCATGATGAAAGTGTAAGTGTGCAGAAGCGAACAAAGATGGCGAACGCTGCTGTTATCGAGTCATGATCAGACGTGTTGTTGTCGTTCGTAGGCAGAGGAGTCATCGAATTACAATCCTAAGAACTAGGTTGCTTCAAATCTCCCAAACGGACGGCAGATCCTCGGCAAGTCAAGTTCCCGAGCCGCGAGTTCTAAGTGCCTTACCTTTGCTCTAGGGGCGATTACAGGGACGGGCGCCCTGGAGCCCCCCTATCAGCTGCTCTTCTTGGCGTGGCCCTCTTCAGACATCAACCTGGAGTACTCTCACCTTCCCATTATCATCCTCACAGCACTTCACTTCACCGAGTCTTCTTTGCAGGCAAACGCGAAATCACTGCATTGATGTCTTTCATTTCACTCAACCACTTGATCTACGTCTAGAAATGTTACTATCCTTTGATTGGTGCTGGATTCGAGATTGGTCAACGGGATTTCCAAACGATCATGAAGCATCATTGACAATATCTCTAAGAACGGGCCTCTTGTTGATCAGCCTTTCCAAATCGATCTTGGCTTGCTTTGCGGGCGATTTCTTTCCAATCTGATCTCCTTTTCCAAGTCTCAAGGCACTCGTCAATGCCTGCTGTGCTGTTGCTGCCGCTGACCTGTTGGTTTGGCGATCCGCTTCAAAGCCTACCTCTCCAGATATCTGCGTCCCGGCTTCCTCGAAGATATGACCTTCACAAGCTTTTTGAGGGAGATCATACCACCATTCTCTGGATTGCATTAATTCGATGAAGTCCTTCAGCAATTGATTACCAACGAGAGTTCGCTTGCTCCCCAAAACCAACAGCTTCGTGCGAGCTCGCGTCAACGCCACGTTTACACGTCGCCAATCTTTCAGCAAATCACCTACTACCTGCTGCTCATTGCTGCGCACAAGTGAGAGTATGACGACCTCTTTGTCCCTGCCCTGGAATCTATCCGCTGTATGCATCTCAACCCCAGGACGATGGCGCATTGCTTGCTTAAGCAGCGCAAGCTGGGACCGATATAGAGTGATGACCCCGATATCTCCTGCGGCTATGCCCGACGTCAACAAAGACTCTGCAATTTGAACGGCTAGCGTGACTTCACATGGATTCGTAATGCGGGATCCACTTTCGAGCACTTCGTGCGATTGAGGGAGAAGGAGATCTGTGTTCACGAAACACGCCTTCACGCGAGGTTCCAGGAGATCACGAATCCAACATCTTCCTGGCGACGAGCTAGCGCAGAAATGCTTCACCCTCTGTGCACGGACACTTTCTAGTGTGTGATGATGACTTTCAAGTGCTTGGATATTTGGAATTTGCAGAGAACGGACTGCCACGCTTTGTGTGCCACATTTCAGTCTACCATCGTAGATCAACTTGTTACTCAGAGCCATGATGTCTTCGCACATTCGATATTGATGCTCGAGATTGACGACTGATGACGGATGCATGTCTGAAAGTATCTTGAAGAGACTGACGTCTAAACCCCCTTCAAGTGCCTCTTTATTCTGCACCAGCGGAGGTAGCTGGTAATGGTCGCCCACTAAGATAAATGTGCGTGCCATTCGGATTGGTCCTAGGCACACAGGCAACGTTATTTGCGATGCTTCATCGACAATGCAGTAGTCGAATATGCGCTGATTGAAGATTGGATGGTTGATACCAAGGCAGGTCGTCGCGACGACCCTTTGGGTGTAACATCTTTTAATCTCTTCGATTGTGTTCATTGGCCTCCCAGCAAGATCCGCAAATTCTTGTATCTCAGGATGAACCTTAGCAATTGCACCCAAACGAAAGATACCAACGTTGTCTTTACGCAACTTCAACAGGATGTTGTCAACGGCGGTGTGCGTATACGACGTTAAAAGAACACTCTTCCCCCGGGCCACTAGCGCTCGGATGATATGGGCGATAGTGGTTGTTTTTCCAGTTCCTGGCATGCCAAGGACTAAGGCGTAGTCCTTTGCACTCATGACTTTCTCGATTGCACCTCTTTGATCAACATTCAGGCTTGCTTCGTTGGCTGTCTCTCCAAGGCAAAGATTTGTCGGCACCGGGTTGAAGGTGGGTGCGGCACCTTCAACAATCAAGCGTCGAAGTGCTTGAACGCCGAAGAGGTCTTTCTCCATCAGTCGTAGGAGATTGTTCCGAATCATAGCCATGCCATTACTGAACTCATCTTTGTCCAGTCTATAGAGCACCGGTCCTTCTGGCTGTGGAGGGGATTGCGTAACTTTTCTATTCCTATGCTCTACCATCTCCATGACCCCAGAAAAGACTTGATTCGTTTCAGCATCAAAATCCTTGCTTCGTGCTCGGGCATTGTGTAATTGTCTGTCGACTGTGACTTGGATTTTGCTGGTTCTCACACTTTTCACGTAGCCGTTGGCAAGAGCGAAATGGCCTCTCTCATCCGAGATCACAATAGGCTCCCCAACTGTTATCTGCGAATCGGTGAATTTGAAACCAGGTAAAGGCGACTGCTTGATGAGATTGTATCGAAATCGATTTATCTTTGAGGTTTCGCTTTCTTCGTGGTATGATCCAGGTTCGATGACAAGTCTTCCGAAACACCTTCCTACCTTCTCACGTTCGGTGCTTTGCATAGTCCATAGCTCTCTTCGCAATATGACAATATCTCTCTCCTCCTTTGTAAGAAGATCATCCCACCGGCGGAAAAATTGTGAGTGCTCCGTATTCAAATGCCTCACTTCATCATCGAATTTTACGCCTAGTCCGCTACTCTCGCCTGTGCCATTATCAACGAGTTTGTGATACGTAAAGCAGGGCGTTTGCGCATAGCATTTCCCACAAGTATATGGATTTCTCAACATCTTGGGTAATTCTAATCGATTTCGAACATAGTTCGCGATCGCATTTCGTTGAATGATCATGGGCACCAGTTCATGGCGGATTGTTCGAATACTTGAGATTTCAGATGATTGCATGTAGTAGAGTATCCCACATGCTACCTCAATATCTAAAGTTCATCATCAACATGAGTGAGTCTTTTGTAGGTCTAATTAAAACGTACCATAGCGGTCAGAGAGGAGCAAAGAATACAGAGCCGTCTGAGCTTTGTGTGCTGCACTGGAGTGCTTTCCGGTTTTAAGTTCGAAGGGTACTGTCAAGGTCCTTCGATTGCCATCTTCCTCAAGGCATATCTGTACTGTCGCATCAATGTTACCTTTGAGCCCATAAGCAGGCGCCCAAACGTGCTCCTCGGCCTCAAGCAATTTGTTGATGCTCATGAGGGCTTCACGGCCATTACGATCCTTCACGAGTGCTTTGGGCTTTTAAGGGGTAAGCTAGGAAATGCTAGAGGCATCGAGTCACGTACGTTGGGCTTTGCAGACACAAAAATCTCAGACCATGCCTGCAGAGTAGTAGCTCGGGCTTTAAGTTGATCGATGGCCACGGCAACTTCTACATTGATCTCAAACAGAGTCTCCAAATTTCTGGTGGCAATCTTTTGAATAAGAGCGGTCATGTACTGGTCATCCCATTGATTTGCTCGCAATGCTTCTTGGAAAATCTCATGCAACAAGTGACCGTACACTGTAGCTTGACTGGTACCACCTGTAGTTTTAACACGGTCCTGCAGAACTGCTTTCCGAATGCAAGTGAAAGAATCTCCTACGACTGTCGAGGATATGAGATGGTCAGGGTGCATGATAAGCAGATTGCGAGTGTTGTCAATGATACATTGACCATGACGGTCGAAGTCTCCTATAACGTGGACAATCGAACCAGGAGAGCACTGACTGTCTAGCCATGATTGCCGGAGGGCAATAATCTTACAGCTTTTCGTCGTCTCGCATTGTACAGATAGAATCTAGAGAAGTCAGCTCCACACGCAACTGGCAAACGTACATTTATGACTCACTTTCTCAGGTTGACCAGGTTGAATATCTGGCCTCGATTGGCTATTTGTAACCGTTTTGACAATGAAGCGTTGAAGCATCCCTACTTTTCTGTCATGCTTAATTAGTCAGCTTACTACATGGCTGCGGCCATAGCACATGGAACTTACATTGCTTTGGGAGGATACGTTGATGGATTGGTTCTGACTTGCTTTGGCACATTCGGACGCAATTTGTTCGAAATCTGAGTCGTTACCAAAATCTTCATCATCTGAGGAGCAGATCTCTACGGCTTCTGTCGGATTTTGAGCGGCTGTAGCTATTGCCGGCACTGTATAGGATGGCGGTGTTTCTTCTCTGGCTGTGCTTGCACCTGTCGACGGTTGGGTATCGTATTTTGCAAATACGCCCTCAAGATCAGCTGCGAAACCCTCTACGTCGTCTTCATCGAAATCATCCTGTTCAAACTCATCTCCTCGGGGCGACCCTCCTTTAGAAACATCGTTCTCTGACTTTGCAACCTTGTTCTCACTCAGACAGCGCGTCTCCTCATCTAGCCAATCTTCTTCGTAGACGGCGTCCGAGAGCAAGTCTTCTTGAGCTACTTTTCGATTTGCGTCAACGCTATTCCGCAAGGAACTTGCAGACTCAACCTCGAACATCTCGTCATCGATTCCATCATCGCCGAAGTCAGAAGAGTTTGTTACCTTCTTGAAATTGGGCCGTTCTACTTCTGACAAAACAGGCTTTATTGCAATCTTGGTAGCGTTTCCATTCATCACAGTCTGACTGAGCACATTTGCGACATTTTCGATAGCTTTCCTCATGTGGTGAGGTGGTGATCTTTCTCTCGTAGGTGATTTACTTTTCTGTCTCATTGGTGAAGAGTATACAGGCTCGGAGGAAGAGCAATCGATGTCTTTGCCCCCCTTTGAAAGCCCACTGTGCATTTTCTCAACTAGAAAGCTGACTCTTGACAATTTTGCCTTCCCTACAGAGTCTCTTTCCTCTACAAAAGCTGCCGCTGTTTTCCGTTCGCCTGTGCTATGATGTAATTTCCTCCGCTTAGCAGCAGATGTAGGCCACTCTATACAGCTTAGTGCTCTACGCAGTCCACTGTCCCTTTGCAACTGAGCGACGGGCGTATGTGGAGATGAGGATCGTAGCATAGGAAAAGGGAAAGCACTAGGTGCAGAGGGTGACAACTTGTCTCTAGTATGTAGGGAGTAGCGGCTCCACAGATCGTCGACTGGATCTGCTTTCGGTGTTTTCATAATCTCTTGTGACTGCCGAAAGGCTTTTGCGGCATCAATTGTAGGGAAGTGCCCTGGACGTTCACTTTGGGATGAGGATGATGGTGACGTGCTAACTGCTCGCTTTCGTTTCTTCTTCAAAGGCTTTGCCCCAGCAGCATCTGCATTTGATGGGGAATTCTCCCATAGCACACGTTCCATAGGTGTTTGAGCAGCAGGCTGACGAGCCTCGTCACTGGCAAGCAATTCTGATAAGGGAAGTCGTCCTATCGGTGTTTGGGGGCAGTCTCTTGCCTCCTTTCCCGCCGACCGTTGTGATGAGGGTTGCAGTGGAGGATTCATCTGCAAAGGTGTCTTTTGAGTGCCAGCTTGGGGCGCATTTTCTTTATTGGAATCGGCATGCTGTTCAACTCCATGTCCATTCGCCATTGCGCTCTCTATTTGACGATATCGAAAAACTCTTAGCCTAGATCTTGATTGAGACGATGCAGCGATTGGAGTCACATTTGGAGCTGCTTTGTGCAGCTGATTTGATGTGCTGGCTGCATTATGGACTTTCGAGTTTTGTGGCCGGAAGTTGCGAGTCTAAGCACAACCGCCGTTAGATTTCATGTCATGACCACATCGACAAATAGATTGAGCATACCTTTTGGTCCTGGTCGAAGAACGACTGTTGACGTTTAGACATACTAGACAGCCAAGTAAAGTCGAGTCTCCGAGGCGCTGTCCTATTGGTACGCTTGGGATCTATGCCCCACCATTTCAGATTGGTGAGATGCAGATTGTTTACCACGTTAGGGAAAATTCGCGTGTCTAAAGTGTGTACGCGCTCAAGGCAGCTAAGCCGTTTCAGGAACGGATTGGACCTTTAGTACCAAGGTCCGATTGAAGCCACAATTCTGGATATGGTCAACATCTTTGCTAGACCATGGTATGCGGCATTGTGTTACTAAGGCCCCTTAGGAAGCTGAAATCGCAACTTTATAAATCATAGTTTTGGGATACCTACCCGAAGGAGTCCCTTTCTAGGTCGCTTTGCAGAATTCATATCCCAGGTTTTACAAATATAAAAGTGCAGGTCCAAACTGTGTGGCAACGATACAGTACGTATACTTGTTCCTGCAGATGATCATACGCGCATCGTTTCAAGCACGGATTCCAGCCCTTTCAAGATCTAACGAACATACCAATCCTATGATTTTCCTTGATGAGGTATCTGCTTCCGCAGCCACATTTAGTCATTCGTAAATTCTAATCTGTTGTCTTCCAACATTACTCTTTCGTTCGAAGCCCCTTCACGAGTTCAGGATTTGTCTAAAGGGTAGATATCTGGGGCAGGCCCAGTTGGAATTACTAGTTGCTCCTCTGATGCCTTAAGCCCCTCACTTCGCCTTTTCGCATTCAAGTATCCATACTTGTACTATAATCATTGATCAGCTAATCATCCGTAATAGACGTGTACATGCAGCGACTTACCAGCCAGAAATTTACGGTATCTTTGAAAGCGTGTCCATTGGCAGTCTTTCCAGCGTCCCAGTACAAATTTCGTAACCAGCGGCTCAGTCTAGGGTAGTCATGGCGGATCATTTTGAGATTACATTTGAAGATGTTATGATACGCAACATCGAATCTGATTAGTGTACTGTATAGGCGAATGTCAGCCTCAGTTATCCCTTTACCGAATAGGTAGGGCGAATGGCCTGATTCTCCGAGATGTGTCTCAAGCCGATCCAAAGCATCAAAGAGCGGATAAAGGTTGGATTCATAGGCTCCTTGGTTGGTAGCGAAACCGCACTTGTATACTCCGTTGTTGACGGAATCGTAGACCCAATCATTCATGGCATCGATCTCTTTGCGTAATGGCGCTGGGTAATAACCGCCAAGCGGATGGCCAGACTCACGCAGGTGTTCAGGCAAAAGATCGTCGAATTCGGTGAAAAACATACGAATAATCTCGCTGCTTTCGTTGTTCACAATCGTCTCTGTCTTTTTGTCCCACAGAGTAGGCACTGTGAAGCGTCCCTTATAATCCGGGTCGGCTTTGTAATACAGCTGGGACAGTTTGGTGAAACCGTACAGCGGATCCTTGGTTTCCGAGCCATGCTGTCCAGTGAATAGCCAGCCTTCGTCAGTCAATTCGAAGCCACATTTGACTAACTGAACAACGTCCTCAAGACCCTTAAGAGAGCGAACTAAGTTGGCTCGATGGGCCCAAGGGCAGCCCAGGTTGATGTACAAAACGTAGCGATCTTTTTCGGCGGGAAATTTTGAATCGGGGTCCTTGGATATAGCGTCACGAAACTGGCTAGGTTTTCTCCTGAATTGTCCGTCTGCATCTGCATTCTTATATACGTCGGCCTGCAGTCGATCGGCATTACCGCACACGCGAGCACTTTGGGGTTTCACATACCGTGGCAGACATCAATGGCAACAGAATTATACTGCTGAGGTAGATTCTTAAAAGCAAAGGTACTTACAGTGCAACTTTTTCCGACAGCAGAGGGAATGAACCATCATGCGTGGACAAGGTCAAATATACCCCAGAATGTAGCTACATCCTTTGTCAGCATCGGCTGCTTCGCACCACGTAGATCCGAGCTCATTTCTCATGCTTATTACACACGTAACATTGCAGGCATGATGGCGAAAGCAACGCGCACAACGCGAGAACATTTTCACGACGCAGTAACGCCAACAGCGGCGCCGGAGCCATACTGTTCAGGTTGACGGCTACTCACTTTCGCGAGCACTCAAACTCGAATTGTTAAGTGATAGGCAGGGCAAGAGAAGGTGGCAGCTTGTTTACGCCTTCGTGGCGCTAATTCGTCAGGAGGGGTCATACCTAGAAGCGGCCCGGGGAGCTTAGCACCCCACGCTTTTAAATTCCCGGCGTCCAAAAGATTACTCCGAATATAGATTTACTTTAGCAGGCGTTTCTTCAGTATTCTTCACAAGTAAAAGACAAACCTACTCCATTCGCTCTTTGTTTAGACGCTATTCACTATCCTACTGAGAAGCATTATTGTCTTGCTCCCTCACACGAACCCAGTGCATCTCATCATGGCGCAAGAAAAGCCCCTTCCCTTTCAATACCAATTTGCTGCTGGAGCTGTTGCAGGCGTCTCAGAAGTAGGTCATTTGAGTCTGCGGGGGCCCAAAGGCTGACGAATTCCAATTTCAGATTCTCACAATGTACCGCATACCTGGCGTTTATCGTGATGATAGTTGATGGTCGCAATAGGTATCCTTTAGACGTGGTGAAGACCCGAGTGTAAGCAACTGCTTTTCTCTGCAGTTTGCGCCTCAAGCTAACTAGCTAAGACAATTACAACAAGGTCCCGGCACTGGGGGCGAGGGCTATAACGGCATGGTTGATTGCTTCCGCAAGATTATCAAGAACGAAGGGGCATCAAGATTATATCGAGGAATAACGCCGCCAATATTGATGGAGGCGCCCAAGAGGTGCGACAGACGTTGTCCCGTCGCCCAGTGCAAGCCAGCTAACCCAATGTTCTACACAGAGCCACCAAATTTGCCGCCAATGACTCCTGGGGCACTTTCTACAGAGGCTTCTTTGGTTTAGAGAAAATGAATCAGCAGCTTTCTATCTTGACCGGGGCATCAGCAGGCGCAACAGAATCATTTGTTGTCGTTCCTTTTGAGCTTGTCAAGATCAGATTACAAGATCGAGCGTCTGCAGGCAAATACAACGGTCCAGTGGACTGTGTAATGAAGATCGTCAAACAAGAAGGTCCGTTGGCTCTTTACAACGGGCTGGAGAGCACCATGTGGAGGCATGTCCTTTGGAATTCTGGATATTTTGGTGTCATTTTCCAGGTCAAGGAGCTTCTACCAAAAGCCAACGGCAAGAGTCAGCAAATACGGAATGATATTGTTGCTGGCTCGATCGGCGGGACAGTTGGTACAATACTGAACACTCCAATGGATGTGGTGAAATCTAGGATTCAGAATTCGCCAAAGATCGCAGGCTCTGTGCCGAAGTACAACTGGGCCTGGCCGGCTCTAGGCACAGTCATGAAAGAGGAGGGATTCTCGTCATTGTACAAAGGTTTTCTGCCCAAGGTGCTGAGACTGGGACCTGGAGGCGGCATCTTGCTCGTGGTATATACCAGTGTAATGGACTTCTTCCGGCAGTGGAGAGGCGACGTATGACACCCTTAGAAATATTCTCCGAAATCGGAACACCTTTGTTCACAGCCGATCGAGAAGCTTGATTTTCTTGCATTTTTGGCTCATCACTCCGTGCGCCTCCTAACCTCCCGCTGATCTTCAATTGTTCCTTTGAGAGCATCTGTGACAAGCTCACGCAATTGTCGCTGACTTTCGTCACCTTGGAAGTCATCACGGGCTGCCAACTCCTCGATCCTCTGCTTCAGCTCAGGGTCGGCGACTTCCCCGATATTCGCTTCGTCCTCAAGCTGTCCAAGTCGAACTTGTACGCCAGGTGGCAACGGAGGTACACTACTATCAGTTTCCAGATTTTCCTCGGCCGCTCTACTAGTCGCGGCTGGACGGTGTCCTCTTAACCTCACCTCTGACAAATACTCAGCTACTACCAGAAAGTCACCTTCTTCTCGAATCTTGTCTTCTGCCGTCAAGCCGTCAGTATTCTTTATCGAAGGATCTATTCCCACGTCTTCTAGCATGCATTGTGCCGTCTCAACCGTCTCAACAACAAATAGTGCTGTCTCCCCATCTTCATCTTTGATATCTGGGCTTATCTTGAAGTTGCTCCTCAAATATTTCGCGAGATGGAGATGGCTGTAAGAAGCTGCGGCGTGGAGAAGGCTATAGCCATGCTCATCTTGGGCGGCAGCAAGCCCCGGATTGGACTGAAGTAAGGGCAGAAGAGCTGGTGAATTTTCCGCGGCAAGTATAAATGGATTTTGCGAAGGGCTAGATTTTGAGTTTGCAATAGGCATCTTCTGTCGCCAGAGGGTCTGATAGTCAAAAGAGATGTGTTCAATAGTCAAAGAATATGTACACTACCGTAGTAAATTACTGAGCTTTGAATGGTTAATAACGTTAGTTCCCGGTATCAAATCCGCTCAGGCTTGTCCCGAGGGGCAGACTCATTCTCGCTCTTGACTCATTCGCCTTGCATTGCCTACTAGACAATGAATGATTTTGACTCACTATGTATTGCATTCTCAAAGTGTAATAATCTGTAGGTCCCCTCTGCTCACAAGTGTTGTGCCACAATTCAAAATCCCCTCGAGAATTTTGTTCATTCGACCTTTTGCTACATGTCCACTTTCTTCTGCGTCCAATTATTTCAATACCATGATGAACGCCCCATATGTTCCTCAAGATGTCTCTGAAGTATCGGAGTTGTTGAAGAGGCTAGAACAGTCCTCCCAAAAGCAGGGTGGTGGAAAGCATTCCATCAAGGCTAAAAAGCATACCTACGATGTTCAAGGTGCACCTTTCACAGTGGACTCGTGGCAATTCAAAGACTGGGATTACAAAAGCCGTGACCTCCCCACATATGCCCGTGGACTTTTCACGTACCGTAAGAGGGATGGTTCACCAGAAATTGCCGTCAGGGGCTATGACAAATTTTTCAATGTAGATGAAGTACACGAAACGAAATGGGAAAATGTCAAGTCTCGAACAAAGGGTCCTTACGAGCTCAGTGTGAAGGAAAATGGGTGTATCATATTCATCGCCGGCTTGGAAGACAATCATTTGCTAGTCTGTAGTAAGCATTCCACAGGAGCACGCGATAACGCAGATCTGAGTCATGCTGTCGCTGGTGAAAGGTGGGTCAACAAGCAATTGGAGTCCGTTGGAAGAACCAGAGCGGATCTTGCAAAGGAATTACGGAGACGCAACGTCACAGCTGTGGCAGAACTTTGTGACGACCGATTTGAAGAGCACGTCCTCGCTTATGAACCCCATGACGCAGGACTTTACTTGCATGGTATTAATCTCAATTTACCTGACTTTGCTACATATTCCAGTGAACTAGTGCACGAATTCGCAGATGAATGGGGTTTCAAGAAAGCACAGTACCTCATTGAAGATGACGTTGCTTCCATGAAGGATTTTCTTGAACGATGTGCCGAAACTGGCTCCTATGCCGGAAGGGATACAGAAGGTTTTGTCATACGATGCGAGCGTTCAATTCATGGGCCCAAGAATGCTTATCAAAATTGGTTCTTCAAATATAAATTTGAAGAACCTTACCTCATGTATCGACAGTGGCGTGAGTGCACGAAAGCAATCATTGGTAACCGAGCTCCAAGATTCAAGAAGCACAAAAAAATAACAGAAGAATACCTTCTTTACGCACGGCGTCAATTTGCTCGGAATTCCAACCTTGCTAAGGAATACAACAAAAACCATGGAATAATTGAAATGCGAGACGGCTTCTTGAAGGAAAGGGGTCTCAAGGGGTCCGATATCATTCGACAGGAAAAGGAAGATGATCCCACCGAAACAGTCACGAACAATGTGGTCTTGTTGCCGATTGCAAGCCTCGGGTGTGGCAAAACAACAGTAGCCTTGGCATTGACTACGCTCTTCGGATGGGGACACATTCAGAACGACAACATAACTGGGAAGGGGAATAGACCTGCACAATTCACATCACATATCTGTAATACTTTGGCTGCGAAGCCCGTTTGCATTGGCGATCGAAACAACCATCAAAAACGAGAGAGGAAGCAGATCATCAACGACGTATCTAACTTGATCCCCGAAGCCAGGTTCATTGCGCTGCACTATGTCCACGATCCAAAGTCGACGATGCTGCCCACCATACGCAATGTGACCAGAGAGCGCATATTTACCCGGGGAGATAATCATCAGACAATCCAGGCTGGCACGAAGTCACAACAAGAAATCATTGGGATCATGGAGGGTTTCCTCAACCGATTTGAGCCTTTTGATGCTAGCTCACAGCCGGACGAAGACTTCGATGGAGTCGTAGATCTCGACGTCTCTGCTTCATCTAGAGAGAATCTAGAGACCGTCGTGAACTTTCTGTACAATCAATATCCTAAGCTAATCCCAACATTACCGAGCTCAAAGGACTTGGATCGTGCCATCGGCGCCGCAATGAGTGACTATACTGTGGATCTAAAACACGATTTGAGCTTCAACAGCAACAGTAAGAAAAGCAGTGGCACCACCAGCAGCGCCGTGAAGCCTCCCGCACCTCCGAAACTTGAATTCTTCTGCATAAGTGTAGATGCGTCGAGGATCCGCACTGCTCTCTCCCAAGCTTTCTCTGACGTCTCTCCTGACATAGCCAAGATGTACCGCCATCTTGACACCTCCCGTCGAGTTCAGGCCCAATTCCACGTTACCCTAATGCATCGCGCTTCTATCAATGCAAAGCCTGAGCTATGGCAGAATCTCTCCTCTCTCCACGCCAATGCGGTTACTGAGGCTGCCGAGTCGTCCCAGCCAACTTTCGATCCTGTTCTCGGCAAATGTAGAATTCGACTAGAGCAAATTATCTGGAACGACCGAGTGATGACTATTATCGTCCGCCTCCTGAACGAGGGTTGGGACACAAGTAACGAAGTGCCACATATGACAATTGGAACTGCGAATCAAAGCATCAAGCCAAAGGAAAGCAATGATCTAATTCGGGATTGGTTAGGTGAGCATGGTGGTGTACATGAGACAGAAGTCAAGGGGTTTGTGGAGATTGAAGGTCATGTAAGGGCTGTCATGCAAAGATACGGGAAATAGGTTTGAAGCAGAAGGAATGAGACTTTGAAAAGCATTGAGCTTGAGAGGCAACTAAGGTTCATCACGACCTGCCTTCATCCCGAGCACTCGAGCTATAAGACTTGTTGCATCAAATATACCCTGGGGTCTAGAGCATAGCGCTATTTGCGTTGCATGAGGTAGACTTCATAGCAAAGCAGCTGATTGCACTCATTGTTGCGGTTGAACAATCCAAGCTGTGCATGGTCGTGATGTCAGAAATTTTGAATTTACAGGGCAGTCAATGCCTTGTCTCCTCTCCTTCTTGCCTCAAGATATCTCCTTCCACTCTCGTATACTCCTAAATACAAGCCACTACCCAACGCTGTCCACAGACCTCTCAATGCCCCACCCCTGAACAGCCCTCTGAGCCCCTCAGTCCGGAACACCTCTCTCCCCACAGCGATCCCACCCGCTCTGCCACTTCTTGCAGCTACCTGGCGCATTTTCTCGATCTCCCTCACAGGATCCTTTCCCTGCTTTTCCAATGCCTTCTTTGCGTTCTCCGACCTTCCCTCATCCAATTCGCTTGATGCGCTTAACATAATCCTCGTTTTCACGACATCAATTGGGGTGGTCACCACGGCAGCAACACTCCCTGCGCTTCCAGCAGAAAATGCAGTCACCAACCCATTCTCCAGTAGACTGCCCGTCTTCAATCCCCTCCCTCCCTATATTCATGCACTTTCGTCCGCAAATGCTCGAAGAGTGGAAAGTGCATAGCTGTGAATGGGAGATTTCTACCCGCCAACGCTGTATATCCACGCCATAGCTGCGTAGGCGAGTTGAATTTTCGAAGTGCAATGAATGTAGCGTTGCCATCAAAGACTTTGGTCCCAGGATTCGGATTAGAGCCGCGCGAAACCATTTGGGCGTTCTGCTTCAAGACTTCTGCGGGAGTGAGGATGAAGCAGGACACGAGCTCGCCAGCACCAGAGGCAAGACTGTGAGAAAGCCATGTGGGCAAAGATGTGGAGGTTAGGGCTGATTTAGAGGCTTCATAGGTGGTGAAAAAGGCTCCTGCTGGGCATAAGATGAGCGACGCCCCATCAAAGGCAGGCTTGGAAGGAAGATGGGGGTGAGGCTAACAGGAGGGGACGGTGGCGAGAATGACGCTGCCAATGCCCTGGTAAAGCCCTCGGAAGAGAGCGTGGTTGATCTTGCCGGTGGAGGCATGGGTGTAAAGCTTTGAGAAGCTAGGGGATTGCAGACGGGTTTTAATAGTATCGAGCGGATAAACGAGCAGGTCAATAGTAAAAGCTGCAGTTGCACCAGCAATAAGGATATCTGTATTGGTGTTTTGTGATGGCATTACACGAGGAGCACGGACGACAACAGCGAGTGGCCAAATGCATGATTAGAGGAGCATGCATGAGAGATCTCTACCTTTATCCCTTATCGTCATCGGGACAAGATACACTTCGACAGCAGCGGCAACTCCCGGAGCTAGAACTAAGAGGCCGACCCCTCGGACAAAGACGGCCCCCGGCCAGCCCTCCACCTGCCAACTTCAGCTCTCAACGCAACCTCAAGTGAAGCGTGGTAGAAGAGCTCGAGATTCCACACAGTGCTCCGACATTTGCCTGACTGTCTTCAAGTCTTCACCAACCATCCCAAAGACAGACCTTGTGACGTATGAGCCACTGCGCTACGAGTACGGCTCAGCCAAGCCCCTTATTCATTGGAGCCCAATCTGTCGCATGACGTTCGCCTTCACTCAGCCACACCCTGAATTGCCAACCTGAGTACCAAGAAGCCAAGAGTATTAAGACCTTGAAAGCCGCCGCCCCACATCCCTTAGATAGCCACTTCAAACCTCAATCAGAAAGGCTGTGCTTTTTACGACCTTGTCTGCCGCTAGCCGATACCTTGTCGCCTTGTTTGACAGACGACGAAAATCCCGCACCGACTTGAAGAAAACTCCGTCGATACCCAACGAGCCGCCTGCCAAGTCAACGTCGCATAAACCCAGAGTCCTCATATCGAGGCTTAGAACCTTGCTCTCATCGCGAAGTTCTTTTATCATGTCTTACTACGAAGATGGTCGGTATGACGATCGTCGTCGCCGCAAACATCAAGATCGAGACCCGCCGAGATATGAAGAAGAGGAGATCATAGCAGCTCGCCGTGCGCCGAAGGGATCAGGCTCCTCACGAGATAAGGCTGTCATTCCACGCGGAGATAGTAGTGACAGCTCAGTTGAAGAAGTGCGTAGAGACTTTCCACCTTATGGCTCTCGACGAGACTACCCACCTAGACGAGCGAAGTCAGCGCGAGACTCTAAGCGAAGCGGTCGACATGATGATGACTACTATGACGACTATGACGACAGAAAGCATCGTGGTAGCAAACGTAAGTCGGCATGCGTGACTGATCGGGTCTCATCTAAGAGGCTTCTCTAGGTGAAAAGCGTCGCCGTTATGACTCCTCGAGCTCGAGCTCTCCTAGCCCACGGCGAGACCGCCGCCGCAAATCAGGAGCTGAACAAGCCTTGGGCGCTTTGGGTATCGGGGGAGCTGGTGGTGCTGCGCTTGCTTCCGCTGCCACAGCCTTGACTGGTAGAAGCAAGTCGGAAGACAGAGGCGAGAAATCCCGGCGTAAACGTCGCTCACGACGTCATTCAGACTCTTCATCCTCATCTTCCTCAAGGTCTAGATCCCGAGGACGGCACAAGAAAAACCAGGACCCTCGAGAAATGCTGATCAAGGCTGCCAAGGCTGCTGCAATTGCTGGCGGTACTGAAGCCTGGCGTATGCGAAAAGAACCGGGTGACTGGAAGGGACCCAAGGGTCGACGCGTCCTGACTGCTGCAGCCGGTGCGGCTGGCGTCAACGGACTATTGGGTGCAGGCGATAAGAAAGGAGACGGTGGAAATACTATTCAGTCCGTCATTGGCGGGCTCGCCGGCAACCGGCTCTTGAATGGTTCCCGCAAAGAAGAAAGATCACGCTCGCGCTCTCGCGGACGAGACAGAAGCGAAAGCAGGGGAGGTGGAGGCCTTGGCAGCCTCGCGGGCGCTGGTGCACTCGCAGCAGCCGCGGCCAAGGCTTTCCAGAATCGGGGCGGATCAAGAGGAAGGAGGGATTATAGCAGCTCCAGTGATGATAGCAGATATAAGAAGGGGAGTAGGCGGTCCAAAAGCGTGAGTGAATACATGAGGCAAGGTATGGCAAAAATTGGATTAGGAGGTAACGAAGATAAAAGGGACACTACTAGTCGCGGCTCCAGCCGTGATATAGGAACCGACGCCCAGCACCTCCCAGTATCGAGAACGGTAGGTGGCGAAGGTGCCGGCACTGGGCACCCCGGCCTTACCAGCAGCAGTTCGGACGACGACATCTCCTCATCGGAAGAGGAACGCGAGAAGAAGAAAATGGGAAGAAAACGACTTATAACGGCAGGTCTTGCATCTGTAGCGACGATTCATGCAGCTCACCATGTTTACGGTACGATGCACATGCAAAATAAATTGGACGAAGATGTGGCGGAGGGCGAGATCAGTCCTGAAAAGGCGAAAAAGAAACGAAACAAGGCTCGGATGAGGCGAGCTGCGGCGGTGGGAGTGGCAGCACTAGGGGTGAAGGGTGCCTACAGCGAATGGAAAGAGATGAAAGAGCAAAGAGAGGAAGCAGCCGAATTCAAACAGAAGATGCAACGGCGTCGCGAGCGGAGGCTACTGAAGCAGCACGAACACGATTCGACGCCTTCGACTCCAGTGAGCGGGTCTATCCATTCAGTCCCTTCAGACCATGTACCTCAAATCTATCAAGGAAGACCAAATGGCCCCAGCGTCCCGCATCAGGGCTTACACGGAGAATATCGCAGCAACGCTCCAGATCTGGCCGCTCATCCGAATGCTGGCTACCCAGATGGACCGCAAATCTACAACGATGACAATCCGTACCATACCGCAACACCTAATCTAGCTCCAACGTCGATTCCACGATAATTTGTTCTTTTTCATTTCCACCAATTCCCCTATTCAGGCCCCGGCGTCTACTCACACCAGTAATGTGAACGGCACATGACATGCGTTATGAACACTCGGGCAACGCCAGCAATTTCCATAGATGATGATTTCGGTTATTACTTAACAACGATATGACGAATGTATAATGTTTCCCTAAAACTCTCAATCGTATTCTTTGCAGCTACCGCTTCTCCCCTTCGCCCCTTCTGTCATCTGCACGGTTTGCGTTCATCTCCCTTGCCCTACAGTTGCCCGCCTGCTGCACCCAGGATTCTGAGCCCGCCACCGTCTCCAGCAAAAGCAATCCAGTACCGCCCTGGATGCCATGCAATTTGCCCTCCCCCCACGCCTGTCCCCAGTGGTATCGTTCCCACAACATCTCCCGTCTCCACATGCGTAACCTCGAGATTCGCATTCTCATCGCATCCCGCAATCACATAGCTCCCATCAAAACTGAATCCCACGCTCTTGACAGCACCCACGGGACTTGTGATCGTCCTCTTACAGACCCAGTCTGACGTATCATATAATGAGACGAGGGCGTCGGAGCCGCCAATCGCAAGATACCGTCCCGTGGGTGAGAGGGCGAGGGAGAGGCAGGAGGAAGTGTGTGCGGACAATGAATGCAGAGGGTTGAGAGAGGGATACGAGAGGATAGAGACGGAGCCGTCACCACGGGTTAGGAGGAGGTGGGAAGGCGGTGCGGAGTATGAAAAGAGGATTTGGTTTGTCTGTATGGGCTGGGGTATTGCGGGTTGTGCAACGGGAGCAGGAATGAGATGGATGGGAAGGAGTGCTTCATCCTAAGGGCGACAACTTGGTCAGTTTATGCTTGGCCTTGACAAATAATGATCGTGTAGAACAAAATGTACAGCTTAAGTGGAGAGGTTGACATACCCTCCGTCCAACCATCACAGACTCCCCGTCGGCGGAATAGCAGACTGTAAGGCCTGCTTCGCCCAGCTGCACGATGGCCGTACAGATCTTATTTCGTACGTCCCAAAATCTGCATGTGCCGTCGCTGCTCACACTCGCGAGTTCGGCTTCTTTCACTGGATTCCATGCGACTCGCTCAATGCCCCCAGTGTGACCTCGTAGCTCAGTGCTATTTTTTACTTGCGGTTTATCGGGGTTCCAGACCCGAAGGGTACGGTCGGCAGAGCCTGTGGCTATGAGTTGACCTGTAGGGTTCCAAGCTATGGTGCGGATGCTGCATTGGTCGTCAGTCTTTGTCCGATTGTGCTTTCAAGCTGTTGGGCGGACGAACGTGTGTGAGCCCGGGCCACGAGATGCGGGATCATGGTAGACCTGAGTCTTGAGTGTAGAGAAGAGCGTTGGAAAGCGGTCTTTGGCTACGGGTTTGCGGAGCGGAAGCGGTGCCATTGTCCATATGCCTCGAGAGAAATGTAGAATCAGACATTCATGGTCGGCATGTGGCGAGCGAGAGGCTCAGAGCTAGGAACCTAGATCACCTCAATTTCGAAACTACTGACAAAGCAGCGTTATTGCGGAAGACTGTCCATTGACAAATTGTGCCAAAGGTGAACATTTTGTGATGGCTGTTTACAGATATCCCTAAACCGGAAGGGGAAATCCGTTTTTCCTATCATACATCACCTTGTGTCACTACCTTACACGCTTCATCTTGTCGCTCAATTAGTTGGTCTTACTATGCGAGAGGGGCATAATACAGCCTATTTCAGTCATGTATCTGGCTTCGAAAACGGAGAGTCCGTCTTCGAAATTGGAGGTTTTGAGTGGAAAACTGCCGGTTTGGATCGACCCCAAGGAGCCGCCCTCGAAGAAGCAGCCATTCAGCACCATTCTGAGTCAGCCATTCACACATACAGTACTGTAGGATATGAGATGCAATCTTCATATAGCTGAAATAGCAAATTAGGTTGAGCTCTTGCTACCGGAAGATCTGTACAGTGTCATCTGGCAAGATGTAGCCGCAAAACTCTCGGAGATACAGCATGACAGGGTGATCATGTCTCTCTCCGACGTACTGGAAAAGGATTTTTTCAATCGATATATCAGAATGGGTATGTTCCGAACATCTACATGGGGGGGGGGATAAAGACTTCATTGTGCACCTGTAGGCCCACTTGCTGAAATTGACTGTTTGAAAACTTCAGACATATGGCTTCATGTCTTGTAGAATGCCTCCTCTGTATTACTTGCTACTCTTCTTGAATTTTTTTCATGCCTTCTTGCTCAAAAGATGCCGTTCCCGTCTGAATTTATCGACGCTTTTGGTTTTAGAGTGGATGAGCGGAAGTCTGCTTTTTCCCAAGAACTTGACAGACTTGTACCGACTTGTATTGGTAGCCTGACAAGTGATGTTAGGAAATGTCTTGATGCTATCTGAGGGACGGAGTGGTATCGACAATTTGTACTCACTAAATGATGGTGTGGTTCCCTCTGTCAATGACTGAGCTGCAGAATTGCAGGTTGACATTCTCAAGGCCAACTTCGCCTCGAGATCCCGAAAGAGCTATATGAGCGTACGGGACTTCTGGGCCACGCTATTCGAGATGGAGGCCGAAAGCACGTCAAAACCAGATATAGTATGATTTTCCCTTCCAAATGTCTCTGATAGGAGCTAAGCATCCACTAGGGCTTGATTTCGATCTCAGGCAGCCGTCCATGCTGCACGGTAAGAAAGGCTTCGATCGAATTTTGTGGGCCTGCAAAGAGGTCTTGAATCATCCAGTGGCCTGGCTATACTGTGACTTGAGTGACCCTCCAAATCGTAGGTTTGCCTCTTCCTGCGAAAGTCAAAAAAGTAGTTTTGGATGATAACATGATTTCTGGTATTCTCAGAACCTGGTCCCATAAGCAAGCATCAGCCAGTCAACCGAAAGGTCGCTCCGCTTGAGAGAAAGAGCGGTTTACTGTTGACCCCACCGCTTCAAGAATCGGAGTCTCTTAAAAGCAATCACGATTTCGAATCCTGGGCTGTTGACGCTTACGAGTGGCTTGGCTTGGTCTCTCTTCAGAGTCCGCGTCTATTGAATGGTGATCATATCGATACATATCTAAGTACGTATAATGTACCTGGAAACGCGAAGGACTCTTCTATCGGCACCTCGAATTGTATCACGCTCCGATGGCAATCATTAATACCTTCTGCGTGGCTTCGAAGTCTATTTGTCGAGATGAGGTGAGCAAATCTCCGTTGATAACGGCGTTTTCCAACATGCTCCTTGTACGCCGTGCTGACGGCTATGCAGTAAAGCAGTAAAGGTTTTGCCGGAAGGATTCTTTGCATTGTCCGCTTACAATTCCAAAAGCGGCTTCGAAGAGCAGCAGGACAGTTATACCTTATTGTGTCCTCCTTATGCCAATGAGGGCTGTGAAGAGGCAACACCCAAAGTTGGACGTAATTACATACTGTTCAAGGACTTAGGTTCCTAGCTTAAGTCAATCAACGAAGATGCTCTCGAACATGGACTTCAATAGTTTGGTTCCTCATCGTTATCAGAATACGGTCACCTATGTTTCTCTATTGGGTTTGTAAGTCAAAAATGTACTCTTCATGGCCGTTGTCAAAAGTGTACTTTCACTATTTGAAAGAAAATGAGACCTGCACTGTCTCTCCATTCAATTCATTACATACTACAAGTGCAGACACCCATCAACATACCCTGCATTTCTAATTTCTAGTGATCAATATGGCCGCACTCACTATTTCAAGCAAATACCCGAAACTACTGTCAACGACGCAAATGCTGGCAATCATAGCTTACAAGAAACCAAGCAACAGCCAATGCGAGAAGCACTTCAGAAAATATCGGCAGAGCGACTAGGCAATTGAAGCACGACCAATGGTCATCGTTCATGAGGCGAAGCCTTGTCGACGGCACGAGACCCTCCGTCTCAACATCCCAAAAGCGATGAAGCGACAAAAGTTGCATCTACGAGGTCTGAAAAGGCCAAGCTCTTATCTTCGTCCTCCAAAACCCGTGCTACGCCTCATTCTTCATCCTCCCAAAAAGCCAGCGACGCCACGACCAACTCGGCGTCTACGTCAGGTCGAGCAATTGCTTCAACGGCCGTCAGCACGATCACCTTCTCCCACCGCAATCCCCTCGCACAATTCTCGCCGGAGTCCAAACCAGACAAACAAACAAGTGCAGCATGAATTCAGTGGGCTGTTCAGAGACCTAGAGTGTTATTCAGGCTACGAGTGGGAACATCGCTATTGGCCATCAATGCTAACCAGACGAACCCACGGGAATCCCGCGTTTTGTGGAGGATTAGCAAGCCAATTTGCACTTTCATAATGATTGAAAAGAAAGGTCTGTAATTTTCACGTGACGGCCAGCATCTTGTCCGAGAGTGACTTCAGGATGAAAGCATAGTCTCGTTAAATTCACTACTTGTCATTTTATTGGAGTCATCTGTTCTCGCTCAAGTCGCGCGAATCAGCAAACTTACCTTCTTACTGTTTGCAGCCGGTTGCCATTCTGGATACGTGTAGCACGATAAATTGATCTATGCCCAAAATATGTCGTCATGAATTTGTGTGATGGTTGACATTCTCCAACGGCTATACTGAGCATTTTTCAATTCCCGTCGGCATCATCGTTGTGCGCCCTTTTTCTTTCGAGCCCTAACACTAAAACCGATACTACGGTCGGCGACATCATAGGCTGCATAACCTCATCGACCTCATCCCTACTCCCCAACCCTCTAAATCTTCGTTCACACAACAATGGACGCTCTAGAATCCTACTTCCTAAGCACATCCCTCTACCTCACCCTCGAAGCTACTCCCCTCCTCCTTTCCCCCCGCCTCCTTCTCTCCCTGCTAAGCACAGCCCTTCGCGACCCCACAGACCTAGAGACCTACCTATCCCGCACTCTCGCATTCACAAATATCACCCTCGCCACGCTCTCCTTCCTTCTCTCTGGCATTCTCCCCCTCTCAACTCTCGTCTCGGAGAGCGAAAATGAGCATACAGGGGCACCAAGTCCTTATGCCATGCCGGCTGTTTTTGTGACAATGGTGTATGAGGTCGTAGGGATGGTGTACTGTTATGTGCAGCTTACTGGAGATGGAGGGGGAGGGGCGGCTTACGGTATGGGGGTGGCTTTGAAGGGGGTTTGGCGACTTGGGGCGTGTGGTGTCTGATTTTTGGGGGAGGGGAGGGGGAAAAGGGGAAAGTGAGTGGTTGGCCGTTTCGGAATAGGGAAGAGAAGGAGGCGAAGAGGGAGAAGATGAGGAGGAAGAAGGGGTTGTAGGACGGTCTCTTGTGAGAAATGCAAACAATACTTGAAAACCTGAACAGTGTGAGAGCTCTGACTATCCAGTTGTAGCATGACATATTACTCAACATCATTGAAGAATCAAGACCGTGACAGCTTTCCCTTGCTCCCGCCGACATCGAAGTAGCATGCACCAGTATTTCAGTGCCTTGGACTACCGGCTCAGCCCCTCCACGTCTGCCACCATACCTTCCATCCCATCCTCACCGTCATCGACAGTCTTTCGATACCACGGAATTTCCTTGCCTTGCAACGGCAACGGCTCACCTGGCAAATCCTCAGTCACGATCCTCATAATCTTACTTTCATCCTCGCCCTTACCATGAGCTACCGCCAGCTCCGCCTCCATCACATTTGCAAGCACCAACTCCTTCGCCATCCACTCATCCCTGCGCTTCTTCTCCAGCTCCTGTACCTCTTCAGCCAATAGCTTGTTGTCTTCTTCGCTCCACGCCAGCTGCCGCCTTAGTAACCTAAAAAGCTGGTCAGGTCGTATGGCGAGCTCGGCGTCTGTGAAGGTGACATCTAAAGGGTAATCATAGGGGAGTGCGGTGCCATTCTCAGTATCTGAGGGATGCGAGAGGGTGGCATCATCATCAACAAGGGTCTCGCCATTGCCATCTTTTGTATCTGTTGGAGGCTTCGCATTGAGGATGAGTTTCAACCGCTGTGGCTTGAAATGTGCAGAGTTGTAATTTCGAGGGACAGGGTCTGAGGGTCTCAAGGCTTCAGTTTCGTGGACTGTTCGCATGTGTTTCGCAAGAGCGTCAGAGCGGGTGAAGGAACGGTCACACTCTGCCATTCGGACATACAGATTAGCTTGTTGCCTCTACATCTAACCGAGTCGCAGCCTAGCATACCCGGCAGGGCACAATAGAATGGCTTTTCCTTTGTATGACTTCTCATGTGTGCCTTGAGTGCGTATCCACTGGCATGCGGTGTCCCTTTCCTCGTGCAATCCATCCACTCGCAGGCATAGTTTGTCTCTTTACTTCCAATGTGATCAAGGTGAAGATGTTCAACAAGGTTGTCCATGTTGTTCAAGTCTCCAGCTTCACAGCCATCCCATCTACAAACTCGGACTTGTAGATGGCTCCGGGGGTCTTCATCCGGCATCATGTTGAATTGGTCTCCGGAGGGCGAGGTAGGAATACTGCCGTCCGTGTCGGAAGAGATTTGATCTTCTTCATACCGATTGTCAATGGGTGGGATTGGAGTCGATCGAGGCGAAGAGACGCCGACACGACGACGTTTGGAAGGTGGTAGCAGGTGCGGTTCTGGAGGAACGTCCATTCCAGAGTCTGCGTCCTCAGTCTTCACATCTTCTGCAAATTCACTAGAGCCATGAGAGGAGAGCTGAGAAGAGGCGGGAGACATATCTCGTGACGAAGTCATGGTGAGGTGGCGACAGCTATGGAGTGAATATAAGCGCAGTGAGTGGAGTGAATGATTTGAGGAGCTTTAGCGGGATTGGACGCTTCGAGCAAGATTGATCATATTATTGATCTGGCCGAGCGTCGGTGAGTCAAAGTATCTAAGCTTTTAGGGGCAATTATAAGGAGGCACGCCCAGGAGCGCCCCTTGTAGGCCCGCCTAAGGATTCTGCGGCCGTGTTCAGAGTGACCGACCCTCGGGCGGCCCATCGTGACATTGATCTTCCACCTCCTACCTGCTGCAATCAAGACAGCTTGAGCATCTTCCGCTTAGTACGATTTATGTTCTAGCTATGCGCTCGTTATATTGCTGCACATACACTCATCATGGCTCCAAAATCAAAGCATAAATCTAAGTCGAAGAAAGCAAAAGGAGCCAAGGAGAATGAAGGAAGTAAAGAGCAAGAGCCCCCAAAAGTCATCAACGAGACTACGGGATCAAGAACTGCCGCTGCTCCTCAAGAACCTCTCGAACCCAAGGAACAGAATGTCACACCCGAGTTTCTTGCCGCTGTGGACGACTACTATACCTCCTTCGATCACTTCAACTCTCTAGTCACCTCCACTAATGCCTGGTCATCCATCCCCGAGCAGCCGATGAGCCAGTGCCCCAAGCAACCCCTAGAGGAGCCATGGTACGAGACCGAACTGGAAGAGCAAATGCAAGCGGGCGGGTTTCCTTATGAAGAGGGAGAGAAGGATGGCTCGGAGATGGAGAGTTTGGGGGCTAGGTTCAAGAGATTGAAATTGGAAGAGGAGGAGAAGAAGAAGAAGCAGAAGAAGAGCGAAGAACAGAGAGAGGGCAAGGAGGCGGTGAATAGGGAGATCATAATAGATGTTGACAAGATGATTGATGCATGGACGGGGAAGAAAGGGTTGATCGTTCCGGCTGGATTGAGATTTCCGAAATGAGAGGACTACAGCTTGGAAAAGAGAAACCCTCTCCCAAACCCATGATGCATTGGAGCGTAAGAACATCTAGCAAGAAACAGGTGGGTGCAATTTCGGGCGAGGAACGACTAGGAGCTCCGGTCATGATTTTGGGACTGTCTATTTAGCGATTCATTTTGTTGTGAAGCCATCGCCGACAGCCGAATTGCTAGTGACTTGTGACATGTTGGTCGCTGACGCCGTAGGCGTGGTTATGTAAGTGAGAATTTTGTCCGTTTTCTGTGCTAGGCCTCGAGGCCGCTTCTCATTATGATGATTGAAACAAAGAATTCTGCAATTCGGACGACTCTGTTGTATGTCGATTTGAAAGCTCCACGTTTGAGCAACCTGACGAAGCGCAAAATCGTCGAGCATGTGATACGGCAAAACGTTTAAAATGAAGGCTGACTGGTTCAACCAACAGCTTTGAGATATGCTTGGAGTCATGGAAAAGCAGAGCTTTGTGCAAGTGCGAAGACAACACTTTCATTGCTGAACAGCTTTCTGATTTGCTACCAACACTTTGTAAATAAGCTGTGTGAGACCGAATAAATACATCGCCTTTTTACAGCTCCTTAGGTGAAAAGACTCTCTTTTCGGCAACCCCAAAATCTAATGGTATCCAGTCCGTTGAGGACATAATCTTTTATTTATGATCATTTATCATATAGTCGTGTTGAATATCTCCTAGGCCAAGACGAAGCTCGCTAGGATGAACTCGTCTGGCATTCTCTAGTATCGGTACCTGTGAGGCTAATGAGTATGAGCTACATGGAGATAGGCTATTAACATACATGTCACTCTTGTAAGGTCCCTCAACAGGCAAGCTCATGTACTCTGCTTGTTTTGGTGTCATCTTGGAGAGTTTTGCGTTCACGTGTCCCAGATGTAGTACGGCGACTTGTTCGTCGAGAATCTTCGGCAGGACGTAAACGCTGATGTCTTTCTTGCCGGTCTTGCCGAACTCGATGTACCGTTTGCCAAATGCCGCATCCTCTGCTTTGTACAACATGATCTGAGCTAGGACCTGGTTGGTGAAGGAGCATGACATAACAAAGGAAGAGTGGCCAGTAGCACAGCCAAGATTGACCAAACGGCCTTCAGCGAGTAATATAATGGTTCTTCCATTCTTCATTGTGAACCGATCCACCTGGGGCTTGATGTTCTGGACTGATTTCGCGTTGGCTTTCAACCAGGCAACGTCGATCTCAATGTCGAAATGCCCAATGTCTATTCCACGTCAATTACTGTCACCCAGACAATATAGTGGATCTGGAGGGGAGCTTACTGCACACAATAGCGTCGTTTGGCATGGCTTCAAAATGTTCTCCCACGAGAATGTCCCTGCAGCCTGTCGTAGTAACGAATATTTGACTTATTGGTGCAGCATCTTCCATAGTCAAAACTTGGTACCCAGCCATGGCTGCCTGCAGCGCATTGATGGGGTCGACCTCTGTGACTAGCACGCGGGCGCCCATGCCGTGTAATGCCTGAGCGCATCCCTTGCCAACGTCGCCAAATCCAGCTACCACAGCGACCTTGCCTGCAATCATGACATCTGTTGCTCTCTTGATTCCGTCTATCAAGCTCTCTCTGCAGCCGTAGAGATTGTCAAATTTCGACTTTGTAACTGAATCATTGACGTTGACCGCTGGGACCAGCAATTTCTTATTGTTCAACATGCGGTAGAGATGGTGCACGCCTGTGGTGGTCTCTTCTGATACACCATAGCAGTCTTCCAACATCTCCGGGTGCTTGTTGTGTACTAGCGCTGTGAGATCACCACCATCATCGAGAATCAGGTTGAGTGATTTGCCGTCCTTGAATGCCACGAGCTGTTGCTCTAAGCACCATTCGTATTCTTCATCAGTCTCACCTTTCCACGCAAAAACAGGAACTCCTGAAGCGGCAACAGCAGCAGCAGCATGATCTTGAGTAGAGAAAATGTTACAGGACCTATTAACAAGATTCAGCAGGTAGGTATGGATACAGGAATTAAGAGGATAGCTTACGTCCAGGTAACTTCAGCTCCAAGGGATGTGAGGGTTTCGATTAGGACTGCGGTCTGAATTGCTAGAGTGAATGTCAACGGATTCTTGTCTACGAGGTGTCCAGAAGATTGCTCACTCATGTGCAGACATCCTGCGACTCTAGCACCTGCCAATGGCTGATCTTTGGCATACTTTTCCCTCGTAGCCATAAGACCCGGCATCTCATTCTCTGCGAGATCAATCTCCCGACGACCAAAGGCTGCTAGCCCCTACAGAGTCGTCAGTCAAGCTGCGTTGAACAGGGACAGGGTCTGCTTCTATACCAGGTCAGCGACCTTGAACTTCGAAGCTGGTGCTGCTCCATTCGTAGCTCCGTTGGTAGTCATGGCTGCGGCAGGATAGGGTATTGACGATATTTTGTGTAGCTTGTTATGATCGATAGTCTGCTGTCGATAATCTCTTGAGCTGTTCGACTGTATATGGAGTAAATATGAACGCCGTGTTTTTACTCCGGGTTTTGAAGGACAGTTTACGTCGTACAATGACGCGCCAATGAAACCGAAGCGAGATCATAGACGCACTAAGTCTAAGAGAACAGTTCCACTAGCCCGGGGTTGGGGCTTGCACCGCTGCGCCTACGAATGCTCTGGAAATCTTACAGGATTGTATAGTAGTGCAGTCTGCTGCTACTATGGTGAGTAGCACCAAGGAATCAAGTCAAGTCAGTTAAATCGCTTCTTGGATCTATGAGTCCTCCACACCCGGCAGCAGATTTCCCCTCACAGCAAACATCTTGCCGGTTACCCCAGCTGTGAAACCATCTATCTGTCGCGCATATTGCTCCACTTGCCTGCTGTTCAACATGGTCTCTAACCTGCCCGGCTCCTGTGGAAGCTTGAACAGCCTTTGCCACTCATCCTCGGGCAGTGGACTCTGCTTTGCCATAGCCCTTGATGCATTCTCTGACTTGCGTTTCTGCTGCCACTGCGATATTTTTTGCTGTTCTCGCGCGAGCTGTCTTTGATAGTACTGATAATTGTTGAGTTCGGTGTGGTGCGTTTCAATGCTGTCCAGCAGCAAGTCGGTAGTCTGGGTGAGAAAAGGGTCGACTGAAAGGTTGAGTGAGTAAAAATTTGGTGATAGAGGATCCTCAGTTTGTGAGAGCGATTGTAAAGTCGGCGTCTGTGTCTGCTGGCTATCTGGAGAGGGCGTGGCGCCGGGAAGGGAATGGAGCAAAGACGTCAAAAGATGAGAGTTGTGTATCTGAAGCGGCAACTCAAGAAGTATGTCCTGATATCGAAGATTTGATTTTTGCAGACTATCACACGTAAACAGATGCTACCTGAAAGAAAATCTGTTGCTGGGCGCACCTCTCGGCAGTGAATTTATTCTCTTTAAATGCGGTCATGAAGGCAGGTGACAGTCTAAAGGCGCGGAGACTGAGCCCACCCTGGGAACTTTTGCTCACATCATGTACTAGAGCCACAGTCCTCTCATTGATATCTTTCTGGTAATGTACTTGATTCTCGATGAAGGTAGAGTGAATGAAGTGACCAAGGTTCGTGCTCGTGTACCATCCGGTATTATTAGCGTCCACGTTGACTTCCCTTAATTTTCTTATCATCTCTGCCTGGTAGCTGATATTTGCCTTGGCTCGTGGAGCGGAGGATGCTAAATTTGCGGGTGTATCATGATAACCGTCCGCGGTGGGGGCTTCGACGATTGGAAATGGAAAGGCGTTTGTGACTTCAAGATTGGCATTCTTATCCATGCCAACTAGGAATCCGGTCGCGGGTGTTGGGTAAGACTGAGAACAATGTTTTATAATCTTCATGACCACCTAGGATCTCTAAGCTTTGTAGTGACAGCAAGCTTGGACAACTCACCAGCGCTTCAACCTGGACCGCCTTGAGCGGCACATCTCCGGCTTTGCTATCCCATGATTAGCGTAGACTCACAGCCATGGTAGATATGTTTCAGCATACAGCGTATCTGCGAGCGTCGTCATGCTGTGTGAGAGTTTGTGTTGACCTTTTGCGCCCAGAATTCCCATGTGTGCGATGTACGCCAATCTTTTCCGGTCTAGCGCTATCAGGGCTTCTTGGCTGGTACTAAAATAATTGCACACGCTGAAATCCTTGAGTTCGGCTGTATATAGCCAACAATGAACTTTTGTGATGAGCTCCATATGTCAATCATCTTTGAAATGAATTAGAAAGCAGTTCGTCTGCGACAGTCGCTATTGGGTTCAATTTCTTTACCATTTTGAGCTGCAAAATTTTGTGCCAAGACGAGGTTGTGCAATTAAGGTATTTTGCAAGCTCGCCGACACCTTCAATCTGCAATTTGGGATTCATTCTTCAAATAGTCTTCTTATCAGAGGAAAATTGCGCATAGATATATTTGAATTGTAATTTTCAATCAATTTTGCACCAAGATCTCCCAATGAAGACTTATCGAAAAAGAGTTATTTCCTGCCAAAGATTTCAAGGTGTCCACGACTGGTCCTGCGAGTCAACCCTCTCATCTTTGACAGTTATTATTGTAATAATACCCTATTGTTCAACAGCGGCGCCGAATATGCCTCCTTCTGACTTTGCCATCCCACAAGCCTGAGGTACCCCTTGGTAACCTCTTCCAATTTCTTTCCGTCGACGGAGACTCACTCACTAAGCGACGGCTCATCCAAAGCTTCTATGAGGCTTAGATATGACACGGTATCGCCGTGTCCTTGTTTCTCTGGTGTGAAGTGTATCATCGCTTGTGGCTTTGTCCATTAGCGTCAATAAGCGTCTACGAGAGCCGCAATAGTGCCAGGCGGGATTTGCTATTCCGCCGAAGCCACGGTTTAGGCCTGACTCTTAGCCTGTAATGGCCGATAAGAGGATCAGTCCGCATCCGCCGATCGGGCCTAGATGCCCGTTGGTAGTTCTCGATCGGACTTGCAAACCCCGAAAGAGTGCTCTATAAGTTGCAGCCTTGTCCCCCTCATACTCTTGGTCCACGAACATCCTGCATCCTCCATACCAACCATCATATGAAAGACACCTTTCTAGCTTCTAGTAATTACCAGCTCTTTCTCAAAGCTGCCAAAGACGACCCATTCCTATCACCATGATTTACTCTGACGCCGTTCTCCAGGCCTTCGATGCCTCCTCCCAGACATCTCATTCTTCGACCTCTAGTACCCACACACCATGGCGCCGTCTTTCTCACCGGAGTCTCTCAGAGCACAAGATCCTATCGTCCTCTGCCTTGAGCAATGCCCGCCATGCCATGCGGGAGCATCGCAATTCCTTCTCCCGAAAGCGGACGAATAGCAGCACAAACAACGAGTGATCTAGTCTTAACGAGAGACCTCAGACACTTGGGTCTTCGGCGTTTCGAGACCATTCTGATTAAAGGTGTTTGAGAAGGAAATGAAATCTATCTGAAGCACGACCGGCAACAAAGGCGGCGGACTCATACGAGCCGACAGGCCAGCATTATTTGCGCAGCATTCATCCACCATGAAGCATCAGGGGGTAAAACTCGATGCAGCGGGAAAGGAGTACTCAAGCTCCCGTAGACTCAGATTAAGTGCCTAGGCACGGTGGGTCATTCCTGGAAGATTGGAAGTGACAGGGAGGGGCAAGATGTAATGTCTACATGTGATCAACAGTGGGGATTTGGGGCTTCTTTGGGGAGATGATTAGCAACAAGATGCTCTTGAAACAACGAGCAATATTCAATACGAAACGTCCACTCCAGACGACACAAATCTGTGGAGCTCTTGATTCTTTGATTTCTCTTACTTTGCAGACTACTTGTCACACTCCTTTTGCTTTCTACAACTCTCTTCCCTGCGCAGCTTCTTCATTGACGCTTTTGAAGCCCTCAAAATACTTCTTATATTAGCATATCTTCTTTGCATCGAGGTTCCAAAAGCGCAGTAAAAAGCCAACTCACTCTTTTCCTGAATACGTTCAGGTCATTTGCATGCCCGCCTGCAGCCTTTCTCACACTTTGTCGATTTTCTCCAGCATCTAGTCCCGGGATCCGCCGATAAGTCAATAACTTTCTCGACCCTAGGCCCTGTTAGTCATTCAATTCATGTCTTTCTAACCTCCTGTTCGTTCAATTCCCCAGCCCGTGCTTGAAATCTCTACTTGAAGAACTTTCACCTTTTGCGAATCTATCTCCCATCCAGTGTAGAGGGGTGATTAGGGGAGTGAACTGACATTTATTGAACACCTGCTCGCACTCCGCTACCAGCTCCAAAGCCTGATGGCTCGGTACGTCTAGGTTGCCTTGTTCATCGTTCGATGTAGGCATCCAGACACTAATCCTACCATTATCGAGAAGCGTCAGGGCAGCGAAGTGGAGGATATCGTCCAGGATCGCCGTGAGGCTATACGCGCGTTTGGGCGGAATGTGGTCGTCCTGACTGAGAAGAACTTAACAACAGACCAATGACGAACACAGATCGAGATATAGAGATTCCAAAGAAGTGTCAGGTGAATAGCAGTGTAGCCAAGGGGATAAGGGCTAGGAATGACTGACAGATGTGCTGCTTCTCTGTTGATGTATTGAACTTCCCTGCCCTTACCCTCCTTCTTGCTCCCCAGTACTTTCAATCCCTCCCGAACTCCGTAAGGTGGGTCACATACGATACCGTCCAGCCACCTAGCTCTGGTCCTTAAGGGCGTATTAGTCAAGTCCGAAATGATCCCTCCCATCCACCGCCCGGTCAAAGCATACTGCTGGAAATTCGTTCCAATATTCTTGTCCGCTGTACCCCTGACCATTCTCCCGTCGATATCAGAACCGAGAGTCAACCCTCCAAAGTGCGCACAAGCGATTGGAAGACTACCGGTGCCCACGAACGGATCATAGAACAACTTATCAGGGGCGGCACAAGTTATATTAGCGGTCAGGAAAGCAAGCTCTGAATCCATAGATGTAGTGTTTATATACTCCCGCTTCTTGAGCGTATACTTAGCCAGTATCTCTGTCCTCGAGCTGCCACCAACGAACCGACCTATAAAGAGCCTGTTCGGCTCAGAAGCGTCCTTTTCGAATTGTTCAAAGACTGTGAATGTTTGTTCAGGGGATGACATGGAGACTGGACCCTGGAGATTGAGGTAGGAGAATGTTTGTATGATCTCTCGACCGGAGGACCAGGAACGCGAACCTTGGTAGTCGTCAAAGCGGAAGCGGAATGAGGATTGGCCATAGATGGGCCACAAGTGTCGTGAGAGTGATTCGGTGGAGGCATATAGAGATGGGTAGGTGTTCCCGTGGCCCCAGATTTCGTGAATCGATTTACAGGAGATGGAGCGAAAGATGAGCTCTTTTGCAGACTTTTCATCCTTTAAATATACAATTGAGAAAGGAGACTAGGCAACTTGCTTCATCAGAATGATAAATTGTTTTTCGGTAGACCAAACAAAGAGACAGATCCGCTTCATGTCGCTGAAGGGTTCAACGAAACTCACATCTTTGCTGTAGAAAACCCACTTGAGATCGATGTCATTCAAGGCCGCTAGAGCTTCGATCTCCGGCTGACGAAATGATTCATGCACTTGCACGAAGCGGATTAGATAATTCATCGTTGCGTCAACGGCGGCATCTTCATTCTAGACCTTATGATAGAGACTAGGACAAGCTGCAATGACACTTCATGAGGTGTAGTAGCGAAGACAGAACCCCGTCATTTGCACCCGTGATATCTGTTCGGATTCGAAGTTGGAATTTTCATGTTGAGATTTCCTCGTCGAAAAGAGTTCGAGGGATCGCCAATAGTATTCCTTTGTATGAAGCCAACTTATGAGCCTTCATGGCCCAAAAGTGCGTTGTTCTACGGAACACATGACGCGACGAATTCCATGCACACCTTCTGGAGTTCCCAAAGCGGGCAAACAGGTGTAGTGGGTCAGCAAAGCTATGAGCTTTATGAAAATCTTCACATGCTTCTCTAAATCTATTTGCTCCGCAGCTTGTGCCAACCTCACGATGTCATCCCTTTTTCTCACATTTTCCACATGTCTTTAAGCTAGCCACATCGACGCCTTTGTGCCATCTAATCACTCGAAGCACGCACCAAGCGACCACCTTCTATCATAAGGAGTAACTTTTCCCCCGCTTGAACGCTAGCAAGATCATGTTGCAGGAAGAGAAGCACAAAAAGCCATGAGTCAGCCGCCCACATTTTCAGTCAGTCCATTCCTCAATACTCCATCCATTCACGCCCGCTTCAACGACCAATCTGAGCCGCTCGATATGCCATTCCGTATACAAGTCCCGAGTCGCTCTCGCAGCAGCTTTGTGTCCGGCTCCCACGCTGCCAGGTCTCGCGTCTGACTGAAAGCGCCAGATGCACGTTGCTAAGTTCCTGCCCTTCCCATCGGGTACACCAAACCAATACTTCAGTAAACCGCCACTTTGATTAGCTTCTGTATGACTGCGTTCATCCAGTCTACCCAATTCGGTTCGGGATGTGCTGGGTGGTACCTGTGAGCGGAAAACTACAATGTAAAAGTGCTCACGTTGCCAGTGGTGTCCTTGGTGAGCTGTAGAATGCTTGAGGGTGCTGATGACTGTATCCCAATTAAAGGAAACGTTGTAAGGAGCTGTCGCATAATCAGGCCGAGTGCATTGAAGGGATGCAAGGGCGACCGCCAGAAGTCGTTGGGAACAATTGAGCGTGTCAAGGTCCAGAAGGTGGTCTTGGGTGGTATAAGGCGATGTAACCAGATAGCGTTCATCTAGAGAAGTATTGAAGTCCGGGATTGTTGTGAGCAGAGTCGTACATGGTTGAATGAAGGTGCCGTCGGCGCCATTGTGGCCGTTGGACACCTGGTAGTCTGCGGGGACCTGGTAGTCCTCCGGGAGGGTTACACTTGCCGGTACCGGCATGAGCATTGTTTTCCTTTCCTGGGTCATCACCAACAGGATGGCAAAGAGATTTCTTCGTCCTCCTTTAGAAGGCAGAGAGCAGATCACGATCTCATCAGAAGAAGAATCTGGGAAAGCTAGGCTAAGTGAAAACGGAGATGTGCTAGATGTGGACGCAGGAACACAACAGAGACATATGCAGGGACAAGATCAGGTGTGACCTAGTAGACAGGAGGGTTTGAAATGCCGCATCCGACGAAGCAGATGGTGTGCGATGGGCTAAGATAAGGAGGCGCGATTGCCAACGCAAGATGAGGTACACAGCACGCCATTGAAGAAAGGAATGTCACAATACTTCGGCCTTTGAGCTCACGCAGCGGTGTGAATAGCTTCAGCAGAGCCCAAAACGGTAGGTATTACCACAGTCACCGCTCTGTCAGACCTCGTGTTGCGATTGCATGACAAGAATATGCTCTGACATTGCTCGAGCCGATTCCAGGGTCATGAGGCGTGCCACTTCGTTTCTCTTCTCAAGGGATGGTGGGCACGATCGGAGTGCCTAGGAGGCCTCTTGCATCATATTGATATTGCAAAGACAAAACTTCGAGATGACTGAAATAATTCGAATATTGTAACTAGCGATAATTCGATACGTCGTAAAACCAAAACTGCGCGTATGCAACACATCCGTTATATATATGTCCGTAATTAGGACTTCAGATCTATCATTTATCTTGAGACTACAAATTACATAAGTCTTCCTTTTGATTACCTTAATGTCCAAAATGCAAAGAGTTTGGTATCTACGACTTTCCCAAAAAGGTATAGTTTCATGATCCGTTGGAAAAAAGCGTCAGTAGTAGGGCACCAGAAGGTTCAACTTCCACTCTGCGCGGACCACTGCCGGACGCAGCCAATCACACAAGCCTCAAAACTACCTTGGTTAGTCATTGCACGCCGCTTGAGCGATGCTGAACCCTCGGAAGTGCCTTTCTGCTGAGAAGAGGGCTATAAAAATGGGAAAGTTATGAACGGCCCTCTCCACTCTCACCACTTCCCCCATGATGCCGGCCAGCTCTTCTCTTCCCACCCCGCTCCCCCTACCTTGGCCTCTCCGCATGATCCTGACTTGGACTTCAACCCCTTCGATCCCGATGCCACACTCCATACCCCTACAGATCTAGGCTACCCATTTGATCCACCACCAATTCAATATGACACGAGGATACAGCCACGCTTCCAAGAGATCCAGTCAAGTGTCCCGGTCAACGGTCTCCCGGCGCCTCAGCATGCCCACATCAATCAATTCGAGGTATCTCAACGACCGAGACTGCAGAATGACGTGGTTAGCGGTGGTGGGCAATTTGGCATCTTGACACCACGTCCGCAGGCGCCAAGTCAGCCACAATCACACAATGAAGCAATCGGAAATCTACAGAATGAAATCCATCTGCGGGCGAAGCCGAGGGCGGAAGGGGGGACGACCGACGGGCATTTTAGTAATCTGAAGATGGTACCGGACCCACCAGATCTAGCTGCATGGAGACAGAGACTATTCGATGTAGACAATATTCTTACCCTGACCGAAGATGAGTATGTCGGCGAGGACTGCGATATGGTGCCCGTGGCTAATGACCTTGCCTTGCTTTTAGGTTTCAGACATACTTCCCGCATGTGGACAACATCTATTCCCACCGATCTACACAGAAATACAAGCGGAAACCATTTGTCTCTCATTATTGGGATTGCCGCTTGAAGGGACGGCCTCCAGGAACCGCGAAGTCGGATGACCCTAGCAAGAAGAAGCGAAAGCGCACTGCACGGGAACGTGATTTGTGTGATGTCAAGATCAAAATTACTGAATACTTCCCAGGGCCAAAGGGTACGGAAACGAATAAGACAGCTGAAGACGATCAGGAAACCAGGAATGATTTTGCGCAATCACCAACGGTTGAGGGTTCTCAACCTCATTCCGCGAATGTCCTACCTCCGAATGATGAGAATTCTACTAAGGCCAACAGAGCAAGAGCCCGGGGGGAAAGATATTATCAAGTACAGCGCGTTAATGGGAATGGGGCGAATGGAAAAGACTTGGTCTCCACGGGAGGCCATAAACACTCTCTAGATGACAGCGACAAGATCAAGAAAAATAGTGTGGTCCGACATTTCCTCAAGGAAGAGAAAGACCGGAGAAAAAGCCAGGTACGTTTCTGCAGCTTTAGCGTCACAAGCTTGGTGCTTCGGCTCTCGCTGCTTGAAGCAGCAACATGTGTCATTGTTGTTAACGTCATTCTTGTAATTGCCTTTCGACCGCTTCCCAGTTTTGAACATAGAACTTGAGGCAATACCAGTACCCGATCATTATCTCTCATGACCCAATAGCAGTCAATATGGCTTCTCAAGCTGACACCTCCCAACAGAAAACTTACCACAAGCGAGCCACCGGCGCTGCCCTTCAGACCGTTAAGAGGCACGCAAAAGACAACGAGCTCAAGCTCTACGGAAGCTGCTTCTGTCCTTTCGTCCAACGTGTCTGGATCTCTCTCGAAGTCAAAGGATTCGCCTACCAATATATTGAGATTGACCCCTATAAGAAGCCTGATGCTCTTCTCGCCATCAACCCTCGCGGGCTAATCCCAGCTCTCAAGCATGGCGATTGGGGCTGCTATGAGTCCTCTGTGCTCATGGAGTATCTCGAAGACCTGAGCTTCGGCTTCCCTTTGCTTCCGCAAGGCGATCCCAAGTCCCGCGCGCATTGCAGGCTGTGGAGCGATCATATCAATCGCAAGATTCTCCCGCAATTTTATGGTTTGTTGCAGGCACAGGAGACTGAGAAGCAGACGACTCATGCCAGGGAACTGCAGGAGGAGTTGACGAAATTGATTGATGCTGCAGAACCTGCCGGGCCATTCTTCCTTGGGCCGCACCTTTCCTTTGTGGATGTTCAATTCGCACCGTGGGTAATCAGGTTCAGGAGGGTTTTGCAGTCATATAGAGGTTGGCCGGCGCCTGAGGCGGGAAGTAGGTGGGCCAGGTGGGTGCATGCGATTGAGGGAAATGAAAGTGTGAAGGCTACGACTAGCGCTGATGAGATGTATTTGGACAGTTATGAGAGATATGCAGAAAACAGGCCCGGGACGAGTCAGTTGGCGAATGCAATCAATGCCGGAGGAAGCTTGCCTTAAGGAGCAGCCTGTGCAATTGAACTGGGGGACGAAACATGGAGTGTAAAGGTATGGTAGATGAGTGAGTAAAGCTGCTGCAAATGGGAAAGATGTAAGATGTCAAATTAGTCTGAAGTCCGAATAGCAACTCGCGAGCTCAGCTTCGCATTTAAGACTCTAGTATTGCCTGTTCTGCTAAAAACGAATGGTCGGTATATGACCTATCATGGTAAAACTTAGTATATACGATGTGTTTGTTGCTTCAATGTATAGTGGAGTCTGTATCACCCATTATCTTACATCCAGTATCATCAACCGTCATACCCCGTGTAAGTAGAGTTCCAGCATCCAATCCCTCGCCAGGTTTCAAACAAGTCTGCTAAACTTGAAACCGTCAAGATATCATGCCTATGTCATTACTGTACCATCTATCTTGCTCATTCTTCTCTGTTCACCGCATTGTCTTTATTCACACCATCTACTTCGGCGTCATACCACTGCCCTCCCAATTGACCTCGCCCATCATGGTTTCCCAATCTCCCAAATTTCCGGAGAAGCCTGAGAAACCCGGAGTCATCCCTGGCCCTCGTGGAGAGCCCCCAGTCTCCCAACCGGGAGGGACCTTTAGAGTTTCCTCCATTGTTGCCGGTATCGAAGTTGTCCCAGCAGCCGAAGTAAAAGCATCATCATCTCCCATCTGTGGAGGCGAGTACGATGTGTTCGAGGATCCGTAAGCGGAGTGGGTTGATTGTGGGGTCAGCCCTGTACTGTTATTGCGCGACGGGCTTGTGTGGTCGCTCATATTGGTATCGAAAGGATTAGCGTTTCCGATGTTGTTATTGAGTATTGGATTTAGTCCGACAGGAGCATCAACGCTGGCCATGACATTGTCGTTCGCGCTCCATGCGCCTTTCCATTGCGCAGCCCCGGGAAGAATGCCAGAGATGCCTCTGGGACCCATGAGGTTGTCACCAGGGTAATAAGGGTCTGTGGAGGCGCCGACGCCAGCGCTGAGATCGAGGTTTGAAAGTGTATACTGAGTGGGTGTTGGTTGCTCTGGGACAGAGTTGCTGGATGGGGTTGGTACATGAGCCTGTGTTGTTTGCCATGTATCGGGAACGCGGAAGTCATGAGGTTCGCGGGATGCTTGCATAGCTGACGGCTCGGGAAGGATAGAGTCTCCTGTTGTCCATTTTTTCTGATGTTCTTGCCATTCGCTTTGATGCTTCATGATTGAGCAGTCTCGCAGATGTGAGTCCTATCCCTCGGTTAATAAATCATTGCAGGGGTTGCCAAGAAGGGTTCCTAAACGTACTGCCTTTTCTTTGACCATTGATGAGAAGTCAGGATTGTGGAGGAGTACATCAAGACCACTACCCTCGATATCGAGCTGGAGTTGAATCATGAAAGACTCTGCAAGTGGAACCTTCTTTCTGAGCGCAGTCATGGCCGTTAAAAGAAACTCGAGCGAAGTCTTGACCTCTTCATCCGAAGGAGATTGCTTCAGAAATTGCACGAACACGCGAGCGGCGACATAGAGGCAGAAAACCATATAAGGATTCATCTAAAGATATTCAATTTCGAGACTCATCTGGGGAGTTCGGGCATGCTTACTCCGGTAATATCAAGGTGGCTAGTCATACGCATGATGTTGACGATCTCTGCTGCCGATAGTAAGCAACGGCCTCGACTACTTTCAATAGCAGAATGGTGAATGTTGTGCCTTTGCGCTTTGAAGATTGCTGCTTGGTGTAGACAGATAATAGAAGTATGGACTGCAGGATCATCAGTGGAAGGTCGTTTTACAGTAAAGTGACGGAACGTACGAGAAAAGTTGATGAATACAACGTTCGGATTCCTTACACCCATTGGTAGTCTGAGATGAGAAGGTAGCGCCAACGAGGTGTTGGACAGTATGTTATCCATGTATCGATGTCGCTTCCAGAATTTTCCTTGCAAATTTGACTCGTCGTCATCAGGCTCTGGTCTGTGAAGGTGTGTCAGGTTGAGGCCAAAGAAATGAGTTACGTATACGACGCCGGCAAAGGTAGAAAGGGAAGAGATCTGCTCTTGAGACATTGCTTGTCCCATCAAAGGAGTCGTCTGCGGGGTCCCGTTCTCGTAAGCCTCTTCACTAGCGGGAAGAGCAGTCATGATCTATATGCCTTGTCAGAGAGAGCAAGACCCTGCGTGCGGGAAGACTCACGTCTCGTTCGTCGATCGACATTGGCCAGCCAGTTCCGATGCTTGCGTAACGATCGATACAATATGCCATCCAAAAGGTTCTGCGTCGTTCTTCACGCTCTACCCAGTCCTTCGGAGGCGGCAGACACTGCTTGACATCCATTCCAATACCGTCTATCCTGTTCATACCGGTCATAAGTGCCATCCGGCCAGCGCGCCCACAGCTCATCCAGGCGCGAGGGAAATACATGAGTTTAAACTCATACGTAGCAACGAGCGTCCAAGTCTGTACGTGGGCAAGTGACACGGTTGATTCCCCAGCGCCTTTCATCTCATCCAGCTGGAGATACTTACGCGCTCGCCGGTAAAAGATATCGTCATGATGCATGTATTTGTCAGTTACCATTGCTGCCATTGCCCACATGGCGTATCGAAGGCAGACTGGAGGCCGGGCCTGCGGTGAGAGGCTTAAGGAAGAGTAATACCGGTACTTGTGAAGCATTGGCAACGACGGGTGAATCTTTTCGAAGTAGACATTGGTGCTACTGATGGTCAGTTTTCGTCTTTGAAGGGTACTTTGGACGTACAGCTCGTCAATTGCTTCTTGCATTGGTAACGGTTCCTCAAGGCCGAGCCCTATCATTTCCCACGAGAAATTGTCATCTAAACCGAAGCTCATATCGGGCATGAAGTCCGAGCCATTGGTCATCGCCTCAGGCAAAGGATTGATCGTTGATGGTGAAAATGCACTTTCGGCACTACCCATCGCACTGTATGGCGCTTCTGGTCTCGGAACGCTGTTGTCATCTGGTACGGATACATTGAACTGCAATGTATCCTCCTCCATCACACTCTCCTCTGGGACTTGTGGCTGCTTTGCCGGCGTGGCTTTTTTCCCATTTTTGGCTGCCTTGCCCTTCAATTGAGTTTCAACGTGCGCTACCTGCTGTCAGCCTGAGGCAATTGAGCGTGGCTCAAGCACTCGTCCATACCAAGTCTGGCTTCTAACTCTTTGACATATCCTCGTTTAGGACCACTTTTCCTCCGGACCTCATCATATGCACAGCTGTGTCCAAGTCGAGCGCACGTCGCGCATTTTGGCTTGTTGCCGTCGCATTTGAGCTTTCTCTTCCTGCAGATGACACAAGCTATCCTCTTAGTCTTCGGAAGCTCCAACTGGTCTTTCACGGAAGTATCAGACGATATTTCTTGGGGGCTCAGAGAGTTCTTCTGATTTTGCTGTGGCTGCCTCGACAAGTCATTGAAATACCCTTCGTCGACGGGGGTAGCCATGGCAGGTGTTAGAAGGTGCCCTGAGGAATGCTAGCCCTCATATATCACCCCAACGCTGGCTTCTCCCAATTTAGAGAAATCCGGGCGTCGAATTTGGCTGCCTGGAGGATGTGGGACAATCATATTAGGATCACCAGGGTCGTACCGAATTGCTTGCTTACTTATTCAATTGATGCCGCTAGTTCTTAGGGCTCGCGATAAATAACCGTCACCTGTAGGGAGTAGTTCTTGGGGGTCCAAGCTATACCTCAAACCGGGATCCAACAGGAGGACACGAATACGCTATAAAGGGGGAGGAGTAAAAAGGCGAGAGTCGGTTTCGCGAACGCACTGTATTGGCTCCCTTGTGATTAGCCAATGCTACCCCCTATGTGCTCCAGCACATGAATGGCTAGTCCGTGAGTCAACAATGCGCCTTGTGATGCGTTCTTTGTTTTCGCGCCTCGCTGCAGTTCTCGAGAGACAGAAAACAGTGCTTACGCCCAGCAGTGCTGCTTCGAGCTACGGTCCACCTCCCCAAGCTATGAAGCTATGTACAAATGCTCAACCGAGGTTACTACTTATTCTTTTTCAGTTTCTTTGCTTTTTTGGCTTTCTTACTTTCAGACCGTGGCCGAGCTTTGACGACGTATCGATTGACTTTCGACTTCTTCCTCGTTTTGTATCCGCCTTTGGTCTGCGTGGCTTATGTCAGCCGCAATCAACGTTAGTCATTATTGACAGCACCTACCAATATTCCCCACGGACTGACAGGGTTTCGATTTCCCTTTGACTTCCCTCGTCCACCACCATGAGGATGATCACTCGCATTCATGGCAACTCCCCTGACGGTGGGCCGAATCCCTAACCATCTGCTCCTCCCCGCCTTCCCCAATTGTCGATGGTTGTAGTCAACATTGCTTGCAATTCCTATTGTGCAACAACAGTCTTTCTGTATGTGCAGTACCTCGCCACTCTTGAGCTTTACGTCTACAAAGTCGGCCCACTTCGCGTCCCCTTCGTTTTTGCCGATCACCGTCGCATATGTACCAGCGCTGCGACAAAACTTCGCTGGTCCATGCTTTGCCTTTCCGACGTTGAAGACTGCAGTTCCAGGCGGTACCATGTGCAGAGGTAGACAGTTGCCCGGATGACAAGTCTTTGTAGCCAGTAGACCGGCATCCGACGTATCACCAAGCTCTTTGATAAGCCGCTCTGGAATTCCAGATCTGAAGCTCTCTATTTGTTGCCCCGCTCTCAGTCCGTCAGAAGCAACAATGTACGAGTAGTTGATTTTGTTTCCTTCTTTGATGCTCAGAAGAGCTATGTGAGCGCTTCTCCCAGGATCGTACTCAATCCGTTCGACTCGGTGCTGACCTGGCGCCATTCGATTGAAGTCTATGCTCCGTATTCGTCTCTTAGCACCATTGCCTCGATGCCGTACCGTGATCTGACCATCTCTATTCCGTCCTCCTATGTGTTGCCCACGTCGTGCGAACGTGAGAGGGCCGTACGGCCTTCCCTTGAAAAGGTGGTCGTTGATAGGTCGCTTGAGATGTCTGGTTCCAGGTGTACGTGGTTTGTACGTGCGTAATGTGACTGCCCTTCGATGCAGGGACTCTTCCCGGGGGGTGATTCCACTTGGAGCCGCTCCCTGACGAAAGAGCCTCGTTTTGGTCGCACCTGTGCTTCGGCATCAGGGAAGGAACGTTGAGAGAGGCTGTGGAGGCATCTTGTGCACAATCGAGCCTTCGCAAAGGCTAATCGAGGATGCAGCATGCAAAAGCTGTGGGTCCAGGAATGGAATGATGGAAGAGCAACGTCACTGATGTGAAATTCTCAGGGTCGAATTGGAAGTGGGCGACGAGAGAGAGGGCGACAAGGACAATTCGTATGTGATCAAATCGACTTTTCTCAAAGCGTGATGAGAATTTCGCGTTGCTGCCGAGGCTTGGCCTATTGGATAGCTTTAGGGGGCATACATAGGTGCTGACGTTGAGAATGCGCCCTATAAGCAAGGCTCTTAGGGGCGCAACAGCCGCCTATCTCCCACCGTGGAGCTTTGGCGCGGCCACCTTCCGAGGGTTCCGCAACTTTTTTCAATCAAGTCTCTTCAAAGGAAGGAAGAATGCACTCACAAGGTTCTGCAGAGACCTAGGTAGAGAAGTAATTTTTCAGAGCGGAAAAATCCATCCTCACATCTCAGATTTGCACACATACACTGCATCACATCAATCTGTCCGTTACCGCGTGTTTGCACCCGCGAGGCTCCACGCTAAAGTCCGATTGGTTATAGCGCGATTTATCACGCCCTGAGACCGTGAGACGTTGTTTACTCGACCCTCCGCCTGTTTCCATCGAGGAGACCTCAATTCCGGTGTCCTTTTTACCCTTCAAATATTAGAAGATCACCGCAGCTTTGATAGCGACGCTTAAATCATCATCTTTGTCTTGCTCAAGCATAGTACCTCAATATCAACATTGCACCCCTCCCGTGTTTATCTGCTTCTGCTTAGCAAATATTGGAGCCCGCAGCATTGTACAGGCGATTGAAGTCTAGTGTCTTTGTGTGCAACTTGAATGCGGCGGTAAGTGCCTTGACGACACTCGTTGCTGTCTCGTAATCGCTGACTACTCTGTCTTTTAGTATCGCTTCAGACCTCAAAATCTTAACCACTGAAGAACTTCATCGGGCATCCCTCTCGTCCTTGCTTCGAAGTCTACAGACACACTTAGTGGAGAAGAGGACAACAGTCTCCTGACATGCCTCCTGTACGTAAAAGCGGCGTCAAGACGCGAAAGCACGGGCATCGACAACTCTTTCCTATCGGCTGCTAATTGTTTATGATAGGCAAGGTCAATACGACATCGGGTCGTGACAAACGAGAATGATGAAAACAGTGGGACCACACGGCTGACGCGGGCGAAAGCAGCCTCCTTAGACACTTCAAAGGACGCAGGCGACGTCCCAGTGAAGAAGGCTCTAGCTGCTAAGAAGTCCGCAATCAATGCCACAAACAGAGGTCTTGGACAAAAGCGAGGAGCACTAGGCGATATCAGCAATGTCTCAAAAAGCGAAGCTGTCGACTCAAAAGAGAAGAAGAAGCCTATCACTGCAAAACCAGGTCTCGTGTCAAAAGCTCAGAGCGCAGGCATACAGAAAAGCTCACAGATTAAGCCTGGTCGACCGGTGCTTGGCGCAAAAGACAGCAATCAGAGATCAAATGGCTCGGATTTGAAGCGACCGGCGAGTGGCTCTGGGGTTATGGGTAATCCTGTAAAGAAAAGAAATACAGGCTCGACTGGAAGTCAAGCATCTCTTAAAGAGGAAGACAACTTGGACACGGAGAATAGACCACCGACGCAGAATAATGTGGAAGAAACGAGGAAGCAATCTAGTCATGAGATACATCCTCAAATGAGGGATCAGGTGAAACCAGAGCCAGACACTGACACCAAGGGAGAGCATAAAGATGTAGTGATGGATCTAGACACCGAGGATATCGATGATCCTTTAATGGTGGCAGAATATGTCGTCGAGATCTTCGAATATCTTCAGCAACTAGAGGAAACAACAGCGCCGAACCCTTCATACATGGATCATCAAATTCACATCGAATGGAATCTGAGGGGAGTCCTTGTCGACTGGCTGGTAGAAGTCCACACGCGCTTTCATCTCTTGCCAGAGACCATCTTTCTCGCTGTCAACATTGTCGATCGATTCCTTTCGAATCGAATAGTTCAGCTTGAGAAGCTACAACTAGTAGGCATTGCCGCTATGTTTATCGCATCCAAATACGAGGAGGTCCTATCTCCACACGTACAGAATTTCAAGCATGTCGCCGACGACGGTTTTTCGGAAGACGATATTCTTAAAGCAGAACGTACCATCTTAGAGACCCTCAACTACGATCTCAGCTACCCGAATCCCATGAATTTCCTCCGCCGAATCTCTAAAGCCGATAGCTACGATATCCAGACGCGTACGATAGGTAAATACCTACTGGAAATCAGCTTGCTGGATCATCGCTTCATAGAATATCGCCCCAGCCATATTGCCGCCGCATCAATGTATTTGGCGCGTCTCATTCTTGACCGTGGGGAATGGGTGAGTGTTGTGCAAGGTGCGATACCCCATTGTCACTAATCGGTAACAGGATGTGACCCTTGCACATTACTCAGGCTACACTGAGAAAGAGATCCAACCGGTCTTCAAATTGATGGTTGATTACCTTCACAAGCCAGTCGTGCACGAAGCTTTCTTCAAGAAGTATGCAAGCAAAAAGTTCCTCAAAGGTCAGTGCACGAGTCATCAGCGACATCAGACTCATATTAACATGATGTAGCCTCTATTCTCACTCGGCAGTGGGCCAAAAAAAGCTACCAAATGTTTCTCGATACTGAAGAACCCGCAGCACTGCGGAAAGAGAATGGCGTTGCGCCACATCGATGACGATCTCTCTTGCATTGTCCTGTTATTTTAATGTGTCCTTTAGATTCATTTTGAGGCAGTCGGCATGAACTAATCCATAGTTGGATGGAGTCACTGTATATGGGAGCAAAATACGGCATCAAGCTATTGTTACGGGCAACAACAGTTTTAGCATGGCTTTCAAATCACAGGCGTTATGGGATAGCGAGTTAACCTTTGCCCGTCTGCGCGGAGGGTTTGGACGCTTGATTTGATTTATCGCTGAGAGGAAGGGAAATGGGTGCTTCTCGCCAGTGCTATCGGAATAAGAGGGCCTCTCGAATTCTTGCAGGGTCTTCGATTTCGCTCAGACTCGGTTGCACTCACAGGCTTGGAAACGAGGAAATTGTGCATAGGCTCTCATATAGTAGACTACGGCCTTGACAAAATGCCATAATGATCAATTTAATGAGAGGAAACTTGGATCCTGGGTCACGATGTTTAGACTGTAGGGCATGTTGCGCCAGCCTTTACTTCGGGGAGTAGTCCGTAGACTCCGAGCAACCCCGAGGAAGCGCTAGCCGTTTGGCTTTTTATTTCAATATTTAATTGGGGACGGTCGCCGTGGGACGACTGACGAGGCCAAAAGCACATTTCAAAAGCCTTGAGGCCTCGTAGCGATCGACCTATACATTATTAGGAAAGATGGCCAGTGAACTCGCAATGTCCTTCTTGGGCGCTCTGCAAGCCTCTCTTTCGGTCCTCTTGATCATCTTCTATGGCGTTCTTGCATCACAATTCAATTTACTGGAGAACGCTGCAACGAAGCAAATAAGCACCATCTGCGTTCGCATGTTCCTGCCATGCTTGTTAATCACCAGCGTTGGAGGTCAACTCAATCCAGACACCGCTATTCGCTATGTGCCAATTCTCAGTATGTTCACTTTCTCACGAAAAGGCAAGCCCACTGATCGCCTGCAGTCTGGGGCCTCTTCTATGTTTTGGCATCGATGCTGATTGGATCCATTATGACACGCGCATTCAAGCTACCTGCTTGGACAACTCCAGCCGTCAGTTTCAATAACACAAGCGCTATTCCGTTGATCTTGATCGAGTCCTTCGCAGCGACTGGTCTGCTCGACTCGCTTCTGATGTCCTCTACTGACACCCCCAACAAGGCCTTACACCGCGCTAGGTCGTATTTTCTTGTGAACGCTACGATTGGGGACTCGTTCACTTTTGCAATGGGCCCCAAGCTGCTTGATGGTGAGGAAACGCCTGACAAACAAGTCAAGAATGGCGACTCGAATCCCCGTCAGGAGGCGTCAGGAGCAGATGGAGCTGCTCAAAATGACAACGGGCAGCCACAAGAGGGTCGCAATGAACATGCTAACGAACAAACCTCACTTCTTCCGGTCCATGTCCAACGGGGCGAAGTAGCAGTCGCTCGTTTTGCCGAATACGAAGGACACAGGATATGGTCTCACCTGCCTCTACGCGCACAACACTTTCTCCAATTTGCTTTCTCCTTTGTCCATGCGCCGTTAATTGGCGCTGCCATGGGCCTCCTACTCGGTCTCACACCACCGCTTCACAGAGCGTTTTTGGAGACCCGAGGCATGGTGGTTACTTTCAAGCTTGGCTCACAGACAGCCTTCAGAAAATTGGTGATTTGTTTCCAGCCCTCCAGGTCGTTGTTGTTGGGGTGAAATTGAGTAGCAGCCTGCGCAAGATGAAGCGGGGTGAAGACAGTGGAGAGGTGCCATGGACTCCGATGACCTTTGTCCTGCTTATGAGATACATCATCTGGCCTGCGGTTTCCATCTCCCTGGTCTACCTTGTTGCTTCCAAAACAAGCTTGTTGAGTCCAGACCCCATTCTCTGGTTCACAATGATGATCATGCCAACCGGACCGACCGCAGTAAGTCGATCTTAGAAAACTTTCCCTTAACGGTAGAGCTGACTTCGTGTTTACCAAGATGAAAATCACGTCTCTTGCTGATGTAAGTGGCAGTAGTGAAAGTGAAAAGATGAGTATTGCCAAGTTTCTATCTATCACTTATGCCATAAGTCCTGTGATATGCTTTACGGTGGCGGGTGCATTGAAAGCCTGCCATGCAATTCAGAGCATCTCTTGAAAGCTACGATTCTTTCCATCCATTGCACGGCTTTCAAACCAGCTTCTCTAGTTGCATTCAAATGACTCTTGATCACTATTATCGTGTTGAGGATCATCGGTCCAAGAGTTTGACCTACATTCCAACACTATCTCGCAAAGGTGGTACCCGTGGCAATAGGAAGCTGCTGTCCGACTCGTCATAAATTCATGTGCATTTTCATCCTCTCTCGCGCAGAATGTAACAAAGTTCACTTACGTTGACGGAATCGCTGGGGACTTTACAACAAATCATAGTCTAACTCAGACTCGACTGCTTACAGGTCACGGCATCTTACACTGTGTATATCTGGGACTCCGACGACTGTCGCGATTGCGGTCTATCTATGACCGGTGATTGAGTCTTGAGGAGCATCCTTGATCACAGCCGAGGGTTTGTATTACAAGCGCCCTTTGCTCGGGCCTGTGTTTTGCATGCATTACTTGATCGTCCGAAAATACGCTAATCATGACTTGGATCTTCTGTAAGTGGCATTTAATCTTGCGTGCCAAGGGTGTCTTACAGAATGATATTTAACTGGCCGACGGACTATCTAAGGATGCATTGTCAAATCACCATTCACCGAAGATAATTGCGGATGTCCGACCTCGACTATTGAGCAATAAGGAGCGCGAAGGGCACCTTGTTGAGAAACAGTTGTTTTTGCGCCAGGATTGGATCTCTACTCCTCTCTGCGGATCTGAAAGTCAAATTTAGGTGCTGCGAAGAGACTGCTCGTCTATCATGCCAACGCAATGTTTGCACCTCCAGCACTTTGTCCATACACGCCATCCTCGACCTTTGTGTCATTCGTCAGGGCATCACGTGATTTTTGAATATACAGTGTCGCAGACTGCGTATTGTCCACAGGAAATATCGATCCGCCGAAGCCGAACTGCGTACTAGCGACACAAGTCTTCATGATCGAGTCGGCACGTCTTAAGACTACCTTTGGATCGATTTTTGGGGTTATTCCAAGCTCGTCCTCTTCAAAATCAAGAAATATCTGGCAATGCCTACCCGAAAATGTGTATGGACACTTGATATAGTCCATTCCCATTCGTGCTGTGTGAGTAAGGCGATACTGTTCATAGGGGAATATATTCTCAAATCCTCGTCTTATGACCTCCTCGCAATCATCGTAATCGAGCGGTGTCTGCGAAGCGACCTTGGGGAAGCAATCCAGTTCGTAGGAAAGAGCTGCATCAGTCGACTGGGGTTCAGAAGTGGAGGAAGCTAGGGTGAGAGAGACGGTCACGATCCAAGCTACAATTTGCAGTGCTTGGTGCATTTTTCTTAATCCACATAGAAGCAGGTAGAAGATGGGAAAATCGAATCCTTTATATATCAATTCCAGAGTCTTGATCGCGTGCGTGCATGCTCGGATGTCAATGCTCAAGCAGAACGCAAAGACCAACCGCCTTTCGAGAACAATAAATAGATTCACAGATGTCAAAAAGGTGGATACATGTCGCATAATCTCTTGCTGGCAGTGTTTCACTCTTGAACATGTTTTCCTGTGGAAACAATTGCATTTGGAAAAAGTGCGAGTCATGTCCCATTCAGTTGCAAACTAAAATTATCAAAGCATTCGTGAGTCATCCATCCAAATGCTCTACTCGAGAGAAAGTGATTGGACCATCCGTAGCTTTCTTCTGCGACCAAGTGTCGAGATTTTGAGTGCTGTGCGAGACCTGTGTACCTACAGTTGGTCCTTGAATCCTGGACTGTGACACTAGACGGATACTTTTTGATAGCCTCACGACTGTTGATGCAGACATTGGTCACATGTTCATCTCAATTGGCAGCTGAAAGCGTAGGTTAATGAAGTTTGATTGCTTCTGCATCGTTAACATTGATCGTGATGGGTCAGACCTTTGAATCCTTGCAACCCTCCTCTCTATTCCCGTTCGCCATTGATTTCAATAATAGGGTCCTTTAATTTGATACAAACAGGAGATAGGCTTGGGCCAATGCCAATAGATACATGCAGCGAGAACGTCGACCTCTTGTATCGAACCAATCTAATACGGCGGTAATAGATTTCATCTGATCGCATGGGTAATGAGATATTTGCGCCATTGCACGTAACCTATTCTTATCAATAATACAAACTCAACCTGCAATCATACCATTGATATTGTGTTCGATCAAGGCACTAAAGCCATTCTTATAATTATCCTAAAGGAGTATGTCTATGAATTCAAAGCAATGGTTGAGATGCAATTTGTCTAGCTTGCTGGGTGGGAGTGAGGTTACCGAAGGCAAATTTAGGTCTCTCTCTCTCTCTGTCTTCGTCTCATGGAAAGCATTGACGATGACTTACATTGCATGACATCTGGCAGAACTTGATAGCTCGTCCCAAACATACAGGTGAAATATCATGGTATTAGTGTCTACGATCTTTCACGGTGAAAACGTTAACGTCAAGCGTAATGATAGTCAAGGATCATTCACTGCAGGTATTCTAGACATTACGCGGAACGGCATCGTCACCTGTGTCAATGATTCCGGTAGCCAGACAAGCCTGTCCATCGCAACACAAAGTCTGATCACGTACTTAATCATCAGCGGAAGGGGTCAGTGACGTTGGTCATAATTTTACAGCAATGCTCATGTAGGAATAAAGCCTCCAAGCTGTCTTCCAATCTTTGTAGACCAAACGAAAGCTAGCAGCGCAAATCGAGCCCCGAGGAACGGATGCAGTACTTCTTATTCTCAACAAAGACCAGGAGAGAGAGAGGGTACAGACACTCAGAGTCGGGAAGTCTTGATGTCATCTCCATCGCATCGCTGATGGCCTCCAGCACCAATGAAAGCGGTCTACAATTCTCCGCGCGTCGACCCCGCAAATCTTAGCGCGGAAAGGCAGATCCGATAAATGATAACGACGCTCAGCAGCGGTCCGACGCATGGCCAGGATAAGATCTCGACGACAGGGAGTTTTGAACTGCCGACAGACAGCGCGCCAAGCTAGCGCCCTTTATGATGCAATTCTTGCCCCTCGTGCCATGGCAAAGTGCAAAGCCCATGAGGCAGTGCGACCAACCTTCAATCAGACATTTCGGGCCTGCCGTCACGCCATCCCCAAATGGGATAGACAAATAGCAAGGCCGCCATGGCGAGATCGAAGATGAGCAACCAGTCTATCGCGTTTAGTTGGATGCGGGCGAAAGTATAGTATCCCCCCACTCTACAATTTCAATGGAAGCAGTCCTTTCTTCTCTAAGCGACAAAAGCACCATCCTCTCTTCGTCAGCTTTGTGGCCGTGGATTTAGGCTTGCGACGCGAATGGTCGTTGGTGCTGGAACAGCCGGAAGTCATGATTGTCAGCTGAAAAGGTCGAGACCTACACGGCGTTTCTAACAGCCTCTGTCCTCGCCGTGTGAGAGCGAGGGGAAGAATCTAAGTAGCACATGGGAGGGATCGTCCAACCCATATAAAGCTGGCAGCTGCAGAAGGGCCTGGAAGCTTCGGAAGAGGGTCGACCCTGAATTTGCGAGCTGTAGACCCTGAGACCGCTAGTGACCTATATCCGTCCATGACTCCACGTCGGTTCATGCACTAGACGTACTCGTTGTCTCCCGTTTCGACTATCGGAATTTGGGATCCCCCTTCGTCTCTAAGGACCACTTTCCTGACTATGGCCTGCTCATGGCGTGTCGGAACAGCATGGGGATCTTCGAGGATCACCAAAGATATACAGGCCAGAGCAGACTGCAGGAAGCTAGCAACTCAAGGGATCCAGGATGCACAAGTACAAACGTTGGAGCACATTAAACGCTAATCTTCATCTTCTACCGGGGTTGGGTCGGCTGCTTTCCAACCTTGGTTCAGCAGCCCAAACCAAGGACCATAACAACAAAGATGTCGCCTCCCAAAGCCAAAGTCAAACTTTCCCATGCCGACACTTCGGATCTGCTTCTAGATTCTGCCGACTGGCGTCTCCGGGGAGCTGACTACTTGCATGAAATAGATGCCTTCTCTTCTGGCATTTTCAACGGACCTGTGGCTTTGTGGTCCAAAGTTGTTTTTGGTCGACCCCACGATCTCTTTCTTTATGTTTCTCGGTACGGATGAGTTATGTGCCCTCAATCTCTCAATCTCCTCATCCGGATGACGAGCGATTATTGCTGCGTTGAATCTGAGGTGGTCCGCACGCATATGTCATTTGCTTCGGATAGAGCCCCAAGCCAGATAGGTTCCGGCTGAGAACAGGGGGGACGGCGGAAGCTGGACCCTCATCATTTCCAAAAGGAACAGGACCCTTTTCAAAGTAACTCTCCACACATGTCCGTAGGGCCCAGACGTAGTACGTAGTACAAGCAAGCAAGCACACGCCTGAATAAACCCCCCCAAGCTTCGCAAAAAGGCGCAAGGGTCCCATCCGTATGTAAACAGTCAGGTCTCCCCAACCTTGCCTTCGTCAAGTCTACGAGTTCTAATTCCTCCCCCCGCTTGCTCCTCAAGAACGAGTACACGGTAAATAAGACGAACTTCGAGGCAAGAATCTGCGAGTGACTATTTCTTGCCAACATCATTCGCGCAGATTCTAGTCACATTGACCTATGTGCTCCTAGGTAGGAGTCCAGCACAGTCATTCTGGACGGAAGTAGTGAAGTTCAGTGCAAATAATCACCGACAGCTTGTGGTCACATACGAGGGAGGCGCAGATATATACATCACCGAATCTTTCGTGCACTAATAAAGCGTTGTCTGCCAGGCCCCGGGCAGCGTAAAGGCAGAGGTCGGGGCTCACGAAAGATCACGATCCACGATGTGGGGAGAAAACAGCTCGGGCAAGAGAATCAGCCTTTTGAACAATGATTCTTTATTCTCATCACGACCACGACCATCACCACCACCACAGTCATCACATATTCATTACCACAAGTCCTATCGGCCGACGTTGCCAGATCGGTCGCGAAACTCGGATTCGTCGAGTTCGACCTCGATCGCGTCGACTGCGAGTTTGAAGTCATGCTCGTCGCGCTCTAGCATTTCTCGGTCCCCAGGCCATTCCCCGCCGACTCCGCCCCTCACCCGCCTCGACACTTTATCCACGATCAACACCAAAATAAAGACAACGTCTTCAATGACCCCTCGATATGGCTTTGAGCCGTCCGACTCGACGCAGCACAAGCACATGAATCTGCCCTACTATCAAACCTTGGGCAAGCCCCAGGGTTTTGGGGCCTTGCCTGATGCGCCGGTCCCGAATCCTTACTACCATCTTCAAGGACAACAACCATTACCACCTCTGGATCCTCTCAGCCTGGACGATGCCTACCCCATACCGACCTCGCTGCATAGGTTGCAAACTCAACAGCTCTCCCACTTCTCCACCGGTCCATCCCTCCACCAATTCCCGCCAACACCTCACGATTCCGCACACCTGACCTCGCCAAACAGCGCATTCCTCCCTACCCCTGCATCCGCATTTCAACAGCAACCTCCAGCACTCTCCAACCATCGCCCTAGCATCTCAACCTCCATTGCGCCCATAGCGGCTGCTACTACCTCCCCCGCCAAAAGCTCACCCACAGCACCATCTAAATCCGCCGCTGCGAATTCGCCGTCCAACAGTAATGCCGCTGGCCCACCGAAGAAAAAATATCCCTGTCCTCACGCCACAGCTTTCAACTGTAGCGACACTTTCACCACTTCCGGCCACGCCGCGCGTCATGGTAAGAAGCACACTGGTGAAAAGAATGTTCAATGCCCGACGTGCGGTAAGGCCTTCACGAGGAAGGACAACATGAAGCAACATGAGCGCACCCACAAAGGCGCCAACGCCCATTCTACCGCCCCTACCACCACCCAAAGTAGCCATTCGAGAGTACCCTCGGGAAGCGCATCCCCTGCCTCCGTCGTCAAGACGCCAGTCAGCGCATCGCGCTCACGACGAACCAGCGATGTATTGAGAGCCCAGAGCAGCACGCCAGGCGCGAGTGTGGCCTCACCCACCGATGATGCGATGGACCTTGATGTCACCACTTCGTCGGGCGCGGGGCGCCAATCTATGATGGCGCCAATGGTGCCGCAGATGGGCGGCGGCGGCGGCGGCGGCTCTAAGAATGAGCGGCCTAGGATGCCGAGAAGTGAGCTCAGCGAAATCCTCGAGAACGTGCAGAATTCCGGGGTCGCCGATGGCGTAGGAGAAGCGGATGCAGAGGGAGAGAGTCCAGGACTCGACGCGCTGGCGCTTGCTGCCGGGCAAGCATGATTGGAACGATAACGATGGTTTTAGTATGAGGTCTCATTTGTATTATTCATGATGTGAGAGGTTGGGAGACGAGAGCGCGACTGTATTTCTTGGGTATATGAAACCAGAGTGTTGGGTGTTAGGGGAGGTGGGTGGGACAGTATTGAGATCAACCGTTGATACCCACGGCCTTCACCTCATTGTACTTTGACTATGTCATTTCAAGCAATTGATAGCATTCGAGAAGCCATTCGCTTCCAAAAAGGCATGTCACCTTTTATTCAGTTGCCACGGTGAGTTACATAACTGCATTTGGTAGCTATCTATGGCTATTCAATCTTCCTTGCCTGCTCCTTAGATCTCTCCTTCTTGCTCGTTCCCTTCCTTCCATTGATGCACCCTCGCCAGGAACTTACTCATCCTTGCCGCACTCTCGTCGTCGGCAGGGAAGATGTAATCGACAAACTCTTCAAAACTATCATCCTCCAATCTCCGTCTCTTCTTCACTCGTCGAGGCATCATCTTCTCCACCGCCTCCTTCTCCATCATGCTGCCGTGCGTGTCCTCGAAACTCTTCCATGCATTCAATAACACCACCCTCTCTTCCTTAAGCTCCTTTTCTTTCATTGTCTTATCTGCGCGCCTAAAAACGGCGCGTGCTCGGCTTTTGGCGGCATCGGATACTGGTCGCTCTTCGTCCCCATCATCCACCTCAACAACCTCCTCCCCATCATCTACATTAACTTCGAATTGCGCATAACTGATCCAGACCTTGACGTGATTTTGTATCTGTAATAGACGTTCATAAAGTGCTCGAGCGCGCTCGAACTCCCCTTCATCGTCTTCGAATTCGATGTATTGCTTCCAGACTAATTCGGGCTTGTCCAGTCCCAGCTGATTGATCGCCAACTCAAAGATGGCTCGAACCCGCTCCAGATCGTCTAGAGCGCGCTCAAATTTTGCAAATTCTATCCAACCATAAGGCTTAGAGGGGTCAAACTCGATGTGTTTCTCGTATAAAGTCCTGCACCGCACGAGCTCTACCAGTTTCGTTTCCATCTCGATATAACCTTGGAAGAGCTTCTTTTTCGGACACATACCGATAGCTCGCCCCAGGGTTTTTCGAGCAGCGGTCAGATCGCCATGGCGAAGCTCGAAATGTGCTTTCATGAGCCAGACTTTCGCGAAGGTGAATTTTTGGTGTGGAATGATTTCGAGACATTTTGCCCATATTGCGCGAGCTTGATTGGTCTCGCGATTCTCAAGCTCTTCGAACACCGCGTAAAATATCCAGAGATAGATGTAGCGACGCCAATGGCGCTTTTCCTGGGTTGGTGGTAGATGGGCTATGGCGCGCTCAAAGACGTCTCTTGTACGGGCGGCATCTCCACTTGACTCTTCTAGACGAGCAAAGTCAAACCAAGTGTCGTAATTGAAGGGATTTCCTCTCAATTGTTCTTCGTATCGAACACGGCGTTTGGAAAGAATGACGTTCTCGACGCCTTCACGATCGCCAAATTGTTTCTCGAACGTAGTATATGCTTTATGCAATTTCATCGCCTTCGAGCGTGGAAGTCTGTCGAGCGCGTACTTGTAGATTGCTCTTGCTCTTTCATATTCCTTCAGTTTAGCCTCAAAACGCCCGTAGGCTTGGAAAATGCTCTCGTCCATAAAATCTTCTCCTAACGTCTCAACAGCGGTGCCGAATACTTCACGAACAAGCTCGCTAGTACCGTTCTCTTCCTCGAATCGAGCCCACTTCAACCAGTTTCTTGGCTCCGGATGCACCACGGTGAAACGCTCGAAAATACCTCTTGCACGGTCATACTCACCATACCGCTTCTCTAAATTGATATAAGCGGAGAATGCAGCTTCATCCGGCTCCCAGCTCATCCAGCGCTCGAACACCTGGCGTGTACCGCTAACATTCCCCAAGGTCTCCTCCATGTACACATACTTGTACCAAATCTTGTCTACCCTCGGCAAGATAGTGACTGCTCTATCGAAAAGATTTCGTGCGTGGTTGATAGACCGATTTTTCATTTCGGCCTCAGTGTACCTCAGCCACAATATCACGCTGCTGGAATCCACGTCAAGAGCCCGCTCGAATATGCTTCTCGCCCGTCGGAATTCCCTTTGTTCGCCCTCCCAGGCAGCATAGCGCAGCCAATTATTCATATTCAGCCGATTACGGCGGACATAATCTTCGAACTCTTTACGCTTTCGACCTTGGAATTCATGAAGCTCTTCGAGGTCGGCGAAGCGAGTTGTGGGCGCTTGGAGAGAGGGTTCTTGCCGATCAACGGCTTCACGGAGGAGTTGTTCAGCGCTGATTTGAACGGGTGCGGGGGCTTTATTCTTGACCCGTGGAGGGCCACGGGTTGACTCCATGATGTCCGAAAGGGGTCTCGAAGGCGTTGGAGAGGATGTCAAGGAGGAGATTGAGAACAGTCTTGAGGGAACGGGGTTACAAAACGGCGAAGAGAGGCTGGAATGAGAGAAGATAGGAAAAGTGAAAAGAGCAATTTGTGACGAGGTGTAAAGGCCTGGAAAGGTAGGCTTTGAGAGTTCATGGTCCTGGGGTCCAGACCGTCTGTTGGGCCAAAATCAGTCCTGCGCACGTATGATCAAAAGTGCGCTGCGGAGGACCGGCACATACTCCGAATCACGAGTGCGCTAATTTATATTGCGCTACCACAATATCTTCAGGCGGGGCAGACCCATCGCATACCTTCCCTTCGCCAATCGAGGATGTTCAAAAAGGAGTGAGAATGGCTGCAACGGACTACTAAGAGGTGCGCAGACTAACATCTCGGATCTAGCATCTCCGCTGGCGCAAAGTCCAAAGTCAAATCCTCCGTGCAGCGGGGCATTCGCACCAAGATTGTTGAGACATACCCATTGCTCGCTCCTATAATTGACGAGATTATACCCAAAAAATCGCAACTAGACTTGCTGAAATTGTGAGCTCGCTCGAAATCCCAAATTGTTCTATCATAATGCTCTTTCTAAGACATCCAGACCAGACCGGGTTTCGCTATATGCCCTTGATGGCCGCCCTCTGTTCTGGCAACATATGGATGATGCGATCATACCGCACCTCAAAGTCGTGCATCAATTCCCACAGTGTTTCAATAGCATAGGTATTGATAGAGGAGCGATACGATTCGTACTTTCTGGGGCGGCGCTCATGGCCCCTGGCTTGACTTCTGCTGGTGGGAAGTTGCCAGATAAAGAGCATGAGCTGAAGGAAGGAGATGTGGCTGTCATCATGGCAGAGGGGAAAGATGAGGCGTGTATGGTGGGTCAGCTGAAGATAGGGACAGAGGAGATGAAGGAGAAAAAGAAGGGGGTCGCCATTGATGCGGGCCACTTTTTGGGCGATGGGCTCTGGAAGTTAGATTTGAGCTGAGCCTTTTGTTATATTTAAAGTACGCAGTATTTGATCAAAGTCCAGCGCAAAGCCATCATGGTAGAATATGAGACAGTGTGAAGATGCGTCAGTGGGGACCGCGCCTATGGTAGAGGAAAAGACGCTCGAGATGCAAAAGACTGTAAGATCTTTGTACACGACAAGTTGAAGTGAAAAGCGTGTGTCCTTCATCTATGCATCTTACTACTTTTTCGGGGCTATCGAAGAGGAAAACGACTTCTAAGAATGAGCTAATCTAAAACAAGCCTAGGACTAGCGGCATCTAAGCTCCTGCGCTCTTGCTCCTCTTCTTCCGTAGAGCACGATATGTACTGGCCATTGAATGCGCCGAGAGTATATGCAGCAAATAAGAAACGAAAGAAGCTCCAAGAAACAGTCGTTGAAGAAAATGCAGAAGGCGAGAGAGAAGGGGAGGCGAACGCGGCGATATTGGGTCTCCGAGTCGGCCGCAATGGGTATCTTTTTACCACCATTACTGAGGATACCTTGACCGTCTGGCAAACATCGGTGCGTTGTGTCTCGATGGTCATCGTCTGGTTCTGACTGATGACTAGCCAGTGGTCGTACTTGCATCCATTACCCGTTCAATTCAATCGCTAAAGAGCTACGGTCAAAATGTTGCAGTTTTGTTACGACCCGATTCAAGTGTCGCAATCGTTCAAACGTCTCTTGGCTTTCTAGTGACATACAGTATTATCACGGATTCGGATGCGAGGGTGTACCAGCAGATCAGAGAAGATGGACATCAACGCCGCTACAGCAATGCGAATCGCAATACAGTTGAAGATGAAAAACGAGGCCTACCAGAAGTGAACATACGCTTCAGAATGGTCATCAAAGTTGATGCCGGAATTGGTAAAGTCCTAGCTCTTGATGAAGAGCTTGTTGTAGCTACGGAGAAACCATCTGCAGTACAGTGCATCAAGTGGACACCAGACACAACAGGTAGCCAAACGAGCACAGAGCTGATAAGTCGGATGTCATGGATACAGAAGAAGTCCAATGTCACTGAGATGGTCTATGATCGAGCTATGAACCTTGCTGTGTGGATCACTAACGACGGAAAGGCTTACGCCGTCCAGAGAACATTGTCTGCGCCTAGGGAGGAGGGCATGAGAAGGCTGTTTCGTGGATATGGTTTCCATTCGCCGGAAACTCAAGACGGGATGGCTACCAAAGTCGCGATCAATGCGCGTTTCTCCTTGCTCGCAGTTGCTTGTGCTCATACCGAGATCCTCGTCTACACAGCAAAAGACTACGTGGGAAATATTCCACTGTCACACAGACTTGAAATCCCAGTCTCTATAACGTCAAGCGGTCATGTGACTTGTCTGAATTTCTCCCCGGATGGTTACTGTTTGTTCGCTGGATATGAAAAAGGCTGGGCGCTATGGAGCGTTTACGGGAAGCTCCAGGCAAGTAGCTTCGCGGCTGACCTAAGGACCTCACACAGTAATGATGAAGGGTGGCTACAAGGCGCGCTAGAAGTTTCCTGGCTTGATTCGGGGACTAATATACTGATCACTCGGAAGGATGATAACCGCCTGTGGCTTATGGAAATGGCGAAAAGTGCTGTGACTGGTTGCTTTTGCTCAGCAAACATCAATCGGACAATGCTTATGACAAAGGCTAGCCTACTTATCTATCGTGGCTATGACTTGCCATCGTCAAGTACTATTTCCGCAGATGCTTCCCTATGGCATCAAGTACAGATACCGTTGCCCTATTTATCACTACAACACCCCATTCGAAGCGCTGTCATCTCCTTTGACGGGCGTTATATTGCCGTGGCGGGTCGGCGAGGTCTCGTACACTATAGCGTCAATAGCGGCAGGTGGAAGACATTCGGTGATCAGAGACTCGAGGACTCTTTCATTGTACGGGGTGGGATGTGCTGGTATCAGCATGTTTTGATTGTTGCGGCGGAAACTGATGACTATCATGAGGTCAAATCTACTCACCGCCTATATACGGCATTTGCTGACACTCATAGCTTCGGCTGTACTCACGGGAGCGTAGCCTGGACGATCCACCGCTTCATGTTGAACAGTTACCGTCCCAAGTGGTGACGATGTCACTCACTGGACAAGACTCCCTTCTAGTCTATACGTATAAGAATATCCTCTACCATTTCATCATCAACGCCTCTTCAACCAATATGGCTCTCGTGCAAGTTGGACAGATCGCTTTGAATGGCATCGTCAGAGCTCCAGCCCGAGTACGAGCTGTCAGCTGGATTCTACCTGAACACCAAATACGTGAGTAAAATAAGAATGCTTATGATCAGTGGATCTAATTGACGCAGGTGACGGAGATCCTTCCCAGGATGTTGCCTGTGCATCTGTGGTTTTCCTAGTGGATGCTAAACTGGTGCTGCTACAATCATCTACTAACGACGCCGGCGAGATGAAGTACGATATGCGAGTGATTGCCAATAATGTAGAGTATTTCGATCTTATGAGAGACCAGCAATTTTTCACGAGCCCCCTTCTAGATCGTTACCAGACTCTCCTTCGGCAGAAAGCGCGCTAGATTTCCCGAATGCTGATCGGGGGCTGAAAGACTCACTTTGGTATTTTGACGGCACGATGATGCACTGCTGGATAGATGTGGAGGATCTTATTCAGTCAGCCTCGACAGATAATAGCAGGGAAATACCAACGCCCCTGTCTATTCCAACAGACTTCTATCCCACTTCAGTTGCCCTTTCGAAAGGCATACTACTCGGCCTCGACGCTGACCTCGTCCAACGACGAGACAATTACTTTGCCTTCTTCCGCCTTACTATACGCTCTCAACTCTTTTTACCTGAGACTCTACGGCGGCATCTCGCCCAGCACGATCACACAGCAGCCTCATCGCTTGCTCTTCGCTACGAGCATCTACCATATTTCTCTCATTCTTTGGAGGTGCTTCTCCACTCCGTCTTAGATGATGAGGTTGACCAGGAATTAAATCCAGAATCGGCGCTCCTTCCAACTGTGCTATCTTTCCTGTCATCCTTTCCAGATTACCTCGATATACTCGTCCAGTGCACTCGGAAGACCGAGGTTCGGTCTTGGCGTACTTTATTCAACCATCTTCCACCACCCAAAGAACTCTTTGAAGCTTCTTTAGAGAAATCCATGCTTAAGACCGCCGGTGGCTACCTGATCGTGATGCAGACTCTCGAGAGCAACCACAGCCCTGATGAATGCGTTAGGCTACTGCAAAGGGCACAGCAGGCAGGCGATTGGGAATTGTGCAAAGAATTGGCAAGATTCCTGATGGCATTAGACACAAGCGGTGAAACATTAAGAGAAACGATTGAGAGGATGAATGTTGAAATGTCTAAGACTGAATCTGGAAGTATCGGCTCAAGGGCACCGACAGTAAACGGTTCACGAAGGAGCTGGACGCCGAAGCTTATAAATGGTGTCCAGAGCTCTACCAACAGCGAGGAATGATTACTTAGCCTCTCCTCTTCAAGACGAGCGTCAATCAAAACCCTAATTCGTCTAAATGACATGGATCCCTGATTGTTGTTCATGATAGCAAGTCGTGCCCATTCTTTCATGACCCCTTTCTGATCTGCTTATGCGAGCCTCTCCTCGAGGAATACCTCACCTTATAACCCGGTCTTTGCGTCTCTCTCCTCGTCACCCCAGTTTATTTTCGTTGACCTGCCTCTCCAACCTAAGACCCACCAGACGCTTTTGCTGGTCCTCATGATTGGCTTCTCCCCTCCTAAGTCACCATCTTCGTCCTCTTCAATCAATCCTGCCAATAAGGCTTCCGTAGGAATCGGTCTTTGAACGCTTGCGAAAGAAGCGAGAGCTTGCTCTATGGATGCAGGTCGTCGCTCACTTGGGAGGGTGAGACTAAGTGTGCCGAGCACGAGGAGCAAGAGGAGTGCTGGGAGATACATTGTTGCGGCGATCGAAAAGGATAGATATCTAGTCCGCTGCAATTATTGTTGCGAAACAATACTGCTATTGTGTAAGTCGATGTAGCTGCTATTGTTGGCCTAACAAGGCTCGGAAGGCCTACGGTATGGAGCGATTGAGGTTGGCACGGCCGCGAGAGAGCGCTATGTGGGCCATTCCATCTTTATCGTTTGAATGAAGGAAAGAGCGACTGTTGTCGTGTAGGGGACTGTTGAGCGAGTCCGTGACTCCAACAGAGACATAATATTGTGTATGCAACTCAGCGCATTTCAGCTCCAACAAGGAGAGTTGCGGTCGCCAATCAAAGGCACCACGTTGGCCTGTACCGGTCTAGGCCAAAACTGGCCATGGCTCGCCCGACTGAAGCTAGAACTAGTTCTAGCCCTACGGAGAGGACGGAGAGGACGGAGAGCCTTTCAGTGCCAAGAGTATTCACCTTCCCCCCACGGTCCAATCGCTCAGAAGTCAGTGTTCCCTTTCAACTGGCGCGGGATCCTGATCTGGTGGTAGCTACCCATCCGGATTCCTGGGGAGTAGAGGAGTTGCAACAGAGCCACAACGACGCGATCAGCATCGAGACCAATCACAGGCAACTGGATGCGAGTGAGCAATTGCAGGGATCTCTGACCGAGAGCCGTAAGTATACCGGGCCATAAGCGTTTGTTGCCACTTCGAAATCTCCATTCTAAAACATCCCAGGCCCTTCGTATAGTTCTACATTGCCAAGGACTCCGGAGCCTAGAAACCCCCGGTCTGACTTTGGGCTATTCCATTCGGGAGGGCGTTCAAACTCATGTAGGGCACCGTTTTTCCCATCGAAAAGAACGCGTTTGACTTGCTCGCAGTAGCCACTTCGAAAATAACTACTCCCCATAGCTTACAGCATACAGAAAGGTTTTCAAATACCAGCTCTCCAGGACATCGGATCCAGAGGAACGATAGGGACGTCGTCCAGTTCAGTCCAGTCAATTGGCATCCAGTCCAGCGGCGTGACACCTGGGTCAAGATGGAGGAATTCGCGAGCGAGACGGATAGTGAGTACACCAGTTACTGGAGGGATTGGGTAAGTGTAACATGTCTCTCATTTGCTATCTTTAATTCAATTCTGCGGTCTCAGCTTCAGTGGTTTTCATCAGATATGTATCCTTTTCAGGGGTTTCGAGAGACCTAGAGTGTCTCGCGGATGAGGTGGTTTACGTGCCTGCTCCTTATTTTGCAGGATGGGTGTCTGAAAGCGACACAATTCCAACCCCACCATCATAGCAGATAGCCTTTCATCAACACAAATGTCTAGCTAACTGACTTCATCGGAATGGGCTCGGTAGTCATGACCACAGCCAAATATGATGATTTCATCTAGCTCATCTCTCCCAGAAATGCTGACATATGGAGGACAGTTCATCTCGTCGCGAGGCAACGAATACTTTTGCGAAATCGATGAAGATTATCTTACCGACCGTTTTAATCTCACAGGCTTGAATGCCGAAGTCCAGTACTACCAGTATGCTCTAGACCTGGTCACCGACGTCTTTGACCTCGATTGCGATGACGATATGCGAGAGCAGATAGAAAAGTCCGCACGCCATCTCTACGGACTTGTGCATGCCCGGTACATCACAACGATCCGAGGCTTAGCAAAAATGGTGTGTCATTTCATTTCCTGTAGTCACATCTACTAATGACTGCAGCTGGACAAGTACAAGAAGGGCGACTTCGGCAAGTGCCCTCGTGTTATGTGTCAAGCGCATCCTTTGTTACCTACAGGTCTATCGGATGTGGCGAATGTTCAATCCGTCAAACTATTCTGCGGTAAATGCGAAGATCTCTATAATCCCAAATCATCCCGTCACGCTAGTATCGATGGTGCGTACTTTGGCACTTCATTCCAGAATATTCTTTACCAGGTCCACCCAACTCTAGTCCCTGAGAAGTCGATTGCACGATACCAGCCCCGCGTTTTCGGTTTCAAGGTTCATGCAGCAGCGGCGCTAGAGAGATGGCAGAGTCAGAAGAGGGATGAGATGCAGGATAGATTGAAGGATGCCCTGGGAGTTGACAAGCTATTCAAGGAAGACTACGAGGTCGATGACGAGATGGCAGAAGATGAGCCTGGCCCTGATGGGCTTGATGCCATGGATGGCACGGTACCTCAGTGACACCCTTTAGCCAATCAATAGTGATACCCAGCAACTCTCGACTCTCTAATATTCAATAGACGACGACTTTTCATCTCTTCCAACGCGAGCTGGACCCAACTGTCTGCCGAAATGTCCCCTCTCATTCCTAATGAATTGTACAGCTGGAGCTAGCGCTATGGGGTAATTGAACGGACTTTGCGCTCACGGTGGGAACCATGCAGTCTTTTTACGAGCCTTAACCCCTGCGAGACGCCTTCGCATCAAAATTGCCGAGCTGGGCAACGTTCTCATCCTCACCAAAGCCACTCTCAATAGGAGCAATCGATCCTCTCCCACTCACTACAACATACCACTTGCCTTGAAAACTCGATATATCAGCGAATCCTCCGAAATCGCAAGTCCTAAACACTGCTTCGACTGCGTCGAGATACATTTCCGGCGCGAACCAACCCTTTTCTACCCCGGGCCATGCTTTCAGTGCTATCACGCACTTGTCGTCCGAAAACTGGTATTTCCACTCATCTTCCACAAACCAGTATTTCGGGCTTTTTGGTGGCCCAAGAAGGTGATAGAGCATTTTAATGCTGGTTAAGCAGATTGTTTTAGAGATTGCTGGGACAAGTGTCGGGTCAGGCTGGAGGCATTGAGCATCATTCTGCGAGGCGATATTCGTAGTATTCACATTGGAGGTGAGCTGAGAGTACAGTGGAAAGGTGGAGGCCAGCGATAGCCAGAGAAGAAAGACAAGCCACAATCGCGTGTAAGTAGGCGAGCTCATCTTGTGAGCGTGGTGTAAGGTAAGAGATCATCTATGCCAAACTCACACTGAGAGATGATGTCTCGCTATCATCCGCCTATGCGACACGGTGGGATGGCCTGCATCTGAAAGTCGCTACTGTCTCAGCCATCATCTGCAAAACAAATTTGGGTGCAATTCCACAATACTATGTGTTTATTCGGGAGCAATGCTGATGTAGCTGGGACAAGTCATTCGGATTTAGGAAGGGAGAGTCGTAATTCGAGAGCGCGGAAATATAGGAGGAAGGCAGAGACATTCATGAGTGCTCATTGTTGAGGCTACTAAGCTGTCTGCAGATGTGTAGCAGTACAAGCCCCTTCTAGAGCTCCAGTATCCACAAACCGATACTAACGCTTGCTAGATCTTCTCCTCACTATTGTACTAAGTTGCAACCGAGTGTCTATCCTATTATGACGGGTTCTCCGTGTGATTGTGAGCTTGGAAGACCGGGTGCGCTCGCTTGCTGCTCCAGAGGCTGAAGACAACTGTTGTCATATGAAGAGAGCGTCCGTGATCTGGATTTTTCGAAACAGTGGTTGGGCTATTCTTTGAGATGGTCCAATACTAGGCCTTTGAAGTCAATTCAGGCTCTCGGTCAGCCCTTCGCTTCTTTCCTGTTCTCTTGAACAATTGATAATCGTAACATTCAGGACGGCTCATCGTCTCCGGATGAGCTTTGCTCGTCATCTCCCGCTGCGGTCCCGATGCCGAAAATCGCTACAAACCACGACGCCTGATTCACTATCCCAACCGCTCCCCCGAAAGTACAATCACTATGACCAGGAACAAACTCACCCTGCTGATCGACACTCTCGCTATGTGTGCAAGCATTCAACACAGCCTCCGCTGCATCAATAACATCATCCCTGTGAAAAACATCAACTCCGTAGCCCGTGCTTCCTAGCTCCACCACGCACGGGCTTTGCGAGAAGTCATTCCAATGGTAGTCGTACCCAAGGTCCCATGTACGCTGCCCATAGCCTAGGTTTTTCATCTGGGTTATGATGGGTGCGCAGTCTTCACTAGTGACTGGAGCGCGAGATTTCAGAGAGGGATCTGACGGTAGACAGGCGACCTCTTGGTTGAGGGTATTGAGACCTGGAATTGAGGAAGCAGAGAGAACTGGAACGGTTTTTCCTGCGGGGTTGTAGTCATGGGTAGGCTGGGTAGGCGTGATATTGCTGCTAGGGTCACTATTGGGGTTTACATTATTGTTGACAGGGTCCGAGCTTTGGGGAATGGCCATCAAAGACCATGGACTGGGGAAGACTTGTGGGATGGGAAACGAGAAGGTGGGGTGATCGAAGAGAATAGTCAGACCGAAGCTAAGGGAAAGTAAGTATCCTCGCTGCATGGTACTTCCTCACATTGATTGAGCTAAGGCATTGCTCCGTGAATGATTATATCGTCTTCGACTTGCTTACAGGTTCCGAGAGAACACGGATCTCGTCGGAACCTTTGCCTAGTTTCCAATGATACCCATGACTGTTCATGTCATCGGATGTTTTCTTCCACCCAAAATCGCGAGAGACGCGTTGCGGTTGCGCCAATATGACAAAGCTCCACACTGTCTATGTATAGCCGCAGTTCAGCCTCAAACCACACGGCCGGTTGCTACGGAACGGAGACTTCAGTGGAACCCGGGGGTACCTGTGGACCGGCCGGTCTCCGAATGGGCAAATCAGTCAAGCTTTATGCACTCAGGACATGTACACAGCTTATGAAGGAACTGAGAGGCTGAGACATTCGCAGACTCTCAGCTTGGACAAATCTCTCTCTTACACGTTCTGTTCTATTCTGTTTCACTTTTTATCATCAATGAACTTCATGTCGTGTCAAGAGGGTGGGTCGAAGAGCATCTAAATTTGGTCGATACTAAGATGACACGATATCCATAAAGCTTATGGATGGTACCAGCATTTAAGGCGTACGCGGAAATGCTGAATGTTCGACTACAGATGGTAATGCGCCTATTCGATATCTAATGGTCAATAATGATGAAGCTTGGAGACTCCTGGCTCAATCAGTAATATCAGCATGTCTAATTCGCAGAGAGGCGTTGTTTGACATTGCTGATTGATTTTGTTTTTTGTTTTGAGGTAATTCTCCGCGAAGTGAATCTTTTCGCTTAATTGCAAGCAGCGAAGTCGAAATTTGCTTCATGCATGGGCAATCGATGTTGACGAAGATGCAGATGACGCTTATGAGTAAGCCGTTCATGAACAACATACCCTTTTTTCTATCGATGCGAGATTCAAGAGTGTTTTGCGCGTCGACAATGTTGCCAATACTTTGATGAAGGGTCGCTTGCGATGTGCCATAGCGCGGTACACAGGCTTCGTCATATGATAATATATCGTGCCCCACTAGAACGAAGCTCACGATATCCCAAAAGCATACCCTCGGGCAAGATTGTAGTACTCGGAGTGATGCCCATTGCAACCGTGATACAATCGATTTGGATGAAAGTGGCATAGCATAGGTCTTCGGAGCCCTTTATGCCTACGTCCTTAACACTGTTGTGAATCTGGTGGATATTGAGAGTAGCTTGAGCGCCTTGAGACAAGCCTATGCGGGTATTCTGGGACCACCAAGCAAGGAGAAGTGGCGACACTCCAATCGGTAGATCTTGCTGCAGCCTAATCACGCTATCATTGAGGCCTGGACCTTTCGAGCCACGTTCGTCTCTGTGACTAACATGGTTGTCGTATGGGAGAGCGTCGACATCATCGTTTGATGGGTCTCCTCCCATGGTTTGCCACCATCTCGATGTTGAGGAACCACCCTCCATCATCACTTACTTCAAATTTTCCACCGAAGCCATCCTGATCGCATTTTTCGAAGATGGCTTCGCTTGAGTCTAACACGAGAGAAATGACCTTGCCTTTCAGTTGGGAAGATATAAAGCGAGAAAATGCATTCCTCGCTGTGTTGAATGTATGTGTCTTTCTTGGCGGGCTCCCAAGTCCGTTTGAGATCTAAACCAATCGTGTTCTTGATCATGCTCGTAACTCCCGAGCAGAGCTGACGATTGACAGAATTGCACGGTAATTGTCCCTCAACATGATGGAACCATCCTGGACTTGGAATGATGTTTTGGTTGCCGGCTTTTCCAGTGGAGACTGCAAGGCATAGGGGTGTCAATGAAATACAGGAAAGAAGAAGCAGGCCTGCAGACGAAGACTTTGAAGGCATGGAAGTGTTCAAGAAGACAAAACGATGCGACTTGAGGAATAGTATCAGAGGATGTTGTGATCTTTCGTTCTCGAAGGTAGAAAACAAATACAGATTGTGCCCATTTGTTCACAAGGACCTCCTTATGTTATGAGTGAAAATATTCCACCCGCGAAAGAGCTTATGAAATGGTTCGTAGACAAACAAAAAACCTTTGTAAACATAGGTATTGACCACTCTCGTCTTCCAGCCAGACTTGTTCCCTCTGGTGGCTCAAGCCATCCGCCGAGATTTGGAGAATCCTGGTGATTTGCGCAGAAAATTCACCGTCATCACTAAGTGTGGTGCGCGAATTGCAAGGGCTAAAGATGCGATTGATCGCTGTAAGGGAGTTGAACGCGTGTAAGTGTTCCGACTCATGGTCTCGAAGTAGTTTTGATAACGAAGACACACCGATTAGCACCAAACCATAAACGTCGAAGATCGATCTGCAAACTTCTTGCTTCGGCCCCTGCCTTTCGAACCTGATGGGTGCCGGGTCCTGGGGAGACCGGGTTTTGAGGGTCTGGACATACACGTTCTACCAGAATTAAAACCGTCCCATTCTTTGACTATGTATCGGAAGAGGTAGGTTAGTTTGTTATTTCTTCAATTGGTTGAGGTGAAGTATCCGAGTTGGACGAAAATTGCCCAACCCCGGTTGAAAGCTGTAGGACATCATTATGAAATGCGCGACCTGGCTTATATCCTTCAGACTTCACGATAAGCGAAATTGAGCTTCTCCTGTAGACACGAGGAGGCACGGAATTCGACAATTGACAAATCTGCGTGTGATCTCATTGGCTTGAACGAGTATCACTATTTTGGTACTCAGACAAAATAAAAATGATTGCACAAGCGGTCTCTCTGTCTCGGCGGAGGACAGTCGTCTCTGCCCATCAAAGAGCTGCGCAGTGAGACGATGTCTCCATTCACTAGCCGACTGGCTTTCGTCTGGTTCACGAAGATACTAGGGCTTCGAACAATGTCGCGGGACCTTGGAATTGACAGCATGAAGAGATTGTCGGACCATTGCTCTTATAACGACCACTAATTCAGATGGTCCGTCTAGAACGTGGCTGGTAATGTGCTAGCATTAGCCCTTAATACGTTGACTGAACCTATCGGACCATTCTGGTTCGATGGATTTGGATCAAATCCGACTCCCAAAACAAGCACACCCCAGTTTGGATCGATTTTGACTGCTGCTCTACCTCCATAATCAGGTTCACCGCAGTCATTGAAAACTTCATCAGTTGCATTGACGATAGCGTTTGCTGGAAAGTGACCCTTGGGTCCATGTGTGCTAGCCAAAACCAGGCAATAATCAAAGGCTCCTCTGCCGGGAATTGGCTGCTGCCACCTATACGACTGCTGGGTCCAGTCATACGCCTTGTCAGGATCCTCTGAGATTCCTCTTATCGCTGCAATAGTCTCAGCGCATGCCGTTCGGTCTATTGACAAAAGCTCAAGAAAGGCAAAAGAGCTGGGTGGTAAACATCCACCGTTGTTCGATGACTCGAACAGGCTCGATAGGTAGGCGTCCGATGGTTGGGTTGGATAGTATTGAGCAACCGGCTGTGCGGTTGGGAGTGAAAGAGAAAGATATGGCAATGAGACGAGCACGAACTGAAGGAGGGAGGAAATAGGACGGTTGGAAGGATTCAAACCAAACATGCTGTCTGAGGAGCTGCCGATGAATTGAGAGAAGACAGTATCGCGTTTTGGGATATCTCGCAACCTTGTTAGGGAGAAAGAGGAATCGCACGGGAAACATATCAGGAGTCGGGCGACATATATGAGTTCTCATTTCATGACCTACCGTTGGTAAGTGAATCACTCAGTCGCAATCAGTTAGCGAACTGTTAGAGACCCTGGCGGAGCATGTGGACTCAAAGTGTCTCTCAAGGGTCGCTTGTACATTGAGCAATTTTATGGGCGCTTATGCCGACCGTTTTTACTGCTATACTTAGTTGCTCTCGGATGCTGCGCCCGGCGGGTTTGGCGCGTCTACGCGGGTTTGTGCATGATTAACTCCCGGATGTCTCAGGAAGTTTTGGCACGAGGGCAGGCTCATCGACTCATGGCTGGTGCTGAGAGGATTGATAAGGGTCTAGGAAGTAGGAAGAGGTGCTCGATAAAAGTGGAGGGAGAATATGTCCTAATATGGCTTAGCCTTAGGGTAAGTAAACGAATAGGCTTTTTGAACCTTTGGTTGAGCTTTTCGAAGAAGAGCTTTCGCACCCGGTCATTTCGAACTTGTCGGCCAGTCCCACCAATCTGACCGCTTAGCACCTGCAATGCTGCATGACCTCGACATAGCTTTTCGATGTTGATCCATCAAGCAGAGTCCGAAGGTCCGAAGGAGCGGAACCCTTGTCCTCTGGATTCGTGATGATTGGAGTTGAGCTCTATGAAGTTGGCGGGTCGAAGGTGCCCACATTCATCTCTAGATAAACCAGCAATGCAGTAATCCTGGGGAAAATAAACGAAATGCTCTACATTCGACTGAAAATATCGGCGTGGGTGTTGGTATCCCAAATATAATGATTCGGAATCGTGAGTTGCATGGCTACAGTGCTGGTCAAAAGGTCAGCAGCATTGCCTGGAGCTGAGACTTTTGCATGATGATTATTCAACGAACAATCCAAATCCTAAAACACCCTGCAGGAAAATCCATAAATATATAATTACTCTGACTATGTTCATCAACGGCTCCTGTTTGATTGAGACCCATATATTGGGACCAGTCGCTAACCTGTGTTGCAAAACTTCAGTCACGGATGCTTCACCGATTTCAGCCGGGCATCTCTATGAATGAAAAGGTATGACGAACCTCCATTCGTGACTCTGCAACGGATACAATGATGATCATAAGACACGGAAAGGCATTCCTCAATCCGAATCACATCATGTCGATGCTGTCTCTACAAAGTTTCAGCCTTGTCTGACTTCCAGCCTTTCACAGAGACTGTACCTCGATTCTACGGTGAACCTCGTTGCTGATTGTTGGCAAATTATAGGTACAAAGTCTCTTCTCAAGCTTCCAACCCCACTGTAAATTACATGATGAAAGTTTGAGCGAGACGGGCGGACATAATGCGTACTCGATCGCTAGCACCTCAAAAGGCCGAAGCGTACAAACTTCAGTCGGTGACACTTTGACGATGTACTTGCTGAGAAGTCGCCAGCTGATACAAGAACTGCAACGATCTGACATCGCAGAAGTTTCCATGGCTTCAGCTAACGCAAATGGTTCTAGGTAAATCTAGCTCCACGTGTCTCCGCCTTCTGTCTCGCGCTTGGATGATGAACAAAATTCACACTGTTTGAGCCAACACTAGCTCTAAGCGGCTATAGCTGGCAGTGATCTCATCTCACTGAAAATTCTGACAAAGGTATAGATGTTGTCATGCGAGGAGCTCCAATTGACTAATGCGATTTTTAGATTACCTGCGAATGATCCTCTCATGTGCTGCCATGCAATGAATTTGTACGTGGAGAACAAATGCTAACTGGATCTTGAGGTCATAGTTGTCGCACTGCAGGCACGCAAGCTATTGGCATCTTGACCACTACGTGCACGTTGTGGCCTTACTCTGCCATTTCGCTTGTCCTTGCACCTTGGGCTGAAATGAAGGACGACTGTGACTGTCAAAATGTAAAAGTATCGATCTAATTATCACCTTGACTAGTCCCTTGTCAAATGTGAGAAAGAGCTAGAAAGATTGGCAGATAAGCGCGCAAAGTTCACTCGCTACACAAAGCAGGTATGCTCAATATCTCACCATTGCATCCCTTTCTTGTTCTGATGAATCTCTACATTCGCTGTGTTCTTTCTGAGATACCTCGTTGACGAACCCAAATCTCATTCACCTTGGAGAACTGATAGTCTTTGCAAACCTTACGTATTCGAAAACAGTTCAGCGGAATCGGGCTGATGATAGTGTAGGAAGTCTAGAATACTTATGTTCAGGCCGTCACTTAGCTTGTGCGGACAATTACCCAGAGCTTTAAAGACTTCAAGTCAGAAGTGCGTCGGTATTTCTAAAGGTTTATCCTGAGCGTCATAAGCCTTCTGCCGTACTATGTAATCTGGAAATTAAGCAAATCTTGAGGCTCGGTAGTCCCCAACGGAACCTAGATGAGCGACGTTGCTTTTCTAACCTGAAGTGGATTACAGTCCGAAGGCGTGTAATTAAGCTTAACCTGCATGATCCGGTGGTCTCTGTGACTGGGTAACTCAATATCGTTTTCACGTTCAAGGTCCATGAAATAGGTATGCGGCAAATCACTACCATTTACCGTGGCCCAATGCGAACAAATTGCCAATAGGGATTGCCAAGAGACAAGACGTGGCAATGACACTTGGGTCATCTTTAAACTAATCCTATATTCAAGCCCGCGAACAATATCTCTTTCAGCAATGTATTCACCTCCAACCCCCAACCCGACCTTCATCCCATCGCTCCCTCCATTCTCGCCGCATGTAAACCCGCTCCTTGCCAGCCCTATATCCTTTGACCCACTCGCTCACTTCTCGCTCATCACAGCCGCCCTGCCCATCCAACCAACTCTCCTCTACTCCCCTGCAAAAATCCTCGCCTTCCCTCTCGGCTTCTCTCAGACCTCGGTATAGCTCTTTCGCACTCCAGGGTGCGAGCTCCTTGTCCAATTGTTCTTGCTTTGCTTTCCACTGCCGTTCGAGCGCATGCAGCGCTAAGAGATGGTTTTGCGTCGTCTGGCGTAGTTCTAGTAGGTGAGCGTGTCGATCGCGGAGATGGGAGGCGAATGAGGAGGTCTGATTGAGGAGAGGAGGTAAGGGAGAGTTGGCGGAGTTGAGGGAAGGGTGGGTTTGCGCGAGGGAAGAAAGGAGATCCGGGGTCTCAAGGAGCTGAGAGAGTTGCTGTGAGCTAATAAAGGCCCATATTCAGTATCTATGCTGTTATGGAGTGCTTGCCAATTGGGAGGAAAGCTCAAAGGGCGAGGAGGGGGAAAGGGGGAGCGTACGTTTTGTCAGAGGCTGCTTCGGGAAGCCAATGCTCGTGCTCTTCTGGTGGATGAGGGCGATTTGCACTATTGATTGAAGCCTGAGGCTGAAGATGCTGCTTCGGTGTTGCCTCTGGTGGGGGAGGTGGGAGGGGCGGGCCGTGAGACGCGGAGTAGGTGTTGGAGGATTTCGGGGGCGGCGGAGGAGGGGCTGGACTTGTGTAGCCCGAGAAAGATGTCAAGTCTGGTGTCGCCATTATGTGTAGTAAGTTACCCACTTCGTTCATCAATGAAGCGTAAGGATGCGTTGTTCGTTCAGGCATCAGTAAATTACGATATTTATGTATTGTAATTTATAGTTCTGATCATCGTAAGGAGTCTGCAATTGCATCTTTAATGCTCTTCTACCAGACGACTTTGAAAAGTCTGGGCAGAATATGGTCTTTTTAAGGTAGGAATCTCAATTTCGTATGTCAAGTGAGCAGGCTGTACTCTTCATTAAAACCAGGGTTGCATGAATAAGATGCTTGCTGTGTTCCCGAGTGCGCTTTTCACTTGACCATTTTGGCCTCGTCTCCCCTAACAAATGATTTTATTCGATTGTGTGATCTTTCGAAGAATCGATCTCTGCGTAAAGTAAGGTGCCTGCTATGGCTTTGTAGGGTCAGGGGCGCTATTTTCACCTTCTTCGGCTTCACTATACCCTCCTACAGAATAGTCAAACTGACCACGGATCAAAGCGAACATTGGTAGGCAAGAAGAACTGATTTGATTTGTGGGAATGTTGAAGATCTTGGTGCAATGAAAGGAAAATATCTAAGGCATAACAAAAAGCAAAAAAAGCAGAGCATCCATGACAGCTGAAGCTTTGTTCGCGATACGTCAATGAGATGCAACTACAAAAATCTCACAGACGAGAAAATCCAGCGGGTGCGTTCGTGCTCAATATTTCCCCGTTGCGGGTCTCCTTGCGAGTCATGTTATTTCCAAAATCCATGAAGTTGTGAGCGAGTCAAAAGTCTGCCTTTTGCGGTGAAGTTAATAGGCTGTGCCCACCCGGCACAGCTAAGTACATGGCAACTTGGCTGCTTAAAGGACTAGTAAGTGGTATTTCCTCTTGGTTGTATATCACCAGGGCAGGACGACTCAAACGGAAGGAATATATTCTGGTATGCCCGAATGGAGTCGACGCATTAAAGCGACCAAATGAAGGGATGGTACTCGGCAGAGGCTTAATGATGGCCCCCAAGGCCCGTTTCACGGCCACCTGGTTCCTGCGTCAGAGTGTTTCCCCTGCAGAACGTCAGCCGAGGGCCAAACTACTTGGGGAGCTTCGAATTTGTTACCCTCCCCGGTCTAGTCTCAAGATGAGACAAACTTAAAGCCGTGAGTCTTTCACGCCGGCAAAAGCTCTAGATAGCCGAGCCTCACCCGCTCAAATGGTCATTGAGAATGGTTGATAGGAAGGTTGACGCATCAAAGACTATTCACGACGCCATGGCATTCCAGGTGTATGCGATCGGTAGTACTACATCGTATTGCACTCAGTTCTGTGGACCCAATGCGGTGGGGAATACCCAAGGTTCAAGCCGTCAGTATGCACGTGGGAATAAAGCTGGATGCTCGTCACCGCAGAACCAACAAAGGTCTGACAGACGCCATCCGTTCGTCGCCACATATTTACAAACTTGTGTGTGGGGTGGAGAAAGCTTACAGACCACCACCATGTGAGCCGTCCATCTTTGGGCCTTTCAGGTCGGGACTGAAGAGAACGGATATCTTGAGTCACTCTGTGTCTTGTGCGAGCGTGACGTCGAGACGGTCAGTCATAACGGAATCGCAAGGACAGCTATTCTAGAACGATATTTACGCCCGGGCCAGGACGGCTCAATCAATTATTATGCGATCATGACCGATGAGACTGCCTTGCCACCTGGAAAAAAGGGATTTGCGCAGCAGTCATCCCATTATCATGAGCACAGCATATTCACCTGGATGCTTTTCGCGGCAAAGCAGGCAAGACGCAGCGATGTGGAGTGCGCATACACACAGTCAGCTAGCAGACTCTTGAAGTTAACATCTCGGGATCAGAGCGAAGGTGACATAGACGACTGTTACTGAAAAGGCCAACAAGAATACCGCTGATCAGTTCCCGCTCTCTCGAGTCTCGAGGGCTATCCGCTGGTTCTTCACTTGGTTCGTAGCCTAGGCGACGTAGATTGCAATCTAGCGGTTTGTCCGCTTCAAGTCGGCAGCTCAAACATGTCCCGAAAACATGCCTGCCATTATTGCTATTCGCACTAGCATTCTGCCTTCCTGAGTCCTGACCCTTTCAACCCCTTCTTTCTATCAAGCCGTCTCGTCCTCGATCCCTTCTTTCCACTTTCCACCGTAAGCCGGCCCGGAGCGGTCTTTACGCAAGCCATGTGATGCTTGCCTCTTGCATCAGATTTCCCGTAACACGAAAGTCTTACCGTCCATCATTTTCGTCAATTCGCAGCCATTGATCTGTTTGCTCGCGCTCAGCCACCTTTCTCGACAAGCAGAATACGACAGAAGCGCACAAAATTACCCGGTTTGCTGCGCATCCTGGGCATTACCGCAGATAATCTGCCCTCATTGAGGTCGTCTGCGGATGGCGTTTCACCCCGGTCACTCTATTCCTAGCCATTGAAGCGAGCTTCCTTCGTCCTCGCAGACCTTTTCGACCGTCATACAGTGTTACTTTCTGCACGCCCCCGATCCACCACCTCAGCTCTGCAGGAAATATTCAGTATATTTTCGCATGGCCAGTCCAATGTGATGCGTCGCCCCGAGGGCGTGGAAGGGAAGATAAACAAGCGGAGGATTCGGATCGAAGGTGGAGGTCAGGAAGCCTTCCGGATAGCACCCGAATCTCCTAATCCTATCACCGACCCAGCTGTCTATATTGTTCGGTTAAGGCTTGCAGAAGCCTGATCATCGGCAAGCAAGACACCACGACGAGCTTGCTCTCTAAGCTCCTTACAATCTAGCCATCATGCCCATACCTAAGCCAAAGGTCCCTCTCAAGGACCATTGTTCAGAAATATATGACGGTAAACTATACACATACCAGGAAGATGCTTTCCAATCGTTAGATCTCAAAGAGGGTGGAGAATGGACACAATTAGACATGGGTGTACCCACACAAGGGTCTGTCTGTGTACAAGGAAACTTCGACGACCAGGCCTCTTTCATAGTGGTGGGTGGAACTACAGACAAAAATGGATATAGTGGCCTTCAGCATTATTCTTTCAAAGACAGCAAATGGATTAGCGACAAGCCGGCAGATACAGTCACCACAAATCGGCGACGACATGGTGCTGCATTTATCCAGCAGTCCTCTGAAATCCTGACATATGGAGGCTCACAGGATGATGACCACACCGCAACATCACAAACTTTTCTCATCTCTACGAAACAACCTTACGTGACGCGAGCATTTAATTCCCAAGCACCTCCAGTAGTAGATCCTCTACTTTTAAGTTACAACAGCACGCATGCATTGATGCTCGGGGGAGATCCTACAAATACGAAACTCTTCACTTTCAGTCCCGAGACGATGTGGAACCTGCTAGATATCTACCTGAAAGAAGGGCTGAAGGATGCTAGCAAGACGCAAGCTACTGTAATGACGGGAAGCGACGGCAGTAAAGTCCTCGAACTCTTCGACATGAGCTCATCGCCAAACAAGATAACGTCCATCTTAGTACAGAATGCCACGCAGTCTTCAAAGCGCAAGAGATCAAATCCACACCATCCCACCAAAAGGCGGAAAAGGGAGATCGCGTTATCAGATAGACCGACTTACAACAGCACGTTGGCCCCTCAAGATGCTCGCTCTGGCTTCTCCGTAGCCTCAGACGACAAGACTGGCTTGGTTGTCGCAAGTGGAGGCAACGATCAAGCACCATTGGCCATGTTCAATGATACGGGGAACCAGTGGCTGGACCCAAACATGTTTTTTGGCAACGAGCCTCAGCCCACGCCGACGCCTTTACCCTCATCGACAACGTCAGATCTGCCGTCATCGACTTCGTCGACTTCGCCTCCAGCTACCTCCTCCGCCGCTGCTCACAAGAATAATAGTTCTCGGGATAAATCACTAACTATTCTAGGTGGAGTTCTCGGTGGCGTGCTTGGAGCCGCGGTAGTCCTGATTCTATTGCTCATCTTACTAAGGTACTGGAAGAAGAGGAGGGCTCTGCAGCAGGAACAACAGAGACAAAGCGAATATAAGCTGGACGAGAAAGGAGAGATGGATTTCATGGATATGGGTGCCGACTTCATGAGGGAGGCGGGTGGGTCAGCAGCGGTGAGCCCCGGATTTACGAGTCCGCACGGTAGGAATGAATCAGAGGGTAGCACCAAGCAAAAGGAACGAGGTGGTGCTGCCTCGTCTCTATCAAAGCGGGCTCTACTTCACGCAAAGGGAGATAGCACTGGAAGTCAAAGGTCTTTCTGGAGCAGAGGCTCGCGCTCACCAGACCCACCCCCACAGATCTCCGCGCCGATCATGGGCCCATCTCTCAGTCGGAGTATGGCCTCACCAGAAATACGGAACGATACTGGGTGGAGTAGATATTTCGCGGAAACCCCAGCACAAGAGGGGTTTGCCAGGTCGGCTCCTAGAGTTGATGATCCCCGTCAGAATTCGTTCCTCTCTACCGCTCAAACGCATTCCACCAATACCTCTTCGGCGCTGCATTCTTCGGCGGAGATCGAACCACTCAACTTCAGACCTTCACAGAATTATCTACCTTCTGGTCTTGGTGTTGCCCTTTCACACAGCGTGTCTCGAGACGCTACGTCCAACAAATCGCCTACTCCATCTATTGTCTCTGACATTGAGGAAGAATCTGAATACCACCACAGCAATGGACAAGATTCCTGGTCGCCTGTTGAATCCGGTTCTGGTCGAGAGCGGAACAGCGGCTGGACCGACGAGCGAACCATCAGCAGTACGCACACCAATAGCGCACCTTATCCTCATCCAGGTGAACATGTTCATATACCTAACTTTCCAATGCCGACAAGCGGGCGAAGCAGCGCGGTCGCATCTATTGCATCGCCCGTAAGTCCGCAGGGGGGCCAACCTCCACAGCTACCCACACACAGCCCTGGCTTGAGAAACGTGGTATCCAGAGATCTGATCCGTTCTAACAGCCATCGACAGCAAGCTGAGGGTCTTGTTCGCACCGGCACACAGAGAGTCACACCCAGTAATTCTCCATTTCCCAGACCGGATGAGCAACAATGGGGAATCACTAGGGAGAGCAATGGGAGCCAGAATGAGGACATGAGCTGGCTCAACCTTGGCACGAGCGTGGAGCAGCATAGTAATTATCACACGACGCGATAACAGTAACCACTGTTCGACGTGCTTGTCAGCGCCATCAGTACTTGGCGCGTAAGCAAAACTTTCCCCTTTTCATCATATATTACCATCATTGCAGGGCGCATCAGCATCACGAAATCTGGGCTTTCTTATCTACATTCTTCGGCGCTAAAAATGACCATCGTTTAAGATACCAAAGTCCCCTGTACTATTACTACCACCACATATTATCATTACGAGCACCAGAACCTTAGCTATCTAGCCTGGCAGGCTCTCGGTCTTCAATTCATATTGGCTAATGTTTTGGGCTTTTTCTTCTTGTAGAACGAGAAGTTCGGAATAAGGACATAGTTCCAGAGGAAGAAGCATTGCAAGCGAGCGAAGGAGAAGAGCTCTGTTGCGAAAGATGATGTGAAGACAGGCTATGTACGTATAATGAACTGTCTGAGACAAAGAACGTGTAAAGTATTGCATCCCTAACACGTGAGAACCTCGCAGGCATCGCGGAGGTGAAAAGAAGAATGAAATGTATATCATCTATCTAATCCTTTGCTTCTGAAACTTCGCTCTACATTTGTACTCCGTCAGCGTGCTAGTAACAGCTCCATCTCATCATAAAGGGCAGCTCCTCTTTAAAAGAATGGCTTCTTTGGTGGGCTTTAATCCCGCACACTCCTGAGTCAACACATAAATATTGAATTTGAAGCACGTCTTTATTCACTGTGTTGATATGGCAGTACATTGCTCCCATCTTAGATCCGAAGGCCACTCTGCGCCGTCCCGCGGGAATGATAGTGAAGATTGCAGGATTGCCTATTCCCTATTTAGGACAGCCGCAAAACGAGATATACGGTTACCTTCGGCCTCATGAACGGTTATACTGTCCTTAAAACAAGCAATTCAGACTTCTGCCAAGCGTTCCGGGGTTGGTAAATATTCACGCTTAGAATGGTTAAGTGGCATCGAGCGTTGTCGAGGGGTGTTGACCGCGGCGGGATGGCCGTTTTGGGACAGCTGCGAAATTGGTCTGATATACAGTTATATGCGAGCCACTCAGAGCAGCTTCAATGTGACATCAGGAGAATTCACGAGTGTGACTTCATGGCAGGATAAATGACTCGCAAGTCAAGAACCGGATGACGATATGAGTGCTGTAGACGAAAATGGGGATATATAGAACTGATAAGTGTATCAATCGATCGTTTTGAAGACTTTGCGGAGACATATTGAGGGCTGGCTCTCTTTTAAGCAGACATTCCAGCTGCTCATGCTCCGCTTTTGAGTGCAGACTAAGCAGAAGACAAAGCCTTGAATAGACCTCACTTGCGCCCGACTATTTTCACGAGTGCCCGCGTTCCTGTGATGATGCATTTGTGCTTGCTATGCATTCTCATTCATCGTTGAAAGTTAATGGAATTCCACATCTGTCGGTCACCACCCAGGGCAGTAGCGATAGCAATCAGCATCCCTACCAGTGGTTTCTAGATGTCCTTTTTAATGTCAAAGAAGAGAAATATGCCTTATCAGGTTTATGTGTAAAAAGTCATAGGTCATGCGTTAACGTGCTGATCAGGGGTAATGAGAGCGTCATATCAGGTACGAAATTTGGATCTTGCAAATGGTCTTGTAATGTAATGCTGCGCGAGGCGATACAAAGTAAGCAGTAACTTATTGGTTTCTAACAAAGCATTGGCACAACTGAGTATCATCAAGCGCAGCTTCCCGTCTAAATTGACAATCAATTGACACCAGAGAGCAATCGTCTTGTGAAAGCCTCTTGGAGCAATAGGACGCCATGCAGCTGACTTGACGATATGACGCTGAAGACCAGAGACTAAGAGCTGCAACAGACACATCCGATCACAAAGCGTTTAAAATATGTGCCCCGATAACGATCAAGTATTTGATGAAGAGACTAAGCGGGGGTAGTCGTAGAATATATTGATATTCTCTTCATTCTGCACTAGGGCTGTTGGGAGCCAGTCTCCTCGGTCTAGCCACGTTCAGGATTTTTGGACCTTTGTCGTTGTAATTGGATCCCCGTTCACTGTCATATAAAGCAGTACACAAGAAGCAGCTAAACCCATCTCAGAATTATTAACAGTCTGGCGTTGAAAAGGCCGTTTTAATTGTTTCCAAGCTAAGCTTCGTCTAGAGATGATGACTCTTGCACCATTTCATGCTTTAAATATCACAAGATATTGGCTACTTTCAAAAATCAGCAAGCATTTGCCCAGAATACGTGGGCCCTTGAACAGCATGTGCGTCTTTGAAACACCCCGTAAAAGACGGCCAGAGAAAACAAAGCGTCTTGAGAAAGCAGAAAATTGACTAGCCTCTCCTGAAATACTTTGTGGTTCTTACGGAGTGAAGGCACACTAGAATTATAACAAACACAAAAGATAGCATTGATATCTCAGGACCTAACTTTCTTAATTCACGGTGTGACAGCTTGAACCAGGGTTGAACACCAGCGCAACGACTGAATAACCCCATTCGGATATTCCGAGCGATCGTCGCTGAGGCTGAAGAGGCTCGTGTAGACCGAAAATCGTGATATAACGACGTCTCAAGAGCGCAGTCATGTTCAACCTACCTGATCACATCCTAAGATGCACTTATCCCTGAAATTTCAAGTGCAAATTATTATGCATTCTGCCTTCTGTTCGCCGAGCGCCCCTTATTCGTCATCACGTTCATCGAACCACAAGGTGATTATGCCGTCAAATCGGTCATGACTTGCAATCTGGGTCGGTCGGATTTTGAGTTTTTCAAGGAATGGTGCAAGAATTATCTATTTTTACTGTCTCCGTCCCAATCTGTCCATATTGGGGTCCCACATGGATGACTACCCCGGCAGCGAGCTCATGCACCTCTAGTCCTCTCGGACCCCATACTCTATGGCACGGGATGACTTGAGCGTTTATTGACGAGAGCTCTGCAGCCCAGGGAGAGTACACAGAGGTTAAGTGACGACTGATTTGATCGCTAAGCCCAAGTTGCTCAAGACATTGAATTGATGCTTTTGAGATGATATCTGATAAGAGTATGTCATTCTCTTTCATTTGCATTTTTGAGATGTAGAGATGTATGACACTTGTTTCCGCGGCGGGCATGGAGCAGCTGATAGCCTCTGTACCAGATGTATTGATGTGAGTGAACTTTACCTCCGACGTGGCAACACCGATACTCTGCCACTCGATGTCACATTCACGAGGGAGCGCATCAACCTGTACCACAAGCAGTGCGGGCACAGGAGCTTGAATACTGTCAGGAACAAGTGTCTCGTGATCTGGCAAGGACTTCCGATCGTCCCTTGAGGGAATGAAGCTTCGTGAACCTGAGTGCGTCCTATCCCAAACATCGAAGGATTCATCTTCGCCAAAATCCTGCAACCACAAGTCCGGATCGTGAGCTTTACTCCATAGGCGATAGGCTAACTCAGCTTTGAATTGCACCTCAGCCGTGCCTACAACGAATGCAACAGCACCTGTCCACCATCTTACTCTCATCTCGACCCCAATCCGCCAAAGGTGCTGCAGAGCGAGGCATGCCCGATGCTGAAACAATGCCATGTAATCTTCTGATCTGAGAGCGGCTATGGTATGCAAAGACTCCATTGTAGCAGGAACAAGAGGGATCTGACCAGCGACATACACCAAGGCGGCCCCTGAGCCACAAGGTAGGGTTATTGCTTGCGAGTATGGCCCAATGTTGGCAGGCGCCCAATATGACCTAGATTGCACATGCAAGCAATCTGGAAGTCCATCTGCACCCATATTAATGGCAAGCGAGAGCATCACCTTTAGTCCCCTGGGCAGTGGAGTCGAAAAGGTGACCCTTGCTGGGGGATTTGGTTCAGTAAATAGGTGTCTATAGACGTTATTTACCTTTGTGAAATCGTCGTCAATCGACTTTAGGATGATTGTCGTAAAAACGATGTCGCAGGTTGAACGGTCCAGTTGGTGCAATTCTCTCTGGATTATTCTGTTGATGCCTTCCATTTGCTCGGATGCTGACGAACAATTTTCCTTGAACGTCAAATTCGCCATATGCAATACTGAGCCTGCCCGCATATAAACAGGCTTGATTGTCCAGTCTCCTCCATCCCACTCCTCAGATTTGAAGCTCTTCGCACAAGAATTGTGACCAGATTGTGAATTCTCTGACGTTGTCTCTATTCTCAAGAGTTGGAGAAATTGTGAATCCCACAACGGGATCTCTCGGACTTCATTAATAGCATCTCTATGATTTACAGACGACTTGGACACCGTCCGTCCCGCAGCTGGACCAAATGTCACCATTCCAGATCCTGATCCATCTTCTGTCTTCATCTGCATGTCTATATCGTCTACTTTGATGCGCTTCTTCCAAACAGGTGAAGGGCCATCGATAACCAGGGTCTCATACTCGCCACCTTCGCCAAGCAGGCTACCTCCAAACCTCCCCATTGCCTTCTGAATCTTCTGCCTGACGGCTGGGTCCATCAAATTGCACCATAGTAATTCTGGGCCTAAGCCGCCGGACGAAACCTTGACGAGGCGAACATCAAATCCGACGGCAGCCATATCATCAATCAGGCCATCTGGAGAAGGCGGTGGAAGAACAGGGTATTGCCATAGGAAAGATAAAGGCACCAAACCAAGTCGGATAGCCACAGACTCGACCCGAGTCCTCTGATAGGTCGATAGAATGGCACCGGAACTTACTGCACTGAGCTCTGGATGGCTCGCCTTGACAAGATTCAGTAATTCGGTCAAACAAGCGATTTCATCGCCCCCTTCCTCCTGCGAAGATGGCGAGTAATATTTCGAAGAATCCACTGCCGTACCTGTAATTACTGCGCGATAGAGCGGAAGACCGAGAGCATCTGCATATAGTGGAACTATGTTATGGCCCGCGGTCTGATACATGAAGCTGTTCATATCATCAAATGATGGGGTTGAGCCAACATCTCCTGCCGATGAAATCGTCGTATTCATGTCTAGCTTGTGCGGTGGTGGTAGGGGCGGGTGCAAGTTGGCGAGTGCAATGACCTTGTGTCCATTCTTAATGCAATGCAACAAGGAAAAGAATGAGTCTTTGCCCCCAGATACGAGTGCCACAACATTCAATGACTGTGCCATAAAGTCAGGTGGAGCCACCGCCGATGTTTTGACGGGGAACGGTCATAACATAAGATAGCCAGAGAGCAAGTCAACAACTAGCAATCTTCCTATATCACAAGGAATTCAATTGAAAGAGAGCAAAGTCCTGGTCAATCCTCCATAAGCGACACTGCGGTAAAGGTAAGTAAAACCCCATTCCGGGGCCTCCCTTAGAACCTAGGAGAGCGAACAAAACAAGGCATCATCAATTGAAGGATTCATCTTCGAGTGACTTTCCTGACTACAAGACCCTTGAAAGTAGTCAGAGCTCTTCGGCATTCAAGATACCTACAGACGTGTCAATTTGCGCAGACTCCTCCATGTCAATGTCGCTCAGATTACCCTTGATTAGCTAATCGAAATATCATTGGTCGACGGTTATTAGCATGGGACTCTCAGTTCACGACCAGGGTAGATCCAAACAATCCCCAGTCGCAAATTCGCAGCACTCTTTCACTCTAGCCAGCGCTCGGTATTAGACCTCTGAAATAGACAACAGCGCCGGGTAAGGCTCCCATTCTCCATACAGCGCCAAAGCAGCATGGCCGATTACAACTTTGGCGGCTCAGACGAGGAAAATGCAGAATTGAAAAAGCTTAACGCTGAGGTGGTCAGTCATCGCAAAAACACTTCACACACTGTCGTTGCTGATGAAAGGTTTAGCTCGAAGAACCAGATAGCTTTGAGAACTGGGAAAAGCTTGTACGGGCTGCAGAAGGCCTCGAAGGTGGTCTGAACCGGAATTCCAGTCCCCAGTCAATTGTGACTGCAAGAGATATCTACGATCGATTCCTGGCAAAATTTCCACTACTGTTTGGGTACTGGAAGAAATACGCAGATCTCGAGTTTTCCATCGCCGGGACAGAAGCGGCTGAGCTGGTACGTCGAAACCTCCTCCTAATTGGATGACTTCTGACAATACCGAGGTCTACGAGCGTGGTGTCGCCAGCATAACCAATTCTGTGGATTTATGGACAAATTACTGCTCGTTCAAGGTCGAGACCAGCCATGACCCCGATGTCATCAGAGAGTAAGTGGCAAGACGCAAGCTTTCCTTCCATAACCGCGTCAAGCACAGCTGCCTCAATGTATGAGCATCATTGGTATTGCGGAGACTGAAGACTACATCAAGCTGGGTGAGAAAATCGAGAGACGTACCCACCTTGCTTGCTCTCACATAACAATCAGGCGCTTTCTTTCGTCCGATACAGTCTGACTACCCTGGATCACACGTCGTTTTTGCACTCGAGACCGTGATGGATGTCATGGGAGCTCTGAGATTGATGAGCACAGTTCTGCCACGTTTGCAGCCCTCCACCAGTTCCTCCTTATCTCCACCCTTCCCTCTTTCCGGCCGGTCGCTAACGCTGATGTCCTAGGCTTTTCGAACGGAGCGCTGGATGTGTGGGCCTTGACTTTTTGGCGCATCCCTTCTGGGACAAATACCTAGAATTTGAGGAGCGTCTAGAAGCGCACGACAAGATATTTCCTATTCTGGAAAGAATTGTCCACATCCCAATGCACCAATATGCTCGGTATTTCGAGCGTTTTCGACACCTTGCACAAACTCGACCTCTGAGTGAGCTCTTGCCTGCCGACCTCCTAGCGCAGTTTCGGTCTGAGGTCGAACGAGAAGGGCTTGCTGAAGGTGGCGAATCGGGCATAGAGAGGGCCGTGAGGCAGAAAATAGATAACTTTCATTTGGAGATTTTCAACCGAACCCAGACCGAGACAACTAGGAGGTGGACCTATGAGTCAGAAATCAAGCGTCCGTACTTTCACGTCACAGAGCTTGATGAAAGTCAACTTGTCAACTGGCGGAAATACCTCGACTTTGAAGAGATCGAAGGAGATTATGCTAGAACATCTTTCTTGTACGAGCGTTGCCTAATAACTTGCGCGTATTACGACGAGTTCTGGTTAAGATACGCTCGATGGATGATCGCTCAGCCTGGCAAAGAAGAAGAGGTCCGGCACATATACCAACGAGCCAGCACTTTGTATACTCCGATCTCAAGACCTGCGGCACGTTTGCATTACGCCTACTTCGAGGAATCGCTTGGCCACGTGGAGCTAGCCAAAGATATTCATGAGGCGATATTGATCAATCTGCCAGGGCATATAGAATCAATCATATCGCTTGCCAATGTTGCTCGGCGCCACGGTGGCCTCGACGCTGCCATACAGATCTACAACTCTCAGATAGATTCTCAGCAATGTGACATTTACACAAAGGCGGCCCTTGTCGCTGAATGGGCAGGTCTGCTATGGAGAATCAAAGGCTCCGTTGATGAGGCTCGACAGGTGTTCCAGAAGAATCAGCATTGGTACCTTGATAGCCGACCATTCTGGGTGAAGTACCTTGAATTCGAATTGCAGCAGCCTACAAGTGCTGCAACAGAGTCCAATCAATATCAGAGGATAAAACAAGTCCACGATGATATTCGAAGAAAGAGCCGCCTCCCACCGTCCACCATGAAAGACTTGTCCCACTATTATATGGTATATTTACAAGAACGAGGCACCAAAGATGCCGCTAAGGAATATATGGAACTCGATCGCGAGGTAAATGGACCTTACTCGGTTCAGACCGTCATGAAAACCAAGACGACAGAAGATGGCAAAGAGGCAACAACACAGCGGCGATTGATGATGACCAACGGCCATCCTGGTGTGGAGGTCGACGATGCTGCCATTAGAAGAGGAGAAAATCCTTATACCAAATACTACCAACAGCAAGGGGAGCAACAATTGCCGGGTGATTCTCAGGTAGGAGCTTACCCAGACTCAATAATGACCGACTCCTGATAAGCGCAGCCCGCCCCGATTCGATATCAATAATCCAGACGTCTTTTAGATAGCTCATCATCAGTTGCTTACTTTCCTGATGTACAATACGTCATTACGATGTTTCGGTGGAGAATGATTCCGGCTTTCGAATCGGAGGCTTAAATAAGTTGAACTGCAATGTATCTAGACAAGGTTAATAGTGAAAATTGTGCAAATGGGACGTGGTAGACCACATTTCTACGACTACTGATTCTTTCTGCATTCCTCCCTTCCTACCTGCTTACTTAGGTCGGCGTTATTTCGTACCTCCAACGATCAAAGCACATGCATGATTGCTTGATCGCATAGTCAATGCTACCTAATCATCCTCGGCCAGGAGCAATCGCTACCCGTCGGAATGTCCTAGATGTTGAGCTCGAGGACGATGGTCTAATTGAATTGAATAGTCAAGCAAAGAAAATATTCTGGATAGTTTCATGAAGTCTGTCGCAAACGCGTTCGGCACTGCTTGTTGAAGATCGAAAGTCTGCTGCTGTAACAGGAGCAACTGGCTTTCTGGAAAATATGGTGGCACGGGTATGGTTGGAGGAATGCGCCTGAAATCCGAGAAGAACGGTCCCTCAGTGATGATTGATACTAGCTAGTTTGTAAAAGCACAATTCGATTGTTACCTCTCCGTTGCGTACTAGCCTTGTCTGGGTCCACAACTGCTTGACCCTTGTGATGTTCAGCTGCGTTCCTATTGGCCACGCAGACTTCCTGATCTTAGCTGTGAGAAATTTTACAGAATCCGATTACTTGCTCATCAAAGTGAGTGTACAGTCTTTGAGCTGGAAGAATACAGGAACAAGGAGGTTGATAATGATGCAGCGATAGTTGCACGAAGTCACGACCTACTGCCAACCGCCTCTCCCCCCAAACGCACTACTATCTTCTGATTTCTTTTGCCCAGAACCTTTCTGTGACCTTTGCTGTGCTGCCTCGTGTTTTCGTAGCTCCTCCGGCATTTTAGAGATGCTAGATTTTGAGAGCATCTGCTTGAGATCGTACATGACGTCGCTATCCTCATTACCCAAGAAAGTAAGGGCGACCCCGTTTTTGCCAGCTCTCCCAGTACGACCGATACGATGTGTGTAGCTTTCGATGCTGTTAGCCATGTTGAAGTTTACGACGAGACTGACGTCCTGCACGTCAATACCTCTGCCCGCAAGGTCTGTTGCAACAAGTACATCGGTGCTACCATTACGGACCGAACCAAGAGCTGCCTCTCTTTGTTCCTGGGTCTTGCTGCCATGAAGTGTAACAACAGAGAAGCCGCCATGTTTGATATCGCGAGCAATAGCGTCGCAATTTCGTTTGATGTTGACGAACACAATAATGGGCGGTTGAAAATCGCGAGAACCGAGGATATCAAGCAGCCGTTTCTTGCGCTTATCCTCACCAGCAACAAACTCGACCCGTTGTTCAACCGTCTCGACAGCTTCGCCAACATTACCGATAGTCACAATCGCGGGTCTCCTCAGATATTTTCGGGCTATGCGCTCGACCGCTGACGGCATAGTCGCCGTATACATCATTGTTTGGCGGTAACGATCTTTACCCCCTAGATGACGACTCATCACTTGCGCATCTTCAGCTTCTTCCGAGTCAGGCTTCATGTTTCCGACAGGTAAAGCATCCAGAATTTTATTAACGGGCTCCTCAAACCCAAGGTCAATCATACGATCAGCCTCATCCATGATCACATAACAGCACTGGCTCAGGACAAGTACTCGTCTTTCTATACAGTCGACAAGCCGCCCCGGTGTCGCAATGATGATCTCGGCACCATCACGAAGGTTGTACGCTTGTTCCTCCAAAGAATGTCCACCAACAATGCTGACGCAGGTGAAGCCTAGGGGAGTTGCAAATTTCTTCGCTTCTACCTCAATTTGCTGTGCTAATTCTCGCGTGGGTGCTAAGATTACTGCATAAGGACCGTCATTCTTAGTAAGCTCATTCAAAGCAGGCAACTCTGATATGTATACAAGCAAGGGCAATAAGAATGCTGCAGTCTTCCCTGAGCCAGTGACAGCGACCCCAATGAGGTCCCTTGATTGTAAGGCAATGGGAATAGCTGCTCGCTGGACTGGAGACGGGTCGGTATAGCCAACCTGATCGATGACATTCATCAAGCTCCTCGGCAAGCCTGACTCGTTCCAAGATCGCATCGGGTTTGGCAGCGCGCCGCCTTTTGTGCTAATGTTGAAATCTTCTTTAAAAATTCGCCAATCCCGTTCGCGCATGAGTTCCAATCTCTTGTCACTCCAGTGTTTTTCAAGTGCAGCCTTCCCTCCTTCTTCACGTCGCCTTCTTTCCATTTCTATTAGATCATTCGCTCTTGCTGTTCCAGAGTCACGATCCCTTTCTTCTAGTGCCCTAGCGTACTTTGCAGCTCCATCCATCAAGTCTTCTGTAAAGCCACCCAATCTTCCCCGACCATAGAAATTTGCTTCTGCTCGTGCCTGATACAATGGGTTGTAGTCGGGGCTAGTATCCTCTTCAGCATTCCATTCAAAATTGAATTTCTTCTCAGTAGTACGCCGTCGCTTTTTCTTCGCTGAAAAGGTTGACTGGTTGATGTCTGCACCCATGTAGCGCTGTTTTATGAGATCTCTCTGCGCATTCTCTATCGCTGGTCGTTTCTCACTCTTTGCGAGTGGAGTATTGATCAACGAAGGTTTCGGTGGAGGAGGTGGAGCCATGTCGTAGCCTTTGTTAGGGCCTGATCGCATTGCTGCAGGGCCGGTGGGAATTTCTTTCGCCCGCAATGCTTTGGGTCCCGTAGGTAGAGATGGACGCTGGACTGTGTTGTTTCCTTCGTGCAATCCATTTGTCATACGCTGAGGCGTGTTTGTGCCCGTGCTGGTTTCTGAGGGCCCAGCCAGTGATTCAACATGCGGCTTCTTTTTTTGCTCCTCAACGTCCTTTGCTCTTTTATCTAAAGCAATCCTTTCTCGCTGGGCTTTGGACAAGAATTTTGGCTGTACATAGTCATACGTCAGTATAGAGAGATGAGATCCTATCGCATACACAATGAATAAGGAACGTATTTTGTGCTTCAGTGATGTCGTACCTTGGCAGCAGCATCCTCCGCTTCTTTCTTCTTGCGGAGGATCTCCTCAACACTCAACGGCTGTCGAGCAGGCTTTGAGGCCCAGCCCCTTTTCTTCTTTACAAGCGATACTAATGATAACTCGGAATCTCCATCTGCTATAGTAGTTGGTGGAGGAGGAGGTACATCCTGAGGCGGGGAAGGTACTGAAGACAAAGAAGGTGGTTCGGGTGGTATCGCAAGATCTGGTGGCGGTGGAGGAGGGGACGAGGGCCGGTCTGGTGGAAAGAAATTAGTAGCAGAGAAGTCGGCGCTGCTGAGTAGTGGAGTCATTACGGAATAGTTGGGACTTGATAAGTTGGGATTCGGAGGGCAAGGAGGGTCAATATCAACGCCGCGGAACAGCTTCCGATGTCACAGCAAATATTGTATCACTGATGCTAACAACTCGGACTTGAGTTGAACGTTGCGCCACCTCGTCGTCACTATCTGATGATAATGAGTCACCTAGACTTTGAGACGTAGTAAGGGACATAATGATCTGCTTACACAGGCTCACCGAGCCAATAAGTCTACCTTGCTTCACGTTCTCATTGCATGATCGTAAGCTATGTCGAGCGTAAAGGAAGGCCAGGAACTACAGGCTATTGTCTGGCACGGCTCGTTGGCTTTGGAAATCACTTTATCGTCGCATGAATGTCGAATATACGATCAAGCTGAGCCTTACCTGGTACGTCCTCAAACAAGAGTCAAAGGCAGTCTCTGCTTACGTCGGTTAGGTACATGTACCAAGGGTTTCGTATCTACCTTTCCTGCTTCCTCGTCTGCTTGCCTTCTTCCACAGCTCTATGATAAATACGGACGTTATATCTTACGACGGATGGTTTTCATTCGAGGATGTGCCATTGAAGTGGCAGTACCCTCTGGGCCTGCTACATGATTTATTCTCCGGCATGCCTCCTTATCAAAACATCTATCAACATCCAAAGGAGCAAGCAAGTGCTGCAATCGCACAAGATCGACAGCCTTGGCGGCTCACCGTTCACTTCACAGACTGGCCTGAGCAGGCGCTTGTTCGGCCTGACGACGACGGTAAAGTCTTGCATGACGCTTTTATTAACAATGTGAAAGAGGCGGATTTTTTGAGGAATGGTACCGCAAAGGGTATCATGTCGTTATCTCGTGAGGATTCCACATCATTATGGACTTCAGTGCAAGAGCGTGAGCTATGGTACCCATTCTGATTCAGGCAAGATATAGCTACTGATGTTGCTCAGATGATCTTTCAGCATATACGCCTATATTCAAGAAGCTATTACATGCCCAAGGCGCCCCATTACGACATGTGCCCTTGAAAGTTTACCTTCCTACTTCGCCTACGTCGTCTGAGCCGAACTCTGGCCATCTGCGTGTAGTGCAGTCTTTGGTTACACCTAATGTCAGTGGCTCGAGAGAAGCGCAAACAATCGGCACGACACTGCACAGTCTGCTCCCCATTATATTTCCAAGCCGGAGAACCCCAATCCTCGCCAAGCCAGTGCTTCATGGAACAGTGGTACCAATGCATGCTCCTGTGGAAAATCTTATGCGTACGGCGGCATACCTCGACGGCTGGCTGCACATCGCACTAGTGATGATGGGCTAATGAGATCAACCAGGAAGGCTCTTGTGATTGCTATGCAGGCATGAGCATGTAAGGCGCACAAGTACTGTTCACACTTGGATCATAGTGCACACAGCAACTGTCATTTGGGGACGCCATATGTCCATCTAGCCCGCCAATATGACCGTCCAGCCTATAAGCCAGCTCTGATGTAGTGCCAGCAGGAATGGCGGTTGATTATGCGGTCGTTGAAAGCGTGATGTTGAGAATCTGGATTTATGGATGGGGCCCTCGGCCTAAAGAGCTACGGGAAGACTTGGCGCGCTAAATTCCCACATTTCAATCTCAATTCGACGCACCAGATCCTAGCCTATGCATTCGCAGACAAAAGCGTAAGAGTTCTTCAGTGACAAAGATGGTGAGCGTTTTGCCTTCTCTAGCCTCGATACTCATTGCTTTACACCATCGATTGTCTTTTCTATGTATACCACGACTTTGCCTACCTCCCGTGCCTTCCCGTGGTCTTGAGGTACACTACTCAGTCAGTGGAAGAGTGAGAAAGGGCTTAAGCAGAGCCAGTCTTCTCCACCTTCTCATTCTGTGTTCAATAGAATGAGAAGACTATTCAACGGACAAACATAATTGGTGATGTTATTGCTTTGGTTTGAATGACCTCAGGAATATCCAAAGGAAAGCAGGCTGAGGAAGCGGTTGATTCTCCACTACAGGTACTTAGCGAACGCTAAGCCGCTCTGCTTTGCGCAGGAATATCTTGATCATCATAGGAATCAGATATCCAAGATTTGATAGCTATTTTTCCAAGCTCGCGCGAATTAATATCTTGGAACTCCTTGTAGATCTTGAGACGAGATGATCCCCAGAAGTTGCAGACACACTGAGTGGATTGGGGTTTAGAGTGTGCTCGACACTACTGCTCCCCAAGTTTCCTGGGAAGAAGCGCTGGAGGCAATACATATCGTTGCTATTAGTGTATCTGCAGGTTGCAAGGGACGGTGCCAAGTAAATAAGCTCTTGTGGCTTGACCAATGGAAGCGGGTGTAGGCGAGTAGCGGGAGGTCCCAGTTTCTGGCTCGACGGTCCCAGCCCCGCCAAAAGCTTCCAGCCATCTGAAGTCAGCCAACCTCCGACATCACCTTTCACCTCGACGCCCCCACTGCTTCTCGTCAAAGTTTCTCATTCTCGTCACATACTTGATTTCGATTCTACTACAAGGTGATTGCTGCTTCCTCGCGTGCTCCGCATAAACATCATCCGGTTTGCCTCCTGAATCCGATAGCCTCACGAGGTCACCGAAGAACAGGACGAGGTTTGGGCCACTTCATTCAGGCCTTCCTCTTCACGCTCATCAGTCGCCAATATGTTTATCGCACGGGTATTCTTCGACTTTTGGCGTGTCATGCAGCTCATTACTCTCATTCCCACCCTAGGCATGCTTGTACGCTCAACCCTGCTTGCGAAATGGTAGAGACATGCGCTGATATCCATCCAGGCATATTTTGTTGACGGATATAATAAAAAAGATCTCCTGACCCCCTCTTATATCCTCACGCTGTTCATCGTCTCGGTACTCGCAGCAGTCTGGGCACTCTTGACTCTCCTTCGCCGAAAGTCTCGGAACGAATCGGCCTATTTCGTCTCTTTCGTCGACCTCTGCTTCGTTGGGGCATTCATCGCCGGTGTTTATGAGCTCAGAGCCATCGCGCACGCCAATTGCTCAAGCTTTGGCTTCAATTCGAATTTCTACGTCACGCTGGGTCCAAACAGATTTGACGGAGACAGTCCCTTCACGGGAAGCATCAACAAAACCTGTGCAATGCTGAAGGCAAGCTTTGCGTTCGGCATCATGAACATCATCTTCTTCTTTTTCACCAGCTTGCTCTTACTGTTCATGCACAAGAGAGATGAGAAGGTGGTTGAGAAGCGAGAGGTATATTCGAGCAGGAGAAGGAGTCACGATTCTAGGTATGCATAAGCATGAATACAGTACTTGGAATGCGTTTTAACAATCTCCCTAGGCGAGGTCACTCGCGAAGTGGATCTGGTCATCACAGGCGCTCGCACGACAGCAGGCGCTATGACCGACCTTACGTGTGAATGACTTGAGCAGAAGCGCATCTCAGCACTTCCAATCTCAAGAAAACAGCCAATCTCAATCTGTTCAGCCTTGAAGGTGTATTAAGTACATTCAACCTACGATCTTTGCGACATATTATGACCAGACATGGATGCACTTTAGCGATTGGGCTGGGTATGATGGAGTCATGTGATGGAAGTCTCTCATTCTTCGTAGATACCCAACAGTGTTTTGTCAGATTGATTAGGACGTCGGTTGGCTCTCCTATTGATCACGTATACCTACGTATGAAAGCTCCAATTGCGTCACATTGTCATAAGTCACGCCTCCATAACAGCTTCAACACCCATCAAGGCTAGAGCTTGAGCTTCTTCGTCGAGCCAATCGGATTTATTGTCTTGAAAGGCTGCTATTATAGCGCCCTTGGCTCGGATGGACTTCACGCCCGTCCATCTGATTCCCTCCAGATCCCTTCATGGTTTGATCCTTTCGCATCTTGCATACCGTTCACGCATAGTGATACACTATCACCAACCGATCCTCGATGACATTCCAACAGCCTAGACCCCAGAATGACGAGTCAGGCTGGTGGAGGCTTTCCGCGAGGCGGCGAAAAGACTTTGTTACTGCTTATGCCTTCTCCAACGCTTACGCGAACTGTCTCCTGTGAGATGTTACTGTAACCTGTAGGGCTCCATCTGGATGACGCTCACCCTCATCAAATCCCGGCGTTCTGGGTCACGCCTTGATTAGGGTTCTCGGTGGGTCGAATCAGTGGTCGTTGCAGACTAGTGCGGAGGGATGAGATTGTTGCTATCACAGGGCATAAGCACACTATAATTATCCGGACTCTGCGGTCGGAAGAAGCCGTCGGCAACGATATTAGGCTTGAAAGGTGTGAGTCAAATAGGGGGAGACTTCTTAGCTGGTCGACTTATGGGCCATGGTTAATGACCTTATCGCCCTTCGCTTGTCCGCAAAACCCATTATGGGCGCCGAGATCGTTGTGATTGGCCAGACAACTAAGGCTCAACCAGCGAATCTGACAAATGCGGACCTCCTTTGTTTGGTTCCTCCGTTGATGTCCATCTTGCATGAGAAGGTTTGCCCTCTGCCACAAATGTCTCTGCTCCTCTCAGCATTCACGCGCCCCATCTGTCAGCTTTCCCTCAATAAAGTTATAAAAGACATCATGATTATGCAGTCTACTCTTCGCTTGGGGTAATGTTCAAGGAAGTAAGGCCAAGACTACACAATCCTGCATACATAACTTGTATTAGACGCAGTTCATTTGAATGAGATAATACAGCCATAAGCAACGTCATCGAAAATGTCGCCAAAGATAGAGTCTGAGAAGCTTGAGGAGACAGCTGCAGTACGCTCAGAGGCACAACATCTCGGCAAAGAACTAGGAAAGGATGCGGCAAACTCTACTTCACCCGCCGTTTCCTCTAAAAGTTCTGAGAACGGTGAGAGTAGAGACACAGAGAAAGCGACAGGTACTAGGGGAGCAGAAAAACCACCGCGAGATATCCACGGCATCAAGTGGGGTCTTGCAGTCTTCTCCGTTTTAGCATCGACATTTCTCTTCGCCCTTGACAACACGATCGTTGCCGACGTCCAGCCTGCTATCGTGGAGAGCTTTGGGGACGTAAGCAAGCTACCATGGCTCTCTGTAGCTTTCCTTGTCGCCGCAGCAGGCACAAATCTTGTATGGTACGTAACGTGTCCGACATATCTTTCGTCAATCCCTAAAATAAAATCGAAGGGGCAAAATGTACGCTCAATTCGATGCAAAGATACTCTACCTCATCACCGTCTTCCTCTTTGAGGCTGGATCGGCGATCTGCGGCGCTGCTAATCTAATGGACGTTCTGATCTTTGGTCGCGCTCTCTGTGGCTTTGGTGGCGTCGGCATGTATGCCGGTGTGATGACGCTCCTATCTGTGACGACGACTGAGCATGAGCGGCCGATGTATATTGGCCTCACTGGAGTAACATGGGGTTTAGGCACCGTTTTGGGCCCCATCATTGGAGGGGCATTTACAGACAGCTCCGCTGGCTGGCGCTGGGCGTTCTATTTGAACCTCGTTATTGGTGCAATTTTCGCTCCGGTATGGTTGTTCTTGCTACCGCGTTTCGATCCTCGCCCAGGAGTCCCTCTCAGAGAGCGCTATAGGAATATCGGTTAGTAATGTTTTCGGAGTCATAGAGTCTAAAGAAGCATTGCTGACTCCGATTTGATGAAGATTATACCGGGACCATTCTCATTTGCGGCGCATACGTTTCCGGGATCTTTGCTATCGACTTTGGAGGCAATCTTTATGCATGGAACTCTGGCCGAATCATTGCACTCTTCGTCATATCTGGTATCCTGTTCATTGCTTTCGGGTCTCAGCAAGGGCTGAAAATCTTGACCGATAAGGAGAACCGTATATTTCCAGTTGAGTTTCTCCGTTCACGGACGATGTTGATTCTTTTCGCGGCCACTGCATCGGCCAGCACGGCAACCTTCATCCCTATCTATTTCGTCCCACTCTTCTTCCAATTTGCGCGCAACGCTTCAGCATTATCTGCGGGAGTTCATCTTCTACCGTTCGTTGTCTTCTTGGTCTTCTTCTGTGTCGCAAATGGGGGCATAATGTCAGCAAACGGCTACTACATGCCATGGTTCCTTGTCGGGGCTGTCTTGACGGTCATTGGTGATGCATGCTTGTACACCATCAATGAAGGTTCTAGTACGGGCAAATTGTATGGCTACACCATTTTAGCCGGCGCGGGAGCTGGTTCCTTTGTGCAAGCGGGCTTCTCAGTCGCGCAAGCGAGCGTTGATCCTAAACTGATCCCGGTCGCCATTGGATTCATCACCTGTGCACAAGTTGGTGGCGCCACGATCTCACTGGCTATCGCCAATTCAATCTTCCTCAATGGATCGGTAAAAGACATCACAAAATTGCTGCCGGATGAATCAGTCAAGAAGGTTCAGGGAGCTGTTGCAGGCGCTTCATCTGCTTTGTTTGAGCAGCTTGACCCGGACCTACGGCACCAAGTTATCGTGGCTATTGTGGACAACATGAAGAAAGTTTATATTCTCGGGATTACTGCGGGTGCGCTGGTGGTTATTCTGAGCGTGCTCATGAAGAGGGAGAAGCTGTTTATGAAGCCAGCGGCTGCTTGAGCGACGAGGCAATTTATGTATGCTAAAGACATTCTTGAGGATCAAGGAAAAATATAATCTAGATTGAGTAATTGTATATTTAGGCAATCATGCATGTCTCTATATCCTTAAATGACTCAAGTCTCTCTGACAGAAGTAATAAATGTTTCTCCCTAAGCTTGCGTGTGCTCTAGAGTTGTCATCACTGCGTTACCATCTATACGCGTTTGTCCCACGTAGAAGATGATGGAAGGTTGTCGTTGACAAGGGGCGACTTTAACGGGTTAGCTCCCTGCCGCTATCCCCATACATAAACACAGCATCATTCAAGACAGCCCTTCTCAGACATTCCAAATCTTTTTCAATGGAAGAGGCTCCCAATTTGTCTACTCCTGCTTCTTATATCTTCGACCATGACGATGCAACTGCTTCAACCGTTACAAGTGAGAGGCTCTCGGATGAACTATTGTTCATCACATACGAGATCGAAAGCACGGTAGCAGAGATACGGCAGGCGCAATATCAAAGGATAGCTCTTCAGTTTCCAGACAATTTGCTTCAAGATGCACCGCGAGTCGTCCGGGCTTTGTCAGGCGGCACACGTTCTACTTATAGGGAAAGTACTTCTACCAGCTCTGAGGAGCCTGTCTCCAAGCAGGTTTCGACTTCACGACCGAGATTTTATATTCTGGGCGACACATCATATGGCGCTTGCTGTGTCGATGAAATAGCCGCAGAACATGTAGATGCAGATGCTGTGATTCACTATGGTCGTGCTTGTCTTTCGCCAACTTCAAGGCTACCCATCATTTATGTCTTTACAAAGCAACCGCTATATACCCCTAAACAGCTATATTCAGATTTCGCGGACATATACCCTGACAAGGGGCAAAAGGTTATACTGATGGCTGACGTGACGTATCAGTATCTACTGCACGATATTGTCACTTCCTTGCAAGGTCAAGGTTACAGTAATTTGTTTGAAACCGAAGTCCAGCATGCTCCTTCCTCGCTTCTACCGAATCGAACGGTCCCTGAAGATGTACGAGTAGAAACTCACACACTCGGACAGTGGGACCTGTTCCACATATCTGAACCACCACAGTCGTTGCTGTTGGCTTTGTCATCCCGAGTGGCCTCTATACACATCTATCCTACGGAGGCTGAATCACTATTTGCATCAGAGAGGACTTCCCCTGTAATAAGCACACGGATGCTGAGTCGACGTTACGCCCTTTTAACCTCAGTAAGCACGGTCTCAGTTTTTGGGATACTGATCAACACGCTCAGCTTGAAGAATTATCTTCACATTGTTGAGCACGTCAAGGCCCGCATAATAGCAGCAGGAAAAAAAAGCTATACTTTTGTGGTAGGCAAAATAAATGCAGCAAAAATCGCAAACTTCAGTGAGATCGGCGCCTGGATCATTATTGGATGCTGGGAAAGCTCTTTGATTGACAGCAAAGACTTTTGGAAGCCTATCGTTACACCCTTCGAATTGGAACTAGCGCTGCAAAAAGATGACGAGAGGCTCTGGACTGGGCAATGGAGCAGCGATTTTCAGCAAGTTCTCGACTCCCCACTGAGAAGTTGTAGCCAAGATCAAAGAAGCACGTCGCCCAAGCCAGAAAATCAGGAAAGCGCACTTGATGGAGAGCTTGACACCGAACCAGAGTCTCTGCCCCCCGAGTTCGATTTGAGAAGTGGAAGATACATATCTCACTCGAGACCAATGCACTCGTCCGGAGTGGGGAAAGGAAAGCCAGGGCCTGCGACGGCGAGCACGGCCCTTTCTAAACGCCATAAGAGTGACGTTGTTCTAATGGCTGGAAATTCACCAGGAGCGGAGTTTCTGCAAAGTAAAAGGACATGGAAGGGATTGGGAAGTGATTTCGAGATAGCGTACGAGAATCCAGGTACAGCCATCGAAGAGGGTAGAAGTGGTATCGCTAGAGGTTACACACATTATGGAACCTCGTCAGCCGTATGACGCTGGTGCAGAAATATGGCAAATGGAACGAATCTTGCAGTGAAGTGTTCTTCCCACGCCTGTCATGTTCTCACCACCACCACCGCCTCGGGCCTGATCGGTTTATCTGCTCAAAACAAGCCTTTCAGGCCCGCTGCCAGCCCATACCTTAGAGGGCAGGTGAAGAAAAGCTTAGGTAGATTAGGTTTCGCACCTGTCCTGCACCTGGCCCTTGGCGTCGTCAAGGCTTCAGCATACTAGAAACCTCCAATCTTCACAGTCCAGAAGCCCGTAGGTGGAAGAGTACTATTTCTAAGGGCCTTGACGGTAGATCTGCTGCATATCGCAGGCGGCGATCGTCGTGCTGAGACCATTCCCCATCGAGCTACCGACTGGAGGAGAAACACACGCTCGACCTCCCCCGCGCGAAATGACGGACCCTCTCCATGCACCTTTCGCTTCGCAGAAAGGCTAGCCATTCGTCGCTTTCTTACCTCTGCAAAGTACGCGTAAGACATGCTATCATCAACACGCATGCTTGGTAGACAGGACCAAGCCAAATTGCGCCCCAATGTTTTCGGCTTCCTGCATTGAGCATGACTGCATCTCATCCGAATTCTCTCTTTACCAAGTTCAAGGAGACTTTCACTTCAAAACAAACGGTCCAATTCAAACAAGACATAGAAGTCGACGAACCCTTCAGACACTTTGCTCCGGGCGACTCCGTCAAGGGAACAGTCCATCTTGATGTCGCAAAACCGCTGCGGGCGACCCACCTGGTCATCCGCTTATATGGCTTCGTCAAAGTGGTCATGCATTCGAAATTGCCGGGTGAATCTATCCCATACGACGAGAACCTACTCAATTCAACCAAAGGTCACAGAGGCGGGGAATACTTCGGAAACGGGTTCGCAAAGCTCTTTGAGGACGAACACGTCCTGTGCGGAGACGGCAGACTGGCCGGGAAATACGGTTTTCGCTTTGAAGTCTTGCTACCTCGACATGGAACACCTAGCAGCATTGATGTAGGGTGTTCCGTCTTTGTGCTATTTACTACCTACTGACATGAGCTTAGTTCGAGAACGGAACCATCACCTATCTCCTAAGCTCGACCTTGACCCGTCCGACCACCATTTCTCCAACAAGTACGAAACATATGAAGCTGAAAGTGAAGGAAATCATCGACATTGCATTGATCCCTCAGCCGAGACCGCAAACCATTTCTCTAGAGAGTGTCAGCAGAAGACGACCCGTGATGCATATGAAGCGGAAGCTTTCAGGAACTACAAGCGGAAAGGGTTCCTACAAAGTTGGTCAAGATGACACGCGAGAAGCCCAGCGCACAAGTCTCACTTCTCCCGTAGATGTGCCTGGCAGTCCAGTTACTAGCGAGCTCAGCTCTACAAGTCTACCAAGTAGCGGTACATCAAATACACAATGTGGAACAGGGACACTAGCATCACCCGGGGCACGAAGTAACGCAAGTGGTATCCTGTCGCTCACTTCTTCGGATAAAGTCATTACCGCCCAGACTGAGGTACTACAAGGCGGGTGTTTGCCAGGTGACTTGATTTCCATCAAAGTCTCCATAGATCATACCAAACCAATCAAGAACATGCAAGGTGTGATCATCACTTTCTATCGACTGGCTAGGATAGATACCCATCCCGCCATTCCATTAGGCCCATCAAATGGAAAGACAAGGACCAAGCATGAAGATATATATCCGAGATCCCGGACAGGTCTTGGTGGCCTCTCATTCTCCTCGTCTGGATCAACACGTACTTTTCGACAAGATTTAAATCAGAATATCGCTCCTCTCATCGTCGATCCCCAATCTCTAACCGCTACTTTGAGGACGTCAGTGCAAGTTCCGGAACACACCTTTCCGAGCATAAGTAGGGTACCTGGATCAATGATAAGCTTCAAATACTTTGTTGAAATCGTTTTGGATTTGAGTGGGAAACTTGGTCAAGATAGGCTTCTATCAAGATTCAGCATGACCGATACACCCCAACATGCTTATGAGGATCCCAAAATAAGCATGATCGACGGTAAAGATGGCGTAACTTTCTCGTCAACACCAGGCTTCAATTTTCTTATCACAGATCAAATACGACGACAGAAGGGCGTTGTGTATACAAAAGCGGAGGTGATACTGGGTACAAAGGATAGTACCAGATCGAGAGGGAAGCAAAAGGAAGTAAGCCAAGCCAAAGGAATGGAACGGCGCTCAGAATACTCTCCTCCACCAGCCGACCTGCGACTGATCTCACCATATCCGGACAATATATCACAGAATGGCCGCTTACCTCAACTCACCCAATCTCGTGAGCTGGACCGCAACCAGATCCTTCCGGAATTTCCCTTGCCACATACATCCGAGGAACCCTCGGACGAAAAAGCTAGAATTCGCCAAGCAGAACAGACTCTTTTACCGAGCGCACCTCCTGAAGAGGGTTCGCTGTCTCTTCGGGTTCTTACACCATCGGCTCCCTTTGCTTACGATGAAGACGACTATATAGAGCGATACCACTCCCGGCCTCCGGCACCTGATTATGAAGCTCAATCCCCACAAAATCACGGTCAGGAAAGTCAACCCAGTCGCAACTTTGAAGTGTTACCTGGGCGTACCTCAACGGAAGACCGTTTGGCTTCACCGGACGTTGCGAGACTGACAGAAGACAAGCAGGAGCTCGAGCGAAGGAGATTGCTAGCCCAAGTCGGATCTCCTCCCAATCAAAATTACAGTATATTGTCATCTATGCGGATTCCCCAGCCTCCAGCTGATCCTCAGATTCTTGCTCAAGAGGAAGCTTCGGGTTTGTCAATCCTGCAAACCGGCCCCCATAATGACTCGCAGAATATCAGTCAGTCAGAGCGTGAACTAGCAATTGATGGACTACCGTTTCGAAGGCGTGTCCCTCTAGCCGATAACGAGACTGCAAGTTTGGGTGAAGAGAATACCACCAACGTTGACATGATTGGAGGCACAAATACGCATACTGGAGACGAAGCTGTAATACATAATGATGAACTACCTGCATATAGAAGATAGATGAGGTCGGCGTTTTTATTTGGATCATATGTGAACTGGATCTGGGCTTGTTAAATGATTCAATGATAGCTCTACCTAGATGTTGATAATTGATCAATTGTTTCCTAGAAAACCTAACTAGTCGCTAGGCTAATTGTAAAGCTAGTGTAGGTTATAATATAGATTTACTCACTACCTGGGCTTTTAAGATCATATAGATATATTTATTACAATAGAGAAGAATTTTGTATTATGTTATTATATGAATAATAATTATTCTCACAACAGATCGCCAGCTCCCCAAGTACTCCCAATTATTGCAGAGTATGCTGATATTGAGATGGTCAACACTTTCGCCTCATCGCACCCCTTGAACATCTCGTACAATATGAGCATCGATTGTATCGCCTCAAATCGAGAGATCTTACAGCAACAACGCGAAAAGCTGTCTTAAGCTTTCGAAGAGCTGATCGCCATTGCTCAAGCCGAGCAAATCGCGTCACCGGTTTTGGCGTCCATAGCAGTATTGCCATCCTAACAATCCCTATGTATCAGTGGAGTTTTGATGACACGGCCGTCCTTCTGAAGAGGAAGTAGAAGTCGTGGTACAACGTTCTCCAACGTCAGCTGCCATACTATGTCAAACTCTGGCGAGTTCAAGATGGGCTTTGCAACCTCGAAGATGTGTCCCAGGTGTAACCTGAATAGGGCAGCCCAAGATTAATCGCGTTGATTTATATCCTGCGCAAACCCCCCCCATCATGCCGCGTGTTGAGGTGGAAACCAAGTTTGCCTGTCGACGACTTGGAACGATGGGGAAGGTCTGCAAGTCGTCTTGCGAGTTTGACCGGGTCTGCGGGCTATCAAAAGTTGAATAAGGGGACCCGATGGAGAAGAAGGTCTAGCGGACCTACCTGATCACGAATATCTCGGAAGTTCTCTAGTAGAAATCATGCTTCCGGTTTCTTGTTGTGGAGTTTACCCCAGGCAAAAGGTTTTGGTACAAACCCTGGGAAGATTGCATGAATGGCCGCAAGAGATTCATACTCCCCTTCGCACTTCATGCCTCCCGTCTCCCCTCTTATTATCTGAAGCAGCATTTTTAAAATACAGAGAAACCTGCCGTGTAAATCGCTGAACGTACCTTTAGGAAGTATTTACTTGTCTTTCCGGCTACTACGACTATGGCCGTATTACCAGTCAGGTACTCAGTATGGCTTGACCTTTGGCACAGGTAGAGCTACTTATGGCGAGGTTATTGATATGTAACTCATGTATAAACAGTTGTAGTATCCACCATCGACGACAGCCTGATCAAGTCCAAAGGAGCCATCCTCTCTGGGAGGTTCGATTGGCTCTTTCGGTGTCTCCTCGATCCTTCGCTGAGCTTCTCCAATAGCAATAACACCCTGGACAGCCATGAGCGTTTGAATCGTCTAACATCATCATCTACTCTTGAGATTGATGAGATGGAGGAGGGCAGCCTTGGCATTAACCACGCTCGCGGTCAGCCCTCCCGGCTGTAGCGTATGAGACTACGGACTTAAGGAAGTTTAAAGTCAAACATCTCCAAGCCTAAAATGTAAACAAAGATTCTTGAACCCTCAGGACACTCTTGTCTAAACTCTTCATGGCATTTACATAAGGCTAAGAAAACTTACGCTTCCTCGCACAAGTAGCGACACGTGATTGCATCAATCTACAGCCCAGAGCCTTTTGACAGCCTCAATCATTGAAGACTATACTCGTGTTAGCCGAGAGCATGGCTTCGACAACATCTCAACACCGAGCGCAATTGCTTCGCGAAATGAACAAAGCACGAAGCTCATCGAGTTCTTCACGCCACTCTGAAAGCCCTCAGCCAACAATCTCCAATTTTGATCCCGATAACGAAGCAATGATGTCTACACGTCAACTAGAGAACAATGTGCACAGATTTCCTGACCTGCGAGCTAGCGCACAGAAATACAAACGTCCGAATACTTTCGAGCCAGAATATGTCATAGACACCTCTGCCATTGGTCGAGCATTCCCGGACTTTTCTCAAGGAGACACATCCTCAAATGCTAGCCTCTCCATTGAGATGGGGAGAGGTACCAAAGCAGAAAACCAGGGTCTCCAGGGTAGATCCCGCCGGGCCAGAGAATATTCGTCCAACGCGGACATTTTAGATGACGATACATTGAACCTCAAAGACCACATCGCGAGCCGTTACAATGTGAGAAATACACCTCCACCAAACCAGAAGCCCGGGAAAGAAGCTCCAGACACGTTCCAACCGAGCGCGCGACGCTATTCTCACGCTCCGCATGCGTCCGGCCTCAAGAATGAGTTCGAGCCTTCTCCGCCTGAGAAAGCAAAAGATTATGGTTCTGGGGAGAGCCGGAAAAGCAGTGAAGGAAGTCGACGGGGCCTTGCTGCTATGCATGCTCGGGTCAGTGACGAGAATGATATTTCTAAGCTGGCAGATGAGCCACCACCGACCACAACAGAACTAACTGTAAGAAAAACACGGTTCGGGAATGGCAAGATGTCTCAAAGTGCCACCGATAAAAATATGCCTACTAGATTCAGCTCCACTCAAGGTCTAGCTTCAGCGAAACAGGCATTGAAAAATACTGCAGCTTTTGCTGCTACACGTCAAGGGACCCAACAGTCCTTCACCCTCCCGGAAATGCCCAACATTTCGGAGCTTGTCTCGGGTGTATTCGAGGACGGGACGCCAATATTCTCCCGTCACAGTAAGTCTAGAGTATCTCAATTCCTCAACGGTGATGGCAGCGTACCTCATGCCTACACGGACGTCGATGAGATACCTGTCCCTTATGATGAGCAAGCCATATTTCTATCTTTGAAACTTCTGCAAGATAAAGTAGCTATCTTAGAAAGGGAAAAGGCTGAGTTCGAAACTTATGCAAAAGACCAAGAAGAGAAGAATCGTGTGCTAGAGGCCGAGCGGCTACCAAGACGCAGATTCTCAGGCCGTAGCGATAGTGCTCTTGGTATCACTGATAGTGATGGTGGTGATGAGATGCCTAAAGGTAGTCAACGCGAGTCTGCCATCCAGCGAAGTCGTAAGTGCTCACATTGGTACGCTCCGCTTCTCGCTGACATCTGCAAAGGTCTAGAGTCTACCGTCCGGGCGTTGCATAAGGAGGTAGACGCATCGAACCGTAGAGCTACAACAGCCGAGACAATTTTGAACAACATTACCCGGGAACGTGATTCGACCGTCAATCAGTTGAGCGTAGCTTTTGTCACCATAGAGCGGCTGAAGGCTGAGAATCAAAACCTCAGGGAAGGAAATCAAGCATTGAAAAGTCTTGCCAGCCAAGCCGAACAAGCGTATGGAGATGACATCCATAAAGACACCTCAAAAGTCACGACTTCGAAACATCGAGCAATTGAGCCTCGTCGTACGGCAAAGGAAGCGCCCCTCTCGAATTTAGAGCAACCGCCACCCTTCGCCGCTCGAGTCTCTAGTGAGGGCCCGAAGACTTCCAGAGTCGAGATATCAAACAAATGTGATGACTACGATGATAACTCTCTATTCGATCTCACCCCAAGACAGAACCTCCAGACGAGACCAGCCGACGCGCAAGGCTCAAAAGGGTATTTGCAACAGGCTAAGCATCGTGCCCCCCTTGCCAACCAGCAAGCTTCAACCAACCTCGTAATTTCAGATTCTTTTGGCAAAGGCGAAATTGGCAAGGAATCTAGAGATTTGACAAATCTGACCAGTATCGACGCCAAGGAGATAGAAAACCTGAGGAGGACAATCGAACATGAGCGTCTTGAACAAAAGGGCCATCTTGCTACCAAACACGCAAGTAAAGCACAGGATGCTATTTCGAAACAGAAGCTTCCAGTCGAATCTCACACACAACTGGCTCGAAACATGCTTCCGCAGAAATCTGCAATGAAATCTCACACTGAGACCACTAAATCCGTACCAAGGCAATATCAGAACCTTGCGAAGGAGAATACCACAGATCACAGCCGCCGTCATTCGGAGACTTCGGTCCTTAGTACAAAGAGTCGAAGGCGAAGGCTCAATGCGGAGAACATGACTTCAGCTTTCATTTTACCAGACATCACAATCAGTAAACCTAATACCTGTCACGAGGATACCAACCTCACCAACACCTTACCAGAAGCGACTGTAAATGAGTCAAAGCACGAACCACAGAACTGCAATGTCTGTAAGCATGACCAGCACCATGATCATGGTCGGCGAAAGGCAACCATAATTGTCCCAAAGCCAATACCTGTTTCTGAGCGCATGCCTGAACCTAATGAAGGCGACCAGACCCTAAGACCCGCCCAGACACCTGCTTTAGCGCTTGCTACAGTCTTGAAAGGCTTGTATGATGAGATGGCGCATCTTAAAATGACACTTGGAAAGTATCAAATGCTCTTCGATAGCCATGACCCTTCTCTAAGCAGACGGAAAAGGAAAGCTATCCAGAGCAAGATCGAAAGCCTCTTGCAAACTATTGACCTCAAGGCCGATCAATTCTATGCTCTGTATGACGTCCTCGAAGGCCAAAAGGGAGATGGTCAGGAATTGTCGGAAGAACAAGTTGAGGTTACCCTTCAGTCTATTGGTATTGGCCATACAGGTGCCCAGATACAGGGCGGAGGCAGTGAAGTCCAGCACAAGGTTGGAATGAGTGAGCGTCAACCCTGGGATCTCGGTAGCGAGGACGGCAGTGAGGAGGAAATGCCCTGGGAAGGCATCGAGTCAACTATCGAAACAACCAGGACTGGGCACAGAAGGAGAGCTTCCGCAACCTAGATGAGGCTGATCGCTCCCGAGGACTACGGAATTTCCAAATAATCGACTTCTGATCTACTGTTCCACGTATTTGTCGTGACAATTGTCGGCACCCAAACGCTCGTTCAGCTATTGACTTTGCTCAACTTTCGACACTGCTTATCTAGTACAATTTGACCACAGAAACCAATGAGGAATTGGCGTATGTCCGCTTTGCGATATATGAGGCGTTGACTGACCATTTTGGTCTATGTCCGCTTTATATTGTGATTGTGTTGACTGGCTTTTTCTCAAGTCTAACTGTGGTGACGAGACCCTGGCGTTGACTGACCTTTATTGGTGTATGTCCGCTACAGGGTTCGGAGACTATCATTGTGCGATTCTGCGGCTTAAGAGCCCCCTAAGGTTTATGTATCTCTCAATCAGATTGGTGCTAGCTTAAGGTTGCATTTGAAGCGTGAGGCTTGGATATACTGCAAGGACTGGCGTTCATGGGAAAAAGCACTGGCTTTGTAAAGCATATTTTAAACGAAGCATCACGTACTTATTGATATAATACTTCAACCGCTACCTCCCGAGAATTTCAGAACATTGCAACATGGGTATCACAAAATTGATAGAATCTAACGCGTCCGCTGAATGTCCAAGCACAACGTCACACATGGCACCTCATTCGGCTTGCTCCAGCACTTATGGCCATTCCTCCAGCGACGATTCATTTGTCTCGTCTCGCTCTAGTGTCCTATCATATGAACACTCCCATTCCAGCAAATGCTTCCATCATAGCTCTGGCACAATATTCGTGAACGTCATAGCCGCCAGTAGTGATTGCTGGATCTGTCCTAGCTTTTTCAAGCCAAGGATGCTCGTAATCTTTCTTCAATGTGTAGTACTCTGGTATGATAGCAACCCTTCCGAAAGGATCATAGGCTTCTTTCGGCTTCGGTGCGGTCATAGGTTTTAAGCCTTGGATCTCAAAGACAGGAGCAGGAGCACTACTGTCTGTTTTTCCTTCGCCCTTAGACACCTCCTTTTTCCGTGCAGTACTTTTCTTGAGCGCCACCTTTGCTTTGCCTCCTCTCGCTATCCTGTTCTGCTCCTCTCTGCTCTCCTTTACCCGCTCCTTTCTCTCGTCCTCATCCTCCCTGAGCGCCTCTTCTCTTCTCGACCAAGCTTGGGCCTTTTGGGCTTGCGACGCAGCCTCGAAGCTCTCATGCTCTTGATTCTCAAGTATCTTGTTGCGCCTAATCGATTCCGCATTTTGCGCTTCATAGCTTGCCATCTTTGCCTCCGTCTCCTCTACATCAACTTCATACAACAGGTTGAAGGTCAGCGTCTCTACCTGCTCCAGGTAGTCATTCCAATTCCGCAAGTTCAAGAACTCCTCTTGACGCCGATTGAACACCTTCGCAACCCGCGATCGAATGTCGACCTCGCGCTCGATCTTCAGATCTTCAAATGTCTGCTTCCGAAAGCGGGCCTTGCGAAGGGTCCGCGCGCAGCCCGCTACGGGACATGGAGCGGGGCCTTGGCTAAAGATACGGTCGACGCATGATTCGCACATTTTGTGGTAGCAGGTGGGGTTAACGAGGAAGCGGAGGTTGGAATTGAGGTAGCGAGTGGAACGACAAACGGGGCACATGTCTAATATCCTAGTGAGCGTTCGCTGATAGGGAAGGAACAGGCTCGTAACTCACCATCGTCCTGACCTGGGGCAGCAAAAGCCATGCCATTCTGCTGAGCCTGCACTGCTCGTGACATATCGAGCAGCGACCAAAGTCTTAGACAAATCCTAAAGCTTCCTCTATTAATGCTGCTGACTCATGCGGAAAGTCCCCGCAACGGATAGAATTGTGAGACGCATTTTTTGTAGCTGCAGTCAGCAACCCACGCTTCAGATGGACCCCCGAGAGCATTTAGTAGATGTTGAGAAGAAGAGGCTGCAGCTCGAGAAGAATGTGGCAAATCTGCGGGCCTCATTGCGGCACTGGCAACAATGGGAGATTGAGTATGAGAGCATGAAGGAGGATTTGGTTGCGCTTGGGGATAATGCACTGGCAAAGGACCTTGCAGAAGTCGAGAATGGTGGCGGTGAGTCATTGTCTGGGAAGGTTGAGACTACTTTACTCGACTCAAAAGAAAGAAGGCTGTTGTTGTACGAAGACGAAGGGTCGCTCCGCAAGATTCAGAAAGTGATAGGTCTTCTTTCCAGGCGGACAGACTATGTCGATCGGAATATTAAATCAGTCTTATCTCTTCTTGAATCTGCAGAACAGAATCTCAGGAGGTTTGATTCTTCTGCGGAAACAGAGTCTCAACAAGACGAGAAACTTCCTCTAACCGACATCTACGAGGAGCTCGACGACGATGGCAACGTGATCTCCAGCTCGACATCACATCCTAGCGACAAAGCCAATCAGCTGACTGAAATGCTTGAGACCGATGGTAACGAAGGGTCAAAAGCTCTGGCAGCTGACAGGACGCCTCAACCATCTTCAACGCATCAAACAACTTCTCCTAGCCAGCTAAAAGCAACCACTCCCCCTGGATCGAGTCCTTTGCTTCTTGAGGAAGATGTTGATGAGATAGGACTACGAGACTCCGACATGTCCTGGTCTGATTCTTCAGTTTCCAGCTCTCCAACAAGGCAGAGGGTACCCAAGCTTCGAAAACGTGTAAGCTTTGCCGAAGGGACTAAACCAGAGGATGACCCTTTAGAACATCCAAGGGCGCTCGAGAAGTCGGAACAGATGCGGTTGCTGAAGGAAGTCTTTGCTCAAGTCCGGCAGGAGATGGCGAGAAGCATCGTGGCAAAGAATTTAGCAGTTGCTTTACCAGATGGCGTCTCACCACGCTGGTCTCTGCCAGAAGAGTGCGAAGGTGATTACGCCTTGCCTGTCTTGAAAATGTCGAGAAATCGGAAGGCGAAGCGTTTGTTGAAGTCATATCAACTCAGTCTATGGGAGGCGTCAAGAGTACTTTATAAGATGGCAGAGACAAACAACTATGATCTGGACAGCCCAGAGATAACAAATGCAATTCTTCAGACAAGGGAGAGTCTTGGCCGAAAACCAAAGTCTAGCAAAAACGGCACCAAAGGTGCAACGACCAAGGCTGCGAAATCCACTGAAGCTGCAAGAGACCTAGTCCCTGCTGAGTCCGAGTCCCGAATGATATCGGTTGGTCAAAAAGGTTCTTCTAACGTGACCGCTGTAGAAAATGGACATCTGATCAATGGAAATGCTGCCGCTTTCCACCCAGCCTCGGCGTTTGAACTACATGGAGGGGACGATATATCGAGTGACTCAACGACATTGACGAGCCCTGGGATAGATATTGCAAAACGAAAACAGTCAAGTGCAAATGAAAAGGGCTATATTCAAAGCCCAGCTTCAGGTCCCAATTATAGCAAGCCCGTATCCAACGGAGTATCGCGATCTATGGATTGGACATCAGCTTCGGACGGCAGGACAGCCTCGCCTATCATACCTCATGATGAATCTTCGGAGGACGCCGCCCTTCGCCAGCAGATGCTTCGATACAACATGAAGGAGGTTGGCGCTGTAGTCGCCGAACTCAATGTTGATGATAATGATACCGACGACGACATGGATGATGATTATGAGATCGATGCTGACGCTCAAATGAATATTTACGGCAGCGATGAAGAAGAGGACGACGATGAAGATGAGCATGGCAGAACATTATCTCACGTACTTACAGGTGATTACCTAGCAGAGATGAAAGCTCTCGAGGAGAGACTCAAAGCAGGAACTATGGTCAATCTAGGACAATCGGCGGACGACCAAAAAATATTAACTACTTTTGCTTCGAATGCGGCGCCTATGAATGGAGAGTCTCAAGCGACTACCGCTACACTCCAGGCGAGTCCAAATGGAGCCACTAAAGCCGTTCGCTTTGCCGATGAGCTCAGCATTCAGGAGGCACCTGTCGCAGATTCTACCACCAGTTCGAAGGTTCCTCAGAATTTTGCCGGTCTTGTTGAAAGACCTATCGTGGAACGCAAGACTCCAGACCAAGTAAAACCCCCTATGGCGCCTCAAACTAGACCATCTCGCTTCAAGGTTAACCGTCAGAACGAGATCGCCAAAAAGAAGAAGCAAAACAAAGGCAGCGATAGTATAGCATCATCGCCGCCGATCAAAAGACAAAACCCGGCTACTGCTCCAATCGTAGAGCGTCCTTTCAATCCTACCACTTCTAAGCCAATTGCGCCGACCAAGCCGGATGACCTTGATTCTGAGTACCTTCAACGCCAAGTTCACGATGAGTACCAGCGTCTTCGTAGCCGTATGATCCCTATCGAAAATGGCTCCCGCATAGTTGACGAGTCGGCCGAGACAGTCAATGGCGCAGCGAATTCATCAACGGGAGGCAGGAAGATGAGCCGCTTTCAAGCTGCACGGCTGGGTCTACGATAACAACGTTTAGAGCGGGCCTGAAAACTTTTAGAACTGGTGAGCGATGGCGCTTTTGGAACCTATATTTTCTTCCTAGCCCTTCTGCATAGAAGTTAAGCTGTGAGGGAGATACAAAAAAACTGCCTCATCGGATTTCTGATGCCGGTAGCTACAGTCTCTTCACATCCATATATCAAACCCCGTTGTTGATATTTCCAAGTTCTCTTTCTTCTCCTGATACTTCAATCCTTGCCTTGTCAGGGTTGCGCGCAGGTGCTAAGAGGCATCTCTGTGAAGTGAAATTGCAAAATTTACTTCCACATGCAGTCTCGTGAGGGCGGAAATTTCCAAGAGCTATGCCCGGAGACTCTCTGAAGGCATGTGCTATTCGATTCATCTCCTACATCCGCCTCTATGAAGTTGAAGCCGATCAATAAACACCTCTTAGGTGCTTTTCGAATAATACTTGATCCCTGCATTTTCATCGGGGGTTTCAACTTGCTCCAAACATTTCCTTCAATGCATCTCTCGTCAACTCTTTCGTTCTAAACGATCACCAGAGATGACTTCTCTACTGTTCTGGGGCACAAAACCCGTCATTCTTGCGGAGTATGCTCTTCAATCGTGTCAGCGGAGTATGTGCTGAAACAGATATTTCTCCTTTTGAATGATGGTGTACATCGACGAGAAGTCGCTACTGCCATGAACTGAAACCATCTCAATCACTTCACCCACAGAACACTGATACTTTACGTCCCTCGGGGTCTAATCGTTGCAAAACAATATTCTATCAAGTCTTGAGAACAACTTTATATTACTACAAGATCACTACCTACATTTCCCCTCTCCCTCTCATAAAATTTTCGTTCTATAAAGATGTCGTCCCAGTCGCGCAATGTTACAAACGCAGGCATCCCCGATAGCAAGAATATATCTTTCTGACCTCCTCGGACAGGTCCACCCAATGAAGGAGCCTACGCTCTAAGCCATCTCGATGGTGACTAGTCCTACATTTCAGGAACTGAGGACCTACCTGCCTGATATGGAGAATCTGGGTGTGCCCCTGGACGCAAAATCCGGGTATACGCATTCTGTTGCCTGGTTCTTAGGCATAAACCGGGCTTGGACCGGCAAGAGTCTTTATGCTCAGTGGAAAAGTCTGCAATGGTGACGGGAGAGATGGAGAACGCGTATGGTTGTTTATGGAGGTCGGAAAATTGCGAAGTATTGCATGACACCGAGCTACTTTCTTTTGAGAATTAAAGCCCCGTGTAGTGACTATGTAGCAAAGGTGGTGCGAAGACGAGGCTTTGATGTAGAATCGGAATTTTTGAGATAGCTACTGTATTTGAGTGCTGTTATTAATGTAACCCACATCCTTTGTGCTCAATAGTAATGTGTTCTGAACCTATACATGGGAAGTCATATGCAGGAGTCCCAATAAATTTCAAAGTCGTTCAACTCCAATGTAGAGAGGCTCCCCAACTGCGTAAAAAGAGACATGATGGGTATTTCAGAGGGCAAAATATCAAAAACATACAACAATCGACATTCGCTGGTCGTCACCGACCCAACTACTACTCGATCGGTACACGGTTTGACTTTGGGTGAGCTGACGGGAACCCGTATTGTCCGTGTCCTGTGGTCGTATGTGATTAACAACAGCGTAGTATTGTATATATATTATAAAACGACGAAGACCCCTTAGTCCTTAGTATTCCTCGGCTGTAAAGCTGTTGCCATCGATAGGTATCGTTGATGATTCAAAGTGCACGTGAGTGTGCAGACGGGCAATGACAAGCATGAAGGCTGTATTGACCTGAGAAGAGGCATGTTTGGGGCTGAAGATAAGCCTCTTATCGCATGCTTGGCACTAAATTGCGGGGCATTGCAGGTGGGATGCCTCATTTGAGATGTGCGAGGGGAAACCACAGTATTGAGCTTAATAGGGATGTAGCAATATGTATGCGGGTCAAGCGTGATTCAAGCTCGCTTTAATGCGCTCTTCAATCTTAGTAGGGGTTGACATCCAATAAAGCCCCCCGCAAGTTTGTGTCGTCAAACAGTCATGCTATCGTGGTTGTCGTATCATCCTCCACGGATTTCCTTCATCAGACATTGTCTACCGTCAGAGGAGTGTGATCCTTTGCCCGCCCTCCCACGTATCCCCACCCTCAAGGCTATTCCACCGACTCACACTCCCCGCCTCTACGCAGAGCATCCTCTTCCAGCCATCCTCAGGGCCGAAGTCACTCATACCCTTTGCCTTGTCCAACCAGGGATTCCAAACGACTACGTCTCCAAGTTCGTCCCTTGTAAGCTCATACTTAGGTCGATTGCTCTCTACGACAGTGATGGCTTGTCCCGCGGAGGGAGGGCTGTACACGCGGTCGGTCTCCGACGCAATAGAAATTGGTGACTCGGATGGAGAAGAGTTTTTGGCTCCGCCGACTTTGTCGATGTATGGAGAGGACTCAAGGCCATGGATCTTGATCTTGGAGATGTCCTAGAATTGGAGTGTCAGCCCTCGCGCAGGTGAGAGGAGAAAAGCTGGTTGTCAGGCCAGAAAAATAAGAAGAGAAGTCAACACACATCAATGGCCAGGTACGTATGGAACAGGGTTTGGAATTCCCAAGTCTTGTCACCTGTGTTCCTGATCGCGAGACTAGTCTCAAGTTCTTCTCGATTCAGCACGACGGAATAGGTGATACCAAAGGCGTAGTTCTTCCACTCGGACGGTATCGATTCAAGCATCTCATTTGACAGGCCAAAGTCAAGCTTGACAGAGGCGTCACCTGAGCTACTGGGTAAAGAGCCAGACTCAGAGGAGGACTTGCCGAGATACTCCCATTTGGAATTCCGTGTAAAGCCGTGCTGTGGAAGGCCTGTGGTAGGATGTGAGGAGGGTGGAGGGCCAAAAACCTACAGGATGGCAGTCAGCAAGATTGATTACGGTAGAGGAAGGAGGTATGCCTCTAAGTAGGTGGGTGCAGAAGGATGGATAGACTCGTACCGGGAAAATGAGAGGAATGCCACCCCGGACGGCTTTGGAGCCATCCAAGGCAGCCTTGGAGCTCAGAAAGAGATTTTCTCTGCCATCAGCAGCCTTCCATGAGATGACAGTGGCGCCGTGAAGGAGGACTTCGACACTCTCGCCGGTCGGTAAGGAAGCCGTGATGCGAGAATTATCCTGTGAGATGGAGACTTGAGGAGTGGGAATAGTAGGCGACACGGGGATGGCGGCAGGTTTCTTAGAACGCTCCATTGCTCCGAGGTGGGTGGATAGATGGATGGAGTAAAGAATTATTGGTGGGTTGGGGAGAGAAACAAGCTTGTGGAAGGGAAGAGGGAGGGGAGAGAGAGAGAGAGAAGAAAGCTGTCAGATTATCAGATTGTCATGTTCAGGCTAACGAGGCCATGCCGCCATGTCTAGAATGCTCGATAGATTGAATGCCTCGATGGTTGCAGGAATCTTCTGAAGGAGGAGCGTGGGAGAGTAGTGGGAGAGTATTCAGTAGTCAATGATGCGAATTCCCATGATCGACGGATCGGTGGATCTTCCCCATTCTGAAACACATTCAACACGCAGGGGGCGGTTTTAGCGCCGAAACCTCAAGGGACGGGGAGCTAGTCCTCTTTCGGATCACAGTGAGTGCCTGCCCTCACCAGCCCTCATCAGCCATGGCCACTGCTGGCCACCATGCTTTCAGGTCTCTCATGCTTTTGGAAAAGTGCTATTCACTGCTGCTTTTTCAATGCCGCTCCACCGGAAGAGCCGGACAGACTGGGTACACGAAAAGGGGGTATCGAATGCAATCCAACTTACTCATGTCGTTCGTTTCGGATCCGCAACGCTATGCTACTCAAGGCGGTCAGATCCATCCATCCTGACGTCAAATACTCCTCTCGTCGACCGTCGCCCTGCTTCGTGCACTTGTTGTACAGACTCAAAGAGGACACCCACCATCGCCCGCTCTTCCTCTGGCCGGAGCGTGATATGCTTGATATTGTCCAAGAGACCGCGGAAGCCTGCCAGCATGCTGGCCGCACTGGACTGCACCCCACCTTGCTGCCCCGTCTTCCCGCTTTGTGGCTGAAATTCACTTCCGATCGAGTCCCTTTCTATCTGCCCATCCGAAGCGTCAGGTGGGCATGGAGCCTGCAGTGCCGCATTGCCCTCGCTGTTTGGCAACGCTCCAGATGACATAGCCGCGAGAGCTCCGACTTCGCCACGAGCAAACGTCCGTCTGCGTGTTCGGCTCAAGGTAAGCAGATTACCTTGATCATCCTCCTCGCCATCTGTACCACCACTGAGCTCTCTCCTTCCTCCACCTCTCCTCGTCGATGATCTCCTTGGTCTGCTTCTACCACCTGCATTCGATGATCTTTCCTCTCGAGAAGATCGTCTACCAGGCATCGGCGTTTCTGCCACCGTAGAAAGTATGGTCGCTGTTGGCGGACTCTCCGAACGTTCTCGCTTTATGACTGGCTCTAAGTGTGCTGCCAGAGCTTTATCGTTGACGGGACGCGTTTCTATGTACACACAATCTGCAATAAGCTGGCCCTTCGTTGCATACACTTTGCCTGCAGGCCTACTTTTCATGCTAGCTGATGTTCTCCTTCGCTTTCGCGATTGATCGTCCAAAGAAGCTTTCCGTTTCAGCGGCTGATCCTCCAGCAAATTCTCCGGTGGTTGGTGTGTTTTGCTCGATTGAAACCCTTCCATCTCGGCAAACAATTGCGCAGTAGTATCGTCGTTGTCAGTCTGATCAAGCGAAGTTCTACGGTGCGCATGTTGCGCATCATCGGTGATCTCACCGCCTGGGCTAACAATCTGGTTCTGCACTTCACCAGTCGCTGACTCCTCAGGTCCAGTGGGATGTTTATTTTTAGTGGCATCGGTTGAGGTTTCTGTACAGATACAAGGCGCTTGTTCGTCGTTCATATTGTGCAGCAAGGGTTCGGAGCAAGCGTCCACAAACACCTCTTGATCGGAAAGAATATCGCGGTCATTGCGTTCACCTGCCCGCCGCTCAACACAATTGCCGTCAGTTGGACTGGATGGGGTCACTTGCACATCTGTGCCTCTTTTTGTACAGCTTCCAGAATCCATGTGAGGGCCCTTTTCTCTGACAGATGCCTCGTTAATCATGGAAGAGTCCTGAGGCGGCTCTGGCGACGACGCTTCCGGAATCTTGAATTCTGATGACACGAAGGGGGGTGATGATTCAGGTTCATCATCTAAATGTCGCTCTTGCGAACGATTTCTGCTCGAGCTAGGCGTAGGAGACGAGCCTAGCAAAGCATCCATGTCATGCTCAGGTGGAAAGGTGGGGCTTGTATCCTCCTCCGCATCGAGCATCATCAAATGGTCTCCTTGAGCTGAGAGGGAAAGCTTTGGTAGCATTTCCTTTGTGGGTCTACGGACATTTCTAGGACTCGTTATGATCTCTGGAAATATTGCGGTCTCCCGATTTTGACGCTCTCTCACTTCTTTCTGACGGTCAGTGAGTATCTGGGTACTGCAATCATCTGGCCCAAGAGGTGAGGATTCTACGGCCGTAAATTGTATCTGCGAGTCATTATGGCGTAACCGAGCCTTGGGGGTCGACCTAGCGCTTCGACGAGAACCTAGCGGACTCGGTAAAGTGGTAGAGGGAGTGATATCGCGGATCTGAAGGGTATCTGTCCTGTCGTTCGTCTTCGTGAAGAGGCCTCGGCTTCGGGGGGACTTCCGTTTCCGAAGAGCCAGGCTGAGCTTGTCTTCTTCAATCACTTGAGACTCGATAAATCGAAAAGGCGAGGTTTCATCCTGTTGGTGTTAACAATCTCATCATTCACCATTGATGAGTGTAACACTGACCTGCTGACTACTCTCTTCGGGTAGTCCAGGCACATCGATGTCTGTGATAGATCTGATCTTAAGCAAGGTCTTTCGCAAGTCATCTGGGTAGTCTAGAGATTCCTCGCAGCCAAAGGTTTGGTTCCACATAGTCACAGCGTAGCTGAGGAAAACTTTGTGTCGACTTCGCAGACCGGAATCTATGAGGAAGTGTATCCTCTGTAACAGAGAGTTGCTAGATTCCGATACTCGCTCTATGATACTAGCAACTAGTGCCCAAAGCCTCTTGACCTAGGTTCAAGTCAGAGAAGTACATTGAGCTGCAGCACAGCCTTGAGCTTACCGTTGGGTAAAAGCTGTTACCCGGACCAGCTAAAGCGCCTTCCGAGTCTTGAATCCAGACTGCAAGACCTGACTGGAGTTTCTCAACCAAAGCAACTCTGGCTTCCATAGGACTAGCATGGAGAAAGGATGTTAAAGCTGTAAGTAAGGATAGAATGTCCTGGCTTTGATGTCTCGTTACGCCTGCATATGTGCATCTTAAGACTGGATTGATCAAACCACATAGTGCCTCAGTCAAGCTTGAGGCAAAGCATGTTTGGTGTCCATGAGTACCACCCCACAATTGCACAAGAGTTCGTTCTGCCATATTCTGATTCTGTGGCCAATTCGCTTTTTCTAGAATCCTTAGGATGGTAGTTAGGACGACATCATTGAGTTGAGTCTCAGCCTCGCTTTGAAGGGCGCAAGCGAGAGGCTCCACCACGGATAAACTAAATGCGAATCTACCAGCTTCCTTTTCAACCACTTTGGCAATTTCAGCATACAAGGTCTGCCAGCTATTGAAGGCATCTGTGGTTCGGTAATGGAGACCAAGCTCTAGTATTTTGGTGGCGTGTCTGTAATCATCACCTAGATGCCGAGGGTTGTTGTCGTTCGGCGATGGCTGGGTCTTGAAAGCGGTTGCTGTAGCAGCTGCCAATTCTTTCCATAGAGCTGTATGAGCATAGATATGAGAGTCTTCGTCCTCACGATGGAGCAGAAGAGCCAAAGACCGCACACAAAGCAGCTTAGCTTGGCGCGAATGTGCGCTCTGGAAAGTGACTTGTGTGAGTTTTGATATTATATCCGCACAGGTTGTTGAATCAGTCGGCGTCTTAACGTTGATTACAAGTTGCAGGAGATGTATTACGGCAGAACTAGTGGAGGCTGAATTCATTCGATGGCGGCCTGATGGAGTCTCCGGTATACATTCAAAGGTACTTTGCGCAGTCTTTGTTATGCGTTTCTCGTTCAGTGCCGTTACGTCGATTTTTGCGAGGACCACATCAAGAAGAACGTTGACCTTCTCGTATCTCAGTGATGCCTCGGCGTCATCACCAACTGCTCGGCCCAATATCCGTTGAAACAAATTAACCAAGTGAGACAATGCAGACCGGGTATCTGCCGACACCTTGATCTCTTTGCAACTTGCAGACCCAATTGCCGAGATGAAGCTTGTCCATGCACTGACTATTGGAGCCGTCGATATGTTGGCTTGTGACCATGCAGCAGTGCTATAAAGCTTTTCGAAGACAGACGCCACTCTTGCTGCTCTAGACCTGACCCATTTAGGATCAATCTTTGGCAGATCCGGTGGAGAAATAAGGCTGTTCATGTTAGCTTTGTTTTCATTCCAGACACGGGGTTGTCCGTCGTTACGAAGTAGTGCTGCAACAACACCACAGGCATATTCAACATCTGGCTGGGTCTCGATGAAAGCTTGTTGAATAAATTGAGCCACACACAAATCCCAATACCGGTCCAATTGCTCATAGGAAGCCGTCGGCCGCATAGCGTAATATATCAATGAACAGTATGAGTTACGAGCAAATTGCTTGGCTTTTTGAGCGCTTTTATCCCCTGCTTTACTGTAGCGCCCCATCTGGGCTGCTATTGCGTCTTTCAGTATCTTGGACATGGGCGGAGATGTGTCGGAATCAACGTTGACAGCGAAGATTAAACGGCTCCAGGCGATATTGGCCTGTAACTTGACGGAGGAGTCGGAGCAATTGAAGCACTCTTCCATGATTTTGATCCATGTCCTTAAATGCTCCCAATTCTCAATATAGCGCCGCCGGCCTCGAAGTAGAAGAATGATGACACTCCAAATTTGAGGCACATGCTGGGCATCGTCTCTGGAGTTGATCATCTGTATCATGCGCCCACTCAAGATCTCAACGGCCTTTTGGCCTTCCGATGTTCGACTGTTCAATAGCTCTGAGCATGCCTTCGAGATCGTACCAGAAGTACCAAGCTGCACGCCGGCCTCGATACCCGACGTGATGGCTCGCACGCGAATCATCTTCATATTGCTCATTAACCCTTTAAGGAGATGCTGAAGCCAGCTATTAACCTTGGAAACCATGGCGGGCCTATTTTGACCTATTAATCTATAGTATATCATTAATCGGTAGCCCAAGACCCGAGAGCTTTTGACCCGATTCGTAGTGGTATGTAATGCATTGAGCAGTCTATTTACTCGCTCAGATGTCATGACCTTTGAGCTGAATTTTTGTTTCTCTAGTAGATGCATGTAATGCGTAGTCAGAAGTTTCGATGTCTTGTCGTCCTCTAAGCTTGCTATTGCTTTCTCAGCGATGAAGGATTTGAAGTCCTCTGGTATGCTTTTGGCTAAATCTCCAGACTCGAGAAAAGCCCCGCAAAGCTTCAACGCTTCCGACAGAAGCTGAATGTCCAATGATGTACTGTCCGATATTGCCTGGGAGGCATCTCGTTTGATGCACTGAGTCATGTCCAACATTGCGGCAGACAAGTCGTCCGAAGCAGGTTCGTCTTGATACCTACCCAGGCAGCCTAGCATCGTTCTGTAGGCATCCAATCGTGACGCATGCGAATCGCTTTGCAGATGCTGCGTGGTAGAGCGCAACATGGCTGGCAAAGTTGTATCATCTAAGGCTAGAGAGATGGCGCGATTGTGCGAGTCGTTGTGGTCACGAGGAGCTTTGAGAATTGATCTAGACGCTTTCGAGTCTCGAGAAGGCGGCAGAGATCGAAGCCTCTCCGAGGAAGAGTTGTTGCTACCAGGAGGTGGTTGATCGTACTTGTAGAATCCACTGAAATCGACCTTCTTTCGTGTTCTTCCGGAAGTATTTCTCAGGAATTCAGCGGAGGAAGACGGCGATAGATCTGGGGTGTCGAGTAAATGGCGGCTAATGAAGATGGCGGACTCCTCATGCTCCACTGCAAGCTTAGATGATGTGCTCTCTTTGGGGGGTGTTGGAGGACGGCGAAGGAAAGGAGCCAAAGTGGGAGCGATATCGACCATTGTGTATGAAATGAGCCTTACGGTGGCTCGAAGTTAGCTTCTTTTATCGCATGTTGAGTAGCGACGAAGACGATGCATACTCGGAGAAAATGCCAAAAGATGACCTTCAGTCACGTTAACTAGGACGCGTTGATAGAGCGCGCTTGTCTAGGGCCGAATAAGTTCTAGTTCGAACACACGGGCTATCCCCTGAAGGCTGAAGCTTGCACTATCAACTGTCAAGTCAGGCTAATCGTGGCGAAATAACTTGTTGCAAACCCTTACTTGGTGGTTTCCGGTTATTCGCAATATTCAACCAAGGTTCATGAGGATGTGCCCCATGCCGAGCTTCGAGTAGTAGATTTTCAATTCTGGCCCTCGCTTACACGGCCAATCACGACTTCGCTAGTTTTCCTTTCTCCTCCCATTGAACGCCTACCCACTCTTCAGCAAACCACCATTCCCCCAAGCCGGTTCCATCTGACATGCAATCGCGGCTGCAGACTGCGACAAGGATCGTCCCCCACTCCATCCCATCCAAGTCCGTTTCCTCCGCCTCCAGCTCCACAATCGCCTGTGGAACGAGTTGCAGCTCGAACACCCTGACCATTCCACAATGCTCGCAAGGGGGCAACTTTATTGAATGTGCTTTGGTGGTGAGCTTGGCGTCTCTCTTCTGGAGGTGGTGCGAGGGTTGTGTGGAAAGCTGTTGACCCACTATGTCATCGGCTGCGTATAGCAAAGGTCGACCATTGTATTCATATCGGAGGACCTGATCCGGATTCTGAGCCAGCCGATCTGCAAATTGTTGGAATGTCCTGTCGATGGTGGACTCGAATGCGGACTCCGCAGCGGCTTTACTGTCGTCTTGTTCCTCCACCTGAGGACCTTCACTGTTGTTTTCATTGAGCTTAGTAGCTGATGATGTGGATGACACCAGCGGATTTGGCTCCAGCGACTCAAGCTCGGCATCAAGATGGTACGACGAGTATGCGTGAGGACGTGAGACCTCTGTGGGCCATGAGACCCTTGGAACAGACTTATCAGGCACAGATGATAGACGAAACTTGTCGGCAAAAGTGGCAGGCAATTCTAGAGATTCTTCTATCTTAGCCTGACGACTTGTAGGATGTTCTTTCGTCTGCGGTGAAGAGGGCAAAGGGGATGCAGAAGCGGGAGATGTGAAAGGATTTTGATATGAATTTGAAGTTTGCGAGAAGGGATTAGACGACGGGGATGAGCTTGTTCGCGGAGTAAAGATGCTATTGCCTAGATTGAGAGATGTGGCTGCAGCTGCCCCTTTGCCCGAGTCTATCTGGGTTCGTGTTTTTCCAACGGTCTCTTTCGACTTGCCAGGCTTGATCTTCGTACCCCGTAGAGCGCGGACAACCCCAGGCTTTCTTCGACAAGGCTTGTTCCTACATGCAAAAATGTAGAGTCGACGCTCATGCTGTGGAAATTGGTCCGGTAGATCACCATTGAGCTGTAGCAGGAGGCACATCAAGCTGTCACAGGTCTTGCACTTTGCTAGATGGGCTGACGGAGGATTCTGAGGGTCTGGCCATGTCTGTATAGCCGGTTAGATTTCAGTAGAGCTGATCTAAGGGAACGCGAAATGGATATACTGGAAAGCCGCCAAGCTGACTGAAATCGTCATCAGTTGGGTTTCTCGAAGCGTACCCAAGCATGACGCTGGTTGTGTCGTAGGCGCATTCATTATCAGAAGAGTCGCTGTCGGTCAGCTGCATCTTTGCGAGGTTGTTCTAAGGTATTATGAAGATTGATGGAATCTTTGTGATCGAAATAATGAGACTTCGAGTTCTCCATTGGGTTAGCGATCTGTAATGGACCAAAGTAGCTAGAGTGAATTTAGTGGAAACCTTAATGAATCAGGGTCTCGGAAAGGGAGCTAAGGGAAAGACTGGGCCAGGAACCAAGAGCTGAACGAAATCCCATGCGCAGATGAACAAACTCGAGTTTAATTATACCCGCATATCTATATAACTGTATGCCCATGCTGCACTTAATAGTGGCTTGGAGTTCGTAAGGCTCTCCTCCGAACAGTCATGAATCGTGCACCAGAAAATGCAGACATTCTAGCTTTGTCGAAGAAAACTTTTGACGACCCGCTGCAAGATCACGAATCTTCTTTGACTGCCCTCAAGTCGGTAGCCAATACGCTGTTGCTCAAGGAATCGTCCCGTCAGCAGTTTGTTGACGCAGGATATGCTGTGAAGACTGCCGATAGATTAGATGTATTGCAGATCCCCACTCTTCAAAGCTCTGTAGGTGACCTCTCAGTAGGTGACGGCGGAAGATCGCCAGCAAGAGATGATATGTTCTCGTATTCTCTTTTTGATCACCTACAACACCGAGTTCTCGTTCGCGAAGCTGTTCGACGACCATGCTTTGGCGGAGTCAATCCACCATGTCCGTTGTTCCTATTAGTATTGTCTTCCACGCTCTTACAATTGGCAGAACATTGCTTTCCACGCAGCAAAATATTCCGGCCAGAGTTTGCAAAAGAACGAGCTTGAAAATGGCGTACCTGTATACTGGTCTCGAACAACCGACTACCGCGCTCTCTCCGAGACGCTGAAACTTCTGTTCAACATCAATCAATTTTATCCAGACCGTGTAAGGGCTTTTGACGGGACGTTACCAGATGTCTTGACTATTCTGGATCGAGTTTACCTTCAATCGAACCCCTTGCAACCACCTGTGACTTATCTGGTCAATGCTTTGCTCAATCTTGAATTGGCTAACACGCACGAAACTTCACTTTCGGACCCACTCTTTCCAGATGCCGACTCCAACAGGTATACGGAACGTCTTATAGATATCCTTGATCGGGCAATTCAGAATTGTACCCAGGAAACTCTAGAGGCGTGCGCCGTGCCGTTGCTTACTTTGCTGCGAAGGATCAATGAAATTGCGCCTGAGAAGGTGCAGGAGAAAATGCAAAGCATGTTATTGCCATCAGATACTGAACGTGACCAACCTCTGGGCAAGTCCGATACGCTACCATCAAGGTTGCTCAGGCTGTCAACCACCTTAGTTGCACCTCAAGTCAGAGAAGGCATCACTAGTCTTCTTTTCGAGCTTTCTGATAAGGATCCATCAACTTTCGTCCGAAACGTGGGTTATGGATACGCGGCAGGGTATTTGATGACTCATAAAATACCTCTTCCAGAAGCGTCTCTCAAAGAAGATTTGGGAGCGAAAGTGACAAACGTCGATGGGCAGGAGGTCAATCCAGTCACTGGTCAGAGACGAGACAAGGAGCCACCAGACCCAGGATTGGATATGACTGACGAGGAGAAGGAAAGGGAGGCTGAAAGACTTTTTGTTCTATTTGATAGACTAAAAGCCACTGGTGTAATGAATGTCACGAATCCTGTTGAGCATGCGGCTCGAGAGGGCAGGCTACATCAGGTCGAGGAGGTGGATAGTGACTGATAAGCTTCACCAGTATAAGGACTAATCTCCTTAATTGTGATACAATATGTCACTTGTCTGCAAGTTTCTGCTCAAAGTGCGGACGTGAATTCCTATCGCATGCTTGAGCAGATTCCTGTAACCAATGAAAAATTAGCTTTTTACATATAGTGCGAGCAGAATTGTCAGAGTCGAAAGCTAGTAACAAACCACGATGAGCGACAATGGTGCATCAGAACGCGAAAACACGTGACCTGCAATCGAAATTGATTGAACCGGCTAGGAATTCATGCTAGTCATTTCAACCGTTCATCTCACGCCTGCATCCTCACTCCCAAAAGGCACTTCAAGAAGATAGACATGCACGTCAAGTTGCTAGACTTTAGTCGTCGGCTACGTTGCTGTCTGCTTCACCGGAGACAGATGGCGGGCTAATTACTTCCCCCTCGACCTCGCTATGTCAATCGTACCGTATACAAACAATCGCCAAGTCGTGCTGTAGATGGGCTGTTCCTTCCTATCATTTGTGTGAAGCTAACAAATAGCAACAGTCGCCACAATGAGTCGGTCGTGCTGTATGATCCTCAATCGCGACAGTTCGGAGTTGTTGCATCCGAACGGGGGATAGACCTCACAGCATGTCCTTATTGTCACCGACCCTTTCCAAATGAGACTACCAATCAGACTCAAGACCATGGTAACCCTATGCCTGCTCCAGGTGCAGGCTTTGTCACTTCTGGATATTTTCGCATGCTACAAGACAGTCTTCCCGGCTCCGCTGAGTCGTCAGCCCCCCCTCACCTAGAAGACGACTAGTCGAACCTGTGGCCGCTGCAGAGGACCATTCACTGAATGCTGCCGGCTCAACGAGGTATACGAGGAGCAGAAGTGAGACTCCGTCATCTCCTAACGGGATATCCGCCTCTGCCTTCAGCCCTGGCTATTTCAGTCGATTCTTCGTGGTGGAAAGAGAGCTGGGACGCGGAGGTAAGGGTGTTGTACTCTTGGTCACGCATGTGCTGGACAAGGTACCCCTTGGACAATATGCATGCAAGCGTGTGCCAGTGGGCAATGACCATGTATGGCTCACAAATGTGCTGAGTGAAGTACGTCTGTTGGAACATCTTTCCCACCAGCACCTGGTCTACTACAAGCATGTCTGGCTGGAAGATGTCAAAATTTCGAACTTTGGCCCAAGTGTACCCTGTGCATTCATTCTGCAGCAGTACTGCAACGCAGGTGACCTTCACCAGTATATTATACATCCTGCCCAAGCAGACGAGTCCGCGCAAGCGCTCAAGGAGCGACTTAGGAGGCGCTCTAGGGATTCAGGTAGACGGCCTTCGGAGCTTCAGGGTCGAAAACTTCGCTTTGAAGAAATTTATTCATTCTTTAAAGATATCTCTTCCGGCCTTAACCACCTCCATGTCAATGGATTCATACATCGTGACCTCAAGCCCAGCAATTGCCTACTCCATGATTCTGGCAAAGGACTAAGGGTGCTCGTCAGCGACTTCGGAGAGGTACAAATAGAGAATATGGTTCGAAAATCGTCTGGCGCCACCGGGACAGTCTCCTACTGCGCGCCAGAGGTTTTGCGTCGGGACGCTACAACTGGCTCACTAGGAAACTTCACCACCAAGTCCGACATTTTCTCTCTTGGCATGATTCTCTACTTCCTCTGCTTTGCTCGACTTCCTTACAAAAATGCCGACTCCATCAATGAAGATAATGAAGATCTTGACCTTCTGCGCGAGGAGATTGTTTCTTGGACCGGTCTGCATGAGGAGCGTAAGCTCCGTCCTGACCTCCCAGAGCAGCTCTACACGTTCCTTCGTCGTCTCCTGTCTCTTCAGCCCGAAGACAGACCTAGTGCAGAGGACATACTCCTAGGTATCAAGACTGGATCTGGCTTAGACCAGATCTCTGACGCCCGACCTAACAAGGCGGCGCACATGTTTGACGACCTATCCGCCAGTTCCAGGATTTCTCCGGTCGACAGTCCTCGCTCGGCTACACCAATGACGAGAAAACTTTCTTCATCTTCCGCTTTCAGCCGACCCACGGCAACTGCTACTCCCTCAAAAATTCGCCTGTCCAACCTCCACCGCGAACATAGTAGTGGTGGATCGCGGTCTCCACCTTCCGTCCCAAGGACTCCCACCAATATTCACTACAATAAAGAGGACTCCCCTGCAAGCAGTCCAAGTGATAGTCTCATCCTTCGGCCCCCTTTCCCTTCTCCAACCAAGCGATCGCATGACGCCTACACTTTGGATGAACCAGCTCCTCAGCAATCTAGGACCAGGGCTTGGCTTCTTACTCACAACCCTTCCTTACGCCGCTCTACAAAACTGATAATATTCACCTCCAAGGTCCTCTCCCTCAACATAGCCTGCTCACCCATGGCCACGCATCCACCGGTGCTGTATTCCGTGCTTGGACTCGCGACACTGGACTTCTTTCACCAGGATGATGGTAACGAGCGCATTGGTGGAGTCGGTGGAATCGGCAGAGGAGGCCTGATCTCGGCGGTGCTGATCGGCATGCATATTGCGATTTTGCTCAGTCTAAGGGGTAAAGAAATGTTGTGCATTCGAGAGAAAGAACCTTATTGGGCGGAAGGAGTTGTCTAATTTCTGTGACGAGAACTCTCAAGTTGACAAGAAAAGTTTTAGCGAGGCGTTGGAGGCTGGGTGGTGACTTTGGCATCTGGGAGATGAATGAATCATGAAAATTTCCAATTGTGCCTGCCGCTGTGTTTAGCGATGAGGCCGTGTAAGAAGAGGACGAAGCTAGCAGACTCCATGAAAAGTGACAATGAGCACGACTAAGGCAAGAAGGGAATTTGAAGCAAAATTATATATTGCTTATTATCAACGGAACTGTACTGATAAAGCTGTCGGAAATGCGATGACATCAATATTCGGGGTATCTAATTAACTTGTTCTCTCCTCCGATCTGATGCGTGGCCCCTTGCTCTGTGCTATGCAACCACTGGAAACGTTATCGTAAAAACATACTCATTAATGCGAGGACTGTAGATGAAAGTCGTTCGTTGCGTCATTACACAAGCCAATACTAGGCAAACTTGTGAAAAGTATGCAATGTGCTGCTGTTCAGCCTTGACTGTCAACTTGAAAATATTAAGCATTGGTGCGATTGTGGTGAGGCGGTCGTGCACATCAATGTCGATGTCATAAGCCTTGATAGCGTCAATTCTCAGCAACGATACCAACGGTGGTCGCCCATATTCTGTCGTGCGACATCGGGCGGGGCTATGGTATGCTGCCGCTGGACTTCCAGCGAACGGTCTGCTTTCACTGGAGTTCTTCAATCCGATAGTGTGGGGAAATAAGAAAAATGTTGCCATGCTCATTAGGGTCTGGGAAAGGATGCGTGCACAAAATCATGCTATCTTGATGTACAGCAATTTTGTAAACATGATGCTGATTAGCACCGCGATGAGCCAAATACGTGTGGAAGATTGTCGAACTCGCCCGGATTTGAATTTGGCGGCGAAGAAGACTAAAAAGATGTCAAGATGTCAAGATGTTTGCAAAGGCGGCATTTCTTTCAAGATTTCTCGATGAGAGGGTTTCGTCCACCTTGAATAGAGGGTCTATGTGTGATGTAGTTGAGTCTCCATTCTTACTGTCTTCAGGAAACCCAGGATCTGTTGGCATGTCGTTTGGTAATGGCATCAAAGCATCTAATGGCGAGAAATATTGCAAGTGCTCTTTCATATAATGCTTTGCCAATTCTCCAAGGTTGTGACTTTCGGTTCCGAACACTGAGTACGGGCATTTGTTCCTGCAACGCATACAAGAGCTGCTTTGAAACAAGTTACCATAGCCAAACGTTTGGAGTGTCGTTCTAAGCATGCTCAATTCCGAGGTTTGGATCTGCATGGTCTGTGATTGGGTCCATTCACCAAAGGCGAACTCAAGGGCAATGATGGCTTTGTAGCGATTTCCAATTCCAAGGTCCCTCAAAGTGTCAGCAGCACGAAGAACGGAGCTTGTAAACATTGGTAAAGCTCTAAAAGCCTGCACTTGAGTCGATGCTGCAATCATTTGTTGCAACAATGAACGACCAGGGGAGACGGCACGAGTGTAGCTAATCTCGGCATCTATGTCCCATTCATCTTGCGCCTGCTGATGGACAGCCTGCATTGGAAGGTTGCGAGGCCATTCATAGGACAACCATAGAGACCTATTGTCGTTGGCTACGAAGATAGGAGGAAGAATCTCGATGTTCTTGATCCTGTAATGTTTGGTCCGCAAGTGGCTCATGAGGTCCTCAAACTCGAAGTTCCCATCGTGAATCCCTTTGCAGTCCGGCTCAGGGCACTTGAGCATTTTTGCATCCTGTAATTTCGAAGTATTTTTGAAGCAGCGAAGCATCGGTATAATACGTCGCTCGTAGACAAGCCGAGCATCATCCATAATAAGACGGTATGGTAAATGGTCGTAAGTCATTGGCATATCTTCTTGAGTGACATTCTGGTACGCATCGTAGACCTCCCGTAGTACCACATTTACGATATCAGCCTCATTTATCCCCTTGGGATCTAGAAGAAGGTTATAAATGACTTGATCGGCAAGGTTGAGTACCAGTCGCTGTTCCGGGGTATCTAAGGACGATCGGCGTTTCAGGGTATTGTGATATCTGTCTGTGAGGTGTTGCCGATATTCCAAGTGATACCTAGCTCGCTTGATCCTTGCGAGCCGTGTTGCAGCATAAGCCCGCTCCAGCTTCAGCTTCTCCAGAAGTATGGTCCAGGACTTCTGGGACGGTGCTTTCGAGATCTGAATTGCCCGGTCATACGATGGACAGAGCTCAAGAACATTCGCCTCGAGGGGCGGCAACAAATTCATCGCTTTCTTCTGATAAAACATGATCCTCTCTTCGCGCCTCTCCACACGTCCCTTTTCGCGCTTAATCTTGTCCATTTCCATCCATGTTTCAACGGTCTGCAGTTGCTTCATAAATTCCGCATTAATCTGCTCTTCCTTTTTAAACCACTGGTCGATCTCGTCTCCTTTTGGATCAGCGATCAAGAAGTTCTCGAGTCTGTCGTTGAACTTTTCAATGTCGTACTTGGAGTAGACAGGCGTCTGAGCCCCATATGTTGAAGCCCATGGAGGTGGGATCTCATGGTGGCCCGCCCATTGGTAGTGATTCCAGCTATCGAACATGGCATGTGGTATGCATTTGGAAGCCCTTTCATACATCTTGAGTTGTTCCTTGGCGCATCTCTCCTGTTCAATGTAAGCGATTGCCCACGTTCCTTTTGCGAAAACGTGATCTACCTTCTTGATGTTGTTGTGACAGCACTTTTCACACCAGCGTCGCTGAAACGCCCAGTACGTTCGTCGAGTGTTCTTCTCCTTACAACCGGCGCCATGGCACCCAGTGCCAATCAACAGGTTGGCATACTGCCACTCGGCTAGCCCGTTCGGTGGTGGCGGATGGTCAGAGCCGAATTGATTGAGTCTGCTGGCCCTCCAAACCTTGTCTCCCGACAGGACCGAATGAAATGTGGGGCTTAGTCCGCGAAGCTTCAGCAGCTTTTCAAGTGGGCAAAAGTCAAGGATGATCTCCCAGACGTCGGTCACAAGACCTGTCCTCACAGGCTTGTCTTTGCGAAGTCTCGTAGGTCCGTTGCGGGCGATATTGGCCGGTTTCGGGTTGGGTTTCCGTCCTCTCTTGGGTTTCTTCGGCGGTAGGCCACTGTTCCAATCCTCGATTTCTTTTCGCTTCCTCTCGGTTTCTTCATTGGCCCATCCGGCTTTGGTATTGATTTCGAATGAGAAATTCATGTCTGCATTAAGATTGTATGGGAGTACGCTTGTGCGAAAATCAGGAAGTGAGTGCAAGTAGTGAAGGCATGGTGCGAAAGGAATGAGGTTATCCAAGAACCCAAAATTCAAGGCAAAAAAAAGCAGAATCGCGAGGATGACTGCGACGACCGGCGTGGCTGGGAATGCTGGTGAACGAAAATCAGAAGGCTGGCAAAGTGTAACCCGAAAGAGCAGAAATGGAGTGTCGTGCTGAAGTGTTGTTGAAGAAGTGTCAAGTGGATCCCGTCCTAAGAATGCCAAGCTTCCCATACCTTACTAAATCTGGCGGGGAAGGAATTAGGTTTAGGCTCGAGGGGCTACCGAAATCTAGGCTCTAGACTCGGAGATTAGGGCAGACTCCTGGCTGTGCTCCTCGTTCCTCAGAAAATTGTATTATCGTCTTTACTCGAGAAGACCGACATAATCAACCGTGTTGGATACGTATCCCGGCTTTTCGTGACTATTAGATCGCGTACGCAATCACGTGGAGCCGATCCTTGTGCATAGACCCTCCCCTGCAAAACGCCATCCCGCCGGTTTCCGCCCTAACGGGGCTACCGCATCCGCCGTTGCCGGCTATGACTTGCGTTTTCCATTCAGGGGGAGGGATTTTAAATTCAACTCGACAGCGACAGACGCCACGCGATGCCGACAGCGATAATGTTGATTTGATGCGGCATCTAGCAAGGCCAGGTCAGGCAGCTGCTGGGTCTTAGAAAGCCTATTTGGAATGCACACTTGCGGGGTTTGCTCGGCAATGGGGGAGACGCGAAATCACTGGCGCTGGAAATTCCCACCGTGACAGCATGATGGTAGGATGAGTGTAGCAGCCATTTACAAATAATGTAAGCGTATGTCCACCCGTGAGCGCCGTATATGATAGACAGCGCTTTCCCTTCGACTGCGACGAGCAGTTGCTATTGTCATGATGGGTGCGCATATTGGTATGTACCTGCACATTCAACTTTAGCGGAGCATTTATAATTGATGTTGTTCTCAGAGAAGCCAGGATCGCAAAGCTCTTTCGAACCTTCCCCCGCAGGGAGGAATGAACTTGACCCAGAAATGCGCTATCCTAATGCGCAATATGACGACCTCCAGGTCGAATGCCCTCCCCACACCACACAAGCAAAGCTCATCGCAAAGGTCGACCTCCGCGTCATTCCGGTCTTGAGCATCCTCTACTTTTTCGCCTTTCTTGACCGCACCAATATCGCCAACGCCGCTATCTTTGGCCTCCAGGATGATCTCAAATTGGGTGGCAACCAGTACAACACCGCTTTGACGATTTTCTTCGTGCCCTACATTGTCTTCGAAATTCCATCCAATATCATCCTGAAGAGATTGAAGCCGCACGTTTGGCTTTCAGGATGCATGTTCGTCTTCGGCCTCGTCACTGTGTGCCAGGGCCTCGTGAAAAATTGGAGTGGACTGCTCGTAACCCGCTTCTTCTTGGGGTTGGCAGAGACCGGCATGTTTCCTGGATCTTTCTACCTCATCGGCATGTGGTATAAGCGGTCGGAGGCGCAAAAGCGCTACTCATTCTTCTTTGGCAGTACTAGCCTCGCAGGCGCCTTTGGAGGGTTGCTAGCTTCCGCCATAGGGAAGATGAACGGAATGAGAGGCTATCATGGATGGCGCTGGATCTTCATCCTGGAAGGTACACTGACGTGTCTTGTGGCCCTCGCCTTCTACTTTGTGATACCAAGTTTTCCTGAGGACGCGAATTGGTGCGTTATTACGGCTTTAGTACTGATTACATGCACTAACCACGATTTCAGGCTTACACACGAAGAGCGCCACTACATTCGTGCCCGCCTCGAAACGGACCAAGGTAAAGTTGCCCTCGAGCGTCGCATCAGCCCCCATGACGTCCTCAACGTCTTCAAAGACTTCAAGGTCTTCTTCGGCGGCTTCATGTATCTTGGCCTCCTCGTGCCCGCCTACGGCTACGCTTTTTTCGCCCCCGGCATCATTCGCTCTTACGGCTACTCCCAGATCCAGACTCAATTGCATTCCGTCCCACCGTGGGCCTGCTCCTTCGTCTTCGCATTGATAGTTGCCTATTTCAGCGACCTGCTGAAGCACAGATTTTTCTTTACAATTTTCACCATCGCCATGAGCATTGCCGGTTTCGCAATCCTACTCTCCACGCACACCCATAAACATCTTGAATACGGCGCGCTCTTCCTCGTGACAATGGGAACCTATTCCGCTCTTCCAGTCATCGTATGCTGGTTCAACATGAACCTAGGTGGACATCATCGCCGCGCCGTGGGTACTGCTTGGCAGATAGGTTTTGGCAACATCAGCGGCATTATCGCAACGTATGCGTTCCTGATGAAGGATGCCCCTGAATATAGACCAGGTTTCAGTATTTGTATTGGCTTTGCGTGTTTGAGTGGATTAAGCTGCCTGCTTTATGCATTAAGTCTGCTGTATCAGAATCGGTGGAGGGCAAAGCAGGGGAAGGATCTAGGGTTGGGGGAAAGCGAGAAGGCGGAGATGGGCGATCTGAGCCCGGACTATCGTTATCTACTGTGAGAGTGTGTTTTTATGTTAAATTGTGTGACGTGTGCTTCAATGCAAGCGAATGGTAGTGTGCTGAGAAAGAGCTGGATCTTATAGAGGATTGATCTATGGCACCTGCGCTGAGACAGCTGCAACTGCCTTGATACATATGTTTAAGGTAGCTGACTATCTGCGTTGGTGGTATGTGTCAAGATGATAGAGTACGTGCATGGCTACGCTGCTTGCAAGCATAGTCTTCTAACAATCAAGACGCTTGCAAAGCTCACCAAATGGACACCACATTAAGGCAACTTCAATTGCGCTTTCTATGTCTAGTACTGTCTAGCTCTTAGTCTTTGGTTCAAGCACGCTTTCTGGGTACGGCACCGCTATATCTTTCTTGGGAAGGCTTGGAGCCGCTCATCCTGCTCTGACAAATCAATTCAAACACAGCTTCGACTTTCATAGTCTCTGAGTCATCTCACATCGGCCACCTTCTGCGATCATCTACTCAACGTGGCTTGACTTCAGTGTCATTCTCTCTCCCGTACCCTCGGTGAAAGGCACGCCGAGCTCGAGAAGCTTAAGAATTACAGCCGAGAACTCCTTGAAGAACACATCGTTATCTTTAGCATACCTCTGCACGTGTGTCTTGAAAAGCGGGTCTTGGACCAAGGCCATATCCGTCGGCAGCATCATCAAACTCTTCGAAGAAACATCCTGAAATTGCTTTGGCCCATTCCACTTTCTGTAATTCCATTTCTCATCCAGCAACAGACGATAGTAGTCATTGGTGACAACGGTCGGGCTAAAAGTCCAAGGACCCTCGAAGCCGGATCGATCTGTATGGCAACGCCCGAGTGCGTGAGCGCCGGAGAGAGCAACAATCTCGCGATCGTCGAAACCCATACGGTTGAAGATAGCACGTAGATGGTCTTGACCTTTCGCGCCATCTGGCAGACGTCCGTCAGGCGTGCAGAAAGATATCGTTCTATCAACACGTCCTGGTCGCCAAGGGATGGTGGGGCCTTGCATTTCCTGGATTGCTGCGACGCCTGCTAAAGTCCAGAGATCGGAATAGCTGATCCAGGGAAATGCTTGATGGACGGGCTCGAGAAAGTCACGGGCGGCCTTTAATCCAGCGTTTGCACCGTGATCGGCTTCTGGATCAAACCTCATTGTCGCGCCATTGCTGCCTCCTGTGCCTGTCTCTTTATCGTAAGTTCCTGAGCAATGCCATGCAAGCCTGACCAGTACGGGCCCGTAGGATCCATCGTCATATTCATCCTTCTCCTCCAGCAGCTTGGTAATATGATTGTAGACTTTCTGGTAATCGTTTTGATTGTGCTTGGAAGGATTGCCAGCGGTACCACTAGGATCTATGGGGCCCTTTGATTGAGAAGTCGGCGCTGTATTCACGCCCTTCGCCCCTGTATTTGCATCTTGCTTTCCAGGAGAGAATTGGCCGCTTTGGTATAGGTAGGTTGCGGCGGCCGCAGTAATCAGCGTACCAATGCCAACATATAAGCGCGTATTTGAAGAACTGGAAGGACCGTTGGTTGCATAAGACCGGCGCGTGTTGGATCGAAATGTTTGATTTTCACTGAGACGAGCATTACGGGTGGCAGCGTTACGGAGCGTGCTCGAGAGAGGGGTCGAGGATGAGCGGAGTGGTAGGCGTGATATGCACCTTACTGTCGATGTAGCTGCCATTTCGTGGTTACAGTATTCGGGTGCAATGCAAGGTTGAACAGTGAGGTTGCTGAGGACAAAATTCGATCGACATTCGCATGACTTATGAGCTTAGATAAGGCTGATTCATTAGTGACCGACTGGTCCGGGAAGTCACGTCTAGACCTGCCAGATTCTACCTAGCACCTCCCCTTTTCCCAGCGGCCATCTCCCAGCCCAGCCCTTCAATCAACTTAGCACCACTAAGGTATCGCGCAATCTTTTGAATACTATATGGAAGACCTTCGAATGATCGAGGTGATTTTTGTAAGATTATCTCATGGATTCATTGCAGCTGAGATCGCAGCAGCATCATCAGCCTAAAGGATTAACGTTTTCCATTGTAGTCGTAACGCCTTCCAAAATACATCAATCGCATTTTCAATACAGTAGCTTGATATCTCATCAGCTACTTCTGACGGAATGAGTAAATACTCAGACTCTCCCGAGTGGGACGATGTCGTTCCAGTCGCCCAAAATGATGGAGGCCCCAACCCATTAGCTGCCATTGCCTATACGGAGGAATATAGTGAAGCGACGTCTTACCTGAGAGCTGTCATGGCCCAAGACGAAAAGTCTGATCGTGTTTTGGAACTGACCGCCGACATCATCAAGATGAACCCTGCTCACTATACCGTCTGGTAGGTATTGAAGGTAGATCTCCAGAAATTATGCACGCTCATGTCTTGCGTGGCCTCAGGTTGTACAGAGCAGATACCCTCTTTGTACTGAAGAAAGACCTCTTGCAAGAATTGGAATGGCTGAACAAGATCTCCCTCAAACATCTGAAGAATTATCAAATATGGTAAGCACTCAATATCGTCCCGCTGCTACGCGAACATGTTCACAAAATGCGAAAGGCATCATCGCCAGACAATTATGAGCCGTATTCCATCTCTGCCATCCAATGAGCTCTCTTTCCTTGCTCGTATGTTCTCCAAAGATGCCAAAAACTACCATGTATGGTCTTACCGGTCATGGCTTGTTCGTCACTTCTCGCTGTGGGAAACGGAGCTTCCGTACATTGAAACACTTCTCAAAGAAGATGTTCGGAACAACAGCGCTTGGAATCACCGCTGGTTCATTGTTTTCGGGAGACACATGGATCCGGCAAAGGACAGCATTAAGGATGGAGGAGTCATTTTCGAGATTGATCCCGAGATCATCAATAGGGAAATTGAGTATGCAAAGGAGAAGATAGGTCTAGCCCCGCAAAATCAATCGCCATGGAACTATCTTAGGGGCATTCTGAAGAAGAGATCAAAAAGCTTGACGGAGATCAGAGACTTTGCCGAACAGTACGCCAATCTCGAAAAGGAAGATGAGATTAGGAGTAGTCACGCGCTCGATCTCTTAGCTGACATCTTTACGGAGGAAAACCAAGTGGAAAGGTCTGGCAAGGCTCTAGAACTGCTAGCAAACAGGTTTGATCCGATAAGGAAGAACTATTGGAACTATCGCAGGACTCTACTTGGGCTGACGGAAGTGAGCGCATGATTTGCGTACTACCAATCCGAATTTGACGGACTCTGGTCTAGAATTACGCTTCGACTCGCATCTCTGTTGAATAAGATGATACAGTCGTCTCTGGCCTCAAGTTGTTTGAAATGTACACATCTCATGCCACCGCAAGTCCGACTTTGAGTATCTTCGTCGATCCTGTCACATTGCTAGGAATATCGTCAGTTCGAGGGAGATGTTTCTCCACATCTCCATAGACACATTTGTACTCCAACAGTGTCTCCAGGGTGATATTAGATCCGCCACAGAGTATGATCACGACTTTACTCTCTTTGGTCAACCACGGCATACTTCGCTTCAATCGTCCGTCATAGCATAGGGCGACATTGACACCACAAGCTGGCTCAACAATCGTTCTCTCATCGTCCGCCAATCGCCAGCATCCCATAGCAGCCTCGGCTTCGCTCAAGACCATACTCCTTACATTGGGCCGCTGCGCCAACTCAAAAGCTTTTGGAGCGACCTCCTTTGCCCCAAGACTCGTAGCGATGGATGTGATCTCATTCAAGGTCGTCAGCTTTCCCGCCTCCAGGCTACGCGCCAAACTTGCCGCCCCCTCTGTCTCCACCGCAATCACCTGGGTGTCATCCCAACGTCTCCGCTCCAAACCTAGTTGGACGCCAGAGAACAGCCCACCGCCACCAACACTGCAAACAATCGCGTCCGGCTGTTCATACAACTCCTCGATCAAGGTTGCATTTCCATCCCAGACATCTTTATGGTCGAACGGTGGCACATACACAGCATCTTCCCCCCTCGCTCTGCCAGCCGGCATCACCACTTCGCGCAAGTACTCATCGGCCTCTCGCCACGAATCACCATGCTGTAAGACTTCCTGTGCTCCAGCAGTCTTGATGCGCGCTATCATCAATGACGTGGTGCTGGTCGGCACGACGACAGTTGCAGGGCGCCCAAGCGACTGAGCAGCTGTCACGCATGCTAAACCGGCATTGCCCCCACTGGATGAGTAGAAATGTGTCGTTTCGGGATTGGGATGGGTCAGAAGACTTTGGCGGACAATGTTGCCGATCCCTCTTGACTTGAAGGAGCCAGAGGGTTGGAGATTCTCGAGTTTGAGGAAGACGCGGCTGCAAGTGCTTGAGTCAGCACATTGATCTACATCTGGTGCAAGTTCGCATCTACCATCCTGCGGCTTTGGAGAGGGCAGAAGATTCCACCAGTGGGGTTTCTCTCCATGGTTTGGGAATGTCGGGCTCTGCTAGGCTACCCATCTTCCCACGTACGTTGGATTTGTGTTTATGTGGAAGGTGAAAAGGGAGAGGGTGCTCAAGCAGATGTGTGGACGCAATTGCAAAGGGACATGGGGCACCCCAATCATATAGACAAACGTGGTGGCAAACATTCTGATGTGTTCTGGTACCTTCTCGTCTGTTGCCTTCTTTAGGAAATTATGATAGTAAATGATTCCGATTAAGCTTTGGGTACAGAGATAGGCGCCACAGCTGGAGTGTTCACTTTCCGCTCCGCCCCGCCCAGGATTATGTCTATGGGTCACAACACCACGAATGTAGCATTGTATCCTTACTTCCCGAGCCGAAACTCCCCGTAAGTGATCGCGCAAAATAAGCGAAAGTCATTCACAGGCCACTTGATCGGTCGCAGTCATTTGGTGAAGCTAGGATGAGACTGAGATGAAGTCCAGAGGGGACGAGCGCTAGTCTCGAATGAGGTCGCACTCTGCATAAATGGTGTAACTTTAGACCAGCCTCAAGGCGCTTTAGAGCTAATACTAATATATACCTCTTGCTGAGGCGTGTGAAAGCTACCTTCTCAGTCTCAGCAGATCATCATCCATTGCATACGCGTCTTGCTTCTTCTGCCATGCGTGATCCGGTCCCCGCACCCATCAACATTGCTCGCATCGTCACACCGCTTGCTCAAACCCTATCATTGCGGACGCTGCCATTGCATGCTCATGAGATCCTTCCGGCCTTCGCTTTCTACAATTTCCTGAACCTCTACGTCTCCCCTACCATCTCCAGTAAACTTGCTCGGCGAACATACCCTGACCTTCCGGAGCGCTCACGAATCAATTGGGATGCCCATGTTGTTTCGCTTGTCCAATCAACGTTCATCAACACAGCTGCGTTGTGGGTGATTTGGAGTGACAGAGAAAGATGGGAGATGAGCGCTGTTCAAAGAGTCTGGGGCTACACTGGGAGTATGGGTATGGTGCAGGCATGTAGCGCGGGATATTTTCTGTGGGATTTAATTTCTGCAAGTTTGAGGCCGGATGTGCATGGATATGGAGCGATTGCTCATGCAGCGGCGGCCGTAGCAATCAGTATGCTTGGCTTCGTAGGTGTATTCAAAATGCCAGAATACAGTGGCTAATGATTCTAGCGGCCCTTTTGCAATTATTATGGCATCAATTTCGTTCTTTATGAACTTTCCACTCCATTCTTGAACTTTCACTGGTTCATGGACAAGCTGGATATGACTGGTAGTACCGCTCAGTTGATCAATGGTATTGCTCTACTCGTTACCTTTGGAGGTAGTCGGCTTGTTTGGGGCACGTATCAAAACGTCAAGATGTACTCTGATATCTGGGAGGCTTTCAACACCCAAGGAGGCTTACCAGTACCTACTTGGCTTGCTGGGGTCTATATGCTGGCAAGTGGCACGCTTACTGGACTCAACTTATTCTGGTTCTCCAAAATGATCCAAGCATTGCTGGCAAGGTTCCAAGATGATAAGAAGTCAGACCAAAAGAAAAAACGATGATGCTACTAAACAGTTGTTAGTGATCTATAAACCTGGACTGCGTATATTAATTTGGTGGGAAAAGTCGACGTTCGCAACTACTGCAGCTTTCCGACAACTTCTGGGAATCCACCAATTCTTTGTCGAGTGACGCCATCAATTAGCTTGCAATATATCACAGCGATTTATTAGAGGCCGCACCAAGGGACCAAACAGAGACTCCCACAGATCTGCTGAACGACCTTGATACCAGCCGCTGAACGAGAAAAGCCTTCCCTATTACACTAGGGTATGCTTGAGAGGTTTCTGGCCATGCCGAAACCCGTTCTACAATACTTGATAGAAATAGACAGGGCGAGCTACGGGCATTTGACAGGCTAGTGATGCATAATTGATTGAATGTCTAAAGTGTGGCTCTGGGAGACGCTGGTCGTATTAGCTCTCATATATGTTAGTATTCATCCGAGTGTCTTTGGACTGGTCGAAGAGAAAGGAAAAGCCTCCTTTTAGGGAAGGCAAAGCTGAAGTCGACGTAAGGGTAGCAGAGGACCAAAGTCTTAGCGGTCTGAGACTAGTACCTTGGCTGGGATATGTATGAACGGACGAAATCTTCGTTCGTATGAGTTCGGTTTGAATGGGATTTGAGGGGTGTTCGTGACGAATCCGACTTCGACATATGCTCGTGATTCCCTCAGCACAAATGTGTGATCGGGGTCTGGTCACACACTAAGTTACGATGCTTTCAATGCCCCTTTCTTTGACTGCGTGAGGCTTGGATTTTCTGTGTGACAATTGCATACAGTATTAAATCTATTTGCGACATAATCTTAAGAATTAGTCATTCAGTCAACATCATCATTACTTGGCCGGAACTTCTCTCCATCCTCATGTGTGACAGCTGGGTCGTCCTTCCTGTCAATCGAACTCTTCGCAACTGAAGTATGCTCGTCATTGGGCAAAGCATCCTTACGAACTAAAGAGAAAACCACCACGAAAAGCACTTCACCTGTTTCGTTGTTCTTCAGCACATACCTTTCTGTATGTCAGCTTTCCGAATTGGTATCGAGCAGGGCAAAGGGAGATACCTCAAATAGTCTTCTCCACCTAAGTACCCAAGCACGGATAATGAAAATCCGGGCAATTTCAGTGAAAAATCTGGCCATGTCAGCCACAGGAACGGATTTCATCATAGGAGCAACATCGCACTCGCATAAGAAGTGCAAAAGAATGCTAACCATTGAAGTCCAGATATGGGTTGAAGAAGTCGCACTTATAAACTCTGCCTTCCTCCCATTTCCAAGTCTCCGGCTTTCCGCTCCCCAGAAACCAACTCCTTCTCTTCCCAGCTGTTTCAGGGACATCCTTCTTCGTCCTCCACTCCGCTCCATCCCCATCCCCGCCTTCTTCAATCACCTCCTCCAATTCGCCATCTTTCGTCGGCTCCTGCCCCTCCTTCACCTTCTCCCCAACATTGATAACATTGAGGCTACTCAACGCACAGCCATATAGATGCGGCTTATCTGCATACAGATCTCCGTCTAATCCAGGATCTATTACCCGCTTAAGGATCTTGAAGGCCGCTCCGGTGCCATAGGGCAATTTATCGCGGACAGGGTGGTCGATGTCGTTGCCAAAGACGAGGGATTGACCGGATATGGTCTTATGTGGTAAAAGCGTGAAGGAGATGGAGTATTGGTCAGATTTGTGGGTGGGGTGGGAAAAGTATGGCGAGGTTTTAGGAGAATTGGGGGGCAGACCTGGCAGATATTAGAACGGTATAGATTATGTGGCTATAGAGTATAAGTGAGTGAGAAATACCTCTGTAGTTCTGTATGCGGACCGAGAGGTTGGCTGTACAATTCGGAGAAGTAATGTGTGTTGGTGTCGCAGAGTTGACGAGGACTGTCTGGTGGGTGGAGGGGTCGTAAGTGGGGCCAGCCGTCACTCGGACGAGCACATCTGTTGGAAGGGGCGCCATCTGGAATGTTTTCAGGTGCAATGCTTTGGCTAGAAGCGAAATTGTATCTAGTGCTGCAAGAAAGATGATCTGATAAGTAGCTGAAGTATGTATTTAGCTAAAATGAACCGCGAGTAGTAAGGATCAATCCAGGATAATTTCTGAACCCAAATATGAATTTATTCAAAATTCGCTATCAAGGTCCATTGATTCTGACTGAGAAGTGAAGGTCTTTTCTCTGTTTCGAAAAATCTTTGACTCGATGTTGATAGGAGAGGCAAACACAATCAATGCATTTCGATCTCAGCGGACTATCTCTTCGTTGCCCCCACAAACCCCTTGCTGACGCCTTAAACACTCCTCATTCGCTCTTGGCATACGATATACCACATCCCTTGATTCCGATACGCTGAACGCCAAGCATTGAATCCTCAGATGGCTTGCAAAATTAGATCTCTGTGTAGCCTATCGCTTTCTTTCAAAATAGCCAGTGGCTGAAAATGCCGCGATACTGTTGTCCATCACATATTCGCCGACTTCGAGGTACTTTGTGATCCATTTTCGGGCGAATTGACTTTCTATCTTCTCTTGATTGACACTGGGCCTAGGATCCCAGCATGAGGGAGTTGTTAGCTTTCATTCATGCCAGAATGCCTATCAGGCATGAATTGCTCTCTGAAGCCCCTCATATTCAGATATATTGCGAGCCTTCATTACGTTTCAGATGAGAGGAAGGAGCGTACGTGAGTCCTGTGGAACGTCTAACACCGGCCAGGAAGGCAGAGACTGTATTTAGATTTAGATTGTCTGACTTCCGTCTTTCAGAACATGTGTGTAACATACCTATGACCGCATCAAAGACATAATGGGTAAGACGTCCAAGCTGCTCTGTGTATCAGCTGCTTGGTCACAAGAGATGAGGGTTTATTTACCACCATGGCGAGCACGTAGGATGCTATGTTGAGATAGTAGGGGAGCTCAAGCGGGTATAATCGATAGTCCAGACGCCTTCAGCCCGACAGAGGACACAGTATCAGTAGAAGAAGTGGGGGTTCGGATAGATGGTGTGAGCTGTCTAGGAGTGGGAGAGACTTGGCCAAGCCGCCGACTGATGCGTACTTTTTGGCAAGAACGTAACTTGGCCCGCCGTAGAGTCCAACGATTTGGCCGACCGAGGGGCCGCATGGGCATGAATTACTATTGCATTCACCACACTGTTTCAACGTTTTCCTTCTCCCACTCCCTCTTACCAAATCTTTGAAGGTAAGCTGCAGAAGTCCTTTGACATAAAAAGCCGATAATTTGCTTCCTTCTGACTGCAATTGACTCGGACTTAGCCATTTGCTGACCTTCGGCGACTTAGCTTTCCACACGGACACAAAGGTTCACAAGGCTCTTGGAACCGGACTTTCTTGAGCACACTCGATTTTGTGGAAAAACAATCTCATTCTAATTCACCTCCTTCGCCCATCCCAGCAGAGCTCGCCATGGCGGACTCACTGACCCATATGTCGACCGGGCAGACTTCGATCGAATGGCTTTCGAGCCTTAACACTGAGTACCAACCCAAGACCAATTATCGCCGCACCTCGATCATATGCACAATTGGTCAGCTTCCTCTTTCCTATTGGAATCGTTGAGCCAAGCTTATCGGCCTTGCCATAGGTCCCAAAACCAACTCGGCGGAGAAGATAAATATGCTCCGCAAAGGTGCGACATGGAAAAATGAGCAGTGCCTGGACGTGCTGACCGTGCAACTTCAGTCGGTCTCAATGTTGTTCGTATGAACTTTTCGCACGGATCCTACGAGGTAAACTCAATTACCCCACGTCGATGATCAGGGAGGGAGAGCCGCTTACCCAGGCCTTCTTCTAGTACCACCAATCTGTCATTGACAATGCACGGGAGGCTGAACGACAATACCCTGGTCGATCCCTCGCTATTGCGCTGGACACTAAGGGTCCTGAGATACGTACGGGCAACACCACGGGCGATGCGGACTTACCGATATCGATGGGTACTGAGATGAACATTACAACTGATGAGAAATATGCCACTGCCAGCGACGAAAAAAACATGTACGTGGACTATAAGAACATTACGAAGGTCATTGAGAAAGGGCGCACCATTTTTGTCGACGACGGTATCCTGTCGTTCGAGGTACTGGACGTGGTTGATGACAAGACTCTGCGTGTACGCTGTATGAACAATGGCAAGATCTCTTCAAGAAAGGGTGTGAATCTTCCGAAGACGGACGTCGATCTTCCGGCACTCTCAGAGAAGGATCAAAGTGACTTGCGGTTCGGGGTGAAGAATAACGTCGATATGGTCTTCGCTTCATTCATTCGCCGTGGGAGCGACATCACAGCGATTCGCAAAGTCCTCGGAGAAGATGGGAAGAACATCCAAATTATTGCAAAGATTGAGAACCAGCAAGGGGTCAACAATTTTGATGAAATATTGAAAGAGACAGACGGTGTCATGGTAGCTCGAGGCGATTTAGGCATCGAAATCCCACCAGCGCAGGTATTTGTGGCGCAGAAGATGATGATTGCGAAATGTAATCGTGCCGGAAAGCCCGCCATTTGCGCAACGCAAATGTTAGAATCTATGACCAACAACCCTCGACCCACACGTGCAGAGGTGAGCGATGTCGGAAATGCGGTGCTTGACGGCGCCGACTGCGTTATGCTGTCAGGCGAAACGGCAAAGGGTAGCTATCCTAAAGAGTCGGTCACCATCATGCACGAAACTTGCTCTCTTGCTGAAACGGCAATTCCATATGTGAGCCTGTTCAATGACATGCGAGCTGCGACTGGCAAACCTGTGAGCATGCTGGAGTCCGTGGCGATGTCGGCGGTCAGCGCCAGCCTCGAAATCAACGCAGGTGCTATCTTAGTTCTCACGACAAGGTATGTGCACTGTGTAGCTCTTGCAAAGTCTGTCCTAATTTTCTTCAGTGGCCAATCAGCTCGCTTGATTTCAAAGTATCGACCAGTCTGTCCAATAATCATGGTCACCCGCAATGCCACGGCTTCAAGAGTGAGTGCTCATATCGCTACCATGATTGGCGGAGCTAATAATATCAGTACTCTCATCTGTACCGCGGGGTCTATCCATTCCTTTATCCCCAAAAGAAACCAGATTTCAACGAGGCTGATTGGCAGCAAGATGTAGATGGTCGTCTCAAGTGGGGTATCGGCCACGCGATCGAGCTGGGCGTTTTACAGAAGGAGGACCAGGTTGTTTGCGTCCAAGGCTGGCGGGGTGGTAAAGGACATACGAACACTGTTCGTATCGTTCCTGCTCGAGAGGACTTGGGACTTCTTTCAGATGATTAAAAGGCTTCATGCTATACTGAACAGTAGAGGGTTTTAGATGTTATATTTCTGACATTGAACATGTGTATTACCCGCAAAGGCTCATACAGCAAGATTTGCACCGCGCCATACGAGGGTTCGTTCTACCCCTGAGCCCCTTTTCTTTATCGGCCCGTGAGATTATCCGAAAAATGAAGACTTGGGCCTCGATTAGCAAACTCTCACAACCTCAAGTCTAGGTATCGTGATGGCCGCACGGTCGCTTCGTATAGGCTTGATACCCGGTGATGGGATCGGCCGCGAGGTCATTCCTGTACGCTTGTAAGTTAAATATGCGCGACAACCTGCTAATTGGCCTAGGCAGGCCGACAAGTACTGGAAGCAATCTCAACGAGCTTCAAGCTCAAATTCGACTTCGTCGATCTATACGCAGGATTTGAAACATTTCAACAAACCGGCAACGCTTTACCCGACAGGACAGTGAAAGTTCTCAAGGAAGAATGCGATGGTGCCCTTTTCGGAGCTGTGAGCTCACCGACAACGAAAGTCGTAGGCTACTCGTCCCCAATAGTTGCTTTGCGGAAGAAGCTGGATCTATATGCCAATGTACGACCAGTAAAAACTACTGCGACAGTCAAGTCGCCAATTGATCTTGTCATTGTGAGAGAGAACACTGAAGACCTCTACGTGAAGGAGGAACGAACTTTCGAGTCTCCTGATGGGAAGGGTAAAATCGCAGAGGCAATCAAGAGGATATCAGAGCGAGCATCGCACCGCATTGCCAGCATAGCCGGGGAGATAGCTTTACGACGGCAAAAAATAAGAGATAGTGGTGTGCACAGTGTGCACTCGAGACCTCTTGTAACTATTACGCACAAGAGTAATGTGTTGTCTCAAACAGACGGTCTCTTTCGTGAGACTGCTCGTACGGCCCTCTCACATTCCTCTTTCTCGGATGTCGCCGTGGATGAACAGATTGTCGATTCCATGGTCTACAAGCTCTTTCGTCAACCTTCAGCTTACGACGTTATTGTTGCTCCAAACCTTTATGGCGATATCTTATCGGACGGTGCGGCGGCTTTGGTCGGCAGCTTAGGCCTCGTGCCCTCAGCCAACGTTGGAGACGGTTTTGTGATTGGAGAACCATGCCATGGTAGTGCACCGGATATTATGGGCAAAAGTGTGGCGAATCCAATTGCTAGTATCCGAAGTGCGGGGCTGATGCTGGAATTTTTGGGAGAGGAAGATGCAGCCGCGAAGATAGAAAAAGCAGTCGAGAGTAATTTGGACGAAGGAAGACTGCTCAGCCCTGATATGGGTGGCAAAGCCAGGACAGAGGAGGTTGTTGAAGACATTCTCAAGAAGTTGTGACAAGGCGTGGTGTTCTTCGAGCAAACACTAGAATCATCGTGGTGTTTTTAGAAAATGCTGCCGCATGGCATCCATAGTTTAGGAGTTCTTCAGCAAGACTTACTCCATCCTCAAACACCAAGTCGACTATCCGCAAGATTATATGATGCCGGACCATTGCTAAAAAGTCCACCTGCGTCGAAGTGGTTCATCGAAGCTCACCGAGCTCAGATGCTGGCTGATTGCTTGTACACTATCCAGCCGCTTCTCATTTGCCAATCGTCCGGAGCCGAGCTGTATGGAACGGACCGCTTTTACGTCAGTCGAGGCGGACACTAAGTGTTAGTCCCGCGCCAGCGTATCATTGCACGATTGCTGTATGCTATTCTCAGTACACCGATGATTTCTTTCTTTGCACACATTCCGCGTCGCTGGTACTCTGAGGAGGACTCATGCCATGGCAACCCTTCTGAATCGAAAGAATGTCCACTAAGTTTACAACATGGCCGAACTTGTATCGATATCGTCCGGCCATCATAGTCCTCGGTGCTCTCGCAGCAGGGTACGCAATCTATTACCACCATATCTCCAACAATGCAGAACCCTCCAATCCTGGGCTGCACCGATCGAATGCAGTACGGCGACGGAGATCCGACGCGCACCCTTCCGCTCAGTCAGAATCAGAAATGCCCAGATTAGATCGGGATGCAACCGAGCGAGAGACTGTCGCAGATTCGAACAATGAGAGCTCCATAGACGATGAACATGACTCTGATCCCGGAGATAAGGGGAGCCAGAACCTCCTCAAGCTCCTATATCGTATCGCCGAGGACCAGAATAGAAGAGAGGGTTACGTACACCGCGGTATTTGTTGCAATGCGTGTGGTACAGTTCCGATCAGGGGAATCCGCTACTCATGCATGAATTGCCCCGATTTTGATCTCTGTGAAGCCTGCGAAGCTTCTCAACCCCACATCAAAACTCATATCTTCTTTAAACTCCGGATTCCTCGAATGCATCTAGGTCATGAGCCTCAACCAGTGAAATATCCCGGCAAAAATGTATTGCATAATAGACCTTTAGATGACCATACTGTAAAGAGGTGGCATAAGCGAACAGGCTACTCTTCCTCTGAAATCGAGGGTTACTGGGATCAATTTCAATGCTTGGCAGGAGCGGAGTGGCCGGAAGATCCCTCAGGTCATTGCTTTGCAATTGACAGACGCAGCTTCGAGCAATTGTTTGTGCCAGCTAATTCTTCGCGACCACCGCCACCAAATTTGATTTATGACCGTGTCTTCAGCTTTTATGACACAGATAATAACAATTTGATTGGATTCGAAGAGTTCATTACCGGCCTATCTTATCTCAACCGTAAAGACTCGAAATTGAAGTGGAAGCGTATTTTCAAAGGGTTCGACGTCGATGGCGACGGATATGTAAGTCGCAAAGATTTTCTGCGCATGTTCAGAGCCCACTATGCTTTGACCAAGCGAATGACCGGTGAGTTAATCGGCATTATGGAAGAAGAAGGCAACAATGAAGAAGCAGTACAAGAGTTGATTACCAGTGGCTACCCCATTTCGTCAGGGTTCCATCAGTCTACGTCAGGAGGCCCTACATCTCGGGCAGGGGAAGGCAAAAGTTTGGATTTGTATGGCGATTCCATAATCCACGATCAGAAAGGTGCTTTAGATGATGGATACCAAGCGGATCAAAATATTCAGGAAATAGATGCCCAGCTTGCGGAGGAAGTCGATCTAGTTTGGAAAAGCGACTACAAAGCAATTCCTATACGTGACATCATAGCTAAGATCCGCGACGACGCTTGGCCACCGGACATGCTCACCACTGATCCTGTTCGGACAGCTGCATCCATTGACTACCTTCGCAGTATCCACGACGAAAAGCTTCAGCAGAAAATTCGATGGACTAATCTCTGCATATGGGCTAAGTTTTGGCGCAATCGTGAAGCGTGGCGATTACGGTCATCAAAGGATCAAGCCAAACGACGAATTTTTGGACAATCTGAGAGAGCAAGCAGTGTAACGGTGCAGGATAAGGGGTTTCAATTAAAAGGCGCTTTTACGTGCTTTTCGGGGACAGGGACGGACCACAGATATTGGCGAAGCTCAAGATTCCAAAACAAAGCCGAATTTTCTGAACGCTTTACACACCTGATTAATAGCCTGGGTTGGCCAATACTCGAGGTTGAAGAGTTTGGCGCCGAGCTTTTACATATGTTCGAGGAGGGATGGACTACTAATGAGATAAGTAAAACTCTGGAAGGCTACACAGTGCAACAAACAGAAGCCACGGACTTTGTCTTTGACTTCAGCAAGTTGATGCAGGAATTCATTCCGGATGAACTTCAGCCGGAAGAATTAAAATCGCCAAAATCCCCAGCGCGAAGATCTAGATCTTCTTCAAAAGTCCGCTTCGAAGATGGTTTGGCGACAGACGATGATGATCCCGATACCCGATCTGTTACTTCTGTCTCCTCTCGAAGTATTCCCGTCAACGAGCGCTGGGGTGGGTTTGAAATTCCAGAGCCGGAAGAAGATATGGGCGGAGACGTACTTTATCAGATCACGCAAGAGGCCTTGAATGAAGTGATCGATTCTATCTTCAAGTCTCGTGAAGACCTTTGGCTAGAAGCACAAGCTACCAAACGTCAACGTAATCATCATCGAGCCGCGATTTGCAAAGTAGCGAGATCCTGCCGTCCAAACATAATCCAAAGATACCTCCACAGCTTTCTCAAACAAAGCCATTTTAAGATAGATTGCCTGCCGCCCTCCAAGGACGTCTGGTCAGATGCAATGCATTTCTATCGCTTTCTAGATTCGATAGGGGGCAATGATTCCCATTATTTAGGCCGATACAAAAGTGAACAATGCCCCAGTTGTAGCGAAAGATTCCATTTCGGGCAATGCTGTAAGGACTGCGGCATAACAACAGCGTCAGCGGTATACTTTCATCAACAACAACAGGCTATGGATAAGGAGAAATGCAGCTTCTGCGCCGAGAGAGGCAAATCCAGTGACGTTGGGCAAGATGAATATTGCGGTAATTGTGGGTATCCCTCAAGCCATCAAGCTGCGACAGATGAATGGCTGTGGACTGTATTGTCAGCGGGACAAATGCTTCCTTGGGGGTATCATCCAAAGACCCAGGTCTACGCCCATATGTTCAAATGTAAGGATTGTTCTATGTTAAGCCAACTCGTCGATTCAACAATCACAGATGGGAAGCGTTGTCAACTACACAAGGAGGCTGCAAATTTAGAACAATTCCTTTATGCGAATGGTACCGTTCCTTCGCCGAAAGAGCCCGGTGGACATCAGGATAGTCAAGAGAATCTTATAGCTGATCATGCTGAGCGATCGGCGGAGTCACGCCCAAAGGGCTTATCTTTGGAGTACCACACTCATCTACAACAATCCATGAGCACAGAGCCCACGATCGAGCAACGGGCAGCTAAGAAATCCTTGGACGACCTCTTAAAATTCACGGCTTCCGGCAAGACAGATGAGAGTCCAAAACATGTGAACGATCCTGAAGAACAGCACACCGAAAAAGCCATTGGGGTGGCTTCTTCTTCCCTTGAGACGTCGGGCGCAACCAATATCGAAGACTTGCCAGATCCGACGTTGCCTCAAAATCGCCCGAGTATGGTAGCGGGCTCGCCATCAGCTTCTGCGGACTCCTCTGACAAAGGAGAGAGTCGAAAACCAAGCGATATTCCATTTGATGAAGTGACTCTGAAGTTCTGGGCCGCTTTGTCTATTCTAGAAGCCGAGGACGAGCAGCGCGGCGGGCCTGGGTTGCTGTCCGAGCAGGAGTTTCTGGATATTATGGCGGGGGAAAGGGGCGAGAGTTTGAAGTTCGTGGGGGAGTGGATGCGATTGACGGCATTTTGAAGCATTGTAGGCAGGCACATTATGTTTGAGCAGGGTAGCATTTCTAGCTTGTGTATAGCTAGTCATTTGCATAGCGTAGCAGGATTAGTAACGGACGGCTTTACTGGGAGGCCGTCTATGTAGTCAGCCGGTTTGCGAAGGTCATCAAGTAGAGAAAAGTATTTACAACATGTCCCGTATTTCCTTTGCGAATAATGTGGGTCTATTTGCGACTCTTTCATCGAAGGACACTTTTCTTGAGGGCATCTCGAGAGCAGAAGACTATAATTAGGGTCTTGCCATTAGGGGCCCAAATATGCAAAGAATTATAATGTTTACCGAGGGTAACAGGAGAAACCCTTCTCTGTTAAAGGCAGTTTTTCTAACGAGACTGCTTTACCTACTGCCGCGTTTTATCTGGACACTGATATAGAAGAAAGAAAACTGCAACAGCCGTGAGATAGTTCATATACCGAATTCTACGCCAGAACTAGTAATGCATTTATTGAAGGAGCCCCTGCTCGGTCATGCCCTGTGCGCCAATTGATGCGAATCTACTCCAATGGTCATAAGTATATCATATACAAATCATTCGTCACCGCTTCTCGACCAGCAACAAGTGCATAGCCAAGTATGCAATCACGATGAAAGCCGCAGAGAAAATCGCTAGTCCCACCACGTCCGGCCATAGTCCGCTGTTGTTGAAACCAAAGGCGCTAAGTATCGAGGCCCCAGGGACTTCGATATCAAGGCCGTATTTGTGGTCGACGAGGGTGAGGTACTTGACTTCGTTAACGATGAGCGCTTCGAAGCCGTAATGGAAGATGGAGAGCTACCGATCTGAGTCAGCAAGTGCATGAAAGGGAGGGAGCGTGGGTTTAGAATCACTGACCGACTGCAGCCATAATGCCGATTTTGGAATGGCATCGTGGTTAAGAAGCAGACCAGCGAAGAGCAAGCTGAAAAGCATGACCAGACTGCCAATCAGGTTGGCAACTGCACCGTCTTGGAAGACTATGCCAAGGAAAAGACAGATAGCTGCAGCCGCGAGGTTGAACAGGACAAGAATGAGCACAAATTTGAAAAAGGCAGGCCATTCGGGGGTCAGACCAGACATGGGATAGACTATGGCACCCATGATGATGGGAGGGATGAGACGAAGCGGGACAATGTCGAAGGCGACCTTGGCGGCGAAGTAGGTGATAGGTGCGTAGTAGCCATTGGCACGCTCTCGGAGGAAGAGTAGCCGCTCGTTTGAGAAGACGTTCAAGCTGGTCAATGTACTAAAGCCGAAGAGAGCCAAGACGAAGAAGAACAGCCCGAGCCGGTTCTGGAAGCCTTTAATGTCGTCTGTCAGGCCATAGAAAAGACCACCCGAAAGAACGGCGAGAAGAATGGCGATGGCGTAGTGGGTGAGCATGAGCATGGGATTTCGATAGAGGTTCCGCCACGTTCTTTGGGATAAAATCAGAAATTGTCTGAAGTACCCGATTCTTCGGTACCCTTTGATTGAGCCGGAGACAACAGGGTGGTCGAAATGCCCATTGATAGAACCGTTGGCATTTGAAGAACCATTCATTGCCGAATGTATGTCTTCTCGAATCGTTTTTGCGACATCAGAAGATGAGTAGCTTGAAATTAGGAAATCCAGCCCATTAATCTCATAGGCTGGAGGAGGCAATTGATGTGGATCGTCAAGGATCTGAGGCGGAACGTGGCCCTGTTGTTTGGACATCCTGATGAGGTCTTGACTGTTCCTGCGAGTAATGTTGGTGTCCGAAGCCTCATCATCCGTCTTCGGTGTGGATGGTGTCTCACCACCAACAGAGCTCTTTTTACGGGTAAATAGCTGCCGATCTTGCCTCTGCTTAAGAGATGGTTTCCTTCTGTTGTGAGGCCTGCGGATTGACTCATTGTAACTCCCATAGCTCATATTATCGGTACTGAGATTTGATGCACTGGCAACAGATTTGATAGCCCTAATGCTGCTATTCTGAGTCCTCATACCAACGCTTCCTGTGTCAAAGCTCGCAGGACCGCCATCTTCAGTGGGGGTCTGAGCAGCGTCCGCATGCATGGTCAGATCTACTAGATAGTCGGCAATGTTGAAGCCTGGCGGACATGCGTAGCCAATGTTGTCAAAGTAGGTTTGACAGCTCGTGTAAGGGCCTGAATAGACCGTCCTACCTTTGGCGAGCAATATTAGATGGTCGAACAGTGCAACGATATTCGACCTTGGCTGATGGATCGTAAAGATGACCGTTCGGTTGTAATTCTTGGCTAAGGTCACCAAGCAGTCTACCACGTTGAATGCATTGAAGGCGTCGAGCCCACTAGTAGGTTCATCGAGGAAGAGTATGCTCGGACTTGTCACCAGTTCGCATGCAATTCCGACGCGACGCTTCTCTCCACCAGAAATACCACGTCCCTTCCCCTCCTCAGAGCCAATGAGCTGGTCCTTGATTGGCAATATGCCAAGCTGTTTTTCGACTTCGTAAACCTTCTGCTCCTTCACAGAAATGTTCATATGGCGTGGCAATCGGAGCAAGGCGCTCGTCATAATGGTCTCGTGCACAGTCAGCGTTGGCAGCAGAGTGTCATCTTGATCAACGAAGCCAACGACGCTTCGATATTCACTATCACCAACTCTCTCGCCGTTCACACAAAAATTGCCTTCGACAATACCCCGCTTATTTTTCCGAGCCAGGATATCGAGGAAAGTGCTTTTGCCAGCGCCCGATGCGCCCATGATGGCCATGAGTTGTCCAGGTAGAGCAATACCCTGCACATCTGTCAAAATCTGTTTTCCGTTGAGTTGATATGAGACATGTTCAAACTGCAAAGACGCAGGCCTATGTTCAGCCATCATCTGTGCCATGTCCTCGTCAGAATCGTCGGACAGGTGGATTGGTCCGCCTCTAAAGGATCTTCGTGAGAGAAACCAAATTCCCAATATGACGAGAACGACGAAGAGAGCGCATCCAGCGATGACACCTGCTATCAATGGCGTATTGATCTCTTTGACAGGTCGTGTATATCCCGGAACATCTGTTTGATAGACGCATTCTCCAGAGTGGCATTTCAGCGTGATGTATTCATCTCCGAATACGCTCTTGATGAGATCATTCATTGCTGGCTCTTCGAACTTCGTACCGTCCTTTGTCTCGGTCTCGATCCTGGTAAGAGAGGCTGGGCCCTTGATCTCTTGATCCAAGAAGTCTCCAATATCGATCGACCCCTCCTCCCCACAGAGCATCCGGCCAGGTACACAAGCGCAACGGATGTTTTCACAAGTATACCGCGTAGTATTCTTGTCGTAATCGGTCTGATACTTGAAGTCGCAAGTATCGAGAGAGCAGTAGAATGACTCAACTTGTCCGATCCAGAACTGAAAGTCGCACGTTTCCTCTTCTGCGTTGCAGGTAAAAGTGATCTGAGGCGCCCGGTCCTTGAGCTGGTCTATTATCTTCCTGTTCGTCACATTGCACATTTGATGGTTTTCCTTGTAAACCACACCTTCTTTGTAACAGACGCCTCCCGTCTTTTCGGGCATGAGAGGATCACAGGCTTCATTTGTCTCACAAACGTTGCAGTTGATCCCTTCCCAGCCTTCATCACAATCGCATGTATCCCCCGTTCTCAGCGGCCGTTCGCTACCGTTCGCCAATGAACCGCAAAGTGGTTTGGAACAATCCTCTGCACCAAAGCCCGGAGGGCAAGAACATTTGCCATTGTACTTGTTGCAACCAGAGAATTGTGCACACTGAAAGGATTCAAGATTGCAGTTGAAGCATGGAGGGCAATCTGGAGGTCGGTCGTCTTGGAGTGAAAAGCTTGTCTGGAGGAGGTCGGATCTGGTGAAGTTTGTGTACGCGAACGAAGTCCATAACAGCGCAAAAAGACCAGCCGTGCTAAAGTTCCGCCGCCGGAAAATCATGGGGCAAAACGCTGGAGCTTGGAGGGAGAGGCGTGGCAGCCTGCTGGAGGGTGAAGTGGCTGATGAATGGCGGCCTGTCTAGTAAAGGTAGGTGGACGAAGCTTGTATGATCATGACATGATGCCTGGCTGTCAGAGGAGTAAATGGCGCTGAGTTGCGGGCGATCCTTTGGCCGGACCAAGTGGCGATGAAGATGATGGTCGTCGGTTGCTATTGCGGCAACATGGCGCTAGAAGGCTTCTAGCTTCCATACACTGCAAATCATTCGATGACGCTTTTAATTCTAACCTCCTCTTTCATCTGGTCAGGATTTGAGGGACAATCCGATGTGAATCAGCATGGCATCCGCGACAGTAACGCCTTTCGCCGTAGAGCTGGTGAGTCCGTTACTGCTCATTGTTTTTGCCCCGCCACCTCTTTCAGCAATCAAATTTGCACAGGCAGGGGCACTGCCCAGTCCAATGGTCTTCCTTGCTACTTGGACTTTGCATGCGTGTGATTTCATGTAGGCATCAAATATAGCTCGCACATACTATCAGTACCTCTGATTCCTTGGTCCCTGTGTTGATTTGCGCTGCGTCAGTGGATGAATCAATACGAAACCAAAGCCAAATACAACATAGCTGAGACATGTGCTTCGTCAATTTCGATCAGTGAGCTGCAAGAGCTGTCAGACGACAGGAAGAATGTACCATTAGCGATTTCTTCGAGAAAACTAACATATGGGTCAATACGTGGATCTGCTGAACTCCGTGAGAACCTGGCGAATCTGTACTCGTCCAAAGCACCGACACCACTGACTTTGGACAACCTTCTGATTACACCCGGAGCTATTGCGGCGAATTTGACCGTTCTCTATGCCATGGTTGGCAGAGGCGATCACGTCATATGTCAGTGGCCAACCTATCAACAACTTTACGCCGTGCCTGCCAGACTTGGTGCAGACGTATCTTTGTGGAAAGCAAATGAAGCGAAGAACTGGCATCTGGACATCAATGATCTAGAGGCCCTTATTCGACCTAATACCCGACTCATAATTATCAAGTATGTTACTTAGAGTACTAAGCTAATTGCTTGTTGACGAAAAAAGCAATCCAATAAACCCAACTGGCCAGATTATCAGTAAAGGAACATTGCAAAGCATCAGTGCCATCGCCGAGAAGGCAAAAATTACGATCCTTTCAGATGAGGTCTATCGACCGTTGTTCCATTCAATTTCTCCGGCTTCGGATGACTTCCCGCCTTCTATGCTGAATGTCCCATATTCGAAGACAATTGTGACAGGATCAATGTCCAAAGCATACAGTCTGGCAGGCATTCGAGTCGGATGGATCGCAACTCGCTTAGAAGCCATAATGAGTGCATGTGCAATGGCCAGAGACTTTACTACCATAAGTGTCTCTCAGCTAGACGATCAAGTTGCTGCATTCGCTTTGAGTCAGGACTGTATCCACAACCTCCTGTCCCGAAACCTGAAGCTCGCCAAAACTAATTTAGCGCTCCTAGAGCAATTCGTGGACAGTCATAAGTGGGCATGTCAGTGGACGAGACCGGTTGCAGGTACGACCGCATTCATCAAGTTCGTGAAGATGGGCCGTGCGGTGGACGACGTAGTCTTCTGTAAGGATCTCATAGACAAAACAGGGGTCATGTTCTGCCCTGGCAGCCATTGTTTCGGCGACGGGGAAGACTTGAGAGGATACGTCCGGGTGGGGTTTTGTTGTGAAACGAGGATGCTCGAGGAAGGATTGGATCAAGTGACAAAGTTCATGAAAGAATCATTCGAAAGTCTACCGACAAGGGAATAAATCAATTTTGAGAACAGTGACCGAAGCCTTGTATGGACATCCCATACATGTAGCCCATAGGCAAGGCTAAATGGACGGGAAGGCTGAGTAATTATTGAAAGAAGGCTTAGAATTTAGCGTCTGCTGTTTAGAGGGCTGACCTCATCGGGAGCTATTTACCAACTTTGCGGCGAAGAGGCTTAGGTTATCACCAGTATATCAAACAATTTTCAGCCTGGCCTGGAGATTTCCATTCTCAACACAAGCTCACCTTTGAGCTTCCCCCTTCCTGTCCACTTTTTCGAGACCCACGGTGACGCTGGGAGAATTGTACAGCCTTCCACTCGCGCCTGATCAGCAACCCGTACAGAACACACGATTTCTTGTTTGGACCCACAAGATTGATACTCTCGGCCTTTGACGGCTCAAGGTTTCATGATGTCTGGGGAAGCATGGCTGTACTTACTGGCCGTCCTCATAAATGCGGTCAATCTGTTTCTCCAAGTGTTTTTTACTATCATGTACAGTGATTTAGAATGGTGAGAACGGGCTTCCATGGTGCTCTACTGCCTACAGACTTGTATGAGACTAACGTGCACCACCTTCCCAGTGACTATATTAATCCTATCGACCTCTGCAACCGACTCAACACGTACATTGTTCCTGAAGCAGCCGTCCACGCTTTCCTCACTACGCTCTTCCTCATCAACGGGTACTGGGTGGCTCTCATCCTCAATCTGCCTTTGGTAGCATACAACGCAAAGAAGTAAAGAGCCTTTGAATAAGCAGACGGAGGGATCTAGCTAATGTGCTGTCAGGATCTACGAGAATCAGCACCTGTTAGACGCTACGGAGATTTTTAGGAAGCTCAACGTTCATAAAAAGGTAAGAGAAACCTTACCTGATGCGCTACAGTGCCTGTTAGACGTATGTACTTACGCTTTTCTAGGAATCGTTTATCAAACTCGGTTTCCACCTCTTGATGTTCTTTTTCTACCTATACAGCATGATTGTTGCCTTAATACGAGATGAGTCGCATTGACTAGAGGATAAGTTGCACAAGAGTATGAGGCAAGGTAGCTCTTCGTGAGCGTCAATCTAGATCAATCTGAGGCTATGAGAGTAGACGGAGGTGGACATGAATGAAAGCCAGTGAGCCGTTTGATTGTACAGAAGATACCTCAAGAGGACACTATCGTTATCGCAGCATTTGTGAGCAGTCCTGGATACCCTGTAGAAGTTGATGCGATAATGCAGCGGTTTCCGTTTGCGCAACGAAGTCGCGTGATGCTGTGACTTCTACCTTTGTTTCCCCGTTGCTAAACGTAGCCACATCAGGTACGAACCGGCTAACTATGCCGCTGAGAAGCTCATGACTCAAAGGCATTACCATCCTCATCCTTGCCAATGCTTTAATCCCTCTGTCAAAATCGAAGGCCGGTTTCGCGTAGAATAGCAAGATAGGCACCTTGGGCCCCTAGAAATTTCCCTTCTCAGGCTGTAACGTGGGGCTCCCCCCCTAATGGCCCGCCCGGATAAATCCAATGCTTGGCGGAGCCGTCAACTGTCAGTCTTTTCCACATTTCTAGCTTGCAAACACTGTCACATCTGCCGATTTGTCGCTCCCACCTGACAATGTCTCTCTTAGGGGCTGATTATGCCTCGAGCGAAGATGAATCGCCCTCGCGATCAAATGTTCTGCCCAAAGCCGCCGCGACGAAGATTGTTGCTGCTCCGGAGGTGACTTTAGATGTTTGGTCCTACGTCTTCAAGAGCGTTGTATTTCAAGCTAATATCTTGCAGGACCCCATGCATCGACAAATAGCCCTGGCTAACCCCACTGGTACGGCCTTGACGTATAATGTCAGGCACGAGTATCTATCAAGACCGTTGCAAGGGCCTGCAAACCCGTTCAAACTTGCTCAACCTGAAGGGATGAAGCGCAAGAATGTCCTTACCGGGTACGCTTCAGAAGCCGCAATCAGCGATTCGACATTCAAAACGCAGCATCTTACTTTTCAGAACCGAGGCTTTGCTCAAGAGCCAAACGCTAACGGCAACTTTGTTGGGGACCTGGAGTCATTTAACCGCTTTGACGGCCAGAATATTGTACAGTCGAGGCCCACAGGCATGAAGAGAAAGAGGGAGCCCAGGGGTGATCCTAGTATAATGGAAGGAGACCGCCAATACCGAGGTCCTTGGGCAAGGCCGACCAACGAAGCCCTTTATGATGAGAGAGACGCCGCGGAAGGGGAGGAATTAGCTAGCGATGAGGAATATGTGGAGGAAGAGTCTATTCCAGATATCTCAGCTCCCATGAACAAAGCGTCAACAGCTTACGAGAACGATCTGACGAACACCGAGTCTACGCAATACGACGGGTCACAGGAAGCTGACTATATGGGCCGTTCATACATGATGCATCCTCCTAATAAACCAACTGAGGTTGAGAGATGCTATTACCCGAAGAAATTAGTGAATACCTGGAAACATGGCTCGAAACCTATCACAGCCATTCGCTTCTTTCCAAAGACAGCCCATCTGCTGCTCAGTGCCTCCGCCGATGCCAAAATCAAGATATTCGATGTCTACCGCGAGCAGGAGCTTTTACGCACCTACAGCGGCCACGTCAAAGCTCTTACGGATGCAGAGTTCTCTCCAAATGGTAGTCAAATGCTTTCCGCAGCACTGGATCGATACATGAAGCTCTGGGACGTGGAGACAGGAACATGCCTTTCACGCTTCAAGACAGGAGCGATCCCTCATGTCATCAAGTTCAACCCTTCAGCACCACACGAGTTTGTTGCTGGTATGTCAGATAAAAAGATTGTACAATTCGACACCCGAGTTCCTCCCGATAGCGAAAACAGTCTAGTCCAGGAATATGACCACCATCTTGGTCCAATCAATAGTATTACCTTTGTTGACGAAGATCGACGGTTCATATCCACCTCGGACGACAAGTCCCTTCGTGCTTGGGAAGTGAACATACCTGTCCCGATCAAATTTATTGCTGAACCATACATGTACGCCCTGACCCGCGCTGCATTACACCCATCTGGCAAGCATGCTGTCTTCCAGTCCGGAGATAATCAGATAGTCGTCTATGCAGCAGGCGACCGATTCCGGCAGAATCGCAAGAAATTATTCCGCGGTCACAATACGTCAGGGTACGCCGTCGATGTGGATATTTCACCAGACGGAGGCCTTGTAACCTCCGGGGACAGTGCTGGATACGTCTGTTTTTGGGACTGGAAGACATGCAAGATGTACGAGAAGATCAAAGCCAGTGCAGAAGGCGCTATTACATGTGTGCGATGGAATCCACAGACGACCTCAAGAGTCGCTACAGCGGGAACGGAGGGTATCATTAAATACTGGGATTAGGTTTAGGTATATATTCTCTGGACGCTCAATATTCACAATTTCCGACCCAGCTCCATTCACACCAAGTAGACCACATCCCCGCCCCTTCTACACCTTTCCCCCCGTCAACTCGTCTCCCAACTGCTTCGTCCTCTCATCCGTCAATTGATCCCTCACGCTCCCGTCCACCGCCTTGTTACTCCTCGCCCGCCGTCCCTGCCCACTAGTCCTCAACAACTGCTCCGTCGAATCCGGCAAACCCAGGTGCCAAATATTCGCCCCCTTGGAATTATCATTCGCAAACGCCATCTCATCATCAAACACATCCGTGATCAACTTGTCCAACTGCTCCACCGTAGTCACAAATTTCCCCGAGCTGACGTAAAGCTTATGCAGCATATCCTTCCTCTCCTCCTCCTGTGCCTCTTTCTGGTATACCACGTTCCCCGCCTTTGTCGCGAGGCGCTCCTCGCGCTGAGGATCCGGGAGCAAGACTTGCTTCTTCGGTACTTCGGAGGGGATGATCGTCGGCATCGTCAACCTCTCATCGTCTCGCTCGGGCGCATCACGGGCCGCGAGGTTGTAAGCTTGTGTCCTCGAGCTGCTCGCCAGCATCCTCCTCTCCGTGGCGTCTTTGCGGAAACGTAGCTCGATGAGACTTTCACGGATGTTTTGACGACGCCGCTCGGATTGCCGGGATTTATAGCTCATGAAGTCCTTTGTTTGAGGGGGGTGGGTCTTTTGGAGTGTTCGAGACCGTGGCTCAGGTGTTAGGGAGGCGAGGTAGGGGGCCGTGGTCTTGTCGGGGTCATTGGGGCGGAAGATCTGGCGGGGAACGGGCAGGGTGCCTTTGATCCAGTGTTTGTAAGATGGTGGAGGCTGGACAGGGCGTGGAATGGAGATGAATTTTGGTGACTCGGGCGGGATCGTTGAGCGTGAGGATGCCGCTGCTGGGGCTTGAGAGTTAAGTGTAATTGAGAAGCGCCGACGTGGAGCATGGTGGAGGCTGTGTCGTAAAGTACAGCACTGAGAGTTCACGGACACTGGTCGAGCCGCCATTTTGAAGCTATGCGGTATGCCTTTGTGAAGTCGAAAACATCGAGAAAATCATTGATACTAGACGCCGTAATTTTGGGCGTGGCATTGAAGGCCATTTTCTTCAAAGTACACGGTCTTTTACTTAATGCAAGGACAGTGTCTTTGGGGTATGACATATATACTCAGCGTGGGGGTAATTACAGCTGAAAAGGCAACCAAACGAGAAATTGCTAGTCGCACAGAATTTGATATTCGCATTATACTGCTATATGGTATCATTGGAAGCCGGCCATCAAGCTGGCGGTGGCTCATGAATTACAGTCGCGCCGCCGCTATCTTCAGACATGTCTTCGTCAGATTCGTCAATATCGTCGAATCCTCCAAATTCGGCATCATCTTGCACGATGTGGTCTTCGGAGGCTTCGTCAAGCTCCTCGTCATCTGCCCTCCTGGTGTCTATCCTTCCCATTTCTCCCAATTGTCCTTTCCTACCCTCAATACCTTTCTCCTCCTGTCCCTCTGGCATCGGTGGTGGCGTGAACCAAGGAATCTTCCCTCTCAAGAAGTCATGCAGAACCATCTTCGCAACGCCATCCACATCCGCTTCACCACCTTTCAATAGCCTACCGCCTTTCCTAGCAAGTAGTTCTAGGAATTCCGTGGGAGAGTTGTAATTTTTAATTTCGTAAGTACGTTCGATATGCTGTGGTTTCACGCGTTTTAGTACGGTAGCGATATATTGCTCTGGGTTCTCCACATTCTCGACTCTGACGACGCCACGTAAGAGAATATCCTCGGGTGAGTCCCCTTGATTTGGCGGTACGACGCCAGGGCAATCAATGAGGTAGATTCGCTTCATCAGAGTGATGTACTGCCAAACTTTGGTTTCACCTGGTATCGGAGCAACGGTGCAGACTTTTTTCTTGCGCAAAGTATTGATAATAGAAGACTTGCCCGTATTAGGGTAGCCAACAAACCCAACTGAGATTTGTTTGCGGCCAGAATGAAGAGAAGAGAATTGCCTTAGTAAAGTAATCAGAGATCCTAAGTAGTCGGTCACGTCAGCAGCTTCTGAATAGTACGAGGAACTTTCCAAGAATCACTTACCTTTGCCAAAAGAATTGGTGATTGAGGCATGGAAGGCCAGCGTGGGATATTCTTTGGAAAGAGCTCGAACCCAGGACGCCTATGATGAGTATGAGCTTTACCACAGCCTTCATTGGTAGCATAAGTGACCAGTGGCAAGGGATTAGGTATGTACGAAGCATTACTAAGAAGACATCCATCAATCTGCCACAAGAGCAGCAGCGAAAACCTTCAACTCAAACGCAACGTGCCCATGTTCTGGTGACCACCCCATAACGGAGTTAAGTCTGCACAAGGCAACGAACAGGGATTAATCTACCAAAGTCGTAACAGATCTGCGCTCCAGAGAGTAGATTGCATGCAAGATGCCGGAGGAAGTCTTGACTTAACTTTGGAAAGTGATTGGGAGGAAGAAGATTGAGGAAAGATCAAACTTACGGCAACACCAGTAGGCACCAGATCGCACTTGTTCAGCACAAAGATCAAATGTTTATGCGGTGCGTCTTCCTTGATGAACTTCTCTACAGTCCGACATCTCGTTCCAAGCGGATCTCTCGCGTCCAGGACGTGTATGACCACATCAGAGGAGTCGATGACCTTGTAGAGTTCGTTCCATATTCGCTTACTCTGCCCTTTCGAGAACACGGGCTCAATGGCTGTGCTCATGGCAGTGTCTGTTTCTTGCTCCTCTTCCTCACCATCTCGCGTCTCCGTATTTGCTTCCCCACTAAGGTACTTCGTTTGCTCTCGTTTTTCCAGATAGCTACCATACATCTTTTCTGATTCGGCAGCGAGACCTTCCATTGAGCCAGCTCCTATCTTCACTCGCTTTCGCTGCGCCTTTGGTCCGAAGGTGTCCCCGAACGGTGCGGACTCGACCTGTATCTTGGCCTGATGCTCTTTCAGTCCATTCTTGGTCTCATTGTCTCTGACCAGACTCATGGGCAGCTTATTCGACTTGACCAGGACCTGATACGGATCGGAGGCGCGCTCGGCCATGGCTTCTCGAAAAGAGTTGAGCACATCTTGGGAGATGACCCTTGTGTTTCCAAACCATTTACGATTGGGCTCGATCCTTGCTTTTGGCTTCTCACGGCTCTGATGAGCGGCAGCTTTGACGATTTTGCCACTCGCGTTCCTTTGGGCTTTACCTTCTTTGAACATATTGAGCGTCTTCGCCTGCTTGGCCGTCCTGTAAAAATTTTCTCCTTTGGTTTTGACATTGTTCATCCCATCCCCCGTCTTCGCCTGCTTCTCTTTGCGAGTGGCTTCTTTCTTACCGGTCCCCATGTTGATGGTCGATGCTGCTTACAGCTGAACGTTTCGTACTGGGTGTGGATGGAGGGTGAAATGTTTTGAAATTATGCATTGGTGGGATCACCCTAGAGCCCTAATGCAAGTGCCGCAAAAGGGCAGCTTCCGCTCCGAGCGGCAGGCTTAAGGTTCCCTTTAGGCTCAAAATAGGGCTACGTGCCCAAGATGTCACGTGTCTCAGGGCGAAGTCTTTCTCTGATGCGCGTACATATATATATTCAGCGCATAGAACTATAATCAGCCACGGGCTGTGCGTGATTCAATTCAAGCGTATCTATGATAAGCAATTTGGTGAGTCTGAGGATGTGTGCAGCGCTCAAAATGTGCATTGGTAAGGTATATTTACTCTCATCATTTGCATTTCGCCCTATTCTGTGCTCTTTTGTGACTTTGAACACGTTTGAACGAGTGAATTACAACGCAATTCGGCATTCAGTATGTCAATATTATGTTCATTTGCCTTGCACTTCTTGCTTGCACTTTGCACTCTCTTCAGCAACGTAGTGAGCCGAACCCTGCAAGGCGAAGGGCTCTTAAATGGGCTAGATCCACGAGCCATCTCCAATACATCCCTGACAGATAATGATCTTCGCAACTACTTATGCAGTTCGCCATCATTGGAGCCGTTACCCTCGTATCAAGGGTAAGCAGGATTTTGCCATCGAAATGACTCTTGAATTAAGACAACTCTCTCAGAGCTAATTACGATTGCCTCATCCTCGCACCTGGGAAGATTCTAGGCACCTTATTCGGATTCAGACTCAATTCCGATCTCTCTATTGACAAGAACGATCTATTCCATGCAGCCGCCATCGCCACCGATCAGCTGAAGCAAAAGGCAGTCGACACGGGCAACAGCTTCCTGCCTTTGGAACCCGGATTCCAACCTCCATTTTTGAACTTTACCATCGGCGCCGTCTCCATGTTGATGGAAGCCTTCCCTTGTATTGGCATATCTGGAGAAATCATCGCGGGCCGACATTCCAGGATCGTGCCTATGCGCTATAGCGATGCTGTATCCATCATCGAGGGGGTCATGAGTCTGGTGGCCAACAAGGCCCCGAGAGATCCATTTATTGGCTCGGGTTACCTTTTTGAATCCGACACCGACATTGTACCTGTCACTCCAGCACGGGATTACGCCTACATGGGACGCTTCTATTGGTACTCTACTCGTCACCCGGCTCCAAGTCGTTGGTTCCCAGGTTATGTTTGCACTCAGACTTCGATGTCAGCTTCGAATATAACGGAATGAGGTACGCCCATGTTGGGCGGATAGGATATGATTGATGATAATGCTGATCAGGAACATATGATATCTTTACTAGGCACAAAGTAGAGAGACCTGAGATCCTGGGATTAATCAATTCCTCGGAGGTTTACTATATACTGTTCAGATGTGCTCTGCGGAATTCGCAGCGTCCTCCAAAGACTTAAGCCGAATAAACAACTAAAATGATTTCAGACGCGGAGCAAGATTCCCGATCAATGATTCAACTCCGACTCTCAGCCACTCAGCTCCTTCAATCTCCCTCACCTAAAAGCCTCTTCAATCTACTTCCCTCAGCTCTCATCAATCGCCCAAAAGACCCTTTCTCAACGACCCTCCCTTCGTCTACGACAGCCACCTCCCCACAGACCTCCATCATCCGCTTCTCATGCGTGATTGCCAGCACACCCACGCCCTCCCTCCTTAATCGTCCAACCAGCGCTCTGATGATTCCCGCCGTTTCATGATCCAGTGCACTGGTCGCCTCATCCAATATCAACAATCTAGGTTTCCTCGCAACGGCCCTTGCGATTGTAATTCGCTGCTGTTGTCCCCCGCTCAAACCTGTTCCACCAGGACCAATGAGGGTAGCGTAGCCATTTGGAAGGGAGGTGATGAATTCATGTATTCCTGCTGCTTTAGCGGCAGCTTCAATATTGTTGGCTGACGTCAATATAGAGTGCTCGGGTAGGGCGTAGGTGATGTTGTCGGCTACGGAGGCCGGGAAGAGAGTTGGTTGTTGCGACACGAAGGAAATATGGGAGCGCAGCGTGGGAAGGTGAGCGTTATGTAGAGGAATGCCGTTGATGGTTATGGTGCCACCGGAGATGGGGTAGAGGCCCAGGAGGAGGGAGGCGATGGAGCTTTTGCCGCTGCCGGAAGAGCCAACTAAGGCGAGACTCTGAACGGAGTCCACGGTCAAGGATAGCGAAGTGAGAGCTGGGAAGGTTGGTCGAGAGGGGTAAATTAGTGAGACGGAGTCGAAGTCGATTTGGTTCAGGTGGGCGAGGCGAGCATGGCCTGTATGCTCGTGAGAATTGCGATAAGGGAGATACGAGAGCCTGAGGAGACGGGTAGCTGTCGTCCGTGATGAACTGATCTGTGGTATAAATGCGATGACGGCATTTGCGTTCGAGGTGCTGAAGAGGAGCATGGTAAGCACCGTGAGAATATTCTTGAGAGCACTTGGGTCAGCAGCGGCGAGTTGAGCGCCATACCAGAAGATCAAGGCTGTGACGAAGAGTATTCCACTATCAGAGAGACCGAAGAAGAACCCTGCGTATCCAGAGCGTTTCAGTCCTATTCTGAAAGCCCGCTTTGTAGCTTTTAGGCATTTTCGATGAAAGTAGTCCTCGGCAGTCAAGGCTCGTACGGTGCGAATATTACTGAATGTCTCGTTGAAGACATTACCCGCATTTGAGCCTGCATTATTACTTTTGCTCTCCCATTTGCTGCTGACGACTTCGAAACAACGAGTGACCCCATACATGAAGGGGGACGAAGCAAGGCCGACGAGAGTAAACTTCCAGCTAAGTGACAAGCTCCAGATTATAGCTACTGAAATCATCACGACTGCAACGAAAACGAAGCCGGCAAATCTCCCCAGAAGATTTCGCATTTCTTCAGCGTTGCGGTCGAGGCATTCCATCAGATGCTCAAGCTTGTTCTTCTCCAGCTCGAACCAGGACTTAGGTTGGTCGAAGATCCGCTTCAAAGCTTCCACACGCACAGAATCGATCCAGCATTGACTACAGTATTCGAGTAGATAGTGCATAGAAAAAGATGCTACTGCGTCTACCGCCGCGACTGCAAGGATGGAAATCGACCATTTTCGAGCCTCTGCTGAATGTGGGTTGCCCTCTTGATGTATCAGAGTGTCAAGTAGTTTTGCGAATACCCAGGAGAACATCGGAGTTGCTGCCGCGTGGACAGCAGCAATAATGAAGCCAAGGATCAGTATCAAGCGTTGAAAAAGTGTCAAGGAGGGCCAGACTGTCTGCAGAATTGACCTGATTGTAATGGTTCCTTGACTCTTCCGTTTTGTATTATGAATGCGTCTGTGACTTGATCCTTGGTCAATTGAACGTAGAGCAGTTGATAACCTGTCACCCTGTGCAGCCCTTCTCGACTTGCGTCTGTCAGCCGCTCGACCTGATATCCTCGGGATGGGAAAATCTCTAAATTGAGTTTTTGAACCTGTGAACAAGTTCGACATCTGGATCAAGTCAGAATTTGTTGTATGCGCTGTGATCGATCTGAAGCGAGGAGACTTTGGCGACAACACCATTGGGCGTCCAATATTGAAACCTGTGGGTGAAAAGGGCGACAGAGGTATTGGTGAGCCAATGGAAGTGTTTGGCACCTTCGGCGAATTGAACATGCTTGGAACGAATCGTGGCTCTCGTGTGGAACCTTTGTCAACATCCATCGGCTCATCGGGAGCAATTGGCCGACGTATCAATTCATCATCATCCAGAACATCGCTGTTTGGATCTTGAACCAGAGGATCTTCTCTATTGGCCATTGCATTGAGGGATAGTGTATCTGTAGCGTCTAATGTGTGCTTGAAACCTTCTTGAACAACCTGGCCATGCTCCATCACATAAACAAAATCATGATCCAACACCTGAGACATGTCATGAGTGATGATGATGGTCGTTTTACCTCGGCGCCATTCTCTGATGGCTTCCACGACAAGAATCTTTGTCGTATGATCCAGAGCGCTCGTGGCTTCATCAAGGATAAGGATCGGTGTGTCTCTGAAATGTGCACGAGCTATGGCAATCCGCTGCTTTTGACCCCCACTCATTGCATTTCCACCAATGCCGACATTTGTCTCCAGGCCTTGTGGTAGGTCTTGGACAACGCCTTGTAGGAGTGCCAGTCTGACAGACTCCTTGACCTCTTCCAAGCTAACATTACGCCATCTCTGGCGGCCAAGGGCAATATTTCTGAAGATAGTTTCATTGAATAATACGCTCTGCTGTTGCACGAGGGTGATGTTGTTCCGAAGCCAATGAAGGTCGAGTAACTGTAATGGGTTACCGTCGAGTAGGAGGTCGCCGGTCGTTGGAGCGTAGTAGCGAAGTAATAGATTGCTCAAAGTGCTTTTGCCAGATCCACTTCTGCCAACTACGAAAGTAGTCTCTCCTGCAGCAAAGAAAAGGTTGACATCTTCTAGAGCTGATTGGCTCGGCCGTGAAGGATAGGAAAAGGACAGCTATGACGAGTCAGACACTCAAAGTCAAAAGCAGGGTATCAGGAACGACTCACATTTCGTATCTCTATATCTCCATCACAGTGCGGGGGTACGTGAGATCCAAGCATCCTCGTGACTCTACGGCCCCTTTCGATATGTATATGAATGAGTTTCAGAGTAGCACCTGCGACCTTTCCGTTCTCAAGGACAAGAAGTTGCGGAAGTATTTGCTCTACAGCTTGTGCAGCCATCAGTGCCGACATGAAAGCTGTCACAATATCGCCAGGCTTCTTTTTGCCAATATTGACAAGATGACTACCGTACCAAAACCCTTGTACGAACATACTCATCGTTACTAGGCGAACCAGCCCTATTTGAAATGCGTTGGCCCGAGCCTGGATGAGAAACGACCTCGCAGCTCTACTGATTGCCTTTGAATACTGCCAGATCTCTTGGTCTTGACCATTGAAACATTTGACCGTATCGATAGCCAAGAGGGCGTTGGTTGCCATCTTTGAAGCATGAGTCAAGGCAGTGGTATGCGCGTCCACAGCAGGTTGCATACTCGCTGAGATCCATGCTAGGAAGATTGCTGATGCAGGAACCGCTGCCAGGGTGACAAGGGTCAGACTCCATGCGTAGTAGAAGGATATGCCGAGTGCTGCAACAGAAGTCACAATATTCTGGAGGGCAAAGCCCAGGGGCTGTGAGGTAGCAGTCTGCAGTTCTCTGATTTGGCTGCTTACGATCAACTAATATGTCGAAAATCCTGGAAGCAGTGCTTACGTTTGGAGTCGCGATACCAATGCCTCCACGCCGGAGGTGCGCTTGTCATACCACTCCATTTCTCTGCTCAGCATTCCAGCGAAGAGTGTCTCTCGTGCGGTTTTCGCTTGCAACTCCCCAACCATGAGCCAGAGGGCGTAAAATGCACCGTTCAAGACACCGCTTACGCCGCCCAGACTGCATAGAGTAATACTATATTTCAGTACTTTATGCTTGAGGCTGTCTGCACTGACTTGACCAGCTCCAAATGACGTAAATTGGTCAAACAATTTTCCTAGATATATCGCTAATATCGGAATGACGAAGCCAGAAGCGATCGAGAGGATCAGTGCCAATGACAAAGGTAGCGCATGCTCCTTAGATGAAAAATTGAATAAGTCCCACAACGTTGCGCGGCCAGCGCGCTCGTCTTCGTCTGGATCAGCCTGCACATCTACGTCCCCATCGGCATCGTCGGCCATGACATATTTAGCCTTCTCTAACATGGTACAAAGCAAAACTTAGCGACGAATGTAGCATAGCAGAAATGGTCACGCCCGATTGCAAAAATATGGTACAGAAGTATACCTAAGACAGTGTATAATGTCATTCGCTACTCAAGAGAAGATCATGATATTCGCAAAGGTACTTGACGGCAGATGGAAAATCAGGGTCGTATAAACAGAAACGTACCTGAAGAGACCTTACTATTGTGTGGAGAAACCCATATACTTAGTATTGTTCGGTCGGATGACACCCCCAGCACCGAACGGAAGCCAACAAAGACAAAGAACCGTAGCTAAGTGGTATGAAAGGTCTTCGAGCCAAAGAGCAATTCGAAGGAATTTGGGTTTAAAATATTGAATCGAGTTTTGGTTATTCGGATTTCGTGTTTGGTGAATGACTAGGGTGTCAAAGTTTCCACTTCTATCTCACTTAGACCGAGGAATCAAGAGAATGAACATAAGCAGTAGAAAGTCATGAGTTCGAAAAGATGAAGTAATCGAGAGGCAAGGGGGTGTGACATCGATGTGAAGTCAGCTTGCCTTCAAACAACCACAAGAAGCTGAGAAAGTTGGAGACGATAAATTACCAATTATGGCTGATAAGTCTTGCGACAACATTCTAAAACCCGCCGCCTCATTGAGTCATGATTGGGCCTATATAGCTCATGTCTTGTCGCCGTTCCCTGTAGATCTGGTCTTTTCGTATATCCAGTCGTTTAGACCGTGCCGATTACTGACTTCTATTAGTACGGCAAGGGACATTCGTTGAGGAGAGTTGATCCTTACCGCGCTATCTCAATCGCGTAGAATTGCATCCGCATGGCTGGGACACTTGTTAATTTGAGGCTCATGTTATAGGCATAGATACAACGGACCGAAGATGGTGTCCTTCTCGTCATACTCCGCCTTAGGACTCTTCCTCAGCATAGTTCCGAAATTGTAATCTTCCACTTTCTGTTCGTACTGCATCATGAAGTTTCGCCATCTCTCTTTGCCCTCCTTGCTCTTCATCTCGTCTTCGTCTAGCGTTGCAGCAGTGTCTAGTTCCGGAAAGTCTTTTTTCAAATGTTCATATATTTCATCGTCAATCTTAGTCAATCGAAGCTTTGAGCCTGGCATCTTTTCCAGAATTGACCAGTACGTAGACATGTGTTGAACGCCTCGAAAAAGGCAAAGTTAGCCTTGAGGTCGGAGCTCGCTGAGCAAGGGCGGGCGCTGGAAGGTTGGCGCACATTTGACAGCGAACTGCTGCTCCATCTATTGGTCGGTCAATTTCGAGTTCACCGAGTAGGGTGGACTTCTTACCTCTTCGAAATTGCCTGCATCATCTGGATTAAGACTTGAGTCTGCTGGGCCTAACGACATGTTGAAATCTACTTTCTTACTTCCGTAAAGCCGCAAGAACCATACAATATGAGGTCACTCTTCAGGAAGAAAACTTGGAAACTTAGATGACAATGGGTGCAGTGGTTGATAAGTGGGAGCCATGGGAATTAGGCGTTGCGGTTACGGAGGAACGCGTCAATTGGTGACGTGCAGATCTCATTGGTACTGCGATTCCTTTGAATGTTAGATTTCCTACACGATTTCTATGAGAGCTAAGCTCCGAGCGTCAAAATTTGATAGCAGTGTCTTGCCATGTTCCTCCTTGTCGCTGTCATAAAGTAGAGTCCATCCTTCTCAAACGCCCCCAAGAATGCCAAACGCCTTCGCTCGCTCGCTGGAAAATGTTCAAGATGAGTCGACGTTTAAAACATAACTTCATGATCCCGCCACACTTATTTCTGTCATTGTCTGTCATGATTTTGGCTGTCCCCTGGTCCAATGGTAGGCGTACTGTCCACAATCTCTATAGCCGGCAGATTTGTATCCACACGGACGCTTGGGAGCCTTGGGATGCCGTCCCCTGGCTCTCGAATTGGACTTGTATAATCTGGTGGAGCATCTTTCGGCTCCGGAATAGCGGCCTCGTCGTACCCAGGTGGTTGACCTATGGGAGGGCTGGCTTCGCTGCTGCCAGGCGTCAGAACCGATGGATCACTGCCATGCATACTTTCATTTCCACTTCCACTGGGGGTCCGGACTGCCGCTCCATTGCCATTTCTATCAGCCGATGTTTGAGGCGTAATTTCATTCGCCGCCTCGGAGTCCGTCGTGACGAACGATTCAGCCGACGTTGCCCGGTTATGACGGCTGAACACTGGGAGGTGAAAGCGTGAAGCGCGTCTCGGCGCAGAACTTGACCGATCCCGATTATTTGCACCATTGCCAGCCATGTGAGCAGCATTGTCTAGAAGCGGTCGATGGTCTGAATCAATGCTTTCTGCTCTTAAACGAGACCCGTCGTGTCTTGCCAAACCCAGCTCGGCGTAGCTGACACTGCTAACCCTACGATCTCTTGACGCCGCTCGAGCGTTGTGTTCCGCTATCAACTCGCGTGATGTCGGAAGGCTCGCAGTGCTACTTTCTGCGCTGACATTGCTATCCGATCTTGCTCGCGCTCGTCTTTGGGCATCAAGACGCAATTGCTCCAATCGAGCCCAATCACCTTGTTCGCGTGCTTCCCGTCGCTGTCGGCGCCTTTCGTCACGGTCTGCAGCTTCTTGTCTCCGAACTTGTCGAATGTTAAACAGTGCCTCCATGTCCTCTTCTCTTCGAGCCTCCTCTTCTTCTGCTGTTTCAGGAAACTCGACCACCGTGTCAACGCCACCACGCTCGCCTTCGCGAGCAATTAGATGCTCGTCGGGCCTAGGTGCCGGGTTGTAGGCAGGCAAAGTGAGAATACTTCTGAGTGATGTATGTCTGTCAACCACATCCACAGTAGTAGAGGTCATGTCGGTATTATTGGTCGCCGAACGCGATGCACTGTATGATGTCTCTTCATCATGGTTGGCGTTTGGATCTTGTCGGCGGCCCATGCGCCGCAGATTAATGGGTGAAGAGCGTAAGATATGCCATTTCGATCTTGCAGCTGTCTTGGGCGGTGTCTTATACGAAGGAGGGCGGGTCTTGCGATAGTAGACATAAATCGCAATGACGATGAATATGCAGCCAATTGTGGCCGAAATCGCCTATAATTGTTAGCTAGGAACCGAGTAGATGTTCTGGGGAATTACGATGAGCGCTGGATTGGACTTAGGATCCTTGCCAGCACGGGGCATCAAGATTTGCGGATGCATGGTGTTCAGGAGGCAACGACTTTATACAACTCGAAATAGTCTGTCAACGATCATCATGGGTGGATGAAAAGCTGTCGCTGATAGCAGAGGCAGGCCCCCTCAAGAGGAAGGTCGTGGAGAATTCTCAGCGAGGAGCAGAAGGGCAGGAAAACAAGGATGTCAGCACTTGGCAGGCTAGAACTAAAAGCTGAGCTGATCAAGGCAAATGCCGTAATTCAAGGTTCCAAGCTTGTGGACGAAACATCCATTGCCTCTCAATACTATGTCGGCGAAGAAACAACGCAAAAGATTCTCGTTGTAAGAGGGCATTCGTGTGAATTGAACATGTTGTGGTACTACCTTCAGATTATGGCAGGCAGACCCAAGCGTTGACCCTCGATGTGTAAAAATAGAACCGCGGCTACCCTAAATTCAGGGACGAAGGCATTCGAAGCCTCAAATCTCGTTTCCTTCGAGGCTTCTTTCTTGGAAATAGGCAATTAATTCAATATCATTGCGCTACCAGTCGAGTACGTAGGTTTACTATTATATACTCTCAATGCATTTCCCAATGTGTTCAAAATGGTCTTTACTCCACGTTCAACTAGTCGCGATGCAGCTGTGCTACCAGATTGTGACAGTACTGCCTGCGCTTCAACGTTCTATCCACCATGATTAATCCAATGGTAATAGATTCTCAAGGTTCACACGTTTGTAGAAAGAGATGTGACCGAAGCTCTATACATGCGTAAGTCAAAGTCGAACGGTTTCCTTTCATCAAACACGTACCTCCCAATGCTGGGCAAGCGTATTGTGATCCTTCATGATCAGTCGTGAATTGATGAATCTATCATTCTGAAAGCCTCGATCTGCAATGTGACCCATACTTTTGACGATCCTAGCGCCTTCAAACGTTTCGTCGTCTGCAATACCTATGAGACCAGAATCGCCTATGTCGTCAGCAAACCAGGAGAGCTCTCCACGAGGCACATTCGTGTCGCCAGTCAATTTAATAGCTTCTAATCTGCCCGAAGGTCTGGCTGCAGCTTCGTCTTCTGCCGTCTCGCCAACATCAGTCCCTGGCTCAACTATGATCCCTGCTTGGTCGACATGAAAGTCATTTTGACGGGTTTGATCATTGCTGCTCGTAGGTAAGAATACGACCCCTGAGGGAAGACCCGACGAAGTTGACGACCTTCGAGTAGACGTCATTTTCGGACTTTCTTCCCCATCCCTGTGAAAGACGAGCAGAAATTCACACCCATGCGCTGAGTAGTCGCCAACCCAAATGCCTTGCCATGGCTTCTCCCGAGTGGGGGTGTAGATTTCCTTCAGAAAGGTGCTCCACGTCGTAACATCTCCATTCAAGCTTAACGACGGGAAAGGTAAGTGTGATTGGACATTGAAAGGCCTGTGAATGCGGAATGTGTAATCACTTGCTACAGACAGGGACTTTGGACGTTGTGCTTCCGAACGAAACTTATTTGCACTTTCATTGCGCACACGGTGTGGAGCGGGAATAGCTGCTGGTGGCCAAAGAGACATACTAGGATGCAGCAACTTTGGCGACATAGGCTGACAGAGTGACAATGAAGAGACTAGGCCTTGACGCAGGTGCATCATCACGTCTTTCCTTGCACGATTTTCGTATGTAGCACCTTCATACTGAAGCTTGACGACTGGACTTGGTGTCGATAAACCCACTTCCGGTCGAAAACTGTGGATAAGAACCGAGGGATCATACGACCACGGTTGGGCTGAGTGTGACCTCTGTCGAGCTCGAATTGAGTATGCTACAACATCTCCTGTTTGAGGATCATAGTCGGCCACAATGAGTTCTCCAGTATATGTTCTATCCGAGAACCAAAATCTATTTCGAACCAAGAACCAGTATGGGTGGTGTGCCATATATAGATGACGCCAGCATTCGGCCGGCTCGGATGACCGTAGCTCTGTCGTAGTGGGTATGTTTGAACGCACCAGCGACTCCCACAGAAGATCATTGTGGCAATGGGAGCGTAGATACCGCGAAGTGGCGGCCAACCTTGTGAGGCTCACTGGCGACAAAAATGACAATATGTGGAATACGATCTCGGAAGGCAGTCTTTCTAACGAGATCTTCATCATGAATTTCTCTTCGATTGATAGCCGGTGGATTAAACTCGGAAACGGCCTTTCCACGCTTGAGAGAAGCTAGAAAGGGATGCAAAGTTTGAGGATTGAAGTTCCTGAGGGTCAATCTATTGGGCTTGGCCCTTTATTTGTTGTCAGCACTGGATCTCCATACTGACGTAGGAGTCGTCATTATTTTTCTAAGGAAGGTGCTTGCGAAAGCTAGATTTGTGGCCAAAAACGAAAAGAATTGGTTGAAGGAATCAAGAATGCCCAGGACGTTAGTGCGTGGCGGCAGAGCTCGGAAGCTACCCGTAGAACTAACTATTCTGCAAAGAGGCTTGTCGGGATCTCACAGAAGGGACTACATATTTTGGACATGAGCTAAGAGACTTCATCTATGCTATATCAACATGCTGCTTTGATAGATGCACTCCCTTTTCAAGCGGCTTTGCTTTTAATTTCGGCGGCAGAGTGGAATTCTCGTGCAATGCCGATCTGTGTGGGTCTATCAGTCTAGCTTGCTGTGTCAAGAGGCACTGTGGGCCAGTCATCACTTGCATTAAACCTGTGTTTTGGCCGCTAACAACGCGAGACCGCGTAGCGGCAAAGATGCCAAGCCTTGTTTACTCTTCCGATAAGTCAGATACTATCCAGCCTATCCCGCCTGTGTACGTGTGTGCTGCTTCACCCTTTTGGACATACAACACCCTCACTCTTTGTTGATGTTTACTTCCAATGCGCGTCCGTACATGTGTTGATTTTCTGCCCTTTGCTTTATAAAGCTGCACGCTTCACCAATCTTCCTCCCACTACCAACTTTCCCACTCAATCACCGAATCATCCTCTGCAATGGCACAAACTTCTGCAGATATGGATGATCGACCTGTGGCTGTCCGAAGGAAGCGAAGGTCAAGCACTGCCCTCACCGACGCTCCCCAAGAACTCAAACTTGAGCCTGATGAGGACTGTATCCTAATCTCACCTGAAGAGGCCAAAACACCCTCCAGACGCCAGAAGCGAGTCCGCTTCTCTCATCCAGGAGCAGATGCTGCGGGTCCCTCATCATCCACGGGCCTGACCCCTTCAATGAACCGCACCTCCTTTGCTGCCTTCCGGCCTCAACCAAAATCCAGGTCTCGTGTACCTCCGCGTCTATCACTCCCCAACCCAGGGGAGATGTCTCTTGTTTCCCCATCCCTAGCTTCTGCACCATCAACCGGTGAGGTACTGATCATGCCTTGGTGTGATAAGATGGACGAGAGAGCAAAACGTCGTTTGAGGAGGAACCACTTGAGTGAGGTACAGAATGAATACGACGCCGGCCAGAAGCCTTCGCCGAAGACCAAGGCGGAGTATGAAAAAGAATTACAGCATGTCAAAGCCCAGATCTCCTTCTTAAACAAAAATCAGATGCACGGCGAGGCAGACGGCGAGAGAACTGCCTCAAAGGAACTCAAGCGAGCACGCGAGCTCGAAGAGGAAGTCGTCCGCCTGAAGCAAGAGATCCAAGACCGTGGTCTCACCGAAGCCCATCAGCTTGCCGACGTCCCAGCGTATCAGCCTCTAACGCCAAGCCCGACGATCGTCCTCGACGACATTACCGATGATTTTGAGGACACGACCGATGGCAGGCAGGAACCCCTGATCGATCAGGCATCACCGACTACCCCACGTTATGCCGAGGCCTCCACACAAGCCTCTATACGTGATCCACAACAAGATGACATGCTTCGCACTGCTCGACTAGAGTTTGAGCATACATGCCCGGGAGAAAATGCTCTTGGCTTGATACCGGAAACTTCAAAGCAACTCATCGATGCCATGCTCAAACAAGCTGGGGTATCGGAGACACGCCGTATAGTCGCTGAAGCAGAGCTGGGCAGGGAAACTACCACCAGGTCAAATGTGCAGAAGAACCTCAATTTGGCCCTCGAACAGCAAGAACGGACTCGGAGACATAATCGAAAGGTCTGTGACGAACGAGATGCTCTGAAGGCCAGGGTCAATGCCGCTCATGAACGGGTTGCCGAACTTGAAGTAAATGTCGAGGCTTCGTGGACCCGCGAACAAATGTTGGAAAAATCTGATTCCGAAAAGGAGAGATCAATCCAAAAGCTCGGCAATGCCATGAATAAAGAGCGCACAGAGGCTCGCAAACTCGAAAATCTCATCGAACAAATGGATGAAGATCATAAGGCTGAAGTGTCTAAGTTGCATTCCGACTGGGATGAAGCAGTGGCAGACCTCGAGGATAAGGTTGCTGCAGAGAGTGAGAGTCGTGACGAAGCCGAAGCAAAGGTCGAGAGGAGGAACATAAAGATTCGCGAGCTGCAAGCGCGTTTGAAGGAACTAATTAAGGCGGTCAATGAGCAGCAGTTGAAGATTCGTAACCTCGAGGATGCTCTTGAAACCGAACGTATCGGTCGTGAGCGTGCAGAGACGATCAGTGAGGAAGAACGCATCGGTCGTGAGGAAGAACGCATCGGTCGTGAGGAAGAACGCATCGGTCGTGAGGAAGAACGCATCGGTCGTGAGCATGCAGAACACAATGTCCTGAAATCAGAACACAACGCCCGTAACTCAGACAAGCGTTACGAACAAGCCGATCTAATGCGTGAACTCATGGCACGAGCAGTACAGGAAGAGCGCGACGCAGGCAGGCGAGCAGTACAGGAAGAGTGCGATGCATCCAAGCGAGCAAGCGCCGCCGACCGAGCGGAGATCTCACACCTACTCAAGAAACTTGAGGCTCTTCAGGACGCTCGGATCAGCGACTCTGAGAAACGCAATGCGAACGTTCTCGAACGCCAAGGACTGTTGACTCCAATAGTGGGTTCCCGTTTCCGCGATGTTGATGAGATTGATGGCATGGGTGATTCTGTCGAAGTCCGACGCGGCAAGAAAGCCAAGACGAGAAAGCGACCTGACAGTGGCATTGTCATTCTTGAGGAGGATGAGGACGAGGTGATGGGTGATTACTAACTTATCATTGGAAAATGTGAGGACGAGAGAGTGATGTGTGGACGAGAAGGTGGATGATTTGCTGAGGATTGTCTGCCATTGTGAAGGAATGTCTGCGGAATTTGCAATGTATAACCATGCGGTGCTGGCAAGGAATTTCCATGGTGTGGTGTAATTTAACCAAGTGGAGAACGCCTCTCTGAGAGTATACGGGCCATATCCCCTCAATACAGAGATCTCATATGATTAGCATCAAATAAACATTCAAGTGAATCTTGTGTCCCAGCGTTGTCTTGTTCTGTGCCATCAATTAGTGAACGCGTTTGATTAAAGAGACGTCCTGAAGTGGGGCCAGGATTCCACGCCAAGACCTTTTCTTCTTCGCCAAGGTGACCCCTTTTTCAATCGTCGGCGGCCTACTTTGCATTACAGGTGGACTCAAGATAGCTGAGCAGCAATACTTTACAAGGAAGCAGGGATCGTAGCAAGCCATGAGCTCAGAATAAGTGTATTAAAACTCGATTCTCATTGCTTGCCTGCTATATGAGTAGAGGGAACTTTGCTAACACAGCAGCTTGCAATCTGACATGTCTTCACAAACGCAACAAGCCATTGATTGAAATGACCATCTCAGTCCTGACCACAGCGCTGCTCGCTGACTTGGCCGACTCAAGCAGCCGCCGCGACCTCAAGTAAAGGCTTGACCTCCTCACTAGTGACAGCAGCAAGATCGAGCTGATCACCACCTTGCTGCTGGCGGATCTTCTCGAAAATGACCTGCTGTCTCGCCCACTCACCATCCCCCGCCACATGCTTCAAGGGCGCGTCGTCACTGACATCTGGACCAGTAATGGGCTTCACATCCTCCGTACGATCAAACTCCTTGGGTAGCGGACCATAAGGCTGCTCGATCTTGTCGTTGTTGTAAGCCTCAACCGCGGCCTTGAAATTAACGCTTTTGCCGGAGTGAGCGAAGAGGAACTGGTAGACGCCACGAACGGCTGATTCCAGTGCGCCGACCACCCACGCATGGTGGGCAGATGCTGCTTCGCCGATGATGATGTGCTTGCCATCATTGCGGACGACCCAGGGATACATGTTGCGGAATTGGCCGGGACCGAAGTAGGCGAATGCACCTTGGGTACCGGTATCTTGGTACCAGTCATAGGCGTAATGGGACTGGTACTCGCCCCAGATGAGCTCGTGTAGCTTGTCATACTCAGAGTTGTCCTTCATATGCAGTCTAGTCAGATTGTCGACCAGAAGAGCTTTCAGCTCGTCTTCATCCTTAGGAGAGTCTCGGTGAATGAGAGCACCGAGACGCTGTGCCTCTTGAGACCACGTGTACGAGCAGAGAAGGACGCCCGGCTTGTCGACTCCCTTCTCTGGGTCGTAATCATAGATATTGTAGGACGGATAGACGCAATTACGAATAGGTAGGTCGGTCTTGCCGCTGCCACCCTGAATGATTCCCCGTTTGAGCCACCAGAGGGATTTGAAACGAATGCCAACTTTGCACGATGCGCCATAGCCTAAGGAGCGGATCGCTTGTTTCGTTCCCCAGTTGAGGTTAAGACCCCGAAGATCCATTCTTTGCATGGCTCCTAAGGGCGCCGAATTGAAGACCGCGTCGTATTCGCGAGGCTTATCTTCGTCTTTGACAGAAACTCGCACCACAACATCATCCGGGACTTTCTTACCCTTTTCGTCCTTCCAAGTGAGTGTTTTGCGCGCCAGCTTCGTTGCTCTCTTAGAAAAGGTCACAGTTTTCTTGCCATTCTTGTCTGCGTTGACTCTATTGTACATTCTCTTGGCGATCTCCTGGGAGCCTCCTTCGACGCACCTCCATTTGTTGAGCGGGGCAGCGAAGTTGATGTCTTCGAGCACCATCTTGACATTTTGGAGTTAGTAAAATTCGTTAGAGATAAAGATAATCCTGGAATACATTTCTGCAGTTCATGACGAGACTAGGTTGTTGGACCAAACTTGTCTTTCTCGGGGAAATTGATTAACATGGAAAAGCTGGCTTACCTCACTCAGAGCTTCATCGTACCATGAAGTGCCATAGCTATATGTCTCCAGCCACTCTGTCGTGTTGTAATCGTACAGCTTCGAAAACCATTGTCGGACACTATAGGCGTCGCCAAATTTCATAAGAAAATTCCATCCTTTCTTTGGGTCTGCCTTGAGCTTGTCCGTGAAAGGCTTGATCATGTCCTCAATCAACTTCGAAGGCACTTCATCTTCATACCTATATAGGCTATGTAAGGATTCATCGCATTCCCGGTGAAACGAGATGATACATACCAATCTAAGAGCCCAGTAACTTTGAATGACTTCGCCGTTGGAGAATCATTTTTCTCTTTCTTTGGCGGATCACCCTGCTTTGGCAATGGGTCAACTTTGGGGACGACTCGGACATCATTGTAGAGCTGTGGGTTATTTGGACCCGTTAAATAGTATGGAATCAGATCGCCAACTTTCGGTTCCTCGGATGAGCTGTCCTTCATCTCGAGAAGATCGAACAGTGCGAAAGTGCTACCGAACATTAGTTCATGGAACGTAGTGGCTTTGATCATGAGATTCACGGCGCCATTGGCTCAATATTTGGGAAACGCATGGCTCCGACATCATAGTAATCATGTGGTCCTGGGTTGGGAACGTCCTTGAAGTAATACGAGTAGAGCCGGCCGCCGATCCTATCCTCGCCGTTCGATTCAAGAATTTCATAGGTCACGTTGAGTTTGAATCTTTCGTTCAAATAATCAAATATCATGGCAGTGAATAGGCCGGCACACCCAGCTCCAATTATGCCGACATTGAACGACGATTTCTGGGTCTCCTTGTCGAGGGTGTCAGTGATTGGAGCGAGCTCATTACGATTCTGTGGCGTTGGCTAATAGCTGATTAGTTATGTCTCCACGAAACAGATCCCATTTGTACCAAAGAAGGTATGCCTCTTTGAATCTCGGCTAGCTGCTCACGGATCGCGATAGAGGCCCAGCGAGAGGCATATGATGCAGTGTTCGACTGCCTATCTGTATATTGAGCCATGGTTTTGCTTAAAGACTTGAAGCTTAGTCACGAAAAATGGACCATGGGGGAGGAAGACCATGGAAATAAAAAACGTGAACTCTTCCTCTCCTTATATGCAACGCAAGATAAAGACACAGGGACGCAAGAGTGTTCGAGATCGAGACGAATTCAGGTCACTATCCGTGCTGGCAAAGCCATTCGCCATGCACACGATTTTGCCAGTGGACGGCTAGGTATAGCAACACGCGCTCATGCAGTGTGACAACGCCAAGCGTAACTGCAAACGGCTGGAAATGGCATCGATGAGAACAAAGAATGCGGGCCCAGACTGTTGTAAAACTATTTCAGCTGAGTCCGTTCAACGCCGCAGAGGTACTATCAGCGCCGTCAGAGACAAACGGGTATGGCCGCTGCTGCTGCGGGCGGGGAATTCGATCACCCCTGCCATTCTATGGCCATTATGGGTTAAGCTCAGACCACCTAGACTCACTAGAGCTTCCAGATTTGGATCCTTGACGGCCAGAGACGTCACGGCGTGGGTACATGGACATAAATCTTCACGATCGATGCGTGTTGCCGAAAAATTGACCAGATAATGGCAAAAAGGCGGTCAATGTTTGAGCTCCAGACTCGGCTTGTCGGCGTCAGTGCAAAGCTCCTCCCGTTCGCCCAAAGCAAGGCCTACGTCTCGTGTTGGCTGGACAGTTCTTCTGACTCTGAGGTGATTGTGGTGCATTAGCGACCTCACAAGCACTTCGTAAGCTCATCGATTGTGTGTGTGATTGGCCTTTCAGGTCTCAGGTAGTAACTGCAGAGACGATATTCGCGGAGGGAGTCATGCACAGCTCTAGTGTTGTGTGGGGGACACATGCTCCAAGTCAACCGTGTACATGCATAAATAGCTTGAAAAGTTTGATCACAGAAGCAGCTACGGGTACATAAATTGATATTTGGTCCGAGCTGGTGCTGAGTCCCCAGTTGAGAGCCCCAAGTTCACGTCTGAAGGGAAGGTGCAATATCAAAAACCAGACCTGGTCATTGTCTTGATTACAACAAATCTGGCCTCAAAATGGCAGCTATTCGCCTCCTTCTTGTCGTGGATGGCTACTTCAGCTTAGGGCCTCAGGACCGGAACGATCGTAGTTTTTCAGTTTCGCACCTCATCAAGACATTGAAAAGCAGTACGGCACCCAAAGTGTCTCTAGATACTGCCCATCGAGATGGTGACCTTGACGCAACAATCTGGGGCAAATTTGACTTCGCAGAGTCCGTCACTGATCTGAGTATCTATCAGGAGATCTGGATGTTTGGTTATAATGGAGCCAACCAGATGGATCCCAAGAATGCAACCATTCGGCCTCCGCTTCGAGAGCCTGAGCTGCGAGCAATCTCTCAGTTCATGCAGAACGGTGGAGGTATTCTGGCATCTGGAGACCATGAAGGTCTCGGATCATTCATGTGTGGCCGCATACCGCGAGTCCGGTCAATGAGAAAGTGGTTTTCAGCAAAGGACACAAGCCCAGATATTCCGGCTGAAGCTCCCCGGAATTGGCCAGTCAGTGGTCCAGATCGAGCTGACACACTTCAGAAAGGCGTCGATGATGAATATCTTTTCACGAACCAGTCTGACGACATTCCGCAGCCATTGAAGCTGATTGAAGTGCCCAGGACTGGAATTCATGAAGTCTTCAAGTTAGATTCTCAAACGGTTCTGCAGCATTTTCCAGACCACTTCCACGAAGGTGAAGTGCTTGGCTTCGGAGGTGTAGATGAGAAGAGTTCCAAACCATGGACTTTAGAAGGTAAGCTGACCTTTGACGGCAAAACATTCGTCGAATATCCCAGCAATGGCAGCGGCCACCAGGAGGTGCCCCAAATCATCGCTACAGGCACAGTGACCGGCGGACACAAAACGGCCGTCGAGAAGGGCAAGCTTTGTGAAAGCGGCTTTGAGGAGGATGACTCGCTCACGAATGCAAAGACAATCAACACGCTATCTGTTTATAATGGTCACGAAGTAGACGTCGGTCGCGTGCTGACAGACTCGTCTTTCCATCATTTTTGCGACCTGAACCTGATAGGAGATCCTTGCGCAGTAGCGAAGAGGACCCAAGGATTTGACCTTGGATTTTTGGCCGAGATGGACCATTTCTTGTTGAACGTAGTGAAGTGGCTGGCACGCAAGTAGCAAGTAGCCAGAGCAAAGGACGATGGCAAAACGATATTCTCTCAATGAAAATGAGGTACCAAGGACACTACCTGTAAAGACACGACAACAGACTCCTCGCTGCGAAATGTCGACGTCTTTCAACTTGACGTCCGCATTATCCAAGCGTTGGCTTGATTCCCCCAACTTGATAGCCTATTTTCAATCGTTATATACCTGCGAATGACTGAGCATCCGCTGCACTCTCCTGCTCATAAAATAGTGTAAGAATGGGTTGCTAAATAAAAATCAGAGAGGAGGGCGATTTGAGCGGGGAGCATTTCCATAAATGCGCGGTCAAGATGGGAATTGCGCGGCAAAATCTGATCTGGGGGATGATCTTTTCCTTCCGCAAAAAATCGTTTACAATCTCAATGCTTGATCATCTTGCCTCCCATTGCCCAGTAACGCTTTCAAACATTCCTGTACAAGTCCCGTTCATGTTTAGCGGCTTCTTTCTACGCTCTCTCTGCAGTCTCTTGCTCAATTTGGAACCTTGAATAGCCAATCGAAAACCTCAAAACCACAATTCCTCTGCAGGCCAACAACTATACGATCTCCACCTTGCGCACTGCGTCCTCTCAACTGCCGGCCTGCGGGCCTCACAGATCCCAGCCCACCCTCTGAACTCACTCTCCATTCACCACACAAATCATGTCCCTAGTCCACCTCGCCTCCGCCTGCTCCCACCTCCAAAACGCCTCCAAAGCCCGGCTTGGCCTAACCTCCGTCCCACGCACGAATCAACTCCACCACCTCTTCCTCAGCCTGCAAAAATGCGGCTACATATCCAACGTGACGATGGGTGGACCCTTCCCCCCGCCTCCCTCACCAGTATCGCCGGTCATGTCGACGAATCCCGCCGCAAGAGACGATCTCACGTCGCATGTTGCTGTGAATCCTAATGACTTAGAGAGCGGCGAAGGAAGAGGGGGAGAGGAGGGAAAGGGAGAAGAGGAACATGGAGGGGCGCTGACACAGGCGAACGTGGCGAGCAGGAGACTATGGATTGGGCTGAAGTACTTTAATAACAGGCCTGTGTTGGAGAAGATGCGGCTGGTTAGTAAACCCACGAGGAGGGTGGCGATGGGATTGCCTGACCTGGAGGGGCTGGTAGTGGGGCAGAATAGGGGGTCTATCAGGGGTTTGAGGGGGATTGGGGAGGCGATGTTCGTGAGTACGGATCGGGGGATCATGGAGATAAGGGAGTGCGTGGAACGGAGGCTGGGGGGGCTTTTGCTATGTCGGATTAACCATCCTTGAGGGAGAAGGGTGGAACGAGACTGGGGAGAACTTCGTTACAAGATGCTGGCTGAGACTCTAGCTAAGACTAAGAAGCTGGATCGCAGCAAGAGGCGGCTCAACAATCACAGAAGGCCATCTTCACCACATATTGACGTACAGGAGCAGGAGGGTACGGTACAGCCGTGCGATGAGTGATACCCAATCTCAGCGCTGTAAATACACATTAAGTTATATAGCGGACTTAGTATAACAAAGCGAAGGGCAGCAGCCCGTACATAATACACCTGAATCATCCTGGTCCCGCCAGGCCAAAGAGTTGCTGGGGAATGAGTGCCCAATCTCATGCTTGGTATCATAATTCCCAAACGCTGTGCCAACGCCAAACGAATGCTGAACGGCTAACCAGCGTACTTTTAATAAGCCTCGAGTGCCTGTGATGCTGGCTCAGTATTTTCAATTCCTCTGGTGACCTCCTGTGCCGCCCCTGTCGCAGTAGCAATTGCTGGCGGCGCTTGTGTAGGCTCAACATTCGATCCTTCCTCTGGGACCTCCGCTAACGGCTCTTCTCCTATCTCCATGATCTCATCTTTCGAAGCCTTACCGTCGGACTTGGTATCGGTCGATTCAGAGCTTTTCCTCTTCGGCCTAGTCGCATGACTAGCATTCTTCCTTGGAGGTGATTTTGGCTCGACCTTCTCATGGGTCTTTTGCGCTGAGCTTTGGGTTGGCCGCATCATGCGCTCCAGGAAGTTACCCGATGGGACTGCTGTACTTGCCATAGAGGCTCTCGCCTTGGGTTTTGGTTTCTCGTACGGCTTGGAATTGGGTGGTAATGAAGCTCTTGCGGGTTTTGATGTCTTGGTAAGGGATGCGATACGACCGTTTGGAACGTACGAAGCGCTGCTTTGTCTGCTGGACACACGTGGGGCCGGCACACTCGCTTCGGGACCATGTTTAGCTGCCGAGGAGGCGGTAGGTGCCGTGGCAGCAGTCGGTAGTTTGGCTGGCTTTGTTGGTGACTTAGGACGAGGTTTGTTGAAGGATGGGCTTGCTGGACTTGATTTCTTCGCAGGCTTCGGGCCTCCTGTGTTCAAGATCGTTGGCTTTGAGGCTGCGGACTTGATTGCCGTAGTTGGATTCTTCACCGCTTGTTTTGCGGTATCTGCAGCCTTGTGTAGGGTCTGCGTGGGATGCCTTGCTGGCTTGTTTTGCTCGGGCTTCGATACCGAATGCGTCTTCGACGAGGCAATCCCTGGATGGGGTTTCGCAGTCGATGCCTTCGCGCCTGTTGGAGAGAGCGAGACGGCGTGTGGTCCATTCAAGCTTGCCTCTGCCCTCTTTCTGTGTGGTAACGGCTTTTCTGGCTCCTTTGTTGCAGCCTCTGAATGGTCTGTAGCGTCAGGGGCGCTCTTGATCCCATTTCTTGTGGTCTTTGTGTTCGTTGCCTCCTTCGGCTTGCCATTGACGAGAGGATTGTGCTTGGGAGGCTCCTTGACAGGTTCCTTCAAGGCTTGAGTCGGCGCCAAAGTTACGGAATGTTTGGATGCTGCGGCGTGTGGAAGTTGGTTCGGTAAACGCGTATCTGAGCTTTGTTTCGCCGTGGATGACTTCTGGCTCGCAGAGGCCTGCTTTGCAGATTGGGGCTTGGTTGGTGCGGGTATAGAGGGTGGCTTATGCAGGGCGGTCTCGCCTTCGAACGGGGAACCTTTTAAAATGGATCCAAGGCTTTCATTGTCTCCTGGCAGTGCTTTCCCTCCAGACACTGTAGCTTCATCTTTGGGATCACTCGATAGCATTTTAGGCACGTGATCCTCGGCGGTAGAAACCGGTTTGCCTGGATTTGCGGTTTCTCCATTCACATGTGAAGTAAGGTCTGCAGTCTTCTCACGGTGAATTGGTTGGTGTCCCAGTGAATTCCTCACGTCAGGCCCGATCGTCTCGTGAGCTCCATCCAATGTTGAAGGGCCAAGCTTGGGAACATCTAAGGTGGAAGCCATGTGTCCACTGGGTTCAACGGCTACGAAGCTTGTGCGTATTTTGCTGAGAGGGCGGTTGTGCTCGCTATTTACACTCGCGGCGGGCGACCTGCCTCGAGAAGGTGGTGAATTGTCCTTGTCTTGTTGGTTCTGTTCGAATCGAGCCCGCAAGGAAGCAACGCCGCTAGGGGAGGGTGACATGACTACAGCGCAGTCTGGTCAGCTACGACCGGCTCGTATCTTCTTCTTGGAATAACTCTGCGTTCTCATCTTCCACGACCAGCTCTGAGGCAGGGGTAGCAGGGATACTCTTGAGGGTGGGATGGACTTGGTGGAGGTTGACTTAGTGAGTTATTAGGCTTGCATGCAGCGGAACCGCCTGCATTCCTGAAACACACGCGCCTGTCGAGGCTGTCGTGCTGTTGACAAGCATGCGAATACACGATGAAGAGGAATCTTGAACTTACAACTTGGACGGGCCTTGATTTCAGAGCATCATATCTCAGCGTTAGAGCACCGATCAAAGCGGGCGAGTCTAGCATTCGAGAGTATCAACACAGTAGTCACGTCTTCATTTCCCCTGAATAAACACGCCATTCCCAATGAGGAAATCCTAACAACTCTATGGCACCATGACGTTGTAAACGCTCGTTATAACTCTTATAAATGATATAGCCCCCAGTCAGATCATCCCAACTTTCGAATCCTCTCCGTCACAAATCCAATCTCGCGCAGCCTTTGGTAGATTGAGGGAAGCCCGCATTTACATGTCCGAGCTGTAGGGAGAAAACGCTCTAATCCCCCTCCCCCCAGCTGTAACATTCGTCTGCGATGGGACACGTCAAGGTCATCTCATGCTTCAAGCGTTGCGCCAAATGCCTTGCCGGACGATGACTATTTGAGCTCCATCAGTCAAATGCCGCTGATCAGCTCGCATTAACCTACCGCCGTGAGCTTTGGACCGATGCCGTCTGAAGATTTGATGCTATCTGAAATTATCGGCGGTTTGTGTCAAGCTTGCAGCTGTTATCTTTGGCTGTTTTTTGACTCCAGGCGTTCTTCCATGGTGTTCAAGCCGCCCTGGGATTAGCCCATTCTCTTCCCAATTCCCTTGATCAATCGATTAACACCTTTGTCAACCCGCCCTGCTTGTTGCTCAAGCTTGCCAGCTTGCTGGCCAGGACCTGCTTGCGGGCCGGTGTGCTTTTTATCACGCTTGGCTTCATCTTCTGTCGGTCGATAAACCTGACTATGAACATCGTAACCTGTGCCCTGTCGCTCTGGTGCCTGCGGCGGCTGTGGTGTGTATGTAAAATTGGAGTAACCACCAGGAGGGGCGGGAGATTGATGCCCTGTAGATCCAAGATAATCTGCATATTGAGGCTGAACGTGCTGCAACGGCTGATGAGCACCTCCAACGTACGAATTGCCGAGGACTTGCGTAGCCGGTGACTGTAAAGGCTTGCCGCTCTCGTCATATTGTGGTGCATCCGCTGTTTGTGGTGGAGGACTGAAGGTAGGTACCAGCTGTTGGTTGGAAGGAGAGGCCTGATTGGGTGGGCTTTGAGGTGGTGGTGGTGGGATTGAAGCAACACTTCCCAAGCGCTGTCCAGTAGCTGTTGGTATGTGTGACGAGGAAGGAGCTTGTGGAGGAGAGCCAACATAGCCATGAGAGTAAGATGACTGCCCGTATGGCGGGCGAGACAGTGAGCTTTGTGAAGCCATTTGCGTTTGATCCGCATATGCTGCTGCAGCTAGACCGGTACCGGTATCCGCATCCGCAGGCGGTGGAGTCTTCTCTCGATGCTTGATGGGTTCAGGGGCAGCAGGGGCAGCAGGGTTATAAGCCAGCGGTTGGTAAGCAGCTGGATCCGCTGGCTTGGAAGAGCCGCCCGTAGCTTGAGAAGAAGGCGTTTGTGATGGGCTATTGTTGTTGCGAGCTTGATAAGAGGGGTCCTGTATGGCCGCTTTTTCAAGCTGTTGCACAACTGGGCTCATGGCCTTTTCTTGAGCAGGTTGCGGAGTCGGTACGTCAAGCAAGACTACCTGATCATGTTGCAGAAGCTTTTTAACATTGTTGACAAAACTGTCTGCATCCTGTGACGTCCAGAAGTACACGTCCACGGTATGGAGAGGGAGGAGACGATGGCCCTGCGCGTGTGGATCCGGCAACATCCAATGATGCTGAGCTCTTGGGGTAGGAGTCCCAGCATTAGAGCCCCTGCGATGGTACCCATCTATGGTCACTGTGCACAACGTAGGGTGTTTGTGCGATTGGCGAACGGTGGCTGTGTCGAAATCTATCTACTCTTAGACTGAACAATCGCCCTTGCTGATAGACTCACTGCCAGTGAAAGCATCTTGGTATTGAGTGCCAGCATTGTTCGCAACCTCTAGTCTTGCTCCACTTCCACTTCTGTTACCATAAAGATACAGATAAGAGCCCTTCTCAAAACGGTGTGAGGAAGGCTTTGGTGTGGGAAGGCCGAAGAAATAATGAATATCAGCGAACCTATAGATTTGAGCTGTGTACACAAAATCACGTGCAAGAAAATCTTACACGATCATTAATCTTTCCTCTCCTGCTTGGGCAGCCATGTTGTAGTATATTTGTGGAGGTTTTTAAAGTATTGTGGAATCTCATTGCTTCATAACTAGCAAGAGGGGCGAAGAGGTCTCGGAGCTATGCGTGATTATACTTTTGGTCGACCGTAGCCCCTGACCTTGTTCCCGCGGCTAAAATGCCCTCGATGCCACAATTCTCCATATGCCGCCATGCCTTTGCGAGATATAACATCAGAAGCTGAATCATGCAAGTTAAATAAGAAAGCATTTTGATCTTTACAGGACCGAGCATTTACAACACCTTCAAAGCATCAGTCAACCTCCACCTCTCCGACCCAACTCCTGCAACAACTAGCTGTGAAACTCCCTGGGCATCCTCGAATGATTCGAGACATGAAGCATCCGCAACGCTAGAGCATACGACCTCCTCCAACGTGACAATGACGAACTCACTTTCATTGTTTGGATGGTTGACCTTGATCAGCCAAACCTTCAGCATCTGGTCAGTACCCACTGTGGCGAAACGGTATACGTTTGTGCCATCTGAGCGCCCCAGGGAAGCGATGCCCGTTATGGCAGAAGCATGGGCATTGCATTTGAGCGCCGCAGTAGTCATAGATTTTGATCCTTGGGGAGTAACTTTCACGTGTACCACACCCAATGCTTGATCGTCACCTCCTGTTACGACCAACATATTGTTTGCAGGAAACGTATCGGATCGGATATCTAGAACAGTCAGACAATGTATGCTACTCTGATGTACTGAATGGCGATGAATCTTTTTCAAAGCTACCGCAGGATCAACGTCAAACTCACGGATAGCGACATGTCCGTCTGAGCTTGCTGTACAAAGCATTTTGCTCTGACCGAAATCTAGAATGCGGCTTTGCGTAAGACAGTCCGTAGTGTACGAACTGTTATGGAGCAGTTCATAGCGATTCTTATCCGTAACTTTTATCTTTCCCTCTGCTTTGAACCGCCAAATGCGTATTGAGGAGTCGGAGTATGCCATCGTTATAAGATATTCTGGTCTTATTCTCTGACTTTGCACTTGTGAAGGAGTCTCGCATATGCAGAAATCCATGATTCGCAGGGCCTTGTCATGAGTGACTGTGGGACAACGACCATTGCAGACAACGTAGGGGAAGCCATTGAGTGATCGGACACGCCAGGCAATGAATTCCTCACACCCTCCAGCACTGAAAAGCCAGCGGCCATCCTGGGTCCATAATAATCTTTGAAGACCAGTGGTATGCTCTTTCAGAATCGTCGCACAGCGATTCCCTCCATCGTCCAAGCTGAGGAGTCGAATCGTTGTGTCTTCAGCACCGGTAGCTAGGAGGCGCTTACTGTGCGGAGAACTTGGGAAAGGCGATACTGCCGCAGCTTTAATCTCACGTCCGTGGCTTCCAAATTGTAGCACTCGATGCGATGGCCACTCTTGACTGTATACACTGCAAATAGAGGCTTTGGTCCAAACAAAGCTGCCACCTCTTGTCGTCTCATGGTGAAAATACGACCAATTTCGGTGAGCGCCACCGCATTCCACGGACATGAGTTCCTGTTTCATTGTCTCATTGTATACGACAAATCGTGTACTGTTGAAGCCCCACAATATCAAGTGCCCTGTATTTGGAGATAATTGTGCACCTTCGATATTTGGTCCAAATGGTGGGGAAATGGTATGAATGGTCGTCAGTACAGTCGAGGCTGGCTGGTCAGGATTGTATCGAAGCTTGTGGAAGACGCACTTGCCATCTCGACCAGCAGTCAGGAAATATACTTTGTTTTTAGACGGGCTCGGTCCACACATGCGGAGTATCACCGTTATAGCATTCTGCTCATGAAGACCCGACAGTCTCGTGCTAGTCTTGCGAGTGAGATGGCTAACGCGACACTCTCCTGTTCTTGAACCTTCGATGCACAGATTCTCATCATGAAACATGCAAGAGCTCGTTGTCACGAACTCTGCCTCACCTATTTCCCTCTGGCTTTGACCAATAATAATATGATGTAAGATCTTGGTCGATGGATCTCCAGCACGTAGTGAGACGGTCTGTAAGCTCGAGTTCCCTAAAGCTCGAAACACGAGAGCTACCATTTCTTCACGTTGCTCCGAGCCGTTGGCAGTCCAGGCAACAGGACATTCATGAGCTTTGAGATAGCCCAGTTTTCTGCCTACTTTATGCACTAGACTAATTGCTTTAAACGTTGACAAATAGACGTAGATGGCGCCTTCATTGCCCGTCACGAGAGCAAGGTTTTGGGATGGGACGCAGGTTATCATAGAGGCAGACGCGAGATCACTGTTGTGCCCAACGACTTGCCAAGTGACTCGAGTCTGGTGCTTATCAAATTTGTCTTCCGTTGAGATTTCATTCTTTTGAGATGAAGCCAAATGTCCGAGCAAGACGCTCCCTTGTTCAGTCGTAGCCAGAAACTCAGACTCGCTCAACCATGCATAAGCTTTGAATGTGTCGGCTTTTGTTTTTGCTTGCGTTACTAATTCTGAAATGGGGGCTTCCTTGCTAATTGAGACAACGCTCTTCTGCTCCTCGCCGATATCAGTATTAATCATGTAGTTTGCGGTGGAAACATAGTCTTTCTCTGGTCCTTTGACGGTATATTGGATCTGCCATAACAACAGGGCACGATCTTTCACCCTGAAGATATACTCGGGCAAGTAAGTATCGCGTTCGCATAGATGATGTCCTGAAGCTTTGGTAGCTGTGATACTCTCTCCGTTACTCGATGACGAAGCAGACTCTTTATCAAACAGAAGCTTGTGGAAAAGATAATCAACACTTGACCCGTCAGGCTTGACAAACCATACGCTAATCTCATCAGAAGTCTTCTGGTATCGGTATACATATTGTCTACTCGCTTTCATCGTGAAACCTAGGTCTGTTGCGAAGTCACCCTTTTCAGAGTACCAGGCTTCACAATCATAAGCATCATCAGTGACCTGTACTGAATGCATGTCAGCTATGCCCTCCAGTTGCCCCGAAGGTTGTGAGGTAATGTGGCTCTTTATCGTCCTCGATAGCTTCCACCTGCCCATCATCGCATCATATATTGATTTGACTAGGCTTTTTGTAGCTTCCTGGGTGGTGCAATGGACGTCTCTAGAACTGGCCACTTTGACATCTAGGTCGCTATTGTACGTAACGACACGACCATCGGCTCCTCCTGTAGCAATCACGTGCGTTTTAAGTCGCGAAATAGCGCTTGCCCAGACGTTCTTACCAGTATGATATCCGTAAGTATGTGCATGGGAAATTTTTGTTTTCCACTTCGCAAATTTGATACCTGATTCTATCTTCCTTTCTTGGGAGAAAACAACCTGCCATAGTTGTGATGTTCCATCCTCTCCTGACGATAAAAGCCGTAAAGTCGACTCGTGCTGAAGAAATCGAACGGACCAAATGCGGGACGCATGACCACTAACACTTCCCAAACACGCACCTACATTCTCTGACGGACGCTTCTCTGAAGAAATAGATATATCCCACAACTTGATGGTGCGATCGTCACTACAGCTGGCCAGAATACAAGCAGGCATATTTCGCAACTCAGATCCTCGTATCATACATACACCAAACACTGATCCTTCATGACCACTAAGTCTGCAGTGCAAATCGTAAGGCGCAGAAGCATCTGGAAGCGGACTCTCAAACGTAGACCAAACAAGGATGTCGCCACTTACTGTTCCTGAAGCAACAAGAACTCTTTGATTCTCGCGCCAGATTTGACCTGAGTAGAGGACAGAACGGGGTCCAGATGTAAAGATGAATGGTGAACATGCTACATGAGATTCTTGTTCTGAATGGTGATTAAACTCTAAGCTCAAAATCTCGTTGTGTGCTGATATAAAAAGTGCCTTCGTTGTAGATTTGAGATCGGCTGACGGATTACAAATTATAGCGTTAAAGACCCAATCGTCGAATATGATCTCTTGAGTTAGAGGATTCAAGTCAGGGACAATTAGAGAAAATGGGTCGGAATTGAATGCCGAAAGCTCAATAAATAACGTGGATTTGCCGCCGTAGACGAGCAGTATGCAAGACAACGTACCATCGTGGTCGTCTCGCTCTGAGCAGACAATACCATGGATTAATTGACATTTGAAGATTTCTTTCGTTGTCAGGAGTCTTCCAGAACTGTGGTCGAAGATTTTCAAATATCTGCCCTCTCCTACAAGCAACAGTAGCGTATTAAAGTGAAGAAAGGCAAGAGCCGTGACAGGAGTACAAGAGTTATCTAACTTCATCACTGGCTACAAGTTGAGCAAGACTCCTCGATTATCTCATTGTGGGACTGCCTTATTTTTATCTCACCGTTAACCTGGCTTAAAAAGCCTCAAAGTGAAGGCAAGCAAATTTAGCTGCTGGCTGACGAGCGCCACCTGAGTCTTGAGATGAAGAATGAATCTGTGAGGGGACCGACACCATGGCAGCTCGAAATTAGAGGTGGCTGTAAGTAGCATGGATTCAATTAGTTAGATGTCTCTCCCGAGGGTCGGTGAGTCTGAATGTGGAGGGGAGCCCTGATGCCTGCCCGATAAGCCCGTCTTGAAGCCTAGGCGCACCCCTCTATTTTCATCCATGTAGGTTTGGCGGCAACACGTCGTCGCGGAGCAATCAACGGAAAGGAGTTCCGGAGTGGTTTCCATACACCGCAAATCAAGGGATGGATTAGCTCAATGATTGCAAGAGCATTTCCAAGAGCTACAAAAAGTGGTGGCAATTTATTCACGCAATAATTTATGGGTCAACGTTCGAAAAGACGTCCTGCGTTACAAGCCGAGTATACTCAGGACATAACCGGGTTATTCAAAAAGATCGGGCCGAGGGGACGCTTAGCTCTCAATGGAGAAAACTTTTTCCGCCCCGAGATTTTGCCCGAATATCAGAATGCTGACTCATCCATATGGTAGCGACTAAACCACGACTGCTCTCGAGACAGACACTACTTTGGGCAGCAAAAATACGACGATCAGGTCGGCAAGAGCACTGTTCTTGCGAAACAAACTCTCTCCATCTTGAGTGATAGGATAAAACGAATACACCGACCAGCTTGGAAAAAGCACAATCTTTTTAAGTACTAGGACAAAGCAAGCAAAGAGTCTCGGGTGCATGTCTCGGGAGCCTCTTGATACTCCAAAACTTACCCCTTTATGATAAAAATGAAATTTAGTCATGGAGGGGATCGAACCTGATTGATATTAGCAGACCGAACTTAATGAATGAAGCGAGACTCGTACCCTCGGCCTTCACGGTACCACAAGGAGTAGTCGACTTTCTCCCAGTGTAAGCATGACGTGATAACCACTACACTGGGAAACCAGAGTTAATTCCAGAGAAAACAGAAATTGTATTTGGAGAAACATACCCACACGACTTCCGATGTTGTCAGCATCTATTAAATTATATATTGTATATTGCAAACAGCGAAGGTGATGGACCTTAAATGATTCAAATTCCACGGGCTATTGAGAACTCAAATGTGCTTGATCATTGCTGATGATTACGGAACTATTGCTACAGTCCAAAAATATTTACGCTGCAAAGTGGTATCTCCCGCTAAGATGCTAAAGCAGATATCGCTGTCCGTCCAAAGCTACTGTCGATCGCATGTCAGATTTGTATGAAAAGCAAAGTTGTAGCGATCCCGGTCCCAGGCATACGCAGCCAGTAGATATCTTCTATTTGAAACCCATGCCGGTATATGCTGCTTCTTGGCTCGTGACGGTAGGCTTGATGTTTGTGTCACTGGACCTTGCCCACTCGCTGCCGGATTCGCATAGCTATTGCCATTACCCGGTTGGATAGCATTGAAATTGCGAACGAAGTCTTTGAACGGTGTTTGATCATCCCGCCACCATTCCGCATCCTCGCGGGAGCCTTCACTTAGTTCCTTGGTTTTCTCTCTTTCTCGGCTACTCGTTGTAGTCCGCGATTTCCTGGGCGGGGCCGGTAAGTCAGAGGTCTCAGAGAATTCTCGCCGCAATGGGGAGTTTGCTCGCAACGTTGATGTAGACTCTGCCGAAACCAAAGAGACGCGATTCCTCGAAGGCTTAGAAGATCGAGTGTGGGTTACACGGGGCGATGCATTCGAAAACGGGTTCCTTCTTCGCTGGTCAACACGACTGGGAGAGCTTTGAACGGAGCTACCAGACAGATCTGTTTCCTTGTTCCACGGCAAGTCACGACGGCTTTTCTGCGCAGATGCTGTACGACTTGGTGTTGAGTGGTGTTCCTGATAGGGCATTGGGTCATCATCATCCAAAGTAAGGTCAATAGTAACAGGGCTCGAGGTCTGCATTGGAGTCTGGTTCAGAGGGGTGGTAATTTTGGCGATCCCCTCAGTAAAAGGCCGCTCAAATGATGGGCTTACTTCGATCTCGGGCGACTCTGCTCTAACAGTCTCTTCGCAGGCTTCACTCGAAGTCGAACTAGCGATAATGCCATCTTTCAGATTCCGAGCATTGACAATCTTATTGCTGAAAGAGGGAGTATCCACCATGGTCGAGTAATATCTCTCGTAAGGCATTGGGTTCTCGAAAGTGTCAGCACATTGCTGAATGTAATGAGAGTACTCCAATTTGTGCCTGATGATGAAATCATCCCATACATATTGAGGTAGTATACCACCTTCCTCGGAGATTCTAGAGATCTTCAAGCAAGATGCTTGGAAATGCTTCGAATCCCCTAAATATTCCGGGTACGCTCCTTTGAATCGGTCGAACAGAGATCGCGTAGAATTTCGGCCGGAATCAGTAGAAGTCGCACGCTCCAAGGAGTTTCCAAGATTGGATTGACGCTTAGCAGGCATTTTTGTAACATGTCGTTTTCCAAAGTCCCGCAATCCAACGGGTGGACTGCGATGCAAGAGCGTTGCCTCGTCAATCGCTTCACTATTAACCTCTGTCTTGCGTCTGACATCCGTCTTTGGTTTATCAGAAGCGACTTCAGGAGTGGCTTGCTCAATAGACGCAGTATATGTGGGCCTAGTGTCCTCCCCGGACTCTGTGCTCCGAGATCGGCGACTGACTTGCTCAGCAACAGCTTGACTGTTTGTGTCTGTATCGTTCAGGTCCATTTGAGCAGATCGAGGGCTCTGGCTCGGTTTGGTTGCTATTGAAGGTACCTGCATATCATCATCTGGAGTCCTTACTATGGCCGCTTCGCGAACGTCTTCTGTGCTCTCAACATTGGGCGAAACCGAAGTCGGAATGGCAGCCTGAATTGGAGTTGCATCGTTCTTAGATAAGGCTTGTTGGCTACCGGCACTCGGCTCGCACATTATCTCATCTTCAACGATTGCATTAACAGGACTGGTCGGTTCTAGAATGGCCTGCTGGTCTTGCTTTACCATCTCTGGAAGCGTAAAAGCTGCGTGATGCAGGTTTGGCAACTTCGTAGGCGTGATTGGATTCGAGGCTACAGCACTGCTTGCACTGCTCCTACGCCTTTCAAACCAATCACGACGAAATTTGTTTGCGAAGTCGACAGGCCTTTCTGCGTCCTCCTCTACTTGAGTGAGACTCTCGGGAAAGAAATCGACGACCTTTATCCGCTTTCTAGGTAGAGGTTCTGCGGAGAACGAATCTTTACGCTTCAGCTCCTCTTGAGCTGTTGTGGAAGAGTCGAAAGTGGGGCCCAGTTGCTCCTTGGTATCGAATCCTTTGTTGATCACATTCTGCTCAAGTTCATGGTGGCTAGAACCATCCCAAGTAGCTAAGACTTCCTGCTGCGTGGTTCCCTGAATCCTTGAATTGTCTGGCTCTTGCGGTGAACTTCCGGAAACGTGGGTGACGTTAGATTCAAGGGAGGAGACGGCATTTGACGACATCACAGGCTTGAGATCTTGAACTTGGCCAATAACATATGGCGTTCTTTTTACTTGGGTGTAGGAAGTCATAGGCAGAGGTGCAGTCGATGGAGGGTTCTCTGTAGATAAATGCCCTTCGCGCACGTTCTCATGAAGTGCAAGAAGAACAGACGTTTCGAGCTCGTCGGAATCTGAAGAATGCGGAGATGGCCATACCTCCTCGTCTCCCTCCTTCGTCATATTTGAGACTTGCAAGCTTCGTTCGACTTCTTGCCTTTTGTCATTAGTGCCCTCTTCACTTTGATGGACTTTGATTTCCCATGAAAGAGGATCATCAGTAGAGGTTACAGGTTCGTAACTTGAAATTGATAAATCAACTGTATTATCCTCATGATGTTTTTGAATTTCAAGAATAGTAGTATCTCGTGGAGATACAGGAGCTCCCACCTTTGGTGATCCATGTGTTGGTGAAGCTTGCTCATTCACCTTATCAGAATAAGCATTAGGCGGCCCCATGGCACCCTCCGATGTCGTTCTCAGCGGACTTATGTGTATAGAGGAGCCAGGGCTATTTGAAGCCTCTTGCGAAGCGTTTATCGGTCCTCCATTTTGGGATGGTGTTTCTGTCGCATCAAACTCTTCTGGAGTATCAACACTACTATCAGGGGGGATCATTAGATTTTATCATGTCGCGTTTTGGCGATGGAGGCCAGTACATAGTGGATTGACTGTCAGAATCGTCATGGACCTCTGATGTGGGAGGATTGAAGGTCGGGGAAGGTGATTCCGGGCGGCTGTCTGGTAAATGCTGTGACCTTCGCCTTCGACTATCAAGAGCATCCGCTTTCGCATTGAAGGTCTGCAGGACGTTGATAGGGATATTTGCCACAGGCTCACGATGACCAGGATTCGGGGGCATCCACGCTGCATGCAATGTCAGTATTGGAACGATGTGCACGACCTTGCAAACGTACATTCAGATCCATTGAGTAATGCCTCCTGCTCCTTAGACATTTTGATATCGCGAATACTGATCTTCTTAGAACGCTTGCACTTGCGAGACTGTGTAAAGTTTGAGCCTGCGCTTCGGACTTCAGGAGGCGGGCCAGCTTTCGAATTCTGTTGAGCTGCTCGACCAATCTGGCTGTGGGAAGAGAAAATTTCTCTCGTTGTGTTTTCATTATTTACAGAAGCTTTGGGCGTAGATCCTGCTGAAGAGGCATCAGGAATGCGAGCAGACACACTGGAGTCCCTGTTGCTAAATGACAGCGAAGACTTTGGGCTCAACTGTGCGCTTTGTGGTATTTCATTTTCATTTTCATGATCACTGAATACTGCCTCAGTGACCAAAGAGGGCCCTTTTCGATCATCGTTCTCAAGTGTAGGTTGATGTTGAGAAGACCGGTCTGGAGATTCAATCTCCGAAAAAAGTGCAGCATTGCTTAAAGATTTCGTTTCGTCAGATATCAGTCTATTCGAGTTCATATTCGCAGATTTTTCGACAAGAGCGGATGGGCGGTGTCCATTTAAACGAGCTTTCGGATCTAGTCTGCTGGGTAGAGCAGAATTATAGGCAAATGGTGCTTGCGTAAGTAGAGCCGACGAGGCATTTTGGGTATACGAGCCATTTGTCAATGTAGCATTTGCTGCCGGTGATTGCAGAGTAGAGGAAAGAGGCGAAGATTGACCAGTCGAGGGCTCACGACTCCGAACGTCTAATTGCCTCTTTTTTTGGTCCTTGAGACGCGCCAAAAGGGTAGGAGCTTGGCCGACAGACTCCACCGCGCGAGGCATTGCAAGCCCAAATGTTTGAGCACCACCAGCTCCCAGAAGCTGGAAGTCACGAACGAGAATTCTCAATTGTTTGTTTCTCTTTTGACCGGCAAATACTGCCACCAGAATATCATAGTCCTGCAGCTGAAGTACGCCACCTAAAGATCCCGTTGTAAAGTTCTGCCCATGCCGTCTCCGATATTCCGCCATGGCAAGGTCAGAGAAATCTGCATCGATGCGCGTCGACGAATCTGATAATACTGCGTCCACGGGGATATCACATCTGTTGAACTGTCATCTCACCCCGTCAGTTGAGAATAGTCAATCGCTGGTCGCCGATGACAGACCTTATGGATTTGAACCAATTGCCTAGTTCTGGACGGCTTGATCGTGAGAGTCCTGCCATTATCCTGGTAAGAGCTGTCTCCCACGTTCCCTCCAGGCAATTGCACCCTGCCCGCGCCTTCCTCTCGCCACTGAAGCACATTTTCAAGCTCTTGCAACAGGTAAGGATCAAGCCAAGGCTTGACTAGGTCCGACATGTTTGACTGGATGTGTCTCCTAGAGACCAAGGTGTAGCATTTGGAGTCATGGTCTTGAGGGTGGCAGAGGTACCCGATTACGAGTTCTTTAAGTTATCCATAGGCTTGTAGACTGTGTAGACATCCGTTCAAGATACAATAAATCAAGCGTGTAGATTGCTCTGAATGGTATCAATGTGTGTTTGTGGCCAGTTTGGGGTCAAGCGCTCACAAACACGTCAGGACGAGTAATGGAAGGTACGCGGAGCTAACGCGGCGGCGGGGGAAAGCCCGAAAAAGGCCAAAGTTAGAACCCGACAGCACTCTCGGTACATATGTTCTACGACCGTTCCTTTTCATGCAGTTTTCGTTAACAATTCTATGGTATTCTTGATTTGCCTAACGTCAAGACTGGCCCTATATTGGATAGCAGAAGAAAAACGCGAGTTGCCCTTGCTGTGAGCGACTACTTTTGTTTTTTTGCGACGGCATAAATTCATGTGATGACATTTATATCATAGTGTAGCCGTTGCCGGCAGCGAAAGATCAAATGTAAGGATGATAGTGGCAACGGTTGTTGGGCTGTAGAGAGGCGCATTCAACAACATGTAATTCCCTGAGGATAAATAGAGCTTTGATTTGCTGTTTCTCAATCTAGAAACTAAATTGGGCACAAGTCAATTCTGAAGAGGTTCAGGACCGGGCTGTAGCAGTCGATTCTTGAAGACTGCACCTAGCGAGGTAGTACTTTGTCCATCTCTGCAATTCTTGTTGCGCCATCCGCCAAATGCAAGAGAAAAGACCAGTCATCTAAAGGCAGCTGCTGCGGTTGGGTTTCGGAACGACCTCTCACAGTATCCACATTTGACCAAACGTTCTCTCGATAGTTCTGCACGAGCTTCGTTGCGCCTAGAAACGATTTCTGGCACTAAGGGCCCAACGTTCAACCTGTATAATTTCGACGAAGCACGCACGAGAAATTCGGGTCTTGCCGTGCCGACAGCTCAGTGGGCTCAACGGCCTATCAAAGCGCCTATAGCTTTTTCTTGTTGTTGCTTGGAACCAAGTGGCCCTGTCATAAAGAAATGCCAATCAATTGAAACGTCAGTAGACCAATTTTGACCTTGCAAAAGGCGAAGAATCTGCTCAAGTCCTAGCGGTCACTAGCGGCGGACCGATCCGAAGGTCAAACGCCAAATTTCAGCCTTGACAACGGAACGCGTCCAAGCTCGCGCATGCGGTGGTGTTTCTACCTGGACATCGGCGGAACTGATGGCAGCAGGTGAGGTCTATCAATATTGCCCACCAGACTAGTCATTGATTGAAAACAGGACAAGGAAGACAAGATCGCCGGCTTGAGCGACAGCGTGGGGCAGGGTCAGTCCCTAACGCCCTCTCTTGGGTCAGCTGAATTAATGCTGTATGTAGCACTCGGCGAGTCGGAAAGCTTGAATTTGGTTTGAGTATTCCAGACGCAAACGATGGCTTGCTTCAGCCTCGCAAGTCAGGCAGGTCAAGGCGCACGCCTTCTGTTGATCCCTTGCCATTACCACCATCGTCCAGACGGACCCCAGTATCGCATCAACCTCTGACTCGATCTTCACGCCGAACGCCTTCAAATGAGACTATTGCGCAATCAGAGCCTTCAAGCAGGCAGCACTCGGCACCTATTTCCAAAAAAAGGCCACGAACATATTCCACGTACTCCGATGACATGGGCGATGACAGTGAGTTGCACGGGCATGAAAGCAAAAAATCAAAATCATTTCATCAGCTCCATTCCATTCAGGAAAACATTACTCCCGGAGAGCGTGACATCCCTTCAACGGGAAAAGATCCGAAAAGGCAAAAAAAGCGTAAATCGATCGGACAGCAGTCGAAAAGTAGAGTAAGAGCACGGAACTCGCCTGTAGCTCAGAGGCAACCTGTTAAAAGGGGTCGGCCGAGGGTCACTCAGCTGGACTCTAGTGACCAAGATATAGAAGGGAGCATTCAGGATCAGCTTCGGAGAGAAAACGCAGATCTGGAAGATCACGCACTTGCAAGACTGCAGCAGAGTATACTACCTAGCGTAGAGCCAACAGAAGGAACTGGCTTCACACCTCGGCAGAAAAAGCGAAAGAAGCGGGTGTCAATAGGCCAGCAAAGCCACAGGAAGCCTAAGCCTCTAATAACAGTGAAGGAAGAATCACTCGAAGCAGAGCCGATTTTTACAGATCGAGTTGAAACAGACCGGTCAAGGATGGTTGGAGCAGGGGAATATCAAGACGACCATGGCAATGAATCCCAAGAAGATAGATCTGTGAGTCAAACAGGGCATCAAAAGTCAAGGAGAAAGAAGCGGAAATCTATTGGCCAACAAAAACGGAAAAAGACTTCTGATGGAGTAAGAGCGCCTAATACACCCACCACAGGCCTATCTAAAGCCAAGAATGTTAGAAAAGAGCATTTCGAGGCATCCAATTCCTTGAGACCATCGATTGAGAGAGATAACCCTGAGGATGATAATAGCGACTCTGAAGAAGCTAACGCCGATGTAATCTCAATACCTCAACCTAAAGCGAAAAGGAAAGCACCGTCTGCATCTCAGGATGTACCCAAGAAGAAGCCATCAATTAAGACGCAGCATATCTCCAAATCAAATTCCTCCTCCAAAGCGCTCAAACCCTCGAAACCCTCTACCACCGCCCGTTCAACCTCCAACAAAGTCCCCATAACAGTCTACCGGCCCCCAACGCCCTCATCCCCAGCATCTCCAGGCTCACTCACCGACGCTCCAGCGTCCAAATCTTTCAATCCCGTTGATGTGCTCGCACAAATCACACTCGAGCGCCTCACCAACATTGCGACCAAATTGACCTCTCAACCCACCCGGTCGCGTGGACAGCGGAGAGTGCTGCAACTCTACACAACGGAAATTGAGCAGCGGATGCGGCAGCTGAGCAAGGCTTTGGACACTAATGCGTCGTTGAAAGTGAGGGTCAAGAAGGTGGCAAAGGAGGAGAGAGAACTAAAGAAGGGGGTTAAAGAGGTGGAGAAGGAGGCTAAGGAGGCTAGAGAACGGAGGGAGGATTTGGAGAAGACGAGCAAGAGAGTTGAGATGGAAGGGGTGCTGCGAAGAATTGCGGAGATAGCGAGGAAGGGATGGGAGATGGAGAGAAAGAAAGAACTTTTGGCATAATGTGTTTGTAAATGCTTTGCCAGAAACGTGAGGTGAGGAGCGACTGACGAAGGTTTTACCATGGATGATAGATACCCTAGTCACGATAGCACATTCAATTCCTGTCACACTTATGCCTATCAACCTTCTTACACTGTAGTACTCCATGGTCCCTCTTGAAATGCGTACAAACATAAAACGCCATCGCTATGAGCCATGCCACGCTATGCTAGGAAAAAGACTTTGTAATTCTTACCATGAATCGTTTGAAATTCGTTCTCCCACGAGACAAAACAGGACATTTGTAGCCATCCCTTCGTCATTCATAGCTAAGCCAAACCAAGGACTTGTGCCTCCTTATCGTCACCCGGGTCATCATTCGACTGCAGCAACGGCCTCGCTTCAATATGCTGAGCTTTGAATTGGTGCCAGCAACTGATGCTCCGATTAGTATTCGACCTTCTCGCATTTGGGCAGGGAGCAAACTTACTTGGGCGCTTGCAATACATAACGACCCATTGCCTCTCTGAACCTGCTTTTGTACTCCTTCGGACTCGTCACAGTGGGTCGATTCTTGCCTCGATCCTTGATCCAGCTCTCTAGTCTCTTATCCCACGTATAAGTTCTGATACAATCGATTATACCCACCACTAATTCCTTTTTATTGTCGTCAATGGCAATCATGAGAGAGTAGTCCATTACATTCTGCCGGCTGAGGAACAAGGTGTCGTTCCATACGCTGGCGCGTAGGAGCTTCTTGCTATGTTCGCGTGCAAAAAGGGGAGACTCGTAAATGAATTCGACCATGTTTTCATCAAGGAGAACCTCGTTCTGCTCGCCCGTGGACTGAATGCGTCGATTGCGCATAGAGCCTTTAAGATCGAAGATCCGCGTAGGTGAGCGGTCGTAGAAGAGATTCTCCATGACCAGGAGAAACCAATTGAACTCTACGCCGGTAGTGGGGTTCTTGATGATGATTTGGTAAAAGCCTAGCATTTTGGCTATGACGGAGGGAAGCTCGTGAAATAGCGATTCGGACATGATACGGAAGTAGGCTGGTGCGAAACGGAGGAATGCTTGCGTCTCAATCGGCGAGAGCGATTTCAGCACGAATCGGTCGTCCAAGGTTTTCAGAAAGACGGATTTGGATTTTCCACCTTTGCTGTCCCACTTGCCACAACGAGCAAGAGACTCGACAATTCTAGAAGAGACACCGCATTTGCGCCGAACCGCGTCGAATTGTTCGGCAAAAAAGATTTTGCAGAGCATCTTCGCCGAACCTTCCGAGAACTGGTATTTCAGATGTGTGCCTGTCGGTCGCAGCAACGCCTCTTCGACTTGCACTTGATCTGCAGGGCTCAAAATAGGGTCCTGATTCCGCGATTCGTCGATCTTCTCTGCTGAGGGTGGACTACTCTCAATGATACTACGCAGCTTGGCGTAATAGTCTTGCGAGCCGAGAGCGAAGGCTATCAAGGAACTTGGCTCGTCCTCGCGCACGATGATATCCGAATCTGCGAAGATGTGGGCAGTCGCCATCAGCGGATATTCAAGAGGCTGCCAACCGCTCGCCGAGCGCTCTGCCCAAAAATTTGTGAGCATCTTCATCAGCGAGGTTTTCTCGTGTTTTGGTAATTCCAGCTTGAGTTGCAATTGGGCTTCTTCTGGTGTCAATGGTATACTCTGGTCTGGCGGGTCAGGCATGTCCGTTGCATTGAAGAGATACTGCTCGTCATCGCTGCGAACACCCTCGCCTTCTACATCAGAGACCACACGACTGTCACTCGTCCCCGTATCCTCAATCTCAGTATTTTCCGCCGTTGTCTCATATTCAGAATGAGCTTCTAGCGTGGTCGGAGGTCCATGCTCTTTAATTACCTCCTGACTAGCATCTTTGTCAGTGGCCCCAATTGACGGGTCAGAGCTTAGGAGGTCCTCATCAGATGGTTCTTTCTCCTCTACGGCTTCATTTACATTTCTATATACCTGCACAATAGGCTTAGAAACACGCATCGGGTGAGCACGCGAACGGCGGTTGAGCGCAGCACGCTGGCGTTTCTCTTTGAGGCGTTCTTTCTCAAATTCCCGGCTCAGCTGTTCGAAATGCATCGCAAGATGGGACACTCGAGTCTCGCGCCTTCTGCCGGCGATGGAGCGAGGTATCATTGAAGGCGGAGCCATGCCTTTCGCCTTCACTGAACTCTCTCCGCGCCGATCCACTACGACTTTTTCACTGGTAGGTCCATGTTGATTGTTAGATGGCGGAAAAGTCTCTTCGCTTAGTCCACTAGATCGCTTGCTCTTCCTGGATCTGTCAAGAACGTCTTGCCGGATTGATTGACCAGAAAGGTCAGCATTTCTATGAATTGCAGGTTGCGAATACGCTCGGTTGATAGGCGGCGGAGTATGACCGCTTGTTGTGATTACACTCCCAGCGATAGAAGGTCGGGGAATACTAGACGGGCCGGTCGTGCGTGTAGCGTCATTCTGCATCTCATGCTTGGAACGCGCGTGCTCTGGAGGGTTTTCGATTGCTTTGACCGTATGGGGATTGGGTGGGGTGCTTTTCTCAAGTTTCGGACTTTGGGGCGAACTTGAAGATCGAGACAACGACATCGCCTCAATTGTTTGAGACTGATCCATTACGTCTGCTGGTATTGCTAGGTCTAGGTGCCTTACGCTGGGGCTTTCCGCGACCTGTATACTGTGTCCAGCGCCAGAAGGGACTGACAGCATTGGCGGATCGCTTTTTCTATTTTGTTCATCTAGCGGAAGATCTGCAATTGAATCATTTTCAACGACTGACGCGAGCATGTCACGAGTCTTGTCTGGTGACATGCGTCTGGTTTGAGAAGCTAGCGTCGGTACATCATCAGCTGTTCGCTTTTCATCTAATGCCTCTGCTGGGGATGCAGAGCCCTCGGAAGTGAGGGACGTGGAGGAGTTCTCTCGATCTAAAAATATTTTTCTCAATTGAAGAGTGGCAAGCCGACGTATATCCTTTTCAGACGGAAAAAAACTTCGATCAAACTCCGAGAAAACATTATCCCACTCGGCGACTTTTTCTTGCAATGCTCGGGTTGCTCGATTCAAGGGAATGATCTCGTAATGTTTGGAGCTCATATACTTCTCTCTCAACTTTGTGATGAGGAAGAGGTGGTCATCGTTCGCCTTCTTGGCAAGGCGCTCAACTTCCCTTCTACAGTTTTCAGCTTTTTCTGGAACCACCGTTTCAGCACTAATACTTCTGATTCGCGACTTCACGGACACCATAAACTTGTTGAAACGCTCCTCGATTCGTGTGTAAACGTCATTCTTGAATTGAAGATCATTGTCCACTTTCCAAGTGATTCGGGCACGAGGTACGATTATTTCAAGAAGGGTGATCGGATCGTACTGAATTCTGACGGCCATATCCTTGAAACCAAAGTACCGAAGGTGATCACGATGAAGATCATGAGGACAAATGTCATCTTGTGCACGCAATTCGGTGCTCCAAAAGCTGAGCTCCAGGTACTTGCCAAACGAGTATTTCCAGCTGCTCTCAGACATATGCATGACTTGGGTTTCCTTGGCGCATTTGCGGCACGTACTCCACATGAGTATGGTATGGGAAAGCCCCTGGACTTTGGCCGCTTGATGCTCAACAAAAACGCTCAATTGGGCCTCTCCGTGAACATATTGTCGATGATGCTCAATCATCTGCTTTTCGCATCCATTCGAAGAGCATGGAGTGTTCCCCCCTAGACATAGGTCTTCAACGTATTGACCAAGAGTGCAATCGGCTTCGAAGTCAGCATCTGTCTCGTGTTCATTGTAGTAACCCAAAGCCACCATATCTGGGCCTGAACATGGAATAGTCGTTGCTGTGCAAACGACACTGTATAGCACTGCAATGTTTTGGTGAGCATAGGGATCAAATAAATCAATGCTACCGGCAAGATAAGTCTCCCACTGCTTGCATTGTGTCTGATAAATATGAAGCGCCTTGTCGTATTCCGCGTCGTGAACTGCGTAAAGAACCTCTCGAACTTTCTTGGAGGCATCGGGAACACGCTTGTGAACCATCTCCGGCTTAATCAGATCAAACTTCTCTGGCCGGGCCTTGTCGTCATGGATCTGCAGTTTCTGTATGTCTTGATCACGTAAACGCCGGAGGTATGCTAAACGGCGCTCTTGTTCTCGAGCGCGCATGAGTAGGTAGGGTTGCATAAATTTCACAAAGGGAGACGCCGATAAGATCTTTGTCTGGTGCTTCTCAACCATATCTGTGTAGAATGTTGGCATTGGGATATCATCTGGTACTGAATCTTCATCAGGCAAACTTGGAGTAATGTTTGGCTGTTCTGTGTCGGCTGTACGCCTTGGGTGTTCAGAATCTGCGCAGTTCAGATCGTGTCCATTCATGAGTTTGCTCTGTTCAGAGCTTTGAGAATTTTCCATGGCCTCTTGTTCGCTTGCATTCTTGCTCTCTAATGAAGCAGCATGATTACGGCTTGATGATAGGGATCCAATGTCAATATCGGAAGGGATGAGAGCGTACTCATCTTTCATCAAGGACGTCTCTAATTTAAGATTATACACAACGTATATCATGAATTCGGTGATGCTCTTAATCTTCCTCAACGCAGAAGTACTGGCACCTCGGAGCACAATGGTGCAGCCAAGCTCTCTTGAGCAGCCTGATAGAAAAGTATAAGTCTTCTTGCGTCCTTGGTGGAGATATGTCTTTAGATAGAAACTGGCACATTTCCCTACTTGAGCGGGTTTGATAGCAAGCTTGTCCATCGAAGATATAATTCGCGTTTGACAACATCGCGACACAGCTTCTAGTACAGATGGTTTGACGTTGTAGGCTGTGGCAATATTGGCTTGTTCAAGGAACTGTAATGCGAGCCCCGAGACGTGTCGCTCTACAAGCAGTAATTGAGGTCTTAGGGCGGCGATACGATTTACAATGTTCTGCAGAAATTCTCGTTCTTGGCGGATGACAGGCTCAAGACTCATGAAATGCTGCTGATGTCGAGCGTACTCCAGAGGAAATGTTAATATCAAAATGTTCGGATGAGATATGTGCCGAGGCATTGTTTTCAACGCAAGGTTCTTGGTGAATACAAGCCCAGAAACATATGCTGTATCACAAGGCCGCCCCCCAGGTATCTTTTTCAGCTTTACATAGTGTCTGACATCCATATCATCACCATTCTGGACATCAGGATTCACATCATCGGTAGCTCTCAACAAAATTGGCAAGAGCGCTTTTTCCCATCGAGCAACTTCTGACAATCTATTATCGGTCAATAGTTGATAGAGCAGCTTTCGCACATGTTGAAGGCTTGCGTCGTTCAACTCAATAGCTGGCGCAGATGCACCTCTGAGAGAAGAGCTTCGGACCATGCGACCACTGGTCGGGGTAGGGGACGGAGCAGCTTGCTCTGCAGCAGCGTTAAGAGCACTCTCGCGGAGACTTGCACTTGAGCTGAAAACCATTGCGCTTGCTCGATAGCTCTTAGGCGAGGGTCGTAAATGGCTTGCACTAGACGTACTGAAGGTGCGTCGCTTCGAAGGTCTCAAAGACTTCGCACCGCTTAGACTATGCGTGTCGGCGTCGCGGCTGGCAAAGGTGACACTGCTGGAGCTTTTCTCTCCGAATTTTAGTCGTCCTTTTCTAGAAGCAGCAGCTGTCTCCCATCCATGCCTATCATCGCCAGCAACAGACATGTCACTGGCGTTCAGAGCAGTCATAATACTCACCTGCTCATCCCCACTGGACTGTTCGTCAGACAGATAAGGTGCAAGATCTGGGTCAATAATGTTGTCATCGTGAAACGTTGCTAGGCGTTTCGAGCTCCCGTTATTCGTAATATCGTGATGAAATGGTGCATCATCTTCTTTGGTGGGTTTGAAGACACGGGTGAACTGGTTGCGGGAATTATAACGTCGGTGAGTGGACCTACTGCCAAAACTAGACTTCAACGATCTAGATGAGGAAGGTCGAGCTAAGCCACGTTCAGTCCCGATTTCTACTACTGCTGGCTTGCGACCAGCTTTTTCGCCTGCTTTCCTGGTAGCTGGGATTGACATGATCGGGACGCTGAGATCTGGATTGCTAGCTGAATAATGAGGATTTTCGGTAGCAGAAGGGTAAGATGTAGGCATGGGCGATCCAAGCGTTTCGCCGGCCCCTGTGGAACCATGTCGTGGTCGAAAACCAGCCAGAGAAAAGGTGCCATCATCAGAGAACTCAGACGAGTCATCGTCACCTTTGATTATGCTTTCACAAGGCTTGCATACACGTAGAGTACCTGCTTGATTAAAATGGTTCCCAGATATGACCGACGTGCACTTAGCGTCGAATATCTGGCCACAAGTCCCTTTAATCTTCATTAGCCCGGGCTCAGACAGAAATGAATTGAGACAACTCACTACAATGATGCTTACGGCGGAAGGTGGAAAAAGCATCGCCACATCCAAAGCAGTCCTTGGCATTTTCGTCTTTCATCCAGTACTCTTTACTTAACACCTTACTTTTCGCTTGGGAGAACACGCTCATAGTGCGCTGATCTCTTTGAGCGGGTGCGTTCGAGTATGTCTGTGAGTCAGTTTCCAGGCTCTCACTTCTACTCGCCTGTCCGAAGCTTGCCAGGCTTCGGCGAGGAGATGATTGCTGAAGAGCATCACCGAGACTCTCCGTGGTCGTCTCCAACGACGATCCACGTGAAAGCCCAGGCATTGGAGACGATGAACGACTGACAACCGGTGGAGCTAGAGATTTTCGTAAGGGTACCTCAAGGTGTTGATATTTCCTGTCCCTTTCTTCTGTCTTTCCTACCTGGTGCTGAGAATTGTCTTGGCCAACATCAAACACATCATCCGAGCGCTGATTAATGACAATAACTCCTGGCTTGACAAGACTTTGATCCCGGTCATCCTGAGTATGCGAGACCTGCAGGCTTGGCTGGCTTGGTTCCCGAGGTCCCACAAAAGCTTTTGCTGGTACATCTTCATGGCTGCTTCTAGTGGATGAGCCTTTGCCGTTCACCACGGCTGCCAGCTGCTTAGGTATGATTCTCCGTATTATTTCATCTGTATCTGGCTTGACTGCTTGCGTGGACTGCTTCTGAGATTCTTCGACTTCTTTGTCCCCATTACGTGCGGGATCAAAGGCCGAGTCTTTCACTACTAATTTGGATGGCGTGGAAGGGGGCTTGAGTGTCACAGCACGTTCCAGTAAAGTGTCTGATTTTAGTTTCCCATCGGCGGCTGAACTCGTCTTTCTTTCGAGACTCTCCTGCTTTTTGTGGGCCTCTGATGCACTAGTTGGATGCAATCCACTTCTGTGGGAAACACCTGAGGCTGGCGTTCTCACGCCAGAGTCTTCCGTCGAGGCTCTTTCGGAGACAACATCATCTATTGCTGGGCTAGGAACATCCTTCGCACCAACAGAAGCCCTAAACCTGTTGTATAAACCACTGATGCCCCCTTGGATATCCCCAGCGATACTTTTATTGTCTGATGCAGAAGTGGCCGAGACTGGTGGTGGAGAGGTATACTCATTGAAAGTAGTAAGGGTTTCGGACTGGCTTGCGGTACTATGGATCTGATCAAGAGCTTCGGATATGGTTTCTTTGCTGAGGAGGTTCACGCTTGACAACGAAGCTATGGATCCACGCCGAGATTGCAATAGCTGCGGTACGAGATTCGAAGATGAAGAGGGGCCGTCGACTTCCAGTAGCGGTCTGGTAGACATGTTTGTCGGTGGTGTTTCATAGTCTTTCTACAATCTGCTCTGGTTGCATGGAGGGCAAGACCGAGCGACATTTTCATCGCTTGATCAGCTTTTGCTCAGAACAGAACAAAGCACATAATACAAGGACAGAAAGCATGTAGTGTATAGTACATGAGTAGCCTCACGATCAGTCGAGCACGATCTGAGGAAACGATGAGAGGTGATGCCAGCTCGAAATCAATACGAAGGATCCGTTTTCAACGCCGTTTTGCCTCAACATAAGCGTCTCCGGGGGGTCAAGCCTGCAAAGGGCGGCACCAGCGCTCCGTGCCGCCCGGAGCTACAGCGGGGAAACGCGAATGCTATATTACCTTACACGAGTACCACTTCTCAATATGTGATAGACGAGACCGCTAGGTCTCATCTGAATCGCTCGAATCGTACTGACAGGACGTAAAGCACCGAGTCAGTTCCATCATAACCCTCCGCTTCGTTCACTGAGTCTCTCGCAGCTCCAGCAAAATCTCCGTACACCGCTTTGGAGCTTGACCTTCCATTGCAGCAGTCATGGGTTGGCTATGGGGCTCCAAGGACGATGAATCATCGAAAAGGGATCCTTTCAAGGATCTCGACCCGAGCTTGCAGGACTTCCTTATCAAAGAGTCACCCGTGAAATACCAACCCACCGCGCCACCTCCTCGCACAGTGCAAGAGACAGAGCCCCAACATGAAAGTCCAAGTGAACAGCCTAAAGTGCCCCCACAGTCGTTGTTCCAAGATGGTCGATATGCCCATCTTTGGAAGAACTATCGCCCCTTGTGGGAGATCAACAACGAGAATAAATCCGATCAAGAAAAGCTCGCAGACGTATTGGATGGTTATAAAGACCGCAAAGCGCAGATCGGGAAAGCAGCGCTCGAGAATTGTTGTGTAGAACATGCTACTGTAGTGGATTGCTATGAGAATGGCACCTATATGGAGAAGATGAACATGTGCAGAGCTAAGAAGAAGCCTTTTGAGAGATGTTACATGATGCAAACGGTTCGAATGCCTTCCCAACCCACAATATTGGTAAACACAAACTAAATGAACATGGTGCTAGCGATTCTTAAAAGCGCTAGGATATCTTGCCTCGTTTGAGCGAGAGGCGTGGGTCGATGAGGATATTCAAATGCATGCAGACATGCTGTATCATCGCATGCTAGATCAGGAGAAAGCAATTGAGGAGGCACAAAAGGCGGGCAAACCGATACCAGAGTTCGACAGTCTGGAACCTGCAAGCCAGGCTCTCAAAGGACAAATGCAACCTCCAGGGCCAGTCACGGGCGCGATATTAGAAATAGACGGACTTCCACAACTATCTCAAGATACGAAAGAGCTCCTTACACCTGAGGCTCAGCTGGCATTGCGGCGGAAATTGAAAGGTGTCAACCCAATCGAACGAGAGGTGCTGGAGAAAAGCACTGTCTCTGATATGATGAGTGCACTTCAAACAGGCGATGACTTCCTTGAGATAAGATCGCGAATGACAGTTGCAAGGAGAAAGAGAAGAGCTGAAGGGAAGGGATCAATGTCTGACACCATCAGTGGATGGCTCGGTTGGTGATCTGTGTACCGGCTGGTTTTGTGTATTTTGCATACTAGCAACGGCGTTAATCTGTAGCACTACTGGACATTCCCCCGTTTTTGCATGGCTCATTGAGGTCACGCTATTAAATCTACAAGTTTATCCCATACAATAACGATGCAGACGCTCGCTTCTGTGTTGACAATAGGGACCATCAGTCGTCATAATTGATTTATCCCCAAGGACTCTGTTGTTGCTGCTGTTGCTGCTGACCTACTCTTGGAAATACAGGAACTGTGGGTAGCTGCTCTAACCCTCCTATAGTCCCCTGGCCAGATTGCCAACCCTGGCCTGTTTGTTGGTTCCCAAACAAAGTCTGCCTGAATGGGTTTGTTCCTGTTTGGCTTGCCACAAGTGACTGAGCTGGAGGCTGGCTCTGTGGCGTCTGTGGCGTAGTCCTGGCAAATGGATTAGTACCAGTACGCTGGGGCTGCAATTGCTGCACAGCTGGTTGGTGAGGCGGTTGAGGCGGATGTGATGTGAATGGAGAGCTAGTGTTTTGGTTATTGAGCGGCATGGTGCCACTACGACCGAAAGGGTTTGTGGATTGCGGACTCTGAGGGTAGGGTATTGGTGGAGAGGCTTGAAAGTCTGGCATGGATGTTCCAGTGCCCTGTGGATACATGGATTGCCGAAAAGGATTCGTTGACTGGGCTTGAGATTGTCCGGTCATAAAAGGTTGCTGTGAGGAGGCAAAGGAGGTTTGCCCTGTGCTGAATGGCTGTTGCTGAGAGGGGAAGCTCGACCCAGTCGTTTGCGACGTGTATGTAAACATATCCTGCGGATGCGAATGCGGTAGCTGTTGCTGCTGCTGCTGCTGCTGAGGATATTGTTGCGATGCATAGCCTCCAAAGCCAGCTCCAATTCCAACGCCATCCTGCTGAATTAGTTGCTGTGATACAGGTGGGCCAAAAGGGTTTGTATTGCCGAAACCAGTGCCATTTTGTTGAGGGGCTTGCAACTGCTGTCCGTTTTGTGAGTAAAAGTTTTGCTCCGGCAAAAAGCCTTTTTGCTGAGGATTCTGAATCTGAGGCAATGACTGTTGATGCTGAACAGCCATCGGCTGCTGGTTTTGCTCTATTGATTCGAAAAAATCTATGAGGTCTGGAGCTGGGCTCTTCGATGCTAAAGGCGCGGAGAAATCCTTCTGACCCGGCTTTGATTCCAGCTCGGGTTTTGATGCTGACCCAGAATTTACGTTGGGCTTCTTGAATGTATCTGTAGAGCTAGGAAGTGGCTTACCATCCTTCTTGGCTTGCTGATGTGCCAGATACTGCCGGCGGTTGACCTCAAAGTCTGCGTCATTTAAATATTCTTCGAGGGAAGAAGTCAAGCTCGTGGGCGCATGTTTCAATTTCGGGATTTCAAGTCGTGTGGCATTTTCATACTGTCGAGCAGTCCCAAGGAATTCGACAACCATGTTCGTTTGCTTCGTAAAGGTCTTGTAAATGGTGAGTGCTCTTTGTGCATCATATTTGGACATCTCAAAGTAGTGTTCTACCCAAGTCAGCCCAGACCTAACCTGGAAGGTTGACAGCAACGAACCCAGAACATTGATTGTACCCTCATTCATGATTCCATAGAGCACAAGTAGATCCATTGTAAGTAATCGGAAGGCACAAATTGTGATTTCGTTCTCAGCCTCCGTGCTGAGCAGCTGTGAAGGTAGTCAGCGACCATGTCTATCAGGATTAAAGAATCAGCTCGCACGGACATCGCATTTGAGGAGACCACTGATCTGATTTTGAACAGCTTCTGTCTCCCGCAAGAGACCCTTATCAACTGCCTGCCTCTTCAAGCGCCCTACGCCTTCCCGTACCCAGTCAACTCTTGTGTCTTTAAAAGCTCTCGCTCTTGCTTGTATGTAGTTATAGTAATGACGGATGTTTGTGCCTTGTACCTGCACTAAAAAAGGCGAACTTGTCAGCCCGTTTTCCTCCTTAAAGCTCCGGCCAAAATGGCCCAATTTTCTGTGATTCTCATATACCCACGTTCTGTTGGGCCCCTAGCAGAGACCGTGCTATATTCCTTGAACGTACCATCTGAGAAATTACTTATAGCTAGCTTGGAGGGCGAGTTAGCAAGGTGTTTGAGTGTGACGTTAGGCTCTCCTTCTCGAATCATGAGGTGAACGATGATCAATGACTTAAATACTATCGTCCATGTCGAATCTCGAAGTCGATGATGTAGCACTCGAAAGATCTCTGCGACTCCGGCGTCCCCGGCGTGAGTCGCGACCAATATGTGTTCGACATACTTTGCCTTCGGTGGCGCAAGCTGTCAAATTGTCAGAATAGCTCACACAGCCAGAGCGTTCGCGAAACCTCTCACCTTGATCTTTGTGCCGCCTTTTACAGATTTCTCGAAAGACCCGGACATCTCTTGATAAACAGATATACTGCGTAGCGCAGTGAAATCACTCTACGGCAGCTAGGATGTGATAGATAGCTCAAACTCCGTTTCTCCGACCCATGCACGTACGCAGTCACAGGCTTGGTCTCATTTTGCGGCTCCAATGGCTCTCGGTGTAGATTTTGAAGCTACCAGTCTCGGCGGCGATGCGACATGAGGCGATCAGAAACTATGTGTTAATTGCACATATGGAGCATAACGACCAAAGACTTAGAGGGAAGGGCAATTTGGCTACATATGTATCGCGATGTGCTTCAAGAGATACGGATAGTTTAGATGGTAGAAGGCATCCGCTACGACGCTTTCCATTTGGGGGACGTCACATCCCGTAGGGCTGGATCATCTGTCAGCCATAGTGTCCAGATTTAGCGAAACGAGTTTCTATTATGCTACATATCTGAGAGCACTAACGCAGCCCACTTTTTTATGAATTATGGAGTCGTACATGAAAGTAGTGCACACACAAAGACCGTCAAAACAGATTGTATACTTTGTGTGCAATTAAAATAGGGTATTGCTAGGTCTTCTCGCTCTCCTAGGCCGTTAGATAGCTCTGGTCCTCCTCACAGATGCCTTTCCTGTCTAGGCCGTGTGATAACGGATGTGTTTGTGCCAACTCTGCAACCACGATATCATTGGTATCCTCCAGGAATTCTCGCAGGTCAATACATGAATAGCATCTGTGCAATGCTAGGAGAAAACAAGGGCCTTGCCAGCGACATCAGTTGATTGAAGACTACCTTCCAAGATTGATGATCAGAGATGCCTTCATCGCGTCTGTTGATGTAACAAGAAGTGTGTGCCAAACGCCGATCTCAGGCTGCCCTTCCTTCACCTTGGATAAAGCCACTTGAGCCCGGCAAAGGGAGAGCTGTCCAGATTCGGGAGGGTCAGCTATCATATATAACACTCTAGGCTTTCATCATCTGCTGTGAGTCAGTGACACATCGATGAGGATCGGATTCCAAAGGGGGCCGCACATGTTCAAAACTTGGAAGGATGAGGCTCTCTGGTGCTGCAGCGGCCGATCTTAAGCCTGGGTCTGGCGCTAGTCCACAATGAGGCTCTCTAGATAAGCTTTCGGGTCATACCGCAATCTTAAACCCAAAAATCCATTGCAGTTCGCAACTTCGCGTCGCCTCGGTTACCTTCTGTTTTTCGCAAAGGACTCCTACAAGTTTTCATGCTTCTTCCAAAACGTTGGAGAGTCGACTATAATCGAAGATCTTCCTACCTTCACCCAAGGCATACAGGGAAGAGACGCCTATTCGTTCAATCGCGCCTCCCTTCATTGCATCAAGACCGCATTACTGGGCCAAATTGCTGTACTCGATATCTATCTTGCTCCCAAGTCATACGCAGTACTGCGACCTCGAAATCCAATGATATTGTACTCGCGACCTTTAAGAAAAGTCGTACGTAAAATCCTCTTTGAACACCTTGATACTTTATCACTTGCTGAGACAATCATACGCCACAAGTTGAAAGCACTAAGTTCACTGTTACTCCCTTTCCGTTGATCAATCATGCCTTTTCGATTCATTCAGGAGAAAATCCTGTTTTGGTAAATCTCTTTGGCTACATTGGCGAACGATCAGATTTATCCAAAAGTTTGTCTTTCGTTTCTCTTCTGGATGCTTCCCAAACATATCAAATTCAACTGGTCTCTACGCCTACACAGAGTGATGCGTTAGAATGGGAAGTACATGAGCGCCTAAGATCCATCAGAGCCGGTACTCCGGTACTTGTGCGGGGAAAGATCAAAGCAAGAAAGCAACGGTCAAGCAAAGGGACTGAGATTGGTTCTGCAAATGAATTCAAGATTCAAGCTTCCTTAAACATTCTAGAAGTATCTATTACTGGCCCACAATGTACAGTGGAAAGTCTCAATGATCTTCCCACAGATATTGTTTTGAAGGAGGATACAATTTTTGCACCAGATCAACGCTACCTCCAGCTTCGCAATGACGCTAGTCTCCGCAAAGCATTGTCTCTGCGATCGGCCATCCAAGACCAATGTAGAAAGTTTTTGTCTACCATGAGAATGATGACGGAAATTGAGACCCCTTTGCTATTCAAGTCAACGTCAGAAGGTGCTCGAGAATTCCTGGTTCCGACGCGACGAAAGGGCTATGCGTACGCTCTTCCTCAGAGTCCTCAGCAATTCAAACAGATCTTGATGTCCAGTGGTATTGGGGGTTATTTTCAATTTGCCAAATGCTTTCGAGATGAGGACTTACGTGCAGATCGACAGCCAGAGTTTTCACAGGTGAGTTGCTGCAGCCTATAGAGCTCGTTGAGACTGATTGATTCCAATCTAGCTAGATTTAGAGCTAGCCTTTGCGGGTAGCGAAGACATCATTTGCCTTGTGGAACAAATGCTTGCTGATTTGTGGACTTATCTTGATATCGGAGGATCCACCAAGAGGCTCTCACTGCCACTCCAGCGGTTGTCTTACGCGGATGCTATGCTGCAATACGGATCTGACAAACCTGATCTACGCATCCCCATCAAGCCCTTCACCTCCGTGGGTCATCTAATTCCGGCGGATCTTACAAGTAAGATCAGCCCATTAGCTGACCCTGTGGTCGAAGCTATGATTGTACCATTGCAATGCTCTGCCAAGCAAGCAATAAATCTCACTGGGGAGTATCTTGATTCGCCCGGAGGAAAACAATTCATGAACAATCCTGCCGGAGCGCCAGGAATCTTCGTGTATGACTCTCAGAAGCCTTTACATGGGCTTTCAGCCTTAGGCTTTGAAGCGGCGGAGAGCTTTGAACGCGAATTCGAGTTAGAAGATGGACAATTGATCATCTTGCAAGCTAGAAAACGTGAAAACCTGACGGGCAGCTCCACCGCTTTAGGCAACTTGCGTATGAGTATATTCAGCACAGCAGTGCGCCAGAATTATCTTCCTAGCCTCGATTGGAACGACTTGAGAGCCCTTTGGGTCACAGACTTTCCTCTCTTCTCGCCGTGTGACCCAATGGAGCCAGGACAAGGTGGCCACGCTGGTTTCGCATCAACCCACCATCCTTTCACATCACCGAAGACACCTGAGGATGTTGATCTCTTGTTGTCAGACCCTGGGAAAGTTACAGGCGATCATTACGATCTTGTAATCAATGGAGAAGAGATCGCAGGGGGCTCTAGGCGTATACATCAAGCAGCAATGCAGGAATTTGTATTCCGCGAGATCCTGAAGATGGATGAGCCTAAAGTGGAAGAATTTCGACATCTGCTCGAGGCACTACGCGCTGGATGTCCGCCCCATGCTGGCATTGCTTTCGGATTCGACAGGCTCGTTGCTATGCTCGTGAGCAGTAAGCTAGAGAAGCATTTGACGATGAGAGATGTTATCGCGTTCCCCAAAAGTGGGAAAGGCGAGGACCAGACAGTGAACAGCCCTGGTTTATTGACTGACGAAAGTCTTGAGACGTACCATCTCGGGTTGCGGGACTGATGGTGGTTGTACATACACGAGTTCCACTCTAGGCTGTAAATAGTAATTCTTTTATGGAAACGAGAGTGCACTCCATTCAAGCCTCCCTCATGAAAATTGCCCCGCCACCTGCATAGAAAAAGGCAGCTGTAGAGATGGCGCCTACGATACCTTCTCCTCGTTTGAAGATCAAACCAGAGCCTCTGATCACCTCGTCCTTTGCGCCGTTTGGCACAGTCATAAGTGCCCCGCTCCCCGCATCCAGGACGACTCTGCCCTATCCTCCTCCGCAGTCCTCCCAAGTCGCAAATCAGAACACCGCTCTCAAGTACCCTGATATTTCTCCGCTATCATCAGCGTACCGCCTTTCTCCATCGGGTACACCAGCAACCCCTCATGTCTCATTATTTTCATGTTTCCCTCGCAGACTGCGAGCCTCGCCCGGCTCGTCTTCAAGCGGCCTCTTCGATGTCAAGAGCCTAGAGAGGCACCCATACACAACTCAGACTTTCGTACCGCTATCTTCGTCTGAGGTAGACAGCAGAAGAAGACCCAATTACCTTGTCATCGTTGCACCAACCCTACCAACTCCCCCCACTACGGCGGGTCTGACACCTTACTTCTCGCAAATCGCAACTGCTACCGGAGGTGGACCACCAGATCTAGACAACATCAAAGCATTTGTAGCTGACGGAGGCACCGCGGTCACGTATGGACTCGGGGTCTGGCATGCACCTATGGCTGTGGTCGGGGAGGGAAGAATTGACTTTGTGGTCACGCAGTGGATGAGCGGACGGGAAGGGGAGGACTGTCAAGAAGTAGACTTGGCTGGTTTGGATGGTCAGGGAATCGAGTTGGTCATAGACTCAGAGATTACTGTGGAAAAAGCAAAATTATGAGTCGGGACAAGACGAAATGGGCCTGCAGTCTATGAACATATCACGCACTTCGGCATTGCTTGAAGGCTCCTCATGATCATGACGTCGTCCTTCTCTGAGGTCAATCGAATAGTGATAGCTTGACTAGACAACCACATCACATTTGTTATACTCTATCCAAGCCAAGAACAGACTGCTTGCTAATTCATCAAGATTGACGAGTGAAGATGCGTGTTGGGCCTTTTGGCCTTGGCTATTCACGATCCAGAATGACCTGATAGTTGGACATTTTGACTCGCTACAGATGAGATCTATGGTGGGATACTGTTCTTGAGTTGTGGCCAACGTCCACAACAATGACGTCTTGTCTCTAACTCTCTGAAACAGCAAATATGTTTTGCTTCGACTTTGATACAATACTAACGCATTCAAGAAAGTGAGGCTTTTGGACAATTATTTGTTGTGAATGCCTTGTAAAAGGATCTGATTTCGTTATTATGTCCGAATTCGCCCCTTTTTCCAATCCGCACGTGACCGTGGACGCGTACAAAAATAGCAACTTAGCCGAGCAAGGATAAACTGCCCCTTGTGCATATTGAAGTTTAGAACAGCATATACATCTGGTTCCTCCCTTTCCTCTGAGATACTGTCCACTATACTGCTTCAGTCTCGGGAGAAGAATGTCTTCCTCACCAACACCTTCAGAGCGAGAGCGAAAAGACAAGGAAGACCGCCAGCGTGAAAAGGAAGAGCAAGCAAAGCTTCCCTACAAATGGCGGCAGCAAATCAGCGACTTAGACATTGATATACCAGTTGCCTCAAACTTGAAAGGGAAAGACTTCATAGTAGAGATTACGAAGTCGAAGTTGAAGGTTCAAGTGAAGGGGCAGGAACCCATCATCGATGTATGTTAGGAGGGACTCAACATCCCGGATTCATCTAGACCGTTTGGCTGAGTCATTTTTTCACACAGGGCCCCCTTTCCCACGAGATCAAACCCTCCGAATCGACCTGGACGTTGGAAACAGGTCCCTCTGGGAAAGAACTTTCTCTCCATCTCGACAAATCCAATAAGCAGCAATGGTGGGCTTCCGTCACAACGAACGCGCCCTACTTCCTCGACACCTCCAAGATCCAGCCCGAGAACAGCAAATTGAGCGATCTGGACGGGGAGACGAGGGGTATGGTAGAGAAAATGATGTATGATCAGCGGCAGAAGGAGGTGGGAAAACCGACGAGCGATGAGCAGAAGAAATTTGATATGTTGGAGAAATTCAAAGCACAGCATCCGGAGATGGATTTTAGTAATGCGAAGATGAGCTGATGGAGTGGATGGTGAAAATGAAAGGGCGAGGTGACAGCTGTTTGGTGAGCATTTCAGGGAGAGGAATGGGAAGCATCAGTGAGTAGTGACAGGTGATTAATTGCTTTAGCGACTGGCGTACTGCTTTCAAAGATGTAGATGCCTGACGAATGATGTGAGGCATGAATCACAATCTACCATCACGATCTCTGGCGTGTCCCTCAAGTATATGACTGGGCTTTCCAGCACAGTAATCAACTTTCTATCCCTTTCCAAGTGCTTCACTACCAGCCGTAAATAATAGACAGCTCCGAGCTGTCAGCTGTTATCTGACGTGTTACCAGTCTCATCGTCCAAAGTAAGATCGACTATCACAGAGCTTTTGGCAATTACATCTCCCTGCTGCGTAGAGCAGTTCATGGGGCTGAAGCTTGTCCCGCCTTGAACCAGAGGACCGACGGATCCCGGGCCAGATGTTTCTGATTTCTCCATCGAAAGTGTGTACGAATCTTCTGCGCCATTTGCCCTTTGCCGTTTGGGTCCCTTCTGCGGGCTCACGCCAGCCTGGACCTTGCGTTTTGGACTGATCTGAGGCTTTCCATTGGGCGGAATACCATGCAGGGACGAAGTCTTGACCCCGGATTGTACAAAGTTCTGCTGCTTCCTTCCAGACTTGACGTTCGAGAAACGTTGCCCAACAAGTAATTCCTTCTCAATGTCACGCGCCACTTTGATGCTGAGTTCTAATTCCAATTTTTCGAGATGTTTGCGATACAAAAGATTTTCGAGCTCAATCCGGCGTAAATACTTCTCATGAATGAAGACCATGCCGCCACCAACGACGACGAACTTCTCAAGCTTTCGATCCTTCTTCGGAAGCGTCAAAGCGTGCGCAAGTGGTTGACTTGGCGGCTGGCGTGGAAGGGTTGCCTTGATAAGTTGCTTGGTGGTTGATGCCTTTTTAGTCCGCGCGATTACCTGGCTATTCGATCGGACTCCATTAAGTGATTCTAGTTAATTCCGTAAGATATGATAGAGCAGAGAGTCAAGACCCCTACCTATCCTTTGCTTCAGCCCGTCTTCGACATGCCGCTCCCATGACTTCAAAAGTTCAGTGGCCATAACGATGTGGCCAAGGTAGTTGAATGGTTTTCCCTCCAGTTCGTGCTCCACCAACTCTGCGCCTTCAAAGACGTTTCTGCCTGATTCCCTCTGCACTGGTAAGTATGGCTTAAGGAACTCACACAGCAGCGCCACAGCCTTTGTAAATGGTTCCCTCGCCGTGTCATTCGAATCTTGTTCTTCTGATGTAGATAATGGAGCATCAGGACTACTTGCGTTGGCAGGAGGCTGCTCTGCTTTGACTGCTTGGGTAGACGCCATGTTGTACTTCGGATTGCGTTACCCAAAATCAGGACGATCGAGCCGCTGGATGTGGCTTAAACAGATTGTTGTTTCGCACAATGGGCGATTCACACTATCATCACTAAGACTGCAGCTGAATAGCGTTGAAGTCTCTTTACAGGTTCTTGTTGAAGCAAACGCGGACTTGAGTCCAATGTATGGAGGCAGACATGGTAGTGCTGAAAGGAAAATGAGGTCTAACATTCTAATATAATACCAAATATAGGGCTGAAGTGAGGACGAAGTGATCTTTGACGTCTAGTTGGTCACCTACTAAGTTTCTTTTCTCGGATGAACCCTGTGAATGATCTTAGCGTCATCGGTATAGAACGAGTGGTGAAAGAAGGCTTACAGCTACTGATCGCAGCACAAAATGCGAGGCAAAATGCGAACAAGAAACCGTCTCTCGTGGCATTGCCATAGCATTTCCTTACAATGTGTTGTAAGTCAATATCCAAAGTTTTGATGAAGTCGAGGCTTTCTCGAACGTTCTTGATGATGATATCAGTTTCTTTACCATGCTTGAGGTACTGTTGGAGCTGCAAGCGTAGAGACTGCTGAACGACAGTAGCTGCAAGAGAAACCCCCACTACGGACCCTAATGAGCGAAACAAGTAGCTGCATGCTGTCGCGATCGCTAGGTCTTCATGTGCTGCGTTGGCAATCATTCCGATGAGTGTCGTCGTCACCCCAATACCATTGCCAAACCCCGAGAATGCCAGACCTATTCCGATACCGACGAAAGAGTTGACGATCAGTCCAGAGAAGAGTAGTAGTACTAACATTGCAGCGGCCGATATCGAATAGGCGATGACCGTTAGCCAGTAGAATTTGCCAGTCTTTTGCATGGTAAGACCACCGGACAACGAACCCGTAACACTGGCTGCAATCGCCGGTAGCAGCCTTACTCCAGCCTGAGAAGCACTGAGCTTGTCCACAGCCTGGAAGAAGAGCGGAAGGTAAAAAAGTAGTGCCATCCAGGACGCAAATGCAAAGAAGTTGCAAAGATAGCATGCAATCAGACTTCTCTCGAAGATGATGCGGCGTGGAGCTATAGCGTCATCTCCAGCGAATTTGAACTCGACAAGTATGAATGAAGCGAAGAGTGGAAGAGACATGCATAAGGACGCTATCGTCAGAGGCCTCGACCAAGCATCATTGGATCCCCGGTCAAGTCCAAGCAGAAGAGCGAAGACTGCCAAAATAAGAACGAATGATCCGAGAAAATCAATACGACGCAGCTTAGTCTTCCAATCGAGGACATCTTTCTGTGGTAATTTGAGGGCCAGTGCAACGCTCACGATAGCGAGGGCACACATTGGCACTTGTGCTAGGAAAGCCCATCTCCAGCCAACGTAATCTGCAAATATACCACCAAGTGGAGCGCCACATCCAGCACCGGAAGCATAGATGATATTAATGATACCTTGCCAGGTGCCTCGCTCCCGTAAGGGAACAATGTCGCTCATGAGTATACTAACGACGGTTGTCATGCCTCCGCCTCCTACCCCCGCGAAAGCTCTCGCGGCAATTAGTTCATCCATAGTGCTCGCGAGACCACAGAAAAGACATCCGAGACCAAAGATTATGTATGCAAAGATCAGACATGTCTTCCTTCCAAAAATGTCGGACAGCTTGCCGTACAACGGCTGTATTGATGTTAAAGATAGAAAGTAAGCTGTTGATATCCACGAAGTCTTATTCAGAGCCTGCAAGTCGCTGCCAATTTTGCCATAGCAAGAGACAATGATAGTCTGATCTGCAGCTGAGAGAAAAATTCCAATGCCAACAGCGGGGACAATATATTTCAGTCGTGCTTTGACTTCGGGCACGCCCTCCGAGGGCAACTCTCCATTATTGTGCTCTTGTTGCTCCTCGTCATTGTCGGAGTCGATCCTTTCGGCTGTCGATGCAGTCGCGAGGTGTTCGTTGCTGACTGCTGATCCAGTGTTGGCTTTGATCGTAGAATGCTCGTGCTGAAGCTTAGGTTCATTAAGTAGCCGCGTAGTCTCATGCACAGCGTCTTCACGCATAGTCGGCTACAAATACCACGCTGGGGCCTTGATCGCAAAGGATTAACGGAGAAGGCACTCGTATAATGTCCTCAGCAACTCTCCATTGTATACACTCTAAAGCCTAGTATACTGCTGACATGGATCTTCATTCGTATGATAATGTCCGCAATGTCCGATATCCAGGAGCTACTACAACGCACTCTTGATTTTACGCATTTCGGAGCAGCACTGCGTAATATCCAGTCTGGCTCTCGGATATCAAAGCCGGGTACTTTGTGTGGAGATGTAGGAGTGCTAGACATCGAAACAGCAGAGAAAACGGCTTACCCTTCATCAAACTCATTACTTTGTACTCGTGAGGGCAATCGAGGTTCAATGGGTAGTTAACTTCACTGGTATGAAGGAAAACGATGCGATCGCCCCCAGAAATGCCGACTTACCCTCGCTGAATGTAGTCCATTTGCGAATATCTCATTCACATAAATATTCTGCATTACAACCGCCACTCCATTCACTAGCAAAGTACTTTAAATCCTGCAGTGCATTTATTTCCCGTGTGGATACTCTGTTTGCTTGAAGACTGTTCTGTGGTCAACAATTGCAGCATTTAAGTATTCGACACAAGGGATTGTCATCTTCGTGTGTTGTACCCTTCTTTCTCAGATTTCAATAGCAACTGATGGAAGAGATCTTGCGGAAGGCTCACCATGTATCCCTCAACAACGACAGTGTCACTGTTGGATGCCTCTCGTGACTCTACGTTCCTCAGCACAATAAGCATGATCATGCGCACAGCCGTGGTAATCTTTGTTGTGATTGTGTTGAGGCAAATCTATGATGCTCACGCCATGGTCAATGTCGAAGATATCTCTTTGTTCAAGCTGCGACACAATGTCATGGTGTGAATTTGTCTGGTCATATATGCAGCTCCATTGCTGCTGTTCCCTCTCCCTAACTTCTTTTAACCTAATTCTGTATACCTATCTTCAACGTACGGCTTGCCGGAGAAAACAACTGACTTGCCATGTTCAACTTTTTCGGCACCAAGCAACATGATCAGGCCACTGCCCCTCCCCAACCATTCCCTCTCCCGGATGTTCCAGATTTTGCGAGGCAAGGTATCGCTGACGAGGCTACCATTGCTCGAGAGTAAGCTACTTTAGCCTTTTTGAAAATCAAGCTTGCTGACATTCGCGTAGATTAAATGAAGGGCCACCTTTGACCATATATTCCGGCAATGATGCGGTACCAGTGACGCTTTCAGTCCGTATGGGCTTATACCACAGCCCAGAGATTCGGATTCACTTGGAACAGTATGCCCCACGCATGCCGTACACCATGCAGCTTCCCGAAGACAACAAAGAAGCACTTAAATACCTTGTTCAATGGATGCAGACCGGGAAAATTGTCATCCCAGCACTTCAAGAAGAACAGGACATCATATCTCGACAAATTTTGACCGAGGCCTGCTTCCTGCTTTGGCGTCTGTGGTGCATCTGCGAAAGCTTAGATGTGAACAAGATCAGACAGCAAATCCTTCAACAAATGACTGAATGCTTCGCCATTGCTAGGATGAGTCGCATCGCAACGCCTGTTTCTGCCGAGCTAATCATGGAAGAAACCCGGGAATACACTGATGATAAGGAGCTTGAGTGTGAGGAGCTCGATCATTGCGATTTCTGGAAGGTGTCATTGCAGGAGCTGTGTAAGGCTTTTACGACCAAACCAATAACCGACATTAAAGAGTACCGCCATTGCTTCGCAATTGCAGCATTCAACAAGGTTCTAGTGCCTGTAGTCGGTAGAATCTTGCGCATGGACAGTGGAGTCGAAGAAATCGACGAGGGTAGATGGGGGAGGGGAGATCCAATGAAGGCTCCATCTTGACATTGGTAGAAATCGATCAAAATCAAAAGCAAGAGTGTGGTATCGAAGACGACCTTGTCGAGGAGGACATCAACAATTCACACCGCTTCATCCAGCAATGAAGAAAGTGCTTAAGCCGCACGAAGTGTTGAAAAGGTCAGAGGTACTCATTGCCTACGCATGGCAAGACATTTAAAAAGAAGATTCGGATGTTCGGCCAAATGTAGGTTGTTTTTTCTTTTTCAAAATCACGCTTCACAAAGTCCAGTAAATTAGTCTTAGCGACTTGGGTATCAGAGGCAAGGAAGGCTATTCATTCCTTGAACATTGAGAGGCGTTAGAGCAATGCAGATAGAGCAATCTCAAACCAGATCTTATGGAATGTCACTTGCCGAGCCAGATTATTTGTTGGCCACTATCAAGGCTACCCAATGATGGGATGGTAAGTGACAAAAACGAAGACAAAATGCATGTCCAAAAACGTATTGGTCTTGCTGCACCTACATAAGCGATCTTTTGGGCGATTGCCGTATAAGCTGCAGCATGATTTGTAGATCGATATCATACGATTCATACTATCCCCGTTGGCTCGTAACATCAGAAATCGTTAAATCATTAGTCACATAGCAAAGATGAGGTCGACTAGTCAGCGGCACGATATCAAGCTCGTTAGTCGTGGGATTTGTAGTAGTCTGTCACAGTTTTGTGGAAGTCCTGTAGTTGATAGCGCGATCTGGATTACTGTCACACCAGGCAACAAGAGCTTCATATCTTGCGGGATCTGAGATTGATGAAGTGGAATCCATCGCAATGAGAGCCCAGGCTCATGAGCTAGGCGTACTGCTGGTCACGGTCAATCACAAGCTCAGAGATTACATGAAGTCAAGCGCTGTCTTTGGGTACACCATTCACTACAGCTTTCTTAGCTTCCGGCATTTTGACCGCGCCTCCCGGCGAGTCTTCTTTGCGAGCTGTCAATACCTCGCAGCCAGTCTCTGTTATAAGTAACGTGTGTTCAAATTGTGCGGTTCGAGAGCCATCTTGCGTGACGCTCGTCCAGTCGTCTGGCCAAGTCTTATCTTTGTATGAACCTAAGCTGATCATAGGTTCTATGGTGAAGGTCATGCCTGGCTTGGCGATCCCCACGGCCTTGTTCTTCGCATAATGTGGTACATTAGGTGCACAATGGAAGAGCATATTGACTCCATGGCCGCAGTATGTCTTGATTACACCACATTGTCTGCTCTTAGCATGCTTCTCAATGACATTTCCAGGGTCTTTGAAGGCCATGCCAGGTTTGACAATCTTGATGGCTTCATCCAAGCACTCTCTTGCTGTCTCAACTACTCGTATATTGTCTGGATTGGCTGATGCTTTTTGTCCGACATAATACGTTTCATTCAGATCGCCGTGAAAGCCTTCGTGATAGAGCGTGACGTCGAGGTTGACTATGTCCCCCTCAAGTAGCATCCTCTGGTCTGGTATGCCATGGCATATGACCTCGTTCAATGATGTGCAAACAGATTTTGGAAAGTGCACATAATTGAGGGGCGAAGGGTAAGACTGAGAAAGCGTTAATAACAACATCCTCGCACACAACACAGAATACAGTCACCTACATTTCGCTTGACGCATTCATTATGTACTACTTCATCAATGTGATCCGTTGTTACTCCAGGCTTGACCTCCAGAGCCGCAATGTCAAGCACTTCCCGCGCCAACCGACAAACTTTGCGCATGCCCTCTTGTTGCTTTTTATCAAGTATGGTGATGGTATTCCGACCAGCGAATTTATATTTGGGGTCGCCATCTTTTGACCATGGTGGATGAGGTATCGAATCGGGTACCGGTCTTCGAGGTGAAAGTGGATAGATTGGTCTGAGAGATCCAGTAAAGCTGAAGTTGGGGAATGGATTATATAGCGCGGCGGAAGAAGACTTATGGACAGCTTTGTGAACCGTCCAGCTCTTTTTGAAGCAATCTTGTGAGCAAAATGAAACTTCTTTCCCAAGTTTGAGGCATGCAGGGCACTTCAATGTGCTCGCATCGTTCTGACACTCGACGCCGACGCACTTGCCCTCTTTTTCGGTTGAGTCCTTCATTGTATTAAAGCTCAGGTAGGGGACTGTAGGTTACATGGAAGGTTCGTTGTGTACTGAGTTCTATTTGACGGACGCTAGGGTGACTCATACCGTAATATTCATATTATTACATTACTCCTGAAAATGGACGTTCTAGCATCACCTTTAAACATGTTACAAAGGCTTTGCCAGCTTTGCGAATTTCGCGTGAACTTGTGTGATTTCAAGCGACTTGACCACAGCAAGATTAAAACGCAATCTACTCTCGGTGCTGTCATTATCACTGCCACAGCAGAGAGATGTAGGTCAATATGACGAAGCAGAATGTGAACATTCGTCAACTGTTTGAGCCGGCTTCCTAGTGCTGACTGTATGAGCGGACCGGATGCACATTATCTTCTGGGTCAAACATATTCGAAATTAATCGTTTGTTGCTTTCAATCTGCTCACACAATCTGAAGTGCCCCAAGAAAAGTCGCCTCTGCTGGTTTCCCATGAAATTTTCTGTCCAAACTTATTTTCTTGATTTTAGTTACAATGACTTGCCCAAATTTCATCTACGGTTTTGTAAGTGTCGTTTGCCTGATGTAACGTAAACCAGAGAGCTTTCTTTTATTCCTCGACCAAGTGGGAAGAAAACAAATTGATACCGCACGACGGTATCCAGCAACTCAGCTAGGCCGAAGCGAGGAGCTCCTAGGTGAGGCCAAGGCTTTACGTGATTTCTTCAATGACATGGAAATCATTGTGCCACCAGAGGTCTATGTGAATGGGTCTCTAAGCATAGTAAGTATTCTCAAACGAAAAGTCTATCTTTCACGAAATATAGAGCTGTGTTTTTCTCATGAGCGGTAAGTCAACACTATTGATTGCCGCACGCCAGACCCTGTAATACCTATTGCCGAATCAGTAGTTACATGTTGAAGAGGCTTATGAAAGAGGGATCTTCAACGAGATACACAGCTTTCAAGTTGCCGTGTCGTCATGTAAAGACTGTTTTGCCAACAGTCTAAAGTTTGGACTGGCCAGTTCTACCGTTGATCAGCTCGAGGAATCAATCGGTATCAGTAATGCCAAGCGATATGTAAGGCCAACAGTGTATCAGGTCAATACAACGCCATTTCCCGCGGCTCAGAAGACAATCTATTCGCCGTTTTGCTTAATTCTGAAATGACCTTTGATGCTTACGATCAATTGACTTCCCTGACCTGGCGTATTACAACTCGGTTCATAGAGGCGACAGGATTCATGAGAGGAACACACGCTTGGTGCCCTAATTCAGGATTTGTACGATACACCACACCTACATTCAGTTATTTGGGGGAGCTATTAAAAGATGGTGAGCCCATTGGACTGAGCATGGTAGAAGTCTGTTTAGGTTGACTCGCTTGTTATTCGAAGCTGAATTGACGATGGCGGAATACTTGGGGGCAATAGGTTGCACCTACTTGAAACGGATGTCTAGGTTCTTTTTAATGGCCCGTTGAAATACTAGGTGGTGAGCATCATCGAAGTAATGTGGGAGGTACTCGAGGATGAGATGTCTTGAAATGGTATGTGAGGTCCACGCATATGACAATGCGATTGTGTTCATGATGAATCCTCTGAATGGATTTAGTCACTCTCTAATTTGAAAAAAAGAACCTCTTCAACAAAATGGCGCATGGGCTACGAACTTGAGAAGTCAGGTGCGATCGAGAAGCCTGTTGGATTGCTAAAGCTGCTGAGATTTAAATGCAGATTTTGAACACCACAAACAGTTTTCTTACCAATGCTTATCATAACCCGCTGCAGAGGTGATCTCAGTGCCGTCATTGTTTAGCTTTTCAGGGTCTCTTATGCGTAAGGCGAGGCTACGCGAGCGCAGAGTCACAGGAAAATCTACTGACTTTATGAAGATAGAATGCAGTCGCTGTCCGATCAATAACAACACTCTGAGCCATTTTTTTGAAACTTTTGGCATCGAACTTGTAACTAGCTTGCATGCCCCAAAGATACCTTTGCCCATCCGACTACTTCACAGAAGGACAATCGTCTCTCCCTAGAGTCAAGCAACGATCGGAATGATTTTAAAGTTTCTGCATTTTGTTGAAAGCCTAAGAGGCAGACATTGAGCGACAGCTTAATTCTTTCGGTGCGCAGTCGCGCAACAAAGGGCATGTCTGCAAGCTATTCTAGGCAGAGCATGAGAGCTATTACTCTCTCGAATCAGAAACGATTAGAAGGAAAGAAGAAATCGAATAGAAAATAATAAGTTTTTAGAAACATTTTTTTTCTCACTGTCGCAAAGATGACATCAATGGTGCAATTGGAGAAGGTCGTAGCAGAAAGTCGGCGCAGATGAAAGCGGTCAAGCTTCGAAAGGAACAAGTAGCAAACACATGCTCTCCAGCCATTGCATTTCGTTCTTTCCACCACACCTTACTGACACTACTACATAGCCACGACATGTCCGTGTAAAGCCTCCACTTTGAAGTCTCAACGAGATCCGACTGTGTCATTGCTTCAGAGAAGTTTGACACGACTCGATTTCCTCATTCGATGTTACATTACGTGCCATCAGTCATTTTTCGAAAGCAGGAGGTTAAGGTGATTTCTTCACCACACTAGGACCTCCTGGCCCAGAACCAGGCAGCAAAAGATTCCCGCAGACCCATGAATCGTTGTGTTGATCTCTGCCGAGCCTATCAATCAGTAAAGGGGGACGAAATCACGGATTATCGTTCATAACGTTACTTCTCATGAAAGTCTGCAACTTTTGATTTCCAACGACATCAAAGCGGATCAATGTGATACATCAACAAAGCCTCGCGGCTCACAATACAACAGCTCAATATCGGCTCGAGAAGTTTGAGCTAGCGATGTTGCAATGTTGAACAGGTAATGCGGCTATTTTCAGGATATCGAAATAAGGTAGTTCTGTGACAGCATTTTAATTTGCGAACACCTGGCCGTCTTTCCACGTCGATGCGGCTTTCGTTCGTGCATCACCCTCACTTCCAGCGCCTTCATTGTAGGTGCAACCTAGGGAATTCCCGACTTTCATTAAAACCACTAGTTTACAGGCGCTTGAGAAGAGCGATCCACAGCTGTGGTCAACTGACATGACTGCCCAGGAAGCGCGCACGCATAGGCATGCTGGGAACGAGGATGGGGAGACACATCATCATTTCGCCAATTACTGATATTTCCGCAGAGTATGTGAACCTTGAAGGTCGGGATAGAGCAATGATGGGTCAGGTACGGGTTACGGTGCAAAGAAGGTTTGAAACATTCGTGGAAGCAGCTTCTGGCGCCCGTTTTCCATGCAAGGCACAAGCGATCAATACCAAACACTGGTGAAATGTCTCCGCATAGCACCCGTCGGGGCGACTTGCATGATCGCCTGTGTTTGAGCCGCCCAAGGTTGTAAGTATAGTAGCATCACGGACAGATGCAACACGGGTGATATCTCAATAAAACGACCCATCATGCAGCTTGGAACTTGTGAAATGGCTTTGGAACTTCGTCCCTTGCAGCGGCAGGCGATTTACCCCTGGACACGTGCGTAGGTTCAATACCGCAATCCTCAAGATTGGGACGTTATTGATGAGACATCTTTCACAATTGGTGCGCCAGCCATTCTGCAGATCCTACCTCGGGTCGCTGTTGCCAATTGCCATCAGAGATGTCACAGAGATCCATGTACCAGATGCACCAGAAGCAGTGAGATACCGCCCGAATGATGAAATTGGAAGACTTGTGGAAGCCGGGATCTGCGTTCTACGTCCCTTTCAGAGCCGTACTCATTTCGGGGAATATGACCGATATCCTGAAGCTCTCTAGACTGGACGCCCTGGTGCCCCAGACAGGCACTCATAGTCCCGATTGGAACCATGGGTGGAGCTGGGCAGGTCCGTCTTTATGGCTTGCCACTAAGAGCATCGGTAGATCAGCCCGGGAACGGTGGCACCTCTGTCGAAATCATGGGACGGTCTTCAAGCCTTAGGCTCTCTTAGCCCCCGGAGCCCTCAATCTTGGGTCATGTTACGGCTGCCAACCGGGTACGCAAGCTGCACCTAATCAACAAGTCCTGCAGGACGCCAATCAGCGGCCGGAGCGATCTTCCAGCGTTGTGTGAGATCGGACCACGCTCAGGGATCTGGAAGGGACGACCTGATGTTCATCTACAACAGCTGCAGGTCATCTTGGACCAGATGATTATCATCTTATTATTCATCGAGTTGCAATCAATACATTCGGAAATCTCTCCCTATCGCAGGGGATTTTCTATGTGATTTCTTCACTCTTGGCTGATTACCGAGGCACTGGCGCTGACCTCATGCACAGCGTAGCAGTAATCACAATTCCGCCCTGCCCAAACCTAACAACTCCCTAACCTCCTACGACAGTCAATTACCCCTTAAGAGGCTTCCTTAGCTCACAGCGAAATGATCGACGCTGCTGCACGGCACACAAAGCACCGCCGCTTGAGAAGCAACGTGGCAGGCAGGCATGCAGGATAAGGTAGCCCTACCTTTGATGGGGAAGTCATCCCGAAAAGCATAATCATTCCCAAGAAAGAGCTGCCAGCTCCTCTGGTGTCTCCTGGATACGATCGGGCCTTAGGCGAAATCCTGGATACTTCTCTGTACAATTACATTTGCAGATTTTAAGCGTCTCTCTGACCTCCTGTCATCCCATCTCTCGGACGTTAGACCACAAGCAGGTCTGAATGTAACCGAAGGTGCAGACGCGTCTAATAATCGTCGCGTTTCCAGCCACAAGAAAGCTGCTAGGATCCAGCGCCATATGTGTTCCAGAAATGGCCCCCATGGGATATTATTATTGTTCGAGCCATAGCGTGCACGACCAACAGGGATACCAGCTAGCGAGGAGCATGGCTCATGATGCAACAATTCGTCAACAGTGTTCGAAGGGGCAAGATGGCATGCCGTTAGGTTGTTGTTGTCCATCTGTTAGGCTGTTTTTCTCGGCGGACGGCCATCATACCTCAGGCTTGTGAGCGATGAGTACGAAATGACAGCACAACGGCAGCCCCCAGCTCACCAGACTAGGCCAGGAGTCAGAGCTGTACCTACACCTATTCGTCACAAGATCCCACAGGATTGGTTTGACAAAGGCTGAGATATGAAAGCGGGAAACTTTATTGCCGTACTCCCCCGGCCCTTCCGTCATGGCCCACCTTCAGGGATTGGGCTCTGGGCTGCGATGGCCCTAATGTGCTCTAAATTTACTAGCAGTTTTGCATGGTTCCAGACGAGTTATTGTTTAGTTTCATGATGATTGAAAAAATTCCCCTGGTTGCAGCACGAGCTGTCACCATGAACCCTTTCTTGCAGCTTCACCGCTTGATCACCACTGGCGTTTCGTCTCACCTAAATACCTGCTCCATCCCCCCCGTCTTACACCTCCTTCTCCCAACATCTCCTACCTCTATTCGTGGCTGACTAAGAGCTGCCTGACTTGGTTGCATCGGCTCCACCGAGCATGTCACGAGCGGCGTGTACCTAATCATAATCATAACTCGCTCTCCTGTGATCCCTTTGGGATTCACAGGCCACATTTGGCTGAATAACGCTCGGTGTATGAATGTTGGGACATCATTCGTCCCACCGTAACCGCCGTCGTGGCTCTTTCCGAGTTCCACCCACCCCTGGTTACACCAGCCCTTCCCTTCGTGGGGCCTGATCCGTATATTGTCTGCGACCGGAGCCTGCCTGATCTAAGGGCCATTCTGGAGAAGCATCGTGCCTCTCAACCCCGATGTAACGAGGGCTGGTCAACACCTCAACTAATCCAGAAGACACATATGTCGCATGACCCTATCAAAGAGCGACCCTTTTCACGAGATTCGCCAGAGCCCAGAGCGACGACCAGCGTTCGGGAAGAACCTCGAAATCTCCCACCGATTCTGTCAAATGATAGGTCTGGAACTCCACAAGATGCCCATCAGAAGCTCCCCTCAGCTCACGGTGCTGTCATGCGACCAACACCTCCACCATCATCGACTCCACCTGAACAGCGAGCTGCTCGTCCCATAGGGGTCGAGAGCTTGTTAAATTCCACTTCAAGTGGCAACGTTGGCTCTGGCAGCCATCGCCAATATGTCGAGAGGGCCGATTCTCCACGAACGGTACCGTCAGTGACGTCTCAACCCGACACTCCAAGCCTTGCAGCAAGTTCAACTAGGAAAAGTTCTGTTGGTGATATTTCTTTGCCATCAATCACCCCTCCGTCGATCAGTTCATTTCCGCAGCCAGCTCGAGCCATGACGCCTCGATCGCCAACGAGTTACGGGCCGAGTCAAATCACTACCGGTATTCCAACCGCCACGATTGACGCTCGGCAATCACCCTTTGTCTCTCGAGATCACGGATCGGTAATCTTGGGACATAGCTCCTACCCTACAGCTCCAAGTGCGTTTCCTTCAAGCTATCTTTCCTCCGCCTCAGGAATGCAGTCACCCACGACGCGTCCAATCGGTCATATAGGCCAGGCATCACGAGCCCAGCCTTTTGCGGATTCTGGAAACTCAAGCGCTCACTTTTCAGCTTCGCGTAGCGTCAGTCCAACCTCACATCCACAGCGGCGATCTCCATCCGCGAATATTTCCCAGCCTGGTCAGCCTCAGTCCTTTTTTTCAGGCCCGTTCGCCTCCGCAGCGCCTGTTTTGGGAATGCCCCAACTCGGATTCGACAAGAAAGGGCCGATGGCTGGTGGACCACCAGGAAACGGTCAGTACCCAATGATGCTTGATACCGAGTCGGGCCCGATCCCAGTCCCTATCGACGTCCAAGCTGCGTCAAAGATGGCTGACGAGAAGCGGAAGCGTAATGCTACAGCCTCCCATCGATTTCGCCAACGCCGCAAAGAAAAGGAGCAGGAGACGGCGAGCAACATTGCAAGGCTAGAGGCACAGGTACGGGAGATGACGGAAGAGAGAAATTTCTACCAGCAAGAACGCGACATTCTACAAGACGTCGTCGTACGCAACCGGCTCCCTCTTCCCGCACGCCCCGCATCTCCCAGACGAAGAAGGCACGCCTCGATGGGCCTCTCAGGAGTATCTCAATATCAAGACCCTGATACGGCAGGGCGAGAAGAGGGTAGAAATCTACGGCGACGAACGAGCGCTTACGTGCCACCGCAAGGACATCTACAACATGTGGGGGAGCCTCCGCCGCCGATGCCTTCACACGATCGTATCAGCACGATGCCATCCGAGCACCTGCAGAGCCAGCAACATCGAATGCGTCCTCAAGGGTCATTTCCTCCCAGTGCACACCCTTTCGATCCCACAGCGCCACGCTGAGTCCGACTCATTGCAAATCTGAAAGGACTTGTCCACAACTCCAATAATCACACACGCACACAGGAAGTACATGGTTTCGACCGTCGAGCGCTTTAGCGAGCAAGCATGCATTCCTTTGTCATTTTATTTCCCTTTCCAGTCGCTACGAAGATACCCCACAGTTGGCATTGCTAGTCAGCGTATAAAGATGACTGTTACTGGCTTCCTAATCTGGTGTTTGGTACACATCTTTATACCCATGGAGGCTTTACTATCTCAAGTTGTTTTTTTTTTGAAATATGGAACCATGGGGCTTGTTCAGGACAGGGATGTCCTTTAGAGGTGGAATCTATCTGCATGATACAGGCGTTTACAATAGAGGAGGCATAATTGATACGACCGTGGCATGGGAATATGGTACATAGACAGACTCATACTATACATACACTGAACTAGTACATAGATTCAAAAGCTTGAGCATGACGCTCTTTCACTATCGACAATGTTCAACAATCCCATCCGACATTCTTCTTGAAATTCCCTCTTCTAAAACCCCAGTCCCAAATGGCAATTTCACACAAGTGAAAGCTTGAGTGACACTGATCCTGAAGGAATGACCCGCATGCTGTCACCTCCCTCGATGCTCTAGGCTAGCCTCACATTAGCCCCATTTTCCATGCACGGCGGCATGATCGGGCAGAAAACGGGCTTGCAGTCGTGAAGCGTTATTGGGCACAAGTTGCATATTCGCAAGTATCACACAGCCAATTGATCAATCGATCAATCGATCAATAAACCGATCTGGGACTGCTGTGACCATAAGTTCAACGTCCATCTAGATCTTTGCTCGCATGGCTCGCAAGAATGGTCCTATGAGGAGTGGTGGCGGTGACCGGCAGTGCCAAAAGCAAGCCTCTTTACCGTCGGCGGAAGACGGGCCCGTAGTCCGCCAGCAACCATTGCTTTGGGCTCGAAGGCGTTTCTTGGCTATGGCCAATCTCAAAGTAGCTCCAGTCCCCAAATTTCGATCTACTCTGGTAGTAGATGTGGTGTAACATTATTTCTGCAACGCTGCTCACGTCGATCTAAGATTTTGGGCATTTACGAGCACCAACCTCCGGGCCTGCAGGGTCCGGGGGCTTCACTGACTTGCATGCTAGCCCGCGTTAAAGTCATGCATGTCATCTCTAGGCTTGGATGCTTAGGGGAACGGCCGCCCTGGGGGGAACGTAAGCCGGAGGTACTGCGCCGTTCGGGGTTGGTTGGCGGCTCGCTTGGTTGGGAAACAGAATTCATTTGCTATTGTATGGACGACATACTCTGTATCGTCGTGACATTGCCGCCATCATTTTGTTGTTGAAGTTGGTGCGACGGTCATACCTGCCGCCATGATATAGCATCTTCAATTTCTGAGATCAAAATTATCTCGGGGTCAGGGACCAGCACTCGAACTCTTTGTGTGGATGCCCACGGCGTGAGGCTCGACATCGCCCATTATTCCTCGCTCGAACCCAGGGAACTCACACCTCTTCGCACTTCGGTGCCTGTTTCATCAGTCTTACACACCCTCCCTTCTGTACGGGGGAGAGCTCTCCCCGCCTCCCCATCGTCCCGTCCACTTCGCCGTGCGATCCTTTCCGTCCCGGCGATTCAATCGAAGCAGTAAGCAGCAGGAACAATGGTTGAAGATAGTTGGTGGCTGCATATTCTCATGGCCTACCACCCGTGTGTACGCAACCTTTGCCTACAAATCAACACATCAATGCGCGGCGTGCAGTAGCATTCCGTCTATTCGCTAGGCTTGTCTGCAACATACTGCACCCCCCCATGTAGTAAGAGATCGGGGGCTCGATATCTCGCTTATGCATGTGCGATCACATCTCCTGCAGGCTGACGACAGGTGCTGGATCTAATCCATGCAGCTCCGCTGGATGAAGACCATTGATTCCATATTACTTAGCACCGTCGGATGGGGGCGAACGAGCAACGGCGCCCAGAGGCTGTGATTGTTGCGTTGGGGTTGCAGAGGGATCAGCGTGGGATTGATTTTGCAGCTCCCAGTGCGAGAAAACCGAAGTATCGTGGGTGCTAAGCCTTGGTCTTACGTCTTCATTCGTGTACAATTCCTGACTATTGACCAAATTCGTGTTCTGCTCATGCGAAAACGTAAGTCACCTAGTCTTTGGTGGCGGATTAGCAACCCTCCTTGAGTAAGAGCGCTACCCGTTTAGTAGCTGCTTCTTACCCGAATGAGGAGCGTTTCGATATTGCGCAATGTGTAAAACAAACAGGAGATCCGTGGGTGACTGGTCGCCGCGGAAGCTAATGAGCTACGACGATGGCGCACAGCTTCGCGTGGGGGGGCTGGTGGGGGTGCAGAGTACTTTTAAGTCTCGACCAGTCTGGTGCTTGCTGACGTCCCGAGTAATCTTGGAGATCCCCTATGTTGACGATGTTGATTACAATGGGTCATCCAATTGCGTTTGTGTAAGCCAGCATGTCGCCCTTATCATTTTGGCCGGAGGTGAGCGAGACTGAATCGCTATTCTTGAGATACCCGATCAATTGATCCCCACCCGGCTGCTTTGAAGACTACGGGCAGCTTTTCGGGTCTGAAACACTTGATGGCCACTCAGAAGTACTATCAGCATGCTATAGCAAGTCGGTCCTTTGTGTGCTGCAAAGGAGTGCGCTGGCCAACACTATGTAATTGCTCCATCCTGATACACCGCCTTTGGAGCAGATATCTCCGTGTTCTGGTATTTGCGGGTTTGTTTGTTTGTGATGCTGCTTGACCAAGCAGCAAAAAAGGTTGCAGTCATGCGTACAACGTTCTGCAAATTATTTATGATAGGCAAGACCAAATCTTGGCATTTTCAGAGCCGAAGCATTCGTTGTGGAGTCTGTAAACGCGTGTAGGGTTTCAATATTTCAATGCATATTGACGGGATAATGATCGACCTACTATCCGAATTGTCTATGAGAGTCGAGGGTACTTTTCATCACATCCTACAATGGGTTTCACTCATTTTACAACGCATAAGAGAAGCCCCTCGATGCGTTTCAGCAATAATATTTATTAATCGCTGCTAGATATGATGAATTCATTCTTTTCGAGTTGAAGTCTAGAGTGACATACGAAAGCATAATCCAGAGTCGAGTTCATTAAAACTTAGACTTGCACTTAGGCCCTTGCCCACTTGAGGTCATCCGTTTGACTAGCAGAAGTCAGTTGCATAAAGAAAAAGGAAACTGTATGATCGGAGCGTGAGATGGATGCCGGTGCGGAGACGTCTGCTCTCTGGGCTCCCAGAGATTTCGCCCTTACCGAACGTGATGAAGAGCACCCGGAACTGATGCATCTTGCCAACAATATGTGCAGCTATACGAGCGATTTTCTTTTGTGGCGGAACGCAATCACAGCCTGATCATGTCTTGAGTATTAGTGAGGGTTTAAATCTTCGAAGATCTGGCGAACAAGTCATTATGGCTGTCTGGAAAACGCTGAAATAAAATAGAAAGCTCACACAGATCTCATAATATGGTCAAAGACGGGGTTATCGTCTGCAGACCAAGGAAGAAGATCCTGGCGAGACTTTTCAATTCTTGTCTGCTAAGCTGAGGGCGACCGTGAAGCAGCCACCCCATGCAAAAGGTAAGGCTTACTTCAAAAGACATAATATTTTGAAGTCGCACATCGAATCAGCAAGAGAAAGGTCACAAGGGTAGCCGGTCTTGGGGGTCTTGGGGTAAGGAATACTTTCTCACCACGCTGTGATGGTCGAGAGCTTCCCCTTTGTGTCGAGTTAGGCAAACCCTGGACGATACGTGGTAGCGTGAATTCAATGTTGCCTACCAGATCGCTCCGTCCCTGAAAGTTCAGTCTTTACAAAGTTACTCCAGATATGCCGCGACACATGGGACGTCCTGACTTCACAGGCAATCGAAATGCTGCATCGTCGTCCAGTTGTGGTTTTCAAGTGACTCAAAAAGTTCTCAATATCATGTTTAAAGATATTCTTTAAAAGAGATCAGATAAGCATGGGGCAAACACTGGCGTAAGATACTCGACGCGTCTATTCACTTATTGCAGAGCCGCTCCCGAAACGCCAAGCCGCCCCTGGACTTCACTTGGACATCAATCAAGTTCACTTTATTCTCCTCTCTGTAATCAATGTCCACAACACTTCACCAATCCAATTCTTCCAAAATTTCACTTACTCTTCTGCTTTGAGGGTACCAATGGCACCTTCAAAGCGTAAAGCAGAGCCATCAACTCACTCTTCTGCCCCGGCTGCTAAACTGGGTAAGCTCAAAAAGAAGTTCAAAAAACGGCTTCATCATCGCGCCCAAGCAGGCAGTCACTCAGTGAAGTAAATCGTCCAAGATCACTCCGCAGCTCAACTTCAGGCAACGACTCACCGGAGGCAAACACAAGCACAAAGTCAAAGCCTATTAAAAAGGGTGTAGCAATCAAGTCCAAAGGTCCGAAATCGCCCACCAAATCCAACAAATCTCGACGACAAGCGAACGGTCATAGTACGGTTGTCAATGAATCACCATCCTCTAAAGTATCCGTCAACATTTCATTGAAAGATAACTCGTCTCAAGATGACAGTGACGAAGGCCATGAAGAATCTGATGGCCCTCAGTACTGGCTCATGAAAGCTGAGCCTGAATCACGTATCGAGAAAGGGAAGGACGTCAAATTCTCAATCGACGACCTAAACGACGCAAAGGAGGCGGAGCCCTGGGACGGTAAGTCACATTTCTCTTGTTGCGGATGCATATCATTGGCTGACTTGATCATAAAGGAGTGCGAAATTATGTTGGTAGGTGTTATGAAACTCCCAGCAGCCAGATAATGAGACTAATTGCTTGGTCTCAGCTCGTAATAACATGCGGGCCATGATGAAAGGTGATCAAGCATTTTTCTATCATTCCAACTGCAAAGTCCCTGGCATAGTTGGGGTTATGGAGGTCGTAAGGGAGCATTCGACGGACGGTCAGTTTTGCTCTCTTTCTCTTCCACTAAGATAACGCTTACCCTGCCGCAGAGTCGGCATTTGACCCTAAGCACCCATACTATGACGAAAAGTCCAACCGAGACAATCCGAAATGGTGCGTTGTCCATGTCGAGTACCGTCGGAAATTCCAGAACATGGTCAAATTGAAGGAGCTTCAAAAATATGGCAAAGAAGGTGGCGTGCTACAAGCTATGCCATTGCTCAAACAATCGCGGCTAAGCGTCTCGAAAGTGTCGAAGAATGAATGGGACTTTATCATGACCCTGGTAGATGAAGATATTGAGGTGATTGGAGCATGAGCCTTGCGACGGTGGCATAACCGGCAGCTCGGTCTTTAGTATCATTTCTTGTTGGCCTCCGGTCTTAGAGCGTACATTCTCACAGGGTACAGTCCCAATCCCTTAGGGAACCCCTTCTGAATCTCATTTGCGACGATGGTCAGCCCAGCGTCCCGGAAAATGTCGAGCAACTTCTCATTTGTCCTCGTGACACTGCTATCATCCTCATCGTATACATCCTTACCATCATGACCGTCTCTGATATCTTTCGTCGTGTTCTCCTTGACTATGATCCACCCATCAGGCCGCTTAATTGCATCTCTACACCTCTTCAAATAGTCCACCAAGTGCTTGTCGGTCAAGTATAAGGTGCACCATTGATTCCAGATCAAGTCATACTTCCCCATTTCTGGCGTCCAGTCTTCGATTCCCTTTACAAACACCTCGCCAATAGTCCCCTGCCCCTCAAGCTTTTGCTTCCCTGTCTCCTTTGCAAATGACTCGACAGGCTCGACCACGTCAACGATAGAGCTGATGTCACTCAAAAAGCCTGCCGTCACCCTGCCAATGCCAGCGCCACAGTCTACGCTGATCATAGGCGAGGGAGCGGACGGGGGATGCTGGCGGAGAAGCTTGGCCCAGAAAGCAGCGGAACCGCGCAGGTCGGTACGTGAGATCTGAGGATAGCCACCGAGCATGGAGTTGACGGTCGGAGGATGCGAGGACCAGTAAGCGATCGACTTTCCCGGTGAGATTTGGGCATCAGGTGAACCGGCTGGGGCTCTAGTGGAGTCCATGGGAAAGCAGAGGGATGTGTAAGGCTCAGACTGAACGAACCGACAGACTACCCGGACTGCTTACTCTCTACGACCGATAATCGCTCATCGCTCGACGTGGTATGCACATCCAGCCTGACAACTATCATTATTATCAGTAGTTGCTCAGCATGCGCTGTCGCGGTATTTCCCCAGAATGGGCTGTGGCTGAGCGCTAGAGTAGAGTAGCCTAGAATTGCCCCTGAAACGGCTGATCTGCAGTCATCAATTGGGCTGTACGAGTACCTGCACCAACCCTGCACCTGCACCTGCACCTGCCAGGCTCAGCTTTGGCATCATGCCACCAACAAGGCGCGTCGTGTGCCTCGTTTGAAGGTTGTATAAACGACCTTCGCCCACATCGTATGGCCTTCTGGCCCGCGACTTTGGACATATGAAGTTTTTGGACAGCATATAATATCATCTAGTCTCTCTCATCTCTTATAATACAACATTTGCGAATATGAAGATACTTACGGCCTCTCTCGAAATATTCGTGCTTCTATCAACCTTGGCTGGCACCACGTGCAGCATCCACCTAATACCGAGTTCCCAGCAAATACAGAGCCAACATCTGGCAGCTGAGTCCCTCCATGCTCGAGCATTCGGAGTTGCGCCCAACGGCTATGCGCCCAAAGGAGCAACATGCCCTTCCACTCGCCCTTCCATTCGAAGCGCCGCCGAGCTATCTACCAACGAGACAGAATGGCTGGAGAAGAGACGGAACAACACAGTCCAGCCAATGGCGGATTTCTTGCACAGAATGAACATACCAGGGTTCGATGCCTCGTCGTACATAAACAACAATAAGCAGAATGCCACTGCCTTGCCAAACATCGCTATTGCAGCCAGTGGAGGTGGCTACCGCGCCCTACTGAATGGGGCCGGAGCTTTGAAGGCGTTTGATAGCCGGGAAGTCGATGGGCTCACGGATGGTCACCTTGGGGGCTTGCTTCAGTCTGCAACTTACTTGGCTGGTCTCTCAGGAGGTGGCTGGCTTGTTGGATCTGTGTTCGTGAACAATTTCTCTACGATATCCAGTTTGCAAAACGAGAATACAGGCTCGGTCTGGGAATTTGGCAATTCCATATTCAAGGGGCCGGACAAGGGATCCATACAACTTCTTGACAGTGCGCAGTATTATGATAATGTAGCAGATACGGTCGATGATAAGAAGAACGCTGGATTCAATACGTCCGTGACAGATTATTGGGTAAATGCCCTTGAACCAAGCATGTCTAACGACCGAACGCTTTTTGGTACTAACTGAATTACACAGTCAAGAGCACTAAGCTTTCAGCTTGTAAATGTAACGGATGGTGGACCAGCTTATACATGGTCTTCCATTCAGCAGCAAGATAGCTTTTCAAGTGGCCAAAGCCCGATGCCTGTTCTCGTTGCTGATGCGCGAGCGCCCGGCGAAAAGCTCCTTTCTGGCAATACGACAGTGTACGAGTTTAACCCATTCGAAATGGGCACATGGGATCCGACGACCTTTGGATTCGTGCCCCTTGAGTATTTGGGCTCGAACTTCAGCAATGGAAGTCTGCCGGACGGCCAAGATTGCGTTCGTGGAATGGACAATGCTGCATTTGTAATGGGGACGTCGTCTTCACTATTCAATCAATTCTTGTTGCAAGTCAACGGTACGGACGTCCCAGATCTGGCCAAGAAGCTCATTACCAAGATACTCAATACTCTCGGCAACGACGATAACGATATCGCTGACTACTCTCCGAATCCTTTCTTCGGCTTTCATAACGAAACCTCCCCGAACTCTCGTACCCAGCGCCTCACCGTACGTTCATCAGTCTCTATGTCATCTACCCCCTCAACCAATGCTAATTTCCATATTTTAGCTCGTCGACGGAGGTGAAGACCTCCAAAACATCCCCCTTCACCCCCTGATCCAGCCCCATCGTAATGTCGACGTAATCTTCGCCGTCGACTCCTCAGCTGATACCGACAACTTTTGGCCGAACGGAACATCTCTGGTCGCGACCTACGAGCGTAGCCACTCGCAGGAAATCTCGAATGGGACCGCCTTCCCAGCCGTCCCAGACGTGAACAGCTTTGTAAACTTAGGCCTCAACAATCGCCCTACGTTCTTTGGCTGCAACTCTTCCAACACGTCCTCCATGACCCCTTTGATCGTCTACCTGCCCAATTCGCCATACGTGTTCCAGTCCAATTTCTCCACTTTCACGGCCTCCTACAACACTAGCACACGGAACGCTATGGTTCAGAATGGCTACGAGAGCGCGACTCAGGGGAATGGGACCATCGACCGCCAATGGCCGACGTGCGTGGGATGTGCCGTCTTGAGCCGGAGTCTGGAGCGGACGAATACTCAAATGCCAGACGCATGTCGGGATTGTTTCCAGCGGTATTGCTGGGATGGACGAACGGATTCGAGACAGCCATCCGCAGCCTATGAGCCTCCCTTTAAGGGCGCGTCGATCAAAGTTAGCGCGGGTGAACATGCATTTGAGCGCAAGAACCTGGTCGCTGCGGCTGCGGTGGTTGTTCTTGGTGTGATCGTCGGAGTGTAATGCATCATGGCGGTGGTTTGTACATATAATTTTCTCTTCTGTTCATAATTTCCTACTCTATCTTGAATCACGACTTCACGATTTGGATTGGACGGGTTATATATGTAGAATATTGGATATACTAGCGAGGAAAATCGAAGTTTCACCAGTTATTCGTATTCGGACTTGCAGGTTGAGCCTCTTGTGATTCTAGTTGTACCCATGGAGCATGCAGCAGGCCATGGGTTAGTGTTGTCCAGATAATATGATAAATACTTCACCCTACAGTACACTTCTTCAAAAATTCTCCTCCACTTGCGTACGAGACCTATATCTATCTTTTCTGACTAGACGGCAGGCAGCTTTTGATGTAATGCTTTCAGGAACTTCTCTACATTCCAGATCTAAGCCTTGACCCATGAAGAGGCTTTCATGTGGTCCTAGAATAGACTGTGATTGGGTTCGAAGATCACAATATTCCACAGACAAGAGCTTTGTTTCTTCGAAAATACCCCTTTGTTTGCTCGATAGAGAAACGTAGGCAAGGCTTTCAACCACTTGCCCTGGCATGTACAGCAAATATGTTCATCCTTGAGCCTCTTGCATGTCCTTTGTCGTTTGATAGCCCGCCAAGAAGTCTCACTAAAGAGAAAAGGGGGAAAATCGGCACTATTGCAAACAGCCACCACAGGATACACATGTCCAATTGTGAGATACCTTGATCATACAAAGCCTCTTCAAGACCATCCAAATAGTGTAAATCTTCACATTCATGCTTGAATGATGGAGGGCGAGGTCCGCTGATTCCGCCGCCGGTTTTCGCCACTGTGTTAAGAAATAAGCTTCATATAGCCAATACGCAACACCCCTCTCATCACCCAACACATGGCCTAGTGGTCAGCGGTTCTATCAAGCGGCGCCCACCAATCGACTGAACGATCGTCCTGGGTTCGAGTCTGTGCTAACATTTCTTCAGAAACCCCTATCGTTAGCACAAATCCCCTAAATAAAAGCACTTACACATCCCCTAGCACTAACTCCAGGGACAGGTCTCTCCTGCCAAAGGCCAGCCGACCAAGTGAAAGTAACTCGACCTGGACTTGGAACCGGTTGCGAGTGAATCCTTCGAGGTTGGCTCCGGGGACGTTCCACGGCGCGCTATCTACGGGGATGGTATGAGTAACAGGAGGAGGCCTGGCCCTCCCCTAAAACCGCGCACAGTAAGTTGCCTCCCTCTCTCCTCAACACGAAACATTTCACAGATGGTGGGCAATGCTTGATAGAACATAATATATTTTTTCCCTTCACCTAGCTGGCTCTTAGCGTCGCCATCCTGAGATGTTGAGACGGCGTTGCACTTTGGTATCGACACGCCCATTTTGTTTTGAATATTTAGATTTCAATTTAATGATTCTTTTTTAAACCTGTCTAGCCATCCATTGACCAGCTCTAGGAGCATAAATTTCTCAAGCTTGAGTTCTTTTTCTAAGGTATGCATCGCCTAGCAAATATTGTATTGACGCGCGTGATGCAAATTTCAACTTTTGACCACCCATTCGATTACTTTTTAGATGCTTTTTTCAAGAAAGAAAAGTACGATATCATGTTTCCTAGCGGTCACGATAGTGGCCAGCGACCAGAAAAGCCAGCTCGAGCGCCTGCTTCTCGTTCAACCTTGGGTCACAGTAAGTAGTGTAATTGAGATTCAGATCGTCTTCAGTCAACCCTTCGCTACCACCTACGCACTCGGTCACAGCTTCGCCGGTGAGTTCCAGATGCACCCCACCTAGGAAACTTCCTTGCTCCTTGTGGATGCGCAACGCGCTCCTGACCTCATCCAGAATACTGCTAAAGTGTCTAGTCTTGATGCCAGAAGGTGTCGAAAGGGTGTTGCCATGCATTGGATCACACTGCCATACGACAGTGTGACCGCTGTCGCGAACGGCCTGAATATGGCCCGGAAGTAAGAGATCGACGTGTTTCTCTCCGTAGCGTGTGATGAGCGTGACTTTTCCGATAGATTTGGTTGGATTGACAGCATCAAGGAGGGCCACCAGTTCAGCAGCCTGCAAGGTTGGGCCCACCTTGATACCAATAGGATTCTCAATACCACGGATGTATTCGATATGGGCGCCATCAAGCTGGCGAGTACGGTCGCCAATCCAGAGGAAGTGGGCAGAAGTATTGAACCAACCTTTAAGATCATCGTGGCGTGGGACTGCACTGTGACCATTGGGCTGAGTATGCTGCGTCTCGATCTTTGATTGGGACTTAGTCTGAGGATGAAACTGAAGACGTCTCGTCAAGCTTTGCTCGTAGTCCAACAGGAGTGCTTCATGGCTCGTGTACAGATCAACAGTTTCCAGTGCACTTGCCGTGCTATCGGCACCTACAGTCCGCATAAATCGAAGACTTTCCGTGATACTTTCGACGATCCGCTCATACTTCGCCTTAATGGCCTGGTCTTTCACGTGTCCAAGTTCCCAATCTAAGGGGTTATGGAGGTCTGCAATTCCAGAAGAGAGTGCTCCTCTGATGAAGTTCAAGGTTGCCGCTGAGTGCATATATGCGGAGACAAGACGTGTAGGATCCGGGGTCCTCTCATCGACTGAGTATCCATTGAGGATGTCACCTCGAAATGAATGTATTTGCCGTCCATCATGATTCTCCATTGGGCTTGATCGGGGTTTGGCAAATTGGCCTGCGATCCTAGCCACACGGACAACAGGAAGGTTCATGCCCCAGATGAGAATCAGACTCATTTGCAGCAATAGCTTGATCTTGCTCTCAATGGCGTCTGCTTCGCAATACTCGAAAAGCTCGGCACAGTCACCACCCTGGAGGAGGAACGCATTTCCAAGGGCGACCTCACAGAGAGATTCTCTCAGTTTTAATATTTCGGTCGGCGTGACTATCGGAGGGACACGATTGAGTTTCTCCAGTGACTTCTGCACCGCAGTAGCTTCTTCATAATTTACATCTTGTTTGATAGGCCGAGCCTTCCAGGAAGACGGTGTCCAGTTGGGAGCTGAATCTCTTTGTCCAAGACTTCCCATGACTTTCGAGACTCACAAGTCAATGTCTAAATGACTTTCTTCCTTGCGACTTTCGTTTGAAATAGATTCTCCTCTCAATGAGATAGGTTCTCAAGAATATGCTATTCAAGAGGGTCTGCCGTAAATAAAGGATATACCCCGTCTTGCACTATATCTAAGTCATATTCCGTGAAGAACCCCTCAGATCTCCAAAACCTTGAAGCAATGTGTAAGAGAATGTTAAGATCATCCCAAAATCGAGCGGTTAAGGGAGTCATAGCTCTCCAAGCGCCAAGCGAGCCAGCCCTCTGCCTTTCCTCTCACACTAGAGGAAAACCCAACCTTCATCTATAATACTCTTCACCTTCAAAGCTTCTGCACTCGCCAACCTTCCTCAATCTTCTGCAACCCATCGACCAGACATGGCAGAACCTCAGCCCCCGACAGTCACAGAGGGGATGGACGACGCAGCTCTGCCCCCTGCGAGCGCCGAAGACCGCAAAGCGGCAGCAGCAATGGACGCCCTCGAATCGTCTCGCGCTGTAGATGACCAAGAAAATCAAAAACCCGCCAACGCAGCCCAAGCAGATGCAATTAGTCAGGCTATTTCACGGCTCGAGCTCGTTGACAAGGCCGGCAAAGTATCTACGGAAGATCCCAACGAGCAACGAAGGAAGAAGAGGGAGGAAGAGCAGAAGGAAAAGGAACGAAAAGCGAAGATCAAAGTGAACGCAGAGGATGTGGCTTTCTTTGTGGAGGAGTGCGACATGACGAAGATGAAGGCGACGGATTTCCTAAGGCAGTATGAAGGAGATCTGGAGAAAGCTGTCAGGGGATACATTAGGATGTGGGCTTGAAAAGGCTACACTGAGTTCCATTCACCTGACATGCGAAAGATGATTATGCGAACGACTGCAAGGTAGAGCAGATGCATTAGATGTACGGACGAGCACTACGGGAAAATATACCGTGAAGGTGCATACGCTTGACGCAGGGACGGAGAACTCTGTTCAGGCCTGTTCTTAGGTCGATCGCAAAACAACCTCACCTGCTTCATTGCAATAGAATATCTGCTATTCGATCATGCCAGCACCGAAAAGCGAAAGGTCTATGTGGTCGGCATGACGGCTCCTCCTCCTGAGAGTCGACAGACATGCGGTCTTCGTCGCCGTAGATCAAATCTTGATCTGCTCTCAAAGATCGAAAAGATACCTTCCACGTTCCTCGTGAACTAAACCTTGACTTTTGCTTGTGCGATAACAAGCCAATTCATCAAAGTTTCATACACGAGCAATTTTGAAGAAGCTAGCGCTTTTCAAGGTAGAACGAGCACAGGCAAATCACAGAGTCTGCAGAAGTACGCTATGCTGCGTGCCCACTGTCATATGTTCCAAGTCGGAATAGGGATTATTACTTCATCAACGTCCGGGCTGAATCCGGGCACGGCTTTTTCCGTATCGAGTATGGGCGTCCGATTTGAAGGTGCCACAGCTCTCTTGCTTGATTGATGGCTGAACTGAAGTCTCACAACGGGCTGACTGAAGGCTCAAGGACTCAATGGTAGGATGCGGGTCAATGAATCTCTATATCATCTACTAATACAAGGGTATCTCCCAATGATATCGGCTGAGACCATTATAAATCAGCACACTCATTCCAAGTCCTTGAATGCAAACACATCTCTCTGACCCTTCCCTATTTCTTTTCCCCGTTTCCTCTTCTTTCGCCTCTTTCTTGGACGCTCATCATCGCTGCTGTCACTTCCATCCTCGCTATCCTTCTGAGCCCCGTCCCTACCCCCTTCATCCTCCGCATTCACACTGTCCTCATCCACTTCCCCTCCCTCCTCCCAAATCTTTACCACCATGCCTCCACCACTAATCAACCTTCCTTCCCCAACACATCCAAGTCCCACGACGCCATCAACCTCATCATGCACGACCCCATTCCCTACAACCTTCGGCCTCCCTCTCCCAGCCGGCACATCCAAGAACCTAACCATCCCATCCTCACATCCCACAGCCACAGACCCCTTGCCTCCACCCTCCTCCTCCGGCATCGTAGTCAGCACATCAGCACCCCCACCCTTTCCCCCAATCACGACCGTAACCTCACTATCATCCCACCTCCCTACATCCCAAAATCTCAACACACCCTTTTCACCCCCGACAACGGCTTTGCCAGCGCAGATGGTGCTAGATAATAATTCTTCATCTTGGTCTTCAGACTGAACGAGCACGCCTTTGCGGAGGTCGGTAATGGCTACTGTTGCGCTGCCTGTGGTGAGGAACTGGATAGGGTCGGTCGAGCTAGCGGAGCTGGTCGATTTCTGGGGAATGGAGGCGATGGAGGTTATGTAGTCGTCATGGATAGCGGTGTGAGTTTTTATGGGTTTGGAGGAGATGTCGTTGGAAGCGCGGATGTCGTAGATGTGGAGCGGGCCGGAGTCGGTGGACAGAAGGAGGGTGGACAGAGTGATTGGGTGAAGGGTAGTTGGTGTATCAGGTCTCTGACTGTAATTTGACGCGTCAATGTATGGTGTTTTAGGGGAGAGGTGTGGATCATACTTGTGGAGAGGGACTGCGATTTTGGACGTGACTTGGCCAGTCTCTGTAGATGCAAGTTTCACGATCCCATCTCTGCCCGCCGAATAGATATTGGCGCCATCAGGCGAAAAGGCTAGAGACCGACAACTGCCCTTGTGACGCCGGGTCCGCCATGCTATTTCTACTGTTCCATAGCCATTTTGTGAGGGAGACTCCTTGGACGCGGATGGAGGGAGCCGATTCAGTTGAACATGGCCAGATGCGAGGCCGAAAGCAACCAATGGACTCGAAGGATGAGTAGCTTGAGCGAATAGGTCAGAGGAGAGCGGGTATGTGCAGAGAATATCGAGCATGGACTCGATAGGTTGAAGATGGCTTCGGCTAAAGCGCTAGAGTCAAAAAAAGGAGGGGGATCATTAAGTCTGCTAATCAATTACAGTCTTTCCACCTTGGTTCAATGCTTTTCAATTGATGTTTGCGATAAGATATTGAATTTGCAAATGAGGAACTCGACACTTGGGCTATGTCGACACGCATAACTTAGAGGCAGATAACATCATGATATCTTTGCTTCAATCCAAAACGAGCAGAAGAGACTTCGTACACCCCATCAAGCAGCATGCTATGTTCACATTCAAACCTTCTTGACCTTCGCAAGCAGCCTCTCCTCGAGCTCTCGCATTGCTTGCGCCCAAACGCCGTACCCTTTGACAGCCTTGATCCTCGAGTCCACAAACTCTGACATCTTCTTCTCATTCAGTGCTTCTCCATAGCATACCTTCACGCATGGTTTGACGCTCAAGCCCAAAGCGCTAGTTCCTTCTCCGGCGCGAACTTTTACCTCGAATGTGACCTCTACTTTGGTCCTCATCGCCTTGATGAAGATAGTTGAGCGTACTGACATGACCTCGTCAGCAGTAATTGTAGGTTCAATGATATAGCCCACACCCAGGGCTCCCACTTGTTCGCCAGTGGAGCTAGCAAGATCCCAGCTTCCGCTCACGAAAGCCAAAAGATTCTTCGGCTTCGTCCGTGATTGCTGGAGGCATTGCAATTGAGCGCGGATAATTTGTAAGAAGAAACGCTGCTCCGTTTTCAAAGACCTGGGATGATGTTCGTCGGCGTCAGCAATATAGGTGAGACTGATGGGCGCGCCGTTACCGGCGGCTGCTTCGATGACTGAGGAGTTTGATGAAAATGCAGCGGGAGAGAAAAGTAGCTGGATCGCACGATCGTAGGTAATGGCAATGTCATTGCCAGAGGCCGAAGTGATCAACCAGCCATGAGTCGCTTCCAATTCGCTGACCGAGAGCTGTAAAGCAGCAACTTCGGCCACACTCCATCCTCGACATTCGTCGCGTAATCGCTCGGCTTCACTTATGGACTCGGCACAGTATTGCTTGCGGGTCAGGGTCGTTTCCAAAGCGTCTTCTCGTTCCCGCAGTTGATCTTGCAGCTCCTTAATCATGTGGCGCTTTCTCTCGAGATCTTGCTCGACACTCGCAAGCTGCTCTCGAGTCTCCTTGAGCTCCTCTTGATCGCAGCCAGCTAATTCCTCTACGTGAGCCTGGGTGATTTCGACCTGGTTGAAGAGCTTTTCATGCTCTTTGGACATATGGGGTAGCACAGGCTGTAAGAGTTGTTCCTGCTGAGCCAACAAGCGATCGTCTTCCTGCATCCCTCGCTCCGTTGTAAAGAGACCTTCTTTGAGACCTTCGAGCAGCTTCATCCGCCATTCATACCAGATGCCCTTACTCAGCAGCCGGGCGTTTGTCTTGACGTTCTTGAATTGGTTGTCCATGATCGGCCTGACGTCCGCCGGGGCAGAGATATATTCTCGAAATAATGGTGGGTTGTCATCGAATGTGGCTTCTTCAATTTCTTTGACCACCTTTCGACCTTCTGAAATATAGTTCTTCAGTTCACGGCACGACTACACGACATGTCAGCATTTATTGGACTTGATCGTTCTTGAGGGCCAGCATACATGTTGGTACAGTTCCAGCATTGGAACAGTACATGCACCTGCGACAATGCACATTTCGAGGTCATTTGCAGTTTCCCCATCATTGACCTGATCGACGCCTGGCCTCGAGAATTGCTCAGTCGAGTTTGGGACTACAGTCTGTCTTCTTTTCGTTGTAGTGAGTTCCATAAAGCGGATGCCGGTCATATTTAGGAAATCTTGCAGATGTATGCGATCGTCTTTCTCCAGAGTCGCTTCAAACGACATCGGCCTCAGTGGGCTCTTTGCTTCAGCGTTCTTAAATCGAGATTGGTCTTTTGGAGTGGTATTGATATTCAGTGGCGAGGCGTGAGTTGACGGAGTGCTCAGTCTGGCGGTGCCTACATTTTCTCCCTGGCTTTGTCGTGTGGAACGAGTGACTCGGCTTGGGAGCGTTGCCTTCGATACTGGTGGTGGCAGCTTGACCTTCTTGATAGGACTACTTTCTCTACCTTTCAGTCTCTTCGGTGTGTTATCCTCGTCACCATCATCATCAAGCTCGGCTGGACGCTTGCCTAGTAAACCTTTCGCAGCACCAACATGCAAGCTTTTTCGTGGTTTTGTCTTCTTCTTTTGCGGACTCAGGCTATCAATCATATCCTTAAGGTTAGCTGTCACGTCCTTATCGTCATTTAGATCCTGCGCATCCGCTTCTTGTTCTAGAATATTACGGCCGTTTTCTCTACGCTTTTCTTCGGCTGTCTCGTGATCGATCTGCTTTTCCATTTCTTGAAGATCTTCAAAGCGAACAATTGATGCAGGTTCAACACGGGGAACAAAGGGCTTTGCAGCTTCTCCGATCGAAGCGCGCCTGTCGAGAAGAGCTGTAACACGAGGAGAACCGAGTCCTTCACGGTCAATGCCAAATCCTGAAGATCTCCGCTTGCGAGGCCTTAAAATCTCACTAGGCGTCACTCTACCTGTTACAGGATCTTGAAGGAAAGGAGACGCAGGCGATCTCCCGATCAAGGCTGATCGATTGTGATTCTTCGCAGAGCTTATTTCAGCCTGGAAGAGCTTCTTAGGGGACGCACTTCTTAAAGTAACGTTCTTGGAAGGTGGAGTCTTGCCCGGAGTTGTTGGCCGAGCAGGCTGGGGCGTCGCTTTCTTCGAAGGCGTCGCAGGCTTCTTCACCGGCGTGACTTGACGTGACTTGGGAGTCAGGGACACCCTTCCACTGCTACGTCTCTCGGCGCTGTCTCGAGGCTGAGAGACACTAAGACTGGGGCTGCCAGTCTCTGAAGTCATTGCAGATTTCCGAGCTTGGGTCGGTAGAGGTCTTTCGTCCAGGAGACCAGCTCCCTCGGCTTCTGAGGGGAGCCATCATGAAACGGCGATTCAGCAGGCAACTGCCCGGCGTCTACTTGGCGTTCCATCAACGCTTTAGCTTCCATCTTGTCGCCAGCATTTATTTCCTTTGGCAAGATGGACCCGATAGCGGAGGTCACGTCCATTTCCATTGTTTGGTCTTCCAGTGGTTCAGTACGCTCGGTGATTGGTGGAAGGATACCTCCTGCAGCATATGTGAAATCCATGTCCATGTCAGAACCAGCATCGCAATCTTTCGGCCCTGGAGATCCGGTATTCCCAGACTGAACAACACCTCCCACTACAGCAGTGAATTCCATAGTCATTTCTTCAGGGTCGCTTGCAGGCTCCCCGTCTTCAAGGTCCGTCGTGTCCTGTATACCTCCTACGGTAGTCGTAAGGTCCATAGTCTGATCTTCTGCTATACTGAACGCATCACCGGAGGATCTACGTCGACCTACACTACTTCTCCGCTTTTTTGACGTACCAAGAGATTTCCTCCGACTATTCTTTGGCGAAGATGTACCGGCTGAGGTTGACGGCAGTATACTGCCCATAGCTTGCGTTATTTCCATAGTCGCCTCTTCAGTCTCGCCTTGCCCTTGCGCTTCTTGCACGATTCTAGCCTTGAAAGCCGGTGAGAAGGGATTGATATTTTCCTGATCTAGAAAGGCGCTCGTCTCGCCAACTGCTTGGGCTTCCCTGTTCTTTGCTGCCCATGGTTTGAAGGCGTCGGTAACCTCATCGTTAGCCATTTCCATCGTCATGTCTCCATTTTCGTCGTACTCAATGCCTTGAGTGCCGGCCTGACTGGCTGCTTGCTGGAGAGCTGCGTCAAGCCTTCCGCTTGAAGTCGTGCTGTCTGTACTATGAAATGTAGTTTCGTCACCATCTACATTAGTCAAAGTCTCTTCTTCCACTAGATCTTTGTCGTCATCAGACTCCATGGAATCACTGCCCTCTTCAGCGGTTTCGAAAGCTCCAGTATCGTCATCGCCCTCTGAGTCTCCGCTGAACGGGCTTGACGACAATTGATTTGGGTCATTGAAGTTCATAGGCGGTACGGTAGAGCTACGACGACGTTTCTTTTGATGTAGATCTCGCTGATGCTCTGGGGAGCGCGCCACTTGCATCTCCTCTAGCCCTTGCGGCGTCGAAGGAGGCTCTGAAGCATCTGAAGATGGTTCTTGAGACTGTCCTCTACCGTATGGCAAATTTTGATCCGAGGTCACATTGGAAGCCCGACGGACTGTATTGGTCGACGCAGAAGATGTAGTAGAATCTTCCTGTAGCTCAACCACGTTCCATGTGTGGAGCGTTGCTTCTGGTGCGAACGAAACTCTGCGGTTTACTATGTAGTTCAATCAGCTCAGATCCTATAGCTTGGGGTTATCGGAATGTACCTTGGGATTTGCGGCGATCTTCCTTCTGCGCCTGCAGTTCTTGCCGTTCTTTTTCTCTTGCCGCAGCCTGCTGCTCCTCCTCTGTTCGTAGAGCCACCCGGGTGGGAGACTTTGACGGCGATCCATGCGAACGGTCATCTGTCTTCTTTGGACTCTGAAAAGGGTCGTCTTGTGCTTTCGGAGAGTTTCTCGAAGGCAAAATTTGAGGCGCTTTGGAAGGAGAAGATTCTGGCGTCTTCCTTCCGCCACGCTTGTTCGGCGACCCATTCTTCGAATTGGACGGTGAGTGAAGTTTTGGCGGTGACACAGATACCGTAGCTTTCAGTATGGATTTAAGGCGAGGCAATGAGGGCTGTTCGATCTTTAGCATGCAGCCACCAATCTGGGTTGCCGGTGGTTCAACTTACTCGGCCTTGATTTCCACTTCCTTCCTTGAGTGCATCAAGTCCACCAGGACCCAAACTTTTGCTACGAGACTTTTTCGCAGCTTGTTTCGCTTTAGCAGTCATTGAGGATAATGCTGCGGGATCCATGGTGATGTTTTCCTTGTCGACGCTCAGATCTGGAGTTGGTAGATGCGCGATAGATTTACGAGTCTGGCGCAGTCTTGAAGCTGTGGGGCCTGTTCTGTCCGCCATCTATGAAGCGCTCAATTCTTCCCTTTGGTTAGTATGCCGGGGTTGACTCTGTCTAAAGCTCGCGACCATTTAACCTCAGATGTAAACAATCACTGTTAGCGGCGGCTTTGTTCCGCTCTTTGTGGCTAGCGAGGTCTTGGCGCACTTACCGTCAAACAAAACCGTCCACCATTGTAGTGTCCCCCAATTTGCGTCGATAATCGCAATCATGGCAACTGAATTGACGGTACAGTCGGAGCGCGCATATCAGAAGCAGCCACATATTTTCGTCAATCAAAAGACCAAGCGCACGAAGAGCACGAAAGTCGGGAAGGGAGGCCGAAGATGGTACAAAGACGTTGGATTGGGTTTCAGGACACCAAAAACCGCTATTGAAGGCACTTATATTGGTAAGGAGAGATGGCAGATGTCAAGGAATCAATTTTACTGAATACCACTGACATTTTTCTTGCTCAAAAGACAAAAAATGCCCATTCACTGGACAAGTCTCTATCCGTGGGCGTATCCTTACTGGCACTGTCGTCTCCACGAAAATGCACCGTACCCTCATTATCCGTCGCGAATACCTTCACTTTGTCCCAAAATATGCAAGATACGAGAAGAGGCACAAGAATCTAGCAGCTCACGTTTCACCGGCTTTCCGCGTGGAGGAGGGAGATCAAGTTACGGTTGGACAGTGTAGGCCACTAAGCAAAACGGTATGTTACTCCAAGATTTTTGGGAGCAAGAATTAAACAACCTCAACTAGGTTCGATTTAATGTGTTACGAGTGCTTCCCAGGACAGGGAAAGCTGTGAAAGGCTTTCAAAAATTCTGAGCACGTAAAAGATAACGGTTAGGCATCAATGTGAAGTGGATGAACAGCTGTAATCAGTCGCAAACTTTGATATGTAACATTCCAAACGTCTACACACTCGGTAAACACTTTTGTCCCAAACCGGCTCGAGTTTTCATCAGTCTGTCGAAGAATCGCTATCTAGATTCCCGCCATTGCGTACGAAGCACGACCATCAAAATATTTAGTGGTCAATATTGATAGTCTACAATCGACATGTTCAATAAGGCGCTCACATTCTCCCTTACATGTAATAACATTCATTAAATCATACAAACGTTGCTCAACTTGATGAGACCCCGCCACAATATCAAAGCTCCTTATCCACATGACAGCGATTCACCTGCTTCTTCCTCTCTTCAATTTGCATCTGCAAATCATGCTGACTCAGAAATTGTCAAATGCCAGTCCAGCAAGGGTATTCGTAGGTTTCTAGAACGTCTTCTTGGACGCGGTTGTGTACGTTGGAAGCCGAAGACAACTGCTTTGTGGTTGGAAGCAAACTCGTTTCCTCCTCAGCGGTCTCGTCAGTTTCATCTTGAATATCAACGTATACAGCAGCTATTTCTAGCTCTGAAATTAGAGAATCATGATCGTTGTGGTCCACCGTCAAGTCAATTAAGGAGGTCTCATCTTCAAGATTGTCCGAGTCTCTGCCTTCTAAACCATGCTTCACTCCAGAGACAAATGCTTCATTTATTCGCCACGGTTCATTTTTCTTTATTTTAAAATTCCAGCTCGATATCAAAGATTGCACGGCGATATCGAGCAGAGACTTAGGTATATTAAAAAGAATGAGTAATTTCCCAATCACCACACCACCTAGAATATGTTACCGTCAGTATAGAATCATAACATCACCGAACCCCTGCGTGTTATCGGAAGAATTGCACAACGATAGGTTTACGAACCAAAGTATGTGAGTCTACAAGAAGGTAGCGATTAGCATACTTTCAGTGTGAAGCGATTGCAAGTTATTGTGAAGGTGTTAGAGAACCATACCCTAGCTGCTTTCCTTCTCGGCTTGAGCTAGCATAATACCAAGAACTCTTGAAGGTCTTCTTAATCTACGAAAAAATTCGTAATTGTTAGTCTCCGAGCCATTCTAAAAATCGCATGCAGGGTTCAGGAGGACTCACTATCTCAAAGCCCAACGGGTCTACATCCCATGGCGTTCTTGGGGGAGAATTGAGTATATCCCCTGCTGCAATATGGGCTACGATGGCCTCTTGTCTAATTTGCCCATAGCTAGACCAAGAAATTACTAAAGTGTCAAGGATGAACAAGTAGTATGCCGCAGTCGCGAACAAGGAAGCAATAGTATTCAAAAGCTGAGTATTGATCGAACACGACGGGAGATTGACATACCATAGGTACTCGCCCGATGGGTAGTAACTTTTGACCTTCGTCGGATGAAGATCTAAATCTTTGGCACAAAAGATTGAGTCGCCTTGTCTCGTCATTTTCTCAGTGTCAATTAGAGCAACATAGCTGTTATACTTCATAGTCCTAGCCCCAATTACTAGAGACATGTAAATCAGGAAATGTTTTGCATAAGCGACGAAAATGCGGGAAAGTATCAACATACCCAGAGCACGGACAAGGTTCGAAGTCATGGATATAAAGAAAGTACCGCGTGGCGTCTTATCGCCCTCCACGTGCCTGGTTGCCTCTTTCCGTACCTCTTGTAGTGGGGGACATGGTGGTATTCTTGCATCGCAGATGAATTGACCTGCTCGGAATCCGTGGGCAGAGTTCAAACCAAAGCTCTTGTCAGAGTATCCTGTCTGAGGTTAGTAGCATGAAGTCTTAACAAGCTCACTTGACAAACCCCTGTAGAGAAGTCGTGGCAGCTCTGAAGACGGTGGACTCTCTTTGACTCTATGTCTCTTAAGGCGACTGGTGGGGGGACCCTGATCCTGTTCATTCATAAAAGCAATTGTTCGCGTACGACGACTACTAGACTGCCCCCTATTCGCATCGATTTGTGAAGGATTGATGCAAAATGAGCGGGTTGAGGCATGTAGTGTCAACTTCGAGGGCGTTCCTGGCGTCCTAAGATGCTTTTGTTGCGTTGCAACATCCATCATTTCGCTCTGACCATCAGCCTGTGAAGAAGTGGGTGTCATCGGCTCGCTTGGTGTCAAAGGCATTTGGTGAATCTGATAATGAGGCACACGCTCAAAGATCTGCATACCCAGTCTCGCAGCTGTATTGGCGATGTGGGATTTAATCTCCCATTCCTCGTCAGCATTTGTTGAGAACAATGCTTGAAAATCTCGAGAAAGATCTCTCGATGCTCGGCGACTCAGCTCGCTGTGCTGTGCTGATAGAGCCGGTGGATAAAAGGCGTTAGGAATCTGGAAGGCGGTGTTGAAAATGGGTGCTGCTTGCTCCCATGTCATTTCGTAGGCGCTTTTGAGAACTCGCAAAAACTTTCTCTCGCTTGGTGTCCAAGTGTGCTTCATAGCATTCATATTGGTTACACCCATCTCTGCGATAGATTGCTTTTCTCTGAGTCGTGGGAGATGAAACTAATGACTGAAACCCCCTAAGGAGTGAGGATGGGAAGGCAGAAGATAGAAAAATTAGGGTTGACATCACGTTGAGAGATTCGTTAACACCCAAACTGAAGTACATGCAAGATGACGTCCACATGCGTCTTGGGAAGCTTGTGTCAATCTCCATCACCAAAATTGCGATGGTTTGCAAAACATACAACTCATCCGTTCAACGAGGTCCGATTGACTGGAAGCTACATTTCAATAGCTATGACGAAAGATCCAAGCATTAATATACTCTGAGAGAAGGTGACTACGATCAATTTAAGAAGTAGCATTGTTTAATCTCAATGAACACACGCTCAGCCAAAAGGCGAGTAGTAGTAACGAGATGTTGCTAGTATACTCGTTAGTTGCAAGAGGTCTCCTGTCTTAAAAGGTGATTCAAAGATATAATTGATAGTCTTGCAAAACCTCTACTGATAACACTGCATTATAGGTCAAAGGCTTCATCATTAGATGGTGGTGAAGAGAAGAACGAGCCTTGGCCAACTTTGAGGTCTCTATTTCCCAAAATTCACTAGCGGCTTTTCCCCTGCCAAGCCCCCTTTTCCGCCTCTAGGTACGGCAGCCTTGCGTTCACTTCCAGCCCTCAGCTTCAGACATTTTTATCGTCCCTCGAGCAATTGCTCTGGTATACGACACGCTCACCCTGCATGATGAAGCCATCGTAAAGCTGACGATGGCTTTGATCCAACTCCACTCGCTCCCATGACCTCCACCTCGCCCTCCCCACCTCTTCAGACAATATTACAATGCAGCGACTCGCCGCTCTCCATGAGCGCCAGCATTCTCAGCATCCTGACATTCTTCCTCGGCGTGGCAGCCTCCTACATAGCACTTCAATCCGCAACACGGGGTGCGCCGTCCGAAATCACGCGGTTGGTGGATGAACTCCGCTCGACGCAATCGGAGATCAATCGCGTTGCGGGGTACATATTTGACGATACGCATTATGGGCCCATCAAACCCCCACCTGCGGCGACAGGGACGGATCTATATGGTAAAAGTCATGCGTATGCGACGGGTGTTGCCAAAATCAGTAGCGGCGGAACCCACTACGTACCCACCAACGATGGCTCCCATGTCTTGTCGGGCATCGACACCCTATGGACGGAGACGCAAACGCTACTTTCATCTTGCATACGCCTATTCTACGAGACAGACAGGCTGCTCAAGCGGTCGAACTCCGATAGCTCGCGATGGGATCCAGATGGGTTGAGAAGGAGAATCGTCTTCGTGATGAACAGGCATAAAGTAGACGAGAAGATCCAGCGGCTAGCGGAGCAGAAGCAGAAACTTGCAAGTGTGCAGATGAGCTTGTTCATGCGAAAAAGCACTGCTCAAGATGCGCTCTTGGCGGACATGCTGATGAAGCTGGAGAAAATGGAGGAGATGCGGAAAAGGCGTTCACAATGACGTTTCAAGTCGTTGCGAAAAATGATACAACAGAAGACATCGAAAACGTCGCAATTTAGATTGCAGTTCAGGCCGCAAAGCCCCTATGTAATATGTACCTGACTGCTTGACACCTTTGCTCGCCCCCATCTGAATATCTTTCATGTCTGCATCCATTTTGGTCGTTACCGAAAGGGAAAGTCTTACCAAACTCCGCATATAGCAATCGGCTGGATAATTCCGGAGGCTACTCAGGAGCATTAATTTTCGACGTACTAGTTACACACTCTTGTCATGAAGAATTGAATGTCTATGCTGAGGATTCGTTAAGAGTGGGGTATCCTTGTCCAAGTTTCGTCTACTACTCGCACACACGCCTATTGATCAATCAGAAGCTCTGAGCACTCGTTGGATTCGGTGCTGGCTAAGAATGCATCAGTAAAATCTTAGTCGCTGGTAGCGAGAGGCTGGCTTACGGGGCTGTTCAGTTGCTGCATGTTGGCTCTTTTGTTACGCCCCTTTTTGATGTGGTTCTTCAATGCACTCGAATCTAAGGGCTTGAGAAGCTCAAAGCTGCACAGGAGCTCGCCAGAAACTGACATCACCGCTCCCCAATTGTCAAATTCACCACAGTACTGTTCATCGTATTAGCTTCAAGCCAGTCGGTGCGAGCTCTAGACTGGAAAGCTTACATTTGGCGCTGAAAAGACCGTTACAAGTATTCGATCATTAAAGAATTCATAACCGTCTTCGACCACCATATGTGCCCTGCACACCAAATCGAAATCATGCCGCTGCAAGAATTCCATTATTACCTTCTTGCCAAAACAGTAGCTTACACCTCTTTCATTGGCCTCCCACTCGTTCTCCATATCTGCAGGATCACTCCACAGTAAGTCGTTGAGCAAACCGTAATCTGGTACGTCTGTTGGTCGTGCAATTTGCCTAATATCGTCCATATGTGTCAGGCTAGGCGACAGACCACCGTGGACACAGAAAATCTTTCCAGCAACGATGGCAGCGATTGGTAGGCAGTTGAAGGTGTCGATGAACGTCTTCCAGATCTTTATGTTGCATCTTCGCTTACACTCATCGTAAAAGCCATAAACCCTCGTCACATTGGCGCACTCATGGTTCCCTCGTAAAAGGAAGAAATTTTCTGGATATTTAAGCTTGTAGCATAGAAGAAGTAGTATGGTCTCAAGACTTTGCTTGCCCCGATCAACATAGTCACCCAAAAACAGAAAATTGGCTTGAGGTGGGAACCCGCACATCTCAAACAGGCGGATCAAATCGGTGTACTGTCCGTGAACGTCGCCTACAATTTTGACTGGAGCAGACAATTCGATCAATGCCGGCTGGGAAAGAAAAAGCTCCCGTACAGCAGCGCAGATGGCAGTGATTTCGGCATTCTTTAGGCACACTGCCTTGGTTACCTTTGTTGAGTAGCCAGTATCTAGTAATCGATTGATCATCTCATCGACATCGATTGACTTTGGACCTCCGAAACTGACTCTTGGGGAACTCGATAATATCATCGTGTCCTCATCACCGTTGGCAGGGCTGAGATAAGGCGAAGAAGGTGCTTTTGGTGCTTTCGATGTCTTCGGAGGGACCATATCGGTCTTCATCAGGATGGATTCCTTAGCCTGCGGATGCTGTGTTGGAGCATATGCACCTGAAGGAGGTGCATCAGAAACATGGTCGACTTCACCTTGTTGCTGCGCTTTATCCACAGCTTTGTGACCCTTGCCTACAGACGCGGACATTGTGGGCGATGGTGGAGGTTGGGGGGAGCTAGTCCCTGTGGGGGTATCCGTCTCACTATCATCAGCAGGTACAGGGTCTACCTTGGGTTTGCCTTTCGAGCTGCCAGATGACCTGTTAGATGTTCCTGTATCTGCACGCTCCAAGTCTCCAGCTGTGGTGTCTATTTGAGAGAAAGAGCTTCGAGGGCTATCGGTCTTTGCGCCTGGGATCTTCGAGCGCAGACCTCTGAATGAACGGGAGGACTCCTTTGTGTCTGATTTGCTGAACGATGGATATGATTTGAGACCCTCAGTGGTCTTATCGAGTGACGTAGACGAGGCATTCCGCGGTGTTTTGCTTCCATCTGCCCCCTTTGAGGGCTGCTGGCCCATTTTCCGGCAGAGGTCCTTGTCGCTCCGAAAGCGCTGATTCGAGTTCACAAGAAACGTAACAGCTACTTAGTTTTATGCGGTATCGTCTCTCAAGGGCTGACTGCGCTGCGATTTTTGAGTTTGCGACTAATGCCTTCTCTCAAGTATTGGCCGGGAAGACTTTGCTGACAAATTGTCGGCAGGAGGATGTTCAATAAATATATGCTTCGTCCGTGTTATGGTGGTTTTAACGTGTTGAATAGGAGGCACAAGGATTGCGGCTCAAAGCTTGAGCATGGAGAGTTGTCTGGATGTAAGCCGAAGCTAGCAGCCTCTGTAGAGAACGATGGGTGACGGCGCCCTTGATGATCCAGATCGAAAGCCGTTTCAGTATGACAGGAGACAGTGGAGGGCCCAGTCTATAGCGAGAGACAGGAGTTAGCGAATGCGCGGTGTAAAAACATCTGCCAGTAGGCAGGTGCAGCACACAAAGGACTTGCCCCTCTCACTGCCACTTGTTTTACAAAGGTCCGCAGGAGCTGATAAGGCGGTGCGTTGACAAGACAGTCCCAAATGGGGAACTACTCACACAAGAAAGTAGATGTTGCCCTTTCTGAGTGACTTTATTATTAGGAGGCTTGTAAGCTAGGAGGGGCTAGAGAGTTGTATGAGTCTCGACGGATCATCCAACGGCTTTCCCTAAGAAGTCAAGAGCCGCTAGCAACCACAGTCTTGGGGGCTTCGAGCTTGGTACTCCACGCTCTGGTTGACGATGCCAACGATGATGCCGTCCTAAAACAGTTGCGCATACAGGTGTCGGCGCAGACTCTGGAGGTAGCAATGTGTTTACAATAACATGACAATAGGCTCTAAAACCTGCATTGATTGGTAAACCCAAGCACTACTGTGCCCTTGGGAGGCGGCGCTTCATTACAATTTCTGACTGAACCATGAATTCATCAACCACCTTCAGCTTTTTGCGGGGATAAGCCGCTACATTTTGGTCCTTCATCTTAGATAGCTTACCCAGTATCGGAAAAGACTCCCATCCAACATCAGCCCCATCCATAAACGAAGCTTGCGTTGGTCAAGCCTTCTTTAGACGGGTAGTCCGAGCTTTGCACATGCAGCACACGGATTTTTACCTGTCCTATGAGTTGATGTGCCGCGCTTGTTTGTCCCGACATGCCTCTTGCTTCTCACGGGGGTCGTCCTTCCAACAGGGAAAATTGTGATTCTTGTAAGTACTCTCGTACGCATGACAAATCAATCCCCTTTTTTATCATCATCGTTTTCCACCTCGATTCTAGTGATATGCTTGCCTGGCACAACAATTAGGCCCAAGAAACGGCTCGACATGTTTGTAATGAATCTAGAGGAGGCACCCGAGGCTTCTGCTGCCTGCGCCGACGCTCTTACTACGTCAAGAGACGGTGCTCGGTATTCATGCGTCTCAGCAAGAACAATGTTACTTTCCTGCACAGTGTCAGTCACTTACGTAGAAGGAAGTTTTCAATTCATCGCACGTTGTCTGTACATTTGAACGTTCCTACAAACATTCTGCCATCATTTGTGTGTATCCGCAGAATCTTGTTCAACAAGGACTTTAAATATTCAACAGCTTCAGTCTCTTCCATATCACGAAGTGAGGGAGAGAGCGAAGATATTCTAAAGCCTGCACTTTACACGGGCAGCTGACAGCTCTGTAAATTCAAGCTCATGGTTCCAAGGGACAAGGGCCCAGAGGCTAAGGACCGAAGTGCCGTGCAAAGCCAGAGTATTTGCAAGGTCTGCTTGCTTTCATGTTGACGTAGCGGTATTCTTCTATCGAGGAGATTCAGCACTTGAAAATTGGAACAAGGACTGGATGGCAGTTGGCGATGGGAACGAGGCGCCGGTTGCGGCTGCGGGACGGCGGGTGGCTTCCGCTAGAACTACTAAATTCTAGGAAGATTGTTCGACATGAATATTTCTCAACTTCATTCACCATTTTGGGGACAGAGGTACCGCTCATTCAGCATGATGCGGGGCTTACGGACGATAAACATTTTAAGTCCTTATAAACGATCGGTCGCATGCTATCGATCGAGCTCAAGAGCGCAGCCAAGACGCCCCGATGCAGTTGAGCGAGTTTATGAGAGACACAACTTGAAGAGAGATGAGCTACGGCGCACAGCGCAGTACAAGGCACTTCAACGGAGGTACGTCAATGAAGTAGGTATCAACTTGGAACCTTGCTAAGATTCTGGAGATGGATAGCCATCATCGTCGGTTTCCCAGTCTTTTTCGTGACTACCTATGTCCTGTTAAAGCAAGGTACTATCCCCTGATCCTGGAAAATACATGGAGACTCATGATCACAGTTCAAAATGAAGAGCGGAAAGAGTTCACGAGAGCACACCACGATTAAATCGACCTGGGAGAAGCCCAAGAGCAACAATATCTCGGGGCGGTTACACAATCGATTGTTGTGGTCGCCTAATACTTGTGCACGGGAAGACGTCAATACAGATTCAGCAAACGAGTCCATGATACATCACATATTCTCGTACAGGTCCAATAATCATACAGTCATTGCAAAAATCAGAAAGCAATTCCTGCGAAGCAGATCAAACAATATGACAGCCCTATTCGGGGGTATTTCAGACGGCTCTGAAGTGCCCACGTTCTCAATCAACCTTCTTAGCATGCCTGGAGCCCCGAAAGCCAGCAGATCTTCGCCATTCCAGAAACATTTGGACACTTGAATTTGCAAGTGAGCAGCGGGTGGTGCTTCCGGCTTTGAGATTTCTGAGGTGACGAGCAAGTGTTCAAAGCACAAAGCAACAGTCGAGTCCCTTTATTTGGAGAAATCGGGTAAGCGATCAAGCAAGATGATTTTAAAAACCCAGACTCTTCATCCCTTCGACATGCTTGAATGAGAACGTTGACTCAAACGATAAAGCCTTCTTTGCGTTTGCTGTTATTGGATTGAGACAGAGAATGATAGCAGCAACTGAATCCTAGGTGGCGGCTTTCTTCCACAGATCGAGGCTCATGTGGAAACTTCTCTGAGCGAAGTGCGTCGCAAGGAGAGTGATGAGTGCTTCCTTCTCAAGTCATGCGCGTGGTCAAAGAAATCCCTTTCTTCAACTTGATGTCTGCTCGCTTTGGTCGCACTCCCGTTACCTGCGGCTGTCGATGCTGTGCTAAGACGCAAGGCTGGATCTGTAAGATTCCTGTGCGGGTGGCCTTCGTCGTCTAAGATCAAAGAATACCTCGTGGGTGTCGATACGTTTCGTTCCGTATGTCGCAACCTAACAGACTGTGGCCGTCCACGAGAAAGACTGCGGGGCGGAGGGGTAGAGGTCTTAAGTGGCGTTGAGGAACCCCACAGGTCTTCTGCTGCTGGCTCCTCGTCGGGTGTATATTTTTCTTCTAGAGGTGGCTTTTCCTCGAGTGGCGGAAGAGGTGTCTTGGTGTTCGCAACGGCTTTGGCAGCGAGGACGTATGTGTCATCCGCGCCAGGAGCACTTTGTCTCTTCCCCATGCCATTTTTAGGCTTCCAACTGCCTTGGGGGCCTAGCCCTGACCGATTGATTGTCATTTGCCTCTTGATAAGGCCGAAGTCTTTGCCGATCCGAGCTTTGATTCCGTCGAACCACCACTGCCAGCTTGGAACTTCAATGCCATCAAAGAATGTGACGACGCCTTCATCCCCGCTATAGTGGACCCAGTCTTTATCAGCGCCTTTCTCAGACCAATCTAAAGTTGCACCGAGGTCGCCCATCATGTCGGCCTTTGCCTTGACACTGATGGTGGCGTCCTTGTCCCTGCTCTGCCAGGCGTTTATGCTCGCTCTCGGCGCTGTATATGTTCTTGTGACAAGCCAAAGACCATACTTGGACAGCTCAACGCCGTGACGTTGAGCCAGCTTGGTGGAGTTGTCTCTGATCCAGTGGCGGAACAAGGTCTCGTCATTGTAAGAGGTGTGGGTGACAGGCTTTTGTGCGATGAGGATGGCACCAAATCGGGTCTTGCTGGCGTATCGTACGTTTGCATTTGCGCTTGCAGGTAATCCATCGCTATCTCGTCAGCGACGTTTCATATCAGAGGAAGTGGTCCAGGAAGTCTCACATTGTTTCCGCCTTCACCTCTCCCATATACTGTCGCACCCCCAACGATGTGCGCGGGCGCCACTCGATATGCAACTGGGCCATCTTCTGAGGCACCTTCTCCAGAGGACTGTACACGCTGGTAGGCGCATCATCGGGAGGAAAAGGTAGATTCGCAATATGGTTCCATCTAACCCCCCATGATCAGCCCAATCCACAGACCATCGCAATCTGCGCACTCACCTTGCATTCCGATCCAAGTAACCCACACAAGGCGGTGTCATATCGGCCGCACTCACAGGGTGATACATGGCGACCCCACAGCCAAAATGGCCCATGTGGCTCGCATACAGCGATCCCATATCATTCCTGTGCGCCATAACTGCATGCACTCCCATCTTGCGACAAGACACCGTACACTCTCATATATACATCACCCGAGTCCTGCTTGAGTCACGCTGGTGGTGGGCAGCAGCTTACATACGAGCTCACGTGCGGGCGGGCTAGGCTGTGCATGTCTCTTTCTTTGTCTGCTGTTCACGAACTGCATATTTGTAGCCGCGTGCCTGGCGATCCTTGCCCGGAAGGGTTAATGGAAACATTGGGGGGCCGTCAGCCCTGTCAGCACTGGGGATCTTAGGGCCATCTGCTAATCCTACGGGGCCGAGACGCCGGGAGTGATCCCTGCCGAAACATGCTATGCCGCCATCCCTCGGAGCGGTCGTTATTTCGGGCGAAGGCTGCTTGCATGCACCGCTGCGGGCTGTTGAACTCGCATTCCTGCTCAGCTTGCCGTCTCTACTACCATAACTTTATCACATTTATTCGCGTTGACGCCGGACAGCCGCAGGTCGAAGGTGAAGGATGGCAATATCGAGTCGGTTTCAGGCAACATCCTACGCAGAGTGTTGCCTTGTATCCAATGGATAACAATAGCCCTTCTCGTGCACATGATGTTCGCCCCTAGTTCTCGTCCTCTTGAGTATTGACGCAACCCCTGTGATCCTTTTATACATTTGCGGCAGAATCGTGCACTTATGTTCCCTGCGTTACAGGCTCTTTTGGTAGGAAGCAGGCTGAAGGATTGGAGCGAGACGCCCGGCTGTGAACGCTCAGACGCTGTGTTCGATATGCGTAGCCAATCTACAGGTTCCTCTTGAACAACGAAAATGAGAGGAGCTGATTCTAAAAATATTTTCTTTGAAAAGACGACAATCGAATGTGCGTTGAGGGGTATCACAGAAACCCAAATCAGGAGACGCAACCACCTCGACTCCTATCCCAACCACCCGCTGCCCCAGCTCGTCCACTTACCCTTTTGAGTCCTCAAACACCACACAATCATGTCCCCCCGCCGCCTCCAATCGTCGTGCACCCAGCTGTTCCACCCCCGCCAGCACTCCCTGTATGCGCTCCCTCTTGCTACCTCCTTCAACAAGTCTTCTTTCTCCTCAAAAAAAGCCAGATAATCGGGCCAAGCTTTCCTGCCGGGCTTCCCATCCCACGCATCTGCTGCAACCATCTCTTCTCGGCCGAATCCTTTCTTCACTTTTCCCGCACCCTTGTCGCTAGCTACAAGCCTGCCCAATGGCCACCACCAGGAAGATGACTTTCGGCGAGGCTGTGGAGGCATGCCTAGCGTATTTTGGAGGAAAAGTCTCGGGTTTGCGTAGAATTGGTCTGCTTCATCGACATATTTGGCGCGCGCTGTGGTGTTCAGGTGGACTGGGGGTTCGCAACCGAGAGCCCAGGCTTTAATGGACGGAAAGACGAGGTGACTTCGCCATGGTGTGCTGTGGCATGGCATGAGGAAACCAACAGTCATGGTGGATGGGGCTGGAGCCAGTGTAAAGGGAGGAGGTTGCGACAGATAGTGTGTTGCGTGTTGGCGGCGGAGGTAGCTCATGATGTTTATTGGACCTGGTTGGTGCGACGTTGTTGTAAAGAGGGCGATAGATACGTTAAGGACGAGCAAAAGAGCGAGGAGTACTCGTTTAAGAGTCCGTGTGGCGTGGCGAGGGACGGCGGGCGAGACTGCCGGAAGGAAGAAGCTTGTGAAGGGGGTCGAGGCCAGGATGTGGAGGAGCGGGAGGAGTGGATAAATGAATCGGACCTCCTTATGGGAGACGAGTGAGAGAATGGCAGGGACAACCAAACATGTCGTAGCGATCTGGTATTTGACGTTGCGCGTAAAGGCGGAGGTGTTGACAAGTGTCGATTCTTGCTGAAGCTGTGATAAAGCATAAGATATGCCCACAATGGCAAAAGGTAAGTAGGTTGTCAGAAGGAGGGGAAGGCCTTCGGTAAGATAGTAGTCTCTTCTGTTTTGTCCGTACAACACGGCAAGAGACTGCGCAATATTGAAGTAGAGGAAACGGAACGGAGGAAATGTCAGCTGTCGATAATAATATAGGTCGATCGATGTAGAACATAGTAGAACAAATGAGCTGTACATCACAGTCAGTTTATATGTTGAGAGCTGAGGGATTGGAAGCACCTGACCCGCAAATGGTACTTTCTCGTATTATGGTATTCCGTTCATCTTTCATCCCAGGCAAAAATTCCAAAGTCGTAATGCTGACCCATACAGGCGAATCGACCCACCGCGTTTCCATAAAATAGCCGTAAGTCTTTTTGCGTAACGTCGCGAAAAAAAGCAAACACATCCAGATCATTAGATTCGTAGGTCGTAAAGTACACGCTAGAGCAGCAAGTAGAAGGCAAAGGCGAAGAGAATTTTCTGCACATATCCGTGAAAGGTTTTGTGCCCAGGACAGATCCAGGTTGGTTTGAGGCTCGTCAGCCTGGGCCATTGTAGATGTTTCGCTGACTCGAGGACTACCCTCTCCCACATGAACGTAATCGTCGTCTTTTGGCTCAGGACTTCCTGGCTGCTCCTCCCGTTCCTCGTCGGTGTCTTCAATGTGCTCCGAGGACCATTGCCAGGGCCAGTAATTAAGGGCGACAACGGTCAAAGTAGTTTCAAGGCAATTCGACAAGGTACGTGCAGAGCAAAACCACTGCCACGGGCTGAGTATCGTCAGTGCCAACTATTCATATAGTTAGCGTGATGAAAGTCCTTCCACGTGCCCGGATTACTTGCAGCAGCCCAGGCCTCATTACTGCCAGTACCATATATGCGCTCTCCAAGTTTCCACGTATAAAAGTCCCCCAATGCGGCGCAAGCAGCCTGTGCGATCTTAGGGGCCGCGATGAGAACGTTCGCACGTAGAAGAGGGGACAAGCGAAGGATCCATGAGAGACCAGCCGCAAGCCAGTATACGAGGGCAAAAAGGGCCGGATGAAGGGCGCTTCTCAGATGATATTTCCATTCCTAAATGCTTTGAGTCTTGCTGCGGTTTTTAGGTGGAACAGCACATACCCATGTAATCCAAGCTCCAGCGTTTGCGCCGAACGCGATCTCCCAGGCTGGTTCTAAGGATTGGAAAAACTCGTCAGGTTGGAAGAAAGTCCGGATACTGAGAGCGTTGACGATGCGATAAGCGACCAGGAAGACGAAGATGTCCCGGGCTGTTGTTGACGCCTTCACACGTATGACGGCCTGCTGGGCGACAGCCTTCGCATTGTCCAATGTTATTGAGCTGTCGACGCCGAAGACGGTGGAGTCTTGCGACATCGCCGGCGTCGCTGGCGGCGACAAAGATGCCATCGCTGCATGGTATTATCGCATTGTACTGTTTTGTGCTTCCGCTGCTGTTGAGGTGGCTGGAGGATGGCTGCGACACAACTTGCGCTTCGCCAAGGCCTGGAGAAGCGCAGACTGAGCAGGTTCTTCGGCATGCAAGGTGCCCCGCAGCGGACCCCCGCCAGCCCCCGCTACGAGACGCCAGCCCACCAAAAACCAAAAAGAGCCGACGGAAAGCGGACGCAGGCAAAGATGAGACCTAGTCGTTCTATTTCGGACAGGTGACCGTCGGCCGGTCCCAGACTACTCTCAGCAAATCAGACGAGCGTCATTAGAGAGCAGAGTTCAAAGTACCTGCGTGAATCACGGGCCGGGGTGCCTCAAAAGTTACGTGACTTCATCTCTGGTAAGAGTTGCGTTTAGAGGTCTAGTCGACAATTCAAAAGACTGGTCCCACATTCCGCTCATTTACTTATCAGCTCCTGTGCTTCTGCCTTCCTCGTTCCAATTCAAATTGATTTACACCTGCCTTTCTCCTCCCGAACTCCTCAAGACAAGACTGAGAAGGATATCATCAACATGGCGCCTGCAGCGACTGCCATTTTGAATGAGAGCCCTAATGAGACATCGCTGAAAACTCCTCTTCCTTCGTCTACCCAGAATGGCAAAAGTAACACGTCCCAATATCATGCAGCATCTACTCAAGAGGCCATCCACAGCGAAAAGACCCATGCAGCCCACAATTATCATCCTCTTCCAATCGTTTTCTCTAGAGCCTCTGGCGTCTCTGTGTGGGATCCTGAAGGTATATATCCAGCCCACACACGAGCAAGAGCTCTTTAGTTGACCTTCAGTAGGTAAAGAATATCTTGACTTCCTTTCCGCATATGGTGCAGTCAACCAGGGCCACTGTCATCCAGAGCTTGTCAAGGCCTTAACCGATCAAGCTGCCAGGCTGACGCTGAGCTCGCGGGCATTTTATAATGACGTTTTCCCCAAATTCGCTGAATTTGTGACCGACTTCTTCGGATTTGAGATGGTCCTTCCCATGAACACGGGCGCAGAAGCTGTAGAGACGGCCATAAAGCTAGCGAGGAAGTGGGGATACAAAACCAAAGGGATTCCACAAAACCAGGCACTCGTCCTGAGTGTTACTGAGAACTTTCATGGACGAACAGTAAGATACCCGTTTCAGACCTTTCCTTTTGGCATTTCCCGGATCTTCTAATGGCAATCAGTTCTCTGCGATCTCAATGTCTCAAGACCCAGAGTCCCGTGACAATTACGGGCCATATCTACCAAACATTGGCTGCGAATGTCCTGCGACGAAACAATTGCTTCCATTCAATGATATCAGCCTTTTAGAGGCTGCCTTCTCTGCTCACGGAGACAGAATCGCCGGTTTCCTGGTCGAGCCAATCCAAGGTGAAGCGGGGATTGTCGTTCCGGAGGACAGCTATCTCACGCAAGTGCGTGCTTTATGTGATAAGTTCAATGTCCTCATGATATGCGACGAGATCCAAAGTGGTATTGCAAGAACTGGTAAGCTGTTGTGTCACGAATGGAGTGGTATCAAGCCAGACTTGGTACTCCTAGGCAAGGCCCTTTCGGGTGGCATGTATCCTGTGTCTTGTGTCCTTGGCTCAAAGGACGTGATGTTGACCCTTGAGCCTGGGACACATGGTTCGACATATGGTGGGAATCCATTGGGATGTGCGGTAGCTATTCGTGCCTTAGAAGTGGTCAGAGATGAAAACATGGTCTCTCGTGCAGATTACTTAGGCAAACTCTTCCGCAAGAGCCTAGAGAATTTGAATAGCCCAATCATCAAAATGGTCCGAGGAAAGGGGCTCTTCAATGCCATGATCATTGACGAAACAAAAACCGGCAATCACAGCGCATGGGATCTTTGCCTGTTAATGAAAGAGAAGGGACTGTTGGTAGGCAGAGCGGTCAAGATTGCACATGTCAAGAAGAATGGAGAGGCTGATAGTTTGAAGGCAAAACCAACCCATCAAAACATTATCCGGCTGACGCCCCCTTGTGTCATAACGGAAGAACAGATCTACACAGCTGTACGAATCATAAAGAGTGCTCTAGAGGAGCTGCCAGATCTGAAAGGAAGGAAAGAAGACGAGGTTATCCCCGCGCCGGAGAAACATGTGAAAATAACGATTGAGAATTAGGAGCAGATTATTGGGGGTTGAAGAATTCAACAACAATGTCAAAGTGTCCGCCTGTCGTAGCCAGAGACCAATTACTTTGGATATTTGAGAAGGTCAGTGTATAGATAGCAAATGAGAAATGATGCAAATTAGATGTATAAACGGCAACCTATTTTGGGGCGCTTTGGTGCCAAGACCGAGCTAGCTACAAAGGCGTTAGATGCATTCGCTAGCGTGTGCGGTAAAGTTGCTGTTCACGAACGCGTTTCTTTTCTCCTCTTCATCAAAAAGCGAACAGAGCCAGCCACGACCATTGCCTCGTCTCATAGAACTACAGCAATGTGTTGCCAGCAGAAATTTCTGCTAGTGCTCTGGAGATCAATGAACCAGGAAAATAGGAAGTTTGCCCCTCGTTGGGTTCTCTTAAATGAGAGCGATGGGAGGTAAATGTCGAATGATGGGTCACATGCAGCCTCTTCAAAGAGATTGTTCTCTGTTGTACGCTTCAAAAGAGAAGACGCGTTTCTTATGGCTCTTTGTTTGCCATCCATTTCAATCATTTTGGCGAAGAATGTACTGGCTATGCCTGAAATTACATGATCTGATTGGAGACCACTCTGGCCTCGCTGCTTGCGTTCCTTGCATTCCTCACGTGAAATTAAAGATATGTAATTACACGACCGTCTCCAGCCATCAGTTATAATGAAATATCCTTTCAGGCTCTAATTTTTGTCAAGTCTTTGCTTCTGACGCTCTTTTATCGGTCGAGTCCGTCGTTCATTCCTTCCGACGTTCTGGCCATCGTTATACCTTTCTATTTGCAGTATTCTTTAGTATAGTAACTCTAAAACACCACACATCTGTCAACGTACATCTGCAACATCTAATATGAAAATCCTCATTTCGGCTGCTTTGGTAGCCTCAGCTTTCGGCGCTGCAGCACAAGACATAACCGTAACTAAGTATACCAGCTCCTGTCCCGAAGGAACCAGCCCGACAGCACCACCTGGAGCCGGACCAGGATCAAATGCTTCTGCACCTGCTCCTACGTCAGCCCTCAGACCTGGAGAAACTTATACGACGTACATTACCGAGTACGACATTTTCTGCGGCTGTTCAGAGACCTATTCGAAAAAAACCTATACTGTAACAGAGCCATGTCCTCAGGAAAGCGCCGGCCAGCCACGTGAAGCTGACCATATACCCGCGGGATTTGCGGCCACAACAACTACATGCCATACGTGTGCAGAAACCCCTGTGGTAGCGACCTGGACGTGTCCTACGGCAACCCCAACACCTGAGAGCAAAGCTCCGCCAGCACCCCCTGGTGCTCCAGGCTCGCCAGCGGCGAAAGCGCCAGCGGGAAGCCCAGCCGGTGCGGCAGGCTCTCCGCCTGGTTCCGGCTCATCTCCCGCTGGAGGTTCATCTGGCTCAAATCCAGCACCCGCTGCCGGGCCGGCTGAAGGAGCACCAGAAGCAGCTTCAGGTTCAGGATCTTCGCCAGCAGAAGGAGCGCCCAAGGCTGCTCCCGTCGCTGGAGCAGCTCCCGGAAGTGGTGCGCCTGAGGCTGGTCCGGGATCTGGTGCTGGTTCATCTCCGGGGGCGGCTGCTGCTGCCTCTCCACCTTATCCTATCCCTGGATCAGACAATCGCGTGGGATCTGCACCCTCAGCATCCGCAACATCATCTACCGGCAGTGGTAGCTCGCCCGTCACGCCTTTCACTGGAGCTGCCTCCCATGTTGTTGCCAACTACCTGTCAAACATTATGGCTTTCTTCGGTATGGCAATTCTTGCTTTATAAGAGGTGAAGAATGGATTACCTACACTCAAAAGATCATCTTTGGAGGTCAGTAAGTTTGAGGCAAACGTTGAATCGTTGCTGACATCTAAGCACAGGCGTTCATGCATTGTTCGAATTTATTTCTCGGGGGTCGCAAGATAATAGACCCAGCTCAGCGCTTCCTATATAATTAAATAATATTGATGTCAACATGAGCTACGTGCTTCCGACCTGCGCTCCAGTACCAGAAGCTATTCACAATACCTGCCTCTTCTACTATTGAACAACAACATGTGAGGCTGTTTTCGCGCGGTCCAATTCTTTGTTTTCGATGTTGCTTCTCTTTGTCTTTTCTTCAAGAACACAATGCTGCATATCATTTTTGACACAACAATAGAACAATGAAACTTCGTAATGCATGACAATTTCAGGTCCTCCTGCGATTTGTTGCGAGCTGAGAATCTTGCCACCCTTATACTCCAACCATGTCGATTTCAGGCCAGCACTACCACAGCCAGCCCTATAATGATACAATCAGACCTGCGACCGCTGGAAACAAGGCGCTGTCTCAAGTCGTACAACCGATTCCGGAACGATGCTCAAACACCAAACATCTCATAGCCCCTCAACCATCTACAAGGATCTCAAACAAACGACGAAATCAAATGGCCAAGACCCCCGAACAGAATTCGATGTGGAAGTATGTTGATGAGTTCATCGACTTCACAACACTGAAATCTCATCCTCCAAGCCATAAGCATCAATCATCTGAAGCCAGCGAACGCCATCCCGACTCCTCCATTTCTCAGCAGCAGCAGGAATCAAAGAAGGCCCAACACGCACAACATCCATCGCTTGCAAGTGAGATCAAGTTTCTCTTCAAGTCATTCGCTAGTTCAAACGAGGCAAAAGACTCTGGAGTGAGACAGAATGCTGACCACAACAGGGTAGCGTCGATAGGGCGAGCAGAAAAGGCAGCAACCACTACCAACAGCTACCTGGCCCCAAGCTCGCAAGCTTTCCCAACACCAGCTATCGAGGAGCCTAGGCCGGTCGTCACACGTCCTCAAAAAAATATTCTACCAGTACCGCCTAAGGCGATCGCGAGAAAACCCGTTCCGCAGCATCTTGAGGAACAACCCTCGTACAAATCAAGCCCACACCACGCCGTAAAGTTATCGTCAAGCCCGGTTCACCAAAGTAGCGTTAAGGGCCAGCAGACAATGCCGTCCGGAAATCGCTATAAGCGGCCAAAAGAGCGGTCAAATTCCATATTGAAGAGTCGTGCAACGCAGCTTGGTGACTTTATGAAGAGCACATTCCTCGAGAGCCCTCCTCAGATGCCTCCAATTCCACCAATCACAGAGCGGCAATCTTCAAAGATCACCCATACAGAATCTGCTAGCAGTGGGCGTACCAGTCGTCCTGATTGGAGGTGCCACAAATGTGAGAAAGAGTCCGATTTTGACTTCAACTGGCATCCAACTAAGTCTCTCTGGCTGTGCCCAACCTGTCTTTACGACAACCCAATACAAGTATGTGGATTTTGTGGCAGAGTCCCTGAATCTGGTCTTCAGCGACATCCCATACACGATAAAGTCTTTCTGTGTCCAACGTGCTACGAGCCAGAGTCTCCGGTTCAAATTGCCCCTTCGCCATTAGCACCAACCACAGGACCACGCAAGCCACTTCCACTTAACGCCTCTCACATCCCTTCCAAATCGGATGAAACACCTCGACCTCAGATTACACAGTCCCTCATTCGCCGCCACCATTCTCCTCTTTCCCTGATTTCTCGCCAGAAACCAAACCGCCAATCCTATCCCCCTTACTCTTCGGACGACAGAGTCAGCCCTGTCTCCAAGCGATCATCTTGGGAGACCGACGTCCCCGATCAAGACGAACCATCAACACCCACGCCCTCGGAACCTGACATATTACCTCTCTCCAAGGCACACACAAATGGGAGGGAAACTGCTTCAACTCTTCCTCCAGTACTGATGATGTCTCCACTAGTTAAAGCGAAGAGAGTGGCTAGCAGTGTGTATCCTGAAGATGAGATTGCAATGAGTAGGAGTGATATCATGGTGCCTGTGCCGCTGATACCGGAGAGGTATAGAGTGGGGCAAAATGTGCCTGAACATAGTGTTGGTGGAACAAAGGTGGCAGAACGAGAAGTGGAAGTGAAAGGGGATCAAAGGGAAACTTATTATGGGGTGCTGGGAGACTATTTGGCTAACTAGAGTAATTTGCACTGGATTGAATGCAAGGGAGTGCAAGTCGTACATCCCAAGACAGAGATCTGTGAATACATTATCTTGATGTGCTAGTGCATGAGATGCTTAGCTAATTTTTTACATACATATGCAATGAAGTATTAATTACCTTCTGTACATGTACAGATAGGCTACCGGAGTGCGAGCCAAGGGGACTGGGCATAAACCTTCCGATATTCCTTTTTCGAAAAGGCCGAGCCTTTGTTCTGTGATTCGGACCTCCTTGTAGATGACCTTTTGCGCTTCTGATTAAACTTGCAACATCAATTACCTCTCGTATGTAAGTCTTGCCTATATCGGTTTCATCCATAACCATGACCATGAGCACTCTTTTGCACTTTTGACTCGATGTCTGCGCTAATGCATTCACGGCACTTGTAATCTAAAGTCTGGAGAAGTCGACAATTCGGACACCAGGACTGGACATGAGCGACTGGAGCTGGCTTTCATATGTTGTGTCCTGCTCGATTTCTGACCCTTCCCACTGTATACCCATGCCTTCTGGGTTTTTTCTGATGCGCGATATGGTCTTTCTGTCGATCTTACCCCCAGAAAGAAGCACGGACGTAAGATCTTTGATCATCTCACATTGCACCTCACGATTAATGAAGTCGTCGAGACCCATACTTGTGATGTCCTTGTCAATGAATTTCCACCAGTGGGGTCCGTTAGTACGCTCCAGGTCGCTTCCGTATAGAAAGAGTTGTGCTTTGGCTGCATAAATAATCACCTTACTTGCGGTGCTATATTCTTTGTTTGGCAGCTTCACCAGAGACTCCAAGGGCCTAATCGAGCTTGCACTTAGTAGATCGAACAGTGTATCGGAAACGTGGCAGAATACGGTCAATAGTCGCCCCAGGAGTGAGTTTTGGTGCCGTTGGATTGCGAGGCTAACTAGCGTTGTACCAGAGCTGTCGATTTGTCGGACTTCTCGTACGCGTGTCTTCATGTAGGCGTCCCAAGGCATTACCGGGTGATCGAAATATCCATATTGAGGGCCTGATAGATCCATAGCGAGCACTTCTCCATTGTAAAGCCTGATTTTGAGTACAGAATGCTCGTCGTGGCTCTTAACATTGAGTTGGCCAGTACAAGCGTATTTGCTGAATTTAAGCTTGTTTCTTTTGGCTAAGAGCTGGACTTCGTAACGCGTGTGGCCGGTTCCTAAGTATGCAATGTCAGCAGTGCCACTGATCCTCAGGTGATCTTACCCACCTGTAAATAGCTTGCACAAAAGCTTGTGCGTGAATGCACTGGCGTCGTCGCAGCACCTCCAGAGCAGCACCGCGATTTTATCCTTTTGACTTTGGAACAAGTGATTGGGGAAAGGGAAGATGACGTCGTCCTCAGCATAATCTCCTTCATGAATAGTAATTTCGTTCTCAGATGTCTCTGCCTTAATAACGCGAGTGTCAAATACTGCTTCACGAAAGACTATCAAGGCCTGCTGTGCAATTTCACCTGCTCGATATACCATCTTCCGAGTCTGGTGAGCTTTGCATTCATCTTTATGCGCCGGCCAATCTTTCTCCTGGCATTGTTTGCTGCAATAGTATTGAAATACTGCTGAGACTCCACCCTTATCCAAAGCTCCTGAGCATCCCAGGCATTTCTTTGTAGCTAAGCGCGAACACTTTGCGCATCGTCCATCATTTCCAGATACTTGAGAATCTATCTTGAGGCCATGCGTGGCCTCAATCATGTAGTCCATCTCTCGATCTGAAAGACGAAATTGTACTCCAGGAACGAACAGTCAGACTAGGAAGAGAGCCCCTATGCTTGAGCAAGAACCGACACCGGCTTCAAATCGAAGAAAATTCAAATAACCACGGTGTTAGCCTTCGTAGGAGGAACCACTGAAGTGATGAAGTTTTGACACTTCGTGTGATTGAAAAGCGCAAACGTAGTGAATTAAACAGTGAATGAGACTGAAATTCACTGTTGTGGATTGCGGTGATTCGAAATTGATGCAGGAGCGAAAAAGGTCAGGCAATTGAGCGCCAGGCAAGATATCCAAGAGCAAATTGATTCTGCATTGAAAAATCGTATCAATATCATGAGTATCAAAACTTCTGCATATAGGGTATCATCGCTCGTAATCTGAACAAAATCCAAGAGCCAATCTGATCAATATTGCTTTTCGAAAATCTTCTGAATTGGTTTTGCGGCCTGCAAAGTATCAGCATATTACCTACAAACATCCCCGAAGGCTCCAAGCTTACATCAATGAATTTCTCTAAATCTTGATCCAGACTCGCGAGGTCATCCTTCCTCTTCTTGTTTTCCGCCATGAGCGTCTGTTTCTTTTTCAATAGGCCTTGCCGCTCTTGTTCCAGTGCCTCTCTTTCAGCGTGCTCGTGATCAATCCGTGCAAACATCAGACTTTTCTCATCGTCCTCTGCACGTTCGGGCTGCTTGGCCAGAAAATCCTCGACCGGTATCAGTGGCAATCGATGATACTTGTGGCTTGTGTAGAATTAGCAAGCAAGCCTTGCTGTTCAAAGGGATGTTTGAGTACTCGTATGATTCACATGCCGCTATCTCGCCTCTTAAGTGCCTCTCCTCATAGTATAGATTCTGCAATCGCAAATGGAGCGTGTCAATCTCTTGTCGCGCTTCTGCGGTCTGCTGCTTCGTATTCCTGACTTTGAGAATGGAATTGCGATTCTGCCCCCGGAGCTGTCCAAGATATGAATAAAGAGTCTTTTGCTGCTTTGACAGCTCGAGCTGAGCCTCCAGTGGGAGTTGTTGGCTTTCAGCGACTGAGGTCGCTTCAATAGCTTCGACGAGTGTCATGCATTGTTCGCGTGCATGGGTGCACGTTTCAAGGACAGTATGGAGGTACGTATCGGTAACTATGTCACTATGACTGAGGTCAGACGTGGCTAAAGGCATGGCCTCCGGGGTGGTGCTGATATATCTACTCTCTTTCAAGTCTCAATGCAATGAATGGCGTCGGGCTAAGGTAGACTAAGCCGGAAGTAGAATAGCTCAGATGGCCATTTGCGCTCACCGGCATAGATATATCACACTAATTCACATTCCTTACAAGACGCTCTCTGCCCCCTGCGCCTTAACTTGAAGATCATGGTCCGCTATTACCCATGAGGAAACCCAGGTAGTGTCCACATATGCCTCCGCACCAACGGACATCCAATGTCCTGTCTGGAGCATCCAACCAGGAATACGGCTAAGTGTCGAGATCGAATCTGCCCTCGTATTAAAAGGCCTTGTTCGCCTCGGTCCGCCGCCTGGTGGTGAGACCTCAACACCCATGTTCGCAGGCCGGTTTCGAAAGCGGATTATGACCGATGCTTGAAAAGGATTCAGCTCACTCAAACCTATAATTGCGTTGATAAGTCCAACAAAGATCCGGCCTTGACCGATCCAGTGGGAATCGCTCAGCAGATGCGTTGCGACTTTTAAATGATCATTAGAGTGTAAAATACTTGGCAGCGTCGTTGACTTCTCAGGGTACGGCAGAGTAGATAGATTGGGAGGCCAGAAGGTCACGTTGCTGGTCGGTTCAGTTCCCCTTCGCTCTAATGTGTAATCACTAGCTGTCGCAGGTTCAATGACAATGAGTCCTTTAGTCTCTTCCCCGAGGAGCAATTCGATCGCTGATTTGGTGAAGGAAGGTCGATTCAAGACGAGCTCTGACAATAGACTAAAGATACCCCATAGAACAACTTTACCTTCTATCGCTTGAGAGGGTGAACGTAGGATTATCTGCACATCACGAAATTTGGGATCCGGCAGTCTAAATGTTTGGTCGGAAAGTGAGGCCTGCACGTCAGTTTGAGCAAGGCTCACTGCCGTAGCTAATGCGAGCATTGCAGCTGTCAAATTATTGATTGGTGTCGGGTGAAAATGTACCTTGTAGTGAAAAGTTGGGTCGATGCTCACGGGTGCTTCGAGTGTAAGATCCATAGAGCTCCCAGATGAAGAATGGATGGCCATGGCGAGGAAAGCCCAAGCGAAAGATTGGCTCAACATGATGAGCACGCTGAGTTGGTTGTAGCTTCTGCCACTGTCTAGAGATTATATATGAGAGTATTCAAGTGGATACCAAACTCGTAGGCGGTTAGCGACGCATTGAGTTGAAGCGGCATCAATTTGTGTCTAAGCTTGAGTCATGCTTCGTCCCTATTGATACTTCTGCCGACAGCTGATTTCAAGCGCTCTTCAAATTTGCCTTGGAGCCCAGCGAACAGTGCATGACGCAAAGTATAACAGGTATGTAGAAGCAAAAATAGACTTATGAACGTGACACACGACGCCATACTAAGATGACTTGGAATGACTTCAAAATGAACTCTGTGGGATTAAGAAATCTTTCAGAAATACTTTTCATAGATATGATCATATCCTTGCAGATGCATTATCATGTAGACTGAAATCACCATTATCCTTCATGAACTCCAGCAACAACGCAGCGTCCCTTGATCTGTGTGCGGATAGGTATAGGGTAGAAGTGTCCTACGTTCGAGACCATCCTTTATCTGTTGTAGACGTGTCGTTCTAGCAGCTTGTCCTCGCTGTAGGAGATTGTAGAATGGATCATCAAAATGAAGGGACAACCTCGAAAGCAGCGGAGAGGGAGATGGCGGACCGTAGTGGCTTGGCGCATGATGTAAGGCAATGGAAGGTACCTTACTCCGCCCGGCGCCCAGGCCTGGGGCAAACCAGACCTGTTGACTCTTCGTTCGCCCACGTGCATCCTAACGGTCCCTCTTGCGAAGTCTATCGTGATTATGATAGAACCACGTAAGAACATCATCCCTCCTCTCTTCCTATTCCTCCAGTCAATTTACGCCCGGCGGTCCCTTCTTGCGTGATACGTGGATATGACGCTCACAAGTCCGACCACGATTCTTAATCATCAGCATGGCAACCGAGAGACCTGTCCACTCCTCCACGAAGTCCCGGTATCGCTCAGACATCAAAGACGCCGCCATTCGGCCCATCAGCCAGTTCGTCAAAATTCTCTCGCCCCTGACCCGGAGGCTATCTTTCTCAAAGTAGACCTCTTTGTAACTGAGCTGGAGCGGCGGCTCAATTGGATCGAAGCTTATGGCAATATTACCCTGGATGCGGGCATCAGCCGCGCCTACCACACTTTGGACGCAGTTCGCGATTCCTGCTCTCACGTCTCGGGAGAGCTCATTGGGGCTGGAAGGAGGCGCGCTCGAATATTCGTGGACACCGTTGAAGAGAGATATAAACATGCCTTAGCTACAAAAGAGACGTTGGAGGGGAAAGCGCAGGCTGGGATGCGTATGATGGAAGGCTTCCTTGCCGAATTGGAGGCTCGCGCTTTGGCGGTTAAGCAAGGAGGTCTCTCTGAAGTAATTGACGGTGGCTGGCGGATTGCCGAAGGAGGGGTTCAAAGGGCTCGAGAAGTGGTTGATGAAGGCATTGAAAAGGCACGAAGGGCAAGAGAAAGCCTGAAGGAGAGCGTGGAGCATGCCGTCCAGCGTGCAAGGGAACACCGGCTTATCACTTACGATGACCTTCCGCATCCGTGGAGAGTCAACCCGTACATCCTCCGAGGTTATCGTTTCTCTGAAAACAAGCTCGATTGCGTCAAATCCGTCTTCAATTACTCGAACGAGACGGTCAATATTTGGTCTCACGTTATTGGTCTCATCATCGTCCTCGCCGTCGCGTTCTACTTCTATCCTACGTCTGTGAACTTCTCTCAGTCCTCAAAAGCCGACGTCTTCTTCGCGGCGGCATTCTTCTTTGCTGCTGCTAAATGTCTGATCTGCTCGTGTATGTGGCACACGATGAGCAGCATCTCGGAACAGACGGTGATGGAGCGATTTGCATGCGTAGATTACACCGGGATCTCACTGTTGATTGCTGCGTCCATTATGACTTCGGAGTATACTGCGTTCTATTGTGAGCCCGTGAGTCGTTGGACATACATCTCCCTGACTGCGACTCTCGGCATCGGAGGGGTCATTCTGCCATGGCACCCGACGTTCAATCGGCCAGACATGAATTGGGCACGCGTCTCGTTCTATGTCTCGCTTGCAGCGACAGGGTTTGCCCCTGTCTTTCAACTCAGCCTTACTAAAGGGGCAAGCTGGGCGTGGAATTTCTACTCACCCATCATTAAGTCCGTCGCGGTGTATCTAATCGGGGCAGTTATCTATGCAAGCCAAGTGCCCGAGCGATGGCTGCACGGCTGGTTTGACTACGCCGGGGGGAGCCATAACATTTGGCATCTGGCGGTCTTGGGAGGCATACTGTATCATTATGCAGCGATGGAGAGTTTCTTCTCCATAGCTTTCAAGATGGGCAGAGATGACTGCCGCCCGGACCTACAGCTCGCATGATGCTGAATATCAGAATGGCCACCTTCTCAAGCGCTGATTGGTCGCCTCCTGACATTCTTTGAGTGTATGTAGCAATTGACGCACGAGGTCTGAAGCTCAGACCTCGTGCATCATAGTCTCAGCTGGACCATTTCCGCAAAGCCGATGCAGCTGTACTTGACCCCTCTCCCCTCTCCAGAAAATGCCCGTCTGGATGATGTGTACACGTGCGCGGACATGAAGGTGCCGCTAGTGACCATGTGAGTGTATAGTGCCAAAAACACTAGGGTGATCGACAGTTGGGCCGCGAAAGGCGACCCTGGAAACGATCTACCATCGTCAGCCTCCCTTCCTCCATACCCTGACCTCACGTCAACGAAGACACTGTTTTGTTGCCCGCACACATATTGTTCTTCAGCCAACCCACTAAGCAAGATTGGGCGCAGGCTTCACGCCCACAATGTGTTGATGTGGGTGCCGGTAACCGTTATATGGCACCCTAACATTGGGCCACGAGCAATATCAACATGCTATTGAAAGCCAGTACGCAGCCATGACAAATACGTCGTCCCTTGGCTGATTGCCCTCAAGTATTCTCGTTGGGAACCACTTGCTTGGAACTATACCACGGGCCTCCTCAGTTCTCGCCTTTAGTTCTATTGGACCGTGTGCTTTTCCATTGCTGTTTGCGCCCCCTTCACCATGCAATTCTCAGATCCTTAAGCTTTGGGCGCCAATAGGTCGGAGCAAACTTTGGTCGACGTCAAACGCGACCCACCATCTACATCAACCTCAAGCTTCGGTGCTGCAATGGGTTAAGTATAAACTCTTTTTTTTTTATATCTGTCTCCTGTTCATCTTGGCCTGCATGCTTGAAACTCACTGGTACCCAACTCCCGAATATGGTGGATTCAAAGAAGATCTCTGATCGGACTTGGAATCTCCTAGAGCCGACCAAGTTCTAGAACCGGGGCGGTTGGACGGCCCTCCATGGCAGCCTGGCTGGCAGCCCTGGCGCTGGTTTGCAGATAAGCTGCTCTTTCAGTGCAGCAGCAGCGAACATCGAAATATCGCCCGAATATATGATGCAGATGCAAGAGATAATCTATCCGGATTCGACGGCCATGCGAGGCAATCTACTTTGCTAATCCTGGAGGATCCCTAAGATCTCTTCTCTCTGCCTATCGGAACCGTCTTCGGCTACCATATTGAATTTGTACTTCTGGTAGAAATCAGTAGGCATTGAAAGTGTAACGCCTGAGATGTGTGGCAATCTGCTAATCTGGGATCCTGGAGTAAACGTCATACAGTTCTTGTGACCCTCAAAAATAAACGAAGTTGTCACTTTTCTTCGATTAAACTTCGCTGATTGGGCATTACGATCGACAGAAGCTAAGCGGGCACGTTCCCCACCGTTTACGCCCAAAGAGGTCATTCAAACTTCTATCCAAGGTTGGTATACGCCCTTCCTGGCAGGTTCAAGGGAGCAGAGCATTCATACATATATCTCAATCATTCAATATGCGGTTTGCTGATGTTGAGTCTGTCGAAATGTTCAATAGCAGCGCTAGGTATTGTGCTCTTCCACCCACCATGTCAGGTAAAAAGGATGTGAGAATGTCATCGAAGCACTTGAACGCAAGTCCGAACACAGGACACAGGTAAATGCCTAGATGGCGATGCAGAGTGTTGACATCTGACCTCTTCCAAGCCGCTCCGTAGCGTATAGTCATGGTCCCTCTCCTGCTGGTGGTGTCTTGTCGTCTAATGCCGGACCACATTCCTCCGTGACTGGAAGGCATGATCCAGGCTACGCACATGGTGTATCGCCCCGGACAACAAATGATCCTTTCCATCGGCCAGATTCTTCAAGACCGAGCCAAGGCACTTTCGGAAACTTTGATAATTGGGCCACTTCTGCCGCAGCCTCCTCAGTACAGCTGTCTCCCACAGCGCCCCAACCCTTCGGACAATATCCACCCTACCACCAGAAACTTCCGACGGGTGTCGAAAAGCAGGGAGAGTACAGCCCTTCGAAAGATTATGAGAATTCCAAGACGTGGGCTGCCCAGGCCCCTTATGGCACTCCAATGGAATACCCAGTAAGGAACGCTCCAGCGCCTGGAATCAAGCATGTTGAGGAATCCGTACATGCAAATAGGACTCCGTCTCCACCATATCAACTGGATGCGGAATATCCCTCGTTTTTGGATCACATCGATAGCACGTCAGCTTTGCCATTGGATGATGCCAAGTATGGACACAAAGCCATTGACAAGCCTCATCACTCCCAAAAGCGGACCAATCGAGATGAATTTGACGGACCTATACAATTCTTGAAAAAGCCAAACATGGCGAAAATTGCCGCACAGGATCGTGAACTACCCCATGTCCCCATTAGCCTGGAGCCTAACGAGCAGGACTATGTGCTCCATCAGGTGAATATTCAATTGTCTCAATGTGCTTTTGACTTCATTGCCAAATATCAATTTCCCATACCATTAGAGGAAAACAAACGCCCTGTACAAGTGGCCAGCGACAGAGAATGGACCGAATGGTGCTACCTACTCAAGAGATTGGCCACTAAGCGGCGGATCCCCGCCCGAGTGCTGTATAATGGCCAGATCAAACAACTTGTTACTGTGCTGGACAATTCTTTGGAAATGAGGCATGTGTCCGCTCACCAATCCAGACCGCCAAAGGATGATAGAAACGTTCTTCAACTGATTTCAGCTGGAACTCAAGTGGCCAAGATACTCAAGAACGCCCACACCATGGAATACTTGGATGAACTATACCAACAGACTGAGCGACTCATACAGGAACGAAGACAGTCATCCACAGCTCGTCCTTGGTAGGCTCTCAGATTATCATGCATAACTTGATAACTCGGTAGGCACCAGGTATTCCCCGCTGTCTCCTTCCAACCACACCATTGATCCTCGATCAATACACTTGGGTTGACGACGCATCCAATTACTTCCTATCTCACTTGGAGTCCATTAGCCATGATGTGAGGAATAAGTGTCATCGTGACCATGCTTGCGGACTACTATGACGAGAATTTTGATAACGGCATGTGATCGAGTCTTCGGATTTGAACGATTTCTTGGAGTAACAAAAACATGATTCTAAATTGGAAACCCGTTGCCATTGAGATACGCTCGAATATAATCATTGCACTCTCTACCAAGGCTTGAGACTACAATTGACTAGCTGTCCAAATAGTGCTTGGATTCGAGTACGCGTATGATTATTGAAGGATCAGAGGAGGTACCTGGTTGACGACTATTGGATAAAATAGGGCTAATGTGATTACGTATTTAATACTTTTTCCCTGTCGTAAAGCACGACTGCTGTTATATATTGGCCCAGACGTTGCAGGCTTGCACCTTCAAGCTCAGCAAATCAGCATAAAGTCCACAAAAGTAGGACCACCAGAAGTTTCTTCGCTGAATCCCTGATATCATTAGGGAGTAACTCGAGACAGACTGTTTGATTGCTGTGCAGCCTTCCCAAATTTCCTATCATCGGCACTACCAGAATCAATCTAGCCGGTAAGAATGATTTGCCAATCATATCGAGCGCCCCATGGCCCAATCCATTATTCGGCAATGCCGGAGACAGGATATCGCACCCATCTCCATGGTGGATGACGCAAACCACGTGTTGAGGATGGGATGAGCGGTACGATGGGAGATCGACGACAATGCATCGTAACGCCACGACAGACTCGGCGTAGCGCCGGCCACATGCCCAATCATGTGGTACTTCAAGGCATGAGAATGTCGAGAATCGACAAGCAATCCGACGGATCGATATGGTCTGATTGGCTGCTACGAAGTTGATATGTTCGGCATAGGACAGTGGGTCACTCATATCGATCAACGCATCAAACGCTGCAGACTGCGGAAGGAGTCGCTGAGAAAAAGAAGACAGCGTACAGCAAATTCCACCCACAGGTGATGAGATGAACAGGGGAGCTTCGCTGCAGAGCCGCTGAGGTCACATCAGCAGGCCATTGACGCCCCGGCGAGGTCAAATTTAGGGCAGCCTCCAGCCACAGCCTTCGGAGGCCTGAAGGAACATCGAGACGCTGAAAATTGGAGCAAATCCCGACTGCAGACTGCCCACCAACACATTGAAAGCGCTGGCCATATTTGGAGCGTCATGCGCGGTGTGGCCCAAATTGGAAGTGGGCGGCTGGCTATTGTTCGCAAGCAAGCTTATATAGCTGGTCAATGAGCTGTTAAATGCCAATCCTCAGCCAAAGTGTCATTAATGTTGTCAATTCAAGAACTGCTACCGTCATAAAAGCTGGCCGTCTTCCACCAAACCCAAATTTTATGTTAGTCACCTTGCCCACCCGACAAGCTTCCATTCAGCACCAGCGCCTGGAGAACCACAGTTGATTGTCCGTTGAGCATCCTTCCACGCCCTAACCAATTGGTATAGTTGTGGTTGTTGCCCGACAGATGGAACCCGTGATGCTGACGGCAGTAGTCCATCAGAGCCCGTGGTCGAATCAGGAATTGCGCCTTGCCTTACTAAGCTGCAAGTCTGCCAGTAACGAGGCACAACGAGTTCCAGCAAATCATTTGGATCTTCAGGGATCTGACGAGGGTACAAGATACTTCTATCATCACGGCGCTTCGAGGTTGAAGCGGATCCAGTCGGCAGACTTCCAGGGCACTTTCCTAAGGGACCTTAATCCCATTCCAGGCTGGCTCGCGGGCCTCGCGGGCTAGTGGGCGACTTACTCCAAGCTGCTGCACTCCTTGTCACCTTTCCCGAGAGCTTCCTCACGCTTAACAGCCCGCTGGGACTGCACCAAACCCGCCCGGGCCTTAGGGAGTGCCAGCCCCTATCCTCAAACAGCTAGGTCGGTTTCTAATCTTGACACAAGTTGCATCACCTCGCGACGCACTTGTTACAGCCAGAAAAAGAACATTAATTGGCCCAACTTCACCCTTCCTTCAGCGTCTGCGAAGAGCAAAAGACGACTAAGCTGCTGGTCTGCTGGCATTCGCACTCTGACCCAAGCATCCACTGGGTGGCTCCTTCCTGCGCTCGCAACCTGTTTTGCCCGTGGGCAAGCAGTGACTGCAGCAACTCACCACCACACCACGCGCGCACCTGTAACCGCCCGGCCTATTGCATCCTCCACAGACTAGCTTCACACCAATTGTCGAGCACCGCGCTGCTGCTGCTGAAGTGCTGACCCGCTGACGCTATCATTGGTTTGCTCCATTCGGGTACGTTGCTGACTTTGCCTTGCCTACTCATTCTTTTAATATCCTATGCTTGTTCCCAGCGCCTTCCTCTCCTCCACGGTCATCACTCACCGTCGTCTGTAGGGCATCCTCCTCTACATCGTGTCCAAAGTCATTTATTTGACTCTTATCACGGTAGTCCTTGACCTCACCAACGTCGTACGCCATGTCTACACTAGCCGAGCCCGAAAAGAAGGTCGAGACGAACACCTCGACGACTGTGGTGGAGATTAAGGTCGAGGAGACGCAGCATGAAGAAACAGAGCCTGAGGACCGAGACTCCAAGGAAACAACGCCTGACAAGGTCAAGCCTGAACTCCCTACAATCAAAGCACCGAAATCCCCCAAGCCTGCCAGACCAACCATCAAGACACCTATCTCGGCCTTTCCGTCAGAGCTTCCTAGAAGTCCAGCTTCAGCACGTATAGAGGCGATCAAACAGGAAGATGACCTCAAGACACCTCTTACCCCTCCTACAGCCTACACCGAGTTCCTCAAGGCTTTGTCACCAGCAGTCACGACACCTTCGACTGGTCGCAGCCCTATTTTTGATCGGTTGTACTCTGGAAAGACTACTCCCCTTACACAGCCAAACAGTGCTGCAAGCTGCCCTTGCAGTGCCTACGAGCCTCCATTGAAAACTGCCGCGTCAGCGCCCATCATCCCACCTTCCCCATACAACATGCGGCCTCCAAACTCTGCCCGCACACCTACCGCACTCCGAGCACTCCGAATCCCACAGTCGCCGGTGTGGTCTCCCGCCTCAGAGTCGCCCCACAGCGCTTGCCACTCATTGCGATCTCCCTTTTCATCTGCTGATTGGAACCCGGACAAAATGAAGAGGATGTATGAATCGCCTCGGTCAGCCACGCAGAAACCCGTCAGCGTTCGGCAAGTCGTGACACGAACAGTGACCTATACGAGATCACCCATCACGCCCCTTGACCCGGCTCCTAAGGGTAAAAAGAGGCGCATGGAATGATGTCACGCCCTAAATACTTTTGACTGACATTTGCAACACATCTCCTCAATTCAATTCTTCTACATCACCCTTTTTGGAAAGCACTTTTTTACGTCTGCTATGCATGACGCTGGTCGCAATTTACAGAGCCAATAATGGGCGGCAAACTTGATGAGATACGGACGGGAACCACATGCGTGGGGACATGGGAAAACTTGAATTTACACTTCTGTTATGAGCACTGCAATCTGGGTGCAGGCATGCGCCCATTTTTGGAGAGCTATCGCAAGGCGTTCATGGGAGTATGCGGTGCATCTAATGGTGAGGACGACTGACAGCAAAGGAGCTACATGGAGATGATACCATTTATCGAGCTATCTGTTGACTACTATAAGACTCAAATTCAAGTCTACACCTACGACCATACATTTGCGCCCAGTCTGCCTGCCACAAAACGCGTCACTGTTGAATACGCAAAATATGTCGCATGTCAACAGACTAGGATCAGGGATAATGTACGCGCCTTGCATCGCCGTACCTTGCCCTGCCTCAGCCATCATGGCAAGAAAATAGGCACCATTGGCCCATATTGCGCACAGCTGCGCTGCAGAAGCCCATTCCGTCAGATGCAAGGCGCCTTTGTGCGTCGTACCACTCCTCCTCTCAGCATCCCCATCTGTCCCCTCTCGATGCGTGCGTAGCCAATCACTTGCCCAATTCTGTTCTCCCTACCAGATGCTCCACACCTCCACACAGCAGTATCCTCCACATCCCCATTCGCCATGCGCAAGCTGTCAACAAGTCCCAAAAGACTGGATACCCCGCCCTGCCCGCCCAAGCCGCCCGCACCTCCGCAACAGACTACGTAGGTGCCCCGTCCCCCCTGTCCCCTGTCTGGCTGTCTGCAAGCCGTAGCCGCTGGCGCTAGTATCATCCCCTGCAAGCCCCTTTTAAGGCGCTGGTACCTGATTAAGCCGATCCGTTCGTGCCCAATCAGCGGGCGTTGCCAGGGACTTAGTTGTGGTGGGGAGATGTGACGAATTAGAAGGGGGAAGTAAGCGCTGACAGTAGGGTTTAGGTTGTGCTTATGCAGAATCTATTTATGCACTTATGGAGGATGGGGATCTATGCTTGGCATTATTACGGAGTACGTGATGAGAAGAGGTGTAGTGACGTAGGGAATGCTGTTTCCACTCTCGCGAGCTCTGATGTCACGTGAGTTCTGGCTCGGCTTGGGGGAAAGGTAATCAATAGAGTAAGTAGGAAGAAAATAGATCGGGGACCCGCAGGTCAGACATTCCAACGGACCTTGCTAATATATCTAAAGACGAGTTCAAAAGAATCTATCATTATACAGTCTGCTTTGGCTTCATGACAAACACGATTCGAGCAAAAATATACCTGCCCTTTTGGAGTATGCCTTTGTGCTTTCGAGGTGGCTTTATAAGCGATTTAGCAAACAGAAGAATGTAAAATCATTTCCAAAACCTAGACTCAGGTCTTTCATGCAAGTGCTTGTGGAAGGCACAAGTAGGCAAGTGAAGGTCAAGTTTGCCCTCACAATGAACCTCGTCTACTCTTATGAGGCGCTCTCTGCCGGAACTGTTGAACACTGTGAGGGTGAGCCATGCTGCGTCGCTATTAGCAGACACGTTTCTCTCTAAAGGACGAGATCGATTATTATGCAGCTTCGACATAGGCTCTCAGAGCTCTTCCATAACCAGTATGACCCTCTTGCAATCACCAGGCGGATACCAACAATAAGTCTGCCTCGCGCCGGCGTTATCGTTGAGTTCGATCCGAAGCCTTCGCCTGGCAACCAGGGGCAGTCGTCGAATTGCCCAAACATAAAGAAGGCAGTCGCAGGCTAGTCCGAGGTGGATCTGTTCTCTCTGTGGATATTGTGCGGGAGATGAATTATTTGCAAAACTCCTGTATGAACCTGTCTCCCTTGACAACACGCAGGTCTGGTATTTTGTGGCAAGCTGGAGGTGTACTTGATGCTGTTGCTCAACATAGGAAGGATTGTTCAATTTTATCCTCCTATGATGGTAACGGTATTCCAGTGTGTTGTAACACCAATGCATCTGCTACCTCACTCTACTTGATTCAGATTGCATTGCTTGACGGATCATTTGTATTGCACTTCATCGTTCCCGTCCTGGTCTCTTTTCTTGGCTTAGAGTTGGCTCTCAATGTCGCTGACATACTTGAAGTAATGGTGACTTATCTCCGAGCTCGCGGGAGCCTTGTGTCGGTCATTTTGGTGCTATTTTGATCAGCTTGCAATTACTATCGAGCATTGAGCCACTGGAGAATACAATTTGGTTACCAATAAGCAGGCCTGAACGGAATCCGAATGCGTATACCAACTAATATGTTGCCAGATTCGAATGGGAGTATGTCAGTCCATCACAAAAGACTGCAACGAATAACCTCAGAAATGGTGACAAGGGCAACGAGTACTGTAACATGGGAACCGAGTACTCTTTGCTCAGCCAGGTATTGCCATATCGCCTAATTTGATTCGCCTTGCCATTGCGGAAGTGTGTTCAGCAAGAGCGGTGTGAATACCGAAGAAGACCTTCCCTTGCTGCCTTCTGGTTCTTGCTAACGTGACAAACGGCTCCTCATTTTTCTCAGCTGTATTTTGGTCGATGCAAACCATTTGGCATCGTCGACAAGGACCTAGAACATCCAGAGTCACGCTGTTGCCAATCTGAAGCCTCTGCCAGCTGTCCTCAGCGTATGATTGCTCCTCGCCCGAACTTGTGACCGGATCTTCGACTAAAACAATGTTGGCGCGGAAGACTGAGGCTTGTGCTGGTTTTCCGCCCGAAAGCTTGATATGCTGATTGAGGCGTGTAAGGCTAGAGCGGGAGATGGTAAGAATTGGACTCTCGTTGGATAGGAGGATGGATTTCGGGCGTCCAAGCGTCCCTGCTTTGGCAAGATGAATCTTGCTGTGGCGTGTTGATGTTCCCGATGAGTTTGGAGGAAACCTTGCCAGTGTGCAAGGAATGCCAATAGCTGTTGTTAGAAATTCCGTGATTGCTGGGGAGGCGTACGTTCTCATCAAGATATTGTCCTCGCAGACTCGAGCAGACATTGGCAAGTTGAAATCGGCATCATCGTAGACAGTAGGATCCTCCGATAAAGGTACAGCAATTGCGGAGGGCTCTAGAGCTTTTGTAGGGTCATAGTATTCAATGCGGAGAAGACTGTTTTCAATATCAATCTGTGGTCGAAGTAGAGCCATTCTTGGATGCTTTTTCTGGCTCAAAGCTCTGCGTGTCCCCTGATGGATCAGGCACCATTCCCTGTCCCAGGCAAGACCTTCCGATCTGATGTCCCAAAATGAATCCTTGGGTACAGCCCAGCCACCACAGCTTTTAATCGGATAGACTGTCAAGCTTTCAACAAAGAAGCGTTTGAAGCAAGGGTAGAATCGTGGAATCGGCTCCTGTTTTGGCCTCAGATCAACGAAGAAGTCTTGAAGAAAGCACACAAAGATTTCAATGTCTCGCACGTTACTCATAGCGCCTAGACTGACTCTTATCATGCCTGTCGGTTTCCCTCCAATAATGTCATTCTCGCTTCCACATCTTTGACCACCAGAGAAGTTGCGTTTCAATTCCCAGGGTACAAGACCCAGTGATGAGGCGATGCCTCCAGGGTTGCAAAGACCTCCACATCGGAAGTGGATGTTTTTGATGATTGCTAATTTTTCTATCTCTGTATTGCTTACATATTCACCGCGGCTATCCTTCACGTTGAAGGCTATGATCGGGCCTTGCTTCTTGTCGTCTTCATATGATGTGTTGGGCTCAGTATACAATTCACAGACCTTTGCATCATTGTAGTGGCGTAATGAAGAAAGACTACAATGCAAAGTGTGCGCGAGGCATGCCGTATGAAATCCAACCTGTTCCAGCGAACCGTAAAGTTTTTGGTGCACGTCAAAGGCATGATCAAGTCCGATGAGACTGTGGATGGGCAACGTCCCATCTTCAAGTTGGTCATGTAAAGACCCTTGCTTCTTGATATGCCATGACTCATTGCCACACGAAACCATCTCGACCGTACCGCCTCCAAAATAGTGACGCCTTAGGAGTGGCCCAGCCGCCGCTTTCCGCACGATAAGTGCTCCCAGGTCAGGGAAGCCAAATATCTTGTAGAAGCTGATGACTGTAAAGTCTGGAGTATATGAGACGTCACTGAAGTCTAGGGGTGATGTTGACACCAATGCAGCGGCATCTAGTAGACTGTACACATCTTGACAATCCTTTGACAGCCTAAGATCACGGCACCATGACAATGGCAGTCGCCTGCCATTCATATTGGATTGGGCTGGATACGCAAACAAGTGTGGACCTTCTCTCTTCCCCCGTGCATCTTCAGCATCCAGGCTTTGCAACCATTTTTCCACTTCGTGATCAGACCCAAAGCACTGATGTCCTGCTCGTGCGACTTCTCTGACTCCAACAAGACTTGTGTGGCTATCGCTGTGATAGCCATACCAGAAACCCTTCTCGTGCTCTCTGAAAGCTTCAGCTACTAATTTGATGCCAGCAGTGGCGTTGGCAACGAATACGATGTCAAATTGATCAGGGTCGGCCTTGAAGAACTTTAGTGCACGTAACCGAACGTCATCAATTCGCTGTGTCGACCGCTGGGAAGAGCCTGATGCTGAATGTGGGTTGCCAAACAGGTTGGACGTCATATCCATTGAGAATGACTCGATGAGCGATTTAGGGTAGAGAGTAGTCCCTGCGTGATCAAGATAGACTGTACCTAGACGAATAATCAATAAGAGTCGGAGTGGCAGCCGCATGTAGTCTGACCCTTTAGTGAAGGAAATTCTGTTTCCCTGATTTCGTCTATTCTCTGGCTGTAATTGGAGTTCATTTTGCTGCAAAGAGCTTCTCGCACCGGTTGATGATAGTGCATCATGGCGGCCAGCGCAAGAAATCCGCAGGAGAAGGACGTGAAGTAGATTGCAAAACGGTTGTCATTTGTAGTACACAATCAGCCATTTTGAGATTTGCCTTCATTACTTGTCTAATGTAGGACTGGTGGTGGGCAAACGTAGAAGGAGTTCGGAGTTGGCCGCACAGCTATCCTACGGATCTTTCTAATTTACACACGCAGGAGCTACACAAAGCAACAGACGCTTGAAAACCGAGACTTCAAATTAAGCACTCATGATATGAGGTTTGAAGTGTTTTCGAGCACCGCTGGGTGCTTTACTTGCTAGCATTCATGTCTATCGACAATGCTATATGTGTATAGAACCAGGAGCGTCCAGTCGCACCAAATGCTGGCTCCTTGGATGAATCTCAAGTCCTTTCACCATCCCTGGTGCGGTCTATTTTTCGTGCCTAACGTCCCCAACGCCTTGCAGATTCTTGCTCTATACTAAAGAAATGGGTATAATGCGTTAGGATTGCGTCGCCCCTCCTCTTTAATTTCTCTCAGACACGTCATTAGCCCCGAGCCCCACATGCAAGAGGAGAAGAGTCAGACCAGGATGGGCAGATAATTATGGGAATATGACCCTTGCCACATAATCAGAACCATCGAGGCTCGATTATATGAGCAAGAAGTCCCAGCCCTTCTGCCGCATCACGTCCCGCCAGTGGACGCTCCGCTCTTCTCCAGCACGCTCCACCTCGTCCGATTGGCGCCAAACTTCCCGAAGTAGGCGAATTGTCCGACCGAAGCTCCCAAATTCGCTGTGCTCCCCAAGCCTTGCTATTCGCTCGTCCAGAACCATCCTGAAGCGCGAGTTGGGAGTGCTCATGGATCCACCGATGAGCAAGGGCCAAACAAGTGAGCGATCGAAACCCTCGGGTCCTGCGGGGATGTATTCCAGTACAGTTGTCAGCCGCTCAACTAGCGTCTTCATATGGTCCTGTTGCCGGTTGGCATCAGGCACCAACCCGCACAAGTATATTCGGGCGGCCAGTCTGAAGACCGAGGTCACATTCGTCGCAAGATGCTTTGGCCTTATTGCACCGGTTGGGGACACGGCATGCTCCAGCGGTGATCTCGGTTCTGTTGCGTCGAGGTGTTCCCCCAGCGATCTCACCAGTTCACAGACTTGATAACCATCTATCGCTTGGCTGGCCTTGAGAGCATCCAGGCATGCGATCTCGGATATCATGTACATGACCCGATCGTCACAGCCCATCACATCGCTGAGCCCAGATGGAGTTCCTCTCTCATTCTTTACTCGATAAGCATCCGCGAATAAAGGAGAGCGGCCCAGCATGGTTGCACCGATGATGTCAATCCAGGTAGCTAGAGACATGTTGAAAGATGGATGAGGCTTCTCTCCGCCGTGCTGATCTGATGTATGCTGCAACTGTAGTTTGCGAACCAGACTAGAAGCAGCTTCAAAGTGTGAATGCCACGGTATATCTGGCAAATCGCTTTCCGCTCCGCCTACCGAACAAGGGAAAAAGATCATTCCAAGAGTGGCGTCTAAAACCTGATGGTGGTCATCATTGATCGCTGCGCACAGCGCCTGCACACATTCCACTCGATGTCGCATAATGTCGCCATCAATTTGCTCGTCTTGTCGCCTCTGCGTTGACTTCAGATGTATCGCGGCCATGCTCAAACAACAATGGAGATAGCATTTGTTTGTTGCCAGCGCTGGTAATACAACAGACGATCTGGCAGACCCGGGTACGTTAACTTCATAAATAGGTAGCGTCAATCTCAGTACATTGTCGATGAAATGATCTAATAACGGTCGATCGCAGTCGTCGACCTCGATGTGAACCGAATGTGACGAAGCGAGAGGAGGCGGAGGCGCGTGCGCATAGAAATCGTATTCTGGGCCCTGCTCTACGCCGAACACGCCGGTATTCTCGAACATACCATCTTGCGCCCAATCCTCGGAGGAGAATGGATTCACACCCGGTGGCGGGTGAAAAGTGCTAAACGTTGAGGTTGAGGAATCCTTCCGGGTCGGTATATCGTCAACGTACATCTGTCTCTCCGTTTTGATGTCGACCTCGTATGGAGTTTGTGCGCATTGAGTGTAATAGGGGTTGGTGTCATAAGGTGGGGAAAGTACATGAGGTTCATAGTAGGCATTGAACGGGTCATGTGATGGCGGTGGCTGGTTGAAATCGTGATAATGGGAATAGGGCGAGCCGCCATCGGAAGGCAGGCGTGTTTGAGGAGTAGCTGAATACGTAGCTGATGTTGGCAGTGAATGTGACAATCCAGGAGGAGTATCCGCACCCATCGGTTGCGCATGATTCACTGATCCCGTCGGCTTCACGGCCTTTTCAGTGGTTTTCGTGCGCTTGATAATCGTCTTGATGGTCTCTTTCATTTGCTTCCGCTGCTCGGCGTTGCTCCACCATAGAGGTCTCTTGTACTCGCATTGCAAGCCTAGATGCCTACAAGCCCGACACAATCCTCTACCTTCATCGCACTTCTTCCTGCGCAAGCGACACGTGAAGCAGCCTACATTCTGAGGTTAGCATGAAGATAGACCCAATTGATTGTTACGAGGATTTACCAGATCGTGACCTTCGGTGCATTTTCCCACTGTCTTTACTCTTATTTTCCTTTAATGGGGATTGCTTCGGAGCAACAGTGACAGCAGGTTTTGCCATATTGGTCGCCGGCTTACTGATCATTGACAATGCCAGTATCTTGAATTTTATTAAGAATACAAATGCAAGGATGTAAATATTTTTTCTTTATCGCAAATGAAAATGCACGTCGCAGCTAGATTGGAGAGCACAACCAAATCGTAATTAACGGCAGTAGAGAGACCACAGCCCGACCAGCTGGCTATGGTATGAGGAGATGTGAGGAAAAGAGAAACGATGTAGGAGGGGTTGTGCCAACAAGAAGCCTTGAACGACTTCCACATTCTGGATATGGGATTCTATAAGTAAACATATTTTAAGGTATGGCCCTGCAGCCTCTTGTTTCTAAAAACAGCTCATCCAGATTTCGCTTCGAGATGAAGGCCGATAATGCGGGATGGGGGGAAGTCCAATGCTGATAGGCAGAGCTGCGAAATAACAGAGCTGCCCACTCTCTTGCATCTGAGCTTGCATAAGCTAAGTAAGTTAATCACCACTAGAGAGCCGAAACGGAAAAGGCGATAGCGGCGGAGGGTGGGGACTTTGCTAGTCTGTCGGCGATCAGCCAGTTAAAGAAAGGCAGCTAATTTTGGTCAGATTGAATAGCGCTTAAACGGGGTGTTGCATCACGTACCATCCCTGAAGCACATCAGACAGGTCAATCGGTAGCGTCAACGTCTTCCTGCAAGCCACTGCGCTATCACATCTCCTCTGCGTCGATTGGAGGGACTCGAGCTGTCCCGCTGCTTCCCCGTAGTCCTCTGCAGGAACTAGATCAACCCCAACCAGAGCTCTGCTGCAGCTGCTCTGACGTTTTGAGCAGGCTCGCAGCTTCCCGTTTCGAAACAGAAAATCCTTCAGGTTGTGGCGAGGGGAACAGCTGAGCCGGAGTCACAGGGGAGGGCATGTGATATTGAGCCAACTGGCAAATTCATGGAAGTGACATTGCCCTTGCTCCTCATTCCTCATTCCAATCTCGCGATTTGTTCGCTTGGGAGATAAAGGCGAGCTGTGATGGGATAGCTTGTTGCTGCTCGAGGGGACGACGTCAACGACTGGAGCAGAGGCTCGCGTCACCTGCAAGGCTAATGATGAGCTATACCGTCCCAAGCCTAGAGGATGAGAGCAAGTCAGGTAGCGTATCGTGCCGCTCCTTTAGTGTCCCACCGGGCGCTTGCATTTGCGCAAAACAGAAGGTGGAGAGGAGGAAGCTCCGAGTATGGCACAATTAAGTCATTTCTCTGATCCTGATCGGCTCATTTAATGACGATATCAGGGTCCCAGCTACAGATATGATGAGCAAAATGGCGCATTCTAAGAATAGTTAATGAGGGGCAGCAACGGGCTTGGACGGTAAAGGACAACAATTTGCGATGACTTACTTTGTAGTCCGATCTCTCGCATCTATCATCATGAAGAGAAGCTCAATCACATGCATGCGCGTCTTGCTTCGAGTTCACCGCATGCTTCATCGTCAATCTCCACCTCTCTGCTTTGGTCAGCACCTTCCTTCCTAGTGCTCAGCAACCCCTTTTCCACCTTCGTCTCTGCCATTGGATTGAGAAGTCCGTCAAACACGGCTCCGTCGTTGCCAAGGTCAATCTGAACACTACTCAGATGACCCTTCATCTGTCCTATGAGGGGGTCCAAGTTGGACGAAATGTGAAGCTCGTGATCAGCTTCCGCCATAGGGCGAGATGATCTCGGATAGCCTCCGAGCCATTTGACAATAGGGTTCCCAATTTGACCGGTCTCAACAATGAGCTATGATGGGGTACTGAGCAGGAATTGCTCGTGACTCTGCCTTTGCTTAACTTGCGAGCCGTTGGTCTGGTAGATGCCTCAGTGTGCTCCAATCATCTAAGTCAGGTGACCGGCTCTCAAATGTGGAAGACATTGCAGTGAAGGCCAATAATTGCCCGTACACTGGTGCTCAGGAATCTACGAACATCCCTGTGATCCAGTTTGAGCGATGTGATATGCAGACTAGCTGTGAATTGTAGTATGGCTTGCATTGCAGATTGTAGTATGGTTTGCATTGCAGAATGCTGCAAGGAAGGCAGAATAGAGATGTGGGTTCGGTCTGCGCCATCACCGTTTCGGCACACATTAGTTGAACATCAATGCCAGCTGCGTCAATGGCTTCTTCATGTTTTTCATTAGACTATCACACAGGCGCGTCACTGCTGGTTGCTCAGGCATCACAAAAAGGATGATACTGGCCTGAGAGACAACATATGTCATGCCTTGAACTGTCAACGTTAGGGATGATAGCTGTGCCGTTGCGCGCCGATCCAATGCTGACGAGCATGAGAGCATCATACCCACTATTTCTGGAACATTTAGCAAGACTTGCAAGACTTGGAGGATTTACGCTTTCCACTCAAGCGCTTTCGACTGCATCATCGGTACGTATCCCCGCCCGATTGGTGGCTGCTATTCAGTAGTTGCAGTGCAAGCGTACACGCTTATGCAGCTCACTTCACACCATTCTTGATCGCACTCACGAATGGTCGAATAGCAGGCGTCTTCACTATGGCTTCGATGGCCCTTCGATCGTCCAAGCACGCCAACTGCGTAAGTGTTGAAGAAGAAACACGAAGCTAGTGATGGCGAAACCGCACTGAGCCAGGACTCTCCCACGAGTATATCACACCTAAGCGCCCACACACCCAGAGGGTTCTGCTGTTTCTTCTGTTTTTCCTCTCTTCCTACAGCAATTGTTACACATAGAGATACTGTCCGCAAGGACTCTGTGAGCGTAAAAGTATTGATTATCAGCTGCATGTTCCTTTAACGTATATCTAACTGGATTGACTCCAGTAATGGTAAGAATCCATCGCGTATGCACGTATGATGTTGTAATCAGCTAATCTCAAAAGCCTCGCATGCCGATGATTTCAGGCTGCAGCGCGGTCGAGATGTCGCAGAAGAAGCAAGCCAATTCCATGGTCGCAGACATTGCGACCTCACAGTCCGTGTCAGCGGAGAGCGACGTGGACACCGAATTTGAAGATGCAAGCGACTTTGATGACTACCAAGGTCGTCGAAGCGAAGAATCGGTGCGCATACTCTGTACTGTATTATCAACCCAAGACTAAAGAAGCATTCAGTTCGGTAACACGACCATCTCCACATTTGATGAACTACGGACCCCTGCATCAAACGACTTCAAAGGGTTCAACTTTTGCTTGCCTACAGACTCTTTAGAATCTGGGGCCTCGAAAACCATCCAAGGACCAGTGGGTCCTCATCTGTTCCGGCACTCTCAAGAATCCACGCCAGCGGAGGAAATTTACTTGGAGTGGTCTCCCATTGTCAAGTCCCCAACCGACAATGGTCATATATCGACCCCAAATCGTGTTAGCTTTGACTCTTGCCCGCCGGCCGAACTTCCACTGGAGCAGTGGACAACTCATCATGTCGCGGCGTGGATGAGAAATGCGGGATTTGAAGAGCACATTATCGAAAAGTTCAGAATGAATGATATCTCAGGCGGCCTCCTGAAACACTTAGAGTTCGGAGATCTTAAAGAGCTTGGGATCACATCGTTCGGTCAAAGACACTTGCTCTGGGACGAGATCCGGAACTTACGCGGTGGAGTCAGTGTACCTCCGACACCGGCCGACGAGTGCTTGTCGCCTTCACCACCCATCGAGGAGGGCGCGCGCCACGTCAACAGGGATAATGAGTGCGCATTCCCGACAGCTCCAGAGGAAAGTAAGGCTCGAGAGCCAAAGCTGCACAGGAGGCGAGCAAGAAGAGCGTTAAGACCTGACGACATAATCTCCCCAGCTGAGTCTGCGTCAATAGTTGCTATCGAGCAATTATTGCCAGAACCTCACAAGTGCTCCAAAGGCGATGACTGTGCCAAGTACAGGAGATATAAGCGAAAGATGGAGAGAATTGCGAAAGAGTTCCCAATGGAACTCGAGCAGATTGAGGAGGCCAACGCTTCACCTTCCGAGATCACTGTCCAGCTTCCCTCGGAGGCAGACCCCTCGGTCGTCGGATCATCAGACGTCCTTGGAGGTCGTCGCCCCGCTCTTCGATTGGATCCTGATCTCCTCCGGACCGTTCAGAACAGAGATCCTCAAGAGAATGTTCGACAATTTCTCACATTCCAACATATGGCGGGCTCACCGCCCGAACCTTCGACACCGCCTTATGAGATGTTTCCTCCGCTTTCACCACCAGAGAATACTCAAGCACCTCACACCAATCTCAGGAGCCTACCCAAACTTCAGATCCCAGATCAAGCCAGTCCTTCGACCGCACAGGATCCAGATCGGACGATAATTCAGCAACACCGTAGCCCCATCACAGCCATTGAGCACAACGGACAAGACATTTATCGCTTCGCCAGCCCTGCATCAGCAATGGATGTACCATTGACTGCGATTCCTCTGGGCCCAATCGAACGTGATTTCTCAAATTCTGTGCCACCAGACATGCGCTATGGTAGCCAGTCAATATCACGTTCTCATTCCAGAGCGGGCTACCGTGCTCAGCCCTTTGAGCCAATCGACCGCTCACAGAGCGCTGCTCCGCTTGAGCGCTCTGCTTCAAGTACTCAAAGACGCATGCATCCCGGTTTTGGTCTCCCAGTTGTCCAAGAAAGTCATCATCTATCACCAATAATTGATGCCGGCGACAAGACCCCAACACTCGCTGACGTCCAACATGCTGGTTGGATGAAGAAGCGCAAGACTAAGATGTTAAGGCATGAATGGCATGATAACCATTTCCGCCTTAAAGGTACTACGCTAGCCATGCATAGCGACAACAAGACCTTGGACGCTCTTGAGTACATTGATGTGGATGAGTATGCTGTTGCCTGTTCGTCAATAGCGAGCAATAAAGTCAACACAGCATTCAGAGCTTTAAAGCTGGGAGCAAGTAGCACCAAGAAGAAAGGTCCTGGCCCTGATGGCTCGGCGTTCACGTTTCAGCTGGTCCCTTCATCCGAGAAGAAGGGCATTCTTGGCGCTGCTACGGGCAAGACCCATCATTTCGCAGTTAAGAACCGCGACGACAGGATCGACTGGATGCGAGAACTGATGCTTGCAAAGGCATTGAAGGAGAAGGGCGCTGGCTGCGAAGTCACAGTCGCGTAATGGTCGGGTGGAACACGTAAACAACATGCTTTTGCATCGAGCCTTGATGGCAATGCAAATTTCCTTGGTTCGTTCTCAACGCAGTCACGAGTTTGGCCGGCATAGCGCATGGACCTAAAGGTTACTTATCATGTTTTCGGCTCGGATTGACCGACCTTCTCGTATCTTGGCTGGTCATTCATTTGTGTGTGGTACGATGTGAGCGACGTTACGATACCCCCTACTATCAACATCAGGTATATAGCTACTTATTCAAATGAAAATAAACATAGCAATATTATGTGCATATCAAATTGCCCTAAGGTGTCAATATTCTAAGGGTCACGCGGTCTTGGTGACAATTATTCAAATGGCAGGCTTCGAAAGGGGCAGTGCCTTCCAGAATAACTTCAGAACAGGCAACATGTGCAAGGCCCCTTTCATCAAGGATACTTATTTAGAGAGGAGGCAGATTGTCTGGGGCATTTACCCCCAAAGAAACCCGATTAACTTAGGACTGTGTGCGGGGGTAGCTTTCTAAGGCAATGTTTGTACAAGAAATATTTCACTAAAAAGTAATTCCTCTGAAAGACCTTTCTCCAATCGCTAGTTCTTTTGAGAGGACTTATTCGAATGAATATTATCTTCAGAGACTGTTTCTTTTAAGAGATATTATAGAAGAAGGCAGAATTTCAAGAGCGCAAAAATTCTATAGGCAGCTCACCTTGATGGCAGACCTAGAGAAGGGCGATTTTCAAATTGGGAGTATTTCAAAAGTCAAATCTGTCTCGAGGCAGGTCTCAAGAGTCAAGCTCACTCAGCGATAGCTTTCGGGCAGGCAGCTTTTTCAGAAGCAACTCTTTTACACGGCAGCTTAGGAACACGGAAAGGGTTTATGCGGTGGCTTTCTATCGAGCGATATCCCTGATTGTCATTTTCTCAGACTGCTGCAATTAATTATACTACTGAAAATTCATATAGGCTTCTTGCCCGACATATTTACCGTAATTAAAAGGAAAACCATACCACTCCGAGGAGTTCCACAACTCCCCTCTGCCTCGAGGCGCACGCTAAACCCGAATGGAAGGCCCAATGTTTGTCGTCGAAAGTCGCGGGCCGTGCCAGGCGGTCCTCCACTCATAGAGACTGAGGCATTGGCAGCGCAATTGCGCGATTCTATTACATACCGTGGCTTTAGGGGTGGTCTGAGCGCCTATGACTCCGAAAACGATGCGGAAATGTTGTTGCAGCCCGTCAGCCATGTACCCTCGGCGCTGAATGCAGTCTATTGCGGAGGGGGATGTGCAGCATGCACGGTTCTTGACAATCATGAAACAATTCGTGTGGCTAGGCAGTCAGCATTCAAAATATTTAGAAAGACGGTGTAAAATTTCCTCATAGCATTGTGAGTATCTAGGGTACCTTAGGTCATCACTTGGCATAATCGTACACTGGGCGTGGAGTCATTATCACGGGGAAATCGGCGCCGTAGGACTAGGCATAATCGACCGCGCTTGGCCGACTTCCTCTTGTCATCATAGAGTCCCGAGTCCTGCATTGACACCTGTCGTGCCATGTGGTATCCAGGCTTGGTACCATTCGGAGTTGTCATGGTCCTGCATTCAGCTCCTGAACATGTGGGCGGTCTCCGTTGTCCTCCCACGTTGCGCGGATGATTACAAATCCGATGGTGGGTGGCTGAGCTCATGGAACTATGCACATGCAGCGCCTTTGTTCTGCTTACATGTTAGTGTGAGATAGTAGAGACATGATGCAAGCGTCCGGCGTCTGCCTGGCAACGTTCTTGCACTGTCGACGGACTGGGCTTGTGTATCAGCCTTCGTTATTCGAGGAGTGAGCGTTTGCTCTAGCGTCGAACAATTGCGCACTCAGCGGCCGTATTTGGACGTGTATCGCTGTGCCTGGAATGACAGCGATACCTTGTGTCTCACGTAGGTTCCTGTGTGTATGGATCGTCCTTGGTAGTTTGGGTGGGACCTTGATCGTTTCGCACAGGGGTTGCGTCGTTCTCTTTGTGAAGCGACGAGGTTTCGATAATGCTAGCTTCCTTTGAATCTTGCTCTACTGGGCTGGAGGGACTACTTAGACCCCTCTCAGAAGCTAGCCTCTGCGCTGCAGTTCTCCTCTGCTGCAATTGACCCTCCTCTGCTTTCTGCATGTCCTCTTCTTCACGCTTCAAATCTGCCAGGGTAGGTATATCCTCATTGGTCGGAGAATGCATAGTTGTGAGTCTCTCACTTGAAGCCGAAGCTGCTCTGACGCCCTGTTTGGAAACGCCTGTATCCCCCGATGCGCTTGTCTTGATCGAATTTCTTGAATCGGCTGGTTTCTTCTTGCTGCTTCGTTCGTCGGAAGTAGCGCCCGTACTACGCCTGCCAAGTCTCAATGCAAACTCGTCATCAATCTCTCGTGCATCGCCTTCATCGTCACTAGGGAAGATGTCTCCTCTTGAGCTCAGCGATGTATTTGTCTCCCTGGAACCAACAGTTGCACTACGGTTCCTCGCGTGCTTGCCTCTTGATGTTCCTCCATCATCATTATCCTCTTCTTCAGCCATCAACGGTTCCGCCTCTCGACCCTTCTTCCCAACGTTTACCTGCAGGTTCGCCGGATTGGGCCTGTACCTGGTTCCCCGTCCACCAATCCTCCAAGGCAGGCGCTCGAGAAAGCCGAAAATACTGGACTGCGGCAACAGTGTAGGGTCATCGGCCATCGTATCTTTAGCGCCAACACTTTTCCTTCGAGCTCCCCGCGTTCCGTAGCCATAGCTCATTCCCGCACGTCGACCGGGCTGCTGAGGATCACTGCCGTTCAGCAGCGCATCTAATTCGTCATTACCCCACTCTTCCTCATCCTCGTCCCAGTCATCGTAAAAGTCGAAGGCGGCACGCTCTCTCCCTCTTTTAAGATACCTAGGCTGTCGGTGTCTTCGTGCATCGTCTCGCACGGTGAAGCACGGTTGACACGAAGCTTCTAGGCAAGTCTGGCATGAGAGCCAACAGGGTTGGAGAGAACTCAAGCAAGGCTGGATATATGAGTCGGAGAGAGTGAATAGAGATGCTTGGGTCTTTTGGTTGGCATTTTCGATGTTCTCGGAGATTTGATTGAGGGTTTGGCGGATTCTTGGATCCGTGGTAAGGCGCATGATTACTGCGATCGAATGAGAGGATCCTGGTTTCGAGGGTTAATAGCTGATTGTTGAACGCTGATTCGTAGACTGTGGAATCATGTCACTGTTACGCATCGTCTTTCCGGTGTATACACCCTGTGAGAAGTTTACCGTGTGAATGGGCGCACGAGAGGTCGAGTGGTTTCTCACGATAATCCGCAGCCGCAAAAGTCAGCCCTACGAGCTTGACTCGGGAGTAGGCGCGCCAAAAAGTCATCGTGCTCCACCTCCCTCTCTCAACTCCGATGCAGTGGAGAACAATTCAATACTTTGAGCATCTGCACCGCAAAGTACATTATTAACCAATGATTCGCCAACGTAGAGGACTACTCAAGGCTGACAATTGTTGCCAAGGAAGCAATGGTACACTATATTCGCTTCCTCAAGTTGCCCCGTTTTGAAGTGACCAAAACAAGAACCACCATAAAAGCTCTCTTGACCGTCACAACTGATCTTGGCGATGATTTTCTCCATGCTGAGCTCCCCTTGTTTGCTACGCTGCTCATTGATGACCGTGCAATATGTGCTTGGAAACCCTTGCTTTGGCGGTCTGACATGCGAGCGCTGTCCGTTGAGCTGAAAGGTTTCCCGTCACCCACCACCGGGGTTACATTGACTCTACTTGTCAATGCTCAACCCTGTTTAGAAACAGATGCCGAGTCAATCGAAAATCCATCTGAGATTATGGCTGTACGGAGTGACGTTGAGGGCGGGCCAAAGATGGCAATTTCGGGCAAAGTTCAGCGACAGATTTGCACCAATATAGGAAATATATGCGTTTACGAAGAAGCCGGGGAGAGCATTGCACGCCATCTTTGGTGAGATCAGCAAGATATAACATCGAGTATTTCGAGCCGACTTGGATGTTCTGCTACCACTGACCCACAAGACTGACCTCTGTCATAGGGATGCTGCAATTGGGCTGATAGCATACTTGGGTAGACTTATCGGCAACGACAGCTCCAACGAGAAGGCGCATAGTTCATTACTGTCAGCTCGATTATCTGGTTCCAGGAAATGCGACCAATCGGTCGTCCGTATATTGGAATTGGGTGCAGGGTGTGGGCCTGTTGGAGTGTTTTTAGCCTCATTCTTACCCCAGTGTTGCTGCATCCTAACTGATCTTCCGGAAGCGATGGAGGTCTTAAAGTTGAATATCCATACCACAGTTCCAGCAGTGGGAAGCAGCCTAAGTCACACGACCCTCGATTGGGACAAGGATCTTCCGGCAGATATTCGACCCCAACGGTTTGATCTGCTCATAGTGTCAGATTGCACGTACAATTGCGACAGCGTGCCCGCATTAGCGAAGACTTTTGCGGCGGTCCTTGGTGGATCTCCAGAGGCTCTCATCGTCATAGCGATGAAGGTTCGCCACCAGAGTGAGATGGTCGTCTTCGAATTGATGGCCCGAAGTGGGCTGGTGCAGCTTGGACATGAATGCCTTTTCCTCCCCCACAAACACCAAGCAGGCATCGATGAAGGTTCACAATCCATTGATATATACGTCTACGCCGGGGAACGCTCTCGTGCTGCTGCGCATCACTCGCTCAACCCGACAGCTGGGTCCAGCGACAATGTCCCATTCCGGTGATTGCGGGGAAAGGTTCCAACTGTGGATTCGGTAAGCTTGAATTGGAGGATAACGGCTCATTGGTTCACGGCGAGCAACCGGACAACCAAGTCGATCAAACGGTAGACCCTTTCCAAAGGTCGAAACAACCTGCCAGAATTAGCACAGACAGCATCTCGATTTGACGACAGCGACGCTAAACAGCCGAGCCACGAATGCAAAACATTATGCAGGAACGGCGTACTGGCCTTGGGGAGGCTTTGCAAGGATTGTTAAGCAGGGAGGGAAGTACTAAGCAGCTGCCCTACACTACGTGTCAGGTACCAAAATAATCATTAATACTCTTCCAGATGGCCTCCCCCTCCCACCTCCCAAGCCCTAAGCCCCAAGCCCCCCAAGCCCGGAGCTGCCAGGGGCTACTGGTGCCTAGAGTTTCCCCCTAATCAGCCTAATCCGCCTGAATGCCAGACCGATTCTTTAGCATTTACACTTTGCGGCTTTGCTCATAGCGTCCTACTAGCCGACCGCCCAACCCGCCGTGCGCTGCCGAGGAAACGAACATGTGTGTCAGAGGTACAGCCAAAATTTGCACACACCAAAAAAACTGCTCAGATTGCTCACATTTCAGATTCGCTCTACCACGCACTCGTGCACACCATCTCCATCCAGCGCCTGCTCCAGATTGGTTCCCTGAATGTGCTCCTCCTCTTAGTGCCGCATCCCCATCTGACTTCATGACCCTTTCAAGAGCTTAATTACACGGTCTCCGTATCTACTTGTGATGTAAGTAACTGATTCACACGATTGACACACTCCCTCCCAACCTGGTTCGGTCCCCGTGTAATCATTCTTTTCTTGGTAAACACTGCATGGTCATCAACTAATCGTGGTGGTGACGATAGTCATCTCTCAGCATCTCACGGCTTCAGTGCTTCTTCACTGAAGTCGCACCACATCACTCAAAACGGCGCCACACCCCAGTCCACTATTTAGTCTTCAACATCCTGCCTCTTGTCTACACAGAGACATCTTCAACGACCTTCCACCCCCTGCAGACAACAACTATTCAACGCCTTCTCACTTCTTCCCTTTCTAAGACCAACATACTCCAGCAATCCCCCGCCCCAACTTCCCACCTGCCGCATAGCACAACACAGGGGATTCTTCCTCAGGACGGGGAAGGGTCAGTAAGGGCGCGTCAATCCCTATACTACATCGTCTTCAAGCCTCCATAACCCCCACTTCCGTTTTCCCACTTCCAACCCCACTATACAACGCGTGAATGGCCCGTCCTCAGATCACCACTAAGAAGTATGCATCGTCTGCAATCGACAAGGTCGATAACAAATTGCACGATCATGGCAGTGGCGATAGTCGCAATAGCCACGAGAAGTCATGGCAGCTGGCGATGAGGGTGATGACCAAGCGGATCGAGAAGATAGATGTCGACACTTGCGAGTGGGAGGAGGTGCTCCCTTTCATGGTAGGAGACGTTGGTGAAATCTATCGCCAACGCCAACGCTGGAAGATGATGCTACCAAGAGTCGAGGCACACTATGGTGAGCATGCTCGGATGCCACTGCATTCGGAACGAAGCTAATGAGTGCAGCTGTCAAATGTAACCCTGAGCCGACAGTGATTCGCCTTCTCGCCAGAATGAATTCAAGCTTTGATTGTGCATCGATTCCAGAGGTCGAAGCAGTGCTCGAGCACGGTGTCGATCCCTCTAAAATCATATTAGCTCACCCTCGGGCATCTGTGCGACAAAAGGTTGCCGCGATCAACCACGGTGTACGGCAAATGACGGTCGACACAAAACAACAGCTCCACGACGCCAAGAAGTACTTCCCAACCGCGAAGCTTCTCATCAGACTCGCTCCCGATGATTCAAAGAGCAAATGTCGTCTGAGTGCGAAATTTGGCTGTTCATTTGACAAAGCCAAGGAATTGCTACATGTGGCCAAACATGAAGGACTGGACGTTGTCGGAATTGCTTTCCATATAGGCTCTGATGCCTCCGATACTCAAGCTCCGTTCAACGCGACTATGCTGGCACGAGACTTGATTAATTATGCGGAAGACTCTGGCTTGTACAGCTTCAGTGTGCTTGACGTCGGCGGCGGCTTTACAGATCATCTCTTTGAGCCCATGGCGGCATCACTCAAAGCAGCGCTCGAATTCATTCCTCAGAGCATCCGCGTCATTGCTGAACCTGGCCGTTTTATGGTCAGCTCCGCTTTCCGCCTTGCTTGTCAAGTCAACGATATTGATTACGAGGGAAACAACGAGGGGAACATCCCAATTCACATCAACGCGGGCGTTTATTCTGACCTCGCTAATGTCATTTCCGACCACCAAGTGCGGATTCCGAAATTGCTTTGCAAGCAGGATCCCTCTAGCGAATCCTTCCGATATCGAGTGTGGGGCCCAACATGCGACAATTTTGATGAAGTTGTCAAGTCCTGTTCATTGCCGAAGGTCAGCCAACATGACTGGCTCTACTTCGAGGAAATGGGAGCCTACACAATCCCATGCGCTACCGAGTTCAATGGAATCCGTCGAGCTGACATCATGTGGGTCTCAAGCGAGCGCGGTGCTTCGTCGCTGCTGGGATGGGATGCTGACATCTAAATTTTGCCGTCAAATGCTGTACAATATAATAGAGGAGCATGCTAGGAGTGCCAGAAGACTCGCTGCTCTGTGTAGGACAAAGGAAAAACAGTAATGATACTTGGCTGCAGCTTTGCCTGCTTGTGTATATGGGTGGCTTCCATGGTATTCACTATTCTGTTCTTGAAGCATACTTCCTGCGGTAGTATTGTTTCGGTGAGTCTCATTCAGAGACCGAAAAGCATGTCTTTTAGTATATAGAGCACACTCATTTGAATATTGCAATGTCTCCACAGCAGTTGTCTAGCACATTTGATCTCAACTCTAATGATTGTCCTTATGAACGGCGAGACCCCTCCGACTCATGCGTCTTGAGCCTGTTCCTATATTCATCGCAACTCCTTTTGATTCCTTCCTCGATACCCACTTTCGACTGGTACCCTAGCAGCCTCGTCGCTGTCTTCCCGCTCGCATACCTCACCGCACACGCATCCATCACACTCCCCCTACTAATCGTCGTCGTTCTCCCCGTCACCCACGTCACCGCCTCCGCCACCAACCCGACAACTTGCGCTAGGCCCAGCGGTATCTTCAACTCAAAAGGCGGGAAATGCTCGAAATTCTTCCACACCTCCAAACAAAAATCTCGAAAGGTAATTTTTTCTTCGTTCTGGATGAATATTGCCTCCCCCGCTGCCGTCTTCTCCTTAGACAGCAGGTTCTCCACAGCCAAGATGTGCGCGTCTGCGATGTTGGGCGCATATGACACATCCCACAGATTCTCCGCATCCCCCAATACATATGGGGTCTCATAATTAGCTATACAGGCATGGATGCTGGGAACGAGCTGATGATCCCCGGGTCCAAAGAGCACCGAGGGTCGTAACGCACATGTGGCGAAACCGGGCTTATTCGCATCCAAGACGAGTTTCTCAGCGATAGCTTTCGACTCGCCATAGATCAAAGAATTGGTGCTTGTGGGGTACGTCTCATTGATGTTGCGGTAGGAGTACTTGAAGTTATCAGTGACGGCTGTGCAAGATCCTGTCCAGACAAATGCGGAGACATTGTACGTCTGGGCGGCGGAGAGCATTGTGCGAGTGCCTTCGACATTGATGGCGAGAACAGTAGATTCCATTTCTCGGGAGAAGCGGTGGGCTAATGGTGGTACTATGCCTGCGGTGTGGATTATGGCGTGGGGACGGATGTGCTTGAGGGTTTTAGAGACATCGGAAGAAGATGTGACTGAGCCTTTAATGTAGGTTATGTTGGCGCGAGGAACATCGGGCTGATTGAGATCGAAGATGGTAATTTGCCATTTTGGATGCTTCTCCCGTAATGCTTCAACGATCAATCTGCCGACAAAGCCTGTGCCTCCGGTGACGAAGACACGAATTGGCATCGCTGTGAGACAAGTGCATTATACAAGGGAATGCGAAATCTTCGTGGCGTGAAAAAAGCACCACGCATGATAGTATTGACTTGGGGAAAAAAGACGTCGCTGGAAATGGAAGGCTTTGCTCGACATTACATCATGAGATCAACCACCGAAAACGTGCAGCGTGCAACAGCTTTAACGCAGGACCAATTCATTTACACGCACATACGGAAGACCACCTCATAGAATGGCAGTCAAGCCTGTCGAAGGCATCAAGACATTGAGTCAAAGAGGGGACATTTCACGCTCAGGAGTTGAAAATGTCTGTAATCACGTCAGGACGCAAGGGTCGCCCAATGGCGAATACGTCATCAGAGCGAAGGCTTGGATATTATTTGGCTTTCGCCTTCATGGCGTTGGTCTTATGTTTCCGTAACTTCACATCGTAGATCTAGCAGCAATTGAAAGAATGGCTTCAGGCAATGGGATGAGCGCATGCTGCCTCAGCGGTAAGCTTCACGAAGGGAAACCGGTCGGACGTGAGGAGCAGCTTGGTGGACTCTCCGTCTATGTCTCTGAGCCGAAAGGTGGCTCCAAAGCGAAGTCTTTGATCTTCATAACGGATGGTGCGTAAAGCTCACCAACGAACGTCCGTGATCTGAACATCAGGCACTCATGCTGTTGCAGTCTTCGGCTGGGAAACACCGAACGTCAGACTTTTAGCCGATGAATACGCCAAGGCAGGCTTCTATGTCTACGTGCCCGATTTCCTGGAAGGTGATAGCTTGGATATGAGTTTCCTAGACAACATTGCACCAAGTCTAAAGACGCAAGAAGGTCAGGGTGTGACTGACAAAGCCGCCAATACTGCCATCGTGGGGACGACATTAGCCACCTGGCTGCCAAAGCACACAGAAGGTAAGACGAAGCCAATGGTGGATGGTTTCGTCAACACCTTGCGTACAACGCCCGGAACCGACAAGCTCGGAGCCGTTGGCTTTTGCTGGGGTGCGAGATATGCCATATTGGAAGCCCATGGCCAAAGCACGGATGAGAATGGATCTGGCATTGGAGGTGTGGACGCTGTTGTGGGATACCACCCCAGCCTGGTGACCGTACCAGGGGATTTTGATCCTGTAAAGGTTCCGTTATCCCTCGCTGTTGGTACAAAGGACAGCGTACTGGATAACGACACAGTCGGGAAGATTCAGGATTTGTTGACGAAAAAGGCTGATGTGCCGAATGAAGTTCGAGTGAGCATTGCTGCTTCCATAATGTTCATTTGATGGTGCAATTGACATTGATGAAGGTTTACGAAGATCAAGTCCATGGCTTTGCTTTACGAGGAGACTGGTCTAGCGACAAGGACAAGAAAGCCATGGACGACTCGATACAGCAAGGCGTTGAATGGCTTCAGAAGTATCTTTCATAGGAAGGATATTTATCGTGGGTCATTGTCGAGCATCCCCAAGATGTAAGCGGTTGAAAATTCCAATGGAACACCATGTCTTGATTTTAGTTCTTGCGATCAAATTCGACGGAAAGCATCTCCTCATTAATGCAAATGTCGTCCCAAGAATTTTTCTCAAGCAAAGCTACACTTTGAGGTTTTGCAATTTCAATTTTGATTACTTCCCTTGCAAAGCTCCATTTACTGCCCAGGAATACACAATACTTCTCACCATTATGGAAGATGTCTACGGAGTATTTAGTGACTACTAAACTCACTACGAATGAATATGCGACCTCCTTGCACCATCTTATCAGCAAATGGTCAAAGCCTGAGTCACAATTACCTGTTCCGTGCTTCAGTTTCATGCTTGTATCTCGCAAGAAGACTTTCCCATTATCTTAAGTGCCATTGATCCATCAATTGACAATGAAACTTGACTATACTGCCTCTAACCCATGAGGATATTGTTTTCGGAGAATATCTCAAGCAAACAACCCGAGCCTCAGTATGATAGTTTGGGTTGTTTTGTCTCGCCCTGAATCATTCAAGTCTAATCAAGCAAAAAGTTGGACAGTAGTTGAGACACGTTTCGACTCAACATATTGCACTGATTGAAAGTTCATACGCATACGAAATCTCTAATGTTGCGGGTCATCGAAAGGACGAGGCTTACCAACGGTCCGGCTTCTGTATCGAAATCACACAAGTCGGTTTTTGTTCCACGCAAAGGAATTCATGCTTTGGAGATTTGTTAAGGACGAATGGCCAGAAAACGGCTTCTGTGACCAGAGATTTACTCTGAAGATGTAATTGAGGTGAGGATGATCAGAATAATGGGAGGGAGAGTAGGCGGCGTCTTGATGAGGTTCCATAACGTTCTTGAAGTTTGACAGGGGCAGGATAGGCTCTGTGGTCGTTTCGAGTTTTTGTCAACCTTCTCCTAAATTGCTGCACACTGGATTCCGCTATGTAAAAATTGAATAAAGATTGAGAGTCAAGGTAACATGACAGCCGCAAGACAATCGTATGTATATTTCTAGATCTGCTCACTCACAACATCCTTAGACGTCGACAAATCTATTCTGAAGTTACATGTTCAATGCCTATCTGCGCATGAAACTGGCCATGCTCGGAAGACTAGTCCTCACCGGAGTCTTAGCTTGTTTTATTGCGGAGTTTCCTTCCACAACGCTCCAATCTATGCAATCCCACCATGCCTCTAAATATCTTCTCTTTGCTTCTCCGTCAACTCCATGATCATAGAGCCAGCAATGCTGCCATGTACAAACCCCGAGGCACACCTCAGCGGCATATATTCGTCCAGGCGGTACCTTGTTTGCGGGGCTTGCAGAATATTTCCCCATTACTCCGGCTGTAGATTGCCCTGGTATCATGTTCTCCGTGTTCATATCTACAGACTGCGCACGGGGATGCGCTTGCGGTATAGGAGATCCTGCGATATAAGTGCAGAGGAGGGTGAACCCCGGATCGTTGACGGGGTCATCGCCATTCGCTGACATGTAGCCTCGAGAGATGGGGTTGCGAATGAGCCAAACAAAACCAGGGCCGAACATACTGAGGGCGGTTGCGATGTATTGCTTTTTGAATGATTCAATAGAGGAGAATGCCGTCGAGAGACGGGCTTCTAGCTCTCGAGACATGGGTTGGGGAGTAGGTGACTAGTGGAACTTAGTAAAGGGTCGAATTTGACCTGAAGCACGGGGCACGAAGACGAACAAGGGCGTTGAAAAAGTGATGGCAGTTCCAAGCCATGGAGGCATGATTGAAAACAGCAGCTTGGTTAGGGTTCCGAGCATTGGAGATCAGGATGTCTCTCATTGCCTTATTCTCTGATGGGTGGCCTGACAGGTTGATCAGTCTCATGTAAATTGATCGCTGAGATGGATCCAGCGGTCATACCGACGGTCATCTCATTGATTCGGTTGACGAGGTGGCCCTGATACTGAGACCAAGCAATATTGAAGGCTGTAGGTGAAAAGGCTTTGCCGATCCCATTTTGGGTGAAAGACGCATCGTGAGTGAGCTGTGGCACGTAATGAAGACGCCGTTTCAAGCTTTTGGCATCATACAGCTGGCGGGCCTTTTCAAGATCGAATTAGCAGTCGAACTTCAGGGACGAGGTTCCTGCTGTCGAAACAAGCGGAGCGCAGGTGGGACGAACTCGAGGGATAGCGCGACATGATCGCAGAGGCGTCTGCTGCCGGATGAGGCCTGGCAGTATCATAGAAATGAGCGTATGATCATAGGAGGAGGCACCCAAATTCACTCGCTCTCATCAATCGACCGAAAGAAAATGAAAAAGGACGCTAATTCGACTTTAGCTTAGCGTCATATCCTCTCCGCTCCTCGCCGCCTCTCAACCTCCTCTCATATTTCCCAATCTTTCTTCATTCACAGCGCCCTCTTTGGAGTTTCATGTGACCTCTGGCAGGAAATCTCCTGCAGATTTGGACTATTGGACTATTGGCAGATGCCTCACAATGAAGGCGAAACACTTGCCATCCAGGTGGTCTTGCCCAATCGACCGCCCTCTGGGCGCGTAGCTCTATTCATGGAATCCCCGTGACGCCCAAGCAAATGGCTTCACCATTACCGCGCCGGCCTCGTGCTGATGGTCCTTTCTTCATGCTTGAGTGGTGTTTCTCATTATTGAAGATGCTATTCCTGTGCACTTGAGGCTCTCCTCATTGTTCACCCTTGTTCGTGCTTTGTACGCAGTCCAGTTTCCCTTCCATTGTTAGCACGTCTTTTTGTTCGACCTTTAAAGCTGGGTTTCGCTGTGCGACCTCGACACCGCTTTTTCCCCGCCTTTAATTCATAATCCTCATCCTGACATTCTAGATAACATTCTGGACATCTCTCTCCTCCACGACCGCATGGCCCTCTTAAAGCTATATACGGTTGGCCTGTTGCTCACAGTGATATCAAGTTCAATAGCCTTTGCTGGAGCAGATGCAGCGCATCTCTTTGGCCTTCTGCCCCGTGACGATTCCTCCTGCCTCAACGCGAATTACAAGAAATGTGGGGGGAACTTTCCAGGCAATTTTTGTTGCTCGACCGATTCAACTTGTCAAAGTGTTAATGGCGGTAAATCAGCTCTTTGCTGTCCTCAGGGAAGAAATTGTACAGTCATCGGTACGATCAGCTGCGAATTACAGCAGCAAAACGCGACGGCAAAACCTTTGAGCCAGCTTTTTACAACAGACCTTACCACACCTTTGCAGAAATGCGGTGACCTCTGCTGTCCCGGGGGAATGAAATGCCAGGGCACAGATCAATGCGTCATCGATGATTCGGTTCCTGCTTCCTCAAGTGCCGCACCATCGTCCACCTCAAGCTCTACAGCTGCACCTTCAGCTTCATCCGCTAAAGGAACTCCAAGTCCCTCATCGAAACCGAGCTCCTCAAAATCCGGTGCATCACCGACCAACACCGCCACAAATGCGAATGTTCTAGCAACGGCACATTGCAACCAGTTCGCGACACCTGGAGTCCTAGTGGGCTTCTTTTCCGGCCTTGCCGCCGGTATCATAACAACAATCCTTTGCATCTGTTGCATAGGCCGCACTCGCTCTGCTAAGCGAGATAGTGGAGATCTTTCGAGCGTACAAGCTTCAGTTTCGGACCCTATATACAATCAGAACGCAAATGCCTATCGAACAGACTTCCTACGGCATGGCGCCGGTCCTTCAAAGGCGGGTCATCGAATGTCTCGCGCATCTTCCAAAGTCAAGTCGTACTTTTCAAAGTCACCGACCGTAAAGAGTGGATCTTCGACTGCGAATTTGACGGGATCGAAAACCCCGAGAACACCAAAGACGCCTTCGTCGAAAAGAGAACCTAGTATGGAGAGTATCAGAATCTACAGTCCGCCAAATATGGGCTCGGATAGGCCTGGGACAAGCAATACCACATGGGCGGAGATGATGTCTCACGTAGGACTGAAAGAGAACGAACCATATATTGGAAGCCCAGGTAGAGTCGATCCAAGAAGTAGGCGACTGGGTGATGTATGAGATGTTTTTCTTACAGCTGATGTTTTGGAGCGTTCTGCGTATTTAATTCGAACAAACATTTCTATACAAACTCTATGCACCTTGCGCAGTACATCTTAAACAGTCATGTACCTCTAAATACTTTTCAACACAGATCATATGTCTTCGAAATTTAGGTCCTCATTCTACGAGTCGGGCGAGGCTTCAGAGAGTATTCGATATTACCCTTGCCCTGGCTGAGGACCATGCCCCTCGCCTAGCACTTCTTTTGCACGCTTTTCAAACGCTTCAATCATCATGCCTGCGACCTTCGGCGCTGCTGCTTGGCTTAATGCCCCATATACCGCACTTGCAAAGCGGACTTCGATGTGTAGGCTGACCTCTGTCCTCGGCACAGACTCGTTCGCTTCGGCACTGCCCTCCTGTGGAGAACCATCCGGCGGTAGCGGCTTGAACGGGAATTCCCGGAACGACCAGCGTGTGAGAATAGAATTGAATAGGGTCTGGCTGTTGCCTTCCCGTGTCCTTGCTGATTGCTCTTCGGTAGATTCAATGCTGTAGTGAGGGAGGGCGTCGTGGGATATTGTAGGCTCGGCGTCACCGGCGACGGCTTCGAGGGCTGTGTAGGGAAGACAGTAGACTCTGCTGGTGAAGGTCTCGTCGTATGGCCCATATCCGATTCGAAGATCTGCTGTACGGGGCCATTGTTTCTTTTGAGTCGGATCAGGCGATGAAAGGGATGTTATGTTTGAGGAGGTACAGAAGGGAATGAACGCTGGGTAGGAGGTGATGTCTGCTATTATGTTGAATATTTGATTGGCATGATATGGGAGGATTCGAGAGGCGGAAAGCGTTTGTAAGGGACTCAGAGGATTTGAGAATCCTCTCGTTTGAGCGGCTAAGATTTGATGTCGAATCGGTCTTCGGAGGTGAAAAACGGGCCGAATAGCTTGCGACCAAAGTATAGAAGTAGGGCGAAGGCAGACGAGAGTACTGGATGCTTGCATACCAATCTAATGCCTGACGGTGCAATGCAATTGATCGCTCTGGTAAAATTATTGAAGATGATTATGTCACTATACATCATCTTTCGCCGGGCAACGCCTGTGACGAAAACGGCTTTTCAGGACCACGGACCGGACAGTCTCAAATATGCGCAGTTATATTGAGTCGCGGGATGAGAACTATCTGCGGGATGGTGCACCCTGATAATTCCCGTTGTCATTATTCAACACCTTCAATGTTCAATAAATACTAGCAGCGACATTCGTAAACACAATATTTTCACAGTAGACCGAGTCGTGCTTGGACACAGATGCTGTCCCAGGTGCAATTTTGAACCTACCCAAACATCATTTTCCAAGACGGATTGTACCTGGATTTGACTACAACGTTGAAGACCGTGTTGCTGAAGATGCCGGAATGTAATCTCTGCTAGCTAGGCTTGGAGGTCTCCCGGCAATTTTCTTATCGTTCGTTCGAAGCTACCAAGCCTGCTATTCACCGCTATGTTTTCTACCTTCCTCGTTTGGATGATACAGGTGCTGGGAGCCGTGCCTTAGGGTGCCTGAGCTAGGACTGCTGACGTTGAAGCTCCCAGATCTCACCCCGCTTTATTCTTTGCTTATGAGATTGGCAACAGAGTGAGCTGCCGGCGACTTTGGCAGCTTCCTTTTGGGGCGGCAACTCACGAGGGTCAAGTTGACTGACGCTGACATGGAAGTGTTGAGATGACATGCTTGTTTTCACCTTCGTATTTTGATAAAAGAAAAGCACTTCCCATCATTTGGTTTCTGACCTGCATTTGCTCTCCTTGGTGTCTACAATGCTCTCTAATTGCTTTGTCGCGGTGCTTCTGTTTTTTGTACTTGTCCTTGATCGAGTGAATGGTCGCCCAGCATGTTTAGGCTACAATTGTTCGTAAATGGCACAATGAAACGCAAAATGCTGCTGACGCACAAGCAGCCACCCAGTACTACCCAGAGTTGTTAGATGTCACCTTGAATGAATTGACGATTGGTCTTAATGGTCGATCATTCTCTAGCGTTGACCTTGTGAACGTATGCCAACGATCCGAGCATGGCTTGACCATCCGTGATGATTGATTTCGAATCAGGCATACATCGATCGGATCTTGGAGGTCAACAGCACACTTCACGCTGTGACAGAGATTAATCCCGACGCGATTGACATAGCGGCAGAACTTGACGCAGAGAGGGCAGCCGGGATCACTCGAGGTCCTTTGCATGGCATCCCAATAATCATCAAGGGCAATATAGCAACCAACGATAAATTGAGCACAAGTGCGGGTTCATTCGCTCTTCTTGGTGCTAAGGTGGCTTCTGACTCTACTATCGCATCAAAGTTGAGGGCAGCGGGAGCGATCATTTTGGGAAAATCGAACCTAAGCCAGTGGGCAAACTTTCGTTCCAACAATTCAACGAATGGCTGGAGTGCATATGGTGATCAGACTTTTGGCGCCTACTATCCAGAGCAAGATCCGAGCGGAAGCTCAAGTGGTAGCGGCGTTGTATCGTCTTTGGGGCTTGCGTTTGCTTCTCTGGGTACTGAGACAAGTGGCTCTATACTGAGTCCTGCCGAAGTTAACAATGTCGTTGGTATAAAGCCCACCGTGGGCCTAACGTCAAGATCTCTGGTTGTTCCGATCTCTGAGCATCAAGATACAATTGGCCCCATGGCGCGCACTGTGATAGATGCAGCTTATGTTTTACAAGCAATTGCAGGCAAGGACTCGCAAGACAACTACACCTCTGCACAGCCTTTCGATACGCCGCCAGATTATGTGGCTGCTTGTAAACAATCTGCCCTTGAAGGCGCCCGAATCGGTGTGCCTCGTAATCTGATTGACGAAACTCAGCTGCCTGATTCCACAAGCTTAGACTCATTCAATGCAGCGATTGAGGTTCTGAAAGCGGCCGGCGCCATCATTATCGACAACACTAACATCACAGCTTTTGCCTTGGACCAGCTAACTAACGGAGATAGTGTGATCACGGTCTTGGGCGCCGATTTTGTGGCGGATTTGCCAAAAGAGTACCTTTCCAAATTAACGACAAACCCGCAGAATGTACATACCCTTGAAGATGTGCGGAACTTTACGCAGAATTTACCAATTGAAGATTACCCAGACCGTGACACTGGCGTTTGGGACGATGCGCTTGATCTGGGATTCGATAATACTAGCCCGGAGTTCTGGGCGGCCTATCAATTAAACTTACAGATAGCAGGACCCGAAGGAATCACAGGCTTGCTCAGAAATTACAGCCTAGACGCGCTGATCTTGCCGACGAATTTTTCATATGCATTACCAGCACTTATTGGTAGCCCTGCTGTCACAGTGCCACTGGGTGCCTTCGACTCCAGTGAACCTGTCGTTCGAAATGACAGAGGCACTCTGGTTGAGACCGGTCCAAACATACCTTTTGGAATTAGCTTTCTGGGCGCAAAGTGGAGTGAGGCGTCTTTAATTGGATATGCATTTGCCTATGAGCAAAGGACAAAGATCAGAGAGCAAATAAAGCCGTATATTCTGCCGAGAACGGAAATTGTGCATGTTGTTCAGAACAACTGCAGCTGGACTCCTCCTACGGTGTACAAGAGACGGGTCAGTGGAAGCGTCAAGTAGCTCAGGTATTCATAATCATAGAACGTTCTGATTGACAAGGCGCTTTTTACCTCTCCAATATTGCCACATGTTTGATCCTGTGTGACATCGGCTGAGAAAAGGGGCACCGGCTAGAGCTGCCTCGCGCTATGTTCAGCCGCGCCAAGCGCCGTCAGATATAAACTACCTTCAAAGTAAATAGTCCTAAGTACCTCATGCATTTGCCGACCGATGGAGACTGAAGACGGAGCAGAAGCTTCGGTCGTTCGACCGAGGCCCACCGTCGTCGCAAAATCCTCTCAGAAGCCTCCTCCAGAGAAACACACGAGCATTAAGAATCGCAGCTTCGTGATCGCCTCATTTTGGCTAGTCGTATTGCTTTTGGGCTTTCCAGTATGGGTTTGGACGACTTCGATACATCGTGCACATCTACCTCTAGATGAGATGCTCGACTGGGCGAAGGGGAAGGTGAGGACTGCACTTTGAAGCCAGTACGCTTGCTGATTCCAGATTTAGGCTTGCAAGCCATCATTTCCTCTCCACATCACTATTGAGGCCCTATATATGAAGGAGGCGGAGGCAGTAAACTTCGTACGCATGACGCAGCATGCATTGGATGACCTCAGTGAATTCTCCATTCATCATCTTCGCCTCCGCCTTTCACCAAAGCGCAAAGAGGATGAAAGTGCTTTGACATCTGAGGCAACAGACTCGTCACATTCACAGAACCCTGATGAGGCACTGATCGTTCGCTTGGAAGCAGACAACAAGATATCAGCAATTTACTCAGAGCCTCCACGGCATTCTAAAGTGCTCCGTATTTTCTACCCATCCAATCAGACCCCATCAACTTCCTCAAGCTCATCCTTGCTGTCCAACTACCTAGCTTCCCAGCTGGAAGAAGTTTACGTGGAGGAGCGGGCTATCCTCGAGCATGTTTTAACGTCTGGCCTACCCCCCTTCGGACAACAGGCCCAGTCGTCGAACACAGCGTCTCGGGAACTACGAAATAGGCAGAGAAGGCTGCCCAATCCAGAGCTCTCGGGGAAGCTTGCGACCCGTATGGATAGGTCTTTGAAATACGCACCGACGTACCACATTACCATTTCACTCTTTACTCCCACAGCGCAGCCTTCTGCCTGGGATATCGAAGCCGCGATAGCGGATTACTTTGCGCCTCTCCTGAAGTTACTATCACCTGTTAGCACCTTCACTGTGGAGACCCAAATACAGCTGCATGCCCAATTCGCGCCCTCGGTCCATCTACCAGAATTCGATGAGCAGCAGAATTTCTGGACACTTCGTGAAGAGGATATCAGTGCCTTTATCAACGCAGCAGAATGGCCTTTAAGTCCAAGTCTTGGAGCGGGTCCTACTCTTAATTTCATCTTGTATGTGCCTGACGCCAAGAGCTCCCTCTCTTCGTAAGAGGAAGCCACGCCACCAATTGGCTTATTCCTCAGTGGGGAGGCATCGCTATACTCAACCCGTCGAATGGAAGCCAGGAGTTGCCCCCGAAATTGCCCAAAGAGACTCTACAGCCAGCACTCTTGACATTTTCTCACCAGCTACTATCATTCTTCGGCGTCCCTCAAAGCCCATCTTCCTTACCACTACAGTTGCAGACGTTGACACGTGTCAGGGCTGCTTCGCTTCTTCTGTCTGCATCTTCGACGATGGGTTCGCTTGCAAACTTGACTGTTGCTCTCCCTTCCATAGCGATCCCGGAGACCGTATCCTTTGCAGTCGATATTACACTTTCTCACCTCAGGCAGGCCTGTTCTGATCTCAAAGCGGGCAAGTTCGTGAAAGCACTTGAGCATGCAAGAGTTGCCGAGGAGCAGGCAGAGAAAGGATTCTTTGAGAAAAGCATGGTCGGTCAGGTCTACTTCCCAGATGAACACAAGGTTGCCGTCTATCTACCCCTCCTTGGACCTATCGGTGTGCCGCTGGTAATGAGCGCCCTCAAAGAAGTGAAAAGAATTGTGGCAGTGTACAGGGAAAGGAAATACGGTAGGTGAAGCCGCGGCTTTACTGTGTATCATTTATCTCGGGACCTGTAGAAGGTATCTCAAACCTCAAACGAGCTACCCGTTCCGGCGCCGAAGGCTTGGCCAGATGTTCTTCCATCGATCCACGTGCTCCCCGGCGCAGTCGAAGGTACCGGCAAGCAAACGAAAGCGGTTAGCGGGGCATTTGCACTATCATCATGGTACGCGTCATCATAGGAACAATGCCCACACCAAATGTGAACGATGCACATTGACAGATCCATAGTAGTGACTGAGGGTCGGCTTTGGCTTGCACGGCGTTCACTCTGAGAAGGCGAACGATTCGGAGGTACCTGCATGGGCCTAGAGTTGGGGTGATTGAAACCGTTTTAGACAGATCGAGCCAAGTATGATGGCAAACGGCAGGACGGTGAATCCGGGCAAGCTTAGCGCAAGTAGAGGGAAATGCCAGATTGCTTGTTTGTCCGGACATTTGCAGATCAACCTTAACACATTAATGTCGCAAGAAGGCAGACCCTGGACAAATTCATCATTAGGGTCTTACTACTGGAGGATGACAGTCAAATGTCGCATACCAGCAAGTGATCTTTGACGCCGTTACGAAATCAGTGGAAAGTGGTGAAGCGCGGAGGAGGGTGGGAATTGGGGCGCTTGGAGGGAGCGCGGGCAAGACTGCAGCTGCGCTGCATACAGACGTCTACCTAGCGTGACCTCACGCGAACGGCTGGACTAGGATGACCGAGAAATTTGGGGTAATAGTGGCAGACTCACATATTGGCATTTTGGCTGGGAGACGATCATTGCATCCTGCGAGCTTATCCACGCTCCCCGTCACCGGAGCTTGGCAGGGAGACAGATAGATATTATTTTAGTCATGTCTAGTGATGGGCTAGTCGAGAGATGCTAGATGCTTGGGGAACGAGTGAATTTATAGTCTGCTCGATGAAGAAGAATTTGGGCTGATCAGATGAGAGGGAAAAGATCTCGCGCATGGCATTGTACCTTTAGAGGCTAGCAGCAGGTTTCAAGATGGTTGAAGGGGAGGGGAGCAGGTCCATCTAGAAGACTAGAATTGGGCCCATCTCCGTTTTGCATCTGCTTGCCGACCCGTCCATCAAGCCATGTGGTGCTACGGGATGGGGGATGGGTGTGAGCGCGCGAGGGTGGGGCTTGTGCTTGTGCTTTTGCTTTTGCGGCTTGGAGCACGAAGGAAGAATGGGATGGGATGTAAGCGGCATGCAAGGGCAGCTCTGAGTGTCTGACCAGGGATTGATCCTGCTCTGCATGCTCCTCATTACATAGCAGAGCACCATCATGGATGGGGGGTCTGAGGGGTGGTGATTCTTGTTGTCTTGTTGTAGATGTAAGGGCAAAAGAGGGCAAAGAGGGCAAAGAGGGCAAAGAGGGCAAGGAGGGCAAGGAGGGCAAGCGCACTGGGGAGTCTTTGGAGTTGGAGATTCCGGTAGTCATGATGAAGACGTTAGCTTGACATCTTCTGGCCGGGGGGCCATACAGCGGTCTGACTTGCTTGACTTGTTACGAAATAGTTGAAACTCGCTCGGAGGCAGCTCGCTCGGCTTCTTCTTATTCGACTATCTGCACTGGCAATATCTCTCTCGCAATTCTATTGATAATATCCGGGTAGACTTACCTAAGGCCCTCCTTCCCTCCCCAAACATAACGCATCCGTCGCCCACGTTGAGTACTCTGCTTCTGCGTGCTCTGGTCTCAGGCCACGTCAATCGCACAGCAGGATCCAATCTGTTATGCAATCGGTCAATTGACTTGACTCGCTAACGATATACCTGCCAAATCGATTCTCTATCCTGTGCCGTAATCGTGCGGCCTCTGCCACCGCCTTCACCTTGGCCTTGAAACACCCAAACTTTCCGAACTTGCTCAGAGGGGAGCTGCTCTCTATACTCCCGGCAGATACTAAGCAGGACCAGCGCTTGATGGCAACACTCCGTCGTCGATAGCGCTGAGCAACCTGGCTGTCCTCCACCTTATCAGCACGCCAATCCTCTGCCGAACCTCCTAGAGATCATTTATCGCCCCTTGAAGCTGTCTGTCTCATAAGGTGCAATCTTGCGCAAGAAAAGAGAGACGCAGTGCCTGAGGCCGCGGAGACTCGTCTGACACTCTTACAAGAAAAAAACAGTCATACTTGTCGAACGGAAATCTGGTAGCCCTTTCCCTCCTGGCTGCTCACCATGTCTGGACGTAGCGCCTATGTGCGCGCAAAGAACAACCAACAAGCTGGCGGTGGTGGTCGACAGACCTCATTCAAGCAATACTCGGATTTTGCACCAGACGAACCCTACATCTACGGCTACACAGGTCCACCACATGGCATGACAAGACCTGTCGCTTCTTCGAGCAACTCGTATGTCTCACATCCTCCTCCTCATCTGCGCCGGCGGTCACATTCCTCTGCCGGAAGTGTCTATGGCCATCCTGGTGCTCCCCACCTGCACAAGCCTCGACCAATCGTCATCGCATCGGCCATTGAGAAGAGCGATTTCCGAACGCACCTCGATGGAATGAGCTCGACGTTGAGAGGAAAGCTGGGTGGGTTGATGAAGGTCAACAAGAAGGATGCAACCCCTTCGGACAAGCCCAGGCGTCGGCCAGAGACATCTTCAGCCGACTCGGAATTCGAGTTCAATTCAAGAAGCACCGAGCTTACGACTCCTTCAGTTGGCGCAGTACCGTCGTTGACTAATAGCACTGCACCCTCCGAAGGATTGGAACCCGGAAAGTTGAGCACGCATCATTCATACTCATTGCCGACACGTCAGAGACAAACTCAAGAGGCTGTAATTCACAAGATTAGGAGATTTGAAGGAGGTGGTAAGCTACCGCAGCTCGGATGGAAGTCGTTATCCAATGTAAGTCTCAAGATAACCCCCAGGCTCCATCCGTGATATTGACCGCAACGCAGAATCCCGAGCTGTGGGACGAAAGCGGCGACACCTTCGTCTACATGTACATGCGAGGCTCTAAGACCAAGCCGCCTCCGTCCTTCCGCATCGACTCGAGAGTAATCTATGAATCCGGGCCTGCATTCTTCATTGATCAATTAGAGAACGTACAAGAGCCGGAAGGCTGGCCTCGATTCGCTCCCAATGGGGATGACATGGACATGGATGACCCAACAGAATATCACGGAGAAGTCTTTGGTGGTGCTCGCTCCCCGACCATGCTACGATCTGATACCAGTGCCAGCGACGTGATACGACCTGCCGGCCCAAAAAGACAATGGACTCAGAAAGCGCCTCCTGGTATTAATTACGAACTTTACATACCTTGGCCTGGCGCCGAGACTGGGATTCACTCAACTATATGGCACATCACTACCCGAAATTACTTCGCCGTCATGTACGATGCCAGTGCTCTTGTCGGTACCACGCTGCTCGAGGCTTTGACCAAAATCTTTGAACGTGTGAAGGCCAATCCTGACTATCTTGACAGGAGTGTTAGTAGAGTAGCATGGATCACCGACTACATTGTTCGTCACAAATTCGATGATGTTCGAAACAACCCTTCCTATGCTGCTTCGCTACTTGCATTTAGCGAGATTCCGGACATACAGTGGCGAGAAGGCTACATCGAGGCGTTCGTGCACTGTGTGGGTATGTTGGATCTTGGATTGCAAACTATCCCCGAATGGAAATACATCACTCCTCAAACAAAGATGTTCCTGCAAAATGCCAGCATGGAAATAGAAGAGCGAATCCACCGCGCTCAAGGCTGGCTTCTCACCTTCGATTTCACTGAACTATGGCCAGTCACCGTCAGCACCCAATCCGCCGCAAGGGGCTGCTTTGACCGGTTGAGGAAGTGGTTTTGCAAGTACTATGAGAACGCATTCTTGCATTGGCCGCCAACACATGATATGACATGGTTGACAAGGGACATGGTTGTTCGCTTGGCGGACGACTTCTACAGTCTTTATGACTACCTTGTTGACCGTGACATTATCTTCGATGGCTCAGAATATCGACCCGGTCAGAAGTGGGCCATAACATCGCGCAGTGGGCAGAATTTCCGTGCCGACTCGTACGAACTTCCTATCACCGATATGCTTACAAATTTCGACAATAGCAACAATCTCCCTCACATACCTCACCCATACCCCCTGACGCCTACTAGTGTTCCCGTCGCCTCTAAACCGAAGTCCGCATTTTCCCTGAAGAAAGGCCCGACGCAAGCAGAACAGCTAGCACAGACACGACGAAAAGCGCTCTCCTACGCCGAAGCTTCCAACGTCTACACCCTCCGCGACCAATACATGCATACTGACCTCGTCACTAATTTCATTCGTTTCGAACAATCCGACTCGGTCGAAGGGCTTGACCCGTTCGAAGCTCGTCGAGGCCGATGGGTCCTCATATACGGTATACTTCAAATTCTTGCGACAATCAGCGTGGACTCACCCAATCTGCGCTATCGAGATGGCGCACAATATCATCTGTGCCCGCAAATGAAAGGTGTCGTTCCATGGGCCGAACGTGGCGCTCCACCGGAGGAAGAACCAGAGCACATGCGCTCCCATTGCTGGACAGTGCCACACACCTGGGGCCCAGCTCAACCCAAAGCCCGACCAAATGCACACAAGCCGATACTCTGGGGTCAGTACGGCGATGGTCGGTCTCGATATAACGACGACTCGGCAACGGCAACTGTGAAGCACGAGGGCTCACTCCCAGCCTTTGGAGCTGCAGCTACTGGTAAGACTGTAACGGACGTCAACACGAGCCGCAAACGGGCAGAGGAATGGGTCAACAGTACACCAACAAATGCCGGAGACGTGACGAGCGAGACAGGCATGACGATCGATACAGCGGATCAGATGGCGTTGAGCGAGAGAACGGGGTCTGCGGGCAATGCAGCCAAGAGCACGAAAAGTGGACGAGAAACAAGCCCGGGTAGCGTCAACGATATCTATGAGAACGAGAGCTTGAAGCTGGAAGCTAGGCGAAGAAGAGCGAAGGTGCATGGGTTCACGGATTTTGAGCCCCCGAAGGAATGGTGAGGAGTGAATGCTTGCTATTTGCCTTTGCGGATATAGTCGTTATGTGCATGAGGCTATATCTTCGCATTTGCCTGCGTCATGCTCAGGAGTCGGAGCTTTTTTCTATGTTTCTACGGCTCTGACATATACACGGCGGGATGAAGTTGTGAGACTCGAGAAAGACTCGCGTCAGATGCTATGTTGATGACGGCTTGGAGGAAACGAACAGAGAATGATGTTGGAAGAAAGCTGATGCTAGCATGACCTGGGGTTACTTTACTGCGTGGAAGCAGCGGCGTTGTCTGTAACGGCGTCGTTTGAGATATGTGTATACAATAATACCCCAAGGATAGCTTGTCTTTATGGCTGGAAGTACCGGCTTAATTATACGCAATGTTCTCGTTCCGGCACATTTTTCCTGAATTGGAGATGTTTCGCTGTTATGCTTTGATCCACTTGATTCTCTGACTTGATTCTCAGACATGAAATGATCGGGATCGAAATCGAGGACAGCTGTCACGGAGAGTACAAGCAGTCTTGCAGTGGGAGTTCCCAGAGCCCTCTCATTACGACGTGGCATCATGCTGATGTGTATAATGGTGATAATGCTATAACGTACGTCCGGCGAACAAAAAGCCAAATCAGAAGTGCAGAATCCTATGATCTGAAGAACCTAAGCACAAGGATGAGAATTTACTCGTGACATTAGAAAGCAACCGTCTTTCATCATTAACTAGTTATTTAAGTCCAACAGACAGCGACACTGTATGCTACCTTCCTTCAAGTCCACGATTAATTTACAGTCCCCATCCCTTCCCCAGTATCTGTCTGTGTATGTATGAGGAGCAGGTACCTATCTATATTGTTGTTGTTAATCAAGGGTATCTTTGAGTGCGTTATGCAAGCAAAATGAAGTCCAGGTCCAACAGAATAAGTGATTTGAGGATAGCGATTCGGTACCATTGCTTCCTTACGACAATAATGAGAACGCCGTGCCAGGTTGAAGTGTCTTTTGAAGGAAATTGAAACGCTGATCTACGTGCATATGTGCGTATATGCGGAGCGACAACGGTCGTGCATATGCAGCCATATTCGCACGTAACGTTGGGGGTGCGTCGTGCCGCCGCGGCCTTTTCTCCCCAAAAGCCTTCGTCATCGTGATGCAATATCTCTCAGAACAGTCCCCCAGAGGACGCAAACCCCTACCCACCCCTCTCGTCTTATGAATTATCTCCAATCTTCCTCGTCGTATCCCCACCATCCCAAACTCCGCCACCCACAGCTTTGCTAATACCCACTCCCAGCGCTGTCGCCACGCCTATCAGCACCAATGCAATCAAGATCTGGAATACAAGTCTCTGCTTCTTGCTCAACCGCCGATACGGGGCACAAAATCTCGACCCTCTGATCGTGCCAGTGAGATTATGTCTCTTCTGGCAGCGGCCGGAAGGGTTAGAAGGCCACATTGTATGTGCTTTCCTCAAGCCTCCGGTCCCCCCGAGTCGTAGCTTTCCGCCATCTTCTGCCTCTGGTCCGTCTTGACTGTAAGGTGGTGGGAACGGTGGTTGCTGGTCAGCCGACGCATCTTTGTTGGCTGCAGCACTTCCATAGCTACTCGAGTGATGCGGTGTCTTGGGTCTCTGAAGTGTAGTCCGTGAGGCATTGTTTGAGGCGAGGGTGGAGGAAGGTTCGTGGATCTGGATGTGTACCCGGGACTCGGATTTTCGTTGCTCGAGGGAGGTACGGGTTGGTGGGTGCGAATAGAAGGGGGAGAAAGGGTTGGTGGAGTTGTAGGTAGGTTGCTGATTTTCCTTCTCGGCTTGAGAGGCAGTGGAGTTGGTCGTAGCGAGGGAAATTAGGGAGGGATTGGTGTGGGTGTTGGGGAGGTTTGAGGGTGGGGAGAGGGTGAGGGGTGGCGTTTCATCGTGGGAAGACATTGGGTTTGTATTGTCCCAGTGTTGTTGAATTGTATCGACTGAGGAACAGTTGAGGGACGATTAGAATTAGTTAGCAGTCGTCGTCGTCGTAGAGCTTCCACGAAAGCCAGTAGTTTGAGAAAGTGGAAAGGAGAGAATAAATGCAAGACTGTCAGGTGATCACTTAGACTTCGAGGTCTTCATCTATTAGAAATGAACGAAAGAAAGAAAGAAAGAAAGAGAGAAAGATTAGAACGACAACATATCAAATGAAGGTGAAGGAGATTGTGGAGGAGAGCATGCAGACGAGAATGCAGTGAGTCCCAAAAGAGAGCTCGCTCCCCGCGCGAGGCCCGGAAGGGTCAAGCCCCAATTGAGAATTTCTTGGGGCACGTCATGCCCTGCAATTTGGCCCCTTAGCACCCGCTTTTCGGCGCCTTCTTAAGCTTCTTTTGGGCGTCTGGGGCCCTTCGGCAACCCCCCCAGCGACATCTGGTGCCTATCACTGCTCTTCCTTCCTCTGTGATTGCTACGATGCTACCATCAGAGCTGTTCGAGTGAGTTGAAGCCAAGCTGGTGTTCTCGCACAGTACTGTAGAGTCACTACATAAGACAATCCTATCCGAAACGGTCTATGATATTCCTCCGTCGTACTTTTACCGCTAAATGCGCCGTTCAACAAGGTCTCCAAACGGTCATCTCTCATGCCATACTTGCTCGGTCAAAGTCTTCCCTACGAATACCACTCTGTTCGCACATGCCCCGGAATATGCCACCATCTTTCCAGAGAGCTAATGGTGTATCAAGCTCCACGATTCTGCCCTGATCCATCACGCAGATTCTGTCGTACCCAATGATTGTCTTCAGCCGGTGGGCAATGCATAGCAGTGTCTTACCCTTGAAAGCTAGCGCCATCGTTCTTTGAATCTTTTGATCCGTTTCCATGTCTACGCTGCTCGTTGCCTCATCACAGACAACGATACGTGATCCTCGGACCAGAGCACGAGCCAAGGCCATAAGTTGGCGCTGGCCAAGAGAATAGTTGAGGCCCTCTTCCTCCACTACGGCGTCCAGGTGGATCCGTCCAGGATGCCTATCGTCCACCTGCGCGTTGTCTTCCACAAGATCTGCCTGTCGTAAGGCTGACCAAAGCTCAAGATCGGAATGCTCGTCGAAGGGATCGAGGTTGGATCGAATTGTACCTCGGAAAAGCGTCGGGTCCTGGGGTACTATTGCTAGGCGAGTTCGGAGGTCCTTGAGACCAATGGTGTTGATATTGATGCCGTCGATGTTGATGTTTCCCCCACATAGCTCGATGATCCGGAACAAGGTCGACATAATGCTTGACTTTCCAGCGCCAGTCCGTCCGACAATGCCAATCCTTTCACCCCCAGCAACGGTCATGTTGAGACCTTGAAGCACCATTGGTAGACCTTCGCGGTAACGCATCTGGACTTCATTGAAGACAATCTCGCCCTTCTCGGGCCAACGGTCGGGAACATCTTTGAGCACAAGTGGTGCCTCTTCCTCCAGTTGGTTGCCATAGTAATGGATGCGCTCAGTCGCATTCATCGCGTTTTCAACTTCGGCAAGTTGACGGACCGTGAATTGAATCATTTGAACAATTGAGAGAATGTATGAGAGGACTAGGCCTCCAATGCTGGGATTGACGCTGAATCGTGAAGTCACAACTAAAATACCGGTTGTGAATACGAGAATGTTGCCAATCGCATCTAATCGAACTGCCAACCATCTTTGATTTGAAAATGTGAGATAATATGCCGAATCCATTTGATCAATGGCCTTCTTTACTGTTTCGATGAAGTGTTGCTGAAGACCGTAGGCGCGGATGCTCGAGGTACCAGACACTGCTTCGCCGAATCGAGAGAATACCTCAGAGCGGAGTACGGCCTCATGCCGTTTGACCTCTCGAGCAGACGCTCTGTAGTAGGATGCAGAGAAGAGAAACATGAGGAAAAGGGGGCCTAAAGCGATCGCAAAATAGTGAAAATAAGTGATGATGAGGATGAAAACGGATACAATCATGGCCAGTGTGAAGAGATACATTCGCATCGCGTCTGTAAGATTGTTGTCCATGATGTCAACGTCCTTCGAAAAGCGATTAGTGATTCGCCCCAAAGGCGTAGTGTCGAAGAAGCTCATCGGAGCTCTCATGACTCGGGACATTGCCCGTTTGAGAAGTACTCGTGACGACCTCGTGCCTAATACGGAAAGAGTCACAGAGAACATGAACATCAACAAAGCTTGCATAACTCCAAGCCCAGCATATGCGCCAATGTACTGTCCCCTGGAGAAGCCAAATTTGTTGGAAGTCCACCACGAGAGCCAGAGGCTAGTGGCGATATTGGAGCCTTGAGATAGAATCAAGAAGAAGAGTGTAAGTGGACCATACCAGATAGACCCGCTCGCAGCAACATATGCTTGGTAGATACTCCATGGTACTGCTTTTACGGCTCGTTCTTCCTGCTGCATGAGCGCAGCACCGCGCTTTGAGGTCTTCTTTTTCTTGGGTTCGTCAATGAGCACTTCCTTGTCCGTTTTGACATTTTCCTCTACCTTTTCTTCTTGCGCAGTCGTAGCCATGAGTCTCTGAAAGCTTTCACTACCCTTCATTAGATTATCAAAGGTATCGAGAGCTTCGATGTGACCTTCCTGCATCACAATAATTCTGTCACAACGCCTCAGAACGTGCAATTGATGAGTGGCCAGAATCCGACACTTGTCTTTCAGTAGACCACAGATAGCCTCGTCAAAAATGTGTCGTCCAACGTGAGCGTCAACAGCTGAAAGTGGGTCGTCCATAAGGATGAGATCACTGTTGAAATATATAGCTCTTGCAATGTTCAGTCGTTGTTTCTGACCTCCAGAAACCGTAATGCCTCGCTCTCCAATCTCTGTGAGATCGCCATAGGGTAGCATGTCAATATCTGGCCGTAGAGCACAAGCGTCTATTACAGCGTCATACCATCGACGGTCAAAGTCCTTCCCAAACACGATGTTCTCTTTGAAAGACGCGTTTTGGATCCAGGCATACTGTGGACAAAAGGCCCGACTGGCACCCATCATAACATTCCCTCTAGTCCGTCGCATGTCACCAGCGAGAGCTGCCAACAGAGAGCTTTTCCCTGAGCCAACTCCACCAATGACTGCGATCAATTCATTACGGCCGACTGAAAATTGCATGTCATGCAATTTAAAAGGCTCACGTTGAGTGGCATTGCTATGAGTGTCCACAGTATCCGTCAGGCTGCTCGTCTTAGGTTTCTCCTTCGATTTGGCTGCTGACTTGATGTCTTTAATTTGCCTGCTCTTGCTCTTGTCTTCTTCTTGGCTAACGGTTCGCTCCCATGTGAAGTCTGCACGATCCATCGAAACGGCGGACTTACCATCCATCTCCCAAGTAAAATCATCATGCTGTTCCTCAGCAATTAGAAAGTCCTGAATTCTGCCCAAAGATGCCCATGCATCGGTGACCTGCCCAATCACAAGTGGAAGAAGATTGAGTGGCATGCGGAGTGAGTTAAAAAGGGCTAGAGAAGAAAAAATTGGTGCAGGATCAAGGACGTGCTTCGACAGGCTGTAAGTGATAAAGCTGAGCATGGAAGCAAAGATAGGAAGCGACATTGAGACAGCATTGATAGCGTTTCGAATTGTAAGTAGGACTTGAATGGCCCTGATTTCGCGTTTCCGGATTGAGTTAATGCGATCTAGAAATGCGCTCTCCCATCCGAAATACTTGACAAATCGGACGGACTGAAGGATTTCTTGTGTCAGTGACACTCGCTGGTCCGTGATTTTATTGATGTTTCGTCTTCGCCTAAACAGGCTTTTGATGGCCTCTGTCAGCAGCGGTATACCGATGACAAGTAGCGAAAACCCAGCAAGGGCTGAATACGTCAAATTCACAAGGAGGACGGCCAGAGTGATTAGTATGGCGATGGGACTGGTCCAAATCATGTGCATCATGCCACAAGCTTGGTCCACCCGATATGTGTCTGTCGACATTAGGTTGACTATCTTCCCATTACCCCAACCCTGCCCATCACCAGCAACACCAGCTGCATTGTCAGGCGTGCCTTTCGGGCCAGATTTGGTTGAACTTCGACCTCTGAACATTCGCATGAAGATATTCATTTTGTCATCAGGCGTCTTCTTTATACCATCCGTAGATTCTTGATGTTGAATGTCTTGAATTGCTCGACCACCGGCCTTTGCTCGACCCGAAATCTTCATTGCTTTCTCAAATATAGTCTCAATTAACACTGCTCTTGATTGTCCACCGACCATTTGGCCTCGATATATGAAATGGTTGGTCCCGAACGATTGAGCGACCTGCATGAAAGAAATTCCAATGACAAGACCAATACCGTTGGCAATATGGGGGGCCGCTGTGTGCGCTTGTTGGGCAACGTATGCTTTGGCAGCAAAGGAGATAAGATAGCGCAAAACGAATGGAGATAGCACCTGCAATATACTGGATAGGAGCTGACACACGCCTCCTAGCCATATTTCGAATTGGAAGGTTTCATGCAACGCCCAGAGAAGGGGATAGCGGTCTCCCCTTTCCACTCGTCTTCGAAACGAGGCATTTAATGTTGCTGAGAGAACTTCCGCACTGCGGTTGGGGTTCACAAGCCAGATGTCGTTAAGCTCCAGCGGCCGCTGGTAGCCTTTCGACATCAAAGGTGCCATCCATTGAAAGGTCGCTAAACTTAAGAAAGTGGCTGTGTATTCCCTGGACACCGTCCTTTCCTTTGGAATACTCGGCTTCGCTGACCGCTTCAGAGGGTTGAGGCGTTTGTACCATGATTTGTGATCCCGTGTGACGGGGGCAGCAGATTCCACTGTCAATGTGGAGGTCGTGGTTGTTGTAGTGAGAGTTCTTCTGGCATGAGGTATCTCTGTACCTTCCTTCTCTCTACGCTTCTCGTCATACTCCTGTTTTTCAATCTCGGAGATCGTGGACTCGGTATCGGTGGCAAAGGTATGGAGTGGGTCCGCGGCGACTGGCTCAGAAGGTACCTCTTGGTGGGCAGCGGCCTCAAGATCTGTAGACGCATATTCCTTTCCTCCTTCCGCCATGGCTTCTGAAATTCTTTGCTGGCTGAGTGGTAGAGAGACAGAGGCGTGATAGCCACAGAGGCTAAATAGCCTTCCATTGTAGGCAGGTGCATTTCAGATAGAGCGCTTGCCCTGGGAGACCGAGTGGTGACGACTGCTTGCCCCCGCAAACGGGTCTAGTCCCGGCCTTAAAGGTGGAACTCTTCACACCGAGTCACCGCTCAGGCGGCACCTAAGTCCTAGAATCGTGAAAATGGCCTGAAGGCGGTTTAGCTACAGATGTCTCGGATGCCGAGCCAATGCGCATTGGTCACTTGAGTATCTGCTGTCTTTCACTGATTAGAAATTCGGATCCGGCTAGTGGTCAACCCGCGCAACGCAAGCCTGAGAAGCCTGGACGGCGACGGGTAGCCGTCGACTTGGCTCTCAAACATGCAGGAGATCTTGCGAAGCCACGACATATCTGCAATATCGGAGTCTGCATCATCCCGTTGTTCTCGGAGATTGACGTGATGTACCCTTGGTTCCATAAGCCAGCCCACAGAGCCTCTGAAAGCCTCGAGCAAGAGCCAGAAGGTCGGCCGAAGATCGCTTAGCTTTAGGGCACGGTAGGTCCTCTCGAACTCGAGAGATTCCTAATTCTTGCGAGATATCAAAAAAGTTTTATGAACTGTCTCTCAGGTTGCATTTCTAGAATGCCGATCCTTTCCAACTGATAGCCTTACCGTTCGAGCCAATAAGCCTCTTCAAGAGGTCATAAAGTCTCGCACACCAATCAGCTCTAGCGTGTTTTCACTACCTCATTCGAACACAGCCTGTGCGCGCCGAAGGGTCTTAATCATATCCTAATGTGTCCAGATATTTCGACTCTGAGCATCGTGCCTGACGGAGCGATTAAAGATACACACAGCGCAAAGAATGATTCAGATTCATCTCAGTCGATCCCGGCTCATAGATCGCACGATCCAAAAAATAACCTGAAGCGCAGAGATCCTTTCAAATTTGGCTCTCGCTACCTTGAAGATGGTGATGATGTCTTTGAGTTCAATGCCTGGGACCACGTTACACCAGATGATACTTACTACGCATATGCAGAAGCCCAGTACGCCGCTCAACGCGAGCATCCAGTCTCTGAATTTGACAGGAATCGCTTCAACATAGATCCAGAGAAATGGTGGAACAAATTTTATTCGAACAATACGACTAATTTCTTCAAAAATCGAAAGTGGCTGTATCAAGAATTTCCAATCCTGTGCGACCTGACTCAGAAAGATGCCGGTCCTGTGAGAATCCTAGAGGTCGGCGCAGGTGCAGGTAACACGGCCTTTCCTCTACTGCAGACCAATGACAACCAAGAATTGAGAATTTATGCTTGCGACTTCTCAAAGCAAGCTGTAGAGCTGATCAGGGCTGACGATGCCTTTGATGCTGAAAGAATTACTGCTGAGGTCTGGGATGTTGCTGGACACGATTTACCACCTGGACTCGAGGAGAATAGTGTAGATGTGGTCATGTTGATTTTTATATTCAGTGCGTTGAGCCCCGATCAGTGGAAGCAAGCAGTCGAGAACGTCTTCAGAGTGTTAAAGCCTGGTGGCGAGATCTGCTTCAGGGACTATGGTAAAGGTGATTTGACACAGGTCCGTTTCAAGAAAGGTAGGCTTTTGCAAGAAAACTTTTACATTCGAGGTGATGGTACGCGTGTGTATTTTTTTGAGGAAGAAGAGCTTAGAACCATATGGGCCTCTCATTTGTCAAATGAATCTGATCTAGAAGCTGAAAGGCTACCTCCCGAAAACGGTAAGACTAGCAGTTCTTTAAAAGGTGGGATAATCGCCTCGAAGTCAAAGCTTGAAATCCTGCAGCTGGGCGTTGACAGGAGGATGCTAGTCAACCGACAAAAACAATTGAAGATGTATCGGTGTTGGCTGCAAGGACGCTTCAGAAAATCATCTTCCGAACTACCTCCTGCATAAATTCTACTACACTCATCTCAGAGTCTACGCCAGGTTTGAATATAAATTTCTCAATTCGTTTTCTCGACGCTGGTATCGGCGTTACAAATAATTCATAATCTGACATATCTTTGACTTCAATATGTACAACAGAGTGTAAGAGAAGATACGTTTGTTGGTCCTCAAACGTGTACATGAGACTTGACAAATTGAGCAGCCGGGATTGCGTCAACGGCATAAGACAGGTGATAAGAATCCACTACCGGAGTGGCATCGCAGATCAAGTCTTCATTGAAACAAAAAGTCTTCACCTTACTCCCATCCACATTTGGAAATGGTTGGTCTTTCTTAGGATCGCCGAACAGCACCTGAGAAATTAGCATTCTGCTCTTTCTGAACGCGGCATGAGAGCATACAATTGCAGCCACCTTTGCAGCCGCCTCGGAGGAAATCGTGCTTGCTCCAAGGTGCACGACCTGTGCTCCTTGGCTATATCCGCTGAGGACAATTTGAGTATCTGGACACTGAGACGCAGCCTGATTTGTCAAATCCGCGAGTTTCTGTCCTCCACCTACGTCGCCACCTTCCAGATAGCCGAGGATGGTAGCCGGATAGTCGACGCCTTGCACTGCCAACTTGTCTGATCCCAGTAAAACATCAAGAGCGTTGAAGAACGGCGGCCCAGTGATACTGCCAACATTTCCGAGCTCAATGGTGCCGCGGGCATAGATTAGGGTCACCGCCTTGCATTCGCTGAGCTCGTTCCTCGTGACATCGTAATCGAATTGACGTCTACCCAGAGACTGACTGAGCTTGCCCATGTGCTCAAAGCCTCTGGGTTGAGGCAGGTTCAATGGGGTACCTATAGCCAGGGTTACATAAAGGCATATGAGGAGAAGACCATTCATGATGCGGAAGCAAGAATTCATGAGCCTTGTATGGAGCTTGAAACGACTCTACTCAATCTCGAACACAAAGACGAAGGGTATGCTCATGAGCGCGGCGCTATATTTCTATATACAACTCGAAGCCGAGGATAATGACAGCAAGAAGCAAGCAGCGAGACGCCCCGCACGTCGAGATGTGATCAACAAAAAGCGGTTGAGAGTCCAGCGGCATCTCATGTGTTCTGTGACTAGATTCCTTGCCAACATAGTGGCGGAGTGCGCAACCGCGACATGGCAAGGTACGGCGTGGCATGGCACCAACTTGATCCCCAATCGCCAACATTCCATGGTGGGATACCGCCCTGGTCGAGATGTGATGTGGGCCGCAAATGCTCTGTGAAAGTTTCGAAGCTATCCAGACGCGGTCGACTGCTCCGGCACCAATGTAATGATGTGCATATTAGAAGCATTAGGCGCAAGCTTTCCCCGCAATTCAGATTTGCATCGATAGATGGGCACAATTGGCGCCAAGAGATGGCCCATTCGAGACGCTAGTTCTGGTAGCACCAAATGGATTGTGGTGGGTTTGCCAGGCGTCGAATCATCCACTGGATGTATTGGATTCTAAGTAGTCGACGTTCGTCTTCCCTGTTCCGCTCAGTGAGTCATGTGAAGAACATTGATCAACCATACCAGGTACAGAAGACGCAAGCGTTTAAAACAGAATTGAGTGCACATGTTTATCCAGTATTTAAATGAAAGACAAACAATCAGGACCAAACATCTTGATGTACTGCGCCATAGCTCTGCTGCTCTTCTAAAACGAAGCTGGATGGGACTGAATAGATGGCAAAAAGATTAAAGACTGAAGAGGCATCACGGATGTCACATTCGTCACACTCGGCGCCTCCAAGCCAACGAGAAAGTTGCGTGCTAACAGCCTCTGGTCCATCGCTGCCAGGAGCGTTCTCAGCAGCTTCGTAGAGTGCCTATTGATATGGCTCAATGACTTCACAATATCAAAGGTCTGGCTGATCGCAGAGATGTGATTGCTTCTTTGATCTTGTTGCAAGAGACCTGGAAAGGGGGGTTGCAGAAAGTACAATGAAGATTGTGCAAGCAGACCAGCCGCGTAATTAGATCACAAGAGCGTAACCCTGAGATCAATGTTTACCATCTGCTGGATGACAAGGATGGGATGGTGAAATATTGATGGATTGACTGGACGACTTGTAGATGCGTCTTCTCCACCATGAAATGAAGTCCGATAATCGAGACAAATGCCGAGGTTCGGGAGAAGAGCGCCATTGCCGTTGTAGCCGAAGGGAAGATCAAAGACATCGTCAATTCATTATAGTCCTATGCAGGGACTCGAGGCAAGCAGCAATGCTGCAGTGCAAGCGAATCTACAGATCAGGGAAGCTCCGGCGCGTCATGTCATTCGCGACGCAGAAGCGAGAAAATCATATGAATGGCTGCCGTGCTGGCCGCATTGAGCACGGCAATCCTCGTCCCAATTGTGGTAGAACCTAGTACTACTAGATCTAGTCTTGCCAATGTATGATCCCAGTTCCCAACATTGTCTGTGCAATATCCTACAGCCAGCCAAATGGCGAGTGAGTAAACGCAACGCTCAAAACAGGAGCTTGAAATAGGCGATGCTGATAGCCCTCAGTGACAGCGACTCTTGCAACCCCTGCCCTGCTTGCCGGAGCCGCATACCTCGATGCCAAACTCCAGCTACACTATGATTTTCGGGAAATTGCTGCCCTCGTCGCCGTCCAGGCATACATGATACTTCAAACACGACGCAATCGCATCAACCTGTTCTACCTGCTCGAATCCCTCTCCGAGTCCCGCGCCAATGACCCATTTCTGGTCTACCAAGATCACCAATGGACCTACAAAGAGGTGTACGATACCGTCCTGCGGTACGGGACATGGCTCAAGCAATCACATGGCGTGTCCAAGGGAGAGGTTGTCGCCATAGACTTCATGAACAGCCCTCAATTCGTCTTTCTTTGGCTGGCAATGTGGAGTATAGGGGCAATCCCAGCTTTCATCAACTATAACCTTGGTGGTGACGCTCTGCTACATACCATACGTCTTTCGGGCGCGAGGCTTGTGATCGTGGACCCGGAGATATCCAGCGCCTTCACAGATGACATCCGAGAACAATTGATTTCTGGAAAGGGAAGCAAAACCAGCGAGACAGTTGAAACAGTCGTTTTCGTCCCAGACGTTGAGGTACAAGTGATGTACACGTCGCCAGTCCACTACCCCAATGACCTAAGATCCATTCAAAACACAAGCGACATGGCCATCCTAATTTTCACCTCCGGCACTACAGGCCTCCCAAAAGCCGCCATTGTCAATTGGATCAAGATCTATCGCTCTGGTTGGCTGTTCTCCTCTCTGACTAACCTCTCCTCCAAAGATCGCTATTACACCTGCATGCCCCTCTACCATGCGACCGCCACCCTCGCTTGCGTCGGTCCCGTTCTCTTCACTGGCAGCACCCTCATCCTCGGCCACCGCTTTAGCACCTCAACCTTCTGGCCTGACGTGCGTCGACACAACGCCACTCGGATTCAGTATGTCGGCGAAACATGCCGCTACCTCCTATCCGCCCCCCTCAGCTCGATCCTGTCACTAGCGAGAACCTCGACAAGAAGCACAACGTAAAACTTGCTTTTGGCAACGGCTTACGACCAGATGTCTGGGAACGTTTCAAATCCCGCTTCGGCATCGAGACGATTGCGGAATTTTACGGTGCCACAGAGGGTCCCATCGCATTCTTCAATCTCTCCTCCAACGATTGGGCGTCTGGTGCCATCGGGCGTCATGGGAAGTTTATCGACACCCTTCTTGGCCTCGGCCGGATCACTATCGTAGAGGTCGACTGGAACACTGAGGCGCCGGCGCGATATTCTAGCAAGGATGGCGAGTTGTGCAAAAAGGTAGCCAGAGGAGAGCCTGGAGAGCTTCTGTATGCCCTCGACGCTACGAATCCACAATCAGACTTCCCCGGCTACTACCGCAATCCGAGCGCTTCAGAAAAGAAAATAGTGCGCGACGTTTACCAAAAAGGAGACGCTTTCTACAGGACGGGCGACGTACTCCGCTGGGACGAAGAGGGTCGGTGGTGGTTCGTGGACAGGATTGGCGATACCTTTCGCTGGAAAAGTGAGAATGTCTCCACTTCTGAGGTTTCCGAGGCGCTTGGGACGCATCCGGATGTGCTCGAGGCGAATGTTTATGGTGTCAGCATCCCACATCATGATGGGCGGGCAGGGTGTGCTGCTGTGCAATTAAGTCCAAAAATCACAGACACAAAGGCAGTGATGGGCAGCATGGCAACCCTTGTGAAGCAGAAATTACCCAAATACGCGATTCCCGTGTTTGTGAGGCTGGTTAGTGAGATGGATCGGACTGGAACGAATAAGCAGACGAAAGCGAAATTGAGGGAAGAAGGCGCTGATCCGGCAAAGGTTGCGGATGGAGAGAGCTTGTGGTGGTTGAAGGGAGGAGAATATGTGCCGTTTGGGAAGAGGGATTGGAAGGTTTTGGAAGGAGGTGGCGTGAAAATGTAGAAGAAGCATGATATTGGATTGGAGAGGAAGATGTAGGTTGAATGAGAACCGAAATCCTAGTCGTTGGAGAAAAAGAGGTAAACATGATGCTCGTCGCGTTTTGCTGAAGCAAGAGATGGTTATGATGACTCACGATATGGTGTTTGGATACCCCCTATGCTGATTTGGCTTCGGCAGTAAGTAGCTAGTTTTCAAGATTAGCTAGCTATAGAAAGGATTTGATGGTCAATAGCAGTATGTTAAGTCTTGATGCAACTCAAACGGTTTGGGACTTGTATCTGTCAGGAGCATTATTAAGGTCTTTTAGATAGCGATCGAGGAGAGTCAACGACAGGGTCATCCAAGTGGGCGATCTTCAAGATTTCTTTCGATCAACCAGGAACCATAGTCTGCCCTTTTTCCGAATTCCTTTAGTTTCTCCCCGGGCTAATATATTTAACATACCAGTACTCCGAAGCTTGTGATCCTCGAAGCTTAGGGTCGCCGACTTCACCGGGGCAAGAATGTCGACTTTGAGTTCAGTCGCAATTTCAAAAACTAGCCTTGCTAGCGACGCTTCTCTTCTCGGATGTGTCCGCCGGGTCTGAGATTGGTGCAAGAGTGCTTCATCGATTCTCCGACATGCCTCCAGATCTCTGCAATAGCATGTTTCTCGAGCCCATTGTCATACTGCACTTCGCATCGATTGATCCACTTGATCTACCCGAAAGCTGGTACGCTCAAGGCGTCCGAATGTGTTCTCAGTCTTGATTCTAGATTGCAGACGCCACTGTAGGAAAAGTGTTCTGGAGAAAGCTTCGTTTTAGCGCTCAGTAAAAGCCTGTGCAATTCAAACTCGGTGAGTATAGCTTCTCCAGTGACTAATCGATTTGTTATCGTGTCGAAGCTGCTAAGCCGGTTGGTGTCAAATAGCAGAAATGAGACACTCAGAATAGTATTGAATTGGAGAGTCGGTTCTTAGCCATGGAGTTACTTGACCGTTCATAAACCAAATTCGTCACACATTAGAAGTCGCTACTGAGGCCGGGGAACAGAATGCCATCTGCGCCCCGCAGTAAATATTTGGGGGTCCCATAGTCCTTGTCCGATCCGAATTGCGCATTAGTGAAGTTTCTCGCTTCTTCATGTATGCCTAACATGTTTAGGAGCGTGTTCATCTTTTCTGGCATAAAGGGTTGCAATAGAATACCACATATGCGTATCGACTCCGCACAAAGGTAGATGATCTCGTTCAGCCGATTTTCTTCGGGTTTGTCTGAAAGGTCCCATGGCTTTGCCTGTGCCAGATAGACATTGGTATCGTATATGACATTCATTATCTTGGCCAAAGCATCCCCTGGATTAAGATTCTCCATATTTCGTGCCACTGACGCCGGCAATTGCACCAAACAGGATTTGAATTGCTGGTCAAGCTCTTCGGTCGAGGTGAGCTGCCCTTGTTGCACTGCTTTCCTAAGATTCCATCCCTTCCCTTTGGTGATGCGGCTAATCAGATTCCCGATGCCCCCCTGCAGGCCCTTCTTGTATTTGTCAATGATGAATGAATTGTCATAAGCAGCATCATCTTTGATTCCCCCATCAAGAATGAGGTACCAACGCATACAATCGACGCCAAAACGATCGATTGCCATGAAGGGATTCACTACCATCCCGCTCGACTTCGACATCTTGCGCTTGCCCAGCGTCCAGTGAGCATGTGTCAGGACCTTCTTGGGTAGCGGTAAATACATTGCGAGGAGGAGTGCCGGCCAATATATACAATGAAAGCGCACAATATCTTTTCCTATAACGTGACAATCTGCCGGCCACCCTGCCGCGTCTTCTCGACCAGGTATCTGGAAGGGATAGTTTGCCTTAGTAAGGTAATTGATAAGTGCATCTACCCATACGTAAATAGTTTGAGTGTCATCATTCGGCACGGGGATGCCCCATTTCAACCGCTCACTGGGTCTCGAGATTGATAGATCTTTCAAACCAGCCTTAACCTCCTGGACTATAGCCTTCATCCTAGTCTCAGGAACAACGAAGGTTGGATTGTCCTCATAGAATTGAAGTAATCGATCCTGCAGCTCAGACATTCGAAAGTGGTAGTTCTTTTCTGATGTCCATTCCACTTCTTTTCCTGTCTCTTTAGAAGCCATGAACTTTCGTCCCGTGGCTGGATCGAGGGCCCATCCAACAGCGTTTGCGGGATAGAATGTTTCATCGCTGACTGAATACCACCCTTCATGTTTCTTCGAGTAGATCATGCCTTTTTCCTCGAGCACCAACCAGAAATGCTGGACGGCAAATCGATGATCGGGATCGGACGTCCGTATGAAATGGTCCCAATCAACATTGATTGCTCGGGCAAGCTCTTTAAAGGGCTGGTGCATCTCATCGCAAAATCCTCGAACATCTCGTTGTGCCTTCTCAGCTGCTTGCTGTATCTTCATACCGTGTTCGTCTGTGCCAGTACATAGTATAGATTTTTTCCCAAGTAGAGCATGCCATCTCTTCAACACATCAGCTAAGACTAGCGTGTATAGGTGGCCGACATGGGGGGCCGCATTGACATAGAATATTGGGGACGTAACGTAATAGGGCTTTTCTGACTTGAGGGTAGGATTGCCTGCATGTTGCCGGCGAATCTGCGCTTGCCAGCAACATCGTCGGCAAATTGACCCTCGGGAAGGATAAAGAGGACTCGAGGCAGCAAGTAAAGCGGAACTCCATCGCATTGTAAGGTTCTCAATTCATGAAGTGTTTGGAAGTGAGAAAGGCTAGGACCGCAGCGGCTCTCGGAAGAGCGCGCCTCGCGTCGGAGTTCAAATTCTTCGATGTGCCTTGTGTGCTTTTCCACCTCCGTCTACCACAAGCCTCTACCCCACGGATGAAGACGATATGACTGCGCTGACTCCCGAGAAGGCGATCGTTGTTTCCACAAATGGTTCATCGCATATCTCCTGAAAAACACATTGGCTAATGACACAAAGCTGCAAAAGATTTCGTCGACTCATTCTATCGAATCCTCAACTCGCATCGCGATCGGCTAGCATCGTGGTATCAACCGTCAGCGTCCATGCCAGATGGAAAACCCATACCTATCATTGTATGGAATGGCAACATCATCCAAGATCCGTCGTCACTACAAAGATTATTTGAGGAGCAGATGCCGAAATCATACTATAAAGTTCAAGACTATGACTGCCATGTGTTGAATCCTAATTATGACGGAGAGGCTCTGCAAGGTGGGCAAACGACGACGGGAAAGAATATGAGCATTCTGGTGACAGTCTCTGGATCTGTCAAATATGGAGATGAGACCACTCCACGGGGCTTCAGCGAATCCTTCGTTCTAGTGCCCAATCTAAACAACGCAGATCACGGAGAGAAGAAGGCAAGACAGTGGCTCATACAAAGCCAGAACTTCAGACTGGTGGTTTGAGAGACTGATAACCATCGGGAGCTCGCTATCCTACACTATCCAATACACTCTAGAATCTCCGGACGTCCTGTTTCAATGAGTGTTTCTGCCGCTATTTTAGCGTGTCAGACTTCGCCGATTTAGCAGTGAGTCTCATATCCGGCGTGTGCCTTATCATCACTCATGCCTATACAGGAACACCACCTGATGCCTTCGCCTGCGACATGTCGCCAAAGAATCGCTAAGCGGGATCTTTACATAATTATGTTCCGTGCTCACGAGGCTTTTTATGTCGGTCTCAAGTTTGCCTTGACGCGTTCGACAAGCTCTTCTTTTGATGCTTTCCCACTTGGCATCAAACTCCGCTGCAGAAGATCGTTAATCGACCGTCGGTTGCAACCAGGAAGGGAAAGGTCGAACACGCCTTACGCGTGCTCCAGCGGCCAGAACTTACACTTTGCAACCACCGTCTTAGTTCAGTTTCAGTCCATGTCTCGGGGTCTAGCGATCACAAGAGTTCAAAAGATGCCCGGCGAGCCAGTGTTCACAGAAACTTACCACCTTTGGGATCTGGTTCTGCAGGGAAAAGTTCACCTCCCCAAATCGACCATGCAGCGGCAGCAGCCACTAAACCCGCAAAGCCTAGAGATTTGTATTAGTGTTGAGACTTGTATTACACATCATGATCATTGAGACCTATGACTGCATTCTACACGTCTAGTCAGCAAGTTCGACCCATGCATTCTACTGCGTTTCTTGTCTTTGTCTACCTTTGACTGCATCGCTCGGTCAACTGGCGTAGGCATTTTTGCAGCCTCGAATTAGTCGTGAGCTGTGTATATGGAATCTTGATCTCCTTGATAATTCTGCGCATGCAAACTGTCTTCGAAGCAGTGACAGAAGGTGCCTGATGCGATTGCACCGCCACGTGGCGCTAGACACGCGGGCGCTAGTTCTAAGTGCTCGCTTAATCTTTCGAACACTCCCAAGGATCGAGGAGCAAGATATCAATTTTAGACTCGGTCAAGCTTCGCTCGATTGCCTACCATGCCTCGCGAAGTTTCGGACATCAAGCAATTCCTCGAGATCTGTCGGCGTAAAGATGCTTCGTGTACGTATTAGCTCCACGATACCAGCCCACATTCCCGTTCAGGACGACGCGACGTCTTTTTAACTCTCAGTCCACTTTGAGTTGCGCTCGTATCTATTCAATCCATGAAGAAGAGACTGACCGTTTTGCACAACAACAGCTGGCCGCATAAAACGCAACAAGGCTACGAATCAGATCAAGTTCAAAGTCCGATGCCATCGATTTCTCTACACACTTGTCCTTAAGGACTCGGAAAAGGCAGATAAGCTGAAGCAGAGTTTACCGCCTGGTAGGTCATAACAACAACTCCCAATTGGGCGTGGTCAATCGTGGTGATTGTGAGCTTAAGCTGAATTCGGGACACACTAGGGTTGACGATGGGGGATGTGCCGAAGAAGAATAAGAAGGGGAAAAGAGAGGCGTAGGGGCTGAGTCAGGGACGGAAAAGGTGATGGAGAGAGGTACTGGGTGATTCAAAGAGAAGTTAGAGCATGAAAATGAGATGGCAAGCACATTAGCTATGAAAGGTTTCATAACTTATTAAACATCGATCGAATATCTACACCTACGAGGACGTCTGAGATTTTTCAATCGTTGCTCAATTCTGCTTCATCCCTGCACTGGAAGTTTGTGACTTTACTTGCAGCTCATGTCTCAATGCAGTCAGAGAGACGAATATCCAGCAATCTTGATCATGACGAAAGCCGTGCGTTTAGAATGCTTTGGAAATCCGCAAAATGCAACATAATATCGCTTGTCTAGAAGAAGAAGAAGAAGAAGAAGAAGAAAGGCTTAGTGTAAGTGCCATCGATTGTGTTTTCATAAGTCACCGTGGATATTAAATTTTAGCATTTCGGCCTCCAAGGTTTCCGTGTCAAGGAGCACCACTTCACCGGTCTCCTTGAACTTCGGTACAGCAATTAGCCTTACAATCTGGCCCGTCGGTCCTTCAACCAAACCAGTCTCAAATCGCGGCTGGTTCCCGACGAAGAACACATGGGGGCATTCCTCGATGATGAATTGGTCTTTCTCCTGAAAAGGATAGCACCCTGTCAGGCTTGTTAGCATCAGACGCCTCATCTCTTGAACTTAAGACTTACATAGCGTGTCCGGCGCAGTAGGGGCATTACATCTCCATCTTAGCAAGTTTTCTATCATCTCTAGCCTCTCACCTCCCTCCACGTATTTAAGAACATCATCGATGGGTTGGCCTCCATTTCCCAAAAACCTCAGACCGTCAATATCACCTTCCCACGGGTTCGTCACGCTGTCAAACCAGCCTGGCTGCTCGCCATCTTGAACAGCGTAATTCCTACTACGCGGAAGCATAGCCGGATGGATCGGTTGCTGAGGGAGTGAGACATTTGCAGGATCGCTGTCACCAGGGAGGAGAGTTATAGGTATTGATGGAAGAAGCGTAGCAAGGAATTCGTCTAAGTGAGCTGTAGGGAGGGGATTGTAGGCTGAGGAGTCATAGCCGTATTTCTTGCTCGCCTTTTTCAAATCCGCAAGGTCGTCCTCTGATCGTAGTGGATTACCCTCCGAGATGGAATTGCCCGCAATGATCAGACGAGAGATCTTGGAGATTTCTTCCTGGGTAGTAGTGCCACACGCCTCCCCGAGGAGGAATTCCATTAAGAGATCCAACTTCAGAGAGTCGCCATCTTCACCGCTTATAGCTATGCCACTGACGATAGCTATCTTGCTACCTTCCTGTGTATCCGGGCTCTTTCTCCTCTTTGATTTACTCTCTCCATTCGTCTTTAGGCTCTCGCTTTTGATCTGACGTTCTGGCTGAGGTGCAAGATCTGGTACTTTCATGTCGACAACTTCGAAGTCACCGTCAGCATTCTCCGTGCCCATAACTGCAATGATACATCCAGTAACGAGCATATGCAATTGTAACTGAGTTCCAACCATACGCAGCCGCCCTGACTCGTCCTCCAACATCATGAGGTCTTGTCCGTTTCTTGCTAAGTATTTCTCACGGGGAGGAGGAGCGGCGATCCAGTGCTAGAGAGAGTTAACCGAGTAGACGGCTCACGTACTTATTGGATACGAACGTCTCTGGATAGGTCATCCAAGATGTTGGGCTTTAGCGGCATGTCCATGAACACCGTTCCTGCAACCCAGCAAAGCTCACCCTGTCGCACGTCCAAAACTCGGTCGACATGTCTAACTTGCTCGCCGGCTATCTGACGCACTTAGACATCAGGGTTTGCGAATGGATCATGCGCAGGTTCTAAATACCTGAAAGTCATTCCACGCTTCCTGCGCCAGCTCTTCCACTGCGGGCTTGAGCTTTGCTAATCGTAGGAAGTACATATCTCCATACTGCTGCTTATATTGTTTATGGTCGCCATGTGGAAGCGCAAATGTGTGGAGAGGTTTGTAAGTGGAGTGTACACGCTCGAGGAGGTTTTGTTCTTGATCTCTGTTGACTTTTTAGGACTGGTGAGCATGAGACATATGAAACCTACGTCGGGCTTTGCAATAGATCGTCGGATAGAGCTTTTGCCATGCTGAAGAGCGCGTGCTTTGAGAATATTCAATATGCTGGAGTGGGAGAATTGTAGGTGACGATTGAGACTCCAATGAAGCTAGTGACGCGACGCGATATTTCCATATTCGGAATAGTGTCTATTTAGGCCAGCAAGGCTTGCAAGGCTTGCAAGGCTCACATGGCTAAAATCAGGGGTAATTTCATTGAAAGAGGATACACTACTGACATTGTGCTACGCTGAGAACTGCTTCGTCGTAAAGGAAATATGCCCTTTTGACGCGTGAAAATGCTCGGAGTTGTTGGTGGAGGGGCACTTCACCAATAGCTACTGTTGAAGCACTGACCATAGACTGGTGTTATCTCCTTTCACCAAATGCCTCTACAAGGCACCTCTAGAGACCTTGTGGGGGTAGATCTGCCTATTCTTCGCGATAGGAATGTCCTCGCATTTATAGTCCGTCTTGAATAGCTTGATCATAGACAGGTCTGAGAAATGGAGATGCCTTCACGATTGATATATAGCCCCATGTCTGACGACAGGTTCTAAATGCCAATTTGAAAGCTTTGATTTAATCTCGCGCTTAGCTAGTGATCTGCCAATCGTACAGAGAGAGATTGGAGACGTGTGCCTGTCCGGTAGCGCTTCTTTGATCACCGTTCCCCAATGTCAGCATGCAAATTGCCAGTTTTTTGGCGCGTAAGAAAGTGCTCCTTAACACCTTCGCTGTCTATAGTGAGAGAGATCGATCTATCATTGTACTCCGGAACGAAAAGGTTCCAGCATAGACGAGATTATTGCTCAACTCACCACGCCGCTCGCCTTGTCTACCAACAAATTTTCAATTTTCCATTCCTCGGGTCTTATCCAGTCTTTCTTCTCGCCTATTGCAGCAATTCGCATCTCTTCAGCTCCGTTGACAAGATATTTCTGCGCGACTGCCCTCACATCTTGTTTCGTCACATCGAGCAGCTGCTCCTTTTTATCTGCTCTAAATCTTCATCTACACCGCTGAGAAACCTCGTCAGGCCCTCTTCGCTTACACTTTGAGGAGCATCGACACTCTGAAAAGTGCTTAGCTTTGCTTCCTGCAGATCTTGGTCTGTCCACGTTTTATCAATTGCAAAACGGCCGACGTCCCGGATAACGTTCAGTGTGTTCTGTGGATTAGGATCGCGGTAGGAGTAGAAGCCGAGCATTCCACTCAGGCCTCGAGCATACGCACCGCCGCCATAGGCGCCCCCTTTTCACGAATCTCGTGGTGTAAGTGCTTATGGGTCAGCAGCTGCGAAAGAATCTGGAGCGGTGCGCCATCAGGGTGCATATATGAGACGGTCGGAAGAACTGCAGCCGTATATGACACTTGATAAGGTAGAGCAAAGAATGTTCTAGGATTATATTTGTAAGTGCGCGGGGGATAATCCACTTCTGGAATCTTTGTCACGTTTGGCAGGCCCGCCAGAAATTGCTGCAACGCCCTTTCATTACTTGTGGTCGCTTCCTGTCCGCAAGTAATAGCGACTCTAAAGCACGAAGAGTTGGAAATGGCCAAATTCTGGATTGTTCTGAGTTTTTCAATCACATCCCCAAGACCCTCGGATTCTGCTCGAGAAGACAGGTCTAATACATGTTGAGCCTGCGTCAAGCCCCCAATTTGTTCATTGTGCAAACCATTCATCGATAGGCCTGCCTCCGCGTAGAGACGAGCATACGAGTGGCCGGAGCCGGCAATATTATCCAGAGCGCCACTGGCATCCGACTGAAGCAATTGTCGGACCTTACTCTCAGCTTGTGGTCCATCGAAATTAGTCTCGAGTAAGACAGTTCGTAGTAATTCGAGCATGTCTGGTATGTTATTGTCTATTGCATACCCCGAAAATGACAGGCCCTCTGTAGATGAGAACTTGTCAGTTGGGGCAGGCGATGTGTGGTAACCAATACTTATACCGCCGGTCTTGAGCTTTATCATATCCTCGAGCTGTTCCATGCTTTTGTTCTTGTTACCTAGCCGCATTACCGCGCTAGTGAATAAAGGAAGAAGCATACGAAGGTCTGTTGGAAGATCATCAAACCGATGAATAGCCCGAAGGTACGTGAGCCCATTTGTGCTTGTCTCTCGCCACTGTACTTGGACGGGTCCTTTGGCAATGTCTCGAATTTGCTTTCGATCCATTGAACGCGAAATGTCACTAACATGTAAGGTAGGTAGGGAGCTTAGATCTTCATCAGGGGCTTTAGCTTGCTCTTCGAGAAGCTGTAACTCCTGCCGTTCCAATAGCTTTGTGGCATCAGCACTGTTGCTGGAATTCTTTACAACTGCGGAAATCTTTGATGCTAGTCGTGCATTTTCCTCCTGGACAAGCCTAGCAGCAAAATCCTCTGATGGCTCCATCGTGAAAGTAAGAGTGTTATCATTGAGCAGATACTTTTCCACCAAACTTTCCAAGTAGCCACCCTCAGAGAGCTTACGCTTGAAAGCGTGCACAGTATCATTCCAAGCAATTGCATCAAATGGGTCAATGCCATTGAACCACCCAGGTTCCAAACGCTGCATCAGGCTCATGCCAAAATCTGCTGCTTTGTGCTTCAACGAAAGCTCAAGCTGGTGAAGTATACCTTCTACTTTTTCCAAATTGAAACCGTTGTTATGAACCTCGCGCAGCTTGTCCTGCAACACGGCCTTGACCTTGGAAACGTCTTCTTGTCGAACTCCATTCAGACCAACAGAAAAGATACCTACCTTCGATGATCCATCGAAACCAGTGTTAGGCGTGAAGTCTGGACCCAGGCCGCCCTCAATGAGAGCTTGATAGAGTGGTGATCCATAACCGCCCAGAAGGAGGGAAGAAATTATGTTGAGAGAGAACGTCTCCAAGACATTGGAAGTGTCTCCTAGAACCCATGAAGTAGATGTCTTGTACTGCATCAGAGGATCAAGCATGGAGTCTATTGGCCCTTTGACGGTACAAAATATCGGACCTTCCTCTAAACTAATGGGCGACTTGATAGATGCATCAACTGACGTATTGTTGAACGTGCTCAAATGCCGATCGATACATTTCGCATGATCTGCGACTGGGATGTTTCCATAGGTGAAAAGCTTTGCGTTGCTTGGATGATAGTGCGACGCATGAAACTCTCTGAGTTTGTCATACGTAAGATCGGTCATCTTTTGAGGGTCGCCCCCAGAATTGTTGATTGCAGGGCAAATGTGATCTTGAAATCGAGTGTAGTACAAATAGCTAGCATCAGACATCTGTCCCTTCATCTCATTGTATACCACTCCTTTAAAGACAAGCGCAGAATCCGTGCTTTCGGCCTTCTCATCGGAATTTCTTGCCTGAGGATTCTCAGGCCCAATCCTCCAGCCCTCTTGTAGAAAATCATTCTCTTTCAATAACGGATGCAATGTCGCATCCAGATATACGGATAACAGGTTCTTAAAATCTTGGCGATTGGTCGTTGCGAACGGATAAGAAGTGTGATCGGACGACGTAAAGGCGTTCATGAAATTCGAGAGCGATCGCCGCAGCATCTTGAAAAAAGGATCTCTGACAGGATACCTGACGAGGGTCAGTCGTGAAACTCGGCTATATCGTATGATCCTGACCTTTGACTCCCGCACAAAGTGGTGTGCTCCAGGATATGGGGCACACCTGTTGCATCAGGCGGATTCGTCTTGAAACCGATCGAGAAGACGTTGTTTGTGTCATCTCGTGCAACATGCAGATAGTCTGCTCCCGTTCTTTTATGCTGTAGATGCAGAGCCGTGAGCTGTAGCTCTGGTACGTGCTTTATTCGGTGTAGGTTGAAGCCATGTAAAGTATCTCCTGGTCTAGGGTAGCTATCCTGGCCAGCTATGGTAGCATATCCTCCAACAGATGGGGAGATTGATCGCAATCTTGGCCTTACATAAGCCCATACTGCGTGATTTGGGATCCATGATCTGACCCCCCTGGTAGCCAGCCGTAGCATATTACTGCTTCAGCTAAGTGCTTCAGCATAGAAATCTTGATGTTAGCGGCTCGTCGGCCAAATTTGATGCCGCCAAGCGATGCATTCCAATCTCCTCAACTCCGAATGAGCTTGCATGATTAGTTACAACTCTGTATTCCTGACAGCGATACTATGACATTGCTTGGTATAACATCTTCAGATTCGTATAACTACTAGTCGATACCTGGAACCATCTATCATCTAAGATATCTCCCCTTTTCGTTCCCGTCCTGCCCACCTCTCGGCCGCCCCTTCTCGTCTCGTTGGTGCACACGACTTCTGTCTTGCCAAATCAAGTTCCCGGGTTCTTCTATCTATATCATTTCCGAGAGTAGCAACAGTTGAGTTGAGGCATTGGGTGGTGCTGGAGTAACACGCGGAAGGATTACATAAAAGAGCGCATACTGTGTCATAAAAGCTTGGACAACGATGAGAGGTCAAATAAGAAAGCGGAAGACATAGACTCAGCAGATCATCCTTGATTGAGCATTCATCATTTCTGGCTCGTCTATACATCCACCGCAGTCCAGGATATACTTAACATGGCTGGTCGCGGCTCGCAGGCGGCTCCCTCCAGCCAACATGCTAATGCGAATCACGACACCTCACCAGCACAAGACAGTCTACCCGATATGCCCGCAAATATACCCGCAACAGTACCTCCGACAAACAAGAAGGGCAAGAATAAGAAACAAACAGATGCGAATGAGGTGGGAAAGGCCTTGGCGGCCAAGATCAATCAGCTTGAATTGGATGCTGCAGGGGAGAAAGACCAAGAACTTGAGATCGGTGGGTTTTCCTCCAGTATCGACACCAGAGAAAGCATTCTTGGTTGTATGAAAGAGCTTGATCTGCCACAAGATATGATTGCTCAAGCGATGAGACTTCTGAATGCCGATAGCAATGGCAAGGCGATGTTTCGAGGAGGGCCACCAACCCCCGAGAAAATGGAACCGCTCTTGGCTGATCTAGCTGGCGTGTCTGACTTGCTCTCTGCTTTGCCCAACTTGTTTACTGCGGCGCAACAGAAGCTGACTACGTTGCCCCCTGGGCTTGTCGCCACTTTAGAACGAGAAGTCAAAAAAGCTACCCGAGACCTCACCAATCTTCTGAACCAAATGGATAATCCTATGGCGAAACTTGAGACGCTGCAAAAGAAGTACTCCGACTTGCTGTCAGACATGAAACGAATGGACCGTGAGAATGCGAAAAACAAGAAGCGCGCCGATTTATATCAGAAGGAGAAGGATCAAGGCCGTTCGCAACTCACCAAAACCGACGCTGTCAAGACGAAGCTAGAAAGCGTGTGCAGAGAGCTGCAACGAGAAAATAAAAAGCTCAAGGTCAGTTCAAACACATTTGCGGTATTCAGATCTTACTTGAGACGCTAATGAGGGTATTTCAGGAAGAACAAAAGCGCATGGAGAGCGACGAAAAGGCCAGTAGAGAAGAGTTGAGTGATCGAGCCGATAGCCTCTTCTGGGAACTTGATGAAGGCTTGGCTAGGCAAGAAAATCCACCCTCTCAATCAACAAACCTCGAATCAGATGAGCAGTGGGTGCCTCTCCTGTCCGCTCTTCTCCAGTTACAGGTCTGACTTTCACCCAATAGATTTCACCAAAGATTTAAGACATTTATTGACCAGTACGAACTTCGAGAATCACATATTGTCAGCATGTTGAGGACCAAAGACAGCGAGGTCCATTTGAACATCGCAAGGGCAGAGGAGCAGAAAAGACGAGCAGATAATGAGACGATGAAATGTCGTAATTTATCTACGCAGGTATCTACATTCTCGCAGACCGAAACCGAGCTGCGAAGTCAGCTTAATATATACGTGGAAAAGTTCAAACAGGTCAGTAATGTTTTCGCCTTTTGCTGCTGGAGAGGTTCTTAACAATCTTTCTTATCGCGGAATTGTACGTCAGGCCTTGCTCCCTGGCTCCCTTAAAACCGCGCTTGCCGCGGGCGACCAGGCTCGCTGACGACGGTGTATCAAGCAGGTCGAAGACACATTAAATAATAGTAACGATCTTTTTCTAACGTTTCGCAAGGAAATGGAAGAAATGTCGAAGAAAACCAAACGCTTAGAAAAGGAAAATCTTAATCTTACACGCAAGCACGATCTTACGAACCGAAACATCCTCGAGATGGCCGAAGAACGGACCAAAGTCAATAAAGAGATGGAACAATTACGGAAGAAAAACAACACTCTAGAAAGTCTCGTCAGAAGAATGCAAGAGCAAGGTAGAGCTCCCGCTGGGGTAAAATCTGCGCTGGAAGGCGACGGTGACGACGACGGCACCGAGAGTGAATACGATGAAGAGGACTATGAGGAAGAGGGAAGTGAGGAAGAGGAAGGTGAATATGACGACGAGACTGAGGACGAGGTTCTGCACCAAGAGGCTAATGCAGTATACGGACCTACTCCACCTACTAATGCCGCAGCACAGACGCGGGTTAATGGTGGAGTACATCGCGGTGTCAACGGCGATGTCAACGGGGTAAAGTCGAGCATTGCAGTCTGAGGTCGAATTCTCTGTGCTAGACAACCTGTTGTTGCATATCCAAATTTTAAGCAGCCATCTCTCTCATCGTATATTGAGCCAGAAAAGAGCTTCGCCTCCAATGAACCACATTCCAAGCGCATTACGTTAGATTCACAGCTTGCTCCCTCCTCCCCGCTCGACGAAGCCCGACACTCGTCCCAAATGCTCAACCGCCTCACTTGCCATTCCCTCCACAATCTCCCTCGCCGGCCTAATATCCCGAACAATCGCACTGACCTGACCCATCAAGTAGGGCAAGTCCACGTCCTTCCCCTCCTCAAAATCTTTCTCCATAGGAACAACTCCATTTTTACAAAGCCTGTTCACTTCTTCCGCCTTCCCCTCCCAATCGCTTATGTACTCATTCTTCCGCACCCTCAATGGCCTCCCACTGACCACCAGCGTCCTAACTGTATCCTGCCAGTCCGCATCCACAACAGCCTCTTTATGCATCTGACTGCACCCCGCTTCACTTGACGCCACGAAGCGGGTGCCGACCCATACACTCTCCGCGCCTAGCAAAAGTGCGGCAGCCAGGCCTCGACCGTCGAAGATACCGCCCGCCGCGACGACAATGCCATGCTTTGCTTTCAAGAGAGGGGATGATACTGGCGCGCAATATCCACACAAGCGGGCACTAGAATGCTCATAGGTATTTCGCCTGTGTGGCCGCCTCCCTCTCCGCCTTGAGCACACACGATGTCGACCCCTTCGTCAAATGCTTTCACTGCATGCCGAGGATGGCCGACCATATTCATTACTGGTATTCCTGCACTGTGAAGGCGATCTATAACGTGTTTTGGCGGCACGCCCACAGCAGAGACGAACAGTGCTGCTTGCTCCTCTATCACGACGTCGATGAGGGCGTCTAATTGGCCTTGGGTGTAGTCATGATTCGTTTTTCTGGCTGTCCCACCAACTGCTGGGAGGGCGAGATCGACGCCGAAGGGGAGATCCCGGCTTATGAGAAGCGATTTGAGATCGTGAATCATTTCGCGGAGTTGTGTGGGCGAGTAGCCGAGTCCGCCGATCGTACCTAGACCGCCGGCATTGGTCACGGCTGCTGCCAATGGGGCGGTGGAGCAATGCGCCATGCCAGCGAGAAGGATTGGGTGAGTAATATTGAGGAGGGTAGTGAGGGGTGTTGTTAGACGAAGGGTGAAGGGGACCATGGTGGATCTAGTTTGGGAATCGATGAGAGCTAGCAATGATTGGGTTGATGGAGTTTTCACGATGGCGACATCGAAGAGTTGGAGGAGCTTTCTCGATAGATTGATCGAGGTCGGGAATAAACTCATAAAAATGCCGAGGTCCGATTGGGTCAAAAGGCCGTGCATACATGAGCATCTTCAAGGCATTGAGGCATTGAGAAGCTTGTTGGAGCTTCCAAGAACATTTCCACGTAGGGCAGGGTGGCGAATACTGGCATTCACCTCACCGTACAAATCTTGCGCTCAAACTTGCGAATGCGTCGGGACTGTGTCGTCCATTATGGTTGGCGCCAATGTCAACGCTCTCCTGACTAACATGCCGTCCAATAGCGGGAAAGTCGGCTACTGCACTCGGTTGCTTGTTAAGTGATTGCTGAAATGGATTGTTCGTGCCTGCTGTTGGCTGTATCGGCATCGTAACACTTCGTTGAGGCGGATGAATGTTTTCAAGAAGATGTTCATGACTTGTATTGGAATTTGTTTGAGTATTCGTACCGCTTACCAGAGGCTGAGGTGCTAGATGTGGAGAATTATAAAGAGACAAAATGCTGGATTTGTCAAGTCGTCCAGGCTGTAGAGTCTGTTGGCCGTATGGATTCCAGCTTGGATGAAATTGTGGCTGACTCTGTATGTTGTTCTGTTGAGGGGCCGAATGATAGGGCGGGACGCTGAAACTGTTTTGGGATATCTGCTGTTGCGATATCTGTTGCTGAAATGCACCTTGCTGGGGATTTGGTGAGTACATCTGTGGCGGGGTTGGCTGATATGCCATTTGAGCAATTGGCATGGCGTTGTTCGGCATGAAGAGGTCATTCGAAGAGATTGACGGCGGTTGCTGAGTATAAGGGGCATATGCTACCGCAGGTGCAAGAGATGATGGCTGTACTTGTTGGAAGAATGGATTATGGGTATGAGACACCGGGCTATTCTGCTGCGCGTACGGATTTGATGACATGAATTGATGCGGCGCCTGTTGAACAGGCGGCGTCATCGTTTGTAGCCTTGACTCTTGTGGATGCGGCGGTAGATTGGGATATCCTCCAGTCGCGTTAGGGAACAGGGGCTGTTGCGAGATTTGCATATTTGAAATGGCCTGGTTCATGGACGCCATCCCACCATGCTGATCGCTGGAAGGTGCGAATGGATTGTAAGAAGTCGCCTGCGCCTGATACGGATTTGCCGTGCTCGGATTTCTCGAGGCCGGTTGCTCAGTTGGACTCGGCTCGCTTTGCTGACCCCAAGAGGATGTGTCCATGTCTGTTCTGGGGCCATTGTGAGTTGGCGACTGACCGCTCGTAGTATTGACGGTAGATGTATTCGTTGATACAGGCTGACTAGCAGCAATTGTAGTTGTTTGTAAGGGGACCCTTGCTCTCGAATTTGGCGCATTGCTTTCTCCCAGCCTGACCAGCTGTTCTATAGTTCGTTCGACATTGCCGCTTAGGCCCTTCAAGACAGCTACATTGCGCTTCTCATCCGTGAATCCCATGTCTCTCAGCTGAGCCAGCTTTGTGTCCAAATTGTCATTGTTGCCTCCTACCATCGCCCCAAAGACTCTTGATTGCTTGTTGACGCGGAGGGGTTCATCACCCCATGCATTGCCAGCTCTTGGAGAGCGTGGTGGAGACGTGGGGCCATTTTTATGTGCAGGGAGAGCTGATGAAGCGCTCCGCAATCCAAATCCAAAACGTCGTCCCGGCTTTGGTGGGAGAGGCGGGGGTTGGTCTTCTGAACTCCGTGTGCTTCCCGTATCATTTCTGACGGCCGGACGAGTGTTACCATTGACGAACAATTGTTGGTCGTACTTCTGTCTTATAAATTTCTCCAAAACTGAATCGACCTCGTCCACATCTAGCGGTATTGGTGGCTTTGTATTTTGAGGGTTGTAATTTCTATTGCTCTTCGAGTTTCCGTTGCGCTTCATACTCTACGGATAGATCAGAATGCGTGTAATCAAAAAGTCTCGAATCAATCTTCCTACATCAACTTGCTCATTCGACCAACTGTCCATGCTCAAAGACTTGACTTTTGAGATGTGGGTCCCTAATTTTCGATGCAATGAGGCGCACCTCATGCAAAGAAATATACCAAGCTATTGAAAGTAAGCAAGCCAGATGACAGCGAATAGACGGCTGGGTCATTGCTCACACTCCAGCTGGCCCATCCTGCATTCGCAAAATCATCAGCCATCTTTCTCAGCACCATTGGTGTCTTTGAGCGTACCTGGATTTCTTGCTCCACAATCAGCGCATCGATCGTTGCCCGGGACAGTCTTGATTAGCTCTTGCAGAGCTTTCTCATTCCGCGCCTGCGTGCGCTTGCTTATGGCGGCCATAGTCATCCGAACTGGGACTCGGAAAGCGGGATGGCTAGTGAAGTGAACGTATCATGATAAACGAGACATCTTTCAGCATCAAATTAACGATGATCAGCGGATGCGAGCGACAAGGGACACCAATTAGAAGTACAGAGCATACGGCTGCCAAAGGTGGACAATCGATCTCGCAAATCTCATCTTGCAAAGCATGCAAGTCAGATTTATGCCGCCGAGGGTCGGTTAGTCGGAACATTGCCGCGCCAAATTGATTTCCTAGGAGTTCCAGGGCTGATGGGTTACCTAAAGGCTAGCTTATATGGCGTCCTCCAGGCTTACCCTTCCTAAAACTAGCCTTATAACTCCAGCGCCGAAATTCTGCGCGGCAATAATGTTCAGACTAACCGACCCTCGCGCCATCCAAATCCGGCTAGGTGTATGCAACCTTGTTTGCCCCTGAATTGCACACTCGGGATTGGATCAACCAGGATGGCAAGGATGGTGATGCTTGGACGTCATATGTGGTACAATGAATTACAAATTCGTCATGACACCCTTAATATATCCTCATATTTCGTCCTCGATTTCTCTGGAAGCCCTCGAAAATCTCGACTTCCGTTTGTCCTTGAAAACGACAACAAGGCGAATTTAGCATCGCTTTACAGTTAATATCACCGGATCTGCTGCGTGATTGAATTGACATATTATTGGAGCAGGCCGCCTTTTAGCTCACTGTAGATATGAGAGCATACATCGAAGACACCGAAAGCAGTTCATTTCTGAGTCAGAAGATCACAGACGAGATACGGAGTAGAAAATTGCAGGACATGACGTTTTCTCAACGTGACCAGAGCGAAGATCATTGTTTTTGGTGAAATGGTAAGTACTGAAATCAAACGGCGAGTATCCATGCATTTGGGATGTTATCGTCACCCACGCAGGAGAGCAGCAGAATCTTTGTATGCTTTCTAGGCTATAGATCATCTAGGATTGGATCAATCTAACATGGGAAGACCCACGCTATGAGTAAAGTCTGCTTCCTGCCAAGCCCCTGCTTCGTCTCTTCCACCGATAATGGCCCCAATCAGTCTGCACCTCTATCATACAATCGAGCATCTTGACTGCTGGGCTTCTCCTGTCGACTTTGAAGCAGCTGGCGTATGTGACTGATTTGTTTAGCTGAATTTGGTGGGCTTGTCCTCGATCGGAACGTCGCTGCCCGTGGTGCTCTTGTACTTGTCACGGATGAAGTCGCTAATCTTCTCATCCTTCGCTTGCTCGACAGCTGACTCATTGCTCTGATCGCCCTGGCCCATGAACTTCTCTTGGACAAAGTCCACACCTGGGATGAGGTATCAATCCGTGGGGCCGTTAATATACGACGGTCGAACCTACCTTTGTCGAGACCGTCTTCGTTTTTCTCGCTCTCCTTTCCGCCACCTCCAGCCTCATTCAACTTGTTACCGATGCCGCCAAGGAAGCCACCGCCTCCTTCTTGCTTGCCCTGATCGCCGCCTTGGCCTTGCTGCTGATTGTTTTCTCCGCCGCCGAGGGAATCACCTGCTTTCTTGATGAAATCCATGATTGCTTTAAATTGAGACAACGAGTTATGGAGAGAGGTTGCGTGGTGAATTCAGTGTGAGAATATAGTCAAATTGGTTGAGGACTTCGGTTTCAATAATGTGAACCAAGTAAGGTGGGAATAGCTGAAGTAAACAGGAAGGACCGAATGCCCCACTATAAATGCTTGGCGTGAAGTGGCGGGGTTGTCCCCTCGGTCCTGCGCAAGCCTGCTTGCAGATTCAGGCACGACCATTGGTATATCGAATTTGTGATAAAGTACTTATACAGGCGCCCGTCTCGGGACAGCCGTTGTCCCAGACCAACCATTGAATCCTGAACTATGTGGGTCACAGTGGGGAAGGCTGAGCCGAGGGGCGCCCAAGAATACACGCACTTGTTGTCCGGTGATGTTGCTAAGAGAGGGTAGCTTCAGCAGCCAATGTCACCAACCCCAGTGACTGTTGTCACGGGTTTCCTCGGTAAGTGTTTGTTGCTTCAATGCATGAATGAAGCCTGACAGGTAGACTAGGTTCCGGGAAAACAACCCTCATCTTGAACCTGATCCCTCAACTTCCCCAGAGCTACAAGCTTGCACTTCTCAAGAATGAATTTGGTGATCTTGAGATCGATTCTCAGCTTGCCTCTTCGTCCGCCATTTCAGGCGTTCGAGAGTTGCTAAATGGGTGCATCTGCTGTAACCTGGTGGGCCAATTAGGGGACGCTCTAAACACTCTCCGGAGAGATGTCTCTCCAGACCGAATCATTGTCGAGACCTCTGGGAGCGCATTTCCTGCAACTCTCGCCATGGAAATCAACAGAATAGGGAGAGAAACTGGAGCTTTCGTTCTGGACGGTGTCGTCGTCGTCATTGATGTGGAGAATTGGAAAGGGTACGATGACACGAGTTATACGGCCAAGATGCAGGCACGCTACACCGATCTAATTGTGTACAATAAATGGGAGTTGGTAGACGAGAGAAAGTTTGAAGACTGTCGTGACCGGGTTGGCGACCTTGAAGTACAGATAGCGGACGTGAAGTCAGAGAAAGGCATAGTTGACAAAGAGCTCTTGTTAGGTCTTGACAGCGCGCTAGCCCGAGTAGACGGCGAATCTCTCATAAATCGAGATGAAACGAATCATCAACACGCAAAGGATCACCAAAGCGAAGTTGAACTCCTGACCATAACGCTTGGGGCAAAAAGTGATCACCCTCAGGCGGTCGATATTGATAAATTAGAAGCCTTCCTCTCCTCTGCTCCAAAAGACGAAGTATATCGTATCAAAGGTCTCATGTTCGTGAACCGAACTCCTCGTTTATCAGACAATTTGTCGTCAAGCAAACCGGAAGACTCCCACCAGATATGTAAATATGTCCTCAATTGGGCGTTCTCCAGATGGACTTTCACGCCGATTGAAACAGAGGCAAGCAGTCCTGAGAAAACGCCTGGCGCTCGACCCATAGCTCGTCTGATCATGATATGTGCACGTTACGAGGCCAACAAATGGAAGAAGCTGATTGAAGAAAAGGGTGGTATCTGTCCTGAAGATCGAGATGTAATGTACGATCTAGAGATCAAAAGACTGATTTAGCCATTCTTGTAAGACAACAGAGGTATGATTCTTGATAATAGCTCAATCAATCGCGATGGGAGGATCATATATAAAGGACCAAGTCAGCCGGATGTGGAAAAAGCGATGCTATAAGTCAATTATCTTTCGTCACTAGGTGGAGCACTTCAGGTGAAAGTTATCTTCTGTTTCGTTAGGTCTCTGAACATGTCATCCAAGACCTGCCTCTTCCGCTTGCGTTCGTTGTCTTCGCTATCAAAAACAATCTCGGCTTCTTCACGGTCAAGCTCTAGTTCTGCTTTTGTTTGCGGCTTCCACGCTCTGATCAAGCCGTCAGAGTGAGCGGAGTAATATTCAATGTTACCAGCTCTCCAACAGAGCGAAGTCACCCTGTTCCTAATACTCCGTTGACCAGCGGCTCCCTTAGCTTGGGCAACATTGATTTCGGGAATACGAAGTCTCTTCAACAAAGTGCCTTCGAAGAGATCGAACATGAGAATCTCCTTTTCATTTGGGTACAACATGAATCCCTCTCCAGTCTTGCCCACGTAAGTAGGTACTAGCAAAGGGAGTAATATGGACAAATTGGTATTCTTGATGATCGGCCCAAAATGCGCCAGGGTATTTGCTCCTGTAGCCACATCCCATACTCTCACCCTTTCATCATGACCTGATGTGACGATAACAGCACCGTCATCTTTCCAAACGACCCCATTACAAGGACCTGTATGTGCCCTTCCATGAGTTCTAGCTCTGGCCTTAGACCCGAAGCCGTCCTCTCCTCCCATACCTACAGAGTCTTCAAGGTCTAGCACACCAAGGCAGCTTGCGCTACTTCGAATGTCCCATAGTCTCACTGTATCATCCAACCCACCGCTGGCTAATACAAACTCATCTTTTGGACTCCATGCAACAGATAACACAGCACCTTGATGCCCAGCAAGGGAATGTGCGTTCGCTCCTGATCGTAGGTCAACCAGCCTGACGGCGGGATGTTGCGAGGCGCAAGCCACAAGCAAGTGATCAGCGATAGGGGACGATGCGTGACTATATAGAATAGAGTCCAAGTTGAAAGATGCAGACACAGCGAGAGTCTCTGTAGCATAGAGCTTCAAAGTATGGTCGTAAGAGCTGGATAGGAACGCCTGGGAATCAAAGGGATAGAATGATAGTTGTGTGATTCCAAACTTATGGGACGATGAAGTCTTGTCTGCTTTCCCTACAGGGCTGTAAGTGCTTGCACGAGTGGTGCCAGACACGCTCTCAAGATCCCAAAGCAGTATCGAGGAGTCAGAGCCTCCACTTAGCATATACCGTCCCTCGAAGCGATCAATCGTCAGACAGTTGACACCAGCCTTGTGCGCCCAGGTTGAAGATTTCTCATTGTCATCTGGTAACTTTGCCTGAGCTTGGTAGCTAGACGCGGTAGTTCCATTATCGCTACCATCGAACTGGATGCCAGGGGCGGCTTGGATAGCGTGAAGCAGCTGCGAAGTCTCGATTTGCTGGACTGTACGCTGGCTGAGAGTTCCTGCTGCACGAGCGAGAAGATGTTGAGACATACATCAGTGCTACAAGAACTGAGGAAAGCTGAAGCATGTTGAAAATTGAGGTGCCTGTGCGGCACACGCAAATGTGAAGTCACATCCTTTTTTGTTTGCACGTAGCACGAACACTCATCATCTATTCCCAAAACAAGTAATGCCAAATCCTCAGGAGCAGGCCGGCCAGGGGCTGCTACCTCAGGACTCATCGGGTACTCGAGGCCATGCTTCCAACTCGCCAAGGGAGTCGAGGCGTCAAGCTACCGTCTACGATGCTGTCGCCGGTATTCTTTCCATTCTTTTCCCCAACCGAGTTGACTAATGATTCTTAGGTCGCGTCTCCAGTCAGCGATTCATTCCAGACCAGCTCTACTTCCCTTCAACTAGGGATACAACGGATAATTCGACAATCCCCCTGCCGCCCGATGAAGTGCTATTCCGCTCTCGCCCCGCTCCTGAGCGTTACGAGGAGGACGATAGATACTGGGGAAATCGGCATCTACTTCCTGGCCAGTGTTTGCCAGAATCTGATCTACTGAAGACGTTGCACACATACGTGTCGGGTTTCTACGATAGGACATTTGGAGAAGACGCACATATAAGCCACGAAAGTCTAGATGAGAGCGCTCTAATGGCGCTTGGGATTATATTAGAAGAGGCTTGCAAGAACACGTTGGAAGACACTGGCGATCTAGCGCTCATAGAAGGCGAAGAGATTGATCATAACAACCGTAGAGGAGTTCAAAACCTCAAGGTTGAGGAGGCAGAGCCGTGTCACGGGAATCGGCCAAGTAAAGCGGCTGACACTGAGAGCTTTAGCGAGGAATCAAAAGCTCCCAAGCAATTTCGAAAACGACGGAGACTGAAGTGAAGAAACTATCAAGCCTATGGTGGAATGATGGTAAATCCGTTCGAGAGCCTGGTCTGGAATATTTGTAAGATCCTGTCAAAGCCTATGGTCAACACGACCCTTCTCCAGCAGAGCCAATTCAAAGTTCAAGACGGAGAGAAAAAAGGCATTTGTTGATATTATGCTTCAAGGCAAGCTATGTAATTGTATGTATAGAAGAACAATCAGGACTGCGCATGCTAACAATTTGCAGCGTACTAACAAACTTGCGTCGTCGTAGAAATTGTGCCTCTGCGCCTTCGAATTCTATCTGCGACATTTCATGGACCACGGCTTTGTACGCCCAAGAGGCTGGTGAGCTTGGTCATCGAATGCATGAACCGCCAGCGGCGACCCATATACATATGACGTGTCGATTTCGTCATCTCCGTTGATGGGCGAAGGCCGTGATAGTCCAACGACACGTCCTCGAGATCAATCAGAGTTCTCCGCTTTCCGCAGTTTTCGGAACTCGTAGAGTGGCTTTTCTGCGAAACTTCGCATTCAGAGATTCTCGTCCCACGATCGTCAATATATCCAGACTGGTTCGGTTGCTCTTTCTTCGAGGCACTAGTTCCTGATTCAAAGTCATCCCTGGGCAGCGTGGGTCGGCAGTTCCTCTTTTGACCCTCTGCTGCACGCTCCTTTGTAGTCAGAGGCGTGCCGTCCTCCCAAACTAGTTGAATGCAACATACCGGACAACCGGACTTGGCCAGTCCTCCAAGGTTCTTCTCTGCTCGAAACCACTTCCAGATACATTGACCTCCCACGAAACATCCACATGGGAGTTCTACACTTCGCTCATGACTGCGAATACATCGCTCAGTGGTGTTGTATGGGTAACGGCACAATACACAATCAAGAGGAACCAAAGCTGGTGGTTGTACACACCTCAAGGCCAGACAGAATTTGAAGATCTTCATCTCTCTGTCTATTGGGAGTGCATTAAGGGCTCTTGATGGTAGCGGCCATTCGGAAGTTGCTGATGCCGTCGTCGGCGCAGATGGAACGGGAGAGTCGGGGATTGAGTTAAAGTCATTCCTTGACATCTCCGGCCTAGGTATAAGGTGGTGGTGGGGCAGCTCCCTCAGGCGGCACGCAGGACGAGCAATGGTTTCTGATTTGCTTCGATGGCTGCTTCCGGATCGAATGGTCGTGTCGCTTAAAGACCAGTTCACATCCGACGAGGATACATCTCGCATCGTGTCTGAATAATTGCCGTTCCCTTGAATGGATATTGGATGCGAAGCAGGGCACGAGGACACGAGAGGTTCGAGAGTGGTCCCGGGAGGCAGGTCGTTGAGAGAGATGCTGCGACTCAGACCACTGCTCGGAAAGCGCTGTTCGCTGACTTCTGTGCTCACGTTTGGCATGGATTTCGAGGCATTGGCATCCTTGCAGAGATACATATTGTTGGTCCTGGATGTCTTTAGGATTGGCACCTCGAAAAGGATATTGTAGTCGCCGTCAAAAGTAACAAAAATCTCTGGCGGATGTGCACGTAACGGGTGGACTGGTATGGTGTTCCGCATAGTGCGAGGGTTCCTATGCAACTTGTGACCGAATGATCGATATTGTCCGACTCGAGTTTTAACAATCAAATGTGGACCAATGCTGAATTTCCAGCCTCAATACCTACCGTCCGGCGAAATATGAAGCAAGCCATGAAGAAACAATGAGGCTTCTCATTTGTTTCAGACCATAGACAGCAATTGTTAGCATCTGCAGACTTCCCTTTGTTGACCGGAAATGACATAGAGAACACAACGTCTTTGTTCAATTGTTCTGTTTCGATATGATGCGAAGTGGCCGATGAGTGGAGGGCTCGTCATTATTGCACCATCACCGACTGTGAATTCACTCTAGGAATCGACGAAGTATCGAATCTCATACTCATCACTACTACGAAAGACAGTCGTCGTCAAACATGGCCAACCTAACCGAGCAGGGTCTTGGCATTAGCTTTTCGCAACCAAATTGTGAGCAAATAGATTCTGCCCTCTTCAAAGATCGAGAAAGGATTAGCAGCACAGATCTTCCGGACCTATTGAAAGACTGTGGAGACCCGATCTGCAGCTATCACAACGTCAAACGAACAGTCCACTTACTAGGAATCGAGAACGTGGCTACAAAAACGGCTGAAGAGACACTGAATGCTGATAATGAGATAGACTCAAAGTCGATCCTCGCAGCAAATCCATACAAGCAGACACCAGAGACCACGTACCAGCGGCGAGTACTTTGTGCACCTACCAAGCCACTTAGACACTCTGCCCAAACACTGGAAAACGCTGTTAGGGAGCTGTGGGACGCTCCCGAATCGATGAAAATACCAGTCACTTTTCACGAACCGTGGATTTCAACCGAAGACCAGTGCGATAGTATTGACGAGATGATTGCAAACGCAGCAAGTACCACTGACGAATTTTTCACCCCACTAGAAAGCTTCTTCCCGGATCATTTTGCTATAAAGATGTCCGAAGGTGATGCTGACAAAGCTCCAGGGAGTCACATGTTCGACATAGACGATGAGGATAAGGAAGTGGACATTAGCGAGCCAACAATTGGCTTTGCAGAGATCGCAGAGGCGCACCATATCGAATATGTTTCCAAAGGTATGGCAAAAGAAATAGATGTCTGTAAGTCGGCAAAATTGGCATAGTGCTCCCCTCTGATATGCACCGCATCTCGAATACTTCAAGTCAACCACTCCTTCTCCTGTACTCACGAGTGTTTGTTCGGTGCTATATTTCTTACTCAATCGACATGCATTAGTCCATTTCTGGCAGAAGTGCAAACGAGGCCAAGTTCGCTTACTGCCAACAACTCCATTGTGCCGTGGGTCTCACGTGACTATCGGTGCATAAAGATATATACAAGCCAATGTTTTGAGGCAATGATGAGACTAGTAAAGCATTGAACAATGATCTTCTCATCAAGGCGAACAACGACATTGTACGGTCTCTGTACAATGCATTTGCCCTTTGCTATAAGAAGATGCTAGTTCTAGTTGATCCAGCATACCAAATCCTAGTCTTTGCCCAACGAACATCTTACATACTACAGCTTAGCTTCCGTCTCTCAAACGACTCACACACGGTGACAATATACTTTGACGAAAGATGCCCTTTCAAACACAACAGCTCACTGAGGCCGCGCTCGCACGCTCTAGAATGGTTTCCCTCAATACACCAGGTCCGATGATATTCTCATTCATGGTTATTAGTCTCGACGACTTACCATCAGACCACTGTGGTTTATGCGGTAAGAGATACAGCATCATTGTATCGCGAGACGATCCTGACAGGGCCGGTACTTCCGCATGTGGCCATGTTCGATGCGTGGCCTGTATTGTCTCTCGTATGAATGCCGTTGGACAAGGACGAGCAGAATCTCCCTGTGCGGAGTGTGATGGCAATTTTACTCCAGGACAGATCGGTGTACCCATCGGCGTACCCTTCACACAACAAGGCGTAGACGCAGAACAGAGCTGGCGAGAACCGAACTTTCGAAGGCAGATGCGTCCATATACTAGACAAGACAACAAGAGTTTTCCCCAGGGCCTGCACAGGAATCTGAGCCTGACGGCCAAAAGTACCCCTACGTCGGACCTTAACGTCACATTTGCGAGGGCCACTGGGCCGGCGCTACCCAATCATAAGGCTATCGAGGCTTTACGTAGCTCTTGGATACCAGATCGGCAGCTTGAGTCTTCGGGTGAAAGCAGTCGACCTCAGAAACGACGCCAACATCAGATCGCAGATAGCGAGAGCGAAGGCATGCTGAGTTCTCCCGTCGAAAACTTAAGTGGTCGATTCGCTGGCGGGCTGCAAATCTTTCCTAGTGAGTCAAAAACCATTCAGCCTCCTCGAAAGCGACGCAATACTCAGAGCACGGTGACCGAGACCATGAATTCTCCTTTGCAAGATTCTCCATACCAGCCTCTACCCCAAGGCTACACGACGAACTTGCAGAATAATCGACTACCGCCGATTCCAATCAAGGAGCAAGGATTTAGAGCCAAGGATAGACTACCGCCGATTCGAATTCCGCCAATTTCACTCAATGAGGATCTTGAAGCCAAGAATAGACTACCGCCGATTCGACTAACACCAATCTCACTTACTCAGGAAGGTCTTAGAGCGAAGAATACTACGGGCGAAAGCAAGCATGAGCACCACGTTCCTCCTTCCAGCCTGTTTCTGCCAATCAACTCCAAAGATGGAAAGACAGTCGATCCGAATTTCGTCAACAATTTTGGGAAAGCCACTGAGCCCTTCCACTCTCCAAAAGGTGCTAAGCCAAAGGATAAAACAACGAGTTCACCAAAAATCCACCAGTCAAAGCTGAAGGCCGGTTTGAAACGATATAACAAAGCAAACAACGTGAATTACACCTTGGAAGAGTTGGAAGCAGCAGTCATTTTGACACAATCCAGCAAGAGCCCGGCGAATCTTTTTGACATCTTGAATGAGTATTATCCTGTGTACGAACGAACAAGCCCTATGTCGCCAGACTTACAAAGAAAGTAGGGCGCAGCTTCAGAGGCAGGGGCCACCATGGGGAAGAGAGCGGAGCTCATCTAGAGCGCTTTTTCTTTTGTATGGATGAATTGCATGCGGTACGTGTTGACAAGCGTTCCTTAATTGCATTCCCTTAAAGCAAGAGATTAGGATATCAACAAAGAGAAAATAAAGGAAATTCTTAGAATCGATTCACTTCAACAGTGCACTTCCCCGTTCCCTTTGTCGTCAGACTGCATGGTGCTTTGTTACCAAGCGATGATTTTGTTTCGCTTTTTCCCATTGGAAAGTGTGACTAATTTGACCTACAGGCGTATCTCAACCTTGGCACTTTAAAAATGGAGATGCAGTTGAGCTTTGCGTTAAGCGATCAACATCAGGTCGAATGCCCCCGCCACTGTCCTACCGCTGCAACACTTGTCTGATGGTGGTCCAGCTCTTGGCGGTGATTCATTCATTACAAGTTCACTGAAACAATTTGCCACTCACACATTCACAATGCTAAGTGTCGCAGGTTGGCACAAGACCTTGACATCAAACAGGCCATCATACAGCACTACCTTTCTCTCGCTCTTCCCCCTCCCCATCATCTAGCAACTTCATGATGGAGTCACGACCAGAAAGTGATAAAAAGAAGTGGGCCTCGGCGCCCCCTCCACAGCCGCGTGAACAGAATGGCTCGAGCATCAACAGCCAGCTTAACGTAGCCATCAAATCTAACGACGATGACATCATCCTTTTTATGCAGCCCCAACGCCATCACTGCAGCACGATCTCGCAGCTCTCGGAAGGACTAGCCATGCAAGACGAGGACTTGCAGCAGCTGAAGACAAGTCTTCGCGTTCGACTGAAGCCAAAGACCCAAGACGAGTCGGAGGATCCGAAAGAAGACTACTTACGAGTGGCAGTAGTGAGTCTCTCTCTCTCTCTCTTATCAAGTTCAAACTCACTTCCTCATAATAAATAAACTGACCATCTTGGGATTGCAAGGGAAACATGCTCGAACGCATCGTCTTCTGGGACCAGGATCGCGCCGTGTCAATGGAGCAGGACTACGACTGCAAGAATCTGTCCATGCTACCCACCATCGAGGATCTTACCTTGTCAGATTCTCGGTACTTGATCGACCGGTTCAGAAAGGGCCTTTTGAGATTGAATGGATGGGACTGGCGACGGCAGTGGGCGACGCTGGATGAGGAGACTCTGAGGGGCTTGCTTAGGTACACGCTGCTGCATGCGAGGCCCGTGCTGGCGTGGGAGCTGGATCTGACCGCGATTTGAAGGAGGGTCGGATGGTAACCAGATCTTAAGGGGACTGGTACAGCCGTCATCCAAGGAGCATTTTCAAATTATTGATGACAGAAAGGGCGGACCTACGCGAGTGGCTTGTTCTGCTAGTGTGCTTGAGCATCCATCATTTTAAGATATTGCGCACCAATCGCTCCAACTGACTGGTGTGCCTTGCGGTGATCATTAAGCCTCTCGGGTGTCCTTCACCCTCAGCGACCTGCCTTGATCATTCATCTCCGCCTTTCATGAGACCGGGATGATGAAGCCGATGGTATCGGATGTCCAAGCGGACGAGAGGAACCCTCGTCTCAACCTTCTACGAGAAGCTTGCTGGTTAGCGATGACAAGGACATGTCTCAACGAGGGGTCCCGGGTTTGGTGACAACCTTGATGCGAAGAACATGTCACACGAGTTGCGTATTGCGTTTCGCGGATTCTTTTGCTGCTTGTCATATCAATCAAGGGCATGTCCGCTTCAATTCGGTCGTGGCCGGCTAAACAGGAGATGCCTTCAAAGGCTGAAACATGCCTCCGTCCGGCCCATGCAGGGCTGCCGTGGCGAAGCATGTCGAGGCTTCGTTTCTGATGATACCTACGGCGTGAAGACCCGTTGTCTCGGCTGTTTCGGCTGCTTCTTGATCAGACAGCTCATCTTGGCACATGAACATTTTCACAACGCGATATGGACTATAAAAGGTGCAACTCTCACTCAATTAAGATATGCAAGCCATTCTAGCATCAACCGAGCCTGAGTATCCAATTGTTATTGCTAAAGTATCCTCATCTTCTCCTCCTCTTCTTCTATCCATTAATAAAGATGCACCTCACCACACTTCTTCCTCTGACCCCCTTCGCCTCCACCACTCTCTCTCCTTTTCCATCCATAGCCTCTTCCCCCGAACGCAAGGCTCCTCTACCCTCCCCACCTGCGCCTCCGAAATCGAAGGCGACACCTGCAAATCTCAAGTCACAATCGAAGTCTGCAACAACGCCACAAAACTCACCCACGCCGTCCCTAACAGTCTAGCCAGCGAAAGCCCCGCTCCGGGTGGTATGCTGGTATGTGTTCCTCTTCCTTCCTTGTAGGTAAATGGCGACTGTTGTACTGATTGGTATCGGTGGCAGGCAATATCAACATTTGTCATGATACCACCAAATGCGAGGTTCTTGATGAGGATTATCCGTCTTATGTCTTAGGTGCCGAGGATGGGTGCTTCACTGGCGGTGGCTCGGGCGCATCTCCTGGGCCTTTCATCGGTGGGATCTATGCGCTTCCATAACGCAAGAACGGAAAGAGAACCTTTCATGATGTGTGCGTCGTAGAATATCGATCTACCTGTGGTGTCAAATAGGAAGCAGATCATACTGATTTCTGGTCAAGATTAACACAGGTTCCATCAAGTTGTGGTGACAAGAACGAAATTCACAGCTCGAGTCATTCTTAAACTTCGGATTCATTCTAGTCATCTCTTACAATCTAATGAACTTATTCTCATGTGATGATAGACTGTAATTGCTTCTTGTAGTAACACGCATGTTCTCGCAGCAACAAACGCCACCGGCGCTAAGCTCTTTTGTCCAATATCAAAAGACTAAATCCGCAGTCCCAGAAAGGAAATTAATGGAGTGTCAACACGCCGTGATGAAGGACCATTCCTAATCAAGAATTTCTCCAGATCTACCTTCGGGTTGTGCTATGGTTGAGGTTGAAATTGCGTTACCCGCTCCCGAGAAGCTTCCGCTGTCTTGTTGTTGCCGCGCGGTATGTAGGTATAGATGACGTATGTTGTTTTGCCATCACAGAGACAATACTCACTTTATCCTAGTCGAGATCAGAGATTCAAATCAATTCACTGAAGTCAAGCGATGGTCAACAGTAACCACTAGATCCGAACTTGAATAAGTATTTGACTTTTTCTTATTTCAGAACTGCTCTCAGTATAGAGTGTGAAAGCAAGCCTTCTTCGAGACTTCTGGGTCTCTATGGAAGGCAAATGCCATTCGTGTCAGTTCCAGTCGTAGACCCATGGAACAGAAAGTCGATGGCGTCGCTATTCGGTTTCCCCAGGAAATAAAAGCTTCTTCTTATCCATCGGAATTTTCATTCGATTTTAGGATCAAAATGCATCTGTTGCATTCACTAGGGAACTACCACCTTCGGCCATGTGAGGGTACGGCGTCCAAAAGAGCCTCGCCTCGAAAATTCCACTTAGATCCAAAGAAATCCTCCCTACCTTCCTCACGCCAGAAATGCAGTTTTGCCATAGGGCAAGAGTTGCCTGATACAATTGCAAGTGTGTGACATACTCCTCTGCCGGAGAGGAAGTGGCTGATATCAGTAGTGTGCATTTGCCTGCGGCTCTGAATGGAGGACGGTATGGTGAGCGGTACTCCCAGGGAACATTGGTAGCGTCTTTGAAAGCGTTGGGCACTGTCGCAAAATGCTTCTTCATCCATAAGGAGGTATTGAATATCGTCGGTATCGAGAGGCAATCTGCTTCAAACTCTGGCTAGAGACTGAATGGTGGAGCACCTTCATTTACACATTTAATCCCATCTGATGCTTCAAATGTCGGTGCTGAGAGAGCCAAAGCGATCAGAAAAGACCACCAAAGTAGAATATGAAAGAGACAGGTGGCCATGTCGGGGATTGGGAACTCAAGACGCGAGGTTCGTGGAGATATATAGCATTTTTGTAAAAGGTCTAAGAATAAATATGCGGAAGACGCGACAAATAGCGACCCTATCGGAATAGAGTTTGTCTAGATAGATTTGCAGAAACGTTTTCTCATTCCCCGTTGTTGAATGGTATCACTGTTTCCCTATCTCCCGTGAAGCCGTGATTCCGAATGGTTTAGACATGGAAGGTCGTAGACTTCGTTTGTCAAATAGCCCAAAATTTGCCTGTCGTAATGCCTTGGCTTTAAAATAGAGTGAGCGATGGAGATGGCGCCTCTCAACGGGAGATTAATTTCGCTGACTAGGTCTATGGATATTCTGTTGCAAGATAGCCATCGATTTCGTCTCATGATTCGAGTAGTGCCGTACTTGTTAAATGTGGCTACTGCCAGGACGAGTGGTTGAGAGGACCTTGGAGATTTTCCATAAGATGGGCAACGGAGTACTTTAATTCATGTGAATCAATATAATTAGCTAGGGTTAAGCCATGATGCCAATATTTGATATTGTAATCGTGGTGCTCAGTTGAACGGTACCCACCAAAGTGATTCTCAGCGAACACCATGATGATTTATGAGCATCATTTTCATAAATCCCCACGTGTAGTAGATTCCCTACGCCCATGGTAGGAAAGAGACCATCAGAGAGAACTTGTAGGATAAATAGATTGCTTCAATGTAGCAGAAATTGAGTGTCTTTTAATCGAAATATATCCCACGAGTAGCATAAGGAAATAGGGAGCACAAGCAGCATCAGCATCACACATTGGTGGTAAGAGATTCATTCCTACAACCTGCCGCCAAATTTGTATGCCGACAGAGTGAATCTTGGCATGATCATTATTCGTTCAACACTCCGAAAGCAAGACCCTGAATAAGTTCAGCAATAGTCAACAGCCAACATTTTGAGCCGAACGTCAATAGACGCCATGGTGGGTCGCCAAACATTCTGTACATCAAAGCTAATGTAGCATTCAGGCACCAAAATCAACACCCAACCCAGCAAAACTAGGTCTTATCCTCAAATACATCCAAGAATCAGGTACAGCGCACAACATCAAAGAATTAGAGAAAGCACTCCCCTCCGTCGCTTCCATAAATGGCATGCAAGTCAAAGACTTCCTCCAAGCCCTCAGCGACGAGGGCAAAATCCACGTCGAGAAAATCGGCAGCGGGAATTGGTATTGGAGTTTTTTGAGCGAGGAGAAAAATACGCGAGAGACCACAATGGCAGATTTGGAGGCGGAGAAAGGGAAGATTGAAGTTGCGGTGCAAGAGCTGGAGGACAAGATGAGGGAGGCAAGTGAGCAGAGGGGCCAAGAAACGGGCAGGGCAGAGTTGTTGGATAAGAAGGTTGTGCTTGATGCCGAGGTAGAAGAGTTGAAGAAGGAACTGGAGGGTTATAGTGATGGGGATCCGACGAATGTGGAGACGAAGAGACGGGAGGCAGCTGAATTGAGAGGCGATGCGGATAGGTGGACGGACAATATCTTGATCCTCGAAGGTCATCTTAAGAAGATGATGGGTGGGGCTAGTGAGGAATTGGAGCAGATCAAGAGGCAAATCTACGGCAATGAGTATGTTGAAGGCGAGGGCTTGCAGGAACTGGAAAGCTAGGCTGTTATCTGGTGGTAGCAGTGCATATCTCCCTTTTTTGATGTTGCCATGCTTGTCGAATAAGGAAACATTAGCAGAACGATCTCGATTGAAAAATATTGAAAGCAGCAGAAATGAGATAAGATTGTACCAGCTGGTTGGGTGCCGGGGGGGCTTCTGTCTTCGCTTACCGCCTTCTGAGCCTCTGTATCACCGAATGCTTTGGACGTCGCCTTGAGAGATGTTTGAGGTCTCGGATTCGACCATTATCTCTGTCTATGTCTGCTCATCCTCGGCCGGGGTTTTGTGCAGGATTGAACGCTTTGATGTTGTAACTGTGACGAAGGAGACATTAGTACTCCACCTCATTCACCTGGAAACACACAAGTGAAATGAAGAACATACGGTTGAATAATCCATGATGTCAGAGACCCATTCACACTCAGCCCATCGTCCTTGTTATAACCATATACAGTGACTTCCGTTGGCGTCTTGGATTTTGGGATGAAATGCTCTGGCAAAGAAGGAAATTTGGCAACATTGACGCTCACTCGGTTGTCCGACGCCTGTGGCTTCGCTTGCAAGAGTTGCATGAGTGGAATCAAGATCTTGGAGCGACAGTCATCAGTACTTGGGTAATTGACGGCATTACTGCCTGGTAAATAGGCACTGATCAAACAGCCTTGTTCCCCTCCGCCACCAAAAGCCCAGATCCATGTGTTGTTTTCGAAGATGACAGTGTCCGGCGAATAGCAAGCACTTTCAATGATTGAGTCGAACGCTTTCTGACAAGTTGCATTGTAATACCCTGTGAAATCGGTGTTGTATGGCGATGGTAATTTGGTTATATCTAAGGCCTGCTTTGATGGTACTTTGTCTCGATAAGCGCCCCATGCTGATGGTTTCACTGTATTTAATATCGATATTGATGAGTAGCAGGTGTTGTCTGGAAGAGTACCGGGCGCGCGCGTTGCACAACTGGAATCATTCAAAGGAGTGGACGCTCCTTGAGGTTTAGGAAAGGCGAGACTTTGAGTTGCTAAGGGAGCGAGACACAAAAGACGTATTAGAAGCATAATGCTTGTGTAGAAACGCAAGGGAGCTGAGAGTCAGGAATGAGAAGGAAATCCGCGATAACTAACCTGTGCTGCGGATTTGTACGTTCTTTATATACCTGCTGGCAGACAGCGAATTATATGAGGTAACAGCGTATGAAACTTTGACGCGATCATCCTTCCGAAAGTGTTTGCTCTTGCGAGCAGTATTTCCAAACTCTTTTGAACCATCAAAGAGACGAGAATGGACAATTAGAAAAGCAACACGTGTTCTATTGAAACTCTGCGAATGAGAGACTCGTTACATAAAACCGACCATGTTGTCGAGATCCTCCGCAGGATTACGGATGTTAGACGCCTGATCTGGCAACTCACTACTCCTCTCCTGATTGGCCTTCAAGCAAATTGTCTTAAAACGGCTGGCAGGGCAGATCCTGGCGCATGGCGCGTATTGTCGCACCTATGATGACGATATAACAGAGTCGCTTCATGTGACTCCAAGCATACATACAATGAGACGCCTCGTGAAGCTGACCAGGGTTGTAATTTCTAGCATAGTGTGTAGAAATCTACTCAAGGGTTGGGCTTGGAATGTCAACTGTCAAGATTCAACAAGGCAGGTGCGATACGCAAGTCCGACTCTGTTCAGGAATAATAGCAGAGGATCAAATACCGCACCGGAAAGTGCCTGGTAGGCCATGTTTTATCAGGCTGTAATCTTGCGATATACCAATTTACATGAGCCGGGATAATGCGTTCTTAATGTCATCAACGACGTGTCATTTAATGGTGTATGGACCGTCTTAAGCAAAGCATTGAGCTTCCATGTGATGTATGGACGGTGTATCTGGCATCTATGCCCACCAAAAGACGTCGCTTGAGAGCTGTATCCTGGCTAGTATCGTGATTCAAAGAACGAGCGGCAAGTGACTCGAGGGTTGAAGCGTCCCAGGAAGTCCAGAGAGCATGAAAAGCTTGATGATAAAGGAGACTCGACCAACTTTTTTGCTTCTTTTGCACCCTGCTGAGCGGAAACTGTGTTTCACCAACTTACCTGAGGAAGCAGAGCTAAAAGTTGACGAGGAACTCGGGATATTCAGCAGCTGGTCCATGCCGTGCAGAGAGTGTTTCTTCAGAAAGCAGGATGTCTGTAGAACTAGAATGACGGGAAATATCAAGAGCTCTCAAGACAGAGATCCGCCAGACCCTCATAGCTGATGCTTTCAATTGGACAATACTGGAGTTCATGAAACAGTGCCGAGAACAAAACCATATACCTTTGGCCGTCTGCTGCCATCGGTCTTTTGTGAAAAACTTCTTGTTAGATGATGTTGCATAGTCATTAGCTGAAGGTGCAGGTGGTCTAGATGTGCCTTTCTGCAACATAACAGAGGTATAGTGGTAGTTTACCCTTAGCACGAGAGTCTCGGAGGAAATCTTGCTGCATTGATCAGGTTTGGTAGGAAGCCATTGGATAAGCGCTTCATAGCCTATATGACAAGGATGGGGGTTGTCACACTGCACACTCACACGTTTGAAGAACCCAGAATGACTCCACGAGTCGCTAGACGGTGAGAGATTTACGGACTCCAAATTCTCTGAAGCTTCAGATAATCCATCTAAAGGAGGGCGTCGATTGGAGTAGCCTGACTGATGAGTGATCTGCCAAGTCATTAAGAGTCGGTGCAGCGGCCTAGCTTATGCCGTTTCCAGGTATGAATGCAGGTTTCTTTGAAACAGTTCACGTCGATGCCACGCTTTTGTGAGCAGACTTGGCCGACATTGTCGGCGTGGCATTTCTTACAATCCAATTCTTGGACGATCGAGCTTGAAACAATGCTATGCATTTGTCGATGGAGGTGGAGTAGCAATTGTTGTCAACCCAATTGAATTGAGGATGAGCATCCTGTAAGCGACTATGGTGAGTCTTGACGATCGATCCAGCTGATTGATTACGTCTTCTCTCACAGCCTCCTTTGTCTTTAAAATTCACTCAAAAGCAATGCACTTCCTGCTTGCGGTTGTAAAAGCCTTGTCATCCTGAGTGACGATCTATGAAAATGAGATCCTCGCTCCCAGTGCATCATCATGTTTTTTGCAGCTTCATTGCTCATGCTTGTCACAAGCCTGGCCCCCGTCATAGGTGAGGATGTATAGCAATCTTTGAAGGGAAGAGTGATTGGACTTCATTTGCGAGAAAAGCAGAGAAGAGCTGCAGTGGCGAGGAGTCTTCTTCCACTGTGGCACAAGCGTCGCTCGCAACAACGACTTCCATGCCACGCGCCGTACCACCGCGCTTTGACTCCGCCCCCATCTTTCGCGACAACGATCCTTCAACTGCCCCAACCGTCTTCCACGCGGTCCAGTCAGCTCAGGATTCATGCTCGCCATCGCTCTTGGTGCCAAGACGCCTAACACTTGCTTCCTTGGTCCCAAGGCCCCTAAATATGATGCATGTCATAGCCCATCCCAAGGATATGGCGGGATGAGAAGTCAAGCGTTTGCGAGCTTAAGCTCTCGAATAGCTTCCTAGCTTGGCTGATCCTGCCAATGCTCCTGCATCATGTTTGGCGACAATGCCGACAATCGTGGGCGCGATACTTTGGCCAAGAGCAGTATGAGTATCAGTATATATGTCCTTTGCTCTACTCACGTTCCACCCATATTCTTACTTTCCTCAAAGTGAACTTTCCGACCCTTCTGCCTGGAACCACCAAAATAGATCCGAATATCGAACGCCAGACATGGTTAGAGGCAATATCAGGGGTAGTGCTGCCCGTGGCGGTATTGCAGCATGCTGTGGCCTTGCCTTCCTAGTAAGTCCATCAGCCAGCAGTCAACTGGTAGTGGTATGCTGATCGCAGAATGTAGCTGTTTGGCTATGACCAGGGCGTTTTGGGCGCCGTAATTGGTCTGGACTCTTTCCGAAAGGAGTTCGATGATCCAAATCGTAACCTTGAGGGAATCATTGCTGCCATCTACGATATTGGATGTTTCGTCGGCGCCATAGTCGCCTTCTTGACAGCAGACTATTTTGGTCGCAAGGGAAGTATCACCCTTGGCACCTGGATCATGGTCGTTGGGACTATCTTGCAAACTGCGTCTTTCGAGAAGATCCAAATGATTATCTCCCGTATCATCACTGGTATTGGCAACGGCATGAACACGGTCAATGTGCCTATTTGGCAATCGGAGAGCTTCAAAAGTCACAATAGAGGAGTATGACACTCTGAAATATTGAGAGTCTTCCACTGACCAAAGTAGGCTATGCTGGTCATTCAAAGTGCGCTCATCGCCTTTGGGCATCCACTTAGTACTTTCATGGGCCTTGCGAGCCGTCAAGCCGAACCCTCGTCTTTTGGCTGGCGCTGGCCTATTGCCTTTCAGGGTGTTTTCATTGCTGCAATCTTGATGTTTCTACCATTCCTTCCTGAATCCCCCCGATGGCTAGTCCATAAAGGCAGGATAGAGGAAGCGACGGACGTTTTCGCTCGTCTCGCTGGCAAGAACTCTACTATCAATGATCCTGACGTTGTTCGTGAGCGCGATGATATTGTCGCGTCTGTTGAGGAGGAAAAGAAACTAGGTGAAGCTACCTGGAGTGAGGTCTTCACTGAAGGCAAGAACAGAAACATTAGCCGCGTCCTACTTGGAGCTGGACCTTATATGTAAGCTGAGAGACTGGCATATCTCCCAACTGCATCGCTCACTAACCCCACAGGATGAACCAATGGTCTGGTATCAATTGCTTGGCATACTTTCTTCCTATCACGTTTGAGCGTAATATTCATCTCTCGGTAGAGCTCTCGCTCATCCTTGCCGGCGTCTTGGGTATCCAGTACTTTGCCTTGTCATGGCTGTAAGTCTCCTCCTACCCGAGATAATGAAATTCTAGCATCCAAGTTCTGATAATGTTGACAGTCCTTACTTCTTCATTGAAAAAGTCGGGCGCAGGAAGGTCCTCATGTCGTCCGCCGCCGCCTGCTCCTTCTGCATGATCATGATTAGCGTAATGCTGTACGTCAACACGCGCGCCACGCAATGGGTATTCGTAGCCTTCTGCTTCATCTTCTTCGACGTCTTCTCCTGGGGTATTTTGCCCGTCTCCTGGATGTACGCCTCTGAGATCATGCCTCTCCGCACTCGCAACAAGGGCGTTGCGCTCGGCGTCGGCTGCCATTGGCTCAGCAATTTTGTGGTTGTCTATGTTACGCCAGGCGCCATTGACAATCTTTCTTGGAGGCTTTATATCATTTGGGCTGTCTTCAACGCTAGTTTTGTGCCGATCACTTACTTTTTCTACCCCGAGACTGCGAGACGTAGTTTGGAGGATATGGATCAGGTATTCATTCATGAACGATTCGGTATTACGAAGACAAGAAGCCCAGGAAATAGGACTAAGGACGGTGGAGATTGGACTAATAACGAGACTGAGCTATATGTGGAGGATGCGAAGCATGATTCATCCTCTTGAAGATTATGATGCCGTTTGACTTGAAACGAATGAAGATTAGGTCAGCTTTCATCGGTGTCACGGAAAGTCTGCTTCACCGTGATTGATCAAGCCTCTGCTTGTTCAGGATAGAGTCACGTTCGTGAAAGGCTTCGTTTGTAAGAGAACGGCGTTCACGTCTGTATAGTTTGGACAGTTCACTGTAAGAACTAGCTTTCTTTGTACTCCTATCCCCCGCCAATATATACAAAGTATGTTCACCAACACTTTCTTCGTACGAAACATCAAGGCATGTGTCATCGCCTCATTCTATTTACTCCTACAATACCTAAACCTCCAATGGTCAGAAAACCCAGTGCAAGAGCTACCAGCAATGTATTTCCCTGCTTCCTCACATCCCTCTCTACTTCCGAGTACGGCTGATTTTCAAAGCTCACCCTTGTATACTGGGTCCGCCACCCAGTCCAAGGCATCCAAACACTGACTGTCTCTTCCAGCGATTTTCTGAGCTTGTATAGCGGAGACCGAACATTTGCGCTCATTTCCTGATAGTTGCGTAGAGCTAAGTCATTGATGGTATGTGCATCGCGGACACGTTGGGCAGTGTATGCATCCAGCGCCTTTTCGAGGACTGTCGCCCACATCTCTTTGGTGTTCGCTTCGGATAGATACAAGCCATAGAAGTCAAGATGTGAGAAGAGAACTCGCACGTCCTCTAGCCCTGCGTTCATGCCTTGGCCGTAGAAGGGAACCATAGCGTGTGCTGAGTCACCAAGAATTACAACGGAGGAGCTGTAATGGTGTGGGGAGCATTTGATAGAGATTAGAGGAAGATGCGGGTTGTTCTGGAATTGATCGAGTAGGTCTGTTTCCGATATTAGATCAGGACAGACACCAGGAAAATGAGCGTTGAAGAACGAAGATAGATTGGCTTTGGGATCTCCTAAGATTGACTGGAAATGCTCGGCGGACGCAAACAATGTGCATGTGAAGCTATGGTCGGAGGAGGGGATGGCGATGAACATAAAGGAGCCAGCAGGCCAGATGTGTAGATGGTTTGGGTCGATAGCAAAGCCATCATTGCTAGTTGGCTTAATGTGAAACTCGCACCAGAGGGTATCGATGTATTCCTGTTGATAGGAAAGACGGGCGAACTTCATCATGTGGAAGCGAGTGGCAGAGTGGGCTCCATCGGCACCAATGAAGAAGTCGAATCGGACTTCAATCTCATTTGGTCTTCTGCCGTTTTCGCTCCCGTGCCAGAGCTCATTAGACTTGCCCTGTGGTTTCAATTGCTCAAACCATGCAACGTTATTGTCAAAATCCGCGCCGGTTAATTTGTGGTTGAAGTGTAGAGTGACGTTAGGTCGTTCGTCAAGGGCATCAAGTAGGCACTTATTCAGACCCGTACGATCTACCGCCCTAATAGACTGAGCTTTTCTAAGCAATTGTATCTTCTGCAATAAATTTCTCCACTTACACGTCCATTTGCGTCATACTGCTGCGATTCCTGGAAAAGATCGCCAGCGTCCGTTCGACCATGAATCATGCGAGCTTTCATCGGTATTGCATCTTCAAATATCCGATGCAGGAGAGCAGGATGACCAGCGCTTCGCATAGCATTTATGCCCCGCTCTGAGAGGGCAAGGTTAATGGACTTGGTGAAGTTCAATGGGGTGGTACTAGGGTCGCGGAGATCTGGCATAGAGTTACATGATTGTAATTAATCACCAATCAGTGCGACAACAGGCTCCCAAAGCATCGAGATAATTCAAAATATTTCCTGTAATCTCCCAAAGCGTGCCAGGACCTGGACAAATGGAGTAAGATTCGAAAATTGTATCGAAAATGTGACATTGAACATGCTTCTCAAGCGAGCTTTTTAAGAAATATGAAGGTAAAATGAAAGCCATGAGTAGCATACCTTCCCGCAAGTCATAGACATGGACAACATCGCCTCTCTGAGCTGCGTAGAGCGCAGCTAGAGCACCGACGGGTCCAGCGCCACAGATGACAACTTTGTGTTGGCTTTCACTTTGAGGCATCCAATTGTCTATCCAAAAAGTCCAAGGTCGAGGAGCGTCGGAAAATGATTTGGGTTGATCAGTGGGAGGCAAAACGAACAGCCACAATGGATGATGCTGACATCCGGTTCCGGCTGCTTGTCTTGGCAGGCTCAGCCCTACGGCTGTAGTGCTGGAAAAGCCTATTGATCAACATGATAGGGAATTCATGAAATCGACCGATTGATGAAAGAGGTGTGACAGGATCAAGAACTTGCGAATATGCCAAGCGTGGGATTTAGCGGTCAGAACAGCAGGCTTCTTGAATTGCCTTCCAAGTGCACGCTCATCTTTTCTCGAATTGATCGCATAAGGAAACAAGAGAGAGTCAATACTATGAAACTTCCAAAAGCAAAGGCTGTGATATCAATACCACCGTCTATATTGAACGTCTCCGCTGATTATCCTACAGCTTCCAGCTTTGCAAACCGAAGTTGATGATGTTGTAATTGGTCAATCGCCTTGACAGGCAAAACCTTGGTCGGAGAATTCGACGGATTAGCACTGCATAGTCCCATCTTACACATTTGCACGAGCTTGTCATTGATCGTAAAGCCTGATCCAGTGTGCTAAATTGCGGATTCGTATCCTTATCGAACTGCTTATTCCAAAGCCTCGACTTACCTCCTTGTTAGCCGAAGGCCTTCCTCATGTACCCATCATGGTTGGACATGTGTAGCTACTTTCTCGTCGTGCCCGTTTGATCATCTGTCGTATGTCACCAGCCTTGATCGACTCGTCAAATGTCGGTTTGCTTTGTTTTCCTGATATGAACTACCCCAAAATGTCGGGCGCATCTAAATCGCCCTCTTTATCTATGGGTAAAGCTTGCTTCTTGTTACTGCGGCGTGATTTAGGTGCAATTTTACGTAGCGGGGATATATTACTGAGTAGCGTCTTTGGAGAGCCGTATACCGGTGACCTGGTAAGGGCCTGATTCGTCTGATACCAAATTCGTGGCTGGGAAACGCGATTTTGTATGAGCCGATACAAGATCTTGCTGACCTCTGTTTGCTCGTCATCTATGAGGCAACTCACTGTGGGTGGTGCTTTGTCTAAGAGGTAACGTAGGCTTATAATGAACTTTTCGCGATGAACGTATTGAAATTGAGCAATATGAAGAGGTAAAGAAGCAATGCCGTGGTCGTGGTCTGTGTATGATACGAGCTCAAGGATGATGCCTTCAATAAGGGCATAGATTTCTTTGTCGATGTTCGGATTCTCTTTGATCTGCTGCCTCCGGTCTCTCAAAGGCCTGACGTTAGGTTCTTGCCCCAGGTCATGACCGCTTTTCCGAGCCTGTGAGTCTTCACCATTGGCAAGTGTCGAAGATTGGTCGTTTCCTGACCGGGCTTGACGGGTCGGCCCAGCCGTTGTTTGTGGCCCACTGGCCTCACGGCCGTTGTCACTGCCCTGAATATCGGTAAGATCCATTGCCGAGACATGATCCTCAGCTTGTCTTTGTTGCGGTAGGATGGACTCTGCGCTAATCTGCTTTGCACCGGACTCATGAGCTGAGCTTGTGGTGACGCTGAATTGTCCCTCCGCCATTTCCACGAGAGTCGCACATGCATTCCTAATTACATTCGCAGTCAAGTTGCTTGTAAGTCGCAATTGAGCCTTGTTGATCTTTGGAAGGCTTCTGTACGGCATGTTGTTGGTGGTGGCGTCATTCAAAGCTGGAATTGTTACTGCATTGACCTTTGAATTAGCAGAATGAACCTTAGACAACGGCTGAATTGCCCATTCCCCGCCTGAGATCAGTTGTGCCTGATGTTGGTCTCTTGAGGCTTGGTTTTGTAGCGAACTGGCATCCACTTGGTGGCTGTTTAATGATTTTTCAGATTCGGTAGAAGTCGAGAGATCTGCTATGTCCGAATCGCTTACTAGACTAGGTACTTCAGATATGCTAGGAGCCTCTACAGATTCCCCAGGTGATGGTTGCAATGCGTTTTGTACAACAACACTTTTTGCTAGCGTTTCAAGCGCGGCTAAAAACGCTAGACGACTATGGCTAATCAAACAACAAGTCAGCATAACTTGAGGGTCTAATTGAGTGTCACCTTTATAATGACTTGAAAGCGTACATCAACCCGTCGACTAAAGCAAAAGACCCGAAATCACGTACCTGCTTTGTAAGCGTTCGGCCAGTGCTCGGGCATCGTCGAAGTCATACGTTCCTCGTCTTCGCCGTAGGCAGTCTAGGATTAGTTTGCCATAAAATCTCTCAGAGTCGGAGGCTTCTCGAAATAGCACATCATCAATTGTGTTTTCGAGTGGAGTGAGGGTAATTGTAAAGCCGTCTCCTGAACCTGACCTTGGGCCACGCTTGAAACCTTTTCTACGTCCAGATTTCCAATATCGATTTGTCAAGACCCGAGTCACGGGAGTTGCTTGGGCATCACCTAGCGGAAGTGAGATTTTACCCTTCAGATGTTGGGCAGAAAGCCCAATGCCGTTTCTGTGTGGATCTTGCGACATGCTGCGAATTGTAGCAACGAGCCAGTCGACTTGTGGCTTTGGGTCTGTAGGCAATTTATCTAACCCCATGTCCTGATATATGGCCGGCGTCTTTGACAGCGGTTTCCCTGGTACTGGCATGCCCTCAGACACGACATTGTACAAACCAGCCTGCTTGGCATTTCCGACGTGGGTCGAGTTGATTGACCCGTCATGGCTCGCAGGGGTTGGACTAGATTGTATTATTGGGAATGAGTCTGGATGGTAAGGCGGTGTCTGAGCGGGCGTCACAGGTACTATATGTTCGGTCTTGATCCTCTTAATAGGTCGTTGTTTGTCTTGTTCAAACAGCTCTTTCTTTTGCGGATTGACTCGCAATGACATTGGCATGGTAACGAGACTTTTGTAGCAGCGCTACAACACAAACGATGATAGTCACATTTCTTCGCTCAAATGGGGAGGATGTGCTTTGGCTCTGCAAGCTCCTTAATTCTGTTCTTCAAGGTCAACGTGTGAGAATCGTTAACCAGTCCCTTGAAATCGTTCAGGCAAGTTGAGGTATGATACTCAGGCACAGGATGCTGAAAAGACGACGGATGGAAAGGGAAGTCGCGGGGTGACTTGGGAAACTTTGTCAGACATTCAAGACAGCCGTCATTTTATGTATAGTACTAGCGGGCTCGCTAGCTGCTTTCGATAACTTATGTGTGATGATATCCTTTCCTTGCAAAGACCAAAATGTCGAAGCATCAGAGCTTGCGTTGTGCTCCATTTTGGTAACCTTCTCCCTGGCTAGCCAATCTCCGCAATGAGAGTGGCCCACCAAGCTTTGTGCTGTAGTCCCTATCCAATTGATGACATCTGCTCAAGGAACATTGAGCTTTGCCGAACAAGGGCCAAACATATTTGTGAAGTAAAGTAGCCGGCTCTGAGTAGCGTATTCATGAGCTCAACCGCGTAAATTTAGAACTTGAATTTGCAAGTCACTTGGCTGTTCGAGACCACAGAGCCTCGATAAGGAGTAAAATCATGTGGAACGAAGCCCTGAGGTGCCCTAGATTTGAGATATCTATCGACACCATGCTCCATTCGAGCCATGACAGGCCTCCTCACCCCGACATTCACCTTTACTATCCCTTCCCTGTACGATGATACGAACCTCGATTGTCGCATCTATCACCCCAGCTCTGCGTCAACCTCCACAAATCTTGTCCGAGGTGCTATCCTAGCTCACCCATATGCCCCACTGGGAGGTTGTTATGATGACCCAGTCATTCTATGCTTGGTGGAAGAGCTGTTGAGGTCTGATTACATTGTTGGAACATTCAACTTTCGGTTTGAAAAATAATGATCTCCTATGGTATCATCGTTCCTGATTGTTTCGCAGTGGAGTTGGCACTTCTGGTTCTCGTACTTCATGGACTGGTAGGGGAGAAATCCAAGACTACATGTCCTTTGCGGGGCTGTTCATTCACTATCTCAATTATCTACAACCTAGCTCGAAGAAACAGGTTCCGCCTGCTGTGACCCTGGGTGGTTACTCCTACGGCTCATTGATAGCCTTCAATCTACCCCCGCTTTCCACGATTCTCTTGCCTTTCAAGCACCTTGAGCAAGGCTCCACAGCGGCAGAGATCTGTCTGCGTGCGCAGCATCTAGCATGTGAACGACGTCTTTGCCTAACTCACAATGCGGACCATGACGCAAAAGACATCCGAAAGCCTTCGGCGACCATCCAAGCCCCTTCTTCTGCGATGGTCATGGGGGGCGACGAGTCTCCACGCACGTCAAATGGCCATGACGGTAGGAAAAGTCTGGATGTCGCAAAACTACGACGAAGCATCGAAAACTCGACCCACAAGTTCCACCTTGGGATCCGGGGCGGCCATGATTCCTCGCCAGCTTCAACACCCACACTTTTGAGAGAGTCCACTCATGCAGTCATCTCACATAATGGAGGCATAGAGGCAGTGAAAGTGCCAGAACCGACTGTCTCGTACCTTCTGGTCTCTCCAGTACTGTCGTCCCTCGGGAGCCTTTCAGTGGCCTTTTCAATCTCATTCTCGAAGCAAGATACAAAGCGGAAGCTTGCTGAGAACGATTCTTTAGTCGTTTATGGTGGCTCAGACGTCCTGACAAACCAAAAGAAGCTGAAACGATGGGTCGAAGAAACAGAAGAACTTGCTGATGCAAAAGGGGGCAAATTTCAATACCGAGAAGTGGAAGGTGCAGGTCACTTTTGGAGAGAGTCCGGTGTACTTGAGAAGCTGAGGCATACTGTCAAGAAGTGGGCGCGAACTGATGTTCATTCAGGTGCTGGAAATGCGAACATTGCAACCTAGACGCTGGCACTGTGTCTCGATGCCTTACTAAAGAAGAGAGATATCGTAAGGCTATCATGCGACCGCAATGTAGACGAATTTCAAGGTCGTATCTGAGATGTGGAGACATTAATGATCACAAGAAGATATATAGGAAATAGTAGCGTAATCTATTATTGAATTATTCCTATTCAGTACAAGCCGTCTATCTCTAAATCTAACTTTCCATACACAGGAACGCCCTTGCTCTCGTGCATGCCTGCTCCTGAATCATCAAAGTCATTCTCGTAGGCCATCAACCTCCCAATCATCCACTCAAAATCAGTGCTCCCTCCCCTTCCACCTCACTCTCCCAAGCCCCTTAGTTCTCGGTCTTTGCCTCCTCTCCTCCCGAACCCTCGGCGTCATAGGTCTCTGACTCTCAGCCACCCTTTCACTAACACTCCTCCTCAACGCGGGACCACCAACACCAAGTCCGCCATCCTCAGTAGCCGCATGCGGCATCCTCTCGCCGCGTTGCTCCCTCATCGAATTCGACGGTCGAAGCGACGAGTCCAAATGACTTGTGTTAAAAACACTAATCAACCTATTCCGCTGCCCTGCTCTCTCATCACCAGCAGCCCCAGCGCCCGCAGCTGGCGCGGTATCAACCCGATCCTCGCCATCACCACCAACACCAGCACCAACACCAGCAAAGTAAGAGGCAGATCCAGACCTCGCGGGAGCCGGCCATGGCCCTACATCCATGAATCCGGGCATAGGTGTGCTCTTTGGGCTGATGGCGCTTCCTGGTGAGGGAACGTGACGCTGTTCGCGGCGGTGGCGGTCGCTTTGCCGTGCAAGTCTGTCCCAGGATATGGGATCCGTGGATTGGAAGGAGGTGAACATTGAGGAAAAGGGGGCTGGGTCTGGAGGGCGTGCTCGCTGTGGTGGGTGAGAAGGAGGTGGTCGTGCTGGGCTAGGAGATCTAGGGGGTTGTAGGATCGGTTGTGGGGTCAGAGGTGGTGGTATTGGAACTGATGCAGGAAGGTCGATGGGGTGAGATGTTGGGTTGGATACTGGCGGGGCATTCGTAGCGGTAGGGGGGTTGGAGAAAGAAATGTTGACTGTTGGAATGGTGTCAGCACGGGAGTGCGGACGCATCGCTGAGGATGGAGTAGCTTGTTCGGTGGCCGTCGGAGTAGCGAAGGGAGAGCCAGAAAGAAGGTGGGATGGATCTGGTGAGGGGGTTCGAGGCGATATTGTGGAGAGGGGCGAGTGAGGTTGAGGGATGACTAGGTGGGCAGAGTCATCAGGAATTGTCGTTGGCGCAATTGGGACTCTATAAGTTAGTCGTGGAATCGAAGGTATATCAGGGCGCGACATTGGGCCTAGCTGGGGAGAAAGCGGCGGTAGTGATACGTCGGAGACTGTTGTCGGCGCGTAATTTTCGTCTAAAGATCGAATATCTGAATGGTCATCCGGTGTTGTGTTGGGGACCGGTATCTCGATACGTTTGCCGAAAAATGGCATTGGCGAATCACGATCTCGAGCTGGATGGTCGTCAGGCGAAGCTTGCGCTTCTCTTTCCTGATGAAGCGTTGGCGAGATTCGAGGGCGGAAACTGCTCGGGACGGGCATTTTATCAGGCTTCCTTCGGGTAGGAAATGGCGAGATTCGTACATTCTCTGACTCGTCTGATCCATGCGGGGAGTGTTTGGTCTGTCTGGATGATATATGGGTTCTTCGCGAAGAGTGCTGAGTTTGCCGTGAGTCCTCTTGACGTTCGTCTGGGAGGGAGCGTTCGGAGATCGTCGATAGTGAAATGCGTTTCTCAAAGTAAGTAAGTCGCGTAGCCGGTCGTGTATGAGGGCGAGTCTGGGGTCGGCGTCGGGTCTGACAGTGGACGAACAAGAGCAGAAGGCCAATAGAGCTGAGAAGAAAGGCACCGACTGGAATACTAATCGCAAGAGCTACCTTGGCATTGTGCGATAAGCCACCGCTATCGTGGCTTGGGCTGGAGTGCGTGACGTGAGAAAAGTTGGAGGGCGGGTTCGAAGTGAAAACATCCGAGGGAGCCACCGGAAATGGAAGTGAGGGCGTTGGACACGCCGCAGAGAGAGTATTGAGGACTGTAACGAGTCAGTCAGCTACTGCATCTCTATTTCCGTGCAGCTTCATCTCACAATTAGATAGGAATCGCTGATCAGGTATTACATAATAGCAGCTCGCACAGCTTGCTGCCTTTTGTTTGAAAGACCTATCTGCACAATAGTCGTATGTACGAGATACATTAGGCGTAGAAAGATTGATTCTTAATGAATCACTCAGCTCAGTACAAGGCCCATTGCACTGGTTGATTGTTGTTGAGCTGCTGTTGTCCGGTGGCTTGAACAGGCAGTAGTCCACGGTGTATCGCATGTTGACTGCACAGTCAGGCAAAGGCGATCTACTAGATCTTGGAGCATGACTCACATAACGCCCATCCGATATCTTCTTGTCCTGTTTCAGGATCATAGGCGTCACTATCAAGCTCGCAAGACACGCAATTACGAAAGGTGACACCTGTATTTGTCCTATTATACTCTGTGTCGTAGCAGGTAACGTCGGTATCGTTGGTAGTTCGGCCAGAGATGCTGCTGGTACATTGTGCCGCGCATCGGGAATTGTCCACGACATAAAGAGCTGAAACGATGGGAACACTGAGAAGGAACAGTAGCGAAGAGACTGCATGACTGCTGTGATAATGATTGGGTTTCTGTATAAGCATATCGAGAGGTGCATTTTCAGCATAAAATGTATCAGGAACGACGGCCTTGGCTGTGATCCGCAATGATAGAGCAGCTCTCACACGATCTGACGGACGGGAGAAGGCGAGATCGCTGAGCCATGAATAAATGATAACATGCCGCGAAGCTGGAGTTTGGGCCAGGCCAGATGGCGCATCAGCTCTGAGGTTTTAAATGAGCGCTTTAGATGAAAGGGTCGCAAAGCTGGGTCGTGCCATGGGAAATTGCAAGCGTCCAAAATATGAGATGGTAGTATACGCGCGTCAGAATGAGGGGAGTGGTTTCTTTCGAAGGAAATAAGCAGGGAGAGCAAATGAACGTAGAGTATCGACATCGCATGGGGGGCTCATCTTCGATTGCGTCCAAGCTTTGCTGAGGATTTTTATGCTGTTGTCGGAAGCTTTAAGGCTGCATTGCCGATAGAATAGACGAACAAATTCTGCACCAACGAGCGAGCTGTACGCACTACCTGGTCTATGAAAAAGCTGCCATGCGATGAACCTTCTTTTGAGATATTATCGGACGGTGCTTAGGCGCATAGCGCGTCGGTAGAAGACTTTCCGTCCAATTAGAGGAATATATAGCACGATGGAGACTTGACTTAAGCCTGAATAGCATTCTTTGCCGATTCAGGCATTCAGGTAGTCCAACCCAAGGCGTTCACAGGGCATCCACTTCAGTCGCGCTCGCAGAGCACTAGTTGTAAGTACCAAGACAGCGTTCTCACGATTGGTATGGCTTCCTCGACTGGCGAGCGTCTCGACTTACCTGCGCTTAATGCTGCGCATGTCACGCAGGTACCAAAAGTTTTCGAGCGTGTGTACTGTGCATGACTTTTCAGCTTTCTGATTCCATCGAGATTGCGTTCTATATCTTTTCCTCGCGGGATGTTGTGCCGTGGACGTCGAGATAGGGTGGTACGACGTCTTCGTGTCTCCAACGGGCATTCTTTTCGCGGCAAGTCACGCTAACTGAATGCAGTTTAGATCCAACTTGTACCAACTTGCACAACAGCACAACAGCATGACTCGCCGTAATCAGGCTGACTAGGTGGTGTCAGATACAAAGCCGGGTAACGGAGCTTTGAGACAGTGAAGTTGGAAGCTGTGTTGTGTCAGTGGGAGAATCTGAATATCAATGGAGTCAATTCTAGCTGAGAAAATCACAAGACTCGTACGTTATAGACCAAAAATCGAATATGAATTCATGCATGTAGCTAATCTGCTGGATTTGCTCTTAGATAAAGTACGCCATGAGCCAAACGCGATCAATGTAAATACCGCTAACCCGCTCCCTAGGCTCCAAAATGCCCAAAGGCCAGGTGTCGAATGTAAATGAACTATTTGAATATGCACCTGACCCTTCATCACGATTTCATAGCCTGCTGGCTGAAGCAGTCCGTAGCATTCACCATTCTAGCAGACTTGGTCGATTCAGTCGTCCACTAAAAAACAGCTTGGGGTGTGGAAGGTCTTGAATCAAAGTAGGGAGTGGGTCGAAATGCAGGATGGACAATGCCGCTCACGACGGCATCTCTCACTTCTGTGAATGTTGATGGTACCGGTCGCGGCGAAGACTGAGACTGGGCTGATCTGCGCAAAGTGGCGCCGTGAGACGGAGCTGTTATGGGTCGCAGTAGTGGACGCTCCCATCCGCTTGATGGGCCTTCTAGTTGAGGAACTAGCTGTCGCGGAGAAAGTGTGTCTTTTGCAGGGACCGGCGGTCGTAATGGAGATGGTGCTCTGATGGGCTCCGGGCATTTCCGATCCGATGCAGGCCTGGCAGCTTTGCGGGGCCTAAGTGGTGACGGTGCTCTGACTGGCGACAGGCGCCCGTCTTTCAATAAGTCTTCATCAACTGGTTCTCGCCGAGGTGGCGTTGAAGGTCTCGATTCTGACCCTCTTGCTTGTGAGGAATGACGAATATCTCTCCGTGGAGAGGATTCGGCCATAGGCAAGTTTACTTGGGGCAGCATGGCCGTCTTGTTCAATGGCCTTGGGTTACGAATAGGGCGCCTCACTGGTGCAGAGTGATGCTGATGTCTGATGATCGTCGGAGCTTCGACAGGTTCAACAAACTTGTAGCTCGCTGCGCTTTGAGGTACATCGAAGTTTCCAAGATATGCGTCGTGGGTTTGCCAAATGCCCTCCAATTGATCCATTGTCAAATAGTCGTCTAGGCCTGGCGTTCGCCCTCGTTGTGTCCATTTTGCAGTCTCATGCTTATTATCTAGGGACCTCGTGCGGGTAGTCGAGGGATTTGATGGATTGGAGGAAGGGAAAGTCAATTCACTGGCGGATTTGCTGATACGAATGGAAGTAGTGCTCCGATTGCTCTTTTGAAGGATACCTTTAAAGGATGTGAAGAGCCTTGGCCGCTTCTTGAATGTAAAGGACTTCTCTGAGATTGAGCGCTTGTGTTGCTGTTTGTTCATGTTCGGAAGTAGGGTTTCCCACGAGGCTTCCATGGTGGTCGGTAGGATGTTCAATGCATAAATCTGAGTACAGAAGTTGGGGATATGGAACGATATATGAATAGGCAGCTATTGAGGCTCAGGTGTGCACAGCCAATCAGGCAAGGTCAGAATAGGTCGGACGTAGCGCCCAATTCATTCATGTCGCGCAGCAGTAGAGTGAGGGAGGTGTCTAGATTAGGGATAGTCCTAAACATAACGAAAGGAAGGAAGAAGGATGGAAGAGGCAAGTGAACGTTAGTGAATAGCTATGCAACTGCCATAATCCTAGGGGGAGAGGGCGTTTATCTGGAGAAATCGAGGCCAGGCTAAGAGGCAGTGAATAGCGGGCTTGCGGTTTGGTAACCAAGACGGTAAGCCGCCTCTGTCATCGCCTTGTTGGACTGGAGGACGGCACAAGTGATAACTCAGCGATTGTGAGGTTGTTTAGAACTCAAAAGCGTGGGTAGTGGGGGAATTGGGCGAGATGGGTGGCTCATCGCTCATTGGCGACGACACTGCCACCCAGGGTGCAAAATGCGCAGCAAACACAACTTGCCTGTCGGGATCCTTCCGACCTAGGTCTGAAACAGGATCTCACCTGATGACCCGGCGAAGTCTGTCGCAAGGATAATCATAGAATCTTACGGGTCGATGATCCTATTTTGTGCAGGTGAGACCTCATGGTAACCAAGTGACTGCGTAATCGTGGAGGAGGGGAGACTCCACGATAAAACCCTACCCGTCGACCGGGGCTCGATGTTGAGCCGTTCCGACGCTAAGATTACGATTACGCTAGACCGCTTCTATGGCTAGTGCCCGTCATGCTTGGCGTGGCTTCATGAGCCAGACGGACTTTCTTTGAGCTCTCAAGGTTTTATAGAATCTATTCTATGCAGCGCACCAAATGAGGTTAAAGACTCTTCAAAAGCCGTCATATCCCTCATCTTAAATTACTCTTGCATCTCGGATGGCGTCAATCCTTGATCATGATTTTGGCTCCGAATCCGATGAAGGGGACTTCAACCCAGACACAGGGGGAGGATCGGATAATGAAAGTGTTAGTGGAATGAAGCAGAGAACAAATGGAGCTGGTACGAACAAGCCAAGAGGAAGGGGTGGCAAAGACGAAGACGGTCAGCACTCTTCAAAAACCAAAAGGCGCAGCAATGAAACTGGTGACGATGATGAGGGAGATGCGGCGAGCAACGTAGACGGATCAGAAGATGATGAGGATCAGGAAAACGAAGACGAGGATGACGAGGATGAGGAAGATGCAATTTCTGTACGTCACCATCGAGGTTGCAATTGCGAGTTGCACTAACTGCTGTGCAGCGACGGCCACGAAAACGCGCCAAGAAAGACCCGCGGAACCAGTACCTCGATGTAGAAGCTGAGGTTGACGAAGAAGATGAGGGGGATGACGAAGACGAAGATCTCCAAGCAGACCCGTTCATCGCAGACACACACCCTGATGACGAAGCCGAGTTACCAGATGGAGCTCCTACCGACGATCGGCAACATAAAGAGCTCGATAGAGAACGGCAGAGGAGGCAACAATTAGACGCAGAAGAACAAGCTGAACTGCTCAAAGTGAAATATGGCCGGCCCGCGAGGACCGCCTCTGATGCTGCCATTGTGCCACGCCGTCTGCTGTTGCCAAGTGTGGATGATCCGAGCATATGGGGAGTCAAATGCAAGCCAGGCAAAGAAAAAGAAATCGTCTTCTCCCTACAAAAACGAATGGAGGAAAGATTTGGCTCGAAAAATCCTTTGCCAATCCTTTCAGCCTTTGAGAGAAACCATTCTATGGCGGGCTATGTTTACGTGGAAGCCCGGAGACAGGCGGATGTTCTTAAAGCAATGGATGGTGTAATGAATGCCTATCCACGAACTAAGATCGTCTTAGTGCCAATCAAAGAGATGCCAGACTTGTTGCGCGTGACCAAGACTGAACAACTCCAACCAGACGGCTACGTCCGCATCAAACGAGGTAAATATGCCGGCGATCTCGCTCAGATTGACGACGTTGAGACCAATGGCCTGGAGGCATCACTGCGAATTGTACCCCGGCTTGACTACGGTCAAAATGAAGACAACAATGCCCCAATGGTAGATGGTAATATACGAGGCGAACTTCAGAAAAGAAAGCGCGCGGGAGCAATGGGCCTGAATAATGCTGCAGTGCGGCCGCCGCCAAGACTGTTCAGTGAGGTTGAAGCAAAGAAAAAGCATGCCAAATATGTGCAGCAGGTTTCGACAATGAAGAATGATTGGCAGTACATGGGAGATAATTACAGGGATGGCTTCTTAATTAAGGATTTCAAAATACAGCATCTGATTACGGAAAACGTCAATCCCACGCTGGAGGAAGTCACAAGATTCACTGCAGGCGCGGCGGATGGAACAGAGCACTTGGATCTCAGCGCTCTTGCTCAGACGTTGAAAAAGGGTGCAGCAACGGACAATTACCTACCGGGGGACATTGTCGAGGTTTATGAAGGGGAGCAGACTGGAGTTGTTGGCAAGGCAATTTCTGTGCGAGGAGACATCGTAACCATAAGTGTGACCAATGGTGAATTGCTAGGTCAAGCAATCGAGGTTCCTCAAAAGGGTCTGCGTAAATGCTTCAAAGAAGGTGACCACGTAAAAGTCATTGGGGGAAGCAGGTATCAAGACGAAGTTGGGATGGTCGTTCGCATCAAAAATGATACGGTCACCCTGCTTAGTGATCTAAGCCTCCAGGAGATCACAGTGTTCAGCAAAGATTTGCGAGAAGCGAGCGATTCTGGGGTCGCCGGCGGACTTGGCCGTTACGACATACATGATCTGATCCAGCTTGATCCAATCACTGTCGCTTGCGTAACCAAGGTGGACCGGGAGTCTTTAAGGGTTCTTGATCAAAATGGGTCGATGAGAATGATTATGCCTTCACAGATCTCAAACAAGCTTGACAGACGACGAACGGCAGTCGCCACAGACCGTCACGGATCCGAAATCAGAACAGACGACACAGTTCGAGAGATTGGCGGCGAACAGAAGATGGGCGTCATTCTTCACATCTACCGATCTTTTCTTTTCCTTCACAATCGCGAGCAAACGGAAAACTCAGGGATTTCCGTTGTGCGAGCTTCTAACGTACAGACAGTCGCTGCAAAAGGCGGCAGAGTTGCTCAAGGTGGCAGCACAGCCCCAAACCTGAATGGTATGAACCCAGCCAGAATGCGCAACGGTGCCAACGGCACAGGACCAATGCCACCACCAAAATCCTTTGGCCGAGATCGAGCAATTGGCCAGACTGTCACCGTCCGCAGAGGTGCTTACAAAGGCCTGCTTGGTATTATCAAGGACACCACAGATACTGAAGCACGGGTCGAACTCCACACAAAAAGCAAAACCATCAGCATCCCCAAAGACCACTTGGGTTTCAAAGAGTAAGATTATTCCTCCTCCTAGACGCTTATGTCACTGACATGAATCGTCAGTCCTCTCACAGGCAGTACAATGGACTACACGCGTTTCTCCACCTCCCGCGGTGGCCGAGGCGGTCCCGCCCACAACAACCCCTTCCCTCATCTAACCTTCCAATCGCGCACTCCAGGTCAGGACTTTCAAGGCTCCCGAACTCCTCTTGCCTCCCAAGGCGGACGAACCCCAGCCTGGGGCGCCGCCGCCGCCTCAGGAGGCCGGACACCCGCTTGGTCAGGCGCGGGCTCCTCCTCAGCTCGCACGCCTGCATGGCAACAATCCAGCGCGGCAGGCAACCGGACACCCGCCTACGCACCCGCGAACGATGGCAGCCGTACCGTCAACCCCTACGCAGATGGAAGTAGGACGAGCTATGGTGGTGGAGGGGGGAACAGGACGCCAGCGTGGAACCCTACGGCTACCGCATCGAGCTTCAGTCATGATCCGTTCAGTCTCAGTGGGGGAGGGAGAACGCCGGCTGAATCGAATGGGTATGCGGAGGGCAGGGCTGGGCAGCTGGGTGGTGTGGTTGGAAGGGCGTACGATGCACCTACACCGGCTGCTTCGGCGCCAACACCCGGAGCGAGTAATGGGTATGGAAGCGGCGGTACTGCGGGACAGACGCCGAAGTTTAGCGGAGATGCGCCGACGCCGTTTGGCGGAGGGTTGCCGGAGACGCCGGGATGGAGCGGTGGGGACGCGGGTGGAGGAGGGCCTCAATATGAGGAGGGTACCCCAAGTCCTTAGGTGATGCAATGGGCCGATTTTGTTTCCACTTGAGCAGGAAATAGCGGTCAACGTGATATCCTATTAGTGACAAGGCAATTGGTTCAGCTTGCAAATATAAAAAGCAAGCTGTTAAAAGACATGGTGCTAGAAACAGCAGCTATATTTACCGTCTTTCAACCTAAGGTGAAGACACTTCATCTACCAGATATGGATACAATCCAAGCCCAGAAAAATCTTAATATCATAACCCATCATCTCATCCATCAATATCAATCAGATCACCACTATCCAAACCACAAACCCGACAACGCCTACGCAATTCCCAATCCAACAGCCCCACCACCACCACCGCCATTCACATCAGCCCTCCCACTTCCTCCAGTAGTAGCATTCCCATTCCCCTCCATTCTTGGGCTCCCCAAACCTCCGACAGCCCTCCCCCGCTGATTCTCCCTAATCCTCCTCCCCTCCATCAGTCCCCGCAACCCCCGTTTCTGCAACCCAACGACACAACTTGCCCCTCCGGACCAGATCTCCCCCTCGCCCGCGTTCAAGGCCGCGGGATCCGTTTTCTTCGCCTCCCCTCCCCCACCTCCCCCACCTCCCCCACCACCACTACTCTCCTCACTAATCTCCGACAAACTCGTATTGACAGAGGATACATCAGAGGCAGTATCCGTCTCGCTCTCACTCGCTCCACCAACATCCTCTTTCTGCCCAGGAAGTCTACCGGCGCCAGCGGCACCAGCGGTAGCGAGATTGCGAGCCTGCAATCGCGTAGCAGTCAAGCCGCTCGAGAGATCCGCGCTCTCGGCATCCGCATCGAAGCCTTCTTTGCTGAAGGGCGTGCCTGTGCCACGACCACCACCAGCTGCCATGGCGGCGGCATTGAAGACGGCGGCTGCGTTGCGGCCGTCGAGGATCTGGTGAAGGCGTTCGACTGTTGCCTCCAAGAGGCCATCGATGCGGTAGGGGCGGGCGAGCTGGAGAAGGGAGCAGAGAATCTGCGGGGTGCAGAGGTGGTGGGTCGGGGCTGGGAGCGAGGAGGTGTAGAGGTAGTGAACGAGAGCGCGGAGGGTGAGGAGGGTGTGCGGGAGGTAGAGCTGGCGGGGGCGGAGAGAGGCGGAGAGGGTCTGGGGAGTTGGTGGGTCGTAGGTCGTGCCTGTGCCTGTGAGGGTGGAACCGGAGTTTGAAGAGACGGCGGTGATAGAAGAGGGGGCAATCGAGTGGGAGGTCGTGATGCTTGGGGTTATGGTTATTGAGGAGTTGCGGGAGGCGAGAGAGGTAGAGACGTGGAGGTTGCCGGGGCGGAGAGTGCCGCCATCTGAGGAGGAGGCGGCGTCGTTTTGTAAGGTTGTGCTAGAGGTATTTGATTCGCGGAGGAGTTTGACGAAATAGGGCCCCCAGCGTCGGGAGAGGAGGTAGGAGTTGACAGGGATTTTCTCGCCGCTTATTGCCACCAGATCCATGTCTGCTAGATCTCGTATGTTCATTGCCATAGTACCAAGATCGGCAGCCGCATTCGATAGTGGTCGGCCCCCTGAGTGAAGATTCTTCGTGACGGTGGAAAGGGGCAGTATCGGGGCGCTGATGGACGTGTAATTTGAAGTTGGCCTAAGCCTTCGTGGATTGTCGTAGAGGCCGAAAGCCTCCAATTCCACCATGCAGATATTGGAGAAGTTGATCCTCCGATGATTATAGTCATCGACTAACGAGCGTTTTCGATTACCCAGTATGACAAATGTGTTGCGTCGAGCCCACAGGATACCTCGATTCCAACTGCCCTGGGAAAATATGCCACCACCCGCATCGATTCGACTCCACTCCAGGCTTCTTAGATCCAAAGCCCACAATGCGTATTCATGCTTGGACGAAGTAAGATACGTGCCACTCACGATGAAGTGATTATCAAGCACATCGCCGTTGGGAAACCGCAGACCCGGAGGTGAAACCACTCCCTTCATAGTCTTCTCAGAAAGAGAGCCGTTTGGCATTCGTACTTGGAGCTCCAGCTTGACATCAAGAAAATTATAATTCGAATATATCAACATGGATGATGTTGGCTCTACTTTGTCTATGGCCGCGTGACCACCGTCTGAGTGCTCGTCCTGATCTAGTGCAACTCCTATCTTGAGTGGTGACAGACCGGTCAATGGAGTGACAACACTCCTGTAAGCTCCGCAGGATCGCGGCAGAGATTGCGTATCTGTCCATTTGAGACTTCGGAGGTTGAAAACGCTGACAGCATCGATGTACTTATTGTTACTATCTTGACCGCCAACAACGATCATCTCAGCCCCACCACTCCCATCTAATGCCACACCTAGGGAGCCTTGATTGGGCACTGACGATGGAGGGTTGTGTAATATCGCTGACAAGGGCGCATTAGCGGACGAAAATATTGCGGTAGACGGTAATACAGCAGCACAGTGCGCATATCTTCCAGGCGGCGTTTCAGCAGTCGAAATGTACGTCCACGTCCGCGTAGGTGCATCAAACACGTGTATGTCAGACATGACCGCCATTTCACCGTTTGGATCTGCCGCTTGCTGCGCGTTCCCGCTATGGGCCTGACTCGGTGCAGGAGACATTCCCCCATAACAGATGAGCTTGGTGTCACCCAACGGGCAAATACTGTGGAAATATCTCGGAGGGGGAACATCGCCTCTGACCTGCAATTTAGTCCAATGCCGTTTGATTAGATCCAACTCAAATATATCTGAGGTCAAATAAGGGCGCCTTCTCGACAAAACTCGACCTCCAAAGGTGTAGAGCTTATCTCCCAGAACTGTTGTCGTTGCGCCGACTAATCCATGCGGTTCTTTGCCTGTGCACTTATGTACGTTGCATACAAGACCCGAGAGATTTGTTGTTCCGCCGCTCACGGCAGGTGCTTGACCAGTCAGCTGAGGAGACGTGGCTGTAGGTATAGGTGCATTCTCAGGCGCTCGCGGACCATTGGATGCTTCAACATGGTTCTGTGTATCTTGAATAGCCTGGTTTAAGCTCGACTCGCTACTACTGTGTGTGTCTGCGAGATACGATCCAGATGCTGGCTTGAACCTCTCGTCATAGCTTTGTTCGGGCGAAAAGGCTGAATTATCAGAGTCGAGTGTACTGGCTCGACTACCGCTTGTGGTTGGACGTGACATCTCGAGAATGAATTGCTCGCATGAATGTGATATTTTAGGAAATGCTTGAGAAGTTCGAGGGGTGCTATCCAAGCTCGTTGCAGGGGTCAGAACGGCAGGGCTCAGCGGGTAGACAATTTTAGGTGAGCTGGAAGGGGTCGGAGGAAAGGCCTTGAAGGTATAGGCTACCCCAGGCGCATCAGCAAACGTATATACAGGATGAGACTTCTGCGGCTTTGGCCTAGTAACACGTTCTTTCTGGATGCTAGAGTTGGAGAAAGGGCTCAGAAAGGTGTCTGAAGCTGGAGAAACAGGAGACGGCGGTCGACGGTCAAGAGCAACTTCTGTAGAATCTTGGGTGATAATTATCGGAACATGTTTAGGTTTGTGTCTGCTCACGCTCCTCACAACTACTTTTCTATCGCTTGGACGAAGAGTTTCCTGGGATGCTTTTCTCGGTTGAGGGCTATGCAACGATTGAGGAGGAGTGTAGGCTTTCGCTTTCGCAAACAGACGCTTGTCAAGATACCAATTCTTCTGGGGATTCTGTACAAAGGCTGGAGTGGAGGGTAATTGTGGCGCTTGAAATGATCTTGTTGGGGTACGAGGCGCGGGGTCAGCACGCTGGTTGGTTGCTACCATCATCGTGAGCGTTTGGTCTTATTCCAAGAAGCCAATTGATAAAGACAACGACAAGTGGTTGTTATACAGGCAATCATATGTACTAAGGGGGCAAGGCGCAGAGGAATGCAGACGCGCAGGACAAAAAATGAGAACGTACATACCCCTTCGAGGGCAAAGCCCCCCTCCTAACCCTCCTGGATCTTCTCTGTTTCAAGCAAGAGCAGGATTGAGGCTTCTAATTCCAGCTCCTCGCTCTTTCTGCTGCTCTAAGGAGTCGACGAGTGCGGGATATCCCTGACGGCCAGGTGCGTCTCCTTCTGAGACCCTTGCGTTGAGAAGGGAAAGGCCACCCAATGAGCGGGACTGGGGACTCGGCAAGTCGAGTTCAAGGTTTGGCTCGAGCTCTGAATATGTTCTGTCACAGCTGCAATGGCAGACTGGCACGCTCGAATCTGCCTGCAAGGTCGCGATGTAGATCTTCTTGGTGGGTGATTTTTCTTTTTGCGGAGTGCAGGGAACAGGCCGCTAAGGGAGTTCTACTCTAGGGCTCGTGCAGCCTGAGGCTAAGGTATCTAATCACTTGCAGGCGAAGCTAAGGTGCACTACCCGACCAATGATAGGGGATCCGACACGTCGCTATTTATCTTTTGCAACAGGCAGTCATCTTTCTCATCTTTCCATCACTATCTGGTATCTAAAGTGATGGAATTGTACATGAATCTCCGTTTGGCATTTTGGCCACCTTTTATACAGCGGCACTCGTTTGCTCTCTCGGCAGTGGCGTGAATCTTAGGTACGGCTTCACAATCTTCAGGTCTGGATATTTCGCCTTCGCATCCTCCGTCTTGACGCTTGGGTGAACAATCACATCATCCCCTGTGAACTTCGGTCAGCTACTCAAGTCTCAAGTCTCAAGTCTCTTCTGGCTATTGCCTTCTTCTTTGAATGAGGAGGGTGGATCATGACCTACCGGGTACCCAATTGATTGGAGTCGTGACTTTTTGCTTGTCCCCCGTCTGCAACGAATCCACTACCCTCAGTACCTCTGCGGTGTTTCGTCCTGTGCTAGCCGGGTAGCTAAGAATCAAGCGGATCTTCTTGGCTGGATCAATGATGAAGACGGAGCGGATAGTGAAGGCGATGCCTTTCTGATCCACATTCGTGATATCTTGGTGGTCAAGCATGTCATAAGCGTATGCGACCTTCCGTTCCTTATCTCCGATGATCGGGAACTTGAGGCTTGTCTGCGAAATCTCGTTGATATCCTTCACCCAGCCACCGTGCGAGTCCACGGTGTTGGCGGACAAGCCGATGAGTTTGACCCCTCGTTTTGTGAACTCGGGCTCTAGCTTCGCGAATGCGCCGAGTTCCGTTGTGCAAACAGGTGTATAATCCTCAGGGTGAGAGAATAAGACTACCCATTTGTCACCAATGAAATCATGAAAATCGATGGGGCCGTTCGTTGTGTCTGCATTGAAGTTGGGAGCAGTGGAACCTAAGCGGAGGCTGTATGTTCTGTGAGCAAGCGATACATCACGTCAATGTGTACTGGCATATTCATACGGTTCGGGACGCTCTGTAGAGCCCATTGTGAAGGTTCTTGTGCTGGTAAAGCTTCGTGAGTTTTAGTCAGAATGCAGGGTGGCGATGTCGGAGGTGGAAGGGCAAAAGTGAAAAGATCAAGAAGAAAAATAATTAATTGACGATGAGCCCTTTTATTTTCTATCCCATTCTTGTGTTTGGATTACTGGTGCTGCATCACGCAATCGCACTAACGCAAACCATCTGGCCATCCCGCAGCAGCCACCCAAATGACGTTTGGTGAGCAGAAAGACTTCTCGAGGTCATCCCAGGAAATGCCCTCCAACGATAACGCAATCGAATTGGAGAAGGAGACATTATTCTACATGCAGTGAGAATTTTGAAATTTCTATTTCCTTGATTGAATGATGTGGCCTTTTGATCTATTGCCACACACTTGTACATAGATCTAAGCAACGCCTGACACGACTAATCGTACATGCGCCTACAGCTCGTCGTGACCTGACTCCTCGTCTTCTTCTTCCTCGCCAGTGCTTTCGCCGGGAGCACCTCCACTGTAAAGTTTCGAGGTGATGGGGTAGGCGACATTGCTCAGCTTCTCCTTTTGCTCTTCGAAATCTTCACTTGTAGCGTCCGCCGCATTCTCTTCCAGCCAATCTGTTGTTTCTTTGACGGCCTCCAATAGAGTCTCCTTGTCGTCTTCGTCAATTTTGCCACCAAGACCTTCCTCGTCAGCGACTTGATTCTTAATGGAGAAAGCGTAGTTCTCGAGGCCGTTGCGAGCTTGAATACGATCTGAGGTAGCCTTGTCTTCCTCGGCGAACTCCTGAGCCTCAGCGATCATGCGATCAATCTCCTCCTGAGATAGGCGGCCTTTGTCGTTGGTGATTGTGATACTCTCGGATTTACCAGTGCCCTTGTCGCCTGCCGAAACCTTGAGAATTCCATTTGCGTCTAGTTCAAATGACACTTCGATTTGAGGTTGGCCACGAGGAGCTGGTGGAATGCCAGTAAGATCGAATTTGCCCAAAAGGTTATTGTCCTTAGTCATAGAACGCTCGCCCTCAACTACATACATCTTAGCGGAATTCGCAAATCGTTACCAAGGATACATCAACTTACAAACTTGGATCAAGACTACCGGCTGGTTATCAGCGGCAGTCGAGAATATCTGGCTCTTCCGAGTTGGGATGCTGGTTCCGCGAGGGATCAACTTGGTCATGACACCACCAGTGGTCTCAATTCCAAGAGTCAATGGATTGACATCCATGAGAATGACCTCTTTGGTTCCTTCGGCGCCGGAGAGGACACCACCTTGAACAGCGGCGCCATATGCGACGGCCTCATCGGGGTTGATGTTCTGGCTGACCTTTTTGCCGCCAAAGAATTCTTCCAACATAGCTCGGACCTTAGGAATACGAGTCGAACCGCCGACCAGGACAATGTCGTCGATCTCATTCTTCTTAACCTTAGCGTCCTTGAGGACTTGCTCAACAGGTTTGAGAGTCTTCTTAAAGAGATCCATGTTCAATTCCTCAAATTTGGCCCTTGTGAGCTGCTCTGAAAAGTCTACACCCTTATGGAAGCTTTCGATTTCAATGCGAGTGGACATCTGGCTAGAGAGGGTTCGCTTCGCCTTCTCAACTTCGCGCTTCAGCTTGCCCATTGTCTTGAGATCTTTCGTGATATCGACGTTCTTTTCCTTGTTGTATCTCTTGGTGAAGTAGTTAATAATTCTCTGATCTACAGGACAGTCAATTTGGGTATCCTCTCTCCGGAGTGAGAATCCTTACCAAAATCTTCACCACCAAGATGGGTATCACCAGCTGTTGCCTGGACTTCGAAAGCGCCGTCATCGATTGTCAAGAGAGACACATCGAATGTACCGCCGCCAAGATCGTAGACAATAATTTGACGCTCCCCTCCCGTACGATCAAGACCATAGGCGATAGCTGCTGCGGTTGGCTCGTTGACAACACGGATGACGTTGAGGCCAGCGATGATTCCGGCGTCCTTGGTGGCTTGTCTCTGATTATCGTTGAAATAGGCGGGAACAGTGACAACCGCGTTCTTGACTGGTTTCCCAAGATAGCTCTCAGCGACATCCCTCATCTTTCCCAAAACCATAGCCGAGATTTCTTCAGGCGAGAAAGTTCTATCCTTGCCTTTGACATCGACAGTGATTGCCGGCTTGTCACCGGCGTTTGACACCTTGAAGGGGAAGTGCTTGAGATCAGCTTGGACATCCTTGTCCGCCCATTTGCGGCCAATCAAGCGTCTGTCCACGTGTTAGCCAAATATCGCTCCATCACCATTTATTTGAGCAACTCACTTGGCGTCGTAGACAGTTCTCCTGGGATTTGAAGCGTATTGATTCTTCGCGGCGTCTCCGATAAGCCGCTCTTCGTCGTTGAATGCTACATAGGATGGGGTAATTCGGTGTCCTTGATCATTTACGATGATTTCGACTTTTCCATTTTGCATGACCCCCACGCACGAATACGTGGTACCAAGATCTATGCCAATGACTATGGTTTATGTCAGTCACGGAGTTAAATTGGACTCGGACTCGGACTCGGTCAACACGCACCATCTCCAAGATCTTCCCTTAGGGGGGCTTGCTCTTCTGACTGTGCGTTGGCGGGACTAAGGAGGGCAAGAGGACATATGAGGACCGCTAGAAGGAGGAAGACAGGATACCATGATGAGGAGCCGGTGCTCCGCCTCGCGAAGCGAGCCATGGGGAGTGTGTGTGAGGATTTGAAGGACCAGTAGCGAAGTGATGAATGCTTTGAGATGTTGGTCGTTGGGTGAGGATGAGGTCGAGAAGACGACGATAGACGCGATGTGTCTTCTGCGGAGAGAGTGAAAGTGTGAGGTGTTGTGAGTGTTGCAAGCGCACTTAAAAGGGTTGTGGTGTAAAGGCCAGCTATCTTTTTCCATAGACCAACCCAGCGGAAAGTGTAAAACAATACTTCGAATATTCTGATTGGCTGCTGAAGATAGACTGCTTACTAAGTGGCAGAGCCCAAGCTCGCCCCTGAAAGTTCGTCGGTTCTTGGCATCTTCGTCGACCCTGAGGTAGAGTCCTAGACACTGTCGCCGGAAATAACTTATACACCAACCGCATTTCCGAATGGTGGAATCGTCGGAGCGACACCGGGTGGAAGTCAGTCGAGCTCGACTAATAAAAATTGGTGGGGACATGACTGATCACTGACGTCGCTTGCTGGGGTTTGGGGAGACATACTTTGTGGCAGTCTTCTAATTAATAAAAACATGGCGCCTCAAATTTGCTCCCTCGCTTCTTGCAAGAGCAGTCCATATCTATCATGGACGATTCTGGGTCGTTACGACTCGACAAGGTTCGTTCACCGACAATCTCTCCTGATGCAGTCATTGTGTATCACGACCTGACCCATGAGACTCTTCTGCCTTCACCAGTACCATTTCATAAAGAGAATGTGGAGATAATTCCTCCACCCGATCTACGTTCTTATGATTCTCCTTTCAATTGGTCTCAATCCCGGAAAACCTTTATAACATGGCTCTCGTGTACCGTGACCGTAGTGACAGCGTATACCGCTGGCGCCTACAGCCCGCCAGCCCAGCAGATGTCCGAGTACTGGCATGTAAGTACCGTGGCTATTTTTGTGGGAATAACAACATTCACCACTGGCTTCGCTATCGCTCCAATGGTGCTGGCCCCGTTCTCCGAGCTGAATGGGAGGAGACCCGTCTTCATTGCAACTGGCATCTTATTTGTTCTCTGCCAACTCTGCTGTGCAATCACGCGTTCCTATGGGGGCATGCTCGCCGCGCGATTTTTTACAGGGGTAGGAGGGAGTACCTTCTCTACCATGGTCGGTGGAGTGATCAGTGACATCTATCATCACGAAGATAGAAATATGCCCATGTGCCTGTTTACGGGGGCAGCTATGATGGGAACTGGTCTGGGGCCCATGGTCTCTGGATTCGTAGCACAGCATCTTGAATGGCGGTGGGTCTTCTACCTACAAGCTATTGACGGCAGTCTTGTCATCCTCGCCGTAATAATGTTCTTCCAGGAAACCCGAGGTAGCGTATTACTGAGTCGCAAGGCTAGGGTGCTCAATGACTGGTACGAAGCTCGGGAAAAGGCAGGCCTTATCGGTTTCAGCGTGCCCTCGGATACGACTGGAATCATGCAAATACAGAGAATCCGATGGAGAGTCCGGGCTGATGAGGAGCGAGATAGCCTCGCAAAGATGATTGCTATCTCGTGCTACAGACCCTTCCGTAAGTGCACGCTCATCAACTGAGTGTATATTTGCTAATATAACCTTTGCAAGACCTGTTGTTGACGGAGCCCGTCGTTTTCTTTTTCTCTTTATGGGTTGCTTTTAGCTGGGCCGTCTTGTACTTGACCTTTTCGTCGATACCATCGGTCTTTCAGACAAACCATCATTTCAATACTGAGCAAACAGGAGCAGTATTCGCAGGTATGTTTGCCTTGAATCGAAATTTAAGCTCACTTACCAAAGCAAGTAGCAATGTGTGTGGGAGCCATTTTGTCCACGTTTCTCAGTATTTACCAGGAGAGACTGGCTAAGCATTACAGCAAATTCTCTTCTTCACCTGAGGATCGGCTGTACTTCAGCTGCATTGAAAGTGCTCTTATGCCAATTGGACTTTTCTGGTTTGGCTGGTCATCTTCCCCTTCAGTTCACTGGATAGTGCCGACCATGGCTATTGCGTGCGCTACAATGGGTATCTTTTCAATCTATCTGGCGGTTTTCAATTACCTTGCCGACACTTACCATCGCTACGCATCGTCTGCGCTAGCAGCACAGTCCTTCTCGAGGAACATGCTAGGCGGAGTTTTTCCACTGATAACGAGTGCCATGTTCACACGTTTGGGCTTTGCCGGGGCCTCCAGCCTTTTGGGGGGCATTGGTGCTCTCTTGACATTAGTACCTTGGATCTTGTTGTTCTATGGCCCGAGGATCCGGGCAAGAAGTAGATTCGCAAGTGTAAGCAACGTTTTTGAAGTAAGGAATATACAAAAGCTAACACCAGGCCTAGGAGCTATTGACGGCTTGATTACACGCTTTCTTTTTGCATTATTGAGAACAGGCCCCATTGGGTCGGCTCAGTAATATATCATCAAAGTCATGGCCCATCACTCCCACCATAGGAGAAACAGACGTTCGGTCCAGGTTGTGTGAAGCGGAGGTTCTTCGACTTTTTCGCAACCGACCACAACGAGTGGCTTTGTAGATGTATAAGCACCATTTTCTTCCACGTGAAAGACAGACCTCCCATAGGAGCGATAAGGTCCTTCACAGTCACGAAGTGAAGATTCTTCCTGCTATGACGCAATAGGAAGTTCGTTGCACAACGTCCCGGCGGGGTGCTTTAGCGTAGGAGAAGCTACGATATCTCGGTCTCAGCAATCGTCGTGTCTTGTCTCATTTTCAATTGCACTTACAAGCCACCAAGAAGAGATGTCAGACCTTTTCGTTGATCTCACGGCACCCAATGGGCGCAAGTATACCCAGCCAAGAGGTCTCTTCATCAATAATGAATTCGTACCTTCCAAGTCTGGGGATAGGATAACAAGCATCAATCCAAGGTAAATTCCATGTAGACTCTGCACCATCAATCTCATCGTTGCTTCAAAACAACTAGCGCTCTCAAAAATTGTACGATGCTTACGACCAGCTATTCAAGCATTACTCCATGTCACCTACTATGTCTTGTTCCCTTTCAGAAAAGCGAGGTCGCTATGATGACTTCCTCTGATATTTCAGTCTATTCTTGCAATTTGTGCTTTGGGGAAAAAACAAAGTGTGAGCGTTTGCCAAATAATCACCTTGCTCTGCGAAATCAACTCGACGATGCATATCGATTTTCCAGACATACATCACAGATCCATTCTTATTGTCCCATAACCTATCATGCTTACTCAAGTAAATCAATTACAGCGATGAGACTCCAATCGCCTCCGTCTACGCTGGTTCAGCTCCCGACATCGACGCCGCCGTCGCCGCCGCCAGATCCGCTTTCAAGAACCCGTCCTGGCATAACATGTCCGCCACTGATCGAGGCAATCTAATGATGTCCCTCGCCACCCTCGTCGAAAAACACGCCGAAACCCTCGCCACAATCGAGACCTGGGACAACGGCAAACCCTACAGCGTTTCCTTGGGCGAAGACCTTGCTGAAGTGGCTGGCACACTGCGCTACTACGGCGGATGGGCGGACAAGATCCATGGCGAAGTCATCAACACCAGCCCCGACAAGCTGGCGTATACGCTGCGAGAACCAGTCGGCGTATGCGGGCAGATCATCCCGTGGAACTACCCGGTAGGTACTAAGCCCTCCTCTCCCCCCTTAAAACTCACTATCCCCAAGCCTCCACATCTCTGACATCCAGCTACACATCTAGCTCGGCATGGCGGCCTGGAAACTCGGCCCAGCACTCGCATGCGGCAATACAGTGGTCCTCAAGCCCGCCGAGCAAACTCCCCTCAGCATTCTTTACTTCGCCCAACTAACCATCGAAGCCGGCTTCCCCCGGGCGTCATCAACATCGTCAACGGAACCGGACCCGACGCCGGCACAGCCCTCGCCTCCCACCTAGACGTCGACAAGATCGCCTTTACAGGCTCCACCGCCACAGGTAAGAAAATCATGAAGATGGCCGCCTCTAACTTGAAGAACATCACCCTGGAGACGGGGGGCAAGAGCCCGCTTATCGTGTTTGCGGACGCGGAGATGGAGCAGGCGGTCAAATGGGCGCATGTGGGTATTATGAGTAATCAGGGGCAGATCTGCACTGCCACTTCGCGAATCCTGGTCGAGGAAGGGGTGTACGATAGCTTCATCGAGAAATTCACAGAGCAGGTCAAGACAACAAGTAAAGTCGGGGATCCCTTCGAGGAAGCCACGTTCCAGGGCCCTCAGGTCACGAAGGCGCAGTTTGAGCGAGTGTTGGGCTATATTGAATCAGGGAAGAGTGAAGGGGCGACGTTAGTAGCTGGCGGCGAGGCGCAGAAGGATGTCAACGGTGGCCACGGGTTTTTCGTTGCGCCAACGGTGTTTGCGAACGTCAAGGACGGGATGCGGATTTATCGCGAAGAGGTGTTTGGGCCGTTTGTGGTGATTTCGTCGTTCAAGAGCGAGGAAGAGGCTGTGGAGAGGGCAAACGATACGACGTATGGCTTGGGTGCGGCGGTGTTCACGGAGAATCTGACGAAGGCGCATAGAGTGGCGAGAGCGATCGAGGCGGGGATGGTGTGGATCAACAGTAGCAATGATAGCGATTGGAGGATTCCTTTTGGAGGAGTCAAGCAGAGTGGGGTTGGGAGAGAGCTGGGAGAAGAAGGATTGAAGGCGTATACGGTGTGCAAGGCCGTACATGTAAACATGGGTACTCGGCTGTGAGAAAGAGATGTCATTGAAAGATTTCGCGACTATTTCGAGACGGAACGTCTTTACTTTGTCTCCGCTAACAGGATTGTGCTGCATTGACCATCACATAGAGCCAACGACTCCTTCAGATGCAGGAACAACAGGGGCTTACATTCCGAATTCAGATTTCGTAGCTCACGGTCCTCCCAAGCGGGCTCTTCGTCTTGCTTGACCACTGTAAAGTCTTTCTCCTAGCAGCCACCAGCCGTCGCCTAACCTCCTCGTCTGGCTCATCCTCCACATTACCGCTTGTTGGGAATAATCGATCGCCTTTGTGTTTCGGAGGGCATGTCCGCTGTATTAAAGTTGCGCCTTTGCTAAGGTAAAAAGGCGTTGTGGGTGAAGCACCCATTATGTCACCATCTTGCGAGCCTTCTCCTTGGTTTCGATCTGGAGTTGCAGGTAGGGAACTAAGCATTGACAGTTGCTCAGCTTCCTCGGATGTGACTTGTTCAGTTTCAAGGACAAAAGTATCTCGACGAGAAGCTGGGGTGTTCAGAGCTAGAAACTCCTTTGTTGGCGACATCTGATGTGCTTTGGGTGGTGTGTCATTCCCAGCGAGCACAAGACTGCCCTCCAGATTGGCTAGTGCCTTAGGCTCCATCGACTTCCGGCGACGATGACCTCCGCGAGGTACGAGAGAAAGATCAATGGCGTAGTTGGCTTCGTCCAACCAAGCGTCTTCACGCTCACAGCTATCGAGACATTAGCATTTTGAACAAAACGATACTGAGCAGAACAGAGCTTACTCTAAAACCCATCCAACACCTACGCATACAACAACGCCTTCACTAAGACGGACCTTCTCTAGCGTGCGTACCCCTCCGTCCTTGTACACAACGTGAGTGATGCCTACCTTGTTGAATGATGAAGACATATTCGGTGAGATATCCTGTGGTGATCCCTTTGTGCCCAGGGAATCTCCCTGACTAGCACGAGGGTTCCAATTCCATTGCTTCACGCAACGGGCACCCATCTGAGTGAGGAGATCAACAAAAATGCCACTCGCATCAGCACCCTCTGAGGTATGCACATCTACATAGACGACTGCGCCCTGAAGAACTTTAGATGCTCCATTCTTGCGTCCGGTACGTCCTGGCGTAGCAGAGTCAAGTTTCATACCACTACTGGGCGTCTGAGGTGGTTTGACTGGCGAAAGTGTTGGGGTGGCGGGCTCTTCAGAAAAAGCCATATCGTCAACACTACCCTCAGCAAGAACTGCTAATGCACCACCACCAAGAGACTTGCTACGCTGGCGAGGCAGCTTGAAAGACGACATTTCCCCTGAAGCCCTCAAAGGGACTTTGGAGACTGTACAAACTTCACGGGGTCCTCGCGAAATCTGCTTTGCTGGCGTGAACACTTTAGCCGGAGTGCAGGTCAACGTCGGATCATTAGCCTCCTGCTCGGCTCTGAGGACTTCTGCTTCTGCTGGAACAGCGTTCTCGTCACCGTATTCGCAAGAAGCTTGTGATTCCATACTTGCTTGCAGATTAGCAGATTCGTGTTGATATTGATCGACCTGTTCTCGGAGAGGTGTTATTTGCTCCACGTCCAATACATCTATCTCGTCTTCGAAGAACGATGTTTTTGCAGGCGGCTCTGTTAAGAGATCTGTTTCTTGCTGCTCCGGCACTTCTGGCAGAGGGCCAGATGGAAGGGAAAATATTCCACGCTGCTGTCGAGATGGACGTTGCTTATCTGGGCGTGAAGCCATCCAACCACTGAACATATCAGACAATGGAGTAAAACTTGCGTCTCCCGCAGTCGTCCCGAGTGAATCGTGTGCATCTACATCCATGGATTGTCTTCTGAGAGGCGTTGGAGCAAAACGTTTGTCAGGGGAGGCAAGCTCATCTTCGGATAGCTGTGAATTTCCAGAGATTCTCCTCCACATAGTCGAAGCTCCTAAGTTTGGGAGAGAAGGATTGGCCGCAGATGGAGAAGCATCCAGATGAGAGGCTTCGACTTCAGATTCATCGTCACCATCCTCAGACAATGACGCACCCTTCAATTCAGTCCCTACCGAGCTTGATTCCGTAGGAGCTAATACCTGTTGAGCGGTGGGAGTCGAACTTTCGTCAACATCTGGCGGATCTGTCATTTCTACGTCGGTCTCCACAGAAGACTGTGGCGTTGCCGAAGTCTTTTGCAATGATACTTCATCGCTGTGAGAAATGATCTCTGACTTGGCAGGAGAGAACAATGCTGCTCTCTTAGGGCTACTTTGAAATTGGCCGAGTTCTTTCACCGGCTTGATGGCGGGAGTAAAGCTACTTGTCTTCAATGGAGAATTGAGACGACGGGCTGGTGATTGCAGCAGAGACGCCTTGAACGGTGTTTGCGATGGCATGACTATTTGGCTTGATCCAATCTCCGGAATCTTGACTTTTCGAGGCGACTCGAGGAGCAGCGAAGTCTTGACCGGCGAGGTTGCCTGAGACCCAGAGAATTTCGGCTTCGCAATGGTGTCGGCAAAATTGAACTTCTTTGGTGAAGATTTCATGCTGTCTTTGAAGGGCGACTGCGGAAATCGCTTGGCAGGACTGCTAATTGCACTGGCATCAAAAAGTTTTGACGGTGACACAGGTACTGTGATTTGAGTCGAAGCCTGCTTCGAGGGGCTAGTGATCGCTTTCAAAGGGCTGGTCTTTACTTTGACAGGAGATCTGCTGAGAGCACGAACGGGAGTATTATCAACAGCAAGCTCATCCTCGGATGTAGACGGGGTCTTTGCGACCTGTGTCACCTTTTTGGGAGATAAGGGTAGGTCTGCAGAAGAATTGGGCACGGTGTCAGAGCTACCTTTTTGCGCTGTCTTTTTGCCCCGCGCTGTTGCTTTGGTGGCCGCCGGCTTTCTGATAGGCTTTGCTTTCAGACCTGTAATCTTCATAGCAGACTTTTTCGGGCCTTCAGGTTCAATGGGAACATTCTCTTTGTCTGGCTCGTCTTGAAATTGGACTTTCTTCTTCGTTACAGTTTTCTTCGAAGTGGCTTTCGCTGTCTCGGTTTTAGATGTCGCAGCTGCTGCGGCTCTTCCGCGCGTAGTCTTCTTCAACGGAGCAGGCTCTGCAGCTGCCTCTGAAGTCTGGGTTACAGTATTGATTTCTTGATCAACCGCAGTTGCTCCTCTTCTCGGCCTCGCACGTGTCTTGGTCGTATCGTCCTTGGCTTGGCTCATTGGCGTGCGTACCTGGCGGCCTTTCGGCTTGGGAGCCTCTTCTGCTACATTTGAAGACTCTTCTGGCTTGGCGATTTTTCTTTGTCTCGAGCCTCTGGGCTTTGCAGACTCTTCCTTGGGCTGAATCACAGGTAAAGTTTCGTTTTTGGCTTGCTCAGCTTGTAAATCCACCATCTCATTTTCCTCGTCTTCAGCACGTGTCTTTCGCTTCGTTGTCTTTGTTGGAGCTGCGGCTGCTTTCTTCTTAGTTGTTGACGACTTCGTCGACGCGATTTCTGTCTTTGTTGTTGTGGTCTGGACTTCAGCTTCAACGGGTGCTTTGGCTGCGCGCGCCCTGGTCACTCGCTTCGGAGGAGACTCGGCCATGTCTGCAGCCTGTTTGCGTTTAGCAGGGACGGATCTGGTGACCATTCTGGCGTTGATCCGTGTGTGATCTAATAAATTTGTCGATGTATCAAGAGGGTTGTACTCTGGGTGCAGAAAGTCGAAGTGCGGGGCGGTGTTTACTATTTACTCGTAAACAACGCCTTGGGGACCGCTAACTTCTTATGTACTTAGCTCCAGAATCTGCAGCCAATGACATTGGCCTATCAAGAGCTCACCAGCTTGAGCCCTTCAACAGAGTCTCAAGCATACTGCATCTTCTTCGACATACGGCGATCATTCGAGGGCATCCTCGATCATACGCGATAATTGTGTCCGAAAACTAGAGAGAGGCATGGCGACGGCGGGAATCCAGTCTGCCTACTTCAATCCGCTTTTTGAGCCTGTTCTTTCTTCCCTTTTTTCAAGAACCGGTACCCAGCTTCAGCTTTAGCATCTCCGATGTTTTTCCAGCATTTCATCAGGATTACAACATCATTGAGATGTCAAACTTTGCGAAGATGGTCTTTCCTTGGGTTGGCAGAGAACGCCCGTGTCTTGTGACTCTCGCCCTTGTTGGCCCATAGTTCTAACCATTGGAGTCGGAACACGGCTGTTCAAGAGACTCAGTGGCTGTAAGTCTCTACTCAACACGGCCACGGCACGGATGAAAGTCAATTGCTGTATCAATATAACGAGTGCATTCGCTACCTTCTTTTGAAACACGCACGGCAATTTGCCAATTACGTCGTTCCTCCTTCCGCAGACCCCGCGTTTGCATTTTGCTTGTCTAGAAAATTAACCCTCGAATCTGTGCTTTCAAGTCATTGTACAGAAAATCAAGTAGTATGTTTAGATCTAGGCGCGCTTTATTGAGACCTGCAAATTTCTTCAAGCTGTTTCGAAATCCCCTACTACAGCGCTCATTCACAAACTCCCGCAACGTCGCCTACTCTTCCCTTGAGAATCCACCAAAAGGCCATGACCCACAGAAACCAGATCGAGACCCTCCATCACCTCCATCGCAGGAAAGCGAACATTTAAATACCAACAAAGCAGCCGCGAGCTTCCTGGGCACCACCAAACGCCTCCCTGAGTTCAATCTCACGGACAAAGTCATCCTTATCTCGGGAGCAGCCCAAGGCCTGGGCCTAACCCAAGCGGAAGCTGTCCTTGAAGCTGGTGCTACCGTTTACGCCCTCGATCGCAAGCCAGAACCCTCGCCAGACTACTATCGGGTCCAGAAGCGGGCAGCGGCGGAACTTGGGACGACGCTGTATTATCGCCAGATCGATGTTCGGGATGTGAAGGGCCTGAATGAGATCGTAACAGAGATTGGATCTAAACATGGCAAGATGGATGGATTGATCGCTGCGGCCGGCATACAGCAAGAGGTCCCAGCGTTGGAGTATACTGCTGAGGATGTGAACAAGATGATGGAAATCAACGTGACCGGCGTGTTCATGACGGCTCAGGCTGTGGCCAAGCAGATGATAAGGTTCGGTAACGGGGGCAGTATGTGTCTGATCGGGAGCATGAGCGGTACTGTTGCAAATCGGGTATGCTTGCTTCGGGAAATACCAGCTGTTTCGGGGTCGCTGACCCTAATTGACAGGGTCTAATTTGCCCAGCCTACAATGCGTCAAAGGCTGCGGTGCTTCAACTCGCTCGCAATCTCGCTTCGGAATGGGGAGTGTACGGCATTCGAGTGAACACCCTGTCCCCTGGCTATATCGTGACTGCCATGGTGGAGGAGCTGTTTAAACTGTACCCTGAGAGGAAGACAGATTGGCCGTCCCAGAATATGTTGGGCAAGCTGAGCAAGCCAGAGGACTTCCGAGGGGCGGCAGTCTTCCTCTTAAGTGAGGCGAGCAGATGGATGACGGCCACAGACCTGCGCATCGATGGAGGCCATGCTGCATGGTAACGTCAATACAAGCTTCGTACTTGGATTGCAAGTTAGTTTAAACGCGCTTTGCCAGCTAACAGGCTATGCGTCAATGCCTTGTGGTAAGAACAGCATCCACAGCATCAGATCTCAAGGCTCAATGGTTCTCCAAATCTCCGAAGCGTCTGTCACTAGCCATCGTCTATTTGAGCCCGATCAGCTCTTCATCGCAGACTGGTAATCATATTGCTGCTCATTGTAGCATTTGCAAAGTTCTATTGGTGACCAAGTCAGGTTCATGATTGCATGTCCAACTGCTTGCCATTGTATCAGTCATAGATCCCAGAGTCTTCTTTACCTCTGCTCGAAACGCTCGCTTCACCCACTAAAGCCAGCTTTCCGACTGTGCCAGGCGACAGGTGTAAGGTGTTTTCAATCTCCTGGGCGCCCATGCTCTGATCATCTCTCATGCTCAAGACCTGTCGAATAGTCATGACGTCCAAAAAGCGTCTAGTAGCTTTACTAGCAGCGCTCCGGGTTTGTGTAAGTTCCTGCTCTGCCTGCTCTGCTATCTGAGTTCGCGCTTCTAAGATCACCAAGGCGGGATTATGAGCCGCATTAGGGAAGATGTTCTGGCCTTGTGGCGGTGGAGGAGATATGTCACTTTGCTGCTGTGGAATCGATGGCCCGGAACCTGTAGCAGCTTGGTGGGCTCGAAAGGTTGATGTATTTGAGAGGGTGGAATTTGGTTGGACTGGGCCGAGAGAGCGAAGGGATGCTGCAAAGTCTGGGTCTTGGGCGTCCGAAGTGACAGCTAATGGGGTAAATATGAGCAATGACTCTATTCATAGCTTTGACAGAGCTTGAGCATACCTTGATCTTTGCTCTCGCTGGCGTGCGGAGTAGGATGTACCGTTGGTCCGGTTGTGCTGATAGGGTCTGGGGTAGAAGATGCCCCGGTGCGAGACTTGACAGCAGCAGAGCTTGGAGGCACCCGCGAGGGATATTGACGCGGCTTGGGGGTATTTGAAGCCGCTTTGGCTACTTTTGAGGATGTAGAGCCCATGCGTGTCTGATTTGTATTGATATTGACCCTGGGAGGGGATTCATTCAACCAAGAAAATTTGCGGATGGTTGAAGGTTCTGTTGATATGAGTTTGTTCTTGAAAATTGTTTTTCAAGTCTGTGTTTAGGTGAAAATATTCCTCAGTCGCAATAGTGGTTTAGCTGCGATTTACGGGCTTCCAGTTCTGCATCGCGACGTTACCAAAGTCGAGTTGCATCTCAATTGTCGGATCTGGCTGACGTTTGGGGACAAGAATAGCCGGCAAAGCCCTGCTAAGATGTCTCGACACACGTGACTAGCCCCTCGTGCCGAATTTGTATCAACCACCCGTGAAAAAACTGATCTTTCACCTATATTGGCTTTTGTATTGATGCCATGCTGGTCTAAAGCTGTACACTCCTTGTGGAACAGGGGGTACAATGCGCAGAACGAGCGCGAACATCCTACCTCCACGGGGACCTGATAGATACGAAGTCAGACTCTACCTCTACGTGATTCCATCATGTCTCATGAAGGATAGGAGGCAGTGAGGCTGCTCAATGAGAGGCCCGACAAGAGACTTGTCTTTCAGGTCAGGCAGGCGTGAATGATATGCCTAAGGCTCCAACTTTCTAAGGGACCCCTAGCCTTTTTAACATGAAAACTTGGCTTTGCACTCTCGGCCACTGGGTAAAGTAGTAGGCCAAACTCTGTATCTCTTTGATTCACTGATTGAGAGACCCAACGTCATCCACGTTGCTGGAACTAAGGGTAATGGAAGTACATGCGCATTCACAGCATCATTCCTGAAGGCGCACGGTAATAGGACTAGGTACCCTGAAAAAGGGGAACTTTACACTTCGCCGCATTTCAAATATCATCCAGAGAGAATCTAAATCAATTCTCAGCCTCTGCAGAAGGACTCGTTTGCGAGATACTTCTTCAAAGTATTGAATCAGCTGGACTCACAGGATTTGTCTAAACCCAGGTATTTGCTGCTTCTGATGCTCGTAGCATTTCATACGTTTATCAGAGAGTGTGTAGATAACTTTGTAAGCGAAACTCACAGTTGCGGGGAGTTCGATGCAATGAACATATTTCCACATCCCATCGCATGTGCAACAGCTTAGACCGACTATTGAAAATATAGCGTGGCACAAGTCCGGAATTTTCAAATCAGGCGCTCCGGCCCTCTCTGTTGACCAGGGGTACCGGTTTACCACCGTTCTGCAACCGCAACAAGTCAGCTTGACGGTGGACATACCATCTTGGCTGGAGGCCATGTAAGGCAAGGTAAATCATACATGTGCCATTTTTTCAAGGCAAACCCACGGTTTAATCATAGTACCGATCGAAAAGGCAACGAGCGATCTTCCAGGAGGAAGGAGAAGGAATGACTGCACACTTTTCCCTAACTTCACATCGTCAAATTCTCTAGAAATACGTTGAAGCAGATCTAACCATCAATGCAAATTGCGATCATGCAATACGCTGTCCTCCATACTCTTGGAACATTAAAGGCAAAGAATACAACTGTCCAAATAGTGACCATTTCAGTCGTCCACGTACCCCACCCGTTCAGAACCCCACCTCTGTCCACAAGCCACAAGGTACTGCACCGAGCGCACTACCATCGTCCTCTCAATTCATATCATGTACCATATATGATGATCTTCTCCCCCTTTTCGAATCCATAATGTATTCCGTCTTCATCAAATCCTGTTTCTTCTGTGGTCGTAGTTACTGGTCTTGCCGGCCAATGCGTTCGCCATGGTTGAGATCGTGTTCCATCGTTCGGGCCATTGATGCTCTGCGAGCTAGGGGGAGGAGCAATGCTTCCTGTGGAGCTTGGAAAGCCGTTTTCACTCTTGGTAGGCATCGCGATGCAACGGATGCGTTCTTGATCAAAGGGAGAAGATCCACTCAGTCTGTTTGAGCAGGACGCAAATGTTGCGCTGCTGTTTCGAGCAACGAAGGGAAGGAAGGGCTTTCTAGGATCGCTCTATTTGGCGCTTCAGATAGGATATTCTATGATCTAGATGGCTTGAGAGAATAGAGGGAAGCAGGATAAAACGTCCTGGATTGTTCAGGCTCTCAAATATGCATACCCCCTCGGGACCTGCAAGATCATTGGGTGCTTGATTGAACTAGAGCCTAGTGAGATCCGATGACCATAATTATGTGGACTACTTGAAGCGCTTGAACAATTTTCAATTTTTTGTCTCATGTCCCTCAACCGTTCAAGCCAGTGATTGTGAGCATACACCTTTCATACCGTCAGCACGCATCCCCGTTGGAGAAATCTTTCCTTTCATTCTGTGACGCGCATTCACTAGACACTGAGCCAATCACTCCGGCGCCATCGACATCCTCGTATCATTAAGTTCATGCCGACAGGATTCAATCGAATGAGCCTGTTTGAAAGACACGACGCATTGAAAAAAGCTATTCACAGTCCTTGCACACCCTCAGGCACCGGGGCGGTATGTACGAATCCAGGTTCCTTCTGTACCATCTTGCCCGTAAAACGCCCTGCCCAAATTGAGACCATTTGATCAAGAACAGACTCTTCATCATCGGGTGTCTGAGGCAAATACCTAGGGTATCGCTCCATGAAGCGGAGCATGGTTTTCCTTGACAGCTCTCGCTGCTTCGCTGCTTCGGTCTTCTCACCAAGTTGTTCAAGTACATGAGCATAGCGGAATTGAGCTCGGGCGACACCCTCTTCATTCCAAGCATTGCGCTTTCGGCGTTCAAGGCAACAGTCTAGATACACGCTATGAGGATGAATGAGCACCAAAGTCTACCTGAAACTTAATGGATCTTCAAAGGCTTACCGTGCTTTTTCAAGATTACCTGTCTCCGCGAGAAGTTTAGCTGTGGTTGAGTAGCTCTCGAGAGTAAAATGACTAAAGTCGCCAATAATCTTGCGTCGACCTTCAAGCACGGACTCATTGATCTCAAGTGCTTTCTCCCGCTCACCTGCGTGCCATGTCAAGAAGCCAGCGATAAAACGCATCAATTGAGTCATCGGATGCATAGTATCACTAGACTTGACTAGCAAATCGGTACAATGGGTGATGTGCTCGATAGACTCGACAGGCTTTTGTGCAGCCATCAAGCAGACAGCAACAACCTGGTGATACTGAGAGTATTGATAAGGGTATTCATCTTCTGGGCCCCATTCGTGGTATTTCTGCAAAGTCTTGCTGAATATCTCGGCAGCTTGATCGAAGTCTTCTTCTTGAACCAAGGCGTAGGCAAAGTCCGAATTGACAATTTCACGTTTGATTTCATCATCTATGGTGACTTTGCTTTGCGGGAGACCACCGAACTCTGCCTTGCGAGCATTGTAAGCTTTGTGACGTAGGTCCATACTGCGTTCTCTCTCGCTTACACCATCAAAGCTTGTGATGATGCCGAGCAAATTGTAGACGTCCGCTCGCACTGTGTTGTCGTCTTCGACTTTGTTTTCGTCCATGACGTCAGATGCTGTTTCCAAAGCCTCTTCACCTTCTGGCACCTTCCCTGCGTGCCACATGAAGGTTCCCATATCCGACAAAACCTCTGCAAAGTTGACCGGAAGCTCGATTGGAGGATCAGGCCAGAGACAGTGTGATCGTAAGCTCAAGATATGAGGTCCATATTTTTGAAATTTGGGCCATTTATCGGGGGACGGCACAACAAAGGGAGAATCATCTGGCAGGACATTCTTGACTAGTCTAAAGGCTTGTTGAAAAACTTCCCAGCGATGCGTATAATCCTTACTCAAGAACAACAGCACGTTCCACTGAACGGTGCGATGAGTAGCAATGTAAGGTTCGGACACAGAAGCCTCTCGTCGTATGAGTTGCCGCTTTCGCAGTTCACGAATAATTTCAAGTAGGTCCGCTTTGTTGTGGACAAATTTTAGGCTGTCCTTTCCAACTGCGGCATCAAACAGAGCCTCCGGAATATTATCTGGGTTAAGAAATGCGAGAATGGTAAGGACCTCCCGCGCTTTGTCAGAAAGCTCTGCTATGGCGATGTCGAAGACAGTTTCAAGATTCTTCTCATACTGACTCACCGGTCCAATTGCGCTGGCGGTCCAAGCGTTCGATGAGTGTTGAAGTGTTTGAGTATATTCAACGAGATTGCTCTGAGACTGATTAATGTACCCACCAATCGTAGCAATCGCTAAGGGAAGACCGTCGACAGTGTCAGATAGCTTGCGGGCCATTTCTTCCTCTTTCTCGTCAGCTGCGTCCCTTTGGAGGTATTTGAACAGCAATGCTGCAGCATGATCTCTGTTGAATGACTTCATTTCCACTGTGGCGAATATCTTCGTAACTCCAAAATTGATCGGGCGCTGCGTTGTGATCAAGATCGAGCCACGTGAATTTGACTCTAACGGTAGGTATGGATCAACATCATTGATATCCTCTGCATTATCAAAGACAAGAAGCCAACGTTTCTCTTTCAAAGCGTTAATCACACCTAGCCATCCCAGATTCGGGGCACTCACCGGTGGATTGAAGCCACTCTCGGGCCTTCTCGATACCAAGAGTCTGGCGCCTATGACCATCCTTTTCAAATGTATGTTGATCCAGTAGTCCTAGTGCATCAGAGATCTGGGCATACTTCGCCGTCAAAGTCCATTTATCTTCAGCCTCCAGCCAGAAGATCGCGTCGTATTTGTCACGATAGCGATAAGTATATTCAAGCGCTGTTTGAGTTTTACCAACGCCACCAATACCAGTCAATACACAACAAGCCGGTCCAGAATCATTCCCAGATTTGTCAGGTTGTATGGAGTCTCCAGACTTCGTCCCACTAGGACGTCGCTCAATCAGGACGTCGTGTACTTTGATGAGGTCTTCATCGCGGCCAGTGAACGTCCAGTTCCGATTCATGCCAACCGTGCTGACCGGGAAGGTGATTTTCGACATGTCGGACGAGCTTGGTGCGAATTGTGAGGGAAGCTCTACAAAGTTATCACCTAGCTTTTTTTGCACCTCTAAGTGTTGACGTCGCACGCGCTCTCGATGAGCGAGCTCTGCAGCACGTTTAAAGGTCTTGACATGTCTACGAATATTTGCTTTGCTCTGCTTGATATTGAAATGAGATTTTCCAGAGAAGAAGTTGGTGAGGAAATTTACTGGATGATATGAATCAGTAAGTGTTAAGTGTCAAGCAGGTGTAGAGGGAAGTGAATAGTGGGATGCGTGTTTACCGGCCGGACCCCGCTTGAAATATTGAGCAGCCGTAACACAGAATCCGACGTAGTCAACATATAAATCCTGCAAAGCCCATTGCAGCTCATGTCGCCCCGGAAACAATATCATATACTCATCAAAAATGGGGAGGCTTGTATTTAGCTCGACCAACATTTCAACTACTTCATCCGACATAGATGATATCCTGCACGCGCTCTTCGCCCGTCAATCCCGATTTCCCGCATAACGCAAGAGACACTCACCAAGACCACGGCCTGAATGCCGCCCCATACCAAACATGCTACAGGATTGTATTGAGATGCCGAAGTAATCGCTTGTGTAAAAGAGGTAAGATGGTCGAAGGTGGGGTTCAACCGCTCAACAAAGCTGTTGCGAAGCTTGAACTCGTCCACGAGCTCGTGCAGACTTTTCTGGAGGTCCTCCAGCGTGTTTACTTGCAAGGACTCGTCGCAAGCTAAATCCAGGAAGTCATGGCGCTTCTCTTCTTCAAGCCGAATCCATTCGCCTTGACGTGAGGACGTTGGGTGCAGTTGGCAGTCCGGCCCATTGGTTTGAAGCTCGTCTGTTGTTGTAGCCCCAGGCATTTTGATTAGAAGCCAGGTAGTGATTCATGCCTTCTTATCGTGACACCCGTAATCTTCTTCCCTGCAAAGTGTTGTGCCCTTCTGCACTCGATCATATGCAAATTCAATATCTACGAAAGAACCAAATGTGCTTCACAGAGCTTTCGGAAACGACGTCAAGGAAGAATGCTGTAATGTTCAAAGTGGAAAAGGAAGATAAACACACTTTCGAAATGACCCGTAACAATCTGCCACTGCCCGTGGCTTAGATATGGAAAGGGGGGTGTGATTGGGGGTGCATTTTTGAAAGGCTAAGCCTGACACCATCAGACTTATGGAGCTGCATCCGAGGGTTGGAGCAGGTGATGGTCAGGAAGACGTGAGGCTGAACGTGCTTGACAGCAAAATCGGTTACTGGTATGCATCACAATGCATTAGCTGCGAGACAGGCTTCAGCATGATCGGTATCTTGTACTGCAATCATAATGTATTCATGGAAAGAAACAGATAAGATCTATGAGGGATCCAATACGATGTGTTCCCCTGGTCAGGCTAATGAAGCGTACAGTGAGTAGCTGGACGGTCCTTACGGCGTGCAATCAATAGGGTTACGTCTTGGGGCCCGAAATTCAATCTAGGACGCTTAGACTTGGTGATAGCTTGAACCAAAGCTTAAGTTTGAACGTAGAACCGGGATTATCCCGAAATCCTACAGACTTTTGCACTTGACAATATATGGACAGTGCACCAACCCATTCCACTGACATCCAAGACAACAGCGATACTCTTGGACCCAGCTCATCTCCAAATGCAAGAAGCGACGCCTCGAGTGAGAGCAGAGCCGAAAGTCGACGGCAGATTCAGGCAGCATGTTGTGCTGTCTTCCTGGCCTTGCTTAGCAACTTCAGCTATTATGCCGCTGAGCTACCTCTCCTAGCACTGGTAGAGCGAAGAGTCTGCGATCATCACTACCGGATCCTTCTCGACAAGCGTTTGGCCATAACTCAGCCACTGGATGGGCGTTCCTGTATGATACCGGAAGTCCAAAACAAGGTCGCTTTCGTTGTAGGGTCAAAGACTGCGCTTGACGCAATACCTCGTGAGTTATTTTTGAGCTTCACTAAGCTATCATTATGATGAAGACATTGATACTAATGTAGATGCTTAGCACTACTGACCTCTTTCTGGTATGGCTCGATCGCTAATCGTATTGGTCGCCGGCCAGTCGTCCTACTGGCTTGCTCAGGAGAGCTTCTCAATCTTCTAGCAACTATCTCCATAGGTACCTTTTCCATCAGTGTGCTTTGACGGCTACTCACATGAAGCTAGGCTTCACCCAGATCAGTGATAATATTGAGTGGATTTGGCTTGCGAGCGTCTTCCTCGCAATCGGAGGAGGTCAATTCTTACTCTACGCAATACTGGATGTGATTGTCATCGATGTCACGCAGGAATCAAAAAGGTTTGCGTCCTACCATACTTTTCATTTAGAGCTTCACTAATTCAAATTAGGGTTCAGTGGTTGTCTCTTCTGCACGCTACTACCCTTCTCAACGAACTTTGTGCAGCTCCTTTGGCTGCGATACTCATGCAACAAAGCCTCATGACTGCATTCTGGGTGGTAATATGTGCTGCATTGGTTCGGTATCCTGTGATCTGGATGCTCCCAGAAACAGTTCAGGAAGAACAAGCTGTTCAAGAGACGTCAGGCTTAGAGAATGATACCCAGATCGCGAACATTTCGAAAGATCGACAGCCCCTTCTCGTGAAGCCAAATATAGTCAAAGAAAATCAGCCAACGACACTCGGTCTGATAAAGCTCTTGGTCTCCTACCAAGGCATTGTATTCTGTTACGCATGCTTTCTTGTAAAACGAATCGCTTTTACAAGCGAGTTTCTCATGTTTCAACGCACATCCGAGCTTCTCAGGCAACCATTGGATAAGACTGCATGGATTCGCATACCACTAGGAGCCAGTGCCACTTTTGTCACGCTGATTTGCATTCCCATGTACTTCGAAACCTTCGGGGAAACACGTCTCCGGAGTGACGCCCTGAAGTATGAAATGAGAGCTCTGCGTGTAAGCTTGTCAATATTGACAACTGGCTTCGGTATCTATTGGCTGGCATCGAATCGAACATGGATGGCATTGGGTAGGTCGACTATCTCAAAGTGCCAAATCTCTGCTGATCGTATTTAGGTCTACTTTTTTGTGGGGCAGGCGAAGGGCTTGCACCATCGCTACAAGCACTAGCATCCAACATTGTCCCATCATACATACATACCAATCTCTTCGCAATTATCAGCCTTGTTGATACGTCGGCAAAACTTTTTGGGGGTCCTATCATGGCAGCAGCATACTCGATACGCGATGAAGCAGGACAGAGCTATGGCCTCTGCTTTGCACTTTCAATGGTATGAACAAGCTCTACTTCTAGATCTTCCCGATCTCATAAGTTCGGTAGGTACTCTTCGCCCTTTTGTGGTGCTGTAGTTGGGGGACTTCACCACGCTCGGCAGTTGACGAATGAAATCATTGCTCATGTCTATTAAGCAATCCGTCCTCGCCATACAGCACCTCTTGAGGTACATGTAAGGACTTTTCCTCACAAGCAAATTCTGTGTCGGACTAAAATATGTCACGAAGTGCTCAGTTCAGCACTCGCGTTGTACTAACAAGCCATGCCGATCATAAATCAACATGCTCTTGGGTCACGAGACGATAACTGAATAGGAAATCGTTGAGATAGTGCAGTCTGTTGACGTCTCCCAGACAGTTGTCTCTCGGCAGGCAGGCAGTGTCTTGAACCTATCGGGTTCTCTAATTACAAGTAAGGACGCTGATATGTAGTTACAAGAAGTCTGAACAGCTCGAACGCTGACACAAGTTTTGCAGACGAAATAGTCAGCCGGACCGGAGAAGAACATCTGCAAGTCCCTCTTATCAATGTAACTTCACATGATCCTTGTCGAAAACCCGCGTCAGTGTCGAATTGGAATGACCCACCGGCTCTGGAAAGCGATTATTCGTAGAACACCAGAGCCCTAACCTCGATGCTTTCACGGGGAGCCTCATCATGGGATGTAAACGGATTGAAGAAGGATGCATGTGGCACTCCTGCAGGAAACATCAATTCAAAATCGCTCCCTATTTGAGGCATTTGGACGAACCTTTGGTTGCGCAGGGCTCCGAATCTGACTGCTTGAAAATAATGAGCTCATTTGTCGCTTGCCGGTCAAGATAGTACCAGCGCAGTTCAGGATCATGATAGACCTGACAATTTTCAGTCACAAAGTTTGGATATAAGAGATCGGTCCTTTCAAGGTGTAGGGACGGATCAATATTTGAGCTGTCGCAGACAGCCAACGGCCAATCAGTAAGCGGCCCGCGAAGGGGTTTCCAGACACTGTCCATGATTAGAAACTTGCCGCAGTCAAGGATGACAGGTGCTGCTCGGCGCACTTTATCCATTGAAACCTCTTCCCCAAAAGACGGTCAGCTTCCTCTGTGTAGAGACCTTTGATCAACCTCGCGGTTTCTTCAGGCGTAGAGTCTAGGTCACGATCATTATAAACGGGAAAAAGCTTAATGAGCCAGTACTGACGAACCTACATGAGCCACCGAGGTCGGTTGATCATATTCGTAGGCTTTCCCTGTCGATACGGGAAAGGTTGGATCTCTTTTGCGGATCTCGTCATATATTTAGCATTATTTGAGGCATCCCAGGGCACCGGGTTTGTATAGGCTTGGTTTAGACATACTGCATGCCTGAAAACTCGGACCATAGAAGCTCGTAAATGAGCTTGGAGAACCCTCTCGAGTTGTCGAAGATACCGGTCGACTTCCACACTATCGAAGTACTCTAGGTATGAAATTTCCTCTTCAAATTCAATTATGGAGAATCCATTCTTTTCGACGGTGAAGTTTTTGATATCATCTCTGATGTTTGTGACTGCGATACCACTGTGCTCTTTAAGATCGAAGTTCGTTTTGGGAATGTCTACGTCCGCGGCGTAACGAAATGCATATGGTTTCTCTTGAATATGTCGCGATTGTCGCTCGATGAAAAACATTGATGTCTTCAAATCCTTGTTGTCATATGAGACGGACATCGCTCTATCACATGCGGTGTATTTGGTCTCTGTCCAAAGAAAACTTTTCAAAACCAGCAGAAGTGTGATGTCTTAAAGTCATACCGAGTGAGTATGTCATGTACACAACATGATATTTCTGCGCTAAAAAATGTCCCACATCTAGGCGATCGCCGCTTTTCTCCTACACGCATCCTATGAATTATGTCGGCTCATTTTAAGCGTGACGCGCGCTCGAGAGAGTTCCTCATATAGGAAATAAAGCAAACGATCGCTAGTTTATACTTGAGTGAAGATATCGAGAAAGAGAATGATAAAGAACGGTGTGACAAGTCAGGGTTAGGACAATATCATTGGCAACTCTACCAGTGGCTGGGATGAAATAATCTCTGAATTGCCGCATTCAATTGAGTTCAGCCTGCTGAAATAGGCGTCAAGATATTGTACTCTGTCAAGCGTATGGGGGTAAGCTCAGCCAGAAATTCGTACATTTTTGCATACCAGAGTATGTGCCAAGAAAGTAGACATCGTCCGAATTCTTGCTAGAAACTGTACAAGAGCGATTAAGTGTAACTGACAAGACGTGATGAGGTAGAAATAGATCTTGAATCAATTGATGTCTGAGCAATCGAGAGCGGAACACCCTGCATTAGCTTGCCCATTAGGGGAGTAGGATCTAGGCAGCAATTGTAACAAAGTCAAGCAACTACCCACGATTGATGGCACCACTTTCAGCATGGCGACTTCAGCACGCGACCTAGATATGAAAACTTCTCACACGTTAGACGAGAGTCTGGCTGAGCTGAGAAAAACCAATGACTTGGCGAAGAAAAGGCAAGTTTTTTATCAGGACGCTCTGCATGCTGTGATACTTATTCCACGACAGAGATAGTCTTCTTGCCGCGTTGAGGAAGAAATTCGAAGCGAGTATGCCTCAGGGTGACAAGGACTGTGACTGTAAGTATTTTCTTCGTTAGTGTAGTGTCACGATTAACAGCAATTCGCAAACTAGGGGTGATGATTCAAGGATTGTCTGAGTAAGCCGATTTCAAGAATGTTAGCCTTTGTCGGTCATGTTGACCTTTTCCAGAGCACCCAATGGCGCTCCAATCCCGTCAAGCTCTTGCTTGAAGAGCTGCTAGAGCACAATATGATATGGTACCTAGAGTGAGTGGTGAAGATGAGGGGCAGGACACCTTCAGCTTCTGTAGAAAAGAATATGCAGGACAATGGAAATTGCTTTTGTCTGTGCTGCTCTACCTCAGACCCGCTAATCGCCGTTGCTGAACCTCCCGTAATGCCCTGCTCCCACTCAAGAACGTCACCAAACCAATTCCCAAAGCGCTTGGCAGCGCTTGAAAGAGCCTCCAGTGCGTATAATAGAGAAAGAAGACACCTTCCAAGGCGAGTATAGAACAGAAGAAGAGCGCGTGAGGGGCTGGCGAGGATTTGAATGCTGTTGACAAATGGTTGAGGTTCGCGCCGAGGGAAATCCACTATGGGGCTGGTCAGCCATGTAGTAGCTAGCCCTCAACATACGTACCGCAATGAACAGCGCTGGAACAGCAGCGATGACTGCTACAGTGAAGATGATTGTGATTATCATCGGAGGGCTCTTGGGGTCCGCCTTGAATATATGATGGATCTCAGGGAGTTTCCCGTACCGCAGAGGTGTTTCCACCTTTGCTCTGGGGCTGCCAGACTCGATTGTCGTAGCTAGATCAAAGGCATGCGATTTGTATGGCTTCGAAGTTCCAAAGGAAGCGATAATGAGGGATGCTGAGAGGGGCCCCGAGGACGACAAGAGCTGAGCGGGAATATCCTTGTGACTCTGTTGCTCTTGTTATTCATGTTACGTTCACAAAGAGTTCAGTATTCGTACAAGATCCAGTTTGCCCTTCCCACTCTCTTTGACTTGAAAAGGGAAGGACGTCTCCAGCCCGCTCGTAGGATCCTCAAGTAGAAGGAAAGTCTGATGCGCTCGTTTGGCCTTGTTGCCCTCCTTGGTCGTGAGGATCAGCTTCATAGTGTCTTGAGCCTCCAATTGAATGGCATTCTTGAGCGGTTTGCCCGCGGTGAACCTATGATATGTCAGACGTTGCTGCGCACACGTGTAGCTCGAGCGAACTTCTCTTTCTGCTCAACAGCTCCAGCACCTTTCTGATGTACTGAGACAGTGGCGTCGTCGAAACCCCATGATGAAGCTGCAGTGGCTACTGATATCAAGCAGATAGAAAAGGCTATGATATGATTTCGCATCATGATTGTCATAAGACTTGAAGCACGTTGCAATGAGTGGAGGTTCAATCTGTTTGTACACGTTGAAGCAGCGGGAATTAGCCAGGATGGATGGCCTTATCCCCGGGCACGCTATGAAAAAGGGGCGACATTTCTTGGCGTACTAGTGAGAGATCGTCCAACATCTAACTTCTTCCTTCCTTTCCCCGTAAGATGATGCCAACATTGAATGGTCATGCCATTCGATCTTGGATAATTTAAATCAATCGCTTTGCAGGTCAGACACGCCGCAAGCTTGTAAGTTCAGACGCAGCGGAAATCTGACAAGAACATGCATTTGCCCGGGGAGCGCTTTCTGTTTTGCGTGTTCTGATGATTTAATGTAGACCTTCTAGGTCAACCGCATCCGTCTACCTTCCTGCTGGTGCTCTAAGACAAAAGCTCAGCTGATGCGGAAATGCAACATCAGTGGCATACGTTCCAATATCTCTAGAGAAAGATGAAAGCTGTACTTTCTGCCCTAGTCTTGTCGTTCTTGTGCCACGAAAACTACGAAATGATACTCTTTTCTCGCCCAAAAGAAAATCAAATGCTAATAACCTCGAATGAACTCCAAGATCATGGATCAAAAGCAATTTTACCCATACCGTACAGTCATTTCTAACGTCAGAAGGCGAAGTCGTTTGTTGTACAGATCTCATCAACGACCAGTATACCACAGAAGGCCAGTCCGCTCCCTAAACCAACTTCTGAATTTATCTCACGTTACTCATTCACGCCATACCCAAGATCTTCCAACCTCATCACGTCACATCAAACGGGCACATGTCTCATGACCTTCTCCACCACCCTTTCATGCACCCTCTCATTCCCATCCCCAGCACTCGCCCTCTCCGCCTTCCGTCTCAGACTCTCCCTTATCTCCCCCACGCCTTTCCCCTGCCAAAAGTCAAAGCTCCCTCCCTGCAGGACTGCATTTCTCGGACTCCTCACAAAACTCTCGGCTGTCGGTCTAGGCCGTGCCATAATCACATTGACCTCATCTGCCAGCCCCTTGCAGAAGTTCTCGAGTGGGAGGTCATTTACATCATGACCGAAGGGATTTTCGATCTCTCTCCCGATTGCAGAAATGCCGAGGATGATGTATGCGCCAATGATAGTGCCGGGGATCGTGATCCAGCGGAGGGCATCCCAGAGCTGAAATGGTAGCATCAAGACGTACACCCATGTGATTTGGGAGATGGCGATGGAGTAGGCGACGGGAAGAGGTGTGTTCAGGACCCTCTCCGTTCCAGCTAAGACCTCATTCAAAGAAGCGAGATTTCCGAGGACTTGGGCTTGCGGCACGCCGGCGTCGAGAGTACCGTTCTTGACGATCGAGGAGGTGTAGGCGGACAGGTATGTTAGGATCTCAAGGGGAAGATTGCCCATGTTGCGGCGGGCACGCTTCATTTGTTTGCGGGGGTTGGATTCTGCGAAGGAGAGACCGAGGTATTCACCCCCGCGTTTCCAGCGGGAGATGGGGTTGGGAGGGGGAGGGGGCGTGATATTTGTGGCTTCGCCGGCGAAGGTATCAAGATGAGAGATTAGTGGAGCGAGGTCCTCATGATTTGTATAGGGTTCAAAACGGAGTTTGTGCTTAAGAGCTATGGCGAAGGCAACAATGAGGTTGAGCGCGGAGATCTTGGCAAGGAGATCAGTTTTCCCGGCCTCTGGGGTCTTCTCGTGACGCTCGTCGGCGTGGATCCAGATATGTCGGGCCAGATCTCGGGAGCTTTGGCTTAATTGAGCCCAGAAGCGTCTGCCATCGACATAGCGCTCGTATGCAGATGATGTTCGAAAAGAGATTCCAAGACCGACTACGAAACCAAGGACTGTGAGGAGGAGCGAGTTGACGACTAGTGGAAACCAGAGATGTGAGATCAAGGTGATTAAAGTCGACCAGATTCCGACGAATGTTAGCGGTAAAATCATGCGAGGGGTGATGCTTCCATGCATCCGAAGGAAATCAGGGAGCTTGGTGAAGCGCTCGAGGTCTGCGGGGCCAACGAAGTACTCATCGGCCGTGTTGTGATGGTGCAACGGAGGACGGCGTGTCCCATTTTGGTGAGGCGAAGTTCGACGAACGGGGGTTGACTGGGCGCTCTCTATATTGATATGGGCATCTTTCGGTTCCATGCTTCCTCCCATTTGTGCGGAGGAGGGCGGAGAGCTGATCGTCGTAGCTGTGGACGACATTTGCAGAAGGGCTGCGGCTCTACAGTAGGAGGCTTGGTGAACGACGTGATGGTGGGATTCTCAGAATGAGGGAATGTTGCTGTCGAGCCTTTCCTGGGCGCAATCTTCAGTGGTGACTGGCAGCATATATATGTGGATCAAAACTCAGGGGCCGCCTTAAACATCGCAGTGACATTTTCACAACGATACGCCGTTATGTGTGCCGCTCTTATACGTGCTCAGCATTAGTGCGAGTAAGCACACTTCAAGTAAGATTAAGGCCCCCTGGTATACTTTAAGGCCTCCCATTGCGATGGACTGGGCGCCGCCAGAACGTCGAACCAACACACCGTGAAACGCAAAATACAGTCAGTACATGAAGGCCTCCTGCATCATGCAGAAGACCCGCAGGGATGACGAGGTTGTTGTGGCCACAGAAAAGACCCAGCCTTCTAAGGCTGGCCATCAGACGACCTCTCATTCGCTGATACTTCACGGTTCTGCTGGATGACTCACTCGCTATACGATTCGAACTGCACATAGTCCTCATTTGAAGCATTGATACACTCGGTAGAGTTGAATCGAACTCAAGAAGACCGATTGGTGTGAGCCTTACCTTTTCTGTTAGCCTACCCAATTCGCGCGAGCTAAGAAAGACGCAGGCAACGTCTCAACCTTGACTGAAATCTCAAAAATATCAAAACTTCATCACAGCAGACTATTGTTGGATTTATTCGAGTGATATATAGACAAGAAGCACGTTGCGGTCGTGAGCTTGTGTAAAGCTACCGGCAATTGAGGCCCTTACGAAGCCGGGATAAAGAAATCCACACGGATGTTTGCCAGGTCTTGGATGAATCAAGCAAAAATACTTTTTGGAGCAGCCGGAGTAATTGCATTGGCCACCTACCGCCACTTTCACCCTCACACAACGACGTTCTCAACGCGTCCGGTACCAGTTCTCCACTGGATCGCCCAAGCATTCCCCGACAGTCACAGCTAGGAAGCAAAAGTCAGCACACGCATGTCATCATAGCTCTTCCTCACTTCAAGCAAAGGCTCATTGCAAAAGAGTCCTCGCGTACCTTGAAGCCCCCTATTTTGCACCTCCTGAATCATGGCAGAAACAAGCGTCTTAGCAGTCCACTGATGCACGTCATGGCTCAACTCGATGCTGCCTCCCTGGTCCAATCCCGTCTTGAAATTTTGTACGGCCGTCTGGATGGCAGCCTCGCTATCGTTTTCATAGTCCTTGGTGTCGATGTTGGCACTGATGACATGGTAGCCCAAACCGCCAAGCGTTTGCAGGACTGAATCGTTGGTCGAGAGGTATGGGGGGCGCATGTAGGCTGGGTACTTGCCGATGATGGAGATGAGGGCGTCTTCCAGGTCAGTCATCTCGCTGGTTATGGCAGCCGTATCGAGAGTTGTGAGATCTTTGTGGTCCCAGCTGCGGTACTATTAGTGTGGTGAAAATAGAGCTGAGAACTCGCAGCCTTAAGAGTCAAGCCTAATTAGGACTTAGGAACGACATACGTATGCGAGCCAATTTGGTGACCTTCTGCAAGCTCTCGATTGACAAGCGCCTTACTGTCATTGGACAATATGTTGGCCCAGTTGTCCCCGTTGACGAAGAATGTGGCGTGGATTTTGGCGGCTTTCAAAGTGTCGAGGACTTGAGCAGTGTAGATATATGGTCCGTCATCAAAGGTCAATGCAACAGTGCCTGGCTGAGTACAACCGGAGATGACCGCTCCGACTGGGACAGCAGAGGATCCTGCAACTGCTTGGAGCTTGTATGCTACCTGCGGCGCTGACGACTTGGGTTTCGGTCCACTGCCTGCCCATGGTGCAATGCCATTGCCTGACTCGTAGGTGGCTGCAGGGGGAACAGGAGTACAAAGGCCAAGGATGGCCAAGCTGCTGAATACAAAAATGGTTAGAGAGATCATGATGCTCATTGGATTGTACGTAAACCAGCGCAGATCAGCTGCAACGAGCCCAGATGAATATGACAGAACTTTTGGGCACTCTTTGCAAGTGGAAGAAATGAAATCGTTCTTTCGCTTGATTTTATAGTGAAAGCGATCTCTGGACTTCCTATGGCAGCTGCGACCTTATGCGCGCAAGAAAACGACTTCGGGTGAAAGGCGGTGGGCATTTAAGTGTTACCTTGTTGCGACGCTGACACGAAGTGAAGTGTTGACGCGACACCGACGACCAGTCAAAGCTTGAGCCAAGACTATATCGGATGAAAGATGACTTCGTGCTCCGCCCTCGATCCCGAAGGATGCCACCTGAATAGCTCTGGCGGAGCGAAGGACTCTGCTGCGCCTGGTATTAATATAAGGAAACCACCTTGTGAGCTGCTCGATATGAACTTTCGGAGCAAGGTCGGCATGCAGGTCATGATTGAGAGACGGACAAAGGAGAAGCGAAGTCCTCCCTTCTACCCTTAGGCTCACGTGTTTTGAGACACATCTTCAAAGGCAATTGTATTCAAAATTCGCTATCGAAACAGTCGTCCTACCAAGATGTGATGTTGAAAGTCCGCCACTTACATATTTCGAGGAAAGAATATGGTCAGAACGACGAGAAACGTTATCGATCTGTACCTGAAATGGCCAGATACGTTGTTAAGATGACCTGCTTTCACCCGTTCGGCAAGTTTGTACATCGTGACCTTATAATGGTCACTGGAATCAGGTGAGAAGCGAGAATTTATTTAAAAATCTTTTACTTGATGCTCTTTCTGTAGTCGAAGTCGAGAATGAGAATTATCAAGTCTTGCTCCAGCCCTGGAGGTTCTCAATAATAGGACTTCTTCCGCTTCGGGTGATTATCCATTCTACATCTTCGTCTGACTCATTGACTTCTTGATGTTCTGCGTGAGCTGGTATCAAAGCGAAATCACCAGGCTTCAAGTCTTCCCGCTTTGTGCCCCCTTCTGACACTATGCTACCATTTCCACGAAGAGAATAAACAATGGTATCTTGGTCCCCATGGGTATGTATTGCGCTTGCAGAATGTGGCTTGGCAATCATGACTGCACAATATGAGTTGGACTTTGCTCCTTACTTACTGCTCAAAGATGGTAGCAAACCAGAAGCGCAGATTTGCCCTCGGTCAACAATTGCTCCCTTTCTTATCATGCCTTGGGTCTGACCAGTGCTATCATCAAGCTCCGAAGCTTTAGTGACGTATACCGGAGCTGCCATTTTGTTTTCCATGATGCCACTTGTTGTCATATACTATGTAGACAGTTGTTCAAGAAAGGCATAATGTTGGAGTAAATGAGGTTGATGGCATCATCAAATCCGCTTGGATCAGTCAACCGGCGCCAAGCCCCGCCAAGCCCCAGAACAGGCCCGCGTCATGAGAGCCGAGGCATGACGAAACAACCAATCAACGACAGGGCAAATGGGAACAGTCAACGGACATCCAGCACAACGAAGTCAAAAGTCGTGCACGCCTCACGTGTTGCAAATGCGCTTGTTTGCGATGCCCCGAGCCTCGGCTTCATCATACGTCCTTATCATACAATTGGAGCTCTTCCGCTGCTGAGAACCTCTGCCTGAAGCCATTCTCAACGTGCCCATTCTGCAGTATCCGTGGTGGTATCAATCCCTCGTCATTCATTGCAGACGTATCGTCTCTCGTCATGTCTAAGACCTTCTCGAAAGATGAGGTCTCCTCCCATAAAAGTCCCAAAGACCTCTACATTATCGTCGATGATGATGTATATGACATGACCGAATTTCAAGCCGAACATCCAGGCGGCCAGAAAAGTATACGATCTACCTGATGATCAAGGGCAATCACTAACGTCAGCCTGATAGTCCTCCAAAGAGTGGGCGGCAAAGACGCCTCTAAACAATTCTGGAAATACCACAATGAGGGTATCCTCAAGAAGTACAAGGGTCAATTGCACGTTGGCTCGCTGGATAGCAAGCCAACAGCCGCCGCACCGCCAACACCACCAGCTACTCCTCCTGCCGAAAAGGCGAAGGACAAGGTGGAGCCGCAAGCAGAATCAGGCACCATTGTTCCCGTTCCGACGAAAGATGCAACTCAAGCAAGCGAGTCGTTAGATCCATACGGCGCGCTGATACCCTACGCAGATCCGTCTTGGTATCAAAGCGTGAGATCTGTCAAGCCCTCTTCGTCGTACGCAGCTGACTAAAGCAATTCAGTATCACTCCCCATACTTCAACTTGACCCATGCCGCCCTTCGAGAAGAAGTCCGGAAATGGGTCGAAGCAGAGATAGAGCCGAACGTTACGGAGTGGGACGAAGCTAAAAAGGTTCCGGACTCGATCTACAAGCAAATGGGCGAGAAGGGATATCTTGCCGGTACTTTGGGCCTCCACCACTATCCTACAGAGTACACGAAGAACCGTGTGCGATCTGTTGGGCCTGAACAATGGGATCTGTTCCATGAGATGGTCATCACTGATGAATTATCACGAGCTGGTAGTGGTGGCTTAGTCTGGAACTTACTTGGAGGTTTCGGCATTGGCTGTCCTCCTATGGTCAAGTTTGGCAAGAAGCCACTGGTTGAGCGGATCTTACCAGAGATCCTGAATGGCAACAAGCGGATATGCCTTGCCATTACAGAGCCGGATGCTGGTAGCGATGTCGCAAATCTGACTTGCGAGGCTAAGCTCTCTGAAGACGGAAAGCACTACATTGTTAATGGGGAGAAGAAATGGATCACAAATGGTATATGGTGCGATTACTTTACGACTGCTGTCCGAACAGGCGGACCCGGAATGAACGGCGTATCAGCATTGCTAATTGAACGGACCGAGGGCGTCAGCACCAGAAAGATGGATTGTCAAGGTGTCTGGGCTAGCGGAACAACGTACATAACATTTGAGGACGTGAAAGTACCTGTCGAGAATCTACTTAGCAAGGAGAACCAAGGCTTCAAAGGTATTACCCCTCCCTTTTTTCCCTCCCCTTGATACACCTTACCATCAAACAAGCTATATACTCACACTTGCCCTACAGTCATCATGACAAACTTCAACCACGAGCGCATCGGCATAATAATCCAATGCCTCCGCTTCTCTCGCGTCTGCTACGAAGAATCCATCAAATACGCCCACAAGCGCAAGACCTTCAACAAACGCCTGATCGACCACCCGGTCATCCGGATGAAACTCGCACACATGGCCCGCCAGATCGAAGCCTCCTACAACTGGCTCGAGAATCTCGTCTACCAGTGCCAGGTCATGGACGAGACGGAAGCGATGTTGAAACTCGGTGGCGCGATTGCAGGATTGAAGGCCCAGGCGACTACGACGTTTGAATTCTGTGCGAGGGAGGCGAGCCAGATTTTTGGGGGACTGAGTTATTCGAGGGGTGGGCAGGGGGCGAAGGTCGAGAGGTTATATAGGGATGTCAGGGCTTATGCTATTCCTGGTGGGAGTGAGGAGATTATGTTGGATCTGAGTATCAGGCAAGCTCTGAGGGTGCATAAGATGTTGGGGATGAAGCTGTGATTCTGGTTGAAAGCACTTTAGAATGTGGTGCTAGAGGGTTGGCTAAAGCATTGCAGCGTGTGCATTGGGGTACAATGACTGTATGCTTAAACGGAGACGAATCTATTGAAAAACAGACATATATCTACAAATCTTCCGTGATCCCGTAGCTCGTCCCATCTCAATGCGTATTGCCAGCCCTTGATCAGGTCTTCATGCTCATTTCATGCTCGTGCTCAGCTTGTTGTATGCAAAAATTCAAATTTTGAGTATTCCAAAACAGAAACTCCAAGAACCCCACGCTGGAAACTATGGAAAATAGACTTACGAACGACTCATTTCGTAGCGTGCAAAATCGTCACATACTTACGCCCCATATTCCTCTACCGCCACTGACACCAAGCCAATCCCGCCCCGTTTGTCCAGTCAGGCCGCTTTGAGGCGCCCACGTCAGATTCCCTACCTCGTAGTCGCACCTCCAGTTGGCTACAGGTCCTTGCCCTCTTATATCTGCCGAGGAAGATGATTGCTGCGAATGACTGGTTGAGTTTGTCAAACTGGAAGAGGTGCTTTGGTTCAAGAGATCCCAGATCAGGACCATGCTATCGTCACCGCCTGAAGCGAGGGTCCCCCGTCGTGATGGCGACCACTCAATACAATTGATAGCTGAAGCATGACCACGGAGCTCCAGAAGTGCTTGTCCAGGTTGCCGCACGTCAAGAATTCGTATCAGGTTGCTGTCTTGGGAAAATGTGGCAAGGAGGTGAGCGTCATGTGGAGACGCTGCAAGGCGGAGGAGTGGTGGAGATTGCGAAATAGATTGCTGGTTTGGGGGCGGAGATATATTGCTCGGGCTCGCAGCTGGGAAGCAAAGTTAGCATTGAGGACGTTTGTAGCGACATGACATGGGTGTTACCGACTCTTTGAATCGTTTCCCTTTTCGGATGGCTCATAGATGATCGTTGAATGCTCAAGACTACGAAGGTCAAACATTCGTACGCTCCCGTCGGCTCCGCATGAAACAAAGACGTCCACGCTGTTTGCGCAAAATCGGACGTCGAAAACTTCTTTATCGTGAGCTATCAATTGCGTTTTGGCTGTTAAAGTAGGAATGTCCCATATCGTGCACGTGGTGTCAATGCTCGAAGTTATGATGAGACTAGGAGAGACGGTGTTCCAATCAAGAGATGTAAGAGGAGCAGTGTGCTCCGGTGACTTGGAGTTCGAAAGAAGCGCGAGAGGAGTGAGTTTGGAGACTGATTGCTGATTCGAACTTGATGGCCGGTTTATAGAGTTGCTAGGATTATATGAAGCTTGCTGCGGGAGTGACCATAGTCTCAGATGGTCACCAGAAGTCGCCAGGAGATCGGTAGAATTCTTTTTGGAAGATGCAGGTTCCCATAATATCCGTGTCACTGGATATGAATGTGTGGCTTCGGCGGTCTTTACGTAATTCAAGCTATATTGCGACGGATCTGTCTGTCCTTCGGTATCATGTTCCAGGCTCACCTGCGTCTCCAGGATTTGGATCTTGATACTGTTAGCTTGTATCCATCAATGCGCGTTTTGAAGCACTTACAAAGTTGTGCCCATCCTCTACATAGCTTCCAATCGCCATCTTTCCGGCTGACTCGCCCAGCTGCTGATTTTGCACTGGCCATTTACACCAGTCAAAGGCATAGACAGGCCACGGAGCGAGATAATTGCTGTTTGTTGCTGCTGTCGGGTAGCCATCACTCGTGTAAGGATGCGCGCTCTGCGGTTCCGTCATACTAGCTTCGTTGAAATTTCGAACGTCGGCCAAAGCTAGGGGTGAATAGAGATTCTCATTTTGATTTGTTTGTGAGGAGGTGTATTTGTGGTTGGGCGTTGAAGCATATCGGCCGCTCTCTGGCGTACCGACGAATGGAGCATATTTGGGCTGGTCAAGCCCTGCAGGGCTAGAGCGCGAGTAGCTATGAGCGTGACTTGCGGTATTTGGGCGCGAGGAGGTTTTCTGCTGATTAGGATTCTGCAGCGGAGGCAGCGTTGGGATTGTAGAAGGCGCAGTTATCGACGATGAAGCGCTCGGTCTACCGGGCTGTAGAGCGCCAGGTAGACTGGAGCCGGAGGAAAGGTTCGCATACTGATTACTTGACGGCGTTGCATGCTGAATATTTATTCCAGGATTTTGCCCGCTCTGATATTCGTGAGAAGTATGGTATGAATGCTGCCGCGGCATGTCTCTGGTCTGATTCATTGTTTCACCTGTGGTTGAACTTGAAAGGCGAAAGCATTCATGAGTCAGGAAAAGGCCTGTAGCGTATCAGGAAGCTCATCAGAATTGGAGGCCTCAGAAGATCGACGTATGAAGAATTGTGAGATGCATGAAGAGTGCTCGACCTTGGCCGTCAACGCTACTAAATCCCATGCCTTCTTAGCGCGTCTAAGTTTGGCTAAGCGCGACCTCGTTGCATATTTGCATCGTTCCTGACTTCACTTCGAACATTCCTGTAGTCGATTTGATATTCACTTATGGAGACCCACACCATGCAGTCTGGGGATAATACTGGAGAGCAATGGCTTCTTCTGCTACCTCGTCCGCCCCCTGACGTATCCTTCCACACCTTGAAAGTAGCCTACCGTCCCAGCCTCACAGCGGCATTAAAGGATGCTTCAAAGGTAACGAAACGAGCAAATGCGTGTACAGTCCTGGAAGTCGGCGTTGCTTTCGATGTACGAATGATCACGAAATATTTCGTTATGCAGACGTTCTTTTCTTTGATGTACAAGTTGAGTTGTGTCGTTTCTTCAGGCCTTCAGATTGATCTACAGTATGACAATGATGTCGACGTGCGTTTCTTTCTTTTTGCAGACTCTAGTTGTCAGGATGTACAGGCCGAGAAAACTTCATTATTCAACCTCGTCGAGCTGAAGGCGCTTGCTGAATACCAAAAAGCATGGACCACTCTATGCTCTGAGGAGAGCGAGAGCGGTGAAGGTCTACTCCAATCATTTCTTCATTATCGTAGCCATGCAAATTTCCAGACTTTACCACCACTTCAGGTGCTCAGAGTCCCGGCCGGATTGAGTCTAAGGATTGAAAGCAGTCCCTCGCAGGTGAGCTTGGACTCACCGGAACAAGTGACTGGTGTGGGTCCTCAACATCGGTCAGTAGCCGTTGGCGGGACCTTTGACCATTTACATGCTGGGCATAAATTGTTATTGACTATGACTGCGCTGGCTCTTTTTCCTGTCCTCAACCAAGAAGACACCCATGACTTTCGTCTGACAGTGGGTATCACTGGCGATGACTTGTTAAAGAATAAGAAGCATCGCGAGCAACTGGAAAGTTGGGAGCAACGTCAAAGTTCCGTAAGCACCTTCTTACTCAATTTCCTACAAATCTCGCTTCCAGGGGTTGCCCTAAACACCAAAGGCAAGCAAGCGGCCATCAAATCAGAAGCCAAAGGAATGATGGACGAGCTCAGCCTGGGGCTTCGTATCAATTACGCCGAGATACTTGATCCTTTCGGACCCACTGTTGAAGATCCGAATATATCAGCCCTTGTGGTATCAGCAGAGACGAGGGCCGGCGGTGAAGCAGTCAACAAGAAGCGAGAGGAGAAAGGATGGGCTGCTCTTGAGGTCTTCGAAGTCGACGTACTAGACATGGAAGAGACCGAAGCCCCTCCAGGCTCAGAGGTACGATCGGAAGATTTCCAGGCCAAGCTGTCAAGTACAGAGATCAGATCACGCATAAGCCACAGAAAAGCAAAGGCAACACCTGCGCAGCATTGAAGGCCACCCATCTCCAAGAACCATAACGCATGTCCTATGTTTGGCAGATTTTCGTCCTGTGGGGTCCAAAACGTCAGCAGAAGCGCAGGCCCTTCGATACGCATCTCGAAAAGCCCGATCATCAGCGAGCTATTACATTGAAGTCGATTCTAAATCAGACGAATTCAGCTGCATCAAAGTGGAGCATACATATGAGTCGCCATCGTACATTTGTTGCGACGAAACTACGAGTTTCCGAAGCGCCTATTGCATGGCCTAATACCCATCCGGCTAGGACTCCATGCACCTCCACCGCCAATGACACTTGACAGCACACCATTGCATCTGCGTTTATATTTATACGTACGGTTACGCCTCCTGGTGGTCAGCAGTGTCCTTGGATGACGACGAATATAGGTCGACGAACCAGTACTCGACTACGTCTCCGAGACATCTGGGTCCAGATCCCTGGAAAATATTCCAATTGGCAGGTCTGGCGCCCCGAGAGCTCGAGGTCCAAGTCATGCAGGGTCGGCCTGGAGCGCTATTAGACCGGTCCCGTGCCTCGATGCCGCCTATCAAAAACTCCTTCAGGATCGTCTGCCAATCATCTGAAGTACCTCTGAGAAGACGGGAGGATACTCCCGAGCACTTTCGGTCATGTGACCTTGCTAAAGGACAAGCGATTGGCATGGAGCCTCTGACAGTCGAGTTTTGGGTGTCCTAAGGCTTTGACTGCAGCTGGCTACTCGACAGTCGTCATGAAGCGCATGATTTTCCCGAGTCTCACCATGCATGGCCCCCCGCTCCGCACCGAGTACCCAGATCAATCATCGAATGCGCTGGCAGGATTCTGTCTGACAAACATCTTGGGCTGTATCAAACTGAGACGTGAAGCAATCAGGTGTGGCTGCTTCCAGATTCTCTCGCCCTAGTAACAGTTCTCGTCCACGCCCCGCTCCAGAGCTCGTCACATCTTTGTCTTTCTCAACTTGGCATGGCGTATATCCTCAATCTTTCCAATGACATTCTGAAATTGATATTGGACCATATCGAGTCCAATTCCCAGTACATCATACCGGTTGACCGTCGAGAGCACTTGTCCGTCGAGAGCTTCCGTCCTCCAACTCCGCCGCCTCCCTCACAAGTCCACGATGTTGGTAACTTCAGGCTCACATGCGGAAGGTTTTCAGAATTGGGAATATCGTACCAATTCTCTAGGATATCATTACGCTTCTCGAAGCACGGATTCAAGCGCCTCGATGACATATGTAGCTATAGTCATCTCACTGCGCACACGAAGAAGTTCAGCTACCTAGTTCCTCCATTCTACGCAAGCAGTAAGTTGATCATCTCCCGGTGCAATATCAATCCTATCCTGCGTAAATCATTAAGTTGACCATGTTCTAAGCTTCACGCCCTGCCAGCAATGGCGACCGCTCAGCTCTCACTACTCACCTTGAACGGAAAATCTCCGAGCAAAGGCACCTCCTTGGCTCTCGCGAGGACGTCCGCGTCCTCCGTAAAGCCATGAAATCGTTCACATCTCTTCAGCATGTGCAACTTCTCCGACTCATTGAACCCTTAGAGCTCTCTCTCCCACGCAGCAGCACTTCCAATACAGCCCTCGAATGGCCGCGAGCATGCACACATGCTACTAAGACTATGGGTGAAGCTCTACTCTCCGCCCCTCGCTCACCTTTTTGTCGCTTTTCGGGGCCGATGATGGAACCTCATACCGCTCGAATAGTGCAGGAGCACATGCTGTCCCTACTCGCCTCGAGATTGACGTGCTTGGAGTTGCATTTTGATGGTGGGCCCGAGTTGGTAGAGAGAATGACAGAGCTGTCATCCTTGGCGAGAACAGTCCTAATGGCAGCAAAGAATCTTCAAGCCATCCACGTCGGCTTTCCAAGCAGGATACCACTCGACTTACGATTGGAGACGATGTTTCACCATATCACGTGGGAGAATCTCAGAGCATTTGGTATTCAGGCGTGGAGGCTGGACGGTGCCGAGATCATCAGTGTAGTCCGACGGCATCGGAGGACGCTCAGGGGTTTAAGGTTACGGGATGTTCAACTCAAGCCAGGGAGTAAATGGCGCGACATTTTGGTCGTCCTCCGCTACGAGATGAGGCAGCTAGATTGGGTGAGCCTGAGACGCATCGACTATGAGGAACACTTCGACGCGTTATGGGGTGAGACGATGGAAGTGCCGGATCCGGAAGATACAGCCCCTGGCTCTTCATCTTCATCCGCCTCGTCTACCACGTCCTCAGACGACGACGATGTCGAAGATCATGCGGGAGGAGAAGTCAGCGAGGGAGACTTCAGCGATCAGGAAAGCATTCTTGGTAGCGAAATCGAGGACTCTGACGAGGATAGCACGACCGATACTGATCATGGCCCTGGAGCGGACGATATTGCTATCTCACCGGACACGCCGATCACATTGCCATTCTGCACGTGCGACCGGAGGAGTGAGGAAGGATTTGTTGGTGGTGACGGAAGGGCGAGGGACGAGGGCGATGAGTTGGGGGATAATGGGGAAGGCGTAACGTATCAGCAGCGGAAGATGTGGGAGCGATGGGTTGTGGGACGATGTCCTGAGCATGCTTGATGGGGATACGGCTGGCCTTGCTACTACCGAAGCATCGAACTCTCGTCTGTAGCTGTCATCTCCCATCAGTCCTTTGGTGTGGGCAGTCTCGGCTTTGTCTCGGGCGGCGTCGTTCATGACTTTGGTTTCGGTTCGTCGAATATGTTCAAATATAGATTTTTTGAGAAGCGGGAGCATAGAATTAGCGAGCGGCGTGTGGTGAGAATCTGTACGATGATATGAGACGACCTTCTGAGAAAACGATTTATCTTGTGAACAAGAGGCAATGATGCGATACTTATTGTCATTAGCGATATAATGAATATTTACTGACGTCCAACGCTGCAATTGCCTGTTGCAGTATCTACTCAATGCATCATTTACAATGAGATTACGTTACATAAACATCTAACAATGCTTCCGTTCCAAACCCAGACCCGAACCCAAATGTAATCTCATAAACGGCTGGGGTATCATGTAAATCTTCCCATTCCAATGCAAAACGAATCTATTAATTTCGTGCATCCTATGCCATGCCCAAACATCCCACAGTCACGGACTGCGCGTCCTCTCTTTACTCTTCGATCCCCGTCCCACCAGTCCTCTGGCCGTACTCGGTATATCGATCTCGAGTCCCCAGTTTCTCCTAGGGCCTGGATTGCCCGACTGGGCGGACTCGCCGCCGCTGCCACCATGAGAGTTCGTGCCAGATTTCGGCTTTGGCACCTCCGCCGCTGCTTTCTGTTTCTGCTTTTGCTGTTTGGGAAGGAACATGCGTTTGTATCTGCTTTCTGACCCATTCTTGCTGCCCTGTGCGGACGTCATGGTAGGAGTGGGTGGCAAGGAAGCTTTTGGAGTTGTGGGGCTAGATTTGTTTGAGGGGGCATACGGGCGAGGGGTGTTAGGTTGAGAGGAGGAGCCGAATAGTGAGCGGTGCCATCTTGAAGGTGGTGATTCGCCCATGGAGGATTGGGATTCGTAGGGTGAGGAGAGGTTGAGGGACGTGGAGGACGATGTGCGAGACGGGTGATTGGAAGTTTCCTCTTCAGCACCGGAGGAGGTGATCTCTTGTGACGATCGAGGTTGAGCTGGCGTATCTGCCGTTGGAAGCTGGCTTTTATGCAGGTTGGTGTGGCTTGAAGTAGGGCGGGCAAGGACGGTGTTGAGACTGCGAGATTTCTTGTGACGTAGTCTGGGTATCTGATTAGGGTTTCTAGGGTCAAGAATGGAAAGTGGGCTGCGTCTGTGATCTGATTGTGAAGACGGTGGCCTTCCTTGTAATGGTTCCTGCGCGCTCGCCTGAGAAAGGGGTCGGCCATTACTGGCACGTTTGCGAATGGTTCTATGAGAGCCTGTCAATGAGTTTCTCTTTACGTGAGCGCCCTTGCGAGACTCGACTTCAACAGGGCTAAACACCACTCGAGTTCGAAGCTTCTGTACAGCATCATCCAAGGCAAGTTCGATGGCGCAATGATTCTTGATGATGCTGATCTTTGGCCAGGTAGCTCGTTCGCCAGCTAGCATAGCTTGCTGCATAAAGTCTGGGGTTGGGTTCGACAATATGCGTGGAAAATCGGCGTAAGAGATCTCGGGAAGAATAGTAATGTCTCCAGAGTATTTTTGGCTGAGTACTGAGACCATCTTGGTCAATAGATTAGGAAAAATCCCAAGATCCGTAAGCATATGCATCCGGTGGAGAGCTTCGTCTTTCGCCAAGTGTGAAAGACTATCAAGCCATGAAGGTGTGACGGTTGGGTTGATGGTTGCTTCTTGAGGACTTTTCTTCATAAGGCCTTCGTCCTTCATCAAGAACGGTACCACATGTGGGTTTACCTGTGACACGATGAAGTGATTCACGTTGAACATCTCGGCTAAGCGCGTCATGGGTATGTCATTGTCGACCGAACCGTCAATCCATTGTTGAGGCGTCGGATTCCACGTCACGGCTTCGCCGGTCTTAGGATCTTTAGCTAGCAATGAGGCGGCGGTGTACACGAATGGCACAGAGCAAGAAGCAGCTCTGCTTTGGATTAGATCAATGGTGATTGTATATGAGCACGGTAAGGACTTACACAGCAGACCAGATCAGCACATTGGGGGCCGTGATGTAATTGAGCAGCCGTGGCAGCTCGTACAGGCTGGCGCTCGAGACTGTAATATTCAGAATCTTTCTTGTACGGTTATATGCTTCTTGGAAGGTGATCTCTCCAAGCAGATCTCTCATGATTCGAGTCAGGTGCTCGATGTCGTATAGAGCACCGTGCTTGAGAAATCGTGCTACTTTTCGAAGTAAGCCATCTTCACTTCCCTCCTCTTCGAAGACATCTAGGCTACCGTCGCAGAATGTATCCAGCAGATTGGGGACCTCTTCATCACTCCGTGTACAGATTACCGCGCATACAATACTGCCTGCTGATGCACCAGAAATGATCCGCGGCAGGAGGCGGACTTCCCAAAGCGCTTTCAAGACACCAATATGATTCATGCCGAAAGTGCCTCCTCCAGAAAGCAGCAATGCGCTTCTGCCAAAAGCTTGTCTACTTGACAGTAATTGCTCCAAAATGTACCTCGACTCCAGTCCATCACACTTTGCTTTTGCCGAAACATCTAATAGAGCTTCCAACGTGTCCAAGGTAGCAGTAATATAATTCTCGACCAGGTCTTTGGTGCCAATGTGGGAATGCCTGTACATCTGTTGATTTCCCATATCACCAAGATTACGCGTGAGAGAGGTCCGGACGAGGAAGAGCATCTTCCCAATATCACAACTGATCCGAGCTTCAGTCATTTGCTTCAAGCGGGCTTGCACAAGTGTAGCATCATAGTCCGTCGATTCCACGGCAGCTTTCCAGTCATTGTTGCCTTCTATTTCATCAAGTTCCATGGCAGCGGCTTCCCAGGCGGCTCTCGTTGTGACCTGTGCATAGTCAGTGTTTGGTCAGAAGGTTCACTTATGATTTCAATGTACCGTTCGTAGCTTCAGATACAGAAGCTGCTTTCTATCTTCCACGACCTGTCTTGCCGCTCTTTCCTCCTTTGTTGACCCATCATACCAATCTTCAAACACTTCTCCAGCATTATCCCACGGGTTCCTGGCGAAATGGACGAGAGTAGCCAAAGAGCTGCGGGTCTTCAATGAACGTGCTTCGTTGCCTTGGCGATGAGACGGCTTTGGTTGTATCGTATCACGACTCTGAACAGACCTCAGAAGGATGCTCGGTGCGGAGAGGAGGGACATCCTCTATACTGATTATGGTCGGAGAAGATCCATGAATAGTCAGGACTTGAGATGGTGGTAAAGTGATGTGCATGCGTGAAATGTAGGAGCTTCAGACGCGAGGGAGCGGAGGACAACAGTTGTGGCACGAGTATAATCGTCTTATGTGAGGTTTGTGGGGGTTGTAGTCGCTTGAGTGGGATGGGAAGCGTCACATGCTAAGTCATTGGGCAGATGATGTAGATTTGTTGATTGAACTTCGCGGCTGGATGACCTACCCGTGCGATCTCACGCGGCGGCATTTCCCCACACGAACCCTGGCAAAATGCGGGATTGAATGACGACAAACAAACATCCTAACAACCGCTACGGTCATGACGATTTCGACAGTAGTGCTTCTGTATTCGTAATGCCTGACTACCCCCCACGACTAATGGCGCACTTCGAGGTTTCCCGAAAAGATCCTCAGCTTTCACGAGAGTTTTCTGAGCCAATGATATGATGCCTACATCTGAACGAAGAAGACGCTTCCATCCGTGGGAGGGGTATGTTGCAAGGTAAGCTCTTACGGCTCGACTAGGCCCCTTGCCCCCACACCGCCTGTTTGAAAGTATAGGATTCATCAAGTCTAGATTTCACCCGGATCTATATTAAATTTATCACAATTCACGTGTCATAATGTTCCACCAAGAGTTCTGGCCCAGGCTCGTTGTCCTCGTCCTCGGATCTACTCTCCAACCCAGAGTTTTCCCGCGTAAGACTTCCATAGCTTCCCCTCGAAGCCTCAAAAATCCCATAGAGCATGCTTCTGGCGCCCGCCAATGCTTCCAATTCGGCGCCTACACAACATATCAAAGGCTTCCATTCCCTCTCCTGAGACGTCTCCAAATGAGCAGCAAGGCTCTTTTCTGTCATCCGCAAGCCTTTCAACACCCTCTGCATGCCACTAGCAGCCTCGTCCGCACTTTCTGATGGTCGATTTAGTTTTGACATCTCCTTCTGCAGAAGCCTCTCGATATCCGATACCTCCTTGACGACGTCTTCCCATACCCCAGCGCCCTCGTCAAATGCCGTTTTTTCCTTCACCACGCTTTTCAAATCTCTGTCTAGTGTCTGCTGCTCCTCCATCCACTGCTCACGGACTAATTCCAGGGTCCGCCGAGCAGGTGGTAATGCCCACAACCCTCTCTTTGCTGACCTCCATGGCTCTATGTCGATTAGAGGTCGCGCGAGGAACTCTCTCGCGTCCTCCTCTGCAAGCTCTAAGGAACTTTTGTAGGAACTCAACTTGCTTTGCACGCGACTTTCCAGGGACGAGATTTCACGCAGCATGTGTCGCTGACGTGCTTTCATCTCGTAAAGTCTGGTTTCGAGCTCGTGGATTTCACAATCAAGGGTCTTTTCGCCCTGCTTGAGGTCCTTGATCCGGATATTTGAGGGTTCGGATTCGATGCGTTCGATCTCGGCCCGGAGGCCGATGGTTCTATTAGTGAGGAGGTCCACGGATGAAAGGGCATTTTCTCGCGAGGAAATATCCGAGGTCAGGAGCTCAGCTTCAGTCGCTTTTACCTGAGATAGCTTTCCCATTGTGCTGCTTATGCCACGCCTGGCAGCCCGAAGACTGATCTTTCTTGGCTTAGGCTGGCGAACAGGTAAGGTGCGTTGAGATCTGGCAAGATTGTTGTCGGAGGCGGCTGTTGTTGGCGTTCTGTCGCTACTGGCAGATGTTACAGAGTCTGACGGTCCTGATCCCAGACCAGCAACCAGGCCCTCACTTTGCGCATCAAGTAGAGTTTGTAAATGACTTCGGAGATGGGACGATTGACGGGAAAGAGCGAGAAGAGGCTCGGACGAAGGTATAGGGATTTCTATCATGGTTGATGGATCCTCCTCCGAAAAATGAGACGTGTCTGAATAAGGAGAATCTGGGGTGTAATGAGATGCATGCAGTGGTAGCAGGGGAACGTCTTTGTTGGAAGAGCGACGAAGGAAATTGGTGGGCAACATGACTCTGGGCGAATGACCAGTACAGACTGCTAAGCGTCCACAAGTGTGTTCCTTTTCTGAGCTTTAGGTTGAGAGCGTTGAAAACAATGGCGATACTTGGTAGCGTCGATTTCGAATTGCTTTTTTAGAATACATTTCAGGCAGGTATAATGGAATACAGACGTCTTACAGGTGTCGTATCCAACGTTCTCATGCTCGATGCTTGTGACACGGAGCCTCGACTCATTTGAATTGTCAGTCACATCTTCCGGGTGACTTCGATCTCGGGATGGAAGATGTTTTCCCCGGCGCATCTGCTGTTTCCACTCAGTAAAGTCCCTCAGCTTACCTTGCTTCCTCACGCCTATCTGTTACTCCAGGACCCTACTACGGCAATGGATGTCATACGGAGCAACCTACAACCGCTCACTCGTGCGATTCCTACCCCAATTGCTGAATTTGGTGTCTCCCTCATCGGTCCGGACTGCTACAAAACCCTCGTCCTAGACATCGATCTGAGTGCTACGCAATGCCTCAAATTGGGTCTTTCTAAAGGTCTCGGTTTCGGTATTGTCGCTGCGTCAGGCGTCATCAAAGTCCCTCAAATCCTCAAGCTATTAAATTCCCAGTCCGCCTCAGGCGTGTCCTTGCTCTCCTACTTCCTCGAAACAGCCTCGTTTGTCGTCACACTCGCCTACAGCGCTCGCAATGGCTTCCCGTTCAGCACATACGGGGAGACCGCTCTCATTGCAGCACAGAACGTTGTCATATGTCTGCTGGTCTTGAAATACCAAGGGCAGACCGCTGCCGCCGGAGCATTTCTTGGGGGATTGGCGACGGCAGGATGGGCACTGCAGAATGATAACGTGGTCGATATGAAGATGCTGTCGCTCATACAGGCTGGTGCTGGCGCATTAGGGGTTGTCAGCAAGCTACCCCAGATCATCACGATCTGGAGTGAGGGTGGCACGGGGCAACTGAGTGCTTTTGCCGTAAGTCCAGAACAAATATCAAGCAATTTGCTTTCCAAAGGCTAAAGTATCGCATCAGGTCTTCAATTATCTTCTAGGCTCACTCACGAGAATTTTCACTACCCTCCAAGAGGTCGACGACAAAGTGATCTTGTATGGATTCATTGCAGGATTCTTGTTGAATGGTGTGCTGGCAGCGCAGATGGTTCGTCTTGCTATAAAATAAGGCTTCTGAGTACTTACTGACGTGTATAAAGGTTTATTACTGGAGAAGCCCAGCAACGGCTCATCATGGAAGTGCTGTCGAAATTCTCGACACCGTACCCACCGCGAAATCAACTGGTGCATCTACGGGCAAATCTAGAGGTCCTACGACCCGGAGAAGGGGATAGAGGCCTGAGTTTCATGGATTTATCTACTGCATGTCTTGATTCTGTTCCACGCGACGCCTTCCAATCACTTTGTACTGGACCATATCGTCATGCTATTGCAAATTCGTGCTGCTTTCTGTTGCAAATCATGCGTACCTAATAACTCATTCGGCTGCGACTACAGGACGATATCTGGTGTTAGGTCATCCTAGCTGATATAAATACCTTTCGCCCGTCATGAAAACCCTAATGCCGCCTGAGAGAAGTCCAAACCTATCCACACGCACTATAAAAACCGTCTCCACCTTCCCTCTGCAGAGTATTTAGGGTTTCACACTGTCCATGTTGTGTTTGAGAATGGTCTGTGTTCGTATTTCTGTTGTCTTCAGCACCCACTCGTCTTCGTATTCCAACGGCCTGTCCCCTTGCGCAGCCCTGCACTCTCGTCCGCAGCCACCCGGGTTGCCTCTATGTACTGCTACACGACGTGGGCAGACGTAGACTTCTTTTCTACACCACTGTGGATAGTATTGCACATCAGTATCATCGTCACGATCTGGCAAGGGGACATCGACGCCGTGGTCAAGTCCCAAAATCTCGACCTTCACGGACGCCACGTATCCCGCGTAGAAGCGGTTCTCAAGGTAGTATACGAGATAAGAGATTTGGTAGAAGCGCGCTTCGGTCAACAGCTGGTCATATAAGAGGTGATTGTGGCCATAGATTTTGTTGTAGAAGACAGGTACTTTCTGACTGCGAAGGTATCGTAGGACAATCGCAAAGAGATCACCGTCACGGTCTATAAATATTGTACCATCCTCTTTGAGGACTAATTTGTCTGATCCTGAGAAAAGGCTCTTAAACCATGCGCTCCCCTCTGTAAGGGTCTTTGTGTTTGCGGTGAAATATTTTTCACCCACTTGAAACTGGATTGGTGCCATGGGGGGGCAGATTGAACTTGAAGCTGCTGGTGGTAAAATGGTGATTGCAAGGGGATTGTTTGGAAATCAAACCTTGAACAGAAGGTCGAAGTGTTGCACTTCTGACTGAAAAAAAAGAAGTGTTAGTTATTTTATAAATCCACACGATCCGCTACTAGAGAATGAAGGTTTTTGCAAGACAAATAAGATCGCGGGATGCCGCATTATTGATTGACAAGCAGTCAATTGAGTCTGCAAAGACCTTTTTCAGATAGTTGTATAATATTTCAGTTTTAATAAACTTCTATCACAAGCCAGTCGAAGCAAAGCACAAACAGATTTGCGACGTATGGTCGGGCAGATAGAAGACAAACTGTCATATTATTAGCTAGACCGAAGTTGCAAAACCTAGCTGGGAGCGATAAATAAAACTTACAATAGCGTCTCCACGCCGTTGATGTATCTATGTGAAGCAAAGCCTACCGTAAGAATCGCACAGATCTGCCCGTAATGGAGGGCTCGCCTTTGAACGTCGCTCACAGCTTCGAATAGTACGTATGTAGGGCTCCTAGGCCTTCATCACTTGACCTTTATTCCGCTTGGATGAGATAGTAAATTTCGATCGTGAAAGCAAACCATTAGCAAACGTACAAACCAGAGGGATCCCGAGTAGCTCCACGCATCGAAACGCCAGAACATGTTTTTGCCACATTCTCTCAGAGAAGCATTCTAGACTTCAGTAATCATGATGGAGAAGATGAGGCAGAGTTAGCGTTGTTGGCTCATTCTTTCGGCTCTTCTCCTTTACACAAGAACCGCAGAATCTGCTCCATTGGCAACGACGGGGTATGATTGTCTTGTTCGATATCCTTTCCCTTCACCACACCATGGGCCCCAGTCTTCACAACACCTTTCATCTTCTCGCTCTTTCCCTGCCCTTCATCACTGCTATCCTCTTCCTCGTCCTCACTTTCTTCAGCTTCTGGCCCCTCCCCTTCAGGCCCCAGCCAATTGTAACCCATACCAATTTCGCTCGATTCAATCATCGCCCACCGCCAGAATCTCTTGAACGAGTCCTCCTCGCCCTCCCCAGCTCCTCCAATAATTTCCAAGCCCTCAAGCTCCTTTCCCATAGTCTCGCCGTCTTCCGCCCATTCCTCAACTTGCGGCTCTAATTTCTTCCTCAGAATCTGGTTGAGCAATGCTTCTTGTTCTCGACCTGGATACGACGGAACTGGGTAGGCGACTGTAGAGCGGAGGAGTGTGGAGTTGTTGCGCAAAAGCTCGAGAAGGCCACCCATACCGCTATTGCCGTTGAATGCTGTGAGGAGGAGCTGGGACTGAGCGTGGAGGGATGGCCTTTTCGGGGTGTTAGTGAAGTGAAGAGATCGTCAATACCAAGCCCTTCCGAGAATTCTATCGAATGGGGATCTTAGAGGGGTCATACCATGGTGGAAGAGGATCAGATATGAGGATTTGATTACGGAGGCTGTCCAAGGATGAGGTAAGGGTGGCGAGACGTTGGCGGATGGACTCGAGGACTTTTATGTCTTCGTTAGATAGCATAGTCATACTTGTAGTCTTAAGGGCCAAATAGAGATCTGGTGGTGCTCCAACTGCCTTTATGGTGGATGAGAACGGAACTACGGAGTGTTTAGGAGCTAAACATGATTTGACCGCAACGAGAAAACCAATTCCATGACCAACATCAAAGCCAAGTTCGTACACCTCTTTTGATTCTCTACCTAGATTATTGTAATGTACAATGCAATAACGGTATGCTGCTCTAGCCCTCCGTTTCTAACCAACGAGAACTGTATGTCGGACAAGCCTCATCAACGCCTAGTCTAACCCCTAATAGCACATCTCGACACGCTCGAGGTGCTCAGAGCTCCTCATGATCCTCGTCTGAATGATAGTCGAACTCCCTTGGTAAATCTGCGTCGGATTCACCCTCTCCTCCCTCGTCTACAGCAGTCAGCACGCCAGCTGCTTCAGCTGCACCTGCTCCGGCCCCTGCTCCAGCTGCAGCCTCAGCGCTTATTGCGCTCGTGTTATCGCCTGCTGGCTGGCTTGGCGCCGCCGGGGGAGGCGCCGGAGCCTTTCGCTTCATTTCTAGAAGCTCTTTGGGTGCTTCAGGCGTAGTATCATTCATCAGGATGACACCGCCGGTCGCTTTGGTGACAGGCTGGTACCGTTTGTCTGGGAAGCTGATGAACTTCAACTGTGATGGAAGCACTCGAGACATGTTGTCAAGATCATAGCCGACCTTTTCTCGCTCCATCCTCTTCTTCAGACCCTCAGGCTTCTCGATGGCTTCCTTGCTCTCTTCGCCTTCCCCTTTTTCACCATCTGATTTCTCAGTGTCGGGCTTAGCGGTGTCCTTGTCTGAATCCGCCTTCGTCTCATCGGTATCCATCTTATCGCTGTCATTTGCTTTTGGAGCAGTCGGCGTTTGATCAATATCCATGCTCTCTCGTCTCTGCTGCTTCTCTTTCTTCTGAGCTCTTCGCTTAGCTTGCGCAGTTGTAGACAGCACGGCAGTCTTCACTTTCTCTGGCGCATCCTCCGTCTTAGTTTCTTGCTCTGGTGGATAGTCAAACAGACTAGGACGTGTGGCGCTGTGGAATTTGAAGTTTGGCACTTCCAACTCTTGGTTCAGTGCAATTACTGAGGTAGGTGCAAAGCTCAGAGAAAGGAAATGGGTCAGTGGGAACCAGTACCAGTATTGGGTGAAGACAGCCATGCCCACGATACCAGGCATATGCAGATTGCCAGTTTGGGTTTGGAGACTGATAGTACAATTGCGGCCTCCAGCATCAATGATGCCTAGGGCAATAGCACTACCAAATTTGGTCATAGCATCCTCATGTCGATCGCCGATGGCCTTCTGTAAAGTTTTTCGGATACTACTAACTTTCGGATTCATTGCCTCATTCTGCTGTATCATGATCATGGATAGAGCAATAAGAGCACCTTGCCGGACGAAGTCTGTGGGATCTTTTATCATAGGTTCAAGCAAGTCGATTGCCTCGTCCAAGCCAGTACCAGCACAAGAGATACCGAGAGCCATTGCCGCTCCATAACGCACGTGAGGGTTGTAAGACTCTGCCAAAAGCTCTACCATGCGTGGTACGCTCTTAGGTCTCCGAAAAAGAATGAAACCCAGACTCATAACAGCATACCGCCGGACATCGTCACTAACATCACTGACAGCGACGTGAAGTAGCTTTCGGACAGCTTTGTTGCGACCAGTACCGCAATAGGCCAGGGCGAGAGTCTGTACACCACCATATCTCAATATTGGGTCAGGGTCCTCTAGGAGACCATTGACAAGCTCGTCAGCCCCTTCTTGTCTGCCATACATAATGAGGGCCATGCCAAGTCCTAGGCCTCGAATGATCTTCTCGTGCGCAGTTTCATGGGCGTATTGAATCATCTCCGTAAGAGCTTTGACATTTCCTGATCCCAGCATAATGAGACCCATTGCAATCCCCACTGCTTCACCATTAAGGGCCGAATCGGCCCATAAGACGCTCTTGAGGTCCTCATAAATACCATCATCTCCTGTAGCCATCCCAGCGACTCCAAGTCCAAGAGCTCCACCATGTTGCACGACTTCTTCAGTTGCGTTCTTGAAATGATTCCGAATGTTGTCCAAAGCATCTGTCTGATGATTTGCATAAATCAAGCCCATCGCATACAAAGCCCCGCCTTGACTGTATACTGACGTAGGTCCTGAAGCATTATCCCTCGGAAGGTAAGGCTGTAGAATCCTCTGACCATTGCCTAAGTTGCCACGATGAATAACACCGAAAGATGCGGTAGCCGTGAACTTTGACCAATTCACAGCTTTTCCGAGCCACTCTAGATTATCGCGATAGAAAGAATCGTTCAGAGTTCCAGCATTCATGAACCCGCACGATAGCGTCACTGCCGTATGAAATATCGAATTTCGTGCCTCTAAGCTATCTTTGAGCTTCGTTAGAATTGCCTTGTCTGCGTGATTGTGCCGGTAAAGGAACTCAGCACTGAGTGCTATAGAAACCTTGCCATCCAAAATCTCTTTGATCTTCTCGGAGGCAGGGGTCGCGAGTGGTCCCTCAAGAGTAGACTCGACGGGTTTTGTCTCATTCGACTCTGATAATAGCGCAGTCGTCTCTTGTGCATTCTCTGCCTTGTCCTCTTCCATTGTGTCAACTCCCGAGGGAGCTGATTGTTCCGCTTCTGCTTTCTTTTCTGGTAAATTTTGACGTACTTGCTTCAGAAAATCTTGAGAGCTGTTGTCGTAGAGGCCAAAGGCGATTTGATAGGCCTCAGCAAGTTTTCCGGTTTCAACAAGGTCTAAGAGTAGTTTGGCTGCGAGTGACGATTCGTCGAGATAAACGATGCACTTGGCAATAGAAAAAACATCAGGGGCCGGCACATCGCGCAGCAGGTCGAGGATTAATCTCAGTAGATCCTGCCGCAAAGTCACGTCCTGGACCACGTCCATACAGATCCCAAGAAGATAGTCAAGTAGCTCCTCTGCTTGTCCAACACCATCCTTCTTAGGCTTGCTAGCCTTCTTCTCATCCTCGCTGGCTCTCAAAATAGCCCGCTTTAAGACATCGAAATTTCGAGCTTCAACTGCTATTCCAACAACTTGCCGGTATCTTTTTTCTTGGAAGCATCGTTCAAAAAGACGTTCTATGACTTGTTGTAGAGGGCGGAGGATTCCTCTTTCTCGTGCAAGTTCAGAAGGAACACTGCCAGGTATTGGCTCGTTAGCTACTTGCGCTGACGGATCGAAAGTAGTTGAACTGTCTTGCCGAGACAGTAAGGACTTGGATGGTAGTGTTGCTTGAGAAAAAGGCATAGTAGGTGATGCAAGACTGGCAGATGTACTTGTCGCGCCATTGGCGGTCGTAGAAAAAGATGTGTTGAGCTGGCCAGGAGGTTGATTCGCGTCAATTGTCGAGGAGGTATCTGATAGCGCAATGTATGTATCTATGCACTTGGATACTATGGTATCCTCATATTCCCCTTCTTGTTCAAGATTGAAAAGCTTGCCTGCACCCAGCGCAAACATCATGCTTTCATTGTATTCCTGAAGGTTGTAGTACACCTTGGATGCCACCAAAGCTGCAAGCTCTCGCTGCGGAAATTGGGGATCTTCATAAAGAGCTTCTACCTGATCTATCAGCCCTACGACTTCGGTCCATAGTGAATCTATTTCTTCGTTGAGTTTCCTGAGGGCAAATATTTGTAGCTCGGGATCTGGTTCGGAGAGGAAGCCGAGCACTCCAACCGCTGAGGTAAGTCCCACCATGTCGAGCGCCGAATTTGAGAGTGAAATCTGTTATGTGAGCATTCGATATGTCCGTGAAAACTGCAATGAAAAAGGGAATGCCTCGATGAGAGCGTGAGTGTTACTAGCGATATAAGAGGAAATCCCAGATGCAAGTTGAATGCTAAATTGCGGCTAGAAGGATGCAGAGACCGAAAAGCTAACGAGTTCCTGTCTACTGGAGGCCGGTTTCCTGGTTGTAGTAAAATCCTTGATGGTAGAGCTTGGACTGTAAGGCCGATGGATACCACGTCAATCAGTTGCTTGGCATCTGAAAGCGCCAGAAATTTGAGGAGCGTCCTGCCAATCAAATTGCTGTGTCAAGAGCTTAGTCATTGTCCTACCTTACCTGTAGCTTCCGTAAAAATAATTGATTTCCCTACCCATACTCTAGAAAAGATCTGATTTCTTGTGTCTCTATGTCTGGCCAGCCATCAAATGACATCGCCAAAAATATACTTCGAGTGTAATGAGGAGTAACACCAAGCACGCATGGTCATGTAGATCATAGCTGACCACATCTCAATCTCATAGGTGAAAGACACGCCAAAGGACCCCTTGGGTTTGCAAGACTGAAGTTGGCCCCCCTATGTTGCTCGTGTTGGACAATATGATGATGAATCTGCTCCAATCTCGACCTTCTAAACATCAAGACTGGCATGACAACACCAAATCGAACCATGATTTCCTAGCCTGAGTCGAGGACAACGAAGCAGTGTGCGAATGATAATTTGCTAAGATCCAACGCCTCATCTATGCCATCGACAGTGGTACGGAAATATCATCGAACACTGCAATGTTAAATGACTTCCCGCACCCCGCACAATTCTAGAGAATGGATGGTCGATACTGTGTCACGCCCAAAGCCGCCAGCTTGAAACACGGTGATATAGAATGTCATGCCATGTGTTGGCTTTGTCAAGTCAGTGACTTCACAGTTTCAGACATTTGCTCTAGGAGCTCGCATCTTAGTCAAGACCCAGGTGTTCCTAATCCCAAAGGCGTCCGAGGCGTGTTGTATGGGGATGAGCATTTTTGATTGGATCTGCACCTGCCCCTTCAAACAAATGAGCATCTTGGAAGAAACTTCATGAGCAAGATTGAAGTGTTGATTTAAGAGACGAATCTAAAGCCTAATCAATGTCCCACCACACTACCCATGCAATTAGCCACCTGCACAAAAGCCGAGAGGCTACCAATGTGTTTGTTCTGAGTCCCCGCAATATTTCACTAATAAAAAAGGACTTCAATCGGAAAAGTTTACCTGTCATGTCCATCGCTGTCCTCCACTAAATCTAATTTACAAATGTCTTCGAGCTATAAGATCTGCGGTCAAAATTCACCATGCTAGTAGCTAAAGGTAAGGCGATATTAAAAATACTGATTCTGCTTCTGTGCCAGCTACAGCTTTCTATGATCATCCATCGGATGCCAGTAGGTCTCTTTGTGTGGCATTGATACTATGGGTATGATTGACCTCTAGTTGCAGCGTACTGCATTACCCGCGCTGTTGCTACAAACCATCCTGCATCCAGAACTCCCACAAGGTGGCGCAGCTCTGTGTGATCCGCTATGGGTTAGAACAGTGAAGCTAGACATAGCTGAGTACCTCAATTGCTGGCGCATGACGTGACTGAAGCGAATGCTGAGAGGGCTCTTTGCGAGGTTATCGATCTTGACTACATGGACCGGACCAGTAGTACATCACTACCACCAATAATGATATGCGGTCTTGTAGGATAATCTTATTTCTAGGAGCCGGAAGAACCGAGAAGCCTTCTACAGCACGTATTTGATATTCCCTTTCATTTCAGCTGTCAGCCCGCCGTCGCGCAATGAACCTCTCAAACCGCCGCTCAGGCACCCTTGCTATAGGATGAAATCTTCAACCATTGTGTCTGACACATGCATGAAGAATGCTTTGACTACCAATGTGATCCAGCGGACAGACATCTCGGAAAGTTTGAAAGTGCCTCTCGAAGGCCCTTCATAGCGTCCGCAAATGATCCGAGCCGAGGGTAGTCCACATCAGCGACTTCTTATGAGGGACATTATACTAAGGCGGTGATTCAAGAAGCACTCAAGTAACCTAGGCCCTTCACGGTGCTTTTAGTAACCGGTTGCTGGGCAGAGAGCCCCGGATGGCGAGTTTCTACTCTGACATCAAGAGATTCAACCATAAATGCTACCTTTGTGATAAAACTTTGATAAGGCCCCCCAATGATACACGAGATACGACAAAAACAGAATCGGTGCCGCATTCTTGAACTGGTTTCCCACTGGTGTTGGCAGTTGAATTGGAGGCCGCCTGGGTGGAGGCGCTTCCTTGCGTCGTGATTCCATCCACCGGTGGAAAGTTGCTGTCAGCTACTGGTTGCACAATCACTGGGGAAAAAGTATGTTTCCCAATGTTTAGTCCCAAAGCGCGGTGACCATGGGCCCTCTACACTGTGGGACAGGTCCCTTCCACTATCGAGCCAAATAACAGCACGCCATTTAGTTCCTGGCGGCCCCACCTCAACCGTTATAATTTGTTCCACAACGTACTCCTTTTTGCTCAATAGCAGACATCGGCGAATTACCGAATCGGCTGCCTTGGGTTTACTGCGCAGCTGTGTAATATATCTCTTGAACGCCTCTGACTCGAGTTTACGCGCCTCTTGCCAGTCTTCAGGCTCGTGCCCTGAGCAGCTGTGTTTCGGGTGCAGACCGTTGGTATAGTCAATTGAAAGATTCGAGTGGATGACGATGGCAGACCTGAGGATGTGTACAGCTCGCGGCCTCCTAAAGCAAATGCTTCATGCTGCAAGTGCCTTCGATATACTTCAGGGCTTACTCGGTGCGTGTTCCCAACAGTACACAACCACTCCGGGGTGATGAAGCCCCGCAGGAACAGCAACGAAGCATCTGGTACATCGCTCTTAGCAAACCTATTGAGATCATTTGGTGTCCCTCTATAGCGAGCATCGGTGCCAGTGCCTATGTTGTGAATTACGGCGAGGCTGGCGTCGACATCAGACTCATCGGGTGTCGCTGGGGTGCGGACTGGAGACACCGATCTGTGAGTCGCTCAAGACTTCAACAGATTGCTCAAAATGATCAGATCAGGTCTTGGGTAGACGTGATCCTTGCTCGATTGGAGGGATAGTCGCTTGATTTCCTGCTGGTATTTTCCGTCTTCTCCTGATCAATTTAACACGAAAGCGCCAAGTGGTAGGGGAAAATGAAAGATGCACCTTGAAAGACAGACATAATGGAAAGCTTGTCAATGAGCTCCGGGACTATATCGCAATTTCAGCAAAAGGTTTGTACAGTCCCTCATCCCATGTCCAGGCGACTGGATGCTGAAGACCTCGGCAAACTTTACCTCCAGCATCTCTACGGGAGATTGTTGATTGAAAATTTGAACAATGAGCTGTGCCTAGACTGGGGCCTTGATACGTTGCAGCTACCTTCAACTACTCCTGTCAGCCTTACTGGAAAGGATGCCACAGACGAGGCAGATTACCGCTCAATCTTACCTGCAGCACAGCCTAACACGTTCAGCGTCATAACGCTACGGAGCTACTCGGGCACCTGATATGATTGGTGATAACGGTACCTCAGATCGAGACGCTAAAAGGTGCGGAAAAGAGGAAAGATCTGTTATGGTGCCATCACGGCGTTTCTGTCGAAGATCAAGTAATTGGTGGAATTTATTGCATTTGTATGACTGACAGCAACCAACTGTATCTACAGCAATGATGAATGACTGTAGGCTTTGTCCACCATCGCCTCAATTCTCTGACGCGCCACGAAGTCACAAACTAGCGTTTGATTCGCACGAGAAGCTTTCTTGGACAGCTCAACTCAATACATTGAGCGGCCAGTCTTTACCCGCGTTGGCAGATTTGCACCTTTCATGCCCCGTGCCACGAGGTCCGCAAGAATGAGATCTGTGCCTATAATAGCCCAATGTCATTCGATTGCTGTAAAATCAATGAATGACAGAGCTTACCTGGAGCTCCTATAACCGACACGGCGATAGGTAGAGGTTCTTGCCTTTGGGTCACCCAAGAATCGTACGGAATCTCTCCCACTAGCGAAATTGGTCACTGGACTTCTGAGAATCGATCAGAGGAATTACCTGGTGCGGTGAGCTCAGGTGCTCGCATCATTGGAGACATGTTCAACGAGGCGTAGCCACTCAATATAGCGAATGGACTGAAGCGCATTATCAATACCACTGTGCAGGGTTTTGTTCAAGCAACCTACGGAATCTCCGATTCACGGTAATTTGGCTGTCCAACTTCGATAGGGAATATCATTATTGATAGGAAGTCCTTGGAGGCTATATTGAAGACATCATCAAGAAGCCAGTGGCGATAGACTTCGGAGCGACGCCAGTACATGTCACGTTCCTGGACAGAGATTTTCTCCCCGATACCCCTATGTTCGAACAATTAGCGGATCTCCGAGCCCTGCATTTCTAATAAATAACTTTACCATTGCCAACGCATTGCTTTTTGGACCCAGGGAGGTTTTCCATATGTCTTTGCGTATTGATCTCTGAAGTCAGCTAAGTTATGGTATGAGTCGTAGTAATAGGGATAGCTTCCAGCCTGTAAAGATTTAGAAGGATCCTAATGTAATCGATGCGACTGAGACATGCAAGTTTCAAGTATTCTGCGATATCACTATGCTCCGGCCCATCGGGCAAGGACTTCTTCCACCGTTCAGCCAGAGATATTTCCGTTCTCGTAGTGTCCAAGGCGGCTTCCAGCCCTTTGACGAAAGTGTCAATAAGGCGAGATTGTTCTGGATTTGGAGTTGGTAGATAGTCCAACGGGTAAAGTATCTTAATTGGTAACTAGACGAATCATGATTTGTGGAAAGCACCAAAGGATGGGCACGAACCTTGGTAGGAGGGCGAAGCATCGGAGAGCTTCCATACCACGATGAGATAAAGTTAGCGAACTTGGACAAATCCCTCCCGAAGAACACTGGCATGTCGAATTGCCTGATAGATTGTCGTAGTATTAGCGGTCGTTCTTGGAACAACTGGCGCAACCTACGGAAATTGGCCAGTGACTCCTTCAGTGTCCATTATCCCCGTTGATGGGCGAATCGAGAAGCATCCATTGTATGAGGCAGGCTTGCGACCACTTCCGTTAGCTAGCAGCGAGTCAGAATATCTCCTTTCCATTGTCCATTTCACCCGCACTGTCAGATCCAATAGAAAAATCAAGCCAGTCATATGATCCAATACCTGCAGCACTCGCATGACTACTTCCAGAGGGGACTTGGTATCCGTCGGCACGAGGATTGAAAGGAGCTTCAAATTCGATGCACTCCATTGGCTCTTCCCGCATAATCATCGCCTGTAGCTTTACCTTAGACACAATGACAGCTCCAGCTTCTATAAGTACTTGGACACAAGCAGCATGTTTGGATTTGGCGGAATAGAGATCTATCCATGCTCGATTGCACAGAGTAGTTTTATGGCCTGCGATGTCCACATTGTCTTTCACACTGATTCTCGCCCCAGCAAGCGGTTGGCATTTAGATGGTTTGTAATAGCAGCGAGATGGGACGATCACCCTACCGTCAGTACCGGCTCGTGGGGCGTCAAGGGTCAATAGTGTATGTCATTGTTAGCTTCGCACATACTTCTCATCAACGAGACTCATCTTCCGGATCCGTCTGGTCCAGGCTTGAATGCAGTCATGACAGTCGCATTTACATCATGATAAATTCTCCATGGCTGCCAGGTCTTCCCTTTGGCAATGACATACGGCCCTGGAGCAACGTTGGCACCTGAACGCGCTGTCACAAATGTTTGAGTCTCGGTGTGCCATGTGGCCAGCTGCTCAAGCGCATCAGGCTCTATCTCAAGATCGTCTTTCTTGCTTCCATAGTAGACGATGTTCGAGCAGAACTCAGGCTGAAAGACGTCATCTCGATCGAGGACATTGGTTCGAAAATCAAGTAGAGCCGATTTAGAAATTCTATCGCCTGGGGAAGTCAAATACACGATTAAGAGTGTCGGATCATCACCCTTGAAGTTGACGTCGGGGATGAAATTCTAAATCAATCAGCAGGGCGATTTTCAAGCTGGCGGCGTACTACATTCTCCTGGTTTGATACTAGAAGGTATCGAACTTTACCAACGGTGAGTGTAATCTCCTCCTCAATGTCTGCGTTGGACAACATTGAGTTCGTGATGTTCGAATTTGGCAAGAATGAGTCGCGTTCGAGAGCCATGAACGGCAATGGGCCTTCGCATTGTCCGCTGTTACTCTCAAAATGAAGTGAATGTGGCAGTTCGAGATTGTATCACGCGAGATATGAGGTTGCGCAGGACAGGGTCGAATGCAAGGTTGAGCACACCGCAGTCTAACCTATTAAGAATGTGGACGGCAGGGCTCAGCGTAAGGTATGCAAAGTGCTCTTCAGCTACTACTGAAGCCAGGAGGCAAAGGATCCCGATTGCAACGCGGAGCCTCGTCATCATTGCATTATATCGACTCGCGCTTAGTTCATCACATACAGCAATGCTCAGGGTACAGCAGTATTGTCTTGTACAGCAGGGGGTTTCGGGGCTCTACTATTTTGCTGTATATAAGCTCAAATAATGTGACCCGGTAGGTAGGGTATTGCTCCAAAATATGGGAAACAGTTGTTTGGCCTTATTTGAGTACGGAATACGCCACCTCAACTCCGTCGTCTTGGCATTTCTTCCCGCACTAGTGTTCTTGCGGACATAATTGTCATTTCTATCTCTCTATATCAAAGCTCCATATGCCTATATCGAGTGTCCGATTACAAGTCCCAAAAGTTCACACTTCTGACTTATCAAAGCATAGCAATGTGACTACAACTCATACTACGCAGGCAGGACTAGCGGGCTAGTCTCTTCCCAGCGCCCCAGTTTTCGACGTTCAGAGAAGGGGCAAAGCAGGACTGGAGAGAGTTCTAGGGACAAGAGGTGGGACATATGTTCTGAGGCGATTTCGCGGAATAGTGGAAGTCTACTTGGAGAACACTAGAAGGCAAAATTCTTTGCGCAGCAAGTGCGTCGTTGACAGGATTCAACCACGTGTTGCGGTATAACTGGCGCAAAGCAGAGGTCCCTTTCCCCGTGCTCATCGAAATAGTCATTGTCAAAGTCTGGAGATTAGCTTCTAAGCTACTGGAATATGGATATAAAGTCTCTCATTGCGACAGATGAGTCCTCGGGACCCAGGAAGCCTTCAGGACCGTTGCCTTCAAGAACAGATGTGCAAAGCGCGCCTGATGGAATAGCGTACTCATCCCCTAGGCAAAGAGATACCCACTCATCATACCAAAATGGCGGGGCTCCTCATTCGAGCTCCCTTCCTTCTCCAGGCTATCAAGACCCTCATTTTGCCCAGCCACCTCTACGTGCCTATGGAAATCCAGCGGGCCAGCATCATCAGCTGTCTGAACGAGACGGCGCACCAATTTTTGCACCTCAACAGAGGAGCCGAAGTCCTCCTTACCCAATTCAGCCCCATTCACACTTTTCACATCACGATCGCCCGGGCATAGGCACTCCTACACATTCAGCCATGGGCCAAACGACCCCCATGACACCTACGCCGACTGGCAGCACACCTGGCAGCTCCACTGGCTTCGGCTGGCAGCGCCCTGCTTCATCACATTCCGCCTCGACGCCTACTTCTGCTCAATATGGGGCTCAGCATTTTTTTCGAGAGCCTTCGCAACCAACGATGCTGCCCAACGGTGTTGGAATGCAGCATGGCCCCCCACACATGTCTCCTCAGTCCAGTGCACCTTTAGGACCTCCGTCACTGAGGCCTAGACCGAGCTTGGAAAGGCAGCAGATATCGCCTGTACCAGAAAAACATAGGAGAAACCTTTCCGGGGAGTTACGTACTCAGCCGTCCAACAACGATCCGAATTTTCCTTTCGCTTCACCTTCCAGGCCGTCAGTATCACGTAATAGTAGCTCAGGCTATGAGAGTCGACACGACCGACAGAAGAGTGTTAGTGTGAGCCCAAAGACTAAGGCTTCTAATTTGCCTCACTTTGACCAACAAGTGCTGCCAAGCGTTCATGGAGACTTTCGTGGCGCGCAATATGCATCATCTTTCGGAAGTGAACACAATCGCAAAAGTGAGCAAGGTTCGATAAGTCAAGCTAGCGAGAGGCCATCAGCGCGAAGGATGAGCTCCATGGGCATTGACTCCATGCTTAATGCAGTACCTTCAGATCAAACATCGAACAAGAGGTTGAAGAGGTCATCAATTGACACACCTACAGAAAATCTGTACGACAAGGTTGCAACGGTCTCACAACCTTCGAGTGATATGATAATGAGTCATCATACTCCACAACCCGTATCTCCGTCCACACAGCCAAGTGTCAAGACTAGTCAAGACACCGTCATGACCGACAATACATCAAGCCCATCGCAGAGTGGCGTCCAAGATCCAGTAGTCACGTCCGCTTCGGTGGACCGTAGCTCCAATCACAAGACCAAGCAACCAGATTTCTATACTCATCGCGCAAGCAAGGAAGTCGAGGTGGCTGCCTATCCCAAAAATACAGCCAGAGGTCTCCCACCGCAGAAACCTCAAAGTAATAAAGAAGGCGCCTTTGTTGCCCCTGATCATTCAGCTACCAAGAGAGTCCAGGTAGATCAGTCCGAAAATAAACCAAGTCTAGATCTTATAGGAGCGAAGAACACTCGTCTGAGCGAAGACCGTGAGACTCTGCAGAAGAAGCGTGACAAGCCACCGCGGCTGCCGCAGCCCGTATGGGCTCGATCTGTGCTCGAGAACCAACGCAAACCCGGCGGAGGCCCAATACGTCCCCAACGACCTTTCACCAAACATAGTCCAAAGCAAGCAAATGGCCATATATCTAATGGCGTATCAGTGCCGGCTAGTCAACCACAGGACAAGGGACCGTTGGGTCACTGGGAGCCGAGTATACTTAATGTCATACCGCTTGATGAAGTGACAAGGTTTGTGTCTGATTTCTTGTTCATGGAGGTAATGCAACACCTAGAAATTGGTGTTGCTCCTGCCGGCGGTTCGGCTGGTGGAGGCGCCGTTCTGGAAATCGAAGCCAAAATAGGTCGACTGATTGATAAGAACACGATGGACAGGATTAGTATTCCGGTCATGACCGAGACTGTCTTTAACCGTAATAGCCCAAGCCACCGGACACATTTTGAAAGTTCTATGACAGAGGTAAGGTTTTGCTCCATTTGATTTCATCAGATGAGACTAATTACAGCAGCTTCAACATCGCGCTTTGAATGAATTTTTGAATGATGCTCTAAAAAAGACACTTCCCCCAAAACCATTACCGCACAACCCCAACACAGCTCCGCATCGACGAGTCAAGATGGACTACAAGCATACTAGAGAAGTCGACACGTTTTTCGATCTAACGCAGCAAGGTCTCATGGCTCTACCAGCTTCTCTCAATGTCAAAAACAACAAGATTAAGGTTCGAATCACTCGCGATCAAAAGACAGGCAACGAACTCGCGAGGATCGTCAAAACAAGGCTTGCAGATGTTGAAATCTATAGTCCCTTCAATCAAGTAGATTGGCGTGTTAGTGTCAATGTCGAAATGGACTTCCAAGGTGACTTGCGAGATCTAATCGAGACGGATGATCGAAACAGTAAGAGAACGGAACGCAACAAGGACAGGCTTAGCTACAAGCATCAAGCGTATCAAATTGATCTGACGCAGGTGACGCCAAGCGAAGTAAGCTGCGTTGCAAGCACGTCGATTCATTCTTGTACTAATAGTCTTAGGGGTCAAGCTACAAGGAGCACGAATTGGAGATCGAAGTCTCGTCTGAAGAAGTTCGCAAGCAGGCGACTCTCCTACAGCATCAGGAGCCTAACTCTCTTATGGAGCTGATCAGCGGCTTTGTCGACAATGTACGGACGCTGGCAAGACAAGTTCCACACGACAACGTGCCTGCTCCAATTTCGCTTCGGTGAATGATGCTTTGATTTTTCGGTGAATACGGACTCTACGAACTTTTCTGGCATTTTGGAAAGATGTGTAAATAGTGAGGTGTTTGATATTTATGATACCCTGGCGTCGAGCGTGCATTCAGTGAGAGCATCTGGTAGGAAGGCGGATAATTCAAGACGTTGGGTTTGAGTCTAATTTGCGTTACTCATATTCTATCTCCAGGTACTCTAGCGGTATCTATAAGCCGACATTGATTTCACTCTATTGGTATATCCGATGCTTCATCTTCGAGTTCCAGGTTCTGATCAACATTCCCATTGCCGACCATCCTCTTCCACAGCCCCTCCCATAGCCCTTGCTTATGCACCATAGCCAGCACCATCACCACAGGTAAGTGCCACACACTCGCCCAGAACAAGCCCCTCGCGCTGCCCTTCAACCCATCCAGCCGCCAAAATCGCCAAGCCTCCCTCGCCATCCATGCATTTACCACCGAGCTCGTAACCAAGAACCCTTGATCCGTAATTTCCGTCGCCCACAACCCGATACAGACGGGAAAGCACAAGACCGCGTACCTGAACGCTACCCTCCCATTCTTGGCAGGGTTTGTCCAGCACAGCATACGATATCCGGCTTGTTTATATTCTTCCCTGATAGCCCAGCTTAGGGAATTGAAGTGCGGAAATTGCCAGCAGAACAACAGGCCAGCGAGTAACCATCCGCCAATGCTCGATTCACTGAAAAGGATCTCCTTCCAACCTCCGCCTGCGGTAGCGCTCTGGCCTGCTGCTGCTGCCCAGCCCATCAATGGGGGTATGCTCCCCACTACTGCGCCGACCCAGGTATTGATGACCGAGATTCGTTTGAGCGGCGTGTATGCCCCGGCGTACAGGACGATATTAAGACCGCCGAGAAAGGCGACAGTAGGGTTGCAGCCCGCCCATAGTCCACCCACGCCCATAGTCCCTGCGACCAGCGCAAAAATGAGCGCCGCTCTCTTGGAGATCAGCCCCCGTACTAGGGGGCGGTTCCGCGTGCGGCTCATCAGCGCGTCGTATTTTGGCTCGAGGAGCATATTGAGGGCGTTTGCGGAGGCGGAGCATAGTCCTGTGCCGGTGGTGAGGAAGAGCAGGGTCAGGGTCGAGAGGGAGGAGACGCCGATGGTCTCTGGGGAAAGCAGGGCGGGCACAGGGTAGAGGCTGTAGGAGGCTGCGGTTGTGAGGACAACGAGGACTGAGAGGCGGGGTTTGCTGAGGGAGAGGCAGGTGGTGAGGAGGCGACGAATGGAGTTGTTTGGGAGAGCGGTGGAAAGGGTGGTAAGGTTTGACGCAGAGTTTGAGGGGAGGAACTGCGTTGTTTGTTCATGATTGGAAGAAGATTCGAGGGCTCTTCGTCGTGCGCGCCGACGGTGGGGAGGCTCTGAGGCCTCAAACTCGGGAGTCTGGGATACTGAGTCCTCCGGCTGTTGAATTTGGGATTTCGAGGTCTGGGGCGCCTGAATGGTGCGGGCTCCCCCTACTCGAGAAATACGAGTATCATGTGGGGCATTCTCTTTCCGATAGCCATTTTCGAGCTGGGATTCTTGAATGTCGGTCTCCCTCGTTCTGGCCAGGATTAGAGCATCCCGTAGCGTTTTGGGCAGGTTGGCAGAGAAGTATTCTCGACGCCACTGTCTCGAGAATCCGACATTTGATCCAATTGGAGCGCCGTTAGCTGTTGAGATGCTGAGGAGTCTTCTGCTACCCGGTAACCTAGTGAGTCGAGCAAGACAGCCAAGGCAAATAGTCTGGCTGAAGCGGGGGATGGGTTGCACCACACGGCTGACGGGAAACATCACATGGTTGTCAGAAGGAAGAAAGAAGTAATTGACATGCGACGTCCGAGTGTGCCCGCCCTATCTTGTCCTTGTCCAGCTCCTTCGACTAGCAGGAGTAGTGCATAAGCCGTCAAAGCATTATCTTATACATTTTATACAAGGCTAAACTGTTTTTAGTCTAGGAACATCGGAAATCTCGGGCATGGTCTTCGCCTTACACCTACTTGATCTAGCATCTAGCAGGAACCACTCCTCCCACCAACGCCTATCCCTTGACTAAGGAACTATCATGTTACACTCGCGAGGATACGCCACTTGTCCGGATCGAGCGTAGATGAGTGAGATTCTCGCAACCCACCATCCCTGTTGCTGGGTAGCCTGTCGACAGCTTCAGTGTCCGCGATGGCGTGTGGACGGTGCATTGCCATTATAGGCATGGGAAGACTGAAGTGACTTTGCGCGCTTTGTTTGCTCTCGTGGTCCAGAACAGCCCATTTAGCTAGGTGATGCCCTCGTGCGGTACAGTATCTGTAAATTTCCCTCTCATCTTCCCGCATTCGTACTTTCCTCGATTTCTACGCACTTGCTTATTCCCGTTCTTGTTTGGTTTCTCATTCTCCCAAAATGGCTCTCGTTGCAAACTCTCCATCTGAGCAAAGTGATCCTTTGCAACCCACGAAGAGCTGGCAATTTGTAAACATCAATCGGCCCCACGATGCCAAACTAGCCAGTGTTCGAAGGTTTGTCAGATCGAATGCAACAAAGCTGTTCAGGCGTAAACAAAGGATCGAGGCCTTGGCTAAGCATGCACCGGCTTTACGAGCTCGTTCACCATGCCGACCGGCTCTCGAGTCTGAAGAAGTCCAAGATGTAGACAAGCCAGAACAATGGAATGGCAAAGACATAGTGACTCTACCGAGCGTCTTGCCAACTCAGGTCACTGTTCAAACCAGAGAGATCGAGGATTTGGACGAGCAGAGCCAATGGCCGGCTCCTGAACAGCTTCCTCCTCCCCAGACATTAATGTCTTGCACGGAGGCTCCCGTTCAGCAGGAGGTGCCCATCTGCCCGATTCGCTTAGTCGAGCTACTAGAGGATATGCAGAAAGTCACTTCTCTTTCCCTATATCAAATCGATGAAAGTGTTCGTGGTGTCAGAAGAGGCATTCCAGATATTGGACTCTCCGAACAATGTCTCCAGGTTCTTTGCCATCGTGTTCGTGAAAAGAATGATATATGCCGGGCTGTCAGTATCAGGAATATGCCGGGAGTTGATCCTCTTACCACATTCAATTCGAGCTCTATCACGCCAAACCGAGATGGAGCTAATTCAATTCTCAACCGGCGTAAGTTTCCATTCCATATGCTACTTTTGTGTGTTGTGACTTCTATCGATTAGCTTTCATGTCACTGAGATTTTCGCAACAATAGTCGTTGCCTCCATGTCATGCAGGACTACCTTTACAGCCATGAAGAATGAAAGGAGATCTGGAAGCGATGAATGGCTTCCTCATGCACTACAGCATCCCGATATGTTCCTGGCAACCATGAACTATGCCACCGTGCACATGGATGCTATTGCTGGGTCATTCTGGCATCCCGAAAATAAGAAGGTCTTAAAACAGAAGTCAGCCCTCATGAACCAAATCAATACATGCTTGGGAGATAAAACTTCGGCTTTGTCAGGGAATACTATCAGTGGAGTTGCAATGTTGACTATCTCAGAGGTACGGTCGCAAAATGCTTCTTTTTTCTTAAGATTTCCTTACCAGGGCGCCCGTTATTCTTGCGTACTTCCTACGTTTCTAAATTATGCTCTGCCGAATTTCCATTCAGTTGAGGAAAGCACCTTTGATCAGCCTACCTCACGACTCTAGAATTCATCTGAATGAGAGGAAAGATTCTGTGGTTTGAGGAGAGCTATACAGAATGCGATCGTTCTGCTAAGGAGAGCCTGGGCCATGCTATGTGACTGCTAATACTCCTTCACAGATTCTAGACTCGAATTATGAAAACGCACGAATCCATATGTATGCCTTGGAAAGAATGCTGAGACTCTATGGCGGCATGAAAGAAGCATGGTTTGGGAACATCATTCCTATGTTCATCTCATGGTAAGCTTTTGACCCTTCGTGAAATGCAGAGCTTTGACTCACCTCTGCTTGTAGGCTCCACGTGGTGTATTCCGTGTCAATGTCTAAAGTGCCGATCACAGCAATCTCACCGTTGTGTCTCTTGGTCCGAGGGACTATGGCCCCCACCGAGGGTTCGATACTCGCCCTCGGTCTTCCCCCAGATCTGACGGCAAAACTGTATGTCTGCTGCAACAATATGCGACGTTTGACACTGCAAGTCGAAAAATTACCACAGCCACGAATCGCCTTTCTGCCAGGCTCGCTACAACAACTCAAAGCCAGCACCAAAGAAAAGCTCCTGTCTCTCACTCCTTTGACAAGGACAATTACGCAGATGAAGCAACTGCATTATGTGAGTGAAGCCTTACGACTCTCCTGCCTTACCTACTTGGAACTTCTTCCATATCCGTCAGAAGAAGTTTGTGAGAGGCTTGAAGATATAAAATACGAGTTCATGGCACTCCTCAACCAACAGGAGCATACCAGTCAGCGGCCTTCTGAACCTGAAAGAGAACCTGAAGACCCTGTCTTGGTAGTGTGGACCATTTTCACTGTCGGTCAATTGGCCTCCAAAGATGAGGAAGAGAGCTGGTTTGCTAGACGGGTCGCAGCCTGCGCACTGCCGTTCAAGATCAAGACATGGGAGGTGATGTTCTCGGAGCTCAGATTCATTTGCTGGTCGGAGCTGCTTCACACCGCAAAGACACAAAGGATTTGGAACAAGGCTCTCGAAATCAACGAAGCGTACGAGACAGCTGCACGTGAAAAGTCTGCAGAGGCATCTGGCTCATAGAGGCAGGATTGTCTAATGGTTGCCGTGGTCCGGGAAACCCACCCCGCGAAGCTCCTCCCTGGCTATGAATTTCTTTTATCTTTCGGGAATTTGTAATGAGTGGAATTTGAATACCATTTCATCAAGTTCTTTTCGTTGCCTCTCCTGCTCTTAGTAATTCTGCACCAAAGACACTAGGTAGGCAAGGCGACAAAAGGCAAGGCGGGCCCCTGCCAAGACTTGTGCATGCGAATGTAATTTTATGCACGCGCCGCACTCCCGGCGCGTCGGCTTCATGCACGTCATTATGTAAAGACATACGGATCGATCCTGTCAGATACGTTGACCATAACAAAGCGCCATGTTGCGCCAGGTCTCGGTACGAATGACTACAGTCGCTGGAAGATGCTTGTAGACACCCGGAAGACCTTACATGAGCTATGGGTGTCACAGGTCTTTGGACAGTTGTCCAACCATGTGCTCGACCCATTAAGCTTGAGACTTTGAATAGAAAGCGCCTTGCAATTGACGCTTCTATATGGATCTATCAATTTCTCAAAGCAGTCCGTGATAAGGAGGGTAACGCGCTCCGCAACTCGCACGTTGTGGGCTTCTTTCGCCGCATCTGCAAACTGCTCTTTTTCGGTATCAAGCCTGTATTTGTCTTCGATGGCGGGGCACCGGTGCTCAAGAGACAGACTGTCAGCTCGAGAAAGTCGAGAAGAGAGGGTCGTAGGGAAGATGCTGTCAGGACTGCGGGGAAACTGTTGGCTGTGCAGATGCAAAGGAGAGCGGAAGAGGAGGAGCAGAGGCGTAAAGATGAGAGAGACCAACCGAGACAAGACGAAGAAGAGGAGGAAGTACCAGAAAATCCTGTGTACGTGGATGAAATACAGATGACTGCGCAAGAAAGGCAGCAAAATCGGGCCTTCAGAAAGAAAGACGCATATCATTTACCAAACCTAGATGCTGATTTATCTGGCATGGGTGCGCCGAATGATCCAAGAATCATGAGCCACGAAGAATTAGAGGAGTACGCCCGCCAGTTTCATACTGGAGAAGACGTGAATTTGTATGACTTCAGCAAGATCGATTTCGAAGGTCCATTCTTCCAAAGCCTACCCGCCAGTGATCGCTACAACATATTGAATGCGGCAAGGTTGCGATCGAGATTGAGGATGGGATATAGCAAAGAACAGCTAGATACAATGTTTCCCAACCGCATGGATTTCTCGAGGTTCCAGATCGATAGAGTCAAGGAACGTAACGAGCTGACCCAGCGATTGATGAACATAAACGGTATGAATGGCGAAGAGGCCATGTTTGGCGTAGATCAAGGTGGACGGGTGGCTGGCGAGAAGGGTAAAGAGTATGTGCTTGTGAAGAACGATGGGGTGGAAGGCGGCTGGGCCCTCGGTGTTGTCAGCAACAAGGGGGAAGGCGAAAGGAGCAAGCCTATTGACGTGGATGTCTCAACGCAAAGAGATCCGAAACAGGATGAAAATGAAGAGGAATGGGAAGCCGATGGTTTTGAAGATGTGCCCATTGAAGGGTTGAACAGATTATCAAAGAGACAAGCGAGACAGGCCCCTGAAGAGAATTTACTCTTCAGTTCTGAAGAAGCTGCTGCACGTAGACGCAAACTTTATGGAGCTAGGATGAAGAATGCAAGGCCGATGAGCAGAGATCAAGATGAGCGTATTGTGCCTGAAGAATCTGATTCTCTATTCATTCCACAAGCAGAACAACGTGATGAAGATGACGAGGAAATTGATGAGCTTTTCGAAGATGTTCCAGCGCCTGCCGTTGAGGGAGAAGACGATGATCTGAATCGTGCAATTGCGATGTCCTTGGAGAACGATCAAGCCGATAAATCTGATGAAGAACAAGAACTACCGAGCTTTGCCTCTACAGTAAAGTCAGGTCCACGAACAGATCAACTTCTTGAGTTCAACCAGAAGAACGCCAGCGCGGGTCGAGATTTTGCTCATCTTGCAAATGCTCGAGCTCATGGACTTGCACCGAAAGCGGCCGAGGATGAAAGCGACGAAGATGATTTTAACATTCGAGCTGGCCTGACCGAGGCGAGAAATGGCAAGCACAGACCCCAGACTGGTCCTAGGGTGCACGGTTTCAAGCGTCCAGAGCCGAGTAAGAACCTAGAACAGTCACCATCTGGCTTGAGAAGGGGCGAAGATGCACCAAGTGCTTCCAATGAGTCTACAGCAAACTTGAATGGCTTTGATGGGCCGCTACCATTCGAATCGCTAAGTCTAGGTAAATCAATTCTAGGTAAGAAGAAGAAGAAGCCTGCAGACAAAGCTCAAGGTGGCTTTGAGAAAGATAGTATGTCTGAAGAGAAGGCTCCGAAACCATTACCGCCTTGGTTTTCTGGCGACATACGAAAGGAAACAGCGAAACAAGATGCGCTGGAGGAACAGGAGTTTCAGAAAGAGGATGCTAGTCCACAAAGGAACACTGCAGTAGATCTCCCGGTCTTAAGACACCAAGAGACTGGAGAGATCATCGACCTTGATCATCCTCAGGGCCAGAACGACGAGGTAGTCCTAGTTCCATCGGACGACGAAGATGGCTCGGATGATATGTTCATGGGCGAAAGCAGACCTATTCAGGAAGACTTAATTATGGACGATATTGCTGATCTGACGTGTATAGAACCACCAATTACATACGTAGGTGCACACAAGCCTCCTCCACCTGCATCGCCCATTGAAACAGCCATTGATAGACAAACAATCGATAGATCAGATGCTGGTAGCACACCGGCCGAGGATACGAGTGCCAGGAAAGGTCCTTCAGAATCTCTTGTGCCGTCTCCCAGAGAAAAGGCTCCTGGATCAGACCATGGAGATGACGATGTTGATCAATCGCCTATCGACTGGTCTGAGAGTGATCATGAGACTGAGCAGCCCAGAAAGCAAAATCTCAAGACCTCCGAAGAGCCAGCCGGTGGCACGCTGGAACAGAAGGTCAATGATCCGTCGAAATCTTCCTCACTTGAGCTTGCGGATCAAGGCGTGAATGAAGTGGACAGTCAGCCAAGCGATAGAGCTGAATCTACTTTTCAAGACGCTGATGTTGATCAATCCAGGCCTGCTTTAATTAAGGAGGAATCCATGACGATCCCAACCTTTGAGGGTCTAGATGCTACCGCAGATGATGACGACTACTCTGATCCTGAAGACGAAGATCTGATGCGGCAGCTTGCTGGGGAGGCCGAGGAGCACGCCAGATTTGCTTCGGAGTTGAACCAAAAGACATTCTTGCAGAACGCTGAAGACTATGAGCGCGAGCTCCGCCAGCTTCGCAATCAACAGAAGAAAGACCGAAGAGACGCTGACGAAGTATCGCACATCATGGTCACAGAATGCCAGCAACTTCTCAAGCTTTTCGGCCTACCCTACATCACTGCTCCTATGGAAGCCGAAGCACAATGTGCCACATTAGTCTCCTTAGGTCTCGTCGACGGCATCGTAACCGATGACTCCGACATCTTCCTCTTCGGCGGCACCCGCGTCTATAAAAACATGTTCAACCAAGCCAAATTCGTCGAATGCTACCTCTCCACCGATCTCGAAAAAGAATACAGCCTCACTAGAGATAAGCTCATCCGCTTCGCCCACCTCCTGGGCAGCGATTACACCGAAGGCCTCCCCAACGTCGGCCCCGTCACAGCCCTCGAAATCCTCTCTGAATTCGAAACGCTCGAGAATTTTGCGGAATGGTGGGCCGCCGTGCAGATGACCCAACGGCCTGCCGAAGAAGACAAGGGCAGCGCTTTTCGCCGGAAATTCAGGAAGAACGCGTCTAAGATCTTCCTGCCAAACACATTCCCTGACACGCGCGTCGATCAGGCTTATCTCTATCCCGAAGTCGATAAAGATCCTCAGCCCTTTCAGTGGGGAGCTCCTGATCTTGACGCGTTGAGAAATTTCCTGATGGCTACGATCGGATGGGGCCAGGAGCGTACAGATGAGGTTCTTGTGCCGGTCATCAAAGATATCAATCGTAGAGAGAATGAAGGGACGCAAGCGAACATCACGCAATTCTTTGGCGGCGGGGTGGGTGTGGGCGCGAGGCAGAATGTGAATACTGGTGGTGGGGGCGGAGGACAGGCGTTTGCGCCAAGGAAGAAGGTCGGAGGGAAGAGTAAGAGGATGGAGAGTGCGTTGGAGAGTTTGGCTGGTAGAGCTAAGGGAAGGGCTGCGGGGGATGGTGATGGTGATGGTGATGGTGGAAGTGCGAAGGGGGGTGAGGATGGGGTGGTGGGGTCGAAGCGTGCTGCTGAAAGGGGGAATGGCAGTGGTGGTGGCAGGAAGAAGAGGAAAGCGAGGGCGGAGAAGCGGGTGGTGACAAGTGATGAGGAGAATGAGGAGAATATGGAGATTGGGTCTGATGATGAGGACACAGATGGTGGTGCTGCATATAAAGCCCCTGCGAGAACGAAGAGGGGCAGACTGAAGGCTTCTTAAGCATAGCGATTTATGATATTCAGACTCTTTAATGAATGGACCAACTCCTTTTTGAGCTCCCGCTTCAATGTGATGCACGCTATAAATCAAAGCTTTTGAGGAGCAGAAGACCTCGTAGTAGGCTGACTTTCCCGATTCCCAGGCCACTGCCTCATCCACTCCCTTCCTCAATAATCCTCCTCAACTCCTCCCTCTCCCCGCTCTCTTCCACCAAACTCTTAAACACACCCTCACCCTCCCTCCTCAACAGCTCCCCCGGCGTCCCAAACTCCACCCCCTTCCCCTCCCTCATAACCAGAATCTTGTCAAAATCCGCAATCGTGCTCAATCGATGTGCAATCACTAACAACGTCGCATCTCGAAACTCATGCCTAATACTCCGCTGGATGAGGAGATCAGTCTCCATATCCACGGCCGAGGTCGCTTCGTCGAGGACTAGGATTTTCGGGCGGCGAACGATGGCGCGGGCGAGGCAGAGGAGCTGGCGCTGGCCTTGGGAGAGATTTAAGCCGGATTCTGAGATGGGCGTGTTGAGTGTGATGGAAGCGTTGGTGTTTGCTTGCTGCGGTGGAGTTGATGGATTGGTGTGCTTGTCGCGGGAAGGTGGGCGTGTGTTGTTATTGGGGGTGGTGCTGCTGCTGCTTCGGACAATCTGGACGCGCTGGAGGGCATCTTGGAGGTTTTCGTCTGTGTGCTCGTCGAAGGGGTCGAGATTGCTTCGAACGGTACCGCTGAAGAGGACAGGATCTTGAGGGATGATTGCCAAACGACTCCTGAGCACTTGGAGAGAGATGTCAGCAACGTTGATACCGTCAATGATTATCGAGCCTTCTCGAGCCTCTAGAAAGCGGAAAAGAGCCAGTGTCAGTGAGCTCTTGCCAGCTCCGGTCCTGCCTACGACGCCAACTCGTTCCCGGCTTTCGACTCGGAAGTTGAGGCCTTTGAGCACTGGTGGCAGGTCTGGTGCGTAGCCAACGACGAGATTGTCGACTTCAAGGCGGCCTTCGGTGGGCCATGCAGCCGGAGCTTGTCGCTTCTCGCTTTGATCTTCAGTGGGTAATTTGGAGTACTCGACCACTCGCTCGACTGAATTCATTGATAGCTCCACGTTAGAGTAGAATCGTGTAGCCCAGACAATCGCTGAGCTGTATTGTAAAGCGAAACCCAAGGCGAAGCCAGCAAGGGAAGCGTCAATATTCGAAAAAGCAACGATAGCCCCTGTCAGCATCGAAAAGGCAGCTCCAATGAAGTTTAAGCGGAATGACAGCCATCTGTTAAAGAGCCACAAATGCCAAAAGGCTCGTGCATGCCCATCAATGTTTGCAAACATACGTTCAATGTAGACTTCCGTTTTGTCAAAGGCACGTATCGTTCCAATTCCACTAAGAGTTGCCCCGAAAGTTTCGAAGATTGGGCTTTTGGCAACACTCTCCAATCGTTTGATCTCGCGTGCTCCGTCTAGGTACCACCTAGTTATGTAAAAGCAAACGCAGAACAGTAAAAGTGCTATGATGATCATGACGGGAGACACAAATACTGCAGCCACGATGATAGAGAGTAGCTGCAAGGCTTCGTAGATGAATATTCCCAAGTCGCTTCCAAGACCTGAATCGATGGACTCAAAGTCTGCTGTGAAGCGATTCAGGACTCTGCCAACGGGGACAGTGTCGAGCCATTTCAGAGGAGTGCGTAGGACTGTAAACAACATGTTTTCGAAGAGCAATTTCGATGCTCGAATTGTTCTGGTGTACACAAGGAAGTATCGAAGAGTGCCAGAGATGCACTTGATCGTACTAATACCAAGATAGATACTAAGGTAGAAAGTCAAATTAGGAGCGTGATTTGCGGCGAGAGTCACCTGGGAGAAATTCGCTGGCTGGCCCGTAGACGATACAGCCTCAGCTTCATATGACCGAGTCCAAAAGCTGACGAACCAAGAGCGACCAAATGATACAGCTTGATGAAACAAGAACAGCCCAAAGATCGGTGTCCAAATGAGAAGTCCGCCGCTTGCTGTAAGCCACTCGCCGTAGATGCCCAGTTTTACGGCTCCTTTTTCCTTCTTTTCGTCTTCCACAAATTTCTTGGCTTCATTCTTGTAGGCGAGGTCGAGCCCACCTTGGTCTATCAAATTCGACCTGTACGATGCCACTGAAGTGACTTTCTTCAGGTCGTCACCTTCTATCGTACTCATTCGTCGGAGGCTTCGTGAAGGCTCCTGAACGGAACTTTGAGATTGAAGCGACTGAACTCGTTGTAGCTCTTTCGTAGGTCGAAACCCTTCCGGTCCGCCTACGTAGAGGTTCGTCCCTTCGCCTAGACTAATTATGTATGCCGCTTTAGGAAGCACAAGATCGACGTGATGGGTGACTAGAATGCGCGTCCGCCCCTGGCCCAGCTCTCCTGTGAGAGCGTCTTCAAAGAGCTGTCTGCCTACTTGGGCATCGACTGCACTGTTCATATCTTATCAGCTGCGGCTGTTGAAAAAATCCTTTCCACACACCTGAATATGTCATCAAGTACTAGAATACCCGCACGAGAGTAGAGAGCTCGAGCGAAGGTGACTCGCCACCTCTGACCACCTGAGAGATTGATGCCATTAAAGCCAATGTCGGTACTATCGCCATCTTCCAGAATCTCAAAGTCTTTCGTGAGGGCACAGCTTTCAACCACTTTGTTGTAACGACCACGATCATAAGGTAAGCCAAATAATATATTTTGTTTGATCGTCGCGTTCTCAATCCATGGAATCTGTGCAACATATGCAACGGAAGAGTCAACAACCCAATCGTTCTTGTTAGCATTCTGATCGCATCTTTCTTTGACGGATGGTACCCTAGGCTTTCTGATTTCGCCGCTGAGTAGTTCTGCCTCGCCAATAAGAGAGGCTAACAGCAAGCTTTTCCCGGTCCCTGTGGCTCCACTAATTACAGTCAGTTTCTTCTTTGGAACTCTGAATCCAAGATGTTGCAGAGAAAATCGATCAGTGGTATTGGCGTTCTCCCGGCTCTTGTCTGACGGCCAAGCTATTGACGCATCATTGAAGACGATTTCGGTATCCTCGACTGTATATTCTTCACGTTCTGGCGCCGCAAGGTATTCCTCAATGCGTCCACATGAGACCCAGGCTTCCAGACCATCGGCAGTGAACTCCGGAATTACAGCCAATATAAACTCCAATGAGCCGAACAAGGCAATGGATGTGAATGCCACGGACGCCGAAAGGTTTCCATGTACAACAGTGTAGACAGCGATAGCAACGGCACTCAGCAGGATTGGGCCGACTACCCAACAAAAAATGAGCACTGTGTCGAGGCAGAATACCTGCCACTGGACATTCAACTCTGTTGTCCGTACAGCGTCGATGCGCCTCTGCCACTGTGTCTCCTGTGCTGAAAACTTGATCTGCCTGATACCTTGCAATGCTTCTGTAACGACCATCAACTTTCGGTCTCGGACTTGCATCAAATCTCCCTGAGCATCCGTAAAGCGTTTTGAAACGATGATATTGATAGGCACTTGGACGAAGAAAGCACCAAACCCGGCAAGGACTGGTATCCATCCCATGAGTTGAACGAGAAACAAAACGCTCACTGTCAATTGTGTTGCCACGTCGACAAACAAGTAGTGAAAGCGTAGGAAATCAGATACGCGCTTTGCGTCTACGCTCTGAAGAATGGTCAGAATCTTCCAATAGTTCTTACCTTGAAGGGCTTACCACGAGGTTGATTGTACTCTGACGAGTCTTCTCAAGATCATCAGGATTATCTGAATGGCCAGCTTGCGGCGCGCTCTGATTAGGGGAGGTGATGGTGTTAATCTGTGAAGCCGTTGTCGTTGCATCCGCTTCACCCGTGCCAGAGGCGGCCGATCGCGCCTCTTTGACATCTTTACGTCGGGTTGCCTTTGCAAAAATCAAGGCGGAAAGTTCTGAGCGTAATTGAACAGCGAGATTTGCGTATGCCATCCATGCATTCCATGAGTCGCCCCAAGCCGCAAGGAGAATTGAAAGGCCAAGTGCAAGAACTAAAAACCATGCCTCTGGGGAATACATAGCACTGGAAGTATTTTGCTCAAGTAACCTTAGAAGCTTATACATTGCCAACTGTGGGATAAATTGGATAGCTGCTTGAAAAATGGTAAATATTGTCTGATAAAGGAACGTGTGCCAGTGCATGTATAGTATCGAGATCCATAAGGCGCGTTTCCCGGCCTCATTGCCAAACCAGCCGAGTAAAACAGAAGAGCGGGCTTTGTAATGTAGTTTCGGCAAATCCTCTATTTCTAAAGAATGTTTAGTACGCGAAAGAGACAGAACGTCACCGGCCCAGCTCAGGGTCCAGTATGATAAGGATGAGACTGTGTACTGCCGGTCAACTCGGTGGCCTTCTACCTCGACATCCGGTCGGCGAGGGATTGAGAGAGATGAAATGCATAGTAGAAGGCTACAAAGGATCTCAACTAAGATGAAAGCGAGTCGGATATACTCTTCTCGGTCAGTGCCTCTCGCCAGATCGTGTGCTGAAAGATAGGTCTGAAGGCCATTTGAGACTATCAAGATCGCAGTTGACAATCCGCAAAGGCGGCCGTGTGTGAATCTCGTGACACTTTTCTTTTGAACATTGATCAAGGATGTCAAGACGACTAGCAAGATCTGTGCCATCCGTCAGCATTCACCAGTAGGAATCAAGCTTTCTTACCCAAGTTGCAAGGTCCAACGATTGTACCATGAAATCTTTCGACTGTTTTCTGTGTCTACCCCTTGAGGTATGCCCGATGAGGAGGACGGACATAAGTAAGCCTAAGCCTACAGAGATGGAAGAGACCCAAAAGAGGATCGACGCGCTCTGCTCCTTTTGTGACTCTTCCGTGGCGGTGCCATCCTCATCTTCATAGATCCCAGATTTTGTCTCCTCAGCATCGCTTCTGGACTGCTTTTCTGTGCTCAGAAAGAAATCGTAGATTACGTAGACAACTACGAGGAACGCAACAGCAAGCGTGATGGAAGAGACAATCCTGACAGGTAGGCTTGCGGGTGAGCCAATTGAGTCAAGCACATGCGCCATGCTTGAATTATCTACAGGTACAGACCAAGGCAGTGGGAGAAAATGTGAACATGAAGCGCATTTAATGAGTAGTTGACCGAGTGTTGGAGGTTTAAGGGAACCTCGAAAAGGAGATCTTGTACTTCTTGTAGTCCATATAGACGAGCGTGTGAATCACCAATTTTGGTCATCATGCCACTTACCGTGGTAGTACAGAGGTTCATGCACGTCTTGACTCACGTTCTTTGGCCCTAAGATAACCGTTGAGTTTTCGGCGCGGACTCCTTGCCGCGAAAGCCCCTAGCGTCATAGAAACTATCAAAGAATGACGGCGACACCACGTTCTGCATTCAATATAAGTGGAGGTGAAGATTTTGTAAACAGACTAAATCTAGAATCATATTTGTGAGGGTATCAATTATGTTCATTAGACGCTCAGAAGCTATGTGCATCATATCTCATTCCATCACATTTTATCGCTCCAACCAAGATGCTAGCCAACGCCGTGTAGATGCCGCTAAAACAACGAAAAAAGGTCAAGCCACTGGAAGGCCTAGGCATTATGCCTGAATGGCTCGTAAGCCGTCTTCCGCTCATTGCCAAGGTCATTCATCTGATGTGCACCATGTTGTTGATTGTATGGCATGCCGCCCTGAAATGGGCTGTCCATTCTCTCGTACTCATAAGGCTGCTTTCGCCCTGGCAATTTCCAGCTCGCGCTCCTCTGCCCAGACTTCGCATTCTCGGTATCATATCCCTTGATCTTATCGCTGCGTCCACTGCAGCAGCAGCTGCTGAACAGCCAGAACATCCCTGCTGCGAGGGAAAAGGCAACACCAATCCACGTCGCGACGTAGATGTTCTTCCCCAGCGAGCCATGAATGTTGTATTTGTTGAGAGCTGTATTGAACGTACCAGCTAGGACGCTGTAGAGGATGGTGGCGGTCAGGGCGAAGCCGATGATGAAGAGGGAGGATATGGCCGAGACGATTGTAGTGGCAAGGCTACCAAGGCGGGAGAACAGAGCTAGAAAGCCCACGAGAATCTCAACAATGGTGGATATCAGAGCTACAATATAGCAGATAAACATCCATTTGGTCGTTGTTTTGTAGACATCGAGCCCGTGACGCAACTCTTTGCTGAACAGTTTGTCCACGTTTGTGTTGTTTAGGCCCCAGACCTCAACAGGGTTGAACCAGAATTGGTTCGTGTGAGCCGAACAAAAGTCGACATGATCAGAGGAATGTTGTGAGCTGTTATCATCATTGCCCTTGAAGTCTCCATTGCAATAATTCCATAGATGGATATGATAGAAGTCTTTCACATCCAGCACCTGCTTTGCTGTATCTGTGGCGGCGTCAACGATCTTGTCTGTAATCGTGTTGTTTGGTAGATTTATCAAGCTCGGGTCGACGTCAATATTTGATGTATTCGCTCGAAAGAAGTAGAGATTGTTATAAGTGGAGTTGCCTCTGTTGGTGCCCCCCAGCCCGACAAGAACGAGGCAAACCAACGAGGCTATGGTCAGGGCCATAGGCGTGAAGATACATGCAAAGCGACCGGCTTTACCCATCTTGGAAGTGGGCTGACAGAGTCAGGATTTCCTCGATGTATGTGGTGGTCAGAAGTAATGAAGGCTGGTAAATATTGACCTCGAGGGGACACCAGGGATGCGCTGAGGGCGAGTAGGAGGTTTGATTGAGTGAACAAATGTACGCTGTGAGGTGACGAATAGAAGGTGGATGGTTGCAGGAGAGATGTTGATGATATACTCTCCGTTGGGGCAGTACTCTGGGTGGTACGTAAGATGGGATCTCGTGTACTATAAGTCTATAAGGCTCGTATGGCTGTGTAGGAAAATCGTGGCGGAGGCTAAGGCACCCAGTACCAAAAATAGCCACGCCGTTTTCCTGCCAAGAAATTTGCCGGCCGCCTGTAACCTGCCCAGCAACGACAACGTTCTGGAATTTCTACAGACCATGCTCTAAGCCCTAGGATCCAACCGTGTCTTCGACCCCAATGCCATGTGATACTCCAGAATCCTATACTCAGCTGACTGCTCTGTCCCGAGGAAATTATCAGCTTACCTTTCGCTTGTTGAAAAAGGCGCTTTCCCCCTCTCATATCTGCACAGAGTGATTTTGCAGGGTTCAGCCATAGGGTTGTCTACTTCAATGTCCTGGGAAGCTTCTTTCGCCAAATGCTACCTAAACAACAATGGATACAATACTCCATGATCTTGTCAAGGCTCTTGTCACAATGCGAGCGGCCGGTAGCATCTACTCAAGTGGGCAAGATCGCATGGAATTCTTTGGCACCTCCAGTTCTCTCCCGATGGGGCAGTGTGCTAGCTATGTAGGTGACGAATGATCAAATGGGCGCGCCTAAAGCCTGAAGCATCGCTCAGAAGACTTGGATTCATTTCCGTAGCCAAAATATGCTACGAGGAGATCATAGTCGAATGTTTCATGTTTTGCGTTATGATACTGACTATAATAATCATATTGCAAAGCTTTTCTGCTTCCTAAAGCTACTCTCATAGACGAAGGAGCTTATGATCCTACAACACAACGAGATCTCAGCTCCGGAAGTAAGGCACGCTTGGCAAGACATCTCGTTGGCTGTCAAGATTCCAAAAATTCACCCAGTCAATCGCACATACTAAGATTCATGTAATACAACAGCGACCAATGTCTCTGTAAGAATTGGATCGATCGAAATTTGTGATCACGTTTGGATTTGACGCAGTCCACCATTGATGTGATGCAATACCCTTTGACTCCTGCTCGATGAAATCCGGGAGCCTGAAATTCCAAAGCAGATTTCCATCGAAGGTGCTGTAAACGAGGAACTTAATGTGCCACAATTCACGATGTCATCACTTATACTCTTCAACTGGCTTGGATTTGTAGGCTTGCTCCATAATTTGACAAATGACTTGCCAGAGCAAACAGTGTCAATAATTGGCTTATCGAACGGCCCTTTTGCTTCTAGACAGATCTTGAATGCGTGAAAATAATCCACAGTAGGATAAATCGCCCACTCATGTTGTGTTTCCTAACGCAGAGAGCATTCTGCACGCTTGTGATGACCAGACTTTTTAAATGATCGGGAAAAGCAATGTGATCTAGGCATACAATTCGTCGGCATTGAAGCTGCCTTCCAATTTACTAGTTATCTTAGCGCCAAGAAGTGTCACTTCGCGTTCGAGCCGACTGCCTCCCGCCTTTTGCTCCGCGCGGTGGAGAATCCCAGTTGCTCGGCTGAGAGTCCTCTCACTCCAACAAGACCCCATCCTGCAGGTCTTACCATTGGAAGCTAATTCCCTCACAAACCTCCCGACTAAATCGTTTGTACCTGCTAAAATTGAATTGTACGTCTTGGAGCAGTATACGAGAGGTCGCAGCTCCGCAACAACGCTTATGCTTGAACCCACCCGCATCGCTGTGCCTTGCAGGGGCAATTGAAAGAGCAGCAACCAGCAGAATGAGGGCACAACCACTATTGATCTCGTGGCATGACGAGAACAGCCCAATCTACAGTACACATTTCGAAACTCATGGCAAAGGCCGATTAGCTACTGCTGGGGGAGACAATAACGTTCGGCTATGGAAAGTGGAGAAAGAAGGCGAAGAAAGGACGGTGACTTATCTGACGACCTTAATCAAAGTACGCTCCGAAGCTTGAGCTTGCTGAATATATCTAATGACGTCTTACAGCACACACAAGCTGTGAATGTCGTGCGATTCGCACCGCGAGGTGATCCCCCTTGCCCGAGCTTTAGGAAGGATGATTGCTTACGATGGGACAGGGGAGATGCTCGCAAGCGCCGGAGACGATGGGAATGTCCTTTTGTGGATACCCTCAGACAATCATTCGCACGCTTCAGGCTTTGGGGAGGATGCCCTCGAAGATAAAGAAACATGGCGAATTAAGCACATGTGTCGGTCATCTGGCTCCGAAATATATGATCTGGCGTGGTCTCCTGACGGTGTCTTCATCATCACTGGGAGTATGGATAATATAGCTCGAGTCTACAATGCACAAACAGGTGGGCAATGAGAACGTCAGAGGAAGACAGCAAGCGGCTGATAGGTTTAGGGCAAATGGTTCGACAAATTGCAGAGCATAATCACTACGTCCAAGGCGTTGCCTGGGATCCCCTAAACGAGTTTTTAGCGACGCAGTCTTCTGACCGAGCATGTCACATATACAGTCTGAAGAACAAAGATGGCCAATTTACGCTCAATCAACACAACAAGGTGACCAAGATGGACCTACCAGGCAGGCGAATATCTTCCAGCAGTCCAGCACCACAGGATACGAGCTTGAGGCCTCATATGACACCAGATCTCTCACATGCGCCAGGGTCGCCGGGTCCAGCTTTGTCAATGCCCGGTACCCCATCTTCGCTCAATCCTATGAACCCACCAACGTCTCACAGCCGGCGGTCCTCCTTCGGCTCGTCTCCAGCAGTGCGTCGTTCAGCATCTCCTGCGCCTTCGACTATGCCGCTACCTGCAGTGAGGCCTATGGAACATTCTCCAAACCCAAATTTCAATCTCAGAGCTAGCACAGGAGTCAGAAATGCAGGGATTTATGCGAATGAGACGTATACATCTTTCTTCCGGCGGCTTACCTTCGCACCTGATGGAAGTCTCCTCCTCACGCCGGCAGGGCAGTATAAAACATCAACCATATTTGAGGGGATCAAGAGTAGTGAAGAGATACTCAATACCGTTTACATTTACACCAGAGCAGGACTCAACCGACCACCCATCGCCCACCTACCAGGACACAAGAAGCCATCGATAGCAGTACGATGTTCTCCGATCTTTTACACACTTAGGGCAGCGCCGAAGACGACGACTAACATCACAATTGACACGTCCTCAGCAGAGGATGCAATTCCCGCATTGCCTGATCCAATGATACCAGCAAAACCGCCAAGCACTCATGCAGCGATGGAGCCACCTCCTTCTGCTCCGCTGCCATCTCCGTTGGAGAACTCGAGACCTACTTCTTCGCCCATGCCGCAATACGATAAGGAACAGAGTCCAGCTACTAGCCCACAGTCTGCCTTCTCTCTTCCGTATCGCATTGTATACGCTGTTGCGACACAAGATTCTATCTTGGTTTACGATACGCAGCAGCAGACGCCATTGGTTGTAGTCAGCAACTTGCATTATGCCACGTTCACTGATCTTGCATGGTAAGAGCTGCCTATCTTTTCAATTTCTTAACTCAAGAACATTCTAGGTCAAGCGATGGTCTCACGTTAATGATGAGCTCCTCTGACGGTTTCTGCTCGAATCTGGCATTCAGCCCTGGCGAACTGGGGCAAACCTATGCTGGACATGTGCCATCTCTCCACCACCCTACGCCGGCGCCCATCTCTACGTCAACGTCAGCACAACCTACACCAATTCCAACACCAACAGCTATATCCGCCCCCGTAGGCTTTGAGAAACCCGGTACTCCAGCGCCGCTACATTCTCCAGCCCCACCACCGCCTCCGAGTCCCACTCGATCGAATTCAATCTCGTCGATTGCGACGGAGACATCTCAACCTATCATCAACAACCCCACACCAATCATGGGAAGTGTTCCTAGCGTAGCCGCCACAAACCCTTCCTTCAGTGGCCTGCCCTGGACAACGCCTCCGGAGACACCAATGTCCGGAATCATTAGTCGACCGAGCTCAGTGGCGGGCAGTGTGCTTGGTAAGAGGGATACCAGTGAGTCTGAGAAAGAAGAGCAGTCGCGTGGAGCCAAGAAAAGACGAATCGCGCCCACGCTGGTCAAACCCGACGAAACGATTTGATGGACCGTCTTCACTTTGACGTAGCCATAGTCTCGAATTCTCTTCTATTTAGCACGGTGTTTGGGATTGCAAGGGCAGGACGAAAAGTAACTAGCGACCGTTGGCTAGTATGGGCCTGATGGAAAGGTCCTCGAGGGTTGGACTATCGCTTTGGTTCATGAACCATGTACAAATATACATCATCATTGTCATTGCTTGCGTTAGATACTCGGACCAAATTGAAGTATGACCTTTGCTTCCAAGAAAAGCCCCGGCGTACTCTAATTTCAGAACAGTCTGGCCCAACCGTCCACGCTTGTAAGCGTTGGTCTTGGGTTGATGGGTTCGGGAAGGTTGGAACATTTTAATTGTCGCGACAACGTTAGGGCGCTTGGCATGCAATCGCCCGCAGCACCACTCCTTCCACCCTGTTGTCTTGACTTTGATACCGATCACTCACATCTGTCTGCGCAATCTCCACGGTAAGCCCCTCACATCTGTCGCTCTCTTATCGAGCTGCTGGAAAGCTTGACAAGGCTACCTTGGCTCCCTGTGATGCCGCAGAATCCCTCGAGGCCTTTTGGGGGCTGTACGTCATGGGGGGCCAGAAACTTGCAACCGTCGCCAGCGTCAGCGGCGCAAACAAATAAATCCAGCTCATTTAACGTACCCTACGAACTCTTCAGCTAATATATCATCAGCTATCTAGATACTCAGACATCTCCCAGCACATCTCGACAGACTCCATTTACACTTTGAAAGCATCTACAACCCTCCATCATGCATCGCACCTATTCTATGCGCCAATCGCGCGCACCAACTGCCTCGCAAATCCAGAATCCTCCACCTCCCTCGTCGTCGACTAAGGCTGGGCGATTTTTTGGAAAGAGCAATGTTGGTAAGTAAGAGCCTTTCATACATTGTTCAGCTGCTAGACCCGAGTCACCCTCGTGTATGGGGCTCGGAGGTGACTATCTGCTGCGTTCTGCCAAGTGCACGTATCGAAGACCACCTCCGGATACTCGAGGATCACCGTGTTGAGCTAGCACTCTTATCCCCACTTGTGATTATTTGCAGCATGGGCTCAGCATGTTGTGAAATGACGATTGCGGCTGATCAGTATATTTCGTCTTGCAGGCCATGCGTTTCGCAAACAGACCGCTGGAGCTTTTGGCCCAGACCTCGCAAAGAAGCTCTCAACACTAGTGAAGATGGAAAAGAATACAATGCGTAGTATGGAACTTGTCGGACGCGAGAGAATGGAAGTGGCTGTAAGTTGACCGTAAGATTCCATGAAGTTATTCTAGTTTCCTGATGTCGTTAGCAACAACTGTCCATTTGGGGCGAAGCTTGTGATGACGACGTTTCGGATGTTACGGATAAGCTTGGTGTCTTGATCTATGAGATCGGCGAGCTTGAAGATCAGTTCGTCGACCGCTACGATCAATACCGTGTGACAATCAAGAGCATCCGCAATATTGAAGCCTCAGTTCAGCCAAGCAGAGACCGTAAGTCCAATACTCATGAAGATCAGAGCTATCATTCACACATGCACAGGCAAGCAGAAGATCACTGATCAGATTGCGCAACTCAAGTACAAGGAGCCAAATAGCCCCCGCATCGTTGTTCTGGAGCAAGAACTTGTCCGAGCTGAGGCCGAATCCCTTGTGGCAGAAGCTCAGCTATCCAACATTACCCGTGAAAAGCTCAAGGCAGCTTTCACCTACCAATTTGATGCGCTCCGCGAACACAGCGAGAAGCTCGCGATCATTGCTGGCTTCGGCAAGCACCTTTTGGAGCTTGTTGACGATACGCCTGTTACTCCAGGCGAGACACGCGAAGCATATGATGGCTATGAGGCTTCCAAGGCGTGCGTTCCTTCCCAGTCTCTTGAAACTTGCGAATCTTACTAACACACTTCACAGCATCATCCAAGATTGTGAAGATGCCCTCACCAATTGGGTTACGAAAAACGCGGCCGTCTCCTCCAAGCTCTCCTCCCGCTCTCGCACCCTTTCTCAACGCAACAAGGACCGCCGCGCCCAGGGCGAGGGTGTCGATCTCTCTGGTCAAGACAGCAGCATGAAGGACCGAGAGAGCGGACTTTGGGTCCCAGCTGACAAGCACGGAGAACAAGGAGAATACGAAGAGGGATCAGAGGAAGAGGAAGAAGAGACTCCCGCCAGCGGCCACAGAGGAAGGGAGGCCGGCGCCGTTGCTGCGTAAAGAGAATGAGCGACCAGTAACTACGGCTGACACAGGAGAATAGGGAGCATGGAGGCGGAATACCCCCGATGGAATGATACACGCGATAAGCATCCTGCGATTTTGCTACTGTGATTTCCTTGATTTGGATCGTGTGCGCTAGATGAGTTGAGATGAAGGCGATGGAACGTAATGCACGTGGATGAGCACGAGGACAAGGATGGGTTGTAAGATTACTGCCACTCTAATAAATGCGTTTATTCAATGAGATCTACAGCGGAAACAAGTCTTTGCAAATTGCGTTCCTCGTTCCCCATCCCTTACTGATATGGGAAGTGGGCCTTCCACCTTTCACCCATTGCGGATCCCCCAAGGTACTTCATTGAGCACTGACTCTAGCTACCGCACACACATACGAAGCAGCTCATAGAACCTGACAGCAGAATTGGGACGCCTGAGATGACTAGTATCAGCCACCACCACCACCACCAGGAATGATAGGTGGCCCGAAACCCTCCCCCAAATAACAATAGCAGCAACAAGAACCCACGATCCTTTCCCCCTCATCTTGAGAGGTCTGTTCGTACATCTTCACTCAATCCATACACGAAGCGTGACGGCGATCAACAATGCCATCAGGCACAGTCAAGTGGTTCAACGACAGCAAAGGCTACGGCTTTATTGAGCAGGAAAGGCGGGGCTGAAAGGATGTTTTTGTGCATGTGAAGGATACTGGTGCTGTGAGCTGCTTTTTTTGTACCATCTCGCTTCTTTGAAAATATGGGGGTTGGTGAGTCTTGTTGTTGTGGGAGGGATTTTTTACATTTTCACGAGGGGAGGGGAGGAGTTGTGACTGTTGATTTTCAGAGGTGGTGGTGGGTGTGATGCGTTGGGAGGGTGGTGTTGGGTTCAAAAGCAGGTGCAAGGTTTTAGGAGAATGGAGAAGGCAGGTTGTTTTCTTGCTTTGTTTTTGCGTGCCTTCTCTACGAAGTAAAACTTTTGTGCTTATCGTTTCTTGAGGTTGAGCTCGGCTTTTGTAATATGTTCAGCGATTTACTTCACTTCTATCGTCACTTTGAAAAATGCCACTTCTATCTTTCGCCCCTTTTCCCATTAAACAATCAATCTGGCAGTCTCCTCTCGCTACCGTTGGTATTGTTCCCGCCGCGTTTTTCTTCTATTAAACTATCTTTACCTCTGACTTTTCTTTCACTGACAGTTGCTGTCGGACTATTTTTTACCTTGATCTCCAAACAGCGTCTCTGATCTTTCCAGAGATCTTTTCAGTCATTAATCACTGGCATGTACATCTTTGCTAATACACTCTCGTAATCGCTCTCACAAGTTCAGCGAGTCGAGGTCAACGTCAGTGGTGGAGATGGACCCAAGGCTAGTGCTGTAGGTGTGAAGTTTGAGGGCAAGAATGTTGCGACGGATTCGCAAGGAGTCGTTGATGCGAAGGCTGATGATCCAAACAGTGGCGGAGGAAGTGGCGGTGGTAGCGGAGGGGATAGTGGGAGTGGAGGAGGCGGAGGGGCAGCAGATTCATCCGGTGATACGAGCGGAGGAGACGCTGGTGGTGATGCCGGTGGTGGGGACGACGGGTGGAGGTGGTTGTGAGTAAATGCTGCGTCACGTATATCAGTATGTGCTTGCCCACAAAGGAGCGATCTCACTACATTCGTCCCACACAACTCTCCATGTCCCGTCTGAGATTACATTTCTAGAGGAAGGAAACCCTTCATCCGTACATGTAGTCTTCTTTGACTCGTAATTGCGGTGGAGGACTCAAGTCTTGATTGACAGGATTGAGAAGTGGCGAGTTTGGTTTCGAAATTTGCGCGTCGCTCTGCTCTATTGACCTCATGGACTGAACGCTACTATGCCTTCGATAAGTCGGCCAAGTTGCGCCGCGTGTTGTATTCACGGGATGAGACGATGTCTCACGCGTACTAGATACTGAACTTTGGGCAGAATGAGGGGGAGGGAGACTGAGGTGCTCCACGTCAACCATCTCATGGTCTGCATGAACCTCTTCCTCCTCGAGAAGCAATTCCAGATGATCAGGCTCGCTGGCATTCGGAAGTTTCGTTGGCCGGATCGTAACCTTTTTCGCGTACGTGTGTTGATACTTGAGACCTGCTGCTGTGTTCTCAAGTGCTCGGTAAGCAGGCTTCGAATTTTGTGCAAGGACAAGTATCTCGGTGATAGAGTCCCATGAGGCAGAGGACTTGCCCCTAGCCACTGTCCACGCAGTATGTAGAATTGCCACTACCATGTGCACAAAAAGAACGATCATCGAAAGGATCTGAACCAATTCATGTCTGTAGCTGTGACCACTTATTGAAAATTGTACTGAGATTTTGTTTGCTTCCGCGGCATTTGTCTTTGGCTTCTTCAGAGCCTGCTTGCCTTCCAGAGGAAGAGCCTCAAAGCCCTTCTCCATTTCTATCTCTGCAAGAGACCATTGGGATGGATTTCCTTCGGTATTGTACGCCCGGTCTACGTTGACTCTTGAGACGCCATCTGCGAATACACTTCCTATGATGGAAGCAAGCAGATCAAGGCGCTTCCCATTGTACTCGGCGTCATCACGGCGATTGTCGTCAGGATAGTCTCTCAAGATATCAAAATTGCTGAGAATACTTTCGATCGTCGACGGACCCCAATCAAAGAAGCCGGGTCCCTCCTTGGGAGTTGGAGGAGTAAGTATCTTCAACCATCCTTCGTCGACGGCGATAGCATCTCGTAGACTTTCGGTTTTTCCGTCCAGCAAAGGTTCCCCCTTCTTAGGATACGGCATATCAAATGAAATATTTTTTGGGTACCAGCCTTCCCAAAACGTGTAGGCATCTGTCCGAATATGAGCGGGCACCCACTTTGCTTGCACAGCGCAACCAACAACAAGACGTGACTGGTTAACCCTGCTCCAAGCTGACTGTAAAATGGCTCCAACGGTGACCGATTCATAGCTCGCCGAGAGAGGTACCCAGGCGAATTGTAAGTGGTCTGCAGACGAACTAGACATGTGGACCTCTGGGACTTCCTCTATTCGAAACTTTTGAGCTTTGTCAAACGTGGGAAACTGCACAGTGTGATTTGAGGCAGCCATCGGCTCAGCCGCTGAGCAATCTACCGACACGATAGGAGTTAAGATATTCGACGACGCGGCCTGTCTGTCATCGATATTTTGCTCGTCGAAATGCTTCTTTTTCAACATAACGCTCCACCAATCTTGCATAATCTTGTCCAAAAGCACAGATATAGACATCAGAGGCTGAACAGCGAAACCATTGACTTGCGGTGCACTCAAGGAGATGACACTGGGGGATACTGGCTGCATACTTTCAATTGGCCAGTAAAATTGGTTGCCAGAAAGTTCTTTCGCGTAGGGTTTGACGATCTTGGTGAACGTCGTATGGTCATATTTGGCGTAATGTGACCAAATTGATTGGAAACCACCACTTGGACAGATACCGTAGCGAATTCCAGTGGAGGAAGAGCAAGTTGAGTCAAGAAATGGACTTGAGGCAAGCTGCACAGGCCAGAACTCATCCTTCGTGCCGTTTAGAAATAATGAGGTGCCTCCAGCTGGCCAGTCCTGTTTTGAAGGGACGAGGAGCACAGCACATGAGGGTCCTGTAAGCACGGCAAGCACGCCAGCAAAGATGATAAAGAGCCCCAATTGGATCTTCCTGTACTTTCTGCGACCCTTGAACAAAGTCCGAGCACCGCCCAAAAGTTCAGGCGACCAGAAGTAGCTTAATTTAGTGAAATCAATCCCAGCCCCCAGGAGCCCTAAAGGGATACCATCGCCGTATATCAGCTCGTCCCGTAGGAGCTGAAAGACGATTGTGGCGAGGCTTGCAATGATCAAGAGTTCTTGAAGTTTGGCTGCAACTTGGAGGAGAGCGACATTGATCGTCTCGGAACTGACAAAACTCTTGAAGTCAATGCCGATGAACACTTGTCGAAGATTGACTCCGACTATAGCAGTTGAGACCAGAACTGGAAGGACATGAACGCCACAACGACTGAGAGCAAGCCATGGAGAAGTACTGATAACGATCTTCTTCTGCTCTGTCCGATGTCGCCGCCCTCGAAGCCATGCGTTTATGTCATTGAGAAATCCGATACCAGTATTTCGAAATAATTGTTGCCAGAATGAACCGTTGCTGTCTTCAGCTTGCATGAATGAGACAAGCTCGAGAGCAGAGGTTTGTCTCCCCGGAGTGACCAAGACAAGAACAGAGCAATATATTGGTCAAATTGAGAGATGGTAGAAGCGAGTAAAGAAAAAGAAGCAGCAGCTGACATGATATAACCGCATGAGATCACTAGGAAGGGGGGAAAGGGCGACATAGCAAGGGTAGGAAGACTTGGAAATGGATTCGGAATCCTACGACTCAGCCAATTATCATCGACAGAGTGCATTAATCTCGTGGTGTGTAGTCACAATTGGCGCTTGAGGAAGGTCCGCGTCGCACGACTGGCGATCGGCTCCAAGTCTTCGGCTCCCCGCATCTTCTCCAACGAGAAACCCTCTAGAGTCATGATAGACAACATGGCATAGATCATCTGATTGAGTACGAATGGAGGCCATGTTCGGATGAATTTTCTCTACCGTTTTCGAATCCGCTGCCGAAGCTCTCAATGCTCGAGCAGGGAAACCAGGTCAAAACTCAACGAAATCTTTGACGAGGCTGAAGACTACTCCACATGTATGATTGCGGCAGAAGTGAAGCGCTGACTTATTTAGAGGGCACCTTTGGCATGGGCGCGAAGTGGACCATTCGGTTTTTAGTGTAACCAAAGCTACCTTTTTGTCCCTCTGACCAGGCTGAACAGCAATCAATAATCCTTCTGAACATAAAGTCGCGGGTAAAAGTTTGGGTCCGCAAGTCCCGGGGATCGGAAGAGCCCCTGTTCCCCGTGCCGCTATGCCCTTGATGCAGAACTGGTAAGAAGCCTCGTCTGTCTGAGTGGGTTCGCTTGGCTCTAGACCCAGCTAGTGGGTGCTCAAGCTGCAGCCCCAGCGCGTAAATAGTGATGGTCCCCTGCTAGGCTTTGCTGGCTTGCTCAAGATGCCTTCGTTCAAATGTGTGGTCACTATTCCCTGTAGCCAGGTGGCCAGATATTTCCCTCGACGATGAAAGAGGTGTGAAGATCACGACAGAGTAAAAAACTCTTCAGGCTCGAGCATTGCCCATGGGCCAGAGGCCGACAATAAAGCTGGGATGGGTTGACGAGAGAAGGCCAAGGGCCGTTGGCCGCAGTGTCTGGCATACCACAGCATTCTGGATATGGTTATCACTGGGGATGTTTTGGTTGGCGACCTATGAATACTTTTCATATGCCTCTGCTCGGGATCCCACGTCTTATTTCTTTGACAAAGCACAAGGATACCAGCGAATGTATTCGAAACAGCGGGAAAAGCAAGCTTATGCATACATTGAGAGCGTCAACCATACCGGTATACCTCCTCCGTCCTCTTCCGAAACTCCATCAATGTGCCTCGGGGTTGCCACTATTGCACGCCCGTCAACGGAGCAATACGTTAGGGGCACGGTTGGATCATTATTGGAAGGCCTCTCGGATTCAGAGCGCGCCGAGATATACCTGATCATCTTCATCGCGCACACGGATCCAGCAGTTCACCCGATATACAATGAGCCATGGGCAAGAGCCGTCGCCAACAAGGTGCTTACCTACGAGGTTTCCGAGGCAGACCTTGCTCAGCTACACCTTTTTGAAGATGAGCATCTTCCTCGCAACAAGTCAATGTACGACTATGGGTACCTCCTCAGTAGTTGCTCAGATACTCAAGCAAGATGGATCGCTATCGTTGAGGACGACAACATTGCAAGAGCAGGGTGGTATAGAACAGCTAGGTCATCGTTACAAGAGATCCAAGGGCAGATGAGTGCCGCAAAATGGCTTTACCTGAGAATGTTTTTCACCGAAACCCTTCTGGGTTGGAACAGTGAGGAGTGGCCTCGGTATCTCGGATGGTCCCTCTTGCTGTTCATAAGCCTGCTATATGTGCTGGTTGGTTTACGTTCTCGCTCGGTCGTACTAAGGTGGCATCTCTCGAACTCAGAGATCGTCGCAACCTGTGGCACCTTTCTGCCAGCATTCATCGGCCTTTACTTTATGGCTGGGCGTGTGACCGTACAACCTCAGCCGCCCGGCGTGGGCCTAATGCCACGCTTCGGTTGCTGTTCGCAAGGGCTCATATTCCCGGTGGAGGTTGTACCGAGCCTGATTGAGAGAATTCGACAAGCTATGCACGAAGATTACTATATTGATATGCTTTTCGAGCGCTTTGCAGATACCAATCACTTAGCTCGCTTTGCTCAATTTCCAAGCCTCCTACAACATGTTGGTTCGAAAAGCTCGAAGGGATTCGGCTTTGATACGAGTGCTGCGACCTTGTGGAATTTCGGCTTTGAGACCATCCAGCCGCGATGATGTCGTAGGTTTGACTATTGGAAATCTTAATGATGTTCGTAACCTTTGAAATGCGGAAATAGCAAACGTGGTGCATGCTCTGGAATGTGACGTCCAAATCTACCAGTCACGCGCAAGCGAGTTGCGGCTCTCGGTGCCAGACGCTGCTCGTTTACATCTTCGATTGCAATTTGGGTTCTATGCATGATACATCTCACATTTCCTCGTCCGACGCTTATAAACGCTGTTGGGATGTGTTCCTATGGTGTTGTGATTCGCGAGATAGGACTTAGCTGCGAACATGACAGTTTCGGATCAGTGTATAGACTTGTCGGCTTCAGTATCTTGGAGCCAAAGTTTTGCTCAGCATCAAAAGTACGAGAAAGCTTCTGAAAGATCTTTCCTCAACACAGCAAGATAGTCCTGAGCATTGTCCTGGCCTTTACGCCCCAACCATTTCCCAATCAAAAGTGTCGAGATGATACTCAAGGAAGTACACGCCCAAGTGTATAACACTTCAAGAGTATTTCCAATGATACTATTCCGTCCGTTATAAATGCTACCGAAACAAATCACGAGATTGTTTGAACCCTTTTATTCTAACGAGCAGCTGCGAATGAAAGCGTCGACCCCCCAATCTACCAAGCTTTGATATATGGGCATACTTTGCGACATTCATCACTCTGCCCGTTCTATTTCGCAGCATCTTCTAGCTGTGGGCATGGTTAAACAGGTCCCAACTCGGATCAAGGTGTCGTTTCCACTCAACACGATCAATATTTGTGAAGTAATAATTGCGCGGTCTTTCTGGATGGATAAGGCTGACGTAAAGTGACTTATGTTGCTGTCTTCCTTTGAGGAGGTGGTAGTCAGACATATTGGCGCTATAGCTCATCATTAATCGACGCTTTGCTTGACTATCTTCGAGTGCACAGCGGTCTCGTCACCAACCTAAGACGTTAAGATTGTGCCTCTCAAGACTCCCTCCCCTAACAAAGAGTAAGGTGTCATCGTTCAGATCTTCAATCATGCCAGTAACTTAACACGAGAGCACGTCTAAAGATTTCAAAGTTCAGCTTACCATGTCAGCGTTCAAAACTATCATCTACTCGCTATTAGTTCCACACGTTCGTCGTGCGGAGGAGTCACTTATTTCACCAACTTTGCAGATTCATTTGAGCTACAATGAATCTCTTCGGTTCAGTCAAGTTGCACAAGTGTTGAGTGGATCGCCACTTGATTAGGTTTCAGCATCGACACTTCCAAGTCTCGTGTCCGACCTCGAATGTCGTCCGTCCTGACCAAGATCATTTCATCCGACTTTGCAAGAGGACTCTCTTGTAGTGCAAGCATGGCCAAACTTCCAAAGACTCTTCTGCCTCAAGCATTTGATTCTGGTCGCTACAGCGACTTGAAAATCAGATGCTGCGGTGAAGAATTCAACGTTCACAAAGTCATTGTTTGCATGCAATCGCCTGTCTTGGCCGCTGCGATAGATGGCAAATTAAAAGTAATTTACAACCTACAGATTACGAATTATAACTCTAACAAGAATGATAGGAAGCCTCGACAAATTGCATTGATATCGAATCGTTTGACGCCGCCACTGTCAAGCACATGCTTGAATATCTGTATGGGAAATATGATGATGCGCGCGATGCAAAATATGAGCAGGGGCCGCAGGCAAGTCAAGAAGTCCCAAGATAGTCGAATGTAGCATCGTGTTGCTGACGAGGATCAGATCGACCTGACGACAAATGATGAAGCGACGCCTGAACCAGAAGAAAATGCCATATTGAAGCATATTCGTGTCAATGCTATCGCCAATTACTATGCTATACCACATTTAGCATTGTTCACACGTACGGAGATCCAAAGACTCATCGACAAGCAATGGTCAGCTGAAGGATTCTGCGACGCTCTTATCGTAGCTTTTCGCGCAACATCTGATGCGGACTTACATGGTATCATGACTTCAGCTGCCAGCACGCACATCGACGAGCTCTTGCAGCTAGATGAGTTTGTCGCGCTGCAAAACATTGGTGTCGGTAGTTCCAGCATTATCCAGAATATGGCCAATAAAATCCGCGCTCTGGAGACTGAGAAATATTTTGCGAATCCGAATTTCGCGAGCACGCCTGCCACCCTTCAATATGACGGTGCAGAAGATCAGGATGATGCAGAAGATCAGGATGGTGCAGAAGATGAAAACCCTCTTGGTCCTGGGGGTTTCAGCCGGAATCGTGCTATGGGAAGTCGCCTTGAATTCCACCCTGCGTACATGCTTCGGGGATCGGTTTGATCATAGCATCACTTGATGCTGGACATTGGGCAGATAGACTCAACCAACAGCTCACCACATGTCAGACAGCTCAATAAATCGATGTGTAAACATCCTGCATGACTTCCAACCTGTCCCTTACCCGGATCTCAAATACGTTTGCTTTTGAGTCCGAATTCCACTATCATTCCCAACTCACCACATTTCCCAGCTGATATCTTCATTCGAGTTCGTTTTTTCCTCTCCCCTGTTGACACTTTTGCTCACTTTTCCCTTCCCCAAAATGATTCTCAATCCCTCTCCCTTACGCCGCTGACACTTCTTCAATTCCGGCTATTTCGCAGCCTCAGCTATAAGGATACCCTACCAAGGTGTCTATTAGCACTTTCCACTCATCTGAAGCTGCCACACTTACTTCGAATTTTGTTTTGTCATGCTTCTTCAATGTTCCCCTATTACTCGTGGACATACTTACTTACTCCTCTTTACTCATCAATATCACATTGATACATCGCATTCTCTCTGGTTACTGCATTCGACTCCCGCTTAATTGACCTATTGCTATGAGTCATCAGTTCCTTTGTAGAGTTAACAATTTTATCGCTTCTTTCATTTGCTAATGACTTATTTAGCCAATCCTCCGGGTTCGATTTTCAAACTCATGCAATGCCGTTTCATTAATTGCTGATCGAAGAAATTACTCTTTGTCTTCATAAGCTAAATCTTGCTGTGTTGTGATCAGATTGAGGAGTGAATTAGCATAAGGAGATGGATCATGTTCCTCGCAGGTAGGAAGCGTTTTCAATTTAGGCCTTGATGATTGTTTCGTACGGATGTGGGGCGGCAGGAGCGATGAGGTAGAAGCTGGGACTTAACGCAAATTGTTATTCTGATTTCACCAAACATTCAGGAATTTTTACCCATTACGTCATGCTCATGTTCACGTTTCTCGTGGATGCCCATTATATCTCATAATCTTCCACCCACTCACATATCAGGGAACCATTCAATTGATCGCTAAACACACCCGCCAGTATCATCCCTCCAGCCCAAACCTTCCTTGGCCTGCATGCACATACGTATGCCATCCAGCCTCCAGACTCCGCTTCCATTCCCTTAGCACATCGCCCTCGTTACCACCCCGCTCATCATACTTTTCAACTCTCAGACCGTCCGGTGTACCCTCCTCTACCTTCTGCCATCTCGCCTTCGCCACCACACCAGAGAAGTTTCTTCCGTGCCTCAGATAGTACGCTTCAGCCATTTCATCATCCACAAGGTTTGGCATAAGCAATGGGATTGTCCGCTCGCTCAGAAACCCAAGCGGTGAAAGAGGTACATTTTGCATGGGGCCATCGAAACCTGGAACGGGGCTCTGTGCATCAAGACTTCTCATTATTTTGAGACAATTAGCGAGTGCTTGACCGTCGCAGAGGCCGGCTCTCCCGATTGAGTGTAGCGTTGCAATCGAATATTCTAGCCAGAGAGCGTTGAAGGAGCGGCGACCGCCTAGAAATAGTGGGATTGAGATGCTGGGGTCAAGTTTAGTGCAAAAGGTCGCGCCGCCTTTACTCACGGGGTCGAGGGTGTTCCAGTGGCTACAAGGGGCTTCAAGCAGACCAGCAGTGAGACGGAGATTATCGTAAGTGAGTATGAAGGTTTCGAACTCTAAAGCATCGCGAACGCTGGCAACGGTTTCATTGGCGGCGAGCATTGCAAGTGTGCACGCACGGTAAAGGTTATAGTAAGCTATAGTGATCGCTACTACGGGTGTCGGAAGAATCAATGGCTCAGGCGGAATAGGCAGGCTGTCTAGTATGGCTGTTGTGACGAATACGCTGTTGGCATCGTCGATGGGAAGTGGAATGGTGTCAGTGTAGCCAACAAATGTTTCTGTCGCTCCTTGACGCCAGAGTAGGAGCTCATCTCGAAAGCTGAGAAGTTGGTCGCGGCCTGGTTGCTCGTTTGCGCCATAAAAAGAGGACCAGACGATTTTGTCCATGTGGTTGTGGGCGGCGATCAGGCGCCAGAGACTGAGACGTTGGTTCATCATTAAGTCAGGGCCAAGAATTGTACCAAGACCCTCAATTTCAAGGTTTGTGTTTGAGTAAAAGGGTGTTTCCATGAGGGCAGGGCGGAAGCTGAAAGTGCGGAAGAAGGACGACCGGGCATAGGGGACGATGTTTTGGGCGACAAAATCCAGTCTCATTATCGTCTCACGCAGAGGCAAAAGATGTGGGTCTTTTGCAGTAGCCGATGAGGCTCCAAGTAGCTGAACAGCAGCCCAGAGATGTTGGAAGGCCAGACGTGCGTTCCCCATACAACACTATCATTCTAATTAGGACACAGCACTGGTAGGGAGAGCCACAGTCCTAAGACAAACCTCAAATATGTTCAAGAGCAGAAGAGTCACCATCAGTATCTCTTCACGTCCTTCGTAATGCCCATTCAATTCGATCGTTAATTGGTGGACGGCATTGTTGTAGGCACGAAGTCCTATAACCTTCAGCCGCTGTACTTCAGCCTGCATGATGCCCGAATGAGGGATACTGTGGGCCAGGTGTATGGCTCCGATTGCCTGAATAGACTCGTATACGAGATCAATATGCCATGACATGCGTGCAATCCTGTCTCGCCAGAAGTAAAGCTGATCCTTCCGGAAAAGCTGGTAGACAGTGGAAGTGACAAATTGATGGTAAGCACATAGATGATCAGCACGATTACTAGTATGTGGGAAAACACTCGGTGTTGCCGGAACGCCCGGCACCCCCTCGTAAGAAAATATTCGTGGTGCAGCTGAGGTCGTAACATATGCTGCTTGAGTCAAGGCAACACTAGGAAAAGGAGCTGCGGAAGAAGGGCCAGGCGAAACCACCCTCCGTTTTTCACGATATCCATCACAGACTAGATTCGCGGTCTGACAGCGATTGCAGACTGGCTTTGCTTCGTCGCATTTGACCCTCCGTCGACGACATGTCAAGCAGCCGGTGCGTGTGCGAGGCCCTGATTTGCCGCCTTGTTGCATCTTCGACTATGCCTCTTTCGGCAAAAGACTAGCAAGAATGGTGATACGAGTATTGCAGCATTGAGACGTCTCCTTACAAAGCTGAATGTACTGAGAAGAGGACATTCGCACGCTCAAAGCTGAAGTTCGTGGGGTCAAGTGGGTCTTTTATAGCCTGCGAGGTCTAGACTATGGCCCGGCTGCGAGGCACAAGTAGCTTAGTAATTAGTAAGTCCTCGAATAGCGGAGGAAGATAAGCGAAGGGGCTTGAATCTCGATCTCGTTCACTGTCGGCACGAGACGGATACAACGCTTTACAGAGAGAGACAGAACTCAAACTCAGCCCGAAGAGACCACATGTATACAAAATACTTCTCTAGCCTGGTGGCTTACAAATTGACTCACATAAGAGCATCGAGATACATGAGATCAAGCCAGAAAGCTGTTTGCAATATAGTGCCCAGGAGCTTAGAAGTCACTCCCCTGCGGAACCTCGAGGAGCTACTAGGACAGAAGGCCCAATGAATAAATGGGCTGCTGCATGCTCACCATCCACGACCTTGGGTCCCTGACGCAGCTTATTCAGCGAGCTTCTTCTCAAGATCTAGCAGGCTTTGGACGGCGTTCCCAAATGCGTCCTCAAAAGAGGTCCACTTCATACCCAACTCCTTCGTTGCCCGAGCATTGTCCACTCTAAAGAATTCTGGAAGTGGTTTGTCACTGTCACGCTTTGGGACTTTGCCTTTCAGCTGCGGAAACTTGGTTTCGATGAAGTCACAAAGCCATTCATTTATGTAAGGGCCATTGGTGATGATGTAACGCTTATTGGCTGCCTCTGGACGCTCCAGCGCGGCAAGATGGGAGAGAGCAAGGTCAGGTACATATGCAAACGCTGGGAAGCTGGTCGGCGGTACAGTGCTTTGCGAGCCATTGATGAGATTCCAGATCACCTTGGAGCTGGTGTTGAGTTTCTCCATTGACTCCACAAGGTGTACAGGGGGGCCATAGACCATAGGCGGGCATAAAGCGACTACGCTGAAGGCTGGCTTATGCTTCTCAACAAATTCCCAGGCAGCCTTCTCCGCAAAAGATTTGCTTGCACAATAGGCAGCACTGCCATCTGCGACTTTGGCCTGATCCCAGGTCATGGGGTTCCAATCAGCTTCGGTGTACACCCTGCCGGGATTCAGGCCTTTTGTGGTATCCAGAACTGCTGCAAAAGAAGAAGTCATGACAACTCGCTTTATGCGTTCATTACCTGATGCGTGGACAGCTTCGAGCATGCGTAGTGTCCCGTTGACTGCTGGTTGGAACAATTGCTTTTCATTGTCTTCCACAGGATAATGGAATGGCGAAGCACTGTGGATGACGCCGTCAACATTCTTGATAACCTCGTCGAAAGCACCAGGAGCTTCTATGTCCGGTACCAAAGCGAAGGAAAGCTTGTCCCCATATCTTTCAAGTGTCAACGAAGGCTTCATAACATAGAAGTTCTGAAGGATCTACCTTCCATGTGTAACTTTGACCTTTTCAGCAGAGCTAGTCGATCGAACTGTCCCGAGCACATTATATCCCGCGTCAAGAAGCACATTCAAGATGTGCCCTGCTACGAAGCCATTGGCGCCTGTGAGAAGGATCGTCTTTGGAGCCATCGTTTCTGTAAGAGAAGGTGACGGGCACTTCCTCTACACTTGCACAATCTTTGGGGGTAAATTCAAGAATGGGAACAATCTTTGAGAAAGCCGGAGCTCATAGATGTCTCATATAAATGTCGTCTGTTCGATCTTCTGACAACTTTCGCACTGATTTATAAGCCTCACGCTGTCCACTCGAGATTGGTAAGCAACATGCAGTTGTGCATATATTGGCGCACATTCCTTGCGACCGTCGTAGCTAGTCTTCCTTTCCCACGAAGACCTCAAGGCTTTCAGCAATGTCGTTCTGGCTTAGTCACGAATGGTGGGATAAGTCTTCGAGCAACACGGAGTCGTGCTCGCCTGAAAGTCTCATGTGAGACATCAGTCAGGAACAGAGAATTCCTCTCGTTTGTGAGCCTTTTGCAGAGGTAGCGGCTTAGCAGCACCATCGTAGGAATACCAAGATGCTGTGCGACTCTATAAAGGCACTAGCATCGCTAAACTCGCTTAAGCTAGTCCCAAAGAGGAAATGCCATGTTTTCATGCTTTCCAGTGCGATGTGAGGCAAGAGCTACACTCCGCAACATTTCAATGATTGTGAAGAGCGTTCCAGGTAGGGATTAGCTTCAGACGCCGCGGCGTACTATTAGAACTAAAGAAGCGCCCTGAAGAAACGAGAAGGGCCCTTTGTGATCCGATGTGAAACATAAAGCAGCTCCCGAACTCGCTCTTTTGCATGGTGTTGTTCATATCTAGAAGGACAGGATAAGAAGGGCCAGTTGACTCGTGTTGAACCGGCCTTGTGGAGGTCAGACTGGATCATGAATCTGGGCCTAAGTCGCTCAGCGGCTCCAATGTTTGCGTCGCGGTAGAATTGAAGAAGCGTTGATGTGTTTCAGGTCATGAGAGAGTGTGTCCCAGATCAGGTGCAGATAATACAAAGATCAACCGCATACGAGGAGGGAATTGGCTCTGTCTTTATGTGATAGAATGACATCTCGCGTGGTCCTCATCGTCCCGTCAAATAGCCCAACGCAAGGTTCCGGGCCGCTAGCTAGCGCTTAATCTCCGCTTTCCAATGGATTCTGTCTTGGCTTTCTAGGCACACGACCTGTAGGGGCGGACTCGTCGAGCTGAGATGATCAACATAACATTCGCATCATTATGCGCGAGGCCAGAGTACTGCAACTGGCCTGCGAGACCAGCCGCTGATTCCGCCCACAGCTTCATGCTAAGGCCAGGATGGGCACGTTTCCTAGAGCAGGCCATTTCAGCCTTACGTCTGTCAAAAGGATGCGCCCAAGATCCAGTCCTAGAGCCTCGTTGAGTCGCCTAGCAGTCACTTTCGTCATCATCTTCCTGATTTATGAGACCTGGAGTCGTACTAGCAGCTGGAATCGGTAAGTCGCTTGAGGATGCCTGACCGGACCGCTACCTACTGAACTTTCGTGGAAGATACGTCTGTGACGGGTCCGGACAGCCCCTGCATGACATATCACAAGTCCCAACGCAAGATTTGCCTGGCAATCCACACGAGCCGTTGCTTATTGAGTCGCCAAGTATCAACAATCTGAATTTCGGAGACTTAGCCTCTCCTAAGGAGAAGGATCGCGTGCTCATACTAACCCCATTGAGAGACGCTGCTCCGTATCTTCCGAAGTATTTCGAGGTATTGTCACAACTGACCTACCCCCACAACTACATCGACTTGGCATTTCTCGTTGGTGATTGTGTCGATGAAACGCTGTCAACATTGAGGGAGCAGCTTGAGAAGCTGCAGAACGAGTCGAATGTGGCACGATTTCGGAGTGCCATGATCGTAGAGAAGAATTTTGGCTTTGAGCTTGCGCAGAGCGTTAAGGAGCGACATAGCTTCCAAGCTCAGGGACCTCGACGCAAAGCTATCGGGCGGGCCCGAAACTACCTTCTCTATGCCGCAATGAGACCCGTGCATGATTGGATCTACTGGAGGGATGTTGATGTTGTAGAGAATCCGGCGACAGTATTGGAAGACTTCATCAAGCATGATAAGGATGTCTTAGTCCCCAGTAAGTATATCAGCAATTGGCTCTTTGAGTTCTATTAAACGGGCATGTAGATATCTGGTTCCACCGTCTCGACAAGCTCGGCAAAGACATTGAAGGAAGGTGTACGTATAATGATGATTGAATCATTATTCCTTTTCTGACGGATAATCAGACGACTACAACTCATGGCAAGAATCATGGTGGGGACGCCGTCTCAAAAAAAGGATAAGTAAAGATACAATCCTTGCGGAAGGTATGGCCCTTTTTGTTTGTTTATCAATTGACTGTGTCACTCACCTCCAGTCAGGCTACAAAGAGTATAAGACTCGCCGGAAATATCTCAATTGGATGGGCAACAGACGTAAGAACAAGGACAAAGAAGTCCCACTTGATGGCATTGGCGGCGTCAACATTGTGGTTAAGGCCGAGGTTCACAGATCAGGTATGTCTTGCTTTTGACCCCACCCTTCACCGCCAGCATGGAAGATATAGTCTGAACGATATCTCACCATAGGCATCAATTTTCCGTGCTATCCGTTCGAAAATCAAGCCGATACCGAGGGATTTGCAGCCATGGCAAAGCGGGCTGGCTATAGTGTATTTGGACTCCCAAATTATGTCGTTTGGCACGTTGATACAGAGGAGAAAGAGGGTAACTTGAAGGGAAACAAGGTCAAAGAGCAAAAAGACTCATAATCAGAGAGGTAAGTCACACGTACGAAAAGCGCATGATACCATGTAGATATTGGATTACAACAAAGGGCTATCTGTTTGTATTGAGTGTTGGCCTTTCTGTACGAAATCTGTAAGGCAAAGAACAAACAGATCGCGTCTTCACCGTCGAACAAATACCTGACAGCTGCGAGTCTCTCGTTTTGGGATAGCGATCCACTAAATTGATACTACCGTACGAATTCGGCAGCGGTCTTCGTCATGCCATACCCAGACGGCACCCCGCATTTGTGGTTCATAATGGTTATATCACAGCGTCAAGTCACAGTTGGAAAGCCAATTGAACAAGCCAACTTCCGAAACTATCGCGTGAACATCTCACGAGTCGTGTTGGTCTTATTATCTTTGCGATATATGTGAGTTACAACAACAGCGAGGACTTCTGAAGGTATGTACGGCTTCCCGGTCCGTATCTCTGTTGTGTTCATGACCACTCTAAATGGGGGAATGCTATCGGATTGCCGCATGAATGGTAGCTACGTTTGACAACGCACATAGATCATAAACATCATTTCAGTGGTCATTTGAACGTACTTATCTGTTTCCGAGAACAGCATTCCTAGGCCTTGTCCCACTTAGAGAGACGAATGCTCTCGATACAAGATATTTCTTCTCTCGTAGGACATAGCTTGTATCAATCAGGAATCCCGAGATGACTTCAAACACGCCTCCGCAATCCATCCTTCTCAGCGTAGGCGATTCTATGCAACAATCTCTCATTGACGACCTGTACAAGCCGCTCATTTCCAAAATCACCACTGCATATCCATCAACACTCCACCTCAAATCGTCCTCTAAAGCTCTCCAAACAATCCAACGCACCACCCCACCACCAACCATCCTCGCCATCGACGGTGGCCTCACCAACCCCCACCTCACCAACCTGCACTCTCGCCTCTCCCACTACATCCGCGAAGACGGCGGCACGTTAATACTCTGCATGCTCTTCAGCAGCTTCGTGCGCCCATCAGACCTAAACGCCATGTTCAGCACCCTCGGCCTACCCTGGGAACAGGGTGACTACCACCGCTCCACCTTCTCCCTCAGTCTGCGCGCATCATCCATCGACGACATGTTTGGCGAGCACGCACAGGGGCTGGAGAGGGAATACAGCATGAAAGCTGTGCATCTGAAGGAGTGCCTGCGGCAGCGAAGGTGTATGTTCCCAAACCGGATTCGAGGATTGAGAGTATGGTGTTTCCACCCGACGCAGTGGATCAGGGGGAGTGTCCGGCGGTATTTGCGAGGGTGGGAAAGGGGAGGGTGGGGTTTGTGGGGGATGTGAATAATGAGGGGGGAGTCAGACGCTGATATTGGCTATGCTGGGTAAGTTACTGACTTCAATTGTCGTGTGCTAAAGGCTCATGGGGTGAGCAGATTCCATCGCGAGTTCTGCGGGCGAGATGAAGGTGGTGAATCCACCGCAAGGAATGGACAAATTTCCAGGATGCATGGTTTGTGGCGCATTGAGCCCGGTCAAGTGGTGCCAGAAATGCAAGGCTCATCAGTACTGCTCTGTGAAGTGCCAGAAGGCGGACTGGCCAAGTCATAAAGAGGTTTGCTCGACTCGCTCACGATAAATCTTTCGGATAGCCAGAGCCAGGAGAGCGGTGATGAATGGATTTTCGGAGGGTTCCGTGTCACTTGGGGGGCATGAATCATCCGGACTTGGTAGCAGATGCGCTGAATATCGTATAGAGATTCAAGATAAAAAGTTCAATGATCTAACATTTATATGCTAGCAATGGGACCAGTCTATTCATTTGAAGGTAAAATGTCTCAATGGACTTACGCATTCGATGTGAGGAGTAGCGATGGATGAACCAAGTCATCAAGATCTTCTGTATGCTCAAGAGCCCATAATGTGAGAGGCTTGATAAGAACAATGGCTGTGGAAAGCCTCTCTATTTACTTCATACTTTTCTGCCGCGTCCAATGACGTAGCCAAGGCTTCCCCAACTTGCCTTCTCCCTTGATATGATTCCCACGAAGATCAGGCAATGCAGCCGTGGACTCCTCATGATGCTCATTCGTCCTCATCGCCATGGACCTCGCCGACCACACAGACTCAGACTCCCCCAGCGCCGAGCGCCTCACACCTGAACTCCCCACCTCCCTCCACGCGCCCATCTCCCCTCCCCCTCTCGCTCTCGGCGAGCAAAGTCCAAAAATGCCACCAACAAACCCCCGCCTCCTCCCTCGTCGATCGAAGCAGGCACAGCCCTCATTCATAACCATCTAGCCTACTGGACCTCCCACCTCTCCCGAGCCATCCCCCCTCTCCCCTACCAGCTCCCCTCAGCGTCAAAGATCTCACAACCCTCTACGAAGCCCATTCAGGGAGCGCCCAGGGCCACCACTTCGTCGTCCACCAGCACGACCACCCAGTTGCGGGATTGCACTACGATCTCCGTCTGCAAATTAACGAAACGAGTTCCGCGAGCTGGGCGATTATGTATGGTATGCCTGGGAATGCGAACAGTAAGAGGATCAGTAGGAATGCGATGGAGACGAGGGTGCATTGTTTGTGGGTAGGTGAGTTGGGTGTGCTGTATAATGGAGGTAAGGATAGCGTGGGCTGATCAATGGAGCAGAACCATCTGATTGAGACAGCGTCGGTGCAGACGGGGAGTATGCTTATTTGGGATACGGGTGCCTACGAGGTTCTGCCGTATCAGTCCTCGAATGTGGAGGCTGATTTGGAAACGACGGACGAAGATGAGGATGATAGTGAAGAAGAACGTTCCATGCATGGAACGCCAGAATACTCGAGCTTGAGAACAGAGCAGGAGAAGCTGGCTCAGGCTTTCGATAATGTACGCGACTCATATGACATAGTCTATTTTTCTCAAAAGGCTATGAAACTTACATTTCCTCGACTAGCGCAAGATCCGCCTTCGCCTTCACGGAGCTCGGCTCCCCAAGGACTATACCATCAGCCTCCGCCTCTCATCGCAAGAAGATCGCTCGCAGCAGCCTAAAGCTCCCTCGAGAAAGCGCAAGCGCGGTCAGAGTAATCTCAAGAAGACGACCTCTCAGACCAAGGCTCAAGCAATTCATCCGAGAAACGACGAGTCATCGTCAGATGCCGAAACAACAGCGTCCGATTACCCGGACGAAGGATCGAGAGATGGCGCAAACGGAAAGCCAAATGTTGAGGGAGACGAGGAAAGTCGTATTACAAACACGTACCCTGGCGCCTCTAACACAATCAACTCTATCTACCAGAGGCGGTGGTATCTTAATTTTGACCGGCGATCGTCAGGCTTTATCCCTCAGATGAAATGGGAAGGCGAACGGAAACGTATTTGGGCGAGGAAGAGGCGCAAAGATGGCGCGCTGGATGGCTTTGAGCCCTTTCGGGTCATGGGCGCGGAAATTGAGAGAAGTATTGTCACTGGAAGGACTGCGAAACAGGTATTGGTTGACGAGGGTGTAAGCGGGTACGAGAGTCGGAGGGGTTGGAGGGCAGTAGTAGAGTGAATGACATTGCAGTCAATTTGCCTTCTGGCTGTCGGTCATAGGACTTTCTATCGATTATTCTCCCAAGTTTACCTTCGTCGGTGCCGTCTCGGCGGCTTCTTCTCCACCCCTATTTCCTCTGAGATGTCCCCACATGATCTTGTTGCTGGGCAGATCCCACCATGACTTGGAATGGGGAAAGTCAAATTCTGAGTTCGCGAATTCTTGATCCGGCAGAAATTTCAAAAGGCGGGGGTTTCGTTTTCCAGTGCGGAGGATTAAGCATCTGCCTACGTGTGGAAGATCCATTATCTTGTCCTCAATATCCTGTCGCTGATTTTGTCCGCCGATGACGAATATACTGAAGGTGAGTTTGGCAACACCATCATAAGATGCGTAGTGAGTACCGCCAGATTTTCCAACACTGTAGCTTTGCGCCTTGGTTGAAGTGAGGCCTGCAAAATGCAAGATCTTGTAGTTTGCTGCGATGTCTAGCAGTGAATAGGGTACTGTGGTGGTAACGTCATTCCAACCTTTCGGGTTGTAGTCAATCACAACGCTTTTATTTGACGTCGTGTTGGGTTGGAATAGCCCTTGATGCTCCGCTTCTGTTGCTTTAGCAATCTCTTGTCCATGAGCTAAAGCGGTGACTTCCTTTGCTAAACAATGCTGAGCGAGGCGTTTTGAAGGATTTTCGTTGTGATTTTGCATCAATAGATCAAGAGATTCTAGACTTTTGAAAGTCAGAAGCTTGAGATATTTGTGAACCTGATCGTCTGATATAGACACAAAGTACTAGAAGAGATCAACAAATGTCTGTCGTGGACGCGAGGCGAAGGCGAACTTACTTGATAGAACGCAAATGGACTGGTCAGGTTTCTGTCGAGCCAGACGGCGTTTCCTGCACTCTTCCCAAATTTCTCTCCTGAAGATGTAGTGAGCAACGGCGTCGTGAAGCCACATGGGCTATCATCGGTCGTGGGTCGCAGGACTCCAAGTAAAGGCGTTGGGAGAGACATGATATAATTGATTCCATCCGCACCTGCCTGAATATTTCCAAACTGATCGGAACCGCCAATTTGTATGGAGACCTTTTCAGCTTGGAACAGATGCCACCAGTCCCACGCTTGCACCATCGGATACAGAAACTCGGCAAGTGACATTCCGTTTCCATTTTCCAAGCGAAGCTTGACCCTGTTCCTCAATATATGAGAATCCATGCAGGGAATAAAAGTCAGGTGCTAAACTCACGAGTCCCGCCCAAGTTGGGTACCAAGTCTCATGCCAGGTGCTAAGAGATGCAGTACTTCCGTGAATCTCGTCTTATCATACCAATCTGCATTATTCCGAAAGCGATGTGTCAGCTTCTGGCCTCTCCAAGCATCGTTTTGATGCTGCATTAAAGCTGCATCGGCGTGCTCCCAAAGGTGCGCTAATTGGGCCTTCATCACACCGTGATTGGCTCTGGTCTGCGATGTAGTACGTCTGCCCCGGGCAGAAGTCCTCCCTGATGGATCCCCAATATTCGCAGTGGCTTCTCCAAGCTGAAAGTGAAGGTCAACACCTATTTCCGTTCAAGACGCAATTCACGTACTAGAGCGAATGCGCGATTGCCATAGCAGTAAGTCCACCACAAAGCCATCAGAGGGACCAGATGACCAACGTGCAACGATAACGCGGTAGGATCTATTCCCAAGTAAATTCCATTTCCTTTCTTGTTCAATATTCTATCGAGTTCGTCTCTCTTGCTTAGAAGGTCAGTAGCTGTACCAGGGTTCAGGAATTGTGCCTAACCATACCCGATCACCTGGTTCAGCAAGCCTCGACCTTCGAGCAGCTGAAGCAAAGGCACTTTCGATGCTTCCACATCTTTGTTTGAGAGCTCATGCTCTCTCGCCTCAGAGTCAGGCGGGATAGCGGGGGAGGCTTGTTGGAAGTTTCTTGCGTATTTGCCGAGTCCATTGGCTGCTATGGTTCGCTGCTGGGCTCGCCGACGACACGTTGAGCATACATAAGGTAGATAACGGGCTGATGGCCGTAAAGCACCTGTCTGCATTGGACTGGGAAGGCAGGAGTCGAGGTTAGAATGCTTCCTCGAGTGCCAAGTAGAAGATGGAGGTTCACGCGCCTGTCGCGTCAAGCTTCGACTTGATGGATTCTGATTGGCTGTGGGCAAAGAAGGTTAGTTCAGGACCTTTCTCCGCATTGCAAGGGTCAATGACGCTATTCAAGATCTTCCATCATGGTACATACTGACATCTGGGGGAAATCCTTTCATTCTACAGTCACGAAGGCCAGCTGCAATGCTGATGTTCTCCAACGCAGTTTGTGATCCTCCCTTGGGGCAAAGTACTGTCATTCCTCACGGCCAGCAATCGGTAGGTGAGACGCAGATCAATGAGATCATATCGTGTTGATCGTCTGAAGGTCAGGTTTACTGTCTTGGTCGAGTCGAGTAAGTCTTTTTCGGAGCAGCCATGGGAGGCCATACTCTGGCACAATGGACACGCCAATCGGGAATGGGGTGAACTCGCTTTACGAGAGGAGAAGGCATCCAATGTGCCTGTATATTTCTTCTGAATTGACAATCTATCCCTTTTGCTTATAGCTTTCAGCTTGCCGTCACCACCAAGTCCCGTCCAAAGGTGTATCGTCGATACTTCGTCGTAGATTTGCCAAAGCCTTCTAACATTGAACATCCCGTTCATTTCACATTCAAGTATCGGACGACAATTGGCCACAATTGGAGGTGGGCAAGTGAAGTTGCAGGCTCTTCAGATGGAGAGCTCTTTTTCCAAACGCCAACCGTACCTACTAAGATTGGAGCGTTTCTGAACGATTACGATTCCAGTCTGAAAATCCAGTCAGTTGCAAGCGAAAGTCCAGGTGTACAGCTATGGTCAATCGTTGCTCCCATCAAAGGAGTTCAAGGTAAGCACTCAGAATTCACAAGGACGAGCCTTGGAACACCAAGTCGCTACACCAGATGGTTTGCAATTACACGAGAGTCACGCATGTGGTTGAGCCCTGATCATGGGCAAGCGCCATATGCATCAACTCGAGGAGCTATAATGTGTTCTTTCTTACGTACTGATGGCCTTCACCTTGTTTTACTTGCAATAAGTGGGGTCAAAGACGTGTTGATTGAATTCAAACCCGATGGGCATGGCAACGTGGTCGCCGAATCCAGAAACGAGCGTGAAGGTAGTAATGATGCTCACATTGTGGCTGCCGCTGCGACAACTTTCGATTCTGCGAGTGCTGCAGTAATGTATCATGCGCGTACAGTTGTCGCTGGTGACGACTTTCAGGACAGAAAGGACAAGCTCGAAATGGAACGGAGGATAGCTGATGATATCCAGCCCCAGTGGATGGAGAACTGGTATGATGGACTCACATACTGCACATGGAATGCCCTGGGCCAAGATTTGACTGAGGATAAGATTTTTACTGCATTGGCAGACTTGAAGAAAAATGAAATCAACGTAACGAACTTGATCATCGACGACAATTGGCAGTCACTGAAAGAGAACGAGAGTGGATCTTATGGACAAGCTGACCTTGGCTGGACTGACTTCGAAGCAAATCCCAAAGGCTTTCCAAAGGGTCTGAAATACACTGCGACGACCATTAGGCAGCTCTTTCCGAATATTGAGCATATTGGAGTCTGGCACGCCATTCTCGGATATTGGGGTGCTGTCCACCCGGATGGTTGGATAGCGCGCAACTACAAAACTAAGACAATAAAAAAGTGGGATGGAACCGACATGACTGTCGTCGACGAACCTGATATCAGCCGCATGTACGATGATTTTTACAAATTCCTATTGGAGTCCGGAGTGGACTCTGTCAAGACCGATGATCAAGTTGGCCTCGACGAGATCCGTGACGCTCCAGACCGTCGCCGTTTTATTACCGCCTACCAAGATGCCTGGGTGATCGCCGCCCTCCGCCATTTCAGCATCAAAGCAATCAGTTGCATGTCACAATTTCCGCAGAACTTGTTCCACACACAGCTTCCAACGAACAAGCCGCGCTTCATGGTCCGCAACAACGACGACTTCTTCCCTGACATCGACGCCTCGCACGCCCACCACATCTTCGTGAACGCACACAACACCCTCTTCACTTCCCATCTCAACATCCTACCAGACTGGGACATGTTCCAAACCCATCACCAGTGGGGAACCTACCACGGTGCTGGCCGCTGCATCTCCGGCGGCCCAATCTACATCACCGATGAGCCTGGTAAGCACAACATGGATCTCATCCACCAAATGACCGCGCAGGACACGCACGGCAAAACCATCGTGCTCCGCCCCAGCGTCATCGGCAAATCCATCGACGTATACACCGCCCGCCACGAAGAACGCCTCCTCAGAGTCGGCTCCTTCACCGGTGGCAAAAACGGCACAGGTCTACTGGCGCTCTTCAACGTCAACAAACGAGCGCTCTCCGAGCTCGTCCACCTCGACCGCTTCCCTGGCGTCGAGCAAAGCGAGGAATATGTCATCCGCGCCCACACGACAGGTGAGGTCTCGCCTCCAGTCTCACTCACGGACAAACTGCCCGTCGTGTCCGTGGAGATCGAGTACGCAGGATGGGAGATCCTGTCCGCTTACCAGGTGCGTTCCTTCACCCTCGCAGGGAGCACAGGGGCGCAGCATGATCGAACAAAAGTTGCGGTACTGGGACTGCTGGGGAAGATGACAGGCGCGGCTGCGGTGCTGAAGAAAGAAACGACGATGCATCAGGATAGTCGGCTGAAGATCTCGACGTCGTTGAGGGCGCTCGGCGTGTTGGGAATATACATAAGTGGGTTGGCGGAGAAGACTGTGGAGGACAATTTCATGGTGCTGCTGAGGGAGATCCCTGTTCCGCAGCATACTGTGCGAATTAATCGGGAGACGAGTGTCTTGGAGATAGATGTAGAGACTGCATTTAAGGAGATGAAGATTGGTGTGGGATACGGGAATGTAGAGGTCGTGGAAGTGTTTGTGCGGTAATCCGAGAATCGACAGATCTGAAAATTTCTTGGGACAATTTGGTGAAATTTATCTAGAATGGAAGCTATATGGTCTGGAGGACAGAAAAGTCACATGTGGTTAAGGTATGAAAAGAGATTGTCGCATATCATCGAGGAGTTATCAAATATGTAATAATGTATTTCTCATTATAAAAGCAAAAATGACACAAGACTTGGAGAAACGCTTGTGAGAAGAATAATCTGTCGTAGAACGCACGTGCTTTGTCTGCAAACACCAACTTACTGGAAATAGTACTTCGCCACCGGTCCCAGAAATCAAGTAGCTGGCCAAACTGGCCCAGTCCTAGAACCCCATCAATTCATAGCAGGTCAAACTGCCTTGCAGACTATTTACTATACTATTAGGTGTTGCTAGTCAATATGGGCAGCCATTTTAGGAGGACAATCGGGCCAACAAAAGCATGTAAGCACAGCAGCAAGCAGCGCGGTCGGCCTTAAAAGACGAGTGTATGTCAGTAACGCTCATCATACGTTAGATCCTATGGTATAACACTTGTTATACTGCTCGCTAAAACGCTATCACATCAAAAATACACCAGCCGCAAAAGAGGATGTTCACAACCAGAAGAGCCACTTCAACACCCACAAAAAGGCCCTGATGGTGCCCTTGATCAGCTGCACAATCATAACGATGAGCCACACCATCCACATAGTCCCAAGAACCATCCATTCCAGCATTGCCCAGCCGCCTCGGCGGAGCCACCGCGACCTTTGCCTTCTTCTCCGCAACGTCAGGTCGACCTGATCATTCATTTCCTTTAGGGATAATGTGTGAGTGGTTGTGAGCTCGGTGCTGAAATTGTCTGCGTCATCAGCACAGCTGCGGACTAAGGGCGTGATGCTGGCATTGATCCTTTTGTCAATATCACCGATCTGGCTGTGCAAGTCATTGAAGGTTACGTCAGAGAAGCGGGTTTGAGCATCGTGTAATTGACGATTGGTCTTTTCGACTGAGGAGAGCAGCAATCTGGCGGAAATGACATGCTGCTGAGCTCTTGGTACGCGCTGTGGCGGAACGCCAACGACATCTTCAATGGCTTGCAAGAATTTTGGTGGGTTATCAGGTATCTCTTCTGCTTTCCGGGCAATCTCATTTGCTTTTACACCGGATGACAAAAGCAATGCTCGTACACGTGCGATATTCTGGTCCGTGACTGCTTCGTATTGCACCGTCACCTCTCTGTCAGTGATGCTCCACTGGCGCTTTCCTTCAATGGCGGGACGGTGCTTGGTCCCTTGTTGTGGCTCGGCCTCGAAACGAGCAAGTCCTGTTATCACGTTACTTGAAGGTCCGCCAGAGCCGACTTGGCCAGGAATGCCGAGAATATCATTGAGCCTCCCATGAGAAGTCATGCGTGCGCGAGAGCGACTTGTGCTACTAGGCTGAGAAGTATTGGTTTTGGACGGTCTGTTCTGGCGTCTACCACGCGACTGCGAGGGGGATGGTGATACACTCCGCATATCAATCTTCGGAGGAGCCAGGCGGTCAAACCTACTCGACCGAGATCGTTCTCTATGTACTTGCTGTTGAACCTGAATGGGATCGAGAGTTGGAGACGCCATCGGAGATTGGGGAGATTGATCGCCGTCTTTATTGGGAGATTTGAAACTCGGCAGGTTGTTCATGAAGTATCTTGGCTTCTCTGCACGGGTCGAAGGCTGGGAAGACCTACCAAGATTCTCGTTGTTCGTGGTAACTCGCGAAATGTCATTTGTACTGCTTTCCAAAGCTGAGATATCAGCGTCATCTGCATCAGATTCTGTAGATGTGCGGCTCCTAGTGGCCGAAGCAGGAGCCGAGTGGTCTCTGCCCTTTTCTTTGCGTCGAAGTATATCACTCGCCCGCGAGACTTGATTGCCAACCATATCCACAACCTTCCCTCCTTTCAAGAAGTTTCGAAATCTCGACTCTGGCTCATTCGAATCCTTCAGACTTCTGAGCGATCTGCTTTCGTGTAAGTAAGGCTTGTTCCTTGATTTGATTGGAGAGAGTCGATCGTCTGCATAGTTGTTCGTCGTAGCAACCTTTCGTAGATCGGTATCCTGATTTTCTTGAGCAGTATTAGACTTGGAGCCCGACAAAGGGCCTTTCAACTCCGCGCCAAAATCATAGTCACTGATCGCATTACTAGGGCTATCTGGACGACGAAGCCGCATGAAGGATCTTAAGTTGGTTCCCGATGGGCGCTTAGGAGATGTAGTATTCTCACTGGGACTTGTAGGCGGTGAGAGATTGATCGCTATGCTGGGAACAAAGCTATCTGTGGTAGGGGAGTTGGGTTCGGTGGAATCGAACTCATGGGATGACACTCGTCGATGACGGAGTAATTGATCGTCGAAACTCGTCCTTGGGCTTGAAGGACGCCTTCCAACAGGCATATCTGTCTTCATTCTCTGTGATAGGCTTGGGCGTTTTCCCGAAGATTGAGTCTTGTGTTCAGTTGGCGGAGAATTCTCAAGTGAAGGAGTATCATAGCCAAGCTGCGAAGAAGGGCTCATTTCCTGGCTTCCAGGAAGTTGCACGCCATCTGCCTCTTCGCTGGCCAGCATATCCATCATCTGCTTTTCCAAAGCGATATTGTCAAGATGATCTCGCTCCGTGTGATCTTTCGGTTTAGGTTTAGTTTTCTGTTCCCAATCTGAATCTTCTGACAAGGATGGCTCCCGAGAACGCGTGAATCCACGAGTCCATTTTGATTTGCGTCCTCTATCGTAGGTCATAGTGCTTACGTCAGAAGGCTTCAATTGATGCTTATTGTACTCTCTGCGCTCATTTTTGCTAGGCAGCGGATACATGCGACGACTTTCGGGAGATTGCTGCGCGTTGGAGAAACTTGCATGAGAATTAGTGCTGCGTACTGAGTCCTTACTCAGTCTTGTGGAAGGCTTGTCGTTCATTCCATACCCTTCGAAGATCTTTCGGCCTGCAGAGTCCTCAATATGCGTGATATTATCATCTTGATTCACCCAATAAGTGTCGGCCAGTAGATCCCAGGGAGAGATTGTCCAGTCATTGTAAGGCCTCCCGGGATGCTGTTTCCGTCGAGAGATTGATTGTGCAGTATTTGTGTCTTGAAGTTCATCGGTCATTACGAGCTTTGCATGACTCGAATCAAATGGTGGCAGTGGATATCGGTCGTCTACACGACTTATGCCATCCTCCCGTTCACTGATAGCTGAGTCGACCCATGGTCTCACTTTGCTAAGATCTTTCCAGCCATCCGCCTCTGCAGTCAAGGGTCTACGCTCGCGTAGTCGAAGCTTCCTGTTGCGAATATACTGCAGAGGATTGTACTTCCTACCAACATCAGTAAAAACAGAGTCCGATTCCGAGGCTTCGCGATAGGACTGCTTGCTAGATATATCTGAATTGATGTTGGGCAAATATGGTAGGAGTCTCCGATATTCGTACATAAGTTCAAAGCTTTCTTTTGCCTTTTCGGCACGAGAAAAGGTTGCATCTGATGCATCGAACGCGGATGGACTGCCTGGCTCTAATACCGGATTTGACATGAAGGAGGACTTTCGTTCACCCACGTTGTTCTGTGATATACCCGGCGAATGGCGCCCAAAAGTTGATGAAGATCGATCAGACCGCGTAGAAATATTTCGGCCGCCATGGCGCTGGTGCAACAGATGCTGCCGCAAGCTTCCGCCAGTAGTAACGTCTGGTAAAGCAAGGGTTGGTTGCCCATAAGAAGTCAACCGTCGATTCGAAGAAGCAGGCGCAGCCACCAAAAATCCACCGCTGTTGAAGTTTCGTCGCCGACTCTCACCCAAACTCAAAGCTAGGTTCACAATCTGTGTAGGGTCTGTATCATATCTTGAGGCAGGTCTCGCCTTGAATTGATCGTCGTCGCGGCTTTGCACAGCATTTGCAGCGTAATTATTTGCGTTTGTGGTCTGTATTCTGATATGTGGGTCCGGCTGGTCTGGCGAGTTGATCTCATCGGGTTGATTTGGCCTTAGCTCGCTAGCAAGCGGCGAGCTCCCTGAGGATTGCGTGTGACGGTCCTGTCTTCTGGAGCTGCCTCTAGCTTTTGGAGATGTTGCATTACCGTTGGTAGTCTTTCTTTTACCCTTTGCGATACTGCTCAGCTTGTCTTGAGATGTGGATGCAGTGTGATCTCTGCCATCAGTATGACCATCTTGTAACAAAGGTTCCCCTGAGGATCGCGGCCGACGTCTTTTTACGAAAAGCTCCCCAATATTATTGCTCAGCGCCGATTTCAGACCCCCTTTTGCGTCGCCGTTCATCTCTTTGCCTTGAGTGGCAGGTTTCGTCGAAGTTTTATGAGGGACCTCAACATTATCGAATTGACGATTCGATGGGTAAGGTGCGACCGCCTTGTCTGAAGGCAATGTCTGTCCGCTCGGTCGTACGGACATAAGCTTTCGTTGATCGTCTGTCGATCAAACGTAGATTCAGAGGAGATGTCATGACTATTTGTTCAACACTGCTTCTACAATAGAGTAGAATTGATATGCTCTTTCCGAGGTATTGGACAGAAAGAGGCTTGGCGTTTGAAGTCGACTTCCGGCACGATTCCGCCAGCCAAGAATTGTTGCTGCCCCTCGCAACGCGGGGGCAGCTCCTCCGCATTCCCTCCGCAATCCTCTGCTCACCGTCCCCTAACTCCCTTTCCACGACTATCTATAACCAAGCAACTATGGCAGAAAATGATGAGCCTAGATCTACTGTCGATGAGTCATCTATATCTCCAATTGAGCGCCGCAACTCCCTCGAGAAACACCTGCAAACACGCCCCGACCCCAAAGACCTGAAAGACAGGAACATCTTACCTCAAAGCAATGCTGCTCCGTCAGTATCTCTCTTCAAGTCTACAACTTGATCTTCGTGACAAATGCTGACGTACTGCCTAGAGCCCTTCAACAAGCGCAACTAGAGCTTGAGCGCAACCAAGCAACGGACGCACTGCGGAAGAAGCTTGAGAAACGCCCAGACAAGCAAGAACTCGTCGATCATAATATCTTGCCGGACTCTACCGCGGCTCCTGCAATCCAGGGACAGCAGAAAGAATTGGAGAAGCATATGCGCGCGGACAGCCTGGAGCAGAAGATTCAGCAGAGGCCGAAGCCGGACGAGTTGGTGAAGGAGGGTATCTTGAATAAGGATGAGAATCCTCTAAAGGAGTAGGGTAGATTCATGAGGTATGAATTGAAACAGGACGATCGAAAGTGGCTGCAGAAATGACGAGAGACGGAGAAACAAGAGCTGGATTTTGTGAGCTTGTGCGAATGCCAGCAGGGCATCATTTGACTGTGATAAGTAGCTGGCAGCAGGTCATGATATCTGATTCATCGTCTCATCTTACACATAACATCCTTCATCTTCCTAGTAGCTCTCGATTTCTTTCCTCCCCCTTCTCCTTCCAGCTCTGGCACCCATCCCTTAGGCCTCTCCCTTCCCCGAATAATCATGCCATACATCGCCTGCTCAACTTTCTGCACACATGTCCGCATAACGTCCATCTTGCCTTTCCCACTCTTCGGATCCAAAACAAAAGTTTCGAATGCCGCCCTCAAACCCCTCAAGTCCCCCACCACATCCCTCCCAACTCCTTCTCCGGCTGGCAAAGCCCCACTCGTCGCCATAGTCGTAATTGCGAAACGCATGATTTCACCTACCATGTCAAACAAGCCAAGGAGGTAGTCATCTTCCGTCAACAGCACGCCGGCTGGGATGAGATCCTGGGCAGAGGAAAAGGAGAGGAGGGTCTGAGTGGACAGATAGTGGTAGAAAGCGGTGGCCTCAATATATTCTTGGATTCCGCCGGTGATTTGGTGATGGTAGCGCCAAGCGTTAGGACCTGTCAAGTCGGGCGCGACGGCGGTGAAGAGGGCGCTGATTTGGTCGCGATGAGGCGTGATAGCCTTTTCTATCGATAGAGCAATGGGAGCAGCAAGAGTAGTGACACTGCAGGATTGTCAGCGGGCATGTTTCTCTACCTTTGGGAAGTGAGTGAATGTTCAATGAGACAATAGAAGTACCGTTGAAGTGAGAAAATCCTATGATGGTATGAGCTCTGGCATCACACTAACACCACATTTCGGCTTGATGCAGCTCACATCTTCTTGCTCAAGGCGGTAATATCGCGCGACGCCTTGACGACCCGCTCTCTACGATCATGATGCTCATCTAACTCACCACGAAAGCCTTCAAACAAGGACAGGAAAGGGCTTTCAGATGTCATAGGCATTACGGTCGAGGCATCCGATGGTTCGGTAATGTTGAGGCTATGTTTTACGCCTGCCATGTTGAAGTTACCTAACCAGGTGGCAGTCCAGGGCAGCTTGAGCCAGTAGTGGAAGATGGCCCCTGGGAATTGTAACTGTGTGGCTTGCGGGGCTTGAAGCTGAGGTGGTGGTGGGAACCGTGTGATAGATCTAGACTCTTCAAGATCGCTACTACTGAGCTCCCCGACCAATCAGTAACGTTGCCAAGGGCGGAATTGGCCCCCAATATTTGGGACTTGCTCCTTTGGGCGACTGCCTTGCATTCGTTGTCTTAAAAGAGTTCTCGGCTTCATTTCTTAGTACGTTAGTTGGTCAGCCTTTCACGGTACCCTCACTACTGTCCGGCCTCGTTGCAAGCCCATTATTATTAGTCGGGGCGAAGCAGGCTGGCACTGAATGGACGGGGATGTCGAGATCGTCGTATTTATGCAGTCCGGTGGCTATTATTGAACAGGGAAGATAAATGCTGTCCACCCTCCTCTCCTACTCCTCGCGTCCTTCGCATATCTATCTGTGTCCTGTCCAACGCCCTTCCCTCGTCTCACCAAACATCATTGAGGCCTGAAGTGTATCATCCCATCTCCATTGCAAGCTTCTCGTTGTTTATCAACTTGCGTTGCAAGCATCTCTTTTGCACCTTTCCTGTTAAAATGGCGCTTTTCATAACAGACCGAAGCATTTCGCGGACGTACATTTGGGTATGGATCATTCGCTGCATAGCGCTTGTCATCACACTCGCCGTCATCGGTGTGACCGCCGACCTCGCTGGCACACTCATGGGTCTCGAATGCAAATCCACTCCTAAGTTTAGCTTCAATATTGCAGCCGTATGTGCCCTTCTCTCCTATTTAGCCTGGCAATGACAAGACTGACAATCTCTAGGGCGCGCTCGCCCTCATTTTGAGCATCTATTCCATCCTCTCCACCGGCCCGGCGAAATTCCTTCGATTCATCCCCTATTCAGTGATCCTCCAACTGGTCTTCGACCTCTTTATCTTCGTTCTCTTCATCGCCGCCGCCGCCACCTCCCCAGTGACGCCCCTGGACCTCTGCAAAGCATGCGCCGCTCTAACCCCCGATTACGTCTACCTCGACACAGCCTCCGCTGCGTGCGCATACGGCTCCGACTACGACTACACCTACACCGACGACGGCTCCTCCTACAACGGAAAACGCAGCCTCTTCAAGCGCAAGGGCGGCAGTGGCAGATCCAAGAGCAAGTACTCGAGCTCTGACAACACGAGCGGCGGTCTCATCCCCGCCCGCATTGCCCTGAATGCGCTCATGGTAATCTTGATGTTCGTCTGCCTCCTCGCCACTATCCTCTGGTTCTTGAAATCCCGCAAGCAGACCGCAACCACTTACCCCCAGCCTCGGCCCCGGCCCCGGCTACTCAGCCAGCAGCCCAACCCTTCCAGCCCGAGAAGCACGAAGAAGCTGGCCTCGCTCAACCGCCACCTGCACCTGCCTACCAATACAACCAGGGATACCCACAACAGCAGCAGCAGCAGCCACCGCCGCCCCCACAGCAAGATTACAGTTACCAGCCGTACTCAATGACCGGGCCGCCACAGAACAATGCGATCGTGGGCGGTGCGCAATACGGCCCGCCGAGGAGTGTGAGCCCCGGGATGCCGAGCCCGATGTATTCGGAGAATCCTAGCCAGGTGGGTGCGCAGCAGGGGCACCAGCATCAGGGGCAGGGTGAAAAAGGAACGCCAAGTCCCAGCGATCCGAGGATAGAGGTCGCGGAGTTGCACTCCCCGGACCTGGGAGAGCAAAAGAGGAAGACGGCTATTGAGAAGGCTTAATAGTCTCATCGTCTTTTTGAAAGATTGTTTGAAGCATTTCATAAGCCGTGGTTCAACTCTGTTGAATATGTTAAGTGGATGCGACTTGCTGGGAAGGAAAGCATACTGCGCGGCGCTTTCACCTGCACGGATAGGATAGGATAAGCCGAGCATGGACTGAGATGAATGGATGTATAAACGCACGCTAAACTGAGACAACTCTCACTTACACATTCTAATGTCAATCTGTATGCATCGCGAGTTCTGTGTATGGTGTTTTACATATGTTCCCCCGCCATTACACCACAAAGGCTTATCCAACACCGCTGCCTCCGTTTCCCATGCCTTTGTCCACGACATGTACTGTACCGTACCCTCAACATCTACGCTGCAGGCTTGCGCCCAATGTCTACTCCTTCCCACCCCCACACCACCAACGGACCTCTATGACGTATTAGGAAAGGGGAATGAACCACCAACAATGCATCGCTTGACCAAGCCACCACCTCCATCTCCCTTTCTCACCCCCCTGCCAGGTCTCTGCTCAACTCCATCACTTGAAACCCCCACTCAATCCCGACCCCTTCCTATACCTTGCATCCGACTCGGGTTTGCGGTGGAACTTGTCGACCTTGGCTGCCTTCTCGTGCTTGATGACCGGCTCGCCGTATTTCGAGTATTGGCGGTCTTCGTGGTGGGAGTGGGAATGGTGGCCTGAGGAGCTGTGGCGGTGGCTGTCGTCATCGTAGCGATGGGAGTGGGAGTGGGAGTGGTGGCCTGAGGAGCGGTGGTCGGAGGAGCGGTGGTGGGAGCGGTCGTCGTGGCGGTCGTCGCGGGAGTCGTGATATTGGGTGTGGGAGCGGTGGCCTGAGTGGTGGTGTGGGGAGAGGTGTTTGTCTAGGGGGAGGTTAGATGGGAGGGATTGGCTGGTGCGTGATGGATGGAAAAGCAGCGGTGGAGAGGTGGAGAGGAGGAAGGTAGAGGATATTTTGACGTTGACGATCAATGCTAGAGACACCGTTGGGAGCAGGGATGAGCATACCTTTCGGCTCGGCGGAGAGATGGATCCTGCCCGAGGATTCATATTTGGTCGACGGCATAATGGCACAATGGTCTTCAATTAGGGATAGAGAGGTGATCAATCGCCAATGATAGACAATCTTCGTGAATGTTCTTGTAGGAAATGCCTGCTTTGGGGAATCTGGACACAATTGAACGTCGATGCAGGAACAATTGCAGAATGGAGAGAAGTGAAGCACATGTTACAGGCAAAGATGATATAAGTACTCCTTCTTGTAGACACATTGGGAGTAGCACCCAGGCTTCAAGACTCATTCTCACACCGAAACAACTCCGGCTGCTTGCTTCCTGCCTGAACGCTAGTCACCGAGGACCCACTGTGAATCTTTGCAAAACAATGCTGTGTCGAATTGAGAGTTCAATCGCCCTTTGTCACAATTTTGTCACAGTGTACTAAGTTTGACGAACCAATAAGCTCCAGGCATCCATCGACGTTCAAGGCGAAAACAAATCATCAAGGGGTACGCGGACGGATATCGGACGGGGCTCTACCCAATAAAGCGCAAGATGCTCTCTTCTCCCTCGGTGAAGATTACTGCGGTGATAGAACCGTTGCTGCGGTGGGACGAACAGCCCGTGGGTACCCAAACAAATGCGTTCGAACTCCTGTGACAAAGGTTAATCTGCAAACTCGGGGCAGACTGCAGCGGGCGATGCAAGGGCATGTGCTCTCCCATGGAAGGCAGCCGATTTGCTATATTGCCGCAAGAAGCCAAGGGTATGAGTCTTTCTTCTGTTGATTTGTGTCAAGCGCTGCGTCTGCCTGGGGGTTTGAAGTTTATACAAAAAGCGGAAACTTTCCGACTGCTCGGTGTGGCCCGCCACAGGTGTGGCTGACAGTCGATTTGCCAGGCGTTAGCCACACAGGAACAAGGTAGCCTCAAGGTAGCCTTCTTGGGTTGCAAACATGCTGGAGACGTAGGATCAGGAGACCGGCAATGTCAAGCCTTGCTGCGCTTCATCCAAAGTCTCATTTCCTTGAATACGATTCTTTGTCGTCGTGAGCCGTGAGCTTGGGCCAGCTTTGCAACACGTAAGCAGTTACAGGCAGATGAATTACTCACTGTCAAATGATGAGTCTTAGAGAAGCCCCATCAGACTGCCTTGCCAAGCACAAAACCTGACATTGGTCGATATCTTGAACATACGCAAATGCTGAGGATGAAAGACTCATTGAGCCGTCCAATGATTTGCCGGATCTTGCAGGATGTCCTGAGGGAATATGCTGTGCTGGTGTGCGAATTTGCCTTCGCACGTAGTTCCAGGGAGTCGTGCGTAGGCAAAAGAGGAGCATGAAGCAATTCAGACGATTCGTTTGATGCTACAAACCGCATGCTGGCTGCACCGATAGGTCCACATGCGTCTTATTGGTTGGATGAGTACTTGTGGTCCATCCAGGCGCGTATGCCATAGAGATTGAGCCATGGTAGTATGCCGTTTCACAGAAACTTTGCTTGCTTGACTCTTTGTCCGACTGGCCAACTGCATTGCAGACGTTCAGAGTTAACCAAACGTCTCTCATAGTTCTTGTGCATAGTTGTGACCCCTGCGAGGCTTTGTTCAATGTTCAGGGCCGAGGTATCCGCTTGCTGCTAGTCAAGCTGAGCTTCGGCTGATTTGAGACCAAAGAGAAGACTTCGTCCAATCTTCACATGTGTATGGCAACAAGGGCAGCCGGACGTCTTGCCGCTTGGTTCGGGCAGACTCGCCCTGTAAATTGCCTGTACAGCCCCGCAAGAGCGGATCTTTTGCAAGGCTAATTCAACCTAAGCGCCTTGCCTCGTTACTTTAGAGCATCGTGCTCAGCTTCTTGGGTGAAGCATTCCGGCTGTGCACCTGATTGGGCTTGTTTAGGCTTCCATTTGACGCAAACAGCCTCACTTCTCCCTCTTGTGCACCGCTCCAAGCCTCTCAGGGGGTGAGTGATAATAAAGGTTCCCAACCCTCTCGTTGATGCTTGTAAAGCCTTCCTATCGTTTGTCACTCTCCCCGGCAAAAGGCGGTGCTCTTGTGCTCTGCCTCTCGGTCATTGGTGCTGGGGCTGTGAAGTTTGCAGGTCCGCAGGGAATTAACCAAGGAGTCCTCTGAGCCGTGTGTAAATAGCCGTTCAGAGAGTCCGTAGAACATGAGAGGGTTCGTGCATTTTTCCGTGCTTCTTGTTCGGCGGGCTGCTGAATGACGGGTTGTATTCAGGGAGACTGCGTTTGTTACATGTTCATTCGCCTCAGCCTGATCTCATTTAGGTTTTGTCTTCAATATCTTTCATTCTCTTGTTTTCAGTAGAAACTGATTGAGCGTCTGATGTTGACATGACCCCGCCTTTGAGTTGGGGTAATTCCCGTTGCATCGACCGATCGCGTTCTGTTCCTGCATATGCAATCCAACCTCAGTCTAGGGCGAAAGGAGATAAGATCTTCACTCTTGCCAATCAATGTATATGTCGAAAGGATAGGCATACTTCCCTAGACACTGCTGTTCTGTTTTCTTCAGTCAGCAATGAGACGAATCGACAAGACAAGAGTGTTGTCAGCGCAGTAAGTGCTCGCAGGTTTGCACTTTGTGCGTTGGGCTCATATGAGAGTGAACTGAATCGTGCACCAACATTCAAAATTGCCCGGTACCTGTAAAGGCGCCACGCACAAGGTAGGTGTCATAGAAAATTATCAATTCATAGCCTCAAAATGTTGAGGGGCGAAACAGATTCGTTCATGTGCAAACCCCCGCGAATGCCTCATTAAATTGATCAACAACTTAGGAGTATATTTGCATCAGCTAATAAGAGGACTCAAAACCTATCTGAGCACAGAAGACCAAACCCTTAGGCGTCCGCCGTTGGTCTTTCTCCAGAGGTTGGGAAAGAAGACTTGAATTGCCCTCTGCCAATAAATGCAACCAAAAAAGCTGTCGGATCTCGGGTTAACATGAATACTTGCACATTGCGAATGACGGAAAACCTTCCAGCGGAGGAATTGAAATGATCAACAGTTGCGGAAAACCAGATACTGGTCCTCAAGCAATGTATCACGGCACCCAGCCAATGCCCCCAACCCATTTACTCCGAGCTATCCGGCATTGCAAGCAATCCCTCCCTAATCCCGTCTCTATCACCGCGCACGTATCGCAGACTCGCCGCCTGCAATTCCTGCATGTGTAATCTCCCACTGGATCCACTTCATCAGCTCCCCCCATACTCGTGTCTTGATCAAGGAGAAGAGGGGCTTCACAATCTTCACAGCGGCTGAAGGATGGGGGTGGTGCTGCTATTGGGTGGCTTGAGGTCGAAGGTGGAGGCGTTGTGATAGTCCAAAAGTTGTGCAGGGAGCCTTGACGGGGCGCGCTTGAGGAGCCAGACTGGTTTGGCTGGTGGGGAGATGTTGTGGGTCGTTGTAAAGGCGGGGAGCGAGCGGCTGAGAAGAGTCTTTGATATGTGTTGGCTGTTCGTAGACATGTTAGTCAATCGGCTCCCCAGCATGACATTGCGCAATGGGAGGATAGCGTACCGTGTATGGTATCCTCATCAGGCCGGTTGTCACGATGCCTCTTTCGAGTTCTAGAGTCGAGGTGTGGAGAGTCTGTATATCTTTCGGATGTCGCATTGGGCCATTGCGGTGCATGATCCGTCATGTTCACCTCGGGGCAAGGGCTTGCAGACGCATCGCGTGACCATTGAGTCGCCATACTTGATATGGAAGAGGGGAGCCCGTAGAGTCTGATCGTTTGCGTTTTGTCGCCATCTTCAATTGACTCTCCTAGAGTACGGAGGGTGTGCTGTTTGATGTAAAAGTGTTGAAGGATCGATAGAAAGGAAAGAGGCTGGACGGTTTCATGTCATCATTGACGCGCTCAAAAATCACGCTTGCCCGAAGAGGTTAAATTGCAACCTCTCACTATATCGATGATCCTCGAGCCACTCCTTCTCGGTGCTGTTCGAGATATGACGACTAGGACAGCGAGTCATGCTGGTAGCTGGTACACTGGTGATGGTCAGGTGCTTTCGGAAGAGCTTGAAGGCTGGCTGAACGATGTCAACTCCCAGATTGAGGACGTTGGGAAGATACCACTCGCGGGTGCAAGGGTGATCATTGCGCCGTACGTGAGCCAGCAGCGTATATATGGTTTTCATTAGGAGCCTATCGCTGATCGGACAGACCGTAGTCATGCTGGCTATGCATACTCAGGTCCTACCGCAGCGTGGGCGTATCAAGCACTCGACGTTTCCCAAGCGTAAGTAGCATTAGGCTGGGTCTATTTTATTTCATCGTCCTGAGGTAAAGATAGCAAACGCGTCTTCCTCCTCGGACCATCTCATCATAAATATTTGACTGGTTGCGCACTTTCGAAGCACGCCACATATGCCTCCCCCGTCGGAAATCTACCCCTGGATAAGGATACTATTACAGCTCTGAAATCGAAAGGTCGGCTTGACGATATGTCCACGGGCACTGATGAGGCGGAACACAGTCTCGAAATGCACATTCCCTACATCTACCATATGCTTTCCAAAAAGTTTGATCCTGCTCACTTACCTCCCCTTGTTCCTATCTTGGTTGGCAATACGAACCCGAACACCGAGAAAGCTTTTGGGTCTTTGCTCGCACCGTATCTTGCCGATCCAGCCAATATCTTTGTCATAAGCAGTGACTTCTGTCATTGGGGATCACGTTTCGGATATACCTATTATGTACCTCGTTCATCTACGCAGGTAAGAGACGGCCATGAATTGAGCAAGCGAGATTCACCATCGGACCCTCCAATCAATGAAAGTATCGGACGCATCGACAAGGCTGCTATGGAGGCCATTGAATCTGGCAGTCACGACGCTTTTCTTGCAAATTTGCACGACACAGGCAACACCGTGTGCGGGCGGCATCCCATAGGCATAGTGATGGCAGCAATTGACTCTCTCAGGCAGGAAGCAAAGTTGACTGAGGACCAGGGCTTTTTCCAATTCGTAAGATATGAGCGTAGCAGTGAGGTCAAAGAAGCTCGAGATAGTAGCGTGAGCTATGGGTCGGCTTTTGCTGTCATGTAATGTAGATGATTGAAAGCATGAATCCTGAAAATAGAAACCCTACAAGCCCCCTTTTCGCAGGCTAGAATTTACTTCCCGGGCAAACTTCGGCTAGTGTTCAGGGCATCTCCCGGGCGCGATTAGGGGCATTTTTGACCCAGGATACTCTATATCAGCTTTCTACATAGATCGCTCCCATCGTAGAGGGGGCCTGTGACGAGGTAGGCTCTTTAACACAGATGGATTCTTCATAGGACGCAAAGCTTACAGCTCGATGGCTCTTGCTCCGATTTTCAAGAAAGCGTATTGGTCATTTGTTATTCTTGGTGCATTGTATTTCTGCTGCCTATTCCTTCTACTTAACAGTTGGATTCAGAGACAGTACGTTCAACATGCTGTTCCATAATACCAACGTGGGTTCATTGTCAACAGAGCGTTATATGTTCATAATCTCAATACCAAATGGTGGCATGATCTAAACGAGCCGGTACAATTTGGGTTCCTTAGTAAGTTGTCTATGCTAGGAAATATTTCTCACCGGTTGTCGTTACTGAGCTTCGGTGGGAAAAGAAAATCAAGTTTGGCCATTCTACTTCAACACAACGGACGGAGAACGGCTCCATGCATGGCATGTGCTTCCACTTGGGCTCTACGATGAGCACGAAGAAGCGCTTTTGCGGGAGCCGACTGGGATGATTGAGCCTTATGAGTCCACCCTGGCTTTCAGTCTTCTAGCTCAAGATCCAAAGAGCAGACTTGTTATTAGTTGTGAGTAGATAAATCTCATGCTTAGCATCTTCATACGAACCTTCCCTTGTCCGGCACAAGATTGCGTTGCACTTTTTCCTTATCGTCAAGAACAACCAAATTATCAAGTTTGGCGTCCATATATTTCTTCGTGCTCTGATGCTCTACCTCCCTCAGACCATTACCAGACCTGCTAACACCCTCCCCTCCACCCAGTCCACGGCAACGCCGGCCACCTCGCTCAATCACACCGCCCCGCCGCCCTCAGAGCCCTCTCCTCCGGCTCCCCTCACACCACCCACGTTATAGCCCTCGACTACCGCGGCTTCGGGCACTCGACAGGCTTCCCCACCGAATCCGGCCTCATAACCGACGGGGTCTCTCTACTCACCTATATTCTCAATCTCACCTCCACCCACCGCTCCCTCTCTCTCCATCTAAACCACTAGACCCCTCACGGATCATCCTCCACGGTCAATCCCTCGGCACCGCCGTCGCCGCATCAGTCGCGCACTATTTCTCATTCCCCAAATCTACAACTAAGGCACTCGGCCGCCCCCTCCACTTCCGCGCTCTAATCCTCGTAGCGCCATTCACATCCGTCCCAGCCCTACTCACCAACTACGCCATCGGCGGCATCCTTCCAATCCTAGGTCCTTTGCGCAGCTATCCGAATCTCCAGCGCTTCTTCGCGAGCAAGGCCGTGGATACGTGGCAAACCAGCCAGCGCTTAGCGGCGCTCATGAAGGGAGAGACGCCAAGAGCGGTAAATTGGGCGGTGAAGGGGTGGGGTAAAATGGTGGGTCAGGATTTGGGCAAGGGGGTGGGTAAGGGAAGAGACAAGGGGACGAAAATCCATCTCATCCACGCCCGCAACGACTTTGAGATCCCCTTCACTCACAGCCAAGACCTCTTCTACGCGGCTGCGAATGCGACGGTGGAGGGAAAAGGGATGTCTAGACAGCAGATCGACGCGGTAAAATTGCGGGAAGGGGATGGTGTTGAGTTGTGGAGGGCTGGTGGAAGGGAAGAGGGGGTGAGGGAGGTGAGGTTGGAGATTGTGCCTACTGGAGGTGAGTTGGTTTATTTTCAACCCTTTCGTGACGGGGAAAGGGACGCTGATTTTGGCGGGTTTGAAGGGCATAATAAAGTCACTATGTTTCCTGTGGTTGGGAGGGCGGTTATGAGGGCTTTCGAAGAGGGGTGAGCTGGGCTAGAGGAGAATGCTGGGGATTTTGGTTAAGGATGAAACGTCTTCAGGTACTAATGTATACAGGAAAATTAATCCCTTTGCATTAAGTTTGTCAACATGCTTCGCTTTCTGTTCGTGCATGTCATCAATCCAGTTTAAGTAGTATGTCTTTTAGCTAAACTAAATAGCTCAAAAAGCTTGCCTGAATGTATGCACTAAGCAGTCAACGGCATCATGGAACTCGGCGGCTCATAGAACGGCCTGACCAGACTCCTGTCTACCTCCACTGCCTTTCTCTTTGCGGTTGCAGCTACCTTCCCCCCTTCCTCTCCTTCTCCACCCGCATCCTTGCCCCTGGGCAACCTCAACGGTAGATATACTACCTCTGCGGGCTGCATTCGGTCAAAAATCCCTTCCATATACTTCCTCACTTCCTCCGGACTTGCCACAACCTTCCTCAGATTCTCGAGCATTCTTGCGTTGGTAGCCGATAACCGCATAGTCACCGGTTGGTAGTAGTTCTGGCTGCCCTTGTAGTGTTTGCTACTAGCTCCCTTTGTAGCAGTGGAAGTTGCGGTGGTTGTGCTGCCACGCCGGATAATGAGGAAGGAGACAAGGACTTGTAGGTCGCCAGGGAGATATTCAAGGATCGACTGACGAGGGAATGTAAAGCGGTCGCCTATGCCATTGAAATCGAAGACAATAGATTGCATGTCAGCTTTAGGCCGCGGAGGCGGTGGGTGAGTACGCATCGGTGGGAACTGAGGCAAAGGCAATGGATTTGGCAAATGTTGGGTAGTTGGTTCGGTCTTGATCGGCATTTGAGGAGGTTGTGGGGCACTCAGCGTTTGTTGCTGCTGTGATGTTGCCACAGAGACGCCATTTGATGGTGACATGTTATCAGTCGACGGCGGTGGAGAGGCATTTGCACCAGGTGGGGGTTTAGGAAGATTGTTTGCCTGTGAAAGAGGATTGGGTGTTTGTGGAGACTTCAGCAAGGCATTAAGCTCGTCAATATGGCTTTGGAATTCCGCAAGCTGTTCTGGCGAGGCGTTGCCGGCTGCAACAATCTTCATGAGGCTCTTTAGACGTGGATCAGACGCGGCCCGTGTGGCTAGCATTTGGATGACTGGGTCAGCAGATGGGGCTTCTCGAGTCTTGCTTTCATGGCTTCCTTTGCTCGACGTAGATGGCCTTCGAGACGTAGGAGTAGGGGTAGAGTTGGGTATAGGGAATTGATTCAGTGGTGGGGGACTTCGCGCATCCAGGTTGGCAAACCCCTCCTTGAATGGTGGCAGCGACTGTTGTGCCTGGGGATGCGGCGATAGACGTTGATCTGAGGTACTCGTGCCCGTAAAAGGAGGCCCGTATGGTGTAACATAATTGCCATTATGTGAATAGGGATTGTATTGTGAATATGTCTGCGGCGGAGGAGGGGCTACAGGAAGTTGATAGGGAACAGTATTCTCCTTCACTCCGTAGAGTGTGATTTCAAATGCATGTGGTTCAATAACCAGAGAACAGGTGCCTAGCCTTGACATGGTCGACTTCTCGGGTTGAGGAGTGCTTTCCATGCTCTTCTTCTTCGACGGCTTGGTCCAATAACGATCGAAAATGCCGTCGTTCATCCATTTCTGGCGCGAGTGCTCGATGGCCGCTGCTAGAACCCCACTCCCTGATATTGACTGGAAGTCTTTGTCAGGTAAATTCTCATCTTGTGGCTCCGACAGAGTTGGCATGGCTTGTCCCTCTCTTAACTTCATAGGAAGACCGTCTTCGACAGGTTCAACCGGCTTGGGGGTGTGCTTTACGGGTTTCTCAAGAGGTGGCGGCGGAGATGGTGTTAGAGCGCGCTTCTTTGGCGGAGGTTCACCGCGAAAGCGGGTTGACATTCGACGTGGCTCTGCCATTCTCACGACAGGTGTTGATCTCACGTCGAGGTGTCGTAGCAAAGAAGGAAACTACGTTTTTAGGGACTACCTTACCCTTAGGGCCTTGAGGTACTTCTAACGCCGGCTACGCTAGCGACTAGGGTTGCTCAGGGGTAATGGCTACTAAGCCGTGAACTCCTTTGGCGGTAGGTGCAGCCCACAACAACAGGTAGTATTGTAAAGACTTGACTTTCAAAGTCTTCTCTCCTACAACCCTTGTGTAAAAATTCTATAGTCTTATCCTCTGTTCTCCTTATTGTGACTATCGGAATTCCTATTGAATTGATCCTTTGTAAACGTATTCTGGTACCGCTATTCCTATTGCAAGAAGATGGCTTTAAATGGCAGTTCTCACGAAGGATCACGTCTTTTACCACCCGCTCCTTCTGAAGGGGCTTCCAGGAAATCTTCAACGAGTACCCTCAGAACAAGCCCGGGGCCTTCGTACCAGCAAAGTCAGGCCCCACCACGTGCAACTTCTGCCACTGAGGAGTATCGCCAGAATGTGGCCTTGTATGAGAATCCTCGTAGTATTGCTTATGCAGCCAATGGACCCGATATTTCTAAAGCGCGTACCCTTCACATTCGCGGTCGGCGCAACGGCAAGGTATATGCATCCGACAACAAGACGGTCCTGTACACATACAGGAGACGGCACTCGACGCGCCCGCAAATCACAGTGTACAATGGTGACCGCTTGGTTGACGACACAGTCATCGGAACCGTTGAGCTCCCTCCTACCTGGGAGCTCCAGAGCGTATTTGTCACCGTCAATGGGAAGAACGTCGACCTCACTCGCCAAAGCATGGACGTATGGCACCGCATGACCTCTTGTGCCCAGCCTTTGCTTGGCCCGTTGAACTGGGGTACAAGACAAAGGCACCTTCGGCGACACTTATACAGCCGATCAGAAAGGGCCATCGTCCTGCGGCGGCCCAATGGACTGGACGTGTTGGCGAGATGTGAGGGAGGACGTAGGCACACGAAGTTGCACGTGCTCCCAATGTTGCCACTTGACGAGTCGCCGGGGTTGTTAGACGAGGTTGTTGTGACTGCAATAGCTAAGATATATTATAACATTCGTTTGCGTAGAATACAGAACGCCAGGGCTCAGCAAAATACGTCAATGATGATCACGGCATCATGAGAGAGGTTCAAGCAAAAGATGCTGTAGTCAGTATCAAAAGTTTGAACCGACTTCTTGATCCAACCAGGTCAAGTAAGGAATTGAAAATATAGACAGCTTTCACTGATCCTCGCAGAAGCAAAACGACCATCACAAGCCGTTTCTTGGTCAATCACCTGTGCATCTCTTCGATGTCTCAGCGCGACGTGGCGTTCCCACAGAGGAAGATGTAGTGGAAGATCAGCCTGAGTCAAGTCATCAAGGCCTCCAATGAAACGACAGGGCCGTCGAAACATCTATCTAGTACTACTTTTGACACGAGGAAGGCTCGAGGAGCTTCCTTCACAATTGGCACACATAGTCTGAGAAATAGCATTTGATAACGAAGTGAGCCTGTGGCATGTGGCCAAGCTCGATAAGCCCGAACGCTATCCAGAGACCGAACACAAAGCGCTAGCAAAGTTGAGGCGATAAAGAACGTTTGACAATGTGGCTCAAGTCCGAGTGATCGCAGTCTGGCCTTAGCCTGGTGAGTTGGTTCGAGGTTCGTAGCTAGACAGGCTGCGGCAATTGTTGTTACTGATGGATATTTAGTAGCAGATGACACTTGACTGAACGAAGAGGAGACTGGACGCCTGGTAGAGGTTATTAAGGGTATAGAAATTAGCCTTGAAAAGTTTTCTGAGTGCGTCGTGCGAGTGTACAAAACATCCTGCGTGATCTGCACGCGAAGTAGTGACAATAATAAAATCCTCTGATACTCTACATATCTTTGCTGTGGCCTCGGGTCTGATAGCTGCCTTGAGATGGCAGATTTGATCCTATCCAATGATAAGCACGACATGCATGGTTTTCAAAGAAAAGAAATCAACCACAGAATGGAGTTCCAACTAAACCTTGTCAATCTTGTAGGTGGTCGGAGCATCAGTTGACAAACGGCCAGAGTCTGATATGCTATCGCTTCTTCAGTCCATACTTTTTCAGCGCACGGTTCTTTGCTCTTTTTGTCCCAATCAAGCCAAGACGTAGAGATGAATATGGCAAAATTGACGACTCAGCAAATGCCGGAGCGCTAGATTTACTCACAACGCAGACACCGACCGTTATAATACTAAGCTGTGAGAATTGAAGCTTTTTATGGGTACGCCAGTCCTTCCGAAAACAAGAAAGCACCAGACCTTACCTGAAAGACTTCAACTGTGGGTACGTGGAGGTCATCAATATGCTTTATCACACCAATACCACATGTATCGAAAGTATCATTCTAACACGTTGCTTGCCGCTACTTTTATCGTAATTCTGCCGTCGCCTGAGCAAGAGCCTTGCAACTCGACAAGAACCCCCAGATGTGGGTAAATTGGTACTCGCAACTTTGCTGCGCAAACGCCGGACTGTCAGTCACGCAGCCATCGTTCAGCAATATTGTGTCGAAGCCTTTCATCTGCGCATTGAATGTCGTGGCCAGTACGCATTGATCGGTGTTCATTCCCGCAAAAAGCAATGTGCGGATTCCCTTGCTCTCGAGAAATTCCGTACAATCGGGCATGGCCTCGCACATGCCCGAGTTTCTATTCTTGTGATACAGCACGTCTGGTAAAGGCGAACTCTGGCTCTCATTGAAGGCTGCAGCCAGTGGATCGGTGAGAGCGGCATTCTATGTGCCTTTGATCAGGGCCCGTCCAGCATCAATTTTGGTCCCATTCTCCAATGTGACCTCCCCCAGCTCCTGCCCTGGTGCATTCACTATCCGTCTCTCACCGGCCTGCACAAATTCAGCCGCGCTCGCAGTGGTCCGCTCACGAAAATCGATCCCGCATCGGCCATTCTGGATATTACATGTCCAGCCGAAGACGCGAATCTGCTGGGGAGGCAGCGACTTGATATCCTCGTCCGTCAGGCCCCAATTCAACCACACGATTTGGATCCCGGCTTTTCGAGCAGCGGGAATACCGTACTTGAGAATTGCATCCTGTGCTTCGAACATTTCAGGAGATAGATCTTTTCTCAAGGCAGGACTCAGTGTAAAATTTTGGACATCGATGATAAGAAGTGCGGTCTTCGCGGGGTCTATAGTGACATTGCTGACCTGACATTCGAGATGGAGACTGGATGGCACAGGATTCGAATCAGGATTCGGAAAGCGCGACAGATCAAAACCCTCCTCAGGCGACCAAAGCCAAAAGTTGCCTGGGGAGCCCACCATCACCTTACCGCCCACTAACGATTCGTTAGGAGAGAGGGTCTGTGACTGAACTGACATAGGGACGGTATTACGATGAGACTGCTTGAGAGCAGTCTCTAAAGCTTTAGAGCAGCTGGGTTGAGACCACAATGAAGATAGTTCACGTACTTTTATAATGCGGCACGTGCCAGGCCAAATACATATGCTTCTCTGTTAAACAATGCAAAAGCGGGAAACTCTCGCTTCGGAGCGTGCAGAAGCCTGCTGCCCGACTTGGATGGAGATTGTATGAGCCTCGGAATAACAAATTCCGGGCTATAGAGAATCTATGCCACCACCATCAGAAATTACCACCCGAATTTGTTGTTCTTGTAGTAGGTACTTGAAATTGAATTTAAATGCTGGGGGTACCCGAAGCGCACCCCAAAGCTTTAACATAGCTTCCATGCCACGGAGATTGTGGCACTCTGATCGTCCTGCTGGCAAATAGTAGAACCGCTCCGAAGAGCCAAGCTTTTGATCCGTGCTGCTGGTGACGTGGGGCTGCAATACAAAGCAAAACGTCTTTTGCTCAAAAACTATGACGATATTGTGATTCCTTCATTGGATATCATGAATCAAATCCAATTACGTATCCTCTATTCTGTTCCACAATGCAGAGGCTTCGCTCAGCCCCTACGACAAACATTCGACGCTGCTACCTACCATCAACCCTCCCCCGCATCATATTAAGAACGTACGCCATGTCAAGCTCAACCATCCCCTCAGTAAAAATTGCCCCGAGATCACGTTTTTTCTAGCCCATTACTCACATCTGGTATAGCTGAAAGATCAATCCCTATATAAGCAGAATGTGGCCTACGTCAACGGCGAGTGGATTGGTGCAAAGTCGGGCAAAACATTTGAAGTCAATGGCACGCCTTCCCTCGCCATCCTTTTCTTCACCATCTGACTCAATTGCCCAGATCCCGCGACAGGAAAAATCATAGGCATCTCCCCAGAATTCAACAAAGCCGACACAGATAACGCCATCTCCGTCGCAGCAGCCGCCTTCCCTTCCTTCAGACAAACCACCGCCCGCCAAAGAGCCCGATGGCTTCACAAATGGTACGACTTGATGATGGAAAATCAAGAAGATCTTGCACGGATCATAACAGCTGAGAATGGTGAGCTGAGCGCTTTCCTCCGACCACACCCCGAGGTCCCGCTTTGACGAAGCTGACGCACAACCCGCCCTCTAGGCAAACCCCTCACCGACTCCAAAGGCGAAGTTGCCTACGCTGCCAGCTTCTTCGAATGGTTCTCTGAAGAGGCGCCCCGTGCATCCGGCGACACCATCCTCTCCTTCGTTCCCGGAAACCGCGTGTTCACGCTTAAAGAGCCCGTTGGTGTCTGCGGACTCATCACGCCCTGGAACTTCCCCGCCGCCATGGTGACAAGGAAGGTTGCGGCCGCTCTCGCTGCGGGTTGTACTGTCGTCGCCAAGTCACCTGGCGAGACACCATTTACTGCGCTTGCGCTTGCGGAGTTGGCGCAGAGGGCGGGAATACCGAAAGGAGTCGTCAATGTGGTGTCTGCGATGCAAAATACGGTCGAAGTTGGACAGGCGCTCACAGAGTCAGAGACGGTGAGGAAAGTCAGCTTTACTGGAAGCACTGGGGTGGGGAGGCTGTTGATGAAGCAATCGGCTGCGACATTAAAAAAGCTTTCATTTGAATTAGGGGGGAATGCGCCGTTCATTGTTTTCGATGATGCGGATCTCGAATCTGCTGTGAACGGGGCGATTGCGAGCAAGTTCCGGAGCTCGGGGCAGACTTGCGTCTGTGCCAATCGGCTGTTTGTGCAAAAAGGGATTTATGAGAAGTTCGCTGCTGCATTTGCGGAGAAGGTGAGAGGATTCCACATGGGGAATGGGTTTGAGGAAGGTGTGACGCATGGCCCGTTGATTCATGATCGTGCGGTCAACAAGGTCGATGCTCATGTAAGAGATGCGGAGAAGAAGGGCGGAAAGGTCCTGGTTGGTGGACAGAAGATGTCGAAGCTGGGCGACAACTTCTTTGAGCCGACTGTCATCACCGGGATGCGGATGAATATGCAACTCGCTTCCGAAGAGACCTTTGGGCCTGTGGCTGGCTTGTTCCCGTTCGAGACAGAAAAGGATGTCGTGGATATGGCGAATGCTGCAGAAGTTGGCTTGGCGGGATATTTCTACTCAAAGGATTTGCAGCGGGTCTATCGGGTTGCTGAGGCATTGGAAGTGGGGATGATAGGCGTGAATACTGGGCTGATCAGTGACCCAGCAGCTCCGTAAGTTCTCCATTTCCTCAGCGCGTGAAGTATGCTATACTGACCGCTTGATAGGTTCGGCGGAGTCAAACAAAGTGGTTTCGGCCGAGAAGGAAGCAAATATGGCATTTCTGAATACCAAATAACGAAGATGGTGACTCTGGGTGGTATGAGTCAGCCGCTTCAAGGATCTTAAAAAGTCTCTCGCAACACATACCAGAGTCACACTCCTGGCGTGTGTGCAGTTCAATCATGTCCGCCTGCCCAAAGACGAGCCTCCGGCCAAGCGAAGGATGATGCATGATGTTGCTTCAATCGCTCAATCCATCTGCTCCATCCGCTCCCTATCTCGACTCCCCTTCTCCCCCTCCCCCTCCCCTTCCCCAACCAAAATACCCACGCAACACTCTCCTAGCATACTCTCCCAACTAACCCAAGGATGTGCCTCCAAAAACAGCGCCGTCCCATCCAATCTCCCAGCACCCTTCATGATCTCATCCTTCCCGCCAGGATGAAAGTCCAGATATCTCGTCATATTGTACACCTTCCCACCAAAAACGCCCCAAGCATCTTTCCCTTTCCTTCCTGTGTAATACTTCAACATTGAAGGGGTCACGCGGATCATGCGATCGGCTGGAACGTCTGCCCCGCGCAGGTAAGAGGCGCTTGGAGGCGATTTTGTGAGGGCCGCCCAGTCGAGGGGCGAGTGGCCTGGAGAGAGAAGGACTTTCTTCGAGGGGCGAGAGAGGGGTGGGAGAGTGGATGTGGATGGTGCGAGTGTGTTGGATTTTGTTTGTGGAGACGAGCGGGTCGGTGGTGTGCGTAATGTTGAGGCTGCTGAAGGGGGTGGCCGAAGGGCGCTGGAAGGTTTTGGGATATTCGCGGTTGGGCGAGGTGGTGGTGGCATCAGAGAAGAGCCGGGTTTGGTTTTGCCGTTGAGGAGGAGGGGTGGTGGCATGAGATTTCTGTCATCTTGGGGTTTCTGTTTGGGGGTGGTGTCTGGTGAGTCTGGCGTCTCGCTCTGTACATGTTCGAGTTCGTGATTTTCTAAATGATTTGAGTCATTTTGCTCCCGGGTGGATACACCGGGAAACGTGAGTGTCTCCCTCTCCTTCAAGTCATCATCGTCGATGCTATCGACTTGAAGTCTGGGTGGAGGCAATTTAGGATACAGGTAGCGGTAGGCCAGAAAAAGGGCAGACGCTGTCAGAACCCCAGCTGCAAGCAGAACCATAGTAAACGCCTCTGGCGTGGTACACTACAAGATGTTTGCGTTTACCATGCAGGAATTATTGTAAGCCTTTTCCTGTGACTGCCGGGCATCAACAGTGAGAATCCCAAGCCTTGCGTCACGCAGCACGTGCTTTACCTTCGTCGTGTACATGGCTCCCTTCCAGCCATGATCTTACGGAATCTTAGTCGCAGCTCAAAGCTGTTGCGGTCTAAGAACATATCTCCAGCTTATACTTTGAGAACCGCTCGTCTACCAATTCGTCAAACCCTCATATTGCCCTACCGCACCTTTGCCAGCCAGCTCACAGCAGACGAGAAAATTGAAGAGATCCAGGAACTGTATGCAATTGCCCGCCTCGAATTGATGATTACGAACTGACTCGACGCTAGATACGCCACAGCCAAGGACGAATTCGAGATTGCCTCGGAAGAAACAGACAAGAAAACCGTCTATGCGGCGGACGACAGGGCAGCAGCGCATGAAGAGCTAGGCAAATTGAAGGCTGCATTCGAAGAAGCCGTTAAGTCAGAGCACGGTGAGGAGATCAAACGGAGGATCGGGCAGAGGATCAGGGAGCTAGATAGGGCTGTTGAGGCCATGGAAGAGAAGGCCAAAGAGGACTAAGGGATCTGGGTGGGACGGAAGATACTAGAAAGGGGATATACAATCATAGATCGAGACCTGAATGATTTCTACAAAGACTTGCCAGAGTACAGATATGGATCCGCTATGATCTCCGTCTCGTTTTCCCTCCATCTTTCACAGACGGCTTTTCATGGCCATGTTCTTTACAATACCTCCTCCATTCACTGTTGCTCTTCGAAACTCAATGCTTAATAGCATTTCCGACTTCAGGCCTTGTGGAAGGGCTCCCAATTCGCTGGTTAAGGCAAGCACAAAGATGATCAAGTACGAGGGAGCCGTTACTCGCTTTTCGCGAGCCCGAAATGTTGAAAGTGCTGTAGTTGTTGTATGAGAAGTCCAGTCGTTGGTGAGTATTTTAGGCTGAGCTAGATAATTGTCAATTGTGGCCTTTTATGGTAGATCTCCTGTGGGGAGAAAGTTCACTGACTCTGTCATATCTTAGACGTATGCCATGCCTTATCTTACGGCCAAGACGAGAGATCCTAAGCCCAATTTGCATGAGGATATGGCACCAATGAAGTGAGCTACTTTATCGGCCCAAAAGCTGTGCTTGATTTGTGGTTGAGTGACAGGTCTTCTCTCCACATCACTCATATCCTTCAGTGAAATATGAGTCTATGGAATAGATTTCGTTTACACAGTGCAGGACTCACAGCTCTGATCGCTCCCTGAAAGCTCTGTCGTCTTTTGCGCTTTCCTTCGATCTCCTAGAAGCGTCGACAAAGTCATTAAGATCTAGCCATTCGGCTGCAAATGCTGTAATCAGGACAGCCCAGTCTTTGCACGTTGGCAAGTCAAGATGCTCGCCGTCGTCCTCAATCTGATGCCACAGTTTCCACGGAAATGGATTGGGAATTATATGTAGAACCTCGACTCCTCGAGCCATGAAAGGTAGATGATCATCTTCAATCCCGCTTGGACCCCATTGCGCGCTTTCCGTTTTGTCGGAGTCGGGAAACCACCTGCCGACGGAAGGGCTGATTTCCTTTTTGCTGGAGTGCAAGCGATTTGCAAGTGCAGCCAAATTCTTGTAAGCCCAATGCGTAGTCTTGAAGTAGGATGGCACGGTTGGGTTTGCGGCACCTAAGAGATCCAGCAGCAGAAAGAGCGAAATTGATGAGAGCGCGTTATGATAAGTCGAAAGCGCAGGATGAAATGTAGCTTCCATCTCGGCAGCAAGCGACTTTGCTCCGTAGATAGAGTCTTCTGCAGACCAGTGTCCGAATGCCTCTTCGCCGTCCAAAAAGATGATCTGAACTCCCTGGTGCTCCTCCACCCCACCATCATAGCCTTCCATTTTCATGCCTACCTCATTCATCGATGACCATTTCTTCACCAGGGCGGTCTCGAGGCTCCTTGCAACATGCATGAGCATGGCACAGGGTGCAGCGCTGTCGATTGCCCCTATAAAGCCTTCGGGCTCCATCTTGCTATCGTAGTGCGCAACCAAGGTCAAGTAGCTGACCTCTCCAGGATTGGTCCAAGGGGGTTGTCTTGTGGCAACCATGTTCACGAATGGGAACACTCTGTCTCCCGTCACGGGGGTCTTCGAAGTCGAGTTCTGATAGGTAACCTTCCATGACGGCAAATCGTTCTTAAAGAAGTCTGCAAAATGCTTGAGAACTGCTGCAGATCCATCGCTACCAGGAACTCGAGGCTGAAGGATAGGAGCGAGAAGTTTTCCGCTCTTGATGTCAAAGTCGTTACCAGGGTCTGGGATGGCTTTTAAGCTGGAATCGGAGAGCTTTGTATATGCTAGACAGTATGAGCTTCGACACGGGAAAGTCACAAGAGATATTGGGCAGCTGCAAGCCTACCCTGTGTGAAATCATTGAGCAGCAAGCATAATGCAGCGACCAGAAAGAAAGGCAATGTCATGATAGGTTGACCAATTGTCTATGGACATTGCATATGTTATCGTGTCGCGCTCACGGTGCGGAACTGTCGCTGGGAGCTCATTGGGTTGTCACCCATCAGTTATCGATTAGTAGGATTCCTCCAGCTGCAGAAGACGAATGTCTTGAGTTAGTTTGACTTGTTCTCCTTGAGCGGCGCGTCAGCGCTTGTCGCGCAAGAGATTCTGACCAATCCAAAAGGGGAAGCAATGTTTATATCGTCAAGCTATTCTTCTATATCATCGTGGAATGTTTCGATTCCAGTATTTCCACATGATGCTATGTGCCCACTTGATTCGGCACAGTGCTCGGTCAACTCTTCAACGTGGGTGGTCGAAATTGTCTTTAAGATCTTCCTTTCCCAGTCAGAGATGCCTCGCGTCGGAATACAGGGCGACTCCATCAGGTGCGATACTTCATTACATCCTGATTCTCCAAGCATCTCATTGAAAACAGTCGTCCCTGAAAGTCTACGGATCTATCATGCAGGTACTGGGCGTATTGTTTTCGTTGGTTGCTTGAAACTCACCACCATCGTCATCTTCGCTACGAACGTTGTTTTTGTTAGCATAGGGGCGTACAGAACCCGACAAGATCTCAATTGGATGTCACTACCCAGTATGATCCTCCGAAAAGTCGAGGCGTAAGTTCTGATACCAGATACTAGATATGAGCACGAGAATCCTACTAGGAGCTGTCCCAATGTTTTACGCACTATGGGCAACAGCCCCTTTTGTAGCCTATGTGCATCTAAAGCTGCCACCAATTGCACGAAGATCCAGAGATCTCCTTTTAAAGTTTGCCGAGCAATTGCCTTCGGACACGAGATTAGCATTCACAACAATCAACACTTATGGCCGTCCCCGCGTAACACAGTATCCAATCTCTGAGCTTAAGCCTACCAAGTCTCGACTGAGCATACAGAACATCCAAAGAACGGGAAGCACCCTTCCACCAAAGACTAGATGGTGGCATGATCAGCAACCTACTAAATTCTTTGTGAAGCCGTTAAAGGAGAGGTCTCTCGAGTCAATCGTGAGCGAAAAAGTCTTCACCCGGATCAACAGCAATACAGTGTCGATGTAAAACCATCTTTCACCTAAGTGTCACTCACTCTCAAAGACACTTCAGAGTGATTCACGGCGGAGCTAGCGTTATCTCTTCGTTGACCTTCAGTGATCTTCGACTCCATTCCACCTTCAACTCATCACACCTCACCATCCTCCTCCTCCTCAGCATCTACTCATCCCCGCATTAGCTTCCCTCATTCCGAAGGTCTTCCCTACATTCCTGTGTCTTCCACCACAGCGTCCAAGCACCAGCAAAATGAGCCTGACAAAGATGACAACCCGTGAGCAAACGGTTCTTCTTGCTGCCGTTCAGTATTGCCTTGCAAATCCTGCAGGCCTGAAGGTAAGTTCGTGTCTCTTCTTATGTGCCCGCTGTATCTCAAGGATTTATTACACGCGTCTGTATTTGTTCCTGTGATTACGCTTTTCTACTTGTTCACCAGATAGCCCGTATGTGATATCGACCGCCACTCTAAGTCAAAGCTATGTTTTAGTCACTGTAAGCATTTTTGGCTCTGGTAGGCGCTGGATCAAATGACTTAATTTAATTTTACGCGACCAATTTCATACTTCTGGAATTGAAACCCGCCTGTAATTACGAAGGTGTGAGCGAAATCTGGCTAATGCGTGGCTTGTGTTCACTTAGATCGACTACAAACTTCTAGCAGAGCATGGCGGATTCAATGGAAATGTTGACTCTGCACGCTCCGCCTGGAATAAAATTAGGAGGACATACTTTGAAGGCGGCAAGACCAACTCACCAACATCGAACGAGACTCCCAAATCCAATGAATTTCTCGCAGTCAACAGCCACGAAAAAGACAGCGACTCCACTCAGCCCGTCAATCCTCCCAAGAAGCGGACTCGAAAGCCCAAAGATCCCAATGCTCCTCCTACGAAACGCGCCAGAAAGGCCAAGCCTGCTCCTGTAACCAAGAAAGACCCGACCAAAGTCGAGGGAGGCAAATCCCCTGTTAGCGGAAATTACGTCGGCAATGAAGACATCAAGGTAGAGACCTCTAGTCCTGAGGAGGCAGCTGAGGATGAGCAAGAGGAGTCTGTTGCCTAAGGTATGACAACCCTCATCTTGAGCTGACTTGAGATTAATGGAGCTAAGTGTGATCAAGGCAACTTCCAAGAGGCAGTCTACAATGCAAAACGTTGCAACGCTGCCTTTCTGTCGTGCTCGGCACATTACGAAGCCATCGTTTTACGAGAGAACCCGCTACGAATGTTCCCGGTGTTGTTTTCATCCATACGTTTTCTGTCTCATATGACACGTTCACCAATTGCATCCGCGAATTGCATATTCGTCGGCATTATGAAGCATGAGATAATCAAGGAGGCAGGATGCAATCTTCTCAATGTCTTTTCAAGGTAGCCAACTACAGTCTATCTTTCACCTATGTGCCTTTCATGGCCTTTATTCTATCCATGTACCATCGACCCGATAGTTAAGCGCAATATGCCGCCAATCAATAGAATCTTTGCGTAGATCTTGTGATGAAGAGAAGCTTTTTATTTCAATCATGCGGCCTGTATCTATAGTGTATGTGCTGAAGCTAAAAGCCGTAATTATTTTTGCCCCAAAATCTGCCATGAGCTCCATGCTTAATAACTTCGTGCTCACGCAGCTGAACATCGCTTAGGCTTCTATTTCCCAGCTATTGCAATAACAGGCAAAAACTTCCAATCAAGAAACGAGTCAGACAAAAGCACGAGCCCAAGACCCATATCCTCTTCTTCCTCAAATCTTTAGACCACTCATAAACCCTCAATAGCCTTCCTCAACACATCCAATCCCGTCGCTCCAACCTCTGCTTTCTCTCTCAACATCCAAGCAACATCACTCCCCCACCCCAACGGCACCCAACCCTGCTTCCTCTCCCCCATGCGTTCCTGTAATTTACTCGTATGCTCCCACTCCCTCGCCGCCACTTCCGCCCTCTCCACCACGGAGCCCGGAATTCCACACATACTTGCACAATGCATCCCAAAACTCCCCTCCGCGACCCCGTCCTCAAGTTTATACAAAAACGTCACCCTCTTCTCCGCCTCGTCGACATGGATTCTCATCCGCTTGTTCTTGACCTCTGGATGTCGCGCAAACTCCGTGGCGAGGGAGTGGTAATGTGTGGCGAAGAAGCCGACACAGCCGATATGCGTCGCGATGTGGTGAAGCACAGCTTCCGCGACGGCGACGCCGTCGTAGGAGGAGGTGCCGCGGCCCAATTCGTCGAGGATGACGAGACTGCGTGGCGAGGCTTCAGAAAGGATTTTCTTCGTCTCCGTAAGTTCTACGAAGAATGTGGATTGGGCGGCGAAGATATTATCGTTGGCGCCAAGGCGGGACATAATGCGGTCGACAGGAGTGAGAGAGGCGGCGGTGGCAGGAACATAGCAGCCTAATTGGGCCATGATAACGGCGACACAGGTCATGCGGAGGATGGTAGATTTACCTGCTGCGTTGGCACCGGTGAGGAGACTGATGTTGGGGTCTGACCCGCCCAGGGAGACGTCGTTCGGGATGAAGTCTGTGACTGTGCCGAGCATGCACGGGTGGCGCAGGTCGGAGAAGGAGATTGTACTCCTCGAGCCTTCAGGAGCAGCGAGGAAAGTCGGACGGCAACTTGGCTCACCCAATACGCAAGAGGCTTTGGCGAGGGAGATGAGGCAGTCGAGATGGGCTATTGTGTTGACAGCCGCAAGCCATGTTGTGTAATGTTCGTCGAAACGAGCGAAGAAGCGTCCCGTCACTTCTTTGACAATCTTAGCATGTGTTTCCTGCGCTTCTTGAAGTGACCGGACTAAAGCTCGAAGTTCGTTGTTGTAGTATCGTTTCACTTGTTGGGTTGCTGACATCTGATCCCAGCCTTTGGGTACGCCTTTGACCTTCACAGGCACTTCAAGCTGGTAAATTTCCTTCCCGTTGTCTCTGAAGACGATGGAGGTTGAACCAAGGTCCTTTCGTACCTTCTTGAGATGATTTTCTAGGCGTTTCTTGATCTCATCTATTCGGTCTTGACTTTCATCGAAGTCTTCCTCGACGCCACGTTCAGGAATCAGTAGACCATGTTCCTTTGCTTTATCGTGATCAAAAAGGTCCTTCCAATCGAGCAGGATGCTTTTCATGTTGGGCATAGCGGCTATAAGCTGTCCGATAATGCCTTCACCCGATCCGGCGTCACGGACAATGCCCATAGTGTAGTCAATCTGTTCAAACCCGTTGAGCACTTTGACGAAGTCTTGAGGCTTGCAGCTTCTGGCATGGATACGGGAGATCATCCTCTCAAGGTCGGGGAGTTTCGAGAGCTCAGACGTGAATCGATCTTTGACAGTAGTATCCGCGTTCATAGCGTCCACGGCATCTAATCGTGCATTGATCTTCACAGCATCCATCAGGGGATGGCAGACCCATTGCTTGAACAGTCGTTTACCGAATGGTGTGATGCATCGGTTCAGAAGGGCAAAAAGCGTACCGTCTGACCCACCGTCGAAATTGTTCGCAAATATTTCGAGGTTGATCAAAGTCTTGCCGTCTAATACCAAGCTGTTCGCTTTGCGGATGGGATCGTACCAATTGATATTTCCAAGCGTGAGTAGCTCTCGCTCGATCTGTAAAGTGCGTAGATACTGTATCAGCGCTCCAAAGGAAGACATGAGGAGGTCTCTCTCTCGGACGTCTTTGAGTACTTTCGGCCATGCCCCTTGATCGTCTCCTTCCTCAGAGACGAAATATTTGCCAGCGTCCAACTCACGCCAAGTAGTATCTGCAGTCCAGAACTCTTTGCCAGGTTTAAGCTCGTTACGAATTGTTGTCGGACTTGTGTTGTTCTTGATAATCCTGTTGGCGGCAGGGGTGACAAATCCCTTTTCAAGGATGATCTCCTGTGGACGCACCTGGGCTATGAACGTCTCAAATTTTGTAAAGTCTGTGTCATCGGCGAATTCGGTGACATTGAACTGGCCAGTCGCGGCATCTACATAAGAGATGCCAAACGATGGCAGACCGTCGCGCTCTTCTTCTTTAATCGAAACGCAGAATGTTGACATATCGTCCTGCAACATCGCCCCGTCTACAAGAGTTCCACCAGTGAGGACACACGCAAGCTTACGTTCAATGACCTTCGTCTTACTGCCCTGGCCTTGGCCATCTCTCTCACGCATCTCCTTACTAAGAGCAGATTCTTGCTGGTCAACTCGGGCAATCTTGTAGCCCGCAGCTACAAATTGATTTGCCCAATGCGGAAGACTCATTTCGGGGACTCCGACCATTCGCATGTTGACACGATCAGTCAGCTTCAGATCGAATAGCTGGTGGCCGATTGTCGCGTCCTGTTCATACAATTCATAAAATTTACCCTTCTTGAAGAAGACGATCGTATCCATGAATTTGGCTTTGATTTTCCAGTACTGCGCCTCGAATGGGGAAAACTGAGCCCACGCTTTTGGCGGTATATAGATGGTTCTTGGGTCATGATCTGGATGTCCAGGAGGGTTTCGGTCTGCATCGTGCATGTTTCCAAGCCATTCGTATCGCTCTTCAGGCTGTGACGCATGCGCTTTTGGCTTCATCTTCTTACCGTTTACATCGGTTACTGGTTTCCTGTTCGGTGCCTCGTGCTTAATCATGGTCTCCGAAGGAATGCCATCCGGATCGAATCTCCATGTTTGAGCAGTTGAGACTTCAGGAAGTTCAAGGCTCGGGTCACGAGGCAAAGATGGTGGCGATAGGGATCTTGATTTCGAGGTCCCTTTCTTAACCTTGGGTTTGGACCTTTTGCGCTTCTTCGACGTTGCTTCGTCATCTGATTCATCAGGAACGACGAAGTCTTCCTCTGAATCCACGTCCTCCTTTTCGTCTGGTTGGACACCAAATTCGTCGTTGTCATCTTCACTGTCAATACTTGTCTTTCTGCGCTTGGAAGGTCGCCGCGAAGCATTTGAATTGAGTATGTCGTCCTCGTCTTCATCGCCAGATTCAGCGTAGGAGATCACCTTTTTTGCCTTACGTGACGGGCTGTAGAAACCATTTGGAGGCTTACGAGCCATCGATTTGGAACGAGTACCGGCCACACCAGCTGGCGTGACTGGAGATGGTAAGCTAGCGCTACCTTGCTCTTGAAAAACATCACTGGGCTTTGTCTCATCCTCTACAGGCTCGGGCTGATCACTGCTTGGGGCAGGTGTAATGCTTTGGTCGGAACCTAAGGTTGCCCGCTTCACTTTCTTTTTAGGACTGCTTCTGACTGGCAGAGACAGAGCATTTTCAACTCGGAGATCATTGGGACCTGCTGTTGCAGGTTTCTTCTGGAAAAAGCCGGCGATAGACGTTTGTTTGCTCGAACTAGACTTTTTGAGGGAGGGAGGATGAGAAGATTGCCCTGCTGCTGAAGGAGTTCCCGCCATTACGAATTGAAGAAGGCAACGTAGCTCAATGCACGAGAACAAGCAATGCTTCACTCGGAACGAAAGTCATTCACTCCGACTGAATTCAGAGCCCAATTGACGTTGGGGAGCGTGACGCGCTGGAGGACGCGAACTTGAGCTTTTCGCGTACCCAAAAATGCCCGCCACATGCTGAATATTGCGCACCATCTCTTTGGGCTAGCCTTCAAACCCCTTTGAGTATCGCCTGGTGTCGCGAATCTGTAGAATTGGTCTCATCTGTCCTTCTCAACCAGCCTCTCCTCTTATTCCATCGCAACCTTCACCCCTCGACCTGATTAGCACCATGCGTCTACCCGCCCTTCTCTCCTTACTCCTCCCTCTCATCCCTCTCACCATCTCCGCAGAGACTGAAACCGAATACACTCTGACGCACACTTGCGAGCGGAAGACAGTCTCGGGTGACAAAATCGATGTCCACTATCGCGGCACTCTCGCCTCCGATGGCAGCAAATTCGACGCCTCCTATGACCGCGGGCAACCACTGAGCTTCACCGTGGGGACGGGGCAAGTGATTAAAGGATGGGATCAAGGACTGCTAGGCATGTGCATAGGGGATAAGAGGAAGTTGACGATCCCGCCGGAGCTGGGGTACGGAGATCGAGCGATGGGGCCGATACCAGCGGGGTCCACCTTGATTTTCGAGACGGAATTAGTCGGGATTGACGGTGTGAAGGAGGAGGGAACGGGCCCCGTAGAAAAGGAGCTATGAGATTGGAATGAGTGGACAGGCCGACTCAATTGCATGAGGCATGGCATGGCATGGGTATCTACATGTAAGCCTAAAATTGCTAAGATGTGGTGCATGATGGCTGTATGAATGGTCGATGAGAAAGACTTGTCGTAGTCATAGCTAAAATCATGAGCCAATGAATTATCTTGAGGGGACCATAATTTACCATGACTACGCCAACACCACCTCGTTTTGATGGATCTGCAGCGTTGCCAGCATTTACGCCGCTGGCAATTGGAGGTGTCCGGTAGTTGAAGAGATAATAATGTAATTGCCCGTCACCTGCGCCGAACTTTTGTTGTTCGAGGAACAACGGATTGTCCAGTAATGTCAGTGCGTTGAATACGTCAAAGTTGAACTGCGATCGCCGAGTCAACTCCACACTGCTCGTCCATAAGACTAGACTTACCTTCTTAGCTAATACGAGTGCATCATTCATTAGCAGGTTCAGCCGTTCTTTCAAGCCTTGTTCTTCTTTCTCGAATGCTGTTTCCGTTGCATAATAGTACAAATATGCGGCCCGAACAGTGTCGTGTTTGGTGTTATTGATTACTTGAGACTCCAAAATGTAAAACGAAACGAAGTCCGTGATCTTCTTCGTTTTCGGGTCGTCGACCACGAACGACCATACCACTTGCTCCGCCGATTTCCCATCATGAAGCATCCAATGCGAGATCTCGTCCTCGTCGAAATTGGGTGCCATTTCAAAACGGCTGAGGTATCGTTGGAGTAGATCCCTGACGCCCGAGACGTCTTTCGCTTGCATGCCGCGTAGTCCTGGGGTTGACGTCGCGCTTGGAAGATGATAGCGTGTAATCTGTCGTGCTTTCGTGGATCCCGTCGGAAGCCCTGAAAAGCCAACCTCGTTGAGTTTGAGCCAGTCCAAGCTTCGATGGTAATATCGACATGAGCTGACAGGTTTCGGTAGTACGACGCCCGCGGTGTAAATGGCCTGAAAGATACCAAGAACATAACATCTTCGAGTGATCTCCTGTATCAAGACTGGGGCAAGTCGCTTTGAGCGGAGCTTCTTATGTACACAAAGAAAATTGATTTCTATGGTGTTGAGGACGTTCTTGCGGACGCGGAGCTGCATTGGAACTCCTGAAATGAAAGCCACCAGCTTTTGCGACTTAGTGGCTCTGACACCTACATGCCACTCCTTTCGCCAGCCTGGCGATTTAAGTGCCCTTTGCCCTGATTAGCAGAGCCTCATGTAGAGAGCTGTGTTTGCATTCACCAATTGAAGAAAGATGTCGAATAATTGAACCGGAATTGGGCGTCATCATCCTCTACGTAATGTCCCGTAAGAAGCTGATAGACCTCTTCATTCTGGAAACTGTCAATGCTCTGGTTCCTCTCGATTTCGAGATCACCGGCGTACTTGCTTCTCATCCAACAGGTCCATTGTGACCCACTCGAACCCTTCGAGCATAGGCGCTGGATCTTTGGGAACCTTGTCTGGATCAATCCTTTTTATTGGACCCTCGTCGCTTTGTGCCGTCTCATCTAGTCCAGACTCAGCCCATTGCTATCACTTCCAACGTTGACACTGACCAAACCGGGGCACTGGTTGTGTCTGCCAAAACTTGTACGACGCCATGTCTTTCTGATTCTTGCCACTCACGGACTACGCTTGTATCAGTCTTGCGACCATGACCTCGTTTAATAGTTGCGTACCAGTCCAGTGAGCAGTGATGCCACATCCAGATTTTTCAGCTTGTCTGCTGCCTTCTCCTTCGGCATGCCCGCAACTTCCGCCTTCAACGAGGGGTTCATTTCCAGCAATTGCTCAACCATTTCAGTCGTGAGCTTAGTCGAAGGATTGAAGGAGCTGCCTGATGCATCTTTACTCTCATCTTGCTTCGTCAAGGCCTTCTTTAACCTCGCCTTCTTCGACTGCTTCTTTTTGGCTTTGGCGCCGTCAGCTGCATCCTCCGCGCTCTCGCCAGCCTGTTCAGGTTGCTCTTCATCGTTGTTGATATCTTCTGATTGGGTTGTTTCCTCGAGTACTTCTGTATTCACCGCTGGATCTGGTAGCTTAGATTGTTCGGACATGTTGGCGGGGTGTGATGCAGGAAACAAGCTAGTTCCTCCAACACTAATTCTTTTTGGGCACGCTTGGAACGAGACTACTATAAGATCTCCGGAAGTTTTGAGCTCTCTTGTGACTTGTCGATATCAGTTGCTAGAGTTGAGAAGAAATGGGGAAAAACAAGAAACATTGAATTGGTGGTACATAAAGTATAAAGTATATAATCTACACTGGGTATCCGCAACAGGCCAGGCGACAGCGCTCCTTTAGCAAATCCGAACACCTTGCGCTTCACCATTACATCATTTGATTCTCTTTGCTGAACGAAATTGCAATTCATCGTCTTCATTCTCACTGTCATTGTCTGAGTCTCTGGCAGCTGCGAATTTCTTTCGTTTTCTCGCCCCATTTGGTAAAGCTGGCATCTGGTTTCGAGCACCTTTCTTCTCCATCAAGGGTTGTGAGGATTTGCCTGTGCTAATTCTGCCCGTACTAGTACTCTCGCTGTGCTGCTGCGTTTGCTCTTGACGCCGTGTTGTTCTAGGCGCATCAAGGTCGACTGTTTCGGAAGCATTTGCTAGGCTATCCATCACCAACTCAGACGGGACTTCTGCTGCATGGCTTGGAGCAGACTGAGAATTCCTTTGCTGCGTATGCGATTGAGACTGCGTTTTCCGCTCCTTCTCTTTACGTCGTCGCTTCGCACCTTCGCTCTCTTTGTCAAGCCAATAATCCTCCCCAATACCATAGTCTTTCTTCTTGACTTCTTCAAGCGTAACCATCACTCGTGGTCCCCGTTGAGGTTGGGAGCCTTCGCCTTGGCGTCGAAATTTCTTGAAATTCTTACGCCCATTCCATTCGTCCTTCCATCTTGGGTTTTGACTGGTAGAAGTAGCTTGCGCGCGAGCCTGGCGTTGAGGCAATTCCATCTCCTCCACCACGGCAAGGTTCTTCATCTGCTCGACAGTCATACCGTCTAAGATATCCCGAAGGCTCTCTTCATCGCGTTTGGCAGCTTCTTCTTCCGCCTTCCTCCTCTCACGGACCGCTTCTTTGATATTGACCTCCTTGGCAGGTCGCTTCCTTTTCGGCTGTTCAGTAGGCGGGGTCACATCGAATGAGAGACCGGGTGAGGTCCCGTTACGCTCTGCTTCGATCCTTCGACGCTTCATTGCCGTAGCGGCTGGTAACAGCTGGTCTACCATATCTTCCTCCGCTTCGGCGGGAGAATCCGGAGCTGGTCGCTTTCGAGATACTGTGCTGTTGCTAGCTTTGTTATCGTTGGCTGTTGAGCCTCGATCTGCATCTTCTGAGTCGGAAAAAGAACCAATGTGATTAAGTTGTGTCCGCACCTCGCTCGCCTCAGCATTAGCTTGTGAGTGAGAAGGTAGAGTACCTGATGTTACGCCGATGGAAAATTCCTCATCGCTATCATTGTCGCCATATCCGCGGAAGCGGCTTACGATTGCTTCGCGCTTTCGCGCCTTTGGTGGCGCTTCCATAGGCTTCGTTGAATTTTGCTTGGCTGCCTTTGAAGTTGTCCTCGGTGGCTCAGTGATACCATTGGGTGGAGGGGTTCCTTCACTTGGTAGCAGAGGTTTACGGAGCATGGAGGCATCATTCGCGAGAATGGCATTCAAGAACTCCGATTGTTCGATCAAGCGGTGATCCAAAGCTTGAGCCACCTCAATGTCAAGTCTTTTTGCCCAGTCTACATACTGACCCTTGGCCCTGAACTTGACCACAACGACACCTTTGCCCTCACTCCCATCCTCAAACTCTCCTAGTCCCTTTTCACCCGCAGCGGTTTTCACATATCTAACGATGTCTTGACAAGTCGTTATGCCAGGTTCTACGCTGCAGAGTAATGCTTTCCCAGCGCCGTTCGTTATGGGGAGTTGTAGAGTATCGAACTGGGTCTGGTCGCAGAAGACGAAGGTATAACCCTCAAAGACCTTCTCGCGTTCGGGTTGAGGTTGGAAGTCTTTTGCGGGGCGCTCAGACGGCTCTCTACTCTTATCGGGTAGATACTGAAGTGCATCCGGCCAATTTGCATCAAAGTCCTCTTCCAACTTTGAAAGGCCTTCTTCGCTGTTCATGTCAGACGGAGCGGACACTTCTTCAACGGCTTGCACAAATAGCTCTGAAACGATGTAATTGGCCTTGATAAGAGCCGATAAACCTTTTGCAGTATTTCTCTTGCCAGCTATGACATGCGTAGTCACTCCAGGGACGAAGGGTTCTGTAACCTTGATATCGAGGTGCTCGAGGCGTGCTCGGTATGCTGCAAGTGGATCCTTGCTGTGCTTGGTCTCTTTAGCAGACAGTGAGAATGTGAAGACTACGGGATGCCATTTCAATTTGAAGATTTCCAGCGAGTTTCCGAGCCTGAAAACATGTTCAGATCCTTTCAGTGTTTTTGAGTCTTGGATGACCCTGGCTCCATCTACTTCAGTACCGAATTTGGATCCCTCGTCTTTCAGAACGACACTTGATTTGCTGTGTACATTCTTACTCTCGCCGCGCTCAACGGTTGACACGGAGAGTGTCAGATGCTGTCTGGAGATCGACCTATGAATAATTTGAAATTGTTGGCGCCGTTCTGGTTTTGTTCGTCCAAACAGATACACCCTGCCAGGCCTGAGCCATATTTTCTTGCCTATCACATTTTTAGGCAACGCGTGACAGAAAGGCTAGGTTTCTCACGTGCTAAAGCATCTCCTTCACACTCAAGCGTCCACATGGTCTATTCTGCCCCAAGAGCACACGGCGGGGCTCACAGGAGACCGGAAGACCACCCAGCAACCGTAGTAGCAAGACAATCCTTAGTGACCCAAATTAAAGCCATCTTTTGACAGCGATATGGGCATAAGAAGCAATTCCGATCATTGGTAGAAGGAAATTGGTACCTCGAGGGTCGATCAGACTGGAGGACAGACGTAGAGTCACGGCTTCAGGGCGCATCTCCCTATAACAGCCCGGCGTAGCCGGCACGTGCCGCAGTTCTTTTTTCGCGTCAATTCAACAACGCGCTCCGCACAGCCATTACAATGCTTCGAGGCGCCAGCACAACAGCAGCATAATGACCTTTGCAGCTTATAGGCACTGCAGATGGATCCACCAATCGTATAGCTCCCGACAATGCACCATATCTTGGACGACTTGAATGTTGCCCAGAGAGCGGCCGTCACGTCCGAATCAGACATTCTCCAAGTACTTGCGCCACCTGGGTCTGGAAAGACAAAGACTCTTACTTCCAAGGTCGCATACCTTCTGGAACATCATGGCTATAGACCATGGAATATTATCTGTCTCACCTTCACAATTAAAAGCTCTCGAGAGATGCGGGAGCGCATCGCAAAGCTTCTAGGTAATGGAGTTGAATCAAAACTTATACTAGGAACATTTCATTCAATCTGCAGACGGTACTTGGTATCGTATGGCCATTTGATCGGCATACGCAAAGGATTTGGCATCGCAGACTCGTCGGATTCGATCAGTATTATCAAGAGAATTGTGAAGCGCTGCAGATTGAATGTCGACCCACAGAAGGCACGGGCGAGGATTTCGCACACAAAATCAAAAGGCTTGCACTGGGGGGATCTGGCACAAGATCTTGGGAAGAAGCAGAACACAGAGCAATATGATTTCATCACTGTCTTCGAGGAATATGAAAGGCAATTGTCTGCCTCGAACCTGCTTGACTATGATGATTTATTGCTACGATGCGTGGATCTGCTCCAAAAGCATCCGTCTTGCGTCTCAAACGTAGAGGCAGTCCTCATAGATGAGTTCCAAGACACTAACGTCACGCAATTTGAATTGATGACCCTTTTTGCTCACCAACACAAGCGAATCACCACCGTAGGCGATATGGACCAGAGCATCTACGGATGGCGAAGCGCGGAGGTAAAGAATCTGAAACGCATGCAGAAGGAGTATCCAGATACATTAATCATACACTTGCAGGAGAATTACAGATCAGCTGCAGCTATCTTGTTGGCGGCAGGTGAAGTCATTGAACAGGATGAGTCGCGCCCACAGGTGTGTATGCTGCCGACGCACTGTCCGGGTACAGCCCCTGTCCTTCGTCGCCTTCCTTCAGCTGGGGTTGAAGCTGCTTGGCTCGTCAATGAATTGCAAAGAACTAGAGCACTGGCCGGAAACATGTTTACCTACTCCGATTATGCTATATTGCTGCGCTCAGCATCGTTATCCCGAATGATCGAAACAGCTTTGGGCAAGGCTGGAATTCCCTATCGTATGGTCGGTGGTCATAGGTTCTATGATCGTGTCGAGATCAAGCTTCTACTCGACTACTTAAGAGTCGTTAGTCAGCCTACTAACAACGACGCCATTGTGCGCTGCATTAATGTGCCTGCGCGCAGGATTGGTGATGCGACGGTCAAGGGTTTGCTTGAGGAAGCAGAGCTGAATCGGTCGTCGTTATGGGAATTGCTCCTCAATATTGTCAACGGGTCGAAGCCTCAGACAAAGATCACGCACGCAGCAGAAAGCGGCATTGGCAACTTTGTAGGACTAATTAGAAGCCGTAAAAACCAGATGACCGATTCGAGCAAAACTTGTTCACCTGAGCAATTACTGCGGCAGATCATCAAGAGATTGGACTTGCAGGCGTGGTTGAAGAAGACTTACGCCGAGGATCATGAAGCTCGGTGGACAAATGTGGAGGAGCTTGTCGCTCAAGCAGCCGATTATCAGCTTATTCGGCGCTCAGGAAACGAGAAGGACTCCGAGCTATTAGATGAAGATATGCTACCGCAGATTAACGGCTTAGAGCAACAATCAAACAACACATCTGAAGAGACGCTTTCCAAATTTCTAGCAAATGTAGCCCTGGCCACAGAATTGCAACGAGAAGAAGGAGCAGAGGATGGAACGTCACCTCAGCATCAAGTCACAATTTCAACCATTCACGCTGCGAAGGGCCTGGAATGGCCTATCGTATTCGTACCCTCAGCATACGACGGTTGCATTCCACACTCGAGGGCTGAAGACAACGACGAAGAAAGGAGGTTGCTGTACGTCGCAATGACCCGAGCGCAAGCGTTGCTCTACCTCAGCTGCCCAACCAAGAATTCTCAACGCGAGGCGGCGACATTGTCGCCATTTCTGTCTGGGAGTAAAGTTCAGCACCTGCTGAGTTCCCAAGGTCCAGCATTAGGCAGCGTGGAGGTCAGTGATGTCGCACGGATTCTTGGAAGGGACTGCCCGTCTCAGACTGCTGTTGCAGAATCGTGTAAAGATTTAGTCGACTATGAAGACAACAAATGGCCGCTTGATGGTAGTAAAAGTATTGAGATGATTCAATCTCGATGGAGCAAATTTGACAACGAGGGCGCCGAGGGAGCGATGAAACGGCAGCCTAAACGAAGGAAGGTCGATCACGATGCTGTACCTATATCATCTGATACACCTCAGACTGCGAGCGTCGGCTCTGCAACAACGATGCAGTTGTCCTCTAACTTTTCGTACAATAGCGTTGGCTTCACAACAGCTAGTGCGCAAATGCAAAGCATGAACGAGATTACCGCGTTTGAGAAGACCAAAGAAGCTGTAAACATCGAGCAACCTAAGAAATTGAAGACCGAAAAGGTGGTCACCGACCAAGGAAGCCTCCTTAGTCTTTGGGGTATCAAGCGACCGCACGAAGAAACGTCGCGACCTGCCAATCTGCAACACGAGACCTCGTTGCAAAGGTTGTCTGAAAGCAATGCACTTCCACAGCTACCAAAGCCTCTCTCCTCTTACCATATACCCTCTCAAGCCACTAGCACTCGACCGCTGAGGGTGATCGACGAAAATACGAACTCCTCTAATGGCTACGTCTTCCTGTCCAGCTCGCCACCTGTAGAACATACCTGTAAGCATGCAAGGTCGAATGACATCCAAGACACGGCATTGGTGTGCAAAGAAAATGAAGTACCTGAATCTCAGATGACGGAAACGCTCAAGGAAACGAAGATGCCACGGAAGACACTCGGAATGAGGCGAAGCTTGGCTGGCTGGAACGCGGGAGGCAAGCCTGGGTTTTCGGTGCCGAGGGTACAGCGATGAGGAGGTTCGGTGTTTCGATGATTGCATTGCAACACTCTTGACCAGCATATGAACCTGGCTGAAGCTATGATTGGCTTGGAGGTGTGGACGACTGCGAATTACACCGATCGGCTCAGGAGGAGCCAATAATCTTGGCACCGCTCGAGATTCTATTGGTGAGGAAGCTGAAGGCATCTAACGTGTTCGAATGCTAGTATAATTAGTGTCAAAGGGCGAAGACTCTTTGTCGATCCTGAAGAACGGATGACGGTAGCTAATCGAGTCTTGGAAATCGAATGACGCCCGTCGGCCGTCATGAGATGAGCCACGGGCGTCATTGCTTAGAAATTGGAAGATCCAAAGCACTCATAACAATCCGCTTTCTCCCAACGTCTTACCAATTGAGGGCACCTGAGCCAGTCGAAACCATGGCAACTTCCTCGCAAAGTCTCAAGTCGTTCCTTGGGAAACCAATAGAGATCTGCATCGTAAGCACCTTCCTGATCTTTCACTAAACACCAACTACACGAACACAATTCCTTACTGACGAACATGTCTACCAGGTCTCGCGCAACCATAGACGAACGCTCGCCGCTCTCACAAATCTCGGAATCGGCCCCTGGCGCATCTACACCTGCTTGCCCACCAACACCTCCGAGCAAACCTTCCGCGGCAAATCCAGCGCCTTCACCATGGTCCTCTGCTTCGCCGACCTGCCCGGAGGCATGGTGTACGAGGTCATCGAGCCCGTTTCCGGCGCGAACATCTTTTCGGAGTTCCTGGAGGAGAGAGGTGAAGGTATCCATCATGTTGCGTATGATTGCAACGATATTCCGTGGGAAGACAGGATCAATGGGTTCGAGGAACGCGGGTTGTCGATGGCGCAGGGCGGGAATTTTAGGGGAGAGAATAGATTTGCGTTCTTTGAGAGTGAGGAGGCTGGGACGTGTTTTGAGACGCTGTGGTTTAGGGAGGGGTATGAGTATCCGGAGCCGGAGGAGTGGTTTCCTGCGAGGCCGGAGAAAGGTGACGGCGAGCTGCAGGGTAGATCTTGATGTACAAATGATATGAGGAATTCTGCATGTACTAGCTGCCCTGAGGTAGAGCAACGTATTTTGACCATGTGCTAAGTCTTCTTGTAAGAGCGATTGCCACCACGAACAAGCCAGCACTGATCCAGAAGGAGAGGCCGAGGGGCAACCAGTCATTCTTCAAGCACAGGCTGAAGATGAAAGACCAGGTGGGGGAGCTGACCAAACCAGCCATCACTTGCACAAGCCCACTCTTAACAAAGAAATCCGAAGGGGCTTCCCCTGCTGGCAATGTCATTTTGCCAAAAGTGGTCAACGAAGCATAGAGTCCAACGCCGCTAGTATAGACCATGAGGAACGTGATGAATAATGTCGTTGGCAGAGAAAAGCCAAGACCGATCATGCCTATGGCATTTGGGATGAGAGAAGCCTTTATGATGAATAAGTCAATTTGTTGGGGTTCCATGCGTGGTTCTAAATAGACTTTGCGAATTGTCGGGAGAGCGAGCAAGACGAGAGCAGAGACGAGGGCTTTAATGGTCAGCAGGGAGTTGACAGTGGCCAGCGTCCAGTTCAGAGTTAGGGAGATGTATTGAGCGCCGATTACCTCGACCCGTCCGGCGATACCTTGAACGAAAAAGAGGAGGATGACGGTGAAAGTGGGGTCAGCTACCCGGAATAGGGTGAGTACCGAATACAAGGACGACTTCCAGGAAGTTAGGAGGATGCGAGGAATGCTCTCCAGTCCTTGTGGTTTGTCTAATAGGGCAGAAGACGACCTTCTCGATCCCGGCCTGTCGCTCAGGGCGATGTCGGTAGTGGAAGTATCTGTGGATTTATCTGAGAAGGTTTCTCGTCCAAGAGATTCTGGCAATAGAACCGCAAAAACTATGGCCAAGATGGCGCACAGGATGCCGAGCAAGTTCAGTATGTAGACGTGGTGCGATAGCAGTAATGCTCCAACTGCCGAGCCTGTGACGCTGGCGAGAACATACAAGGAGCTGATATAGTTGTTAGCGTCAGTCCTAAGGCTGGTCAGTCATATTACATGGTGGTGACGTCGTAGCACAATGAACTTACAGTTGATCGGGCGGTAGAATTGCTGCAATGACTGTGATAGACATGGTGATCCGGACTAGGTCTCCGCCACCAAGAAGATCACAAATAAAGGTCAGTAATATTCCGTAAATTGTCCAGGGCTGGTGAAGGCTGTCTTAATAAAGGTTATCGACAGGCTTCTGAGATTGTTTGCTCAACATACAGAAAAAAATAGAGAGCGATATTCCGCAGCCGACGAAGAAAAGATTGATCATCATTAAACGGCGGTAACCCATTATAGGTAACAACTTCTGATACGTAACAAGAACGAGCAGAGCTGAGATAGTTTTAGATCCAGTGGCCAGTAGCCGAGTAGAGGGCGACCACTCACCAGGCAGTAGACTGAGGAACGCATCTACCCCTTCAATGATTGAGAGAGGTGATTGAACTTCCTTGATCTTGCAAGCTTCCTCCTCTACCTCTGCCTCGGCACTGACCTTCTGTGGATCGGCTGCTAGATAGTGCTGAAGGCATTGCGATTGTTGGTACAGATAAATGCGAGAAGAACGGTGAATACAAATAGCAAGATTGCCTAGAGTGAGTACTATCGTGATGAGTAGGATTCTTTTGTCTTTCAGAGGTGTGGCGGTGGGGACATCTCGCGACATTTTGTTCCGCGTATATGAATCCTGGAGGTTGACAGGCCTAGATTCGGTTGCAATTTAGGATACAAGGATAGAGGGGGGAAACGAGGCATGAGAACTATCATATGGAGTAAATCAGAGTGCAAAAATATTCCTCAGAATGCTGACTTTCATCGTCTGTCGTGTGATGACTGTCATGCGTCGGTGAATGATGGAAAGTCAAAATGGATGCCTGATCAGGAACGCGTATCAAGGGCGGCACGGGAAAGATTTGGCGGCCCGCACACCCCTATCAACCTTAGCTCGCCTTGCTTACTAAGGTGGATCATCGGAAAATGCAGCCTCTTCAAGTCTGTTGCGTCAGATCACAAGGCCCCCTCCAGATGCTGGCAAGCTCATCATCAGACCTGATCCTTGGACGCTGCTGCTCTCCCACGCAGGACGTAGATGTAGCTTGATCATTGATCATACTAATAATCTGTCATCTGAACCTGGCTCTGGTCCACGTCAGCTTTTCATCGTTCGTCTGGGGGCAGGTGTGTTGGAGTACTTCCGCTCTATCTCCATCGTTCCACCGCTTGCCAGATATATGAAGTTTCATGAAGTTTCATACTCAGATACTTACGTGGAATTTTCTATCCATTGGAGAAGGCCTGAAGTGAAACACTTGGTCTACCAAGAGCAACGGATGTGTTTTGCTCGGGGAAAGCCATCAATGACGCATACATGATCTGAGGGTAGGGCCAAGACCGGCACGATCAAAGACGACAAGGTCGCTGACAGATGAACAATATCAGAATGCTACAACCGAATCTCTTTGGATAGGTTATCGATCAAGTCAATGGGATGAGTTCATGCGCTTCTTCGCCCCGATTGAGTGACCTTGTTCAACGATGCTTGGTCATGAGTTGCCAACCTAATGGCGTATGAGAATTCGCTTGCAGCATGTGGGGATCGACTTAATCTCATCCATAGAAGAAAAAGAGTTTTTTCTGGCCGAGGTACATCGTAATGGTGTAGAATCCCTAGGTTGACAGGAGCTTATCGGGGTCCTAACAGTCATGCTAATCGATCGATCGCGCCCCACCCAAAACTTCGGGTTTAGGGCCTTCCCGGAGCACGTTTTGGGGCTTCAGTCTCTTGTTGTTCTACGGATTGTAGTACAAGACACACCTAAATGCACCTTCCAGCATGGGATGAAATATTAATTGCTTGCCGTTCATTGATCTAGTATTTCGTGTCAATCCTATGGTCATTGCCAAGCCAGTAGCGGGCTATTGCTCCAAGGAGACAAATGAGACAGGATGAGACCAGACGATCATTAGCAGCAAATTGGTCCTTCCGTTCCCAAATGATTTCATTTCAATCCAGTCAGGCCATCACATCTAAATGCCCAATTGATTAAACAGATGAAGTTCGGTGAACAGTGGTCAATAGTACGGCTACGAACGGCAATTAAATGAATTGTGGCTGTGAAGACGGCAACACACCCTAGGCGGTCTCTAAATAGCAGGCGCAGACGCTACTGCATGTAATCTCTGCGATAGACCACGTAATTACCACTCAAGATTAACGATAAGTGAACGCATTGGGAGTGTGCAATCTAATGGAATTTCTTTGAATTTTTCCTCCTTGTGGTGTTCCACTGTCCATGCTGTCTTCTGCGTACCTCAACCGATAGGGTCTTAACGTCCCCTCTGACTTGCACGACCCCGCAACGACGCGCAAGCTTGGGTTGGGTTCGTTTCCTGGACATGTGACAAAACCTCTAACACAGCCCTTGAAGTACTGCAAAGAATGACCATGGGCATTCGAGGGCAATTTGAATCGCAAAATGAAACGCTTCACCTCACTGACCGTACGCACAATCCACCCTCGTCAAGTCCCATCCTCAGGTCCCTTTCCAAGTCGAATATTCGAGATCCAAGTCAAAGGTTTCCTCCTCCCCCAAGAGCACAGGTGAAAGATCGGGCAGAAGATGATATATGGGTACAGCCTCTCACACAGGTGGATGATGCTGCGAGTTACGAGCATGCAGAAGAGCTTCCGATCCTTCCGGTTGAAAGGCCAAGAACACAGTCATGCTCGCCAATTGAGAAACTCCCGTCCGAAATCCTAGAGCTTATACTGGGGTGTCTTGCCGGACAATTAGGATCAGCAGGGGCATGTGCAGGGTCAGAACGACATCGAAATTGGAATGATATCCTCCGGCATCCACGGAGTAAGGCCATACAGGAACTTGCTATATTATCTGTGACCTGGAGGATCATTATTCAGAAAAGGCTTTTCAGACATGGTAAGTTTCATAGCTCCTGTGTTAGCACATCCTGACTTTTGGCAGTCAAAGTACAAGGCACGCAGGCAGCGATCACGGAATTGGGAGACTTTTTCTTGAACCATCCCCACCTACAATGTCACGTACGCCATCTAGAAGTCATGGTCCCCATATGGGAGAAGTCTGGAGACGATCAGACACAAAGATTGCCTCCCTACATCACAAGAGTTGAAAATCACCGGCCCATTCAAGGCTACATCCTTATGTTGGATCAGCGAGCCAATATAACGCACAACTTCCGGACAGCGTCAAAGAATGTGTCACTCTCTGAAATATTTGCCTCTTCGCAAGGACTGTTTCCAGAGCTCTTTGCCCTAACCATAGAGTCCGGACATTGTCAGAGACCGCCACAAATCAAATACTTCCCGTCTCATTCTGAAAAGGTCCTAGCTTCGCATTCACCCAAGCGAGGATTCAAAATACCGACATTTTTGGGACCATACCTGCCAAAGCTTCCTCCTGTCAGAGTCCTCATCCTCAAAGGGGCATGGAGCATCATTCGTCAATCGTCTGAGCTGGATGTTATCATGAAAGCGGTTCCAAATCTGAATGAGTTTCACTGTTCCTTCCATTCATTCATGCCAATGGCATACACTACGATGTGTAACGCACTCCGACCCAATACCTTGCGAAGGGCGATCAAACACCTCAGCATCTCCCTCGAGGGGTGTTATTCGAGAGATCCCTCCGCGCTTGACAAATGGAAAACAGTCTACCCAGAACACCATCTCTGCCGAGTGCTTGGTTCTGTAGCTCCATACCTCAAAACACTAAATTATACCGGTCGTCTTTGCGGTGCACTTTTCTCTGAAATGATGAAGTCAGCAGAAAGCATGTACCCTGAGAAATCCCGACTAAGAAGCATCGACATGCTTATCCAGAATACTTGCCGCGGTCCAAAGGAAACGCAAGATGGGGTTGGCGTACATAATTATCGCTTCATTCAAGCCTTCGAGATTGCCGTTTTCCAGGCAGTTCGGGCTTTAAAATTCTTTCCTGACGTTGGACAAGTCCGTATTCGGTTCATAGATATTGATGCCCCAGACCCGCCGATCCAGCCATCGTTCCATCTTGAGGGCAAGAAAAGCTGGGGCTTCTGGAGTGACAGGATATATGACGAGCTTCTCAAATCGCGGCCTGATGTTGAGTTCGACACTGGTTATGCTTGGTCTGGAGGCTTTCATGAGGGAGTCCCCAGAAGGAGTCATCATCTTGATTTCTACCGATCTATTGCAGAAAATCTGTTGGGGGTGGTCGCGTAATTTGAGGTCTGGCTTGCGTGAATGTTTGCTAAGCGAGGAGTTTGGTTCGAGAAGATACCCCATAAGCGTAATATTTCAGCTGTTCACCCATCTTGCTCGGTTTCTGAAAGATAGAAGGAGGACATCATGAACATAAGGGTGCTTCAAGGCAGGCTTATGAAGACTTATTTTCTTAATGGCTATCTTAGATCGACGTGGCTCAAAAGGCCGTCATCTCCACTAATCAAGATCAAATTAATGCTTCTCACCACTCACTAATCTCGTACTATCATCTCTTTCAGAAGCACGAGATTTACCCGTGTCTATCCTTCCTATGTTTGATATCATGATACCTAATATCCAGCAATTGACCGCAAAGAATGCTAGGCTTGCAAAGAACAAATTTGGTATGAATGTGCTTCTTCCAAGAAACTCCAGTTCGTAAGCTTGTTGCAGCCAGATAGCCTAGGAATTTTTAGACTTTCCCAATAACGACTTTACTGGGCAAGACTCACTTGGGTCCCAACCCATAGTACCGCAGCGGCTACACCCAATGGTGGACGTTCCAGCAGCGATGAATACGGTAGATAAATTGGCAAAAGGACCAGATACCACAAGAAATACTAGATTGTTTGTTAGTACAGTAGTGATGCAGGCTTCCTATTTGCTTTCGGGTCTTTTCCATTTCACTGTTAAGATAGTAAATATTCTGAACTCACCTGACTAGTGACGACCTTGTTAAACATCACGAAGGCCCAAGTCTGGCACAGCATCGCGCCTGCAAGATCTTTCTTCGCCAACGCTAAGGGGATCAAGATCGCGCTTAGTAGTAACTGTGGAATGAAAGCCAATTTCTCGAAATGAATCCCTGCTCGAGCTGAGCCTTGCATTGAGGAAAGGTGAAGCAGTGTATTCCACACCGAGAAATTGTGTCGATGGTCAATGCGTGTGAGATGGTGTAGGTAAGTATGTTGTAGAAAGGGAAAGTCGTAAAGGTAGTACATGAAGCCCGTGAGGATGGTGAACGTTGATACAGATATAATGCCGAAGATGATGCGGTCTCTGTTGAAAAATGCGAAGAGCTGGCTCAAGATATCCTGATTCTGCGCAGCCTTCTTGGACGAGGACGACGATGGCGATGGCGAAGTTTGAGGCAAGGTCCGTGACTCCAAATACCACAGAATAGAGCACCCATAGATGAATGGATAGATCTTGAAATGCACGCTCAAGCCTAACAGCACTCCTGCGAGCCAGATCCGCCGCTGCAGCACTGCCCACAGCAAGCCAGCCACCATTACACCCAGCAACCCCTCCGAACTCCCTCGCGTACTTATCGTCGCAACCATAGGATTCAACGACCACACAGATGCGAACTTCAGCGCCCTTCCTACCTCCATCCTCTCCCCGCCCCGCTTCACCCCCTGTCCCTGCCTCAGAATCTCAAAAAGTAACCAGCCCGCCATCAAATCGGCCCCAGCAAACAGTAACTTCCCGAAGGAGAACCAGAACCATTGCGGTTTCCAAGCGGTCGGAATCAGAATCCAAGCGAGCAAGGGTGTATACCGATAGGTTTCCCGCAGGTAGGGTGATTTGTTACGATGGACATAGCGCGCGGCGTCTGTGAAGACGAAGTAGTCGATGTCTGTGTAGGGGAGCGGGGAGTAGGCGTCTTGGAGTATGCCGTAGAAGAAGAGCGTGAGGCGGAGGAGGAGAGCAAAGAGGAAGATTTTTGAAGGTGTGAAAAGGGGCATGGTTGTCTTTTTCATATATGAACGACGGAAGACATAGGGAATGCTCTATATACTACCGTATTTGGTATGGGTTACTTGACTTCATGACGATTCTCAAAGAATTACAATACTCTTGCAGTACAAACAACCAGAAATATTTACTTGGTTGGTACCTGTTGATATCTTGATGCGGAGATGCTGCGGAGCTTTTGCGGAGATTCCGTAGGGCTGAAAAAGTTGTAGAAAATCTAGACGGAACGTCGAGTCTTTCTGCACGCTATATGCACCACTTTCGCTCAAAGATGCGGGCGCGTAGCATCATCAGAGCCCAGAAGCAGCTGCTCTGTTCTGAAAACTTATGTATATATAACCACGTCCCTGCATTCTTGAAAGCGACTCGACACGCCTCCACATTTTTACAGCCGGTGATCCACAAGCAATTCCCTCTTGACCGGCGATGGCAGCAGCGCCGGACACAAGCAGGAGCCGCTGCAGCAGTGTGAGTTATTACAGATCTGTAAAAAGTCCTTTTACTGAGGCATAATAGTCTAGAGCAAGCTGCGGAGCCCGAGAAGCTTGCTCAAGAGACAATCATAGAGAATCTTGCGCCCAAAGAAGCAGAGAGACTATCACAAGTTAGAAATATAGGCATCGCTGTGAGATATCGTCCTTCAAAGGAATCTGGATTGGTAATTGATATCTTCAGGCCCACATCGACAGTGGTAAAACCACCGCCACCGAGCGCGTGCTCTACTACACTGGCCGAATAAATTCTATACATGAAGTAAGAGGCAAAGACTCGGTCGGTGCAAAGATGGACTCTATGGACCTAGAGCGAGAAAAGGGCATTACAATTCAGTCAGCCGCGACTTATTGCGACTGGGTCAGAACGCAAAATGGCAAAGAGGAGAAATATCACATAAATTTAATTGATACCCCTGGGCATATTGATTTCACGATAGAGGTGGAGCGGGCGCTACGAGTACTAGACGGCGCTGTTATGATCCTATGTGCCGTATCTGGTGTACAGTCGCAGACGATCACTGTGGATCGTCAAATGAAAAGATACAACGTACCAAGGATATGCTTCGTGAACAAGATGGACCGAGCCGGTGCCAATCCATTTAAAGCAGTGGAGCAGATCAGTCACAAATTGAGGTTGCCGGCTGCAGCTGTTCAGGTACCAATTGGGGTCGAGGATCAGTTCCTGGGCGTGGTGGACATCATAAACATGAAGGCGAGCTACAGCGAGGGTCTCAAGGGTGAGACCGTCAGGATCACAGACGATATTCCAGCAGAAGTCAAGCCACTTGCCGAAGAGAAGCGGAAGCAGCTTATCGAGACCCTTGCCGACGTCGACGATGAGATTGCGGAGATCTTCTTAGACGAAAAGACTCCATCCATCGAACAGATCAAGGCGGCCATTAGACGTGCTACAATTGCGTTAAAATTTGCACCGGTGTTCATGGGCTCTGCACTCGCGGACAAGTCGGTTCAGCCAATGATCGACGGCGCCTGTGACTACCTCCCTGCACCTCAAGAAGTAGAGAATTTGGCCCTGGATCAGAGACGGAATGAAGCTCCTGTGAAGCTCATACCATATGGTTCACTACCTTTTGTCGGTCTTGCATTCAAGCTTGCCGAAAGCAGCTTTGGCCAACTCACCTACATTCGCGTATATCAAGGCTCGCTTCGTAAAGGTCTCAATGTCTACAATGCTCGAACGTCAAAGAAGGTCAAGATCCCTCGCATAGTTCGTATGCACTCCAATGACATGGAAGATGTCCTCGAGGTCGGAGCAGGCGAAGTTTGTGCCGTATTTGGCATTGAATGTGCGTCAGGCGACACATTCACAGATGGCAATCTTGGCTACACAATGACGTCTATGTTCGTCCCAGAACCGGTCATCTCCCTCTCAATAAAGCCGAAAGAAAACAAGGATCTACCCAATTTCTCCAAAGCTATGGCTCGTTTCCAACGCGAGGACCCTACTTTCCGCGTTCATTATGACGAGGAAACCGAGCAAACTATTATCAGTGGTATGGGTGAGTTGCATCTGGACATCTATGTCGAGCGTATGCGACGCGAGTATCGAGTCGGTTGCGAGGTAGGCCAGCCCCAAGTAGCCTTCCGTGAAACTCTCACCCAAAAAGTACCCTTCGACCACCTCCTCAAGAAACAGTCCGGAGGTCCCGGTGACTATGCTCGCGTTGTGGGCTGGATGGAGCCCATCGGCAATCTCGAGCAAAATAAATTCGAGTCACAAGTCACGGGCGGCCACATCGACGAAAAATACATCTTTGCTTGCGAGAAAGGATTTCTTGCCTCTTGTAAGAAAGGCCCATTGATCGGCCACAAAGTACTTGGTGCTAGCATGGTCATTAACGATGGTGCGACACATATGACCGACTCTTCGGAAATGGCATTCAAAAATGCTACGCAGCAGGCCTTCCGCATGGCATTCAAGCAAGGGAAAGCTCAGGTTCTCGAGCCGCTGATGAAGACAACTATTACGGCACCCAATGAGTTCCAAGGTAACATTGTCGGCTTACTCAACAAGCGAAATGCTACAATCAATGAAAGCGACATTGGCCCGGAGGACTTCACGCTCTACGCTGATTGCTCGCTCGTCGCCATGTTCGGGTTTAGCACCCACTTAAGAGCGGCGACTCAGGGCAAGGGCGAGTTCTCAATGGAATTCAGTCATTATGATCCTGCGCCAATGCAATTGCAGTAAGTGCTTCACAAACATGCTTTCATGAGATATACAAAGCTTGATTACTAATCATCTTGCCTACAGGAAGGAATTGATCGCCAAGTATGAGAAGGCTCAGGCTGACAGGAACAAGAAATGATCTATGATTGTCTTCACCTATCCATTTTCTACCAAAGAATCTCTACAACATGGACTTTACAAACTCCACTCCAATGCTGTACAGATGGAATGTCGCCTCGGCAATTTGCAAGCAAGTAGGCAATTTGGTAGACGCCATCACGATGCTCTAGGAGAAAGAGACCAGAACCTTATTAGGAGCTGTCCTCGGTCGCTACCAGCGAGTTGCAATAGACTCACACAGGACGAAGCTTCGTACTCCAATGCCCTGTTGTATTGTCTCGCACATCCACAGCGGCGGCCTAAACCTAAGTACTACTTTGCCAGATAGGCGCGGTCTTGTGTCTCGCGCACTATGGTATGGTAGGAAAAGTTCGTGCGCTTGCGCAGGTGCAGCCTCCTGTCAAATCTGGCTCGAGACATTGATCGACGCGCCTGTGCTCTGGAACATTTCATCGATTCGACAATCTTCAAAACACCTTCCAGAAAAATCAAGAAAGCCGAGGGAGTCGAAGCGTGTCGCATTTCAAGGTCAGATTGAATCATGATACCCTCATAGTTCAAGATTTGTCTAAATTTTCTTCGCAAGGCTATCTCATACTTCAAGATCTCCTTCCCTTGTTTGCTGTTATGTTCACTTTTGCTGCCCTCTTCCTGGAAGCAGTATCAAAAAACATGGTCATTACTCAAGCTCAAACAACTTTCGAGCTATCATCATCAGATCAGGTCTCGTATCCCCCCCGATGTATATTTCAGGGTGCAATAGAGAGTTTGTCTCACTCTTGAACGTTCCGAAGAGCCGCAAGTCACCTCTAGGTCGGCCGACTATGCGAAAGTATCTCAAAGGATGAGGTGCGGACACTGTGCAAAAGCTCTGGAGCTTTCGCACCTCAACAATTGCTTCTCGTTGATTTCTCATAGTCTCTGAACCTACACTCTCCTCGCAGCAAACATGCCATTCCCCATCCCCACCCTCCGCCTGCTCCTCCTCCTCACCACCCTCCTTACCTCTCTAACCACCAGCCTCCCCGCCTTTCAAACCATCCCCAACAACCCCTCCCTCCACCTTCCCCCCACAAACGCCAAACAACCCCACTGCGCCACCGTCGACAACCCCTCCTTCGCGCCACCCGCTCGCTTCCTCCGCGAAGACTGCACAACGGCCTTCCAGCGCTTCAACGAACAGCGCATCGCCGGCCAAACGGACGCGGATTCCAAGCGCGAATTCGTCAACGCGACAACGAAACCGTTCCGTGGGATCCCGTGGCTCAATACGCCGTATAAGTTTACGAGTGGGTCTTGCACGGTGGCGATTGTGATGAGGGAGGATTTTCGGGGCGGCGAGTTGCCGGAGGATGGCGGTGGGGCGCAGACGTTCGCGAGTAGTGATTTGAGTAGTTGGAGGAGGTTGTATGCGACGGCGGGGTTGGTGGAGGAGGAGTGTCATGGTGGAAGTGGGGCGAGGGGAGGTTGGTTGAGTGATGGTGAGTTCTCTCTGGCTCCTCTGGGTCTTCTGGGTTGCAATTGGCTGATTGGGAGTGCGATGTAGGTGATTTGAAAAGTATTGTTGTTGGCGTGTGGCCGACGCAGTCGCCAATTGATAATGATCATGTGCAGGCTGTTGGCCCGGTGCTGGGCGCTGGGGGAGGGGGTGAGGGTATTGTCATGCCGAGCAACGTGTTGTGATCAGTCATTGAGACAGTGGAGGTAGGGTTTGGTGTCCCTTGGTCACGATAGGAGATTTGCCATCCACGTGCTAAAGAGGGAGACAGAGGGAGACGGAGTGAGAAGAGGTAGCATATCTATGACGACAAGAACTGAAGCACATAATACATTATTAGCTCCTCGGCGTGGAGTCGCCGAAAAAGAGAAGTAGTCAAGCCAGAATTGAAATAATTTACCAGCACCGCGAAGTTCAAATTCAGCCTTCCTCAATGACTTAGCTTTCAGGCAATATCCCTTGGGAGGTCACAAAGTCCATTTGGTTTTCGAAACGCCAGCTTTCGCTATACCCCAGAGTTCGAAGTTTGAATTCTCAAAGAGTCTTCGTGAGATAATTGCCTGCATCAGAAATATCTCCAGAAGCAATATCGCCTTCAATGTTCGCACAGATCGACGATCTCGACCTCTCCACGCCTCTTCGATATGGGCAAGTTATCATCTGCATTCTCATCTCTGGGTGGGCGCTTCCTCTTGTTCGTCTGATTGCCTTGTCCTACATCACCAAGAGGCATGCGAATATTTTGTTCACCCTTCTTGATCGTTTCCAGCATCGCCACGATCTCCTTCAGCTTCTCTTCTCCAAGTATAGCCGTCAGCTTCTCCTGGTCGAGATTGTTGAGCATCTTCCGTGCCTCTCTACATCTGCCTTTCCATAGATTGACATCGTGATGCCACTGACCTTCGGTCTTGCGAATGAAAAGTTGATGTGGGCTTTTGGTGCGATCAATCGTTACCTCAAGGTCTTTATGATTACTCAGCTGGCCTATGATATGGCTTCGTGGGCTGTAGGCCATCACGAAATTACGCGATTCTTCATTGGAAGCAGTAGCGAATCGCTGCACCGTCATGCAATCCTCGCATTGGCGTTTGCAAATAGCTTGATCCATCGATCGTTTCCAATCCTGAGGTCGTTCGGGCTTTGGTGACACATAACTGCGCAAGTATAGAGATAGAACCTCTCGAAATAGTTGCTCGTACACCCTTTGGTCCATTCCTTCTACAAGTGGAAGAAGTCGTTGTAGGAGTGGTAGGAGCAGTGTCTCGAAACATTCCGGTCCAGATCGCCGTGCCACGTCCAAGACTAGGTCAACTAGCTGCTCTCGACTGTCCGGTAGAGAGACCTCCTCGCAAGCCGCAAGGAAATCCGTGATTAGTTGAGCTATCCTAGTGCCCCCAATCGGTTTAGAGTCAATTCGTTCATACCATGTCGAAGGTGCTTCATACTCAGTGGTACCGTTCCTGTTGTTGACTTTTTGCTTCGTTCGATTCACAAACCTAGTACAGATATCCTTGTAGAACGTCTGAATCGTTTTTATTTCTAATTTACCGCGCTTCAGAGCCTCAAAGGTCTTCTTTATCAGGGTCTCGGTAAACTCGATATTCGCAACGAGTTTCAATCCCACGGGGCGTATGCAGCCATTGAAAAATGAGTCTCCATGTTTCTCGCTGAGGGAAACCAAGATCTCAGGGTCGTTCTCCTCAACCACACATCCATTCTCCTGCACGGATGAAAACACCTCAGATAACAACCTCTGCTCAACCTCGTCTGGAGTCAATTTTGGCGGAGTTTTACTACACGAATTTGCCTTGAGGGAGTCGATGATCAAAGAAACAGCTCCTATTTTGGGTCTTATTTGAGAGACTTCGGGTCCATATGACTTCTGTGTAATAGACATGGCCGCTGTCAATTTACAGATGCTGCAAGTGGTCAACAAAAGATGAATCTCGTTATGGATACATTTCTACCTCGGGAGCCATGAATCTAGATCCTACTTGGCCAGAATCTAACCAATTTCGGCACAAATAACTGAATCTAAATCGTAGTGAGATCCGCTTACAAACTCGCCTAACAGGGCTGGTGCCTGGATATGTGATGCCGCGTCAATCAACGCCTCTATATCCTCTGGAGCCAAGTGTTTTCCTGTTTGATCCAAGTCAAATGAATGACCATGTGGGTGATTTGTGTTCAACACTCATACCTGAGGCAAGATGCAAGATGCTCCATAGCTGATTTTTACAAATTCCTTCGCTCTGTTTGTCCGATATTTTCTGTAATAAGAAGGTTATCCATGTGGCAAAATCAATTTGGTAGGTATCCATCCATATTTGAGAATCATGAACGGGGGGCGTCAAGAAGACACAGCTTCGCCGGTAAGTTTGCGATATCGGACAGTCTTCGTTGCCTGTGTAGTCGCACTCTTCGTCATCAGGGTCCTCGTCCTCGTACGAAATATCTTCGATGATGTCCTTGCGATGAGAAAAGAGGTTCTCGGCAATCATTACACCCTCTGGTGTGAAGACCTTCGTCAATGTCCATGTATCATCTTCATTGCTGTAGCTGCTGTAAGATTCTTTCATCTGGTGCTCGTAATGTGCTAAGAAGAAAGAGAAACCAATTCTTTGAACAGCATTTTGCAAATACTGAGCAATGACCCGATCTCTACCTTTCAAATGACCGATATGGAAATTTGCTTCCGAATATTGATGGTCAAGGAACCACACGAGCTGCTCTCGAGCGCGAAGACCCTCATTATCTTTCTCTTCATACTCTGGTGAGGACGAATCATCCGAATCCGACTCATCTTCAGCATCTTCTGCTGGGTTCTCCAATTTGCTTTTCCAATTCTCGATCGCTTGGTCGATCTTGATAGAAGGGTCATCCATGACAGCAGGATCGCGACATTCTTCTACAGGTCTTTCGTGGTGTACCAGATTATACGTTAGGACAAAGCGATGGCCAGATGTTACATGCTGGACAGCGTGATTCACATCCGCGTACCAGGCAAGATAGGAAAATCCAAAGGCGCTGGAGTGTTGCGTGGATAGTGTTTTCCTTTGACCGCCTTGATCCAACACAACCTCACCTCCGACATGCTGCGACGGCAGAGCAATGACAAGCGTCGCAAACATGCCAGGCGCTTTCTCCGTACTTCAAAACTCTTCAGCATGTCTCGATTAAGTTGGTCATTACTTACTCGCGATGCACCTCGAAGTGAGCGCCAGGCTCATAAAGCAGGCACTTATGCAACTCACATCTAACATTCGCGACTCCTCCGATCACGCCCAACTCCTCCACAGCCCTTCCCACCGCATGTTCGACGGTGCGCTGCCATCGCGGGTTCAGAAAGCTAATTTGAGCAGGTGATAACTCCCAAGTCTTGCGAACTGAATGGTCGACTAGAGTCTCTGGTCCTTTGCCAAATGGCGCGTCTCGACTTATGCGAGATATCTCAATCGCGTCACGTTGAGAAAGGGGAAGGCCGACTCCTCCAAGCCCTTCAATTGAAAGGCCTGGATTGACTGCGTCTGGCAGGTCACCCGAAGTGGCAAAAACGCCATCAGCGACGACTTCAAGGGCTTCTCGAAGATCGGATTTGATGCCCATGCTGGCTGAAAATGGTGAGATTATACAAGCATATCAATGGTGTTCGAGACGCGTCTGTCGCAGCAGTGAAAGAAACCGAAAATCGGCGAATTCTATCGATACCTCACCGCAAACATTCTCTGAAATGGGTGCTGGAAGGTTCAAGAGCCAAATGACACAATGAGCACAAAGCGAAAAACCTGGTCGATGGTAGAATTCGTATAGCAACTCGTTTGGACGACGCGACGCTGACGTCACCCGTAAATACACCAACCCCTGAACCCCTTTTTAAGCGATGGCACACAAAACATCACCCTTCTTCACTAAATATATCAATGTATTGATAATTTGTACAGCAGGTACCTCAGAGCCTATCCACCAACATCACACCAGCAACACCTTCTGGATTCGCGTAAATGGTGATGGTGGTAATGAGCAGACTGATGAGATTCGAGTCGGTATCACTAGCGCTGTCGATGAGGAGGACGATACGATGCAGAAGATCTGTCAGGATGGTGCGTCGGTGGGAGCGAGTGCTGCTACTTTCTTCGATGGCGCTGCTGCTGCTGCTGGTTTTCCATGCGGCGATTGTTTGCGAGCAAATGAAAAGCACGAGTCCTCGTACTTGACGATCGGATTGAGATTGTACAATACCTTTTGAATCAAAATGGGGACTTTGATAGTGTTTTTGGAGCTGTTTGAATGCAAATTGTGACCAATTATTGCCTCTTGTTCGTTCCACTTTCCTGTCAGCAGCAGTAAAACAAGTCTTCTTGATTCAGGTTGATTTGAAATTCAAAACTAGCAGGAAGAAAAGCACGACAAACCCAAGCGCAATCACAACCACAGACCAGTCGTTTTGTTCTCGAAACTTCATTCATATACATACAAAGCTCACCACCACCTCAACTCCCCTTAACGCATCTTAACTCTCAACCTTCAACCCCTCCAATCTCGCCTCAGTAGCGATGACATCCATCGCCTGTCTTACCTCCAAAACCCTCCTCGCCTCACTCAACCAATCCCAACTCAACGTCTTCGCCCACCCCTGCAACCCCGTCATCTCCCTCGCAGCCTCATCCAAATTTCCCTCCTCAAGCAACGTCTCCGTCCTCGTGAGCACGCTCTCCACATCATCCCCCACAGTCATGCCCTTCTTCTTGAACAAAACCTTCGAGAGCGCCCAGCTAGCGGCATGGCTTGCCACGCCCGCCTCGTTTGGCAGTAAGGCCGCTTTGCGGACTTCAGCCGCCACGCGACGGAACCGGTCGATTAGCTGGGCGGAGGTGGGCATGCCCTTTTGGTATGCGGTAGGGTTGATGGATGCGATGGCGGCGTTGATGACGGAGTCGTCGGCAGCGATTTCCTTCAAGGCGGCAAGTTCGTGCACGAATGGGCGAGGGCGATCTGCTCTCTCCAGGGTCGAGCGCACAGCTTCTACCGCGACTTGTAGATGCTGAGTCCTTAGATTGGCGTCGACGACGCCGTTCCACTCGCCGGTAAGCTTTTCGAGCTCGGAGACGCTCGATGAGAGGTCGGAGAGTTTGGCAAGTCTGCCGTTACGCTCATTCTCGACCTGCGAAGTTACGTCGGACAGGAACTGCTTCTTGAGTGTGAGCGCCTGCTGTAAGAGCTCGTTGCCGACGCGCTGCTCCATAACTTCTTGGGCTCGTTTCATTTCAACACTGAGGCGCTCCTGGTAGTTCTGGGACAATTTGTCTCGCTCGGACTCGAATTCATCGCGCCACTGGCCGATTTGGACCTGCTGTTCTTGCTCTATACGTTTCACGAGGTCCTTCGCCCCTTCGTCAAATTTCAAATGCATTGATTTTATCTCTTCCTCTGCTTTTTGCTGCTCGGTTTGCTTCAGATTCACAATTCTCCCACAGACATTGACCAATGCGGTCTTTGCTTTTGACATCGTCGAGTTATATATAAATGACGATCCATCATTGTTTACAACGGTGATGATATCGTTCAAAATGTTGACTAGGTCTTGAACTAGGGGCTCATTTGCATTTTTAACTTTTAGAGGATCAATGGGCTCTACAGGCATTATTCGACTGGGCTCGTTCACTTCTGGCGGGCGCGTAGATGCGATATTCGCTGTTTCTGGCTGCTTGACGGGAGCTGTTGAAGTGCTAGGTGTAGTGGTCTCTGCTGGCTTTGAAGAAGGTGCAGGAGATGCTGCTTTTACTGCTTCTTTGGCTTTCGCCGCTGCCGACTGCAGTGGTGAAGATTGCGACTCTGAAGTCTTTTTGGCACCTTCTACAGCTTTGGTCTTCTCCGCACTTGTTGCTTGTGAAGGCGTCTGCTGGGCATTCGCAGTATTGCTTTTATTGACCTGAGCCTCCTGGGAGTCGACAGCATTTGTATGCCGGCCCTTGGTTCCCGAATCGCTCGCTTTCTGGGTGTCATCTGCGACCCTCCAGGAGACGCCACTCTTGCTCGGTATGGTGACTTTGTTCCCGGCATCTAGTGTTGGGCGATTGGTGGGATTGGTAATGTTAGGGAACCGCTTTCGGTATTCACGTTCCTCGAAGTAGAGTACCGCCTCCTCGCCGAAAGGCACGTACTCCGTGAAGAAATCATGGAAATTGTCTGACAGTAGCGAGTAATAGACTCCCCCGGCATAGCTTAAGGCGCCAATAAGAACAAGATAAACAATAAAGCGTCGAAAACGACGCGGCTGTCGTGGAGGTGGAGGGGGCGGTGAGGGAGGAATTGGCGCAGAGGGAGCGCTGGTATTGGAGGGTGGAGGAGGGACAGAAGTTGGCGGGGCTGTCTGTAATTTACCACCAGGTGGTGTGGGTGGAGTTTTCGGTATACTCTCTGGGGGGATTGTCGAATTGGAAGATGGAGTTGCAGGGGAAGATGCTGTCAAGGGTACTGAGCCGGGCGGAGGTGGTTGGGCCTGAGAAGCAGTTCGACTTGAGGTCCCAGGAAGTACAACAGTGTCTGAATCATGAATGCTAGGCTTGGTGTTCGTGTCATCCTTTTTCAAGTCTGCAAAGCATCGCTAGAGACCAATTCAGCTTAGCAATCCCTTTCACGGAGCTTTCTCAAGATACCTGTGATTGATACGGAAGCCGGCGCGTCACCAGCCATTGTGGGGCGGGAGAGGCTCCAATAGGTCTCTTAATAAGTCGCCTCGACACTTGCGAGCACGGACGAAGCATTGCAGAAGGAATCTCCGCTCTGGAGGGCGCATTCGAGGAAGAACAGAGCTCAAGAAATTTCCGTGGATGATGGGCACCTGTACCTGAATGCCAAGACGACAGAAATGTGCCCCGGAATGCCCCCCTTACGGCTTAGGGTGCGCGCCGCCTTGCTCAGGGCTTTTTTAAATGAATCATATTTTCGATAAATCCGAATGGTTAAGATTATAAAATATATTTATCTCAAGCCTTTCCTAAAAAGGTTAGAAATATAATTCCTTTCAAAAAGCCCTGAGTAATGATCGTCCTCACTCCAACCTCCCTTCCATTCCCATCCTGCATCTACTCGTCCTCCTCTAATGACAACATATTCCCTCCGTGCTTCAGCGATTTTTCTTCACTTTCTAAGCATATTGTGATATCTACTAAAGCTACAAAGGCGCGTATCGCAGATGAAGCTTCTCAGTACAGTTTCTCCACTTCATCGTGACTAATGGGGCAGAATAAGTTTAATGAGCTTCGTCAGACAACGACGATGGTAGTCAGAATGTCTATTGCCGCATTTTTCTCAATCTGGTCCTCAAAATTATAGACATAGCTCTGTCCTGACCAAATGTATGTGTCTGTCGCAGGTTGATGGCGAACGAGGAAGGTTTCGGGACCCCCATCGATCATGAAAATTTCATCTCCAATCGCTCCCTTTTCGGTGAACATGCCATAGCAGCCTCCTCTGGTTGCTCCAAAGCATCCATCTTTCGAGTGATACAGGGCGATCAGAGCGTGATTGCGTGATTTAATTTCGTCGAAGAGGGCCTTCCGATCCGCAAGCGCCATAAAAGCGGAGAGATCCGGTTCATCGTCTACATACCGCTCACACGCGTTAAGGAAAGCCTCAGAGACTTCCTTTCCTTGGTGGGCCACATTTCGTGCGAGGATTCTAAGTGCGGATCTTTTGGGGTTTTCATCAGACAAAAACCGATTCGAAACCTTGCAAAGGTCAAGCGCTGCTTTGTAGGATTCTGAAATCGTCTCAATACTTCTTGTTCGTTCTTGAACTTGGTCAATTATAAAGCCACGAACCGAGAGCTTAGCCCTTGTCATCAATGACACCGCGCCTTTTAAGCGCTTCAAGTCTAATTCCATAACATTCCGCGATAAGGTTGCTGATTGGTAAGTCCTGGAAGTCTTGGAACGCTTCATATCCCAGTCAGGGTACCAAGAAGGCCAAAGCGGTCCTGGTCCAACGATAGTTACATTTTTCTTCCATGGTCTTGCGCCATTATCTTGCCCAACAATGAAAGAAACATATGTCTGCACAATTTCCTCTAAACCCCTTCCATAATCTGGCTGCAGACTTTACGCGTCATTCACGTCGTTCGCAATGCCGAGAACTCCGAAAAAGCGGTCTCGTGGGTCTGTTGTGTCGTAGGCGTAGGCCCAATCAATCAGGTTGAGCAGATTGAGATGATGTTGCAGGATAGACACTGCTGGTGTTTGCTCTGGAGACATCTGTGCGACAGTATGACCCAAAGCAAACCGAAAAAGAAGTGTCGTCGGATAAGCGAGACGCTGTCTAGAACGTCTTCATCATTAGTGCTACATGGGGATGCAAAGAGAGGTCTAAGAGGAATGACTGATGCAAAAATTGTTATGAACATTGTTAAGTCGCTTCCGTTCATTTCCCAGTCCCCGCATCTCATGATCACGTCTTGGGGCAAAACATATTCATAAATCACCTATACTCTTTGGAACCAGGCACGCCTGAGTAAGGCTCTCAACGCGACCCAGCGAGTATCGTTCTCTGATGGAAGCCCCAAATTCTGGTCCAGGAAGCAGATAATAGGTCCTCGTCTCCATACTTGATTCCCAGATCTTGCGTCACGCGTAACCCATCGAATCAATACATTCATAAAATCAGGGAGTAGCTCGCTAGAATTAGCCTCAGGTCCTAGGTAGACTGTACATTCACTACACTGGCTTAAGATCTCGCTCATAAGCCGGACTTGTTTATTCCTCTCTTCTATTGAATTCTGGTCAATACAAACAGCGTCTGCCCAGATTAGCCGATTTTCGGTAGGAAGTCGTAGGCTCACGAGAGCATCATGAAGATTCTGTGTAACACTGAGATACCCTTGTTCAAGACGCAATCCTCGACAGGAGACAGGAGGCCTTCAGCAATAGGACAGAGCCTCGTAGTCGTGATGGTTGCCGTCCAGGTCAGCTATTTCAAACGAGACGCAAATCTCCTCGTCGTAACTCCCGGGATACAGATTCAAGAGTCGGATAGTCGTTGCGTTTGGAAGCGGTTGATAGCAAGCCATTGGCTACAAGTTATAAACAGACCGCAATGAGTTACAAGTAGCACTATCCAAAGGACAAGTAGACGTCGCAGTGGCAGTACTGAGAGTCGGTGGAAGGCTGCGAAACTACAGTAAGCAGTGCATATGCGCTAGGCCAAGCATGGGAGGACGACTAGTGATATTGCACTGTGCCCTCTGCTCGCCACCTTAGTCAAAATGTGGTGGGAAGTGTTAAAGTATGCGATTGTGTAGGTTTCAAACCATCCAAAGCCCTGAATAAACACTAAGTAAACATATTTTGATGTATTGGTGAGCATATACTATTCGCTCGAAAAACTTGTCTATTGCGCTCATTATAAGGTCAACGAGGCAATCGCTACAGCATCTCCAAGTCACATCATTGTGTAATCCAACAAACGAAGGAGACTATTTTCATGATTTTCGTGCTGTTGACGGGTCTGGTCAGGTGTTTTTTGTGAATCTCAACCAACGAAAGAAGTGAATCTTAAGGCCCATTGCGGCAATATCGATCCTGTGATTTGAGCACTGTCACAAATTGACCAAGCCCAACTGCCTCAGCTTGGCGTAGCAGATATCCTCCGCACACTGTAAAGAATCATTCGCCTCAGCTCGCACTAAAGAGATACCTTATGTCAGCAGACGATCTCACAGTAAGATGGAGAGTGTTTACCTGCTAAGTTCTCCTGAATGTTTACGTAACCTTGGGTGACGCGACATTTCATACATCTCGGCGTAGGTTCAAACCATGCATTCTGCCCATTCAGTATAATCGGCGCAAAATGAGACCGTGCGTCCTGATTGACAAAAGTGAAAGCCCGCCAGGCGGCAGGCTGGGACTGCAGCACCAGATCGTTGGTCACCTGGGTGACAAAGTCTTGAAGAGTTTGCTGTCCACTACTTGCTGGTGTCCAGCCGTGCGCTCGGAAGCGGGCTGCTGGTCTTGTAGCAAGATTAGGAGCCACTACATTCTGTGAGGTGTCCAAAAAGCGGGTTTGAAGCTCGGTGTCGTAATTTGCACCTCCTGCTACAAAACGCGCGCGTCGGATGGGGTCGAAGGCAGCTGGGAAGATTGGAAGCCCTAGTTGGGTCGAACAAAGAACTGTTGAGCCAGCTACCAGATTCCTGTTGGCGGCAGCGGGTGTCGACTGGCTAACGAAGATACAGAAGGAAAAGCCGGTGCGATTTCGTTGATTTTGGTTGAGGTCGAAATGATTGTTGGTCGCAAGCTCTACGGACAGGCATTGTTGAACCAGAGCTATGCGCCTAAGTCTCAGTGCGATTCAAAAATGATGAACAAAATACAATATCACAAATGTCGTCCACTTACCTGTAGTGTTCAGGCCGTTAGGGTACGTTGGACCAACTCGAGCTCTGTCGTACACGTCAAGGTATATCTGAGCTACAAGTTCCAGTGGGGGCTCCGCAGGTATCGGATACTGAACAGCGCCATCATCCCCGAGGTTGGCTTGAGAATCCACCGACCATTGGTCTGGCACAACGACCAAAGCAGTAAACAAGGCAGTGAGTGCATCTATGAAGGTTCCCCATGCCGCAGGATTCCTCCTGGCGGCAGAATTCGGTATCTCGGCGCTCCACTCCATATAATTGGTTATACCATTCAAGAAATAGGTTGTCACCCAAGTCAAACGTCGCGCTAAGGTGACAGTTCCACCAACAAATGATGGTGTATATGCCGCATTTCCGTGCAGAGTGGTCGCGGCCGTCAACATTGCCGTGAGATTGTTGCAAAGTATGGTATATTTTGTAAGCTTTACGTCCACTACGGCCGCATCGAAATTGTTTGGCAATGGAAAGGGTTGGTTAATTAGAACCCGAAAATTGTTGTATGTCGGTGCATTTCCGGTTGCTTGTAAAGTGCCCGCCATTTTGGGAAGACCTCTATTTGTGATGTTCAGCTAGATCAGGGTATGCAAAGTCGAGATGATACTTGATAATTTTCGAGACGCTGACGCCCAGGTCTTTTTATCCGCCATGAAGACGTCAACAGCTTGGCCAAATCGGGCATTAGGTGCAATTTCGCCACGTCAGTGAGCCACAATGAAGAATGGGGAGCTGAAACACCGTAGTCAAGACCGTATCCTGTGCAACTCAGCCAGCCACATTCTGTTCTAGATCGACCTAGTTTCGCCGAAAAAGAACCCATGAAGAACAGAATGAGCCGATATAGTGAGATTTAGAGATACGATGTGGTAAGTGAGGGCAGATAGCGGATTTCATAAGCGAATCATGCATGTGCCCCGCGTTGATTCGGCCTCTCACAGCTACAGCCACACCTCCTTCGCCTACAGAGCAGTCGCTATATTGGTGGCTTGTCTGGTAGCCAGCTGAATCCTCGTATGTCTATAAGAAATTCTGATCAACTCGTGACTGACTTTTTGGTGGCGTTGATGGCTGCACCGGAAAGGAACGTCTTCCCCACAGAACAAGATTCTAGAAGGGAGCAGAAAAGCAGAGGCGTGCTCATAAAAGTACCGTCCAGACTTTTGCAAGGCCCGCGACTGTGAATATATCGTATTTCGAACGCTTCAAGTCTGCCAATAACCATTAGTCACACAAGCTTGTCACCTCTATAACATTTGTGCACCTCAAGCTTCCGGCACATTCGCATACACATTCAATTGAATTGGACGCCCATAGAAACTGAGTATCACATCAACTGCCTCAATTATGTCGGACTCTCCTGACTTAAGTAAATCCATCATTCACACACCTTGTGACCTCGACAGTGACTCACCGCTTCTGCTAGGCTACGCAAATCTCCTCCGACTCCGGACCTTACCAAAGGACAAGAGAGCTCAGGGAATTCAACAGATCCAGCAGAAGGCCAAGACCATCCAGTCAAATTGCAAGCCCGCACCACCACCAATGGAACCCTCAAATTATCTGACGGCTCTTGCCAACCTGGACGTCAAGAAACCCGATGCTTTCCAAAATTTCATCCGGGATACCCAAGCACAGGACCCTGAAAGCTCGCCGAAGCCTATACCACTAGGTACTCGTGAGGGCATACAATACTTCCTTCTAAGTAGCGAGTCTACTGTCCAACAGGACATCAGGTAAGCATCATCATCTCCTCTGACCCCATTCTTTCAAATTGATGGCGCTTTCGTAGCAACCCTCCGAAGACGGGCGATATCTACTACAGCATGTCCGAGTACACATCCCTCAGCATCCCGCAATACAAGCCCCTAGCGACGGATCTCGTCTACGGTTTCGGTCTCGGCCAGCTCTACTATCGCCCCGTCACCACCTCCCCTGCAACTTGGGACAATCTCACCGACAGTGGCTTCTTCGTGATCTGCAGCGCGACGGACAAGTCCCTGTGGGCGGCATTCAATTTCAATCCCATCACAGAATTGGGTTATGTCAGGCCCTTGAAGCCCGAGAACGGAGATCCGTATGGCAAACTACCGCCTGGTAAACCGGATGATCAATCGAGCGTAGTGATTGGGCTGCAGAAGCTTTATGGGAAAGACTGGACCACGAAGAAGCCATTTAGCCTGGATGGAGTCGATCCTTTTAAGAATAATGTAGGCAGTGGAACGGAGATCGCGGCGAAACTGACTGCGAAACCTGTGTTGGTCGCGGATGTGGTGAGGGCTATTGGTGGTGGTGCCGTGGGTGCTTAAACTCCTAGTAGCCTTTCCTCGTTGGGCCAATCCGAATATGTTTCCATTTCCCTTGATCATTTTCTGAAGCATGGGCATTAAGGGCCGTCTCGCAGGTTCGTCAAGTTTTCACTCTAGTACATGGTAATATGTTACAGACCGATGTCAAATAATTTGAAGGTCCTGATTTGGAGCTTCTCATTGAAGTAGAGGCGTGAAAAGCTTCACCGGGTATTTTCATAGATTTATAAGAGGTTGCGGGCAGATAAAGCATTGCAGAAGGAATCTCCGCTCTGGAGGGTGCATTCGAGGAAGAACGGGGCTCAAGAAATTTCCGTGGATGGTGGGCTGTACCTGAATGCCAAGAAGATAGCGTCACTCTCGCTTCCGAGGTTTAACCGACGAGGCTATCGCTTCACTTGTAGACCGAGGACCCTGCGGACGTTCCTGTGAACACAATGATAAGGCACTCTCTGCAAGACGCGCCGTAGATGTGAAACTCGCGGGCAGTCGCTTCTGGTTCACTCTCCATTCATGCGCTATACTTTGGCTGTCCTTGCCTGCCAGCCTTCTTGCACCAAGAATCCCCCGCTTGCTCTCAGGATAACTCATCCACCCCTTTTCAGCCTTTGTCCCTGAGTCCTTGGTACCTCTGTACCAGAATAAAACTTTGTCGTGAAGTTTTTCTCCAATTCTGTATTCGGCGAGCGATACATTTTGCCCTAAATCGGATCCCATGTTGGCAATCTCTGCCTATAGTCTCTCAGAAGCTTCGATAGCTGAATCGCTGGAATTGGAATGCTTATGAGTATGTTGACTTTCGTGAAGACAACTACTATGCTAAAGGCAGCTCGAAGCTGAGGCAAAAGTTGATATATCATGGCGAAAGAGCGAGGTTTGGCATTGCTGTACCAACCAGAGGAAGGTATATCCGTAATTGCCGAGTGAGTCGAGCTCTTCAAATCACAAACGGCTTCTTATAGTCACATGCAGTGTGGTATTGGTCCATGGCCTTTTTGGCGACAGATTTGGTACCTGGACCAAAGATTTAAAGCATCCTGCGAAACCAGATATCATACACGCGACCCATTTGCCTGACCCTGCAAGCTCAAACCCTAGTAAAAGGCAGTCTTTCTTAAAGAAATTCGTTTCGAAGTCACGGTCCCCTTCAAGACTGCACGATGAGGGAGGGTCAGGAAATACCGCTGGAATTGATACTGAGGCATATCGCAAGCAGATCTTCTGGCCGAAAGATTTACTTCCCGTAGAGCTTCCCAATGTTCGTATCTTTACTTGGGGATATGATGTTGACATAGATCATGCGTTTGCGGGTGCATCTACAGCCACTGTCTTCCAGCATGCGGCGAATCTCCTTTCAGCTCTCACAGATGTTAGAATTTCCCCTGACACGGAGACGAGGCCGATATTCTGGATTGCACATTCGCTTGGGGGTGTGGTCGTTAAAGATGTAAGTTTATCGGCTTTCCTCCTGCCGCTGACGTTCCGAGATTAATATCGCGAGCTATAAAGGCAATCAATCAGTCGCTGCATGCTCGGACTCATCTCAAGACAATAGCATTGGCTACTTATGGGATCTGCTTCTTAGGCACCCCACATCGAGGCTCGTCCACTGCTTCACTGGGCGAAAGTGTTTATAGAATCTCTAAATGTTGGGGAAAGTCCCCAAATCTTAGCGTTTTGCAGGCCCTGAAATATGATGCTGAGACCTTGGACCGTGTTCAAAGTGCCTTTATGCTCACTCTCGCTGATGAACGCTGTAATATCACAATTCGTTCCTTCCGTGAGGCGGAAAAGACTCATGGATTTACTGTCTGTCTACTGCATTCAATAGTATTGTGTGTACTCGCTCACTTGGTTTGCAGATCGTTGACCGCTTTTCGTCTATTATAGGTCATCCACTGGAGATCGTTAGCGATATATCAACTGACCATTCCAATATGACCAAATTCAGCAGCCTAGAAGACCCTGGCTTCATCGATGTTTACAAAACGCTGCTTCGGTGGATATTGGATATACAAAAACAAGTAATCCACTGTTAGTACAACTTTGCTACCGGTTTCTAAGGTCTCTAGTTGAAATTTGCTTGTAATATTCAGTCCTGACACGAGAGGGTAGCTAAACCCGAGGCGGTGATTGATGAGCAAAGTTCGAGCCACCCTTATGAAAATACTTTTAGGCTACTGCTAATAATTTTGGCAGGGCTCCTGCAGAGCTTGGACAGCCAAAAACGGTGGGAACGCATCCAGCAAATCGATGATGCGTACAAGGGGACTTGTTCCTGGATTTTTGACCCTGATCTTCCATTTCAGAAGTGGCTCTGTCAAAGTACAATTGAGAACAGTCCCTTTTTCTGGATTCAAGGCAGGCCAGGCTCCGGTAAATCTACTTTGATGAAAAAAGTACTTATAGATTCAAGGACGCAGGAATACCTTTCCCTGTGTTCCTCCAGGAAATGGAACTTGATCCCATTTTTCTTCCATGATCGCGGATCTCGGGTTCAGAAATCAATTAACGGTCTCCTTCAAGATATTCTCTATGGTCTCCTCGACGCTGACAAGTCACTTTCGAGGTTCATAAAGGATCCAGTGATACGAAAGGCATTTTTAAGAGCGGTAGTTCAAACGGACAGCACGCACAATGCAATGCTGGATTTCAGCTCCGTTGTTAAGGCCCATGAATGGTCGACCAAAGGTCTCGCAGATATATTGAAAGCACTCCTGTCGCAAGATGAGGTGGAATTGAATGTGCTGTTCTTTATTGATGCCCTTGACGAACATTCAGGGAATCACCGAAATCTATTGAGTACTATCAATTCTTGTCTTGTGGAACGTTCATCACCAAAGGTGAAAGTGAAGCTTTGTGTTGCAAGTCGTGCAGAACCCATTTTCCGCATTGCTTTCCAAGATGTCCCGACTCTAGAGGTCCATCTCTATACGAAAGGTGACATACGGCTGTACGCGCATGAACAGATCAGGCTCTACCTGAACGAAGAGGACGGTGCACGGGATGCTGAGAAACTCGACGCCCTTACAACAGAAATCACGGATAAAGCGAGTGGTATGTTCATATGGGTGCGTATAGTGGTGGAAGAGCTTATCGAAAGACTCATCGATGGCTACACAGTGGTGCAACTGCGTGAAATTCTGTTGGAAATACCGGAAGAACTTCAGGATCTGTATCGTCGCGTTCTCTCCAGAATAAAGCCACAATATGCACTCCATTGCTACGTTCTCTTCCAGATCTTTCTCTGTATGGAGGAACGAGGGATCACAGCTCAAACAATACTCACTGTGACTGAAGTCGTCGTGCATCACAAGTACGAATCAATACCAGCGCAGGCGCAATCAAGAAAATTAGCAAGCTATTCTGGGGGCCTGATAGAGCTTGTGAAGAACTCCAGCAAGCCCCAACTCATTCATCAGACCGTCAGAACCTTCTTAAAGGACTCTCACAGTGCGTGTCACATGGTGCCCCAAATTTCAGAACCGTTGCAAGATGGGATGGCTTATCTTACAGCATTCTGTGTACATGTTGCGGTCCGAGAGAGGCTTCATATAGCCGAAGACAATGGACATCGTCTTTTATGTCTTTTCAATTATGCAGCTGAGACCGAGACAATGCAGTCAGAGGACTTAGTGAAAATGTTAGATCGTCTGTCGACTGAACCAGATTGTTCTGACGAATTAAAGCCGATTTTCGCTAATGCCATTGACTATACGATAGATGGGCTTCATGTGATCCAAGAAATTGCCAGTAATGGAGGTCTCATGGCTTATCACGAAGAACACCCCTGGCTCAGTCAAGGACTCAGCCTAAATAGCAAGTTATTTCCAGAAAGCCAATCATCACTACCCAGAGAGCATACCACACTCTTAAGACCTTACGACATTTTGTCGGCTGCAATATCTAGTGGTGTCTTGCCCTACGCCGAGAACAAACTCAGTAGTGGCCTGCTACCGACCACCATGATGAATCGAGCTCCGCTGCTGCACTACGCGGTAACATCGTCATTCATCACCTGGCAGTATGTTAGCTCTGGATACTACGAAAGAAGAACTGCGACTGCGGCAACGTTGATTAGACTTTGCATAAGTCAAGGCGCAGATCCTAACACTCAATATAATGGTATGGCGGCCTTGGGATTCCTTGTAAGTCTCCGACCAACATCCATGGGGAGACCTATTTCCATCGCCAATTGGACTTCTATATTCAAGACTATGACAGCTCTACTCGAAGCTGGGGCTGACCCAAACGAGATGATCTTGAGTGGGGGAAGATTCCAGAGATCTCTTCTTAGCTATGTTCTCAGGCTAGCTTCAACCTCAGATGACAACGCCTTAGAAATGGTCAGAACCCTACTGGAACATGGTGCCAATACCAATCTAGCTGATGCAGACGGCTTCAGGCCTCTATTCTTTGCGCTTGATCGAGTGCATATTAAAGCCGCCAAACTTCTCTTGGAATTTGGAGCAGATCCAGGCGACCTTGGGAATGGAAGAGTTGCCAATACTGAAAAGTATCTGGTGGTATAAAAGACAGATGAGCACCTCAAGCAGCTCAAGAAGGCCCAACTATAACCTTCAGATGATCTCGACCACCATAGCCAGCATGAAGATGATGGCTCGTGATTACCCCAACTGTAAGCCAGTATACGAAGCACTTGTCAAGGATGTTTTGGATGTTCCAAATTGCACTTTGATTCACAACACTTTTCTTGGGCCCTCTTCCCAACGTTTACTAATTTACCCTGAGCCCCTGATGACCTTTTCCGCCGACTTTGTCAATCGGGGGTCGATCATTTCGATATTTCCCCCATATATATTGTCTCATAACGGCACATAAAGAGAAAAGAATTGTTACATGGGCTCGGTGACGATCATCTTGATCCTTGTATTTTTAGTCCAGGCAATGGCCGGGGCTTTGTCCGCCAACATTGCGTCTGATGATATTGGCCTCATATCTTCAACGCAATGTGGGATTTGGGAGTTCAATGTAGATGCCGGCATTGAAGCTGCTGATTTAGCCGATCTGAGCAACCATAGGAAGGAAGTACGAGCAGGTCAATACGCTCGAACTTGCTATGAGCCTAGTGGGGACCCTGGCGCGTTCTCATGTGGGCTCTTCTACAACCAGAGCATTGCCTTCACAACGAAGACGCACCAGAAATGCCCCTTCTCTTCGCCAAATCTCTGCCTCGAGGGGGCATACTCTGCCATTACCTTTGAGACAGGCCTGGTCGACGCAAGCGTTATTGGTATCAATGCGAGGCCGACCCACAAGTTCAAACGAAGCACTACATGCTCTCCTCTTAACATGTCACAGGAGTTTATCTCCAGAGTGTCTGAAGCGAACGACACAAGATATCGTTACTACTATGGTGGCAAAGACGAAGGAAACTCTACTTTTGAAACTGTGGGCCAGCCATTTGACTGGCTTGTCCCGGTCTACACTGTCAGGTATGTCTTGCAATCATTTGCAGATCCTGCATGCAGAGCTTCAGGCTGAATCAAATAGCACGTATTTTTCATCGCTCTACCCTGGCGAAGACTACTGGCATCCAATACCAGAGCTTGCTCGGCCGGAAGATACCACCCTCACAATCATGTTCATTTCAAGCGCGCACATCTATTACACCAAACCAAATTTGGATCCGATCTTCCACGCCGAGGAACCGAAGCAAGTGGGAGGACTCCAGGGAACATATTACTTCAACTCAGACCCGCGAGCAAGGCCGATGGCTTGCGTCGATAAGACCGAACTATGCTCTCCGGACGGCAAGCGTTGCTGGTCAATGACATCACCAGTCCCAAATGGAGTTCCATCGTCAAACGCCTATTGGCTCATGAAATGGGCACTGGAAAACTCGAATAGCTACGATTCAATAAAATGGCGTTTAGGCAATGCACTCCTGGCCCAAGAGAAGATCAGTCAATTCGTCTCACGACCGCTCAGCCCAGTGCAGTGGCAGCTAGAAGTAAGCCAGCTGTTCGCCACATCCCTGGCGCGAAGTCAATTTGACGTGTTAGGGATTGGGATTGGAGAAGATAGGGAGAAGCCTGGATACGTCGAGTTGACGCCGGCCGAAGCCAGAGGTCATCTTTGCGGACTCGTTAAAGTCAAAATGACGGGTGCAATCAATGTCCACCTCGGGTGGTTCCTTCTTATTTTCGCGCTTTTATTCCTTATTTTCTTCTTGACATGGAAACCAAAGACTGTTGGCTGGAAAGCTCCTGAAAGAGGCTACGGGGGTCAGCGAGAAGCTATCATGATTGACTATATCATCGAGCGCGTTTCGGAACTTTCGGTATGGCTTCTAGGATTTGCAAAGGAGAAGTATCGGAATTGGAAAGCTTCGAAGCAGCATGGAAATCAACCAACTGATCCTGATGCCGAACATGTTGATAATGGCTCAGAACACAACGATGGACCAGAAGATCACGATTAGTCTCCTTGAACCAATCTGGATGGTGTTAGGGCGTTATGAGATCTTTAAAACGTGCGGTCGTGTCAACACTATCCACATTATGATGCTCAGAACATTAGACGACTTTGGGAGTTGTACGAACTACTATCTGGAATATCCGGTTTTTTTCGAATAATAGGCATTCCTTGCGTAAATCGCTCGACAAGTCAACGGGCACATTGGTCAATGCGCCGAAGAACTAGCAGAGAAATCAACAACTGTTTGATACCGTACGACGTGGTTCACCAGTTCGCGCCCTTGTACGGGCCTGAGTCTGCTTGTTGAAGTGTTCGATCCGATTTACGACAAGTTTATTGGTTGTCCAACCATTCTCACTGACAAAGATGCTTTAGTCGGGTGGAAAGGGGCTGTTTCGGCACCAAGATGCCAAATGATTTCGGCCCTTTACAATAATGAATGGTGAGATCGCCCACCCTTGAGAATTGACGGCCCGAATAACCGAAACCCATCCTCAATTGCCAGGCTGAGCCAGTGGAATATTGCCAGCTTTGTCTGACCCTGTAACGACAGTGGTGGTTGTAAAATGATCCATTCAAAAGCCGGTCTTGTCAAAGCTGTAAATACCCTTAAGCATAATCTCATGTTTGTTTGTCTAATTGCGTACAAGATCAAACCATCCTTGAATCACCTCAAGTTCCTCGCACAAGGGTCTTCGGTAATCATGTTTACGAGAATACGGTGTCCGGAGCTCTGGCTATCGTTCAATAAACTTTGCAGTCCAGCTCTTTCAGACCGGTGACGCGTAGGGGGCGCGTCGTCGTCGATTGGCCATGTCTACCACAGCAGTAATCCTGAAGGGATATACTTGAATACTTAGTTTAAAAGGCCCTCTGAACAATACCATGTCTTTCTAGATTTGTTAACCCCGGTGTTTTGAGAATACGATCGTGTTGTGAAGTCCGGCCGTGTTTTCGGCGAGCCAAGGTAGTAAAATCAAGAGATTAGATCTCAGCAACGCGTCTAATAAGTGGTGGATAGTTGAAATGTAGAGCCTGAATGGCTAAAATGACTTGAGATTCATTAGAAGTTTTTAACCATGTTTCTAGGTACATTCGTCGTATTGTGAATGGGTAGAGCCCGTTACATACGTCCTAGCACCGAGAGACATTACTAGTCTAACCATATTTAGAATAGTCACATTACTCGAGGGTCCAACCTCGTCGCTTCACTTTCTTCCAGCTCACAGCTTCTGTAGAAAGACTCGGACTCGGCTACCAAGTCCTTCGTACTTCTCAAGAGGACTCCAGATTCACTCAAATTTCACTCCTGCAATCCCTGAAAGATTTGGCTTGCCGTCGCAATGTGGGGTGACGACCGTTACGGCCATCACCGTGCCGGCAGGAACGGAAGCGAAGGCAGATTCAAAGACAAGTTCGGCACAATCTATACGGTTGTTAGTACTCGCAACGGCGGAAAGCAGTATCTGTTGTCAGATGAATTCGGGATGGGGGAACACCATGAACGCTGGGTCCAACAGGGTGATATAAAAAGATTGGGGCTACGTCCTGCTTGAAGGAGGACGTTACAGAAGGCTTGAAAGCGATCCCAAGACTTCGTGTGAACCTTGACGAGGGATACGACAAATATCCGTGGGCTGGATTGCGAGGATGTTCATTCAGCTACTGTTGGCGTTGACATGAAGAGGGCGCAACGGTGAGGCCGACACGATACAGCAGAACGACAGATCAAAGACTCTCTTAAATGGAGAGCTGAATGATGGCTGTTATCGAGTCGCGCTGTCCAAGACCGTCCTCCGGCGCCCTATCGCGTCTGTCTGAGACATCTGACGGATCTCATGCCTGAATCCCTTGGTCGGGGGAGGAGTAGGGGAAACGATTGAAGAAAACTTATATCATTCATGACCGTCAGGCTTTGATAGGGGCAAGTCAACAGAATTCACCTGCAGATTACATGGGCTTGTGGCAACGGCCCCAGGAGACGCCTTCCGAGACGAACCTAAATCGGCGCAAGGTTTGACAAGCGCAGATTAGATGTGTGAATGGTCGTCAATGATGTTTCCCAACCTCCACGCTGCGTTTCAAATACAATCAAGGAATGAAGATGTCGTGGTGCTATTCGATTGAGAAGATAATTCTGAATCCCTACAATAAGAACGAAGACTGTTCTATTATTCTGGGTATGGGAGTGTCAATTTCAAGGAGTCATTGGACGGCTCATTCGCAGTTGATCATGGAAACATAGAATTGTATGTTTAGGACTTTCATTTGCCAAGCAGGATCACTATCTATCACGCTAGCTCAAGCAAAACTTGGACGAAACGGATTCTTCTCGGTCCCGAATAGATTCCAAGTCATCTACGTTCGAAAAGCGAAAACAAACTCATTCTCCGATCTCTGGGCATCAAATTGCGAGCCCCTGACCCTTAATAATCTTCTTTGGCTGTCACGAGGAATACTTACAATATAATTTGCTTGATCGTATCCATCATTAGTGAACGTGGCCCCTTCTAGCGGCATGATCCCGCCAGATCGAGCTTGTGCCTTTAGGACCTCGCAAAAGATTGACACCTGTTTGGTGATTTGAGGGACTAAGCCTATGAGGTTAGTCAAGCTGAATACTTGATTCTGATGATGATGTCTCTGCTATACATGAATATACAAAGCAGGCGTCAAGTATGGTCTCATGGGAAACCTGGAATTCTTATTCATCAAGCGTTTTGCGGCTGCCGGTCGGTAGACATCCATTCTCTTAATCCGAATGCTTACAATCCTAAGCCCGTGACCATCGTCCCTGCCGATCTTTTGTATCATGATTGAATTTTATGAGTGTTTAATGTCCATAGAATTCGTTTCGTATTGTCATGTCAAAGAAAATCAATCATTGCTTCATGTTGCTCCATTCAGCGGTGGAGATGTTAAGTGGGAGTCTTGGGACGAGTTTCATCTACATTTCCAATTTTCAGTACATGAAGTCCTTCACTCTCAACATGCTATACTTTCATGAATGATGAGAACAAATATGTAGAGCAGCAGACTGGTACAGAAGGAAATACTGGAAGAGAAAGCAAATATGACCGAAGTTGACCAGCCTCAAACACATAGAAGCAGATTTCAGCGTTTCTAACCCCCGTAGTCCTCTCGATCTGATGTATGAAAAGCCTGAACATGACAGCACTATGATGTCAATACACACAGCCTTCCCTATTTACGGATCGTCATCCACCTTGCTCGGATCTGGTTTGAACCTAGAAGCAGACTATCAGCAAAAGTCTGCCTATCGACCAAGTCCGCGAGCAAGAACCAACGGCTGTATGATCCACGAGCTCACACTCCCATTAACCCCCGAACCCTGATCCCCACCCGTCACCTTAGCCGCTACTCTATTCCCCAAGTTTCCAGTATCAGGCAGATCCGGCCACCTACTCAAATTCACACTCACCCTCCTCCCCACTGCGGTCGGCGTCTGCTGCATCACCCTCAACAAGGGCCCCAGAATATTCGCTTGACAAGCATCCGTACTTGGATACGCCACCGCATTATCCACCGGCTGAAAATAGCCCACTAGGCAAGTCTGCGTCGCGTTCGTGTCGCCAATGCCCCAAACCCACGAGGGCGTATTACTACCTTGTTGCGAGTCGTATCGTCCAGCGTAGTTGCAGACGTCGCTGATAGGTTGGGCGCAGGAGGCTTGGTACCATGCCGAGAGGTTGAGGCCTCCCAAAGCGGTTGGGACAAGTGCTTGGGTCGCGTTATCGACGAGGCTGGACAAAGCACCCCATGCTGAGGGAGCGGTGAGGTCTGTGACGCTGATGGAGGGGTAGCATGTCCCGTCTGGTATGGATCCCGGTGGACGATGGTCAGGGCATGAAGGTAGGCCGCCGGAGATGACGGGGATGATCTTGGCCTCTTCTTCGGTGGATTGGCCTTGAGGTGTTGGAGATGCAAATATGGTGGACAGCAAGGTGAGGTGGGCAAAAATAAGCTTGTAAGACATCTTGAAAAGAGGAATGTTGTTGCTGCGAATTATCGAGATCTGGGACCATGTGCTGATCAATCCTGCTGGTGTTTTCGAGCATTTCAATAGACAGAGGTAAGAGGCTTGAATATGTATTGTCTACTGTCCCGTCCATGCTGACAGCTTTGGGTCAGGCATACACATGCAGCTGATCTGCAAAGAACTCGACATCGTGTAACAGGAAGCCCTTCGCCACGTTGAAAATACCATCCAATGATTTCCTTAAAGTTCCGTGTCATGTGCATACAGAGCCAAGCTGGCTGCACGATGATCTCTTCCGACCCTTCCAAACAGTCCGAACATCTCATGAGCGTATGTTTCATGATGGTCCAAGGTGTGCGATGCGCGCCAGTTGCTAGTTTCCTTCCCTTAGAACGAGAAGTGAGTGGTCGAAAAGTGTCCGACATGCGCTTGCATTCCTCATACTCGAACATGGCCACGCAAGCTGCGGAGAGACAGAAGCTCTCACCGAGTAGTTCCCTTTAGCGTTCCGGCAGTCTGGAGAAGTAAGATGGAAGTGTCTTAGATGACGAATGGGAAAAAGTGGGTGATCAGCCTCAAGCTTGGGAAAGACAAATGAGATACTGCATGTAGCATTACTTTTACTACATTGGAATTCAGAATTGTGATGAGCTGTGTCAGAGTGGGAGATAATCGAACGTATTGCAAGTTCAGGAAAAAATTACGAATGAGTAGGTACTGATTCAATAGCTCCCTAGGAATCTGGGTTCGAATAATCATTTTTCGTTACGTAGACCACCTTGAGCAAGACTTACTCGCAAGAACGCTGTGAAGAATCGGGCACACCTCATACAGCATGGATGAGGGTATGCTTTATTAAGATCCAATGGTTTGTAGAGAGCCACCGGCACATGCTTCCTCCAATCCTTCTTCACATTTTCGTCCTTCAAAACGCATCGTTATAAAGCTTAGCGTATCCACCTGGGTATCTTTCATCGTAGTGAAAGCTGCATGGTCTAGACCATCGATGTCGAGTAAGCTCAGGAAGTCTTGAGTTGATGACCATTCGTTTACAGAGACGGCTTCCGAGTCCAGACCGCCAGAAGAGCCGATATTTCCTCCTGCGTAATGTCTTCCTATAATTCTGTACCAGTCTGCAGTCTATTGTGCTAGACTCCAATTTTATGCATTGTAATGCTGCTGAACAATGTTTCCGCCGAGAAATCAAAAGAGCTACCGCTCGTTCAAAATTGCACAGGGCGTTGAGGAAAGAAGAGATGTAGAAGAGAATGAAGATCTCGGACTCTTGTTCGCTGGCCAGTGTGTCTTTCCACTACAAGAGTCTGGCTCGTTGGGCTTCAGTCTCTTCGCTGTGGCTAATAGATCGTCTGCATTCTCTAGTGCGTGACTTCCTTCTCTGCCACTGACTGAAGGCCGCCTTCGTATCTGCTGGGATGCTTGCATGTTAGTGAATCGAGAATCCAGGCCGAAAAGGTAGAGAAATGGACTCTGCGAGAAATGTATTGTAGAATATGGGCGGCTTCAGATTGGCGATTTCGAACCGAGGAGCAGTTGCAATGCACAAATAGTCGCGTAGTAGGAAACAGTCAGCGCTTTCTAGAGAAGACTCTGTTATATGTCCCTGGCACTTTGGATAAGTTGAAGTAGCCCTTCAATGAGTTTCAGTGGCCACTTTTCCAAACTTTGTAGTTCTTGCAATTCTTAAAGCTTCTCTTGAGCCAGTACAGTGGCAGTCTTGGGCATTTCCATGGCACTGTTGGCTAGCTCGGCGGGAGATACCTTCCAGCTAATTCGACAGTATTGAGAGCTGCGTTGAACTCGACTGAACTCGTTTCGCGTGCCTTGCAAACGTTTAAAGCACCATCCACAGACCAGGCTCTGAATTATGGATGGTAGTACTCCGCACAAGAGATCTACCAAGCCAGCAGAGGGTCCTTTGATGATTGAAGGCACCAGCGACTGAGCCCGGCATGAAGTGGCGGATGGTTCTTCCCTTAGGTTGCCTTGAGCTTCGAGTCCAACCTCATCTCCGGCTCGTGCTTTTTGACACCGACAAGCTACCGACCACAGGATCGATCCGATGAGCTGAGTCACGGAATCCACGTGAATCCGCCGCCGTGTATTTTATATATTTATAGAATCACAGAGCTGTGTGAAGCCTCTGCTTAGTTCTTCGACGTAGCAAAGGTTGAACTCAGATCTATGTGCGAGTAGGTGAACAATCTCATGGGAGTGTTAAGCATTTGAGCTTTGTTGATGTGTATTGCCAGACGATTAAACGGCATTTTCGGTTTGGTGTCGCATGAGGAGTAGGATGTGCCCGGTACTGCAAGAATGTTGTAGTAAAAATGAGGAAAGAACACCGGGGAAAGCCCCATCTTTGCTGCTCTGTGGAGTATTGTGACGTGCTGCGACTAGGGGTGTATTTCATCTCGTGCCAGTTGCATCAGGCAGATCCAAGATCCCGGTTTTGTCGATATCAGAGGCTGACTTTCGTTGGTACCCTAAGCCGAGTAGGGCAACCCGATCTTATTGGCTATGAGTGAATCATTGCTGCCGAGATGCTGAGAGTAAAGTGCAGAACTGGAGTGGTGGTTGCTAGGCGACATTCTAAATGCTTTAAAGTCTCTCAAAGGGCGTCGATGAATCAACGCCTTCGCTTCTTGCCTCGACTTCGCTCGATTTTCACGATTGCCTCAGCTTTTGTCTCAAGTGCGTCAGCTTTTCGCTTCAGCGTGTTACGACTTGGCTTCTTGTCGTTCTTTTGAGCTGGTCGGGTACCCCTCTTCGCCTTCTGGGGTGTCCACTCCTAAATGACAGGTCAGTGGACCGAGGGAATGAAAACGAGGCAGGCCGGTGCAGTGACCATCACATACCGATAGTATCTCCCGGATTTCACCTTCTTCACGATGTATCTTCCGAGCTTTGAGCCCCTTGAAGATGTCACTTGACTTCTTGTAGTCAAGAAGCGGCTGTATGAAGGCGTAGAGTCAGCCAGGTGAGTGACAGGAGAGTATATATATTTAAGACCCGGATGGTCTTGTGGGAAGAGATGGAGATCTTGGGTCGGAGAGAGGAGAGTGGGGGATGAAAGAAAAGCAGGGCGTGCAGAGCTCTTTAAGTAGCTCGCAAGCAAGGGCAAATCAAGAACATGAGCACGTGTAAGGGATTGAACTCACACGTGCAGGCTGCGAATCATCTACTGTGGGCGAGTCTGGGCGTGAGACAGAGGTGGCAGTGGACGAGGTCCTTCGTGTTTCCGCTCGCGGCTTCGTAGGCTCGTCCGAAGTCTCACGAGTCCTGGCTAATTCACGCTTCTTTGCCTTTGTTTCCTCTCGGGTCTTTCTGTACTTTGCGAGAACCTCAGCACGCTCCTTCCAAGAGAGGGCTTTGGGAGAAGGCATCGTGTGGTAAGAAGTTTGTCGAACTTTGTTTGATGCTGAAACAGTCAAGTGAGACTAGAACCAGGTGGAAGCTGATGTAAATATTGGTGTCTGATGTTGTACAATGGTAAGGTTACTTCGATGATGATTCGTTGGTAACCGGCACAAAAAATTATGAGGTGGGACAAGTATGGAGGAAGGAAAGTGCATGCTTTGCCTGGACGGAAGGTGTAGGTCAGGCGCCCGAGCTTGAGTGTATATACCTAACACTATCAATGTATCGCGTCAAAGTGTTTAAAGGCGATGTGTAAACTCATTGTAACACGTTCGTGGTGTTGGAAGCCGCCTGTGGTAAGATTGTCAGTTTATCATTTGTTTAGAGGTCCCAAACACTCCCGATTGACATTCTGCAAATATCAATTTGCTAAGACTTCTTGGGAACCGGCAAAGATTTTGACAAACAAGTATACTTGCCGGAGAGAAAGCAGGGTCTCGTGTGGCTGCAGTGGGTGAGTGAACTTAGCAAAGGATATAGTCAAGTATCATGATCTGTTGAATGAGCGATCTGCCTTGCAGGCCCATAAGTCCACACTCAAGCATCAAGGTTTGCAGAAAGAGGCAATTGCATAGTCAAATAATCAAGATATCAAACGATGTGTATTAGCGTAAAGTAGAGGGGCGTATTGACTTTGCCTTCTGTATATACAGCAAACAAGAACCAAAATCAAATGGGGTATCATAACAATCAAACCGGAATCCCAGACCGAGCTCCTATTCCTCGCTGAACTCTTCATTCTTCACACTTCAATATGCTCGGCGCAATCAAGTATTTACATCCCAAATCAAAACACCCTGAAAGCAAGAATCAAGTAGAAGACTTCATAATCAAAGATGAAGGTCCACTAGGGTGGTCTAAGCCCCCCGAAAAGATCTTGAAAGAAGAAAGATAGCCTGTAAGGCTTTGTACGCTGCTGCGATTACCGGCTTTGTTCAGATACTCCGGTTCTTCGGTTGTCTCCGAAGCTGGAGCATCAGACTCTGGTGAAGTGGCCTCAACTTCCTGCTGAGTGCTTGATACTTTTGCAACTTTCGCGGAAGTATCGACCTGTGTCTCCGACTCATCGGAAGAGCTCAGCTCAGCTGAGGCTTCTCTCGAGTCAAGAGAGGAGACAGGTGGCTCCCTGTCGACTTCGTCGATCTCTGTGGCTGGCTCTATTGGGACACTTTCAACTGCTTGTACTTCATTCTCTGCTTTTCCCGACGATGTATTTTCACTACTCTGGCGCCCTGACGCTGGAGAGGCATCGAGCTGCAGAAAAGGGTCGGGTTCATCAGGAGAATCAAGTATACCACCAAGACCCAATGGGCCGCCTAAGCTTCTTTCCCAAGGATTGTCCCTCGCGTCATGGTCTGCCCTTGTTGGACTTAGCAAGCCTTGTCGCCTATCAAGAATATGATCCTCAACTTCATCGGGTGGAAGAACTCTTGGTCCGAGGTTCTCAAGATCGCTTGGTCGTCGCCGACTTTCTAATGCGTCTCTTCCGGAAGCGAGCAGCATCTCGGAGTGGCCAAGGCACCGTCTAATAGAGTGATTTAATTTTCGACTTTCTTCCATCAACGTGCGCTGGCCAGAGAGATCTATTGGCTTAATCTGAAGATCTTTGAATTTGTCAAGAGAGGCACGCTTGCCCGATGTCAGATCTTTAGGTCCTCTGGAGGTCGGATCACTTAACGAATACTCATCACCGTCTTCATCTTCCGAATCCGAAGCTGACATTGAGTCGTTGGAAGAGTCTTCTACTTCAGAATTAGAAGGTCGGCTCATTGCCATTGATGTTTTCCTGCGTGAAGAAGGATGAGACGATTTGCCACTGCGACTGACTCGACGATAATGTCGGAGGTCGGCCTTCATTTTTCGCATTTCCCTCTCCAGAGTCTGATTGATAGCTAGCAAGGAAGAGTTGCTGATCTCAAGATCGAGCACTTTCCGCTCACGACGAGCATTAGCTGCTAGTTCATTCATATAGTCTAGCTTACTCTTTGGCTTGGTCGGACTTTGTGGTTGAGACTGTGTGTTGTACGTTTGCGATACTCCGATCACATTTGGAGATTGATCGGTTTCTGCCCGTAAAACTCCCGGTGTAGGGCTAGAAGGGCTATCGGAGCTGGCTAGTCCTGCGATGCTTACTGGGATACTTGACCTGCGATTCCTGCTTGCCGGCACAGACTTGACGCTTGAGGTTCGTTTGTGATTACCTGCTACCCTTGATTCGGCTGATGCTTTCAAACTTGAGCGTCGTGATAAGTTGATGCTGCCAATCTCCTGGTCGAGATTCTCCCTAAAATCGCCATGAATTTCCGGACTAAAGCCTGATTGATGATCAGATTCAGAATTGACGAATGAAGGATCTGATAAACGAATTTCTTCCCTCAATGGTGACGAAGGCCTAACGGGGCTAGCATTTTGGTCTTCACGCTGACTGTAAATGGTATGCAACATTGGCCTACTGTTGTCGTTGACAGCTTTAAGACTTGGCGGATTCATCTCAGCTATGTCGTTGGCGTAGAAAAACTTGGATTTCTGCTCTTCGGGTGTGGAGAAACCGCTCTTCGTATACCCATTACCATTTGTTAAGCTATCATTTCTGGAGTGCCGAAGCCTTTCTGCCTGCGAAGTGTTATCGCCGTTTGGAACGGTGCTTCTCGACTTGCTAGGTACAACGTCGTCTGCATGAAAGAACTTTGGCTTTATGTCAGACAGTGGAGACGAGACAACGGAGGCATGACGATCAATTGGTGGTGATCGGACGGTAAATGGAGACGTCGATTCCTGACTACTGATGCTGCTGGATCGTACTGATCTCGAGAGAGGAGGACTGTGGATCGCAAATGTATTTGTAGATTGAGCCTTGATGTCCAGGGGCTGGTAGGTTTCTCCATGCGAAAATGACCCATTTTTCTTCGCACCGTATGGCACAACATTGGGAGTCGGCGACTGGCTTCCAACTCTTGTCTTCCTTGAACCTGATCTGGGCGTGATGTTTGTGTTCAAAAAGCTTTCGACTGGTGTCGCAATCTGCTCAAGCGCATGGCTAGAACTAAATTGATCTCCGAACGCCCCCTTCCTCCTTGGCCCATCGATAACATGTGCCGAAGGGGATCTTGCCACTCCATTGCTACCATTGATATATTCGTTTGCGCGCGGTGAGGTAGGGGACTTGACGAAAGATCTCCGCGCATGACCGTTTTGCTGTTCGAAGGTCATGATTCTGCCATGCAAGTCTGACCTGAACCGCGCTGGGAATTTTGGAAAAGTCTCATATTGGGTCGCATCGGAATCGCGCACAAAAGAATAGATTCGCGGACAATACTGGCTTGGTGTCCATGTGCGCAGAGGTTGTGAGCAACGTTGTTGATATGCAGAGGCATTCTTGACGCAGCTTTAGCGCGGCTTGGTGACGCCACCACTCACTCTTCCACTCCCACCACTCTACGGGCACCACGAGGGCCTAGCGCAGTATATTGTCTTTACGCGTCTAGCACGGCAATCTGGTGAGATGAACAAACCTAGAGATTCGCTGTCACTACAAATTCTACCAAAGCGGTCATATTGACGCGCTCACCCTTGACAAAGACCCCTCATGTCGGCCTTCAAATCCAACGCCTGCTCCCCTTCGAGATGGCCGCTGATGGAGCTGGAGAATTACTTCAGGCCAAGGTGTCGACTAGTGCATCATCGGTCTCAAAGGAAGCTACAGAGCACGATACCCTGAAATACCATCTACTCGGGCCTTCTTTGACAAAGGCTGGGCAAGACACCGTTGACCAACAGAAGGTTTCCGAGGTCATTTACAATGCGTCCAAAGGCTCTAAATTTTTCAACAACGAAGAAGTGAAGGACAAGAATCTGACTCAGAAGATCGAAAGAATTCTGGTGAAGAAACGTCAACTAGAGCGTCTAGACTTGGCGTCAGATCGCCGAAGAGCGGACGACTACATTACAGAATTAGAAATGACCAGGGACCTGTCCCAAACGGTCGTACATATCGATTGTGATGCCTTCTACGCAGCAGTGGAGGAGTTAGATCGTCCAGAGCTCAAGGACGTTCCTATGGCAGTGGGAAAAGGCGTGCTTACAACCTGCAATTACCATGCTCGCAAATTTGGTTGCCGGTCTGGCATGGCTGGCTTCGTGGCCCAGAAGCTGTGTCCAGATCTAATCTCCCTACCGTTGAACTTTGAGAAGTACACGGCCAAGGCACAAGAGATTCGTACAATATTGGCTGAGTACGACCCAAGGTTTGAAAGCGCCAGTATTGACGAGGCCTATCTCAACATCACTGATTATTGCAATGAAAATGACCTGAAACCTTGGGATGCTGTCATGCAATTGCGTGCCGAAGTCCATGAAAAATGTCGCATAACCATCTCAGCAGGCCTAGCCCCAAACGCCAAAATCGCAAAGGTGGCTTCCAACCGCAACAAGCCCAACGGCCAGTTTATGGTTACAAACGACAGGGTGACGGTACTTGCCTTCATGCGTGACCTTCCCACTCGGAAGGTCAACGGCATTGGCCGAGTGTTTGAACGTGAATTGGACGCCATAGGAGTGAAGACATGCGGTGATATATACTCATTTAGGCAGTATCTCTCCAAGCTCTTCGGTGAAAAGGCATTTCAGTTTCTTATGCAGACCTATCTCGGTCTTGGAAGGACCAGTGTGCAGCCAGCAGAGGACTACGAGCGTAAGAGCGTTGGCACAGAGAGCACATTTCGGGACATGTCAGACCCCAATGAGCTGCGTGACAAGCTCCGTTGGATTGCGGAGGAGCTTGAAAAAGACATGACACGTACACAGTTCAAGGGTAGAACGCTGGTGCTCAAGATCAAATTATATACGTATGAAGTCTTGACTCGGCAATTTGCCCCTCCAAAGGCGGTCTGTAGTGCAGACGACCTCTACAACTACGCTCTGCCCATGTTTGCAAAATTGGAGAAAGAGATCCCGACAATGAAATTACGACTCATGGGCCTCCGCTGTACTCATCTTGTGTCGACGAAAAAGCCAGAGAAGGACTTTTTTGGAATGGGTCTTCAACGGTTTTCATCGACAGACAGTCACGATTCTGATGGGAACAATTCCTCAAGAACGGTCACGGACAACAAAGGTGAATGGCAAGTCTGGCCCGATTCTGAATTCGAAGCCTCCGAACGCCAAGAGAGACAAGCCGAGCTCGAAGAAGCTGAGAGATTGAGCCAAGAATATGCTCAGCAGGAATGCAACGAAGAAGAAGCCCTGGAAGAAGCAAACAGGAGGCGTAAGCACGGACGTGAAATTCTCCCAAATCCAATACCAAGAGAAAAGGGGGGACAGAAGCTGGACAGTGGGATTGGCTTTCGGAAGCCTGAAACTGGTTACAAAAAGCCTGAGCCAGACAAGCCTGTCAAAGAAGTGTGGAGATGCCCTGTATGCCAGAGGCCACAGGATGCAGATGAAAGAAGCTTCAATGAGCACGTCGATTTCTGTCTGAGTAAGCAGGCAATCAAAGAAACGGCCCAGGAGCATTTTCCGCTCCCACTACAGGCGGTAGCCCTGAGAGAAACGGCTGGTCGAGAGAACGCGAACGAAAGGCGCAGAGGCAGGTCCAGTCACAAGCGAAAGCTCGATCCCGCAGATCGAGGGATGAAAAAGCTGTGCTCTGGGGTTGCAGAAAAAGGCTGAAGATACTCGTGGTGCAAAATGGAAAGTTCATATTTGATGAATTAATTGATAGCATGAGGAAGATGGTGAGACCAGACAGCATGCAGCCAGTGGCCTCTGCCGACGATGCTCGTATGTGAGGCACCTAGGGAAGTAGGGAGATTGAACCTACCCGGCCCTTGCATAATTGGTTCACTTTGTATGATGAAGCGAACCGACAAGAGCGATTGAGCGCTGCGAGTAAAGACGACAAGAGAAGTAGGGAAGCATGTCGCCGCAGGTTGATGGCTCGATCCATGCGAACTATAAGCTCGAGCTTACTGCATGAACGTTCTGGTTACTTATGCAGTCATGGCAAGGATCGACTTCTTCCGGCACTAGACATCACCCTATCACGCCTATCGGGCTAACGGCTTCGGCTCCACAAATCGGGAATTTGCGATCCGACGCATGCCGTCTGACCCTTTCGTCCAGACTCCAGAGGTCCCTTCGCACACCTGGAGGGCGAAAGACAGGAGCAGGTTACAGTGGGTAGGGAATGATTCTACCGCTGCAGTCAGCAGGTTGGAGATACAAGACATGCCATTATTGTTATCTTTAGGCAGGTGGACGGGCCTCGCATGGCAGATTATGCAGACTTCATGTGCGACGAAGATGAAACAGCGCGCGGTCTGTCCATACAAATTGCGCAACGCATTCACACGCATGGACAGGACGCAGTGAGATGATGAGAAAGAGCTAAGCGACGTGCATACTCGCGCTGAAGGGGCCACCACAACCACCACCACCACCACAATATTAATATGCAGCTTCCGCATGTGATTATCACTCCACCCAAACAGGGACAGGTCGTGATCTGATTGGACCCATCCACTCTACTTGCTTTACGGGAGCCAGAGTCTAGACCTTAACTATGCAGCGCACCCAATTGCCTATTCTTGATATTATTGTTATGCATGAGTCGTGCATGGAGTCTCTATTTCGAGGCACAGCTCCGCCTGCATCAATAATGCTGCAACGTTGCAATATATCTACTAGAGACGCAGACTGCTGACAGGCCACACATGGCTTCAGTGCCCCACTCTGCTCTCCACGTGAAAGTGGCGGCCGCTGGCGGTGGATGTCACAGAGTCACTCATACGGGAATATTCACCCAGGCCGCACTCAAGTGTGAAGCTCTCTGACGAGTGACGACGACCTAACCAACAAGAACAGATTACAAGCTAAACACTTTGAGATCTGAGTGTCGGCTCTCCACATGATCTTCCCTTACTAAGAGTTACCGTCGTGATAGCGCGACCCCTAGGCCCTAGCTTCCCCTCGTCCGCAGCCTGGGGTAATAGGGTAATTACTACTACTATCAGAGTCCGGGGCCCTGAAATTCTGAAATTAGAGGTCGGATGCTTTTGGCTGCATGGGCTCGGCATTTACATCACCTGCTGCACATTAGCTCACTAGCCTCGACACTCCTCACATCCCCCCCTCAACCTCTTTATAATCCATTGATCGCCCCTCGTCGCGTCACTGTCTTCCAAATAACAACCATAGTGTCAACTAAGTCATCTGCTTCATAAGACTGGTTGACCTCTACAGCGTCCCACGTTCTATCTTCCATTCGTCGTGAACGCCACTCCTCCTTGCATCAAGCTCCAGGAAGTTTTCTCGGCGTATTGACACCCAACTTCAATCTCATCGATCACGATTCACGATGTCGGTTCCTAATACCGATCACACTACTAACACCGCCGTCAATGGCGACACCGACCACATCACCAAAAACATGACCCACGAGGAGCATCAGGCCGCCAAGTCAGCCGCCAAGTTTGGCTACGGCCCTCTGGCACATACTCACACCAGCTCTGGCGAAAGCCGTCTTCCAGCCTTTGGTGGTGAATTCCAGCCGGGAACGTACAAGCAGGTCAAGGATCGCAAGATCGCCAATCCTGCTCCTCTGGGTCTCTGTGCCTTCGCCCTGACAACCTTCGTCCTCGGATTGATCAACATGAACGCCCGCGGCTTGATGATGCCAAACTTAGTCGTTGGCATTGCGTACGGCTATGGTGGCTTGGTGCAACTGTTGGCAGGCATGTGGTATGTCGTGAGATTCCTTCAAATTCCATGCCTGCTCGAGCTGCTCTTCTCGTACGCGCAACATTGCGTTGGCGAAAAGGGGCGAAAAGCAGTGCGGAAGTAAAGATCGGATGAAGAAGCAGCAAGCAGCTGGGAATGCAGAGAGATGGGCCATTCATGAGCATCGTAGCTTCCAAAAACTCAAATATGAACAACTCACTAACCTTTCCGCCGTTTTACAGGGAAATGGCCGTTGGCAACACCTTCGGTGCTACCGCCCTCTCCTCATACGGCGGTTTCTGGCTCTCGTTCGCCATCATCCTGACCCCAGGCGGATTCGAGATCGAAGAGACCTTACTCGGCGCTGGCACACCACCCGCGCACGCATGGCAATTCTATGATTCATTTGGCTTATACCTCATAGTACGTCCCCGCCCCATTTCCCAACCTCTATTGCCACTGAATGCCCTTTTTCCTCCAACGCAATGAGCAAACCCACAGCTAACGCATCGAAATAACAGGGCTGGTTCATCTTCACAACCCTCCTAGTCGTCTGCACGCTGAAATCCACCGTTGCGTTCTTCCTCCTCTTCTTTTCGCTCGATCTCGCCTTCATGCTGCTCGGCATCGGGTACCTGCATCGCGACACCATGGGCGCCCCGAACCCGCCTATCATCAAGGCTGGCGGTTTCTTTGCCCTCATGGCCGCATTCATGGCATGGTATAATGCTTTGGCTGGTATTGCGGATGATTCGAATAGGTGAGCTCCCTACACCAAATCCTTCAAAGAGATACGGATGACTAATTGTGATGCAGCTTCTTCGTCGTACCCGTCATTCACTTCCCATGGTCCGACACCGGCAAGCGGAGGCGGGGCAAGATTGATGAGAAGACCGTTTAGATCAAAATACCCCCCTCCCTCAACTAAGGGACAGATGAGACATTCAATGTAGGAGCAAGAGACACAGGACCCCCCTTTTCTGGAATGGGACGGGAATGGTGGAGATATTGCATTTGGATCACGACTTGCCACGTCATATTTCGCTACGTCTACTAAGTGAGAGGAAAGTCATGGAGATTCGTGCACCGTGCTGTTCGCAATATTTTTGCCGCACGCTGTATGCTCTACCGATGTACTCAGAAACGCAAGAACGCGAATGTTAATAGTAAATGCTCCATGAAGTCGAAAATTTCTAATACACCCACGTCCCACCTTCGGCCTTTGAGTAATTAATCTTTGCATTATGTCAGACTCCCTCCATCCTCTTTCCCACAAACATACCTACAATTCCTCAACCTATCTCCCTCCTCCGCCTTTCTCCAGGCAAAGCTCGCTATCTGCACAATCCCCAACCCTACCCAAATGACAATGGATGGACAGATATGTGCGATGCAGATAACTCTCCCCACCGCTCCCCACAGGTCTAGGTCGGCGGGGCTTGATAGACATCGCAAAGGGGATTGATCTATGCACTTTTACGGCACAACTGACCCATGCTCTCGACCACGAGGGGTGGGAGAGGGGAGAAAGCTGTAATTTGACTGAAGTGCAACCGAACCCAACCCAGCCCGGAAAAGCTGAACGAAAAAGGCGGGACGAAAGAAAGCAACGAGGACAGATCGATCCCCTGAGCGCGCTCTGATTGCTCTTATGCTGTGCTCGAATGTGTAATAGTGTACAGACAGACTTTCATGTAAGGTAGGAAGCCCAGCAGGCAAGGCAAGGCAAGGCAGCCAAATGCCAAGCAGCCAGCCAGCGCTCTCTTCATGCCAGACAAGGAACTTCGATAAGTAAGCAAATGGTACGAACCTCGATAATCCCCTCTCCCCATTTATACCACCAGAATTCTTACCCCCCCCTAAAGCTCCCTCCCTCCCTCGTACTTCGCCTTAATACTCTCCACAGCCTCCGGCCCCTTCGGACTCCACACATTCCCACTACTCAGCTCCTTGAGCGCGAGATCGAAGCGCGCGCCCAGCAGCCAGGCCACGAACAGCATGAGGATCGTGATGACGACCATGGTGCCGACCGAGGCTAGGATCATGTAGAAGGCGTCTTCGCGGGCTTCTTTGTCTTCGCGCGCTTTCTTGGCTTTGTCGATGGATGTGGTGGGGGTGGTAGTGGGTATGGAGGAGGTGAGCGAGGTGGGAGGAGCGGAAGGTTGGTCGGAGGCGCTGGCGATGGTGGCGGCGCGCGGGTCTTGGGTTGGGAAGATGGATTCGATGAATTGCTCGATCTGTGGGTAAGGAGTGGGTGTTAGTACAAGAGAAGTCAAAGATTTGGGTGAAGAGGGGGGTGGGAGAAGGGGAGGAGCTACTTTTCCACACGCGATTGAGATCTTCAAGAAGTTCGGGTCTTTCGGAGTATTCTTCTTGTGGATCTTGCGGGTGTATTCTCTGAATATCTCGCATAACGTCTGGAGATTTTGCGTCGATTGCATCATGATTCGGCATGCTTCACCTTTGGTGATCTTGATGTTGCGCTTGTAAATTTGGTGGTTTCGGAAGACGAGCTCTAAGGTCGCGATGGCCATTGCTTGTGGGATGGCGGCGAAATTGAAGACGGATTGTTCTTTCAGGCCTGCGAGGTAGAAGAGACATTCATCTGCGTGTCGGAGGGAGTGGAGCACCATTTCTGAACTGCAGTTGAGGGCTGCGTCTTTGTTTGCGGGCTTGAAGAGATCCGAGAAATCGTCGACGTACTTTGACCAAACTTCCTTGGGCCAGAATCGCCGCTTGTCGTCAAAGTCCTCTTTGATGTCGCGGATGATGTTGGTCTTTTGGAGGAATAGACCCATGGACTCCTGAAGCTGTGGTCGTTCTATCAAGGCCGGGTTTGCCAGTCCGCTCTCCACGAAGAGTCTGGTGAGGCCGTTGCCTACCAAGCCCGCAACATAATGACAGTAGAGATCCCAGTCTGCGATTGTATTGACACCGTCTTTGTTGAAAACAGCATTGTTGCAATAGTCAGCCATGCCATTGCCCATCTTTTGCGTAATGTCCTTGATAATCTCCTGATATACTGGTTTGATCTTTCGGAACTCCTCCGTGACATTTTGAAATTTGACGAGCAACAGACGATCCTTTTCATCAGGCCCACATCCGTCGTAGTTCCAGCCCTCTTTATCGACGATGTTGTGAAAATCACGAAGCAATGGATCCTTCTCCTTCAGGTCAACGGTCATATCATCTTCGATTGTGTCCAGACCCCTGAGGATGAGGTAGAAGAGGGCTATTGGAACAAGAAGCTCCTCGTGTAACTCCTGTATTACAGCACTGAAACTGCGACTTGTTCTCTCGAGAAATTTGAAACATATGCCTAACGTCTCGGATTCTTTCTCAGGTTCTCGCTCATGCACCGGTGTATGCCAAACTTTCCTTTAGCTTGTAAGTGAACTTCAGCTGCACTGGGCGTCTAATGAGGGGCATACCATTGAATGATGTTCCTCGCCTCACCGAAATGTATCATATAGTACAAGATCTCCGTAGCCTTCATGTTTGCCTTCGTCAATTACTTCTCTCGGAAAAATTGTGTTTGTCGTTAATCAAGGTTTTGGTAATATACAGGAGAAATCAAGAAAGGAACGACGTGTCTTCCATTCATAAAGAAAGATCAAGACTTCACTTGGCCGTATAGAAGCGCGAGATGAGCGCCAATGGTGAGCTCCAAGCTTTCTGCCTGTTACGCCTCTAGAGCACTTTTTTTGCGAGATGCATGCGAGCGAGTCGGGCGGAAAAACGTCCCCCCACAAGCGCCACATTTGCGATGATAGGCAACTGCTAAAAAAGCAGCTACCCTTACACACGCATACAGCATTTATCGTATCCATTATTAAAAACGGAGGACTCATGGTATCGTGAAACGATTCCTCGAGCTCTGAATCGCTCCCCCTTGTGACGGCTGTTTTCTAATTCGCATTAAACCAACTGCAAGACGACGTAATTATCTACGTCTCATACGTCTGCTATCATGGTCGTTGATACGAGCTACTATGACGCTCTCAATGTCAAGACCGATGCTACCGAGCTCGAGATCAAAAAGGCATACCGAAAACTTGCCATTACGACCCATCCTGATAAGAACCCTGGCGATGAGACTGCTCACGCCAGATTCCAGGCCATAGGCGAAGCTTATCAGGTGTTGAGTAACAAGGAACTTCGAGCTCGATATGACAAACTCGGCAAGGAGAAAGCTCAACCAGAGTCGGGTTTCGAGGACCCTTCAGAGTTCTTTGGCATGATCTTCGGCGGCGAAGCTTTCGTGGACCTGATAGGCGAGCTGAGCTTGATGAAAGACCTGACAAAGACTATGGACATCACCGCCAAGCAAATGGCGGAAGAAGAAGCTGCCGAGTCGGCTGAAGCCAAGTTGCAAAACAAGGACGAGAAGGATGCGCACCACCAGCCTCCGCCAGCAGCACAAGATGCAGCTGCGGCAACTCATGATACAAAGTCCTCAGCACCACACGACCCCAACCTCAAACCCCCGGGCCCACCAATACCTCCAAGATCCCCATCAGCCTCAGGCACCTCAACACCAACCTCTCACCCCAAGCCCCGGCTGGGTCAGCAAGCGCTCATGGACAAAAGCGAAGAAGACGCCCGCATGGATGCCGCAGGCCTAACAGAACAAGAAAAAGAACTCCGGCGAAAAGAGAAGAAACGCGGCCTGTCCAAAGAGCAACGAGAAGAGCTCGCAGCCTACGAAGCAGAGCGAAAACGCATCCGCGACGAGCGCGTCGACACGCTCGCAAAGAAGTTACTCGACAGAATCAGCATCTGGACCGAGACCGACAAAGGCGGCGACGTCACGCGGGCATTCCAAGAGAAAACACGCCTCGAGGTCGAGAATCTGAAAATGGAATCTTTCGGCCTCGAAATCCTTCATGCTGTCGGCTCCACCTACGTCTCTAAAGCGACCAGTTTCCTCAAAAGCCAAAAGTTCCTCGGTATCTCGGGCTTCTTCTCGCGATTGAAGGATAAGGGCAACCTAGCGAAGGATACATGGAGTACGATCTCCACAGCCATCGATGCGCAGGTGACGATGGAGGAGATGGCACGAGCGGAAGAGAAGGGCGGGGACGACTGGACCGATGAGCGGAAAGCGGAGATGGAGAGGCGGGTCACAGGGAAGATCCTCGCGGCAGCGTGGAAGGGGTCACGATTTGAGATCCAGAGCGTGCTGAGGGATGTGTGTGACAAGGTGCTGAATGACAAGAACGTGAAGATGGAGAAGAGGGTGGAAAGGGCGCATGCGTTGGTGTTGGCGGGGAACATCTATTCGATTGTGAGTCCCCTCCCCTTTCCGCTCCTCCTCCCTTCTACCATTCCCACTCTCCCTCTATTCATCATCCTGTCATCATTGTTGTTACCTTCCCCGCTGTCTTCTTTCCCTCGCTTCCTCTCTCGTCGGCCAGGCGCTTGGTACGTACATAAAGCTAACATAAGCTCAACACAGGCCCAAAGAGACCCCGATGAAGAAGGCGACTACATGGCCTTCGAGCAGCTAATGGCCGACGCACAAATGAAGCGGGACAAGAAGAAAGAAAAGAAAGACCCTGCCGCCGGCCCTACCAACCCCACTGCTCACCCGTCCACCTCTACGAACCCCAACGCCCCCACAGCAGGAACGAAGAAAGAAGACCCGTTACACCAGCCATCATAGTTTGATATGGGTAGTATATCTCACAGGTAGGAGGGGTGGGGACGGGGTAGTCGTGTCTAGCGTTCTAGTTTTTTGCTTGAGATATGACTCATAGATCTATTCCACTTTGCCTGCCTGTTCTTGACCTCGACGTTTCTAGTTTCTGGGCTCGCTGTGCATGCATGGAGAGGCTGTGTTTAGCCTTCAGGTACGTGGACGCGGAACTCTTGGATACGCAAGTGGGATATCTACTGGACAAACATTTACGCACTGCACATGTTAAAGTGAGAAGATCTAAGCTTGCATAACAAAGAGTTGTGAATCTGTTAGAAATGCCTTCACAGACATGAAAAGCAAGCGCGCGGCCTCGATGGCTATCATTCTCTCTGGACACCTAATCAAGGACGTACGTGTGCAGTCATTATGGACTAGAGAACAGTCTCCATTTCACTATAGTATAATCATATCGGTATGGTAAACTTCGAGAGGGGAAAAAGCAGCATAACCATCCTCTCTCCTGAGCATTATGCATACAGCGGCCAGCCACCTTATTCTGATATTGATATGTATTAGTCCGTATCTTACATGCAAGGATGAACAAAGCGCAGGCGATGGTCTTTTGAGAGCGCGATTTGCTCCTTCCCTGTGAGTGGCCTGCCAGAAAAGCCTACCTGCCTGCCTGCCTGCTATGCTTCGCTGCCAATGCTTGTGAAAGCTGTCTCTTGGGTATCTCAAAATAAAAGAAAGTTCTTTTGTTCGTATACTCTGGTCTTGTTTTTTTGATGTTTTGTTGCTTCCGCTATGTGAAGTGAAGCTGGTGATAGTGTGGCTCGTCAACGTTGTAGGAAGGGAGGTACGCCGGTATGATGCTGCATATGTATTCCTCCGCTTTTGTTGTGACAATCTACCTATGTTCATCTTGGGCTCGTCGATATAAGATGTTAGACATCTATATCCAATCCCGGTTTCATTTGACAATTTTCATGTCATATGACAGAAAACGCCGTGAAGATTTTAGTACGCACTTTTGATGATCTGAGGTCCGAAGGAGGTTCGGCGCTGAGAAGCAGTTCGAGTATGAATGATGAGGTGATTACCATAACAGATGAGACGCTAAATCGCTAGCAATGCAAATGATGGTGTCGGTGAGGTTGAGATGTTTGGTGCTCATACGGTTTCATCAGGCAAGAATGCTGTGACCAGATGTCTCCCGAAATCGTTTAAAGTTGACGTTGCGAGGGCGAGGTGGTTTCAGGTATCAGAAAACCTCCGTCGGAAGGGAACTTATCGGGGGTAGGGTCACGTTCGATCGATAATGATAGCATTCAATGCTGGCAGGGGTTGGTGGACGTGCAGGCTCCACGGCAGCAAGCTTGTTGGAAAAGTATTCCTGGTTGGTAGGCGTATCTGGGGGCGTCGGGCAGCCGTTGTTGTACATCGGTATCTTCTTAATCTTACTAGGAGTTTGCGGCGCGTCCTTGCAGGCAGGTTCGCTAAATTCATCTTTACGGGCTTCAGCCGGTGGTGTAGGAGGAGGATTAATGAATTTCTGCATCTCAATCTGCCTTGCGAGGAAGTCATCGAGTATCAGTGCCACTCGGGAGAAGTGTACCGTAGCATACTTGCGTGATAGAATTTTTGAAGGCCGGTGAAGCTGTTGTGATAGTAGCATCAGCGTCTGTGGCTCGTACTGGCCAGCCCATTCTGTGGCATGTTCTTGAGGCCGGCTTAGAATAGATCTTGATAAAGCAAGAGATGCCCGAGCCATATCCGATGGTCGTTTCCCTATGAAATCTCTTTGATACATGGCGATCTCTGCGATGTAACAAGCCATGTGTTCGACTTCAGGATCGTACTGGAGGTGCTCGACAGCAGTTTGGATGAAGCCGTCGATGGTTGGATGCCCGATAGCCCAATTCAATGTCTGCAAGACGTGCCATTCCATTTGGACGAACATGTCGTCTTCATAAAGCCCGCAACACATGCTTTTTAGCTCCTTGATTTGGGGGACTCTGTCTTTTCTGTCACCGTACTTCGAAGCGATGAGCAGTGCCGCACAGCCGACAAGCTGGTAGTGCTTCTTGTAGACGATTCGCCTCGAACAGTATCGATCGAGTAAATTTATAGCTAGAAAGAACGTCTCTGGAATGAGACCGAAGGCTGCATGAGCTTCAACTAAGAAGTCAAGCAAGTATGGTCTCATGTACCACTGTATCTCTGTCTGTATGTCGATTGATGCGACGTCTGGTAAAGTTTCCCACTATGGGGGATGTCAGCTTCGTCAGGATTGGGGGCGAATTGCGATTACCTCCAACTTCTCCATCTGTATCAAATGGTCATATCGATACTCGTGGCTAGCTATCTCGGAGAGCTGCTCGGCAATGGTCAATTGTATCTGCCTTTTGGCCTGTCTTTCTTGTTCGCGCATCTCGTCCCGGTACCTCCGACCTCGATCATCGTGGGACTCCACAAAAAAGGTGTCACATGGCTGCGGATAGTAGGCCATGGTGGCAATACCTTAGTCGTTTGCGAAGCCAGTAAGTAATAAAGCAATAAATATTAAGCGATTAGTGAGCGACTTGGGTTAAATTAAAGAGCGTGAGTTTGAAATGAGCGAATGAATGAATGAGGGTAGGCACGGTTGCCAGTTGAACGTCCACAGAATGAAATGACGACGAATTGAGCCTAACGAGTTGACGGTCAGCCTTTGAATGGATGTTCGAAATTGCATCTTGGAATAACGTGGAAAACGCTCAACCGAGCAAATCACGAAAGAACTCACCAGACAGATGACTAGATAGGACAGGATCCCTTGAAATATTTCCCTTGGAATGGCTCTAGAGCCCAAAGAAAGACGAGCTAACGCCTCCTGGGTGTCAGGCCTGAGGAATGCGGAAAAGCTGTTTGCGTAAGCGGGGTAATGAGTTAGGAGGATGACTGACTGACCTTGTGACACGTCGGTGAGGTCGTCAAAGGTGACGACGAACGGTCGTTTGCACGACGTGTTTTTAATCTAATAGAGTATTGAAGTCAGCGTCATTGTTTTGTGTCTAGATGAAACCGAATATTAACTTTCGACGCGAGTTAGGGCGCGTTCAACCGCGTGATTAGATGTCACGAGCAAAGATGGACGCCAGAAAACATGAATGTTTTCCATTTCAGGGTCAAAATGCGTAGGAGCCTCTTCGTAAATGATCCATATCATTTGTTGTGCATGGTGTGGCCTCGTAAGGTGAGCTCGCGATTCTGGTGTGCCCGTCGGTCGGCGTCTTTAGTTGGACAAACAAACCCGATGAGGCGATCCCGAGCACATTGATAATCAATATGCTCTTTGAGGCAAGAAGATGAGGAGACATTGTGATCCATTGGCTGTGGAATGTCCGTTGTCCAGGCTACTTGACGTGGCTGGGGATCGGTCGGGGCGGTCGTGGCCAACCACGGATTATGGAGAATTTGAAGGGGCAGATGATCTCGACATAGTCGATTGCACTCTCAGTTGTACAGGGAACCAAGCATCAAGGCTTTGGAGATCCAGGAAGGTATCAATTGCCTCGGCCAGAATTCGTCCTTCCGTTCACTCCTTGGGAACGCAACGTGAAATGCAGCAAGAATTGGTCGTAGCTTACCTTCTCTTATGACTGTATCTACCTTCCTGAGGCAGATATAGCAAATAGATGCGTTGACTGAAGCTTTTGAGGGATATGTCGCTCTGTCTTTGACTCGGCTGCGGAGGAGACCGTACGGTACCAGCGATCGATTTTGCCAGGTGTTGGGCAGCAACTTTTGCAATTGCGAGTACAGCAAAGGGAAGGAGACAGGCGGAGCAGTATTCGTCGACTGCCGTGGGTGATGCAGGTGTCAATGGGTGATAATGTAGAGGCACCCGCACGGCAGTAGGGAGAAGAGTCGGATGTGCCTCGAGTGACACATTGACGAGCTCCAAGCCGACTCAGCACCTCTGTATGGCTGGCAGAGGTCGAGTGATGGCCGTGTAGAGGAAAGGAAAAGGGAAAGGAAATGGATTGGGTGAGCAGGACAGACAGCTCTGCTCTCTCTGGAGGTAGAAGGAGAGAGAGCACGAGAGTTTTTGTCTGAACCAAGAAATCCATCAAGATTTGCTGCTAGCCTGCTGCGGGCGGGAGGACAGGGGTCTTCCCTCTCTGGGCTTAGCCTTAAAGGCCGTTCTGGCGCTCGGCCTGACCTGAACACCAATCATCGCCTCCAACTGCAATACTGCTACAAGCACCGAACCCTTGAAAGCCAGCCTCTCAAACCCCCAAACTCACCCTCAGCTCAGCTACAAGGTTGCTGTGTTGGCCAGCAAGTCTCGCCTTCCTCGCCTATTTACACACTTCCCCAGCCAGTCTCCGGCTGCTGCGTTGGGCCTTCTCAAGCAAGCCGGGGCCTCTCCCGCCGAGACGAGATGAATGTGAAGAGTATCAGAAATGACAGAATCACGCTGCTCGCACGACAGAGCATGCACCCAGCCTATGGCTTCAAACGTTCCAAGCCGCCGGCACCTCTGCTGAAGATGCTATCCGGTTGCGGTTCGCTCGTACAGTAAGACCGCAGATCCAACGCGCTGCAGGGGCCTCATTTTATGCGCAGCCAGTGGAGTAGTGGATCGCCTCTTCCCCTTTTCCTCTGATGTCCTACCTCACTCCCTACCGATTTTCCGACACCAGCTTGACAGAAACATCCCCACGACTCAGCACTATCCACTTCATGGTCACCAGAGTTCTATCGACAAAACCAAGGTGGTACTTGGCGAGGGGCATGATCTACCGCGATCATTTTCGACGCATGGGTCCCAAGGATCTTGCGATGCCGCCAAATCTGCAGCCTTAGCCATCGTGTGTTCGCTTGCCGCATTGAACCTTGCACGCTGCAGACACGCGACCTCCTTTCAGTAAAGTCTTTCTTATTTGGTGAGCACCAATCTTAGGGGTCTGAAGCTCATCATCTCGCTGTCAATTGTGAATGATAGCTGACAGCAAGGTCATTGATTGATTGCGTTTACATTGCGGTAATTAACGTATGCAGCTTGGCCCCTGGATTCTTTCCAGCACACAATTCTGCACCATTCATTCTGTCATTATTGTTGAGAAGCCGCTCTCCTTACATGCATAGTGACAGAGCGGTCGGCATGGCATGAGCAAGGTCGATGTCATGCAGACGCGTGGTATTGTTTTGGGTATCTGGAACCCTCCAACAGCGTTATTCGTTACCATTTAGAGGGTCGGTCTAGGCTTTAGTGCCGGCCGTGGATGTTATGACGCCACAGCTCCTCCATTGAATTTGACTTTGAGGAGCATGGAGCTTTTGCCGTGCAACACGCCTCGAACGCTCTAGTGATGATTTACTATGCCAAGTATGCCCAAGTTAACCAACAGCCAGCGATCCTGAGACAGGTGAGACCTGATGTTTACGCATCCTTCTGGCGCGGGGTATCTGCAAGCTCCCTAAGCGACATCATCTATTAGGCAAATTTTTGCCTTACATAGAAAGATTGAGGGCCACTGAGCGAGGAAGTTACGGTAACAGCAAGGAATGAAGTCTCCCATGCTTGAGTCGAAGATTTTCGGGCCAAATGAGGTCCAATTCCACAACAAAGCCCTTGTCCTTGTCCATGGAACGGATGTGGCGGTGCGATGTTCTAAAATCAATCTACGCGTTGTCGCGTCGAACGCGTTCGCGGAGAAGCCGGGCGACCCAGCCCGAAGCCTATCATCCTTCCCCCAACCAGTAAGGAAGCTCGAGGTAGGTGATCGGGGTCCAGAATTCGTGTAGTCCCGTAGGCTCCTCCCGATATGACGCAGCAAGCTTTCCGGATTCGTTCCCATGCTCAAAAATTAGCGAAATATTGGTGGCCTAAGGCTATTCTGATACTGACGGACGACGCCCATCGATTCCTTCCACTGACCAACACGGCTGAACTTCCACACGCCCTGTGATTAATTCATCCGGCGAAGCTCGGTCGATATATTAGACGCCAAATGCTTTTGCTTGCGGGCAAAGCTAGGACTCATAGTCGGCTCTTGCTCCCACACGCGACGGCGGAAACCAGGTAATCATAAAACAATCAAATTTCTCCTACCCCACACGTCATCCCCCCGCCCAAGATTGTTACCTTGCACCAGCCAGCCACTATATCACATCATCGTTTACCTATTCTATTTTCAGTAATTTACGCACGCAACAGGTTTGGATTCGCAAGATTTGCCCATTTCGGATATTCTGAAGATCAATGGCATTGTCTCAGGATGTTACTGCTCCCTGCTATCGCTATCTCCTTCTCATATGTGATGAACTTATAAGTAGAGTCACACATCATGCACAACATCGGACTCCGCTGTTTGCGGGGTTTGTAAAAGCTGGAGTACTTCCAAAATATGCACTGATTATGCCAATTTTCCTAAATCTGTCATAAAACCTTAAACAACCAAGCTAATGCACTAAGGCTAGATCTTAGGGCAGAGTCTATTCACAATCCCGAGACCTTGCCTACTTGTCAAAACCTCCCCAGTTCATTGAAGACATCCGTCGGTATGGCGAAGTGTATCTCTCACTCTGCTTTCAACGCTTGATCGCTGACAGCGAAGCACCCGTCCCACTCTCTGGGTCGCCAGCCTCCTTGTCACAACAACGGTCGATATACTAGTCGTCAAGTCTGGAAGACCTGTGTGATCGAGACCGTACGCACTTGCCATCTTTTAGGATGAAAGGATCAGCAAAGAGCTACCCTCACAAAAAATATCTGTGAAGCTAAACAGGGTTCCATGGCGACCGCCTCACACCTCTCAACATCCGCGATGTCAAAGGAGCCGCATGTCCGCTTACCTTACAGGCCTGTTGACGGGCTTGCCCTGAACCCTCTGTGTTATTCCCAATTAAGGCTCTGCCACGAAGACTCCCGCGGCGTCCCTCAAAGTCTCCAGGTTCCTGGGAAGATGTCTAGCGTGCTAGATGTACGGTGGGGTGGGTAGATTGACCATTTTGGCTGGCGCTTGGGATGTGGTCCAGCTACTGAGTACTATCGCGGCGAATGTGTACACCAGTGCATGTCGTGCAGCACCAGATTGGGCAGTGTGAATACCAAATATGATGTCGGTCACGCCCTGGAATGATTGAAGTCAGAATACATCTTGTCCTCAGATTTTTGCACCTGATCGGTCAATTACAAAGAGTTAAAGAATCCAGGACCAATCAATCGCGATCTTGACATGCACAATGAATTCGCAGCTTATTCTACATCGTTTGTTGTAGCTGCTGATACGACCATCGAGTTCAGTGGATCGACACAGCATATCGAACAGCACTTCAGCTCATACAGTAAGTCTGGAAGTCCCTCTATCGGCTATGAATCTTGGTTCGTCTCTAGCGGTGTTCACGAATCGGCTTCTCAACAAAGTGTATAGATGCATGCCGCTGCTACTGGTTGCAAGAATACCTTTGGTGCCCCTCAGGTCGTTACCTACGTCAGTCAGATCTTGCCAGCTTTACCTTGGCCACGGGGTTGCAATCCTCTGACGCAAGGTACTAGTATTACTGTTCCTAAATGACCAAGCTCGCTCAGGAATTGATAAGTTATCAGTAGTACATGATGAATAGTACATAGTTGGGACTTTGACAGCATCCACGCCACAAGAAACTATTATCTCTGTAATTTCTATTCTCAAAGCTGATTCAACCGTAGCAACGTAAGACTTTTACGGAGATTGAAGCTCACCTGACCAGATCGTGACGGCGGCAAAATCCGTTTCATGTTTCCGGCGCCAAGACTTCAGAGCTCTTGACGGTTAGAACTAGGGCTGAAAAATGTCGCGAAAAATTGCCCAAAATCAAACCTGCCGAAATCTCAACACTGTAGAATGCGCATTGCAGCTAGAGCCTCACTACAAGACCCCATTGCTTGTCTTGAATAAATCAAAATGAATTGGAGACCTGAAAGACATCATGGACATCCACAGATGCCGCTTCGTACCCTACCCTGCCGCTGCAATCAACGCCCTCGCATTCTCCCATCCATCGCCCTCAAAAACCTCTTCAAAGTCTCAGATCGAAGCACACAGGTCCCTGAGACTCGCGGTGGGACGATCGAATGGTAACATTGAGATTTGGAATCCTCAGCAGGGCCATTGGTTCCAAGAATGTGTATTACTTGGCGGGAAGGACCGCAGCGTTGAGGGTCTTGTCTGGACTCGGGACCCAGACGACGTAGACGGAAGAGGAAGTTCAATACCTGGGAGACTTCGACTCTTTAGTACAGGCTACTCTGATGTAGTGACGGAATGGGACATCGCCGCAGGACAGCCTCTACGGCATGCTTCAAGTAATCATGGAGAAATCTGGTGTATGGCTGCGCAACCCAAGGATGCAGCACCTCAAAGGAAGCCAGACGTTAATGAAGAAGACTATGCAGTATCGGTAGCTCAAGCAAAGACGCAACGTATTGCAGTAGGGTGTGCTGACGGAAGCATCGTGATCCTGTCCACTGAGGATGGTGACCTACGTTTCGAAAAGATGCTAGCTCGGCCAGGGAGTAAGAAACCTCGGGTCCTCAGTTTGGCTTTCAAAAACCGACATACCGTCGTCGCTGGTCACGCTGATAGTACTCTTCGGATATATGACATTCGTAGCAGGCAATTGATTCGGAACGTGAGCTTAGGTGGCGGTATTCAGGGCGGACCGAAAGAGACGCTGATATGGTGTGTGAGATGTCTACCAAACGGTTTCATCGTTACTGGTGACTCTACTGGTATAGTGAGCTTCTTTGATGGCAAGCATTATTCGCTCCTACAACGAATCAAAGGCCATGAGGCAGATGTTCTGGATTTGGCAGTTAGCAAGGATGGCATGTCTGTCTTCAGTGGTGGTATGGATCGTAGGACTGTCCTCTACCAGCTCTCCAATGGTGATTTCAAAATGAACCGATGGGCCAAGATATCACATGACCGGCAACACAAAAACGACGTGAAGGCGATGACTACATACGAGGCCCCGAGCATCAGTGTGCTCGTGTCTGGCGGATTAGATGCATGGCCAATGATCACACCAATCCAAGAGTTCGGAAAAGAGCATCATCGAGCGCTACCTTACATCCCACAATCGAGCGCGATCACCAGCGCAGCCCAAAGAAGACTCATGATTTGCTACTGGGAGCGCGAGTTAAATATCTGGAGCATTAAGACGTCTCAAGAAGAACACAGAGGGCGGCCATCAGATTCAAACATACAAGACACAGAGGGTAGGCAGCTCTTGTCAAAGATGTTGCTACAAGGCGAGGAAAGCGTCTCATCCGTAAGCATTGCATCGAAGGGCAATCTACTAGCAGTGTCGACCACAGCAGAACTCAAACTCTTTGCCTTGCGATTCAAGAATGGTGGACTCAGAGTACGGAGACTACCAACCTCCGAAACAGTCAGGAGTAGAGGCGCAAGAGACTTGGTATTTTCTCCCGATGGCCGTTGGCTCGGTTTGATCACCCCTGATAGCGTTGTGAACATCCTCAGGGTTATCGACAAGAGCGATGAAAGTGACGGGACTACGATATCGGCAAATTTTACCACTCTGAAAAGAGTACGAAGGGGGCAGCCGCCCAGAAAGCAGCCTACGGAACATTGGGCCGATATGACAGATCTATCAACTGCATCGCATTCTCTTCGGACAGTAAGGTGGTCATAGCGGGTGATTTATCGGGTTATCTAGATAGCTGGGTTCTCGAAGGTCACGAAGATTTGACGCAAGAGAATTTGACGAACGGCGTTAGCCAGAATGACGCTTCTTCAACGGATTCGGATTCGGATACCAGCTCGGATACAGATACAAGTGATGATGAAAAAAAGCATCCACAAGTCGTATTTGGTCAGCATTGGATTCGCAATCCGGCAGCCAAATCGTTACCCAAACTCAGTGCTGCGCCCTTAGTGTTGTCCTTCAGGCCCTCGTTCGAGGATAGAGCTCCGGTACTTACCAATGGCACCTCCACTCTTCATCCCACCCGTCATAACCCTCATCCACACTCACACGATCTGCCCGACGGAGAAGACCGATTGCTCGTGGTCACAGCGGATAATGCTGTCCGCGAATTCCACGTACTGACTGGCAAACTTACGGACTGGTCTCGACGGAATCCTTCAGAGTGTCTACCCGAGGACTACCTTCAATTGAGAGATAGAGCCAAGGGAGTGATATGGGATATTCAAGGGGGGAAAGAGAGGATCTGGCTCTTCGGCGTGAGCTGGCTCTTCATGCTTGACCTCTCCCGTAACATACCTTCAAATGGCATTGTGCCCATCAACCTCGTCCATGGGCCTGAAGTTCCAGATGGGTCCCAGAATGGCGCTCGTAAACGTCAAAAAATTGCTGAAGGAGCAAGTAGTCGAAGACGAGAACGACGGCTCAGGCTTGGAACTGGCGCCGGAAGCAAAATCCCCGATCATATGCTCAAGCTTGGCGTAGGCCGTCAAATCCGGAGCATTGAGAGTAACGGGGATACCGATCCCAAACTCATCACGCTTAATGACAATGAAGGCTCCGCATCAGATGGAGAGGGGGCTTCGGAGCCTTCTCGTGATCAAAATCTACTTCGGCTTCGACGAGGGGAAGAAGCTGAAGAGCCAGCTGAAGATTATCACGATACAGGAGACGAAAGCTGGTCAGCTGATACAGACTACGAAAGGTCGGAAAGGCCAGATAAGCAAGAGGTGTACAGAAAAAGGAAAAGGCAAGGGAAAAGCTTACCCTATTGGCATACGCACAAGTATCGGCCGATACTGGGTATTGTACCGATTGGTGAAGGTCCATCGCTTGAGGTTGCGCTGGTGGAAAGGCCGGACTGGGAGATAGATATGCCTGCGAAGTATCAAGGGAATCAGGAGAGGAACCCTTAGCATAATTCTATATGCATGCATTAAAGATGGGAGGATCGAGTAATCTACCATTTGTGTTGTTTTTGGTGAGATTTGAGATTTAAGTTCAAAATCGAAATGATGGGCTTCTGCAACCCTTGAGGCTCACCGTTGAGATTGAGTCTCAGCGGAGATTCTTCTGCGCAGCTATTGTCCTGGATATGGATCTGAGTGCGTATTTGTTAGTCTGTCAGGTCGCTGTTTGTGTCCGGTTACTTGGTCGACCCTTCTTGCCCCTTCCATCTTTCTTCTTCACCTGGTGCTCGGTCAATCTTCCACCATTTACCTACACGACGGGCGATATGTCTGGACTCTTAGCATTGCCAATTGAGATGTTTGACTTCATAAAGCGTCATCTTGCTTGGCAAGATAAGGCAGCTCTCATTCGCTCGTCCAAATCGCTGTATATTCTGCTGCAGGATGACTTATACGAATCTATTGACATATACTGGTGGCACTTGCGCTCGCACGATCGCAGTAAAAATGAGAGTGTTACATGTCCTTCGATTCATTTATTACTACGCACCATCATAGAACAGCCGTACACTGCACTTAGAATAAAAAATGTTCGCATACGAGAGGGAGAATTATTTCCACCAATGCGCTGCCCTGACGGCATGAGGGGACCTGATGGGGAACTGGAACGATCTGGCATCAACGTTGACTCTGTGTTAGAACTTGTGACTCATTCTGGATTCAAATACCCTCTCCGATGCACTCGAGACAGCCGTATGAACTGGCTAGAATGGGTGCGACTTTGTAAAGCTGATCTCTGCGTTGCCCTGTTTCTCTCTCAACTTCACAATCTTGAGTACTACTCAATGACAACGACAGAGAATTCGAGGTATTGGGTCTCTGTCCTCTCACTTTTTCGCCGTGTATTGTGTAATGAGACCCCATGCATGTCAATGGCTCGCTTCGAGAAACTAAAGAGCGTCGATATCGACAATAATATGCAATCAACGCCTACGAATCGTCTCGTTGGGAGGGATAAGTACAGCGAATTCTCAACAAAGTACGCACTTTATCTGCCAAGTCTCACAAGCTTACGGGGCACTCTTTCGAAACCATTTGGCCACAGTCGTCAAAGATTTTGCTGGCCAGTTGAGACTGCCCCGGCGGTGCCGCTGGCAAGTATGCTTACAAATTTATCCTTACGTGGAACTAACATAACATTCTCACACCTGGAGGCCTTTCTGCGAGTTACACCCTCTTTGACGCGGTTCGATTATGAGATTGTACGCTATGTTGATGACTTAAATGTCGAGAGATTCTACTGCAAGTCTTTAATCAAAGCTCTCAAATTAGTAGCTGGAAGTTTACAGAGCCTGAGACTCTCAACTCGCTTCGAGATGGGCCGTACTGAAGGGCGTGATTTCAAAGCCTTGTATGGCAGAAAAGATCTCGATATCAGAGGAAATACTTCTTTTAGAGGTTTCAGTAGGCTCGACAAGCTTGAGATCCCTATAATTCTTCTTCTCGGCTCATCATCACACGAATGCTCCAAGATCATCGATCAACTACCACAGAGCCTCCAGAGACTAAGCCTGAATGACAACCTCACACTCTACCGAGCTTTCGAATGGAGAAGTCCAGCCATCTTGAAGGTATTGGAGAAGTCGCTGCAGTCTTTCTCGACACATACAGACCGCCAGCATTTGCACTTCCTAGAACTCATCATAAGAGATAGCAGCGAAAATCCCTTCAGGGGAAAAAGTCACTTTTACGTCAAGCCCGAGATGAAAGATCTCCCATACGCATGGGATGACTGGGACTTACAAACTCAAAAAATGTTTCACAAAATTTGTGCTAATGCCGGACTTCGATCTCAATTCCGCAGGCGACCATTGGATGTCTTTGGCTTTCAGACGGTTTTTGATGATGACTGGGTCAGTAGAACTAACCCACGAGGATGGTTGCTATAAAGACTCGAATACTGGAGTTCACCACACAAAATTCACACTACCGACACCCACGGGCATCTTTGGGTGCTCTATCAGACTATACAAAACATCTCGACAATCGTACTTCTTTCTGGACTGTGGCTGGAGGCCGATTATTCAAGTATCGAACGGGGCAAGAAATATTCTTCCATCTTTCTTCCGAGGTTGAAACACAGGATCAATCCATCTTAACGAAGTCTTTTGGGTCCAAAAACTTTGATAGAGTCAACGAATTGTACTCACAAACCACCTATCAGTTTTCCCAGTTTCTCCAATCCCCTCTATACCGCCTCCCTTACGTCCTATCCACGCTCGCATGATACCAATTTGTCAATCTTATCGAGATCAAGCTTCTCCTTCTTCCCTGAATATAGTTAGGTCTCAGACCAAACGGTAAAACGAACATGCCCTAAAGAGCCTCGCCCACATGACGAATCCTGTTCTACTTGACTCATTCCCTTTTACCCGAATTTTTGCTCGCCTTCCCACCATCACTTCCCACAACACATCCATCTACCCCTCCCAAATGCAGACGGTGCAGTGAACAGTCTACTTGATCACCACCCACTCAAGTCGCTGGGTCCGCAAATAAGTCATCTAAAAGGTTTTTAAAACTTTTGTACTCTCAGATTTACCAATGATCATCAGGCTCAGATTTCCCCCCTTAGGCCGGCCCATTTCAATGATTGGCTGCCGTATATTGAAAGTAGCACAATCTAACTTGACCGCTAAGAAAACTCTTCATATCCAACGACATCTGATTTCAGGTTCGAATATAATTTTTCTATTTAGGCCAGCATTTTCTGCCAAAAAAATATTGCGTTCAGCAAGGCTTCTTCTTTAGTAGCGGTGAGTGCTTGGTGGGTTGAATATCCTAGCCCATTGTACGTCTCTTGTGTTTTTGGGGGAGACGGAGAAGGGTGGCAAGGGAGGCCTTGATCGCTGATTTTGATTGTTTATCTTGGTCTTTCTTATGAGTTTGGATAAAGTTATGGGAAATCACTGGATGTGGAAGGGAGATTGTTCCTGGAGATAGTGTTGAAGGCAGCTATTTGTCTACCGTTGCGGGTTATGAATTCAATGAATGATATTCGTGTTCACCGAATTAGGGACGTTTGGCGTGGGCGCCCTCGCCAGGATCAGGGGGTAACGCAGGCGGAAAAGGCGAAGATTGATTCAACTTTTATCTACTGTCATATTTTGTTCGCTTACCATCCATTGTACCTCACAATTTGTTGAAGGAGATAATATCAGATTGTGTCCACAACTACCTCAAACGTCGATGGAAAGAATGCTCTTGCCGAGCTTTTTCTCAGGGTTCCACAATACTGATCATCACTCACGATCTTCGCCATTTGGTCGGTCTAGAGTTCAGCAGCAGGCGTATACGCCACATCAATCGTTGCCAAAGACGTCGCCAAGCGGGGCACCCAAGTCTTATTCGGGTTCTGGTCTAGGTACACCGCGGCCGAGTACACAAGATGCGGATCATTCCTCGCCGCCAATGTTTCGGCACGGATAGTCTGGTTGGCCGTTAACGTGAATGACACGCCTGTAGGCTGACCACCGACGTGCACGTCGACCTTTTTTGTGTAGTCGACCATGTCCTCTCGCAGCAGGATGACGACGTAGGGTTGCGGCGTCTTGAAGTCGATCCAGTTGCTTGTTGGCCCGCGAGAGTATTCTGCCTCGATAGTCACTTCGTCTGCGTTTGCGTCGCGTAGGTAGAGCCAGTACGAGAAGCGTTTGGGTTGCCAGCCAGGCTTGCTGAGTTGTAGCGCCTTGTCCACACCATCGGGCTTGGGCGGGCGGGTTCCAAGGTCCCAGACGACCCAGTTGGGATCCGTGGTGCGTTTAAAGCCAGTTACATTGTTAGGGTTCATGAACCAGCGGAACGGATTGATATTGAGGGACGTGACGGCTCTGGCCTTTACTGTGGTATGGGTTGAGTCCGCGTACCAGTCGTGCAAGTCAGATAGTACACTCTGCGGTGCGTCCGAGTTTCCTACGGGCGGGGGTTGATCCCAGGGGCCCTCATGCTTTTGACCCTGGACAACATCGCACTTGTGGATGTAGTAGACGCCATTGTTTTGAAGTGTATCCATGTCGAAGCTCGCCTTGACGTACACTTGGGACCGGCTATGCGAAACCCTATTTCCGTCCTGGTAGTTATCTAACTCACCAACTTGGAGGCTTATGGGAAGGTTCGCAAGATTCTTGAAGTTGGTGCCTTCTGGGTGGCCAGCACCGGCGTTCACTGCCGCGAAGCGCTCCAATATACGTTGAGACAGTTGAAAGACGCCATTGCCCCCTGCAGAGTATCCGGTGAGAAACACACGATCCGGATCTATCAGGGATGGGGCCGCGTCGTTAAACTGTGTTGAAGTTTTCTGGGCATTGTCAAAGACAGGTTGAGGTTGCTTCTGAAGTAGGTCTGCAATAAGTGCCTCGATAAGAACGTACGACTCTGGTTCGGAATGTAGAAAGTAGCTGTCCGTGTTGTTTAATTCGGACACCCCACGGGGCACAACCAGGACGGCTCCTTCGGTCGTAAAGACTCCTCCAGCCTTCGTCTGATCTTGCACTGGTATGCTGAAATATCTGGTCGATGCATCGATCCAAGATCCAGTATTTCTGAGTCCAGGAGGGTCGTTGTCAGTCCCTCCACCGCATAAGCCAATGAACATTGGGTAGCCGGTAGCGGGCTGACGACCTGAGATAGCGACAGTGTATTTAAGTACACGGCCGTTGTATGGAAGTTCGAACCACTTCCAATCCTTCTGCGTATATGTAATGGGGTCCGGTGGGTCCACATCATTCATGTACTGCACATCACCAGTGAGGTATCTAGGGCCTTGAACTGTTGGAGGCAAGGGACCCATTTTGGGAGGGGTGAAGCATTCAATAATGCTGTCAGTCGTGTAAAGCAGGGTTGAAGTAGTGCAAATGAGACTCACTGATATTTCTTTATGAGATCTGAGGATAGGAGCGAAGCCCACCTTAAGTATTCATCTTGATTACCCATAGCAACGGACCATGACTCCTATCTGGGCAACATATTTGGGGCTATGAGTCTGGCCCTCCTCTGAACCGGGGGTTCAGCTCTGTTCTTACAAGCCGCCGCTAGCTGAGGTTCTTGGTGGTGTAGTGCCTGTTCAATGCACTTGGGCAAGCCAAGCCGACCGAAAACATCCGTGATCATGTTCCCGATGGTCTAGATTGTTGCGATTGTGACCTGGCTCTTGGCTGCTAGAGAGTCTCAGCCATGATGAATTCTGATTTGGCAAATTATTCATGCTCGACTGTTGTGGCGGCCTCCGCTGCCAGATGTAGAAGTGGCAGAACATAAGCCAGCTCATCAAGCTCAAAGCGGAAAGCGGTTCGGGCATTGAGCTGGGGTCTGGAACAACGCCCTCGTCCATCAGAAGCACCGCCGTAAACGCTAGAGCCGGCTAAATACCATCAGCTTTGGCCAGAATGCTCAACTTCATTTCGATGCTGAATGTGCGGCTTGAAAGTCGAGACTCCAGCCAGCTGACAACTTGTACTCTAGCGGCTTATCTACGTGTGGGCCCAAGAGCACGTTCGCCTAGTGTTGTGGTACAAGACGTACACACTGTTGATTGAGCGGATCCTGACCGGTCGACGTTGTTGAGATAAGGCATAGACCTCGCCTTCCTTTTAACTTGCGGACTAGAATGAGCCATACCTAAACAGGTGGTGCCAGCAGTATTGATAGCGGTTTGAAGTTCAAATTGGACTATCAGCGGCAAGATTAATGGTCGTGTAGTCTAATTGAAGGTCCTACTGGATCGCGAGCTGTCTGTTAAGCCTTCTATATGCCTTAGTAAATATTGAGAAAATAGCGAGCCCGTACAGCCTTACGGTTCTTGATAGTAATATTCAATCATGTTGCTATATCAAAACGACTAGTCAATCCAATAAGCCCAAAGCTTGGAATGGACTGCCAGGAGTCCGTCCAACTTTCACATCGGACGTACTATGTCAACTACGAGCAGTCAGCCAGACCGTTGCAAACGCGGCAGACCGTCAACATCCCTAATTTCACGTCTGAAATCTCCACCTCTTATCCTCATCCCCACCCCATTCATCATCTCTATAGTCCGTCAAAACTACCTTCCCCTCACTAACCTCTCTGTCCCTCTTCTCATTCTCCCGCTTCAAAATCCATCCCAACGTGCCCACAACCGCCACATTGAAAATCAGATACGCCAGGGCAAACGAATGGCCTAAGAGATATTTCGGGGCCGTCTCCGTCCTATACAATTGCGTTCCCAACACAGCCCCTAAATTACCAATTGAAATCTGCATCGCATTCGCCGTGGCGCGCTTCGTCTGCCCCGACACATTGTTTGCAGGCCAAGCGAGCACAAGAGCCGTAGCTGGGTAGATCCCCGCGGCTGCGAGGATGGTTCCAAAGTAGGAGACCCCTGGCCGGGAGAGCGGGTTGCTGAGAAGAATTATATAGCCGATGATTGCGATGGAAGAAGAGGCCATAATGAAGGGGGCGCGGATGCGGTAGCGTTCCGAGAGAACGGCGACGGTAAGGGTGAGGACGAAAGCGACGGAGTAGGGGGTACAGTCATTAGTTGCGCTTGGGCAGCGGTGTAGCCGAGGGACTTGATTATACTGGGCTAGATGGGAAGTGATTAGTGTGGAGAAGGGGAAGGGGTGTGGGGAGGACGTACGAGGAATAAGGAGAGCGTGTAGAGAGGGAGGGACATTGTGTGAAAGCCTAGACCGTACAGCCAGACTTTGTAGTCTTTGAAGGCTGTGGACACGTTTGACCAGGTGAAGGCTTCGTTGCGCGTGGCGTCGCTGTTTGCGGCAAGACGGGCGTGAATGAAGGAGCGTTCTCTGTCGGAGAGGAATTCGGCGGTGTCGGGGTAGTTGGCGATGAAGAAGTAGGAGGCCGCTGAGACGAGGACCGTCAAGATGCCCTCCTATTGTTGAATTAGTAGGGCGAATGACCGATGTATCTGGCCGCCTTACCAAGATAAAAATCCATCGCCAGCCATTCAGACCTCCCACACCTTTCATATGTGCAATGCCCTGTCCTTGTCAATTTGTGAAGATGAACGTGGTAGCAAGCTGCCATACCCAAGCTAGAATACCGCCAAAAGCTCCTGCCAGAGACGCAGCACTGAAGAAAAGGGCCACACGATAGTGCTGTTCATTGCGCTTGTACCACATAGACAGGTAAAAGACAACACCGGGAAACAAGCCGCTTTCGGTGACTCCAAGGAAGAATCTGGCGGCCAAGAAGCCACCGAAATTTTGGGTCACACCAAGTAGAGTCGCAACGATTCCCCAAGCCAGTGTGAGAGTAGGTAGCCAAGCCCTTGGACTAGTGCGCTTTAGGATGATATTGCAAGGGACCTTTGAATGAATGATGAGCTCTTAGCCACAGCAGAGTGTTCTGGGAAAGCCTACCTCGAACAGTACATATCCAATGAAGTAGATGGTAAGGCAGGTCAGATATTGGTCCCCAGCTGATAGCGGTCAATTGATCTAAGTGGCAGCGGATATGGAGACGTGAGACTTACTGATCTTCAGGTCCTTGACTAGACCCTCAATCCTCGCATTTGCCACTAAAACAAAGTGAGCGTTTTGTAGCCAACGAAAAATGTGCATCACTGACCATTGCTACGATCCAGGAAGGATAAAAGGTAGAGAGATGTCACTGCTGGTAGCAGAGTGTAGTCTAGTTTCCTCAGTAAGGCTTTCTCATTGATGTCTGCGTATTCCTCTTCGAGCTCATGCTCCTTCGCTATGACCGCCTCTTTGACTGTTGCCATCTTCTTTTTGCGCAGAGGAACGCTTTTTCTTCTTTGGTCGAAGCTGAGGCGCTACGATTGCGAGCGAGTGATGGTAACGGCAAACGAGCTCTGAAATCGGTATGGAAGTCCACATGATATAACAGCCTGGACCACGGCCGTAGCTCCATCACGCTAGGAGCATGGCATCATGTCGACGTTCCGGCCGTCTGTTTCCTCAAGATCAACCAATTAGACGGGCATCAGATACAGGCTCATCGCTTCGCTTGGTGTTTTAGGCTCTCGCCATCTCGCATGGCGCATGTGGTGACGGGGAATTTGGGACTAGATGTCATTCATCATTGCCGGCACAGATGGTGACATACCGACCTAAAATACCCGATGAGCAGCTTCGATGTCTATGATTGGTGGACTGGGTGCTAGGTAGGTGACTTGGACATCCTTAGCGCAGATGTCGTGATAGACGATCTGCAAAACACACTGGAGTCAATGGACTCGGCAAATCCAATTCTCTTGGAAGTCTGAACGAGGAATCTCGCTAATTGATAATAGAAGAGATACTCAACCTTGCGCTGACTTTGAAGGATAAAGGCCAAGCTAGTGCAAGCACCACGAGTGCTCAGTAGTGCAGCCCCTTTTCTGCTGGCTTTCCCCTGAATTATAGATAGAGAAGGCTAGGCCGCATTTGGGTGGCTTGGCTTGGCAACATCCGTCCATCTGATTTATCTCGACAAACTTACTATCCAATGCAATATATCAATAGGCTCGTCCCCACAATCATAGAGATTTGACATTGCTTCATTGGTGCACGTTAGTATCAAACGGACGTCAGTGCAAAGGAGTGTAGAGGTGGAAACTTCATCATGGAAATGCAACGTAATGCAATCAAAACAGTAAAGGACTGATGCGGGTTTTGCAATCAGAGTAGTAAGAGGCATTTCCAGCACGCTGATGGGAAAGTCCAGAGTATGTGATTATGGCAGAGCCACATGCGAGACCAAGCGCCAATTGCGTTACCAGACACCATAGACAGGCGTACGCAGGCTCAAAGCCGCGTCATCAGCGACTAAAGTGTGTGAGTACCATAAGGCGCACGCGGTCATGCGCATACCCCAGGCTTGCGTCTCACTGCGCACGCGAGACTGAATAATTCATGCAGGCTGCTAAGAGAGTCGACAGAAGACGGGTGTATGTAATACCTCAAGAGTCTCGGCCCATAATCGAAGGCACGCAGACGCGTGGGCTCCAATAATCATGAATAATATGGGGGGGAACACGCAAGCAGTTGGGATTTATGAGATAGCGTGATACCCAGGTTGGATCCCCATGCCGAACGATGCCCTCAAGAGACTTGCGATATCGCAGTCGATACTCGCAAAACGTAGCTTCAACAAGGACAGCAACGTTGAGGAACTGTTAGATTGGTTCTGATGCAGGAACAGATGAATATGAGAGGGTGAGAGAAATGCCCAGGCTTGATGGAGGATGGAAATAGCCTTAGTAGCCTTCCCATTCTAGATCCTTTGCCACTAACTTCGTCAGCAAAATCCCCATCATCTGATTGGGGCTTGGCAAGCACGCGCGGCCTCATACACTGGACTTACGACGACCATTGGCATGATCCAGCTTGATCAGCAATTGAACACCTTCCTCTCCTTCACCCTCGTATCTCCTCGACCCTCCATATGCTGCTCGCGGTCATCCACTATATTCCTCATCGTTGCCCCTTGAGTAGCACAAGCAGTCTCCTGGGGCGCCCTTTTCCCTAGAGATCTCGGCTGTGTACTGGAGACTCGACTGCGGCCTCCACTAGACCAGGAACACAGCCGAAAAGGCCTCAATCTCCACTAGGACGTCGCTGCGATCATAGTCACCTTCGCTTCTACAATTCACACTCTCAAGCAAGCAACAGAGTACCCACATTCACCATGGACGGCTATCAACCTCCTCCGCCGCCACCTCCTCCACGACCAGCAGGAATATTCGATGCGACCGAGATCACAACTCAATTCGAGCAGCTTTTGCGTACACGACGACTCAACAGCCTCTCGACTCGATCGCGCTCTCCCTCTACTCATTCAAGATCCCCATCGCACCACCGAACCTCATCGCGATCTTCCTCAATCCACCGCCCGCTGTCCCAACATTCCCACCAGCACCAGCATGTTCGCCCCTCCCATCACGAGCCACCTCTACCTACGCCTTCAGCTCAGGCGGCCCAAGTCCAGCCTTCTCCACAAAGCCACTGTCACCCGCGCAATTACCCTATCATGCCAACCCCCCACAGGACGAGCGCAGCTGGAGATTTCGAAACCAGCTGATCTCCCTGAGCCATACTCCAATCAAATACGAGAACCCGGGTCTGCTTGATGAGGCCTTGAAATACATTCCATTGGAGAGAATATACGCTGAAGCAAAAGAAGAGGATGAATTTTTCCAGGCCCAAGCTGCAAGTCTGGCCGAAAGTCGGGGTGGAAATGCCAAGCCTGAATGGGGGTATCAAGACTGTGTGATCCGCGCACTCTTAAGGTGAGTCCTCGATTCCCTCACGTTCACTATCACAACCTAGTCCTGACATCCGATCTTCAGATGGTTCCGCCGCGTCTTCTTCACCTTTGTCAATAACCCCCCTGCTCCCACTGTGGGTCGCCCACAACTTTCAACGGCCAAGTACCACCCACAGAGGAAGAAGTCGTGAAAGGCGGAAGCAAAGTGGAGTCTTACAAATGCTCTCAGGTCGGCTGCGGATGGATCGAGCGTTTCCCCCGCTACGGCGAGGTATGGACACTCCTGGAAACCAAGCGCGGCCGATGCGGCGAATGGGCCAATTGCTTCAGCATGCTTTGTCGAGCCGTGGGGGGTCGTGTCCGCTGGGTATGGAACGCAGAAGATCACGTCTGGACAGAGGTCTATTCGGATCACCAACGACGCTGGGTCCATCTCGATGCATGCGAGGAGGCGTGGGATAACCCCCGACTGTACTCAGAGGGTAAGTCTACCCCCTCATCCCCCTCTATCATCCCACCATCAATCATCAATCCAAACTAACAGACTATCCAGGCTGGGGCAAAAAAATGTCTTACTGCATCGCCTTCTCCACCGACGGTGCCACAGACGTAACCCGCCGCTATGTGCGCAACCACGGCCTCCACGGCGCCGAGCGCGCTCGTGCCCCGGAATCCGTCCTCCTCTTCATCCTGCAGGAGATCAAGCGCATGCGCCGCGAGAATATCACGTTGAAGGAAGATCGCAAGAAGCTCCTCATCGAGGATGAGCGCGAGGAGAGGGAGCTGCAGAACTATGTTGTGAAGAGCTTGGCTGCTAGTATTAGCAAGATGCTGCCGACGGGATCAGGGAGGGGAGGGAGTGCTGGGGAGGTCGGAGAGCAAGCGAAGTTGGAGGAACGACAGAGTGGGAGTCGTGAGTGGAGGGAGGCGAGGGGGGAAGCGGAGCCGACGAGGCGGGAGACGCAGGGAGGACGCATGCCGCAAGGGGGAGGGCCACCGCCTGATCTCTGATTGTCTGCATCCCCTTTTCCATTCGCAAGTTGATCGAGGAGCGCGTATACCCGCATGTAGTAAGAGGGATGATCTGGGGTAGCAAGGCGCTACTGGGGGGCTCATGTTAATCTATCACATCTAGATAGATGACGACGTCAGGTACTCCAAATCAAATCAAAGGTGTTTGAGAACAAGCAAGCAAGCAAGCGAGTGATCACCAGTCTAACGCATTCAGCAGTCCCGCCAGATTTCATAACCATCAGCGTTTTTATCTTCATCTCAATTTAACACAGAATCTGCCATAATAGTAAATTTTGCTACTTCTCCATCTTCTTCTCCATCTTCTCCCTTCCCAGCCCTACGAGTTCCCACTTCTCACACAATAACAGCCTAGCTAATTATGCCGTCCTCTGAGATTCCCCTTCCCCTCCCCCTCCGCTCCATCTCTTATCTCGTTCCCCACTCCATCTCTTATCGTAGGAGTAGCACACGAGATAAAGTCCATGGCAGGCACCGCCCCACCTAATGTCTCAATCTACGAAGAACAAGAGCAAGAAAAGAGAAGGGGGAGGGGGATGGTAAAGGTAGAAGGTAAGGTAGGGTAGAACATGGAAGAAAGTAGGGTCAAAGGGAAGCAACGAACTGTCGCCTCTGGGGGGTAGGAGGGTGGGGGGTGGGGGAAAAGGAGAGGAGGACGTAAGGTAGGGTTTAGCGTTGGGAGTTGGGTAGGGCTAAGGGGATAGGAGGGAGGGGAGATGGAGCGGGGTGGGTCTGTCCTTTACTGTCGGGTACGTACATGTGCTGGGTTGGAATAGGTTAGTAGTGAGTGGAACGAATGTGAAGAACGGGTTTCTGTAGGGCGAGGCTGAGGGAACGGGGTTGGGGAAAATGAGGATGGTCAATGTGTAAGGAAGCAGGCATGGGGATAGAGAACCAGACTCAGAAGTGAACATTTTTTTTGTTTCCAGAATACTACCTAGTGAATGAGTGAGTGAGGTGTTTCCCACCTTCCAAAGCATTATGTTCTCTCGTAATAAAATGGCGAATAAAAGTCAAAGAACGCCTGACATGCAAAATTAATGAATCGAATGTGACAATCTGATTTTCGAAACACCATCATCCCCTCTTCCCTCCATGAGCAGCAATTTGATATTCGCGACACCGCCCTTTCTTCGTCTCCCCCTCGTCGTCACCACTCGATGAAGTATCGGTAGTGACTGAACATTGTAGTAGAAGCGTTTATGCCTTCAACTACTGCTTTCTGATAGTCGCCTGGGTTTGACATCCTGTGTGCTGTTGAGCAAATCCGTCGTTTTCTCCCACCGAGCTTGGCCGATCAAGAGATTAATGTTGATAATTGTCGAGTAATTGCTGAGATATGTTGTGATACCAACAATCCAGCCGAAGTCACCCAATCCACAACTTTCCCTTTCCTCTCGCTTGCTCCCTTGTGGAGCCAGACTTGACGACGTAATGTACGTCTGGAACATTGGATTTCCGAGCCCCTACTGGTTCCGGCTGAAAAGCTCGTGTGTGATCGAGCTCCGGGTTAAACAAGGATTGTTTGACAGGGCGGGTCCCTTGAACTTGCTGAGATTGCTGAGCTTGAGGTCTGAAATTGCCGTTAGGGAAATTCCTAGACACAGAATCTCTGCCATTCATCCCAGTGGATTGAGCGTAGGGAGGTTTGTTAGGCTGTGGCGCAGGATGTGACGCATTCGTTAGGCTTGAGAGCTCCGTTGGAAGGTCTTGCAATAATTCATTGCCTTGGGATTGTGGTTTTGGAGTACTTGTGGAAGCCGGGAGCTTCAGATCGCCTAGTAGGTCAACATTTGGTGAAGGAGCTGCAAGAGATTCACTTGGCGACAATTTAGCAGGGCCTGCTGTTTTGGGCTGTGAGTCTTTGAATTTTGGCCGGCCACTGCCAATAGGTGGCTGCTTTGCCGGGGTCTGAACGGGTTCCTGTTGCTGCTGAAGAGACGACTGCATTGGCGGCGGATTCGCCTGACCAGCTGGTTGAAATATAGGGGCATTCGCATTCAACGTTTGCACGCGAATGTCTGTAGCTGTAGTAGAAGTCGGTCTGCCAGTCCCAATTGGCAAGGGATTTTGCTGCGATCCGCTAGAAGCACCATTTGACTGCATTGGAGGTCTTCGGGCGGCAGGCGTCTGTCGGGGGAGTCCCGCACTAAGGGCCTTGCTGATGTGAGCTGGCTGCTTTGGAGGCGCCTGCTTTTGGTGCATTGGACTGGGGGATGCTACTGGGCGAACCGGGGCCTTTGGGGGCACGGGCCTGTGCTGCGTAGCAGATGCAACTCTCTCCATTTGCACTGGAAGCCGAGGAGCTTGTGGTGGAGAAGTCCTGGGAGATGGCCGGTTGGGACTGCTCCGAGGTTGACGATGTGATGAGCTTGGCCGAGGTGGATTAGGGCCAGCGTTGAAAAGACTTGCTTGGGGAGAATGCCGCGCGCGTGCCCCACGTATGCTTCCTCGATGGTCCTTATTCGTGTTGACAGCGAAGCCCCGGCCAAACGCATCAGGATCAATCACGATTGGAGCCGGTCCATCATCTGGCGCCGGCTCGGCGTGACTGGATACGTTGGTAGGTTTGGACCTAGGAATTTGTTGCCTCGTCTTTGGCGTGCTTTGAGGCTTACTGGGCGCTGACCGTGGAGTTCCTGTGATTGGTGCTTGTTGAGCTTGAACGTTCGGTGTGGATGGCCGAGATCTTTGTTGAGTTGGTTTGTTTTGCGCAGATAGACGTTTCGGCTGAAAGACAACAACCTCTCCGTCGCTGTCTTCTGGCTCATTGGGAGCATCTGCGGGCACTATATGTTGCGGTTCAACTTTTGGCTCAATTGCTGGACTGGTATCTCTAGCTGGTGTGACGCTGCGTTCAACGGTAGAGACGCTGTTGCTGGCCTGGGCTGGTGGCGCCTTTCTAGACTTATTGCCTGTCAGAGCTTCCGCAAAGGATCGCAGAGTCACATTTGCTGCTGGTGCAGGCACTTCAGGAGATGATGAGGGGATCTCAATGGCTTGAGTTTGTTCCAATTCGGAGTTGCTTGACAAATCGAGTCCATCCCTTTCGCTCTTGGCTGCCTCTGAAAAGTCGCTCACAGTGTCTCTTGACTCTTGGCTTGCTGGGTGTTGAAGATGCGTCGCTTGCTCATTGACGGCAATGTCAGCGTGAGCAATGTCTATTGCATTTTGAGATTGGCCAATGTCATTTGCGGGAGCCCTAGAAGCAAGCTGGGGCGCCACAACTTCAGCTATGCCCTCCAAGTTTTTGACGCGATCTTGAGAATGATCTGTTATTTCATCGGTGCCATTGATTCCTTTGCTCGAAGAAACCCCCACTAGAAGGACATCCTTGACGCAATCTGTTTCCTGCTGTTCGTTACCTTCAACAGGCTTATCCTCGGCTACTTCATCTGAAGCCAAAGGATTTGGCCGACGTTCTTCCACCTGCTTTACTCCAAGTCGTTGCTCGAATACTCCAACCTGGTCCAGATTGACGGGCGGCCTTTGTGACTCTATCAAAGGAGCCAGCTCTTTCGTAGAGCGAAAATTGATGTTGAGCTTCTTTGCAACATCTCTGACTGACGGCTGGTCGGTCAATACGAAGACCTGATTTTCATCATTTCGGTGGATACTTTCGTGAACGCGCCACAAAGCACAGCTCATCATTGGTCTTAGAGCATTCGGCACTTCTGTGACTGATATGGTTGGTGCATTCTTCTGCACCTTCCAAGGCGAGTTGTCGGCCCCTGTCTTAGCTACTAATTTTGGCTTGACAGGGCCTGAATGTCTGGGTTAGCCACATTGAAAGCTAGTCATTGAATTGTCGAACCTTTTGCGAGCTTGTTTTCAGCATTTCCATTTACCACATTCTGCTTCCTCCTCAGCTTCTCGGCCCATGACTCGGCTCGATCGGATGGCAGATCCGTCTTCTCCTCATAATCATCTACATCCTTCCATGGGCTATACTGTTCCATCGGTTGTACGAAGTGAACGGATCCATGGTTTTCTTCCTTTTCATAAATTGGCCGGCCATGGTCACCAGTCTCATAGTCCTTGCCAGCCTGAATTCTGGCTAGATAAGCCTTTGCAATTTTCGGGTTTGCGTCAAATGTAGGATATTCCTTTTTTGTAGGCTTGCCTGGTGCTTTCGGTCTGGGAGTTTCTTTCGGTGTCGGCTTTGGTTCTATCGATTTCTGGTAGAGCTGGTCGACGTTCTCGGATACTGGTAGCAAGTGAGTGCTGGAAAGGCTGGGTGTCGCGAACGACTTACGACTCGAGGGCACAATTAGGCGAAGTTGGCCGTCATAAAGCCATGATTTTATCACATGGATATGATCGACAAAAGTTTGGGCGTCTATGACGCAGATTGGTGATTCCATATTGTTGAATAAGAATAAGCTCCTTAGTGAAGATATATCATGAGGACGGGGGCATCGAGTATCGAGTCCCGTTTACGGGACCTGCGACCGAGATCAGCTTGAGTATACTTTGCGGTCGTCGGAAGGAGAATGCGCATCGGCTCTGGCAGTTGTACAGGGACTCAGACCTACCTGCTTTGTGTGAGCCCGAGAGCCGCACGCAGTCAACCATTATGAGTCCTTCGTGGAGCCTCTTGGTTTCGCAAGAGGCTGGAGCGGTGCTGATTGTCCAGCATGGGGCAAGAGAGTAATAGATATCAAGAGATTGCAACGATTGCTTCAAAATGATGTGGGCGAAACATGTGCAGGTGGAAAAACGACGGGTAGAACGAAAGCGAAGAAATGTCGGGCTTGGCACTAGGGACGTTTTGGGTCTAGCGGGTGGATGGTGCGTTATTCAAGGCCTTTCATCTGGTTCATCTTCCAATTAAAGCATCTTTATACTCGTTTTGGTGTACACGAAGTTCATTGCAAATATTTACAAGCAAGTCACCTACACGTCTAGATCTGAAGACGCAAGTGAATCTGTCTTCTCAGCAATTGTCCCCCATATGGTATCCCAATGCTTTCAATGTAAAGCCAAAGCAAGATGCAAATCAATCGCAACCGTTCTGTCTCCTAAACCCGGCTATTTCTCATCGCCTGTATCGTGAAGTAGAACCGAAACATATTTGAAGTCCTTCTCATCCAGAGGTATTGCACTACTCATTCTCAAAGTCATGATTGGTGAATGAACCGCGCTTTATCGGTCACTCGCTGGGCCCACTCGCTGCGGAATTGTTAGCAAGTCGCGATGCAAGGCTCTTCTCCACGAGATCACTCACGTCCAGCTACCATCGTACAACCTTCTATCTTCTACCATCCCAAAGTCTGCTTCCGCTAGGGCTGCATCAATGACTGCAGACGTGACGCCGGTCCCGCATGTGGTTATTATCGGCTGATCAGGGTCCACACCCTTCCCCTCAAAGATCTTTCGCAGTTCTTCGCCAGACAGTAATGCTCCAGTCTTCGAGTCCAGTAGCTCAGAATGGGGAATACTGATGCTGCCTGGAATATGCCCACTTGGCAGTCCTGGTCTTGGCTCTGTTTCTTTGCCCGCGAACCGTCCGTAACTTCTTGCATCTAATATCTGAATACCGTCTGCACCTTCCTTGCCATAGTCTTTCGCAATGTCCTTCACTTCTGCAAATTTGACCACCATATCTGGGTTCACTGAGGGCACTGGGTACTTGCTCTTCTCTTTCACAACTGTCTCGATTTCACCGGACTCTGTTGGGTACCCTTGATCTACCCATAGTCTGAAATTATTGAGGACATGTACGGCTGGATGCCCAAATACTCTGAATGTCCATCCCACTCTTGGTGCGCTGAAAAGACCTAGTTCCTTCGAGTCGTAGACGACTACTTCATCGTCCTTGCGGATCCCAATCGCCTCCATTGCCCTTGCAAAGTCTTGTGCTGTCGGCAGCATATGTGGGTAGACAGAGTCATGGTCTTTACAGCCATCAAGATCAAAGAAGCGAGAAGTCGATATTCTCTGCTCGTTGAATACCTGACGGCCCGTTCTTTTCCCTGGATCGTTTGGTAGGAACCAAGATGCGCAGATAGGGACTATTCGGGGAGCTGTGGATATCTTGCTGTGAACATTCTTGCTCATTGCATCCGAGAGCTCTTTGGGAGTGACAATGTAGGCTGAGAGGGAGACATGTCGAGACTGGCTCATGTTTAGACGACTTCGAGAGGGGAAAGGGTGTGATGTGAGAGATAATGGCCTGCCCAAAGGGAAGCGTATGAAAGCCATCTTCATCAGGGAACGAAGGCTACATTATATCGAGAGCATTCAATGATGATACTAATGCTTCAGCAATGTCAATTGGCGAACATTCACTGGCACGAGACCTTGAACGATCGAGGTGAGCGAAGCTTGAAGCTCACCCCTACCAATGAAAATCGAGCGCGGGGAAGCTCCGATAAGATAAGAAAGAGAAAAACATTGTAAACACACAACTCATCCCCTAACACAACGCTCAGCGCATTCCATCAAGTACTCTGGCATTCCGTTTGAATCTTTGGCATGTATACCTTAGGTTGTCTCATAATCTCGTCGTCTGCATGAACGCGACATTCAAATAAGCTCAATCTCAAGACTTTCTTAGATTGTCGACATGAAGGTTACGATCAACGAGTGGAACGCTGTAGCGTCGTGGCGATGGGACATGCCAGAGGACGAAGTTTGCGGCATTTGCAGGGTACAGTTTGATGGAACGTGCCCGACTTGCAAAATTCCAGGTGATGAATGCCCGTTAGGTAGGCTTTCTCTTGATTCTTCCCGCTGACAAATTACTTAATGCTTCATAGTCATAGGGGTCTGCGGTCATTCATTCCATATGGTAAGATCTGAATTCAGTCTTTTTCATCTTAGCCACAAGAGATGCTTAGAATCTTAGCACTGTCTTCTCACGTGGATTAATCAAGATTCGTCAAAAGGACTTTGCCCCATGTGTCGACAAAGTAAGGGCGTCCAAGGTCTGTTATCCTATTGCTAACGACCTCGCAAGAATTCGAGTGGAAGCAAGGCGACGACAAGAAAAGCACGCCTTCATGATGGATGCCTCTTGTGTCCGACTAGCTGCGGAGGCTACCGTGAAACAAATCCCTGTGTCTTCTCGAATCCGATACTCTGGCTCCAGATTCATGCGGATGTGTGCAATAACACGCTCCTGGAACGTGCACAACATCCGGATCCGGTTTGCGAGGCTGCTCTGACTTACTTTTAAGCGGGAATCATGCATTTCCTGCTTTCTGGGAATCACTATGCACAACAACACTATCTGCCTTGAACGAATGTTTACACAAAGGTGCTACTACCAATTAGTGGCAAAACACACGAGCGCGACGTCTCGCGGACGAAAACACCATTTCCATACATGGCAATGGCACAACTGCCCTATGAGAAGAGATTCAATCTCTCACCCAAGGCAAGAAGGGTCTTTTGTGGCATAGAACAGTTGATATGTCCCAAATCGAGTGTGAAGACGGGTGATTGCCCAGTTCTCGGCAAGGATAAAGGAGGCGATGAAGGAGTAAAGTCTCTTGTCATGAGCATGCCGTAGTGTTGGTCAAGGCGAGGAATCGAGCCACGGATGCTCCAATGAAGCAGCCCGGGTTTGGCAAGTCAAGGACACCAGGATGGCCGCTCCTCATGTGACAGTGACAAGAAATCACATAGCAGGCAATAGGCATAACATTTGTCGACATAATCTAATTTGAAGCCAATGAATGAACGATGTTTAGAGTGTTATGTCTGAACGAATGCTTTCGAAGATCCACACCACATAGCGTCAACACAATTGCATTTCTGTGATGCTTGGACTCGAGATTCAGCGCTTCAGTCTCAATCCTCCGCCGTAGTTCTCGATATCCTTTACCTCCGCAAGCCTCACTATCAGCCACCACCCACCCCATATATCTCTCAACATTTCATCCTCCAAATGGCCCTCTTCAATCATGCCATCCCCGCCTCCATCTCCTCCATCCCCTCCACCCTCTTCACTCCCCTCCAAGCCCCAAGCATCCTCGGAACTCCCACCCAGCACCCTCTCCGCACCTCATGACCTCCGAGAATCGCAGCCCACCTACCCGCCGTCACCCCCAGACTTCTCCCCCTTCTTCACCCTCCTCACGACATCCACCTCACAAACCCACCACCATCCACGAATCCACTACGTATTCGCCTCCGACCCATCAGACACCTCGCCGATAACAGCCGCCGCTCTCGACGTTCTTTCCACGTCCCCAAACACCACGACTACGACCTCTTCAGGCTCGCCTTCACGCTCTGGCGAAGATGCGGCAATGGATGGAGGGTCCCGCCGGAGAAGCAGAGGGCGCTTCGTCCTGATCGATATGGACTCGAGCGGGACGAAAGTCGTATCGGCGCAGAGTCTATCCCCGGACTTCGCGGTGTTGAGCACGGAGGTGAGGGAGGCGCCTACGTGGGAGGGAGCGGGACAGGAGGAGGGGGGGGGAGGAAGGGGCTGATGCTGCAGATTGAGGGTGTGGAGGCACAGTTGCCTGTAGCTAACGCGACCGAGGGGGGAAAGAAGGGAGTGGAGGAGCGGAGCTTGGAGGGTTTGATTGAGGAGTATGAGAAGGGTATGAGAGAGTTGAGGGGCATTGTTGAGGCAAACCGGTTGGTAGAAGAACAGGATCACTGAAACGAAAAAGAATCGTTGGATGATTTTGATATTGGTTATACAATAGAGTTATTTTATCGCTACAAAGGTGAACAAGCCCAAAAGACGGATACATCAACAAGCAGGCAGAGCCGGCGCAGGCGACTTGTCGGTCAGTCATCAATTAGTCGGGCTGCTCCTCAGCCTTCTCCCCGTCACGCCGCCACTCCCTACCGAGGCACTCAGATTCTCTCGCCCTTCCAACTTCACCATGCCTCCTCCGCGCAGCTTCATCGGGAGCTTACTCTCAGTTGCTTGCCGTTTCAGTGGAGGCGGCATGGAAGTAGAGAAGTCAGGATCAGATTTCGTAGCTAGCAGTATGGGAGCAGTTGAGTCGCTGTTGTTGCGGTTGATTGCCGCGTTGACGTTCAGACTTATCTCTCGGAGGCCTATCGTATCGTCCTTGTTCTTGGAGGGTGAAGTTGATCCTTGACCGTTGTCCGGACCGTCGTTGTAGACCATTGCTTTGCTCGGAGATTTGCTTAGTGATTGTCTAGACACTATCGCTGGGTTGACAAGCTCGCGGCCAAGTATTCTGTCGTGCGACTGAGATTGTGGAAGAGACTTGGGATAGTGGTACAGAACTTTTCGAGGGGTTTCTCCTGTTGGCCTATACTCCTCAAGGTCCGTGCCCGATATTTGTGTTCGAAGGTCTGCAAGAGGTTGCTTGAGGCTGGAATCAAGCGGTGGAAGAATACCTCGAACCACTGAGCTCTTCTCGGTAATGTCAGCACCTACTTCTCGGATTCTGTCGTAGGTTGTGGTGAAGTGGTTGCCAATACTGGAGTATGACTCTCTGACATCTGAGGCTAAGCCTTGAAGGGACTGGAGGTGATTCCGGTGGTGTCTCTCGTTCTGGGATCTTGCTCGGGTCACAAAATCATCTAGAGCCTGCATTTGCTTGGCCATATCCTTCATCTGCTCGTCAACGACGCGGATGGTCTCTGCATGTACAGCTTTCGTGGTAGTCTGAATTGTTGTATTGTGTTCGTTGACCGCCTTCCAATCTTCCTTCATCTTCGTCTTCAGGGTCTCCCTTGATTTAAGGACGCCATCGACGAGAGAACATTCCTCCTTCGACCACTTATGCATGCCTTCGCAGTACGCTGTTTCCGAGGATTCGAGATTAGTTTTCGACTTGCTGATGTCCTGTCTGACGGCATTAACTCGAGACGTCCATCGGGCATCTTGTGTCTCAGCGGATTGATTTATTAATTTGGTTATCGAATTGAGCAAAACCTGCCTCTCTTGGCTGGCCTTAGCTCGCTCTTCGTTCAGACATGCATCTAATAGACCAGAGACTGCTTCGTCAGCTTGCACAGCAGCAGTGGCTGCCTCCGAGATCTGTTTGCGGAGCTCTTCTGCCTCCGCCTTTTGGGCGCCCATGCGCTGGACGAGATCCTCGAAAATACCTTTGAAATCTTTACCAAGAGAGCTATAAGAGGTGTGTAACTGATAAATGGTCAATTATACGGGAAAGAGTTTTCGGCAATGGGCAGAGCATTACCTGTAATTGGAAGGTACCAAGTTCCTTGATGACTTCTGCAGAAATACGTCCTGCTGCTGCCGACAAGCTGTTCAGCCCCTCACCGACCTTGATCTTGACGTCTTCTCGGAGCTCCTTAATTTCTTCCAGAACATCATTCATATCTTCTTTGGCATTGGAGGTCTGTTGAGTTACGTTTTTCTCTGACACCTCAAAGGACTTCACCTGTTCTCGCAAAATGCTTTGCGAGCTGCCCAACTGCTCTAGCTCTGTCTGGACAAACTCGTGCACCCGAGATGAAACATTTCCAACAAGAGCATGCTGCTGCTGTTGAAATTCGCTGATTCGGCATTCTACCAGCTCTGTAACATCTGTGACCTGGTTCTGCGACTGCTGCCACTTTTGGCAGTTTTGTGCTTGTAAATCAGACTTCCGCTCGATCTTCGAGTGAAGTCCGCTGATGTCACTAGTCGTTTGCTCAAGTGTGGAAAGAATTTCACCACCAACACTCTGAAGCTGTTTCTCAGTAGATTGGTATGCCCTTCTCAAGGTAGTCTCATCTGTCAGTGTTTGTTTGGTATCTGCCAGCACCAGTTCAGTCTTGTCCAAAACTCCCTTGGTGTCATCTAGAGTCTGTTTTGTCGTATCATGATCCTTTTTCAGGAAAGTAAAGTTGTTGGTCAGGGTGAAAAGCTCTTGAACTTTGTTCCTCAATGATGTCTCCATCGTTTCAATTCGTTGCGCTTGTTCTTCACTCAAGATCCTTCTTGACTCACTTTCACCCATGATATCATCGTAAGACTCAGCTGTCAGGTATACACCATTCCGTTGTCGGGTAGCAACAAGCTCGCCTTTGAGCTTCTCAATCTCAGTCGTGAATTCCTTGAGAAGAGTCTTTTTCGAGATCATTTGGTTGATCTGAGGCTTATTTCGAATGTTCTTAGCTCGGAAAGCATAGTCAAGGGTCGAGATAGTTTCCTCCAGGTTGCTCTTAGCAGGAGAGACCGTTGCAATAATGCAAGTCTTCGTCCTGCCGCCTAGTGAATCTTGGAGTAAACGGGTGAGTTTCGACTCCCTGGCTACGGGTCAGTCATTAGCGCATCAGAGGGTGGCTATGACATACCGATATGGAATGTGCGAGTTTCTTTCTACGAGAGCATTGATGACACGTCCCAGAGTAAGCAGACTTTTGTTGATCAGACCAGCTTCTGCCGCCCGTTTATTCTCAGCGCCGCTCCTCTGAATGTTCTCACTTCCAGCCAAGTCAACGAGATTGAGTTTGCCAGCGCTGACAAAGTCTTCGCCATTTTCTGCTGTCCGCTTGATATATGCTGTGACTGTAAAGACAGTGTGGCTTCTTGAGCTTAAGTCGTTGCATTTTGTTGCTGCAACCTGACGTTTGTGACTTCCGTCCTGCAGCAACTTGATACCATTGCCAGCCGTTTTAATGTACGCTTCTTCCATTCCCTGCACCATTGTTGCTCCATGGTTTTTCTTTTGAGCATCATCAAAGATTTTGAGCTTTGTGCTGTCATCGGGTGAAAGCAAATCTCGAAGCTCCTCGTTGTATAGTTCTATGAATGAGCATTTGACTGAGCTCTCACCGTCGTCTGCATCAAGCTTGCGGAACAGTGAATGCAATACCCTTGGAATGATACCGGCAGAGTCCGACACAAGACCAAGCGTATCAGACATATCTCCTGACATCGTATACGTCTTTCCCGTTCCGGTCTGGCCATAAGCAAATATGGTACAATTGAAGCCCTGGAGCATCTATACGGCTGCGTCAGAACTTTCTAAAATTTGAGCAAAATCACAGACCTCATCCAAGATGGGTGTCACAACATCATCGTAAATCATAGACTGGTCCGCAGCCGGTGCGAAGACTTTGTCGAAATGATATGTCTTGTTGCTCAACGCACTTGGCCCCATGGATAGCTCTACATTCTTCCCTCTTACTCCATCTGTCTGTAAGACCACTCCACTATTTTCTTTGACTTCTCGATCACTGCGCCCCCGACATCGCACGACCACATTGATGTTCGTCTCCTCCCCGGCATCGGAATCAAATTCCCTCTGTTTCCGCTTGACACCTCCATTTTTACCAGGCGATCTTGAATGCGACGCACTTGTTGTCGCTGAGATAATACTGTCTGCGGGCGATGCTGCTCCAGATCGTGAATGCAAAGCAGGAGCACTCGATTGGGCGCGGGTCGTGCCTGGGCGTGTCATTGGCGGTCGCATAGAATGTTTCTTGCTTGCTAGAGCAGATGCAGGCCTAGGTAGAGCTGCCATAGAGTGACTAATCGAAGGCGATGCTGTGTAGATGTAATTCCAAAGTTGCGATGAAAGGATTCCGCAAAGTAAACAAATAGAGAGCTAAACGCGCGCTAATGCAAGGCAGAGTGGGGGAGCTCATGATCCCTGCGCTGATCATGCGCGGACATCATCCACCTCAATCAGCAACATCTGCTCACGAAACAGGCATTAATTGTCAGATGCCTTGCATTTGACCAGGGCTGCCATAAGTATGGCTTCATTTGATTAAGAAGAAAATGTCTTCTCAATTTTTGCCTCATCATGTCGAGGCAGCTTACTCTACAAATACATCCTGGTCGAGGCCTCGGATTCATTGGTAGGTCAACCATCACTTCATTGCTGTAGTGCTGATCAGGCTAGCCTTGGGCGCTTCTCTTCATGAAGTGTTGTCGAAGTTGAAGTCACAACCAAGTGTATTCCTCTCCATCGATATATACTACTCGCCCGCAGACCCTCTCTCTGAACCAGTTATATTGAACCTGCCGAAAAATGGCTTTCGATTGCGGTTTGATGGCCCTGGTCAAAGATTACGCCTGATAGAAGTGCTCGACTTCTCATACACACATTTTACGTATGACGGTAAAGATGTGGTCAAGCTTGCGCCCGAAGGTGGGGCCACCAAAGGTCCCGCGTTTCGCCAGATATATGACAGGCTGATTGGACCTACATTTCCTGGAGAGTTCGCTCCTCCGCTATCAGTGGCAGACACAAACGCGGGATCCTATGTGCTGTCATATCCAGGAATAGCCTTTACGTTCCCATTAAGAAGCCCGGTAGGCATGAATACGAGGGATTTCGTGTCCCTCTTATCCTCGTCTCAAGCTGGACCTGCGAAATCCATGGCTTTGTTTGACGGCGAATCTTGGAGCGAGGCGCGTAAAGATCTGTATACGAGACCTAGCTTGAATCATCGCTCGTGGATGGTTTCCAATCGAGCGAGGGACTTACGACCAGATGAAATAGATCACGTTCTTTTGAAAGGGGATGGGCTTCTTGAATTTTATAGGCGCAATGCTCACCCTTTTCAGATACTCTTGAGTAGTACTTCACCACAAGATCTCATCACAGAGTTGGGTCCTCCAGACGCCATATACAGGAAGTCAGATAAGAGATTGGCAATCCATAAATCGCGGCGCAACCGAAAGTCTGGAAAACCCGTCTCCGTTTACGAAGATACAACAGATACAGATCAGTCATCTCATGCTGTGACGGATGAGTCAGCTGAAGAAGATGAGTGCAATTCAGGGGTTCGAGGCGAGGCAGACGCTGACATCGAGTGCTTCTGGAACTATTTCAACCATGGCGTTGATGTATTCCTGTCTTATTCAAGTCGTCCTTTGACAGAGCCGAGCCAACTCGTTGCAACTAAGATTCTTCTTCATGGCAATATACCAGGCTCATACCCGTTCAATCGGTATCGTCGATGTCGCTGGAAGCTAGACCAAAATCTGCAAGGTCGTAATGATGAAATGACGTCCGAGACTACCTTTAGCACTATCTCTTCGTCACTTCAAGAGATACACGAGAAGGACCCCTCAAGCAGAGATCTCTTGGCTAGCTTTCGACAAGGCATGGTGCTCAATCGAGGTTGGGGCAATAGTCCAGGGAGTAGCTGCGAGCTCCTCGGCGGTTGGGAGGAAGGTGGTAAGTCCGCAAAGGTTCCATTGGTTGGTGAAGATGGCCCGGGGCTAGGAAATACCGAATTGTTTGGTTTTCCGGGTATGATTTTTGAGGTACTCAAGAATGATCGTGTCAGCTGCTTGACCATCTATTGAGTGTGTTGGATTGTTTCAGCGTCTCCGGACGTGAGGTGATACCTAGCAGCTCAAGATAGACCTATGAAGATCATATCAATTGAGGCTGTAACTACACATTGACCTTGTCGTTCTGAGAAATGAACATACATGTTTGCGAAAATGTATCTGCATTGAGCAATTGCTGTATCAAAAATTTAGTAATTGGTAGCGCTAAGCTGCGTAATTTATCGTATTGAAAGCATTGCCCAAAAATCTTTACCGCCTTTTGTCTTGCGCAAAGGCCATGATCAAGCCTAGGTCATGGAAAAATACATTGAATCTCCCGAAGACGACCTTCCCTCCTCGATTACCAATAGGTACTGCCGAAAGAGCGACAATCCTCCGAAAATGCACCGAGGATCTCTACGCCTGGCAACAAGAAAATCGGAAGGGGCATGCCTTTACCCTCCATGATGGACCACCTTACGCGAATGGAGACTTACATATCGGGCATGCATTGAACAAGATATTGAAAGATATCACAAGTCGGTTTCATTTGTCACAAGGGCGCCGTGTGAATTACACTCCTGGTTGGGACTGTCATGGACTACCAATCGAGCTCAAAGCGCTTGGTGGTCAATTGATAAAGACTGAACACGAAGAAAGACAGAATGTATCTCTGCGTAGGAAGGAAAGACCTACGGCATCAATCGTCCAAAACGTTGCCCAAGCGCTGGGACTTCGGAAATACCGTAGCCACGAGACTGAGGCCGAAAGAGAAGAAAATGCGGCTAGAGCAACTGCGACAGCATTGGCTGTTCGTAAAGCTGCTAGAAATCTGGCTTCAAGCACAGTCGAGAGGCAGATGAAGCAATTCAAACAATGGGGCATAATGGGAGACTGGAGCAACACATGGAAAACCATGAACAAGGATTATGAGCTCAAGCAATTAAGAGTATTTGGGAAGATGGTAAGCAAGGGATTGATCTATCGACAGTTCAAACCCGTCTATTGGTCTCCGTCCTCGAAAACAGCTTTGGCTGAAGCAGAACTCGAGTACAAAGATGATCACGTTTCAACAGCCGTTTTTATAAAGTATCCTCTTTGGTCTCTGCCCAGTGACCTGAAGTTGAAGCTAGGCGAGCATCATTCGGGAATGTCTTGCGTCATTTGGACAACCATGCCATGGACTTTACCAGCCAACAAAGCGATCGGTTTCAATCCAGCTGTCCAATATGCTATTGTAGAATCTCAGAAGCATGGCCGGCTGTTGATAGCGTGCAATCGGGTCGAAGAGGTCGGCAAGCAATGTGGAGAGATCCTTAGACCATTCACTGTGGTTGATGGATCGGCATTGACGGGGGTAACCTATCTAGACCAGCTTTGGACACGAGGTAGACTTGTCACCAAGAATTTGATCCCGGCGGATCATGTCACTGCCGACTCGGGTTCTGGACTTGCGCATCTCGCTCCTGGCCATGGATCCGACGACTACAGCGTCTGCTTGAAGCACGGGATCACGCCGTTTGCGCCAGTCGATAAGGATGGAATGTTCACTCAAGAGGCTTGTCCCGACTATCCGACTTTGCTTGCGGGTAAGCATGTAATGAGTGAGGGAAATGTTATAGCTCTCAATCATATAAGGAAGACGCACGTCATTCTCGCTCAGCACGAGTACATGCACAAATACCCGTATGATTGGCGCTCGAAGGAACCCGTGATATTTCGAGCTACGGAGCAGTGGTTTGCAAATGTAGGCGAGATAAGGGAGAGAGCTTTGAAGTGTCTGGAAGATGTCAAGTTCATCCCCCAAAATGGCAGGTCAAGGCTTGAAAGCTTCGTACAAAATCGTAGTGAGTGGTGCATATCCAGACAGCGGGCCTGGGGTGTGCCCATACCTGCCCTCTTTCACAAAGACTCCTCTGAGGTCTTGTTGACTGCCCAGACTGTCGACCACATCATCTCAGTCATCAAAGAACGAGGGATTGATTCTTGGTGGAGTGACGATGTTTCCGACCCGGCATGGACCCCATCTGAGATGAGAAATGCAGATGACAGCAGCCAGTATCGGCGAGGCACAGACACAATGGATGTTTGGTTTGACAGCGGGACGAGCTGGACACAGACAGCTAGTGGCATAAAGCCGACAGATCATGCAGCTGACGTATACCTTGAGGGAAGCGATCAACACCGTGGATGGTTTCAGTCCAGTCTGTTGACTTATATTGCGGACCAATCTGCAAATGACACGGCAACAGACTTGCAGCAATATCAAGCCCCATTCCGAGCTCTTGTGACTCATGGCTTTGTACTGGATCAGCAGGCTCGCAAGATGAGCAAATCAATCGGGAACGTTGTATCACCAATGCAAATCATTGATGGATCATTGCTCCCACCTCTGAGGCGAAAGTTCCACGGATCAGGCCAGACTCAAGACATGGGCCCAGACGCTCTCCGCATATGGGTTGCCAGCTGCGATTTCACTAAGGACGCCATTCTCAGCGTCGAGAAGCTGAAGATTAACAACAGTACGCTCGTGAAATTGCGCATCACATTCAAGCAGCTTCTTGGCATTCTCGATGATTTTGACCCTTTGGAAAGTATGCGTCAAGAGCAATTTTCCAAGAACCACAAGATGGCTATTTGGCATTTGGAGATGATGGCCACAGCTGTCAAAGACCATTATCGAGCGTACGAGTACCACAAAGCGATGGACGAGATCACTAGATACGTTAATGTTGACCTGTCGGCATTCTACATGGAGACAATCAAAGACGCAGCGTATTGTGGGACCGGAGAAGAGCGACAAATGGTGCAGTATACTATTCTCATCATATTGAGAGTCTTACAACAAGTCTTGGCCCCCATCACGCCCTTGTTAGTTCAAGAAACATGGGATCATTTACAGGCCAGGCTCAAAGCGTTCATGGGCTTGTCTCCTCTCGAAGACACCTGGAGTTCGAAAATCACTCAGGTGTCTGGTCTGTTGACAGCTCACGAGAGGCATTCGATGGGAAAAGAAACTTCATGTTTGTCAGAAGTGCTGTCGACTGTCCAGAAAGCCCAAGAAAGGGCCCGTTCTGACAAGATGATGGGCTCATCACTGGAGTCGTACGTCACGCTTGAAGTGCCAGCAACCCATGCCGACAGTGGAGATGAAACAACAGCGTCTTTCCTTTTGCGGAACGAACGAGACCTTGCCAATCTGTTTGTTGTCTCTAAGGTTACCATTACGCCAGAAGCACCATCTTTCGTAGAGGGGGATTGGCATTATGTTGAAGAAATTGAATTGATGAACCAGCGTGTGATTGTGCATGTGCACGCACCGCAGGAGCAAAAATGCTGTAGGTGCTGGCGTTATATTGCACCTGTCATGCAAGAGAGTGAAGAGGCTCTTTGCACAAGATGTGAGGCGTGGAGAGGGTGATGATTGACCGAGTCGCTCCTGCCAGTGACTAAAGCGGCAGTCTTGCAGATTAGCCGTGAATTCTATGTGAGGTTCAGGGAAATAAGAAATCATGCCTCTCCCAAAATAGCCTCTATTCACTTCACGGGACCAATTGTGTGCGAATGATACGATTCTTGAGGTCCGCTTGAAAACTCCGGAGTGTCATGTCGCAAGCCCCGCTTTATTGCCACCGTCCCGGTTCGGTGACGACCTTTGTTGACTTCCAACCCGTGTATCGCACCTTGTACCATCCTCCTCTTCTGCGACCGATGGATGCACACCACATGGCTACGTACAACGGTAATACGGAAAGCAGCTTTGCAATGGGTGAAGCACAACAGGCAAGCCGAAATGTCAAGCACCAGAGAGATGAGACCGATCGTCTGAATGAGCGGATCACGTTCTTAGAGCGAGAACACGGCCGATTGCAGGAAGAGATAACCGGAAAGGATGAGGAGCTCACCATCTACTACAGTCACGTTGCCAGACTGCAGAAGAGGCTAAATCATGCCAACCAGGCTCTAGAGCAAACGCGAGCTCAACTCGACGAAGCTAATACTGCCACCAAGTTGGCAGACACGACTCTAGAGCAAATGCGAGCTCAGTATGATGAAATGAAAAGTGCTGAAAAAACTTCATCCGAAGATTTCGAGAAACTGCGAGCTCAACGAGATGAAGCCGTTGCTGCCAAAGAGCTGGCAGACGAGGCTCTCCAACACATACGAGTTCAACATGACAAGCTCACTAATGCCACTATATCGACTGACAAGGCTCTCGAGAAAGTGCGAGCTGAATGTCGTTATATCAACAGTGCCAACCAACTGGCAGCCTCGTCGGTTGAGGGACTGATGACCCAATGCGACGCCATTCTAAATCATTTGCGGAATGGATACGTAGAGGGGCAGAGCCAGGATGCTCCTGTGATGTTGTCTAGCAACCAAGGTACGACTGTTTCCCCAACCATCCTTGATAATCACACTAAAGTGTCACATCAGGCCCTTCTTCGGGGATCATTAATACAGTGGTCTCATCAACAATCGTGCAATCGAGTCCTTTACCATCTCGACCAATACTTCAAAGTGGATTTGCAAATAATGTATCAACCGTGTCACCTGTTTCACATAAGATGTCAAACCAACGACTTTCTTCCTGTGAGCCCTCAACATCAGCGTCGGCGTCCGACAACGCGGGAAGCTAACATGACTGTCTAGTACTCAATGTCCCAGGAGAAGAAGATTTTGAGAAAGCAAAGACACTTCAGCCCAATCAAATAGATGTTGGGACCTTCAAAAAGCAACTTCCTGAACAAGCAATCTCAGGCAATTACAGAATGGACCCTCGCGTTGCTCCTTTCACACCATCTAATTGGTTGATAGGAAGTATGAACGCTGAGACAGCACCATCAACGCCTCTCCCTTGCAAGCCAAGCGAGCGAAGTGTCAGTTTTGAGTCTCAGTTATCGTTGTCGAACCAAGCCACACCGTTCAAACCTGTTGGAAAGGTAAAAACATCGAACGATTCGGAGACACATGATAGCGAGAGCGGAGCTGCGGTGTCTGGTATGGCCGAGGACCAGGTAATGCAGAACTCGCCCAAAGCATTACCACCTCATCTTCGCAAGACGAAGGTCTCTGCGAATCCAGTTCATCAAGCCGAACCCCCTTCGGCAAAACCGACAGACGTTGAAAGCCAAACGCCTGAAGTCTCTAAGGGAGAGGCACATCCAGACGTCGAAAAGAGTGGACCGACAGCTGATGCCGAATCCAAGGCGGATCAAATGTGGCTTGATCTCATGGAAAAGACTAGAACCAATGGTAATGTATCTGAAGTGCGAGAGAGTGATGACCTAATTGATCTTGAAGATGACGCGAGCAAGGCGGCCAAACTACTCAGTGGAAACGCGAGAGCCAAGAACCTACGCAGTGAAGTTTTGAGGAATGATGATAGACGAATCGATGACAGTTTGGAGGATGTCGAACTCTCAAGCAAAGTCTCTGCAGGTAAATAGAATATGCCTTCAATGAAACAAATTTCCTCTGTCGCCCAAGACCTGCAAGAGTCGCTGGCTGATTTTCTGTTGCAAGGCATTCAAGGTAAAGGCTCGAAGCTAGCCCCAACGAAAAAGACTACACCACTTTCGCCTGGTAGATTGACGCCATTGACAAACGTACGGCCTACGAGATACCAGGCAAGCGATGTCTTGACGCCATCCTCTCCCAACAAAGCCAGTGGACTGGTGGAATCTGGAAATTATGTTAAACGAGCAGCCGCTAAGATTTCATCACTTTCCAAGAGCTGGGAGGTGCCATCCGCGTATACGTTCCGTAATCGTCAAATAGTGGGAGGCGACTCAACCAGAGAGTCTCGTGAATGTAATTCCGCGCAGGGGCCTAACGGACGCGAGGATAAATCTACGAAACAGCGAGAGAACGAACATATCAAAGAAGATCTTGAAGAGGGAGAGCTGGAGGACTACGATCGACAGGCACCTCAAGACCTTACTCAGAGCGACGATTCTGACGGGCAAGCTACACCCGGTGCCAATACAGCTAGCTCTAGCGCAAGCGATGTCGAACGAACAGTCAATTTGGCAGCAGAAAGAAGGGATCATGAGGACTCGGCGATACTCGACTTCCTCGAAGTCAAAGAGAGAAAGAGCGATGTTAGCGGCAATCGAGTTCTGGGTGGGCTTCTTGATGGATTGACAAGGACGCAAGTCATTAAAAAAAATGCCTGGGGCCTGCAGACAAAAATCAATCGTCACACGACATCCTCACCCTGGGGATCCCCCAACGAACGTGATATCCTGCGGAACGAATGGATTAGGATCCCCAGAGATGCACGCAAGGATGGCAAGGTCGCTTGGTGGTTGAGGGAGATCTGCGTGACGAACCGTAACGGGGTTGTCGGTATGTCCATCGTGCCTATACAACGGTTTAATAGAGCTTGAAAAGCTGTTTCATATTGACTCAAGGCGACGGAAAATAGCAATAATGGTAGAAGCTGAATTTAGGTGGTGGAATGGAGCAAGAGCAATGCAGCACTAGCTCTCTCGAAGCAGGCTTTATCATTGTACATTATTATTGGTAGAGAGATCAATGGAATTTAATTGAATTGCTACTTGACGACGGTTCTTGAAAAAGATATTCAGTCACTTAAGAGGCTCGATCTCTATTCAAGAACAGGAGTAGCCTTCTTCAGGTTACCCTAGGCAGAGACAAGGACTATTCTCTCGATATCAACCGGAATTAAGGGAATTAAGCCGCTCTTCAAGGAACAACATCCCACCTTGCATTGCTTGCTTCTATGAAACAGGAGATGCAACATGAGTACCCATTCTTGAGCTGATATTTGAAGCCCACAATGGGCCAAGATCAGTCTTCTGAGGCTCCCGAGCCTCACAATGTCTCTACAGGTTGAGCAAGCCCCCTCTCCCAACCTCGAGACTCGAAGCTCGGTCTAGCTTCAGAGCTTCTGCCCATTCTGGCTCCTTGCGTCGATGATGGCTGACAGGTCATCACGTATTTGCAGAGCAGCTCAGTCACGAACTCGCCGTCCGATTCGCGAAAAAATGCTTCACACCACTCGAGATCACCCATTTTAAGGATGTATTTCGCTCCCTCGCCGACACGCAGGATGGTATGTTGTACTGGAAAGAAGAGACGCTATGCAGATTCCTGGTGCTTCCAGACGGCGCTGGCGGAGCCTTGGGGACCGGGCAGGTGGTATATCAGATGGCTACGTATGTGTCTTCTCAATCTAGGAGAAGACTGGCTCTACATTTGGATGGGCAGGAAGAGGGCCAGTCGATAGAAGAAGGGATTTAGGAAGACACTTGAACAACATAGCTAATGAAACACCGCGTGGCAGATATCTTGGAGCTTTTCCTTTCGCCTCCCAAGCGCCGTGTATCCTCACAATCGAAGCCGTGCTAAAGGTTGTGGTAATTATGACGGAACGATACGGCAAGGTCTTGAAGAGGGGAAAGACGGATAGGAACAAACTGCTTTTCAGAAGCCTTGCTGTCTTCGATCGGAGGATGAGCATGGAAAAGCTGCCGTCTCCGACTGGGCTGGAGAAGATGTTGAACGAGACTGGAGCCGATGAGAAAGCCAGCGAAGCGACCCATGCACTAGGCTTCGAGATTGATCGGGCAAGAAATGACGAAGATGAAGAAGAGGACGATGATGAACTTGCTCTCGCGGCATTGGACTCTCTAGACGCGATCGAGGTGTTCAAGCACGATCAGAGGAGTGATACTAAGATTCATCACGCGCAGATTCCTGTGGATAACTTTCGACGATTGTTGATGCTGCTTTTGGTCATTGCGCCATTAGATGCCCAGGAGTCCCTTTCAAAGCACGCGCAACGTTTGACCGACGACAGAGTTGAGGGACTGAAAAGTGTAGCGGACTGTATTCTTTGGTCGTTTACGCCGGAACGAAATCCAGGAATATTCTACCATAACTTCAATACCATCATACCAACCTCTCTGCCATACCTCTTTGATGGACTGAATCCGCTCTTTGAGCATTTCATGTTCAGCAAGAACCTCGATCTTTCTAAGCATCGACGAAGATCTTCAGCTGCCGCAGTAGTCTCCTCGCCCCAGGTGATGTCTCCAACATCTCCAATCTCTCCTATCTCACCAAAATCTCCAATGAGTCCAACGCTGAATATGCCACCAGAACCGCTTATACCGAGTGAAGGTGAGATTATTAACCTCAACATCCTCAGCCAACTATCATTCTTCCTAAAAGGCAACACCGTCTTCCGTCGTCTACGCCCTCTCTACCTCGGCGGAAACGCCGGCTTTAGTATGAGGTCAATAGAGCAGAAAGTCTTCAATTGGCCATCGCCTAGTATTCTCCTTGTGTCCGGCACACGCCTTCCCTCCAATCCTCAGGGCACGCGCGAACGCACATATGCCGAAAGCTTGCCTCCCAAACGTTATCCTGACAGCAGTAAAGGCAACAGTACCTCCAACGAGGTCATTTATGGCGCTTACCTCGACATGCCGTGGAAGCACACGCACAAGGGTGTCGCTGGTGGCAGCAAGTGTCTCCTATTCCAACTAGCCCCTATTCATGAGGTTTTTCGACCGAGCTCTCTCAGCCATGATTACTTCACCTTCAACAAATCGGGTCTCGCTTTCGGGTCTCCCGCTCCTCGCTCTCACTCATTTTCCGGTCTCGCCTCCAAAACCACCTCCTTAGGCGCTGTTTCTCTGACTTTAGACGAAAGTCTCGAGTTTGGGGTCTTCAACCACGATAGCGCCGGTGGCGGATCATTTCATCCTAGTGAGTCTAGGAGGGATGACTGGCAGGATCGTTTCGAGATTGAGAGCTTGGAGATCTGGGGTTGCGGAGGAGACGAGGAAGCGGAGAGGCAGAGGAAAGCGTGGGAATTTGAAGAGAGGAGGCGGCTGCCAGAAATCATATTAGGAGAGGCAAGGACGTGGAGAGCGATCGTGCCTTGTTGGAGATGGCTGGCTTGGTAGGCAACCACGCTGGCAGTGGAGGCAGTATGGGTTGAGTCATCATTACAAGCAAGCATCTGCAGTCCTTTCGGAAGCAACAACCCCTTTAGTGATGATCATTGTAGCTAATGGTTTCCTGGGTCGCACCTTCCGTCAAGTGGTCGGCGAATTGGGCAGGGATCTAGAATTTCAACTCCTTGTCTCGACCAATGCTCAAGCCTACAACGACTAGCATCTTAACGAGGTACCATCTTGTTGAATGTAGCTATCGTTATGTCACCGAATAAAGACAGCCATCAACGACCCTCCTCAAATTCTGTGATATCAGATACGGACTCGCACCAGAAACCGGGTTTACCGTCAACTCATCGGCTCATAGTCACCACGACGCTGGTTGTCTTCTCATGGGATATGTCAGGGGTGACAGAGCTATTCAGTTCTAGCTCTGGAGGTAGTATTCATGCTTCGCAGGTGCTCACTGGCGACAATGGCACTCTAGCCGCGCTTTTGCATACGGGTCGTCAAGAGAAGGAAAGAAAATACGTGCTTAAAGGCTGTGAGGTACGTTCGTCTAGCATTTGATGGACAAATGTGTAAGCATTAAATTACATAGGGACAAATAAGGCTCTTGCATTACTCGGGGTGGAAACCTCAAGATCTCTACTTTACAACAAGCGTACGGAAGTCGGTTCAAGTCGTCTGTATGAGGGATTCGAAAGTTTTGCCCCTTCAAATCACGCACCCATCTCCTCCTGTAGTGTTCACACTGTCGAGTGACTCGAACCTGCTGTTATCAAGCTCCCTTCGACCTCCCACGATCTATATTCGCAATATTGTAACAGGAGCACCACGAGTTCTGCTACGACCTAACTGCTCCTCTTCTGCCGTCGTTGCAGCGACATTCCATCCTGAGCGAGGGAATATTTTCCTCCTTGCTTTCGCAGACGGTACGATCGCTGTCTATGACGCGAGTCGTATCCTGCGACGTAATGGCGATGCTCGAGAGCAGGTTACAGGCAGTGCTGGCGCTGCTGGAGAGGTTGCCTCTCTCAAAAGAATCCATACCCCCATAACTAAAGATCGATCAGACGAGAGTGTTGCTGACCGTGGACATGACCCTAAGAGTGAAAACGCTACCGTTACTGCAGACCAATGGGGCCTTACTTCTGTCTCCTTGCTTCCTGGACACAAAGCAATGGCCGTCACAGCTGGTGGCGACGGCAAATGTTGTGTCGTGGACTTCTCACAACCCAACAAAAGCCAGGCTGTGCTTCTGAAATCCTGGCATATACATCGTCCCGTGACTTGCGTTTCTGTCATATACGCTCGAGAGGACCGGCCTATTGCTCAGTATGATGGGACTGATGATACTATGACTCCGTCTCATAAGGACTACCGTATTGCTGTTGGACGCCAAGATGGCAAGGTACTTCTCTTCGATCTAGAAGGCAAAGCATTGGGACAACGCGCCTTTGGCCTTCGGCGGGGTCGCATCGTCAACATTGAGTGGGCGGAGAGGAAAGTAGATAATGCGCTAAAAAGCCATGAGGAACCTGTAAAGGAGAAATTGAGCGAGTACCACGTTGAAGAGCTGAAGCACAAGACAAAGTCCACGCCTCGCAAGTCAACTGAAGAAAGCTCGCTGTCTGACTTCTTTAAACTGTTACAACCGGCGCAACCCCCACTCGGACAGGTCGATATTTCCAACCAGAACGAAGAGCTTTTATCGAACGACCTCCCATCGAATGTCACTCGAGAAGGTAGGGTCCAACCATCTGTCCCGCCACGGCCAAAGCCCAAGGAAGGCGGCCGCCTGTACACTCGCAAAGCTCAAAAGGCGCTCGAAGCAGCTGGTCACAAAATTAGACTTTCCCCCGAAAGCCCCCAAAGACGCCGTAGCAGCGCCAGCTCTTGCTCTCATCGCAGAGGCTCAACATTTCCCCGATCAAAGCCAATACTCATTAAGGCTCGACGCAACCGAAAATCCTCTTCTACTCCACCACCACCAGAGAACCCCTCATCATATGCAGCAGCACTATCAGTAAAGTCCACCAACCCTTCAGAGCGTGACCCTCAACCCCTTGATACCCTCCCACATGATACAGTAGTACCAAGCCAAGCAACGATCTCAACCTACGGAACTGCACCGTCGCAGGCTAGCCCTCCACAAAGCCTACAATCTACCTCACCCGCCTCCTCGACCGATACAGTAGACGACTGGTCAGCGGGCGTCTCTTCCGTGAACGCAAGCCCAAGCAACGAAAGTACAGATACCTGGCCACAATACCCTTCCCAGCAACAACAGCTTCCGAATCGTACAGCAGCCGTTATGAAGTTGCCGGAGTTCGTTACCGTGCCCGGGCCACCTGGTACTTCATACTTTATATCATACCCTATGCGAGAACTTTCATATGGCAACCTTGTAAAGCCGCAGTCAGGGAAAGGTAGGGGAAAAGGTGGGAAGGATGATAGAATCGATAGCGTTATCGATGATGAGCCCAGGACCAGAGACTTTACCAGTCTCCCCCAACAGCAGCAGGAGCGGCAGCAGCAGCAAGATCCGGATACCACCACTTCGTCGGATAATTTGTTGAGAAGCGAGAGCGCTACGGCGCATATTCTCGCTGCGGGGAGGTATGATGCTGCTATTGCTAGTAGCCCCGACAAACGACGTCCTCACGGCCACGCCCGTAAGGGCAAGGAGAAAGGTAGGGAGAAGGGAGGTCAAGGTTCTGGGACTGGTGATAGAGTCGGCACTTCGAGTGGGGTCGATCTCCATGAGGTTGTGGAGAAGGTTGTGGAGAAGGTTGTGGAGAGGGGATTTGAGGAGTTGAGGGAGGAGATTAGAGGCTTGTTTGTGGAGCAGTGGGGGTTACTTGAGGATAGATTGGGTGAGAAGGAGAAGGGGAAGGGGAAGGAGATGTGAGGGTGTTTGGTGGTGGAAGGGGGAAAGGGGAAGGTTTGGGTACGTGATGGATGATTGCCTGGGAGAGAGGTTGTGTTGGATTCCTTGGTGGGAAGTTTAGAGTAGTTTTATTTGGAGTAGGGTTACATTGCATTTTAAAGTAGTCCAATGAGGTTTGGTTGGTACTGAAGTTTTGCTTGTCCGATGTGATGAGCAGCCGTAAGACTGCATTAATCGTGAACTTCTTGTTCTCATATTCAAGGATCTCTAAGCTTGGTATTTGATAACCAGTATCTTGACATAGACCAATTACATCGTCCTCAACATAACCCACAATACGCATCTCTCTCACACCAGGCCTCTGAACCTTGGATTCTCACATCCTCAAAAACCTCTTATAAACAGCATGCTCCGTGCACTCCTCATACGGATACCCCAGCTGCTTCAAAAACCCCTCTAGCTCCTCCTTCTCCTTCCCATCCGGACACTGGATCCCCGCCAGTATCTTCGCCACATCGCCCCCGTGATTCCGATAGTGGAAAAGACTGATATTCTGCCCCGGCCTCAACGCAAACAAGAACTTTATCAACGCCCCCGGCCGCTCGGGGAACTCGAACATATACATCTTCTCATCCGGCGCGTTACTCCGCCCGCCCACTAGATACCGGATATGCGTTTTCGCCAGCTCGTCGCCCGATAGGTCGTGTGTTTCCATCCCCGCGTGAGAGAGGCGCCTGATGAGATCCGCCACCTCGACTGCGCGCGTGGAGGCTGTGACGGAGATGCCCATTAGCACGGTGGCGGAGCTGGGGTCGGCGTACCGGTAGCTGAATTCGGTCACCGCGTGGGGGAGGACGGCTTTTATCAGGTCTGCGAAGGCGCCGGGACGCTCGGGGATGGTTACGCTCATGAGGACTTCTTTCTGTTCGCCTAGCGCGGCGCGCTCGGCTACGAAGCGCAGACGGTCGAAGTTCATGTTTGCGCCTGAGGCGAGGGCTACCAGCTGCCGTTTTGTGTTCATGCTTGGGTTTGCGGCGATGTATTTTTTGAGGCCGGCGAGCGCGAGGGCGCCTGCGGGCTCGACGATTGTGCGGGTGTCTTCGAAGATGTCTTTTATGGCGGCGCAGGTCTCGTCCGTGGTTACTTCGATTACGGAGTCGACGACCGTGCGGCAGAGGCGGAAGGTTTCTTCGCCGACGGATTTGACAGCCGCACCGTCGGCGAAGAGGCCGACTTCGTTTAGAGTAACGCGTGAGCCTGTTTTGAGAGATTGGACCATTGCGTTGGCGTCGTGGGCTTCTACGCCGATTATTTTCACGTGCGGTGCTATGCGTTTGATGTAGAAGCCGACACCAGCGATGAGCCCACCGCCACCGACGCAGCAGAAGACTGCTTCGAGTTCTTGGAGGTTGGTCTGGCGAAGGAGTTCCATGCCTATGGTGCCTTGGCCTGCTATGACATACGGATCATCGAAGGGTGGGATGTCTGTGAGGCCGTGGAGTCCTTCAAGACGGTGGGCTTCGGCCTTCGCGGAGTCGAAGTCCTCGCCATGGAGAATTACTGATCCTCCCAGCCTTGAGACGTTGAGATGCTTGATTGAAGGTGTACCAGCTGGCATGACTATTGTTGCGGGTATTTTAAGCTGGCGGGCAGAGTAGGCGACTCCCTGAGCATGGTTTCCTGAATCCGATTCAGCGCCCGGCGCCGACTTTTCGATGGAGTCCCATTATTCACCGGCTGAGCAGGCCACTACGCCTTTCCACCGACTGTCTTTGTCTAAGTGTGCCATTTTGTTGTAAGCCCCTCGCAATTTGAAACTGAAGACGGGTTGTAGATCTTCTCTTTTCAAGAGGACTTCACATTCAAGTCGTTTGCTGAGATTGTGGGCGCGTGTGACGGGGGTTTCTTGGACGACTTCGTAGACGCGAGAAGCGAGAATGAGGCGGAGATACTTTCAGAAAGTGTCAGTAGTTGACTGCAGTATGATTGGGGAGTTCGTACGTCGGGGTGGCCATCCGAAAGCAGATATTCTGCAGGTATGGATGAAGAAGCACTAGTCTTCTGTGCGCCGTTTACATCAGGAGTGGCTGAATATTCGGTCAATGGCATGGCGTTATGATTGCCATTGGGTAGAGCTTCGGATGCCATGATCCTCGATGAAAACCTGTCCAAAGTGGTCACAACTCAAGCGTTGAAAGTATTCACAGATTATTTTCACTCTCGGGACATTGACTTTGGTGATCTCGGCGCCTTCCGTGCTGATCTCCCGCGACCTATCAGATCCTGTATGTCATTATCCGTAAAATATGATCCTGGCCTGGTGAACACAACGTAATGAGGGCACGTTCATCAACGCGTGGTTGTACATTGAGGGAAATCTTGTTCAAATTTACTCATGAGTGGAACGTGAAGTCGTCCGCAGAATATGCGCCCTGACTAGCCTAGCTGGAGGCTCCATCAACCTTACCTATTCTCCGCTCGACAGGCGCAAAAGATGGCCGATCCTGATCTATCAGAAGCACCGCTCCCCTCCTCCTTCGACCAAGATGCGTACGGCAACATGAAACATGTTCGTGAGGATGAGCTGACCACCATACAGAGACTTTCACAATGAGAAACGACTGCACAAATTTACGCGTCGGCTCAAGGAGGAGCCTCTGATTCCTGTCGGTTTGTGATCCCCGTGACACGCATTCTCTTCGCATTTAACAGCTATTCCAGGCTGCGCCCTTACGGTCTGGGCTCTTCAGAATGCCGTTAGATCATCCCGAAGCGGTGATTCCTCGCGCACGAACCAATATTTCCGATACCGTCTCTATGCACAATCATTTACTATTGTGGCCATGTTGGGGGGTTCTTTCTACTACAACGCCGATCGCTTAAAACGTGGCGAATACGTGAAGCTCAAGAAAGAGCAGGACAAACAGGCCAAGAAGGACGCTTGGATTAGAGAGCTCGAGGCTCGCGACGCAGAAGATCACTTATGGAGGGAGAAGGTCAAAGATATACAGAATGCGCAGCGGGAAGAAGCCGAGAGGACGCGGCTCGCGAGGCAGAAAGAAAAAGATGAAGGTCAGGATAGTGATAGCCGGGGTGTTCTCGAGGCCGTAAGGCAAAAGAGTGATGAGGCTAAGGCCAAGGAGACCAGGATGCAGAAGGTGGAAGAAGGGTTTGAGAGACGTCCGAAGGTAGAGGGGAAATTGGAGTCGCCTCCGCCACCGGGTGGGGGGCCTGAAAGACCAAAGGCGAAGCCGAAGAGTGTTTTTGGGGAATCAGAAGAGGGTGGCATCATGGGATTCGGTACTTTGAAGGCTTTGTGGAAGTATCTGAGCTCAGATCCTGATGGCAGCGAAGATGAGAAGTGAATGAGTCAGCTGAAAGTCTTGTGATCCATTGTCAACGATATACACCCTGCAAACATTTGCACCCGTGGCTCTAGTGTATCGGCCTTCTGAGATCTTTCTGGCAGTGATTGAGGGCATACTCTTGCATCTGCATCGTCCGATACCGCAGGGAACTCATGAGCTTGCGTGTGAAAAAGGTACGCCCCTCCAAGTGGCCCAACAAGAAGCGAATGACTAATGCTGTCTTGCGAATCCTTGGTCGCCACCAATAATCAAGGTTACCGTGAGGAGTTGTATCCTTGCATCGTACAGTTATCGCATCGATAATCACGCAGCCAGTCCTTGTCTCATCGTTTCCGTGGTAAAACAACCATTCACGCCTTGCATGAATACCATGACTGTGGAATTTGAATGTGTCGCAATGCTCTCTCCTGCTTGTCTCTGTGCTTTCCGTGGGTTCGCATTCCTTTCATCCCAGACTCGATAAACGAACGGAATGCGATCGTCGCATCTCGCAGTGTCGACCCTAACACACACGTGGCGCTCCGCCCAGCGACCCCCCCACGAGATCCCATCCTGGTCTGAGGCTCATCAAAGTGGGAACACTAACCGTCCATAGTTGCCGCTGTCGCTTGCGGTTCGTCATTTGACACTGCATTGAGTGGATACCAGACAGGACTTTCTGAACACAATTTCTCCGCATTTGTCATGAGGTCAATTTTGAGTGAAGGGTGACGAGAGCGCCGCAGCTGAACAAAGGCATTTTTCAAATTGCATCGATCCTTATACTTACACCCTGTTGTATGGAGCCGAGTATTTCAGCTCCCATCAGTTTTGGACCCTCAGCACAGTTGCAATCATGGCGGCCATCGAGCAAACAGATCTTGGCGGATCTTTCAATGTCGTTTCGAGAGTCTTATCCAATGAGTCGTACGATCAGGATCGAGGGATTTATATCGACGCTGAGGACCTTGCCCGAGCGTATACTGCCTCAGAAGCTAGAACCTCTGTTCGAAAACTCATTGCAGGACTCAAAGCTGCCGGATTGAACAAAGGCGACTGTGTATGTGTGCATGCTTTCAACGATGTAAGTGGATCAGCTCTTCATTCTTTGCCCTTTCGACTTCCAAGGTTGACGTCGCGCAGGTCATCTATCCGCTGCTGTTCCTGGCAATTGTGGGCGCAGGCGGTGTCTACACCGGCAGCAATCCTGCCTATACTCCAACGGAGATGATCCGTCAGATCCAATGTACCGACACACGTTTCCTCATTTCAGATAGCGATGCTCTTGCGAAAGTCTCCATGACGGCGTTCGAAAATGTGTTGCCGGCGTCGAGGATATTCCAGATCAATGCCAAAGGGCAGCAAGCTCTTCCAGACTTCGCGACCTGGGAGACACTCTCAGGCCATGGAGAAGGTGACTGCGCAAAAATCTCCAGTATCGAGGAGGCCAAAGGAACGACAGCCGCGTTACTCTCAACCAGCGGAACTTCTGGTCTTCCCAAATTTGCGATGATTTCGCATTACAACCTGACAGCGCAAATGGATATGCTGAACGACAAAGATCGAAAGCCGTACACTGTCAGAGATTCTTCCTAAAGTGAGGATACCCACGCTTACAGTCATAGATCTCGCGTCTCCTTGTGAATCCAGTTTTTCATGGATTTGTCTTTCCTCTTGCCCATACGCTACCCCTCTGGCAGGGAGTAGCGACATATGTCATGCGCCGATTTGACCTCGAGAAGTTCCTTGCCTGCATTCGCACACATGAGATCACAGAAACGACGGTGGTTCCCACCATTATCGTTACCATCCTCAAGCGCACATGCACCGCATACGAAGATCTTCGATCACTACGGACCGTTTGGTGCGCGGGATCCCCACTTGTGCAAATCACACAGAATGAGATGTTCCGCCTTCTGCGTCCTACCGCAAGACTGATCCAATGCTGGGGCATGACTGAGGCTGGTTGGATCACAACATTTTTGTGGCCCGAAAAAGATCATAGCGGCTCTGTCGGTCGGCTCTTGCCTGGTATGGAAGCGAAGTAAGTACTGCGGCATGCTTTCAGCGATCTATTACTGACACGGTTCTAGACTCATTCAAGACGGCGAGACTGTGAAAGAAGACCTTGTGCGAGGCGAGATATACATACGCGGCCCGGTCATCATGCAAGGCTACAAAGACGACCCGGAAGCCACTGCCGCTACAATTGACGAAGATGGCTGGCTTTGCACTGGAGATGTTGCATATGTGGAGCATGGCAAGATATATATCGTCGATCGCAAAAAGGTGCGTGGTCCTAGCCTCCGTATGTCCGAGGGTTAGGGCTAACCCTTGCCTCCCCCAAAATAGGAACTGATCAAAGTACGTGGATGGCAAATATCGCCTGCTGAGCTTGAGGCTCAGTTGATATTGCATCCTAGCATCAAAGAAGCTGCGGTGATCGGTGTTTCTTCCGTCGAAGGCGACACGGAGCTTCCTCGAGCCTACGTCGTTCAAGTATCCGGAGCCCATGTTACTGAAGAGGAGATCAAGACGTTCATGTCCCTAGATCTCGCAAAATTCAAGGCGCTCACGGGTGGTGTGATATTTGTCGACGCTCTACCAAGGAATGCGATGGGCAAGATCATTCGACAGGATTTATCAAAACTTGCAGCACGTGAGAACGAGAACCAACAGCATCTTACCATCAATACTACCACCGCTTACACAGAGCAGTTGCCTGCGCTGCTTTCCGGTGAATCTATTCAGTCAGCGACATCCAGTTTCGAGTGGCCGAATGATGAGACCATCACACAGGCTTCCTCAATGACTCCTTCATTGGCTACCGATTCTCCAACCTTTAGCGACAATGAAAAGGACGAGCAACAGTTCCTTACACCAGACCATGAATCCACGTTGGTGGAGACATTCCAGTCGACCCAAAAGGTGAAGGATGAGACAGAGACTACGAAAACCGCAGCGACACGGGAAGACGAGCTACCAGGGGTACTGGATCTGACTCATATCGGTGCGTAGACCTAAGGATATCAGCCGGCATGATACAGGTCTACGTGACTATTCAGATAGAATGCGAGTTTGCATACGCAACTACTCTGCTTGTTAGGGTAGAGGATGAAGCCGGAATGATAGACTGGTGGTGGAAGCATAATGTACAACAAGCATTGTTTTTGAACAGGGCACAGGATGTCATGAAAGCTGATAGTCTGCTCAATACGATCGTTTTGTACTTGCTACAAGTTCCATATAAAGTTAGTCCTTGAATGTGCTACATCCTGCAAGTTTAAATCTAGCGCTCATGCACCCTTCGGCCCTCTTCGAAGACCCTGCAGCGAGATTCCTTCCCGAGGAGACATCGGCCAATGGCTGCGTAATTGCTGGTCCAGATGCTGCAGCCTGTCGCTCTGACAGATTCTCTACTGTACCGAGTCTAAACCGAGTCACCTGAGAATCTATATGGTAGTCGCTTCTGACGCCCCTCCAATCCTCATCAGTAGAGGCGGGGCACCGCAGTCCGCCGAGGCTGGGCTGGTCTCAGACCCCAAAGGCGAATCCCATATCGCGTGCATTCAAGCGGCACTGAGAACCAGAGGCGAAAGGGGGAAGGCACATCCGCGGCCTGCTTGGCAGATAAGACAGCTGAGGTATCTTCCACTAGATCGAAGCTGGGAAGCTGGGGTGCATAGATAGTGAGATTGCCCCAGGAACACGGCGCGAGGGTACACCAAAATGTTCCGGGTGGCAGAGGACGTTATAGGGTCTTGTCATCATGACAGACTCGATCTGGAATCGACGAAGATGCACCATATCCAGCACAGCAAATGGCCCACCAAGCGGGCATATCAAAGTGGAGAGTGACTTCAATCGATGCGTCAGATCTCAGGCTTCTAGACCCAATGAGTAGATAGCCTGAATGCACAGTTCTTGCCGCAATTTCGAAAGAATCGGAAGGCGTGACGGACGGAGAAGATCGCAAATTTGGGGTCGGTCTCGCTTTCGTCACCTGCCTTGGAACACCCCGCACTTCCCTCTGCCAACCAATCACTGCCCGCCAATCATTACCCGCGCCTTCGACACCAACCATAGCTCTCTTTCCTCTCCGTCTGTGCTCCTGCTGTTCCTTCTCCTCCTCTTTCCCCATTCCATCCATCAGTACCCATCACCACCCTATCTCATCAATTCAACACTCACTATTAGAGCTGTAAACACACCATCACAGTACTTGCATACATCTGCAATCATGATTGACTCCATCGGAGACGCCATGAAGAAGGCTACAAGCACCTTGCCCATCCCAACCGTGAGTTCCCCTCATGTACCTCCAGCTACCAACAAGCTCGACAACTCCGCCCTTCCATGCCATCCAGCTTGATTCATACTGATGCTCGACCAGGTCGTACCCGATGCACCAGAGCTCCAGAAGTCTGGCGATGTTGGCAACCGTACCCTCTGGTATGTTTACATCCTGATTTGCCACCAGTCAGCCAAAGGCAACCACCATCACTGACCACACTCCAGGGTCGTGTTCGTCATCATGGTCATCTCCTCCATCGCCTTCTATGCTATGGCATTCCGTGTCCCAGTCGTACGTCCTCCCCTCTCCTCTCCTCGCCTGTGCCTTCAGCGGCCACCGCTGCCTACCAGCCTGAAACAAGCTACCCCGCACAACACCAAGCTCTTGCTGACTCTCTGTTCTGTAGCAAAAACGTTTGTTCCATATCCTGACAGCTTTTATTACGACTTTCGCTGCCATCTCCTACTTTGCCATGGCCGTTGGTGATGGTATCAGCCACAATAAGATCGTCATTAAGGAGAAGCAAAAGAACTTCCCAGATGTCGACCACATCATCTACCGCGAGGTTTACTGGGCTCGATATGTTGACTGGAGTGTGACTACCCCACTCCTGCTCCTAGATCTCTCACTCTTGGCTGGTCTTGCTGGTGCCAATATTCTGGTTGCCATCGTTGCCGATGTCATTATGATCTTGACCGGTCTGTTCGCCGCTTTCACCGTCGACTCAGGTCCCAAGTGGGGTTGGTATGCTATTGCATGCATCGCCTACCTTGTCGTCGTCTACCAGCTCGCTTTCAATGCTCGTGGCGTGGTCAAGGGCAAGGATTCCAAGACAGCCACCTTCTTCACTGCCATCGCCGGTTTCACACTCATCCTGTGGACCGTCTACCCAGTGTATGAATCCTCAACCTTTCATAAGAGCGGACTGTACTGACGCAACCTAGGATCTGGGGCGTTGCCGACGGCTCTCGCAAGGCTGATGTTGACGCTGAGATTGTTGCCTATGCCGTCCTTGACGTTCTGGCTAAGCCTGTCTTCGGCTTCTGGCTCCTCTTCACTCATGACTCTCTGTCCAGGTAAGCACGAAGTTACTAAAAGCATTTATACCTGAGCTCACTTTGCATTAGCACTGGCTCTATCGAGGGCTTCTGGGCCAATGGCTTCGGTAAGGAGGGTACCCTCCGTGTCGGTGATGACGACGAGGGAGCGTAAACTACATGTTACTGCGTGACCAGACCAGCTACGATCCGCTGCATGTAGCACACCAAGAAATTGCATCCAAAAACATTCGAGAAAATTGCACAAATGCGAGGGGAAAAAAGAAGAGAGGGGAATGGCTGTGAATGGTGGTAGGGAATGTGACTGTCGATAATGAAGGTGTTGCTGGGTCTGCATTTTTGCTCTCATCTCTCGCCCATCCAGATACCCATTCTATACCTCTCCCTCGATAACCAATTGAAAAGAACTTGTTTCATATCTTTGGTATGGAAATTGTCTGCACTAGTTTCGAACTTCTCTGGCAAGGCGCGTCAAATGTACTGTATCAGATATAGCTCGTATCCAGAACAAAGTTGTCATTGCTTAGAGTACTAGAAGTTTCGATAATGGTGATTGTTGATCAAGCTTAGAGATCTAGCACTTCCTACACCGCCGAGACCTTGTCTCCCACCCAGTCCCCCGCTCCCGTCCTGATTCTAATTACGTACGACTCGTAGCCTACGCTGGCATCGCCCAAGAATGGATATTCTCGAGCTACGGCAAGTGTTTCTAGACCGCTTTTGAGGGGGGAGTAGCGTGGCTCCTGTTAGTGGGCGAGGGAGGGTCGGTCATTATGAGACGGCTAAACGTCGGTAGATTTTGATCTTTTTGATCCAATTGACGTTAGTGGTCAGCTCGTTCCTGTATTCGAATTAGGGTTTGGGTTGGGGGTCGGATTGGGGTTGGGTTGGGGGCGGGATTGGGGGACTGGGGAAGGTTGTCAGCATCTCTCAATCTGGCATGAGATGGCGCTTTATCTACACTCAGAGTCTTAAATGGAAGATCTTGAGGGGCCAGATTGAAAGCCTATTCGCTGACGACGGTTGGATCTTGTGATATCTGCCTCACTTCGTCTCATTGTTGCTATACGAGCGACTCCTGCTGCTGCTGCTTCTGATTCGGAATGGGCTGGGTTTTGGGGGGGACCGGGGAGGGGGGGAGATCGTCGTCACCGCTTCTGTGGTGCTTCGTGAAGAATTCTTTGTAAGCGGAGGCTGTGCCATTCAGCAGAGGTAAGCGCTATTGTGGCAGGTATCTTTTAGCATTTGGCCTTATAGTACTCCCCATCTCGTTATTTGGATTGTTTTGGCTTGTCTTGCGAGGAGTCGATAGTCTGGACGTTGTGTTTAGCAAGGTAAGAGACTCCATGAGATTTGCTAGGAGCATTCGCTGATCGGATAGAATTGTTAGCGATATAAAGACTCTTCGATTTTGAGAGGGTGTGTTCTTTGATAATAGGTTGCTTGTTTCTCATGTGCCGGCGCCTTGTTTAGATGCAACCCTGTACGATTCTGCTGCAGCAACCATGAGCATGCCAGATGGAAATCATCATGCCGGGACTTCCAAGACAGAGCAGAAGTCCCCTGAGCCAATCCCTATTGCCATCATAGGCATGGGATGTAGGTATCCAGGAGGTGCGACCGACCCATCGAAATTATGGCAGATGTGTGTCGAGCAGCGTGATGTCTGGTCTCCTATTCCCAAGGATAGGTTCAACTCCAAAGTCTTTTATCATCCTGATCCGGGCAGGAATGGCACGGTGACTACCTCCCTAATCGCTGTTGGAGGATGATGACTGAAGCCCTTCACAGTTTAATGCCTTGGGCGCCCACTTCCTCGATGAGCATCCAGGATATTTCGATGCTCCATTTTTCAATGTGACAAAGGCTGAGGCTACTGTAAGTCTCGATCATACAGAATGTCGGCAGGGCTGATATTTGCCAGGCGATGGACCCTCAACAGAGGCTTCTATTGGAATGCTCGTTCGAGGCATTAGAGAATGGTTCGTCTTTACTATACGAGGCCTTCAAGTACTTGGACTGAGCATGATAGCTGGGATTCCTCTGGAAAAAGTCTCTGGGAGTGACACTGCAGTCTTTGTGGGATCCTCTTGTGCCGATTACACTACCCTCTTACAACATGATCCCGACAAGACGGCGCTGTATCAGTCCACCGGCAGCGGACAGACAATGCTTTCCAACCGTTTATCGTACTTCTTTAACCTGAAAGGTCCCAGTGCTACAGTGGACACTGGTATTTGATCCCTGCTTTGACTCCACGAAATTGTCTGATGTTTGAGATAGCGTGCAGTTCAAGTCTAGTGGCTCTTCATCTTGCTTGTAATACCATACGATCTGGCGAAAGCAAACAAGCGATTGTCGGAGGCTCAAATCTCATTCTGACTCCTGAGCCGATGATTGCTTTGAGCATGCTGAGGTGAGTTCTTGTCTGATATGTTCGTGCCACATTGTTCAAATTTCTAGGCTTCTTTCTCCTGATGGACGCTGTCATTCTTTCGATGATCGGGCAAATGGCTTTGGCAGGGGCGAGGGATTGGCTTGCATTGTACTCAAGCGCCTTGACAAAGCACTCAAGGACGGTGATGATATACGGGCCGTCATTCGCAACACTGGCTCAGGTCAAGATGGAAGAACGTCGGGTATCACGTTGCCCAATGGGAAGTCTCAAGCGGATCTAATGAACCACCTCTACCATACAAGTGGACTCGACCCTGCCGAGACAACTTACGTCGAGGCCCATGGCACAGGGACTCAGGCTGGTGACCCCATCGAAGCTGCATCTCTGTCAAAGGTCTTCTCGCCGAGGAGATCGTCCCATGAGCCCCTCGTTATTGGCTCTATCAAGTCCAACATCGGACATTTAGAAGGTGGCAGTGGGCTTGCCGCAGTCGTGAAGACTGTGCTGATGCTAGAAAAGGGCCTGATTTTGCCCAACTTCGATTTTCGCAATCCCAATCCGCAAATACCGATAGATGACTGGAATGTCAAGGTAAGGGCGAAATATGTTGTCACATTTGGGTGCTTACTTTATATGCAAGGTCTCGCAAAACCTGGAGGAATGGAATCCGGAACACCTACGCCGAGCATCCATCAATAACTTTGGGTTTGGAGGCAGTAATGCGCATGTTATCATTGAAGAAGCACCTAACTATCTGTCTCGGCGCGTATCACCCGGGTACTGTAAGAAATTGCCCCCAGTTATATCGGCTATCCCGGTAGACAGTAGTAGCATTGCCAAAAAGGGCCTCTTTACGAACGGTGACACCCCGACAGACAATACTTCGAGCAACGGCGACATTGTTGAGGACAGCCACTCTGATGACAGCTTTCAAGTCGTAAAACGTAAATCGTCAACCCACGTCGATGTTCCCAGTCGCCCAACTCGACCACACCTATTCGTTCTTTCAGCGTTCAGCGAGCTTTCAGGGAACACGCAAGCAGAAAGACTGCGAAGATATCTGGAGGACCAGGAAAAGGATTTCTGTTCAACGATCATGGATGACTTGGCTTTTACGCTTGGAGAGCGTCGGTCTGCTTTGACTTGGAGAGCCGGGGTTCTAGCAAGGTCTGTGTCAGACTTGCTCAATACCCTTCAAACCGGGAAACTCAAATTCTCGAGATCACAAAAAGTTCCTACTCTGGGATTCATCTTTACAGGCCAAGGAGCTCAGTGGCATGCTATGGGACGCGAATTGATGATTCAATATCCGATATTTCGAGATTCGTTGAATTTATCTGACCGATATCTGAAATCGTTCGGAGCTGCTTGGTCTCTTTGGGGTGAGTCCTGGCCTAGCAAGAATGGTACTGTATGTGCATCTTTGGCTAATATGACACTAGATGAGCTGATGAAGGATGCGGAAACCTCAAATATTAATTCAGAGTACCTTAGCCAGCCGCTTTGTACCGTGATCCAGATCGCTTTGGTCGATCTACTCGAGGCTTGGAATATCAGGCCGACAAGCGTTACCGGACATTCTAGTGGAGAGATTGCAGCAGCCTACTCATGCGGCGCTTTGTCTCATAGATCTGCCCTTGCAGTGGCATATCATCGAGGCATAGCTGCTGCTGCAGTCAAGGCCCATAATCCCTTTCCAGCTGGGGCTATGATGGCAGTTGGCATGTCTGCAACAGAAGCCCAATCCGTGATTGCTACCTTAACGCAAGGTCGGCTGAATGTCGCGTGCATCAACAGCCCGCAAAGTATTACAGTATCCGGAGATAAGCCTGCCATCATAGAATTGCAGAGCATACTGCATACCAAGGGCATCTTTGCTCGGCTGCTGAAAGTCAATGTTGCCTATCACTCCCATCATATGACTAGTGTAGCCGACAGCTATCTACAGATGCTCCAAGGGCTTCAGGTGAACAGAGTCAATTCAGTAGGCTTCTTTTCTACCGTCTCAGGCGATCTGCAAGGCCCTTCAATTCTAGATGAGGGCTATTGGGTCTCAAATCTCACCTCCCCTGTTCGCTTCTCTGAGTCTGTGCAGCAACTTTGTTCCAGCACAAACCAATGGCAAATGCATCAGACGAACACACCCGCGGCTGTTGATTGCTTAGTTGAGATAGGCCCTCACTCAGCTCTCAAAGGGCCCTTGAACCAGATCCTGAAATCAACAAGACTAAGTACTTCCAACATTACCTATTTACCAAGCCTGATGAGAAATGCTGACGCTGGGAAAACTATGCTCGACCTGGCTGGTGGTCTCTTCAAACTGGGCGTTCCTGTTAACATGCAGGCCATCAATCGCCCAGTCGATGTCCAAACACCCAGTGTTCTAGTGGATTTGCCACCTTACCCTTGGGACCACTCAACTTTATATTGGCTCAATTCATCGAGTAGCGAGAGATACCGGAACGGTTCTCATTCCAGAAGCGATTTTTTGGGCGTACCTGTCAAAGACTCAAATTCTCTGGAGCCAATCTGGAAAAATCACATCCGTTTGTCTGATATTCCTTGGCTTGAAACCCACAAAATCCAGTCAAACGTTGTGTATCCAGCGGCTGGGTACCTCAACATGGCGATGGAAGCTGAGGACCAGCGCTCTCAATCGGCATATAGGAAGGTGATCGGTTACGATTTTCGCGAGATTTCAATAAAGAAGGCGCTCGTGATATCTCATGATAATGATGAGGTGGAGACTATGTTTACTTTGCGGCCTTACAATCAGAGTGTACAATTGCCTTCTGACACTTGGGACGAATTTTCAGTGTCTTCTTCGGTCGATGGCGCTACGTGGACTGAGAACTGTCACGGCTTGATATCCGTCCGCAAGGAATCAGAAGTATCTGAAGTGGATGGTGGTCGCGAGGCTAGTGAGAGCATAGCCGAGAATGAGCGGATGATTTCAAGACTGGAAATAGATTGCAAGACGAAGCTTGACATACAAGAGGCCTACGAAGGTCTCAAAAATCTTGGACTTGACTACGGCCCTATGTTCGCAAACATGAAGGAAGCAAGAGTGTGCGGTGGAGGGAGTATTGCCGTGGTATCGGTCCCTGACACTGCGGCGATCATGCCTGCCAATTTCGAATACCCCTTCATAGTCCATCCTGCTCTCTTGGATAGCTGTTTGCATGCCATCTTTATGATCGGAAAAAGCTATACACACACTGATCAAGGTACACCTGTACCGACATTCATCAAGGAGGCACTTGTTTCCCAAAATGTATCGAAACAGCCAGGACATGAAATGACGGCATATGCATCACTCATGAGGAATGACTTAGGTAGAACATCAGGGAAAGGGTTGGATCGAACCACTAGTAATGTTTCTGTCTTCGACAAAGCGTCCACGTACAGTCATCCGTCCATAAGTGTTAGCGGCTTGCGCTTCACATCCATTGGGCAGGTTGCCTCAAAAGAAGCGATCATGGGCAGCGAAAAGGCTATTTCTTATCAGACTATTTGGCAGCCAAGCTCTAACTTCCTCTCAGCAGATCAATGGTTTAAAGTAACAAGCCATCTTCGCCGTCCATCCCTTGACGCCACCCAAGATGAAAAGCTCCAGCAAGCCGCTTTCTACTATGCAGAGCGTGTGATGAACTTGATGTCCTCTGTGGAACCGTCAAGCCTAGCGCCTCATTACAGGAAGCTTTACAAGTATCTATCTGGAGTTTGTACAAAGGTCCAGGCAGGGCAGCTAGGAGAGGCTTCCACAGCTTCGTGGCTGAGTACTAATGCTAAGCAAAAGATGGAGCACTGCCGCCAGTTCAAGGGCACCTCTTGGGCCATCCTTTGTAGCATTGGGGACAATCTTCCGCATATTTTAAGTCAGGAGCTTGACCCCTTATCTCTTATGTTGGAGAACAATCGACTTGAAGAATATTACCGTGCCGATCAGAGACTCCTTCAATGTTACGAACAGGCAGCTTACTATACCAAATTACTCGCATACAAGAACCCTGTCATGCGTGTCCTAGAAATTGGTGCCGGTACTGGAGGGGCTAGCTTGCCAATCCTAAAATCGCTAGGTGGTACGGATGGCAACCCACCTCTTTTCTTGGAGTATGACTTTACCGATGTGTCTCCTGCCTTCTTTGAGAAGGCAATGGAGAAGACTGAGCCGTGGGCTCATCTTATTAAATTCAAGAAACTCGATATTGAACTTGATCCATTGGAACAGGGGTTCGAGCCAGGATCGTATGATTTGATTATCGCCTCGAATGTACTTCATGCCACAAAGTGCATGGAAGACACACTAAGTCGAGTTCGGAGCCTCCTCAAACCGGGTGCCTCGCTTTTGTTGGTCGAAACGACTGCGGCAAACATCGTCATAAGTCTCATATTTGGGACGTTGCCTGCGTGGTGGGCAGGTAAGTCATATTTGCCTTCAGAGTCTCGTTGATCTCCTAGAATGCTGACCTGTATGTTGCAGGTGAGGAAGACTACCGCCAAGATGGACCACTATTGACTGAACCACAATGGGATGCTATGCTTCGGAAGACAGGCTATACTGGATTGGAAGCCAATCTATGGGACATGCCAGAGGCAACAAATCACTGCGTGAGTACTATGGTCTCACTTGCTGCATTGGATCATCCTGTCGATCTTCCGGACATTGCGATTATCACCAGCTCTGAACCATCTGGCCCTAGTGTCGGGCCATTTAGGAGTCTATATGAAAGTGCACGAAAGGCTCCTCAAATCAGCAGTCTCGCTAGCTATCGCGGCGATGGCCAAGTCTGTATCATGTTAAGCGAGCTGACATCCTCGGTCCTGCGCAACCCATCCCCTGAGCAATACGCAGCTATTAAGCGGCTATTACTCGGGAACAATGATGTCCTCTGGGTCACGCAGGGTGCCCTCATCGAATCAGGTAATCCGGACTCGAATCTTGCATTAGGTCTTTTGAGGACCATCAGAGAGGAGAAGGGAGATACTATGCTTGTTCACTTGGATCTTGATCCGGACCTAAGTCTAGATGACCCTGAAGTTGAGGATACCATTGTTTCCATTTTGAAGGCCAATTTCAACCGGAGGCTGCCCCCGTCGGCTTCGATAGATACGGAATACACCCTGAGGGGTGGATTGGTAATGGTGCCTCGTGTAGTGGAAGACAAGACATTGACCTCCTTTGTTACGTCAAGTTCAGGCGCACGAATGCCAGAGGATCAGCTATTTCATCAGGACCAGCGGCCACTGAAGGCTGAAGTCAAGACGCCAGGGTTGCTCGATAGCATACAGTTCGTCGATGACGAGAGAGCGTTTGGATATTTACCTGACGATCACGTTGAGGTTGAAATGAAAGCCGCTGGACTCAACTTTCGAGACGTGATGTCGTCTTTAGGCCAGATCGACCCGTATCCACTCGGCGTTGAGGGCGCTGGAGTGATCACGGCTGTTGGAAAAGACGTTTCTGAACTCCAGATAGGTGATCACGTCATCGCGACATCTAACGGTGGCTGCTTCTGCAGCTGTCTCAGGGTTCCGGCGAATACTATTGAGCTGATTCCAAAGGATATGCCATTTGAGATTGGTGCTTCTCTACCAATTGCGTATATGACAGCATACTACGCTGTCTTCAAGATAGCTCGTCTGTCCAAAGGCGAAACAGTGCTAGTACACGCAGCCACTGGAGGACTAGGTCAAGCTCTGCTCAACCTTTGCCACGTTGTTGGCGCTGAAGTCTTCGCCACCGTTGGGACTCTTGAGAAGAAGGACTTACTTATGAAGGAGTTTGCTATCCCAGAGGATCACATTTTCTCCAGCAGAGATGGCACTTTTGCTAAAGGAGTCATGAGAATGACCAATGGTAGAGGCGTAGATGCTATCATGAACTCGCTCTCTGGAGACCTTCTCCGTCTTTCTTGGGACTGTATCGCAGACTTTGGCCGCTTTGTGGAGCTAGGAAAGCGCGATTTCACTGTCAATTCACGACTTGAAATGCGGAACTTCGAGAAAAATGTGACATTCACTGGCTTGGATCTTCCTATCGAGTCCCAGCGCGAAGAGAAGCATAAGATCTGGAAAGAGCTCATGAGGCTTTATCAGGAAGGCAGAATCAGAGCTCCTCATCCAATCACCGTCTTCCCCATGTCCCAATTGGAGAAGGCTTTGAGGACTATGCAGTCTGGGAAGCATATGGGCAAACTAGTACTAATGCCGCAACCGGATGAGATTGTCAAGGTTGTACCACAAGACGACAGCCATCGACTCTTGCGAGCAGACGCAACGTACTTTCTCGTTGGTGGGTTAGGCGGCATTGGTCGAGCACTCGCTCTTTGGATGACAGGTCATGGGGCAAGAAACTTCATCTTCTTGTCACCGAGCGGGTTAGACAAGGCGAAGTCAAAGGAAGCCATCGCCTTACTCCACGCGGAGGGAGCTCGCGTGAATGTCTTTAAAGGCGATGTAAGCAACCTCGCAGACGTTCAGCGAGCGTTGAAAGAAAGCTCAAACGACATGCCTCCCGTACGTGGAGTCATACAAGCAGCCATGGTCCCAGCGGTAAGCATGACCCTTCCCATCATGCCTCTCTTCCTCTTTCTTCTAGACAACACCACTAACAAAGCTTGCTAGGCGGATCTCTTCGAGAACATGACCCTAGAAGACTACAACGCCGCCATGCGCCCCAAAGTCGACGGCACCTGGAACCTCCACAATACCCTCTCCCCCCCTTCCCACCCCCACTCTCTCGATTTCTTCATCTGCCTCTCCTCTGTCGTCGGCCTTGTCGGCAACCCCTCCCAAGCATCCTACGTCGCCTCCTCCCTCTTCCTCGACGCCTTCGCTGACTTCCGCGCCCACCTGAATCTCCCTGCCGTGACGCTCGACCTGGGCCGCGTCGTCGGTGTCGGATTTGTGGCGGAGAATGAGGCGGCGAGAAGAGGGACGGAGAGGCTGTGGAGTCGGGATATCAGCGAGGGAGAGGTTATGAGGATGGTTGAGGAGGCTATTCGTGAACCTTTTAGAGGAAGGAGGAACGGAAAGGGAGAGGATGAAATGGGCCGTAGGTCGGGAAGTAGCATCACGGGCTTGAAAACATGGAAAGAGGACGCAGGAGCCGTTTATGACGCCCCGTTGTTCTCGCACTGGAGACGCGCGGCCATGGCGTCGCGCAATTCCGACCACACCGCTCCCGATCACGCTGGGGCTAATATGCGCGACGTTCTTCGCATGGCGAAAAGTCGAGAAGAGGCTACGGATAAGGCTTGTGAAGCCATCATGGCCAAGATGGCGACATTGCTCATGATTCAGAAGGAGGATATCAGGCCGGAAGGGAGTATGGTCGAGTATGGGCTGGATTCGCTCGTGGCGGTTGAGATGCGGAATTGGCTTGTTAGGGAGATGGATGCTACGGTGCCGGTTTTGGAGTTGTTGGCGAATCGGTCGGTGAGGGAGTTGGCGGGACGGGTTGTTAAGGGGAGTGGGGTTGTGGGTGTGGGATTGAAGGGTGATTGAGAGGATTGGTGAGGATTGTGGATTGAGTTGATGGCTGGAGTATGGATTTTTGGATACATATTTGCTGATGTACATGCTTGTTCGCTAGACTCATGTGTTTTGCCATTTTAGAAGATGGGTGATAGGCAATGATACCCCTTGATCTACCCTTCCAGTATTGGATGACCCTGTCCATGCCTCTCCAACATACTGCCCAATATGGTGAAATTGATTTTTCACATGCATGGTTCTTCGAGGATCTTGAGAGTTTAGGGTATTCGGCAATATTCATAGCTGATTTGCTATGAATGCGAGTAGAAGGGTTACACAGTCTATCTTGGATTTTGTAAGCTTCGCGAATAGGGGAGTGGGGGAGAATGTCAATGAAGTTCTTTGTCTAGACTGCTTGCTTAGCGCCGGGGCTTCACTGCATGCAGTATTGTCCGCCTTGGTGAAAATCAGAGCTTGAAAATGGGGTTTTACTTCACGTTCTCGACTTGAGTAGGATACAAGCACGTCATACACATTTGGAGGCATAACTCGGGCTCGGAATGCTGGCTTCCGCTCGCGTTGTCGAGGCTGAGGATAAAAGCGCGGGAGTCTGCTAGTGGGATTCCACGGTGGGTTTGGACGAAGTGAGGGTATGGAGGGCTTTGAGGCGAAGAAGAAGAAGAAGAGATAGGTGCTGAGGTTGGGTTGGGTGGTAGAGGTGGTGCTGCTGGGGTTGGAGCTTATGAGAGAGGACGGACGCTGAATTTGGCGTACACATATGCCAGAGGCATTAAGCTCCTTGGGTGACATTTGGGGAGGCCACAACTGCCAAGCGTCACCGAATCATTCCCCAGGGATTTGGGTCATATGTACACCTCCAATCTTCCGTCAATCGAGTACACCATACAAAATTGTTGATCCAAAAGGTGATCGCTTGACTGTCCCCAGTCTGATTCTTTGTGACAGTGTCAGTCCCTCCTTACAGGACACTTCTTTGTAAGGAAGTAAGGGTTGAAGGGAAGCCATTCTTGACAAAAAGGAACAACATGTGTATTTCCTGCTATGAGATACATCTTGGGGTACAAAAAGTATATTCTGTGAGTCGCCTATTCAGAGTGGACTAAATAGTATTGATTGGTTGATGTGGGAGCAGAGTCAGATGCCAAGTCGGGTAGGGCTGGGCTAGGCCCGATTGAGTGATCCGAGGTGAAATGGTATTGACTGCATAGGCGTAAGTACACTCAGCTGTACTGTTTGGTCACAACCACGGCTTTGGGTCAGATATAGAGTTTCCACAACCCCAAGGGTAAGTGCACTGCGACAACTTCTCGATTCGTCCTTCTTCTCTGTCTGGTTTCCTACATAATCCTCATTGTGTTGGCCCTGATTCGATAGGTTCAGCGTTCTACAATGGCTTCTACAGCTGACAGTAGAATATGGGGTTGGCCCGTTCTTCCTCTTGAGCTTAGGCGGAATATCTATGTCTATGTACTCGTCTCAGCAGGCGTCTCATTCTCTATCGAGAGAGCTAGCTCAAGATCAATACTGAAAAGGGACTTAAGTCCGCATGTCATATTACCAGAAAAGGGATCGCTTCTCTACAGCTGCTCAAACCTGCTTCTCATGTCTCGTGGAATACGCCACGAAGTTATTGAAATGGCGAGATCGCTAGCTGCAAAGGGACAATTGGACTGGGCCTTGGATATCTCAGTCAGTCCTCATCTCCCCCGTGAGCAGGACATGAGACTTCAGTGGTCTCGACTTCCTGCCCCGCCAAGTGTGTACGTCCAACCAGGCGACAGAACCAATTCAGCCGATTTGATTACAAGCGGCGATGTAGACCAATCTGAAGGGGAGACTCTTTCCCGTGGCTTGAATTTGGTTGTACGTCTGGTGATGGAGAAAGGAACAGAGGTCCGCTGGATAGGTGATGGGGGACCTGGCACTTTTGCCCAACAACTCCTCACAGCGCTAGGCTGTTGGTGCGAGAACGGCCTACTCTTCCTTGAACCGCGCCAAGAAGAAAATAAGGCGAAAATATACCTCGCGAATCTCACAGTGGTGTTTGTACCGGCATTTCCCAATGAGCCAGTGACCCGAGAAGATCTTGTAGCTGTGCTGGGAGAGGATCATGCGCGGATTCGAGCTAAACCCCAGACTCGAGACTTTTCTCAATTAAAGTCGTTCCTCCATTGGACCGCTGAAACGGGACTTTTGCATGGATATATGAAGAACGTGCATCTTGCTATTGAGAATCGGGGTGTGCAGAAATCGTGGACAATCAAGCGAAACCATGAGGCTACTCGAAAGGAAATCGCACAGGAGTGGGCAGGATATGGCTGGTTACCTGGCCAAAAGTACCGATTATCCCGACCATGTCCTGGTGACAGAACTGTCGAACGACTTCCTAGAAGTCAACGGAATTTCATCAACGGCCAGGCCCGGTGGAGACTTCCTGGATGTACAATGAGCTAGGCTAGTGCTCGCAGATCGTGTGCTGCGACGAAGTTTACTCTCTTATCATATTTAGAGTCTACTGGCGATGGAAAGCATCACAAAGGTGACAGCATTTCGAGTTCACCACACGTCCGCTCGGGGTCTTGATTGAAGGGCCCTTACTTAAAATCTTGTCACACTGAGTTTTTACTTTTCTCCTCATACTCTTATAGTTCAGGTTGCAATCAGAAGCTAGATAATACAGGATGTTGAGGACTATGTCACCAGGGAAGCACGAACTAGCCGGCTGAAGGAAAATCTCAGATCTTGAGTCTTATCATCGAAGGACACAAGATCTTGGGTGAAAGCGCTTTGGCAAGCTGATCTCGTATGTTCACCTGTCACTTCCGATAAACTTCTAATAATCGAAAGGGACACAGCAAAAGACAAACGTCAACATATACCCTGATGTATCGTAATGTGTCATTGATGAAGGGTTGTATGAGTATGAAAGCGACTACCACCACCGACTATCCGATAATAGACAGTGAGGTGGATCTTTGCGCTTATCAGTGAAACTTGACTCTCGTGGATAGCGCGTGGACAAAGACACTAATCTACGACGCGAATTCCACTTTTTGAGATATAGACCCTGTCCAGTGAATCTGACATAACCTTCAACAAGACGGAACTATGTTGGTGGGGTGGATGTCAAGGCCATTGACGATCTTTGTGTCAATGGCTTCTCGCTGATTGAAAGAACCCATACATACGGCTCCGTATAGGCTGTGCATGATGTCAATTGTCACTGGGCACTTGATCGCCTTCTTACTCTTTCTGACTATCGGTCACGCATTTCCTCAACAGATTATCCCCACGCTCAATGCAAGCCATCAACTTCAGAACACCATCAGGTAAGCATTTAGTCTTGCCAAAAGCTTCGTTCTGTGTTTAATCACCAATGCGGGGAAGCACGCAAGATTCTCCAGGAAATAACTCGTTGTCACCATTTTCTATTGCAGCCAACGACGAATACCGCCTTGATGTCGTCTCCCAGCCGGACAAGCCCATAACTTCACAGTCTTTCTATACGAACATCGTTGAAGCCATGTCCGACATCAATTTCAATCACGCCCATCACCTGGAACCCTGGATATTCGTACCTTTATACGGCCTCCAGCTTTCGATTCGCTCCCTTTCTGACCAATTACTACTTGAGGTCCATTACACTTATATCCTGACACATCTGGCAACGGAAGTAACCCATCGGGGATACACAGAATGCAAAGCAACCCTATACAACTCCACCAATGACGCCCTTGCCGAAATTCAACTGGTGAGCATTTCCCCTCCGCGCGGCAGCAACTACACACTCTCCGAGACGGCCATTTCCCGTCGCGCAGACCCTCAAACTAGTGTCGTAGACGTATCTCTCAGCATCAAGATAGAGTTCGACGACGTACTCAAGGTCAGCGAGCCGTATCTTCTCCTGTCAGTGATCTATGCTTTGGCCATCTGCATCACTACCCACGGCGATGCATGGCCGCGTTTTGATTTCGTCATGCCTACAGAACCTTCTGATCTTCCGCTAAGGATATGGTTCAAAGCTCGGCCTCCCAACAACGCGGTATCTAAGAGAGACGTGGTCAGGACGTTGGTAGAGGCTGTGGATAAGGAGTATGAGGTTCATCAGGCTCGGGGGTCGTGGAGGGCATTGAGGATTTCGCTTAAGAATGGGAGGTCTAAGGCTGTGGATGCTGGAGTTGATTGGTGGGGTAGCTGAAGGTAGTGGCGTGGCTGCTCGAGACGAGTATTCGACTTCGTCTTAAGACTTGAGTCGTGATATACGAACCGTCAAGAGGGGGAAGGCAGTCATTTATATCGCTGTTGTGTGTCTCAGTACCCGATTCAGATGCACGAGAACTATATTTTTCAAGCCTTTTGAAGCCACAATCTCCATGAATAGGCCCCCTTAAACGAAAGGAGCAACTCCTGAGATGCTGCATTCGAAGACAGCCATCTTTTTGAATGCCCTCATGTTCAAGGAGCCTGGCACTTCATGCTTCTGAGAAGGCACGAGCTTTGATGCAATACAATCCAGCGTAGAGAACTCCTTGCAACGGCCAGTAATCCCTCCAGTCATGCATTGACATGAATCTCGAACTGTACGTTGTACGAAATTCGCCTGTGTGAAAGTCCGACAAGTCAAAGGCTTTCGAGAGTGCCTTAGGTAGAGATTAAAAGGGCTCTGCCTTCATGTTCATAACGTTATCTCCAAAGAATCTCGTAATGCTCGCGAACTTGAGTCAGCTCGACGCCATCGTCTGGAAAGACCATAAGAAATGCAGATCTATCTCGGGCTAGAAGTCAAAAGTAAAGCTCGTTTGTAAGGCATCCATCTTTTCCGAGCTTTCTTCTTCTGATTAAATAATGCGATAGAGTATCTTGTGCATAGATCCGCCGTCTCTCCGAGCGAACGCTATGAGATGCCAAGTGACAATATAACATCGTAGAGAAACCATCAAATCGCATGTACAGGCCGCAGAAAAAGCAACCGTGACTCAAGTGAAAGTGTATATAAGGCAGAATGAGCCAAAAAAAACCAAAAGGTCTTGCCCGGACTCGAACCGGGGTCGCCGGAATCAGAATCCGGAGTGATAACCTCTACACTACAAAACCTGATTGAGCTAATTCTTATTAATTTATATATGCTTCAATTCAAGCGACCTTGTGTCTCTTCTCTCTGGGCCTGCTGAAGCTCACCATCAATGGTCCAGGTCTCCGTATAGATTGGCTTTCGCTTATTGTCGCCGCACAACGTTCGTGGCTTGGCACTTGATCTGTGTCTAGCGTATCAGAAGCCCCTTTTTGCGCCTCATGTCTCTCCACATATGACTTGTCGATCCAATTCATTTCCACTAATGTATGATCGCGATTAACGCTGAAATATTCAATCGCGAAAACATCGCTGTTTTGGGCATGAACTCGTGGCGTGTTGACAGATTTACACAGCGAGAAGCTGTGAAAGATCGCTGTCTTAGGGAATACGGCAGAGGCAATAGTATACAAAAGATTTAAGGCGAACACATTCACTCTGGATGGTAAGAAAGCGATCACTATGAAGACGAATGGGCATCACTCTCGCGGCTATTCTCACGTAATGGTGGATGACTGGCCAATCTCGGCTTGCATGAGGCTGAGCATAATTGGTTGGCCACCAGCGCTCCCTATGCAGCCAGGCGGTGAGCTGCTGCCTTATTTCACGCACCCCTCCATGGTGTCTTCAGACCTCCCAAAAACCCTTCAAAACGTCCTCCTCAAATTTCATCCCTCAAATCTCCTCGTCCCAGATCTCAACCTGCATCACCCATCCTCCACCGCCATCATGAACAAAATCGTCGAAACGCTCCTCCCCTGCCTCTTCCCCAGCACCCACGACGGCCGCATCCAGCTCCCCGCCGAGAACGCCAACCACCACCCTCTCACTCCCTCCGAGAAAACCGGGTTTTATCCCCAGCCCACCATGGCGAACAAGCCCTCCCTCACCAACCACGAAGCAGCCGACGCAATCATCGTCATCCTATACTCCACCAACATGACCACCTCCTCCGTCACCGCTGACATCAACTCCATCGTCCACCAAGCGGGTGGCTGGTCCGAGTACCTCGCCAAAAAGATCCTCTCTGCCATGGAAGCCGCTCTGAAAGCTGCAAAGCCCATGAGTGCCGCGTTGAAGACCGCTTATGACAAAACGTGCGAGGCGGCGAAGGAGATTGAGGGGTTTGTTGCCGAGCATCCCATTGCGACGGGTGTGTTTTGCACCGTGGTTGCGTTGGGGGTGCTGTGGCTTTTGGCACCGAGTGTGCTTGCCTGGCTGGGCTTTGGGTTGGAATTGGAAGAGGGTGAGTTGTTTGAGGGTTTTCCTTTTTTTTGGTAGAGGGTTGGGCTAATGAGGGTTGCTATGTAGGAAGCTGGGCTGCGGCGTGGCAGTCTACTTATGGTGGGTTTGTCTCCGAGGACTCGCTGTTTGCTTTCTTTCAGCGCCTTGGGGCCTACTTTGGACGTTGAGACGGGGCCTTGCCGGGGGGGGGGGCGAGGAGGGAGGGATTTAGAGCTGATGGCTAGGGAATGCGCAGAAGATGGAGATATATGAAGCAATCCGGGTGCAAAGGAGAAATCAGACCTCTTGCTACCGAGGTAAGATAAGGATGCAGCATAATGAAGAATGATAATATTGTCTATGGCGAGTCAAAGCCTTTAACTACAGACACAGTATCTAAAACAGGCATGCAGCATGCAACATCATCATCTTTAATGATCTTTCGGGTCCACACCTCATCCGCTATTATTGCTGCAACACCGCTCACATCCCTTCTCAATTCAAGCACCGTCATCTTCATTTCCTAACTGCCTACTCAGCAGTTCCTTGAAATGTCTGCACCTGAATGCAAACGCTGTGCCTCGAACGACTAGCAGGGATCGTCGTGCTACTTACCTCATAGTTTTACAGTCTCAATGACTAATCGCTTGACATGAGATATCAAGTGAGTCTTCGAGACTTATTGGTTAGAAGGAACTTGGATGCTCTTGAAAGCTGGTTCGGTCACAAGATGTTAGTCAGCAAAGTCCGAGCTCAATTCATTGACTCCACGCCGTCCCATCGCTGCCTCCATACCTGCCCAAAAACCCATCACCGAGAAGGGTCAATCTACCAATAATGCCAGTAGATGCAGCCTTCGCAAAGAGACTGCCCAAATGTGAAGTACATATTGTTCACTCTGTTAAGAAAACCAGAAATTGATATCTTCCACAGCTCCACGCCCACCTTACAGGCAGCATCACCAAAGAATGCCTCCACGAGATCTGGCTCCAGCGCCGACAAGCCGACCCAGACTTCCCACTAGAAGATCCTCTCACCGCCCTAGCACCCGAGAACATCACCCACAACATCCATACGTAAGCCCATTCCCTCCCCCCCCCCGGCTCATCTCCCCCTCTCCTCTCTCCAAACCCACCAACAACATCCCAAGGTTCTTCCCCCTCTTCACCACCTACATCTACACCCTCCGCAGCACGCTCTCCACCCTCCATCTCACCACGACATCCGTCCTAAAAAACTTCCACGCCGACGGCATCTGCTACCTCGAATTACGAAGCACGCCGCAACGCCTCTCCGACGGGTCCAAAGCAGACTATGTCTCCACTGTCCTCGCTTGCATCTCTTCTTTCTGTGCTGAACACGATATGCCGACTTATCTCATCCTTTCGGTTGATAGGAGGAATACGGCTAGGGAGGCGATGGAGGTTGTGGAGCTCGCGCTGCGGTTTAGAGATCGCGGTGGTGGTGGGGGAGGCGTGGTGGGGGTGGATCTTTGCGGGAATCCGATGACGGGGCTGGAAATGGGTTTGGGGGCGCTGAGGGAGGCGGTACGGAGGGCGAAAGCGGGTGGGTTGGGGGTTACGGTGCATTTTGCGGAGGTGGAGGAGAGTTCGGGGGAAGGGGAGTTAAGAGGATTGCTGGATTTGGGACCGGATAGGTTGGGACATGTGGTTTGTGTGCAGGAGGGGGGTTGGGTGGACCGAGAGATTTGTGAGAGGAGGATGGGGGTGGAGTTGTGTCCGACGGGGAATGTGGCGGCGGGGTTGACGAGGGGGGATTTGGGCGACATCATTTTGGGAGGTGGGTTAGGAGGAGGAGGGAGGAGAGGGGCAGTGTGGTGCTTTGTGTATGTGTGGATCGGGTATTTTGGGAGGTGGGAATGCTAATGATTTGTAGACAGATGATGTGGGGTTGTTCAATAATCCGCTGTCGGGTGAGTACTTGTTGGCTGCGGAGTATTTTGGGCTTGATGAAGAGGATCTATTGGGACTTTGTGATGAGGCTAGCGACGTTATTTTTGGTGGAGTTGGGGAGAAGAGGAGGATAACGGAGAGAGTTGATGTGCTCCGAAAAGAAATGCACTGACCACAGAAAGCTGAATGAATCTACAATGCCCTTGTGGCGTGCGATTCCGAACGAGCGATCTACTGTCTTTAGAGCTATTACTGCCAATTTTCCCCATCGAGTCCATGCTTCAAGATCTCGTTCACCTTTGTGTTCAAGATACGTCACGCCCCAAGCACGAAAATTCCCCTAATACCTTGCACGAGATGCGGCTAGGAAGTCTCGACCTGCCCCAGCGTAACATTCCCCAGCATCTCCCCTCCCCCTCCCCCTCTTCACCTCTAAATCTCCCAACCAATGCGCTTCCGAGTATCCAACGACATAATACACCGAAACACTGATCTCCCTAAAATACCCCGGTCGGAAATCCTCCCCCGCCTCGTCCTCAACAGGCCTTCCGGCAGCGACTCCCATCATGTTATTAATGTCTCTCAAAGTCAAAGCCGAGGGTAGCTGCGCGGCTGTTTCGTTTCTGTAGATGGACGCTGTGATCCCTTTGGTGGTAAAGGAGAAATCATCTTGGACGGGCGTTTGGGAGGCGTAAGGGGCGACGGCGAGGAAGACTTTGGCGAGAGCGAGGAAGTAGTCGCCGTGTGAGATGAAGCCCGTGCCGATGTAGGAGTATAAGAAACAGGTGTTTCGATCGAGGCTATTCGATTTCTGGAGATGGGGGCCGGGACATATTTGGTCGGGGGTCGTCGTGCTGTTTGTGGGCCTCTGTTGCTTTGTGGCAGGAATGAGCTGTGTTGTGGCATTCTGTGTAGTCGATGTGCTATTATCCGGTTTGGCGACGTTATTGAGCGTGTATGAGATGGAACTGACGATGTCTTGGTTAGGTCCTGTGGTACAGACGAAAGTGGTTGAAAGGAATCGCCCCACTGCGTAAGCTTCTATGCTGTAGTAGAGGGTCTGAAGCAGATAGGAGGGTGAAAGGGACTCCCACAGATTTTCCCCTGCGTATGCGAGAAGAACGTTTCTGTAGACAATGAAGTTGGGAGATAGTGGTGCTGTGTAGTCGCTCATAGCGGCGAATGACATGGCATTGATGGCACTTAGGTATGTGTCATATTCAGGCAAGAGTTCGGTGCCACTAACGCTTTGGCACTGAAAGTCTGCCAGCCCTAAAGTGCCATTGTTTGATTCCGCAGAGCTGGTATTGAAGGGAGGCTGAGGAATCGAAAAGCTGTGGGAAAGTAGGCTCAAGAATAGGACAATGCGAGCGATTCGGTTGAGCCTCACCGAGCGAGATGCCATGCTTTGAGATGTAATGGCTGATGAAATCGCATGGCTCCAGACATTCTCTGCTGGTACATAAAAGCGTGTTACGCCATATCGCCAATCTTTAAAAGCGACATGCTACACTCAATGTTGTTGCCCCTCCTCTTGTTCCAACAGAGACATGTTTCCGGAACCAACAAGCCAAGAATATTGTTAGTGAGACATGGGGTATAGGATCCGGGGTAACAGCGAGAGCTTCGAATAAGGCAACAATGGACTCTCTCTACGCAACCGAAACGTTCGTTCTGATGTGCTGAAAGATTTTTTGTCGGCTAACATGTCTAGGCTCATAGGTATGAATAGCGGTTCTTGGATCGACTCTTCCAACACAGATGCTTCTTGCCATCGATATAATACTGAATTAGCTCAAGACTGCAGAACGGACGGGAAAGACTATCAACGAAGCCCGCCTAAAGATCACCTTGGTTAACGCAGACAACCTCTTGCTTCAGACTTGAAGCTTTTCGAAATCACTGACGGCTGTTGGACTTGGTCAGAACACGACGAAAACCTTCAGGACACAACATGCGAATACGTAGGCATTCAGCGCGCATGCAGCAAATGGTGATGAGAATCTCCTACTTGCCATAGTGATAATGATAGATTGAGTCAGCGATTGACAATGGTGACCGCACCAACCCATTTTGCACTCAATTTGCCCGGCATTCAAGCAGCATATCATGATCTACACCAAGTATATTCAGTGAACGAATGCGTGTTGCAATCGACGCTAAGTGCGAACGACGCGCATGTTTTGTAAGTGAGAGAAAGTTCTAAAGCAGGTGCTGTTTTGGATGCTTGGAAGGTGAGATTTTCGAGCCTCGCCTTGAAGAAGCCACGGGATGAGTGCACCAGTCACGTTCTAAGGCTCCCTGGGTCCTTATCATCACCGAAAGCTCTCAAGCCCCCACCACTCGTTTCTCTTCGTTTTTCACACCTATTTCTAACACCTAAGTCTCCGTAAACAATGAGTGCCTAGGACTCTCATGCTCACCCTCCTTCACGCACCGAAATCCCATCTCCTCATAGAACCTCCTGGCCCCAATGAATTCGCCTCAGTCTACGGAAATATCCGCTCATATCCCTTCTCCCTCGCCAGGGAAAGTCGAGTGATTTGTTGTGGGGAGTTATGGAGCGGTTGTTTTATGCCCGGTCGTAGAGATGGGAATCCCTCGATTGACTGAGAGCAAATTCCATTGACTGAGTCATAAGACGCACGCGCGTAGGGACGAGCGAGGAGAGGCGTAGAAACCGACAGATAGGGATGAATGTCGATCCCTACATATCCTTGGCGATTCGTGGGAGCTGACCCGAAGCGATCCGTTCTGCTAGTGCAGTACATTGCTATTTCGGCATCTTAGAACGATAAAAGCGTTGCGTGCTATCACAATCAGTACTGAGCTTACTTGTAGGACTGAAAGGGGTCCTCACTTGGTAGTATCTTGCCCCTGATATCGCAGACCAAGGGTCAATCCTTCCTTTCAATCAATGTTTGTTCAAAACGCAACTCAATGCCGCGAAGGAATGGTCAGCTGGTGAAACGGCGTTAGAACACAAAGCCAAGCCCTTGAGAATGGCGTCTATCGCCAAATTCAACTCACCCGGTCGAAAGTCGAGGGGCGAATGTTACAGTGGGTGATACTGGATCGTCGACAAAGCCACTGAAATTTGCCTTCTGCATGAAAGATGTCTTGCCCTTGCTATCCTCGAACTCAATAGCCACATATTCCAGGTTCTTCAGCTCGTCGGTGTCAATGAGTCTTGTTAGACCCATGTTAGGAAGTGCTGCGTCCTGGTAGGTGGGATAGCTATGATTGAATGATCCATCCCAAGCATTAGATCCTGGTTGATGGTTGAGATTAGTAGAGTCAAGCTTGAATTTGACCATGGTCTCTGACTTCTCCTTTGCTGTAAAGCAGCTCATACGAAATTCCTTGTAGGTTTCCGAAGACTTGTTAGCGAAGAAAAGCAAATATTGATGTCTCCCACGTCGCCACAATCGCACACTCTGTTGTTTACTTTCCGTTGCTGCCGCCCCATTGAAACATTTGGAGGTGATCTTCCAAGCCGGGATTTGCGCCTGCAATTCGACTTCAGGACCAAGAACCATCTCTTGAAAAGTCTTGTAATCATCTTTATTGTCGAACTCGAACACCTGGCGATGATGCTCACGCGTAATAGTAGCGCTGTCGGCTGAAGAGGATAGGCTAGAGCGGGATCGTGCGCTGGCAGATGACGGGCCAGCAGGCTCCCCCGATAGACTACTACTTCGTACCCTTTCGCTGCTGAATTCTGTTCGTTCCAATTTCACTTGGTAAGTCATGATTGACCCAGACGCTTCGGGATGTTCCACGTGGGGTATGACCACGTTCTTGGAGGTACAGTCTAGCTCTTCAGATCAGCAAATGGATCTCTATGCAGGGAACAATGCTATCTCACTAAGATAATATCTGACGTTGGAACCTTCTGGCGGAAAGAAGGCAATGTAGCGCTGATGCAAGTGAGGTCGCTGGTGAGCCTCAATGCGACTTAAAGGCTGTTTAACACGACCATTCTGCCTCCTAAAGGTCCTGTATGTCGGAATTGTCAGATTGTCTCGCGCATCAGCTGGAGTCAATCATCATCTCTTACACTGAGGCTCCTTGTAGGCTCTCCAAAGACCTCTCAAACAAAAGCTCATCCCAAGCAACGGTTGAACTCCGTGTTCTTTGCCCACCACCGCTCGTAGATGAAAATATCGGGGAGGTAATTGAGTTATTCGAAGCGTCGCCAATATTTCCCAAGAAGAGCCGCGAGTATTCCGACCCAGTCTCCGGGCTTGAGCTTGATGACGCGATTATTCCGACCTCTGTGTTTGCACGATTTCCCAAGGGCGACAACCCCCCGTCAAGTGCTGAGACAGCTAGTTGTGGAGAGGGTACGAAAGCAGGACTAGCTTCCGACGGGCTCACTATTCGAAAAGAATCGAGTTGTCTCGAGAGCATGTCATCATGGGTTGTAGTAACATCTTGACCTCCGCTTTCATTCCTCTGGATCGGAGGTAGCTGAATATTCAAGAAGCTGCTGGGTGTCTGAGGCTGTCGCTGAAAGTATGTATCCGGATTCGTTGGATGCGGGGGGCACGTGTACGGCGGTAGATCTTGCATCTCGGTTTTGCTGTTTCTTCGAGTATTTCCTTGCGGACTGTGGGCTTGGGCACTTGACTATAATCAGTGTATATCAGAAAGGTGCAATTGCCTACTCACAAAGTGTTGATCTGGAGTATGAAGCTTATGTGCCGAATATGACTCTCCATCTGCTCGGTGAGTTTCTCTGCCCTGTCCTTTTTCCACAGCCAGAGGGCGGCACCGGCCCCGGCAGCTCGTTTACTTCCATCGCTGGTAATACCTGGGAAATCTGCAATGAAGTCTTCACATCGTTTGATGCATTTCTCTCCTTGAACCACCTCTTTTCTTAGCTGGGCTAGCCTATGGGCGGACAGAGAGGTCTCGCTACTTCCATCGAGCTTGTCGAGCACTTCCTGCAGCGATCTCAAAGACGAATCAAAGTCCTCGATCTTGGATTTGAGCTCTTTCGCGCTTTCCGGGGCGTATTGAAGCTGCTGTGCGATACGGTATAGACGATAGGCAAGGGAGATGGGTTCAGTCACGTTCCAGCCTGGTGCGGGCATTGCAGGTGCTGGGTGCCGGCTTCGTCAGAGAAAGACTGATAGGGAGGAGCGCTGAGGCAATCTTGCCAGCATGGGCGCATAGCCAAGTAGCCGGTACGAGAGAGTCACCATCACGTTCAGGTTGATACTGAATGCGATTAGTCTATGATGTTGTGGAAAGTGGCATTGGACCTTGATCGCGTAGGGCTGAGATGTCCTAGGGATCCCATGTGCCGTACTCGAAGACTCGAGAGAGCCCAAGCAGGGTCAGATAGCGGGGGAGCTGAGGCAGTGTTCTAGGCTCCACTACTCCCCACAAAACGGCATGATCGCCCGGAAGATGCCTCGGCAGCGATCACTTCTTGGCGGGAAGACCCCAATGGCATCCTTTGGCGCTATCGGACAAACCAGTATTGCAGTCTGCTGCACGTTGCTGCATAGCCACATCAATGCTATCAGGGCTATCTGTAAGCTCGATGCCCATACCGACACCGATCAAATGTCATGGTGGTGTGGCAAAATAGCCTTGCCAAGGCTCCTCACTTCCCCTGAGTCACCTCACCCGCTTGAGCATTCTTGGGAGCCAACTCGGCCACGGAGCATTCGAAATTGCTTGGGCGGGGAATCTGAGCTTCCTACTTGAAGGCGCTGTGAGACATATGCTCTCATTATCGCATTCACCCATCGCGTACAGGCATTCAACAAGCCCGAATCTCCCTTGATTGATTGGACCAAAACCTCCCACGGCTGAGTAATGCGTCCCCAGTGGTGGCGCTTCTGGGTCGACCACACTCATGGATTCAATTACGGAAACCTCGTAAGCATTCAACCAAGAGCATTGGACGATGCGCATCCAAAGCTGACCGCCCGTACAGGAGGATACGCCGAAAGCGAGGCGCCGACTTGTCCTGCGATCGCTTGAGCGCTCGGGCTTTGGATGGCAGATCGTCTGCGTGGCTGGCTTTGGCTTCCTCACCGACGCATACGATGCACGTACTAGTCGAAAGGAGGCTCTATCACAAGTCGACCTGCTGACTCCGATACGCAGATCTTCTCAATCAACACAATCCTCCCAATGATATCAGTCGTCTACTGGGAGAATCATTTCCCAACAAGATACCGTTTAGGACTCAATCTGGCCATGTTGTTGGGTTCGATGCTGGGCCAGATAAGCTTGGGCTACCTCGCCGATCGAGTAGGGCGCAGAAAGGTGTATGGGCTTGAATTGGGCTTTACTATCATTGCTTCTTTCGGATTCGCTACTGCCTCGCCCGGGGCATTCAACTCCATGTCCCTGATCGGGCTACTCATCTTCTGGAGATGCATCATGGGCGTCGGGGTCGGCGCTGATTATCCCCTAAGCGGCGTCCTCACATCGGAGAAAGTATAATGTTGCTGGAGTGAAAGTTCTGTGCTAATTGTAGACAAGATTTGCCCCAGCAAAATACAGAGACACAATGCTAGCGGCGGTCTTTTTCTTCCAACCATTCGGACAACTAGTCGCAGTCTTGGTGGCATTTGCTGCGACGGCTGGCTTTCGGTCACATATCGCAAACATCACTGCGACTTCTGGTCCCGGATCTTGCTCTATGGCTGCAGCCGATCCTGCTGGCATTGAATGTGCAAAGACCATTGACAGAGCGTGGAGACTCGTTGCTGGGATTGGAGCTGTGCCTGCCGTTATCGCTATCTATTTCAGATTCACGATTCCAGAGTCGGTAGGTTTACTCATTACCAGAAATGGTCGGGGGCTTGACTTATGTCTTAGGTCTACTATTCGCTTGATGTCATGAATGATACTGACAAAGCTATGAATGACGCAACATACTTCGACTCGACAGAATCACTTGAGCTAGACTCGCTTCCTAGGAACGATTATACCTCTGTCAACAGTGACCAGCAGGAGTGTCCTGGTCTAGCTTCACCTCAAGATATCCATAGACCCGGACAGATGACCACTGACTCAATCACGGCTGCAACAATGGCAACAAACGGATCCTTGCATCAAATCGACCGCAACTCGAGGGAAAATGTGACCTCAGAAAGAGCCTTTTTTGGACCATTTCTCACCTACCTATCTAAGGACCGCAACTGGGTTGACCTTTTCGCCACATCTGTCAATTGGATGAATCTTGATTTCACATTCTATCTTTTGGGTGTCAACAGCTCAAGTTTCATACCTAGACTGTTTGGTGAAGACATTGGGCCAGAGAGGCCTCCATATTCCCTGCTTATTGGTGAAGAGAGACATATACTCGAATCGTCCTCGGTCGGATCACTTCTTGGTAGTCTTGGCGCTATCGCTATCATGCATTTCAAAAGCCCTAAAGCTTTCGTCCGCGCGGTCAACAGCCCGAGAAGACTACAGACAAAGGGTTTCATTCTGTTGGGAGCTCTTTTCATCATCGTTGGGGTAATGTACTTGACACTTCCGACCACAAATGCCCATGTCGCCATTGTTGTATTCTACCAATTGTGCCAGCTCTTCTATAATTTGGGTGAGTCTTACCTCCGTACTTCGGCGAATCTACGCACACTAAGTGGATTACAAGGTCCAAACACAACTACTTTCATGGTAAGCCAAATGCTCTTTCTGAAGGCATGTCACACCATTTATCAACCTATGTTCATAGATTCCGGCGCAAGTATTTCCTACCAAATTTAGATGTACCTGCTACGGCATATCAGCAGCCCTCGGCAAGCTTGGCTCTGTTCTGGGGCAGATTGTGGTCACCGAGGTTCCAGGGTACAGAGGTCTTGGAGGCACGCTCGTTGGGTATGTTCACAGCACCAAGTCGTGTGAATACATCATATGAGACTCAACGCTGACAAAGAGCTTCGCTGACACAGATTCACGATCGTCATGATCGTTGGAGCACTCATGTCAATCTTCGTGACACCCGAAACCTGTGACAAGACTGGTGAAAGCCTCCCACTAGAAGACTTGGCCGAGAGAAAGCCCCGGGAACTTGCGCTACGGCAAAAGAACGACTTACATGAAGACTGAAGATCTGACGTCCTCGTGGTGTATTCTTCGTACAATATACATACACGGAAGGTTCAGTCCTTGTCGCAGTCACCGTCCTGAGCGCTGCCGCGAATGGGGCCACAGAACACGAAAAAGGGGAAAATGCCGTGGATAGCCGCAGATGTCGTATCGTCTTAGTCACAAAAGTGTCTGCAATTCAAAAGAGGGGCTGGTTAGTCTCATAATAGCAAGAAATCTGTGTTGAAAGTATCGGGACTGGGAAGATGCCCGGCACTTTTTCCCAGTCATGAAACAATCACGAGGCTTCCTCAAGCCCCGCAGCGCTGTGGTGACCTACAGATTTCACAAGATGCATTGCACAATATTGCTACCGAAACGCTGCTTTCAATTATTGCAATAATCAATATCTTCACATACAACGTCTCCGCCACGCTGCTACTGTGACAAGGCGGACGAATAACCGTTGCCACGGGAGCGGCTAGTTCGTGACAACTATGCTGTTCACCGTACAGCTCCTGCCGGATGGGGAGTCAACACCCTTTGGGAGCTCGAACGTTGTCCAGGAGTCTAAAAGTTTGCTGCTGAACAATGACAAGCTTCGACACCAAAGTCCGCACCTGGAAATAGACGATTTGAGCCTGACTTCGCTTTCCATTACGAAGGAGGAGGACCAAACACAGATGGGGTACTCAATCTCATTTTCTATATATGGCAATCCGACTACGGCCACTGTTCATGCCGACTTGGTTCACAAGGAGCGCCTGAGATATTCAAGCTGTTCTAGCAAAGATACGAAGGATATAGGACCTGTCAACATCAATCACGGAAGCTCAATATATCTCGGGGATGTAGTAGCTGTTGCTCGATATCGGAAAGTTGTAGGTGTGAAGGACAAAGACGCAGCTATCCTGCGAGTGACAGCTACCGTCAACGCGCTTAGGGCAAGTCTCAAAGACGGCCACTCGCTTTATGGTGTCACAACAGGTTTTGGCGGCAGTGCAGACACGAGAACGGGGAACACCTATGATCTGCAACGAGCACTCTTACAGCATCAAAATAGTGGGATCCTACCCTCTTCAATGAAACCAGACCACATTCTTGCCCAACTTCAGGCTTCACCGCATGTGACCTTTATGCCAGAGCAATGGGTCCGCGGCGCTATGCTTGTCCGTTGCAAATCTCTGTTAAATGGAGACTCGGCCATTCGTTGGGAGATGATAGACGTGCTGATGACGATGCTCAACAAAAATCTAATTCCTTTAGTACCCCTCCGAGGTTCAATATCTGCCTCAGGCGATCTTCAACCCCTGTCATACATTGCTGGCACTATCGAAGGTAATCCTGATATTTGGGTTTGGGCTGACAACAATCACCGTAAGCGGGATCTTATATCGGCGAGCTCGGCCCTCAAAAGGGCTGGTTTCAAGCCCCAAAGACTCGGTCCAAAAGAAGGGCTTGCAGTCTTGAACGGGACAGCTTTCTCCACGGCTGTTGGCGCCCTCGCATTGCATGACGCACATCAGCTTGCCCTCCTTTCTCAACTATTGACCGCCATGGATGTTGAAGCACTTTCAGGCGCAGTTGGCAGTTTCGACCCATTCTTTGCCCAGGTCCGGCCTCACCCTGGCCAAGCAGAGGCCGCGAAGCACATCCGTCTCCTTCTCTCAGGCTCGCACCTCGCTCGCGACGAAGACGAATCTGAAAATGAAGACCGAGAGCTGAAACAAGACCGCTATTCAATTCGCACAGCATCACAGTGGATTGGCCCTGTTCTTGAAGACCTTTGCCTTGCCCACGGTCAGATCTCCACCGAATGCAATTCCACGACAGACAACCCCCTCATGGATCCTTCAAACAGCACAATGCACCACGGTGGCAACTTTCAAGCCCTTTCCATCACCTCTGCGATGGAGAAAACCCGCCAAGGCCTCCAGCTTCTCGGCCGTATGCTCTTTGCGCAGTGTACCGAACTCATGAATCCCGCCACCAATAACGGACTCCCTCCCAATCTCGCTGCCGATGAGCCAAGCACTAGCTACACATTCAAGGGCTGTGATATCAACATGGCGGCGTACATGTCCGAATTAGCCTTCCTCGCAAATCCAGTCAGCACACATGTCCAAACGGCGGAAATGGGCAACCAGGCTCTGAACTCATTGGCGCTAATCAGTGCACGGTACACGCATCAAGCAGTCGAGATCGTAATGCAAATGTGCGCAGTCTACATCTACGCACTCTGTCAAGCCCTCGACCTCCGAGCCATCGACATCGAATTTCGCAGCAAAGCAAAGCTCTTGATACACAGCTTCACCAATGAAGCATTCAGGTCCGCTTTGCAGAACCCAGAGGACCGAGAAACACTGGGGGACAAAATAGAAGCGTTCGTCATGAAGCAACTCCCCTCCACCACATCCATGGATTCTGGCCCCCGTTTCGCCCATATTACCGCGCTCGCGCAGTCGACGGTGATGACGTACCTCTACAGCCTCGCGCACGACAGGCGGGACGAGACCACTGATCTCGTTGATATACTCGGGCAGTTCACTCCTCTCCTCGCCGGGCGCCTTCAGGAACTCTTTGTCAAAAATCGAGAGGCGTACTTCGTTCACCCGAGCGCTCACCCCTATCTTGGTCGCGGATCCGACGGGCTGTATATTTATGTGAGACATCAGCTGAATGTACCGTTTCATAAAGGGCTGGGGGATTGTCCGACGGCGAAGAATGGGTTGTTGACTCTGGGCGGGTATGTGAGCGTGATTTTTGAGAGTCTGAGGGAGGGCGGGAAGGGCGGGGAGGGGGGAGGGGTTGTTTGAAGTTGTGGGAGAGTTGTTTGAGGGGATAGGTGAGAATAGTGAGGAGGGGAGGGCTGGTGGGGGGTCTGAGATGGAGGATGTTAGGAAGAGTGGTAACGGTGTGGGTGTGGGGGCAAAGGGGGATTCTGATATCACCCCGAGGCCGATGGGTTGACTGATGGACAATTAGGAGGAGAGAGGACGAGGTAATCAGGTCGGGTGCGGAGGTTGCGACATGCTTTTCTGGAAGGACGAACCTGCCTTGGTATACATGCGTCTTTTGGAGGGGAAGCCGAGTATGCTTTGCTTTGTTCGGTTTGGGTAGGGTACTCTAAATTGTATTTACATGCCCGAGAGGGAAGGTAGTCTTCAGATTGCCATAGCTATCCCGATTGAAGCTCTCCTGTGTCACTTTGCGTTGTATATCACTCCTAGCCTATGCTCTTCTCTCAGCCAGCCCACTAAAGTGCTCTCATGCCCCACTATCATCTCCTCCCTTCTTTCCTGTCCATTCCAAGGCTCTGACTCGAACCGGCACCTTTTTGCTCTTCCAGAATCCTAGCGAAGTATGACGACTACTCATCCCTGCCGCTGCTTATGTTTCCCATTCAATTTGCAGACGATGTAGGTGTAGCCTTTTCGCCGCACGCTCTGTATCCCCCACACCATGGATATCAGCAATTCAATCCTCTTTTATCTGTCTTCTTACGCCTCCATGATAAGAGAATAATGTAGGGCAAAGACTTACACGACACCCTTCACAAAGTTTTTTCACGCTGCTGCGGACTTTCATGCCGCGGGTTTGGATGGTGGAGTTTGTTTGCCATGGTAAGAGGGAGGTTCGGGATGGGTGTGATAGGGATAGTGAGGAAGGGGAGAAGGTAGAGCAGAGGTGGAGAGGGCGTGGGCGGTGGGTCGTGTGGAGGGTTCGTGGGTGCAGGCGGGAGGTGGCTGATTGGATTGGTCTGGGGAGGGCGCGGGAATAGGTAAGAGGTGAGTGTGTGAGGTGCTGGAGGCGAGAGGGGGAGAGGAGGCGGATTAGTGACATTGTGAGCGGAGTATTGTACAAAGCGTGCTGGATTGTCGCGGTTTTGGTGGTGATGCAGCGATGGCTGTAGGGCTGAGAGATATTTGCTGAGTAAGAGTCTTGGCAAGTCACATGCGCTGTGATTGGATGGCTGTGGGCTCCCGATTTCCGAGCTCTTTTGGGATCAAGGGGGTTGGAAGGGGGCATATACGAGCTTGACCGAGCGATGAGGACTGCATGCATTCTGCAGGTTCTCCTCTATTGTGTGTTATCCACCTCGACTATATGTATGAAGCTGCGACAAAATGCAGTTAGGCACCGGAGACAGCGGAGAGAGCCCCTGACCTAAGCCGTCGTCCGAGATTAGTAGCAGTGCTAACCGTATCCATAGCAGATTGCATCTTCCTTATGCATTAGCAGGGTTTTCGTGCGCTGTCATTGGCACTTTGACGGTGGGACCGCTGCCGGTGCCCTGTTCTAGTGACAGATTGGAGATTGATAAGAGAGACGCTCTAGCTCCGGCCAAGATCGATCGTGGCCGACATTGAATCCCATGCAAGCTGTCTGCACTCTCTGCGGTGCTGCACAGGGGCACTTTCCTCCCTTCATGTCGTAGTCGTTGTCGTTCTTTCTTCTTTCTGTGTATATCTCTGTTGATTGATATTGTACATGAGTATGCTTTCCACCTTTTTCCACTTCCTTTGCCTGCCGTGGAGTTCGTGGGCGCGAGAAAGGATCACCAAGTAGGTCGAGATGGGCGCCTTCGACCATGCCACATCGCTCAATGAGCGCATCTTCTTCGCCGGCCGTCGACGAATTATCATCCTCACCGCTGTCCTTCTCTCTGCCTTTGTCTTCCTCCTTTTCACGGTGAGATGGACTCAGTCCCCTTCCCGCTACGAGCTTACTGATTGCCCAATAGTTCCATACAGACTCTCGCCCAGAATGGACGAAGACATTGAACAATATTCATGTCTTCGGTGGCAAAGGGACGACCTTGCGACCTGCAGAGTTCCACATCCTCATCCCCGTAAACAAGGCGGATGCAAACCTGTGCAAAGGTATTCTTGCTGGGGCTATCCTGGGCTATCCTGCGCCCACGTTATACAATTGGAATGCAACAGGAGAGCCAATGATGGCGAAGATCACAGAAGCACCGAGATTCTTTGATAGCCTGGACAAAAGGCATGATGAAGATCTTGTCCTCTTCATGGACGGGTTCGACGAATGGTTCCAGCTCCCCCCAAAATCCTAATCGATCGCTATCACGAAGTCAATGAGCAGAATAATGAGTGGATACAAAAGCAGCTAGGAGAAGAGACAGGCCGGCATATACACATTGACCATAAGATCATCTTTGCCTCGCAAAAGAGGTGCTGGCCGGGTAAGCCTGCTGACGCCAAATGCGCCAACTACTACGAGTCCCCGCTAGCTCGCGACATGTACGGTCCCCAAACAGACCAGAAGTCTGACGACCCTCGCAACCCCTATCTACACATGCGCCCTAAATACCTAAACGCGGGCTTTATTCTTGGCCGCGTGAAAGAGCTGCGGCGTTTATGGGGCCGCGCCCTTGAAAAAGCAGAAGAAGATCTCGATATCGATGGTCATGATCAGAACGTCTTCGCAAGAACATGGGGTGAGCAGAACCACCAACGTGCATCTCCCATGTCAACGCATAAAGTCCGAGTGCGTGACGACGCCGCTGTGGAAACGAAGATCGACGTTCCCTTCGACCCCATCCCAGACAAGAATTACGAGTTCGGCGTCGGGCTAGACTACACCTCTTCCCTCTCCATCCCCACCGTCTTCTCCGAATACGACATCGACTGGGTCACCCTCTCTAATGCCTCCTCTGTCAATGCTTCCTTGCAAAGTTTCAACATCTCTGACCCTCCCTACGGCGCACACCGTCTTCAATCCGACATCGCCGCCCTCCCTCCACCTTTCGCTCTCCTCTCAAACGTCTCTACGGAAAATACCAAGTTCAACACCTCGGCGTGGTATAACGGGCCAGGAACAAGCTGGGCTGACATTCCCCTCTTCACACACCTCTACACTGGCATCACAACCGCCATCATCCATCATAACGCACATCGAGACGGGTTGAAGGCACGGAGAACGACCACCTGGGATCAGATGTGGTTCCAACCCTATGGCCGAGCTCTAGTCCGCGAAGCGCTGAAGAGGAGGAGAACAAGACAGCCCATTGCTGTGGATAAATATGGGAGGGAGTGGTTCGCACCGAGTCCTGGGAATAGTCAGAAGGGTTCTGGGGACGGTAATGCTGAGAAGGCGGGACTGAAAGTAGAGAGGCCTGGGATGGGAAAGGGTGCGGGAGGTAAGGGAGGCGGGGGCGAGGGAGGTGGTGGGGAGATATGGGGCGCGAGGACGATTGATGATAGGGGTAATAAGGCGTGGCTGAGCTGGGGTGATATGTGTGATGAGAAAGCACAAGAGGAGGTGTTTAGAGATGGGGAAGGAGTTTGGGTGGGTGAGGGATATGGGTTTTGAGCTTCAAAAAGAGTATCACATGGTTGGCTTGGGCTGTACTTACTAAGAGAGATGTGCAGTGAGCTGATGCAGATGCTGGAATCATCAGATGGCAATGGTGCTGTGCTTGAGATACCGTGTAAAGATATTAATGCTATCGATAGAATATCGCAAAGGGCTATAGAGAGGGAATGAGATATTAGATTTAATGATTTAGATTGATGTGATACCATCTATCTGCTGTTGACGTATATGGTAAGCAGCGTCGCGCTTTGCGAATGAGATATATCTCTCCTTACTATATTTTCTTGTGTGATTTCCTCCCCTTACCTTTTCTCATCATTCATTGTACTCTCTGCCCTATGATACTCTCAGCTACCTACCTACGGTTAATCTATCTATTTTGTTTCTCTCCTCCAGTGAGGAGACCCAGGGGCCAGGGGCAAGGGGCAAGGGGGAAGGGAGTGGTGTTCGTGGGATAAGGTACAAGTTGTAGACTCTGGAGCCTTTCTTCCATTTGCTCGTACGTACGTGCGGATGGCAGAAGGTGGGGGAAGGAGAGGGGGGCAAGGTAGGGGAAGGGGGAGGGGGGAGGGGGGTGGTGGGTTTTGCGTGTGAGTGGAGGTTGGGAAGGGATGGTAGTGGCAGGCGATGGGTTTGGTGTGGGTTTTGTTGATGGGGCTTTTGGGGGCGAGGAAGGGGTCATACAGAAGGGTGTGTGATTAGTCGTACAGATTGGTTTTGGGTTTTGTGTATATGTAGGGGAATGGGCGGATTTTGATGAAGGTCGTGTTCTGTTCACCTGACAGTGCGCGGGTAATAGTTCTTGGTGTTAGATGAAAGGGGCTGCTTTGTAAAAAGTAGAGATTATATATCGTTATTTTGATAAGGAGGTAAATGAATTGGTAGAGCTCTTTAAACCGTTAGCAAAGGGTCCTCTATGTTGCTGTACAGGACCGCGAAAGTCACTGTGGAGTGCTGAGCGAGGGCATTGCTGACGAGTCTGATACGGTCAGGGGCGAATTGAGAAGAGATTTTTAGTAAGGACGCTGCCATAAATTCATTAGGTATTGTGGGATCAAAATGCTCGTTCAGACATGCTGATTTTGAGCAATTGTCGGTCCTTGCAGCTGCATTGTCAGGCTTGTCTGCTGTACAAACAGTACCCACAATCCTTTTCTTATCCTAGAATGATGCTTCTCCACGTCGGCCCTGGGGGCAAAGACTTTGCAATGTCATCCTTTCTAATCTTCAAACGACCTCTGCGTTCTACTAATGGTCCGTTTGTCTTTAGTAGCAGGGCGAAGTAACCTTTTTCGACTTGACCTTGGGGATAAGCTCCATCCTCCCATGTCGTTTCATACCTGGAGACTAGTGCGAATTCCTGTACGTCGTCAACGCAAACGTCTTGAGCTTCTAACATGAATTTGCCACACGGAGATTTGTGAATGCCAAAGGTGTCGTGAAACTCATCACGAGGTGGAGAGGACTTAGCTATCTTCAGAAATATTGACACGGTCGAGAAGCAAAGTGGATGAAACCCCAAAGGAGGCAATTCGTCATACCTAGGTTCGGTGCCTGTTGATGACGAATGTAGCGTCATTTTTTTGTCTATCATATGTCGACAATCGTCGAACTTTGGGGCGCCTGACAATGCTCGAATACCTTGCTTATCAAGCTCCCAGAAGCGGCTATCTGGAGATCGACTATACCATTTAATCCAATCACAATCGAAACACTTTCGTCGATCAGTCGTTGATTCAGCTTCAAACCAGTCAGGAGCGTATTGCCAGCCAATCCATGAAAAACTGGGAAAGCCTGTTTTTCGGAGCGAAGGCTTGCTGTCAGTCTCATCCCTTGTGAAGATGAGGGAACGCTCGAGTTCCACTGATAAACCTTCGAAGATTGATACCTCCATAAGTTCGGACAACTTCCGAAGCATGCCAGAGCAGGCTCGCAAATAATCGCTCTGATGAGTCATGTTGCGTCGTGTATAGTACATGATGAGGTAAGTGAAATTGTCAAAGTCCACAGGCTTCTCGAATATGAAGGGTATCAACGAGTAATGCGAATCAAGAATGCCCGGAAGACCAATTGTGTGCATGTTCTCATAACATGTCATCTTCTGACAGCGGAAGTAGACCTGTTGGTCGACAAATATCAGTTTGCGGTTTGAGCAAAGCTGCTCTTGCATTCTAGTCTCGTTTATTGTTAGTGTTCGGTGTCGCATGGGCAGTATGATACTCTCTACTTACGTCCAGGCTCTGTTATCGTAGTAAGATTGTCGTAAAGGCAAGTCAAGGCTTTCTATAGTCGTTAAGTGGACTCCCTGGACAACTTCCCGTGCAAGACGAGTGGGAATCCGTCCAACTGGCGGCACTCTGGGAGCCCCGCGTAAGCGTCAGTACCTGAAGCAGCAACGATAGTGAGGAATGCCTTGCTATAGTAGGCGTCCATGACCTCAATGCAGTTTTGGAGTTCCTTCTCGTCATCCTGCACGATACAAAAGCTATCAACCCACAAATAGCGAAAACCGAGAGCTCTGACCCAAGATATTGCACTTGATATCGTCTTGGGAATTAAATTCCATAGGTTGTATAGGCTTTGGGGCTTCATCAGCGCAGCTTTGTTTGAGCGTTTTAGAACTAATCTTCCGTCACCTGGATAGCCCCAGACGTAACTTAGTGCGCAATAATGGCAGGCATCTGGTTCATTAATCACACACAAGGCCTCGACATCAATCAATCGAAGGACATAACTCCCATCGTTTTTCATGCGAGATCTTTTCCCGTCGAAATCGTTGAGTGAACATTCGGGTCCATGTGTGGATTCGCAGATTTCTAACCATTCTTTGCATACCGATGGGTCGATCCAATCCGGCAGAACCGCTTTTGCACGCTTTAGGGAAGAATCCTCGGATTCCGCGAAGCAGATGAAGGATCCTACAGGAGATAATTCATCGACATAAAAGCCACACGTGTCTTCTGACCAGAACAAATGTATTGGATCACGATCTCTAGGCTTTCGTAATGGATCCCAAGACATCTGAGATTTTGCGTAACAAATAGACTCAACGAGTTCGCATAGAGGACAATTACTGGCTTTGATGAGACAATATGCGCCCAAAAACCAGCTTCCTTCACTACCGACGTCTTTCAGCTTTTCGGATGTCAGAGGCACCCTGCTACAGCGCTCGCAAAGAGATGCAGGCGTGTTTGCGCCTTGCGGTTTTTCGTCTTCTTCGGGCATACCTGATCATCCTTTGGTTACTGACATAAGCTCACACGTTGAAGCCTACTGGTGAGTCACTGTCAACTTTTGCATGAACCAAAGTACATTTTAGCCCTTGGATACTCCAGCTAGAGCGCGGTAGGGTCCTCTGTTCTAGGTCATGGCAGGCCAGGCGATCATCGAGACAGTGCGGTCAGCATGATTCATATATTACATAGCCTTTCAACCAATCCAATGTCTGATTTGGACTGACATAGCGACTTGATCCAAATGACTGAGGATTGGCCACGCGAAAATTTTATGACGGCAACGGAACCGATTCTGGTGCCAAGACCTCGTAATTTATCGGCCTTAAGAAACCACCATTTTAGCAGCGTGATTCTATACGACCTATATGTTCAGTGAACGCACCGCTGTAGTGTACAATAAGAGGTAGTTCGATGACGATTGCATGATAGCAATCTTAACACACGATGGTCATAGATCGCCGAAAAGCTCTTCTATTCGGCTCTGCCACTGCAATCCGACTCGTCCTCTTCTTCATCTTCCCTGACTTCGCGGACCTTCTGACAGGCCGTGTCGAGGTCTCCACGCCAGTCACGAGCTTCAAGAGATGTATGCAAATGTTCCATAAATCCTAGAGGACGACTGACAAAGGCTGTGAAGTACAGGAAGGTCTATTCCTCTATACTCATAATGTATCTCCATATGACGGGGGAGTCTTTCATCAGGTAAGTGCATTCGCAGTTTGAACTCCTTCGAATCGCTGACTTGGACGTGTAGGCGCCTCTTTTACTACCTCTTTTCAGTCTCATCCCACCTTCTCTATTCCAATCCTCAACGAAACTACTCTACATCGCACTTGACCTCCTCTGCGCCCACACTTTGATAGGAATTGCCGACTCAGGGCAACCCAGGTCCTCGAGACTATTCACATCCCCTCGAAAAGATACGAAGTGGGATGGAATGGAAATAGGAGCTGCATATCTCTTCAATCCCTTCACAATCGCGACCTGCATAGGGCGACCTACGAGTATCTTTACAAATTGTGCTATTCTCTTCGCTATTGCAAATGGCGTGTCCAATAAGCCAATCAGCTCGATGCTGGCATTGAGTCTGGCCTCATACTTCTCGATATATCCAATCCTAATCCTGCCACCTTTAATACTGTTGTGCTATGATCGACAAGCGGAAATCGAGAAAGCGACGTCCGCTATAAAATCTGCTTCTACAAATATCGGAGCATTCTTTGCCGGCGTTGCCTGGCTGCTCTACATCTCGAGCGTTTTGACAGGATCATGGAAGTTCATGACCTCGACTTACGGCGTGCAATTGCTGCTTCCGGACCTGACCCCTAACGTTGGCCTATGGTGGTACTTCTTCATTGAGATGTTCGACTCATTTCGAGAATTCTTCCTCGGTGTGTTCTGGCTACATCTGGGGGGCTACGTTGGCGGCCTGTGCATAAGACTACGGACGCAGCCTCTCTTCGTGATCACGACTATGCTGGGTTTAATTGCAGTATTCAAGCCGTATCCAAGTCTCTCAGATACATCTCTTTACTTCGCCATGCTACCGCTCTATCGACATGTCTTCCCACGTACGTCTCTCTCTCCCATTCAGACCAGTACTGATACTTCACAGTCATGCGTTACACCTTCTTCGCTATCTCTGCCCTCCTCTATGCTACACTTCTGGGTCCAGCCTTTTACCATCTCTGGATATACGCCGGTTCTGGTAATGCCAACTTCTTCTATGCCATCACCCTGGTCTGGAGTCTCGCTCTCGTCCTCATACTTGTCGACTCATTATTCGCTGTGCTGCGCGACGAATGGGAGGTCGAGCGGCCGGAGATGAAGGGTAAAGAAGTGCGGCAGATTTAGACACCATCAAATGATACCTTCATGTCCACGTCTGACCTCATCTAAATCATATTGACTTCCTTCGTATCCATTGATGTGTCATGACTTTTTTTCTTTCTCGGTCAATGATTTCGATAAAATGCAGTAATCATATTCCTTCCACCTCCCACCCCTCAGCCTCCTCGGACGCGGCGAATAATCATCCACCCCAAACCCCAACCTCTCATAAAACTTCCTCGCCCCCTCATTGCTCTTCAGCACTGTCAACATCACCTTCTCCATCCCTGCTCTCCTACCCACCTCCTCCACCACCTGCATCATTTGCCCGCCCAGCCCCTGCCCTCGCAGACTTCCCACAAGATGGATCTCATAGCAGTAGATCACCTCCTTCCCGTCTTCGTACGTGAGCATGAAGGAGATGAAACCTTCAATTTGCGCTTCTGCTGTTGCGTCTGTTTTTGCTCCCCCTTGAGGCTGCTCGACCTCCGTGAGACATAAGGGTCGATGGACGATAATGTAGCGTAGATCAGGCAACAACATCTCCCGCCTTTTCTTCGCCGCTGACCAGCCGAAACTCGAGCTCTCGTAGTCGGCGCGGCTGGTTTGTGAGATGAGGGAGAGGCATTGGTCGAGCGTTGCGGGGGAAAGGGTTTTGGCGGAGAAGAAGGATGTCGTGAGGTTCGAGGTGAGAGGGGAGGTTGTGCTGGGAATGGAGGTGGTTGAGGTAGTGGTTGGGTAGAGAGAAGGGTGAGGCAGGTGGATATTTTTGAGAGGAAGGGATGGGCAAAGATGCGTTTGGTAGGATTCTAGGGGGAGGGCGTTGAAGGTTTCGACTCTTTTGGAGGCTTTTGGTGGGTGGAGAGGGTGAGGAGAGTGAGGCGTCATTGGCGACGAAGGGAGGTAGAGAGAACTTGAGAGAAAGGAGGGCGGGAGAATGGATTTGAGTTATATGTACTTGTAGATGGGGCATGAGACGTGTAGTAACGCGCTGCGTAATTTATTTCACGTGATTGTATTTTACGGCTCTAATCTAACAACGTGGCCGAGGATTCTGTCTCCTTTATGCACGCAGAATCATTGTCGACTACACTTGTCGGCGAATGGAAGTCGTTCTTTTGGTTTTCTTTAGCGATGAATCACTGAAGAGGTTCAGCTCTCCCCCAGGGGCTTACTCCGATCACTTCCTATTGAGTCACCATAAACCCATAGGTTAAACCCTTCAACGGCTTCAGGGCGTGACAGACTGGTTCCAAGCGGAATGTGAGACCAGTCCACAGGCTCAGCATGCTGGTGTTCATTTGTCATCATGTCTCTCCGGTTGGAACCCTCTACATTCGTCGGCTGATCGCTAGAAGTAACGGCCTGATCTCTGCCATTCCAAGGTGTGGGCAGATTTCCGTCTGCCCCTGCCTGATACCAGAGAACTGCGCGCTCGATGATTGCGCTTGAATCATTGGCAGAGGATATCTTCTCTCGTCCGGCCGCTCCCTCGTCTACCAAGGGTTTGATGCATTGTCGGCCAGCTTCTGACTTGAAGTGAATACTCAGCGCATCTGCACGACCGAATCTTTTGCCACAACCCCAGGGGATACCCGTCGACAGCTGGCCCTTGCAGGCAAATCTCTTCTCGTCTGAATGTAACTCTTCGTGTCGTTTACAATCATGATCTCGTGCGAAACCCTTTTGACACATCCTGCAAACGAATGGGCGCTCGTTTGTGTGAGTCCGCAAATGCGATTTCAAGTTATACGCTCGAGTATATTTATTCGAGCAGAGATGGCAATCGAAACTTGTTGGTCGCTTCCTTGGTAATCTTTGGTGCACTCTTCGACTTTGCGGCTCTGTTGGCTTAACAACTTTAGGGGGAGCATCTTCCGGAAACTTTACTTCTCTTTCTTGGACTGGGACACCATGGTACTCAGAGACATGCTTCTCTAAGTCTTTGGCTGTCGTGAAGCCAATGATTTTGTAAAAGCATCCTTCTCTAACACAAATAAATGATCGCTCATGCTTGCTGATATGCTGCTCACGTTGTTCATAGGTCAAGAACCCTTGGTGAAAAAATTGGCAATTCATGCGTGGACACTTGAAGGATTTGGGTCCATTGTGTTGGTAAATCTGTTCTTTGTTGTCTGTTGGTGTCGAGGAGGACGAAATCAGCTGTTGGTGGACAGCACGAATCTGAGTCAGAGAGCCAGGTAAACGGAGGACGTCGTTATTTGATGGCTCTTTGGCACTTGGACGTAGCCAACTCTTGGCTACTGCTATAGCTTGGCAGATTGTGCCGTAGAATGGCTGGTCGCGCAACAACTTCATATGCTCGCTGAGCGTGTCCGAGATCACATACGTCTTGTCCGAACTTTGATAGTGCACATCGAGGAAGGCGCCAATGCACTCGGCCACCTCCAACAGTCGATCTGTTTTCTCTTCGTCAAAGTCGGACAGTGCCGCTTCAAGGTGAAGGACCCAAAAACAGATCGCATAGTCGGTAAACGCATAGGTTCCTTTCACGATTGCTTCCGCAATGTTGCTGTCACAATTGCTAGTCCAGAATTCTGGCATGCTCAAGTACACGCAGCATCGAATCGCTAGATCGAATTCTACATCGGAAATGATTATGTGGCTGTTTCGCACAAGATACCTGCACGACATCAGCGGTCGACCTCGAAGAATGGGAGCCAGATGCCTTGCCCTTTCGTCGTTCCATGGACTAGATTCACTGTTTGGTCCGTGCTTATTTCGACAAGTGACGCGCAGAGATCTTTACAATCCTCAACAAATTTCTTCTTGGACTGGACTGAACCAACTTCAAGGTCCAAGGCTACCGCGCCCTGAATCTCGTACCATTTCATTGGACGCTTTGCGCAAGCAAGCCAACCAAGAAGCTTTCGAATACTGTCGCATCTTTTTTGTGGTCGAATCTTAGGACTCAGAAGCCGCTCCATTATCCTGTCATAACTACATCGTCATTGAGACACCGTAACCTCATTGGTAATGTTCGAACTTACGCCGCGTCCAAACCCTCTGGCACCCTATCAGGACCAATTTCCTCCTCGAAATCCGCACGTGTCGTCTGCTCGCGGAGATTCCAAGTCACGAGTTTGGCGTAAAGGAACATTCCTATTGCACGCTAAGCCATGATGTAGTTAAGGGAAAACTACCAACCCCGTACCTTGAGCTCTCGCACTGACAATCCTGCGGACATTATGTGTTTCTTCACGCAGAGGTCCAAACTTTTTCTCAATTTGCGCGTGCCAATCCGCACAGAATGCCTCGATATCAGCTTTGTTATCAGCCGGCGTAATTTTGATTTGTGAGAGCATAGACAGGTCTTTCCGAGCAAATCCATCCTCCTGGCTAATAAACAGGCATCGGATTGAACCGAAATCAGCTTTCAAAAGATTCGATATCACACTCTGGAACCACGATGATAGCTCCTTGCGATCTTCTCGAGAATACTCGTCAAGCCCATCAAGAACAATGTAAGCGCTTTGACAACTCTTGAGAGCTACTTCAAGCAATTCCTTGGCTTTTGAAGTTGTCGAAAGAACAGCTTCACTGCTATTAGATGCCTCCTCGTAAAGATAATGGAGAACAGAACTCTGTTGCGTCAGTATCTGAGACATCAAAGATTTGGCAATCGTTAAAACCCCATGGCGTTGGGAATCACTATTTTTGCAATAGAAGCAGAGGGTCGTGGTGTCGGCCGATTTGCGCAATTCATCAACAATCAGGGACGCAAGCACAGTCTTTCCTACGTTCAATTAGCAATTTCCCAACAATGAATGGCAAGGTGTCTTCTTTACCAGCACCAGGCATACCATGAAGCCATAAAAGTGGATCGATACATTGATCATGGCTCTTCCAGCTCTGGAAACGATGGTTCTGAAGCAGCCATCTGCCCGTGTCTTGGAATCGTTCTTTGGCCGCATTCTCATGCCTAACACCAATGTCAATTGGACCCAGCCATTGCTCGACACGCGTTCTTTGACGGGTATCCTCTAATTCTTGTGTTTTCTCTAGATTTGACCGCATCTCTCTTCTAAACTCTTGACATTGCTGATACTCTTCTAGAGAAGCTTGCGTCTCTACAATGGCTTTGTGGCGCGTCAGAGTCTTCGCCAAAGATTGAATCCTACCAGTGAGCCCTCGTCCTGTGGCATGCCACAACGACTTCCACGCTGAGCCAGAATTAGCTTTCACTGCCAAGGCTATCGATGAGATGTAAATACTTCGCTGCTTGAAGAGCTTTACCGCCTCAAGATGAAAGTCAAGTATGTCTTCAAAAATGGCAGACAGCGCAGACTGCATGTATGAATTGTTTCCAAACAAAGCCTCATACTGAGCAAATTGAGGAAAGCTTTCGCCGATGGAGGAATAGCCTTCAAGCATGGTATTGAAAGCTTCGGAGAAGTTGGACGCAACCTTTTCGGATAAGTGAATGTTCCGAGACGAACACAAAGCGTCATCAGATATCTTACGAGCAAGAGAAACTTTACTGGACCCTGTTGGCAATTAGTAAGCGTCATCCTGGGGTGCGGTTGGAGGAGCATACCCAGATGAAAGCGACGATATCCGAAGTATTGGCAAACACATTGATCACTTGACTGTACTGCTCCATCGAATCCAAAAATGGCTGAAGCCGACGGAGATGTCTTTGGGTTTTGGAGGCAAGTTGCTTCTGTTGTATCGATCCAAGGGCATCCTGAAGGTTTGGGAGCGATGTTACCTGTATATCAACTAGCTCTCGTGACGTCAAGCCGGACTTGATCTTGAAGTGTTCGATAGCAGTCGAAAAGCTCGACGAGTTACGAAGTTGATCGTCAGCCATATGGTATCATGTGCCGCAAACCGCGTAGAATAGGAAGAGTGAAAACTACGGGTGTCAACAATAGGTGAACCAAGACTTGATTCCAGGCTTGTTTCACTTCAAACCGAGCTACTCTTGAGTGAACGCAGGTTGATAGAGCGACGTCTAAGGTTGATAGCGACGCTGAGGCACTAGAAATCGGCGCTTGGTCTCTAATCCGACATCAATCACAGCCACCAAGTCAGAGGTCTTATATGAGGAAGCTGCCCTCAATTGACAATTTGAGAAGGCCGTGTGCGAGTTCTTGGAAGCGCCGATTCTTTGCCTGTCGCCTTGTTTGGTAGTGCCCCGCAGTTGGGGGCGACGCTTTTCTCACCCTGCATAAGCGTCGTCCGCGGCCTGCAGTCCACTGTGGCTGTGAGAATTAGGCGGATCTTTGGGCACTTCGCATGACAAGTACGTACCGCGCAACCCCATAGACCACCAGCTTCCGAGGGTTGAGATTGGGATTATGATGCACTTCTTGGAAAAGGGTTTTACATAGTCATATCGCTCTCAATGGCGATGTCTATGCAATTTTTGCATCCTGTTCACTCCCGCAAAAGAGGCCCAGATGTAAATCACCATGAACATCAACATGACTACAACGCATCGCAAATGCCTAAAAGGCGTTTCTGTGCGGCTCCCCAGGACGATATTCCAAATTTCGAATGGTCAGCAGCGGAAGCAAATTCTATATTGACCGACTCTTCTCCCATGAACTTGGAGGATCGGGAAATCTTGCAGGCGAGTCGTGAAACTCAATGGGTACCAACGGGGATGCCTAATTCCGAAGACATGTGGCTAGAAGCTGGTATGTCAGCTAGAAGTGAAGATATACCCCTTGTATTGGACGCGTCACAGAGAGATGAACCATCCGCCCAGAGAACGCGCATTTGCTTTGGCATGGTCAGTCGTGAAGCAAGTAAATCATGCCGTCTCTCAGCTTACATGAGTAGCTGTGTGGCATTAAAATCCGTAGGCACAAAGATTCCACCCTACACACATCACAATTATCTGGCAGGTGCTGCTCGAAAAACGGCGTCGAGTTTGTGGTCTTGGCGCTTTCGTTCGAGGACTCACGCTGTTTGCTTTACTCGGACGGTACGGAGGTCGCTACGTTGAACACGCAATCATTCGACCAGTTGAGAGATATGCAGAAGTCGCGATCGCTGATGCTGGAAGGGCTATTGATGGTGCGGGACCTGACGAAACCGACCCAGGCGGACGCTATTCAACGTGGAGCAGTTACCGATATTGACATAAACATCTATGGATATCATGAAGTCTCCTCTGATGTGGCTAGCTCTCTCTCTCTTAGTGGCCTGTTCCTACAAGATCCTGATTATCTAGCCGAAGACATAGCGTACGAGAACCCACAGTGCTTGAAATTGCCAGCACATCACCAAGGCAATCGAACGGACTTCAGGGTGAACGATGTTCTCGCGGTCTCCCCTGCCCAAGACGAAAGATCGCAAAGCGCACAGGAAACTGTTGGTCTTGACTATGAAGTATTGTTGGATCGTTTTGCTCGACACGATTACCTTGAACAAGCCAAAGTTGATGGTCGTATTGCGACTGATCTTCTTCCGTTAGTATGGTTTATTAGCGCAGCAGCATTCTAGCTAACAGCAGGAAGGCACCAAAGGGAGGGACTCGCATTTCTCGTGCAAAGGGAAGCTCTTAAATCTCCTTCATCTCACACTTTATGGGAGCAACAGGATGGAAGCGATATTGATCCAACGTAAGTACAAGCTGCTTGCGACTTCTCCGACGTGAAGTTCTAATGGGATTCTTTCCCCTTAGGTACCAGCACGTCATCACCGGCGCGAAAAGCCGAGAGCCGCAGGACACGTGTGGTGGCATCCTTGCTGATGACATGGGGCTTGGGAAAACGTTGATGATGCTCTCAGCCATTGCAGGCTCACAGATCCAGGCATTTAATTATGCCAAATCGCTAACTTCCCCACCCGGTGCCAGTAGCGATCCAGTGATCGCCGCAAAGTCGACGCTGCTCGTTGTACCGTCTACTTGTAAGCAATGACTGGTACTACTCTCCTGCAGTAATTTATATAGTGACGCGGTGCAGTGCTCATAGAAAGTTGGACCGAAGAAATTCATAAGTCAGACCATTGGAACTCATTCCTTCTGTATAATACTGATGACTTTCAAGGCACACTATTCGCTATACTTTAAATTATCACAAATACCATGGTCACAGTCGGAATGTCGACCTCGTTGGACTCTTGAGTAACGACATCGTGTTAACGACTTATGGGACCGTTGCCGCGGAGTTCAAGCGTAAGAAGAGCCTCCTGCATCAAATCAAATGGTATAGAATCGTTCTTGATGAAGGTGAGTTGCTAGACGACCTCATCATTTACCACCCTCGCTGACAAGTGCCAGCACACATGATACGGAACGCATCGACGAATCAATTCCGCGCTGTGACTGCTCTTAGCGGCCAGATCCGTTGGTGCTTGAGTGGCACACCAATACAGAACTCCCTAGAGGACCTTGGCTCTCTCGTCACATTCTTGAGGGTTCCAATGCTTAGCGAAGCGGCGCAATTCAGGCGACACATTACTCGCCAAACTAACATCACTAAAAGCTGCCGTCAGCCAGACTTTGAAAGCTTACGACTACTGCTCGGTGCAGTCTGCCTCCGGCGTAATAAAGCACTTTTGCCTGTATCCCGATCCGAGGATCTAATTCATAAAATTCAATTCTCTTGGGAAGATCGAATAGCGTACGAACAATTAGGCCATGCCTGGAGGGACGCGCTTGACATGGCTGTCAGTGGTCACAAGTCAAAGCAGGCTCACCAGACGGTACTGGAAGCTTTACTCCGCATGCGAATCTACTGCAACAATGGTGACTACCTCGGGGATGGAAGCGCCGGCATATTGTCGGAACCAGATGAACTTGGAAGCATTCTCCAGCAACAAGGTGGGGAAGCCTGCCATCTTTGCTCATGTGATGTCAGCTCTTTTGGCCACATTGAGGACAGCAGCTCTGGTACTGTGACGGTCTGTGGCCATGCACTATGTGGTGACTGCTTTGAACGGTACGCGGAGCAATTGACTAAGGACCGGGTCTGCCCCGTTTGTGGCGTACAGCATGCTCTGCGAATCGCAACTACGAAAGTACAACCAAGCTATGAGCCTGATAATGCAGGAGGTTTCCCACCAAAGCTGCAGGCCTTGTGTGTAGACATTGAGCATCATATGAATGAGAGTAAAAGGTAGGAGACCGCCAATGTATTTAGTAACAAAACTAATGCCCACAGTATTGTGTTCTCATTCTGGAAAAAATCCCTTGATATAATCGGCATCATGCTCACAATGAAACATATCCCTCATCTTCGTGTGGACGGCGCTTTGCCATTCAGCCAGAGGAAACGTGTCTTACATGAATTTCAAGGAGCAGGGCAAGGTATGGTGTTACTTATGACTCTGGGAACAGGAGCGATTGGGTAAGTTTTCTTGGCAGTCACTGGTGTCGATGCGAGCTGAGTCGAAACCACTCAAGGCTCAATAATCTCTCTGTGGCCAATCGAATCCACATTCTTGAACCTCAATGGAATCCCTCGGTCGAGAGTCAAGCAATTGGCCGAGTCGTTCGGCTTGGACAAACGAGAGTCGTCCACGTCGTTCGGTACATTGTGAACGAGACTGTTGAGATAGTAAGTCTAGCACTCCGCTATATGTATTCTTCTTCGAAGCCAGCTAACATGAAACAGAACGTTCAGAATGGTCAACTACGGAAGCTGCAGCTCGCCAAAAGTGGATTTGGAGCGGGCAAACCGGAGCAAGTCAAAAGGCGAGCGCAGATGCTAAAGGTATACCGATCGTCTCTATACCGCAAGAATGAAGCTGAGTGCGCTCATCATAGGATCTCATTTGTCCAACCCGCCCCTCGGACCAAACGCCAACAATCAGGTAGTTGACCAAGATGAATATTGGGGCTGGCTCGTCGACGTTGGATGCTCAAGACTACACCTACTTCCTATCATGTCTACCGTGAAGGCATCAGCTTGCTCAATACTGATTATCAATCTTCAAGCTTACAACGCATCGAATTATTTGTACCGCAGCAAGCCAATAGGCCATTTTTGCCTCCTGTCTCGACACAGACGGAGGTTTGTTTGCTGGAATCGTTACTTTACATTGTGGAGACCGCCTCAAATCTAGACAACAATCAGGGAAATGGGGCTCTTGACTTGGCCTTCTACATTCAGTTAGTCCTCCAACGGCTTTCAAAAATTTGAGCTTTTTGGCCGCATCACGGACACAGCCTGAACAGCGCCCCGTTTTCTAGCAATACCAAAGGCGCTAACGATATTCCTGCAGCCAGAGAGGTCAGTGGTTTCGCTTACATGCACGATAACACCACCCGGGCCTTCTAATACCGGATAGGCCTAGTGCTTCAAACGTGTTCAATTTTTGTCCTGCAGTCGTGCTGGCTGTGCAAGCTGATATGTTCCGAAGACCGACTTTCTTGGCGCGCGCCCTCTTTGGGAGATATTTTACACTTGGACGCTTTCGTCACATACCTCACTTTAGCCTGCGCCCAATTTTGCTGTCAGATTCGAACGGCCGGGCTCGGGCCTTCGTCCGACAGCTGTCATTGGACCTAAAGCCTCCGACTAAGATCATTGCCACCCTTGCGACCTCATCCTGATGGTCTCAGAGGAGCTTGAGCAGAAGCTTACGGGTGAGTTTGATCGACGACACCAAGCCTATTTTGGTGCAAAGATTGAAGTATTCTTTAATTTTCGCTCTTGAATTGAGGATCTGCGGTATAAAACTGCACAGCCTAGTGGAGCCTTTACTGATATTGCGAGGCCTCCATCAGCTAAGAGGGATCTGCAGAGAGTCCTGCGTCCGGGTGGACCTTTTCATGATAGCGAATTTCAAGAGACTTGGCTTAAAAGGGTAAGGTAGAAAAGGACTCTCCAATTTTCAGTGCTTTATTTGCGCAGATCATTGAAGAATGCTAAGCCCAGTGGAGCATCTATTCTATTCGTCCAAACCTTGACATAAGCGCACAAACCTCCACACCATGATGTGGCGCGAAGCTCTCAGCATGGAACCACTCATCAGGTAGCTTTGATGCCATGGCTTGATGCAGTGGAGTCCTCTGAAGCTTATCAATATTCCGGTCAAGCACACCCCCTCAAAAGCCTGAGTGTCTTCTGTCTCAATGAACTTCAGCCTTCTCGATACGGAGAAGCTGGTGCACACCATCCAAGCATAGATCCGAGAATGAAGCTTTCTTGACTTGCTCAGAGGCCTCGTTCCAGTGCTTCTCCGCAATAGCATCCTAGCTGGCCTTGGACGACAGTGAGCAGGGCAAGATAAATCGAAGACGCAAGAACGGACGACCGTACGGCTAGTACACTCCCATCCAAGGACCCATGCATGAGGCCGTGGATGTAGCCCAAAGCCTATGGACTTTTCGACGCGGGAGAAGCCAAAGGAGTACGCCATGTCACGTCAAATCATTTGAAAGGCGCATACGGGCAGCTACGAAATTCCGCCTGAAAACGGTAAAGTCTCCAAGGCTTCTCAAATTTTGGGTCTCTCCGAACACAATTCCATTCCAAAGCAGCTAAGATAATTTCACAGCCTGAATTTTAGAGAAATCTGCGAGGCTGGCCTCTTGTACCTGCATTACATTACGAGATTAGAAAGTAGTGTCTCACTAAGAGGAGGGCCGAGGTCATGCTTTTCTATTGGAGCCTGAACCGCGAACAACTGCGTGTCTAGACCGAGGATTCGCGACTATCGCTTTACGAGACTAGCCTGGGCAAGCACTTCAATTTTCCCTATTCAATAGCTTAAGGCGGAATCAGGATTGCGCAGCCTGAATTCCCTGTTTTCCGCGTGTAAATCTATTCCAAGGGGGTAGTCTTCGACCTCTTGCATACCGAGACTACCTGGTCCAGTGGTCTCAGCGAACCACTGTACTCTGGCAAAACTCTGAAATTTCTGTATCATCAGAGACTCTTCGAGCGAGGGAGAAGAAGAAGACGAAGAAGAAGCAGCGGCGCAGGCGCATCACATCAAAAACTGGCATTCACTATAGTGGCTCACAGGAAGGTCAGACCCATGCCTGCTGCTGCAGGCTGTGACCGAGGGTTCAAAACACAGAAAGTCAACTACTCTACCTAGACTAAGAACAGTCAATGCATTGGACTCTTCCAACTTCTCGACCTCTTTTTTCGAGACGCAAACGGTACCTACTCAGCCTTCGCCAAGACCTACAATCAATTGGAAGACAGGTCAGCAAGCATGGGCCAATGAGAGACTAGGTAGGCTTTAGGAAATCGCACACTAGCTCTCACATCCCTTACACCATCGAGCTTACTATAAAGAGTTTAGTCCTGTGGTTCTGTTCAAATTCTCAGCGCACTTTAAAGGATTCGCTCTTTCACAGCCTTGTAGATCTCCGGCCGCAAACAGGGTTTCATTCGCTCGCTTGCTAGCTGCAGGTCACACATAGAAACGGGGCGTTCGCGCTAAGAAGCACAGGTCTGCTTGGTATTAAGGGAATCATTGAGCTTAGGCTACAGTGGTAAGTCCTGTTCGCCAAAACGCATGTGCGATGAGATCGTGAGCAGTCTAGGGAGCGATCCGAGGCCCACTTACATCGGAAATGGTTAAGCGTCGTAATATCATACAATATCTGGTCGGATTGTCTCTGGTCCGCCCATACACACCCCATTAAATTCTTGGGTACGTTTTTGGGGGCGATCTCTGCACAGCCCAGTGGAGAAACTTCTCACAGCAAACGAGGTCCGCTCGCTTAGTAGCTGCAGGTCCTCATAAAAGAAACGGGGCGCTCACGCTAAGCCTTCACGACAATTGGCAATACCTGAACTGGAATCGCTTCCTACAGCCTATTTTCAAACCACCTTAGCGCACTCATGCTTTTCACATCCTGCTCCAGAAGTATTGACTTAGCGTGTCGGGCTTTCTCAGGTCGCAGTTGTGTTAACGGCTGCCTGGTACTACTGCCCCAGCACGAACTGATATGCATGAATGTCGAGCCGCTGGTTGACTTTTACAATTTAGGAAAGGCGGGTCTCTACCCTCCATTTTCAGTCGATTCTCATAACGAAGACGCGTCCTCATTCGTTCTTCTTTGCACAGCCTGAATATATCTAGAGACTCATCACACCCGCCTACTTCCTTCTCAACACTCGAAAGGCAATCAACATGCTGGTCAATGATGATGAAGAAACTTAATCCTTCTTTCATGGCATGAACAAAACCGCATTCGATTCGAAAGCACAGAATTGTTGCCAAGGACACATCCTCTCGACAGGATCTGACGGATCAGGGAAAGCGTGCATAGACTCTTCAAATTTTCAGCCTCCAAATGCCCCACACTAAACAGCACATACACAGCCTGACGTTATATTTCCGACCAATCAATAGTCTTCTATTGTCTTGCAAATCACGCAGCTGTTACCCGCAAAGTGTGCTGAATTGCGTGTCTAAAGACACGCAGGCACGGGGAATACCATTCTTATGAAAGCTTGGGTCCTGAGACATGCATACAGGGTTCGCATGAGCGCACTTTGAGTGTACCCGGCTGTCTCTTTCTTCATTGCGCGAAATAAGATATGACCGAACATGGCATGGTCCACTCAAGCTCCTCCAATTTCGATCCTGTCGACCAGTTTCGCGTTCTGTATACGTACACAGCCCGACCGTCGCGCTTCCTCCAGTGAGAAGGCACAAAATCTCGGGTGCCTTGCAGAAGTGTCTCGGCTAATCCCTACTTGCCGATGAGTATCCGTGGGGGCTGATGTGGACGACTATGGCATAGTGCACTCAACGACCTTAAATTTTGGTCCCAATTTTTGAGAGTGCTAGGTGTTGTCTTGCACAGCCTACCACTGCGATTCCTTCCAGTGAGAACGCGCAAGACCCCGATGGCTTGCGGCAGTATGCATCGTCTAGGTGCGTGTTCTCGTTGACATCTGTACGGTAATGGAAATGACCCTGATTAGGATGAAAATGGCATAGTCAGCTTGAGTTCCTCAAATTTTTGGTCCTCGTTCTTGATAGCTCGGTGTCGGTCATGGTGCACAGCTTGGCCGTCTGTACTCTAATCATGGTGCACCGAGTTCCAATGGGTTGCCGAAGTATGCATTATCTATGCGTGGAATCTCGTTGATATCTGTGCGGAAATTGAAATGGCAGCGACCTGACGTTAACGAAAATGGCATAGTCGGCTCAGATTCCTCAGATTCTGGATCCCCTTGGTGCGGTGTAGCTGGTTCGATGCTTTGCACAGCCTGATCCTCGACGCTCAATCACAGAGCAAAGCGAATCGGTGCCTTGCAGGAATATGTCTCGTTTATGTATGCATTCCCACTGATATCTGTGTAGTAATGGGAGACGACCTGACCAGGGCGAAAGTTGTATAGCTATCTCAAGTTCCTCAAATTTCCGGTCATCTTCCCGCAGAATTTTACACAGCCTGATTCTTGCGCTCCAATGAGTGAACAGGGTCATAATTCATCGACCAATTGGTCCCACTTCAAAGTCCATCCGAATGATGAACAAGTCAGATCCGGTCAAAGAAACGACGGGCACAGAATCTTGGTGCCTGGCAGAAGTATATCTCGGTTATACATGTATTCTGATGATTTCGTGGGGGGCAAGGAGGTCAGCCTAGTGAGGACGAAATAGGTTTAGTTGGCCAGGATCTTGTCGATTTCTAGATCCATTTCCGTAAGGCTACACAGCCCGAACGGAAAGCTTTCCCAATCAGAGTGTGCTGAGTTGCAGAGACCTTCTTGGCTTGACGCCCTGGGCTAAACTCACCTGGACTAGTGGCTTCGTCCTCTCTAAACTTCCTAGCTTCTCCTACAGCTGCCCTAAGCATCATTACACAGCCTGATCGGATGCTCTCCTCCAATAATCTTGAACGAACCTTAGGCACTGCATAGTGCCCGTTTTGTGTGGGGTAGAGTGCACTTGTGAGTATTTAGTTTGTCCATTGAAAGCCAACAGGTTCAAAATCTTCCGATTTCTAAGCCTGACGTTGCCGAAATAGGCATAGGAGGCTTGTGACCTTCAATTTTCAGTCCATCTTTGAGCGTAAGGCTGCACAGCCTAATTCAACCGGATCTACTAAATGTCCTTTACATAACTCCGCCGACCCTGCTTACGCCCGGTCCGGCTTTCATTTGGTCGCTCAGAAGTAATTGTCCTCTCATTATTCATGCACCATAAATGTTGCGTTGAACTCGATGTGGTTTTAGAAGGTGTAGATGGCTACTGCCACATGATTTGAAGGCCTTTACTTCGCAAACCGCAACGCCGCGCCTCCATAGTCTGATCTCCACTCTCATTCGGACAAGCTTACGGTCTGAACTCGGACTACAGACAGCTTGACAGACACTATCCAGTTGAAGCAATGTGTCGCAGGTAAGCTTGGATGAGTATGGCTAGACCTCAACAGTCTTCAAAATCTCACGCATTTATATGAAACGTTACCTGGTGGTATTTTCACAGCCTCGTCCAATACGCTCACCAGTAATTCGAAAAGCGCTACAGCGCGCCGAGTCCTGCGGAATGGGTAATGGCAACACTAAGGGGTGTTCCTGGGCAAGCGTTAATAGCCAAAATTGTCAGAAGCGACGAGGCTTTCAACCCCTACAGACGCTCAAGCCCAACGTTGCCCTTTCAAGAATAGTCAACTGAAAGCTTTCAAATTTCAGCCTGGGGTCTGGATGGGTGCGAGAGGCGCTACACAGCCTGATTCGCTTAACGCTCCAATGGAAGGCACCATTTCTGGCAGCAGATGAATCGAGCTGCATGTATGTGAACCAAAGATGCGTCCGTGCGTCGTCATGCGAGATGTAGCTTCCGATGGCTCTCTGGCTTAGGTTACTCCTCTCATTGCTTTAATTCCGCTACTTGGAGACCTGAAGTCTAGGTTACTCTCAAGACTAACGCTCTTCGCAACCGTCGCCTCGCTCTAACTCAGTCATCAAGTAACGCCATTGAAGGCGGCTTGATGAGCACTCATTCGAGGCAATTCAGACGAGAATGCTGTGGGTTGTGTGGACTCTTGCACCAGCAGACATCCGCACGGACTCAACAAAGGTCTGTGTGCCCGGCCTCGCCAAAGGCTGGATGTCCTTAGCGGTTGCCACAACCTTGCATATGCATGGTTCGGTGAGTGAGCCCGCATAGGAACTTGCAGCGACAATTGCCAGGAGCGGAAAGGTCTTCGAAGCTCTTCAATTTTCGAGTCAAATCCATGTATGAACTTTTAGGAAAATACACAGCCTGAAGCGGACTTTTGTCCAGTCGCAAAAGCTGGCCTGAGCGCATTTTGACGCCCAATTTTGCTGCTGGTATGCAGAGCACGAGAATAAGGACAGGGTGTACGGGTCTTGGAAGTCCTGATGTGGTAAGGTTCTTTGTTGCTCTTAATTTTCAAGGTCCTTAAGAAGCGTCAGAACCACCAAAGTTTACACAGCCCAGTACGATTTCCGCTCCAACGAAGAAGCTACTGCTAATACTTGCATCCGTCATAACGCACAATTCTGTGGTTGAATTGCAACATGCAGGTGCTCGAGCAGAATAACTTCTTTACGAAAATCTTGAATAGGTAAAGCTCTTTGTTGACCTCAAATTTTCGAGGTCTTTACAGTGGCAATTCTATGTCTGCGAGCACAGCCCAGTACGATTTCCGCTCCAACGAAGAAGCTACTGTTGATACTCGTATCCGCCATAACGCTCAATTTTGCGGCTGGATTGCAAGATGCAGGCGCTTAAACAAAATAGAGTACTATCGAATGACTCGAACAGGCTACGCGCCTCATTGTCCTCAATTTTCCTCCTTTCTCCAAGACGCAGGGTCCGGAGATTTTGCACAGCCCAACAGGGCATCCGCTTCAATTATCCCATGGCTCGCAGCTTGAAGCTTCACGTTTTACAGCGCGATTCGCATTGTAGACAAGGTGCTCCTTGATATGAGACCTTTCCGGATAGGGGAATCAGGTTTACCCGTCAGGAGCTCTTTTGGTTAAGCGCCTTGTAGGTTATCGTCAGGAAATGTTCTTCCTCTTCGCGTTTTGGCTCTTGGCGGTATAGTCCTTAATGCTCTTCCAGTGATCTTACGTGGAACGTTGATCTTCTGTATAGCGACATCCGTGCTCAACCACTCTGAGGGACTTCCAAAGCCGATCCTCCAAAATTGACTGTGAAAGGAAAGGGGACCGTCTAATTCTTAGACCAGGTTCTAAGTCTTGAAGTCTTGAAGTCTTGAGGTATAATGAGGCAACGCCGCGCACCGCCACAAATGGTACTTTCGGACGAGCCTTTAATGATCCCTTTAAACCTTCTGGTCCGACACTAGTAGTCTAAATTACCTAGACTGGTAAGGTCGCATAGTCCTGGTCATCTTTCTAGTCTGCTCCGGGTGGAGAGCAAGAGGATTCCTGCTCAAATGAAAATGAACGATGCGACTTTTCCGGGCGGGAATGCGGAGGACTAAGGTTGATGCTGGGTAGTCTGAGGGAGATTTAGTGGTCGTGCGTGTCATAACTTGAGAAAATGCGTCAAGATTCACGAATGGGAACTTGCTTAGAGGCAACACATCTGGTTTGACACATATCGAAAGGACCAGGCTCAAACAAGCAAAGCTTCTGTGAGATCTTCAACTTCAAGGACTCCATCATCATGCGTAGATGCCCGACGCACAGCCTGAACGCCCGTTTTTCCAGTATGCACGTCCTTACGAGCCTTTCTCATACCTGACGTCCGGCCAGCCTTGCCCGAACAAGTTAGAGTCTGCTAACGCTTGACGCCCTTTTTCTTAGTATTCAAAATTCCCTGGGTCTGATCACAGCCTTTCTAGCCTTGAAAGGTCAAGCGGGTCACTCACTTCAATTTCTTTAGGCTCAAAAACGTTGGAAGCTACACAGCCTGAAAAGTGTATCATTCAGAAACCTCAAACCCCCCCGTCTAGCAACAACAAAATGGGTCTCGACATCCACCACGCCTCACCAGTCTTAAGCACAAGTCGCAACAGGGCCTGCTGCGAGTTGCATATTGTCCAGGGTAGTCTCAGCTGCGAAACACCTTGTGGGGAAACATCAGTCCACTTTGGACCTGGCATTCTCTTTGCGGACCATATTAGACATTCATTGCCTCTCGGCATACCAAGGACATTGGCGTGCCAAGATGCCAGAGGAGGCGGGAGAGCCTTTCAACTCGTAGAAGGCACTATGCTGAAAGAGGAGAAGCATGTTAGAACCTTCAAATTTTCGGGTGTCTTGTAATCCCCTGCATCGTACCCGAAACACAGCCTGAACGCCCCCTTTTGCAGGGTACGCATCGTCAAGGCGTTTACAATGCAACTAGCAGCTAGCCTTGCCTGAATAGGTAAAGTCCATCAACGCCCTTTTTCTAAGCGTCGAATGCCCCTCGAGGCGAATCGTAGACGCGCTAGGCTTGAACAGCGTATCCAGCTGCTTGCCTTCAATTTTCTGGGTCTCTCATGTGGCACGTCGAAGTCACAGGTTGCACAGCCTGAAACGCCCGATTATGCAGCGTAAGGCTTCTTAGAGCCTTTCTTGATACAAGTAGCTGCCAGCCTTGCCTGATCGAGTAAGGTCCCACGACTCCCCTCTTTTGAGCATCTCATTCCTATCGAGAGCGTATTGTAGACACGCTAGCCTGGAACAGTGTAGCTAGCTATTCGTCTTCTAGTTTCTGGGCCTCTGCAAGGACGCGGTGTAGTCGTGGGCTACACAGCCTTGATGTGTGGATTTCGCTATCAGACAGTTGAGATTCGCGGGCTGGTATGAGCCTGGCGAATGCATGTCACGACGTCTTATTTGATATTTGAGGTTTTTAGAAGCTCGTTCTATAGTGTGTGTCTGTATATGTCGCCGGTTGGTGAAGTTGTTCGTACGATCGTGATCATGTTGATTGGCAGTACTCAGATTTTGAACCCAGCTTGTAGTAAATGCTCTCAGGCGGATATCAATATAAATGCTCCTGAAACTATGTATTAGAATTTGGCGCCGCCACGTTTATTATTAGACAATCGACCATTTGGGCGGTCCAATGTTTTTGATACGTTTCATAAATGTAGGACGATTATATTTTGGAGACGACATGTCGCATACCGAAGGTCACTAGGCTGCAACCTCGCAGGAGCTGCGAGATGCTGTTCAACCCTTCGAAGGCATGGAAGGTGTTGCAAGTGCCTTTGCCGTGGTATCTCTTGCACTGCAACTCGCCGAAAGCGTAAAGAAGCTCTACGAATTCTGGGACTCTGTCGTCGAAGCGCCGAGACACATACAAGCTACGACAACCGATCTCAAGGTTCTACAAAGCATTCTCTGCTGTATAGCTGATGATGCTCAACATACGCAGCCTGATGAGCTGTTGACCAATGTCTTGCAATCTTGCAATGGCAAAGTCGCTTCACTTCTTAGGATCCTTGGTGAAATCGATCCGGGCTTTGCTTCATCAAAGCTCCATACCAGAAAATGGACTGCTATCAAGACGGTCCGGATGAGCGCGAAGTTACAGAAGTTCCAGGATACGGTAGAGAAGCTGAAAGTCTCGCTTTTGTTAGCTCAGCAAACACATTATGGGTAAGGCTACTATCTTCCCGGGGTCTGGCAGTCTCGGTCTCATAGGGTTCTGTTATGCTTCAAGATATGAACATTACATATGGGCTAGATCATTTGCCTGGCGAAGTTTCTTTTGACACGAAAATCTTGACACTTTGAAGAAAAAGTCACTAATTTGACGCTGTACACGAAGGCGCTTGAATCGCATCCAGCACAGCGCGAATCAGCAATCATTAGCAGAGATCACAGAATGCGTCTCCCGTATTGATTTACAGCGTTCAATGAAGATCGAGAATCAAGCTTGCATCCCTCCTGTAATTGAGAAGTCTCATTTCCAGACTCTTCATGCTGAGGCATCAGAAAAAGATGGCGCTGGAAACAATCCGGTGTATCCACGCGCTACGATTACAGGATCCTCAGTAATTGGGCAAGCTATTGATGTTTTACCGATCAAGGCGATGAATGAGTATGCACATACCTCGAAGTCAAGGATTCAAGCAAAAGAGACACTCGCACGGCACGAAGCGGTCGTCGAGTACCTCTTCGGCACAATTCATATCAAGTCAAAGCAAAGTCGTATCCAAGTAGGAGAACTAGATGATATGCGCGAATGGGAGAATACCGTCAGCATTCGTCCGGCTGGCTGGTTGGTCAATCTTGGCTTCAAATACGGCCTTAAACTCAATTTATTTCAGTCCTCTATCCAAGGCTGGAAACAGACATTGAGTACTTCCTGTCATGTACCAGACGATGCTCTGGTCTTTGAGTTCTGCAAACAAGGGAATTTGGATGGTGTGCGGAGTTTGTTGTCGAGAGGCGACGCTTCAATTCGAGATGTTGATTCGGGGGCTGGACTCCTCTTTTCGTAAGTACCAGAGTCGACGTCCCCATGTTACTCATATGAGTAGTTGTTTTGGCAAAACTTTGTTGATCCAGCTTTAGTATGCCGCAGCAAGACACAACCCTGGGCTCTGCAGGCTACTCCTTGAAGCTGGCGCTGAATCAACTGCCCGTGATTACTATGACGAGTACGTCCCAAATTAGCGAATTTTGCATAATCTAGGTTTCTAACGAGTGCAATTCAATGTAGTTGTCCATTAGATGCTGCGAGCCACATACTAGAGATGACAATGGTTAATTTGCCCGAAGTGGTGGACACGCTTCGAATATTTTCTGATGACTTGGATTTCTCTGACGTAGCTGCCAAAGGCTGGGGTTTTCTCGAAGATATTGGTGATGAGACTGCGTGCCTTAATGGCGACATGGCGGCAAAGCGCGCCCTTTTCTCCTGGATATTGCATTACACTGGGTCTAGTGTCAGAGAAAACTTCCTCGAGTCAAAGTACTGGCAGATTTTGTATTGGGTGTTGTCCTTAAGAGATGACGACATAGTTCGCCTATTCCTACAATGCGGTAGAAAAGATGCCATTAACTCTCGTGACGAAAGTGGAGGTTATTCCGGTATCCATTATCGAGCGGCCCAGACCGATGACGATTTGGAGATCATACTCAAGCACTTTCCAGACCTTCATCTCTCCGGTCTCAACCCTCAAGCGAGTCCAGTCCTCGAGACGCCTACATCCATAGCAATGTACTCTTCCCCTGCATTTGTAAATTGGCGACATGACCTTTATTCTACTGGAATTGACATGTATGCATTCATCAACGAAGAGATCCAACGAAAACCGCTTTCTGAAGCTGGATGGACGCCGGAAACTTTGACAATCCTATTTAATTTCAATGTTGACCCTGCAACACGTCCAGAACATTACATGTACTGCCCAGACTGTCTTATGAGATGGGAAGATAAAGTGATTATCGTGCAGCCTTTTTGGATGCACATACTTACAAAAATCATGTCTGGCTTATATGACCAGGCTTTGCTAGAGTGTGAAATGGAAGGAAGTTGGATCGAGAATGAGGATGAGAGTGAGAGTGAAGATGGTAGGATTGAAAGCAATGAGGAAAGTCGTGGAGGGAAGGGCAACGTAAATAGTGAGCCACTACCATCAGGATCTGTCGAGGACGATTTCCGTGATAGCTCGTCAACGCAAGCCTCCGCGAATGACATCCCGAAAAGTTCTGGAGAGTATGGGGGTCAAGATGGGACGGCCTACTCGTTCGACAGAGAGGAAATGATATGCGTGGATTGCTGGATTAGGTACCGAGACACCGGTCAGCGCATCAGAGTGGCTCATCCCGAGTATGAATGTTGTTGTCCAGAGGTTTCAGAAATGTCATCTGACGATAATTCAACGGATAATGAGTTCTCGCCGTTCATGGTTCACACCTAAAACCCTTCAAACACAAAGAACGAGAGACCAAAGACACGACAGTCTTACGCTACACTGAGTTTCCCGAATGTCAAATGAACACTATAAGCTGCACATCACTTTTTGGAGCTTGAGAGTCATGAAGTCGGCGCCAACGGATATTACGATCAAGCACTGACTCCTTATTAAAATTGAAGAGGAACTCCCGTGGTTCGAACGTACCGATTCTTTGAATGAAGACAAGCGTCACCTACACGTAACGTGCATCAGGCGAGAATACTCATCCAACCTGTTAGGCCAGTCCAATCGGTGGTAGAGCCATGCAGCTCTGAATCAGTACTTCCATCAACAGCATTTCGATGACGAATCTAACATCTAGAATTCTTTCAGTATTGACATGTTCCCCATCCCAATAGCTATCTTCAGACTTCAATTTCAACCTCAATCAGTTGTTGCATCACATGTACTGAACATCTTCTCAGGGGCTCGGCTGCTTACCGCGGGCCCTACGAGTCTCACGCCTTAACCACCTACTCCAACGCCAGACCTCCAAAATCGCCACGATAGGTCTAGCTCATGACAATTCTCGTTGCATAAAACCCCAACCCAACCAAATCGCCGCAAAGCACGCAATCGACAAAGTCACGCGCTACCTTTCCACCGATATCTTCAGCATGAGTATTCTTCATCTGCATCATTCATATGTATGTCCATCGCTAAACATTCTCGAACGTGCGCATCCCATCTGCGCACTACGACGTGACAGCCCAGACCATGGACCGTCAAGCGCCAAGCCCCACATCCTCCGACATCGAGAAGTCCGATTCTCCACCCAAACAAAAAGCCGCCGGTGCCTACAATACCGCTTCGAACGACCCCGACGATGACTTTCCCCATTTCAACAGCACCGGCGCCCCCGCTCAGGCGCCCTCGTCTAACCACCTCTCCCGCACACTTTCCCCCCGCCAAGTCCAAATGATCGCCATCGGTGGCACGATAGGGACAGGACTCTTCCTCGGCACTGGGAAAGCATTGGCGACAGGTGGTCCAGCAAGTCTGCTGATCAGTTATGCCATCGTGGGCGTTATCATCTTTGCGACTATGTTGGCTTTGGGGGAGATGGCGGCGTTTTTGCCGGTGGCAGGTAGTTTTGGGGTTTTTGCTGGGTAAGTGCCATTGCCTGGATGAGTCTTCCTCTTTTGTAATGTAATGGAGAGAGAGAAAGAATGGAGTTGGGTAGAAGGGGTGGTGAAGGGAAGCCCGAGCGAGGATTATGGTGGAAGAGAGTGGAGTAGCTATGTGGAAGGCGTTAAAGAGGCTCCCCTATTACGGATGAAAGCAAGGTTGAGGGAAGTGAGAGAGTCGATGATTTCAAATAGCTGAACCACGCGTACTGAACACTGCTGACGAGACTAACAGACGCTTTGTCGACGACGCATTCGGCTTCGCCATAACCTGGAATTACTGGTTCAATGATGCTGTGAGCATGGCTAGCGATCTTGTAGCCCTGCAACTGGTGCTGCAGTATTGGACCGATAACTTCCCTGGCTGGGCGCTGAGTCTCATTTTCTGGGTTGTGCTTATTGCGGCGAATATTGTTACCGTTCGGATTTATGGAGAGGTAAGTGATGATTTGTAGACCCTCGTCGAATGGAGAATACGAAGGACTGATCATGAGGGTAGCTTGAGTACTGGCTTAGTCTGCTAAAGGTCATTACTATCATTGTGAGTTCGGCGTAGAAAGCAGGTGGGACAAAACCGTTCGGCTCACACTCATAGATATTCATCATCCTCGGCATCGCTGTAAATTGTGGCGGGAACACCGATCACAGATATATAGGTGGCCACAACTGGTTTATCGGCGACGCACCTTTCGTCGGCGGAATAGGCGGCTTTGCTTCTGTATTCGTGACGGCCGCCTTTGCCTGTAAGTAAACACCGCTGATCCCTAGCCACCTACAACTCACTGGGGGTATCAGACGGAGGAACAGAATCCATCGCCATCACGGCAGGCGAAACCAAAGACCCAGCCCGCAACATTCCCAAGGTAGTCCGCAACGTCTTCTGGCGAATCCTTCTTTTCTACATTCTATCCATCCTAATCGTGGGCCTTAACGTTCCCTACACCACCCACGGTCTCAAAGATAAGGAAACACGGACCTCCCCCTTCACCCTCGTATTCCAAATGGCGGGCTCCAAAGCAGCCGGCAGCTTCATCAATGCTGTGATCATGACCAGCGTTCTTTCTGCCGGCAACCACGCTCTCTTCGCTGGTACGAGGCTGCTTTACACACTAGCGATCAACAGACATGCGCCACATGTGTTCTCGAAATTGAGTGGGAACAAGATCCCTTGGATCGCGGTCCTCGCTACTTCCGTCATCAGCATACTCTGTTTTGGAGCGAGTTTTATTGGTGCTGGGCAATTGTGGACGTGGCTGCAGAAGTATGCTTCCCCCTCCCCTTTTCCCTTTTCCCACTATACCTCTCTCCTAAAACCGTAACCCCACCACTGACCCCATTCCAAGTATCGTCGGCGTATCCAACCAACTATCCTGGATCTCCATCGGCATCGCCTCCCTACGCTTCCGCGCGGCCCTGGCCGCCCAAAACAAAACCCACCTCCTCCCCTTCGTCAACTACACCTACCCCTACGGCCCCTGGTTCTGCGTCCTCCTGAACTCGTTCCTCGTGCTAATTCAAGGGTGGAGCTGCTTCAGCCCGCATTTCAGCGTTGTCGATTTCTTTACGTATTATATTGAGGTCGGGATTGTGGTTGTGATGTTCGTGGGGTGGAAAGTGATTAAACGGACGAAGGTGGTGGGGTTGAAGGAGATGGACCTCGAGACGGATACGTATACCATTGACCGTATTGAGGGGAGGGCGGATGGGGGAAAGGGGTGGAAGAGGAGGGTTGAGGGGGCTTGGAGGTGGTTCCTTTGATTGCTGGGAGAGGGGGACGAAGAGTTCGATTTCGGCCTACTGTGCTCATGTTGTGGTTGGAGTGGAACATGTCCCATCCCTCGACCTCGCCGCGGATGGAGGATCCAAGCCTTCGGCATCGGGTCAGAAAATCCCCTCCCAACAACCCCCTATCGCAAACCACCACACTTCTCCCCCTCGGCAACTCATTACCATCACCCTCACCCTCACCCCCACCCCACCCCTGTAGCCAGCTCATCCTACAAGGCTGTCGGACGGAAAATCTCAAGCGCAGACGACATCGCACCCATCCCGAAAGTCTAGAGGACCTGGAACGATTGGTCCTCGGAATAAGCGTCTACAGCAGAAGCTACGCCGAACATGCCGTCACGAGGCGCCCCCTCCCTCCCAACGCAACTTCGCTCAATATCTCGCAACCCAAACCCCCTTTCCCGTGCCTCACGTTTGGGAAGGATGGTTCCTCTCAAGGCTAAAGACAGGGTGAAGGGGGGCGAAGAGGGGCGAAGGGGGGAACAAGGGTTCAGAATTACGCATATCCGGTCTGTCGGTTGAGAGGATATGTTGCTGCTTGGAACGAGATGGAATGGGGTGGGGTGGAGTGGAGTAGGGTGGAGTAGGGTGGGGTCCAGATATCATCAACACACGGACCCGGGCGGGGCAGGTTGTAGTATCCGTAATATACGTCATATAGAGATATGGCTATGTGTATGTGCATGAGTAGTCAAGGTTGACCAACCTACAAAATTGCTGGGGGTTTAGTGCGTCTCGTTTCGGTATCCATCCATCCATCCATTGATCCATCCATCCATTCAGTTAGAGCGAGCTGGTGATCATTTCATTCCCCGATCAGGTTAAAGACAGGGCGGGAAGGGAAATATATTTCTTTTTATCCGCGCTGGTGATTCAGGGAGTGATTAAAGGCGAGAAGACCTGGACGGGGAATGGGAAAGGATAAAAGGGGAAGAAGGAACGGTGATTATGAATGTCCAGCATCGGACGAGGGGGAGTAGGTGGTTAAGGCGTGAGCGCTAAGCAGCACGAGACTGGTGTGAGGAAAGAGTGCGCTGGGGAGGAAATGCACCATCACCACCCTGAGTCATGAATAATGCTTTAAGGGAGGGGGGAAGAGGGGACGGCATGATAGTAAGGGTATTTCTAATTGAAACAAGAAAAATATCTGCGAAGGAGCAGAAGGTGTTGGTGGGATGGTGGGTGTGATACAGAACATGATGAACAGATCATTGACGGCAGCTTTGTATGTACATATGTTGATTTCACGCAAGACCCAGCGCCGACGTATCAAGCCCACTTCCCAAGCAGCGCCATCAACCCAGCGCCCGCACACATAATCCCAAACGCACTCATCACCACGCTCAATCTCGCGCGTCTCATAACCGCCGAGAACATGAATTCGTGCGCCATCAACTCCACCAACCCGGTATAAATAAGAATCCCCGCACTAATCGAATCAAACACCCCATTCACAATCAGCGAAGTCTGCGAGCCAGGCGCGTACGTCGTCCTTAGCCCTAAGCCGATGGCAATGGCGATCGGTGTGCTCAGGCCATACGACACTGCGAACCAGTACGGCGTGAAACGCGTCGTGCGGCCCTTCGGCCAGGGCGTGGCTGCGAGGCGCGAGCCGAGACCGAGTCCTTCGAAGGTCTGGTGGAAGACGAGCACGATGTAGAGGGTGTTGAACTCGGAGCCGGCGACGGCCAGCGTGAGGCCGATGAAGATGCTGTGGAAAATGACGCCGAATTCGAGGATTAGGATGGCGGTTAGTTGGGCGGCGTAGTCTTCGACTTCGTGGATGCCGACGGATTGAAGATGCTGTGGTGGTGTTGCTACTTCTGTCGCGGTGCTGGGGGTGCGGTGGAGGTCTTTCTTGGGCGCTTCGGCGTCTTCGTGGTCGATGTGGCTGCGCGCGTGCGAGAGGTGGTCTTCACCTGGGGCGTGGCGAGAGGGTGAGGGTTCTTTGTGCTCTTTGAGGGAGGCGGACTCGGAACTGCCGTGGGTGTGGGCGTGGCCGTGTTCGGCGGCGTTGGCGTCGTCGTGAGGTGGGTGGCCGAAGGTGGCGTAGCGCATGGCCATTAGTTCGACGAAGAAGAGGGCGAATGTGGTCATTAGGGCGATGCCTTCGACCCAGGAGTAGGAGGTTATGGGGCCTGTGAGACAGGGGTTTGAAAGAGCCTCATTTGCTGGAGCGAGGAGCTGCAAGAATGGTCAGCTTGGCCGCTCCTTCCGCCGGATAGGTTTCTAGATGGAGAAACAAATCTGGAATAGGTGAAGGGCTGGTGAAACTTACATGGATGAAAGCAGTAGCTATGATGACCCCCGAACCGAAGTACTTGGCGATGAAGAAAGCCCATTCTGGCACTCCGATGCCACGATGTCTCGAGGCGAAAACAGGAAAGCATGCTCCTAAACGACTCTATCAGTACAAGACTACTGCTGGATCCGGACTGTACAAACCAATGGTAGAGCCGAGCAGAATGACAAAGATGGCACTGATTCTCACGCCCAGTCTTCCGTCGAAATCATTATCGGCGACGCAGGCTGGTGGAGCTTCATCAGTAGCAGCGGCCGCTGCTGCAGCAGTTGTCGTTGCGGCTGCGCTTTGGTATGCCTGTCTCGCGACAAGCTCCATGACCTGCACGGCGGACATTTTGAGTGGGATGGTGCGCAAGTCGGGATCCGGATGGGATCGAAGTGGATTGTTCTGGGTGCACAGGACACTCCTTCGAGCTTCTTTCGATGTTGTCGATTTCTGGAGCTTGAGGTTGTTCTGTGAAGGGGATTTGAATGAGCCTCGTAGTAGAGGCAACGGTATGAGTGGTAAGAATGTTGAATGAATGAATGAACGAGTGAAAGTGTGAAAGTGTGAAAAGGGCAAAAGGTGACGCTTCCCAAATTGAATTGTCACGAGAGTTCATGTGGTGTACCCTTGGGGCTTGACGAGTCTAGATGGCTGAATGGCTGACACTTACACCAAAGAATCCAAAGTTAATGCAAGTGGCTCCCTAGGTCGAGGCATATCATCTAATCTGGTTCAGTTCATCGTACCGGCTACAGACGACTGGAACAGGGGGATTTGTCACTGCCATCTGGATCCAGGCAGACGGGTATGACAGAGGCAGACGCGCAAGAGATTTGTATTGTTTGATTGGGCCTATCTTTTCCCATGATGGTGCCTGTATCAGTCATATAGAACGGCCTGCCTGTTCTCTTGCGTGGATGGCCGTGATCGTGTACCCTTGAGGCGGAAGCTGCCGGCTTTCATGCGACACAATGACGCAGCCCACGGCGGATCGCATCAACAATAGCCCGTGGCCAATCACAGGCCGTCAGTTACTTCTTTGACGTATCAGCAGTCACTCCGGGCATCTGGACGTGGGATGGAAACAAAGACACTAAGCCTGGATGTGGTATAGATTGGTACTCGTGCCATGTCAGTGGGCCACCATTACGTGCCGGACGGCCATAAGAGGACGACCCTGGGCTATCATATAGTCCCGTTTCTTCCTTAACCATCCATCACCGCATCGACCTCAAGCCCAACCGCAATCTGCCTTCCCTCGGCGGAGGTCCACTGCTTTGACGAGGAGCACTACCAAAGTTGAGACCGGCAAGCACATCTCCTGCCTCGCCCATGTCTTGTCGTCCATTTCCCATCTCTTGTGGCCCAAATAAGCTCGAGAGCTCAGGACCAAACATGTAGGCCCCAATTGCGGCGGCGGCAGCAGCTGCAATGGAAAGCGGTAGAACCGCTGAAGACATTGAGGGGTGAGCAGGAGCCTTCGCATCAGCGTCTGATGCCGTGACGATCTTGGAATCTGTGAAGGGCAGCCCGTCCGTAAGGGAGCGTGCGAGTGCGGAAGCTTTGTCCATTGTCGACGGAGCTGGAGGCGTTTGCCACGGGAGCTTGTGTATCGTATCTTTCTCTTGCTCGCTGGATGCTGGATAGAGTGCGGCGTCGACGCGAATTGGCCCTCCAAACACTTCTTTGACCCTTCGCTTCACGTATTCACAAAGATTCTTGTATTTGGTCACTAAGCCCTCTTTCAACCATGCCTGTGGTATTTCCGGTATCACTGCCAAAGCTAGATAGCCTAAGGCGAGACAGTCCAGACTCGAAGGCTGGCTGTCGGATAGAAAATATTTCTTGTCTCCCAGAAGCTCGCTCAGCGGTTCACACGCCGCCTCGACGAGTGCCTCAAGCTTGAATCTTGCCGTGCTCCTCTCTTTCTTCAGTAAGCCCGTGACTGTTTGGGCCACAGGGGCATTCCGTAGTCTTTCCGGTATGATGCTCTCTCCTAAATGTTTCTGCCGTCTTTCTTCATCGGTATCGGTTGTGTCGAGGTCGAGTGACGAGAGGCCTAGATACGAGCTACGGCTCTTGGCTAACGCGCGTCGCGATGGTGGGATTGTGTATGGTGACGGCCAGGAGAGGAATGCAGAGTAAGCTGGGCGAGTAACATCGGTGTAGTTCTCAGAGGAGACGTAGAGGGAGAGATCGAGAAGGGGGAGGAGTGAAGTCTGGATGTGGGAGGAGAAGCTATAGTAACAAGTCAGTCGGCGGACAGGATATTGATGATAGTATTTCAATGATGGGCCACTGGGTATTGAGGACGTACGCTATTGCGTCTGCACGATTGCTCGTATCTAGAGATGTGTCGAGGTTGTATTTGCCTCCATGTAGAGCCGATAAATGCGCCACGATATTCTCGTAGCCTGCTACAGTATACTCATCATGTCTCAGGGCAGGGAGCACTCCTAGACGAGGATTTAGTCATTTAGTGCAGTGAGCAGGCAGCGGCCCACTTACTCACTCGCGTGACCTATGTCCTCGTTACTACTAGCGACTAAGACCCACTGGTGTCGTGGTACCGTCTGCACAAGGTAGGCGACAGCGGCGAGGCATTGCGGGTCAATGGAAGGGAGGGTGAAGGCGGGACCCCAGATGTGTAGCTCAAACACCATGGCTTGACCTAGTCGAAGCTGGGGTACTTCTTCGGTCACTCGGTGTTACTCAGCAATAGCTAGGGAGTTCGATGGAGGGGTTCCGTAGTCAGGTGCACATCAGCCGTCTCAACTTGTGGAGAAAATGGCAAAAGGTGGAAGGCGGTCTAGCTTAAGTCTCGTGCATCCCCTTCCAAGTCAATCTTGTGCATTATTATTATTGGCATTCTTCCAGCCTGATTATTTGTCACTTTGCTTGAAAAAGGAGGACATTATTATTGAGATCAACATCCCCGGCCAAGCCTTCTATATCCGGTAGTGGCAGGATGATCTTTGGTTCCGCTGATTATGCAAATCTTCCAACCACGAGGGCGCAAGGATATGAAACGGCTCACTAGAAATTCTAAGTTCAATGGTTCTCTTCTAATTGCCATGTCGGTATGTCTAGCTTGCGGATCTTGCTGCAGACTCCTTTGCAAATAATCCGAGTCAGGGTCTCTGTTTCAGCTCCTGCGTGATGCGCTGGCATGCAATTTGTGGGTGGGAAGTACCGAGGTGATTCAAGAGTACGAAGCGCAGGGGGTGGAAGTGGAAAATGGAAGAGAATATGCGGTGACATGAGGCGATTTGAAATTTGGTAGATTGCAATTGTTACCAGCTCATACTAATGTACATAAAACTCCACCACAGATGTCGTCGCAGCTGGCCACAATTCGCTCGTGATTCGCCCACGAGTCGATTGATGACGGAGGAAGGATAGAGTGTTGTCGTTTCAGCAGTAGCTGGTGAAAGCAATTTCTAGTCGAAGTTGCAAGATCGTTGCCGCATTGCTGGTTGTTGGGTCATTGCTCAAAAGAGCCGCAGCGGCTCAGCCACAGGAGGCGATCGCAGTTGGCAGTAACCTTGTCATTGTTGACGCTGTGGGCTGTTCTCCGCTCAATGACGAATCGGTACATGACGGATGCTCAGCATCTGGTCAGTTGGTGAACTCGAAGTACTGCGTATAAACATAGGATACCGGCCAAGTGCTGGCCAGGTATACCGTCCGTCCCAGTGCGATGAGGTCGTTGGGTGCGCGGCCAGGCAGCATATGCTGCAGCCATTGTGAGGTTTAATTGATCCATTCACGTATGAATTGGCGAAGGTAATCATTTGATACCATGTGACGTCAAGAGGAGGTGGATGAGACTGTTACTTGCACTTGGGAATCTTCGGGAGTGGTCGATTTGGTGGTGGTCCAGGGCAGGGAGGAAAAGCAACTTGGCCAGGCATTGTAAATGGGTGGAGACTAGAAAGTCTTCAGGTTTGAGTGTGGAAGAGAGTTGGTAGGTGGATTGAAGAACTCTTGTTGGTATGTTTTTATTTGTTGTGTTTGGTGATGGATGATTTCCGTTGCTTCAACACAGGAGGGGACAGAGATATTTATGATGAAGTCTCTCCCCTAGCATCGTGTGTCACCGGCCGGTAGAGCGGACGGTATCCGTGGATACTCGTAATAACGTGAAAGCTAAAAGCAAGAATGACGGAGATATTCAGGGCGCATGCCTATGCACCTTTTGGTCCTGGTGTGGGTGGTGATGGCAGGGATACGATGCCAAGGGGACAGGGGGAATGATCCAATGAGGGCATTGGTGTAATCTGACACGCTGAGAGAATTCCTTAGCCTGCTTCTAGTGCAAGGCTGAGGTTACGAGTCCGCGCTTTGGTGTGGGACCAAATTATGGCCACCTGATTATTTTTAATGACACGGCTATTTCGGCGGCCCCCTACCCATTTGGCAATTGGTCGGAGAACTGAGATCACTTTCAGGAGAATGGCGGTGAGGACGACATCACATGTGAACCGTGCTCGAACAGACACGGAGCCTCGTCATGACTGGTTGACCTCCACCCCGATTTTCGCCATCTGAGTCATGCCACCTGAAACTCGAGAGGCCCATACGAAGCTGTTGCCGAATGCGCAAACCACTCACCGAACCCAAGCAGGTATCATTTACGCCCCAATTGCCAGAAACTTGGAAGGGGCCGGCAGCGAATGCCAACTCAAAACAGCCAGTTGACCGCAATTGGCATGCTGCTGCCAGCCATGTTGCCTCTGCAGAATACTGAGGTACTTTGTGCATAACCAGTCCTTTCCATGACTCTTCTAGAGTGCTGGTAAATTTGCCTCTGTGCGACAGAATTTGGCAGGATGCGGGCTGAAACATGGCCAATTATTCGGGTGGTTGCCTGAATATCATCTTATCGGTCACCTCTCAAGCTTTCGGTTCCTGCGTGGTTGTCATGCTCCGTCATCAGTTGGTCTCGTACGCGTAATCGATACCAGAACCTGGTCGCGAGAATGTGGGCGGCAAATGTACGCGGGACACCTGAGGGGACTGTATCGTCACACAAGCACAGTAGCACGTTACCCTCACGTTATGGTTACGACTCCCTGATTCGGGGAATTCTATCATTTGGCAGTTGCCCACCAAGGCGAATTTTATTCGGACCCAGACGACGTAAGCGGCCAGCGTAATTTCATTCCCATGCAAGGGGCCAGATGAAATTGGAACCACGTGGTCTGCTGCAGCTAGCAGTAGCTGCAGAATGCCTAATCGTGATGTGCGACCGGGGTACATCGATCGATACCGCAGGTTCGTACGGTCGAGCAATCAGAAGCTCAGAACATGGAGATAGTTGCCGATATGCAGCTGTACGTTTCTTTCCTTCTGTCCATGCCACACTGTTCCCCATTAACAGCTTGTCAGTCTGCACCTCCTTCCCTCGTTTGGACGCTGTGACACGCCATGACAGACGGCTCCTTCGAATGGATCGAACGGAGTGAGGGGCGTGGGATGATCAGCGGTTCACAGCCGTTGATGATCGCACCAAAAGACGAACACTCATCCAGTCCAAGAACGCCCATCACCCTGTATGATACGAATAATGATTCCTGACTCTGGCATCATGCAGCGACTAAGTGATTGCTAAGGATTTCTTTCTCGCCCGTCCAACCGCTGGCGGCTTTGTTCGGCTGACCTCCAGGGTCGCAGATTGCATAGCCATCGTTGCAGAAGGTCAAACACCACCTTGCATGATCTTACGCTCTGGTTGTAACGACACCAACGCTGCAAGGAATATCACTACTGCAGACTAAGGCCAATGGTAATCCATCGATCATTACAAAGGGTTCAGTAGCGTCCAGCGGGCTGCATGCCATTCCCAGACTGCTGGGTCTTGGCCCCCCTGCCACGCGACGGCGATTCTTGTGGCGTGAATCCAGATCCCCCGTAGAACACCCCAGGCACCCTGCGCCGTCGACCTGCATGATGTGGCTTGCGAAGTATTCAGTTTGCCTCCAAGCCGTGTGCAAGCCATGCAGGAGACTCTCGTGTTCATCATTACCCATTGCAAGAGTTCACAGGAAGTGAATGGGGTGGCCTGATCGGAAAGGGGCGAACGCACACGAAAGCAGCATATCAGCATAAGCAGCTAGGATGCGAAATTACAAAGACGCGGCCACTTGAGCGAGCAAGCCAGTTTAAGGTAGGATGAAGGGAACTGCTCACGGCGTACGTGAACAGTGTTATCTCGCCTCCAACTCCCCTGAGGCGCACCTCACGTAAGTCTAAGCAGTAGCAGGTACACGCTCTATGTTTGCCACTTCAAGACAACATCTCATGATGCCCCGGGGTCTTTACCGGCGATCAAACAACAGCACCTTCCTTGTTTGGTGCTGCCGTTGAGAGACCGATTAATATTGAATATTAGATCAGATCACAAGTACTTAGCAGAAATACAGGTCACCGATGCTTATGCTCCATAATCCAGGAACACCCGTCTCCACGCGCATGCTTTCCTAGCCCATCGGTGAACAGACCAACACAAATCCTTCGGAGGCTGAAGTCCGGTCGATATGACAGAACTCTACGGAGTCCATAAGGCGTAAGCTGCCATGAGCTCTTCTTTCCCGGAAGGCTCTTGCTCCATCAGGAATCGCACGGACTTGTCAGTGCTCACAAAGACGCACCCCCTCAATTACAAATCTCAACGACTTCATCCGGATATTGCATATCAGTCATTCGTAGCACCCATGCCCTGTTCCTCCCTGGCGACCTGGGTCCCGATCCATTCCTCCATCATAGCCTGTCCTGCTCCACCAGGCAACTCCCTCCCTTTTGCTGTACCCCTTCTCTTCACCACTAGACACAATATTCTGCCGTAGATAGAAAATCCCTCGTATCTAGTCTCCATCCCCATCTTCTTCTTGTCGTCCTGTACCTCGCCGCCACCTTCATGTACTTCTTCCTCATCATCATCATCCTCAACGACAAATGTATCCTCCTTCTTCACGTCCCTTCGACCACTCGCGGCCTCAGCAGGAATATTCTCCATCCTATCATCGCCTTCATCGCTCTCTTCCCTCCTTAAGCCCGGCACTCTGTCTCCAGCCCCCGCCTCATCTACAACCACAGGCGCCTCCTCGGTCCCCTCCGCCGTGATTCTCCTCCCTTCGCTCCCCAGCCTCCCCTTCTCCCCCTTCATCGTCTTCTGCTTCCTAAGGACCGCATGCCGCGTCGACGTCTGCGTCAAAAACACCGAGACCTCAAAGTCCTCCTCGACAATAGTATCTTTCACGCCTCCCTTTTTCTTCTTCCCTTTAGCCCCACTCTTTAGCTTTCCGCTAGCAATGTCATTTTCCTCGCGTAACTTTGGGAGGACGAGAGGCCGGATTGCGGCGATTATGCGAGGGAGGGCGGGCGTGACGGGGTGGCAGAGCCAGCGCGGCTGGTCGGCGGGGTTGTCGAGGTAGATGCGGACCTCGAGGACGGAGCGGGGGGTTATGCGGAGGTAGCGGCGGAGGGGTGCCATGAGGGGAAGACAGAGGGTCTGTAAAGCCCACGAGAGATTATGAAGACATCATGTAAGCTCGAGTATAGACAAGTCTGCTGTAAACCTAACGTGAAGTCAGGATTGGACGAGATCAAGGCGCGGGAACCGGCCGATCATCACGCGGTCATTGCGTTCACTGATTCCTTGAGTCCCCACTTCTCAACCTTCTCTCACCATCTTTTTTCGACCTCATCTCATGCGCATGCGTAGCTTGCGTACCTCGCTTCGCTGCTATGTAACCGGTATCAATCCATCGTCCAAGCAGGCTACTACCTCCCTTACCAAGAAATCGAGATTCCCCTCCAACAAACCACCCCTCTCGCTCGATCACTTTCTCCTCCGTCAGCGTGTCCTCTCTCTCTATCGCGACATAATGCGCTCTTGCTTCAGGCTTTCGAATCCACAAACAAAACTCGAGATGCGGGGTTATGCACGATCGGAGTTTGAGAGGCACAAGGAAGAGACGGATCTGAGGCAGATACGATATCTACTGAGCACGGGAAAGGCGGAGTGGGATAAATTTGGGAAACAAATTGGTGGGCTGTAGGCAATGATATCAGAGCAAACTTTCAACAGGAAGTCTATCTGAATGGACGAGAGCTTTTCTACTTCACGACTCGACTGCACAGTGGGGAAGAGATGGAAGACGGTCTGGATACATTGGACCATCATCGGCTCCGCGATCGCAAGAAATAGCAAGCTCGATGATTCCGGCAATGATGGCAGACTTCGCATGTCAGATTCGGACTTCAATCAGCATGGCGTACAACTTTGGCGCTGCAAGGCATCTCGACCGAACATCTACAAGCCATGTCTCGAAGAGCAATTTTCGAGATCAGTCCACCACGCCTTTTCCTCCGCTTGTCTACGGGAATTCATGCATGGGAGTCTCATAAAAAGGCGCGAATCAATGGGATGTCACCCAGACTCCCCATAACCGCGTCAGCCATATGTCGCAAATGCTCCATTCGCATACTGATAGCCGCGCAATACCGGAACGAAGTCAAGACATATTGCAGGTTAGGGATTCATCAATCGCGTGCTTTTCTTATTAGAGAGAAAGACCGCGTAGAATCTCTTCGATCGTGGCATGGACAAGGGAATTGTACTCAGGCCTTTCCTCGTTAACAATCACAACTCCATGGAGAGTCTTTGACTACAAGTCATCATGAAACTCAACACACCATTCAGAATCCTGCCATTTATCTTGCTCACGCAAGCAGCCCGTCATCCTCGCGATGTCGCGTCTCTATCTCCCTCAATCGCCTTTCCCGCCAAAAACGCAAGCAACGGCCTTCAAGACTGTCCTTTAGGGTATGTTTACCGCAAAACCGACACCCTCGAATTCTGCTCCCATCTCGACTCATAACCCTCTCATCTGCCTCTTGCTCTCTATCTTACAGCAAATATGGCAGAAGCTAAGATCTTCCAGAAGCACCGCCTGGCCTCAAGAGCTCCCCTGCAACATCCCCCTCAATTTCGAGACGACTACTCTCCACCTCATCAGCTGGTCCGGCCAAGTCTATCCCACAACAGCCTCCCAAACCCGGCAACTCGCAAAAATTCTCAACAACAAATTCTATTCCGTGGGACTTCTGCCCCCCAACGACTTCATCAGCGGCTGCAGCATTCAATACGGCCCCATAAGTGACGGGGGTCTCGTCAATCTGACCACTGGCGCAAATCACACGGTCCTAGAGCCCCCATACAACTTGACAGCGCCGGATGCGCCGGGGCCGATAAAGACCAGCGCTGAGGAGCACGCAGATGGGAGTGATTTGAGGGCTGTTGATGAGCATGTGGCACTCAACACGGTAGAAAGCTTGGTTTTAAGATGGGGTGCTAGGAGCGAGGCGGCCTTCGAGATCTACAGGGCCAACGAGTGGGTTAGTGGATTGAATTTCAAGACTGGACTCAGTGGGGTTGCAGATGCCGGAGGTTAGATCCCTGAAAATTTTCCCTCCCTCACTCGATGCTCGAACGATATGCTTCTGGATGCTTGAATTGGGGAGGACGCGTAATCACGCGTTGTACGTAGACCATTGGCATCTAGCTGTCAAACTTGTTTCAATTCGCCAGGCTGCTGGTGGTGCGAGGCATCAATCGAGCGTGATGGGACTAGCAGTGATTTATGACATCGCGGATCCAATTGCCGGATCAATACTCTACTATGCTACTATTTTATGCACGTCATGCGCTGTCGCTGGATCTCCTCCAAATAGAGGATGCAGACTCAACCGACGTTGAAAGCCACACCCTACTACTCGAACATTTGATTGATTGGTTCTCAGAACCCCCATCCGACCCCTAGGCCACTTACGATCACCCCAATCTTCTCATCTCATCCCAGCCTCACAGCACTTGCCGTGAAACCTTCGAAACGCCGACCAAGCTCATTATTCTTCCATCCACCCAGGAAGGCTTACGCTATGCCAATGCTCTTCTAAAGCATTCTGCACCATGCTCGCCTCCTGAACTCACAACCCGTCTCCTGCCTGCCGAAACAGGCTGATGTGAGGCTATTCTGAGGGTCAATGGCGCCCATTGGAGAGAGGTCACTTTTGACAGATCCGAAATATGAGACGAGTTTTGATTTGTCGTCTCATTCCAGCAAATCTGATGTGTACCTACCAGCGCACATAGTTCGAGCGAGATCTCTTCAGTTCCGTCTTTTCACGCTTTGTTTTATAATAGCACTCGTGGCAGTGGTGGAAAGGCATTTCATGCGGCTCCCATCGTCAAAGAGCTTTGCCAGTATCTGCCATCCTGTCATAGCTTATTTTACTTCTTTAGCGAGGCCGCTGTTCATGGCATGATGGACTGCAAAACAGAATAGGGCTGCTTCTACCGTCTGAAGTGTTGCTTTTACTTTGAATATCCAATCTTTGAGGAGCGAAACCACTACACTCATATCTTTCCAAAGTCTACAAAAGAAACACCATTCAAATGTGGATGTACCAAGGATGCTGGAAAGATCCAAATAAAGCCATTTCCAAGATCTGGGCATTCTTTGAAGCCTCCAAGGCAACTCGACCGTGCTAATGCAGCCACAAAAAACCGGTGTGTGTGGTGGGCGATCTAGCAAGGCGCAGCGCAAGGCACACACCACCCAAAACCCTTCCACCCAAGCAAAGCCCACATATAACCTGGACACCCTACCAGCGTCACCATCCTGCCCCAACCCCCAAAAATGTCCGGCTTCAACCGCGACAACTGCTACCCCCTCGTCCTCGCCCTCCTCGCCAACCACACCCTCTCCCCCTCCTCCCCTCATTTCTACCGCTCCCCGCACCCCCCTCACCTCCCCTCTCCCCACCCCGATTCCCTCACCCTCACCGTCCCCGGCTGCGAACAGCTGTGCGGGCCAAAGCAGATGTGGTACCGGGACATCGGGCCGCGGATCTCCGTCTGGCTGATCCCCATCCTGCTCTTAGTGAGCAACATAGAGCTGTCCCCGCTCGACAAGCGGCGGTTTGCGGGCTTGCTGCATTTTGTCGGGGATCCGCTGGATTCGCTGTGGAGTTTGCTGGAGAAGGTGGGGGTGTGGGATCAGTGTGTAAGTGTTGTGGATGAGCGGTTGCTTGTGCGGGGAAGGGGCGAGGGGGAGGGGGAGGGGAAGGGGGAGGGAGGATGCTGTCCGCGCTGCAGAAAGGTGATCGCCACCGTACTCGCCGGCTACGAAGAACTCCTCGGCCCACGCGTCTCGTCCATCGACAGCCTCTTCGACGCCATCACCCACCCCCACACCCAACCCGGACGTACGCGCGTCCCAAGCTTCCACGAATGGAGGCGCGCGGCGACCAAGCTCGCAGATGCCCGCACCAACGAATTCGCCCGCACCTGTCTCGCCATCTTGCTGTACGTGTTCCAGCTCATCGCGGGCTTCGTCAAGGAGGTCGGCGGCGGGAATACCAGTCCCCCCGGGGGCAGGATCGCCACGGGCGTGTTTCTCTGCTGGCTCGTGCCGGCGACGTTGGTGAGTAATGCCATTGGGAATTTTACGAGTAGGAGGGGGTTTTTGATGTGCTTTCGGGGTTTGTGCAGGGGGTTGATGGGGAGGGGGAGGGGGAGGGGGAGGGGAAGGGGAATGGAGGGTTGCGTGTTGAAGAGCGTATGTCTGTTTTTTCTTTGAGGTGGCTGGATGTGGAGAGGGTGCGTGAGACGGATTATTTCGAGTCGTTGGGCTGGTCGGGCGGTATCTACTCCTTTCGCCCGCGGAAGACGTCGTTGCGGACGAGTCGGTCTCAAGCTGCGTTGGTGCTCGGTCTTGCGCTATCGCCCGTTGTCATCAGCATGATCGGCGGCTTTATGATTCTGTGGTATTTGACGCCCACGGGGCTCAATTGCCGGCACACCTGGCTCATCGGCATCTTCATCGCCTGGCTTCTGAGCGCTCTCATCACTTCCGCGTCAAATTCCAAAAGGTTCGCCACAGGGCTGTATCACTGGCGCTTTGTTCTCATCAAAGACGCTCTCATCGCTATACCGAGTATCACGGTCATCTTTCTCTCGGCGAGCGGACTGTTCAATAGCTGTTATTGCTGGGGCGGACTGCCTCTGAATCGGAGATATGCACATGTGCCTTTGAACACGGATCCGTTCTTTGAAAGGAATGATGAGACGGTTTACCCGCTTATCGTGGGGGTGTGTATTGTGCTGCAGGTGCTGGTATTTGCTTCGGTGGTTGTGAAATGGCGGAGGGGACTGAGGCTGTTTCGATGGCGGGAGCATGAGCGAGCTCGTGAGTGGGAAGTGCTGGGGGATAAGGATTATGTCTGTGATTGCATGCAAGGGAAAGAGTTTTGGATGCCAGAATCGTTGGGAAGTGCTGATGATGGATGAATGAGCCACTACATCGATGACTTACGCTCCAATTATCGTGACGGCCTCTTCTCCTCCTGAGGGTGAATGTGGGGGTCAAAAGGGAAAAAAGGAGGGTTAGGTAGTGTTGCTTGATAATGTGGGATATGAGGCCTGCATTGGCTAGGATATTGGTGGTTTGAAGTATTGATCTAGAGGCTCTGGTATCAAGAATGGGCGGCAAGGGAGGTTGTGAGGATGATACACATTGGCCGACCTAAATATCTATCTCTTTACTTACCTCTTGATCGATAGTTTTCCTCTGAAGTTAGAATATGTGTTGGATTCTTGCGAGATTTTAGGCTCGACGTTGCTGCGGCGTACGAGTAGCTACTCGAGTAGCTGTCCCCGTGGACTAGCCTAGGGGCCCTCGGGGCATCAAATGGCCCGGAAGAGCGCCTAGAGTTGCCGGCTTTGGTCGACGCTTAGGTAATGAGCTTCGCGCGAGAGCCCTATAAACGCCCGCCTAAATTCACAGGTTCAAATCATCAATCTTCTTGACTCACGAGATCACATTCCTCTTCGGGATTCGGGTGCTTGGTCTCGCAAGGCTTTTTAAAGCACGAGGTCTTCGCATCACCATCTCAAGGTGAAGATGATCGACGCGTTTCAGACAGCAGAGAGACTCCAATGGGCGCGCAAAGGCGAGTTGGAGGCCGCGTAAGCCGCAAGGAAATATTGTACTTTCCCAGCTTGTCTCCTGGCTTCACCGCACGGTATCGCAAGGCGCTCATGACAGACAGGAGCATACTAGTGTGGAGCTCTCCAAGTCATCGCAAATTAATCCAAGGCTTTCGCTTTGTTCTACCTGAGTATCCGTATATGTCTTGCGAGACGCCTCGCGAGCCTCGACGCACTAGCTTCAATGCCTTACGTGTAGACTTTAGCACTTGAGTCTAGCCAACCTAGCCTATTCTCATGGATCACCACTAATGGAGCACCGTCGTCACGACTATGCATCGCTAGGTTAGGGCTCTACGTTCTGGCAGGCTGTTGGCAACGTAGAGCCCTCTCCACGCACCACCGCCTACAAACTGTAGATATACCAACAATACCTCTAACGCACATGAAGTTTATTCATTGCCAGACTTGATCCTAAGCTGCTTCACTCCCTAACCTTGATCAGCTAATGGTTACATCTAGCGGTCCTTTAAGAGGACCTGCGTTGAGCGTACTCTAACCCCTAACGAAACGCTATTGTTAGTATACCGACAATTTGTTGGGGTCATTTGGGAACGGATCTAACGAGACCAACAGCCGTACTGGCAGGACAGGAGCTACTTGGACAACGTATCACAATTACCGTCCTCATTATGTACGCCAGACCAACATGATCGAACCCCGTATACGAACAAGTGAAATCCTTGATGACACACTCTCCACCTCAAGCCACGACATAAATACCCCCTCCATACCGGCCGTCCTTCTCTATTATCTCCACCAGCCTCTGTTCACTTCACCCACATAATCGGCTTAGCACCTTAAATCTCCGCCTCAGCTACGCAAACGGACCGTTCACACAAACCTAATCCTCGCACGACCTCAATAAGCAATGAAGACCTCATACCTCCTTTCTCTCCTCACCCTACTAGCAACCTCATCCCTCACCCTCGCCTCTCCCGCCCCGCTCCCCAATCCCGCAGCCGATACAGTTTGCGGCGACGGTACTGGCCACAAACAGGGCACAGCCTGTGCACAATATCCGAATGGGAAATTGACGTGTAGTTGCGATGATCTGGATGTTGTGAGTTTTCCCCATACTTTTTAATTTCGTCTTTGTTCGACCCCATTTCATCACGAACAGCCAAAATAAGGGAAATAATTAGGCTAACGCCCTTAACAGCTTATCTGCCAAGGTGGCTTCTGGGAGATCAAGAAGCGCTGTCCGATTATACAGGGTCCCCCGTCTCAGCAGGAGGTTTGCAAGAACTCTGGGGGGACGCAGCCGCATTGCGCGTTCTAGACTGCGCTTAACCAGAGTTTTGGCGAATGGCGGGTGGAGAGTTCGCTGGAGAGGGTGTGGGGAAGTGTTGGAGGGGAGGGTGGGGATTCTATTGAAGAAGGACGACGCTCTCTTGAGGCTGATTTACGCGAAATTCCGGGGTATATGTGAAGGAGATTGCACTGTCCATCTCAAGGGAGCGAGAGAAAGCCTCTTTTGGATATTCAGCGATGCTCACATGTTTCGAGCCTTGATGCGGGAAGAACGATTCTACTGAATGGTCAAATTTCGTTTGTGATATCTTTTCCTTGTACTTGTAAAAGTATTCGAGCCAATGCATTGTCTGTCCACGTCATTGAGGAATCTTGATCAGACCTTGGGACTAACGCTGATGAAGCTGGATCGGACCTGGCCTTCCAATTGCTCGACACGAAGTCAACTTCGAAGCTAGTTCAGTATTCAAGAATTTCAACGCATCATGGTGGTCGTTAGGTTAGTCATTGATCACGCACTTCATCACCATCTCCATCAATGCTGTGTGACTGTAATTCAACGGAAAAGAGCTATTTCGTTCAGGCTTCCCAGGCGGGTTTTCATTTCTACCTCTTACTTCGTATTGGCACTATGTCATGCTCGTGACTGTGCGTCTACCGTGCATCAATCCCGCGACTCGCACTGACCATACCACTGGTTGTTCCAGACTAGAGTCCCTCGTCTCGTCATCATTTTTTGCGAAGAAAACGAAAACCTGTTCCACATGGTCATCAACTCCCAAATTCGCGCAAGCACACACACGCACCGGCATAAATACAGCCATTCAGGATATAGTGCAATGATGGCATACGACCCGATCCGGCAACTCAGACTAGCTGTGAACCCAGGCTGGCACGAGTAAGGTATCTCAACTTCTTCTCAAGCTTTCGTTCCACCGGCGTTAGTTGATGACAGAAGCAGTGACGCCTGGACATGCAGGCCTATGACTGAACCTTGCTTCACTCGTTTACCCTAACTCTATGTCCACACTTCGCATTGAGGAAGTTGCTGCACGTAGGGGTCTGGCGGGATGATCTTGCCATGCTGCCCCATTCTGGTAAGTACAATAATCGTAAGAAGAGATTTTGGCTGTTGAAATTTCACATGGGTCTAGAGATAGTTCCATATGGGTGTCTATACGACTTGTACGTCAATCCCAGGAATCGGAGAATTCATGCTGAGTGCAAGATAGCCACGGAATAATCCTCATCGATTTGTGTAGGTGATAAAGTGCTGTATCTGCAGTCTGTGTGGGTGGGAACCATGCTCTTCTATCACATGGCAATCCTATGAATCTCAATCCGCATGTTCGGGGCTGGGACATGTTACTATTGCGCCTGTCTCTGGTTTGTCCGCAGGGCCGCTCTCTGGGTTATCTTTACGGTAGAGAGAATGCTTTCCTCCTCTCGCAAAAGCCTTCTGGCTATTTATCGACCTTAGGTACTATCTTCAAGCGTACTGGAGACTGAGGACATTGAGGGCAAGTCAAAATCTGACGGATACTGATCTTACTTTCTCAGCACTGGACTCGGTGTCATGTCCTTTAATTTTCTGGTCATTGCAAACTTTCTTCGAGGTCTTGTTTTAAGTTACCTCTAGCATCCTGAAGGAATCAAGATATATGAGCTCGAAATGTCACTGGGGACATCATGAATGAATCATTGCGTTCACTAGCGGACGCTGATGCTTCATCAATAGTTTGCGGTCTACCTGGACCTTGTAACGTGCTCATCGATCTAAAATGTTGTTCTGGTTAGCTTGTAGATCCTATAGTTGCCCTTGCATTTATGAGTGTAAATCTCAAAGGCTCTTAAATATATAAACCTCTGTATGGTGTCATCAGCTGGAAATCCTTCCCTGCACTCTAATGCTCGATTTTGCAAAGGATATCTTCAGATTATCCATGCGTATCATTTGGACTTGACAAATATCAATAGGCGTCAAGGTGTGTACGATCGCTGGAGGATGGCCCTGTTTCTCAAAGGAGTACGATTGCCAAGACAGCATCGACTCATCAAATCCACCTACCGTAGCGAGAATAGTGACGTGAAACATCCTCCTTTGCTGCGTATGAGTGAGTTAATCTCAAAACACAAGCTCCTCGGCGACTGCGGTACCAACAAATCTAGTGCCTAAGTGAGGCTGGCAAGCCGATCAAGCGCGATATCGAGACCGCCTGTCGATTTGATACCATTGTAAGCAACTTTACATTGTAGGCATTACCTAATGCTAAAGTCCTTTGAGGTAGCGCTCATTGTACCCTCGCCTTCTTTATCCGTGCTCTTTCACCCTCACTAAAGCTCCCCTCGAACAATTGGTATAATGGGACTTGGTCATGGGGAGTCGATCAAAGGAAGAACAAAGCCCATATTGTTTTGGGCATTCTCTGCGGTACACAATAGAGGTCGTAGCCCTGAAGGTACAAATGCCTAAAGAACCCGCCAGTCAGGGGTCAATCATCTTCCTGCCGGCTATCGTCCATACCAACCCATAATTCACAATTGTACAAAAATCACTCACCATCAGCACCCAGATTCGTAAGATTCATCCAGAATGGCTGCTTATGAAAAACCCTCTGACTTTTTGCTGAGCTCCCCAACTCTCGAGGAATTTGGCTTTCCAGCTGCCTCGCCCGAACAAGAAAGTCCAAAGGAGCCCAAAGACAAACAGAAGTCCTTTGATTTCAATGGATTGAGTTTCGAAGATATAGATGCTTGGTTCAAGGAAAGCAGTGGGTTGACCCCAGCCGACGCTCCAGTCCAGGCAGATGAGGTAGTACGTCAAACTCCAAACGTAGTTAGGCACGCCACTGACACTTCACAGCAGATCCAAGACAAATCCATGCCCATATACCCAAAGCTCATATCATCCTCAAACTACGACTTCAACTTGGGATATCCACTCGCTCAGGAAGCTCCGACTTGTAATCTCGTTCCAGACCAAGGCACGTACGACCCCTTCACCGACTTCAGCGTACCTCAAAACACTCCATACCCTATCTCACCACCCAATCCCTTCCTTGAGTTTCCAAAGCCTTTTGCCCTCCCCTCTGAGCAATTGTGGAGCTCATCATCCAACAGCCTTTTCCAGAACAACTTCGGAAACATCACGCCGGCAAACAGGGTCCCCTCCTCTCTCGATAACCCGTACTACAACTTCCCCTCCAATCCCGACCTAGTCTCCTTTCCGACCGCTGGCGCGTACCCAAACCCTCAAGACTACTCCCTCTGCTCATACCCAGCGTCCGGCACCAAGAGAGCCCAGACAGGCCATCCAGACGCTCAGCCCCTCTCGAAGAAAGCGCGTCGGGCGACCATTAAGAATTACCTCGCTCGCCAGGAACAGCAGAGCTACGCACCGGTACCCGCAATGGACAACGTGAACAGCTACGATCAGTACATTCCAACCGGAGTTGTCACCGTTCCCCCAGTCTCCGAAGCGGACCCCTACGCCGTCGCTATGAAGATGAAGCAAATGAAAAAGGAAAGACAAGCTTGGTTGAAATTCCAGGAGGCATCCGAGGGGCCCGAGGAGCATTTCAATGGCGACCGCAAGAGGAAGACTTCAGGACCGAAGATTCAGGCTCGCAGACACAAACATCCCGGACGCAAGATTACGGTGCCTCAGACTGCGGACGTCATCAAGAGGAATGAGACGAGGAGGTTGAGATACTATAATTCTCTAACTCCGGAGAGACAAAGGGAGTACATGCGAACGCATCCAGGCGTGATCAAGGTCTCGGAGGCGGACGTGAAGTATCGCTAGGGGGTCGTGGTGCTGATGGGAGGTGAAGAGGGGGATACATAAGATGATGCAAGGGGAGAAGATTGTAGACTATAGGGACAGAGGATGTAATAATGTTTATGCTTGAACTTCTGTCCCTTTTCTGCTATTGTCAAGAAGTGTGCAATATCCTGGGGAAAATCGGAGCGTCGGATCGAATTCATCTCAAGATATTCGAACACATAATTTTGAAGAGGCTAGCATGTTTTGAGAGCTCAGCCTCATTGCAGAGGGAACGTGGACTGCTGGCGACGATCGTATTAACCGATCACCATGAAGATCAAGCAATGTACTTATTGTAAGGCTGACCAAACTGCAGCCATTTAACCAAGGTACTTACAGTAGAAGGCCCGACGATCTGGAGCTGGATCGCCTACAAGTAACGGCGAAGCTTCATGGGCTTTGTTCTCTCAACGGCAGGAAGCCCCAACAGCACGAGGCTCTATGAAAAGGGTTGGGCAATACAAGATTGGTGCATTTTCCAAATTGTTCATAGCAATATTGAATAGCAAAGAAAACACCTAAAAGCTGAACCCAGCATCGTCTTGCGAACATCTTGGACCTTAGCTCTTTGTGCGAGGAATGCTTTGTTACGAAACATCGTTTCATTTGACAGTAGGTCCTAGATACTTGCCGCATTCCCTCTTCGTTGATGACATCTCTGGTTGTTCGTCTGCTAAAAGCTGGTGTCATTAAGTGCTGGAGATCTCGTCACGGTTTGAACGATTTCGTGAATGCCACAAACGTCATAGACAACCCAAGCTGTGTACAAAGATATGCTGAGACAAAGGCACATAGGTTGGACTTGCCAAGACTGTGAAGAAATGAATGAATGGAGACTGTCACCGGGAACGAATTCTTAGCCCAAACTGCTCTTGCTCTTACTTTGACATCAGGGCCATACACTGCGTATGCACGAACATGTCTTTGATCCATGAAGGTTCCCCTTTTTGGCCACCACTCTAGGTAGTCGGATTTGTCCGATAGGCTAAAGCATCTTATAGAAATCATGCGAGACGCATTCGCGGTCCTCTAGTACAAAGATGAGCAACCGACCCTGCACTACACTTCACTATGATAAATCACAGACTAAACCACGCACCACATCAGGAGACAGCTTGCCAACGCAGGTGCCAAAGATAGACCATAACATGAACATCAAGCAGATAGCATGGACCCTTTTCAAGCACGAATCTTTGATGATGAGACTGCCTGCGCCGTGTCTCTGGTAAGGATTGAGCACTACGCAGTCCATGATCTCCGTGGCATCTGACTGTTCTATTCTCCTCGCTCGCCAGATATAGAACATTCCCAGGACTATCATCGATCACATGGTATTATTGTTCGAGTACTTGGGCATGGTCTTCGGTGACAGTTCTATATTTCAACCACCATTCACGAGCAACGCCAATCATTGCCGTGAAGTTGATGCTGACTCCGTGAATAGATTTGTTTGTCCATCTGAACGCAAATGAACGGCGTCGACGAAGAGTGTCAAAAAGATTTCGATAACCCGAGTGGAAAAGCCACAAATCGCCTAAACTTACACAGTGAGCACTGTGCCTCTATTCTAGAGTCTTGGCAGGGCAGAATTCGAGCACTGGCTCGTGCTTTACAGAGCTCGACTTGGCAGTGAGAACTATAGCGGATGCTCCATCTTGCTGTCAGCCTGGTGTTCTCTTCATATGGCCAATCACTGTCCAATCGGAGCTTTTCCCTACTCCTCGTGCCTTACTTAGCACATCTGCTAGACTCGAGAGAGCTAGCATTCGGCTAAAATAAACGGCTTATGGTTGAAACGAACTAATTATAACGCTGCCGTCGCCTTCCGTCCTTTAATTCCTCCTCGTCGTCAATCATCTTTCACCCCGCCCATCTAAATCACCTCACGTGCAGGCAGCCCTATTTGAGGTTGCAATGAGCAGCCATGGTGGTAAATATAATGCACTTGAGGTCGTTCTCGCTTGACCTGTGCAATCAGCAAGAGTCTTGGCCTCGTGATGGGGGCTAAAACATGGCCCTTGGATTGCAGCTAGATTGCGGCAAGGCATTTCCACGATGAATGCTTTCTTGTTGAACGGCCCACTGAGGCGTTTGCCAAGTGGGCCTAAAGACGCCCGCAAGAGATCGGTCTATTGACCCTGTTGAAATGACGTTCGTTAGTCTTTGTGAAGACTGGCATTATTGTGCAAGAGGGGATGTTAAAACATTGGAGCCTTCCTAGAAACATTCATTATCGTACTCTGGCGAACGTGCTTCAGTTCAACCAATTATATAAATGTACTCCATTCGGCTTGAGTCTCCACTTCGATGTGGGGAAATTCAGCCTTCACGCATTCCTTTAAAGAGCCTTCTTAATTGATCTGTTCACCTTTTCACACTCCAGAGCAACCCTTACTTACTGCGCTTTTCATTATGCCATCCAATATTCCCACTTACCAGGCCTTTGCTATTGCCCTGTTTCTTCTGATACTGCAGAGTTCAGCCCTCGAACTCCAAGAAGTCCGCCCAAGAAGCCTTCATGGAGTAGGCTCGAAATGGCTGGGGAAGCGAGACAATTCCGTCTTCGACGTGAAGAGCACAGAGACATTCTTATGGGGAGCCGAAGGTAGGATATAATTCGTTCCGGCCCTTTGCATAACGACTGAGCAAGACTTAGAGGGATCGGGAGCTACGCTTGGGAACTTAACAGTTCAAATGCCTGCCGATCAGGAAGGCATTCTATCAATGGAGAAATTCGACGGCCTGATCGAACACGCAGAATGTAATCAGCAAGGCTTAGTGCTAACATTCGAGGACGACTCAGCCTTTACATATGCTCAAAAGGTCTGGGACTGGGTTAATGGCGCCGACAACCATACTTTCCTGATGGTCGCCGGCAAAGGCGACTGCGGCGATAATGATCGTAGAATACCGTATTCTATCTCATCAATCGCATACGACGTTGCGCAGAAAACAGCTCGCCTTACTGGAAACACCGGGAACTGGAAGGACCTCATCCACACCTATGAGCTCCGCGTCGGCAAAATCTCATCTCCAGACGACGTAGGCTTGAAACGTCGTGACTACACCAAGGACGCCTCTTTCGATTTCAACCAGAATTTCGACACGAAAGTCAAAGTAAAGACAGGCCCAGTATTCGCCGAGCTTGTCTGCGATCCTTGCTACACGGCGGGTACTCTCGACATGGAACTCATCATCAAAACCAAGTTCCTCGTTCCTGTCGATCTTCAATTTCGCGTAGTCCCCCATGGTCTCAAATCCCACGCCAGCTTCAAGTTCGAAGTCGCAAGCGACTTTGGTTCGAAGTTCGACGGAGGCGATAAGGTGTCGCTGGCCAAGATACCGCTGGCTGGTGTTACGATCCCAGGAGATATCCTGACCATCGGCCCGGTGATTGACGTTCAGGCTGGGATTGAGATTACTGGGTTCGAAGGTGGTGTGTCGTTCCGTACTGGCTTTACGGGGTCGTTGCCGGATAGTGCTATCTTGAACGCAGACTTGCTTCATCCGGACAACAACGAGTTTTCTGGGTGGACGCCGAAGATTGATACTGAGCCACTAATTGCACAGGCAAGAGTCGCGGCCTACGTTAAGCTGTTTCTTGATCCTACTTTGGCGTTGGAAGCTGAAGCACTAGGTTTGTTTTCCTTCAGTTCCTGTGGGTTTGAAGAATCTCGGCTGATGCGTTCACAATAGGTATAGGTTTCGAGACAGGATTTGACCTAAAGTTCCCTTTCGTTGAGCTAAGAGGAGAGGCGATCGTGTGTGAGTATCCCATCACCTCAGGCGACATTCGAAGTGCTAAGACCTAGTAGCACCGAAAGGGGGTGCGTGCAAGGCTGGCGATAGTTTTGACTCAGCCTTGCGACTGCGGACGTCGTATGGCTTTGAGCTGAAGTTCACTGCTGGCAAGATCAATGGCGAGCAGCCTGTCAATGTTATTCTGGGGGTTAGTATACGGCATCCTTTCTTCTACGCTCTGTCTTCAAATAATTCCGAGGCTAAATATCCTTCACTATATCTAGACAGCATCCTTTCCCATCGGCGATCCGTTGTGCCTAGGTTTCAACCTCGACGACCCCGTTCCAGGCAGCCCCAGCGCTTCTGCGCTCCCCTCGGCAACAGGAGGTACTACTCCAGTCCCTTCCGGTGGTGGTAGCACAGGCGCCAATACTTGCACCGCAAACGGCAAGTCCGGAACCTGCATTGCCACCGCGAGTTGCAAGACCAGTGGCGGCGTTTCTACGAAGGGACAATGTCCTAATGACCCTGACGATATCCAAGCAAGTCTACCATCTCCAACCACAATCAAAAATCACTAACAAATACAGTGCTGCACCACCACATCATCAGGTCCATCTGGAGGCACGCCAAATACTTGCACCGCCAATGGGAAGTCTGGAACCTGTATTGCGACTGCGAACTGCAAAAGCACTGGAGGTACATCTACGAAGGGGCAGTGCCCTAATGACCCAGATGATATTCAGGTAAAGTCTCTTCCTCATATTTTTAGCTCCTCGCATCAGCAAATACTCATCATTGCAGTGTTGCACTACGAGCGCATCGGGAGGTACACCAAACACGTGTACGGCAAACAGTAAGGCCGGGACATGTATCGCTACCGCAGCTTGCAAAAGCTCTGGTGGGACGTCGACAAAGGGGCAATGCCCTAATGATCCGGATGACATTCAAGTCAGTGTCTCCCTTCTCCACCGTTTTTCCCTTTTCGAGATTCAAACATGGGTCCAATGAATATTGACTCTTAGCTTAGTGCTGCACCACTGGCTCACCTTCCACAACGCCGAACACTTGCACTGCCAATGGAAAATCTGGGACATGCCTTGCAACTGCGTCTTGCAAGAGCTCGGGCGGAACATCGACGAAAGGCCAATGTCCCAACGACCCTGACGATATTCAGGTCAGTTTGCTCTCTATCGTCCGAGACGACTTCCAACGACTGTTTAACTGACCCCTGTTCTAGTGCTGTACCACTGGCTCACCAGCCACGACACCAAACACTTGCACAGCGAATGGAAAATCCGGGACGTGTCTCGCGACAGCGTCTTGTAAAAGCTCGGGCGGAACATCAACGAAAGGTCAATGTCCTGACGATCCCGATGATGTGCAAGTCAGTATATATCTTCCCCACTCCGCTTCTTCCAATCCAAACTGGTTCGTTGGCCTACTGACCCTTGATACAGTGTTGTACCACTGGCTCAGCTCCCACAAAACCAAACACATGCACCGCGAACGGCAAATCAGGCACCTGTCTCGCCACAGCAAGCTGTAAAAGCACTGGCGGAACATCCACCAAAGGACAATGTCCCAACGACCCTGATGACGTCCAGGTAGATCTCCTTCCCTCCTTCCCTCCTTCCCTCTGGCCCCTTCCCCCCCTCACCCTCCCCCTCCACATAAGCAGCATCCCACAAGTCCTAACTAAAACACGAACAGTGCTGCACAACCGCCGCGCCAAACACCTGCAAAGTCAACAACGACGCAGGAACCTGCCTGCCCACTGCATCCTGCAAATCGAGCGGCAAAACGTCCACGAAGGGCTATTGTCCCGATGATCCTGATGACGTGCAATGCTGCACCACGCCGACGTGCAAGATCGCCGACGGTACGAGCGGGACATGTATCTCGACCGCCGATTGCGGGAAGAAGAGTGGTGGCGGGAAGTCGACGCCGGGGTTTTGTCCGGGGGCGGCGGATGTGCAGTGCTGTACTTGAGTAAAAAGGAATGAGCGGCGATGATGTTATGAGAAATGAAATGAATGAGGAGATGTGGTTCATGTATATATATTGTTAGGAATGGCGGTGCACAGCTATCGCTTTCTGAGCTGCTCGTGTTGTCGCGCTGCCTCGCAACTCTCACCTTTCCCTTTGGGGTATCAGCACTATAATATCTTCACCCTTGCAGCTTTATCAATACACTTCCTCCATCCCCCCCCCCCCCTCCCCACCCCCTCCTCGACCCCCAAGAAGTCCACCGAAATGTCTGCAAAGGGGAAAGTACGTTCCCCCGTCAAAACAGCTGTTCTGCGCGACGGGGGCGTTCGTGGCGATGGAGTATTCGTGCTGCAGACAGGTGATGGAGGTGTTTAGTGAGAATGGAGGGGGGGGAGGTGGGGGGGAGGTGAAGACACTTGGAGGGATGGGGTGGAGGTGGATGTGTAGGTTGAAGGATCAAGGAGAGGAGGTGGGGGTGAGATTGGTGCTGGGGGGGGGGAAAGAGAACGAGCGGCGAAGTAAGGGAGGAGAGGGTGTGGTACTTGTGGGGGAGGAGGAAGGTGAGCAATTGGGAGGGTTGGCATAATGAGAGGTTTTGGAGAGATGGTAGTGGATAGAACAGGTGTCGTGGGAGCGGTGTTTTGGTTCTTAGTCAATGAGAACCCTCACCGGCTCGCTGTCGCTCCGCGGTGGCAGACGGACTCTGATTCCTGCACGAAATAGATTTTTGTGCTTTGTTTTGTCTCAGCTAGAGTGGATGGGTGGATGGGGCGGTCGAAGACATCGCGTCTCACCCGAACCATAAAAATAGATGGATCTATGCGCACGCAGATAAAGCCATTTGATAGGTAGCGATTGGCGCTCTTTCAGAAGACTGTCATTCCCGAGGTTGTGAATGCACATGAGAGAAGGGAGATAGTGTAGGAGGTCTTTGCAGATCGAAGTGTGTGCTTTGCATGCAATAATCTTCCCATTCATCTCGACACGACTGACAGGCAGACAGGCAGTCAGTCTCTTACGATGACAGCCCTGCTCAAACCCCTCTTCTCCTCTCCATCCTCACCTTGTTAATCACACCCACCATCTCTCAACCCACAATTAACGCAGTGGCTCCTATATCAACGTAAGCCATCCCTCACCCCTCCCCTTCCCCTTTTCCCTCGCCTCCCATATCCAGCAAACCCCCACCATAACCAACCCCTCTCCCTCCCAGTACCCCATCCACCCCATCCCTCCACTACGAATTCGAGCCCATAAGCTACGACAGAGGCGTCCCCCTCACAATTCTCACGCCCTTCCTCTCGCACCAACTCTCCATAATGCAGAACTCCGTCGCGCTCTTTGGCTTCGACGCCTACGTGCCGCACATCCCCTACCACGACCATTCCGCCCAGCTCTACATCGACGTATTTGGCTCCGAGGCCGGCGTCCGCTTGACGTGGGGGTTGATGTTGGAGATTTTCACGTATTTGACGGGACAGGTGGGGACGGGGACGTTGCGGTCGTTTGTCAAGGGGGGAAGGTGCCGAGTATGCGGGTGGCGGTTTTTGAGGGGACAGGGAAGGGGGCCGGGGCGGGGGCGGGGGTGCAGAAGGCGAGTGTTTTGTGGGGGAAGGCGTGGGAAGGGGTTGATGTCGGTGTGGAGGGAGGGGGGAGGTTAGTTGATGAGGTTGCTCTCTCGGGCGGGTTGAAGGGAAGACAGGAGGTGAGGCGAGGAAGTCGGAGAAGTGGCTGGCTTATTGAGCATGTTGAAACCTTGCTCATAATCTGATGTCGAGGTTCCGCGTCCAAAATGTTTATAAATCTAGAATAGCCACTCTCTTTGTTCGTTTTTGGTGCTTTTGCCAGACTTGCTTTTATGCTGGTGAGGATCGTTTGGAATGGAGAAATCCTGTGCCTCTAGATTGACACCTCAAACCACCAACATCCTAGCCGATGCAAGCTTCATACTCTACATCATCAAGCAACACCAAGGATTCCTGCCCCTCTCGCTCTCCCATTCCATTCCGTGAACCCTCACGTTCATTCTTACCAACCCCTCCAACCCAAAGCCTCATGGCTTGACGCTCCCCCACTCTGATCCTCCGAGATACTTTGTTATGCATTAATGGCCGCGAAAGCCCACTACTTTGTCAAAGATACTGTTCAACGCCGCGCTTCGGCTTGCGTCTGATATTGGTAGCCTTATGACCTCAAGCCATGGATCTATAGCTGACGTTGCTTTCAGCTCAACTCGAGCGTCATTTTGCGTTGTGACCGCGTGAGATTGATGCCTCATCCGACCATTACCGAGGCAATGTCGCAGAAAACGAAGGCTCTGCGGAATTGCTGTTGCATTTAGTACTGGTCGGCAAAGAAGAATTGAAAAACTCCTCTAACATCAAACTTTTCCGCGTTTGGTCAAACAATGGCGTTACAGCGATGATGCAATTCGATAGAGTGGTGTTCAAGGCTTAGCAGTTCAGCGGTAGCTAGTGAGGATAGTCTGCGTCTTGGGTCCTCCAAGTCCGCATTTGTGATGACGCATATACAAGTATTTGATAAGGTGTCGCTGCCCGCAATGATGCTCAAATAACCCTGGCGACTCCATGGTGTAACGGAGACTTCGATATCTGAGTTTATACTTTCTCTAGGTGATCCTTGCTTCTCTTGCTATTCACACAGCCCTACGGCATTGATGTGGTGTGTTATGAAGGTCAAGTTTGAATGGTTGGGCCAAGTTCTCATGTAAGAGCGTTTGCTGACAAGATATCATATCTTGAAACTTCAACCATGTGTGATCACTCAATGGCTTTCTCTATTCCCTAGTAGCAAAGCACAGAAGCAGGATGGTGCTCGTCGTAGGCGAGGAATCGATCTATCCAGTCATCCAAGGCTTGTACATCATCTTGTCAAGCTTAAGAATCCCCATAGAATTTAACATCCGGATTGTCTGGAGTAATGAGTCCTCGTTCTTCCAAGAATTGTCTGCGGTCAATCTCGAAGCGCAACATCTGACCGTTTTGGTAGGCAATTGCTATCTGATCGCCTCTCGCAGCCCACACTCTTGTACAAGGCAGGTAATCTGTCGAAAACCGAAAGATGGGCATGTTCCCGCACAAGACCCAGCTCCCCTTGACATTGAGAATGCCAAGATCTTTCACGGTATATCTCTCACTGTTCTGAAGAATGCTTTCAGTTTCTATGACACCAACGCTTGTGGCTAAGTGGGTGCCATCCGTCGAAAAGTGCATCCACCATACGGGATATTCCGTATCATCAGTCGCAACGTAACTGGATCCAATGTGGTCGATGCGACTCCCAATACGCTTTCCAAACATTCGAGTCGGTCTCATAACCTTCTGCATGTCCCACAATCTAAGGCTTCTGTGCTGACAACCAGAGGCAAGGCGTTTGTTATCAGGCGAAAATGCTAATGCACATGTATCACCATTGTTGCCGATCAAACTTTTGAGAAGCACACCAGTCCTACTATCCCATAGCTTGATCTTTCCATCGTCCGATCCTGAGGCAAGCCATTTACCGTGGTTGGAAAACGCAACAGCTCGTATGCTTTTTATGCCCATACGGGCGTTCATGATTTCTAGGATGAGTTTTCCTTTAGCTCTGTCCCAAATTCCTAGAAATCCTCGAAGGCCTCCAGTGCCTATGCGTTCGCTGTCATTGGAAAAGGCTATAGCCTGGAGCCCTTCAACCGAGCCACGGCTCTCCACATTTTGAGACCATTCTGGGCGCGTATCTTTTGTTCGAGTGTCCCATAATGTCAAGGATTGCACACGAGATCCAGATGCTATCCAATTTCCATCCAGTGAAAAGGCCAGGCCAATGATTGGTTGCGCGCTCTGTTGTATGTCACTCACGCGCGACTCAGTCCCGAGGGCATAATCCCATATCTTAATCATGCCATCCTCAGATGTCGAAGCAACACGTTGGGTGTCGCCAGAAAAAGACAAATTTGTAATCCTGCTAGCATGACTGACACATGTTGTATGAAGCTCACCTGTTGCACAATTCCATAGCTTGATTATACTATCCATAGTTATTGATGCAATGTATTTTGAATCTAGAGAGAACGTGAACATTTCAGTTGCACCTTTGTCATTCCATTGAATTTGTTGTTGCAGACCTTTGGACGTCCAATCCCACAGGAGAATATGAGTATAGAGGCGGTATGTCGCAATCTGCTTACCATCTGGTGATAGTGCAAAGGTGGATATATGAAATATATCCCAAATGTTATCTATCAACTCCATCTGTAGAGTACCCAAAGCAAGATTCCAAAGGTTAAAAGTATCTAGGGAAGTGAGATACCCGATTTGCTTACCATCCGGCGAGAATTGTATTTTGTGCGTGTTCAATTCCGCTACGTCAATTGTAGACTGAAGGCCTCCAGACATCAAAGACCATATCTTGATAGTCTTTTCGGCGCCTATTGATGCTAACAGTGAACCGTCTGGCGATATTGCTATGGTACTGATGCCGTATTCACTGTCAAGTAACAATTTGCGAACTTGCCTTTTTCCAATGTCACATGTCAAAATTGTATTATCATTGCCTTTACATGCAACCCAACGGCCATCCAATGAGAAGATGGCGTCACCATGACCTTCTCCATACGTTTCTGAGCCTTTCTCGACAAAAAGCTCATCGCCAGTGGTGCTGTTCCAACATTTAATGTCATTCGGGGAGGCTCCCACCGACATCAATGTGTTGCCATCTGATGTGAATGATGTACCGAAAATTGGTCTGTCATTGGCAAAAATTGTCTGAAGCAGCGGATCCCAGTCCTTCTGTATGCGTGGGAGTCTCTTCAGCCACTTGGGCAATTGATCAAAGTGACTTTCCCTAATGAGACTTCTCTCGGGACTGAAAATGATTGCAGAGCTGTAAATCTGCAATGGAGCCGCTTTAATTAATTGAAAATGTCGGGATATAAATCGAAGTGCGTCTCTCGTGTAAGCTGTGAGTGCTGGTGATTCCAGAGGCTATTGAACGTAAGGTTAGCGTGTCACCCAGCACCCTCAAATTGGGCTTTACTTGCCTTAATAATGGCTTGTACCGCCTTCAAGGTATCGAGAGCGTATGGTAATTGCAACAACAAAGTCAGACTCTCGAGCCACTCTAAAAGTTTGCTGCGTAGGAAGTTGTCAACCATACCACCATCTTTCACCGCGTCTTCAGCTAATCTTGATGGACCAGCGCTTTCCAGGTGTTTTGCCCACAATGGGCCCGCGTAATTCAGCGAGAGAAGAACGGGATATTTTACATGAGCTAGGTTGTTCCATTCTTCTCCTTCGGGTGTAAAGACTGAGCCTGGCGTCTCTAGGCCTACGAGATTGGGTCTCAATTGCTTGGTTGCGTGAGCGAGGCAATTCAACGCCATCGCACCATATCCGAATTCTTCGTAGGAGTCGAGGAGAGCCTGAGCACTAGGCTTTGTCAAGTAGTCCCGCACAGACTGATGTATCACTTCTATGAAGGTACCATTCAGTTTTATGAAAGAACCGCATCGATCAATAAGCCTCTGGACTGGCATGTCATTTTCCGATATTCCGGTGATGCCACCTATTTCTAACACATTTAGAGGCCTAAATGCTAGAAGTATGACCTTAAGTAGCCGCAGACTGAGTTTGATGTCACTTGGGTTTCCCTTGTTGATCTCAGCTATCATACGATCGTAAAAGTGTTGTAAACCTGCAGGTGAATTTTGGATTGCACTCAGAGCCTGCTCTCGAGGGAGGTCCTCTAGTCTCTTACAGACGAGACTCACCCATAAAAATGTGCGCTCAGCCTTCAGCTGCAGCTGATCTTGTAACTTGCGGCACAATGCAGGACCGTAATGATGACGACGATCAAGATCTACAACTTTCCTTTCGATATAGATTTGTACCACTTGCGCAAGAGCTCCGGAATTCAATTCCAGACTCAAGGGCACCTGATCAGAACCAGCCAACAGCTCCTGCTCAGCACTATCCAATGGCCGACTGGTCAAAAGCCATTTAACCTTTGAAGGCCATTGAAGACCGGATCTGACAAGTCGTTTTAAAAGATCGGCCATGTCTTGGCCCTGGCATTCGTCGAGCGCATCAATGAGTACATACACTTTTGTGCATTGACACTTCTCCAATATCTCTAGGAATACATACCAAAGAACTTGCCATGAAGTCATGTCTTCACGAAAACACTCATTATCAGTATCCCAACGCTCGAGTAGAGAGCTTTTAAGCTCGTGCTGCTGATCCACTAATCGACGAATCAAGCCTTTGAGAATCGACGCAATTGTATTCAACTCGATATTGTTGTTTTGACAGAAGAAGTAAGTCACAACTTCGGACTCTTCTTTTGATTGTGAAAGCTCCTGGATCAAGCACACAGATATCATGGTCTTGCCTTTCCCAGCTCCGCCCTTGATCCACAAGAGACTAACATGGTCGTCATCTCGCCACGCAATGAATTCTCGGCTCTCGAGAATCCAACCGATAGCTTCCTCGACCAATCGACCTTTGTCCTCCCGAAGCCGGTTCTTGACAAGCTGAGGATCTGGACATCTCAAGGCCTGCAGACAGGACTCAATCTCAGCCTCGTTACTTCTATGGATGTGAGATTGAATACGTAGTTCGGAAAAAGATGCGAGATGGTTGCCTGTAACGTTAATGTTTGACATCATAAGGCGCCTTGATTGAAAGGGTCGTGTCGCTTGATTTGCTGCCCGAAGCGTTAGACGAAGTGTACGAACTTTTCAACATTCAACAAACTGACAGAAGCTTGAGCAAGTCTAAAAGGTGAGAAGGACCCGAAGGTTGGAGAAAGTCGGACGATATGCCCTCTTTGAATGCATAAGCGGCGGAGAACGCCATTAGATTGGACGATCTGGCCAATTACAGCCGCTCGGACGCACCATATCACTCGAGTCATACGGTGATAGACATAAATTGCAGCCTTGCACGAGAACAGTCCTCGTACAATTGTCGAGCAGTTCTCGTCTCTTTCTCGGCGAGTCACGCTTCCATGATGGCACCCGATAATACTCGACATCACCCACCATCTCCATAATTCCATAGAGCCCCCATGGCTGAACCGATTGGAATGACGGCTGGCGTGCTGGCCCTGGCGACATTCGCTTTCCAGAGTTGTAAAACACTCCATGACGCAGTCGACAGCTACCAGAACCACCGTTTCACAATCGTGGAATTGCAAGGGGAGCTATGCGCTCTCACTAATTTGCTCCAAAGTATCCACGAGCAAGCCAAACCGTCCGAGCAGACGCCGAGATTTGAGCACCTTTGTGATCCGCTCAATGGATGCGCAAGAGCATGTCGTGATCTGCAATTGATGTTGGAAGATTGCACAGCCCCTTCAAATGGTGGTCGAGACAATTTCAAAGCATGGCTGAACATGCAATTTAAAGGGAAGAAGGTCGTGGAATATAAGCAGCGTATCGCTGGTTACAAGATTACCCTCAGCCTGGCCCTTGATACAATTCATACGTAAGTCTCCCCGAAAGAATTCATTCCTTGAACTCACGCTCAAAGGCGAGAGAACACTGTAACACAAGAGCACCTGACAACGCTCACACAGTCGATTGAAGCCACCCATCAAGAGCTGGAGGGCCAAATATATGACCTCGGCGAAGCCATTAAGAGTTCCGACGAATCGATCCGAGACGCCCTGAAAGCCGAGCAAAAAATACTCCAAGGCTGTCTCAAATGCCTCGAACAAGCCAAAAGAACAGCAGGTGACGCTCCGTCCATCATCAACGTAGAGCGCAATACTGTAGGTAAAAATGCTGAAACCCTCCTCGGCACCGACGAAAAATACAAGAAATTTAATTTAAATTTCTCCGACAACATGCTTGGAGAAGGGGCAAGAGCGGCAGCCGGCTGGTACGACAAAGAAGTGCTCTTGGAGTTCCTGCGGAGTTCTCGAGCACCGGATGTGGCGCGAGATTTCCAAGCGATGCGTGCCCAGTCTTCTGCTGCGGAGAGTGCTTTCGTCCAAGCTTGGCTGAGCACTCAGCGGGGGGAAGGACTACCAGGGTCGACTGGGTCATTCTGGTTGGAGAGCAATCAAGTGGAATCCGCGCCTGATTTCACTGGCCTGCCTGCCGTAGGATCCGTAGCGGAAGATGCAAACCATGTACCGATTTCCCTTGATCGTCCCTCTACATGATGCTGAGTCGTGGAGCTTGGGTAGAGGACGTTACTTGAGACGTGACTAACCGCTCGTTTTGTCTGGTTACTCCTGGGCCGGACTGTGACATTAGCCTTGAATGGGTGACAGAATATATAATTTACCTTGCATAATTGCTTTTTGACTAGCGATGCTAGTAAGACAGGATCCGCATCTCGCTCTCTATGTATGATCTACGATTTTGGATGGAGTCAGATGGTCGAGAGTGCCTGGGAAATGTAGACCCTGCGGCATTGGATCCGACGAATCAATATAGCCGCGCCGAAAGGTCAAAGATGAACGCAGCGCGGTATATCATAATGCTCACTTAGACTTGGCCATTCGGTTGTGTGTCTGTAGCCGTTTGAAGCAACTTTGAATATACAGCGCATGTTCAATTGAATTTCCGTGTCTCACAGTTTCTCTTCCTTGTCCAAAACCTTGGGAGTTCAAACATTACCATATTTCTGCATCACTGGATGCCTAGGTCTATCATCTTCAGGATATCTCATCATCAACTGAGCAGTAGGAGAGATATCGAATGACCGAAGCAAGGCGTTCGTATCGATATCAATCCTCACAATCCGACCGGAGTCGAAACCGATGGCCAATTGAGACCCTCGTACATCGTAAGTTGCATGTCCAAAATCGGACCCGAGCCAGAGCAGGGGCCAGACCCCACAGCAGATCCAACCTCTTCTCACGCAAAGCATGCCTGTGCTTAGTTCCCCAAGGTTTGATGCGCCATGCAAGATGTCTTCAATTTTTAGGACCCCGATGTCTGTTGCAAGAGTGTTGTCTTTTGGGAAAAAGAAAAAAAGGTAGATTGGCTCGGGGACTCTGATCTCGTGGGTGACTGGGGCCTTTTCGCTCTTTCGAAATTTATCCTTTAGTGTCCTGCTCTTCAGGAACTTTTCGATATTCCAAAGTGTGAGTATGTTGTCCGTGAATTTATTCGCTGTAGATGCCGTCGCGATCATAAGGCCGTCCGGCGAGAATTTCATCGCTGTGAAGTGTGCGGGCCCTTTGACAGTGAGGGTCTTTTGTAATTTTCCAGTGACAGAATTCCAAATCTTCATTGTCATGTCCATCGCAGTTGATGCTATCCAATTTCCATCTGGTGAGAATGCCAATTGTGTAATAAAGTCTTCATGGTCAGTCTGTATATTTCGGACGAAAGTACCTAACGCAGCGTCCACTATCGTAATGAGAATCCTGCCTGCCATTGGGTTACTTTTCCGCTTGAAGCTCTCTGGTTTGTCGATGTCAAATTCAACTTGCTTTAATGAGGCCGAAGCGAACAGCTTGCCATCGAATGAGAACGTAACACAGCCGGTAGAACTTGAGGTAGATTGTGATTCGACAGATTTTGTTGGTGACTGCTTGAAGTTGGTCTCTGTATTGTCCCACAGCCGTAAGGCTCCGCTGCGAGATACTGAGAGTATGCTTCTTCCATTGGGGGCGAATGCTAAAGAATCAATGCTCCCATCAATGTTTGTCGGTGTATTTAGAGTCATGCGCCCAGATCCACAGTCCCACAGGCGAATAGTCTCGTCTCTAGACCCGGACGCGAGCTGTTCATCGTTTGGGGAGAACGTCAGGGAGTTGACACTCATGGTGTGACCTGAGAATATCGCAAGGACATGTCCGGTAATCGAGTCCCATAATTTGATCATGTTGTCACCTGATCCTGAGGCTATCATTCTACCATCCGAAGAAAATACCAACGACGCTACATACTTCGGATGGGCGACGAACGTTTTAACAGGCGTGCCTGCGGTGTGATCCCACAACGTTATGAGACCAGGATCATAACCAGAGGCCGAGGCAAAACTTCCATATCTTGGAGAATACGCAATTGCAGTCGCGTACCCTACATCGCCCATCATTGTTCGCTCACATTCGCCCGTAATACTGTTCCAAAGCTTAATCTCATCCCTGCAACCCCCAGATGCGATCTGCCACCCATCGAGTGAAAAAGCCACAGCAGTTAGCCCTGTGGATATGATTTGCACTATCAAGACGAAACTGGTGACATTCCAGACCTTGATTACGTCATCGCTTCCTGATGAAAGGAGTCTGTTGCTGTCCCGTGAGAACTCTACGCTCTGAACTTTCCCGGCATGGCCAGCAAAGATTTTCTTAGTGTAGCCTGCCTCACAGTCACAAATTGTTATGATACCCGAGTCATTTCCGTACGCAAGCCATTTGCCGTCCCTTGAATAGGCCACGGTTAATATTGCAGGCGATTCTTGAGAATCAGTGGAACCTCTGAAGTTTTCCTGTAGAGCACCATTTGCGCTGTTCCATATCTTGAGAGATCGATCATATGATCCAGAGGCTATAGTTTTCCCATCGTGTGAGAAGCTTAGGGCACTGACGCCTCGCGAATGACCTGTAATCGTTCTCAAGAGAGAGTCCCACTGCTCATCGACCATTGGCAACGTCTTTAGCCACCGAGGAATTTTACTGTGATTATTCTTCCTCACCGCACTTTCATGTGGACTGAATAAAAGGGCTGAGCTATATATCTGCAATGGCCAAAGCTTGATGGTTTGGTAGTGTCGAGTTAGAAAACGATCGTAGTCTTGAATCAATGTCGTTGTATCGGCCATGTCGTCGAGCTGTATCTTGTTTCAGCATCACCACGACTGTATTCTCCGAAATCGCCCTTTACTCACAGAAAGTAGATCTCGGACGACTTTCAAAGTGTCCACCGCGCTTGGTAGACTATTTACTATGCTCGAGAATTCTAGCCACTCTAAGAACTTTGTTCGCAGGAAAATCCCGATTGTGCCTGTCCAACGAAGGGCATCGAACACCTTCTTCGTTTTGGCAGCCTGTCCAAGGTGTTGTCCCCAGGACTCGACCGCGTACTGCAAGCTGGCGCCTACTTTCACCGTCTCTAGATCCTCCATTGCAAATACTGCTTCCTTCGAGGCTATGGTGCTGGGTTGTGGTAAACCAACAAAATTGACCCTGAGATTAGGGGCCATTTGCATCACACAGCTTAGTGCTACATCTGCGTGGTCGTAATGTTCGTAGAGATCCAGGTGTCTTTTCCCATTGCCGTCAGTAAAGTAAGTTCTTGCTGATCCGTGCACAAACTCGAAAGAGGTTGTTCCTTCACGGAAATTGATGAACGAACCACATCGATCAGCCAAGATCTCGGTATCGGTCTTTTCGCTCGATAAGTCCGTTGTGAGTCCAATTACAGTGCGCATCTCGAAATTATTCAAGGGCCTGAACGCTAGTGTCATGGTCTTGAGGAGTCGCAAAGATGTTTTCACAAGAGAGGGTTCACCCTTGCAAACTTGCGTCATTATTTGATCAAACATGCCGTTCAAAGTCGTAGGCGACTCTCGTATTGTCGCTAAAGCTTTCCGTCTTTCTATTTTCTCTAAGTTCCGGCAGACTAAACCAACCCAAAGGAATGTGTTCTCGGCTTTGGAAATGAGCTCATCCTCGATCTCGCACCTGAGTGCCGTCCCATACAAGTGGCGACGCTCAAGTCCCATTATTTGATCAGTAACGTACGCCCTAACAAGTGGCGAGATGTGATGCGAGTTAGCCTCCATTGTGATTGATATTTGGTCGGGTGCAAGCAAGAGCTCTTGCTCAGCAATATCAAACGAGCGACTAATGAGTAGCCATTTGATTTTGGAGTTGTTGTACAGCCCACTTCGGACCAGCGCTCTCAAGAACTCTCTCACATTCTCGCCTTTGCATTCGTCAAGAGCATCGATAACGACGTAGATTTTTGGCCGCCTACAGCTTTCTAGCATCTCTAGAAGGATGTCCCAAAGTGCCTCCCAAGAAGTATTATTATTATTGAAACTTTGTGTGTCAGGATTCCAGCGGCTTGCAAGACTACTTTTCAGCTCTTCTTGCTGTTTAGCCAATCGCCAGATGAGCCCTTTGATGATTGCCTCGACATTGTCGAGCTGATTGTTCGTATTTTGACAGAAGAAATAAATCACTGTACTAATTTCTGCCTGTGGGCGTAGAGGACCATCAATGAGATTGATCGCAATCATCGTCTTTCCTTTGCCAGCGCCCCCTTTCAGCCATAGAAGACCAACGTCATCTTTGCTCCACCATTCCAGATAGGACGAATCCCGCAAAATCCAGTCTATGGTCCCGGGGACTACCTTGTGATTGCCGGACTTGAGCCGGACTTTGACACTCAAAGTCTCAGGCCATTGTAGGTCTAGAAGACATCGATCTATATCCACAGACCCAGGGTTGATTGTGTATCTATTTGCATTCACATTGATGTTCATGCGAGAGCCGTCGTGGGCTACATTTGAGTGGATGTTGACATACGTTGGAGAAGCCATATGGCACTCCAAAGGGTGGAATTCAGTTACCAAACCATGGATGTGACCCAGGCGGAAGAAATCTCGAAACAAAGATCACTCAAGTTCGACAACAGAGTGTGCTAATCTGACCTTCGGTGGAAGTAAGGGTAGCTAGCTGTAGCCCGTTGGCGCCAGAAGGGACACTTAGTCCCGAATCCCAGCCAATGGAGGGCTTTCGGACGCAGTCTAATCACCCGAATCACACCGGCGATCCCTCAGCCTGCTGCCGAGCGAGAATGAAACCTGGACGGGCGATAATATGTTCTATTCTCACTTTTCACGAAGTTTCCTCGCCCATAATCTGTATACAAGCGTTGGATTGCGATGGCTGAGACCATCGGTCTTGCGGCGGGCGTCCTCGCACTGGCCACCTTTGCTTTTCAGACGACCAAGGAGCTTCACGATGCACTCAAAAGTTTCCAGAATCAGCGCTTGTTTGTGAAAGGATTTCAAGACGATCTCGACGCTCTCACCATCGTTCTAGAGGCGATTAGTGAGCAGGCTAAATCATCGGAGAACAACCAGAGACTTGCACTTCTGAGCAAGCCCCTTGAGGGATGTCGGACGACTTGCCAAGATATGCTAGAGATGTTGGGTCAGTGCACGAAAGACGCAAAGAATGACCGGCCCAGCTTTCGCGTGTACACGAAGATGAAGTATCATGAAACCGAATTCGATGACTACAAGCTTCGGCTTGGAAGCTACAAGTCGACGCTGGGCCTGCTTCTGAGCATTGTAAAGATGTAGGTTGAATTGTGTCCTATTGACCACAGCTAATGTTGGAATTGTCATAGCTCGGACCAAGCCCTCACCCACGGCCAATTCGAATCTTTGAAGCAGAGTATCGATGACGCGCGCTGTGATCTACAAGACCTACTGGATGACATCGTCGGTATCATCGCCGTAGCTAACTCCTCTGTTCGAGAGGCCCTAGAATCAGACAGAGATCTACTCCGAGAAAGTCTCTCCAGCATAAAAAAAGCGGAGCAAATTGCGGAGTCCGCTCGCTCAAAAGTCGTCGTCGCAGGCAACAGTGGTGGCGAGAACAGTAAGACACTCTTCGGTGGAAATGTAGCCACGCAGGGTGTATACCTGTCGGTGACCGACAACAGAGCTGGAAAGGACGCCATAATGGCTGCCGGCATGCACAGCGACGAGGTTCTTTTGAAGTTGCTCAGTCATCCCAACGCGCCTGGCATTATGCAGAAGGCTCAGATGCAGCAGAGTCTACCACAGACGAATGATCTTGCAGTGCTGCGAGCTCTCGTGGGAGATTTAGAGACTGGAGATGGATCGGATTTCGTCGAGAGTTTTGGTCCAAATTGCAATGCTTCGCCGATGCGGCTCGTGGGACAAGTGGCTCGGCCTGGAGCTCTTGACCTCGACCTTACAGATGCTGCTCCAGCTGAAGATTTGGTCGAGCAACGGATTTGATGACGCTTGCCGGTGCTTGTAGAGAAACTTTTGGCGAGGAAAGACCGTTGGATGGCCGTTTTATTCTCTCTGGTTCCGCACGTCAAAAACCCCAGCGGCCCGTCGCCTGAACCTTGAACTCAAGTGGTATACAGGAACTGGTAGTATTCTTTTGGCAGAGGCTTTGGATTGTGACATCTTGATTGCGTCTCGTGACAACCCTGGAGATCTTCTGGTATGCTTGAAACGATATAATCATGGATATCATTCTACGGTCGTTGCGGTTAATGCATGAGACGAATGACTTGCTCTCACAACGTATATATAATTGCTGTGACATATAATGATAGATGAACGATTTTGGATAGCATTGAAGATCATTGGTTTCTGTGATCTGGTCTTGCTGAAGCGACCTGCAAAAATGAATGAGGAGTCATGCCTGAAATCTACTTCAGGAAGATGCGCTACACAGGGCAGCATTTGAAACATGAACCAGAAGAAGTAAGCGTTCGGAATGACTGCTAGGCAGTGAAGGATAGATGAGATGTGGAGGTGGCCAGCTACTTGATGCGTCGCAATAACCCTGCGCGCGAGAGGTTTTCACCCATGGCAACCGCAAGCGGCGCAAAGTGCGCTTTATTCACGCGATAAGTCTGTGAATGAAGCCAGTGGAAATCATTGGTCTTGGTTGTCCACTAATCATGGCTCGTTTGGCTAAGTACCTAAAATTGCATGCTATGCTTGCATTGAGGGTTGTTCGTGTCTTGTGTGTAGCGTCCAAAATCTGTACGTCTCATCCAGGTGCTGCTCTCAAATATCTTCGACTTATGACTTGCGGCTGTTGATGTAGCTCAAATAGCAATTCCACCCTAGTATATTAATCAAAGTCAGCATAGCTCGCTTGTGAAGGATATGTCCTGATTGAACGATCTTTGTGTCGACCTTCTCCACTTCATTCAAGGAGGCTTGACTTACCTAAGCTGACAATATTGACAACGAATACTCTTGCGTCGGCTGGTACGATGGACAAGTTGATCGCTTGTACTGGCGGCCACAAGATCCAGTTCTTCTTCAGCGCTTCGAAATATTTCTCCCGTAGTGCTTGTTGTGGATCCTTGCCCTCCATGTAGGCCATGCTGGTGAGGAAGCAGAACATGTTGGTTGAGGCGAAGACCGTCTGATCGACTCCTACCCGGCTAAGGGTGGTGATGACGGGACGACCTGGGAAGTTGATGCGACGTGCGAGGAATGAGAACCAGAGGGTAGCTGCCGGACCAAAGACGCCTAGTCAGGATTGTCAGTATGGGTTTCAACGGATGATTTTCAATGCACAAGGATCAACTCATGGTGTGACCGTCTTGAAGAGGTAGAGAGGGTGCGTGGCGGAGCTTATGGTGGAGCGCGCAATGTACGCCTCTTGAAAATGTATCAAGCGCAGGAGCATCACGTACAACCACCATAGAGAGCCATCCTCCCTGTTCTTGCGTAATTGTGCTTCTGGATGCCTACTTTTTCGACGCCTTGTTGCGCCATTACATCTCCCGTTGCGAAGAGGACCTAGTATAGAGCTTTAACCTTAGCATATATCTCCCTTTATTCCTAGCATTGCAACGTAGGAAGCCTTGCGTTGAGAATTGTGTCTTTTTCAGGGACGTACAGCAGTAGTTATGCTCTGGGTGAGCAGTGGCCGGCGGGCCAGCCGAGCTTGATACCTATCGACTTCAATCAGCGATTGACCAAGAGCTGGAAAGCGACGCTGTGAAAAATTTCGGGCGAAGGGACTTACCACCTCAGCATCGTAGGCAGAACAGCGAAGATGGCGTGAACGAAAGGAACATGCGTTGAAGGTGGGCTCAAGGTGAGAGTAGCAGCTTCTGGGTGAGGGAGATATCTAGCGGCTCAGGCGCGCCAATGGCGTCATACTGAGCGCTTGGGAGTAGCCATGGGCACGAGAATGGATTGAAGGCAGATTCAGGCATGGTCAGCATGTAGGCAGGAGCAAGTCTTTAACATGTTCAGGTAATTGGAAATCTGTATTAGTGAGGTAAATAATGTCAGGCGCCCTAACGCCTCTCTGTCTTATCACAAAGCTGTACCCTATCGATCGCTATGACAAAAAACTGTAATATCCCGTCTTTTCCTCTCAAGCCAACGGTTCAAAGCGCTCGGAAAACGAGAAGAAAGATTCAACCACGGAGTCGGAAGTCTCAAGCATAGCCATGATTTCTCACAGATTCCATCGAGGAAGCGAAGTGTCACTTGTTCTTGTTCGTGACTACCACGGCGATAGCGATGATGGCGGCAATGACCAAGATTATTAGTACTGTGTTGCGTTAGCTATGGTACCAAGACGTCGAACCTCAATGGAGACATACTGAAGATACCCAAGCAGATCCACTTCTTCTTCCTCGCAGCTCGTGCCTTTTCATTTGCACCGGCGAGTTCTTGGTCAGCCTTCTGGAGGTTGTTGGTAGTATCTTGCGCTTTCTCTTCAATGTTCTCAACGGCGACTTGTTGCACGATCACAGCATCGTTGACTTGGTTGAAGAGCTCAGTAACCTCAGCCAATGTTCGCAAAATAGTTTGTATTGCTTTATGTCGTCCTTCAACCGCACTCAATGCTGATCTAGCTTCCCCACGTCTATTGGTAGTTTGGAACTTGGAAGAATAAGCTAAGGATTATTGTGAACGACAGGCAGGGCTCTCACGCTTTGTTGAAATACTTTGCCATTACCAGGATCATCAGCAGCCTCGTAAGCTTGTTCCTTTGTCCCTCCTGGATTGGCGATGAGCCATTGTCTAGCATATTGCTCCTTCAATCTTTTCGAGAAATCATTGTTGAAGGCGAAGAATTCCCGGTTGGCTGTCTGAACTTTGCCAGCCACACGCGTGACCGTGGGGGCGTTTCTTGGATCCCCTGATCTTGGGTGTTTTTTTATCCTTATGATGCGGTTGCTGAGGTTTTTGTAAATTGCCATAAACTTGGCAGTCTCTTCCTCTATCTTGTCATTGTACTTGCTAGCGTCCGGGTCACCGATAGCAGTTTCTTGCAGCTTTCGAAGACTTTGGTCCCCCTCGGTCAAACGGGTCTGAACTTCGTTGATGGCGACGTCGATGTCAGCGCATTCGTTGAGGATAGCCCTTGGGTCTGCTTCGAAATTGGGGGCACCATTGAGGTTACTCATTTCTATGCCCGCGTCGTCTGCCGGTAATTAGCCATTGAGGAGCTTTCTGATCAGAACATCCAACTGACGAGTGTTTTGATGTCTACCAGGCTGTGTCCTGTTATTTTGGTTGCCATTTCCCCCGGGTTGATAAGGGCGGTCCCCAGGTGGTCGTTGTGGCGGCGCTGAGTATTGCTGTGGGTAGGGCGCGGAAGTATAGGGAGGTTGGGAATCTTGAGCTGAAGAATCGTGATATGGAGCTTGATGAGACTGCGTGTTGTAGCCCGTCGAAGCGTAAGGGTTCGACTCTCCGTAACGCGATCCACCTCCCCCGTAGTCTCCGTAATTCTGTGGAAAAAGGAGTCAGCCATGGGCTCGCGGACATCTTCGCCAGAATGACAATCCGATGTAGATGCCACAGATAGCACAACGAAGTGCTATTGCAAGCGGTGGCAGCTTGATGGGAGCATTTGTCACTCACAGCCATCGCGCGATTAAATCTCACGTCTACCCCTTGCAGCTCCGCCCGCAGTCCAAGTGAGCGTTCAGTGTTGAAGCGACGCAGGAATTGATGATAGCAATCAGCTTAATCCGAAGAACGCTCAATGATGTATACAAGTGAAGCTGATGCCTGGGACCGGTAAATGCGGATTCAATTGATGTATACTGCTGACTGAGGGCGAAGCAACTTTGCGGGAGAGATTTTGGAACCTTGCGGGCTTGGCGCCGCTATTCTTGAAAAAGATTAGACCATTGACTTCCGCGCTAAGAGAAATTGGCTCGACCGAGGGGACTTTTCTGATATTGTTACTTCCCCAGATTGGATGCCATGAGCTCTTCTGATGGGCTTCTGCTCGACGAGGATCCGTAGATCTCTCCGCTAACTACTAGGTGACTACTGGTGTCATGTTTCTTGACATCGCGAATAAAATTCGAGCGAGCGCAGCTGCCTAAGGTCTGCGCCTCCTGCGGACCAAATACGTCGTCCCCAGCCATTACGATATTTTTACAGACGGGATGAAGGCGCGTGTATTGAGGCTCGTCGTTCCTCTACTTCAGATCTCGAGCAGCATATTGATTCGACTGCTTCTACTACGGCGGCACATGGCATTTGCCTATCAGCTACGACTATTTGCTTCATGTGCGGCCCACTTGTGGCTATTTGCCCGACCAATGATGAGGACCCCATGCCATGCATCATGATGAGCCTTATCAAGAACGAAAACGGAAATTTCACAATAGTTTCTGCCTTAATGGAGGCCACAGACCTCATGTTCTTGTGCAATGAATCTACGTTGACCCCCCAATCAATTATCTTGCCTTTGACTTCATGATGGCCGGACCACAGTCATTGGCACTTTGTTGGACACTTGTGCTCCGTGTCAGACTATTATCTTGGGACGTGGTGATTACTGCGCGGCCTAGAATTTTGACTTTGTGTGGTTGACCCCTTTTCTAACGGAGCTTCCTGCGTTCCAGGCGAACGCTCCCTGAATGCATCATGTGGCCTACGAAAATGTTTGGAAGCCTGCAGCGTGGAGTTCGTACACCAATAAGGTGACTTTTCAGGACCCTAGACGTGACAATGTCAATTGGTGAAATCGGGTGCTCACCGCACTAATGCAGATCGGTCTTGATGGCTCCTTCTCGAACCTGCTCTTTTGAGATCTGAAATTCGTCACTAAAACACCTCAAATGTCATTGATTCGTGGTCTTGTTCCATGGCCTCCCCGTCCATAAGGCCATAAACAAAACTCTCGCCAATGAAGGTATACCCAGGTTTGTCATGCTCCCTTCGCCGCAAAACGTGTGGCACGTTGGCGCCGTAGAAGACACAAACGGTATCTCCAGCCTGGATGTTCGCTGAGCCTAGTCCAATATAGCCTCTCGTCGTGATAAAAGGTCTCATTGGACTGCCGATTCTACAAGCTATGAGGTACGTGTTGGCTTCTGGCCCAAGTTGCGGTTCCAGGATATTAATTGGATGCGAGGCCCACTGGTCTTGACTGATGGCTGATTCCGACTCGCCTCTCGAGTCTAGCCATTCCTCCATAGCTCTGAAGAGCGGTAGACAAGTTTTATATCGGCTCCGGCTGTATGCACTAGTCGCCCGTTGAGTCCTACCGTCGTCCTTATAGGTAGAGGGTCCTTCACAGTCCCAGATTGGTATTCTCCATGGTGCTTCGAGTAGCTTTTCGGCAGTGTAAGTGTTGAATTGCATATCCTTTGATTGTCGGCAGAGTTGTTCTATTTCTCTCAAGAGCTTGCCGTAGACAATCTCTTTATGCATGAAAGTCTTCGTCCCTGACCTGAGATACATTGATTTGACGGTCATAATCTTGTCTACTGAGATACCTTTGATCTGCATAGATCGCGAACGGGAACTTCCGGACTGAAAGGTCACAAATGAGACATCAACTGTGCTGTTAGATGATGAAGTGAATAGCGAATTACCAAGGAGCGAGTGTGCACTGCCTTTGTAGCCCGTTTTGAACCACCAATTGGGATTCCCTATCATCTCGTGCCACGATGGTGTCCAAGAAGGCAATTCTGACGGCATTTCTAATTGACATAATGCCAGTATATCTAGATACCCCGACGATATCAGTCTCTCTGCCACATTAATGTAGACTTCTTCCCAGCTCTGATGGTAATCGATTGACATTCCAAGGGTTTTAGAAAAATCCTCCTCACATAAGCCGACCAGTCCAAAGATTTGATCCCGCCTATCTGACGTTTTCAAGCCGCCGAGTCCATTTTGATGCCACACGGGGCGGCAATAGATCGTGCACAGGAGGTCAAATACCCTGAATGCGGCAGGTTTAGCCAGTCTGCGGTCAAATCGCTCTCGACATGTATACATGTACAGTAACCACTCAGTCTCGCTCCCGTGGCTGCTCAAACTTTTCACCAGCGATTCCCTTATTGAATCTTTAACAACAAAGTGGATCTTCGCCATCGTAACACACGCAAGTAATGCAGCGAGACCCTGCGAGTCGAGTTGTCTGCTTCCAATATACATCTGGGTTTGGCAAGCGAGGACAAATTCCTGTAGTACCCAGATTCGATACCAATATTCACGCCCCGTTATGAAATGTAGAAAATCTTTCAAGACTTCTATTTCAAGAGCAGCATGTTTTGCAGGGTCATCTGCCGGTGTTAATGACTGGACAGCCATGGTGATATGCTTCAGCACGTCTCCATTTGCCTCTTCAAAGTCGATGTAGTCCACCAACTCCTCATCATGTGGGGTCGGAATATCAAGATCCCGCTTCAGATGTTCTACAAACTTATCCACAAAGTCTACTATAAAGTCACTCTTCTCTGTGGGCAGTCCGAGCCACACAATTACACCCTGTGCCCCCGAATAGATCGACCTCATTAGCTGTACCTGTTTTGTCTTCTCAATCTCGTCGGCTTGATTGATACATATCGCATCTATCCAAATGGCTGGGGCCATGTCTGCAATTGGTATATTCTGAAGTGCAGCAAATAGGTTTCCACCTATGTCGAATTGGCATCCATTGATGATGACAGGCTTCAAACCCTCGCTTTGTGTGCCCCATACATACGACAAGGCGGTGTAGGTGGGCCTATCGTCAAGGGATACAACCTCAAGTTCGAACTGTGGCCTAGAATCTGCAAGACGGCTGTCTTCAATCATAGGATCAGCTGCCTGGAAATCAAGAGGCCGCAGGATACGTATTTCCCGTCTTTCCGAGTTCAAAGGGAGACCCTCCATCAGTGGCGTTTGTCAAGCGATGTACTCAATGGAAAGGCGTTCTTTTGAGTGCCGCGCGATTGATATGCACCACAGCTAACGAGGTGACGCTCGACAGGCACGTCTTTTCGAGGCGTGAAACATGACCAACTGTCGCATTGGCTGGCTCTGACAAAGGTACAAGACATGTAGTCAGGATATCTTACCAGAGATAGAGAGATGACACGACGTCCCAACTGAGCTTAAAAGGGTAAACCCTATCAATATCAAGGAAAGTATGATAAAGAGGTTCTTGCAGATGATTATTACATGTGAATATCAGATTGATTCGAGGTAGTTCGAATTCATGTGGTGATGATAGCCATCAATGGTGTATAAAAGCCACGTGGACATGCCTTTGCTTGGACGTTTGAAACTCGACACATGAGCATCAGAGGCTGAACGAAGATTGATATATGTCAAGGATGTAATGATAGAGTATCAGATCAGGAGATATGACGTAGCATAGAGGCGACAATAATGTTTTCTGTTGATTGAACGACCCTCCGCTTATTCTAGCCCCATAGGCAAATGCACACATGCTGCCCGGAGTTGGGCGCCCACTCAAAAAAATATTCGCGAGATGCCCAAAAGCACAGCAGCTTTCCAGCTCTAAGCCTACCATGCCCCAAATCAAGAAAAAAGGTAGGCTCATCACTGATGTGATGACTCTGGGCTGATATCGTACCATAGGCACCACTGGCCAAGCCAAGAATTTCATCACACGAACCCAAGCTGTTCGCAAACTTCAAATCTCCCTCCCAGACTTTCGCAGACTCTGCATATTCAAAGGGATATATCCTCGTGAGCCTCGGAACAGAAAGAAAGCTTCGAAGGCGTCTACGCCATCTACCACCTTCTACTACACCCAAGATATCCAATACCTCCTCCACGAGCCATTACTCGCAAAATTCAGAGAACACAAAGCGGTTTCGAAGAAGATCGCGAGGTCACTAGGAAGGGAGAAGTGGGAGATGCTGCGCGACTAGAAAAGAACCATGTGACGAAGCTCACACTAGATCATATCATCAAGCAAAGATACCCAACCTTTGTCGACGCCCTCCGCGATCTCGATGACGCTCTGTCTCTACTTTTCCTCTTCTCCAGTCTCCCATCGACATTGAACGTTCCTCCGAAAACTATTTCGTTGTGTCAACGATTATGCCTTGAATTCGAACATTATCTGATCACCACGCACTCTCTCCACAAATCATTCCTCTCGATAAAAGGCATCTATTACCAAGCTACCATCCAAGGCCAGGATATACTATGGCTTGTGCCTTACAAATTCGTACAGCGGATGACAGGAGATGTGGATTTCAGGATCATGGCAACATTCGTGGAGTTCTACACTACGCTCCTCGGGTTTGTGAACTTCCGACTGTACACATCGATTGGCCTAGTCTACCCACCAAAGTTCAACGCAAAGAGCGATGAAGAAGGCGGGGAGCTTAGTGCGCTCATGCTAGAGAGTCGAGGTATCGACGGGTCAAAGCAAATTGAAGCCCCTCCAGCTGTCGATATTGAGCAGAGTGGGCCCACCGCCGTCTCCGAAGATGTACAAAAGCAGATCCAAGCAATTCAAGAAACCACTGAAACGGCCCCCTCGGAAGAAAGGCAAGACTCGCAAGCCGATGATACAGACCAACCCACGCCTCCTGACGCGATTGATACCTTCTCCCCCACTGCCCCCGACGCCGATACCCTCCTTCAGCCTTCAGCCTCCGACTCTACAACCTCCACCCTCTTCGCCCCCTTCACATTCTTCCTTTCCCGCGAAGTCCCTAAAGCTTCAATAGAGTTCCTGCTCCGCGCTTTCGGCTGCAAGCGCATAGGCTGGGACAGCGTCCTCGGAGATGGCGCGTACACGACCAACGAGTTCGACCCAAGCATCACGCACCAGATTGTCGATCGGCCGCCGTTGGGCGCTGAAGCATGGAATACCACCAGCGCAGCAGCTCCTGACGATTCAGATGCCGATGAGGACGAGCCGAAAGTGGTCGTTCAAAGAGGGTGGCCCGCCAACAGAATGCCAGGCCGCATCTACATCCAGCCGCAATGGGTCTGGGACTGCATCAACCAAGTGCAACTCCTGCGTCCAGACCTATACGCTCCTGGGGCTACGTTACCACCCCATCTAAGTCCGTGGGTGAAGCCTAGTAAAGGCGCTTATGACCCCACCGCACCTCTAGCACAAGAAGCTGTTGAGCAACCCGCGCTTGAGAACGGCGAGGCCGAGCCCGAATTAGTGGAGGACGACGAAGAAAGCGCCGAGGAAGACGAGGAGGAAATTGAAGACAGCACCCATGACAAATCTGGTGACACCGTCTCCGAAACATCCTTCACAGGCTTCGACGCCTCCATCCCCAACGCTCGGTCCAGCACAGAGCGCCTCCACCAAGACGAGCTCCTTGCTGAAGCAGAGGGAGTTGCGCTTCCCCAACCTAAGTTAAAGGGGATTTTGAAGAAGGAGAATGGGGCTGCGAGACAGCGGGAGAGAGAGCGCGCGGCACGCCAGGAAGAAGAGGAGCTGGAACGCAGGAAGATGATGATGCCGAATCGGAAGAGGAAGTTGGTGGAGAAGATGTTGTATTCGAATAAGGTGAAAGATGGGGAACGGGAGCGGTTGGAGGGGAAGAGGAGGAGGATTGAGAAGGAGGGGAGAGGGGGGTTGGGGAAAGGGACGGGGACGGGGGAGGGGGAGGGGGAGGTGAGCGGGGCAAGTTGAGGGGCATAGTAGTCATGAATGTAGGGAGGGATGTGTGATGATGTATCTGATTCCATGCCCCTTCGAAGATGCAGCAGAATGTTGGTATATAAGTCTATTCATGCATCTCCCTCATATCACGTTGTTTCCGTCTCCAAAACCTCGAGGAATCCACCGACGAGGTGTACGCTTCCTGTTACCAGGACCATCACTTTCCCCCTTTGCTCCTCCCTCCAGCCCCTCGCAACATCCCTACACCACCCGACCCCCTCTTCAATACTCGCCCTCACCTCCACTTCTGCCTTTGCATCCAGCGCCGTATACGCTTCCGCTAGCTCTTTCTGTACGCTAAGCGCCTTCACCGCTTCCTCATCCGCGTTCAAGCTTTGCAATTCGGGTCGGAAGCCTGTGGTCGCGTGGGTCGTGTTTGTGGTGAAGAGGGCGTGCGTGAAGGGGGTTTTTGGCGGCGAGGAGGAGGTAGAGTGGGTGTGAGGTGGGATGGCATTGGGCGGGGTGATTGCGTTTGAGACTGTTTGATGCAGTGTCTGAACCAGGAGGGGCGCGTTCCGGGTTTGTTGGTTGAAGAAGAGGATGCGTGGCGCAGGAGAGGTAGGACTTTGAGAGGACTCTGAGGAGCTAGGGGTAGGGTTTGAGGTACTGATGGGTTGAGGTATGTGAGAAGCGAACCATGTTCCTGTGAGCTTGATCGATTCGAGGGTGTGCCCGCCGTCGATGTACCATGTGATATCCTTCTCTTGCCGGATCTCGCAGCGGCCTAATAAGGGGACGTGTTGGAGGCCGTAGGTGAATTCTGGAGGCAAAGCTTGGTTGTTGCTGTGGGCTGGGTGCGGAGAATGGCCTAGAGATGCTAGGTGGGCTTGAGCGATGTGTACTGCCAGACTGGCGTTCGTTCGCTGGAAGTCGCCGTTCAGACCGAGTTGTATTGCGGCGACCCTCTTGTCATCAGATCCTCCATAGTCTGATCCTGGCGTGAAAGTGAGATTCTCTGCTTGTAGTTCTTTTGCTCTTGCCTCAAGCACATTGCAAGCAGCTGGCGGTTGAGGTGCGGAGAAGCATGGAACACCCTTCTTCATAATGCCAGCCTTGTGCCATGCAATCCTGTCAATTGCGTCCCCCAACAGCGGTGTATGATCTATGCCTAGACTTGTGATGCCGCATACTCGAGGTTTGACGAGAATATTGGTGCTGTCGTATTCTCCACCAATACCGCATTCGACTATTGCTGTGTCCATGCCGAGAGACATGAAGGTATGGAAGGCCATGAGGGTCAAGAAGCGAAAGTACATTGGTCGTATTGGGAGGATCCAGTCTTCATGCTCCTTGGTGAGGATATCCTTGCGCTTCGTAGCGCCTTCTTCGAGTCTGTCCCATGTCTCGAAGAAGTATTGAGTGAATGTCTCCTCGCTGATGGGGGCATTATTGATCTGGATCCTCTCCCGTACGGTCCGTAAATGAGGCGAAGTGTACAAGCCAACGTTCTTGAGCTGAAATTCTCCTTCGGGATGCAAGGTGCCTTGTAGGTACTGGCAGAGGATCGAGGAGATGAAGGCGCTGGTACTGCCTTTGCCCTTCGTCCCCGCTATATGTATGGGATTGAGTCGATCGAGGTCAGACGGCTAGGGACGCAGAAATCAGCAACTGTATTACAATGTATAGCGCACTTTGCTCTCAATCCTCACACCTCGTATCCAAGTCGGCGAACATACTCGACCATCTCCGGGATCGCAGTCCTGTTCTTGGCCTCGATATTTTGGCGGACCGATTGAACGGCTGCATAGTTGGATTGGAGGGAGTTGAGGGCTGTTATAGCATCCTGTGAACTCGTGAGACCCTTATCGTCCAAGTAATAGGCCATCTTACATTATACGTGCGCGCCATCTTGGTCGAGTAGCAGCGACTCCCCGCTATTGCCCAAAACGGCTTGGGGAGAAACAGTGAGATGTGCATGACATTTTGTCAGATTCGGATAGCTGACTTCACACCTTGGAGCATCGTGCTCGGTGTCGCAAAGGTGAATGAAAGACATGTCTGTCAGGCGAAATTGGTGTTGCGTTATTTACCCATGACTTTGGGATGACGACTAGCCGCCGGAAACCGACGACGATCATGAGAGCTGGGTAATCAAAGTCACTAGATGAGGAGACTCGTGAAATGAATATATATTATGATACTTGAAATGATTAAGTTCGTCTCAACGCCATTGGCTACCTTACAAAATCTGCCAGCCTTTCAAAGCACGAGACACTCCCCAGGACTCCGATGCCATCACCTATGCCTGTAATGTACTGCATTGCGCTTACGAAAGAACGAGAGTCTGATTTAGCAATTGCAAGGACCACCTGTCTGCGTCCCTGATGCTTCCGGCCTTAAGTCCACACCTGGTCGAGGGTTCGCCCTTAGCCCTCTCGGACCAGCTTGGTCCAAAGGCAGCTTCCTTGCGATCGCCGTGAAGAGATCTCGGACATTCTCGGCGGTCTTTGCGGAAGTTTCGAAAAATAGCAGACCTGCTTCTCTTGCGTATGCCTCTGCATCTGCCGTCTGGATTACACGCTTGTCTGGTTGTTCCGCAACCAGATCTGCCTTGTTGCCTGCAAGAGCGATAATGATGTTCTCATTGGCTTGCCGTTGTAGCTCTTTCACCCAAGCTTTGGCTTTATCAAGAGAGGACTATCATACTATCAGTCAAGCGCATGAAAAGCCTTCATACGGGAGGACGAACGGCTTGTGTAATATCGTAGACAACCACAGCACAATTTGCGTTACGGTAGTACATGGGCGCAAGCGACTTGTATCTCTCTTGTCCAGCAGTATCCCATATTTCAAACTTTATCGTTGTACTATCATCGAGGGATATGGTCTGTGTGAGGAAGGCGGCACCGATTGTTGACTCTCTATAGTCATCGAACTGATCTTTGACGAATCTTAAGACAAGGGAACTCTGAGGTCTTTTGTTAGTCACAGTTGAACGGAAAGACATCCTCCCTTAGTCTGACCTTTCCAACCGCAGATTCACCTACGCATAGAGTCAGCGACGTCATTTAGAGCCTTGAGGCAGAATGGCAGGCGTACCTAACAGGACGAGTTTGAACTGGGCAAAACGTGCCCCGGGTCGTGTGCCTGTCTGGACCCGGGTTGACATAGTGAAGGAAGTGACTGATAGATTCTAGAGGAGACGAGCTTGGAGGAGAGCGAAAGGTGATCGGTGTGGTGTGGTGAGGATAATGAAGATTGAAGGTCAGGAACCGCTGCCTTAGCGCGGCAAAATGACGAAGCTTCTCGTAGGGCTGACCCAAAATATCTTCTCGAATACAACCACCATCAATGATTCTGTAGCTTTCACAATGCGCCGGTAACACTCGGGAGGGATTCCTATCAATTTACACACATTAATAGAGCCTTGTCACAGCTTTACCACATTGGCTAGACCTCTCGATGCCCCAACTCATACCCTTCAGGGACATTAATGTCCACGCGTCGAACTCCCACTACGCCTTCACCTCTCCATCCACGCCCTCTGCTCAGACCCTTGTGGTTGAGCGGCCTTCAGGCGACTTACGCCTCAGCGATGGCCCTCTGCTCGGCACAAAGCGAGTCTCAAGCATCGCGGGGATCCTGGGGATGATAAAATTAAGATTAGGTATGAGCACCGGGGCAGTAGGATACCTTCCCGCTAACGAACGAACAACAGACAAGTACATAATCGTAATCACCAAGGCGCAGCCTATGGGACGTCTGAAAGGACATATGGTTTATCGAGTCATCGCTACTGAATTCCTTCCCCTCCGCGAGCGTACGCTGCATGACCAGGATGAAGACACCTACCTCACGCTCTTGAAGACTCTCCTGAAGAGTGGACCGATGTACTTCTCCTATTCACTCGACATTACGAATAGCTTTCAACGCCAAGCTGAAGCAGACCTCTCTCAGCCATTATGGAGAAGAGCCGACGATCGCTTCTTCTGGAACAAATTCATACAATCTGATATCATGGGCTTGTCTCGAGGTGAAGGCAGTGGATCGGGTCTTCGTGGGAGTCCACAACCAGGAGCAGATCCTTTCGTGCTCCCTGTGATGTTCGGCATGATGAGAATAACGACCACACGTATCAAAGCTACCCCTTTCACATTTGTGCTCATCACTCGGAGATCAAGACACAGAGCAGGGACACGCTACCTTACACGAGGCATGGATGAGCAAGGGCATGTTGCCAACTTCAATGAGACGGAACAAATAGTCGTCCTTAACGATGGCTCTGGAGATCTCGGTGGTTTTAGCGGGGTCACCCAAAATGGAAAGATTAACAACGACGGCTCGGAGACGCAGATCCTTTCTTATGTACAGACGAGAGGCAGTGTACCTGCTTATTGGGCCGAAATAAACACGCTGCATTATACTCCAGAGCTTCAGGTCCGAGATGTAGAGACTGCCGCGAATGCTGCACGCTTGCACTTCGACGAGCAAATCCGACTTTATGGGGAGAATTATCTTGTGAATCTCGTGAACCAAAAGGGTCGTGAAATCAAAGTGAAGAAAGCTTATGAAGATATGGTTCGTGTCCTGGTCTCAGGACCAGAGCAAGCTACGCAGGCAAATTACGTGACGCCCGAAAAGATTACAGTTGTTGAAGCTAGCGAAAAGAAACAGAAGTACGATCGACTGCACTATGTCTACTTTGATTTCCACAATGAGACGAAGGGTTTGAAATGGCATAGAGCGAACCTTCTGCTAGATCAGCTGAAAAGCGGATTATGGAAGGGCCAATATTTTCGAGGCGTTGACATGCCTGCGGACACGGAAGGCCGGCTTGAGGTACGAAACAAACAAACGGCAGTGGTAAGGACGAATTGTATGGATTGCTTGGATCGTACGAATGTCATACAAACGATGATTGCACGATGGACTTTGACACGTCAATTGATAGACGCTGGGGTCTTGCAACAAGGCGAAGCTGCGAATGATGATCCAGAATTCGAGCACTTCTTCCGCAACATATGGGCAGATAATGCTGATGTCGTTTCAAAAAGCTATTCGGGTACTGGCGCTCTCAAGACCGACTTTACACGCACTGGAGAGAGAACAAGAGCCGGAGCTGCACAAGATTTCAATAATTCCGTTACTCGCTATGTGAAGAACAACTTTGGGGATGGTCCTCGACAGGACGCCTTTGACCTGTTTACCGGGACATTTCAACCACCTCCAGTCGGAACTAGCTTGGTATTCGTGGATCGAAGACCCATTTTGGTGCAGGCAATCCCTTACGTCCTCGCTGCTTGCATGTTTTTCATCCTTGTTGCTGGTCTGACTCGGACAAAGCCAGAAACCACGATTTGGCCTTTGCGCGTACTTGCTTGCATATGCATGGTCATCGCTGGTTGGTGCGCGCACTTCATCTGGACGCATGGAATGTTATATGTAAGTACATATTACCGAGTGGCCATATCGAGCTAATGAAGCTCGGCAGGTCAATTGGCCGAAGCTCAACACTCCGAGATGGGCCATTGAAGGCGTGCAAGAGACAATGAACCGAGCACTGAAAGATCCACTAGTTGGCGAATTCGTGTCCAAGCACGAGCGTGGACTAAGCAATACACGCCTTGGTCATCTTGAAGAAGGCAAGAAGCGTATCCAATGATCTTCATGGTCTATGCCGCAGCTACACCTTCGCTATCAACATCTTTGCCATCTACCGAAGCAAGCGTATCGAACCATGACGGATCTGCAAAGTCTCCTTTAACGCCTCCATCGGCATCGCTCACGGCTTTCGGGGCTTCATTTGGCTTGAAATCAACATTTCTTGTGTTCATACCAACGCGCCAAATCAAATTCGGCTGCTGTTGGCTTTTAAACTCATAATAGACCTGCGAAGGCTTATCGTCCCATTGCGCCGTCATCCCATCGAAATCTTGATTCTTCATGATACCCGATCCCGCCAAAATGTCGACTGCTTCGTCATACTTGAGCCTACAATCTGCCCAGCGTATGGCCATGAGTTTGGATGGGTCTGGCCAAGTTGATGGGACCTTTGTCTGTAGGACCCATCTGCGAGGGTCATGCCAAGTGAAGTCTACGTTGGAAGTCAAGTAGAAAGACTTGCCGACCGTTTTGTAGACCGCGATCAGATAAATGCGCCCTTGGGACCAATGAGCGTTGAAAAGCACATTCGCGCAATACGGGTCGTAACTTCTGGCTGCTATATAGGATTTCGCTCTTTCGGCCTCGAATGATGGGCTGATGAAATTGAGGGAGCTGTCGGTATCATTGAGTTGGCCGAGATCTGCATCTGGCGAAGCTAGGCATGTTGTCAGGCCGAGTAGGCAGAAAAAATGGAGGAGAAAGAGTGGGAACTGCATGCTGGGCACGGATCTGAGGGTCTGTGGACGTACTGCATTGACTTAATATATACCATCTAAATCCCCTTCCCCATCACTGATTAGCCGCTTCGCTTCATCCAAAATAGACTTGTGTCTGGTAGTCTGCGTTGAAATGCTGTCTCGCGACCCGATACGTCACCCGGAAGACAGTCCGATCTTCTCCCTGGAGAGCGAAACACTCGCCTCCATCTATCATTCCTTTCGATTTAGTGGATTGAGTAAGACATTGTCACGTAGTGGATTCCGTTTCGCGGTGCTTTGCGACTTATAGCAGCTGCATGTTGTTTGTTGTACCATCATAATCTGTCCTTTTCAGGTACCGAGATGGCACCTGAATCTAGACTCTACGCTCCCTATTTGACGTATGCTGAATTGCTGTGTCCATACAGCATCCTAAAATGCATTTACACTTCGTCCAGCCCCGACATGGGACTTGGGATGACACATAAATCTCCGTCACTTTCATCCGAGACATTTGCCAGCCGCAGCGCAGAGTCGACATAATTAAAATATGTCTTCAAGACCAGCTCCTGACTCAAGTGATTCCGACGTAAGCTCCGTATCTGGTTCACTGCAACCCCATTCTCCCGCCAGTCAGCGCGAAGACTCCGCTGCCACAGTCTCGCCGCCGCCAACGAATCCCGCTGGTGCAAAAAAGCCCCGACAACCTGCTCAGCGCCAAAACCGTCTGTCACCATCAAGTGATATCACCAACACCAGTGGAGACGAAGACGAAAGTGATCGCGATAGCGAACGTGAAGCGACTAACCCCCCATCTCCACAGCCCAACTCAAAAGCAATCAAGCCATCCACATGGCGCAAACGCAACGCCGATGCTATCTCCATCTCGCACGGCCAGGACAAAGTTACCGCTCGCGACTTAAGCGTACATCTGTACAACGCGTTCAAACTGCGTCATCCTGCCCCCAACCCCACTGGCAGCATAGGTAAGGGCAAAGACAAGGAATGGGTTCCGCCAAAACACTGGACAGCATGGCCATTGAGTGCCGACCGGGTACCGAGGCCAGACTTCATGCCTCGCGACAAAAATGAACGCGAATGGTGGGAGGGGGAGGACTCTGACGATGGAAAGGGGAAGGGGCGCGGCGGAGAGAGAGTACTACGGTGGTTTCCGCGTGCAGAGGATGCCGTATCCCTATCTACCGCGGCTGATTAAGAAGAGTGAGGAGATGGAGGAGGTATTGCTTGCTATAATGTTGAAGGAGGGGAAGGAGAGATGGGAGAGGAGGGAGAGTGCTTCTACGTCGTCATCTGAGGAGGACGAGAATGAAGAAGTGGATAATAGGGGAGGCAGTGCGGAGAAGGAAAAGTCAGGCCCAAATGAGGAACGAGAAGATCCCACAGAAGCGACTGAAGAAGGAAGTACCGCGTACGAAACAGGTGACCAAAGCAGCGGGAGCGAAAATTCAGAGTCCCAGCCATCCCGCCACGCCAGCAGCAGAGAGCCATCTGAAGACGAAGGGGTTGGAGACGAGAGTGCGAAAGGTGAGAGAATGGAGATCGACCGAGAAGCTCCCACCATTCCACCAGCCACGGATCTAGGCGACAACGAACTCTCTGATCCTACCCCTTTCCGCCACGCGAAACCAGATACCAAGACCACTTATACTTACACAGACGAGGAATATGCAGGGATGGGCAACAAGGAAATGAGACCCGTGATCATGGCCGACGATACCCTCGCGATGGATATTCTGAAACCATCGATACGTCACATCCTCTCACAACTCAATAATCTACTCTGCGCTCTACATGTCTCACGGGCATCCTACGCGGGCGTGCCTGGCGCTGATTTATCGGGGACCTCGATGTCGAGATCGCAGTCACGCGCGCGCTCTACGTCGCGGACACCGGCGGATTCTCGACAAGTATCAAGAAAGAGGGCGAGGTCTGCGGCTACGACGTCGGATGATGAAGATGGGGACGGGCAGGATGGGGGCGAAGAGGAAGAGGAGGAGGAGGAGGGGGGGACGGCGTAGGCTACAGGAAGGAAAGACCCCGAAAGCGGAGAAGGTCATCCGTGGGCGAGCGATTGCACCAGCGGAAATTGAGGTTGAATACGCGGGGATGGGAGGATATTTTGGGGGCAGCCGAGATGGTGGGGTTTCCACGGGAGGTGGTGGGTAGGGCGAGGGAGAGGTGTGAAGGGCTTTTTGGACCGGGGGAGCTGGGTGTAGGAGGACATGATGATGGTGATAGTGATAGCATGAGGGAGAGTGACGATGTTGAGGTTGATGGGCGGAGGGTCTACGTCAACAAGGAAGGGGAGGACATGCTGGATGGCATCCATTTAGATGGCTGGTTGCAGCCGATTCAGGAGAAGAGGAGCTGGAAGGTGAAAGGCAAGGGTAAAGAGGAGAAGGGAAAGGGGAAGGATGAGGGGATCAGAGTGAAGATTCCGGTATCGTCGGGCGGTGGTTGAAATTGATATACTGAGTTTTTTCTCGAAGAGGAGAGAGCTTGATACTGCCGTTGCCATGTTCAAAGGGGCAGATTGCACTTCTGGTGGCGGCGAGTGCCACCACTCTCGGCTTTGGAAGCAAACGGGGCTGGGCAAGTCATATGAATCAAGGTAAGTGAGGAGTCGCGTGAATATCTCTCCTCCTCCCTCTTCCCTCTCCTGGCGATTTCAGTCGGAGGAAGAAAGCAGATCGTGCTATCAGCGATAGCGAAAGTCACCACCTTTAACATCAAGAGCGTGGCAAAAGTCAATTCGAAAGGTTAAAGGCCAGCGAGGGGCCATCTCAATGATTTTTCCTCCGGAGAAAAGGCCCGCATAATCCAGCTCACCCTTCTTCCCTTTCCATCAAACGACACTCTTACCACGCGAGTCAGTCTTGGCAAAATAAAGAGAGGAGGGCGGTCCAGAAAGAGTGAATGAAAAAGAGCTGCAGTCACTTTCCGCCGGGTACCAATGAGAGGCGGAGACTGCCTCGGCCTTTGGCCCTCCGAAGTGTTGTTTGCGATTAAGGAGGTGATGTTGTGCAGACAGTTTGGTCGGGACTTGGCTTCTTACTTGACTGCGCGAGTTGGGGACTTGGTGTTGTACGACATTACTTGTCCGACTTCTGGCTTGGGTGTGAACATTATCTCTGTGGCGTTGATTGTTTGAGTCGGCTTGGTCACCCACCACTGGAATCCTGAAAAGCAATTTCTGACGAGGTATTCTCGGGATGCTACCTAGCAGCACATCTCAAAGCATGCGGGGCGACATCTCGAGTGACGCTATGCTTATTGATCTTGACGAAGGGGACAACGGGTATGAGAGTGACAGTACACTTGTTGGAGACATACGAATCGAAGATGACGTTATGGATCTTGATCCTGATGACCCAGAAGATCCAGAGACTGGTTGGTTGTTCATTCACCATCACAGTTTTAGACTTCCAAACTGCAATATCCGAGTCGGGAAGACAGTGGAGCTCAAAGACGGGGATTTCCTGCGTATTACCTCGATCCTACAGCATCGCACCAGCGGGGAAGTTCAAATACGAGGCCTGCGTCTCCAAAGAACGAACAATATCCATAGTCTCCTCGAAAGAAATACCAACGAATTAGCAATGATACTCAACTACGGCCCGATTAATCTTCAGAGCGCTGAAAGTGTCCGCCCGGGAAACGTTGTCAAAATTCGAGATGTCATTTTCACGAACCGAGTCTATCCTGCCTTGAGTTATCGCACAATAGATGTGAACAATGGCAGCATGAACCGTCAATGGCACAGGGAAAACTCGCGGCTCGTATGTAGATGGAAGTTTCTATCTATGTCAAAGAACTCGGGGATGTTGCAAACAATGCGGAAGGATGAATGTGACGATGGCTTTAGCGTGGACGACGAGCAACTTCGGCGTACCTTTCGAGGAAGCACGATATGGGGCGGCTCGCGACGAACATGGTCTCGTACCGAGCAGCGATATGATGTAGAAGAAAGACAACGTGTCAGATTTGTCGATCCTGTTGGATTCCACAGCAGGAGTACCACAACAGCTGAGACCATCGATCTTACCACCGATACTCAACCCACAGATACTCAACAAAAGTATGAGGAGCCAAGATACACATATGGTGACGCTTTCTGTTGTGCTGGTGGCTCTGCACGTGGAGCCAAAGGCGCTGGTCTTCGCGTTGAATGGGGTTTCGACATAGATCCGGCGGCCATCAGCTCCTTCCACTTGAACTTCTCACGAGCCAAATGCTGGGTTATTGCTGCACATGATTTTATTGTTGCGATTACGGAGAATGTAAAGGTCGACATATTACACCTTTCGCCGCCATGCCAACCTTTCTCACCGGCTCACACCAAGGCTGGGAAGAACGACGAGATGAACCAAGCAACTTTCCTAGCTGTACAAGAGCTTTTAAAAAGAGTAAGACCCAGGGTCGTCACCCTTGAGGAAACGTTTGGACTTTCGAATTGGATTCAGCATGAAGATTGGTTCAAGACTATTATCCGAATGTTCACAAATCAGGGTTTCAGTGTCAGATGGAGCGTATTCAATTTGCTGGACTTTGGCCTCGCGCAACCACGAAAGAGGCTTTTTATCATTGCGTCATGGTAAGCTCCCATCCACCTTCCAGGAGCTACTCTCTGTCAACATCTCCCAATCTAACATTATCGTGACTCAGTCCAGGAGAGCCACTTCCAGAGTTCCCCGAGCCCACTCACTGCAATCCAGACCATCATCACCTCTATCCAAGCCGAAAACCCTGGACCTCAATAAATCAAATCATCAACCGTATCCCTGCTACAAACATCTCTCTCCACAAACTCTCCCAAATCCCCCGTGCCCACCTACCCCCTTACGACGGTAACAAGCCCCTGAGAAAAACAATATGCTGTGGGGAAGGCGAAGGATACCACCCTTCAGGAAAACGACGATTCACACTAAGAGAAATAGCCTCTCTGCAGGGGTTTCCCCTTGAGCACGAATTTGGGAAGAGTATCAGCGACAGGCAGATACGAAAGCAGATTGGCAACGCTGTTCCACCAGTTGTGGCAAAGGTCTTCTTCGAGCAGATTATTAAAGCTTTGAAGAGAGCTGACGGTATTGAATAACTTGCGGTATGGAGAGGGTTGTGAAGAAAACTGATAGGATGAGGTGAGCGTTTTATCGGATATGAAGATGAAGGAAAGCATAGATGTGGTACTGAGAAGGGCAGAAGAGCCGTGAGAGGAGCAAACATTGATTAGGGTATGATGTCAGAGATGCGTGTGAAAATCACGACGAAGATATGCGGCAATGTACGCCATGATATTAACGCAAAAAAGCTACATACCTCCATAGCATAGCGTAGCGCAGCTACGTCTCGTATCGTCAAAGCGTAGCCACATTTAACCTCATAATCCAACCCTTTCGCAAGCCCCATCCCAATCCCATTGTTAGACGATACACAAGGAGAACAGCGCGTACAGAGATAACCCCCCTCCCCTTCCTCCATCCACTACCCCCTCACCAGCCCTCACCAGCTCTCGTCCCATTCTTCCATATATCGTAAGTCTTCGACATTATCATCGCTCACTCACCAAAGCCTCTGCTATTCTTCCAGAAAGAGCAGAGAGAAGGGATTGTTCTCATAGCCACTGCATTCTGTACAACCCCTCCCCCTCTCCTTCCCCCATTTTGTCATTGAAATTCGCTATCGATTTGTACTCCACCACTATCACCACCACCACGACACTAACTTGCCAAGCCCCGTTACTCTATACCAGCTGACCCGGTCTGCACATCCCCTAGTCCTCAAATCCTATATCCTACCAGATATACACGCACTAGCGCTCTAGAAAGAGAACCTCACAAATCCCCCATTGAACAATCACAAGCAACACACGCGTTAGAGATCTCTCAAAAGCCAAAGATTCGTTCAGTGATCTTAATTGTAAGACTACTCACGAAGAACAGATGAAAAAAAAAGAATAGTATTTAGCTACACCTCCCCTCCTCCAGCATTTTTCTCGCTATGCAAATACTAGTTGTAACCATACCTTCATGCCTCCATGCCTACTATCTCATAGCCTTGCACAATCAATGAACAGTCACCTCCCCCTTCCTCTCCTCCTCTCCTCCTCTCGCCAGGGTTTTATTGTCCATGCAGCCAAATTCAATCAATACCACGCATAAGAATGCAAGCAGCTAAGCCAACAATACCCCCCTCCCCTCCCCTCCCCCTTCACCCTTCACCCTTCACCCTTTCTCATCCCTCAATCCCAGCGCCTATCAAACAAACTAATCCTCTTAGCACCACCCTCCCTATCCTCCCTACCCTCCTCACCCTCCTCACCCTCACCCTCGCGTTTCCGTTTCTCCATCTCCCTCATGAAGAGGACTCTCGTGCTCGCATAGGCCCCCCCACCCCACCCATTTGGGTATGGGGTTTCTTTATATATCTATTTCCCGTGGGACTTGGGTCATCATTTGATGATTTTGGGTGTGAGGGTGGATGTGGTGGTAGAGTTGGACGAGGCGTGTCCGAGGGTTTGTTTATATATCTATCTCCAGTACTGCGCGGCTGATCATCGGATGGGGGTGGAGGACGTCGCTCACGAGGCGAGTCTTGGAGTCGACGATTTGAAATGGTTGGTGCCAGTCCGTCGCCTCGTCTCTCGGATGACGTTCCTTGTTCATGATTCTCCTCGCGATTCCGATTCAGATGCGCAGTGTCTTCTTGCTCGCGCATCGACGTGCCAGGGGTGGGCGCCAATTGGTTCTCCACCAACGATTCCCGTTTCTCCTTCATCTTCTCACCCTTTTTAAGTCGACTCCGCATCTCACTCTCGCTCTCATGCATCTCCTTCGGGAAATGACACCTGTTGATATCACATTGCTTCCGAGGACACATATGTCCTGCAAAGCATTCTGGATCGCTGCACTTCCTCCCATTGCGGCAGAGAATACTGCGGCCAACCCAACGGAGCGCGTTCATCTCATCTTCTGATAGTTGAGAGTTGTGGCTGTGTACACAATTTCTGTAGACACAGCTCCCGCGCAGGTAGTGGTTGTTGCAGCAATGCTTGCTTGCAACTGTGGAATGTGCGATACCAGGGGATTGAGCGAGCGGAGGGTCAACGCGGTTGTTGTCAGCGTCAAAAATCATTGGGGGAGGACCTGATGGGAGAATAGATAGTCTAGCAGAGGATGGTCCTGGAGGGTTTTGAGATCCATTTCCATCTCGAATCGGACGGGGAGGCAGCGGGATCTGAACGCGGGGCTTTGTGGGTGGAACAGGAAAGCGAGGACTAGCTGAAGATGTGTTCAGCTGTTTTCTGCTTGTGACAGGTGTCTCTGCAGCCATTGTTGGAATCGATTCTAGCACCTGTTTGTCCTTCATTGGATTATCGTCACGCTTACTTGGAGACGGTGTTGGCGGCTTTTTGCGTCTCATTGGTGCTTCAGTAGGCTTGCAACTTGGTGGAAAGGGGTCGTGATATTCTGTAACTTTCATTGGAGGACTCGTCCGAGCAAGTGAATCACGGTGAGGACGCTTAGATGGGAGTTCAGTCTCACTTCTGGGGGACGACGTAGATTTAGCCATGTGATGAACCCGTGATGATTTGCAAGAAGTATCTGCCGGAGAGTTGGCTGGCGAACAAAGTGCTCGATCGGCCGATGATGCTGATATATCAACCTTCTCCAGCGGCGAATGCCAGTATCTATTCGTGATCTTGATCTCACGTTTTTTACGGTCAATCTTCACGTGGTAGCCGAGGTCTTTTTCAAGCTCAAGGCATAAAGCATACTCGTGAGATCCATAGTCCATGGTTTCTTGCTCCAAGTCTTTTAGCTCTTGGTGGGACAAGCCACAACATTTTTCTAATTCCGCGATTTGAACACTCATATCAGGCTGTTGAGCTTGAAGTGTTTGCGGTCGGACGAGTGTTGATTCTACGAATGTTGATTCTAACGCTGGGTGGGGTTGCACTGATATACTTGGGGAAGCAATCTGTGTCGACACAGGTGTGTGGTGGATTGGAGATATCGGCGAGGAATCCTCTACCAATTTCCCTCCACGCCATAGTCTCATGTACGTGGGGTATTCCCGTACCTTGTCTCTTCTGTGAATTTGTTCAATTTCATCCTGCAAGAACTCACAAAGCGCTTTGCACCAAGTGTTTTCCAATTTTGCATCTTGGACTCGTCGTTCCGCCACTTGATATGCTTTTTGGAATTCGGATAGCTTGACCAAAAGTTTTTGCTCGTCATTCACCTCCGAAGGCGGGGACGGTTCTTCGGCTTGAGACACAAGGTCATCGACCTCTTTGCTCAATAGATCAGGGTTCTTCCGCATCTCAGACACCTGGAAATCAAAAGATTCTTTTGGACTGAGCCTGGCTCGACTTGGGGTCGGTGCATGCGGCGGAGAATCAGGTGGGCGCCAGTCAGGGTTTTCCATTATGTCTGCTAAAAGAGCGGCAACTCCTTGCTCATGTTGAAGGGATAGAGATCGATGTCGAACGAATATGTCGTTGAAAGAGATTCCATGGCAGTTATCAGTCATTGTCGAAGCATTGAAATTAGCGGGAGGATCCCAAAGTAGAGGACGAAGGATTGTCCCTTCCTCTTTGGCTACGTCGAGGATCTCATCGAAATCTCCCTCGTTACCATAGATTATGGCCTTACATTTTGGGTCCTTTAGATATTTGATGAAAAGCAATCCGAATGTGATATCAAAAGCCTTTTTCGTAGAATCGAGAGCAATATATTCGATCCAGGGACTCACCGAATTGAGTACGCCAATGAAGTCATTGAGAGCTTTTGAATTTCTACTCTTCGCTTGCTGCCAATCAGGATGATCAAAGCTATCGAGATATTTTGCTTTTTTGGTCGTGCTGTATATCATGACACAATATTGCTTCCAATTCGAGGATCGCGCCAGCGGACTAGATGGATCGGCCCACGTCTGGACCCATGCGTCCAGCCTTTGCTCCAAGAGTTTCACAGTCTTCTTAGGTCCGTAGTCGAGGATCGCCTCCTTCGTGAAAAGAAAATCATCTCCATTGACGAGAAGGAGTCCGTACTCTGAATGTAATCCGTGTATGTGAGCCTTCATGCGCTGTGTCTCGGGTTCTCCATTCCACCCTAGATCCTCGACTATTTTTCTGACATTTGATCTATCATCCTCCTGCTTTTGCAAGTCCACACGCATACGGGAGATCTCTGTTTTTTTCTTGGTCAAGGATTTCTGATATTGCTCGCCGTTCTTCTGCAATTCAGCACGTAAGGAACTGATCTCTGCCTGTTTTTCCCTCTCCCAAATCTCTTTCGTCTTTTTGATCTTCATCTCCATCTCCTTTTCGAGTTCTAGCTTCGCGTTGTCGATCTCCATCTGCTTTTGTTGCTGTATTTTAAGCGTTGCACGAGTCATCTCAGCTTCTTTCGCACGGAGACTCTGCTCTGATCGTTCCCTTTTGTCATTTATTTCTCCCTCTAGTCGACTTATCTCGTCGTCCTTCTTAGCCAGGTTCTTCCGTAGTGTTTCGCAATATTCCTGCGTCGAAGCACGTACGCTATTGATATCCACCGCTTTCACGACTTGATCTCTCCGAAGCTGTTCACGTAAGTTTTGCATTTCCAACCTGATTCGTCCTATTTCTGCTTCCTTCGCTAAAGTACCAGTTAGTAACTCATCGCGGTGTTCTTTGAGATTGAGACGTTGGCGTTCTGTTGCAGCAAGGTCCTTCTGGACCTCTGCCTCACCCTTCTTTTGTTTCATCAACTTAGCACGCAGGTCTTCGATTTCCTCCTTTCTTTTGGTGAGACATTCTTGCATCGCTTCACGATCGTTCTGTATCTCAGTACGCGCAAAGATCAAATCCGCTTTCGCTTCAGCGAGGTCTTGCTGAAGCTTTTCTTTACTCTCGTTCTGCTTGTGCATCTCAGTACGGATTCGATCAATTTCTTCTTCCCTCTCCGAAACCTGCTGTTGCAGAGCCTGCCGACTTTTCTGCATCTCGCCACGGATATGAACGATTTCTGCTTCTTTCGCAGCAACAGCGTTATGGACCCTTTCAGCCTCACCATCCATCTGCCTATGTAATTCAAGCCTGACCGTTGTAGTCTCTTGATCTTTCCTGGCAAGCTCTGTCTGAAACTGCTCTATCTTTCTGCCGCTTTCGATACGCAAAAGGGTGATCTCGACTTCTTTCGCCTCAACGCTCTTATTCTTCCTCTGCGTTTCGAGCCTTGCTCGCCCGATCGCTGCGCTTTTCTTCGCAATATCATTTTGAAATTGTTCGTACTTGTCTCCCATTTCGACACGTACACGAGCAACTTCTTCTTCTTTCGCGGCGAGATTCCTCGTCAAGCCTTCAACCACCTCCCCCTTTTCTTTCTCCATCGTCTCCCTAGCTCTTGTAATATCTCCATTCTTCTTGCCAATCTCGTCCCAAAAGCGCTTGCTATTCCTCGCCATCTCCCCCTTCATCTTCGCAATCTCTTCCTCTTTCTTCTTCACCTGTTCCCCCAACCCCTCCACAGCATCATGCCTCTCTCTCAGTGCCTCAGCACGCACGCGCCCGATCTCCTCGTCCTTTATTATGAGGTCACTCTGTTGCTGATCGCAAGAACTGCGTACACGACCGATCTCCTCTTCTTTCTCAGCGAGATCTTTCTCCAATTGTTCGCAATGCTCTTGCTCGGCAAGCGCAATATCCTCGAAAGTCTCTGCCTTTGCTTTTGCGGCAGCGAGATCGGACTCGATGTCGCAGAATTTGCGGCGAGGCATTTTATATATATTCTTGAAGAGGCTTTATGTGGCTGCGTGGTGAGGAATTGTCATTGAAGAGGTGCTTCGGGAGAGTGTATGCAGATGTAGGGTATAAGGAAGAGGTTGAGGGTACGCGTTGTTGAAGACTGGGAATGATGGAGGGTGGTGGGGTCGGTGTTGTTGAGATGAGCGTCGTTGAAGACGGGAGACTGGGAGTCGGTAGAGGTGAGATCTGAGAAAATTTCCTTGGGGTAGATTAGGAATAGGGTGGGATCTAGTATAGACACGGCGTTCTTTTGTTGTGGGGGCAATAGATGATAGTGCGCGTATGATCAGATGCAGAGGATAATTGTGGCAAAAATGAGATGATATGGAGGTAGTGTATGTAAACAAGATGAGGGGGTGGGAGGGAGGGACGAAGTGGCATCATCAACACTCAACGACACTGAAACGGCAAACCCGAATGGCAGCGGTGGATATATCAAAAAGGAGGGGTCGCACCTTCCCTTGAGAACAGCTCATTTTGGGAATGAGCACCCTTCTGGGATGTCTCGTTTGCTCATGCGGCTGCTCGCATGTCTACCTTAAAGCTGAAGCCATCGTGTCCAACCACGCGCCTTCAATTTCTACAAAGCTCTTATGCCTGGACCTCTGCAGCCGACGCTTCTTGATCTCCCTGTCCCCAGCGTGTGCGCTCATCACCTTGCGCCCATTCCTTTTCTTTATACCCAAGGCTTTCCTTGACCTTTGAGACTGTCTCGGAATCCCCGGTGTTCTTACCGACATTGTCACTGATCTTGATCGCTGGCCGCCCCGAAGCAGAGAAGAGCTTGATGACGATGTTGAGCGGCGCTGATTTCTTGCCGGTCAACATATGCACGAAGTCGTCTAGAGGTAGTCAATAAGGTCGTTCAAGAAGGGGGCTTCGATATTCTTACTAGTCAAATAGGTACCGATCCCGAAAGTTGGGGCGAAGCCTGCCTTTTCCGCTGCTTCTTTATATTTCAGACAGAGATCGATGTTTAGAGAATCAGAGAAGACAAGGGTCTTCTTGTCAGTTATGCCTTGACTATCATAGAAGTCACGCATGAGCTGTACGAATTCTAGCGGATCACCAGAATCTTGTCGTACACCAGTGAAGGTTTCGGCATAAGACCTCGGCTTAGCGTCCGAGTCATCGACCTTCAATGATGCTATGTTCGCCGGGTTGACATTGACGACAGTGCTGCTATCAGTAATGGCTGGGCGTGGTGCTTCGGGTCGCAGGGTTGTCGGTGATGAATCCATTTTCGCTTCAGCAATATTGGGCATCGCCTTCTTGAAAGCTTTGAGGAAGATTGGGGTTCCAAAGGTGTCTGTCAATGCAATGCCGAGCACACCCTCTCCAAAACATCCGACCCAGTATCTCAACGCAGTCTCACTTGCATGCTCATAGTCGTCTGTGATTGACGCAATCCCCATGAACCACTCGTGCGCTACCGTCCCAATTGGCTGTAGACCGTGCTTCATTGCAAAGTGAACATTGCTTGTACCGCTGAGCCTGCCAGATAGCCCTTTCTCTCTCCCCTCAGCCGCTGCTCTTGTCAAACCTTGCATAACCAATTCCTGAGTATGATAGTCGCGCCGTCTCCTGGTCCCAAACTCTGAGAAATTACAGCCATGTTCTATCAGAGTCGTCGCCTTTTCGTATGCTTTCTCCTCTTGCCCGTCACGATCCCAGTCTCTTTCACAGAAGCGAAAGTAGGCTTCGCTTGTCAATGCAAGTAAAGGAATTTCGTAGAGTATAGTGTCAAGCCATGCCCCTCCTACTTCTATCGAAATATCGCCCACATCACCTAGGCTTCTTGTATCTTTGACAGGTTTGAAGGTCATCTTGACTTGGCTAGCTGGGTTGAGCTTGAAGGTACCCAGGAAGCGAAGGTAGGTATCACTGAAGTAGGGACAGGTCTCCCGCAGGTATTGCTTCTCGTCGGGTGTGAGGAAGTGGTTGCCAAGCCCTGGCTCTCTGGTCAGCAGGTAAGCTCAAGAAGGAGTTGGAAGCGCAGCGTACTACTGACTTGCTCTCTGAGCCAATTGAAAGCGATTCTATTAAGCCGCATCTCTGGAGTGCGGTTCGTGAAGGCATACGTGACCTCTGCGAAGTATGAGTAAAATGCAACCATTGGTGGAGCTTCTGACGTACGGATGTCCGGCATGTACATTAAGATGGCACATTGCATCGTCAACTTATAAAGGTCTGTATCCAGCAGGGACACAACGCCCTCCGGTAGCTCTCCAAGCTCCGCCAGAGATGCCATATTGTGTGACCGAAGGGGGAATGGAAACGGGTAGAGATAGCGAGCGCTGGAAGAGCAAGATGATTCAAGGTGACGTGTTGGTGCAGGCAACACTCCGTCTGACACGCATCTTGCTCCTCCAGGAGACGTGAATCAACATGGTGACGAATGATGCTGATGAAGATTCCGATCTCGCACAATAACAGTGACTTGCATGACAAGGCAGAACGGACACTAATGTGAAGCTAAGATTAGATAAGATGAGCTAGGGCTGAGAAGCGCCATGACGAACAGCGATACAAACGTAGTTACCACATACTACTGACTCACCCCCTCTCTAGCTTTGTCTCAAAATCAAACCCTATGAACACTTCCAACCATGGGACATTTATCACTCCACCCTCTCCCTCTTTGTCTTGACGCATTCATATGACTTACCTCGAGACGAGGGGTTCTCTCTCCATGCTTCCTTCTCGTGAGGGACTGCTAGTGTTCGAAGTGGCTCGGTATCCTACGCTGGCTGTAGCTGGATTCAAAAGACTTGTTCCTTCTTCTGGTTGCGCCGGAGGATGCATTTCTCCCGGAGCTGTAAAATGAGGTTGTTGATTCTGACTATACAGCCAGCGTTGTTCAAGATCGATGCCTCGCTGCTCTGCCATACTCTCTGCTTGCGATCGAACATAGAGCAAGCGTCCATTCTCGCCATCTAGTCCAGCATAGAATATGACGAAAAAGATGCCGGCAAGACCACCAAGGGCCGCTGCCAACCAGAGAATACTTCCTTCACGTCTCATAGCGTCGGTTGGAGGACCAATCTCTACAGCTGTCTCTATGTAGCTGGATGTGACACCTGCTCTGCACCAACAGTTGTTCATAATCCCGAGTTGTGCGGTTACGATTGCGGAAACGACCCCAAGAGTCACAAGTGCGTCTCGGACATAGGAGAAATAATACAAAGCCGCAGTTGAAAAATCTAGACGACTCTTTTTATTCCACTTGATGCATTCTCCGAATATGTCACAAGCCGCGTTCACTACCCAACCACACACGATCAATGTCCATGCAAGCGAGCGGCATCCGAAGCCTATCGTCGGCGTATGATACGAGATTGTAAAAGCTGGTACCCAGGAGCAAATAACTGCGAAGATTGACACTGTGAGGAGCATCCAAATTGAGCGATCATCAATGTCATGAGCCCTCAAATACTTGTCTGGTCGCCACGAGTTGACGATGCCAGAATAGGCTCCTCTCTTCCCTATAGCGATTCCTGGCGGTCTCATAATGCTGCCGTCCTTGACGACGAAGCCGCGGCTTTGGAAACAATGTCCTAAGGGAAGGCGATTGGCGAAGACTACGCATAATCGCGAAGACCTCAATTGTGTGATCGAAATTACCCACATGTCCGTTGACGTAGACGGCGAAAAGGAGGAATGAGAAGAGCATAACAATCGCAAGCGTGTGAGCTGTCTGACTAGTCTTGCGCCTCTCATAATACTCCACTGCTCTAAGGTATCCGCCTCCGACCGATAGAAGGAACAATAGAATTGATACCCACGTTTGAAAGAATTTACGGCTGCGCTGAGCAGCCAGTCTTTGAGAGATGCTGCGAACTACGCAGAGCTCTTCTAGAGTCAAGTTATCGGTTTTTTGGATTGTTTGAATTCGGCGGCTTTTTTCTTTTATCGCCGTCCTAACTTTGCCACAAGGCAGACAGATGAAGTCCCAACAACGCCGGACTAAGCTCCTCGGGGGAGGTTGCTCATGATGGCCTTGTCCTGAGCCAGGATTCCTAAGTTCGTAAGTGCTTCGCTCCGAGCGAGGTGACTGTTGGTTATCTGCTATATCTTCGTCACTAGTATTCTCTCCTACACTTGATTCATCTAAGAGAGAACGATGTCTGACATCTGCAGGCCGCGTAGCTCTAGCTTTCATCTCCCTTTGGAAGTGATTTCTTGCATCTTGCCACCATTGATCATACACAGTGAGAATGGAAGCGACTTCACGAGACGCGGAAGGGACCATCTCGGCGCAAAGGTTGTAATTTCGACGGGCGACTTCTTGCCGCACTAGAATACTCCACAGCGAGTCGATTGGGTCTCCAACAAGGTGAAGGAACGTGAAAAATATGATCCCTATAGTGAGATCTGGTTTTCCTGAAAAGGCTAGGCCAAGCACAAACAAAGGAAAGATAAAAAGGGCGAAGCGCCACGCGATCTCGGATGCTGGCCAAAATTGGAACCCCGTACCGCAGAAATGTTCACATCCTTCGGGCGTAATGTAATGCCTGCTGGACTCATAATTTGAAAAGCCAGTCTGATTTGAGAAATATCCGCGATTGCCGGGCAATGTCCAAACACTTTCGTCCTGGGTAAGCTTCCAGCACGCATCGAAATCCGGATGACCCTTGCAGAGCTGCAGTAGCAGCATAGAAATGAGAAGGCCACTAGCAATAGCTGCTTTGGCCATCGAAGCTATAGGTCCCCTACAAATCAAATAAGAACGATTTGAGCAAGGACCTACGGAGTCAAAATGAAGGTTCTCGGGAAAGAAATGGTGGGTAAGGGAACTATATACCGAATCCAATGTGCAAGGCTGAAGCACCAAATGTCGACCAAAGCCCCTTCAAAAGCGGCAAGTGATGGACCCTCCAAAAGCGGCAACTTGTAGCAACTTGTATCCCAGCCCTTTACAGCCCCGCACTAGAGGACCAAATTCTGAACACGGAGCTCCAGCGATGATGCACCGGACTCTCGGCAAGAGAAGTCTCCTCCATCGCCAATGTCGCACAGCAGTACTTGGTTGGATGAATCGCATCTCGTACCAAACGTTTGTTGAGCGAGCGAGACTCTTAAATCAGATGGCGCAACAGCTGCCCATCTGCCGATCAACTAGCACCAAAAATCTTTCACTCACTGGTGCCCATACTAAGCCCACCAGAGCTTAGCTCCGACGTCCAGACAGCCCCAGGGCGCTCCTCTAGTCTACATTAAGGACAGCCAATCCGTTTGCGGCTGCCAAGCTCTATCATCGGCTAGTATGACGGTCTCACTAGGTCGATTAAGAGGACAGAGAGGCAGTGCTAACCGCTGCTCACTTCCCCTTATCTCGATTAACACGCCGCCAGAATCAGACTCTAGAGGCGGCAACAACGTGAGCTGCTGAGGATCGAAGATCAGATCCTCCAAATCGCGATAGCGAGACCGTGCATACCTATGCATGGATGGACCTTGGTAGATACGATCGCCAACGAATTTTAAGGCTATCGGATCCCGACCGCAACCCAAAATCGGCCTGCTACGGCGGGTCATTTGTACTTTGGCGCAATCTACATGGGAGTATTTGATGGTGCGCATGAAGGTCTGTGACTTGGCGTGTCCTCTTCTGATTCAATTTGATATGGAGAATGCTGAAAGCAGAGGTGAAAGCGGTCTAAGAACTATGATCACAATTATTGCTTTCATGTTGAGGTCGCACGCTGTCTTGAGGATCTCGTAGGGCTGCTCTGACTACTCTGTTTTACGAAAAGAGGGCGAGGTCATAGACGCAGGATTCTGACACCAATACTTTCCGAAGTACGTTGAGTCAAGGGCGAGATTTGCAGATGTATAGGGGCTCAGTGGAAACGAAACAACCATGACTGAAATCTGAGTATGAACCCAGGACTCGTTGAAAGTGCGAAAATGAAGTTCGAATGGAGCGCTGCTGTGTAGGTACAAGGTAAGGAAGTTCCATAGCACGACTCCTATCATAAACTATACTCACTTACTCTTCCAAAGGTGAGATGTACCGCCTACAAAATTTCAAGGCGTTGTTGATCATATTAGTCTTCGCTCCCGTCAACAGGTATCGCACCATGTCGAAATTCAACTCGTGAAGTTGTATCTGGCTGACATAGTTTCAGCTGGACCTACCATCCCTTGCACCATCAGATCGGACATTTTGATGCACAGCTGCGCCGGTGGAGTCCATTTCAGTGAGGACAGTGGACTGTTCTGCATAGCTTTGCGGGAACAGCTGATCCACCTGCTGGAGTTTCTCTTCATGAGCGAGATACCGAGAACGCCCTTGAATCACACAGCGTTCGCAAAGACAAGTGTTCATTTGTCCCACCGGGTCCGTATGATGAGCGAGCCGTTCGTTGCTTTCGTCGGTAAATTGAGAACCGATGCCCAGGAGGCAATTGTCACCGCTCTGGCGTAAGAGCAGGTGAGTGTTCTCATTTGCTGACAGCGTGTGTCCAGTATTGAAAAAGGTGGAGGAGCTACGTTGCGTGAAGACTGTGGCGTTTGATGTCCTGTATACTGCTCTCGCCTGCTCTTTTTCCTCTGGATTCTTGCGAGATCGAGGGTGAGTGAGGTTTGGCGGTACGGACGAAGTCTTGTGACACGTTCGATCTCTACAATGATGTGTCAGCCTGTTGCTCTTTTGGATGCCAATCAAGGAGTTGAGAGCAAGTGCCTTGGTGGGAGCTCGTACTTCTTGCTCTTTGTATGGTTCTGCTTAGGTGCCATTGGATCCACTTGTGCGAAGGTTGATTGCAAATAGGCGTCGAACTTCGAGCTGGAACAGAAGAGGGAGCTATCAATATATGTGGGCAACGATTCTACTGACTTTGGATGTCATGCAATGGATGTATGGAAGTGTGCCCTTCTGCGGTCCTTCTCACACATTTATAGCACTCAGTGGTCTGAGCACAAGGAAAATACCTCATTCACCAAGACGAGGCAACCATGATCTACCGCCGTAAGCATGATAGCCAGCTCAATAATGGCTGCGACCAACCAGACTTGTCAAGCCAACGGCATCCATCCCCCTATCCCCTGTCGAACCTTCCTCTCAAGTCCTAAGCGACCTAAAATCGAGAAAATCCGAGATGGGATGACAGATTCAAAACGGAGGCAGCTCTAGCGTGCATTGTCACGGTGTCTCTTAGAACCGTCAAGATTGCATCGGTCCAAGTACAATTGGTTGTTCGTCTTTTGTCAACCTCGACAGCTACGCGCATTCCCTTTCATTGGGCAAGCTAAGGGATGACGACGACGCACCATGTCCTCACAACCCGGTCTCATTGGGCATCTGAACGTGGCGTGGCTAAAAATTGATAAGGATGTCGCCTTCGCATTGTGGACCGGCTCAAAATCGATCCTGAAACCCCTACAGAACCTCATCGACCCTTGTGATTGGTCAGTGAACTTTTGTGAGCATATGTGAAAGGATGCCGAGTCAGCGGGGAGACTAACGACCCGCTGCAATGCAAGTCTCTCACGATTCAGGGTTAGTGTATTTATTTGGAGTCTCGAGATTGGCTGTTGCTCCTTTGTCGGCAGGTAGGAGATCTCTAAGTCTTCTCATTGGTGCTGCGGATGCAGGCGAGTAGTCCACACTCGCTGCCCGGAAGACGGACTGGATTATCTACACCCCGGGCTTGGCACGCCTGTCTACCTTATCTTGACAGCACATTGCTGCACGTACCTTGCTTCTTTTCTCACCGAGAGTTCTCACAACACGTCATCTCAAGGCCTTCCCATCCCTGTCGAATCTCCATCCTCCCAAAGGATCTTACACCCCGACATTGTGGACGCCAAGGTCAATGCCAGCGTGCACGGTCACTTATTTGGGGGAGAAGTCGCCTGAACTTCTTAGCGTGCGCCCTGCTTAGGTGTACTACCATGCAAGGGGTCCATCTCCGCCGTTTGCCTGGTTGCCTACATACGAAAGCTGGCTTTCTCATTGGCCTTGTTTCAGCGGTGGACCTGAGCCTTCTCCACCCTTCGCAGCAAATGGAGGACCTACCCCTTCGCTGATACTTAGGCGACCTTGCCCACTTAAGAAAAATCTCTTCAGATTTATGACCTTCTCGTCATCTCCAGGCATGCTCACCGAGAACTGATCAAGGCTTTTCTTTCAGCATCGTGATTCTAAACGGACGTCTGTATCACTTCATCCATAATGAGTGGCTAAAATGTGCCTAACCCTCTCTACGAACTAGACCTTCGTGCTGCCCTTATTCACAACCCCAAAATTTACACACACATAATAGAGCATTGAAGACCTGATTTTATAGCGATCGCTAGCCTTTGTGGTCTACTTCCCCCCCCCCCTGGGCTCTGAAGAAGTGCCATCATGGACCTTGCAGATCAAGGAAACATAGCTGCTTCGCTACTCAATGTGCCGTTTGGCCAGAGGTGGGAGCTTCTCAGACCTGTGATCGAACGATTGTACGTCGAAGAAGGTAGAAAACTTCCTGAGATCTTGACGAGGGTTAAAGATCAGTACGGGTTCAGTGCTGCGTGAGTTAATCAAAGCATACTCGTTACTACACCCAGCGACTGCTGAGACCATCTGACTTTTAAAGTCAATCCCAATACAAATACCAGATCAAAAAATGGAAGCTCAAGAAGAATACACCAGCAATGAAGAAGGAAGCAATGTTTCGTGTTGTTAAGGCAAGGGCAAAAGAAGGGAAGTCTTCTGTCTTGACCCGTGGAGGTGAAAACATCGATACGAAAAACTTTGTTCGGTATTTCAAATCTCAAACCCGGAATGAGCTCAGATTACGACCAGCTGCACACAAAGAGCATGCAGATCTGCAATGGACTTCGGTCCATTTCAATCATCAATTTGGTGACAGGATGTGAGGACTCCCAAATCTCAATAGTATGATTCAGCTTACGAATGATCAGCTTTATGAATTGGAATATGCCGTACGGGATTCTGAGGACATCTTCGACTCGGACAGGAGATCATGTCTCACCACTTAGTGATATAACAGTTGCCACACCATCCTCCGTCCAAGGACCGCCTTCTTCTTTGACACAAGTCATCAAATTGATGACGGCTACTGAACGAGCCCAGCTTTTTGTACAAGGAAGACATAATGAACTTCTCCAATCGATGGAGAAAGCTCAGAGGCTGTAAGTACAATATATATCAGGAAGCTGCGCTTTTGACAAAGGCCTAGTACAATGTCAACGTGGATGTACCAATTCTGGCTCTTCTCTTTCAAGACTGCGAAACATTGGGGCCGAGGACCTCAGGACTGGACTGCAGACATCCTCGGCTTCAATGAGTATCATCAGAAAAGAACGATAATGACATCTTTGCCAGGCACTCCAGAAGGTAGCGTCTCGACCCCAGCGTCATATCCAACTCCACAAGAGGGTACAACACCAAATTCACGATTGCGATTGGGATTGCAGCCCTCATCGTTATGCAAATGGAGCATTCATTGCACTCCTGTGAGCTACCAAAAGATCCCGAGTCCTCCGCCTTCAATCAACCAAGAACTCGACTTTAATGACGAGGAAAGTTGGCCGGTATGGCCGAATAATCCTGAAGCCGGCGTTTTCACGGAGAAGCTAATTGACGGCATTGAAAATAATCATTTTAGTAGCATTCAAGCCAACAACCTACCGATCACTACCGACCAAGTCGCCAGTGCCGCCAGGGGCTCGCCAGAAGAGCTTTTGAAAGAAAGTATTGGCTTCAGTATCATGGGCAGGAATGAGAGACTTCTAGAGAAACTTTTGAAAGACAAGGTAGACCTTGCAGCTACCGAGCTCTATCCGTTTCACCTTGCCGTTAGCTATCTGGATGGTTCGCAAACGTGCTGTTCCATAATTGAAACCATCTTAGCACTACAACCACTATCTCTTCGCAAGCTGTTCGTAAACCATCTTGGACACACCGTACTCGACCAGCTCATGATCTGCATTCTTAAATCACACACTTCTTGCTTGCCATTTGTGGTAGATGACATCTTTAAAAGGGATAAGCGCTTCGAGGGAGAGGATGTCAGCATCTGTGGACGCTGGGACGCAGATTCGGACTGTGTTAAGAATCTCCTCGCACATGGAGTGGCTGGAATACCCTTCGAATGGAAGCACATGTTTTGTCATACTTCATGTCAGACGATCTGCGATTGTATTGGATCCATTTTTGGCCCGCCATGGGGACCAGATGTCAATCATCCAAGTGGGTTGTTCGGAAGGCGCTGCACACAATGCGGTGCAAAACTTCAACCTCTTCCGTTACATACATTGATTCTAGTTGCACTTCACCTCTCTGTATCAGGTCGCGAGGGCGAGAATCTATTTGGCATACTTGCTTGTTTGGTTTGTCTTCTGCGATATGGAGCTAATCCTAATTTATCTGCAGAAATATCCCTGAAAGCTTTGATAGGCGACGAAGATGTGAACGGGTGCTCACACCGAGCGTTGGATCCTCTTCAGCTCGCTGAAGAATTATTAATCAGTCTGAAACCAGCTTGGTCTGAAGAACTTGACAGGGGCTGGCAAATTCTTTGCAACACACTCAGGCTCGCAAAAGCAGACACGTCGAATGACAATCGTTCCAATATAGAAAAAAATGAGAAGGTCGCTGATGAATATGTTGAGTTTTGGGGGACTGGAGAGCGTACCGCAGGCATTGAGATGTACCTCACTGGAAATGATTCTGGTACTATTCGCTGCCCTTACCAGGGACAAGATCATACCAAACCTTTTGGTGACAGTAAGATTCTGGGATCACTCTGGGCCGCCATACAGACGGAATTGCTGACGTACAGACGCCTCAAGGAAGGAGATCCATGGATATCGCCGAACTTTGACATGCGCGTTGTGGAGCTGGATCTTATGACTGGACAAAAGCTTACAATTCCGCTTCTGCAGAACGGTATGATCAGGCCATTTTGCTGCTGTGGCAATTTCCCAGGTGCAATTGCCACAAGCCCAACAGCCACTGATGCAACGACCTATCATTTCTCGAACCTTGAGGATTGGAAGCGATCCACCTTCCTATACAACCATGAAGAACGATATGACTCATGGTACTACAACCCCCAGGAAGATGGCGCCCTGGATGATGGACTGTAAGGTGAGAGCAGGATATTCAATGGAACGAACAAGGCTACGAGATACTTTTACCACGTACGTGCGACTTGGTCGAGCATTCTCAGAAATGGCAGTACTGAAATGTACATGACGAGCCACATCAATCTACATGCTTCTAATGCATCGCATTCCCAAGAAATCATCGAGCCAACAATCAGTCCTCTATTCAAATCATGGAGCTACAATACAACATGCTGCATCAGTATGTAGAGGCAAATCCCTCGTCGGAAGCTACTGATCGCACAAACAATTACAAGCCTGCAGTCCATCAGTAGTGCCATAGCAAGTTTGAAATTCGGCCCCAAGACCGCATGGGTTGCCTCATAGCAAGCTGGGTTGAGACTGGCAGTGTGCCCGAAGGCGAGGAAGGTGAATTTGCGAGCACACTCCGGTCCACGGTGGGAGAGAATGGCTAGGCCGCATCTATGTATGTACCATACCTTTATTCACCCTTCCAGACAACTTTTTCAGTAACTTACGTATATTTTTCTTGCTGTAGTACCAGCAATGCTCTTCACCCACCCGGACTATCGCTGACGTAGAGCGGCTCGACAGCTCATTGAACAGGGCGTACGGGAAGCTGGTCGTCTCAATCCTGAGATATAGATGGAGGCCACTGATGCGGGCAAGCCCCTCTACGAGGCGTGTGCTTTCAAGTACGTACGTATGAACTATTGGAAGACAGAAAAGAAAGATCCAAGCCCGCGATGGTCAGAGCTGGAGAAGTATATGGACACACCGGTACCGAACCATCTGATGTGGCGACAGGCTCGGGGCGTAGACAAAGCGCCATCAGAGCAAAGACAGGAGTAAGGTACAAAAGGTCTTACATTTCTTACACCTATGCATCGCGGCCATCCCGAACCATGTCCCTCCTCGACGCTACATTGTCTGTTTGCTATTGGGCTTTTGGTCCGATGGTGAATTTCCAAATCTAGATGCCACCACTGCCTAATAAGGTGCAATCTCTACAACGGGACCACGATAAACTTTCCTCGCATACACGAAATAATACACCACTGCGAAGATCATGATCGTTCCCGTCATCAGACATGCAAAATTCATATGCGCCGCGTCTGGGTGCACTGCCTGTGGGAACAAACTGAAAATGAAGACTATGATTCCATAGCCCACTGCGAACGCTATACGTCGTTTTATATCATTAGCCAGTTGCTCTGTAGAGACGCCTTTACCTCCCATGGGCAGCTTTGCAGCTTCGCAATCCCAACGACACTTCTACAGCAGGAAGCGGATGGACATACCGTTCAGCAAAGTCCCCCAAATGCCTGGCACCCGGAATGGTCCCCACACAAGCTCATTAGCATTCCAGGTCGTCCCTGCCATTTGCCCCGGAAGTCTTATGGTGCCCCTTATGCGATGCCAAAGTAACAACATCTCTGTCAAAACATAAGAAGCATAGAGGCTGCTGACCCCCACGGAAATAACGTCATTGAATGCCGTCGCGCTCCCAATGTTTATAAGACCAATGACGCAACTCACGAGGCTCATCACCCCAATCGCATACAATGGTATTGCTGCACTGGAAACCGTACTCATCGTCTTCCAGAATGGCAGGCCTCTATCTCTACCAAACGCAAACACGATCCGTGAAGAGGTTGCCAAGAACGCTATGGCAGCGCATATCATCATGATAATGATGATGCAGACCATGATCGTAGCACCAGCGAGGGAGCCCGTAGCGTCGTAGAAGATCTGCATGAAGGGGAAACCAAGTTCACCAGTGGAGGATTCGAGCACCGAGTCAATGTCGATTGTAACGAACAAGACAGCAAGCAGAATACCAAAGCCGAGGATGCCGTTCAGAAGGGTTGTAGTGACGAGACACCATGGTATTACGGTAGTAGCGGAGTGGATTTCCTCGGCCATCTGCATGGCAATATTAGGAGCCAATAGATTGGTGGTGGGAGAGGATAGACTTACATGGACAGCGCAGTCGGTGCCTGGATACTCACTCACTTAGCTTCACAGGGGGCCTGCTGGGTATTCTAGATTTACGCACCGTATGTAGCGAAGACACTGCCGAGCATACCGACAAAGACTGACATCGTCGTACTGGGCCACCCACCCCCGTTCTCAAAGACAGTAAAGACATCCTTCGCAGAGACTTTCTTATCCGACATCTTCCCCAATCAGCATGAAATGGTACATAGAACTCCCTCACAGGAAACTTACAGAAACCAACGGAATCAGAATAGCAAAGAACCCCGCAATATGCACCACCAGAACAAAGCTCTCCAACTTCGGCAACACCTTACCCGCATACATATTCACCAGTATCGCCACAGCCATAACCCCCCAAAACGCGAGCGTCCCCTGCCACAACTCCACCCCAAAGCCCGGATAATTCAGCTTCGCCAACGCCAACACCATATTCCCCCCAAATACCCACTCCCCGCCAAAATAGCCTGCCACCCACAAATAACCAACCATCCCATACAATAACTGACAAACTTCCTCGCCCCCGGCGGGGCTAGCATGAACGCCCAATGATACTGCCCCCCACTCGTCGGCGCCATCGACGCCAGTTCCCCCATCGTCGTAAACACGGCAACACTGCCCGCGAAGGTGAAGAGGTAGCTATAAATCAACCCGGCGGAGCCTCCGTTCGTTAGCCCGAACGTAAACACGATTAGTTCTGCTTCCCAGGTTATTAGGATCGTGCACGTGAAGCCCAGCATCGAGAGGAAGGTGAAACGACGCTTTAGAGTGGGTTTTTTGCCGAGGCGGGCGAGGGCGCGGTCGTCGGCGTCGGAGGGGGAGGTGAATTCTACTTCGGTGGATAAGGGGGTGGTGGTGGTGGGGAGGTGCTTTTCGTCCGTGATGAGGGCGTCGGGGAGGACGTTGCCGTGGATGGTTTCGTGGGTTGGAGTGGCGTGCGCTTTTTCGGGGGATGCCATTGTTGTTACTGAATAGGTTGGAAGGGGTTTCAAAGGTATTTTCTGGTGAATCCGCGGAGGGCTATGGGGTATGAGTTGGAAACCGATGGCAGAGCGAGGCAGCTCTCTTATTTCAATATTTTTTCCTTGGGTTGGGTTGGGTTGACACATGGCGCCGTCCTCACTCGCCGCTACCGACATTTCGAAGCGCATGCACTGCGAAATCACTGACGCTTCAGCAAAACCCAATTCGATATCTTAGTGCTGCGACTACCGACCCGTCCAATGAGGAAGCCCCAATATTGCGATGTTGACGTGCGTGTACATGGCGGGGGCTTGGGAAGGATTCGTGGCTGCATTGCTAGGGCCGGACTAGGCACACCGCCCATTGATAAATGCCAGGCTTGACTTCAGATGCCGGTAACGATCACCTGCATGATCTTTTGTGGTATTCTGGTTTTTCGTGGAGGAGGGGGAGGCGTGGTGGGATACGTGCTGGCTGTCAATAATGATTGAGTTTTTACTGTGGATTGCAACTTGTAGGGGGTGGGGGTGGGGCTGGACTACTAGAGAAGTCATAGACGCAGAGTCCAAGCTTTCGCTATATATTAAGCTTTTCGCGGTCCCTGAGGTAGTGGATGGAAAGATTGCAAGCGAAGTATGCCGTCGATGCAACAAAGCATAACTCTCTCGAAAAAACCGGAGTTTAAGCGGCGATGGCATTGAAGGAATCACTCCTATGCTCCACCAAAGATATCTCTTGCCCGCGTTCCGGTCCCGCCCCGCCCCGCCCCGCCGCTCTCGTAACCACCATCCACGCCCTTGGTCCTGAACGTCTAGGCTGCCTCCCTTTTGTGGGTTCAGTACCAAGTCACTGGCAAAGTTCCCTTTCATTTGCCAAATTTCTTTTCACCCCGACCGTTGGGTGACGACATTGTCTTCTCCATTGTCAAGACACCCACCTTTTCACTTTACCTTTATTTGATGTCAACCCCCAGGTCTCTTTTCCCCCTCCCCCTGGGCAAAAGAGGTGACGCGCTAGGTTGTCAGGGGCTTCAGGGTGAATGAGAGACGCTTTTTCGGATTTTCGACAGCCATGCACACGATGTGGTATATTTGAGTTGTGAAGGACGAGTTGACGGAAAATTATGGTGTTGAGGCTTGGTTGTTGAAGGTAACGCCGTCAGGGTGACAAATCAATAGCTCCCATTCAACTGTCATTGTTAAGGTAATGTAAGGTATGCGTTCAGGCTAAGCTACCGGAGGACTTCGGTAAAGCTTAGCTGTCAAGGCGATCTAGACCTGTCAGCGCCTCCCGCCTCGCCTCCGTTGAGAGTTGATTGGGCCGGGTGAGAGATTCACAAGATCGTCCGTGATGCTGGATCTAGATCCCTCTAGCAAGGACTGACTATGAATGGCCATCGGTGAAGCCTGCAATGAGGATTTATCCCGTCTGTGAGGTCCACTTTAGTCCACTGTGGCTGACAGCTCGCGCGCATGTTCTTGTCAGCTGCTGCTGGCTGGCGTGCGTGCTATGAGAGCCTCTGGTGGTGAGTTTACTGGTTGTTGGTAGCGATGAGGATTAGATTTGGAGCGCCGATAAGGTTCTGTTCGGTCGTCGAATGCAGCGTGGAGTCTTCCACCGTGGCGTAGATTCGTTTAAATAGGAAGGGGTTTCTTCATGGCCTCGACAGACTTCATCGGTGATATTTTCCGGTTCTCTGCCCCAAGCCTATAAACATTTCTTCGTCGACAATAATGGCGCCCCAAGCCGATACCCCCTTGCCGCGACCATTCTAGGAACCATCGGCACTGTGTTCTGGAGCATCCAAATGCTGCCCCAAATTTACTTCAACTATAAGTTGAAAGATACCGAAGGCTTGCCTGCATTGATGATGCTTTTGTGGGCTCTTTCGGCAGTCCCATTCGGTGTTTATGCGTTCGTACAGAAGTTTGCCCTCCCCTTACAGATTCAGCCGCAGATCCTTTGAACGTTGGCGCTGGTGTGCTGGGCGCAGATTGTGAGATATGAACATGAGGTTTGCAGGAGCCGAGAATATGCGTGTGCTGACGTTTGGGTTCGGAAAAGCGGATGGAAGATCTGGAAAGCTGCGTCGGCGGCTGTGGCCATGGGTGCGATCTTTGGAGGGGTGCAGTTGCTGTTGGTGTTGACGTTGAGGGTATACCTTCTCGGCTTTATCAGCTAAATCTTCGATGTTGACTGCAGTCTTCAAGAGACCGTATGAGCGGGGAGTTAAATGGCCAATGCTGGCTATCGGTATTATTGCGGCTATTGTGTTGGCTGCTGGCCTACTCCCCCATATTTCGAACTTTGGCAACGCAAAGGAAGAGTTATTGGTATCAGTACGTTCAATTGTTCTGTTGAATTTCAAGGCTTTGGCCCCCAGAGGTTGTATGCTGGACCTAACAATCGATTGATCAGACTTCGGTTTTCTGACTATCGACGTGCTTGGTGCATTCTTCTCACTGATGGCTCTGGGTAACTCTTGCTTTTCTTCTTATTAGTCCCCCACCTGCCACATCCCTGAAAACCCCCTAGCAATACTTCCGACTTTTTGACAGATCTCAATACTGATCATGACTCTGTTTAATCATTCGCGCAAAGTCAATTCGATCCTCTAGGCTCTGTTCTATATCTGGTTTGCATCGTCCTCGAATTGGGCATCTTCACATCCCACGCCATCTGGCTCATCCGCACGAGGCACCTTCATAGCGCGCCAAAGCCCTGAAGGTCCCTTTCGACGCTCTCGATGAGACTGAAGAATATCGCACACCAGTGCTGAGACGAGGGAGCATTGCTTTCAGTCGCGGCATGAGTGACGGCACACTAGGACAATATCAAAGGAGAGCGTCGTTATCAGACGCCTTGGGAGATCCTGCAAGACGAGCCACTGTAGATGAACATCGGAGGAAAACTCTTGCGAGAATAGGAGGTAAAGCTAGCGTGGGTTCGACCAGGCTAGGAGAAGATGTGATCGTAGAAGAGGAGGAAATATCATCTGAAGAGAGTGGAGTAGACCCTGGGACGAGGCAAACGGACTCTGGTGATGTGGATCTTGAGCGTCAAGGCAATTATGGGACGATTGATCCAGAGCAAGGAAGTAGCAAGGGCAACAAGGATAGTAAGAGAAAGCCGCCGCCAGGGAGGGGTGAGTCGTACTTCAAGGAGATGAGTTGGGAGTAAACTCAAACGACGCAAAGATCTCCCCCATCTCTATATTAGGCTGAGTGACATTCTGTAGTAATCTCCATTGACAAGTAGCTGGCTGTACCTCAAGAAAAAAGCACAAGCCTTCACTGACTGTTGCTGCCTCGGTCAATGATGGTCTCGATAATGCTGGGAAGCGGGTCGCAACCATATATTGCACTGCCACATTAAATGCTCATCAGGCCCAAAGTATTCATTATTCTAGGCCTCAGTGAGACTGAGCACGATTGAATTGCTGAAGGCGAACATTTGCTCCATTTGAAAGAGCCCCAGATGTCTTTTCCTCTAGCCAGATGTCAGAGTACCGTCATTTGCCTTCGCCGTTTGGCAGGTCGTTGAAGGTCGGAGATTTGAGAATCTAGAGCAGACCTATATATCTCATTGAAGAACACCGCATGGGTCTGGCCAATGATGCTTTTGATACGAAAGTGAACTTCCGGAAAGTTGACCGGAGACTCTGTCATGACTAAGCATTAGATGATTGGCTCAGAGCCTTTAGAGCTATCGGCTGACCTTCCTTTTCTACCCTTCACTCATCGTGATTGCCCAAAACTTCTACCTCGCCTGTTTCTCGTATCACTGCTGCATCACATCGAGGTCTAGGACTGTTACCCGACTAGGACTAGAATAAGAAACCTTGAGACGGCCCAACATCGTCACCTCAACCCCTATTCTCATCCCACGTCTCCCCTACCATCCTTCACAATGGCACCTGCACCAGTGGTCTCCACTTACGAACCAGACCTTGACACTCCCTCACCTGACCTCGACCCTAACACTCAAGTCCCTCTCAACACGATTCCCATCTCACCAGCCGGTGTGCATTCAAGCGACTCTGCAAACGGCACGAATGGTGTCACGAAATCCCCAGGAGAGCCGATTACCGTTCTACACGACAAAGACAACTTCAACGTCAAGCACCCTCTGATGAATGAATGGACACTATGGTTCACGAAGCCTCCGAGTGGAAAGGTGAGGCTTCGCAGAAAAAGAGTTCGACTGAGCACATGTTGATGCATTTACAGGGTGATAATTGGAATGATCTGTTGAAGGAGGTGGTGACATTCGACAGCGTAGAGGAGTTCTGGGGAATCTACGTATGACTTGAACTGGGATGATAGGTCATGAAAGATGCGCTGACCCACGAGGGCAGAACAACATCACACCTACATCGGAGCTTGCGTTGAAGAGGTCCGCCTACCTCGGACCAAGTCGTATGCAAAGCTGACTCTTTACACCAGTGACTACCATCTCTTCAAACGTGGTGTCCGGTACGTTTAATACATTGCTATTCTTCAGACTTGCTTCAAAAGCAACAGTTGCTGATAGGCTTCACAGACCAGAATGGGAAGATCCACAGAACAAACACGGAGGGAAGTGGGCATACCAGGTACGCGCACACAGTCGCATATTCAACGCCCAACCTTGTGGGTTTTCAAACATCCACATCTACTGACACCCGTCGCAGTTCAAAGACAAGCGCTCCGCCCCGATCGACGAGCTCTGGCTCCACGTCATGCTCTCTGCAATCGGCGAAACGCTCGAGAAAGATGAGACAGACGGCGAAGTAATGGGTGTGGTGGTGAATGTTCGCAAAGGCTTCTACCGTATCGGTCTGTGGACGAAAACTGTGGGCAAGGCGGTTCAGAGTGGTGGAGACGGCGACGTCGCAGGCGGTAAAGGACGCAGCCCCGAGAAGAGCAAGGATATCCTGATGGGGGTTGGACGACGATTCAAAGAGGTCATGAATTTGAAAGACGCGGAAACGGTCGAGTTCTCTGGACATACGGACAGTGCGCATGCGGGGAGTACGAGGGCGAAGGCAAAGTTCGTCTGTTAAGTTGGGGAGGGGGAGGATTCGAAGGGACAGAAGCAAGAGAAGGTCAAGGCGCGAAGAGGCCTTGAAGCGAGGGGCGTGAACATGGTATGTATATATGTATGCTGCGCGATCTGGCTTCTCGGGTGCTGACCTTGAGCAGTTTTATCACCACATCAGTATCTAACGAGAGAGAGCCTATTGTGCTTACAATGAGCGATGTGAGCATTAGCTAGGCGCATGGATATCGAGGTCATTCTCTTCAGATGCCGGTGTGCTGCACGAAATGATAGACACAGAAAAACAGCTAGGCAGATATTATTTCCACGGTACTGAACCAGCAATGCTCTGTCCCCGACCATTACTTCGACCACCTCAAATAGGCAATACCCTCGAGCTGCCCATAACCCCATCTAAGCTACGGACCAAACGTCCGGCTTGGCCTCTCACCGTCCGGAGGTAAGGTGCTTACGGCGGTAGACTCCCGCAGGAACCATCCTTACCATCCTTACCAGGGCCATATCTGCATGCTTTTACTAAGCTGCATATTTCAGCTGGAAGCCTTCTTTCCAGACACCTTCTAACGCAAGCCACAGAGCGGAGGAACTCATCTCCCGCCCCTTGGCAATATGGGTAATCAAGCCCTAGGGCAGGGCAGGGTCGGAGGACTAGATGGCTAAACTCCGCAGAAGCCGAAGCCACTGTTTGTGGGAGATGATGATGACGTCGATGCGGAGGGCTTTTGCTATTGCCTGATTGGAATCTGCCTTCTTTGATATAAATCTGTGCGCGCTTGATCAATCGTGTGTTCAACTTTCCTATTCGATTGATTGTGGACCTGATTGCTTGTCTCACAGACTGAATTCTTCCCATAACTGAAAAACTGCACGAGATAATCAGGCAAGATGTCGGCTTCATTCCTCTTCAATTTTATTTATAGCCAATGGTTCGTTACTATGCCTAAGCCGCAGAAAGACCACACTGGCGAGGTGAGCTTCACCATCCACTCCTCTTCCACTGTCCCTTCTGTCTCTACAACCACTACCACCACACCCCCATTCCCATCATCCTGTCAACACCTCCTTCTCGTCTTCCTTCCCTCTCCCATCCCACCCCACCCCACTTCCTCCCCCCCAACACCAACCAGTCCACCCTCATCCCTCTAACACCATCCAGACCATCATCGTAACCGGCTCCAACATCGGCCTCGGCCTCGAAGCAGCCCGCCACTTCACATCTCTCAACGCGGCAAAAGTCATCATCGCAGTCCGCACAATCTCCAAAGGCGAAGAAGCCGCCGCCTCCATCGCCGCCTCCACCGGCCGCAAAGGCGTCGCTGAAGTCTGGCAACTCGACCTCTCAAACTATCAATCCATCAAGGACTTTACGAAACGCGTGCAAGGGCTGGACAGGTTGGATGCGATTGTGGAGAATGCTGCGATAGCGACGCCCAACTTTAGGGTTGCTGAGGGACTGGAGCAGACGCTTACGACGAATGTTACGGGGACCTTTTTGTTGGCGTTGGGTGTGCTGCCGAAGCTTAGGGAATCGGCGGCTAAGACGGGGAAGCCGGGACACTTGGCCATCGTGAGTAGTGAGGTGCATTTCTTTACGCAGTTTCCGGAGCGGAAGGGCGTGAATAGGGGGAAGGCGAGAACATGTTGGATGCGCTTAGTGATAAGGGGAGGGCTGTGATGAGTGATCGGTAAGTTTCCCTCCCTCCTCCCCCGTTCCCCCTTTCCCCCCTTCCCTTCCGCTTCTCTATCATCTCTTGCAAGCGTACCGTTCTCGAGTTGACCAACCAATCACTAACACCATACCCCACCTCAAAGCTACAACGTCAGCAAACTCCTCGAAGTCTTCTTCACGCGCGAACTCGCGAAACGATCGCCCGCCCGCAATGAGAAAGGGGCTGTGATTATCAATTTCCTCAACCCGGGGCTCTGCCATTCGTCCCTGTCAAGAGAGGCGCCCTTCATGCTGGAGGTGATGAAGTTTTTGCTCGCAAGGTCGACGGAACATGGATCGAGGACTTTGGTCAATGCGGTCGAGCAGAGCGAGGGGAGTCATGGTGGGTATTTGAGTGATTGTGGGGTCGTGAAGTGAGTTGTTTTTTCTTTCTTCCTTTTTATTCTTTTTGATGAGGGGGGGAACGGGGCTAGGACATCAGCTATCCTCGAACAGGTGGAGAGCGAGGTCTTGCTGACGGCATCAATCACAGGTGTGCATCCCTAGTCGAAGGCCCAGAGGGACCAGAAATCCAGAAATGGGTCTGGGATGATATCTCGAGGAAGCTGGAGGAGATTCAGCCGGGGATTATGGGGAATGTCTGAGCAGGACTTCGGAGTGGGATAGCCAATTTTTTGGAAGTCGCTTGCGCGCACACGATCTGAACAGCACAATGAGCCGATAACAGCTGGAAGTCTTGTAAGATACTCGGGAAATGAAGTCGTACATACAATTTGGACTTGCTGAACTCGTCGGATCGCAAAGGAATGGTGGGAAGATGGTCTGGTAATTCATCGCTTCGGGCGGCATGGATCGCTAGATATAGCAATAAATCGTCAGATGTTCATGTTCGCGAGGTCTACCCATGTGGCCCCGGCCTTGATAGCACATGACTTCGCGCGCGCAGCGCTGGGTGAAGCTGAAAAGAACCGTATTTGTGTGCGATGTATGTACGTGGCGAGTGTACAAAGAGCGTTCGATGATATAAGTTGGCCCACCGCATTTTCTATTGTGCAAACGAATTTTGTTTGGGATTTTTTAAATCTTGGGGCTGGTGGGGCTCTGGGATTTGATTTTACAGAAAGGAATGCCATGTCGTTGATGCGAAATTGTACCCCGTTCTTAATCCGGCGAGTCAAGGGTCTACTGGAGAAGTATACGCTTCGACTTTATGAGAAGACGAGGATGGCTGAGTGGAAATCTCTCTCTGGGATTAAGGGGCTGAAACATTCGCAATGGATATGTCGAGATGTTTTGCTTCCACGAGCGTTGGAGGCTCTGAGGTACATGGGATACGTTGGATGTATGTTCGACGCGTGTTCGTCCTTGATGATTATCATTATCTTTGTACGAGCGAGAATGGGCCTACGGTGGTCTGAAGGACTTCGCTCTTTTATGCTGACTCTCTGGGTCTCTAGATACGGTTGGTTTGCTTCAAGCCAGCCGTAACGCCACCCTGACTGAGCTCTTGAGGTGGTCCACTCACTGTTCCCACCCTCCGCAGTTCAGTCCACCAGCTCTTTTCATCCCACCCATGCCTTTCGAATTCTCGTCCCCCGACTGCGAAGATCAGCCGCCATGCCATGACTGCTTGATTAGAATGCCTGAGCCGGAATCAGAGCCGGTGGAAGCGAGTCGCGCTGGAGAAAGTGATGCAGATGGGGAAAACACACCGCTACTTCCAACAGCGGAAACGCCTCGAGCAGCCGACAGAGAAGGGGGAAGTACGTCATTCGCAACGATGCAAATACCAGCACCAGAACCTTTGCCAGACGGACTGGGGCCAGCATGTGTCCTCTGTTTCTCGAATTGCTTTGACCTATGGTGGGACATAGCCTGCGCCGCTGTCGAAAATGTCATCCTTCTCTGGGCTCTCTGCATCTTGTTGCCGTACTCGAGGATGTTTTGGATTCTGTATCTGCAGGTTATGGGGATACCGGTTGATATGCTCATGTCTGGTACACATTGGGTCTTTGGGATGATTCCTCTGGCGTTGCGAGCGACAGGCGAATGTCGCCCGAGGGCAATATGGTTCAGCCTGATTGGAGTTACGGTATGGTTGATTTGGCTCGCATACGGGACCGGGTGGCCAGACAGTGGGGATTCTTATTGTGGGTACTGTCGAAGGGGGTGGTGGGGATGATGCTGATGAAGGGTGTAGCGGCTGTTTATGTGGGCACTGCGACGGGGTCTGCAACCGCGACGCTGCCTTCGGTATAATGTACTATATGTGGTGAACCAATTGCGCTGGAGAATAGTTGGCAGCAAGTGATCTTTGTCTAGTTCCTTTTCGGGTTGGGTGGGCGATATAGGTGGGCCGCAAGGGGAAGAGATAGCGCGCAGATAGGTTTTTATGCTGCTCGAAGACATCTCAAGGTATTGGGATGCTCACGAAGAACACTTTGCTCGCTGAATGCCTTCACTCGTAGAATTGTCGCCCGCTAATCGTGCAGCTAATCGAACAAATGCTTGTAACCAGTGACCTAAGATAGAAATAGCCGTATTTTGCATCCCATGGATTATCAATGCCATATAGAGATTCCATTTATACTGCACCCTCAGCTCTCGCCTTCCTCCACAGTATCTGCTCTTCACCTATCGTCTGAGTCTTCAGCTGCAACGCATGTATGCCCCCCTCTTTCTTCAATTCGTCATTCAGCACTGTGTAAACCATACGATGCCTCGCTGGCTGGGTCTTCATCAGAAAATCATCAGATGTGATCAACACGCGAAAGTGTGTCTCTTTGGAAACACTGCCTGCCATTGCGGTGTGGTGGGCGTGGGAGGCGGAGTCGTTGGCGATATTGAGGGTCGTGGGGTTGAATGCTTTGTCGAGCTACGTAGGTTTTAGCAGTGCGGATATTGATGTGCTTGGAACACATACTTTGAGCCGAATCCTATCTTCAACTGGTGTGGTGGACATCGTGGATATTCGGCGACGGAGAGTAGTTAGAGGCAGGCGGAACATCATCCACGGCTGCGATATTTCGAATTCACTACTCTTAACTCAGGCAGCATGATCAGGTCATCTAGAGGCCTTTGCTCATGACAATGGCTGCTCTACTAAGATAGACGTCAGCACATTGAACAATATCAAAGTCTTGAGGTCCGTCGGAATTAGTTCCGACGCATGATTTCGTCACTGTTGCATTTTTGGGGCAGAGTTCTTTCGGACTGCGAAACTGTGAACGAGATCATCCATTGGCTGTTCAATGCTGACAGATGATACCCTGCTCTTGATGAGCGATGCTCCTCCCTCGCTTCTTTCGCTTGCCAACGACTTGTACCCTTTTGCCCAAGTCAGTCTTTACAGCCCGGCAGCTGAAGCCACTGCAGTCCCGAATGGCTTCGACATTCCCAGATCTCCCAATCTTTCATGCGATTGCCTCGCACGACCCTGAGAGCACAGCGATCATACACTCCGTTTCCAATCGGAAGTTTTCATATGGCGAATTGTTGACAGATGTGGAGAAGGCGAAGATCAGATTATATCATCAATTGAAAGATGCTTTGACAAACGGCCAATCCATCGGAGGGCAAAGGGTCGCTTTCCTTGTCGAGAATGGCTATGACTATGTAGGTGCGACTACAAGACACCCAGTGACAGCGCGAAATACTGATATGCTACAGTGACATTACTGTCGATTTTCGCCTGCGATGGCATTGCAGTACCTCTCTCATCCTCGTTCCCTGCGTCCGAATTGCGATACATTCTCGACAACAGCCAAGCGCTCACACTGTTGTCTTCAGATAAATTCAAGAAGCAAGCCGAGACAGTGTTGCAGGAGGGTTTGGAGCGAAGGCCTACGTTGAACATCGTTGAGAAGTTGATGTCTGGTAGTGGTCGTGACGAGGTCCAACTGGTTCAGCTGCCAGAAACAAGAGGAGGGTTGATGCTCTACACATCGGGAACGACAAGCAGGCCGGTACGTTACACAAAAAACATCATGTGGTAGGGGCTCGCTGATAAAAAGGTCAGAAAGGAGTCGTCTTGAACACCTCCACTTTGACTGCACAAGCGCTTTCCCTCTACGAAGCATGGAAATACACCCCCAAAGATCGCCTACTTCATCTCCTCCCTCTCCATCATATTCACGGTACCGTCAACGCCCTCCTCACGCCCCTCTTCGCCGGCTCGTCAATTGAATTTCTCTTTCCATTCAATGCAGACGCTGTATGGGATCGGCTGGCAGCACCATTCTTACCGTCGTCGCAAAAGAAAGCAGAGAACGAGCCCATTACATTTCTGACAGCCGTCCCTACTATCTACAACCGCCTCCTCTCTTCCCATCCCAGACTCGCACCAGAAGTACAGGACGCTGCACGAGAAGCCGTCTCTCCCAACAACATGCGTCTGAACATATCAGGCTCTGCTGCGCTACCGACTCCGACCAAACAAGCGTGGTCAGATTTGAGCAAGGGCAACATCCTGCTGGAGCGTTACGGCATGACGGAAGTGGGAATGGCGCTCAGCTGCGGTCTAGCCTTCGAAGATCGAGTGGATGGAAGCGTTGGATGGCCATTACCCGGGGTGGAAGTGCGCCTGGTAGATGCTGAAAATGGAGAGGTCATTGAACCCGGTCAGGAGTCCGATGCTGCAGGCAAAGAAAGAGAAGGGGAGATCCAGCTACGAGGACAAACCATCTTTCGCGAGTATTGGCGGAACCCGAAGGCCACAGAAGAAGAGTTCGCTAAGGCGGACGACGGAGGTGGGAAATGGTTCAAGACAGGTGACGTGGCGAGCAGGAGACAGGTCGAAGGAGCTGGACAAAGCGAGCAGGCGTGGGCGAAGGGACCGTGCTACTTCATCAAGGGCAGGAAGACTACTGACATCATCAAGACGGGAGGAGAGAAGGTGAGCGCATTGGAGATTGAGAGGGAGCTGTTGTCGCTGTGAGTCTGCAACCTGTCACCCTTCGCACCACATTAGTCTGATTGTTCTTAGACCTCAAGTATCAGAAGCCGCTGTCGTCGGCGTTGCAAACGAGCAATGGGGCCAGAAGGTATCGGCTGTCCTCGTGCTCGATCCTGCGCAGGCGCAAACGGGGAAGGGAGGGAAACCGTGGGGCGTAATGGATATGAGGAGGGCGCTGAAGGACAAGCTTGCTGGGTATAAGATTCCGCAGGAGCTCAAAGTTGTGGATGACTTGCCGAAGAATGCTATGGGAAAGAGTATGCTGTATTCGAATCTTTTCCATGGTGGTTCTGTTTTGCTAACGATGAGCAGTCAACAAGAAGAGCCTTGTCAAAGAGGTTTTTGGGCCGGATGCATGATGAAGATGAGAGCAAGGGTCACTGTGGTGACCCTTCGATGGCTGAAATGCGTTATTGTACATATGTTCTTAGCTTTGTCTGTATATGGAATACGCATAGTGTCTATAATAGTCACTGGCGATGTTTCATCGGTGTATCAAAATTGGTCTACGGGCCGTCACCATTCTCGCTTGCCCTAAGGGGCTTTGGCCCAGGGACTCCCCGGAAAATCAGGCGAGTTAGGCGAATTTCCGCAGTTTTGGGCACGTTTGAAATTGAGATACAGCCGCAGGACGCCGCTAGTTCTAGGCCATGACGCCCGGAACTTTCATCAGGCCAACGCTCACCGTGGAACTTCACTCACCACATGATCATGTGCAACTTCTTCAACGTGCATCTTACTCAATTGTATACTACCAGCAGACACTCTTCTTCACCAAATCACTCCAGAGCCCGGCCTATGGAGCAAGCCCCTCAAGATGCACAGCGCGCAGCGTAACACCGCAATAAGATGGGCCATCGTCATTTTCTTGTGTCTGCTAGCAATCTACACGTGGAGAACGCCCCGATACAAGGGATCATACAGCGTGCCCGATACGAAAGAGACTTTTGCCACACTGTCGGAAGCTCAAAGCCCCGCCAGAATCTACGATGACGACTTGACCGGTGCGAAACAGAAAGTCCTCGCACAATCCAAGCAGGATACGACATACAAAATCGCAGAGTACGTTCCAGCAACTCCAAAAATCTTTTATGTGTGGGGCTGATGAGTTACAGGAACCCAAAGGCACCCCTCTTCCCCGCCTTCCGAACTTCCTCCAATGAGCTCGAACGCCAGACATACGATCCCTACCCGAGATACAACAGCAGGCCATGGAGGAGGAAATGGAGAGGCTCGTTTGCTACATGTCAAGGTCCCACAGGCGAGAATCTTGGGATGGAAGCTAGGACTCTCACAGCATTCGCGATTGACGAAGATCGTAAGGGACATCAAGGACTGAAAGAGCTTCGCTGATAAATATTTGCAGATCCTATTCCTCAGCCAATGTTCGGCTCGTACGATGAGACTGGCGTCGACTCGAAGTTCTGCTTCGATCGCTTCTCCCGCTTTGGGCCATATGGGCTCGAAGACGACACGATAGAACTCGGTACTCAGTCACCCATCGAAGTAGAATGGAAGACAGTGAGATGGGGTGCTCTTCAGAATGACTGCCTTGAAAGGAATGCCGAACGTTTTGAACCTATCCAGAGACCCAACGGAACTTCGTTCTGGATGCCTACTGAAGGAGACTTTGCCGAGATAGACGAGGTGCTATATTTTCCTTCGGAGCAAAGAAAGAGCTTGCTCTCCAAAGGCGCATCGTACAAGAAGCGCTCCGCAATAGTCCTACACATGCACGCTGCAACCGAATATACTGTCGACACAACAGAATACATAAGATCTCTTATTACAGAGCTGTCCCTACATTCCGGCGCTGAGTATGAAGTCATAGTCATGGTGGAAGCAAAGTGGTCACATCTAGAAGACTACGACGAAGACACACGCCACTCGATCTTCGAGAATCCTGGCTCCTACAAATTCAGCCTCACCAAGACGGTGCCCGAGGAATTCAGGGAGAACGCCGTCCTCTACACTCCCGCCCTGCTAAAAGCATGGTATGCCAAACTTAGCAACAAGCCAAAGTACGACGATCCACCTGACCCCCGCTACGAACAAATGGGCATGAAATATCCCCCACTAACAAGATCGGACAGTGACAACCCTCCCAAAACGCAACGCCAACAAGCCCTCCAGCTCCTCTCCCTCCTCCGCCCAGACATCGAGCACTTCTGGCAACTCAATCACAACTCCCGCTACTCAGGTCATCACTATCAACTGCTCGAGACCATGTCCACCTGGTCGCGCTCGCAACCCCGTCGAGGTCTCTGGGAGCGCAGCGCCCGCTACTTCATGACCGCCATACACAAAGACTGGGCAACATTCACCTCGAAAGTTGTTAATTCCACCCTCAAAGCCACCGGCGACGGCGGCGTCTGGGGTCCCGTTCGCGTCAAGTCCGTCGAACCCGTCGTCCCCGATCCTCCCTCCGAAACCCCAGAAGAAGACCTCAAATACGAGTGGGGCGTCGACGAAGAAGCCGATTTGATTACCGCAGCACCCATAATCGACGTCACGGGCACGGGCTCTAAAGAAGAGATCATGGGGTATTCGACGGGGACAAAGACTCCGCAGCGCATGGTCACACACCAGATAATGACACGCTACTCCAAGCGCCTGCTGAGGGCCATGCACCACGGGCAAATCACTCTCGGCACGTCCATGCCTATGGACCGCTACCCCGCCAGTACAGCACTGCATCATGGGCTCAAAGCCGTGACCTTCCCGTTGCCCACGTATCTGGATTATGCGAAGGTCGCACAGAACGTGGATAAAGAGTACAATTATCGGGAGGTGCGGAAGGTAGTGGATGATAGTAAGCTAGGACGGAAAGACGGGGAGGTGGTGAGAGCGAAGACACAACTTGAACAGAGGGCGAATTTTGACGATATTGCAAACCGGATGAGCTTCTTTGAGGTGGAGAATAAGGAGAGTGCGTTTGCGGATGAGCTTTATAAGCGGTGGTTGGGCTATGTGAGTGCTCTCCCATAGATGATGTGTGAAGTAGGGGTGGGGTTCTGATTATAGTACAGGGCAAAGATCCAACGGAGAAATTGTGCCTGCCGGGCATTATGCTGCATCCGATCCGTGGTGTATGAGGCTCATTCATGCTTGCAAAGCTGTGTGCAAAATACTTTGAAATACCAAACACCATCGATTGTCAGCGAAAAGAATGATGGGGACAGCGAGGTATTCATCAAAGGCTCCCCAATTCCCCTTTACCATCAATCTTCCAAACGTGGAAACATGTCTTGAACTGGATTTATTGGCCAAAATCTCCTCTCGATGGGGAACTCACAACGGACGATTTGATCGCCAATGAGCAATGTATTTAACTTATCACTTAACGCAGTATCTACTCTGGACATCTGAGAGATGCAGAAAGATTGAAAGAGTTGGGGCCTTAGGATATGGTAGTGTGCACAATCGATATCTGGCATCATGGGAGTTGGGATTGGATCAGGCGTGGTGCTGTGAATACCCCTTTGCATATCGGCGTAAGAATTGTGTGTTTAAGGGACGGGGTGCTGGATATTTGTTGGAAGGGGATGGTAGGATAGGACTGTGTGCATCTTCTAAAATTTACACATATACGCAACCCATCTCTTGTCTATCTTCTCCGCCTTTCTGGGAATATCGTTCGTGTTGTTGGGAATGTTGTTCATGTTGGGCTAAATCTCTTGGTAGAGTATACGGAATATGGGATGATGGTCAATACTGCGAGATAGTTACGACGTGGTACAGGCAGGAAGAGATCACACGTCTGTTCTCCATTACCCATGCATCAATCACAATTATCAAGCTGACCTATCATTCATCCAGATAGTAATCGCAGCCTGATTCTCTGATAACCAGCCAAAATTCCCAGCCTGTCATACACCAGCATATCTATGTGTCCAATGCGAATCTGCTTGCCATCTTTGCCTTCCGATTCACACAGAATCCTGCCTATTCCGAGCATTTTCTATCAGTCAACGGCTAAGCTGCTTCCACTCGAGCTTTCCTCAACCGCTCGAAGTTACAACCCGGATCGGTAAGTCAATGTACAACGCCGTCATAGACCTACTCAATCAGGATCGTCGACACGTGCACTTCCATGGACTTGCCAAATCAAGACTGTGGCCACGAGGATTGGTTTCAGACGTAATCGCAAATACCATGTGGCAGCTTCCGAGTTGCGTCTGCACCTTCGCAAGTCTCCACGACTCGCATTATCCCGCTTGCAACAGCAGCGAACTCTCGCTTAACAGAATGACCAGAGTCATCGTCGAGAGCGCGAAGATGAAACGGTTCCGCATACGCACGTCATTGTTGTGTTCTCGTGAGATCCTCTCTTTCAATCCTCCGACCTCACTTCACCTCACTACCTTCCACCACGTACCTCACCACACCACACCACCATCACCACTACCACACACAATTGCCAACATCAATGGCGCCCAACATCCCACTGTCCCGCTACTACCTCAACCTCCCCTCCATGAACAATGGCCAGCGCTCAAATCGCAGCTCTGTCCGCCTCTCCATCCCCACCGCCCCAGATGGTCTCTACACCTTCTTTAGCACCAATTCCTCGACCGAGTCCCTCTCCTTCCGTGCAGTAGCCCACGCAGAACCACCACCAGTACCAATAATCCCCGCGCACTTCCTCCCTCTCAGAGACGGGAATGACCGGTTCCCTCCACCAACGGGCCCAACAAGCACACCAATCCCACAGCATTCACCTCTCCACCCCATCAACTCCTCCCTCGCCCTTCCCCCTCCCCCTACGGCCACTATGCCTCTCCCACCAAATCCCAGCATCACATTCCTGCTCCCTCCGAAGCCAACCCCACCACCACCCCCACCGACCACCAGCACCCAACGCACCCCCCTCCACCTCCGCCTCATAGTCCTTGCCCTCTCCCTCTCCTCCTTCTTCGCCGCCCTCGACACCGTCATCCTCGCCACCGCCCTCCCCAGCATCTCCTCCTCCCTCTCCCTCAGCAACGCCAACTACGCCTGGATCCCCTCCTCCTTTCTCCTCGCCTGCTCAGCCTCCATGCCGCTTTTCGCGCGCCTCTCCGACGTCTTCGGCCGCAAACCCGTCCTCCTGGCCGCCAACACCACATTCTTCATCGGCAGCGTTATCGGCGGCGCAGCCAAGGGGCTGGGCACCCTATTGGCCGGACGAGTGATACAGGGCATCGGCGCGGGCGGTTTGTTGGTGTTGCCGAATGTGGTCATTTCGGATCTGTTCAGTCAGAGGGAAAGGGGCTTTTATCTCAGCGTTATCGGTATGACCTGGGCAGTGGCCTCCGCCCTGGGCGCCGTCGTCGGCGGCTTCTTCGCTGAAAAAGTATCCTGGCGCTGGTGCTTTTTCGTCAACTTGCCGTTTGAAGCCGTCAGTATCGCGCTCGTGCTCGCGTATTTGGATGTCCATCGTCCGAGCACGCGGTGGGTGCAAGGCGTCAAGGCGATCGACTGGCTAGGCGCCGCAGTGCTGGCGGGCGCGACGGTGATGCTCTTATTAGGTCTCGAGTTCGGCGGGGTCACGTATCCGTGGACGTCCGGCGTGGTGATCGGATTGATCGTGGGCGGTACACTGGGCTTCGCAGCCTTCGTCGGCGTCGAAGTGAAAGTTGCGAACCGCCCGCTCCTGCCCGTCCGCGTGTTCGCACACAGGTCCCCCGCCGCCATCCTCGGCGTCGTCTTCACCCACGGCACGTGCTACATCGCCGCCGCGTACTTCCTGCCCCTCTACTTCCAGCTCGTGCTCGGCGCCAGTCCGCTGCTCGCTGGGGCCTGGTTCCTCGTCACGGCCGCCACGCTCGCCATCACGACCATCGTGTCCGGGAAGTACATGCAGCGCACCGGCCGCTATCTCGAAGTCGTCTACTTCGGCACCATGATGATGGCCCTGGGCTTCACGCTCCTGACGAATTTTCCACCAAATAGGAGTTGGTTAAGGATCGTCATGTATCAGATCGTCGTCGCGCTGGGCATTGGCCCGCTGTTTCAGAGCCCGCTCATCGCCCTGCAGACGAATCTCGCACCTGCCGATATTGCCGCCGGTAGCGCGGCGTATAGTTCGATCAGGCAGCTGGCGTGTGGTATCAGTGTCGTGGTGGGGCAGGTCTTGTTCCAGGCGAAGATGAAGGATCATCTTGAGAATCTTGCGAAGGCGGGCATCTCGGGTGATCTGGCGCGGAGTCTGGCCAATGGAGATCTGATCTCTACGGCTTTCTCGGTGCGATCGCTTCCCGCTGATCAGAGGGATGTTGTCAGAGCGGCGACGTCGGATAGTCTGGCGAGAATGTGGATTTTTTACGCCGTGGTCGGCTTGCTGGGTCTTGTCTTCTCGTTTGGGATCAAGAAGAAGATGCTGATGAGGGATCATGTGGAGCATATGACTGGATTGGATGAGCTCAGCGGGAATGAGGACGATGTTTCGGCTGTGGTGGTGAAGGGGGAAGGTAAGGGGGGAATTGTGTGATGTAGCTGCTAGATTGATTTTTGCGTTCTTTGTATCGAGTGGAGTTGCTTGGCTTGGGTCGGTGGGTGAGTGGGTGTCGATGTGAGTGCTGCCATCGGCTCATGGCAACAAAGTGTACAACATTCAACCTTGGATCATAGACGTGTTTGTTAGCTAGATGGGAGTGAGTGGGTGATTGGAGGTTTTTTTTTTTTTTTGGTATGGCGGGTTGCGATATCTGCCCTTGGGTATGTATTCTTGTGTGCATCATGCGGTAATGCTAATATACTCGTAAACAAGAACAATAATAATAATGTTTGGAATAACTTCTGAACGTGCTACTGATTTTTCATTATTGTCTTTCCGAATCGCCCACGTTGGTTTTTTTTTCGCAATATCGCAATACTCTCCCCAAAAGTCTCATGCAAAGACGGTACGCTAATGTGAGACTTTTCCAACCTTCGTCCGACCGTGCGGGAGTTGTGTCGCATGTGAGTCTCGTAGTGACACTTCACCCGCAGAATAGACTTGCCGGGTTATTGCTCAGCCTCGTTTGTTGTCTTAGAATCATTATTGTTGACTTGAAGTAATAACTTAGAAGCCGGGGGGGGGAGGGATTCTTTGTCTGTGTAATCGAGTCGGATGTTGAGTTGATGAAATTGTATATATGTGTGGTGCCTGTTTTTTGAGGTTTCAATTGGTTCTTGCTTCGATATGATGGATTGGAGAGGAGGAAAGTAATGTGGGAAGAATCTTCGCAGTAGATCTGGCTGGCTGGAATAGGATTTCTGCTCAACAATTCGACGAGTGACTAAAGCATACGACCTGATGTGAAAACATTTTTGAAGCTTCTTTAGTGCTGGCTGGTTGGCTGGCTGGCTTCAGTCCCCCCTGTCACATTCAGTCCGACGGCGCAACGACATGGTCTCGATGATGTCGTTTCGCACGACGATAGAATACGCAACCCATACATTGGTGAAGATATGGCAACACGCATCTCACATTTTGCTCCTCACACCAGTGCTCGTCTCATTCAGCATCCTCCAATTGTCCTGGCGAGAAGCCTACTGGCGAAACCCATCCGCAGGAGGCATCCCCGAAATTCTCGGCGTTCTGCAAGTCGCTGCGAAGGCTCATGAGCTCTTGATCATCTATTCGCTCTCGCAGGTGCTGATCTACCACATCCGCGCACAGCTGAGTTCAACGAATGGGCTTCCTTTCGGGCTCTTCACGACGGGCTTCGCGGCGACGTTGGGACAGCCTCCTTATTCACCAGGCTTCTGGTGGTGTTGCTTTTCCGTTGTTTGGAGGCGTCGTATTCGATGGAGGCATCTGGCCTTCGCAGGCCTTGTTCTACTCGTTACGCTCGTCTGCTTGACGGCTGGTCCGGCTTCGGCTATTGTGTTGATACCGCAGCTTCAATGGTGGCATAAGGGTGATCTTTTCTATTTTGCGCAAGGAGGCAAAGGCTTTGACTGCAACCCCAATCTTCGCACGGACCCTCTGCATTCGGACTATTCATTGTATATCCCAAAACAATTGTTTCCAGATGAAGTGTCTCAGAACACCTTACCGGGTGCTTTTTGTGTGAACGCAAGCCTCGATGTCAACGCATTGTGTCCGTTGCCTTGTCTGACAAATGGTCTAGCTGGGCTGAACTGGACGGGCATCAATAATTTCACTGTTCCCACAGAGAATAATCTCGGTATTGAAGTGGGTCGGACGGTTGCAACCTTCACTAACAGTTTAAACGATTTGATCGACGATAATAGGACAGCACTGTTGCCTCCGCATAATAATGGCTGGACAACAAATCAGCTGATCACGAACTTCTTGTCTCAAGGCGCCGTAGCTGAGTGGCAGCAAGGTAGACCGACGATGACGATCGAGGCTCGACATGGCCTACGACGTGGTATGCTGAGTCCGTACACCAACGTGGCGTGTGAAGTGCGGCCTTCTACAACCTTCAGCCGGAACCTTACATTTCTTGTGGACTCAAGTTATCTCTTGACTCAACGTGAATACTTGGATTCTGAGGGTTCCTATGTTGAGAACGAGCTTGACGGTCACCGCTATCTGAACGGAACGTACGACGTGCGGAATATTTGGGCCGAAGAAACTCTGAAAGATCCTCCACACACGTTGTTCGAATGGCGGGAGTTCCAGACCACCAATAATGTCTGGATTTTGGCTGGCTTTATCTTGTCTACGAATAAGGGCCAAGATATCGCAAATGTTTCCATGTGCAGTGTTCTCGCCTCATTCGAGCAAGATGCTTTGGCTATCATTCCCACTACTGCCTCGCAAAGCAATAAAGTATTATCGGACACCATGAGTGGATACAGTGGTAAGTCACCGTTTAAATTGGAACCCACTGTTTTCGGGGGCCAGTAGCCGTAAATTTTTGCAGCTTCTCATGGCCTGTTGTCACCCACAAGAGTGCTTTAGAGTCTGGTATTCCAAATGTCTCGCAGGAATGCCTTTTACTCTGCCCTCGAAGATTGCAATGCTGACTTCTTCCTATTACAAGGTTCCTCAAGTACTATCGATATCTTACTTGCGGTTTCTCATCCATACGGGATGACGGCGGTCCGCAAGTCATGGGCTGATGCTCTTAATAAGGCCAATGGTACGTCCAATACAACTGTCATGACCCAATTTCTCGACGCAGGGATGAAGCAGTACGTGGCCAACGTGGACCCGACCGATAAATATTTTCCATCCTTTGGTCATAGTCTCATGCTTTCGATTGCGGTTGCGAATGGCCTCTCGGCGATAGGCTTGGAGTACCAGCACAATGTCACGATGTGTCGCAAGGGCTGGTGTTCACAGGGTCCCTTCTACAGTCGTTCACAGGAGTTCGTCGTTGCGAATAGCACTAATGAACACGACAACTTGGCATGTGGGGATATGGGCAGTCCAATGCCTGGATCTAACGAGGGCAACCGATCGCGGCTCCTGCATACGTTTGCAGAGCCAGATGAGGCTTTTCGAAACGCCCAATGGACTCAGTTATCTTTCCCAGTGTTCAAATACGGCTATGGTTGGGGGTTCGATTCCATAACGGTGAAAGTTGCAACGGCGATTCTTCTCTTTCACGCTATGATGATACTGACACATATCGTCTTGTCGTTGTACTTTGGAGGATCTGAGAGCTATGCTAACGGATTGGCGGAGCTTCTGGCATTAGCTTTGCAATCATCACCGTCATTGGCGCTTGAGCCAGTGGCCATGGCGCCGGGAAGGAAGACTTGGAATAAGGCGGCGATGGTTCGACGGAGAAAGCAACTGGAGCCGCAGGATGATCAGTGGGAGCTGGCGTTATGTGATGTTCCTCATAGAAAAACAGAGACGTGGTAGCCAATGTACTAGTAACAGCTTTCCACGCATTCAGAGTGATTGAAAAGTCTTGAAATCCAAAACCTTGATAATCCTCCTAGAAAGTATTTTTCGGAGAGGACATTGATGCCCAGACTTCTTATCTCTCGGCTATCTCCACTAGCTTATTTAGCGCCAAATACTCTCCCACCGCTCCAGCAGCCCACCGTTACACATTCGAGCACCAGAAGCATTCCATATCCCTCAATCCCAACAATCATCCCTCCACCCCCTCTTAAATACTCGAATCACCTCTCGGTTCACACAGTATGGCCGATGCACGTGGCGGTGCTGCTCCACCAGCAGGAGGAGCACGCGGCGGCTTTGGCTCGCGCGGAGACCGCGGAGGCGACCGAGGCCGTGGCGGACGTGGAGGGCGCGGACGAGGAGGCCGACGAGGCGGCGGTAAGACAGAAGAGAAGGAATGGATGCCAGTAACGAAACTGGGGCGGCTAGTAAAGGCGGGGAAGATCAAGAGCATGGAAGAGATTTACCTACACTCGTTGCCGATCAAGGAGTTCCAGATCGTGGACTTCTTCTTGCCGAAGTTGAAGGATGAGGTCATGAAGGTGAGAGATCATCTTCGATCGCGCTGCGCAAGAAAGAAAGAGAAACGGCAACAATGGCGTGACCGGACTGCGCTGACAATGAGATGTTGCTAGATCAAACCTGTGCAGAAGCAAACTCGTGCTGGACAGCGTACTAGGTTCAAGGCTATTGTTGTCATCGGTGATTCGGAAGGACATGTGGGCCTGGGAATCAAGACGTCGAAGGAAGTCGCTACCGCTATTCGCGCCGCCATCATCATCGCAAAACTCAGTGTTCTACCTATTCGAAGAGGGTATTGGGGTACAAATCTTGGTGAACCTCACAGTCTGCCTACGAAAGAGAGTGGGAAGTGTGGGTCCGTTACTGTTCGCGTAAGTGTAGATCTCCTTCAATAGGGATGAATCGTGATTCAGCGAGGAATATGCTGATGTTGGTCCAGTTGATTCCCGCCCCTCGTGGTACCGGCCTCGTCGCCTCCCCGGCAGTCAAGAGATTGCTCCAACTTGCTGGCGTGCAAGATGTGTACACCTCCTCCTCTGGCTCTACGAAAACACTTGAAAATACGCTGAAGGCCACCTTTGCTGCTGTTGGGAATTCATATGGCTTCTTGACGCCTAATTTGTGGAAAGAGACGAAGCTCATCCGAAGCCCGCTGGAAGAGTTTGGGGATGTGTTGAGGGAAGGAAAGAAGTATTAGGCCTTACAAGGTGGTTGGTGAACGAAGGAGTTCATAAAGGGTCGCGGTATGAGGACTAGCATTTATCGGTAGGAAGAGACTTGAGCTCCAATCATAACAAGACTATGCTTCTTCAGGCTGCTCAAGCCATTGCCCGGCTGATATCTATGACCGAGATGCGTTTCTGGATTACTTTTGACCACGACTGACGCAGCACTGATGCCAGTGGCAGCACCATCCTCAGCTTCATGCGCCTCGGTTTTCTCCTCAGAGAACTCTCAAACCCCTTTCGTCTCCATCTGTGGCCCCATGTTCCACAAGAAGGAACAATGTTCCCTTCTATTTCACCGAAAGCAAACCCATTATACAAAGACGCAGGGAGTTCTTTACATAGTCTTTGACGGCAAAATTTGATTTCGGGCGCGTTGGGGAGCTTTGAAACCTCCATCCATACTTCTGCAACTTACTGACTTCGAGGATTCATTGCATTGGCTAAGAATGAAATCAACGGATCTTGAGAAGTTCCTCTCTTCTAAAACTTTACCCTGCTTTGACTTCCACCTGGTGCCACCGAAGATCTGCAATTTGAGACATACCCCAAGGCTCTGAATGGCAGACATTCTTAGAACCGATGTATTTGTTGGTTTCGCGTGGCACGCCCATTTCGATGTTGGATGTTTTAGGCGCTAATGATATTGTACCAGGCACGATGCGCACGCCCAGAAACGCAAATCGTCTGCTCAATGGCATACCAGCCGTTTGAAAAGTCCTAGACATGAATGACGGCTGTCGTTGGTCATGTGTATTTCAACGACTGGCCAACTTATGAGGGACCAAAAAATGCTCCTACGCAGAGCCTGAGTCATGGTTCGCCAGGCTTCAAGAAGACCTCCGAACGAAATGAACGCTTCCTTGAGTCAGAGCTCGTAAAGACGGCTCGTCCTTAGGCGTCGTCCATAAAAGCCTGACCAGGCGGCATCAAAGCGCACCATCATAGCAACATTACACCTACCACGGTATTTTGGCTTTCAGCAAAGCTGAACAACTTTAGCGGTGCACAATGTTCCTTCGAGCCTCACTTACCCTCCTCGCCGCGCTCTGCCATCTCCACTTCGCAGCAGCCGCGCCAGCACTCTCCGCATCCAACAACACATCAACCTTCCCTGGCCTCATCACCCCTCCAATCCCCAAATGCCCATCCATACCTCCAGCCTTCCTTTCCCTCCAATCCTCCACCGATCTCCCCAACTCCCTCCCGGCGTCCCTGACTCTCCCCTCCACAAACTCCACCCCCAACAACCCCTCACCCCCTCCCCTCTCTCAACCAGCACCCCCGCCCCCGCCCCAGTCCCCGACTACCCCGCCTACCACATCGACCGCTCCTACCCAGACGAAAGCCTCGTATTCGGGGTATCCGAGCCCTCGTGGCCGACGATCCCGCTGAGCGAATGCATCATCCTCGCCCAGATGTCCTACGACTACATCTCCAAGTTCGAACCCGCGGTGCTCCCGACGCTGGTCCCAGAAGACGGGTACGGGCTCGCGACGAGAGGGTGCAATAGCCTTGTTGTGTCGCCGAGGAAGAGCGGGCCCGAAATGGAGACCTTGACGTGGGATCTGGCCAAGCAGAGTGTGCTTGGGCTGTTGGAGTGGGCGAAGGAACGGCAGAAAGGGGGGGGGGGTGGGGGAGGCGAGGGGGAGGGGGAGGTGGTGACGAGAGCGCCTGTTGGGTTGTATATCCCGAGTTATAGGACGGAGAAGTATAGCTGTGTGGGGGTTTTGAGGTGGGGGGTTAAGCATAGGGGGGAGGTGGACGTGGTGTGAGGAGGGGATAGAATTTTTGGGACACGGGGGGGAAAGAGATTGTGTTATGTTGTTGAGGAATTCGATTTGTAGCGATAAGGTGCCAGAAAAGTGAAGTAGAGAATGAGAGAGAAATCTTGTGAGGATGGGAATGGCCGAGTCTCCCTTTCGATGTTGAAATGAACTCGTTGCAATGCGAGTTATTGGTACTCACACACAGAGATGGCTCGGAAAGAGTGCGCACGATCATCAGTTGTAGTTTCCATTCTCGAGAAGAAGGAAGGAACATCCTTCAAATTTGGATGCTCAATTCAAATGGGATATATATTAACATACGAGGCCTTGATCTCGAATCCTCCGTGGCGCAATTGGCCAGCGCGTCTGACTGTTAATCAGGAGGTTGGTGGTTCGAGCCCACCCGGGGGAGATTTTCAGTTTTTTGGTCAATTCGCCTTTTTGTCCTGGGAATAGGGACCCAGCACTATGTCCGGGGATCTTTTTACTATCTCCGGGGGCTTTTGGTGCTCATGAGCTCCCTTCATCATCCTACTCTCAACATCATCTTCATTCGAACCCTAGATGTATATATCCTTCTGCTTGTGCTTGTGCTCGGTAAATCATGCTGGCTGATACGTGTCTCAAGTTCATGAGCACTCTAATGCGAAGAGAGTCGCAGTCGCAACGGTTGGAAAAGCTTTGCAACCACCCTAATGCCATCGTTCTTCCCCTAGATGGGCTGCAAACTAGATTGAAAGCTTTGATGCCGATTAACTCAAGCGCAGTGGAGTCGCGAACAAAGCATCTACAGTTTACCATAGAGCTTTGGGTACCTGTTGTCGATAGCGACGAGCGATACCTTAATTCAGCGATGCGACGAGTCCACTTCAGACTGTGGAAAGCCTGACATCTGACACCTGGCTAGAACAAGCCTCAGGTTGATTGCAGTCTGGTCTACTTGTTGCGCATATCAACTATGTATGTTTTTTGATCACACTCTTGAAAGAACCTATGAGGTCTAATGCTGTGAGTCTGAAGCATATCCAGTGTCTTTTGTAAACCAGCAGGACGCCTAGCATTTCGCATTCTGGTACCTCAGATAAAAGCTGGAAGAGTAGTGCAGGATACTTGGAGATTACTGCTACGTTCCTTCGTTCACGCATCGAGCGCAAATAGCAATTCAATTTTGGACTTTCTGCCTGTCGGCCTTGTACCTCACCCAATACGCCTACCTTTTCCGCAGCGTCAGTACTTCCATTTGATGTCTTTCAAACCAACAAATGTATTGCATGGGGATTTTTGATTGCGGGAGTTCTAGAAGCCATCTTGATCGTAAGGCGGATTCGCTGTCTAAAGGCTATTTACGCGCCGGCTCATAATTCTGTCTAATTATGGAACTCATGTCTCTTCACACTGAGGGTGGTATCAACAATGGGTACAAAAGAGCTGTATATGCCTACATCGACTGTGATATCAGTGAGTCAACAAATTGTTCTGCTATCTTTGGGGTTTTTTCTGCCCAATTTCGAAATCTCGAAACTTAGGCACAAATTCCTCGCTAAAATCTCGGAATATCCCAGCAAACCATTGAGCATACTGTCAGCATGCTATCGAAAAACGTGGAACTCTCCATGCTATTTCTCTTGAGTTTAGCCCTTGGCATACCGCTTTCACCTGGATGTAGCACCCCAACCCCCAAAGCAAACATCACAGGGGGCGATGAGAAGGCATTGTAAGTCCTCTTACTTATCTTACGAAGAGATGACCTTTCGATCAACAACCTATTGTTGATAAATCCAGCCTTCCCGTCGACGGAGATCAAATCTACAAGATCCCTAACTCCAGCCCTCCCCTTCAACTCGCCATCTCCGCCGGCTCCCCATCAACCATCCCAGCCATCTCCGCTGACAACATTCTTGACAAAGCTCTCAATAAAATCAATGTCATGCCACCATTCTACCTAGGTCTCCCCCTCCCCGACTGCGGTCTAGACTATGAGGTCGGCGCTTTCAGCCTGGGAATTCACCAAATCGTGTGGAAAACGGCTTTCACTTACGACGTCGCTCGGCAGGCTCTTCAAGGCTATAAGGATTGGATTCATGCAAATGAGCCGGGTGGACTTGTGAAGAGAGATCATGTTAGAATTGTGCACCAGCAGACTACAATTTTGCTCGGATACATGCAGTTTGGACCGGCCCGAGACGGTGGTTTGGGTCAAACGGTGTGAAAGCGGCTCAGATGGCGATTTCATAGTCTCCTTGGTCGTTGTTATCTGCTGGAAAGGCGCCATACCTTACACCTTGCGTTTTATCTTCTTCGTTCTCTGGTCCTTCAATAGCAGTTCGCAGTCGTGATGAGGAGCAGATATTTCTGGAAACTTTGTTTTCAACTACCAACCTACCACGAGGGAATTAGCCGCACGCGTGATGATTTCATTTTTCAAGAATCATGGGACAGATGCTCCGGCTAGATAACACACTGGATCATTTCTTGTTGTTGTTACCTTCTCAATGACTTGAGCTCTGATTCTGCATAAAAAAAAACAGAAGCTGTGGTTGAAGTTGATTCTCTTCGATGTCTGTTTCATTCAGAATCGTCAAGGCATATGTGAACACTCAGAAATGATTTATGCTATTTAAAGCCCCAGCAGCATCAGCCTTGAGACAAAACCCAACAACCACGACTTGAAGCGCTAGGACTGACTTGCGCACGCCTATTATACCGTAGACATTCTCTGTCTGCCTCAGCTATCCTGTTATTCAAGCGAATACAAAAGCCAGTCAAATCATGCCACCATTCAGACTCAGCAGCATCTCATCAAATCACTCAAGCCTTTCAGTCAGACAATCATGTATCGAAGCCTACTACTCAGTCTCTGCATCTCAATGCTTACTAGCCTCGCAATTTGTGGCCCCGTGCCCTCTACATGTGATACCACACTTTCCCTCGTCAACATCACAACCCTCAACACAAAAGACTTGTAAGTATCTCGCCCCCATCCAATCTTTGACAACACGTCTTGTCTTGACCCCCTCCCCTTCCCCTCACCCAACACTAACATCCATCCACAGCTCTCCCATCGACCCCTTCCTCGGCGACTCCTTCCTCGGCGAAACCTTCCCCATCCCCGGCAGCAACCCACCCATCAAACTCGTATTCGGCCGCGCCAGCTTAAAATTCATAGAAAGCGGCCAAGCCCGCCGCATCCTCGACAACGCAATCACGCAAATACAATCACACCTGCCGTTTGAGAGTGGCGACCCCTTACCCGAATGCGGCGAGAAATACACCGTGGATGGCCGTTACTCGCTTCATATAGGGCAGATCCCAGGCGCCTTCACGCCCCAGTTTACCTGGCTTGTGGCCCTGCAGGCTGTGCAGGGGTATAAGGCTTACATTGGTGATCAGCAGGCTGTGACTATGCCGATTGTGACTATTAAAGCGGATGATGGGAGGGAGGGGAGTTTGCGTTATGGGATTATGCAGTTGGATAAATTTAGTTAATGAGTATGCCTTCTGACGACGGCCTCACCTGCCGCAAAAAAGGCACAGACATCATCCAAACACCCGGCCTCTCAATTGCGCATCAAGACTTCCTTAGTACGCAAACCAAGCTCTATGTCTCGGACAGACACAGCGCTATGATTTATTTTTACCACTGCCCCCATCACCGCCAACGCACGCACGCACGCACGCACGCTCGCATCTGGATGTCGCGCAGCAAAAGCGAAACCAATTCTCCCAAACTCCGACATAGCAATTCCAACTACCATGCGATTCCCACGCCCCCTTACTCACCTCCTCTACCTCACCACCATCACCATCCCCACGACGATCCACTGCAGCCTTTTGCAGCCACCACCTCAACAACTCTCCTCCTCCTCCTCCTCCTCCTCCTCCTCAGTACTCGAACCCCAACTCTCACACGCCCTACTCACCCACCACCCCTCATTCCCCATCCCCGGCCTCAACACCACCCTCACCCTCTCCCCCTCCCTGCACATCCACTGCGAAACGCTCCCCACCTACCGCACCATCCCCTCCTGGTCCGACTGCGCGCGCGCATTCATCAACCTCGACGCCTCCTCCCCCCCTTCCGGCTCGCAGCTCATAACCTGGGGCGATCCCGACCCAGCCTCGCCCGGCCATCTCCCCTCTTCTTGGTCAGTGGGAATTGTAAATTGGAGATTACGGCGCCCAGGGGCTTGAGGCCCGCTACGTGGCGTATGCAGGACTATGATGCCCCTGTTGCCGGGCTGGTCTTGGAGTGTGTGAAGGAAGGGGGGGTGGGGAGAGGAGGGGGGGTTGGTGGGCGTGGGGCCGGTGGGGGGGAGGGTGTTGGTTAGGGTGGGCTGGTGGGGAGGGGAGGGGTGGGGGTGGATTGATGGGATGGAGAGGAGGGGAAGGGAGGGTAGGTGAGGTGAGGGGATGATGGTGGGGTTATGGGTGTTGAGGAACGCCAGAGTGTGTTTTCCTTGGGCGACGCATGGAGGTTGTTGTTGTTTGTCTCCTTCATGAGTGCGAACAGCTAGCGATGACTCGTGACGATAGATTATAAGTTGGATCGGAAGACTGGGCGCGTTTTGTGACGCTTCCGGTCTCGATGGTTTTCATTTCTCCTTGTCGGAGATCATTCGTAATTGGATATAGATGTCCCATCAACGACATAACACGAAATTTTGAAAAAGGCTCCTTGTTGCTTTCTGTCTTCAGCTGCCAATTTGCCGGCTCAGTGACTATCTATTCGAGAGAAAAGCCATTGCCGGCTCCACTTACAGATCGGTCATTGCGTAACCCTTTTTTAACAAAGCATTTTTCGTCCTGCTTACCCCTCTCCTCAATTCACATCATCAAACAACTCATGATCCCTTCCCAGCTGCAGCGTCCCATACGACACCCTCCTATCAGGCGAAAAAATCCTCACATAGCTAAACACCGCATAAAGTCTCTCCTCCTGCCAATCCCTGTACCCCATTACCGCCTGCAATGCCACACTAAAAGTAAAACTAGGATTGTATCTCAAATGGTCTACGAACAAGAAATTCTGCTGGTCCGGAGGCGCGGCACGGACTTCGAATCCACATGCCGGCACGGGGTCGTTGATCTCAAATGGCTTCTTGGCTTCGAGTTTTTGGATCGTCGAGTCCATGATGGATAGAGCGATGGGCTTGGGCATTGCGCGACCCGTGTGAGTGCCGATGCTGAGGAGGAGCGGCGGATTGGTGTCGGGGAGGGGTAGGATTTCTGGGTTGCTTGCGGTGGTGTTGGTTCTATGAGGCTTTCTTAGCATTTACTGGACCTAGTTGGGGAGACAGCGAGAGGGGGCCGGGGGGGGGGGGGGGGGCGAGACTTACGGGTCTCTTGCATTCGAGGAAGCTGTATCAAGAGAGAAACCTCTGTCGCTGCAAGCATGTGTAGACGTCGGGTAGCAGCTTGCCGCGTCAATCACTAGGAGCACTAGAGCGATGACTTTTGGTATCGAGAGCATGTTGAAATCCAATCTGGCTGCTGAAAGGCGAGAACAAGATTGGGAGATGAAAATGGTGAGTGTTGATTCTGGTTAGGGTTCATGACCTCGTTTGTATATGTATATGCGATGGATATGCAAGGCATATGCATGGTGATATTTGGCGCAACCTTCGTTTATTCTTAGCAATTCTCCGAGTGCATGGTCCGTGAAATGGCAATTTACACAATTCAAAGTCCCTCATACTTCGATATCATTCCGAAAAGCTTTTGTTGTCGTCTTGAGATGACAAGACTTACTGCTCGTCAACTGTCTACGACTGAATTGATTTAGTAGCCTTGGACATTGAATAATGTGCGTCCAATAGGTCAAGTGAAGATTCACATGTTCTTCAATGAGTAGTGTTTCTTGCAGTGCATTGTCAACCTCTGCTTTAGCAAAGTCTGGTGTCATTGGAATCGCTTCTTTGGAGTAAGTAGGGGGCCCAAAAGGAAAGCGGACGATTTTCAATATTCAAGTATTGTGATGAGTGCTTGCTTGAATCTTAAATGAATAGTAATCCCGACGTTGCAATTAATCGGCACTCGGTCATTGATCTCTCTACTTCCCCTCTCCAACTTTGAACGCATACTTATCCTTCCTATCCAGAATCACCACTTTCTTCTCCAATTCCGCCTCTTTCACGGCTTTCTCAAAATCCGACAATGGCGATAGGAACACATCATAATCACTACCACCAAATCAGCATATCCCTCCCCTCCCGGATCTCTCGACGAAAAACGCCAGCACTCACTCATAATGAATCGGAATAGCCACATCCGGCTTAACCAACCTAATCAATTCAACGCCTTGTTTCGCGTCCATCGTAATCATCAGCAGAGGCAGTGACGGACTCGGCACCGTAGTTCCCCCAAGATGGAGTAGGAGGAGATCGATGCCGAGGTGCGAGTAGCGGTCTGCGATCTCCTGGAGTTCGGGGCAGAGGAGGGTGTCGCCTGAAATATAGATGCTTTGAGCAGTCACAATATGTCAGTAAACTTTATACAATGGTTTGGTATGGGGGTGATCACCGGTAGCTGCACGTCCAATCTTTGCCCTCGTCTCCATAGCCGAGCTCGACCATCCATCCGTTGGTCGGCGGTACCTTGCTCACAGCCATCCCATCAGTTCCTTTCCTGCAACACTTGAAGGACAGGATACGAACAGCTTTTATAATATCATTCGCCGTCCCCAGAAAGCCACCGCTCGGGACGTGCTTGCCTGGCATGCCTATCACTTTGATGCCTGGCTTTCTCCCACCAGTTTCACCAGCACTCTTGACATCCACAAACATCTCCTCAAAAAACCCAATATCGTACACCGCCGTGAACGCCTCGCCATCAGGTTTCGTCGCCAAATGCGCCTTTGCGTGCGGCGTTGAGATGATGGGTAAGTCCCTGCGCAGGGAGGCTTCGACTTCTTGGTCGAAGTGGTCGCTGATAATCGCGTAAGCTCACTGAAGACAGATCCTCAAGAACAAAAAGAATGGGCGATAGGGGACGGGGGATGGGGGAAGGGGATACTCACGCATGATAATGGGAGAGAAGCACGAGATCGATACGGGGGAGTTCGTGCAGGTCGAAGGCTGGGTTCGTGACGCGTGTGCCCGTTACCTGTGTCGGTGTTTATTAGAGAATGCGGTTGGGCTGAGATTGGGGAAGGCAGTACACCGGGACCTAGATGCACGTGGTCGCCGGCGTGGAGGAAGTTCTTTTTGGAGAAAGATAGAAGTCAGTGGAAGGGATATTGCAAGGAGGTTCTGCCGGCTCGCACCGGATCGGTCATTATGCGGATGCCCTCCCATTCTCTATGCTCGATTAGCAGGACCTTGAGATGTTGGTGGGATTTGAGGTACAAAATGGTTGTGGCTGTGCCCACGAAGTACAATGATGCATTTTCGCTGCCGGGTTTGGTGGGATGGTGCAGTGTTTTCGCCTCTGCGGGAAGCGAGGTGGGGAGCTGAGCAGTATGATCTCTAGTGGGATGCTGCGCTTTGGTTGGATCAATCGTTAGATACTTCATGGTTAGATTGTTGTGCAATAAGTAATGAAATTGCTGGACTGTCGCTGAAATGGATGACTGTAATGGTGACGTTATCTGCTGCGAAGTGGGGTAGTAGTCACAGTTCAACAGAAACAACCAAAAAAGGTGAGAGAATCAAGAAAATTGGAGATGCGGATTCTTGAGACATTGCTCTCATTAGGAAGGTCATTCTGCGTGGCTGATGTACTCCGCTGATTCAGAACCAAGCTGATGCATGGTGGGGGAGAACGACCTGTAGTTTGGGGGTAAAGTAGTCCTCCATCCAAGCAAAAACCGCTCCCAATACCCCATCTATAGTTGTGAGCATTTGACTTGCTATGGTAGAAGAATGCCGTGGTCAGATGCGATGAACGGATTGGCTTCTCCCAATCATATATATCATGACCAACGATCATCATGTCATCGTCACATATTTCGTATGTAGTTACGTCTTGTTAGTCGGCTTCCATCCAACCTTAGCAACCCTTGCAGCAAGGCAAAATGCACTACTGGTGAGCAGTATCACCCCAGCAAAGATTTGCAGTCCCCGAAAGTCGAGGTCTTTGTCGTCAGAATTCCCAAGGATTGCGCCACTAATAGGAGTACCGATCAACACACCCAAACTAGCAACCACAAACGCCGTGCCAGTCCGTGTTCCAATGACGCTGAGATCAGGGGATAGAGTCACAATTGCCGCAGGCGGAAGCGACAAGATACCACCAAAAGCAAAGCCATAGATAATCGCAAAGGCTATCAAGCCACCCAGATCGTGAACGGCGATCCAGCATAGTGTCAGCAGACCAGCAATCGACGTGAGGATGATGACAAGATTTAGGACGCCGGTATGGTTGGTTATGAAACCGGGTACGATACGGCCAGGGATCGCGGCGGCGTTCAGTACAGGTAGCATGTATGCAGCAACAAGCTCTGAGGTGATGGGTGGATTTCGCGATCGGAGAGCATAGAGTTGAATGTAGAATGTGGGAGCGTAGATCCCGACCAGGGCGAAGAAACAGGAGATCGTAAAGAGCGCGAAAGGTGCTTCGCGGAATGAGCGGAAGTTGAACAGAATGCGACGTCCTGTTGGCTTCACACGAACTTTGAGGACCAGTGCTGAGACCACGCAGGTGCCGAACGAGAGAAATCCCATGATTCTGACTGCCCATGGGAACCCGACATTCGTATGGCTGAGGAGGCGGTAGAGGAGTACGGGATATATAACGCCACCTAAGTGTCATTAGTGGGTTTTGATCATATATTGATTGTGGAGCCAGAGCTACGGGCAAGAGGGGATTCTCCAGGCACGTACCAAAACTCGCACCACTAGCCGCAAGCCCATTGGCTATTGCGCGCCTTTTGACAAAGTACTGCGGCAGGATGGACACGGAGGGTACAAAAAGGCACCCGAATCCAACGCCCATCACGACGCCTACGACCTTCGTCAGCACAGAACTCCATGAAGTTTCATTCAGGCTCACCTTGCGCAAGAATGATCTGCCAGTACGTATGGCACAGACTCGTCATCATCAGTCCAAATGGGACCAAGAACGTGCCAGCCCATATGAGCTCGTTCAAATAGCCGGCATCATACGCCGGGCCTGTGAACACGCCGACGGCGAATAGCAAGAGCGCCTGGATGGAGCCGATCCAAGAGATGGACGAGGAGCTTTGGGGGAGGTGCTGCTCGTAGTATGTCTGGAAGACACCGTAGCCGTTGGATAAGCCCCTGTTTCTTGGATGAGCCTTGCTGCGATGAGAATGTTTGGGGGAACGGCAGAGATTGGGGGATTAGGGATGTACCATGAATTGAACCAGCAGAAAAAGACCCCGACGACTTGCAGCCAGGCTTGGACGCCGCTGTCTGGTGGAGGGGAAGGACTTTGAGGAGCCGCGACTGTCTGATCAGTTTTGCCCGGATGCTGCTGAGATTCTATCCGTAATTCTCCATTTGCTATATCGTTGTCTTCGGAAGACGACTGCTGGCTTGGCTTTTCTGAAAGCATTCGCCGTGGACTGATGCGCTGTTGCGGATCACCGGGCTCCATATTTAATGTGTGCGTTAAGGATCGTCTCCGCGAAGTGATGATATATGTCCTGATGTATATTGCCAAAAGCTTTGAACAGGAAAAAGGGACTTGGCGCTCGATGTTTTATACCCAAAACACAACCAAACAATCTATACAGTGCGTCCATGTCGCAATCACGCAATGAATAATTGGACGGCATGATTGATAATGCAGATGGGAGTCACACTGCCAAAAGGAGAGTATTCAAGGTCAGATCTGGTCAGATTACTAAACCCACCTCGGCACTGAGATTCCTTGCGCCAAAATCTCACCCCTGAAGGGTTGGAGATATGCTGGCTTCGGGAATAAGGTCTGCATGGTCGCAGGACTGTAGTCGACTCGCTGAACACATTCCGCGTTCACATGACAATTCTGTCTGCCTTAAAGTCAGCAAGCAGGGTGCATCATTCTTCAGCTAGGCGTGGACAGTGGATGCCCGGTCGAAGCTGCTGGTTGCATCCAGATGCACCTCTAATGATTCGGGACTTGTTTACCGCTTGATCCTCTGAACGTAGGGTACATGGCGGATGTACCTCAATGAGAAATGCGGAATTGCGGTCAGATAGTAGCCAGAATTTACCAGCGTCAATGACGTCATCAGGAGAACTATTCTGAACGCCGGGTAGGTGCTTGGCAGAAGCTCGCTCTCTCTCTCTCGAATAAAAAATAGGATTTATCGCCTTGAATACTGTTGAATCTCTTTGTGGCCGGTCAAGTGAGTCACTTATTCAATGCCCGATTTTGTACCGCCGAAAAACACGTAGCTGGACCCAAGAAATGTCTGAATGTAGCGTGTGCCCCAACCAGAATCTCTTGCCAGGCATTATCTGGAAAGAGCTACTTCTCTAGAATATTCGAAGATTCTAGCGAGGCATGTATACGATATATGCGCCGCGAAGCCGGCGAACTACCTCGTGGTCTTTCAACACGTTTTGACCAAAGCACGTTGTTTCTTCCAAACAGAACCACTCAATCTCACCAATGTACAACAAGTCTGCAAATCTCACTTCAATATCCTCACATTTCCATCTATTTCCCTACGGCAAGAATCAAATACCTCTCGCACTCCCCATCCGTACCGCTCCCGCCCCATCCAAACTATCCACATCCAACGTATAATCCTCCCGCATTCTCCGATAATAATCTATCATCCCCTCCAAGCATGCCACCACATATGCCCAGAGCAACCCACTATCTGTTTTAACGATAGAAAACTTTTCTTCAATTCAAGGACAGTCTCCTAAACACCTCCTGGTAGCAAATCCCTAGCTGTCTCCGTTTGTACATGTTAGATGAGTATGTGGTTGAGCATTGCGATACTTAATGGTCAAGAGAGTAGGGGTACCCAGCTTGGTGCCGCCGATTAATACTCAAGATATTGATAACAGCTCTACGTTCCCGCTGAAGAATCGATACTCAAAGACATTTTGACGGAAAGTCAGACCTTCAGACCACTCATAAGTTTAAGAGTTGTTGCATACCGCCGTTACACTAACAATCGAAAAGAAGCTCTTCGAAGGCCCTTGATTCTGCAACATATAATCTGATCTCTCATGGTCGAAGGCTGGTCAGCATTTGACCTACAAAAATATCCATATTTAATCAGCACAGGGATCTCAAGACGTAAACACCTCTCAACTTCTCCGACAGCATATAAGACATTCTAAAGCCGGATCATCTAAAGGAGATCTCCCCTCCAGCCCCTGTTCTGCCCCCCGAAAATCACTCCGATGTTCCCACAGTGCCATTCAACGCACCCCCTCCCCCTCCACCGCCCACTCCCACAATCCCTCCCCCTCCCCCACCATCCCCCTGCGGCCCCCCACAAAAGCCGTCCCCTCCAAATAAAAGCCATCTATAATCTCCACATCGACGCCATACCCCGAACGCGATTTATCATAATACTCATACATCGCATCCACGCACGCTACAACATCTTGATACTGAAAATCCTTTCCCACAATCTTAAACAAATTAGCACCCTCGTAGGAGAGCTGACCGCCGTCGGGCAGGGGCTGCGTGGGCGGGAAACCCTGCGCGAACGTTTCGACTTGCAAGAGGAATGAGAGTGTGCGGTCGTAGCGCAGCCAGACACTGCGGTTGATTGAGAAGATGTAGCGGAAGGGTCGGCCGGGGAGACTGCGGGGGGTTGGGGTGAGAATGTGCCGGTGTTTTTGAAGGGGAAGGGGAGGGGGGGAGTGATTCAAGGATAGGAACGGAAGAGAGGGAAATGGTTTGTTGAGATTTACTCACTGGGGTGCGCGCGTCGATGTTGCTGTTGGTGATGCCTGGACGACGCTGAATTGGGGGTGGCAGCTGATGAGGTTGACTGAATATAGGAGTGCGAACGCGAGGTAGATGGGCGTCTTCATTATTGCAGATAGCATGGAGGTGTGGGACTTTAGCACAGGGTGGGAATGGGTGAAGGGCTGTTTGGAAGGTTTATATACTGCCGTTTACAGATGCCACCAAGGCATATTCTTGATCTCAATCCCTCCTAGGAAGAGACGGGGTGGTTTAATTTCACTGTTGGAGTTATCAGTTTCTCAGAAACACTGCGAAAGAAGCCTCGGCAGTGTCTCGTTTTGAGCCATGTGGAGATGTTGGTATCGTAATGCGCATGTCTCAGTTCGAAAGATGATGCGGCTCCAACAAACCCTTCCGGAGGCTAAAAATAGGAACTTTGTATACAAACAGCCTCACTCACCACAACAGTGGACGAGCATGAGTGCTAGACAAAGCAGTGGAGACAGCTGCCAAAAAGTTGCGCACAACGTGTCGAGGCTGACAGTGTTGGTCTTTGTTTCAAATCTGTATGTTGAGGCAAAGACAAGGCATACGTCGCGAGGCTGATTGGAAGTGTGTCACTTGAGCCGGGAAGCTTCCATTGTGAGTGGAACAGTTTGGATATGTAATCTGCATCGTTGCCGAGAGACGAAAACCCTGATAAGCTCAACGCTATTTGCAGAGAATTCTGAAGTGGTCTGGAAGTATGGGCAGAGGGAATCCTGCTTTGCGAACCGACCGAAGGTAGTCGTTGAACACCATTGTCAAATACAACCAGACCTTGCATGGCCGTTCGAAAAAGAATCGACCTTTTTCGTTAAGGGCTTGTACGAGATGTATACTGGCTTGAAATACCGAGTCGTTTCAAAAGATGCTATGATTACTTCTTCCATTCGGTGGATCCCCATGAGGTAAACGCACTCAATGGGGTTTATTCAGCTGCAATAATAAGCTCTAATATGTGTAATCTCGATATGGATCCTGAGGAGACTTACGAAGGACTAGAGCACTGAATCGTGACACATGAAGCATCAAGTGGAGGAAGCCGTGATTCTTCTAGTGGCTGCTTCATGTCAGCCCGCATCTCTTTAATAGTAAATAGATATGCGGGTCCCGATGCTTTAGAGCTCATATTCAGTAGTAAAAGAAGCACTGTCTACTCCGTCTGCTCTGAGATCCTCGACATGGTTCTGGAATGGTGGGAAAGACAGCCGCATATCATGACAGCCTCAATGGTGTCTGAAATCGAGGGAAAGAACTTCAGAGCTCAATGATAAGAATTACTTGTGGCCTGAGGAGATAAAAAGTCTTGAAGTCAGGCTCCGGTCGCGAATTGAGGATATTATTATAGCCATAAGGTCGTGCTAATGTAAACAGCTGTTCCGCACACGTTTGATCTCGCTTTCAAAAGCTTCACCTGCCTTTGAAGTCTCCACTTTGCCACGACGTCTGGATAGAGAGAGAGACCTCAAGGTTTGGCATTTACCTTAGCAAAGAGTTGGTTCACGGGGTCTTTTCTTGCCCTTAGCGGAAAGACTCGACCTGCACTGATGGATTAATGATTGTTTCTTTTGATGACCGAGCGGTTCAAGATTGAAATGCTGTGTAAATCTCACGCTGGGCTTGTCCGTCCGTCCATCCAGTCTATTTCTCCCCTGCGTTGGAAAAATGCTCCATTCTCAGCTCTTAAGTCGTTATGACGCATGATAAGGAATGTGCCGGTCCACTGCAGTTCATCTCGTGGCTTAACAGTGAGTTACTATCCTTTCTTGGTAAAGTCTATTTGATGAGCTGTGGCACCTGTGGCTTGGACTATTCTCACCGAAACTCTGACTTTGACAGGCTACAGGAGCAAGGATGGTGATCCAATGATTGGTGAGACCCTTGTATACCACAAAGCTGGATAGGTAAGAGACTCACCTTTACCGCTCGATGTAGTCAGCCAGCTAGCGCATACTGTGACGTATCACACCCGGGGTGGCCGGTGATAGCCCATCTAGGATGAATCAAGGTTAAGTGCAGGATCTGACTAGGCTGAAGATCTTCGAACAACCCCTGGGGCGACAAAAGATTATGATATTACATATTTCTTATTTCCTTTCAGATTCCTTCCGCCCCACCAATTCGTGCTATTGTTCTTCATCGTTCCTTATTACTAAATACATAGCAATACGCGTCGACTGTATGGTTATCTACATGCCATCCATACCTTGTCTTGGCTTTCATTCCCCACAAAACGCAATCGCCACGGGAGCATCACATGGCCGAGTTCATTAATGCAGATGGGATTGACGCAGGCGTTTTTATCACTAAGATGGTCGCCTCTGAAAGGTTCGAAATCACCCTTGAAGAGATGTTCTTCAATCCTCACAAGGGGTCCTCCCCTTCATTCCTATAGTTTTTGAATGCCCCGCCATTTCCCTCCCGTCAACGTCTCAATAATCATCTATCAATTCGGAATTGTTACTTTTGGTAAGGTCAGCACATTGCGAAACAACGAGCTAATGATCCGAAACGCCCAAGACGGCCAATGCGTCGCCGCATGGCTCTCTAGACGGGTCGCTTATACACGTGCAAGTCGCTGTCGCGCGATAGCTCAGATTCCTCAACAGAGTGATAAAAGAGGCATTTAGCTCCATATTTGAGCCCTTGGAGAATAGCTGTGATGTCATAAATTCACTCGGCCAGAGAAC